AACCCTAACACCCTAACACCCTAACACCCTAACACCCTAACACCCTAACACCCTAACACCCTAACACCCTAACACCCTAACACCCTAACACCCTAACACCCTAACACCCTAACACCCTAACACCCTAACACCCTAACACCCTAACACCCTAACACCCTAACACCCTAACACCCTAACACCCTAACACCCTAACACCCTAACACCCTAACACCCTAACACCCTAACACCCTAACACCCTAACACCCTAACACCCTAACACCCTAACACCCTAACACCCTAACACCCTAACACCCTAACACCCTAACACCCTAACACCCTAACACCCTAACACCCTAACACCCTAACACCCTAACACCCTAACACCCTAACACCCTAACACCCTAACACCCTAACACCCTAACACCCTAACACCCTAACACCCTAACACCCTAACACCCTAACACCCTAAACACCCTAACACCCTAACACCCTAACACCCTAACACCCTAACACCCTAACACCCTACACCCTAACACCCTAACACCCTAACACCCTAACACCCTAACACCCTAACACCCTAACACCCTAACACCCTAACACCCTAACACCCTAACACCCTAACACCCTAACACCCTAACACCCTAACACCCTAACACCCTAACACCCTAACACCCTAACACCCTAACACCCTAACACCCTAACACCCTAACACCCTAACACCCTAACACCCTAACACCCTAACACCCCTAACACCCTAACACCCTAACACCCTAACACCCTAACACCCTAACACCCTAACACCCTAACACCCTAACACCCTAACACCCTAACACCCTAACACCCTAACACCCTAACACCCTAACACCCTAACACCCTAACACCCTAACACCCTAACACCCTAACACCCTAACACCCTAACACCCTAACACCCTAACACCCTAACACCCTAACACCCTAACACCCTAACACCCTAACACCCTAACACCCTAACACCCTAACACCCTAACACCCTAACACCCTAACACCCTAACACCCTAACACCCTAACACCCTAACACCCTAACACCCTAACACCCTAACACCCTAACACCCTAACACCCTAACACCCTAACACCCTAACACCCTAACACCCTAACACCCTAACACCCTAACACCCTAACACCCTAACACCCTAACACCCTAACACCCTAACACCCTAACACCCTAACACCCTAAATCATTAAGTAATATAATTATTTTTAATGGATTTTGGAAGCTTATTATAATAATGATTTAAAAGTCAGGCTTAAGAATATGCTAAAATTTAAATGGATTTCAAGAAATATGCTAAAATGAAGCTTTTTTATTTATTTTCATTCACATTTACTAATCAGTGGCTTTCTTGGGTTTGCAAATTTATATATAAAATAAGATCAAGAGTAATAAACAATTTGAGTAAAGATATAAAATGATGATCTATAAACAAAATATAATTCTAGAGAAATTTTATAAAAATATTTATATGAGAGTACAATCTTTATATCAGGTTTATACTTAATTTTTTATTGCTTATTAATTATTCATTCTGTCTCTTATGTAAGTTGACTGAATTAAAGGTTTATGAAGAATTAAATAAATTTTATATTAATTCTAATAAAACTTTAGCTTGCAAACTCTTAAAAAAATTAGTTAAAATCTAAGATATATGAGGTTTTAGACAGTTAAAACAGTCCAAATTTAATCTGATATTATTATAACTTATTTTAATATAAAAAACGCAAAAGCTATGCCTCCCTATAATGGGTAAGACAAGCAAATGCATCCCATCAATTTTTTGTAAAACACTTTAAATTAGGTCTAGAATCTTATAAATGCATATAGTCTTGGACGCAATAAATTAATTTTGATTACATCAGGGTTGGAATCTAGCCGTCTGACTAGTCAAACTTGATTTAGCAATAAAAAACAATTAGGCTAGCGTTTTAAACTTAAAGTAGACTTCTCAGGCTTGACGCTATAGAGCCAGCAAATCAGATTTCATAATTTGAGCTATGACGGACGGCTATGCGTATGCCCTAGATATATTAACTACAACTGCAATCCTTATGAGTTCCTAGAAGTTGAATTGATTAATTGCCTTTTTTGATATCTTATCTCTTATCTACATTATTTTGATATGGTTGAAACTTTCGTTGACATCCCCGACGACTATTGTTGCCCGATAACAGGCGATATCATGGAAGACCCAGTTGTAGCACCAGACGGGCACAGCTATGAGCGTGCATCAATCACAGCCTGATTCCAAAAAAACAAAACTAGTCCTCTTACCGGCGCTGTTTTAAAAAACACTATCCTAATTGATAATCACAGACTAAAAGCAATAATCACCAGCTTTAAAGAGAGACTGCCCGAAATCCAGCGTGATTTCCAAATAAAGCGAGATTTATTAGAAGCCATAAACATCAGAGAAGCATTCTTTCAAGACCATCTCCAAAAAGAAAAAGAACAGATAGGGAATATCACAACCTTGCATGATAACGAGAAAGAAAAAAATTTACTGCTTAAAAATAAGCTCACTGCCTGCAAAAAATTCCTTCAGGTAAAAACTGACCAAATTGACACCCTTCAAGAAAATCTGGATAATTTAAAAGGCATAAGCGAATCAAAAAATGATGAAAATAAAAGACTTCATGAAGATCTTACTCATGCTTTGGCTGAAAATGATGGGTTTAAAAGAGTGACTAAATTGAGGTTTGAAAGCATTTTTGAAAAGCTTTTAGAAGTACAAGAAAATGTTAAGCAGTTAGAAAGAGTTATAAATTCAAATAAAATAAGTGCTTATAGGCTGCTAACAAAACTTTATGATTCTATCTCAAAACTAATTAATGAGGCTGATAAGAATAAAAGGGAGCTTGAAGATAGAAAAGAAGTATTAGAAATCCAAAGAGGAGAATGAAATCTGCTCAGCCTTCAAAGCAATATTGAAGAGCATGGAGAGCAAATTTTAAATCTTTATGAGCCCATAATAATAAAAGCGCCAGATCAGCCAGATATTGAAAATAAACTATTAGCCCCTCAAGAGCTGAAAAATAAAAAATATGCAATTTTAAGCCGAGTAAATGATCCAATATCAGAAGAAGACTTCAGAAAAACTTGCTCACTATATGATAACGACTTAGAAGAAATTGTGGCAAATCCACAGATCAGCCAAGCTTATCAAGATTATATAGTTGCTTATCATCAAAACACATCTCTTTATTTTACCAGAAATGTTGGAAATAGAACTCATTTAATTGTATATGACACTGAAAGTGAAAGAGAAGAAATAAAAGTCGTGGAGACTCCAGAGCCTATAAATAATGGCTCATGCATGGCTCAGCTTCCTGATGGAGAATTATTCTGCTTTGGTAATTCAAATCCGCCTTCTGGAATTTCATGAATAATTGATGGGAACTATGGGGTTAGAATACTCACACCTGGGAAGCCTTGCTATTACTCGTCAGCTGTATATTTCAATAGAAATGTATATTGTTTTGGAGGACTAAATAATAGCACTTTTAATTTTTCTGAAAAATTCAATTTAGATGAAAACCAATGAGTAAAATTAAGCCCAATGCCGCAGGCAGATGCTTTATGTAGCTGCATAGTGATTGATGGAAATATTTTGATTTCTGGATATAGAAATAAGCATCTTTTGAAGTATTCAATTGAGAATAACAGCTTCGCGAGGATTTCTTATGAATTCTTAGCAGAAAAAAGAAAAATTTTGTTAAATGCAGAGAAATTGTATTTAATTGAGTGCAGTTATCAAGGATTTATATATGAAAGTAGGGACGAAACTAGTTGGAGACAAATAGTTAGATCAAAAATTAGCTATGATAGTCCTGCTCAAATTTATTGCGCATATAATAAAGGAGCAATATATATTGGAATCGACTATAATGGAAGATATAAGTTTAATTTAGATCAAAAGATGATGATTAAACTATAATAGTGCAAGCATATAATTAATTTTGGTGAATTTGAGTTTCAATAAAACTCTCTTTCTTATAAAGAAAAACTGGAGAGTTTAAGAGAAATACTAAAATGATCTTATTCCTTATCTTATCTTATAGAATTTATATCGCTTAACGTCCACTACGGGGTTACGACCCCAGGTTTATCACTCGCCTTTCGTCGCATCGGGCCCACCAGTCCGCTGGGGACAGACTCGCTTCGATCTCCAAGGTGCTTCTAGGGCAAATGTCCACGTCTTCGACGGCTCATGAATGAGCTACTTGCTTGTACATGGGTTGCTTTTTCCGAAAAACCCAAAAAATGGATTTTTCTGGTCGGCTATCGGCAAAAAGGAAAAATACAAAGCCTGGGACGTAATGCCCAGTTTCACGCTAGGGAGTTGCCCGAATGGTCCAGAGGACTTTGCTGAGCTTCCCCTTTCCAACCTTGTACCCTCCTTCCCCACGAGGAAAAAATCCACCCCTGAGATTAGACTAGGGCTAGGCTCTGAAAGCTACCAGAATTGCTTACCTAGCATTGCTGTCCATCTCTGAAATGGTAAAACCTTGCCGGATATAATTAAAATATGAGTCGAGGATGTATGGCCGGGAGGCCATACCCAGACGAAGACGCCATATTTTAATTATAAATGATCTTATTCCAATTAGATTATAGATAATATATGATTTAAAAAAAAGCTGGTTCAAAGAGGGATCTGGCTATAGAACTCTAAGTATCGACTGCTAATAATCTCCCCTCCTTTAAAGGAATTGCATTCTTAGAATGCAAAATCTATTACTCCTATTAATTAATTTTAGAATCTAATGGAATTTTGAACTTCTCCAATGCATTTATATGTGCTTATTATTGATTTTTCATGAATATAAATTTTCTTCTATAACTTCGCAATAGCTATTAAGCTTCATACTTTTTGTCTAGAATTATTAAGACCTCAGAAAACTTTTGATCAATTTGCTTCATTTTTTCTTCAACTAAAGTCGACATTTTTTTCAGATCTTTTTATTGTAGAGTCAATGATATTTTTTATTTCTTCCTTAGAGTTTTTATCATAAGTGGAAACATATTTATAAACTTCGTCAAGTGATAGCAGTGCATTTCCAAGCAGCTACCCATAAGCATCAACCCTGTCTTCAGGTTTTAAAGCCAACTCTTTTAAAAATGCGTTCGCTTAGCTTGACTTAATTTCTTTTGTATTTTGAACGCTATTAATCGCATTTTTTTTTAAACTGAATTTGAAATATCCTTCATCAAGACACCCCTCGAGATTTGATTCTATTTTTTGCAATTCTGCTTCAAAATATCAACTCTGAAGTTTCATCTATATCTGATTTTTCTTTATAATATTACCTTATTTTTGTTTCTTGAAATTGATTATTTTTAACTCCTTGACAAATATGTGCAATCCCTTGATATAGAAACTTCCTTGGAGTGGCGCTGCAAGCGCAGGCCACTCCATGGGGAATTCATGGGTTGGTCGAACCAACGCACAGTTTTGGTTCGACCAACTCCTATGTTGGTTAAACCAACACAGGAATTCCACATGGAGTGGCCTGCACTTGCAGAGTCACTCCAAGAAAAGAAGTATATCTTGTATAGCTTTTCAATGGATCAGCATATAGGTTCAGTCTCATCTCACTTACATCAATACTTAACTTTTTGAACAAATAATATCATTGAAATTATTTACTATGTCTCTAAATTTTCTTATAATTGCATGAACTTAAACTTAAAATATAAAAAGCCTCTATAATAATTAGTTTTAGGCAATCAAACTTATTAATAATGCTACTGCTAGTGTAATCTCTCTCGCAGCTTCATCTTTTCCATATGCTTTTTTAGCTGCTAAATATTCATATTCAAACACATTCATAACGCAATCTTCAGCCCCTTGAATTTCAGTGTATGATGAAAGTGCGTAGCCATAGTAAATCATTGTGGCTGCCTCGGTATCTGTCCAGTAATCTTGGATGCAATTGAGATTACTAGGCCACAACCTTCTCTCAGTATTGCAACTCGACACGTATTTACTAGTCACCCACTTATAATTTTGTTGGGTTAGTCTTTTATAAGGCGTGTCTCCTAACAAAGGTTTGCAATAAGCGTCTCCATGAGGACTGAAGGAGCATGAGCAGGTTGAAATTGCGTATAGTCCTGTATGAGTGTCAACATTTGAGACACAAGCTTCTGACTCAGTTGAGTAGCACTTCCAAGGGAGGGAATGATTCGATTTAAGCTCATCTGTGCATAAATATTGAGCTGTGGTGCCTGTTCCTGTTTTTGCACAGTATCCAGAGGAGCATAAGTTGGTGTAGTTTCCAACACATGACAGTTCTTGGACTTGTGACCCTGGAGTCAAGGATAAATATTCAACGCACGTGTTGTCTGTGAGAGTTGTGGCGGATACAATGTTGCAGCCTGCGTTGTAAGCGCAGTCGTAGTCATTTGCACACCCTGTTTTCCCTACTGGAATTAATTCAGTGCACACGTCAGTACCTGCAACTTTTTGGCAAGAATCGCCAGGGATACATTGAGCGCTTGTTGTGCAGGCAGATCCAGTTGCTGTTCCTTCGCATATTCCGTTTGTGCATCCAACAGAATTGACGCAATCGGCTGCTGTGCTGCACTTTTCACCAGGGTAAGCTTGCAATTTAGTAGTTGGAGTAGTAATGCAAGTGTAGTTTTCCCCAGCTTTAGTTCCAGCAGTGCATGTCTGAGACTCCAAGCAAGTCTGGACGTAATAGATATCGTAATTCTTGTCATACCAGCTGCAGACATTCGATGAGAAAGTTTGGCTGGACTTTTTGCATCTGTACATAGAGCAGCCTGCAGCGTTTGAGCCTAATTTTTGGTCAATTTCTAATGTGTAGTCTTCCTTTTCTGCATATTCAGCTGTTATGACAGCAAAAAAGGACAGCAGAAGCATAAGACTTGTGGCTTTGGAAACCATTTTTTATTCTTCAACAGCTAAATTTAGAAAATAAATAAACTCGTCAATTATTTTTATTTCTTATTTCCTCAAAAATTTATCTTTTTATCTATAATAGCTTACCCAAAATCCTTAAATAGCGTTTATTTATTACACAGCTAATAACTATAAATTTGTTTTAGACTTCTCTGCTGTTTGCGTTTATTTTTTGTTTAGTGGCAAACACTAAATCTGCAATGGATGCTGGGTATTTTCTTTCCTCCCAAAACCAGTCAGTCACCTTTATGTTCCTTATTTTTGACATCGAAAGAGAAGTGAAAACGTCATTCATGTTGGTCAAGGCGTCATTTGCACTTGCAGCTCCATACAGATTTACGATATCGTGTCAGGCGTATATTTTATTAAGTCCGATTTCAAGCGTTCTCAATACCTGATTTTCCCTGAGGCTTCTGGCAAGATACTCTAAATCTTTTCAGTCAATTTCATTTCCATTTAGCGAGAGGGTCAATAGACTTTGATTTTCTGCCAGCCCTTCTGCTATAGCTTTGATTTCTTCTTTTCCAAGCCTGAAATTTTCAATTTTCAGTGACCTTAACACCTTATTTTCTTGAAGCAGCTTTTTTAGCTCGGTCTTCAATTCCTCACTTTTAAAATGTCTAGCATCTGGATCACAGTCTAGTTTGCTTTTATGGACTGACAAAATTAAGTCTCGTAAGCTTCTACTAGCTGTAACCCCTTTTATAACAAAAATCATATTCTTGCATTGGATATCAATATTCTGCGAATTTGTCCCTAAATGCAGCATATCCTTAATCTCCAAGTATTTCAAGCTTTCGTTTCTTTCTAACGGCTCCATGCCAAATGGCAGTGTTTTTCAATAATGTACATTTCATCGAAGTGCATTTGGTCGAAAATTTTTAAATATTGTGGCATTTGTTTAAAATCTAAATGCTTTTTTTCAGTCAAATGCCTCATTATCAAAAAGTATCAGCCAATTTTCGAGCAAATGCACTTCGATGAAATATATACTGTCAAAAGTCCATGATCGTTGGACTTACACCCCTTTCTAACATTTCTTTCAGCATTATATAGCCTCCCTCAAAAAAAGTTGATTCCCTCATCCTTAAAATTTCAACTGAAGAACTTGCTTTTAGCCCTGAAAAAAGCACCATTGCGCTCATAGTGTTGAAGCCTCATCTGGTCTCGATTTCTTTTATATGACTATTCACAATGAACATTTGTGTGAAAAATGGCAAAGAGTCTCTGTCCATATCAATATTCTCTAAAATCAGCCTAATCACAGTCTGGTTCCCGGCTAAGCCAAGGATAAGCCCTGGGGTATAGTTTTCTAAGTACCCAGAAAGGATATAAGTCTCAATCGAGGTATTCTGTGCCAATAAATACGCATTTGATGGGGTTACTACCTGTGAGGGTGCATAAGAACTTAAAATTCCTGAAGTATTTTCTTCATTATCCACTGTTACTGATCTTGGCTCACAGCTTATGCCCAGAACCTTGACAGTAGAGTTCTGGATCAAAGCTCACTCAAGCTGAGAAAGCTGGGCAAAGCTCAAGATTTTGAAATTTAGCTCCCTAATAAACCTATTTCCTTCAAGTCCTGAGCAGAGATATTGGAAAGCACTATCAGATATATCGAACTTTATTGATAATGTATCAACTCTAGCGTTTCTTCAATACACAATCCACTTAGATTTGCTGAAAAAATCAAGCCCGGTGCCATAAATAGTGACGCTTTCGAGTTTTTCTAAGGCCTGGGATATTGCTTTGCTTAAGTGGTCACTTTTGACGCCTGGGAGGTACAGTTTGAAAACCGCTGTCTTCAATTTCTTGTTTTTTGAAGCTAAAAGGCAGGCCTTTACAACGTACTTGAGGTTTCCATTGTAAAGCGTTGAATCTATGACATAATTTTCTTTTGACAGCTCAATGTCTTTGAGATATATTTTAACAGGTCCTGGAGTGCTCGCAATGACTCCCATTAAAATTAATTAAAATAAATACTAAATTATAATAGACCTTCATATTCATATATTTCGCAATTTTCAAGCCACTTAAAGCTCCTTTTATCCCTACTCATAGTAAAAAATTTCATAAAGTTCGAATGCCCCACTAAAGCAATATTCCCTTCTTCTGACTCTCCTCCATAGAATAAAATTTTTGGCTTGCATTTGAGGAAAAATTTATATTTAAAGCATAAGCAGATTAAAAATTTAGTAGAGATTTCATTATATTATTAATTAAATACAACTTAATGAGATAAGTATTTTTTTCAAATTTCTTTGGTGTCTTGGGCTCTTCTATATATACTTTCATCAGTTTCTATTCAATTTGGCTGCATATTTCTCATAGTATTCAGCAACTCAACTGGGACATTTTGAATTGGAAAGCTTTTCAGTCGTTCAGTGAATTCATTTTGTATGACGTTAAGCAAATAATAATCACTGCTAATCAAGCTCCAGTCAAAATTTAAGTAGTCTTGATAGGGAAGTCCTTGATAAGAAGACACATCGGCGCCGTGATGGAGATTTTCTGTCAAAGATGGGTGGACAATAATTCTAGGCCTATCAGGATGATTTTCAAATAAAATTTTGGCTGTTTTGAGGGCTCTGCGGAGTGGAGAAACAAGCACTATTTTTATGTGAAGAGCCCGAGCTGAAGCTATAACTTGGATAGCTTGACTTTCCCCATGGGGAGAAAGCTCAGTATCGATAGATTCTGGAGAAAACTCTAATGAAGGCAGATCAGCGATTTTTCCTAGCCGGGAGTGTTCCTCTACCAGCTGGTTGACTCGGCTTTGGGCGTGCCTAATAAGAAAAATGCGCTTTCTTTCCATTTTCCTATAATAAATTTTCATTGTCAGAACTTGTGAAGATATGGCGTTACATTAAATCAAAATGGAAGACTCCTCACAAGCATCTCCGCGTTCACTGACATCAAATGTGTCCCCTGGGAAATTTCCTTTGTTTCCTCACAAGGTTTTTAGTCCCACCCAAAAAGCGCACCAAAAGCGATTTTTCCAGCATCGTCTCACAAAATTGGAGACGATGTTTATCGATCATTTACCGATAATTCCCAAGTCTTCACATTTTCGACGAGAAAGTGAAAATTTAGCACTTTCAAGGCTGAAAAATAAGCAAACCCCTGATATAAAGAATACATCTTTTTCAGACGAATTGAAGATTGCATTAAAACACATATAGAAGTTTCTTTTCAATAGCGCGATAAGGCGCATTCCTAGGTTTTACCGGATGATCTTAAACATATGAAAACTTGCTATTCTTTATTCATGGGGGAGAAAAAATAGCCTAAATAAAGAAGTCTGCCTGATCAATCTCGAGAACTTGAAGAGAGGCTGTGCGAAAAATTGACATTTTGGTTTCGTCAAATGAATCTGACGAGCCAATTCTGGCCAGTACTTGAAATGAAAAATGGTAGTTGCCAGAATTTATTAATTTTTTGATGGCGAGTATGATCAGAATTTTAATAAATGGCACAGGATCAGACAACTTATTCCTTTCAAACCGATCTAATAATTCCTTTGGTAATAATTACAACTGCTTTATAAAAGTCAAAGTTTGTGCTAAGCGCTTATTGTTCTTTACGAAATTACTAATGACTCATATGGTTTTCGTTAGAAAATTAAAATGGAGTTAATAATTAAAAAATTGTTGATCGAGTTGTGTTTTTGCGGGAGGATAGATTTCTAAAACAGATGATGCCAATTTAATTATGATCAACTGCTTTATAAAAGCCAAAGTTTGTGCTAAGCGCTTGTTGTTCTTTACGAAGTTACTAATGACTCATATGGTTTTCGTTAGAAAATTAAAATGGAGTTAATAATTAAAAACTTGTTGATCGAGTTGTGCTTTTGCGGAAGGATAGATTTCTAAATAAATGATGCCATTTAATTATAATTAACTGCTTTATAAAAGCCAAAGTTTGTGCTAAGCGCTCGTTGCTCTTTACGAAGTTACTAATGACTCATATGGTTTCGTTAGAAAATTAAAATGGAGTTAATAATTAAAAACTTGTTGATCGAGTTGTGCTTTTGCGGAAGGATAGATTTCTAAACAAATGATGCCAATTTAATTATGAATAACTGCTTTATAAAAGCCAAAGTTCGTGCTAAGCGCTTGTGGCTCTTTTCGAACTTACTAATGACTCATATGGTTTTCGTTAGAAAATTAAAATGGAGTTAATAATTAAAAACTTGTTGATCGAGTTGTTTTTTGCGGAAGGATAGATTTCTAAATAAATGATGCCAATTTAATTATGAATAACTGCTTTATAAAAGCCAAAGTTCGTGCTAAGCGCTCGTTGCTCGTTGCTCTTTACGAACTTTACTAATGATATTAAAATTTTATTCTTATAATATTTTTAAATTTTTTTCAAATGTTAAAAAAATAAATTTTTAAAATAATTATATCAATATAAATAAATTTTTTATAAAAAATTTTTATAAAATAAAATATAAATTTTTCAAAATTTATTATATCTTTTATAAAATGGGACTTTAATTTTAACAATATTTTTTAAGTGGGCTGTCTGATCCTGTGCCATTTATTAAAATTCTGATCATACTTGCCATCAGAAAATTGATAAAATTCTGGCAACTATCATTTATAATTTCAAGTACCGGCCAGAATTGGCTCGCCAGATCCATTTGACGAACCAAAAGTGTAAATTTGCAAATAGCCTCTCTTTAAGTTCTCGAGATTGATCAGCCAGAACTCTTTATTTTCACTGTATGACTCTCTTACAAAGAAGGAACATCAAATTTTCATGTTCCAAAGACGTTTTAGTCAAACCAGGAAGCACGCCTTATCGCGCTATTGAAGAGAAAGTTCTATATCAGTTTCCCCAACGAAAGAAAGGAAACATGAAAAGAAATTAACATACCCCAAAATTCAGATCAGGTTTAGGAGTATTGAAGATACCGAAATCAGTAACTTCATTCAAGCTATGTTTACAAATGAGCCTACACCTTTTAGAAAATCTGAATTAACGGTGGAACCAGAATCAATTGATATTCGTGCCGCAGAAAAGTTGCTTCAAGAAGCCAATAAAATCGTGAAAAATGGAATCAAGAAAAAGCAAGTCTCACAAGAAATCGGCGGAGCTATTGAGGAGTTCTGAAAAAGCAATATAAGTAGAAATGAGTTTGTAAGATGGGATTTATTTGAAGAAAGTTTTATTTGTTTCCTCGAAACTTATATGGTCTGCGATATGGCCACATTAAGAAAAGTCAATTGAAAAAAGCTATTACAAAAAATATATGGAAATTTAGGCAAAAAATCAGATAATTTTTCACTTTGGCCAAAATCAATAACTATAGAAAATCCTATTGTTTATGAAGAAAAACTTGTTTGGCTAACAGATTGAATCAATTATATACAAGCTGGAGAATTACTGGAAGCAATAAAATCATCACTTGAAGATACACCCACGTATATTTCTAATATTAGAAAAGGTGAAACTTATAAGTTCGCTTGTGGGAGCATATATAAAGGGGAATGGAGAGAAGGCAAACGTGAAGGCTCAGGAAATTTCATGTTTGCATCTGGTGAAAGCTACCAAGGAAACTTCGTAAGAGGACTGAGAGAAGATTATGGCACTTTTAAAGGCCATAGATATCTATATAAAGGAGAGTTCAAAAAAGATAGGTTTCATGGGTATGGAAAAATAAAATTCCCAGATGATTCCACTTTTGAAGGATTGTGAAATAAAGGAAAAATGAAAAATGGGACTTATAATTGGAACTCTGGATGGGTTTATAAAGGAGAAATGCTGAATAATAAGTTCGATGGGACCGGAAAATTGATTTTTCCTGATGGAAGCAAGCATAAGGGAACATGAAAAAGTGGGAAATTGTGTGGAGAAGGGAAAATCACGAATAATGAAGGGCTGGTTATTAAAGGGGTTTTTAATGAAGGCCAAATACAAGGAGAAGGGATGCTGGAGTGCAGAGATTATAAGTATAATGGAGAAATTAAAAATTTATTGCCGCATGGAACTGGAATAATAGAATGGATAAATGGAAGTATAATAATAAAATGGCGGCGCCCGAATAAGTTGTCTCCAAGAACTTTTTATTATTTAGGGTTAACCTTTATCCAGCTACGTCGGATACCCTGGCATATAGGTTAGGACCCCGGGAGATATAGGGTTTGTCTACCTGTTTCTCTCCAGGAGGGAGACTCCTAAGAAATTCGCACAATGGAGGGGGGTAACAGCAAGATCAACGCATCCCCGCAAAGACTTTTGGCTGGTTGCGTCATTTGATATGATAGTCATGATTTATACAATATAAAGGGCGACGAATGGTATGACTCATGACGTCACTGGCTTGGAGTTAAGGGCTAGCCTAGGCATGCAAAAATTATATTTCTGAAGAGAGGAACGCTTAAAATTCAATAATAAAAAAGTAAGAATGAATAAATGGAAATGAATACTCAGGGAAGTTTTTTGAAGGAAAAATGCATGGAGAAGGATGTTTGAAAGAAAATACTGGAGACACATATACAGGGACGTTTAATATGAATATAAAGCATGAGCGTGGAAAAATAAAATTCGCTGATGGAGGGGTTTATGAAGGAGAAATTTCTAATGGAGAGTTTCATGGGAAAGGAGTTCTTTATTATCCAGAAGGCCATGAATATAAAAAATATGAAGGGCTTTTTGAGGATGGAGTGTTCCATAAAGAAGGAATTTTGGAATATAGTAATGGATCAATTTATAGAGGTGAATGAGAAATGGGAGAGAAAAATGGAAAAGGAATTTTCAAAACAAGTGAATTTATATATGAAGGAGGGTTTTATGAGGGAAAATTTAATGGCTTTGGAGAGTATCGAAATGGGAAAGCTTTTTGTTTAGGTAAAAAACCAGGAACTTGAATTAATGGAGTTCCTGATGGAAGGGCAGAAGTAAAAGACTGGGATGGGAATCTCTATGTAGGAATTTTTAATAGGGGAGAGCCAGCCAACAGGCATAAACTTGAATCTGCTTTTCTTAAAACAATATGTTCCAATTCAAAATAACACCGTATTAAACATATGAATTGAAATTGTTTTAACCATGAATCCTTGAGCTTTTTAGTACCCAAAATTTTTTTTGGTAAATAAATGGTTACTTTTAGCATGACTTAATAAATCTTTAATTTTCACAGCTTAAGCAGAATCCTAATAAATTTTCTATAGCTAAAACAGCATGCTAATGATTTTATTTTAGTCTTACTAATAAATGAAAAGCTATATTAGCTTAATGAATGATGGGTAAAAGATACTCCAGAATGTCTCTTTCATTAAATTTAAAATACCCATTCGATTCTTTTTGGATGATCTTTGCCTCTTTCAAAGTCTTTAAAAAAGCTAGTATATCCTTTATAGACGTGGGAATACCAGATCCAGAATCTTTAGTCGACTCCTCGTTTCAGTTCTTATCATAGACAAAACAAAGTTCATCGCGATAATTTCTTAAGATGTATTTCTCAGAAAATATTGCAGAATATTTTGCAAATCCTTTCTTGGGATAATATTCACCTTCGTCATTGGTATTCATTAAACCTAGAATATCACGCTCAACATTTTCTAAGGATAAAGGTGCGTTATTAATACTTTTACCGTGAATTATATCATCAAGAAATTCTGAGCATTGCACATTATTGTCTTCTTTTTCTTCTTCCAAAGTGAATTTAAATGGCTCAGAAAAAGCAATGTCTACTAACGTAGAGCGTATAAAAGGGTCTGGATTGCCAGACTGAAAGAAGCTCCCTCTTTCAGACGTTTCTGATGAATCAATAACATCCATTAATTGCATTTCTTGTTTAGAATACAATTCCTTGACATAGTATTTTATGATGCTTTCTTTATCCCATACTCCTGAAGACGATGGTTCCTCAAAATATTCAGCAATATCGCTTTGGCTTATTGAAATTCTCATTTTTCCACAATTTAATTTCAAGTATGGAGAGATGCTCTCCCACAACTTGTCAGGGGTTGCTCCTCTCCTTATAAAAAAAATTCTCATTCAACAGTCATTTGGTAACTTTATGTCAAATTGCATTTTTGACCATGATGGCCCATCTTGAATTGGCAATCCACGAATTTTTTCAGCATCGTTAAAGCTGAATATATATGGTCTGCCCATTATAGTTCGATATGTCGAAACTGTGAGGTGTTTGAATTCATGATTAATTACATATCCGTATACTCTGTCCTTTGCGTTATCACATTTTTGGCCTTCTGAATTTAAAAAGCCTTGGCCTTGGTCTATTAAGGTTGAATGCATTAATTATAATATGCAAATAGATGCATTAGTTCTTTAATTAAGGCTAGCTATAGTTTTGCATGAATTAAAATTATCCACCGTTTTTCTCTGTTGCGGGAATTCTATAAATTATAAAATATGGAATTTCTATAAAAGATTTAAAAAATAATTAAATTCTCAAGCACGTGCTCTAAACATATAAATAGCTAGATTTAATTTTCCACTTTTAGACCTTTAATTCTATCAAGTTTGAAAAAATATTTTAGATTTTTGAGAACTCAATGGACTTTAATTGGACGAGGACTATTTTTAAAGTATGCTCAGAGTTTTCTTTCTTAACGGTCTTTAACTTTGCATAATGCTATGTAATTCTTTAGATCAAAGAATCTATTCTTGGCTCCATCAGAGCAATCAGAAAATCAGTAATCAGTAAAATAATGGACTTGGCAAAGGGGTTAAAATCCTTTCAATAACAGAAAATAAAGAAAATCCCTACATTAAGCACGAAATTAAAGATTAATTTTACAGCTACTTAGCGAGATTACCCCTTTATACAGTGCAAAGAGATTAAATTTTTCATTAAAGCATAACTTTTATTCCGAGATCGCCTTGCCGACCTAATTACAGTAGGATTTTTGAGAAAATACAACAATGGCTAGGGTAGAAAAGCTACTTCACTACGCCATGAGCTTCAAAGCTCAATGATTTAAAAAGCATGGGATACAATACCACCAATGCATCTTTTGAAATCCAATGATATCATTTTATGATCTGAAATTTTGCCCAAGTACTTTATAAAAGCCATCAAAAAGTATAGGAATTATTAGGTATATTAGAAGCCTTGGATGATATAAAGTTTATAAGGCGGGAGTTATGATGATTTTACTATTATAAATCTATGGAACTTAGTCTCAAGCTTTAATTGAAAATAGAGCGTGCAGATATTTTTAAATAAAAAATTAATTTTACTATTACTATGATAATTAAAGAATGACCGTGATTTAAATAGTTATTAGAGGAGCATAAGGTACTGTTGATTCTCCTTCATCGATTGCATATTTAACGCTTCTAAGCTTCTTGGCTCTTCTGCTCAAAAAGAATTTGATAGCAATTACTGCTACTACTCCTACAATTCCAAACTGAATAACAAGCATTCCCCAATTAGCCTGCTTAGCCTTGGAAGATACAACTGATTTGGTAGTATAGATCATCTCAATGTTGTCGGCTTGGACAGCAGCTGTTTGCTCTGGCTTATAAGAATCTCCAGCTGACTGCCACTTTTCTGGGTCTTGTCCATAGTTTCCTTCCTTGGCGTCCTCTGGACCAGCATAGCCGTATTTCCAGTCTTCAGCGTTATCAGCGCTCCATTCGCTGCCTTGTGGAGCTTGGCTTTCAGTCCATTCTTTGCCTGGGTTATCTTTTTGGTATTCAGCTCCTTGGTCAGCTTGATAGTCTCCTCCAGGTCCTTTTGGCTTTTCTTCCCCTTCTTCAGGCTTCTTGCCTTGCCACCCCCATTGCCAGTCTTCTCCTTGATAGCCACCTTTCCAGTCTCCTTTATAAGGGTTGTATTTTTGGTAGTCTTTATTTTGAGAGCCTTGGTCATAGCTGCCTGAGGTTTGGTTGGCTTGGTCGCCGCTTTGGTTATATTCTCCTTGCCAGTCTTTATCTTGATTTTGTTTGCTTTCAGCTTCAGTGTCGTGGAATGGGTGTTCTGGATGTTCTCCTTTACCTTCGCCTGCTGCTTCTTCTTCTCCTGCTGATTCAGTTTGGTTTTGGTTTTTGGCTTCTTGGTCGTGGTAAGGATGTGAAGGGTGTTCTTGAGGTTCTTTTTCTTCTTCACCCTCTTCTTCTACTGCTGACTCAGTTTGGTTCTTGGCTTCTTGGTCGTGATAAGGATGTGAAGGGTGCTCTTGCTGTTCTTGTTGTTCTTGTTGTTCTTGCTCTTCCTGTTCTTCTTGGCCTTGCTGATCTTGCTGATCCTCTTCTTCTTGTTCTTCAGTGGTTTCTTCAGTTGGCTCAGAGGTTTCTTCAGTTGGTTCAGAGGTTTCTTCAGTTGGTTCAGAAGTTTCTTCTGTTGGTTCAGAGGCTTCTTCAGTTGGCTCAGATTCCTCTTCAGTTGTTTCAGTGGTTTCTTCTGGCAGAGGATCTACAACAGCTTCACCAGTTTCTTCGCTGCTTTCTTCAGTTGTTTCTTCTGTCACTTCACTTGTAGCTGCCTCTTCAGTTGTTTCTTCTGTCACTTCACTTGTAGCTGCCTCTTCAGTAGCCTCCTCAGTAGCTTCACCTGTAGTCTCTTCTGGCTGAGATTCTGATGTTTCTTCAGCAGCCTCCTCTACAGCTTGCTCCTCAGTGGTAGCTTCCTCAGTGACCTCCTCAGTGGTGGCTTCTTCAGTTGTATTCTCCTCAGCAGGAGCTTCCTCGGTGACAGCTTCTTGATTATCGGTCGAAACATTGGATTCTTCCGAAACTGCTTCTTCTGCAGCACCTTCCTCAGTGGTGGCTGCTTCTTCTATAGTGGCTTCTACTGAAGTTTCCTCTGGGGCTGCTTCTTCAGTCACTTGCGCCTCTTCCACAGTTTCCTCAGCTGGAGATTCAAGTGCAATATCTTCAGCAATTAAATTGACTGGCTCAGCGGCCGTCTCTTTTTTGTCGCCTCCTGGCACTCCTATTTCTTTGTCGTGGAATGGGTGATCTGGATGTGCCTGTCCATTATCTGATCCTTTGTCAGAGCCAGAATTATTACCATAATCTGTCCCTTCTGGCTTATATCCCTTGTAGTCTTCAGGAATTCCATAGCCAGGGTTGCTTTGCGCTACTGCAAAGACCAGCAAGATAGTGAAAGCTAATACCTTGGAAGCCATTAATTACTATTATAAAACGTATATGCAATTCTCGGAAATATTTGCAGTGAAGTTATTATCTTTTAAAAACCTAATAAATTTGGTTTACAAACGCTATAATTCTTTTTTATTTGGCTTATATAAATTTTTGATTAGAGAAAAAAATCCTATGCCAATAAAATTTATTTAATGTAAATTATAGTAATTTACTATGAACAGCTATTTTCCTAACTCCCCCCCCCTCCGTGAGCGAACAAAACCATTAGAAAAATCGCCATTTTTTGACCAAAAACCCACCCTCCGTGAGTGAACAAAAATTTGTTTAATAGAAAAAATTTTAATGGAAAAAAAATTTTGCTATATAAGTGATAATTAGTATAATGAAATCTAGAGCTAATTCTGTTTAATTTTAAACAAATTGCGTTTTTAAAACATAAATTTTGCAAATTAAATTAATATTTGCTTCCCAATTTTTGCAAATTAGGATTTTTTTAAATTTCGAAAAAAAATATTTTTTATAAAATTTATATATAAAATTTTTTTTTAAAAAAAAAATTAACCCCCCTCCGTGAGTGAACAAAATTTTTTTGTTCGCTCACGGAGGGGGGGGGGGAGTAATGTGAAAAATGCATTTATAAGGAAAAGAATATATTTTATTGCCAGTTTATTTTAGTTTGGCACAAATAAATTAAATTATTCTAAATTCAGCACTTTAAGAATCAAGCTCACTTTGCACATAAGCGATTGCGTCTTCTACTATATCTGGACTTAAATGAGAATTTGCCTCTCTGGTCCTCAAAAACAGCTCCTCTAGGTCTTTATCAGTATAAATTCTATTATTTGTGATAACTTCCAATAGTTGCTTTTTTAGCTCAAGCTGAGGATTATTACTCCTCTCATGCACTGACGGAGTCATCGAAATCTCCTCTTCCATGCTGCCCTCCGCAGATTTTGGCCTTGTCGTCCTTCTTCTGCCAGTCTGTTTTGCCATATAGCTATAAATATCACTGGTCTTTGGTGGCCTGAGTACCTTTGATATAAATTTATCATTAAGTGTAGGGTGATCTGTCTCATCTACACTCCTAAAAAACATAACAGGATTCGCAATAGGATCATATTTATTTTTTTTCCTTTCTTGCAGCTAAATAACGAATACAGATCCTATATCATTGATGCGTCTTTGCATATGCTTGATGTTATTCATATGGTCTGACTTTATTGACTGTTTCTTTCTTTGCCGATATTCACTTAACTTCGTTGACATACTGAAAGTCCCAGGCTTGGTCGTGTCAATTGACGACCTTTTGACGTTGGCTACTCTTCGGAAGCCTTCTCTGACCTCAGCTAAATCAGGCTCATTTTTAGATTTCGGCTGAGTCCCTGAAACTGAATGTTTAGAAGTATTGTTTACATGTGGATGTGGCTGATCTCTAGTATTAATAACTGGCTTTATGTTTAAAAGACATGCATAATGGTTATTCATAAGGTCGACGATCACTTTTCTCCCTCCTAGGTTGCGCATGTCTGGGGTAAACTTTTTCATTTTGCAAATAATTTACTTTTAATATGGGAGATGACTTTTATGCGCTTGAGGAAAAAGACGGAATTCGGTGCACCTGGAAAAACTGGCCTAACAGCAAAACCATAGCGACGAGGAATGTGATTCCTATAGTGGTTCTTTACACCCCACGAAAAAGCATTGAAAGACTTACCTTGGTAGAATACGAGCCTGTCTTCTGTAGTAAATGCAGATGTGCGCTGAACCCTTTTACCTCTGTGGATTATATCTCCAAAGCGTGACTCTGCTCTATCTGCTTGAACAGGAATATTTTCCCTCAAGTCTATAAAAACTACATATCAGAGACAAATCTCCCGTCTGAGTTAACACCGCAGTGCTCTACAATGGAGTATATCCTGCCTCACCAGGTCTCAAGCCCACCTATTTTTATGCTGGTAGTCGATACCTGCTGTTCTAAGCCTGAGCTGGAGTCTTTGAAGCTGTCTTTGCTACAAGTGTTGAATACTTTGCCATCAGATGTCCTTGTAGGGCTGATTAGTATAGGGAAAAATGCACTTGTTTATAATTTAGGGTGGATGGAAGGGACGAGGAGTTTTTCTTTTAAAGGGGACAAAAGGTATAATACACAGGAGGTTAAGGATAGGCTTGGGATTTTGAATGCCAGAGGGCCAATTCCTGATGAGAAAAGAGTAGTAGTGCCACTTGGAGACTGCGAGTTTGCCATAACGATAGCTATTCAAGAGCTGAAAAGAGATCCTTGGCCTGTAGCTGCGGGGACTCGTGCTCTAAGATGCACAGGAACTGCGCTGAGTCTTGCTATAAATTCTTTAGAAATCTTGCACCCAAACCAAGGGTCAAGAATCCTGGTGTTTTCAGGAGGAGCCTGCACTATGGGACCAGGAACAATCGTCTCTCCTGACCTTGACGAGCCAATTCGAACATATTTTGATATAAAAAATGATACCGCAAAATATGTAAAAACCGCTAAACAGTTTTATGATGAATTAGCAAGCCAAGCTGGGAACAATGGACATGTAATTGATATATTTTCATGCTCAATTGATCAAATTGGGCTTATGGAAATGCGAGCTTTAAGCGAAAAAACAGGCGGGTACATAGTGTTTTCTGACTCATTTGAGACCGACGTCTTTAAAAAATCGCTACAAAGTATGTTTAACAGAGAAGAAACAGGGGCTCTAAAGATGGGTTTTAATGCTAATATTCAAGTATTTTGCTCTCCAGACCTTAAGCTTTCTGCTGTTTTAGGCCCTGGAAACTCATTATCTAAAAGACCTCCAGAAAACAATAGTGATCCTAATAAGAGGACATATCTAGCCAGCATAGATTTTAACACAACTTTAGCTTATTATTGGGATCTGGCTGGAAATGAGCTTGAAAGAGGCAGGAAGTATGAAGTTATTCAGTTCCAAACCAATTATCAGCACTCCAGTGGAAGATTAAGAATGAGGGTAACCACAGTAAAATTCCCAGTTGCAGATCCACATGTTATGAGCCATTTCATATCAGGATTTGACCAAGAAACTTCAGCAGTCGCAGTAGCACGATGGGCAGTCCACAAGTCTGAGGTAGAGCCGACTAAAGAAGTAATAGCTTGGATTGACAGAACTCTCGTCAGGCTTATTAAAATGTTCGCAGTCTACCAAGCAAATGCAATCCACACCTTCCAGCTCTGCAGAGAATTTTCACTATTCCCTCAGTTTATGTTTTACCTGCGCCGATCGCAGCTTTTACAGACTTTTAACGTGTCTCCAGACGAGAGCGCTTATTACCAGACTATTATGCAAAGAGAAAATGTCATAAACTCGCTCTTAATGATCCAGCCAGCTTTATTAAGCTACTCTTTTGACTCTCCCCAAGCCCAGCCAGTGCTGCTTGACATAGCGTCTCTCAAAAGTGACGTGATTTTGCTTTTGGACACTTTTTTTACAGTCTTGATATGGCATGGGGAGACCATTGCAAGCTGGAAAAAACAAGGCTACCAAGAAAAAGAAGAATACGAGAACTTCAAGACTCTGCTAGAGCTGCCTGTAGAAGACGCCTTGTCTATTGTGCAGGATCGGTTTCCTGTGCCTAGGTTTATAGAGACTGAGCATGGCAAAGGCCACGAAAGAGTCCTAAAAGCCAAAGTCAACCCTTCTGGAGGCGTGGAAAGCGGCAATTACTTTTCAGAAGCTGTATCCTTAAAGGTGTTCACAGATAGCTTGGTCCAATATGTAATAAAGCCTTAAGCCACACAATTAATTTAATAATTTGTTATGGAAAAAGTCGAGTATTCTTTAGAGAAAGCAATACTCCATAACAAGTTTGGGTCATTCTGCCTGAAAGCAGGAAGGGTTGAAAAGGCTGTAAAGCACTTTAACGACGCTATAAGCATATGTCCTCCTGATATCCTTTTTAGCAATGTCCATGTTAATCTTGCAAATGCGTACCTTGAAGAAAAGAAGACTGAAGAAGCCAAAATCCAGTTTCAGCTTGCAATAGAAAAATCGCCTTATAACCAGCCTGACTTCCAAGGACTTGAAATAAACCCTTCTTTGCATTCTTTGGAAGCTTTAAGTGAGTCCTATGCCAATTTGGCTGTACTTTATATGAACAAAGACGAGCTTGATACTGCACATAATTTGCTATTAAGGTCAATACAGCTGAAAAGTGACAGTGAGGCTAATGTAAATTTGGGGCATCTTTTAAGACAATTGAATAGGAAAGAAGAAGCAATTGAATATGCGTGAAGCCAAGCTGAAGCCCATGCAAGAAAAGATGGCGCTGAGTTTATTAGGCCTACTCAATTAGAGCCTAAACATTTTGAGCTACCTCCCAGGAATCCTGAAGATACAGTGCATGTGGTTTGTGTAAAATGGGGCAGTAAATATGGTCCTGACTATGTAAACAAGCTATACCACGGCGTAAAACGGCATGTCTCAGGGATTCCTTATGATTTCTGCTGCTTCACTGAAAATCCTGAAGGCCTTGACGAAGGCATCAGAGTTGTCCCACTTGCTGAAAACTGGTCTGGCTGATGGGGAAAAGCAACTTTGTTCAGTGAGCATGGGCTTGAAGGAAGACTGGTCTATATTGACCTTGACACTGTCATCACAGGCAGCTTAAACGATCTTCTCTCTTATCCTGGGGTTTTTGCAGTAATGGGAACTTCAGATATCGCCTGTGAAAAAGAAAAAAACAGCTACAATACTAGCATTATTGCGTGACACAGTTCTTTTGGCAAAGAAATATACACAACTCTTAGGCAGAACTACAAATACATGCTGAAATTTATATGCAGATTTGACCATTGGACTGAAATGATGGTAAAAGATGCAGATTTAGTACAAGAGGTCTTCCCTGGGCAGTTTTTAGACTATTTGACTTATTGCAAAGAAAGCGTCCCTGAGGGCTGCAGAATGGTGTGCTTCCCAAGAGACCCGAAGCCGCACGATTATAAGTCAGAGTGGATTAGAGAATTATGGAATTAGGTTAATTTAAGTAGATTCTTGTAGTTTATCCGTGTACTCTTTAAGGCCTTTTCTATGGTACACAAAGTCTATATATTTATTACTGTTTTCTTCTTCAAGCTCTGGAATTATTTTTAAGGCATCAGCTAAATTTTCACCGTTAATTAATCTTTCTATGATCTTTATAGCTATATTTATCAGTAAAATTTGCCCAGTTAGGCACTCTTTGACCCCAATTCTGTATAATAATGCAAAATAGCGCCTAGAAATATTCGTGTTAGAAAGCTCAGCTTTATCTGCTTCTAGAGTAGTCGGGAATTCTCCATATTTTTGTGATATCAGGATTTTCATCTTGTTAAGAGACTCAAGCTCAAGCTGGAAATTTGTAGGAGAAAAAAAGGCTTGCGGCTGATGGAATTGGTGATTTCAGCTTAAGCCTCTTAAAATTCCTAAAAAATCTGTATTTAAATACTGCTTTTTGAATTTAAATGCGATTTCCATGTTTTCATTATAATGCTGTGTCAGCTTTTCAAGCTGCTTTGGAGATAAGATTTCTTTTAAGAAAAACTTAATCCTGGCATAATTATAATAATTTTCTGTCAACGCAAACCCATAATTTGTCAACAGCATTCTATTTGAGTATCTGCCATAAGGAATATAAGTTTGGCTCCCTGCTTCATATCCTTTATCTTTGGCAGTCACCATCCTAAACCTTTTCTCCTCACTTTCCTCTAAATTAACGACCTCACTTACTCTGTCTGCCACTTTAAGTTTTTCTAAAAATAATCTCGCGTCCAATTTTTTGGCTTCTGCTGCAATTTGTTTAGAAATAATGTCTAGATCTTCCCCTTCATAAGCTCCAAAATTAATCCTATGCAGTTTTTGGCTGCTTAAAAGAATAGACACAGGCGATTCATAAATTTCTTCGTCGTCGTCTTCTTCATCACTGTCTTTTCCGTCTGGATGATAGTCAGGTGCCATGTCTGTTTCTGAGCCATAATAGTAGCACGTTTTGCAGTTTTCGTGGTTCAATAAGTCAGCTATAGGGATTAGTGCAGGAAAAGGGATGACTCGTCCAAAAGATCTGGTCACTATGACTCGCCAAGCCCATATAATTTTTTCCATTGAGGCGTTTTCTAGGTTAAAAATGTCTGGGCACTCTAGCAAGGCATTTTGGAAGATTTTATTGCATTCTTTGTCTTTATCGGCCCTTATTTTAATATCAAACGCTAAAGCAGGGTCTTGCAGCTCTGATAAGTCTTCAGCAGTCCAATCAAGCATGTTTTCAGGGTCTAGAGGCAGTGATTTAAAATAAGGAGACCAGTAAGAATTTTCGCCTTTGGTAAGTTCAAATAGGATATAAGCGATCATTTTATAGTCTTCATGCTCTTTTGAAGTTGATGAAAACAGCTCTTGATGGGCGCTATAAAGCTCTTGCAGCTCAGGCGGGCTCGTCACTTTTGTTGATAATAGAGCAGCATTTGGTATTGTCAATAAAGTTTCTCTTGGAGAAATCGCCTCAGTTGCTTGAACACCTACGTATCCTGGAGGAAAAACAGCTGGGATCAGCAGCTTCGGATTTACATAGATCCCAACTTCTCTTCCTCAGTCAAGTAGTGCTTGAGTATGCTGCAGACTTGACATATCCTAATTATTATTCAAGAATAAAACGCTGAGGTTAATGGAAATTAGACTCCGAGGTGTACTCTTATGGAGCAGGTAGGATACATCCTGATGGAGCTGAAAGCAGTGACTATGTCCCTTTTTCAAACTTGGGATACCTTGTTAAAGCCGAAAGTTTTGTTTCTCCCCTGAAAGTTTTTCAATTCTTAACAGATGAGACTAGAGAGGTTTTGCCTGCCACATGGTCTTCTCTCATATGGAGGATATAGTCACTCTCCAGATCGTAGCTCTGCCCTAGGGAGTTAATTATGGCAGGTACTTCAGTTCAGAAATCCAAGAGGTTGACCCTTTGGAGTCAAGATGAGCGACAGCTAGCCGGTTTACCACTTATGGCCAGCATAACCAATGACTTCAATTATTATTCGATTGAAAAGCAATTTAACTAAGTTTAAGGATAGCATCAACAGTGTCTCCGTTAGCTTCTCTCAGAGCCTTAATAGCCTTGTTCTTGCTAACTTTGCAGTGGTTCATGATGGTGGTGATATCTTCAGCCTTGAGGCCGGTCTCGTCTAAGTCTCCTTCTTCTTCTCCTGCTACGTCTTCTTTGATAGGCTCAACTGGGACTTCTTCTTTCTTAGGCTGTTCAGCAGCGAAATCTTTAGCTGCAGCAGCTGCCTGCATTTGATTTAAGTCTTCAAATCTGGCGACGCCAAAGACGACGTAGATGTCAGCGTTAGGGCTTTTCATGACTTCAGGGTTCTCTACAATGAAGAGCATGTTCTTGGCTCTCTTCATGGTCACTCTGTTAATGCCTGGGACTGGCTTAAGGCCGAGTTTTTGCATGGCTTTTCTGCATTTCTTTTCGCCTCTGCTTTGTTTGCCTGCAGCTCCTTCTTCGCCTTCTTCGTCACTCTTGTGACCTTCTCCGTGAGTGTGTGGGTGGTCGTGGTCGTGGTCGTGAGAATGGCCTTCATGGGAGTGGCCTTCGTGGGAGTGGCCTTCGTGAGAGTGGCCTTCGTGAGAGTGACCCTCGTGGGAGTGCTCGTGCTTTTCTTCAGTGTGAGAGGTCTCTTCGGCTGGCTTTTCTTCAGTGACCTGTGTTTCCTGCTTCTGCTCTTCAGGGACGTCTTCTACTTTTGGCATTATTAACCACGATAATAGTAAAATGGCTTCGGAGAGAGGAGAATTCATTCGCGATTTCCTCTCTCTCACCCAAATTTTATTATATGGGGTTAGGTTTTTATATGTGCACTTCTCTGATAGAAAAAAATGGAGAAGGTTTTCTTACTTCGCATTAGTTTATTTTTCCCAGAGAACTTAGGTCTAAGAGACGCTGTACGAGGCAACGCACCAGGCTGCAAAAGGTTCCAGCACTTCTGGACCTTCAAGCAGCTTCACGGAGGCGAGACGGAGTGAAATTTGTTGACAGGCTATACGAAGTTCGAAGGGAGCGACTAAGCTGAGGAAAAAAGGACCTTATGATCCTGCCCCCTTGAGCCCACCAGAGCTGAGCTAAATTAATTAATCTAAGTGTTAGTCTTAACCACAAATAAAATGGTAAAACTTGACTTTGATGTGTATCTTTGATAAGTTGTCAGGAAATAGGACTGACAAAGTGAGAATAGCTATCGAATTTTATTTAATATAGGGTAAGTAATCTATTTATTTAAGGTTCCTATTATTTGCAATTATCATTGCGAATAAATTAAAATTTTGAGACACATCGTCTTGAAGGATAGTATTGATTTGGGCCTGGAGTATCTGGGTTAATTACAAAATTAAAGCGTTTTCCTCCAGACGGCATCACAGCTTTTGGAGACTTGCTTTTAAGCAAGGAGTCATCCACTCTATAAGCTGCAGGACCTGGTGTTGGATTTTTTACTTCATAATTCATTCTTTTCGCTCGTCCGAAACTACCTTTAGGTGTTTGTGAAAATTCTGAAAAGCTATGCTATTTCTTATAAATAAATATCTAAAAAATTCTTATATATAAAATATTTTAATAAGGTATAGCAATTTCTTGCTCACTTCTTAAAAATAAACTCCCTGACGATTTTTTCAATGTTGAAGTACTCGAAGTTTCTACCAGCTTCGGCTTTGCTATTTTTTTCGCACTACTATCAGACGACTCCGAAGTTCCCACTCTATGGTGGTTTTTTGAATTCTCCCATGCCTCATTCTCTTTCCATATCTCATTCATAATTTTCTCAAAACAATATAGTCTTTCCCCTTAAATTGCCCAAACTCCATATTTCCTTTTCAAACCTCTTCAAAATCCCTATATTTCATCCCATCCTTAACTGAAAACTCTGAATCTTTTTCTCTATTATAAATAGCCACCATCACTTTTCTAAGCTCTCTTTCATAGCCTTCTTCTTGAAAATGCTTTATCGCCTGCTCTCGTCCAGCTGTTTTTTTAAGTTTCTGGTCTTCCATGTTATTAATTAAAAAATTTATTTAAAGTTGTGTAGCAGTGCTTCTTTGAATTCAGAAAAATCAATAAAGCCGTTGTGGTTGGAGTCTGCTTCCTCAAAAATTTGGTTCCATACGAACTCTTCGATTTGCTGGTCGCCTTTTAGAAACTGCTTGACTTCTTCTATAGAGATGAGACCGTTTTTGTCGACGTCGTATGCATTAAAAGCGGCCCTTATTCTTTCTTCTGAAAGAACAGAATCCCAGTCTAGGGTTGCTGTTAAGAAGTCTAGATAGCCTATGTAGCCGTTTTGGTCGGCGTCACAGTTCTCAAAAATGCTTTCTATATACTTTGGGAAGGCTTATAGACTGTCCTTGGAGCTTAATATGTACTTTAAAAATAAACTATTCATCTGGATTTTTAAAAGGGTCAATTTCTGGACAATTTTAAATCCTGGTAAGGCTATGAGTCATCATAGAACATATTTACATCATATTCGAAAAATTTTTCCTGAAAAGCTCTTTCTAGTTCAAGTTGGCTAATTTTGCCATTTCCGTTTCTGTCAAGGGCAACAAAAACCTTTTGGAGCTGCTCTGTTTCTTCATTGGTGGTAAGTTGAGAAACTATAAAGGAAAGGGTGGCCTGCTGAAGATTTCGCTTTCCTTTGAAATTTTTTAGCCTCTCTAAAATATCGTTGGACATGATGAAGCTGTAGTTTATTTCTTCCCTCGTTTTCTCACAAATCCAGCCACTATGGAGTACTTCTTTAGCTGTTGGCCGCAGTTCTGGGTCCTTTGTTAGCATTTTTCCTATCAATTCTTTGGCTTCGGAAGATATTTCATTTCACCTGGGACTGTCAAATTTGTATTTCGCTTTTGAAACTTTTATAAGTAAAGAATTCTCGTCCTCAGCTCTGAATGGCCTTTCTCCTGAAAGCATAAAGAATAGAATAACCCCTGCACTTCATATGTCACATTTACTGTCATAATCCCCTTCAATGATTTCTGGGGCTATATAATTGGCAGTCCCTATCATGGTTCGCATTTTTTTATCGAAATTCGTCCTACAGCTTGTCCCGAAATCTATCAGTTTCAGTGGCGAGCCTTCTTTTTCGTTTAAAAAAAGCATGTTTTCTGGCTTTAAATCCCTGTGCACGATATTTTTCTTATGACAGTAATATAAAGCAGACATGATCTGATACATGTATTTGGCTGCTTCCATTTCAGAAAGATAGTTATTTCGCCTTATTCTGTCGTTGAGATCTCCACCAGTGCATAACTCAGTGACTATATATAAAGATAAGTTATCCTCAATAACATCATAAATTTTCAAAATATTGGGGTGGTCAAAATATCGTAAAGCTTCTGCTTCTTGTAGAAGCATGTCTCTATCGGTTTCTTTAAATCTACGCTTAGAAATCATCTTGGCGGCTCTGATAGAATTGGTTTCTTTGTTAACTACTTGATAAACAGATCCATAGGCTCCGTTACCGATAAAGTCTTTGACGTCATAGAAATCACGAATGTCGCCTTGTGTGATGTGGATAAAGATGCTTCTTTGGATTTTTAGGGAGGGATTTGAAACCAGAGTTGCGTGGGATTCTAAATTCCCCCATCTTCCGTGAGCAAACAAAAAAATTTGTTCGATCACGGGGAGGGTTAATATTTGTTTTAAAATAAATTATTTATAATTTTTTATATTTTAAATCTCAATCTGCGAAAATGGAAAGCTAATTTAATTAGCAAAATTTATATTTGTTAAAATTCAACAGAATTAGCTAGATATTTCATTATAATAATAATGCTAATGCAAATAAGAATGCACTTGCATAAGTTCCGTTCCTTTACTTCAACTTGAACTGGCAACTCTGAGTAATGGTACGTAAGGTTAACATAACTGTCAATTTTTTCATGCCCCCAAGCTTTTTATAGGACCTCTCTCTCTGCACCAGCCTCAGTGCAGAGCACCTCTCTTCACGCTGAGTCTCTCAAAGAATATAGGACTCCTCTCATTTAGCTCAGATATAGGATTTTAGTCCTACCCAAAACTGCCATTTGATATTGATGCAATCATTATAATAATAATCATTTATAAATCAAAATTTTTTTTGGCCATTATGGAGGATGGATTTTACCAAAAATTTAATGGTTTTTCACTCACGGAGGGAAGGGGGAGTAAGAGATCGGGAGATGTTTTTTCTTTGCTAGAGACAGATGGAGAGTCTATCATTTCGGAAAGTGGAATTAGAGGGAACTCAGTGTCTTTGTTGAGGAATGTGCCGATATTGCAGCAACCCATTCTTTAATTTAAACTATAATCAGTAATAATTCTGGCCCATTTTCAACAATGCTGAAAAGATACAAAAATAGATAAAATACAAAAATACAAAAACCTGAGAATATAAGGGTTTATAAGATAAAAGATACCAAAGAAAACCTTATTTTCTTTGGTTTATCACTTTGTTTTGATGAATCTGTCTATGTTTTTTAAGCAAGCGTTACAGAAGCTACTAAATAAATATTTTCTTATAGTTAGCACAATTTATAATAATTTTAATTTGAAATAAGTTTTGTCAAAAAAATACGTGTAAATTATATGAAAAGTTCATTTTTTTACTAATATTATTTAGAAATGAGTTTGATGAAAATTTATTTGAATATAAAACGATATAAATGGCTGAGTTCTATATAAAGCTTCTCTTCAGGATTATACACATTACAGCTGGCTGCTTAATTATTGGAAGCCATTTAGCTGACAGCATTTTTGGAAAGCGAGACGAAGGATATGGATTTTTCTTCCCAATCACTGGTTCTCTACTTTTCATTTCTGGAGTCATCAATTTAATCCTTCTCAGGCCAAGCAAAACAATGGGAAACGAAAGAAAGCCATGACTATATGCAATTTATGTAAAAATAGTGATCTGGTTTTTGTGCCTGCCAATTATAGACTTAATATGTAGCTGAATGGGCTTTGAGTTCCCTCGAGAGCCTTTTACTATATTGCTTATGATAGCTGTGATCCTTGTAAGCTCATATGCCAAACAAATAAGTTAAAGTTAAATTATTTAGGTTTAGTTAGTTGAAGAGCCAAATGTTACACCATATTGGCCACTAAAAATGGTGACTTAGTGGTCCGACACCACGCCGGTGAAAGTTCTGAAGGTTGCTTCCTAGCAAGCTCTTTCAGGGCAGAGTTTATTTATTCTTTACTCGTCTTCATCAGGGTTTCACTACCTATCTTCCTCCGAGAGCAGGCCTTTGCTGCTCCCAACGGCTTTATGGCAGCCTAAAGCCGTCCCTGTGACGTAGCCAGGAGAAAAAGCCAAAGCAGAAAAAACTCCTGGGGAAGTTCTCCAGCATCAGTGCGGCGTAATTTCCTAACCCAGGTGGCTTGCAGCACCACCTTCCTGGGGAGAGTCCGGTGCAAGACCTTTAAGCTTGCACTATTTTTAATACTCTTAAACAAATAAGAGACTCAATCATGCTAAATCGGCTTAAGAATGAGTGGCTAAACCCTTAAAAATTATTTAAATAAATTATTCTTTATTTTACTATTTAAAAGTCATATAATATTTTTCAAAAATACTCAATAAATGCGATTTTTCGATTTTCCTAAAAAAAACAAAGCCAAATTTGTATTGATTCAAAAAATTTATTATCGTTGTTTATAATCAATATGTCTACTCGTGAGAAAAAACCCGAATCCAGCGCAATCCAAGACTTCTTGAGAAGAGTCTTTTTGAACTACTCAGTCTCCGGCACTCGCTACAGCATGAACTACCTGCGTCTCCCAAAATACATCCAGCTCTGCGAAGATGCTCACCTTCTCGGGCAAGACTTGAAATCTAGAGATATTGAAGTCCTGTTCCATTCTCTCAACAAAAGGAACCCAAATATGACTTTTAAAGCCTTTTTGGAGACTTTTACAAAACTTTCTGAGCTGAAGTTCCCAGACCTCTTTAGAAGAAACCCAGGAGAAGCCTTTTCCAAACTAATCATGGCCCATTTCCTGCCTCTGGCTGAAGAGCTGCAAGCTAAACGAGAGCTGGTGACTGACGACATGCTGGAAGTCTCTGAAGACTGCAAAATGATCCTCCACAACGTCAACAAAGGCTTAAAGCAGCTCTATTTGGACACTTTTAGCTGGGAAACTGAAAACGAAACATATGACAACATAATGAACAAGTCCCAAAACGCCTTAGAAATATTACTGAGAGAGCTTGACATTTACCCAGCCCTCATCAGCAAGGCTAAAATCTACTCCTTTTGGCGAGACATCGTGATAATGCAAGACGCGACTTTTCAGCCAGCAGTCGAGCTCCTTCCTCAAGGCACCCAAGACATCGGCAAAGTCCTCACCCTCAGCAAGTTTATATTGATAATCTACCTCTGCTCTATTTTTGGGTACCAAGAATCCCAAGTTTCCCCTAACTCCAATTCTGAAAAACTGCTAATTCTGTTAGAAAGAATGGAACTTACCCGAAACAGCGCCATTGCTTCTAAGAACTCATTATTGCCTTCGACAGACGTAATGCAAATTATTATGCAAAAAGAGCAAGCTGAAATCCAACCTTCTCAACTTGAAAACCAGTCAGTAGATGAAAACGCTGACTATGGCTTAGACCAAGAAGGCGAAGAAATTGTAGAAAAATACGCGTATAGGATCCAGAGGATTTTCCAGGTTTACTGTGCATATGGAGATGCTCTTAATACGTCTTCAATGAAGTCTTCAAACTTGTTAAAGCTGCTAAAAGACTGTGGATTATTAAGCGAAACCCAGGTCTCAGAAAGCTTTGATATATCAGTTTGTAGGAAAGGCAAGGAGGTGCCTATTATTACTGCAGTCGAAATTGACTTGATTTTTTCAAAGCTGACAGGGATTAATAAAGTTAATAAAAACCAAAAACTGGCCAGGAAAATCGATTTTCAGCAGTTTTTGAAAGCATTGGAAATTATTGCAAGAAAAGTTTACCCAACACAGCCAATACAAGAAGCGTACCGTTTGCTGCTGGAAGAGTATATTTTGAAGCTAGAAGAAGAACTAAATGAAAGCAGAATAGTGTGTTCAGAAAACATTAAGGAGGCGCTGGAGAGCTTGAAAAATGATGATATTATTGAAGCTCTCAGCATTGTGCATAGGTCAATTTTATATTTTTATAGATATTACACTGACAACCAAAATCTTATGAGCTATCCTATATATTATAAATAAAGCAAAATAAAAACATTTTACTCCCCCCCCCCCCTCCGTGAGCGAACAAAACCATTAGAAAAATCGCCATTTTTTGACCAAAAACCCACCCTCCGTGAGTGAACAAAAATTTTTTTAATAGAAAAAATTTTTAAATGAAAAAAAATTTTGATATATAAGTGATAATTTAGTATAATGAAATCTAGAGCTAATTCTGTTTAATTTTAAACAAATTGCGTTTTAAAACATAAATTTTGCAAATTAAATTAATATTTGCTTCCCAATTTTTGCAAATTAGGATTTTTTTTAAATTTCGAAAAAAATATTTTTTATAAAATTTATATATAAATTTTTTTTTAAAAAAAAAAATTAACCCCCCTCCGTGAGCGAACAAAATTTTTTTGTTCGCTCACGGAGGGGGGGGGGGGAGTTAGGAAAATAATTTAGGTTATTTTTTATGGAATATAACAATTTCATTGCTTTTTGCAGAGATTTCGAATTATTCCCTGATTTGGTCTCCAAAACTAAACTTGTCAGGTTTTTCTACACCTTGGCTGGAATGGCCAATGAAAATGAGCCTGGAGTCTCATTAGATGCAAGCTTATCTCGCACGTCAATCCAAGAAAAACTCAGCAAGACTTCAACTGAGACAATTGATGAGCATTTATTTGTGGAAGCTTTAGCCTTGATTTCTGCTGAAGTAAAATACGAAGACCCGAACTTGAACCCTATTGAAAAACTTTGCTTTTTGATGGAAAGGATGAGCCAAAGCACTGGCCCAGTGAAGATTTTGAGAGAACAAGGGCATAACAGAAGCTCTCATGGAGAAATCCATGATTTATTGGCATTGCTAAAGGTGAGATACCCTCAGATTCTGGACCATACCCAGAAGAAAGAGTTGAACTTCGAAGATTTGGCCTCTTTAATTTCAATCTAACTAACAATTAGAATAATTTATAATAGATTTGGTTGGCTAAGCCATGAAGAATAGACTCTCTTATATTGAAGATTGCTCTAGGTATTTAGAAGAGTATAATTAACTTACAATTAAAGCTCCGTTGAGTTCATGAAGCACTTGTTTCGGTCTAAAATATGTTGGAGAGGATTTATTCGTATTGGAAGAGAGTCTTTAGGAGCCCTTAATGTCTTAAAGCCAATATAAGCAGTTTTCGAGCTTTTAGATGTTTTTGGCAATGATGTCTGTTTGTTAGTTATCGGGAATTTTTCATTAACTTTCTTATATGATCTGTTTTGGGTATAATGGAAACTAAGCGTAAGGCTCCTTACCGGCCTGCTTTTTTTCGGGAATTTCCTATTAAGCTCAGCTAAAAAACTCCTTAAAGTGTCTGTTAATATAAAATTGCAAATATTTTTTACAATGCAATACCTATAAGTGCAAATCAGTTTTCCTCCTGAATTTTGGCTTAAGACTAAAAGAATAGAGGCTTCGCAGCATTTGCTGATAGGCACGTTTTCTCCCATTATAAGTCCATTGAAAATTTGGTCATAAGGATTATAATAGCAATATAAGTTTTCTACAGAAAAGGCGCAGTCTGTAAAAATAGTCAATAAAAAGTCATAAACAAGTTTATTAAAGTTTTCCTCGATCAGCTTAACGCCAAATTTATCTTTAGAAACCAAAATTTCTGCAGGGATTTTGGCTTTTCCAGTAATGAAAATATTTTTATAATCGCGTGGCTCAGGAGGGCTGGAATTTGAGAAGTCTTCTATTTCTGGAGAATTAGCAGCACTTGTGTGTTCTTCAATGACCGGGCTACCCGTTAAAGGGTCTCTGATTGATTTACTGCGCAGCTCTGAAGCATCGTCTCTTTTGAATCGGGACGCAAGCTTAAACTCTCCACCAATGATCTGGGAGTTTGCTTTGAGTTTTTCTTTAATTGCGTTTTTGTTGAAGTTTGGGTCAAGGACAAAAGTTTCTTCTTCTTCCTCGTCGTTTTCTAACTTTTTTTAGCCAATTCTATACATAAATTTAGCTATCCTGTGCTCCTTATATAGATTTCTTTATCGAAAAAAATGCAATGGACGGTTGAAAGACAAAGACAGACTCTCCCAAAGAGATGAGCTGGATCTCTATACCAGGAAAGGTTAAAAATGGCATGCTAAAAAAATTAAATTTGCTAAGGAGTATCATATCAGTCATTAATAGCATTATATTATGAGCCATTAAGAACTTTGAAAAGTGCAAAACAAACTTTGGCTTTAATAGAGCATTTGATCATAAACAAATTGGCATTGTTTATTTAAAAATCTACTTAATTTAACTAATTTACTTTTGAGCTAAATTTCCCAGAATAGAGAAAAAAGTAAGTAAGATATTAATCAATTCCAGTCTAAACGGGTACAATTTAATTTAAAATTAATTTGATAATAAAGCTATTTTAAAAATTGGCCCACTTGCTTGTCAACTTTTTTTTTCACACTGTAAACCATTTTTGGCATCCCACTTTTTAACGCTTCCCGGCATAGAGATCCAGCTCGTCCCTTGAGAGAGTCTGCCCTGGCCTTTCAACTGTCCATTGCATTTTGTTCGATAAAGAATCTATATAAGGGGTATAAAGTATATTTTTAATGCAAATTTCTTATTTTATATATTTATTATGTAGAGTAAAGTCCTATAAAAAGAATGTGCGCTTAAATCTGGGACTTCTTTACTCGGCCTTCTGATAACGACATGCTTATAAATTGTCATTCTCGGCTTGACTTTTACATTTATACCTTGGGTTTTTCTTATAACTGAATCATTAATGAGATAATCCTCCTTCTCCATTTTACTTCTTTAAATATTAATTGTATAAATTCGGCTTATCCTATTGCCCTGGATTTTAGAAACTTTCTCTGGGATTCTCTAAGTCTCAGCAAGACTTCGCTTTTGTTTTCGATCTGCTTCATGATATTTTCCATTCTCTGCCTCCACTCAGTGTCGTATTGATAAGAATTATTTTTCAAGTTTCTGTACTCTGCTTTTAAATTTTCCAATTCTTCTTCAACCCTGTCAGCTTCTCCATCAATTTCAGGAATTTCAAGTGAAACTTGGGGTTTTTGGATTTTCATAGGAAACTCTTCTTCGTCTTTTCTGCGAGAAATATCTGTTTCTCTTCTGGAGTAGTTAAAAGAGGTGTTACCTGACATATTGTTTATTTTTTCATTGATTTTCATATCATAGTCGCTTTCTAATGATCTTTTTTCCTTTTCAAGCTGCTGGACACGCCTCAAAATCAATTCATTTTCCTCTTCTTTTGAGCTGAGCTGCCGCTTTAAATTTCTGATTTCAGACTGCAAGAGACTGATAGTCCCATCTTTTTCTGCATTATTTTTGGCCTCTGTCCGCAGATTTTTGACGTCGTCTTCAAGCTTCCGATTGCTGCTTTCTAATAAAAGCACCTTATCGCTCATAAGGTTTAGCTGGGCTATTAAATCTTGTTCTCTCCCATGAAAAAGCTGACTTAGCCTGTCCATTTCTTGTTCTCATGCAGATTTTTCGTCATTATATTTCGTCTGGCATTGGAAAAATTTGTTTTGAAGCTGCTGATTTTGGTCTCTAAGCTCTTTTAGCTGGGTCTGCATCACTTTGAGTGCTGCAGATGCCGCAGACGTAACTTCAAAGCTCATGTCTTGTTTTAAAATTCCATTTAAATGAAGATTCATATAAAATTCTTGCCAGAGAATGACTTTGATAATATATTATTATTTTGGAGTATATCAAGCTTGATTTTAGCAGAATGTTTACACTCAGCCTATTTAATTAATAAGTATGGTATATTTTGATATAAGCTCAATAAGCTCCCTTTCAGTTGTTCAGTAACATAATTATGGTAAGCCTAGGAAGCAGAGCTGAAACAAAGAAAGAGATGGTTTTTTATAACGTAAATTCAAGAAAATTCGAGTCTGAAATAAACAGCAGCATGAAAGACATACTTAACAAGATGAAAGGAGCTAATGAGAAACTAGGAGAAGAAAAAAATTCAAAAGAATTCTATAATTCAGAACAAAGGGCAATTATCAGGCACTATAATAGAGAAAATAAAATAAAGTTCAAGCACCCACTATTGATTGGATGCAGATATAATGGTCAGCTGGAAAGGACAAAAAGCTTTGGGACTAAAAACGAAAATTCCAGTGTTTATGTAAACCAAATTAATAAAACACCGAATCCAGCTTCTAAGAATTATATTCTTGGTGACAGCACGTCCCCTAACTTTTCTTAATCTGTAATAAATTTATAAATAAATAGTTTATTTTTGGTTAAAAATTAATTACAGTCAGTTTATTGAAGGAGTAAGCAATTTTCTTATTTAGATACCGAGCTTTTTTCAAGCAAAAATCTCCAGCCAAGAATTAATATGGAGAATGATTTGCAAAACGTGAAACGATCATTAAAAACTCCGATAAGAAATTCAAGAACCTCCCAAAATGATCCAGCCACTGATGACTTAAAGATATCTTACTTAAGAAAATCACCCTTGAAATCAATGCCAAGTGACCTATCCTACAAATTTCCTCTGTCAAGGGAATTGTCACTTAAAAATACAAAAATTATTAGAAGAGATAAAAACCCTCTCAAAAACTCGTCAACTCCTTTGGTCCATGATAGATCAACTTCCCAATACTCAAATCCAAGATGTAATTCTCCATTTAAAGAACCACTGGACTCAAAACTATCAAAGTGTGGGTCACCAATTGTACTATCTTTCGCTAGTGAATGGGAAAAACATGATGAAAAATCCTATTTGGGAAAAATTAATTCAAAGAAAACAGTTTTTATATCGAAGAGTAACTATTTATTATTTTAATTAAAAATTCATCTAATCCATTAAATTCCCATAAATTCAGCTTTAAAACATAAATATTATAAATTAAACAAGGATTTGATTTCAAAAATAGATTATAAATTTAAGTTTTACAAATCCAACAAAAAAAATTATTACTCCCTCCCCTTTTAAATTGAAAATATCACGTCCAATTTACAGGACGATCTTTTTGTTTTTAAAAAAATTTGTATATTAATAAAAATTTGTATAAAATTATTAAATTTAAATATATAAATCGAACGAATATTATGAATTTTAATTTATTCTATGACATTAATTCGAAAAATTAATCAATTCAGTGTAAATTGATTTTAATTGCACTTTTTCCATTAAATTAGGTAATTTTCAACTGTAAAATTTTCTTATTCAAAACATGTTGTTCTGATTTAAAAGGAGATAAAGTATCCAAAAAATAGAAATTTTACCTATATTTTGTTCCAATTTAAAGGTGAGGAGTTAACGAGCCAAAAAATCTTGCTTGATCCCTAAGAGTAAGATCTTTTGACAAAATTATTAATTATTCAGCAGAAAATAAACGATTTATAAAACCTAAAAAAATCATCAGAAGTTTTAACTATCAGAAAACCAATATTTTTTAAATTAATGTAAGAAATATCATAATATGGATCTTAAACTGACTTCGCATTATATCATTTTCTCTTAAAAATATTCTGCTTCATCCTCAAATTTTTTTAATTTCCCTATTCCTATCATAAAAATTTCTCTTTTCCTTATTTATTTTTGTCTTATCTTCATTCTGTTATAACCTTATCATCTATAGATAAAAAACTCCCATTAAATCCTCAAAAAAATTCAAAGCCTTACCTTATCTGATAATATTTAATATGGAGGTTCAAAAAAAGCCTTATAATAAACCAAAACACAAATATCGGGCCAAAAATCCTTCTAAACCCTCTAACGAAGAAGAAAAGCACCCCAAAGACATCGAGTTTTCCAACCCAAGGCCCAATAAAGCTTCAAAAAACAAGCAAAGCAGATGGCAAGTCAACCAAGGATCTGAACAATGTTCAGAACTTGTCAACAAGCTAAAAAACAGAGAACTCGAATGCATTATTTGCATAAACCCAATTGGCTGGAGAGCCAAAATTTGGACTTGTGAAGTCTGCAGAATTCCAGAGCATCTCAGCTGCATTAAAAAGTGGCGAGACAGTGCAGGACTCACCTGGAATTGCCCTGCATGCAATTTTTCATACTCAGATGAGCCAAAATACAAGTGTTTTTGTGGGAAAGTTGAAGACCCCCTGCCTCAGCCTATGATTCCTCCACACTCTTGTGGGGAAATTTGTGGCCGTAAGAGAGGCGAGGACTGTCCTCATCTATGTCCACAGCAATGCCACCCTGGGGCTTGTCCACCTTGTACGTCGATGGCACCTATTCAAAACTGTCCTTGTGGAAAAACCATGTATCAGACTTTGTGTAAGGACAAGGCAAATATCCAGACATGTGAAAATATCTGTGACAAAATTTTAGCTTGTGGGTCACATAGGTGTAAAGAAAAATGCCATGCTGGGGAATGCAAAAACTGTGGAGTGAAGAATTGGGTTATTTAAAAAAAATTAGAAAAAATTTAAAAAAAATATATTTAATTGAGTTTTTTTGTAAAAAAATAGATGCCAGAAGAATCTTAGAAGATGTCCATGTGATAAAGAAGAAATTCTGGCAGATTGTGGGGTAAAAGAACTATCATGTGGGAATTAGATTAGATTAATTATGGTATTTATAGTCCTCACTTCCTGAAGCGCCATGCCTTCCGCAGGCGAACGCATGCAGGGCAGGCCCACTCAAGGCAGCTTGAGCCCGGACCGTGCCCCCGTTTCTCGGCTGAGGCATTTTCCCTCCTGATCTGAAAAAACAGATTTTTGCGGGAACTTCCATTTCTCACCCAAGTGCTAAAATTGCCTAACCCTGCGCGGCTTAGGCCCAGATCGTCACATTGAGGGACACTTTTAAACTGGAGCCACAAAAGCATCTTAGACAGGTAAATCGCCTTGCCTCTATCGGACACCCAACTGAGCCTGAGTACTGCTGGTAAAACAAAAATGCAAAAAACTTCTTCTCGAGGCTAAACCAACCCTTGGGCAGCTCTTTGCACCAAAAATCGAATCCGGATATACATAAGGATCACGAATATTATCATGTGGGAAGAAATGTGAAAAAATTCTGAGCTGTGGAAACCATAAATGCCAAAAAATTTGCCATGAAGAATACTGTGGCGATTGCGAATTTTTGCCAAGCAAAGTGAGCACTTGCCCTTGTGGTAAAAGTTCCCTGGATTTACTACTAATTGAGCCAAGAAGTTCTTGCTTAGACCCAATCCCATCCTGCTATATGCCCTGCAATAAGACCCTTCCATGTGGCCACGGTTGTAAAGTCTCATGTCACATCGGAAAATGCCCTCCTTGTACTCTAAAACAAGAAGTCCCTTGCCGCTGTGGGCTTTCTCAGGGATTTCTGACCTGTTCTGATCTTACATCCGGCAAAACCTTACTCTGCAACAAGCCTTGCAACACCAAAAAATCATGTAAAAAGCACCGATGTCAAGAAATCTGCTGCTCAGTAAGCGGAGAAAAGCACCACCCATTCCACCAATGCACAGAAATCTGCAGAAAATTGCTTAACTGCGGCATCCACAGCTGCTTACTACACTGTCACTTAGGGAACTGTGAGCCTTGCAGTGTCTTATACAAAGAACGCAAATTCTGTGCCTGTGGAAAAACCTACAAAGACCCACCTCTTAGATGTGGAACTAGCGACCTAACTGTCCCTTGTACAGAGAAGTGCAGCAAGCCTTTGCCATGTGGCCACAACTGTCAAAGCATCTGCCACCCTGGGGACTGTCCTCCTTGTTTTGCCTTAATCGAAAAGCCTTGCAAATGTGGAAAAATGTACAGGCCAGTCCAATGCAACGTAAAAACAGTCTCCTGTGGCAAACCATGCATGAATCCTAAAAAGTGTGGCCATCTCTGTACCTTAAAATGCCATAGCGGAGAATGTGAACTAGAGCCCTGTACTTCTATTTGTGGCAAGAAAAAGCCTAGCTGTGACCATACCTGCATCCTAGTCTGCCATGAAGGTCCTTGTCCAATCAGCCAATGTGAAGTGGGCGTCAAAGTCTACTGCAGCTGCAAAATGCAGTTTGAGATCAGAAAATGCTACGAAAATAAAGAAAAAGAATGCACAGCCGAATGCGAAAGCTTACAAAGAGCTAAAAATATTCAAGAAGCCTTAGGTTCTGGACATGCTGAAGATGAGACTTATTCAGAAAGCTTGGTCGAGTACGGAAAAGCCAACCCAGACTTCTTGTCCAAGCTCGAAAAAAAGCTAGACGAAATTTTGACCAAAAAAACCAAGGTAAATTTTTTGCCACAAATGAAAGCAGAACACAGAGCTTTTTGCCACGAGCTTATCGCTGACCATTACAACCTTGAGACTCTTTCACTTGATCAGGAGCCTTATAGGTCTGTTCTTGTATATATGACTGAAAACGCGAAAAAGCCTAAGCCTCTATTATCGCATTTTATTAATTTAGTGAAGCAAGGTATTGTAAAAGAGCCTGACAAGGCTGAGTATATGGCTTCATTGCTATTTTACCAGCTTTCTGCAGCTGTTGTCACTGACGATCTGTTAGATGTCTTACAAAAATACCAAAAAGAGTTTATTATAGAGTGGGTTAACGACCATTCAGCATATGCCCACTTTTATAGCTATAACCAGTGTAATGAAGCATATAAGATGCTTCAAAGAATCCCAGGGCAGTACTCGGTGGTGAAGATGATTAATCATACGAAGACGGAAGGGACTGAAGGGTTTAAGAAAAAGTTCAGGAACACCAAGAAAAAAGCTATGGAATTTACTGATGAGCTGCCAGAGAAGCCACAAGAAAGCTCAGACCCTATAAATGAGCAGCCCAGCAGTCCTAAAGCCGCTTCTCAGTAAGAAAAACCTCAGCTTCTTCGCTAAAACCCCAAGTTAATTAGCCTTTAAACTTAGTTTTATAAAATCTTTTGGTATACATTAACTATAATATCCTGCCGTTCATATTGTTTTCTACGTATTTTCTCTGCACTAAATATTTCTTACTGTCAGAAATGTCCACAAAAATGTCAGGCAAACTTTGCACCACGGTCGGGTCATAGATTTGGTCAGTGCTGTTATCGTTTTCTGACTCCATTTTTTCTTTGTATTGGACTGGGCCGAATTGTGTAGAAGTGACGCCTCGGGCTATTAGGACTTCTTCCATTTTTTCTTTGTTTATATGCATTTTTATGATTAATAGCCTAGGTTCTTATTTTGGAATATATACCTGTCAGCCAAAAAAAAACCTTTATTAGGCTACTCATTATAAGCTAGTATAGCTCTAGGGATCATTACGTCTGCGTTTTTTATCCAATTATGCTGGATTGCAGAGGCTGCTGACAGTCTTTCTGAAGGGTTTTTATTGAGCACTCTTCTGATAAAATCACTTGCATAAGGTGTAAAGTGCCGCCAATGTTGGTCATCATAATTTAAGCCGCCTTTAAGGGTAAGTTCAATTAAGACTTGCTTTTCTTTATGGTCAAAAGGAAGCCGCCCATGAAGAAGTAGGTAGGCGATAACTCCTACGCTTCAAATATCAACTTTATTGTTGTAGCCTCCTTGCTGCTGGGACAAAATTTCAGGAGCTGCATATCCTAAAGTCCCACATGGCAGACTTTGCAAGTCTCCTGGTCCTGCTAATTTTGACAGTCCAAAATCAGCGAGTTTTATCCTTGGAATATCTGAGTCGTCAGCTAGTAAAATATTTTCTGGCTTAATATCTCTATGAATAATCCCCACATCATGCAAATAGCTGACCACTTCTAATAGCTGCCTTATGATTTGGCTTGCTGCATACTCAGAAAACAGCTTTTTTTGGACGATTCTTTGAAAAAGCTCTCCACCTGTGACCAATTCCATAACAATCAGCATATGTTTTTTGGTATCAAAAACCTCTTTAAGGTTTATTACTCCTGGGTGGTCTAAAAGCCTCATAATGGCGATCTCGCTCCTCAGCATATCTTTTTCCTGGTTATTCAGCTTAGTTTTATTGACAATTTTTACAGCCCATCTTTTCCCAGTGCTGTGTTCGGTACATATATTTACCTCAGAGAATTTCCCATTCCCTATCCTTTCGCCTAGCTCATAGTATTCTTTAAACTTCCTGGTTTTGGCGGCTTCTTCCAATTTTCTTACCCATTCGTCCCTTTCTTTTCTGGAATCGCACCACAAATTGACCTCTTTATAAGAGTTATTTTGGTGCGATAAAGTGATGCCGAATTTATTTGTCAAGAAAAAATCACCAATAATGTCTACATAGCAGCCTTCCATAAAGACGACCCCAGCTGGCATTTTGTCGTCAGCACAGTCGTTTATCATTAATAAACTTTTCTTTAAAGTAGCGAATTTTTTTTCTAAAGTGTCAGAACCTTTGGCTTTTTTATAGACAATTCCTGACATCTCAGAAGCCCCTTGGGTTTGTAAAGCAAGCATTTTTATATCTTCGTCAAAAGAAAGTGATGAAGAAGGGCCCATCATTGTCCTGTGGTTTTTGCTGCCACGTTTTACTGTTGAAGGAAACCTATCGTCACAGCGGATTCCGAACCAGACATCTTCTTTAAAAGCTGACGAAAAAGTTTCGAAAATAATTGGCTTCCTTGCAAGAAACTGTTTAAAATCTTCGAAATTCAGCGCATTTTTATCCCCGAACTGCTCCAAAATAGTTTTTGCGATCCCATGAACTCTTGCTGAGTACGTTTCAGGCTCAAGGCTGCAGGAAGTGCTATTCTGCCTAAAAGAAGAAAGTTTTCTAGTAGTCGACCGATTTGAAGTTTTCCTTATATTTATATATAAATCTTCAGTTTTCGCTGCGGTTTCCTTGTTTTCTGGAACTGGGAGCGAAGTGACGGTTTCTTTAAAAGAATTGTGTATCTAATTTAAAATTACCATTGTAACAAGCTCAGATTTGTCAATTATTCCATCTTCATTTAAATCGTATAGGTTGAAAATGATTTTGTATTTTTCCTCAAGAGTTCCTTTACTGATGGTTTGGCATAAACCCCCCACCCTCGATGCCAAACTACCTAGTCTTGATAATAAGATATATAAGAGATATTTAAGTATTTTCGCTTTTAAGCTATTAAAAAAACGCAATTTATAGCATATTTATTGAATTTAAATAAGATATCATGCTTTTATTTTTAAAGTAAGCTATTTAAGATATTAAATTTGTTAAAACGAATTAATTTAGTAAAATCGATGCTAGATATTGCATATGTCTATGATACATAATTATACTTGAATTGATTTATTTATGTCTATCCATTTCAAAGCAGAATTCAACTGGATTCATGCTTAAAATGCGATAATTAAGCGATATTCAGCGTATTCCTTTATTAACTCCTTTATTTATTAGTCTAAAGATTTTTACTATGCTGCAATATCTCTTATATTTCTTATTATCAAGACTACTAGGTAGTTTGGTGATGGCGGGGGAATGGGATTTATGATTCACCATACTGAAAGCAGCAAGTCCTAATAAAAACCCGTCAAAATCAATTAATCCAGAACCTGAAGTGTCAAACATGCGAAATAGCCTTTCACCTAAAAGCCCCTAAATAGCACATACAGGGAGTGGGAAAAACTGGAGAAAAGTGCTTTTATCGATGCAGTCTGTTGTGTCAGTTCTTCTTGAGAGGTCATAAAAAAGTTCTCTTAAAACATTTAATTCATCTTTAGTGACTGGATAATTATTACATTTTGTGAGCACGTGCTTGATTTTGGCTGATAATCTTACTGGATTTAAAGTTGAGCTTTGAGGCCGAACCATCTTAGCTTTTGATGAACAATGTCCCATTTATATCTAATTGTAAATCAAGAGTTATTTATTAAATCATTGGCGAGAATTGCTGATTTGATTAGTATAATAGTGGTTAAAATGAATAGATAAATTAAGATGAGTGGAATTTTTAGATTTGTATATTATTAGGTGAAGAAATTTTCTGGAAAATAATTTTTAGAAAAAAGGACTGACTTTACAGTTTAAAATGTGCAAATTTCATAATTTTTTTTATTAGGCTAAATAATATTTCAACAGTTTATGCTATGAATTTTATGAAAATTGGCACTTTTTTGGAATATTTTTCGGCACTTTATATAGATATTTGGTCTATTGCTGCTTCAATCATATTTTTTTCTCAATCTAAATAGTTTTTGAAAATAATTTTAAAAACATTAAAAGATAAAAAATAAAATATTTTTTTATATACTCTAAACTATATATAATAACGAAGAAAATTCTTGCTATTAATAGGGGGGAAGTAAGAGTTTTTGTGAATAAATGTTAATAAGAAATTCGAAGTGAATTCATAATAATTTATTTTTAATAATATGCATGATAATATTTGTTTATTAAATAAGATGAGAAACTATTGCTATTATTTGAATTTTTTATTTAACTGTATGGTAGAGATTATATTAAGAACTCGAAAAAAAATTGAATTGCAATTAATTTTATACATAATCACTTTTATTTTGGTATATTTAGTCATTTCTTGTGTGCCATCCTTGAATAAAATGTCTCATTTATACTATAAATATCTTTTCTTACTTATTTTCAAAATTCCATAATTAGCTTTAGCGTTTTACTCTTTGTTTTTGAATATATTTTAGTTTGCTGCATTTAATATATTAAACATTATTATTTTTTATAATAAATTCCGCTTCATATAATATATCCTGCATTTCTATGTAATTTTTATTATCATTTATTAAACATTTGCATTAATTTACAAAATGGGTTGCCCATGCTTCAAATCTGAAGAATCTTCTGAGCAAGTCTCCTTAATCCAAAAAGAATCACCTTCACTCAGCAGGGAATCAACCAGCGTTTCTGACTTAAAACTCTCCCCAGATGACTTCCAAATGGTCAAGATGCTCGGTAAAGGCTCATTTGGGAAAGTAATTTTAGTCCTTAAAAAAGGCACAGAAAAGTATTACGCAATGAAAGTTTTAAAGAAAAGTGTTATAAAAGAAAAAGACCAAATTTCCCATACTTTAAATGAGAGAATGATCTTGGAGGATGTAAGATGCCCTTTTATAGTGCCATTACGATTTTCTTTTCAAACTGACGAAAAATTATGTCCATTTATATATGAATTTTCTCAATTTTTAAATAAATATTTTTTTAAAAAATTCAAGTAAAAGGCTATACATGGTCATGGAATACATGAGCGGAGGAGAACTTTTCTTCCACCTAAAAAAATCTGGAAGATTTACTGAAGCACGTGCACGCTTTTATGCAGCTGAAATAATTTTAGCATTAGAATGCCTGCATAGTAAAGGAATTGTATATCGAGATCTTAAGCCAGAAAATGTGCTTCTTGGTTTAGATGGGCATATAAAGCTCACTGATTTTGGGCTCAGCAAAATGGGCTTATCGCTCGAAAACCCAAAGACTTATACATGCTGTGGGACTCCTGAGTATTTGGCTCCTGAAATAATCAAAAATGAAGGACATGGGCAAGCAGTAGATTTTTGGGGTTTGGGTGTTTTATTATATGAAATGATTTCAGGGACGGCTCCTTTCTGGGCGAAAACAAGAGATGAAATGTATCATAATGTGCTTCATAATGAAGTTGACATGAAGTTATACTTTTCTAACTCCATTGGTGAATGCACATAAAAAATGAAAATTTTACCGATATTTTATTCCAATTTAAAGTTTTAATTTAATAAATTTTATAGGTAAAATAATAAATTGTATAAGACTCTTAATTTAATTTGAATTTAAGTTGGAGAGGATTTTTTTATTCAATTTAAAAAGGAGAGAGTAAGGCAGCTAAAGATTTATTATCAAAACTGTTACAAGTTGACGTAATTTTTATTTAGCCTAATAAAAGGTTGGCAAATTTCAAGGAAATTAAAGAGCATGCATTTTTCAAAGGTATTGATTGGGATGCCTATATGAGAAAAAGTGTAAATGCGCCTTTTAAGCCGAGAATAGCAAATTCTGTGGATTTAAGAAATTTTGATGCTCAGTTCACAAATGAGCCTGCAGGTGATTCACTTGAAACTAAAGGTGTCATTGAAGGGCATAAATTTCCTGGGTTTACATATACAGATCCTAATTATTTAGCATAGCAAAAATCTTGAAATGCTAATAAATTAATAATCCTCACTATGTTTTTCTCGTCTTATATCCTACATTATGCTACTATTTATCTATAAATTTCTATATTTCCATAAATTCCCAACTATAATAATCCAGCATAAATATAAGCCAAAAGAAAAAGATCATCAGCCAATTATTAGTCCTTAAAAATAGCCATTTAATTTTCATATCATTTTTTGTTGCAGATAAAACCTCAATGACTTATTGTTCTTAACTCCTTTTGAGCTTCCCAATGCCATTAAAGTGGTTGTAAATTCATTAGAAATGGGTGAAGTATTTTGCACGATCGAATGCTTCTTAGGCATGCTTGGGTGCTCATTGTGCTGTTTTGCTTATAATGGGAGGATCCAGAAAGCAAAAGCCTTTATTATGTTTTTTTGGCTTATTTTATCATACATCTTTTACAACTTATCCAGCTCAGAAATAATGCTTGAATCAGCTTATATGAGGACGCCTGAAAATATCGACGATTACGGCTATTTTTTAATATTTCTTATTAAATAGGATCCTATATAAATCTTTATTTACTTTTCTTAGACTTGTACAGAAATTTTTAATGCAAAATGACATAGTTTGGTATAGATTTATATGTTTATACATTATGCCTGATCATTTTTCTTTACTTTTTATGGGTGATAGTGAGTACAAGAATTATTATGAAACTTGAATATCTGATGCTGATTGCCCAAGCTTGGTTTATAATAATAGCGAACATAAGCGCTCCTTATTATGAGGCATGGATTGCCATACTTGTGGTTTTTTCTCCAATAATCCTCTTACTCCCTAATTTAATAGCGAATAAAACCAATAAGTTTTTTAAATATTTTACTACTCCCCCCCCCCCCTCCGTGAGCGAACAAAAAAATTTTGTTCGCTCACGGAGGGGGGTTAATTTTTTTTTTTAAAAAAAATTTATATATAAATTTTTAAAAAATATTTTTTTCGAAATTTAAAAAAATCCTAATTTGCAAAAATTGGGAAGCAAATATTAATTTAATTTGCAAAATTTATGTTTTAAAAGGCAATTTGTTTAAAATTAAACAGAATTAGCTCTAGATTTCATTATACTAATTATCACTTATATATCAAAATTTTTTTCCATTAAAATTTTTTCTATTAAAAAAATTTTGTTCACTCACGGAGGGTGGGTTTTTGGTCAAAAAATGGCGATTTTTTTCTAATGGTTTTGTTCGCTCACGGAGGGGGGGGGGGGAGTTAGCATTTTTTTATTTTAAATCAATTTTGTTCATGGTTGAGCCTGCAAATAGATATTTTTAGATATTCTAAAATTTTTGAATTTTTATAATCTGTAAAATCCAGAGATTTTAAGAGCAAAAAAATTTAAAAATTATCCGCCCAATTAATTGTCAATAAAAAATTCTGATTCATTGAATTAGCAATTTTAGTTTTCCTTGACATTTCAACTATGAATCGTCTTTTATTCAGACGCACCGGATTTTTATTCTACATGGCTTATTTAACCGCTATTTTTTGGTTCGTGTTCAGCTCTTTAAATCTGCTTTACCATTTAATTTTTAACACTTGGCGAATTCTGAATAACTTTGTAAGCCCGCTATACTATTTGTCGAGGGAAGGAGTCCCCTTCATCTGTATGATCTATTTCATAAAATCTATGAAATTTTTAATCATTTTTTTAAACTCAGGGTCTTACTTTGTCATAAAGAGGCCAACAAACAAGGAGGAGTTTGATAAATATGTATATAGAGAATTTGTAGGACTGACCCTGCTTGCGCTTTTGTGCTTTTCAATGTGGGTTTTATATATTTTGATTATCAATATATTTGGTGAAGGATCATGAGTGATAAGAGAAGGGTATTATTGCATAGCTGCTGTAGCCTTATCTTTCCCGCTTCAATTCCCTAGAGATCAGCCTCTTCCAAGCCCAAAAGAGTGTGTTATTTTCAATACCGTTGCATTTTACTTACAAATTTGTTTGACACGAATTATATATGATCGACTTGGCCATTTACTAATTAATATATATTTCTTTTAATTTAAGTCAGTTTAATTTTACAAATGATTTTTATTAGCTTCATTCAGTATTATAGATCCTTAAATCTCGAGAATCCTTGTAGAATCTACCCATCATTTGAAAATTCAGATCTCTAATAGAACAAATAAAAGCCTTCTAATAGAATATTTTATGCTGAGGACTAAAGGCTATATTAATTGCACTTGAAAGCTTGAGCAGGCAAAACACTTTCTTACTCCCCCCTCCGTGAGTGAACAAAACCATTAGAAAAATCGCCATTTTTTGCCCAAAAACCCACCCTCCGTGAGTGAACAAAAAATTTTTTAATAGAAAAATTTTTTATGGAAAAAAAATTTGATATATAAATGATAATTAGCATAATGAAATCTAGAGCTAATTCTGTTTAATTTTAAACAAATTGCTTTTTAAAACATAAATTTCATAAAATTAAATTAATATTTGCTTTCCAATTTTTGCGAATTAGGATTTTTTTAAAAAAAAACAATTAATTAGCCCCCCCTCTCTAGGTGAATAAAATTTTTTGTTCACTCACGGAGGGGGGGAGTTAGTAAAGCTCAATATTATGTTTGCAAATTGCTTATGCTAATATTGAAAAAAGGTACTCAAATCTAGAAAATTAAGTGCTTCAAAGGAAAACTCGTGCTCCCTTAAATCGCATATTTTCAAGGATTTGTTATGCAACTTTCAGCTATTTTGGTGAGGGTAGATTTATTTAAAAATTTTATCAATAGCATCATTTATAAAATTTGCTGGCATTTTGTTAGCACTAAAATGACTTAAAGAAATTATTAGGAGATAAAAATTTGCGACATGCAAACTTCTTAAAAAGCTCTAGTTTTGACAGCTTTCTTGACTGATAAAAACTGCTCATATTCCTTTTGACTCATTTCCATTTTAACAGTTTGCAAATTTAATATAAATGGACGAAATATTTTACGCAATAGAGTTCTTCTTTATCATACTGGGATTTTTATTGTGACGTTTAACAAATACATGGAGATTAGAAAACGGAAAGGTTTTTATTCTACTTTTTTACTTAATTTTATCAAATTTTATTTACTATTTAGTTCATTCAGAACTAATATTCAAAATCGCTTATGCCACACCTGAAAACCTCAATGATTCCGGTCATTTTTTTATCTGTTTATACGGCCATATGCTGTGGCTGCTGCCTCTATTTTGGGTTTTAGAAGGGATAGTAATGGCCTTAAATGTTTTAGTAAGCTTTTGTATGTTTATATTTATAGACTACGCAGGGCTTATATTGGTAGAAACTATAGCTGCTTCCTATTGTGGAGCATGATATGCCGCATTTGTGATTTTTTCCCCAACAGCTATTATAGAGTTTGCTTTGCTTGATAAATCTCCTTATATTTTTTTCAAAGATGGAGACGATTGTAATGATGTCGGCTTTGTTATTGCTTTGCTATGTTATCTTACTCCCCCCCCTCCGTGAGTGAAACAAAAAAATTTTGTTCACTCACGGGAGGGGGGGTTAATAATTTTTTTTTTAAAAAATTGATATATAAATTTTCTAAAAAATATTTTTTTTCGAAATTTAAAAAAATCCTAATTCGCAAAAATTGGAAAGCAAATATTAATTTAATTTATTAAATTTATGTTTTAAAAAGCAATTCGTTTAAAATTAAACAGAGTTAGCACTATATTTCATTATGCTAATTATCACTTATATATCAAAATTTTTTTCCATAAAAAATTTTTGTTCACTCACCGAGGGTGGGTTTTTGGGCAAAAAATAGCGATTTTTCTAATGGTTTTGTTCACTCGCGGAGGGGGGGGAGTTAGAAGGTAATAATAAAGTGGATAAAAGTAATGGCTCTCTAGCTAGAAACCTTCCTCTTCTGAAGATTTTAGTATTGTGTCGTTAGGTTTATCAGGCGCACATTTATTAACAGCCTTGAAAGCAGTGCATCGCATAGGGTAAATCAATTTTCAAAGGAAGCAGAAGAGTTTACGTCTTGATACACATGAGGAGGGCGACCTTAGGTAGAAAATGAGCAGGAGTCAAATCTAAGGCAAGGCAAAACGACTTAAACTTAAACTTATTCTAGGTATGCCTAGTCTATTGGAAATTCATCATTAAGGATCCTCGAGGGAATTAACCCTTTTTGCGACATCGCTAAGGAGAACTTTTTAAAATAAGGTGATTTGCAGGGCCGCCAAAGCTCAAACAGCATCTTTCTTTTTTAGCCCTGCTATCATGATCAACTGAATTAGAGTTCTCCTCCTTGACTTTTTGGCTCCAGAGCTGAGTGGAGGACCTTGGGCTTCTGCAGTTTGCTGATTGGGTGTACAAAGGCTGTCCACAAAAAAATGGGGAAATAAAATTGCCTATCGGCTGGGCATTGCAGCCTCAAACGAATTTTATTTATATCAGCAAGGTTTTAAAAACCCAGAAATGAATATTAGTGCTAGGTATGCAATTCTGAAATGCACAGAGCCTAGCCTTAATCCACTTTCAGGATTAGATTTTTCCTCTAGAAAAGGTGGGCTCAGGATTTGAAAGGGAAAGTCCAGCAAAGTTTAAAAGCAACGCCTAGGCCAATTTTACAACTTCCTAGAGCAAAACTGGAGTTACGTCTCAAGCTTTACATTTTTCCTTTTAGCCAAAGTTTAGCCAGAAATTCATTTTTTGGTGATTTTTGTGCGGACAACCTTCGTTCAACCTAAGTGCATGCATAGCCTACCCACTCAACACTGGAGCTGAAAAGGCAAGGAGGAGATGGAAACACAGAAACCCTGCTTCCCAGGCACCATGTCGCCAGATGGTGAAGAAGAGGAAAGACTGTGTTCGAGCCGATACTCGCCAGGCAGCCATCTAACTCAAAGAAGTCTCCTTATCAAGGAGGCAAAAGGGTGAATCCCCGAGTGAATCCTTGGTGACTGTGCTACTAATAGGCAGAAGCCACTATTTCATGGCTATAGCAGTTGCCCGATGATGGCGCTCAATGCGCCATCATCGGGCAACACCAAACAAAGGTCCACACGTGGAGCCCTTTTTGGCTCGTGGAAATGAGGATTCTCCACGTGCTAAAAAGGGCTTCACACGTGGAATCCATTTCCACTCTGAACCCCTGTCTGGTGTTGCCCGATGATGGCGCATTGAGCGCCATCATCGGGCAACTACTATATTTATTTTAGTCTATTTTTTTGACCTATTTTTTTTTGACAAAAAATAGGCCAAAAAAGAATATTCGTTATGAAATAGGCATCGTGTGAAGTAACCCCCGTCAAAAAGAAAATAAAAAGCCTGAGGCTCAACTCTCAGTTTCACGTTAGGAAACTGTCCGAGTGGCCAAGGCAATTCCTGCAGAAGATGTTGGGCTTTCCTTTCCAACTCTGAGTCAACCTTTTCCTTGAGGTAAAATCCAATTCTAAAAATGACTAAGGCTAAGTTCTGTACATTTACAAGAATTGCTCGCCTAGCACAGCTGTTCATATTGGGGTGGAAAGCCTTGCTGATACAATTGAATATGCACTCGAGGCTACATTCCAGGAGGCAATGCCTGGGTTGAGAGGCTAAACCCTCCATAAACGAGTATAAAAATTTAGCTCGCCTAATGGAATATAATATTTTTAAAAATTATATATAAACTTTATTATAAAATTATCTTAAAATCCCAATTCGCAAAAATAATAATTTGTAAAATTTATTTTTAGAATGCAAAATAGAAGCAGAATTAACTCAAGATTTAATTATAAAAATTATCACTAATATATCAAAACATTTTTAATCAAAAAAATTCTTATTAACCCTCGAAGAATGATTTTTACCCAAAAATAGTTTTTCTAATTGTTTTGCTCTTTATGTAGGGATTAATTAAGTCAGAACGCTATTTTATCTATGACCTGTGCTTACTTTTTTGTTTCTAGTTTACCATTTAATTTTTAACACTTGGTGAGCCTTGGATGTCTCTATTGCATTAGCAATTTTCGTATTTAGCTTGATTTATCTGGGGTATTCGAATCTTTTTGAGCAACTTGGAGGATTACTAGTTACACTTATAAATATTAAGGGATTATTTATCTTTATTTATCTGGGGTATTCGAAACTTTTTGAGGAACTTGGAAGATTACTAGGTATACTTATAAATATTGAGGAATTAAAAAAGAATCGTTTTATTCGACTTGCGCTTCTGGGCTTTTCTATATGAGCTATTTACTCCTTATTTACTAAAATCCTCCATGAAAGATTAGGGAAAATATTTGAACAGACAAGATAAATTTAAAATAAATTTACGTTAATTTAAATCAGTTTATAATAATATAATGGTGTTTCTAAGACTTGCTCATGGAACCCCAGTAAATCCTAATCTGCCTCAACAATCTAGCAAACTAGCCCATCTCTCAAATGGTGAATAGTGGGTACATATAATTCCTCCTATCATAGACGATGATGATGCTTTTAACTGCGGAGAGGTCAAAACTATAGGCTTAGGGCATCAGAATCTGCTTGTCATTCAGGAATTCAGATCTCTAATGAAATAAATAAAGGCTTTCCAATAGAATATTTTATGCTGAGGACTAAAGGCTATATACTTGAATTTTCAATCGAACTCGCAATCTTGAGCAGAGCAAATACATTCTTACTCTCCCTCCTACATGAGTAAACAAAGCCATTGGAAAAATTGCTATTTTTTGCCCAAAAACCCACCCTCCGTGAGTGAACAAAAATTTTTTTAATAGAAAAAATTTTTTATGAAAAAAAAATTGATATATAAGTGATAATTAGTACAACGAAATCTCGAGCTAATTCTGTTTTGATTCTAAACAAATTGCTTGTTTTAAAAAATAAATTGAACAAAATTTTTTGTTCACTCATGGAGGGTGGGGTAGTTAACAAAACTCAAAATTATGTTTGCAAATTGCTTAATCCCCTCTCCGTGAGCGAACAAAACCATTAGAAAAGTCCTATTTTTTGCCCAAAAAACCCACCTTCGTGAGCGAACAAAAAATTTTTTACGAAAAAAAGAAAGATATTTCTAGCTAATTCTGATTAATTTTAAACAGCTTGCGTTTTAAAATATAAATTTTCAGATTAAATTAATTTTTGCATCTCAATTTTTACAATTTGGGACATTTTTGAATTTTAAAAAAGAAAATTCTTTACATTTTTATATATAATTTTTTTTTTTAATAAAAAAATTAACCCTCCTTTATGAGCGAACAAAATTTTTTTGCTCGCTCAAGGAGGGGCTGAGTTACGCTAATATTCAAACAAGATTATATTTTAGCTTAAAATTAGTTTAGGATATTGAAAATCACTCAAAACTGAAAAATTAAGTGTCTTAAACGAAAACTCCCTTAAATCGCATATTTTCAAGAATTTATTATACAACTTTCAGATATATTGGTGAGGGTAGATTTATTTAGAAATTTTATCAACAGCATCATCTATAAAATTTGCTGGTATTCTACTTGCACTAAAATGATTTAAAGAAATTATTTAACGATAAAAAATCTGTAAGTTTCTTAAAAAGCCTCATTTTTACAGTTTTCTTGACTGATAAAAACTGTTCATATTCCTTTTAACTCATTAGGATTTTAACAGTTTATAATTTAATATGGATGGAATATTTTACGTAATCGAGTTCTTCTTTATCATATGTCTCTGTTCTGTTTAGCAAATTTAGAAAAATGAAAGGCTTTGGTTTTGCTTTTTATGTTATTTTTTCAAACTATATCTACTATTTAATTCATTCGGAATTAATATTCAAAATCGCTGATACCACACCTGAAAACATCGACGACTGCGGTCATTATTATATCCGCTTATACAGCCATATTACTGTGGCTGCTGGTTTTATTTATTGCTTTGCAAGGAATATTAGGAGGCTTTTGAATTTTAGTAATTATAGACTACGTAGGGCTTTTATTCGTAGAAAATATATCTGCTTCGTATTGCGGAGCATGGTGTGCCACATTTATGGTTTTGTTCCCATCATTTATTATAGGATTTACTGGGCTTAATGGCTTTAACTCCCCCTTAGTTCGCGAAAAAAACCATTGGAGAAATTCCTATTTTTTCCACATTCCTTGAACTAAAATTCTTTAATATAATTTTTTTTTATTTAATATAATGAAATCTCGAGCTAATTCTGCTTAATTTTAAACAAATTGCATTTTTAATACATAATTTTGCAAATTAAATTAATTTTTTTCTTCTCAATTTTTTACATATAAGAATTTTTTGAAAAAAAATTATATATAAGTTTAAAATAAAAATTAACCTCGCTCACGGAGAGGGCGGAGTAAGGATGTTTTTTATGGAGATGGAAACGAGGCAATGATATTGGTATGGTTTTATGTATGCTGCTATATTATCTTAGATAGTAAATAATAAGGTGGATATGATTAATGGCTCTCTAACTAGAAACTTCTCTTCTGTAGATTTATTATTGTGTCGTTAGGCTTATCAGGTGCATTTTATCAGCATCATTGAAGACAGTGCATCGCATAGGATAAATCAATTGGCCAAAGGAAGCAGAAGAGTTTTCCTCTTGAAGCCCAAGATTTAATTATAAAAATTATCACTCATATACCAATATATTTTTTATCCAATAATTTTTGCTTACTAAAGAGGGTAATAAGTTTTTTTTTTCCAATATTTTTGCTTTCCACAAAGGGATTAATTAAATAAAAATGCTATTTTATCTATGGCCTTGGTTTACTTTATTCTTTGTAGTCTACCATTTAATTTTTAGCACTTGGTGAGCCTTAAGTGTCTCTATTGGAATCGCAATTTCCTTATTGAACTTGGAAATTATGATGAATATGGATAAATGAATAAATAATCGGTTTATTCAGCTTTTGCTTCTGTGCTTTTCTATATCAGTTTCATACTCCTTATTTAATGACTTCCTCCATGAAGGACCAGAAAAAATATTTGAACAGGTGAAACAAAATTTAATAAATTTTAACTTAACTTAAGTCAGTTCTAATAATGTAATGGTGCTTCCAAGGCTTTTTCAGCGCTTTAAAACGTTATGCCCGTCTCAAAAATCACTAAAGACATGTATGTAACCCAGTAGATCTTAATATTAAGTGTCTTTAACGAAAACTTACCTTAAATAGTATATTTTACAAATTTATTATATAGCTTTCACCTATATTACTGTAGGATAGATTTATTTAGAAATTTTATCAGCAGCATCATTTACAAAATCTATATAAATAGCACTGACGTTTTATTATCACTAAAACTGCAATTTATGCTTCTTAAATGCCTCTATTTTTCATAACTTTCTTTACTGATAAAATTTGTTCTTATTCCTTTTATTTTATTGCCATTTTAACTGTTATAAATTTATAATACATGGATGGAATATTTTATGTAACCGAGTTCTTCTTTATCATACTGGGATTCTCATTGTACTGTTTAGTAAATTCTGGGACATTAGAAAAATTAAAGGCCTTTATTGTTCTTTTTATCTTACTTTTATCAAACTTTTTTTACTATTTAGTTCATTCAGAACTAATATTCAAAATCGCTGATACCACACCTGAAAACCCCAGTGACCCCGGTTATTATTTTATCCGTTTATACGGCCATATGCTGTGGCTGCTGTCTTTATTCCTTGCTTTACAAGGAATAGTAGGAGGCTTTTGACTTTTAATAATTATAGACTATGCAGGGCTTCTATTTATAGAAAATATAGCTGCTTCCTATTGCGCAGCGTGGTATGCCACATTTATGGTTTTATTTCCAACAGCTCTTCTAGGATTTACTTCACTTGATTATACAGCTCATATTTTTCACGAAGATGGAAACGAATCTAATGATATTGGTATGGTTTTATGCATGCTATCTTAGATAATAATAATAAAAATGGACATGAGCTGTGCTCTCTAATTAGAAACCTTCCTCTTCTGAAGATAAACATTAAAATGGCGACACGCGTCAAACTGGCCTCTTGGAGCAACAGTCCAGACCTTATGGCTATGGCGAACTGGGATGGATTTGAGTCGAGAATCGAGTGCAAGCTCAAGAGATGTGTGTCAGGGGAGGTTTTGGCTGCTTTTCTGTGGTTTTGAAATCGAGGAGCTGAAGATTTGAGGACCCATGGGCATTCCTTTATGGAGAAAGTGGGATTTTCGTCCCAGGGAGTAGTCTTTTTCCTGTAGCTGTCGAAGGAAGGCACTTCAGCACCCTCGAGACTCTAGAAGTTGATCCTTGGAATCAAGCTACTCCAATCGTCCGTAGCAGGACCGCAGAAATCACACACCACCATCCACTCAAGACTGAAAACACAAGGCAAGGAGGAGACAGAAGGTACGAGAAGTGCACCCGTTATTGGATATAGACCATCTGGGCTGGAGTCGAAAAGCGATAGAAGGTTCCATACGGGATTCTTTGATGATTGCATCGCCAATATGGCTAACACCTGACTTTAAATAACCTAACTTAACCTCTTCTGAGGATTTTTTATTGTGGCGTTAGGTTTATCTGGTATAAATATTTGTGCAAAGTCTAGTCCGCTTCAGAACTGAATTTACCTTGAGGGAAAAGGTGGGCTCAAAGTTATAAAGGGAAAGCCCGCATGATCTACAGGCAACGTCTAGATTATCCTGGAACTTCCTAGAGTGAAACTGTGAGTTTCCCCTCCATGAACGAGTATAAAAATTTAGCCCACCACGGAAAATAATACTTTTTAAATTATATATAAATTTTATAGTAAAATTGTCTTTTTTCGAAATTTAAACAATTCCCAATTTGCAAAAATAATTTAATTTGTGCAATTTATGCTTTAAAATGTAATATATTTAAAAAATAGAAACAGAATTAGCTCAAGATTTAATTATTTTTATATGAAAATATTTTTAAGGGTGGTTTTTTAAAACCCAAAATAGTTTTTTTTTCCCCAATTGTTCTGTTCGCTCACAGAGAGATTAATTAAGTCAGAACGCTATTTTATCTATGACCTTTTCTTACTTTGTTGTTTCTAGTTTACCATTTAATTTTTAGCACTTGGTGAGCCTTAAATGTCTCTATTGGATTCGCAATTTCCTGATATATCTTGAATTATCCGGCAATATGTATCGAAACTTGGAGCTTTTTTCCATATCAGACTGCAAAATTTGAAAGAAAACTAGCTACAATTATAAGAAACATTAAGAAATGAAAAAAGAATAGCTTTATTCAGCTTGTGTTTCTGTGCTTTTCTATATGAGCTTCATACTCCTTAATTACTTACATTCTCCATAAAATATCAGAAAAAATCTTTGAAATTGCAAGATAAATTTAAAATAAATTTACCTTAATTTAAGTCAGTTCTAATAATATAATGGTGTTTCTAAGACTTGTTCGTCGCTTTGCAAACGTTATGCACATCCCCAAAATTCCAAAAGACATTTATGGAGCCCCAGTAGATCCTAATCTACCTCATCAATCTAGCAAACTGACCCATCTCTCAAATGGTGAAGAGTGGGTACATAAAATTCCTCCAATCATAGTCGATGATGATGTTGTTCGCTGTGGAGGGGTCAAGACTGTAGGCTTAGGGCATCCTGTGGTGTACATCAAGTTAGACAAGAGAAAACAAGGCCAAGTTGAAAAATGCAAGTGGTGTGGGTTACGCTATCAAAAGAACCCAGCTCTTATCCACCATCATCATGAACATTAAGCTTAGTTTATGAATTCTATTCATAACTCCATCAATAAATATAAAAATTTTTGAAAAAGATTATGAATCTCAATAATTTTTTTAAAAATATTTTTATTAATTAATAATGTTTTAATCATAAAATTATTTAAAAAATTAATTTTTATAAGAATAAGTCCCTATAAAAGCACCAAAAAATACTTGTTTTTAAATGAGAAGAGTAAAGAAATGAGAATGTTAATAAAAATATATGGATCGTAGCTATTTTTATAAGAAAAATAAGGTTGAGTCTTGAGAAAATGGCTTTTGGATAAATTTAATAGGAGTAATATAAATTCTTTAATAGTAAAGGTTTTATGAGTACTTACAAGGTGAGCCAGCTAGATGCGTATTTTTTAGACAAAATTTATCACCAGTTCATTAAGGAGCAGTTTTTAAAACCTTTTGCATATTCAGGATGGATCAAAATAGCGATTGAAATAGGAATTATGACATTTTACCAATATTTTACACTATGAAAAGGAGCAAATACTCCAGGGAACAAGCTTTATAACGTAAAATATCAATTTTCAGGTTCTTTTGCTCTTAAAATGATACATTACTCATTAGAATGCTTAAATATCCTGATCGGAATTATTAACTCCCCCCCCATCCTTGATCGAACGATTGACTGTAAAAATTCCTAAAAATTGGGGAAATTAACCTCCATCCTTGATCGAACGATTTTCATATCATGCAAATTTTTTATATATATAAAAATATAATAGTTATCAAAAGCTTGGGAAGATGTACCTAATGAAGTTGTTTTCAGAGACTTTGAGACGATAGAAAGCTTCAGAATCAACCGTATGAAGTGATTCAGTCATTAGCCTAGGCTTAAAAACTCGATAATTTAATAAAATAGAGATTTTTTAAAATTTTTAAAAAACAAATTTTAATTTAATAAGTAACAAATTAAAATTTATACAGTTTAAAGGGGTAACTAATAAATTAAAATATAAAAAATTGGTATTTTTATGAAATTAATTCAATTTTTTGCTGTAAAAATAATTATTAAATACTCTTAACCCTCTTATTTAAAAGTAAATAAAAAAAAATTTATATATATATTTTATTTTATATATAAAATTGTTTTTCCCCAAAAAAAATTTTTTTTAACCCCCATCCTTGATCGAACGATGGCGAGTCGTTCGATAAAGGATGGGGGGGAGTAAGGAAAAATCTCCAGCAGCTCACCGCCTATGAAGTCTTGGAGTAGGCGCTAATTGAATAACTTTTCTTATTTTTGGCAAATATCGCACATTAATGGAAAGGTTTGGAAAAATCTCGCTTGTAATTCCTAATTAGGAACTCATAAATCCAGAAGCACGAAGAAATGTCAATTATTCTTATACAAACAGAATTCTCATTTTTCAAATAATTACAGACACAATGAGGGCTGTTCTCCCTATGCTAAAAATCGACCAAATTTTGAGATTTTTCTTTGACGAAATCAGCCTTTCATAGTAACTTTTATATAGTGAAGGAGATCAATCCTGTGTAATTTGTGGAGAAGAAGATGTAGTGACTCCACAACATCTAGGCAGCTGCCAGCATCTAGCTTGCTATGTATGCATCAGTAAAAGTAAACAAAAAGCTTGTCCACGTTGTCAGTAACTACATATTCCTTATTAAATTAAAGAAATAAAATGAAGTTGACTGAAATTGGACTCTGTGCCGCACGCCTTATGGAGCAGCCAGGAGCCATCCTGATGATGCTGTAAGCAAGGGTCTCTGCCCCTCTTATAGTAGGCCTTCAGGCTTGGGGATGCCCTTGCCGAAAAGGGAAGTTTTGTCTCTCCCCCGATAGTTTTCCTGTCCCTGCCAGATCGGCTAGACAGGTTTTGCTTACCACATGGCTCTGCCCAAAGGAGCTGACCCCCTGGACAGGTGGTTCATGCCGGAAATCCAAAATGGCGCCGCGCGAGAAAATATATGGCATCAGAATCTCGTTCTAGGGCTTTGGCTGAGCCGAGCTAGTGGGTTGCCGCTTATGATTATTTTTAATTTATTAAATTACTATTATCTCTATTTATTTATTTCTATTTTCTAATTAAAATCCACCATTTTACATTTTTAGTATATTTAAATTGTCATTTCATTTTAGACTCAAAAAAACAATGATAAGTAATGAATCACTCAAAAAGTATTGGATATAAGCTAAATTTAAAATCTAACCTAAAGCTTAGGGGCTTGATGACTTTCGCTTACATACTGCATTGTGAGGAGCTGGTTTCTAGCGAATTCTCCCTTCCTGACCACTGTACAAGTTTCAGGATCTTTCTCGCACACTCCTCTCATCTTCATACATAAATGGACACTTCGAATGACGACTAAAACTCCTTTAGGATTGACTGATTTCTCAATAGCTTCTGCTATTTGCTCTGTGAGCCTTTCTTGGACTTGTAGCCTACGAGCGTAGATGTCAGAAATCCTTTTGAGTTTGCTTAATCCCAAAATCTTTTTATCAGGGATGTAACTAAATATAGCTTACGTTATAGAGCAAGTGCCAATAAATGGAAGCAGATGATGCTCACATAATGAACAAATTTCTAGCTTTCCCCTCTTTTCACAGGATTTTTTTTGGAAATTCGTATTTGTGGTATAAAAGGAGACCTAATTTAAGCTAATTTTTTATGCAAGCTAAATTATAATAGTAATAGTTTGGATTAAAATAATTCATAATTATACATATAAAATAGATTTTTATCGTTATTTGCAGATTTTTGAACTTTACCACCTAAGTGTGGAAGTTTTTCCGTGTGTGAAAAGAGGATTCCACATGTGAAGCCCTTTTGATTTCACATGTGGAATCCTCTTTCACACGCGGAAAAAATTCCACACTTAGGTGGTAGAGTTCAAAAATCTGCAAATAACGATACTATCTTATAAAGAGATTTAGCCTTAGCCCTTATATAGTCAGGAGTAAGCCTTTTACGTGGACCACTCCATCGCCTTCATATGGGAAAATTCCTTCACCGATTTTCTCTTCAGGCGTTGTATGGTAGCCTTGAGTTAGCTCTAAAAGGGCTTTTGCTGCTCTTTTAGGGGTTGACTCAACACCTTCATTTGTCAAAGGGAGTTTTGACAAAATAGTTGAGTAAGCCTTCTCAATTTCTTTTAAATCTTGCTCTCTTTGCTTTTGGTTTTTCATTTTATTTTAATAGCCGTTAAATATTTCTGTCCTCATGTGAACAGTTATACCTTATTAATGAGCAATAATCCATAAATAGTTATTTAGGCTTAATTTTTATTGCTAAAAATTAGATTTGGTTTGTTAATTCTGTAGAAGTGTTTAGGGTAATTTGTGGAGGATATTTCTAAATTCCTAAAGAAAAGGGAATAAATTATTTTCATTTAGAAATTATCGTAAAAAAATACACATCTGATGAAGATTATTGATGAAGTGATGAAATTAAATTTTTGGGAAATTATATAGACATTTTATGCGTTATTATGGGTATTGAAATGGATTTTGATACTATCATCAAATTACATTAAAAAAGATTAAAAACTTATTAGTCTTTCTCAATACTGCCACGCGAAAATTGTCTCCTTTTTATTTAATAGGAGCATTTTGGCACTGTAACAATTCCTCGAGTATTTTTGGTCAAAATGTGCTTTCTCGTGATAAATTTGATAGAACTTTAAGAATTTTTACCAAGGAAATGCCACACAAGGAAAAACTACGACCAAAAGTCCGATACGAGGAAAAGATTTTTATCAATGAGAAAATTACAAATATTAAACTTACTATAAAAATGTTTAAATTTCAATCTTTATGAACTAATTAATTTAATTAACCTGTTTCTATTTAGATTAGCCAGATTATTTCCAATAAATTTATAAATAAAATCTAATTATATACTCATCAGATTATTAAAGATTTTCCAGTTTGATCTGGCCTTATAATAAAAATGAAATTCAATAGCAATGAAGAATAAATCGCAGCTATAAATTCATTTTTTTTATTTATATAGAATTGGCACAGATTAGCCAGATCAACAAATAATCAAGTGAATTAATTTGAGAAAAGATTAAAAAATTATTGTGTAAGTGACGCTCCACTATTAGCCTTCAAAGTTGTCTTTTAAAAAAAAGCTAATAATAGAAGCACTTATTTGTTCAATTACACGTTTCTTATTTAATTAGATTAGATTAGATTAATTGTTATCTTACTCTATGGCTTTATTTCAGGCCTCTGTCCTGTTATAATTTTTTAAATTTTTTATAAATATTGTTATCTTACTCTGTGGCCTCATTTCAGACCACTGTCCTGCTATAAAATTTTTATAAATATTTAATTAAGAAAATTATTACTTTCTGCTCTCTTCTATCTTCCTTAAAATGTTTTACATACACATGAAGCTCTTTCAGTGTTGACATCATTCGTCAAATACTTAAAAAATTCTGCTTCCATCTGATCTAATTGTGTCCTTAATTCCAAATTTTCTTCGTTTTTGTGAGCTATCTCTTTTTCGTTATCAATTATTTTAGTGGATACTATTTTAATTTGCTCTTGCAGCTCTTCTATTTGTTTAAGAACATTTTCAATCATAAAGCTTTGCTTCCAATGACTTGGCGTGCCGCTTTCGTCGACTCTCAAGCACGATTTTCTTTCTATATAATATTAGATTAAATAAATTATTTTTATATATAAGAATTATCCGTATCATTCTTCAGGATTTTCTATCAAATTTATATAAAAATGAATACACTATGATGATTGCTGTGGCTCATGTCAATAGCCTCGAACATGTTTTTCCTTATAGAGTCCAGCTCTGAGTTTAATACAGAAATTCTAGCAGAATCTCTTGCACTTGAGCACAGGACATGGCTCAATGCTTCTCTGAAGCTTGAAATTTTTTCATGAAACTCTCCCTGCAGTTTTTTATTTATTTTTCTGATTGAGCCAGATTTGTGTGTCTGTTCGTCTATTTCTGAATCTTCTAAGGAACTGAAAAAAAAGTCGAATTGATGTGAATTTTCTTCGTTAAACGTATTTTCAGTGTTGAAAAAGGATGAATCAGATGGCTTTGTGTCTAGCACATCAGATGCCTCGATCTCAATTCGCTGGTTTGTGATGTTTGAGATTCTTTTTGTTTTTGGAGCAATTATGGAAATGGAACTGGTTAGCTGGGGTATTTGTGAGAAGTGATCGGAATTTTTTGAATTGTCTTTTGTGCTGACTTGGTTACTGATATTTTTCATATATATTAATATTGGTTTTTAATATGGAATCCCTTTATGAAAATGTTATGTTAACAAACAAATTTGATAGTGAAGGTGGTATTATCAAAAATATTTCTAGAAATAATAAATAAAAATATACTGAATGTGACTAAGGATTGTCTGATTTAAACATCATATTTATTGATATTTGTAGCATATCAGAATCATGAATTTTTTTATTTCATTCTGTTTTTTATTTTGTCAGCAACTTCTTAATCATGGTGCATCAAATTTACCAAATATTAAGAAAAGGCTTAAATCGTCACTAGCCTAGTATTGTAAACGCCTATGAAGTAGAAATAGAATTTTAGTAAACTCTCTTGACTAAAGCAATCGAAAAATAAACAAAACACATAAAAGATTTATTTTGATAATAAATATTCTGGCAATAAATAAATTATTACTAATCCTAAAATGTAATATGCATTTACTTTAATTACTCACATCAGCCCTTACCAGAATTGATCTATATTGTTTTACAGTAAAAGCAGATTTTATCAAAAGCCCCTATAAAAAAACAAATTTTTTCGCTTAATTCTTAAAATAATTCACAATAAAAATTAGACAAGCAAAACAAATCATTATTTTCAAATGCGCCGATTTATTTTCCTAATTTAATCTGCTCAAATTTATTATTTTAAGAGCTTACCAATGGTACATAATTTAATATAACTGATAATATGAAATCGATTCTAAATGTCCCAAGAGGCCGGCTACGAAAAGATTTTTCTTTATCCCGAATTGAAGGCTCTTTACCATCCTTAAACTCCAGTTTTTCCTCTAACAAGTACACAGAACATGAAGCAGTTGACCATATAAAATTCCTATCCAAAAGAATCCAAGACCTGGAGTCCATAATTTCTTCGAAAAATCAAGAAATTCATAAGCTAGAAATGATGAATAAACAGCTTGTAAACAGTCTAAATAAACGAGATGAAATAATAGCTTCAGCGTTATTCGAAAATCGTAAGCTTAAAGAAACAATCCAATGATGCCAAAGAATAATGAATCAGTCACAAAAACCGCAAGAAGCGCTGCATTCAAATTCAACAAGCCAAAGTTTGGATCCACGAACAGAGCTATAGCTTGAGAATCCAATTGACTACTATTTGCCAAATGTCTACTGAGAGATTTGGGCTTGGTTTTTACTATAAACGCTGGTTAAACTGCTATATAAGGCAACATGTCCAATTGTGCTGATTTATTTTGACTAAATATTTTTATAATTCCCTGGGATCCAATATCACTCTTGGACTATACAAAGTATAGGAAGAAAACCAAATAGACTTCTCCCCACTTATAAAAGAGCAGATACTATGAAACCTGAAGAAGAAAACAATATTCGAAAATTCATGGAAGCTTTTAATGATGATCATGCTTTATTTGTGGAAAAATTTTTTAATTTGGAGGTATCAGCACAAAGAGATGTCCTAGGATATTTGTTGAGGAAAAAAGACGAATTTGGGAAGCTTGTAAATCTTTCTTTAAAGCTTAAGCGGCTTTTTAAAGCTTTTAGAAAGTTTTGTAATGCAGAGCTATTATATCTATTCCCACTAGTTTTCTCAGTAAATAAATAAAGCTATTTTTATTATCAAAATCTATAGAAAACGGTATAGACGATTTAATTGAATTTTTTATCTCAGAAACCAAAGAAATTCTAGACTGTGACAAAGCAACTGTATATGTGGTTGACGAGCTTAATCGAGAATTATGGACAAGATCGTCTAAAGGAGATGGTGCAAAAAGAATAAGAATTCCTATAGACCGAGGTATTGCTGGATATTGTGCCATGACTGGGGCCAGTGTTAATGTAATAGACGCTTATAAAGACGCAAGGTTTGATAATAGTCTTGACATTGAAGACAATTATAAGACAAAATCAGTCCTTGCGCTTACAATTAGAGATAATGTAGGAAACATTATTGGGATTATGCAGGCTATAAATAAGAATGATGGGATTTTTACCCCAGATGATGACGCTTTATTTGAACTGATTTCTGCTCATTATTCTATTGTGTTGCAGAGGGTCATAAAAAATGAGACCTTGGTGCTGACTTTGGCGAGGCTGAAGGTGTCACTTGAAGCTTGTGTAGGAATTTGTAAAGCAGAAAATATTGTGGATTTGAATGCTTGTTTACAAATTGAGGCAAAAAAAATCATGAATACAGATATTGCGTATTTTTATGCTGAAATAGGCGTATTGTCATTATTGATTTCTGGTGTTTTTATTATTTTTTATATAAAATAGTAATTTTCCCTAAATTCTAATGGAAAAATCATTTAATTTTTTTATACCACATAGAAGAAGGAAATCTATGCAAAACAATTAATGGAAAAATCGAAAAATTTCCTATCATGATGGGCTTAGCTGGCAAATGTGTAAGGGATAAATCTATAATGAACATTAACGATGCTTATAATCACCCAAGCTACAACGGAAGAGTTGATATCGAAACAACTTTATAGCTCATCCACACTAGTTGATCGCTTTAATCCTGACATCTTTTGGAAGATCTAGGATTGGTTAACCAAAAAAAAATGTTGGTAGAGCTAACCTTTGAAATGAAAAATCTGCAATATTTAGTCGATTTTGTTATTTCAAAGGTTGGTTTCACACAAATATTTATATATGAATCAGCCACGCAATCGTCTTGGGAGACTTCGGGATTATAACGATCCTCTAGCTTGGATACGCTATACCTGTGCTTTGCATACCTATGAAAAATGAGAATGGAGATGTCCTAGCAGTCATAGAAATGCTGAACAGCAAAACTGTAAAAGTCCAAGCTTCAATGAGCGAGTCGAAGCTAAATCAGGCAGACAGCGAAATTTTTGAGTATTTTCAGAAGATTGTATGTATTTATTTAAAACGATTTCTCAATATTTAATGATATTATAGATTACACTATCAGAAAAAATTATTAAATTGGTAAAAAAGCTAAATAATTTGTCGTTGCTATTAAATCTGATATTTTTATATCCTGTGCATAAAAATGGAAGAATACTTTATAGCCTCCTTTGTATTAAAAATTTATTTAAAATGCCTAATCAGCTAGCCAAGCCCATTTATTATATTTATTTTTGCTTCAGGGATAATTATCTTTCTAGCAAGAGATCTTCATCCTCCTTTTCCTTATTTATTCTTCTTCTCCATCATATACTAACTCAAAACGCTTTGCTTTTCTAGGTCCCGAAGCCATTGAAGTTCTGACTGGTTTTCCTTTAAAAATTTTGCCTTGCCCTTTTTGGCTATAAAATTAAGCTTCCTCATCTGTTTGGAATTTAACAAGACAAAAGGGTTTCCCACCTCAAATTCACAAGAGGTAGAAACTAATCTTTTCAGCTCTTTTACTGTGTAGTGTACAAAGAAAAGTCGATAATTATCATCATAGCTCCTCCATAGGGCATTTTTGTCGCAAATGATCTTATCAGCTTATTTATCATTTATATTCCATTTACAAAAATGCCTACTAGCTCCCCTCTTCGTGGCGAGGAAAAATACCTATTTTTGGGTAAAATATGTGAGCGAATACAAATGCTTTTGATATAAAAATATTTTGCTATATAAGCGATTATTTTTATAATGAAATCTCTAGCTAATTCTGCTGAAATTTAAACAGTGCCATCTATGGGAAAATTCTATATAAATTTTAGAAGTTAAAATGATGAAAAATTTATATCGGATTTTTAAAAAAAAAGCCCCTTAAGCGAAACTAAATTGTTTTGTTCGCTCAGGAGAGTAAGGATGCAGAAGTGGAGACAGAAGAAAAAGTGCCAATAGTTATATTCAGGTCGAAATCAGATTTTAAATTTAAAGAAAATGAGAATATTAATTGTCAAGTCCCGATTTCTGTTCACATTTCTTCTGTAAATTTAGAAAATAACACTTTTTCGACCGGAACTCAAATTCGTAATTCAGCAGTTTTTCTTGAAGGAAAACGACTGCGAAGTTTCCAATGATGGATTTTTTTTACCATTGGCATTTAATTAAAAGAAAATCTTTAGCATGATTTGATCGAATATTTATTCTGATATTTGATAGTGAAAAGTAATTAATTTTGAGGAAAAATTCGATTAATAACGAAAAACTTTAACCAAAAATCTTTTGGTACCAATGATCAGCGAATTCAAGCCCAATTAAATCTTCAGCATTCCACACAAAACGGTCATCAAGACTAATGAGTGCTAAAAGTGAAAGCTCTCCGCAGATCACTGGGTCAGTTGTGAATTTAAATGATAGGATTATTGGAGATCAGCCTATAAAAAGGACTGTTGAAGCTTTCCAGTTCCCTGTCCATATAGGAAATGACCTTAGAAAAAGAGATGGAGAATTCAAAAAAAGTGTAAATAGAAATGCGATCAGAAACAGACAATTGGGATATTTAAGAAAAAGCCTGACAAGGGTAGGCACTGCAGAAGCTAGGAAAAGGCTTGTGATTAAACTTTATAATAACCCTGCAAATGTATAGAATGGATTGGTATAGAAATTATAGTAAAATTTAACGAACGAAAAAGTAATATTATTTTATTGAATTTACCTTGCTAAGGCTTGCTTTATAATAAATAAATTTTGCTTATCAATAAATTAATAAATCTTATTGCTGATTATTGCTGTTTAAAAATGTCTTGTGATTATTTAAAAAGTAATCTAAATAGTGACGAATTTTTTAAAAAAGGCTAAAAAATGATTTTAAATTATTTATTTTTATTCTTAATTTATTAATATAATGCTATCTAGCTATGTATTTATTTTATGAAAAAAATTCATTATTTAACAGCTAATTAGCCACTTTATTGAAATAGAGGATAAAGCTTTTGTAAAAGCTTTTTTAGTATTTAATCAAACTTTTTTAAGTAAAATAAATTATTCTAATTCTTGAAAGAAATAATACTTTTTGATCTTTTATAAATAATATTACAATATGTCACTATTAGATCAAAATGAGGCGGTAAAGATTTTTTTCCTTTCTTTGAGCGAAAACAAAATTTGTTCGCTCACAGAGGAGGTTTTTCGAAATTTATAATACCTTTAGATTTAATAGAATCTAATAATATAGAAAAAACAAAAAATTCTTCAGCCATGAGAAATATCTCCCTTGAAGAAAATAAGTTTCAATAAAGCAGGAAGAATAAAATATAAACTGGATTATAGAAAGTGCTAAAAGGGATATGGACATTATTGGTGATTCGTATTGAAATAACTTTTAGCAAGCAGACAAGCCAGAAGATATTCAGAATTTATTTCTTCATAAAATGGTATTTAGCGATAATGCTGAAAACTTTATTTAAAGGCGATATCTAGCATTTCATCTGACGAGACTTTAAATAAATGGAAATGATGATTTTTTACTGAAAGCAAATAAAGAGCCATTAAATTGTATTTTAGCCTCTTAGAAAAGTTTAGTATGATGCAAAAAGAAGAATTTATTGAAATTTTATTTTATATGTCTGTTAAAGGGTATTTTTAGATGAGGATATTTGGAATGAAAGCATTGGAAATTTGGCTAAAAGAGTATATTTTGAAATATTCCAGATAATCTTATTCCCATAGTAAGCAAATTCTTGCTCATTCTTATGGTTTTTAACTCAAAATTTTAAATCTGAATTTTATATGAATTGATTGAAGTTTATTTTTTATTGGTAAATCTGAAAATTACTCAAAAATAAGGAAATTATTATTTTGAAAATTTTTCCCATGAGCTAGGGAAGTTAGAGATATTACAGTGCTTGGTGGAACTATTTTACTGTATCTAAGCTTGCCATAGAGTGGCGATTTTAATTGTTGTTCCAGAAAAATAGCATTCATTCACGAAGCTACACATGAAATGAGAAAATATAACGAGAAATCTTATAACTCAGAAAGAAAACTCCAAAATCTAGAAAAACGCCACTTCTTAGTGGGATTTCTGGAAGCAGAGAATTTATTGCTGATCTTAGAGAAATCGAGCAATTATAAGTTCTTTGGTTTTTGATGGGATTGATATTAAGTAGACTGATTTATTACTTCTTATGTCTTACTGTAATTAAAAATTATTATCGGGGCTATCTTCTTATAATTATTATTTTAATATGTTAGGCTCGCTTGAGGCGGTAAAAGATTTTTTTCTCAAAAACCGTAAAATAGTCAGTTGATGGCACCAAAAAGCAAAGGAAGAAACTCTGAAATATGCAAAAATCTCCGAATTCAAAGAAGAAAAATACTTAGAAGAAAATATTCGATTGATGATTGAAGATAATGATGCTGGCAGCATCTCAGAATTTTTTAGAGTAATAGACTGTTTATCTTACAATAAAAAAGATATACTAGACTTTGAGGATTTGGAGGAACTTCTAAAGTCAGGATATGAACTGTCAATTCTGTCTCTGCTAATAAAATCTCCAATCGAAAATCTCGAAGAAAGGTTTACGAATCATATTTTTAGGCTTTTAGAATCAAACGAAATTTATGACTGAATGGCAAGGTCTGATCCTAACATAAGTGAAAGCTTAAAAGTAAAAGAAAAAATCGTAAGCTTTGCAACTTATTTCTCTTTCATTATAAAATATTCGAAAGAAAAATCAAACCTCATCAGAGAGTTAGGTGAATGAAATTTAATCAAAACGTCAGAACTTTTGATGAACTGTGCAAAAGATACAAATGAGTGTGTAGATGAGTTTTTTTTCTTTAGTTGCGATGTTTTAAAATTATATAATATAGAGTTCAATTTTCTGCAAGAGTGAGAATTAAATATCCTGATTGACAATATTTGCTCATGGCACACATTTTCAAATGCTTTAAATTTAGCTAGCCATATCAAAATTAAACAAAGCACTATCCAAAAATTGTGCCAAATAATCTATGACTCTTTTTATTGTTGCTGAAATGCTGTATTAGACTTTTATACATCTGGAGAAGAAGTTCTAAAAATATCACATAATTATCTGAGATCCAGATATATATCCTTTAAAAATGAAAGAAGCATTGATATGATGAAAAAAAATTTAGAAGCATTGCTAATTTATACTACAAATATTAATAAAGTTGCAAGTACACTTTTTGATGAGATAGAACTGGAAGAATTCATTAGTGAAGAAGGAGTTTTGGATTGCTTTATTAAGCGCGTCGACAATATAATTAATGCTCAGTTAACAATTCAATATCCCTCAATTAGCCTGCTAAACGCTTATTTCGAAACTCTCCCGAGTATAAAAGACAAGAGTTTAAAGAGGGCTATGAGTGATATACCAAGGTTAGCTTTATACTTCTACCTCAAAAAAATGCTGCAAGATACAAAAATTAGAAATATAATGAAATATTTAAAGTCATTTATTTCTCAGTTTGAAGTGACAGAGATTTTGGAAAAAGATAAAATTTTGAAATTTTTCAAAGCCACCTTTTCATTTATGCCTGAAATTCAAAGAGATTTTAACTGTTATTTAAATGAAGATCTTATCTATAGATGGCGTCAAAAAAAGCGTTCCATTAAGCAAGAAGCTAAATCAAGTCTTTCTAATCAAAATCTACGACATCAGAAACTATTAATAGCAAATGCTATTGGATTGGCTGAAGACATTATGGACATACAAATTAATAGCACAGTTCAATTTAATTATCTTGCTGTCAACGAATTTGAAGAATTTATAGATACATATATTTCTATAATAAGGGATAAAGATGTCAAAAAGTTGTTTTTATTTTATAAAGAAATCAGTACATACCTCGAAGATTTTAACTTCAACAAAATTAGTTATGAGGACAGCAAAAGCAGAGTAACAATAGCTAAATATTTTATATGCCTAATCAAAAACGCTTTGACTGAGGTTTTTAAAGAGTATGCAAATAAATTAAAAGAAAAGCTGCAAGACTCAGAAGATAAAGTAATAGATTCCATTGAATCTGAAACTTTAGAAACAAAAAATTCTTTGGTTATTAGAGATATTTCCTTCGAAGAAGAAAGCAGCGAAGAGGAAAATTTTATCTGGATGATTAAAAGAGCTTTGGTAGGGGATCAGCAAATTATTGGTGATCCGTTTTGGAACAGTTTTTTAATAAGCAGAGAAGATCAAAAAGACAAGCTAGAAGAATTTAGGAGTTCATTCCTTCATAAAATGGTGTTTAGCGATGGTGATGAAAACTTTATTTTAAGGCAATATCTTGCATCTCATCTGACAAGACTTTTTAACGGAACTTTAAATAAAGGAAATACAGAATTTTTTACTGAAGCGATGCAAGTAACTATTAAATTGTTTTTTAACCGCTCAGAAACATTGGATAAAACTCAAAAAGAAGAACTCCGAAAAATTATAATTTCTCCGCCAGTTTATGGAGCTTTTAAGTATGAGAAAATTTGGAATGAAAATATTAGTGATTTAGTAGAAAGAGCATATTTTGCAGATATTCCAAGGAATTTTAGCGGCATTACAGTGTTTGGTGGAACTATTTTACTACAGCAAAGTCTGTCAGAGATAGATGATTTTAAGTCTTGTGCTAGAAAAATAACGTTTATTCACGAAGCTGCACATGCAATGAGAAAATATAACGAGGGATCTTATAATCCAGAAAAGAAAACTCCAAAATCAGCAGCAAAAGACCTTGTTAGTGGAATGCCTGGAAACACATATTTTCAAGATGATTTTAAAGAACATGAAAAAAATGAAGGTGGGAAAATAATTGAGAATGCTATTTTTGGTGCCTATTTTACGAAAATAAATAAATTGCAAATTGACTATATAAATGATTTGGAAAATTGAGAACAGGATTCAGAAAGTTTTAAATCCTGTATTGGAGCAAAAGGAAGGGAAAACTCAAAATCTTATGAATTAGCTCGTGGAAATCATTACTTTTCAGGAATGAGAAATGATAACTGTGGGAATTATTAAACAATTAATTGCATTCTTAGAAATTATTAAAAAATAAAAATTCTTAATTTTAGGATTAAACTTTTTATATGCTAAAATTAGTAATATCCTATTTCGCATTTCCTTAATTTTTTAAATTTAATAAGCTACTTATTTTCAAGCTTAAAGTATCTGTATTTCATAAATCCTATTAGCCTTATTTAATTGCAAAATTCCAAATGCGATTACATGAAATTTAATCATTTTTTTCAAAATATTATAAAAATTAAGCTTTCTAATAATATCAAAGCCAAGATTTAACTAATTAATAATATTTTCCTTTCAGTTGAAGATTGTCTGTTGTATAATTCAGGAATAATCATTTGCTCGCGGAGTGGGGTCTAAGATATGCTAAATTTATTATTATATATTGCAGAGCAAAGCATTTAAAGTAAATCAATACTCAATGAATTAATCCCAAGTTTATTAATTTAATGTATTTATTTTTATAATTCTGCAGAAATTTTCTTTAAAATCAGGCCATAATAGAGTTTCCTATAGAAGTATCTTTTATCAAATGAAGGTAGACATCTTTTCAGAATAGGCACAGTTTATAGTAAGTATAAAATTTAACGGCTCTTTTTCTGCCTAATTTAATTTATTTTTCCCCACAAAAGCCTAAATGGAATATCGGTAATCAAAAATTATTTTCTATTCTTTTTACTCAGAAAATGGAGTAATTATAAATTTTACGATTTTTGATGGGATAACAGTTAAGCAGACTGATTTATTACTTCTTATGTCTTACTGTAATTAGCAATTATTATCGGGGCTAATATTTTAGATCTTTTTATAATATTATTTTTATATGCTAAATTCAGGCTTAGAGGCGGTAAACGATTTTTTCTCAAAAACTGTAAAATAGTCAGTGGATGGCACGAAGTAATAAAGGAGGAAACTCTGAAATATGCAAAGATACCAAAGTTCAGCACAGAAAAATACTCAGTGGAATGCCTGGAAACAAAGAATTTCTTGCTAAATTTAAAGAAAATTAAAAAAATGAAGGTGGGAAAATAATTGAGAATACGATTTTTGGTGCCTATTTTACGAAAATAAATAAATCGCAAATTGACTATATCAATAATTTGAAAAATTGACTAAAGAATAGACAAAGTTTTAAATCCTCTAGCCTGGAAAATTCAAAAACTTATGAATTAGCTCTTGGAAGTCATTACTTTTCTGGAATTAGAAGCAGTTAATTGAATTTTGGTAAAAAATGAAATTATTAAAAAATAAAAAATCTTAATTTTAGCATCTAGATATCTTTTCAGAATTGGTCAAGTTTATCGCGAGCATAAAATTTAATGGCTCTTTTTCTGCTTAATTTAGTTTCTCCTTTCCTATAAAAGCCTAAATAGGAATATTGCAAATCAAAATTTATTTTCTGTTCCTTTTCTCCCTTTTTATATGGAAATGGAGCAATTACAAGTTCTTCGATTTTTGATGAGATAGTTATTAGAATGATTTATTACTTCTTATGTCTTACTGTAAGTTAAAAATTATTATCGGCACTAATTATATAATCAAACATGATATTTCCTATCAGCAAAAGTTAGTAAAAAAATACTTTAAAGTATTTGATTTAGCCTTTTAAAATAAAATTAATAAATAATCCTTCTCAGAAGATGAGCCTAAGAAAGCAGCTTAAGAATTTGATTAATATATAAAGAATAAAAACTCTTACACCTGCAACAATTTTCAGATAGTAAAATAAACAATTTAAAAAATGTGGAAAATCGCCCCAAAAATCACTGATTCCCCTTAATGAAATTCTTAAATTACTTTTATTTAATTTTTATTTTCTTTCTTTTTACTTCAATACTGAAAAGCTGCATTCTTAATTATCAAAAAATTTGTAGTCAGCTGGTCAGTATATAGGTCACTTCCTTCTTTATTTTTTGCTCTATTTATTATCTAGAATTTAAAAATTGATTGAAAAAATAATTAAAATTCAGCCTCCTTTGCGAGCATTTACTCAGAAAGCATAAGCTAGACCCTTATTTTTGCTTTAAATAGAAGAAATTTCGATTAGAAATAAAAGAATAATAAAAATAATAAGCCAGCCAAATGCAGCACAATACGAATTATCTGTGGCTGGATATATAATTTTGTAAGCGTTTAAGCTTGTAGCTTTTTACTTGTAAAATCATCCATATTTATCACAGAATTAACACCGCACATTATGCTGGGCAAGCAATCTATTAGGTCATAATATAATAAAGCTCTATTCGTCTCTTCTAATTGGATACCTTTTGAATAATTTCCAAAAAGAACCTTCCATATTTCAAAGAAGTGAATCACTAGAATTCCTTTCTTTTCAAGTCCAATATAAAAATTAGGCTTCTCGCTTGAATTATATTGCAAATTACTATTCGTCTACATTATCTATTTCTTTAATCCTATTATCATAAGATTAGCTGAAAATTCTTTTAAAAAAATTTATATATAAAATAGATCCCTATCTATGTGTCAGATTCTTTCTTTTACTTCATATTTTTAAATTCTTCAATTTCCTATGGTTATTTTTCGAAAATTCTTTTATCAATACTTGATTATAGAATTCCCTGATCTTTCAGTTAGCAGAAAATAATAAATATCCATTAGAATCATCTATAAAATGATAAATAAAAAAATATATCAAAATACTCAATGAAAATTCCATTTCCCTCCATAAAGCAAAACACATTGTAACATTTTAGATAAATCAATGGTGAAAATGGTGCTAATATTTTGTTGACCTTTACGAAATTTTGGTCCTTTTTAAGTTATAAGTCTAAAAACTTATTCGCATCCTAGCTGAAACTCAGCATTAAGATTTAAATTGTGACAAGCTAATTAAATATCAATTTATTTTAGAAATTCTTAATTTATAAAATAGCAGGCTATGGTATTATAAAATAACTTTCATAAAAGCTTGAAGAAGCATAATTTCAGGATTACAGATGCATTACTAAGCTTATTTTAAATATTTTATAGCCTATATTTTTGAATATCATACATAAAAGTAAAAGGATAAGCTATTTTATATAAAAATAGGAAATAATTTCCCTTTATTTATTTTTAAATTTATATAAAAAATAATAAAAAGTTGTGGCTTTAAGTTGAATCAATTTTTGTTGCTGGTGAATTTTCTTCTGTGAAGCCTTTTGTTTGTACCTCGTATGATGTTTCTTCAGTTCTGCTAGTTGACCTTTGCCTTCTCAGGTACAGTAAGTTCTTGCCTAGCTCTAATTGAGGCGCCTTTTCTGCCTTCCTTTTGAGTAACTTTCTCTTGAGCTTCTTAATTTTGAGGGAGTCAACTGAGATAACTTGTTCACTTTTATAGGACTTGAGGTTTGGTGGCTTCTTAGAAACACAAAGTCCCATATTTTTATATATTTTCTCTCTATAAATGATTTTTATTACTAATAACAACAATTATTTATCAATCTATGGCAATAAAGAATATAACTACACCAATATGAGACATATATAGTTATCCATTATTTACGGGCTACTGAATGGTAAATTAAAATAAATTTTTTTCCTATAAAAATAGCTGCATTTTTTTAATGGAAATCTAAAAATAAATTAAAGTTGTTTTTGCATGGATAAAATATTGATATTTGTCTATCAGATTTTTTTTCATGATTACCCATTATTAACTGACTTAAAAAATCTTCAAAATTATAGTCTTCTATTATGTCGCATATGACCGTGACGGTCTTCCATCGGACCATTATCAGCATTTGAGAGTCATTAATAATGATTTGGCGCTTGTTTTTGAATTTGGAGGACTTTATCGATTCTTAAAAATAATGAAAATGAGCTTGTGATAGTGGTGCCTCTTGGTATTTACTCCCTCCTTTCAACTGGAATAAAAACCCTGTTCTAATTTAAAAAGGGGTTAAAAATTTTATTAAAAATATAAACTGAGCGTAATAAATTTGAATATTAATTCATTTTTATGAATTAATTAATAAAAAAGTCATCAATTAAGTGTTAAATAATATTGTACTTGCACTTCTTCTATTAAATTAAATTAAAACTTGTTATGTAAAAATTAGTATTTTTACCTATAAAAAAGTGCCATTTAAATAATAAAATTTTGTTTAATAATGAGCTCTCAAAAATAAAATTTTCGTTATATTTTTTCCCATATTAAAATAGGAAGAGTTAGAAGCTTTTGTGTGTGTTTTAATCTCCTTCTTGTCTATAAATTTTGAATTGCTTATAAGATCTGACGAAAAGTTGCAACTCTTTTGAAAAATAATTATGGATTTAATAAGTTTTACAAAAATATGCATCTTACTGCATTTTTATTTAATCAACTGGTGGAGAAGAGCGTTAAATTTAATTTTCTAGTGAACTTGTCACTTTATTAAGAAATTATCGAGATATCCTTTAATAATACAAATATTAAGCTAGCTAAAGCAAATAATGATTTATTTATAATAAAAAAAAGATTTCCCAAGCCAAAAAATTTATTATTTTTAAATAATATAGCATAATTACTTTTAGCCTTAAATAGCAATAAAGTTATTTTTTTTTATCATAGAAAACTTAAGAGTCAGTAATTAATTAAATCACACAGTTTAAAATTTACCACTAATTACGAAGCAATATTCTAAATATAAATAATATACACTTATAGAAACACTCATGGTGATTTCCTTCAAGAATAAAAGACTCAGCCCAAAAATTTCCGATTTTCATTTTTAATTCTATTGTGTTGCTCTTTGCTCCTATTTATTTTTTTTACATTAATAGTTGCAATGATAATTTCAAAAAAGTGAATTTTCATTTATTTTCTTCTGTGTTTATCTAGGATTTTCCCATGAATTTACATTTCTTTACCTCAAAAAACATTTCCATTTTTTTAATCTTATTAAATTATCAATAAAATATAATTTTCTAATTTAATTTATTCATAAACATAACTTGGCTGTTTTCTGAAATCCTTTTTGTATATTTTAGAAGCGCCTTTGGCAGTGGCATCGTCAGAACGTCGTGAAGATAAATTCCTATTTCTTCTTCAGTTCATTTGTCTTTAATAGAAAAGAGTAAATTTAGCCTGTCTTGAAAATTATACACAAAAAACAAATAGGGTATAAATAAATTAAATTTTATATAGAATCAGCCATTATAATAATGATATTTTTTGCTTTATTTAGTATAAATAGTATATATGACAATTTTGCAGCAGGTAGGTACCTTATGGTAAGTTTTGAGTTTGACACCCTATTTATTGCGATGCCTTGCAAAATTTGAGATAATGGAAAATTTGTTATCATTCTTCTGGGTATAAGGATTTCTAATAATTTAGAATAGGCTTCTCCAAATTCATTAGCATAATATTCAGGGTTTTGAAGAAATAAATCCATTACACCTACCTGATACACTTTTAAAAAATCAGGCTCCCAGTATGTGCTAACATTTCCTATTGTTGATAGCAAAGCCTCAACAATTTGATGAGGAATTCCTCGAAATTCATTCGCTGTAGCCACATCCATGACTGAAACAGTTTCCCAGTCATATTTCATAACCAAATAAAGCACATTTTTTAAAGCTTCTACCCTAAATTCCTCATCAAAAATCCTCTGGCACCCTTCTCATTCAAAGCTTGATATTTTTTCTAAATAATCCTTTATTTCTTTTGGGCTCGCTTGGGCTTTTTCCACAATTTCTTCAAAGCTATAAACATTACTCTATTAAAAAATTTTTTTTTTTATTTTTTTATATTTTTATCAAATTTACAATTAATTTTTAATTTTAACGAGAAAATTAGTTTTTTCTAATTTTTGATTACTTTGATCATTAAATGTATAAGGAGATTCTTCAAGCAATGTCAAAACTTGATGCAATGGCGGTATTATTTTTTCACAAGTAAGAATAGAGTGTGCTTCTTTTTCTATTGTGCCATTGTTAACCAGCATTAATGCATTCGATGTTTCGCTTGATCTCAAAATATATGAAGATGATGATCCACATATAATGGCTTCATCAGACAGCTGCCCTTTAATTGACAAAATTTTCCCAGACTCGATTTCTTGTAAAAGATCTTCAGGAAGGTCAAGAATCATCAGATCATCGTTGTTTTTGGATAATTGGGTAGAGTAATGAATATCAATTCCCTCCATTTTATGATAAAGAGGTAGTTTTTCCAGGTGATTTTTTAATAGTAAGATGAAGCCAAATTATTTTTTAATTATTTTACTATAATACCAATGAACATGGAAAATCTTTCTTATGTTAAGCCGAAATCTCTAGTCTGTTACCTCTGTGGCCGAGAATTCGGCACAGCTTCTCTTGGAATTCATCAAAAAACTTGTATGAAGCTCTGAGAAGAGAGAGAAAAACTGAAACCTCCCAAAGAAAGACGTCCATTACCAGAGCCTCCAGCCTCAATTCCTTTAGGAAGTACGCCTAAAGACTTAGCAATTCATAATGAAATCGCTTATGAGTCTTTTAAAAGCAAAGCAATGATACAGTGTCCTTACTGTGAAAGAAAATTTCTAGAAGAAAGATTTCAAGTATGCTTGTTTCTTTACCTTGTCTATTTCCCAATTAAATAATTAATTATAAAAATCATATGGAAATATATACATCAAAAAAGCTGCACAGCAGAAAACCCATGTAAGCCCTCAAGAAATTCAATGCTTTTTAAAAAACTTACTCTTTCAGAAGGAATAGACGATTATGTGTTTTTTGAAAGAAGATCGTTAACACCTGCAGCTTTAACGAGTCCTTTTTTAGAGCCTGTATCTCCTTTTACTCCGCAAGCAGCTCCAAAACCAAGTTTTGGAATCGAGCTAAAAGAAGATTTTGACCGGGATTTATACAGCTAGTATATAAATAGCTGGCTATTTTATATAAAAATTTAGAATTATTATAATCAAGTATAGAAAATTTATGTAGAGATCTAGATCCTATCAAAGAAGAAAAAATAGATGAGAAAAATATAGAAAAACAGTGGGAAAATCCTATAGAAAAAGATGGAAAATTTGTAGGATCTCCAAGGGGAGCTCTTAATAATGAAATCAGGGTTCTTCAGTCAGCTAGAAGCACTCCAATGCTATCTAAAAAGAAAAATCTCAATATTATCCTTGTTGAATGCCCAATCTGCAACAGAAAATTCGACCCCAGAATGATAGATAAGCACATCGGCAAATGCAAAATTTTAGAAGAAAGAAACCAATCCCCTATAAAAGCAGCTCCTGAAGTAAAAAAACCTGAAAATGTGATTAAAAAAACTACAAATGTTTCGTCTAGGTATATGAATACTAATTCTAGACATGAAAGCAATCAAAAGCAAAGGAATTATAATGAAATTCAGCCTCCTGCTGCAAAAAAAGAAAAAATATTTTGCCACATTTGTGGAGAAAAATACCTTCCTAATGCAAATTATTGTGCTTATTGTGGAATCAAAAAAGTTGATTAATCATTATAAATGATATACCAGTAAGCTAAAATAGTTTAAGCCCTTCAAATAAGATGAATAATAGATTAATTATGTATCAAATTTATTTAAGGTTATAAATACTAACAAATAAACTGAGCTGATATGAAAAAAATCATTATAGCTTGATCTCTCAGAAATAATTTACTTATTAACATATTTAAAAAATTAAAAGCCCCACTTTTTCCCACTTTCCTAAATAAGGAAATCTTTTGTATTCATAATTTGAAATTAAAATGTCTAACAGCACAACAAGTTCTTCAGACTCCGAGATTGACGATTGCGTGACCCCTCTTCCAAAACCTTGTGCATCTACACGGAAAAGGCCCCGATCTTCCCTCGATTTTTTCGATTTATTAATATGTCCGATTTGCTTTGACTATTTCAAGCCTCCTGTAGTAAATTGCATAAAAGGTCACTCCTTTTGTTTAGCTTGTGTGGATAGAATAGAACGACTTGCGAATGATTCAAAATGTCCTCTGTGCCGAGGAGCTATAAGCAAAACTTCAAGAAATCGGATACTTGAAGATGAATTAGAAAAAGTCACAGTTGGGTGTATTTGGCATAGCCAAGGATGCAAAAAAAGAATCTCACTCAGTGCAAGGCAAAGTCATGAGGCAGAATGTGAATATTGCCCTGAAAGCGTTATAGGAAAAAATAAAATTTAATTTTTTTTCAAAAAATAATAAAATTAAAAAAAAATTTTAAAAGTCTCGTTATTTGCTATTTTTCTGAAGATTCAGGTCCTCAGGTCTGCAAATGGAAAGGAAACCCTTTGCTTCTTCCAAATCACTTGAATTCTTCACACGGACTTGAGCCGATCGAAAGAGCCAAGCTTGTGAAATTCTTATGAAATCCTCCAAGGCCTGACATTAATCGATCAAGACATAGAATATTACGAATTACTTATCCTTCTTCTGGAAATGAAAAAACGAATTTCATATTGGAGCACGTTTACCTTTCTGAGCACAAAATTCTATTATTCTTACCCCTTTTTATTTAATTTATTATTTTTCTATTGGAATTATTCTTAATTTCTATTAAAATAAAGCATTGGCTGAGCAATGCAAAAAAATAATTATTTACTTTAGAATAATTAGAACTCTAAACTCAGATGTAAAATTACCTTACAAAATCTGCTTATTAAATCGAAATGATGAAAATAATAAACTGACATTTGAAGCAAAAACCGTTGATTTTAGCGAATGTGGGTTTCTAAACCAATACCCAGAAATCGATAAAAAGCAGTGTTTTATTGTAAATTATGACACACTAATAGACTACTGTTTCACAAACCAAGATGACGGTCTAACTTATTTTTCATTCCACATTGACTTTATAGGAGCAGGAATAGAAGGAGTTGACTATTAATGAAAATTACACTTATAATATATACTAAACTGCAACAAATTAAATACAACCTTATTTTTTCTAATAAATAAAATCAATTAATGTAATTCAATATACCTAAATATTTAATCTAGTTAATTATTGACCTGAATAAAGCTGCGCAATAACATCCACATATTTTTTCTTCGCTTGGAATCTCATTAATTTTTGCGTAGGTGTTAACAAGTCATCAGTCGTCCAAGCTACTGGCTCTAGCGCAATAGCTTTAACTTGTTCATATCCAAATAATCCAGCCTCTTTTCCATATTTATCCATATCTTTCAAAATATCAGTCTTCAGCTTAGGACTTGCACAAATTTCTCCAAAAGCCGCCTCAGGACCAAAACCATTGTCAGCTGCCCATGTTTTTCTTATATAAGGCTCATCAGGGACCACAATGGCAATTAAAGTTGCTTGTAAAGAATCGCCATATACAAAGATTTGGTTAACATAATGCGACTTTGTATAAGCTAATTCAATTTTTTCAGCTGAAACATATTCGCCTTGGGCAAGCTTGAAAAAGTTCTTTTTTCTGTCAATAAGCTTGATTGCGCCTGAATGAGGGAGTCTGATGCCGATATCGCCTGTATGGAGCCATCCTTCAGAGTCTATACTATTTATAGAAAAAAAATATATTTATTTTGTATTAGAATAATCTATTTATATATATTAAAAAGGATAAAGCTTCTGCAGTTAATTCAGGACTTTTATAGTATCCCAAAAATATAGGCCCACCCTTTAAGCAGATTTCTCCTCTTGGGGCTAATTCTCCATCCTCATTACGATCTGTGCTTAAATATTCCATTTCTGGGACGTCTACAAGCTTAACTTGCAAAGTCGTGATTGGTCCGCCTACATGTCCAGTTTCTGAGTCTTGATGTCTAGTAATGAACGAGCCTGCACATGTTTCAGTTTGACCATAAGCTTCTAATATAGGGCACGAAAAGACGATTCTTAAGAAATTTAGCACATCAGGCGCTATAGGTGCTGAGCCGGTCGCCATAAGTTTGACTCTGCCTCCAAGTACTCCTGCGACTTTTGCAAAAACAATTTTGTCCCATACAAAATTGGTTAATTTCCCTTGGGTTTCCCAATAATGTTTTTTCACCTTAAGTGCTTTGTCAACTAATGCTTTTTTGGCTGGAGGTAATGCATTAAATTGCTGTTGAATTGCATCATAAAATCTATTCCAAAGCCTAGGAACTGATATAAAAATGGTAGGCCTTAGCACAGCCAAGTCATCTTTAAGCTTCATAACATCTCCTTGATAAAACCCAAAGGCACAGCCCATAACAATAAGGTAATTTTCCACAAATCTTTCTAACATATGTGCAAGTGGCAAATAAGATAAATAAACCTCATCTGGAGTAAAGGTAATTCCCCAGTTAATTACTCCAGAAATGGTAGAAATCAAATTATTATGAGTAATGATAGCACCCTTAGGCATTCCTGTTGTCCCACTTGTATAGCAAATTGTATATAGTGAATCTGCAGTGGGAGGGTGAACTTCTCCATCAGGTGCCATACGTGCAATTTCAGCCAAACTGTAAAATGCAAGCCCAAGACCTGAGGCTTCTGCTTTAAGTTCATCACTAATTTCCTCAAAAACAGCCACAATTTGAAGATTCTGTATTAGTCCTTGTTTTCTGAATTTTATAATGCCTTCTGCTTGCTTCAATGGGCATGATACTGCTTTCATGTTGGTTTGGCCTAAAATGAAATCAAGACTTTCTCCTTGTAAAGTATCATAAAGAGGCACAGACACTATTGACTGGGACATACAAGCAATGTCATTGACTATCCATTCTTCTCTATTGCGGGAATAAATGCCTAGGAATGAGTTTCCTTCGTCATCTTTTGTGGTAATTCCTAAGGAATGATAGCCATATCCAAGACTTAAGGCAAATTGAGAGACTTCTCCATATGTTTTCCATTGGTAGTCTCCTATAGTGCCGTCTGGATTTTTAGCTCGGGTGCCGAGGAAATTCTTTGAGCTATGGCGTTCAACAGAAGCTTTAAAGGACTCGTATAAGGTGGTCGCTCCATTGAAACACTTATAAGAAATATCTGGGCCAGGCTCAGGGTAGCCGAAAACTGGTGATTGGCCAGGAGATCCAGCAATAATAAAATGGTGTCGTCAAGAAAATTCTTCTTTGAAGATTTCCTTTCCTTTGGCAATTTTATTATTATAGGGTTCAGTTTCCCCGGTGAGACCTTATCCACCAATATCAGGTAAGCAACGGGGAGGGGAGCACAGCCTCCTGGCCTGATCCTTGGATGTTTGGTGGACATAGGGTTTTACTGCTTGACGCTCCCGAGGAAGGAGAACCAAAGGTGGCACAACGCGCAGGAGTCAAGTCTTGAGCAATGCAATGTAGCCTGTGAGATCTGGTAGCCAATTGGCCGTCATTTGTTTAGGATGGCCCATCGACCCGATAAAAAGGGTGACGTCGGAAATGCTGAAAACGTCACCAATTGGTGTGTACTGTGGTGAGCCCTTGTGGCTTTGTTAAATAACCCTGCGGAACCAGAGAAACACGTTAAACACTCTAAGTAATGTTAATGTTAATGCCAGGAGATCCAGCATCTACAGCAGCTGTATACCTAAAGGATGGCTTTGTTGAATTTGCACCCATATTTATATATTCCACAAAAGATTAAGATTAATTAAGGTGTCAATGAAAATTCCTGATTAAATTTTGTGGGCTATATGTCATGCTCCAATCTAGTTCTTAAATAATTTTAATCCATTTATTTTATATTTTTAATATTTCTGTTTCTCTAATAACAAAGCTTAAAGCTTATTTAATTTCCAAAAAAATTACTTTGAAGGGTTCTTTTGAATTTAATTTTTAATTAATTTATATCTACTACAGCTATTTGGAGATAAATATTTATAAAGGAAAATTGTCGATTTCAAGTGCTATATAAATAAATGCTTAAAAGACTTAAGCACAAGTTCAATTAATTTTTTCCCTGGTAAGAACAGAAAAGTAAAGCTAATATTAAAAAATTTCTTATGAAAAAGAAATTTTTGTCAATTATTTATTAATTTGTGATAAATTCCAAGACCTTTTTAAGAATTTTAATTAGCTGAAACATTTGATAACTATCGTGGATACAGATGAATTTTTTAAAAATTCTTTATAATTTTATTATAAAATTATAATTTAAATGTAAAGCTTTGCTAATAATTTATTTTTGGACTCTAATAGATATTTTTCTTTATGTCGTCCAGAGCATCAAATACTCCTAGGGCAACAACAAAATATCCAGAAAGCAGAGCATATTTTTCAATAGAAGACCATACCAGAAAAGATTTACTTAATATACTTATACAAATCAAAAAGATAATCATGCTTAATGCTATCAATTCATTAGAATATGCTAAATGAGAAGCATTTACTGATTCAATTGTAATTATAAACAAACTATTGCTCATTTTAATAAAATCGAAGCAGATTTCTATTAGAGATTTCTATCCCATTTAGTAGGCTTGAGCATCCAATTAATTTATTTTTTAATTTTATCTATAAAATTCCAAGCCAAAAATTTAATTCGTATAAAACTGTATACAAATCTCTAAAACAAGCATGGCTTTTTATCCTACAAGAATGGGATTTAATAAATGACCTTTATGGCTGAAATATCTTTTCTATTATTTTTCAAAAGCTCATAATGCATTTTATTAGCGTCAGCGATAATAAAAGAATGAAAAAGTGCCTCGAAGGCTTTATTTTAATTTCTGAAAAATTTGAAATTTTTAATGATAATTATTTGGATTTTTTAAATCTTCTGATTACAGGCTATTATGATAATATTGATGAGGAAATCATAAGGTTATGCTTAAACTCTTTGAAAATTATAGAAAAACAACCCAAAAAATATGAAATCAATATGGGGAATTTAGAACTTTCTATAATTACATGATCCCTGATGATTGGGGAGGAAAAATATGATGAAAATGTTGAGAATTTATTAAAATTAGATTGAGATATAGATGATATTTGGTATGATACAATTGAAAAGTTAATATGAAAGCTGTTTATAGATGAGAAATATACATAAAAATGGTGACCATGTGCCAACCGGCCTCTCAACCCTATTTCCTCATAACCAGAAGGCAACGGCTCTGTTGTGGGGATTTAGGCGGAAACCCTTTGTGTATATCGGGCTAGGCTTTACTTGAGACCAGGGAAAAATCGTGAAACTTGGGCTTTCTTCTTCAGAACAACCATTGGAAATGGATTAGATCGGCGACAGTCCTGATTGGAAACCAATTCCCTCGAACAAGACTTAAGAGATGGCATTTGGCGAACGAGAAACTGGGAGTTTCGACTAAGGTGGTTGGCCCTTAGGCTCCAGAAGCCATGGAAGTCAACACTGGTTGCTCGAATCCCTTGTTTGAGGTAACAATGAGGGTGTCCGCCGGGCCCCTCAGTGAGCGATTAGCATGTAGTGGTGCAAATCCCCGGCCCCGCTAGGCTAACAACTCAATCTAATCTAATAGATGAAAAACATGAGCTAGCATTATTATTAGATAAAAAGCTTAAAGAAGCTTATAATATAAAAATTAAAAATTTCCCAAATTAGCCAAAAAAATCTACCAGAAATGTGCTTATTTGGGAAAATTAACCTCACTCATTAGAAAGCAAGATTATTTTTACAAATCTTATTTTTGATATATAATTAATGACTATAATAATTAAATTAAATTAAAATTATCCAAAATGCATCTCCTTTTACAGTTGGATTTTAGGAAATTTTTTTTATAATTTTATATAAAAAAATAATCCTTTTCCTTTAGCGTGCTTGTGCTTGTTACTGTGGATTAAATCAATAAAAATATGAAAGAATTTCAATTATATAAATGTAAAAGTCTACATATTTCTAGCTAAAAAATGCAATTTATATGGTAAATGAAGAGCTTCATATAAATGTGTAAATTAAGCTGTATTTTTAAAGCCTTCATAATGAAATAGCATTAGATAAGGCGCGTTGCTTTCTGGACTTCAAGTTGCTTTACTCTATGTGCATTAGAAAGCAAACCTAGAGAGCCCAACAACTCAGCCAACGAGTTGTCCGACAGATTGGGGTTCATCTTTCTGGATTGAGGTCACAAGGTGACTAATGAAGGAGCAAGGGAGATTAAAATCCCAGACAAGAGATTTCAATAATCCTTCAAAATATTGAATCTTCTGCCTCCATATCTTTTAAAAATGCATGTTCAGTACTATAAATAGTTAGCAATTGCGTCATGATTTTCTTATATTTGCGCTTCATAGAGCTAATAGTTTCAGACTTATTATAGAAATAAGGCATATTTATTGATATTTTTAAAGATATGAGTAAGGATTGCTCCATCATAAAAGGAGAGAATGAAAATTTCAAGATTAATGAGCCTTAAATATTATTAGTTACTTGATAGATAAAGGCTTTTATCTTAAGAGATTCTTCTCATTGAGTGGCATTTAACTATAAGATAATAATGGGTATTGCATAATTAAAATTGAGAAAATTACTAGAAGGAATTAATTAATTATTATCAAGTTTAATAGGGGAGCCAATCAATTTATTATGATTTAATAATGCGAAAAGGATTGTTTGTCCTGCGGAATCAGAACAATACTTAAACACTAATTAATTAATTTTAAGTCATTTTTTCATTTATTTTCCTACAATTTTAGCAGTTTCTAATCTGAAATTATCATTTATAAATGCAAAAAGAACAAATTTTTCATGAAAGCATCACTTTATTCCGAGATCGTCTCGCAGACCTAATTACAGTTGAATTCATGAGAAAATACCACAATGGGTGGGTCAGAAAAGTTGTTTCACTATTTGACAAGCGCCATGAGCGCTCAAAACTCAATGATTTAAAAACATGGGACATAATCCCTCTAATGCATCTCTTAAAATCCAACGAAATCATTTGTGACCCGAAATTTGGCCCAAGGACTCATTTATCTTTTATAAAAGTCATCAAAAAATATAGGAATTATTGGGCACATCAGCAGCCTTTGGAATGATATGAAGTTTATAGGGCGGTGGATATGATGATTTTATTATTAGAAATCTATGGAACTGGGTCTCAAGCTTTAATTGAAAATCGAGACTTAATTTTAAGCGAGATGGCAAGAATAAAGGAAGCAGAAAAAAGAAAAGGGGTCATTGAAGAAAAGAAAATTGTGAGGGAGGAGCCGCCGAAGCGGAAAATTTATGAAAATCCTCATTTTGTGAAGAAACAGCAGAGCACTGAATTAAAACGAGAAGAAAGCCCTGAGATTGATGCAGGGGATTATGAAAATCTATCTGGACAGTTGCCGACGAACTGCAGCATATGTGATAATCAGCTTGGGAATGTAATTTATTTTGAGCATTCTTCATGCAAAGCTAGTATTTGCTACCTATGCATTCAAAACAATTCTATGATAAAAAATAATGACTCCTGTCCAGGATGCAGAAGTAGATTTTCACTTGAAGAAAACGATTATATTAATTTGATAGTAGAAGCAATGCAAGGATATCCACAATAAATAACCAAATTTAAATTAATTTTATGCTATTTGTAAAATATTGCTTATTTGAACTAAATTATTCCAATTTCGAAAGCAATTTTCGTTCACAAAACAAGGTATAATGGAGCATAAAGCTAAATTAAATTCTTTTAACAAAAATTAAAGAATAATTCTAATTATTTTATACCTTAGGTCTCTACATAACATCAGTAAATAGCTATTTTTTACTATTAATAACCAAAAAAATCTATGAATTTCTGCATTTATTCATATAAAAAAGCTATATCTTATTAGATGTAATGGGAAATTTTTCGTAATTTGATACCCATCAAAGAACAAAATTACCAAGTTCACTTCAAACTCAATCCTAAATTTCTTATAAAAAGTCGTAGGGCATGTAAACTGCCTTGGGAACAGCATAAATAGCGGGATTTGTGCTCCTTTCCTCACATTTCCATCCGCAATTTGCAGACTTTGCACTTCTGTCGCTTCTTTAATAGTCCCATCGTTAGATGTAATTGATTCTATTCTGATTACTTGCAATTCAATGCTTTTTATACCTTTAGACGACTCCATCACAGACAGCCAGCCATTGAAATCTCCATTAAGCTCAAATACAGATGAAGCCAATTCCCCTACAATGCGGAAATTAGGGACATTGCTGAGCTTTCCTGGGTTTTCAATGCTTGCAGGGGAAATATTAAAAGGGACTGGAACTTTTTCTCGGGTCATACCTTCACTGAGTCCAAGATCTGGGACTTGTACAACGATTTTTAAAGAATTTGGGTTGTTTATGCGATTTTTTACATTTTCAGAGACCACAAAAACTGATTTTATTTCATATTGGATTGTGATGTAGACGCCTATATAAGTCTCCAATAGAAATTGCCCTTCAATTGGGACTAAATTTATATCATTTTTTCCTTGGATTGCCCAGTTCGCAATTTTAAGTATTTTTGTAGGAAAATTTAAGGAAAAAGGATAACAAATGGGAAAATCATTTTCGATTCAGTAAAAGTGCCTCCTGGAAGGGTTTCTGTAGACTTGCAGAGGGTTTGGGGTGGGACTTGAGGGAGAAGAGAGTCAAGAGCACCTACATTTTTAACGCTGGCTTGGCCTCGGATGTATCCATCGAAGTTAACGATCAGATTATTGTATTGGATGCCAATTGGAGCGTCTTCAATGCTTATGTGGCCTCTAATTTGTTCACCTGCGGTAAAAGTCTTGTTATTTCTCTCCAATACAATTTCTGCTTTCATATTGAAATAAATTAAAAATTTGACATTATTTATTTTTTATAGCCTTATTGAGCTTTCTTATCGAAATTCTTATAAACTTGTAGGCTAAATATCTCCATACAAAAATAAGGCTCTATACATATTTATGGTTATTTGTATGAAAATTGTGCAAATAATAATTTTTTTTTATTTATAAAATTAGTCTTCTATATTCCAATACTATTAATAATTTAACACTTTTTGTGTACATTTTCTAAAATTAATAAAATATGTCGTCTTCTCATCAAGTTTTATTTTATTATCTTAATCTTTCCCTCCTCCCCAGTCAGCACGAAGCCGGAAGGCAAGGAGGAGACACTGTCATCCCTGGTGAATCTCCTTTTGTAATTGCGTTACAACTAGGCTAGGACATCTGCTAATTTATTTAAGATCTTTCCCTCCTTTTAATTTTTGTAATTTTTATCAGAATTTTCTATTTATTTTAGCATTATATTAGAAATAAAAAATAAATTCATTGAAAATTTGCCACAAAATATTCTGATAAAGATGTATGTAATTTTTTATATGATTGGAAATCATTCTTAACATTTCTACCATTAAAATAAAATGACGGAAGAAGATGAACAAAAATTAGTAATTCCTTCAGTTGTTCGTTGGGAATTATCATTCCCAAATGAAGCTTTTGTATATCAACTCTCACAGGAAATTAATTCTGAACGTGAGAGGAGCTTGTCAATAGCCCGCGAATTGGAACAAGAAAAAAGGAAGAATGAAGAGCTAGAAAAATATTTAGCTTCCTTAGTGAATTCGAAGCCAGGTGTTCCTAGGGTGGAAAGTAATAATTCTATTGCGAGCACTGCTCCAGATTTAAATGATGAAAAACCTCTTATAGGGGCTTATTCTGCCGAAATTCGAAAGCAGAAAATTCTAAAGTATAAGCAAAAGATGGTAAGATATCGACAAAAAGTGCGACTTTCACGAAAGTTTGGAGGAAGAAGCAAAGTTGCTAAACAAAAACTGAGGATCAAAGGGAAATTTGTGAAGAGTATTGACAATATTTAGTAATCTCACTATGCGTGATGTCATTATGAGAGTAAAATGGCTAAATAATTGAAAAATTTACAAAAAATTTTGAATAATAATTAGAATTGGGTAAAAAGCTATTGGAGTATTATGTTTAAAGCCTTTAGAATTGCTGGTGAATAACAATAAAGTAATTTTATCTTGAAACTATGATAAAAATTAAAAAATTATCAAGCAGTGTTTTTAGGAACTAAAAACAATTATATAAAGCTACCCACAAAATTAGTGATTTACCTATATGGAAAAAATAATTTGTTATTAAAAAAGGCAATTCACAGCTTTCTTGGGTTTTATTTGAAAAATAACTTTTTTTCTGAAACTAATAGAAATTTTTAATTTAAATATATAGGAAGCTCCTTAGAATGGTCCAGTGAGGGAGGGAAATTAGAGAGGAAAACTCTTCGGTTTGTTGGGTCAGCTCAGGCAGGTCAAGCCAACTGGAGAGAGGTTCATTTATTATTTTTCCAATATTCTTACAGGGCCATTCTTAAAAGATTCCTATAGCTACTTATAATACTAAAAAATCACATTCCAACAATTCACTATTCCTAAAGCTGCTTTATATAAAAATTACTAAATTCTTATCTATTAAATATGGTGTGTGGCAACAGCCTCATACTTTTTTGTGTCAAAAGGATAAAGCCAGTGCCTAAACATTGATTTTTCCCTTACGCTATTAATCCCCATTTCTTTCAACAGATCATCAATATAGAAAGGAGAGTAAGTTTGTGAGCTAATAAATATCGGCTTATGTTTATAAGCCGGATAATAGGCAAATCCTTGCTTTTTCTTCTCCTCAATGTCTTTTTTCATATCATCAATTGATGGGACTTTTACGTGCCCTCTCAGCATATCATTAATCCACATAGCTTGAATATTAAACCAAAGCGACGTATAAATAGTAATAAAAGCACCTACGAAAGCCACGTTTCGTTTCCCAGGGATTAGCATGTGTTTATAACTCCAAAACCCGTCTTCTTTTAGAGGTTCTATAAAGTATTGGGCATTAAAACCAGTCGCATAAACTATAGTGTCAGCTTCTATGAAATTCCCATTTACAATGACACCATTTTCTTGAATTTCAGAAATTGCGACATATAATTTTTGGTCAAAAATTTTCCCCTAAAAACATTTTCTTGGTCTGAGTCTAAGAATTTTCACTTCTTAAGGCGCTTTTTATAAAAAAGAAATCGAGGAAATTTCTCTAGAGAGATAATAACTGAAAAAATCATTAACCCAAAATTGTGCCTTTAATAATTTTTATTTTTCCATTGCGAATGTTTTCTTGTGTATGCTCTTGTCGAAGCCCAGCTGTTTCAATAAAATGGAACTTTTGGTCGTCAGGTTGAAATTCTTTGATTGCTTTATATCGGAATTGCAAATCCATAAATTTCAAAAGTAAATATTCAATAGGATAAAGATATTTGTGAATAAAGGAATTTTCGGTATCAAAAATAATGCCAAAGGTGTACATAAATCTAGATAGTAAAGTGACCCATAAAGGGATTCCATAAGGCTTTTCTTCTTCGGGGAAGCTATATCCTACAGTTCTGATTAGCCCAGTTGGCTTTCCGCCGTATTCTAGTGTTGTGTTCATTATATCAAATGCACTTTTTCCAGACCCAACCACGATGACTTTTTTATTTTCACATAAATGCTTTGCATTTATAAATTGGCTGCTGTGGAGTATCAAATTTCTATTAATTTCCCCACATTTTCATTGCTATTTACCCTATTTTTTATCAGAAATAATTATTCTCCTTATTTTCCTCTAAAAATTTCTTATTTAATTTTTCATATTTTTCCTTTAAATTTTTCTTGTCCTTTAAAACTTGGGATATTTGGGTTATTATGAAGCCCAGCGGCCACAATAAGGAAGTCATAATCTTTGGTAGTACCGTCACTAAAAGTCAATTTCCAAGTCTCATCAGGGTTTTGGGTAATATTTTTGACCTCTTTATTGAAACTGCATACTGAATTCAAGCCAAATTTTTCAGCATAAGCTTCTAGCCATGCTTTTACTTGTCCTTGCTTTGGGAATGTTGGATAACTCTCTGGCATATGAAAATCAGGAATATGATAAGTTTCTTTTGGCCCTTGAAGTCCTGCATTGTCGTAATTTTTATGCCAGACTCCTCCGACCCCAGGATTTTTATCAATAAGTTCTACGTCGTAGCCTTGTAATTTGAAGGTTTTTGCACTTACAAGCCCTGCCACGCCGCCTCCAAGAACGCCAATTGTTTTTGGGATTTTCGAAATTATGTGTTTGTTAGGATGCTGGTCATATGAAATTTTAGGCAAAATCTGATAAGCAGGCCCAGTAGACTCTGGGTGACTAACTGTGGAGAAATATTAAATGGCGTCGTCGAGGAAATTCCTCTTCGAGAAATTTTCGCTCCTTTGGCAATTTTATTATTATAGGGTTCAGTTTTCCCGGTGAGACCTTATCCAGCAATATCAGGTAAGCAATGGGGAGAGTAGCTCACAGCCTCCTGACCTGATCCTCGGATGTTTGTGGGCATAGGGTTTTTACTGTTTGGCACTTCCGAGAAGGGATACCCATAGGCAGTACGCAGGAGTCAAGTTTCAAGCGAGACAACGCAGCCCGTGAGATCTGGCAGCCAATTAGCTGTCATTTGCTTAGGATAGTCCGTCGGCCCGATAAAAAGGTGACGTCACAAATGGGTGCTACTGGGGTGAGCCCTTGTGGCTTTGTTAAATCATCCTGCGGAACCAGAGAAACACGTTAAACACTCTAAGTAAGTTAATATTAATTTTAATGGCTAACTGTGGAGAATAAGTAATATCCAGCCCCTAGTGGAGCAATTAGTGGAGCTTTCTTGATCATCCTCCTTAAAAATGCCATTATAGCAGCTATATGCTGGTGAATTTAAATTTACGTCACTAATGTGGATTAATTAAGAAAAAAATGATTAGGGAAGAAAAGCAGTTAGTTAGAGAAACAGATTTTAGTGTCTGTGGGCAAATCAGTCAATTAAGTTCTCCATATTAATTTTTCACCACCTCAGGGTGTTAAAATGGACAAATTCAGAATGATTGAAAATTGCATAAGGATTGAAGCAATTGTAAGAGCTCAAAGTTATTGCTGTATTTAAGTATAGACTATTATTGATTAATTAAATAATAAAAGTAATTTTAATAAATATTTTGTTTGAGAGTATGTAGTGATATTTATTTGATATTTTTATACTTTTGATTTAGGCCAAGCTACATTTTCGACTTGCAAAAATTTTTTTATTCAAGAACTAACATATTTGAAAATCTTCCATCATTATTAAGGCATTTTTATGAATAAATTTTATCTAAATTTTCCTAGCTAATTGTTTTTCTTCAGGATTAAATCTGAAGAGAGGGTTCCTTCATTTTAGGCTGCTTAGGGAATGAGTCATAGTTGATCTGAGATCGGATAATCAAAATTATTTGATAATTGTCTTTTAAAGTTTGCAGCCAACTATTATCATCATTTTTATATCAAACTCCGCCTGGTCAAGATTTTTTCCTATAATTTCAATGCAATATCCTTCCTTTTAGAGTTGTTGCCCAATTAAGCAAGAATTCCTCCATTGATAATTCCAATAGTTTTTAAATTTTTTGAAATAATATGCTTATTTGGATTTTGATCATATTAACCTTAAGAATTAATTGATAAGGAGGAGCTACAGGCTCTGGATTGTTATTTTGATTATAAATAGCTTAGAATCCATATAATCTTAAATATTTTTAGTTTAAAAATTTTTGGCCAACGGCGATCTTCGGCTAGCTCTCCTCTAAAAAAATATATTTTAAAAAACTATAACTCTCCCATCCTTGATCGAACACCCCTATCGTTCGATCATGGATGGAGATCAAAAAAAATTTTCGGAAAAAATTATATATAATATATATTATTTTTATTTTTTAGTGTGCTTTTAAATAAGAGGGTAAAATTTGTGTTGATTTAAAAATTTTGATGACCCCTTTGACTCAATAAATTCTTTCTGTTACTTATTAATATTTATAACTATTCTAAAAATTTTAGATTATTAAGCTTTTGAGGCCAGGTTGATGGCTAATGCACTTCGAATGATTAATTCCGTGCAGATTATTAAGAAAGCACGTAAATTACTTTTAATTTGACAATGCAAACTATTAATTTCATAAATTATAATAAATATTAAAAAATCTATTGATTTATTATATATAAAAATATGAAAATCGTTCGATCAAGGATGGGTTTAATTTTCCAATTTTTAGGAATTTTTCAATAGAATCGTTCGATCAAGGATAGCTGGACTAAAGCAAAACAATAAAAATTAAAAAATATTATCCTATTTTCTGCAAAGAAAAGTAAACTCTTCTCTCTTAGCAGGGCTTGGAGTGCTTTCTTGCAAGAAATCCTTTGTTCTTATCCCTGATTTAAATGGGGTTATCATTTGCACATTTCTTTCTTCATAATCTTGATTTCTTTCTCCATATCCCCTTCTCTCATTTTCATATCTTTTTGGATAATCACTCTTTTCTATCTCATTTCTTTTTTCTAGCAATTCCTGCACATCCTTTATTTTCTTTTCTTTTTCTTCCACACATAGCTGCAGCTCAAGCTCTCTTTCATTTGCAATTCTTTTTTCTTTATCCAGCTCTTCTTCTAATTGTAAAAGCAAACTCTCCTGCGATTTTACATATTCTTCCATTCTCCGTATTTCTTCTTGTTTTTGGGTAATTATTTCTTGGTCTTTTTTGTGGATTTCTTCTTGATATTTTAAAATGCCTTGGTTGCTTATATATTCCCTCATTTTAGTTTCTAAAGTTTTATACCTAAATAATTAAATACCTATCATTTGCAATACTTATAATGCTATTTTTTGTTAATTTTCTATTAATTTATACCAGTATAAGCAAAATAGTCGTTTCTTGCTGTAGCGCGATCTCTTTTTCCTTATTCGATTTTATTGAATTTTCTTTTTGTTTGAGTTCTGCAGAGATTTGACTATCTTCTTCTTGGAGCTTTGCAAGCTGGTCTCGTAACGATTTAATTTCATTTTCTGGTAAATCAGTCTCAAGGTCTGAAATCATTTTTTCAAGGCTTTCAATTTCTTCAGCAATGCCTTCAGCTTCATGTTGGTGAATTTGAATTTCTGTGTTGTGCTTTTCTAGTTGCTTGTCTATGTCTAGTTTGCAAGACTGGAGATATTCAATTTCTTGCTGAATTGAGGAAATGTCGCTTTTTCACGGTTCTGATGATAATTCAGAGTGTGAGATGGGAAATAGGGACATATTATTTAAAAGAAGAATCGGATATTAATTGAGAAATGTATAAGATAAAGATGTGCAAAAATAAATATTAATTATTTTTCTATATGAAACTCTATTTTGATGTTTTTTTTGCTTAATATAGAATACCATAAATATCTATATTGAAATTTGTCACAGCTAATCAATAATTTTTTTTATAATGCTAAATCATAAAATTAATAAATTAAAGTAAAATTAAGTCGTTTTTGATAATGCATTTGCTTCTCTATATAACACTCAAGATACCTCCAATAATAGCCCCTACAACAGAAACAATATTGCATATTGCACTAGTATTATTACTAATAAAACTGAGAGTATCCTTACTCCCCACCCTCCGTGAGCGAACAAAAAAATTTGGTCTCTCACGAGGGGGGTTAATTTTTTTTGAAAATAATCCTAATTCTCAAAAATTTAAAGCAAATATTAATTTAATTTGCGAAATTTATGTTTTAAAACGCATTTGTTTAAAATTAAATAGAGTTAGCTCGTGATTTCATTATACTAATTATTACTTATATAAAAGATTTTTTATTAAAAAAAATTTTTGTTCGCTCACTTTTAAGCAAAAAATAAGGATTTTTTAATAGTTTTTGTTCGCTCACGGAGGGGGGAGTTAGCTGTCGATATAATTTCACTTCATTTAACTAGCTGTTCACTTAGCTTAGCCAAATTATTAGATTTCTTCGAAGATTTAATGAGTCCATTAGAACCCCAAACTTCAGCCTTTGATTTCCCGTCTTTATCAGTAAAAATTCCTTTCAATTTTTTATTATTCACAAATTCGCCTACAAATTTTGTCCCATTTGCATATTTTAAGACACCATCACCGCTCATTTTATCATTTTTAAATTCCCCTATATAAGTATTGTAATTGCCCGAGGATGGCGCAAGATAGCGCCATCCTCGGGCAATTTAAAAAAGGCCTCACACCGGGAATTGAACCCACGTGTGGGGCCATTTTTGGTACGTTGAAGTCGATGTTCTACACATACCAAAAATGGCACCACACGTGGGTTCAATTCCTGGTGTGGGGCCATTTTTGAATTGCTCTAGGATGGCGCAAGATAGCGCCATCCTCGGGCAATTACTATATCCCCACTTGGCCATTTAAAAGTGCCATTTCCATGCTTTTGGCTATTGCAAAAGCTTCCTTCATATTTTCTTCCGTCAGGAATTGTATAAATTCCATGGCCATTGATGAAATCGTTATTAAAATTTCCCTCATAGACCATACCTTCTGGCCATTTAAACCTGCCAGGTCCATGAAGCTTGGAATTTCTGAATTCTCCACTATATCTCCGCCCATCAGGTAAATAAATTTCCCCTTCTCCATGCAGCTGGTCGTTAATCCATTTTCCTTTTAATATAGTTCCATCAGTTTTCGTCAAAGTGCCTTGCCCATTTATGTGGGAATTTTGAAATTCTCCCTCATAAACATTTCCATTGGGCCATTCAAAATTTCCTTGTCCTTCTTTTTGTCCCATATTAAAGTCACCTACGTACCTTCGTCCGTCTGGAAAGCATAGGACACCTCAGCCATGTCAGCTGCCACTTGATCAATCCCCATCATAAGTATAGCCACTTGTATAGATCATATACCCTTTTCTATGTGGTATGAAGTTATTTGTGTAAGTATCTATAAATGCAGAGCCTTCATAAAACTCATCTCTTGTATGGTAACTGACATCATAGAGATCTTGCATTATTCTTGACTAAAAAAATTATAGAACAAATTGAAATGGCAAGTTTTTATATTTTCTCAATTGTGAATTTTGATAAGGAAGTATGAAAGATGTAGTTTTTTGAAAAATAAATGAATTTTATAATAAAAATAAAGATTGATCAGAATATTTTTTAGATTCTAATATAGTTATAATAAAAATTAAATGAAAATGAAGATTAATTGATAATTTTATTATGCAAGATGGAAATGGTATGAAGCTTTAATTAGGTAATTTTATATATATGAATAGTTGATCAAATTTCTTTTAATTTATAGGATAATAAAAATTATTATGGAATATGAAAGCAAACCTTATAAAAATGGCCTATTAAGAAGACTTTCAATACTCTGATATTGCATACTTTAGTGTTAAAATATGAAAAGGGTAATAAAATCAAAGATAAGGGATTTATCAAGTCAATAAAGAAAATCTAAATATAAAAATTTCATGCGATTATTAAAGGATAAAGGCAAGACGCAAAATCAATATTTAAAACCAATTAAAATTTACTATAAAATGGCTTTTTATATTTGAAGCTTTCTAAGATTTAATTAAGAAATATACTGATCTGCCTGCTCTCTTAAAATCTGTGCACTTTGTTTTCCATGGAAGAAAAGTTTTCCAGCTTCTTCTACATCAGCTCTACATATTTTGTCCCTGCCATTAGTTTCTGCAATAATTCTGCTTGGGGTTAATAGCTGCATTACATATCTTAATGTTGTCTGTGATCCTATATATCCAAAATGTGCAAGGGCTTCTTCTTCCATTGACAACCCTTCTGCGCTCGCTCTAATTGCAACAATTTCCACAATTTCTGCCAAAGAATAAGGCATAGTCCTAATAATCAGCAGCCTGTCCAATAAATCTTGTGGGATCCCATGAGGGGCTTGTATTTCTGTCCCTCTAATTGTAGTAATTCCTCTATTTGTAGCTAAAATCACAATTGGTGACAATGGGGACTCCAGAGCTCTATTTAAATATGTAAAACACTCAATATCCAGCATATGGACTTCATCAATAAACAGCACCCCAGGCACTAATTCTGCTATCCCTTGGTCAATATACCTATTAACCACCTTATTTATTTCCCCTCTCAATTTTTCTGTAATTTCAGTTTTTTTTGGCTTCATAATCTGCCCCATCATAGACAAAAAATCTTTTCCACCCTGAGGCTTGGCATTGGCCATGTCTAAGTCATGTAAAGTGACGTCTTGAATTATTTCTTTTTTCTTGTGAACGTCACCTTTAGGGATTGGGACATATTCTTCAGCTTCTAAGTCAAATTCGGTAGCATAGGCGTCACTTCTGCCGACTCTTTTTACATTACCACTGCTGGCTTCTATATATATGATATCTCCTATTGAAACTTTTTCTTTTTGGATGCTTTCGAAAATTGTTGGGTCTAGCCTCAGCTGCTTGGTACCTTTGGCTGTTTTTAAACCAATTATGACGGAAGTCACTGTTTTTCCACTGCCTCCATATTGGTCTTCTTGTTCTTGAGGAGAAATTTCAGTGACTTCGCCTTCCCAGACTTCTTTGGTTTCTTTTATTCGTAAGCCGATAGCTCTGCGGAAGTTTTCCATCAAAATTTCAGTCTTTTTGACTTCAGAAGAGTAGACTTCAGACCCAACCATAGGGCAAAATGGGACTTTGGGGCCAAGTTCTTGAGCAATTGCTAGCGCAATTGCTGTTTTGCCTGTTCCTGGTGGGCCTGCAAGCAATATAGCACGACCTGCCATTTTCTTGGATTTGATCAGCTCGACAACAATTCCTCCAGCTTCACGGGCAGCATCTTGGCCTACAAGGCCTGAAGAACCGCGGTCTGCGATGCCATCTTCATTAAGGCCTAGACCTTTTATGTGACTGTGGCTCGCAATACGCTGTTGGCGGGTTGTGCTTTTGACCTCTTCTATCTTCATATTTATTATGTTTAGAAATAGCTAGAATGCAATAGATTTAGCTCAAAATGCCAAATTTGGAAATTTTCTTTAAATTAGCATTTCTAGCTCATTTATTTTAATTAAATTATAATAATAAAATAAAGATAAAGAGAATAATGCAAAAACTTGTATTATAATAGTGTATTATTATATTTATAAAACCTTTAATAAAACCTGTGAAAATTTAGTAAATTTAATGGACAAAGATAAGTGAAATCAAATCTTACTCTTAGGCGCTGCAACACTTGGCTTTATAGGATTTCTTCATATGTGTAAAATGGTGATAATGTCTGGCCAGCCTCTTGTGTGATGGTTACCTATGTATATCTGGGCATGGTATTTTGAGACAGGAGTAGCACAGCAATATATAGTGACCCGAAGTGAGGGTCTTGAGCACAGAACCGCAGTTTTGTGGCCTATCCAATGGGCATTTACTTTGAGTTCTTTTTGATAGTGCACCCAAGTTAGTTGGTGAAAAGGAGCAGGGTGAATTACTTTGCTCAAGCTGCTCTGTGGTTTGCCCCCAATCGCAGAAGTGGTTGAATATTTTCCAGAGATAACCAAAAAAAAAGGATGCAAGCTAAAAGGCTTGAAAGCGATCCTCCAGCAAAGTGTATGATTTTTTTGCCTTATTTCGGATCGACTCCCATGAGCCAAAAATGGGTTTCCACGCGGAATTTCTGAATTTTCACGTGTGAAATCCATCTTTGGCTCTTGGGAGCCGATCAGAAATTTGATCAATTGATTATACCTTAAATGGGGCGATCTGGCTGATGCAGGAGATAGCGTAATAAGAGTTAAGGGACTGAGTTGGAATTTTAGTTCTCAGTTATGATCTGCATACCCAATAAAGCAACCACTATCCAGAAATCAGAGGTTTCGGCATGGGCTTAGATGCACCAGATGTGGAAGCTCACCTTAGCTTGTCTCATCACACAGCTTCTAACATGCAGAATATCACTCTGGAAGCAGAGACTGTAAACATGTAGCATTAATCTTACCTATAGGTCTTCTTCACTACAGAAAATCCCAAAACGCTCGCAAGGCAATTCGTCGGACCACATCCCAAGTCCGTCAAATTGAAAAACTTGAGAAAATTCTTAACGAGCAGAAAGCGATTGAGCACGACATCCAAAGAGGTGTCAGGGCTCCCAAAATGCTGCCTCCTCCTGAAGGAAAAGTATTTCTAAACCCTCTTTTGGGTACAGGGGTGAAACAAGATATTAACTCAGGACGAGCCTTTCTCCCAGAATCTGTATTTAATAAAGTCGGTGGATACTTAGTTGCTGATAATGTCTTTTCAATTGACCCAGCATCTGCTGGAGGGTCTATTTTACTCGTAAAAGGATCTCCTAGAATGGAAATTGTTATATTTTTTTACAATAATTATCTTATTTTTTTAAAGCAATTAATTTTTTATTAAAATTAATAGCTTTCAGTATATGAATCCAAAAAATGTGAAAGCGGCAATCGTTACATGTGGAGGCCTATGCCCTGGCTTAAACGTAGTAATCCGAGAAATCGTTATGTCACTGCACTTTAATTACGACACAACTGAAATATATGGCATATGGAATGGATATTCAGGATTTTATACTGAAGGCTTTATAAAAAAGCTGACTCCTCATGATGTAGTAGACATTCATACACTCGGAGGGACAATTTTAAAGACTTCTCGAGGAGGCTGGAATTTAGAAAAAATTGCTGACTGCATTGAAGAAAGAGGCTTTAACCAAATTTATGTGATAGGTGGGGATGGGACACACAGAGGGATTAATGCGCTTGTAGAGGAAATGGAAAGGAGGAATCTTCCTGTTTTTATTGCAGGAATTCCTAAGACTATTGATAATGATATACCAATTATTGATATTCATTTAATAAGAGATTGAATTATAAATAGCCAGCAGAAAATAGTGAATTTATAGAATATAGATAAATTATAAGCCAAAAGTATGATTATTTTTAGAAAAAAGTATAAATCATTTGGATTTGATACAAGTGTAGAAGAAGCCCAAAGGGCAATTGATTCTGCCAATATAGAAGCTAATAGTGCTGAATATGGAGTTGGGCTTGTAAAGCTAATGGGTAGAAACAGCGGCTTTATCGCTATGCAAGCTTCAATTGCAAATAGAAATGTAAATGTTTGCTTGATCCCTGAGTCTGAGTATGAGTTATCAGGGCCAAATGGCGTTTATAACTATTCTTTTCTAATTAAATACCCCAAAACTCTCTAAATTTAAAAAAAAAATCAAAATTAATATAAATAAATATATATTTTAGAAAGACTCAAGGTAAAAAAACATGCTGTTGTCGTCGTAGCTGAAGGAGCTGCTGTATCCTGTAAAGACGAAAAACTAGTAATGCCAGGAACTGATGCATCAGGAAACCCTATTTTATATGATATTGGAAAACATTTAAGAGATGGAATTGTGAAATACTGCAAAGAGCATGGTATGAATATTACCTTAAAATACATTGACCCTACCTATATGATTAGAACTGTCCCTGCCAATTCTGGGGATAAAGTCTTATGCGCAACTTTAGCACAAGCTGCAGTCCACGGTATACTCTTTATAATAAAATAATTTTTTTTTTTAAAAAAAAAAATTTATAGCAATATTTGTGATAAAATTATACTTTTGCTGGGTTTACAGGATTTTCTGTAGGCTGTGTGGCTGGAACCCCTTGCTTTATTCCTATAGATTTAATGATTTCGACTAGAGAAGGTAAAAATTCTTTGCCTGGCCAACGGAGAGTAGACTTAGAAGGAAATTATATGTGGTGGAGGCTTATGGCTTCAACAGGGCAGCCAAGCTTTATTAATGAGGTTAAAGAACTTAATTAACTATTCAAAATTATATGATGGATTATCTGTATAACTTGTTCTAAAGCTTCATTGAAAAAATGCTTGCAATTTAATGTGTAATGCCCTTTACATTTTTCTTTTAATTCTTGTACATATGCTAAAGAGTCTGAATAAGGGATTATTTCGTCAGGCTCTCCATGCAAAATATAGATATCTCCTTGAGACCTTTCACAATAAATTTTCATATCGATATTTATCCTTTCAGTGACCATTTCCTGGGTAATTTTAAATTCTTTTCCAAAAGCTGAGTGCAAAATCTCACCATTTTCCTGGAGAATCTGGTATTTTTCTTGTAGGTAGTGAGGTAAAACTGTCATATAAAAGCGTGGGGCTAATGCAATAATTTTTTTGACGTCTCCGTGTATAGCAGAATATATGATTACGTCATTTCCTGCTTTGGAATGGCCTATAATTCCTGATACTTGGTATCCTTGGGATATAAGAAATTTTACAGCGTCGTCTAAGTCATTAGCTTCTCTTTCAAAACCTGCCCATGAGAAATCGCCTTGACTGTGGCCGTTTCCTGAGAAATCAAATCGAAAAGTATTTACTTGTAAATTCTCGCTTAAATACCTATATAGAAACAAGTCCATATCACAAAGTTGCCCGTGGCAGATAATATAGATGTTATTATCATTTGGGGATTTTATTGAAAATTTGTAAGCTAGTTGTAGGCCATTTCGATTTGTAAAGAATTCCATTTAATGATTTTAAATATAAAATTTTAGCATAGCCATTTTAATTTTCAATAGCATGATGAATAATTTCGACGACTTCGTCAAGTGCTCCATTCAGCAAATGATCGCATTCCATCCTATTTTTCTTTATTTTGCCTATTATTGATTTTATTTTGTTTTTATTTTTACACAAAAATTTTTTTTAATTTTGATGGCTAAATCAAGCAAAAATATTATAACGTATAATGGCCTTTACATTTTTCTTTTAAGGCACTCGCATACTGTAGAGAATCTATATAAGGAATAATTTCATCTAAACTGCCATGAATAATATAAAATTCACCTTGTGCTCTTCGACAGTAATATCTCATGTCAATACTCATTATTTCATCAATCATCTCTCTTGTGCATCCAAAAGCATAGCGAACAATATGCCCATTAGCCTTGACTATTGCGTCATTTTCGCGCATATATTGGGGAATATAACTCATGTCAAATTTAGGAGAAATCGCGAAAATTTGTCTGATCTGTCCATAAATGGCTGAATAAATAATTGCATCAATTGCAGATTTTGAGTGCCCAATAATTCCTTCAACTTTATAGCCTAGAGAATTTAAAAATTTTACAGCATCATCTATATCCCCAGCTTCACTAATATGGCCTGCATAAGTAAATTTACCATCGCTTTTTCCATTTCCAGGAAAATCAAATCTAAAGGTATTGACTCTAAGATGTTGACTAATAAAACTATAAATAAAAGAGTCCATGTCAAAAAACACCATCTGGCAGACTATGTAAATTCTTTTATCTTCTGGGTTTTTTATAGAAAATTTGTAGGCAAGCCTCAAACCATTTCGATTTATAAAGGTTTCCATGTTTTTTATATTTTTGAGGAAACTGATTTTTAAATTAATTTTGATATCATCAGATAACAAGTACAGATATATTAATTGAAAATATTTGTAGGCATTTCTATAAATAAATTTAAACTCAATAGTTTACTTGTTATTTTTATTTTTTTATGTTAAGCCACAATAGACTTTCCATTAAGTTATAATAAAATTGAAATTCTGATAATTTATATATAAAAAAAATATTTTTGCTTTACTAAAACAGATCCTTTTGTATGTAGTTTTTATAAAATTTAAAAAGCAAAATCACTAATTATAATTTTTATATGAAGACATTTTAGGTTTTAGTTTTAAATAAAAATTACTATTATTAATTATCTAACATAATCTTCTCAACTATCTCAACAATTTCATCAAAAACCCCAATGAAATAATGGTCAGCGCTTATCCTAAAATGTCCTTTACATTTTTCTTTCAATTCTTTTACAAACTCCAAAGACTCTGAATAAGGGCAAACTTCGTCAGCATCCCCATGAATAATAAAAATATTTCCTTGAGCCCTTTCACAATAAAATTTCATGTCAGTACTTATTATTTCCTCAATCATTTCCCACGTGAACTTTGACTGAGACTCTAAACACATATGGACAAGTTCTTTGTTTTGTCTAAGAAAATCATAAATATCTTGCAAAAAATACGGTAGAATGTTCATATGAAATCTTGCAGACAATGCAAAAATATTTTTAATTTGGCCATATAAGGCAGAATAAATAATTACACTTGTTGCGCATTTTGTTTGCCCAATAAGCCCTTCTGCTTTTAAGCCTTTTGAAGCTAAAAACTTGACTGCATCGTCAATATCGTCAGCATCTCTGGCAAAAGCAGCGATAGAGCGTTCACCTTGACTATTTCCGAACCCAGTGAACTCGAATTTAAATGTATTTATGCCCAAATTTTCATGTAAAAATCCACACATGATAAAAATTTCTGGAGGTCACATTTGGCAAATTACCAAAATCCTTTTATCGGAGGAGTTTCTTATTGAAATGCTGTAGGCAAGCTGCAATCCGCTTCTATTTGTAAAATAACTGATTTCACTACTTTGAATTTGGGGCTGAGGGCTTGAATTTTCTTCTGAAAAGGATGACATAATGAAAATCACGATTAATTCTTTATATTATTACTATTTAAGAGTTTTAAGGAAGACGTAGCTTAAATAAGCTCTTATGAATAGATTTTAATTATAACTGAAATCTACAGTATTGAAGTAATACCATTTAAGTATTACAATGCTTTTTAATTGAGTTTTTATTTTTTATTTAAAAGGCTTAGTTTTAAGCAGACTAATTACTGTCTAAAATACTGATGAGGTAAATTGCTGCATCCCAGATTTTTCTTGATATAAATTGAAATAAGCTTGTCTCTTTGTTATTGTATGCAAAATTCACATATGATAAATAGGTGAGAAGGCCACATTTGGAATATCATCCTAATCTTTTTGTCGTTAGGGTTTTATTGAAAAGCTGCACGACAATTTTAAGCAAAATAGGAAATACTGCTTACTTCACTAGTTTTCTACCAAAATGGGGCTATCTGGGATACTGGCATATTAAATTACAATTCCTAATTCTTTATATAGTATTAAAACCATTATTTGCTGCTTCGTAGCATCATTTTTATATTTATTTTAATGTTAGTTCTAAATCGGTCTTCATACTTTTGATTTTTATTTCTGACTCATTATTTTTAATTATTTTGAGCGTTTTTAAAAAGTATTCAATGGATAAATAACTATATTATGATTCAATACTAGTATTTAATCTTTATATAGTGCAATGAAAGTGATGAATTGCATATAATGCTTCAGTAATCATCTTATTGAAATTTAGCTTAAATTGGTCTTTTCATCTCTCCTTAAACTGATAACTTCCCCCCTCCGTAAGGGGAATAAAAAAATTTTGTTCACTTACGGAGGGGGCTAATTTTTATTCTTTAAACAAATTTATATATAAATTTTTTTGTTCGAAATTTAAAAATATCTCACTTCTATAAAAATTGGAAAGCAAATATTAATTTAATTTGTAGAATTTATGCTTTAAAACGCAATTTGTTTGAAATTAAACAGAATTAGCTCGAGATTTCGTTATTCTAATTATTAGTTATATATCAAAAATTTTTTCCATACAAAATTTTTTCTATTAAAAAATTTTTGTTCACTCACGGAGGGTGGGTTTTTTTAGGCAAAAAATAGGGATTTTTTCCAATGGTTTTGTTCACTCACGGAGTGAGGGAGTAAGATATTTTTAAAAATCTAATAAGGGAATATTATATTTATGCAGACACAAATATTGCTCGTACTTTTTAACTAGGCAAGACAGACACTAATTAATAAATCGATCATTTTCTTTATTATAAAAATATTTACCATTTCTGATGGAACTTTATATAATTTTCTCTTGCTTATTACATTTTCTCACGTAAATTATTATTAACTATCACGAATAATTTGGCTAATAATGGTAACTACATCATCTAATGCTCCAGTAAGCATATGATCACAATTTAACGCAAAATGTCCTTTACATCTCCTTCCAAGCTCTTTTACAAACTCTAAAGAGTCTGAATAAGCTACGACCTCATCTTCGTATCCATGAAGAATATAAATATTGCCTCGTGCCCTCTGACAATAATATTTCATATCAATTTTCAATATTTCTTGAGCCATTTCTCTTGTGCACCCAAATGCGTAGCGAACTATTTCTCCATTTGAATTAATAATCGCGTCATGCTGTGCCATATAGTCTGGGATAAGTCCCTTATGAAATTTTGGACAAATAGCAATTATAATTTTTACCTCACCGTATAAGGCAGAATAAATAATTGAGACAGTTGCTGACTTTGAATGCCCGATAATACCTTCAACTATATAGCCTCGGGATACTAAAAATTTTACAACATCGTCTATGTCTCCAGCTTCACTAATATGGCCTGCATAAGTAAATTCTCCATCACTTTTACCATTCCCAGGAAAATCGAATCGAAAAGTGTTAACTTCTAAACTTTGGCTGAAAAAACTGTAAATAAGAAAATCCATATCGAAAAACACAAATTGGAGGACTATATAAATTCTTTTGTCTTCTGGATTTTTTATGGAAAATTTATAAGCTATTTTCAAACCGTTCCTATTTGTAAAGGTTTCCATGTTTTATAATTCTTATAACTGGATATTTATAAATTTTTCAAATAGATATAGCGCCTTTCTTAAGATGGCGCGCAATGCGCCATCACCGGGCCATGTCGGACGAGGAATGGTTCCACGTGTGAAACCCTCTTTTTGGCTCGTGGAAAAAGAGGGTTCCACACGTGGAATCATTCCTCGTGGAGAACCCTCTCCCGACATGGCCCGGTGATGGCGCATTGCGCGCCATCTTAAGAAAGGCGCTATAAATCAGAATAGGCTTTAAGAAAATAAAAATTTTGATATAAATGGCAGTCTAAGAATATTTGCTGGCGCTAAAGTGCTTCATTATTCAAAATTTTGATAGCGATTTATTTTTTCTGATTATCAGCTTAGCTTGTCATTTATTTCAAGTTTTTCTACCAAATTCCAAGACCCAATTTTGTTGTCTGATTTTATCTATTTTATAACGAATTTTACTTATTTAGACATAATATTTTCAACAATCCCAGCTACTTCATCAAAGACTCCAAAATACAAATGATCGCAGCCTAGAGTGAAATGTCCTCTGCATTTTCCTTTTAAAAATTGTACATATTTCAAAGAGTCTACTTAAGGATAAATTTCGCTTATTTTCGTCATCCTACAAAGCTTGCAATCATTTTTTGGTATTAATTAAAAATATTAGGAAAAAATCAAGATCTCAAAAGCGCTTTTACTTTTTTTAATCAAAAAAGCTGCTTTTAACGGATTTTAATTTATTGAAGATAGCTAAGCTATTTTTATTTTTATCTAATTTTAATATATTTTGTAATGTAAAAACTCTAAAATTATATTGACTAGGAGGAACCTAGTAACTTAACTTAATTCTTTATATAGTATTAAAATCAATTATTTGATGCTTCGAAGCATCACTTTTATATTTATTTTAATGTTAATTTCTAATGAAATTTGTTTTTCATATACTTTGGATTTTTATTTCTGACCCTAGTTATTTTTGATTTTTTTGAACGTTTTTAAAAAGTATCAATTGATAAATAACAAATATTATGATTCAATACTGGGATTAATCTTTATATATTGCAATGCAATTGATGAATGATCATATAATGCTTCAGTAATCATTTTATTTAAATTTAGATTAAAATGGTCTTTGCATCTCTCCCTAAAATCTTAAGATATTTTTAAAATCTCAATGAGGGAATTTTTAATTATCATATCTATACAGACACAAATATTAGTAGCAAGATAAAAATTTTTGCTAATTAATAAAAAATGATTTTCCTTTTTTATAAAGAATATTTACCATTTCTGAAGGATTTTATTTATAATTTTATCTTATTCCATTTTATCTTAAATTAAATTCACGTAAATTAGTATTAACTATCACGAATAATTTGGCTAATAATGGTAACTACATCATCTAATACTCCAGTAAGCATATGATCACAATTTAACCCAAAATGTCCTTTACATCTCCCTCCAAGCTCTTTTACAAACTCTAAAGAATCTGAATATTCTATGTTCTCATCATCGTATCCCTGAAGAATATAAATATTGTTTCGTGCCCTCTGACAATAATATTTCATATCAATTTTCAATATTTCTTGAATCATTTTTCTTGTGCACCCAAATGCGTAGCGCAGTACTTCTCCATTTGAATTAATAATTGCGTCACGCTGCGCCATATAGTCTGGGATAAGTCCCTTAAAAAATACAGGAGCAATAGCAATTATGGTTTTTACCTCACCGTATAAGGCAGAATAAATAATTGAGACACTTGCTGACTTTGAATGCCCGATAATACCTTCAACTATATAGCCTCGGGATACTAAAAATTTTACAACATCGTCTATGTCTCCAGCTTCACTAATATGGCCTGCATAAGTAAATTCTCCATCACTTTTTCCGTTCCCTGGAAAATCGAACCGAAAAGTGTTAACTTCTAAATTTTGGCTGAAAAAACTGTAAATAAGAAAATCCATGTCGAAAAACACCGATTGGAGGACTATATAAATTCTTTTGTCTTCTGGATTTTTTATGGAAAATTTGTAAGCCAATTTCAAACCGTTCCGATTTGTAAAGGTTTCCATGTTTATGATTCTTATAACTGATATTTTTAAACTTTGCAATTAGATAAATCAGACTTAGCTTTAAGAAATGTAAATTTTTATATAAATGGCAGACTAAGAGTTTTTGCTGACTCTAAAGTGCTTCATTGCTCAAAATTTATTTTTTCTGATTATCAGCTTCCTATTTATTTAATTTTTTGTAATAATATAAAAAGTTTTCTACCAAATTCCAAGACCCAATTTTTGTTGTCTGATTTTATCTATTTTATAACGAATTTTAATTATTTAGACATAATATTTTCAATAATTCCAGCTACTTCATCAAACACCCCAAAATATAAATGATCGCAGCTTAGCGTGAAATGCCCCCTGCATTTTCCTTTTAAAAATCGTACATACTCTAAAGAGCCTGCATAAAGACAAATTTCATCAATATCTCCGTGGATAATATAAATATCTCCTTGAACTCTTTCACAGTAGTATTTCATATCAAGGTTTACAGTTTCTTCAATCATCTCCCATGTTAGTCTTAGTTGTCTTCCAAAAGCAGTATGCATAATTTCTTTATTTTGTCTGGTAGCTTCATAGAATTTTTGCATAAAGCTTTATAAAACATTCATATGAAATCTCGCAGATATTTTTACAATTTTTTTAACCTGTCCATACAAGGCAGAGCAGATATACCAGTCACTCATAAATATCTCAATACAGTCTTTTTATTTTGCTGTTATACAGAATTGATATAATTACTCCGATCACATCCTTTGACATTCCAATAATTCCTTCGGCTTCAAATCCTCTTGAAACTAAAAATTTTACAGAGTCTCAATATCACCTGCATCCCTTGTATAGCTCCAAAAATAAAACTCCCTTGGCTGTTTTCATTTCCAGTGTATTCGAATTTAAATGTATTTACATTTAAATTTTCGTGGAAAAAATTGCATAAGATGTCAGTATTGAACAATTATCCAGATCCTTTTTTCATCAGGTTTTTTTATCGAAATGATAAGAGATATAAATAAATAGATTTTAAGCTTTAGCTTGTTTAGATTTAGATTAGATTATGATGGGTTTTTAAAGCCTCACTTTCTGAAGAGCTGTGCATTCGGCAGCTAACGCCGCGGGGTGGCCTTCCTCGGTTTTTAGGTACAGACATTTTCTCTCCTGATATAGGGAACTCTAAATAGCTTAACTTAATTCTTTATATAATATTAAAATCTATTATTTGCTGCTTCGCATTATCATTTTATATTTATTTTAATGTTAATTTCTAATGAAATTTGTTTTTCATATACTTTGGATTTTTATTTCTGACTCAATAATTATTTAGCGTTTTTAAAAAGTATTCAATTGATAAATAACTAATATTAAGATTCAACCACTGGGATTAATCTTTATATATTGCAATGTAATTGATGAATTATCAGATAATGCTTCAGTAATCATCTTATTGAAATTTAGCTTAAAATGGTCTTTGCATTTCTCCTGAACTCTTAAGATATTTTTAAAAAATCTAATATAGGATGCAGATACAAATATTAGACTAGGCAAGATAAAAAATTTTTGCTAATTAACAAAGGATAATTTTCTTTTTTATAAAAAATATTTACCATTTCTGATAGAATTTTATATATAACTTTCTCTTATTCCATTTTCTCTTAAATTAAATTCAAGTAAATTATTATTAACCATCACGAATAATTTTGTTAATAATGGTAACTACATCATCTAATACTCCAGTAAGCATATGATCACAATTTAACCCAAAATGTCCTTTGCATCTCCCTCTAAGCTCTTTTACGAACTCTAAAGAATTAGAATAAGCTATGATCTCATCATCATATCCATGAAGAATATAAATATTACCTCGTGCTCTTTGGCAATAATATTTCATATCAATTTTCAATATTTCTTGAGCCATTTCTCTTGTACACCCAAATGCGTAGCGCACTATTTCTCCATTAGAACTAATAATTGCGTCATGCTGCGCCATAAAGGCTGGGAGAAGTCCATTAAGAAAATTTGGAGCAATAGCAAATATGGTATTTACCTCACCGTATAAGGCAGAATAAATAATTGAGACAGTTGCTGATTTTGAATGTCCAATAATACCTTCAACTATATAGCCTCGGGATACTAAAAATTTCACAGCATCATCTATGTCTCCAGCTTGACTAACATGGCCTGCAAAAGTAAATTCGCCATCACTTTTTCCATTCCCTGGAAAATCGAACCGAAAAGTGTTAACTTCTAAATTTTGGCTGAAAAAACTGTAAATAAGAAAATCCATATCGAAAAACGCAAATTGGCAGACTATATAAATTCTTTTGTCTTCTGGATTTTTTATGGAAAATTTGTAAGCCAATTTCAAACCGTTCCGATTTGTAAAGGTTTCCATGTTTATGATTCTTATAACTGATATTTTTAAACTTTGCAATTAGATAAATCAGACTTAGCTTTAAGAAATGTAAATTTTTATATAAATGGCAGACTAAGAGTTTTTGCTGACTCTAAAGTGCTTCATTGCTCAAAATTTATTTTTTCTGATTATCAGCTTCCTATTTATTTAATTTTTTGTAATAATATAAAAAGTTTTCTACCAAATTCCAAGACCCAATTTTTGTTGTCTGATTTTATCTATTTTATAACGAATTTTAATTATTTAGACATAATATTTTCAATAATCCCAGCTACTTCATCAAACACCCCAAAATATAAATGATCGCAGCCTAGCGTGAAATGTCCTCTGCATTTTCCCCTTAAAAATTGTACATACTTCAAAGAGTCTGCATAAGGACAAATTTCATCAATATCTCCGTGGATAATATATATATCTCCTTGAACTCTTTCACAGTAGTATTTCATATCAAGGTTTACAGTTTCTTCAATCATCTCCCATGTTAGTCTTAGTTGTCTTCCAAAAGCAGTATAATAATTAGAAATTTTGCTTATTCGCTCCGAATTTTAGATAATTTTTGGAATCCTATAAAACCTGTAATCATTTTCGCCATTTATATTTAAATTATTAGAAAGAAATCAAGAGCTAAAAGTGCCTTTACTTTTTTAATCGAAAATAGCTGCTGCTCATAAAAACTTTAATAGAAAAGAGATTTTATCCTATTTTAGAAGGTAAAAACTCTAAAATTAGGAGGAATCTAAAAGTAAAATATTTAATATACTATATGCATAATTTCTTTATTTTGCCTGGTAACTTCATATACTTCTTGAATAAAGCTTGGTAAAACATTCATCTGAAATCTCGCAGATATTGTTACAATTTTTTTAACCTGCCCATACAAGGCAGAGTACATATACCAGTTACCCATAAATATATCAATGCAGTCTTTTTATTTTAGCAAATACTTAGAAATAATAAATAAAAATAATTATTTTGCTGTTATACAGAATTGGTATAATTACTCCAATCGCATCCATTGACATCCCAATAATTCCTTCGACGTCAAATCCTCTCGCAGCTAAAAATTGTACAGCGTCGTCAATATCGGCTGCATCTCTTGTATAACCCGCAAAACTAAAACTGCCTTGGGAGTTCCCATTTCCAGTGTATTCGAATTTAAATGTATTTACATTTAAATTCTCGTGCAAAAAATTGCATAAGATAAAAACTTCTGGAGGCCACTGTTGAATAATTATCCAGATCCTTTTTTCGTCAGGTTTTTTCATTGAAATGTTACAAGCTAATTGAAAATCGTTTCGATTTGTAAAATAAGTCGGATTGCGGCTGATTTGACCAGAAAAACTTTCTAAAGGCATAGACATAATAGGTTTATATAAAAAAATTATTTTTTATTGAATTTGCTTAATTAAGCTACGTCACTTTTATTTTACAATTAATTCAAAACGTATCAAGGCTAATTGCTCGTTTTAATATCTTCACAATAGTTTCTAATTTCTTTCGCCCTTTTTTATGAATTTATGAAATAAAATTTATTAAAAGATGCATTCTTATTAAAACATTCTGATTATATATATAATTATAATTAAACAGCTGCATTTAAGAATGTAAATTTTATAATTAAATTAATTAATCTTCGATTATTTGAGAAAAAGAGCGTTTCTTGGCTTATGGCTGAAGGAATTTGCAATCCTGTATATCTGCCCCTAAATTTATTATTTCAATTAATTTCATAAAATTAATCAAATCTTTAGGCTGAATTAATAAAATGTTTGAACCTTATTATAATTACATTAATTAGAATTATTGAGAAGCTCTTTTATCACATTCATCTGATAATTTCTTTAATTTGCCTAGAACCTCTTCTTTGCCAGCAGATCTTGGCACATCAACTTTATTTTCACTATAAGAAATAGTTAGTTATCTATCAAAACTGTTATCTTCTCCTTTTGTAATTGCAACAAAAATTAGATAAAATGCGATAGTTAAATAGAAAAGTCAAGGCTAGAAATAATGTCACATCAGAGAAAATAAATTGGTTTCAGGTAAAGTATTTTTTGGAAAAAGTGGAAATAATAAATAACTCTAAGATAGAAATTTTAAAAAAACGACAGCTTCTCATTTGCCTCAAGCTCTATTTCTATAAATAAAAGTACTTTATATAAAATGCATATAGAACTTCTATAACTTGAAAACTTCTTTGTGAAAGCAAAAGAGATTTATCCGAAAATTTGAGCAAAAATGCCACTGAGCCTACAAATTTAGTTGCATATACTGACAATAACAACAAATAAGTCTTATATTTCAGGCCTTTAAGCCTCGTGGCTCATCTAGTTTTTCCATTTTTTGTTTGAAATCACTTTGGCAAGCCTCTTCCTGAAAATATCAGGATCGGGAATCGATAAGGCTTTGTAAAACACTAAGGAATATTTTTACTATCTTTATTAATTTTCTAAATCATAATATATGTATTAATTTTTCGAAATAATATCTTCAATTATCTCAATAATCTCATCAAAAACACCAATGTATAAATGATCACAGTTAAACGTAAAATATCCTTTGCATTTTACATTTAATGCTTTAACATATTCTAAGGAATCTGCAAAAGGGCACATTTCGTCCTCATTGCCATGGAAAATATAAAAGTCTCCTTGAGCCCTTTCACAATAAAATTTCATATCAGTATTTATTGTCTCTTCTACCATATCTCATGTAAATTTCCACCGAGAACCAACGCCAGTATGAATAATTTCTTTTTCGCGTCGAGCGATTTCTGTCGTTTCATGCAAAAAGAATGGCAAAACATTCATATGAAATCTTGCTGATAATACAATGATATTTTTTACTTGTCCATATATAGCAGAATAAATAATCACGCCTTGTGCAGCTTTTGAGTGTCCTATAATTCCTTCTACTTCATATCCTTTGGAATTTAAAAAATTTACAGCATCGTCAATATCGTTTGCATCTCGGGTTAAGCCTCCAAATGAGTGCTCTCCTTGGCTGTTTTCGCAGCCTGTGTAATCAAATTTAAATGTATTTGCGCTCAGATTTTCATGCAAAAATTGATTTATTATAAAAAGCTGGGAAGGCCAGTTTTCACAAATAATCCAGATCTTTTTTAGTTTAGGATTTTTTATCAAAATGCTGTAAGCTAAGCTCAGACCACTTCGATTTGTAAAATAGCTAATAGTGTTTCCCATAATTCGGCCTATTAGTCCACTATCAACAATGTTAGACATATTAGCATTATAAAGATAGCTGTAACAGCTTTTTTATTTTATAATTAAGAATTTAAGCGTCATCTATGATGCATCTCATTCTGAGAATTTATAATGGCTACTTTAAATAGACAGGCTCTGAAATTAATTCACCATATAATCAAGCTTAGAATAAATTTTTACGTTATCATTTCAATCTCTTTCTAGCCTCCATTCGCCAAAAAAACTTTTGCTGAATAGCTAAGGCTTGAGTAAGAGGTTTATTAATAGCTCAGAATTATTGTAAATTAAATAAAAAAATATTAAGATAAGTCTCAATAATGTTGCAGTAAAGAGTCTTTGGACAGTTGAGACGGTAGAAGCATAGTTTTTATCAGAATAAAAAGAATAATTTAGGCTAGCCTTAGCACAAGGTCTGCCCTATTAAAATTCCACGTTTAGCAGAATTTATGAATAAACTGATAGATTAATGTTATCTGAAGGTTTTAGTGCCCGATATTTTACTTTATCCTTTATTCTATAAAATAACCGATATTTGCTATGTTGATTGTTTGGAAATTTCATCTTGATTTTGCCATCTTTACAATTAATATCTATAATATCCCTGTATTAATTACCTATTTGCTCTCAATCTAATAATAAAGCTACAATTAAATAATGGCATTAAAAGATAAAAAACTTGTAGATATTTCTTGCAGTCAGAAATGTTTTATTTCATTTAGACTTTAAACATTTACAAAGTATAAATTTATTTGAAAGCAATTTTTAAATAATTTCTTTTAACTACTTACCAGTAGAAGTTTTATTTATTAAAAGAAGCAGACTCCTTTCTCATTAAATTCAATGGGAAACTCAAAATTCTAAATATTTCAGTATTTAAGAATCGAAAATCCAAAGCATATTACATAAAAATGAATTACCTATCTCTTATTAATGTAATAATAAATTTATTTATGATATGACCCGTTCAATAATTTCTAAGACCTCGTCTAAAATCCCAATTAAACAATGATCACAATCAAAAGAATAGGTGCCTTTGCATTTATCATTCAATTCTCATGCAAGCTCTAAGCACTCTAAATATGGGCAAAATTGATCTTCTAGCCCATAAATTACATAAATATTTCCTCTAGCTCTTTCACAAATTTTTTTCATATCAATGCTTTGCACTTCTCTTATCATTTCTCATGTGAAATTTCAATCTTCCCCAAAAGCATTATAAACGATTTCGCCGTTGTTTTTGAGAGTTTCAAAGTTTGAACTTAAAAAGTCAGGGAATTCGCTCATATTAAATTTTGGCGATACTGATATAATATTTTTGACTTCACCATATAGTCCAGCATACAGAATCACGCTTGTTCCATATTTTGAGGCTCCAATAATCCCATCGACTGAGTATCCTTTAGATGTCAAAAATTTGACAGTATCATCTAAATCATCTGCGTCCTTAGTATACTTGTAAAACACTCTTTCCCCTTGACTTCTTCCTTCACCAGTTAAATCAAGCTTACAAACATTTGCGTCGAGATGTTGATAAACGAAATCAGAAAAGAAGAATATCTCGGATGGGTATAGTGCACACACAATATAAATTTTTTTATCATCTGGGTATTTTATTGAAAGGTTGCAAGCCAATTGCAGTCCATTGCGATTTGTGAAATACTCCATAACGTTATTTATTATATTCTTGAAGGAGAAATATATGATGAAAACATTATTCTTAATTCAGCATTAGATTTATTTGGGATATCAGTAATAGAAACTATATTTAAAAAGTAAATTAAAAATAAAATATCAGTGAAATAGCTAATTAATCATTAGTAACTTAAAACACCTTTCAAATTTGATTACACAACAAATTGAGGTCTTTTTTTGGTTTAAAAGCAAAATAAATATTATTTTTTGTAAATGAAGGAAATTTCAGTCGCCAAGATTAATATCAACCAATTTTTTTATCATTAAATTTTCCATTTTAAGTTTAAAAAAGGAAATAGTTAATATTAGAAAATTGATATATCAGGCTTGCTTATTTTTTTGTTAAAAGTGCTGAATGTGATCTTCCTTTTCATAAATGATTTTGTGTTATAAGGTATAATTAAGAATCGAATGGTATAAAAAAATTTTGAATGCCTAAAATTTAGAAACACCCTAAGCCAAGACTCCAAATACATGGTAACAAAGAGAAAATTAACTATAAATATATATCAGATTACGATGAATAATTTCTTATGCAATTAATTATTTAGTAGTATTCGCAGCCATCATTCCTCGTTCCTGAAATGTAATGACTTCCACGAGCTAATTCATAAGTTTTTGATACCTCTTGGCCTTTTTCTTCAATATGTCTCTTAAAACTATCAGCATCATCTCTCCAATTTGACAAATTATTTATATAGTCAATTTGTGATTTGTTTATTTTCGTAAAAAAGGCACCAAAAAGTGCATTCTCAATTAATTTCTCACCTTCATTTTTGATAGGATATTTAAGCTCAGCAAGAAATTCTCTGTTTCCAGGCATTCCACTAAGAAGTGGCGTTTTTCTTGATTTTAGAGTTTTTTTTTTTGGGTTATAAGATCCCTCATTATATTTTTTCATTGCATGCGCTGCTTCGTGAATAAATGTTATTTTTCTGGCACAAGACTTTAAATCATCATTCTGAGACAAGCTTGGATGTAGTAAAATAGTTCCACCAAACACTGTCATTCCACTAACTTCCCATTCTTATAAACAAATTCTTGCTGATTTTTTAAAAAAAAATAGTAATTTATCTGGTTATTTTGGATGATTTCCAATAATCGATCTATTCATATAAAATTTATTATTTGAAAATTTTGTGCCAAAATATCCCACGAATAAGCAATTACTGGGAGTAAGATTATCTGGGATGTTCGCAAAATATGTTGTTTCAGCTAAATTTCCAATGTTTTCATTCCAAATATTCTCATTTAAAAAGGCTCCTCTAGCAGGCGTAGAAAATAAAATTGTTGTAAGTTCTTCTTTTTGAGTCTTATTCAATTTTTCTGGGCTTCTAAAATGCAATTTAATAGCTCTCTGTTCGCATTCAGTAAAAAAATCTGCATTTTCTTTATTTAAAGTTCCGCTAAAAAGTCTTGTCAGATGAGATGCTAGATATTGCTTTAAAATAAAGTGTTCAGTATCATCGCTAAATACCATTTTGTGAAGCAATGAATTCCTAAATTCTTCTAACTTGTTTGCTTGATCTTCTCTCCTTGTAAAACAAATATTCCAAGACGAATCACCAATAATTCGCTGATCCCCTGTCAAAGCTCCTTCTATGAACCAGTTTAAATTTTCTTCTTCGCTTTCTAGGGAAATAATTTTCATAGAAGTATCTTTTATCTCTTCCATAGTTTCAAGTTCAATGATATTTATTACTTTATCTTCTAACTCTTGCAGCTTCTTTTTTAATTTATTTGCATTCTCTTTAAAAAATTCAGTCAAGGAGTTTTTGATTAAGCATATAAAATATTTAGCAATTGTTACTCTGTTTTTGCTGTCCTCATAACTAATTTTATTGAAGTTAAAATCTTCGAGGTATTTTATGATATCTCCATAAAATGAAATCAACATTTCAACATCTTTACCCCTTATTATAGAATTATATGTGCCTATAAAATCTTCAAATTCGTTAACAGCAAGATAATTAAATTGATCTTTTCTATTAATTTGTAATTTCTTGATTTTTACAGCCAATGTATTAGCAGCTGCTATTAATTCGCTCTTTTCTAGTAAATTTTCATTGTCAGGGTCCAGATTAACTTCTTCATTTATAGATTTCTTCAAATTACTCCATCTAGGGATAAGATGTCTATTTAAATAATCGTTAAAATCACTTTGAATAGTAGGCAAATATGAAAAAGTAGCTTTGAAAAAGTCTAAAATTTCAATTTTTGTCCAATTATTTATCTCTTCAAACTGAGAAGTAAATGACTGTAAATATTGCTGTATCTTTTTAATTTTTCATTCTTGTATTCTATTTCGATCTAAGTATAAGTATAAAGCTAGCATTTGTACATGACTCTTAGCCCGCTCTAAACTCTTGTCTTTTACACTCGGAAGAGTTTCGAAAAAAGTGTCTAGCAAGTTATATCAACGGTCTGATCTTGTTAACTGCGCGTTAATTATATTTTCAATAGGCAGTATAAGTTGATCTATAACCCCTTCTACTTTGATGAATTCATCTAGTTTTATATCTTCAAAAAGTGTACTTGCTGATGTTTTAGCAATATTTGAAGTATAAATGAACAATACTTCTAAAATTTTATTCATCATGCCAATACTTGCTTTATCATTCATATTGGCCAAATAATTTGAATTTAGATAATTATAAGATATTTTTAGGACTTCTTCTCTTGATGTAAAAAAGTCGAGCAAAGGATAAAAATTCCAATAAAAATAGTCATGAATTATTTGGCACAGTTTTTCGATAGTGCTTTGCTCAAATTTGATATGATTGGCTAAACTTAAAACATTCGAAAATGTGTGCCATGAGCAAATATTGTCAATCAGGTTATTCAATATTAGCTCTCGCAGAAAATTGAACTCTATTTTAAAGAATTTTAGGGCCTCACAACTAAAGGAAAAAAACTCATCCGCACACTCATTTCTATCGTTTGCAAAGTTCATCAAAAATTCTGATGTTTTGATCAAATTTCATGGGCCTAACTCTCTGATGAATTTCAATCTTTCTTGCGAAAATTTTAAAACAAAAGAGAAATAAGTTGCAAAACTTACGATTTTTTCTTTTACTTTTAGGCTTTCACTTACATCTGAATCAGACCTTGTCATCCAGTCATAAATTTCGTTTGATTCTAAAAGCCCAAAAACTTGATTCGCAAACCTTTCTTCGAGATTGTCGATTGGAGATTTTATAAGCAGAGACAGAATTGACAGTTCATATCCAGACTTTAGAAGTTCCTCCAAATGTTTGAATTTTATCTTGTCCTTCCTATTGTAAGCTAAACAGTTTATCACCCTAAAATATTCTGAGATGCTAGTAGCATCATTATTTTCAATCATCGATCGAATATTTTCTTCTGACTCCCTCTGTATGCGAACAAAACTATTAGAAAAAATTCTTATTTTTGCAGCAAAGCTCACCCTCTGAGAGAATAAAAATTCTCTATGAAATAAAATTGATATATAAGTGATATAATGAAATCTCTAACTATTTATGTTTATTTGAATTGGGATTATTTTAAATTTGAAAAAATTTTACTATATAATTAAAAATACAACCCCTCTGTAAGAAATTTTTATTCGCTTACGGAGGAGGGAGTGAGTAATTTTTTAGGCTGAACTCTGGGATTTTTAGATAATCCAGGCTTTTTATATTCGTATTATTGTACCAACTCCTGATTATTTCATGATTTTCGAGTAAAAAAATCTTTAGCGCTTCATTTGGATCTAATAGTGACATATTGGGAATATTATTTATAAAAGATCTAAAAACTATTATTTTTCTTTTAATTAGAATAATTTATTTGACTTAAAGAATTTTTGTGTTAAATATAATTTATTTCCTTACTCAATAATTTAATTTTTCGAACTGTTGATTAAAGGCTGAGGATAGATCAATCAACTTGCGACTGTCATGTAATAATTAAAGAATTGTAATTGCTCAATATCCTTTTAAAAGGAAATAATAGCAGGCAAAATAAACATTTTAAAATAACATATCCTTTATAAAGAAATAGAAAAAATAATTTTTATCAATTATAAATTTTAATGAGCATTTTTGAGGATAAGCTTGGAAATATATCAGAATTTCTTCTTTTGTATTTTGGTTCCATTCACTATTTTACAATTTTAAATAGAAATTCTTTTATCGCCTCATATGGATCTAATAGTGGCATATTAAAATTATATTTTTAAAAGATTTAGAAACTCCTTAAGCTAAGACTCAATATTTATGTTCAACAGAGTTAAAATATAGTCTCTATTTTATTCCTATTGATAATTTCTTATGCAATTAATTATTTAGTAGTATTCGCAGCTATCATTCCTCGTTCCTGAAATGTAATGACTTCCACGAGCTAATTCATAAGTTTTTGATATCTCTTGGCCTTTTTCTTCAATACATCTTTTAAAACTATCAGCATCATCTCTCCAATTTAACAAATTATTTATATAGTCAATTTGTGATTTGTTTATTTTCGTAAAAAAGGCACCAAAAAGTGCATTCTCAATTAATTTCTCACCTTCATTTTTGATGAGATATTTAAGCTCAGCAAGAAATTCTCTGTTTCCAGGCATTCCACTAAGAAGTGGCGTTTTTCTTGATTTTAGAGTTTTCTTTTCTGGGTTATAAGATCCCTCATTATATTTTCTCATTGCACGCGCTGCTTCGTGAATAAATGTTATTTTTCTGGCACAAGACTTTAAATCATCATTCTGAGACAAGCTTGGATGTAGTAAAATAGTTCCACCAAACACTGTCATTCCACTAAGATTATCTGGAATATTTGCAAAATATGTTGTTTCAGCTAAATTTCCAATGTTTTCATTCCAAATATTCTCATTTAAAAAGGCTCCTCTAACAGGCGTAGAAAATAAAATTGTTGTAAGTTCTTCTTTTTGAGTCTTATTCAATTTTTCTGGGCTTCTAAAATGCAATTTAATAGCTCTCTGTTCGCATTCAGTAAAAAAATCTGCATTTTCTTTATTTAAAGTTCCGCTAAAAAGTCTTTTCAGATGAGATGCTAGATATTGCCTTAAAATAAAGTGTTCAGCATCATCACTAAATACCATTTTATGAAGGAATGAATTCCTAAATTCTTCTAACTTGTTTGCTTGATCTTCTCTCCTTGTAAAAAAAATATTCCAAGACGAATCACCAATAATTCGCTGATCCCCTGTCAAAGCTCTTTCTATCAGCCAGCTTGATTTTTCTTCTTCGTAAATAATTTTCATAATAGAAATATCTTTTGTTTCTTCTAAAGTTTCAGATTCAATGATATTTATTAATTTATCTTCTGATTCTTGCAGGTTTTCTTTTAATTTATTTGCATTCTCTTTAAAAACTTCAGCCAAAGAGTTTTTGATTAAGCATATAAAATATTTAGCAATTGTTTCTCTGCTTTTGCTGTCCTCATAACTAATTTTATTGAAGTTAAAATCTTCAAGGTATGTACTGATATCTCTATAAAATAAAAACAATTTTTTGACTTTCTTTTTCCTTATTATAGAAATATATATGCCTATAAATTCTTCAAATTCGTTAACAGCAAGATAATTAAATTGATCTTTGGTATTAATTTGTAAATTCTTGATGCTCATAGCCAATCCTATAGCATTTGTTATTAATATTCACTGATTGCATAGATTTGCATCATATACACCTGATTCAATTCTTTCATTCATAGGAATAATCATTTGATTCCATCTAGGGATAAATTCTGTATTTAAATAAGTGTTAAAATCACTTTGAATAGTAGGCAAATATGAAAAAGTAGCTTTGAAAAAGTCTGAAATTTCAATTATTGTCCAATTATTTGTCTCTTCAAACTGAGAAATAAATGACTTTAAATATTGCATTATATTTTCAATTTTTGATTTGTGTGGCTTACTACTTGGATCTAAGTATAAGTATAAAGCTAGCATTTGTACATGACTCTTAGCCCGCTTCAAACTCTTGTTTTTTACACTCGGAAGAGTTTCGAAAAAAGCATCCAGCAGGTTATATCAACGGGACACAGATCCAATGATCGTGCACTTTTAATAGTGCTAATTTAATTGCCTATAATTTGTTGAAATTTTTAATAGTAAGCATTTGATAAAAAATCCTTTAATTTTTGATTAAATGTATTTCGATGAAATTCATACTATCAAAAGTAAAAATCTATTATCAACGATCTGGACTTGTTAATTGCGCATTAATTATATTTTCAATAGGCAGTATAAAATGATCTAAAACCCTGCTGTGAACGTGTAACCTTGATGTAATTCATCTAGTTTTATATCTTCAAAAAGTGTACTTACTGATTTTTTATCAATATTTGTAGTATAAATGAACAATAATTCTAAAATTTTATACATCATGTCAATGCTTCTTTTATTTTTAAGGCTGATATAATTGGATTTCAGATAATTATAAGATACTTTTAGGACTTCTTTTGTAGATGCAAAAAAATCTAATATAGTATCTCAGTTCCAATAAAAATAGTCATGAATTATTTGGCACAATTTTTCGATAGTGCTTTGCTCAAATTTGATATGATTGGCTAAACTTAAAACATTCGAAAATGCGTATCATGAACAAACATTGTCAATCAGGTTATTTAGTATTCGTTCTTGCAGAAAATTGAACTCTATTTTAAAGAATTTTAAGGCCTCACAACTAAAGGAAAAAAACTCATCTGCACACTCATTTCTTTCGTTTGCAAAGTTCATCAAAAATTCTGATGTTTTGATTAAATTTCATTCACCTAACTCTCTGATGAACTTCAATCTTTTTTGCGAATATTTTAAAACAAAAGAGAAATAAGTTGCAAAACTTACAATTTTTTCTTTTACTTTTAGGCTTTCACTTACATCTGAATCAGCATTTGTCATTCAGATATAAATTTCGTTTAATTGTAAAAGCTTAAAAATTTGATCCGTAAACCTTTCTTCGAGATTTTCGATTGGAGATTTTATTAGCAGAGACAGAATTGGTAGCTCATATTTGAAGTTTAGAAGTTCCTCCAAGTGCACGAATTTTATCTTGTCGTCCCTATTGTAAGCTAAACAGTTTATCACTCGAAAATATTCTGAGATGCTGACAATATCATTATTTTCAATCATCAATCGAATATTTTCTTCTGAGTATTTTCTTTGTTTGAACTTTGGGATTTTTAGATAAACCAGGCTGTTTTTATACGTATCATTGTACCAACTGCTTATGATTTCAGATTTTCGAGGAAAAAAATCTTTACCGCTTCATTTGGATCTACTAGTGACATATTGGAATACTTAGAATAATTTATTTAGCTTTAAAAATCTTTAATTAGATACTAAAAAAGCTCTAACCTCTGTTTCGATAAAGTAGCAACTCATTTTTTGATTAATTTTAAAGAGTTAAATATAATTTATGGCTCTTTGTTTGCCTTCAGTAAAAATTTGTATTTCCTTTATTTAAAGTTTCATTAAAAAGTTGAGATGCAAAATATTGCCTTAAAATAAAATGTTTTAGACATCATTGCTAAAGTGTAAATCACTATAAATACCATTTTATGAAGGAATGAATTTCGAAGGTCTTCTAACTTGCTTGCTTGATCTTCTCTGTCTGTTAAAAATTATTTCAAAACAAATTTCCTAATATGAAAATAATTTTAAATTTAATAAATTAAAGATTAGCCTATTGAGTGTGATCTTCCTTCTCTTAAATGATCTTGTGCTATAAGGTATAATGAATATCGAATGGCACAAAAACAATTTTGAATGCTCAAAATTAGAAACTCCCTAAGCCAAGACTCCAAATTCATGCTCAACAAAGAGAAAATTAATTATATATATATATCAGATAACGATTAATAATTTCTTATGCAATTAAGTATTTAGTAGTATTCGCAGCCATCATTCCTCATTCCTGAAATGTAATGACTTCCACGAGCTAATTCATAAGCTTTTGATACCTCTTGGCCTTTTTCTTCAATATGTCTTTTAAAACTTTCAGTACTCTGGCTCCAATTTGACAAATTATTTATATAGTCAATTTGTGATTTGTTTATTTTCGTAAAAAAGGCACCAAAAATTGCATTCTCAATTAATTTTCCACCTTCATTTATGTCATGATCTTTAAGGAAAGAACTAAATTCTGAGTTTCCAGGCATTCCACTAACTCCCCCCTTCCGTGAGTGAGAAACAATTTTTTTTTTTCTAAAAACCCACCCTGAGCGAACAAAAATGTTTTATAGAAAAAATTTTTTGATATATAATTAATAATTAGTATAATGAAATCTCTGACTAATTCTGTTTAATTTTTAAACAACTTGCTTTTTAAAATATAAATTTTATAAATTAAATTAATATTTGCCTTCCAAAATTTGCGAATTAGGATTTTTTTAAATTTCGAAAAAAAATATTTTCTGTGAAATTTATATATAATTTTTTTTTTAAAACAAATTAACCACCATCCTAACGAATTTTTTTTTCACTCACTGAGGGGGGAGTAAGAAGCAACGTTTTTGTTGATTTTGGAGTTTTCTTTTCTGGATTATAAGATCCCTCATTATATTTTCTCATGGCATGGGCAGCTTCGTGAATAAATGTTATTTTTCTGGCACAAGATTTCAAATCATCACTCTGTGACAAGCTTGGATGTAGTAAAATAGTTCCACCAAACACTGTCATTCCACTAACTTCCCATTCTTATAAATAAATTCTTGCTTTTGTGGGGTATTTTTTTAAGAAAAAATAAATAGTAATTTATAACTTATACCCCGTTTTAGATCGGCCTTGAGCACCCCCTCCCATGCCACCCACCGTGCTTACGGTCCTAATTATTTTAACATGTTTAAGTATTAATTTGACAAGTTAAAATATTTGAGGGGGACTTGCCAAATAATATTTTAACTTTAAAATTTTCAGGCCGTTAGGGGTGGGTGACATGGGTAGGGGTACTTACTCCCCCCGTCCGTGAGTGAAAAAAAACGTTAAAAATATTGCTAATTTTTGCCCAAAAACTCACCCTCCTGAGTGAAAAAAAATTTTTAATAGAAAAAGTTTTAATGGAAAAAATATTTTATATAGAAGTGATAATTAGTATAATGAAATTTAGAGCTAATTCTGTTTAATTTTAAACAAATTGCGTTTTAAAAACTTAAATTTTATGAATTAAATTAATATTGCTTCAATTTTTGCGAATTAGGAGCTTTTTAATTTTTTTTTAAAAAAAATTTCTATAAAATTTTATATATAATTTGTTTTTTAAAAAAAAAAATTAATCCCTTCCGCGAGTTAACAAAATTTTTTGTTCACTCACGGAGGGGGGGAGCTAGAGTTGCTATATCTGCTTATTATTGGATGATTTCGAATAATCAATCTATTCATATAAAATTTACTATTAACCAAAATATCCCATGGATAAGCAAAAACTGGGAGTAAGATTATCTGGGATGTTCGCAAAATATGTTGTTTCAACTAAGTTTCTAATGTTTTTATTCCAAATATTCTCATTTGAAAAGGCTCCTTTAATAGGCGTAGAAAATAAAATTGTTGTAAGTTCTTCTTTTTGAGTCTTATTCAATCTTTCTGGGCTTTTAAAATGCAATTTAATGGCTCTTTGTTTGCCTTCAGTAAAAAAATCTGCATTTTCTTTATTTAAAGTTCCGTTAAAAAGTCTTGTCAGATGAGATGCTAAATATTGCCTTAAAATAAAGTGTTCAGCATCATCGCTAAATACCATTTTGTGAAGGAATGAAATTAAAAATTCTTCTAACTTGTTTGCTTGATCTACTTTGCTTGTAAAAAAAATATTCCAACACGAATTACAAACAATTTGCTGATCCCCTGTCAAAGCTCTTTCTATCAGCGATGGTAAATTTTCTTCTTCGCTTTCTAAGGAAGTATTTTTCATAATAGAAGAATCTTTTGTCTGTTCTATAGTTTCAGGTTCAATGGTATTTATTACTTTATCTTCTGACTCTTGCAGCTTCTTTTTTAATTTATTTGCATACTCTTTAAAAACTTCAGCCAAAGAGTTTTTGATTAAGCATATAAAATATTTAGCAATTGTTACTCTGTTTTTGCTGTCCTCATAACTAATTTTATTGAAATTAAAATCTTCAAGGTATGCACTGATATCTCTATAAAATAAAAACAATTTTTTGACTTTCTTTTTCCTTATTATAGAAATATATGTGCCTATAAAATCTTCAAATTCGTTAACAGCAAGATAATTAAATTGATCTTTGGTATTAATTTGTAAATTCTTGATGCTCTTAGCCACTCCAATAGCATTATATAATAATCATCACTGATTGCGTAGATTTGCATCAATATCTTCTGATTCAATTCTTTCTTCCATAGGAGCAATCATTTTATTCCAACTAGGGAGAAGCTCTGTATTTAAATAAGTGTTAAAATCACTTTGAATAGTAGGCAAATATGAAAAAGTAGCTATGAAAAAATCTGAAATTTCAATTTTTGTCCAATTATTTATCTCTTCAAACTGAGAAATAAATGACTGTAAATATTGCTGTATCTTTTTAATTTTTCATTCTTGTATTCTATTTCGATCTAAGTATAAGTTTAAAGCTTGCATTGGTACATGACTCTTAGCCCGCTCTAAACTCTTGTTTTTTACATTCGGAAGAGTTTCGAAAAAAGCGTCTAACAAGTTATATCAACGATCTGGACTTGTTAATTGCGCATTAATTATATTTTCAATAGGCAGTATAAAGTGATCTAAAACCTCTTCTGTCTTGATGAATTCATCTAGTTTTATATCTTCAAAAAGTGCACTTGCTGATTTTTTAGCAATATTTGAAGTATAAATGAACAATACTTCTAAAATTTTAGTCATCATGTCAATGCTTCTTTTACTTTTAAGGCTGATATAATTGGATTTCAGATAATTATAAGATATTTTTAGGACTTCTTCTCCAGATGTAAAAAAATCTAATACAGTATCTCAGTTCCAATAAAAAAAGTCATGAGTTATTTTGCACAGTTTTTCGATAGTGCTTTGTTCAAATTTGATATGATTGGCTAAACTTAAAGCATTCGAAAATGCTTGCCATGAACAAATATTGTCAATCAGATTATTCAATATTTGCTCTCTCAGAAAATTGAACTCTATTTTAAAGAATTTTAAGGCCTCACAATTAAAGGAAAAAAACTCATCTACACACTCATTTCTATCGAAAGCAAATCTCATCAAAAATTCTGATGTTTTGATTAAATTTCATTCACCTAACTCTCTGATGAACTTCAATTTATCTTCAGAATATTTTAAAACAAAAGAGAAATAAGTTGCAAAACTCACGATTTTTTCTTTTACTTTTAGGCTTTCACTTACAAATGAATCAGACCTTCTCATTCAGTCATAAATATCGTTTGATTCTAAAAGCCTAAAAACTTGATTCGCAAACCTTTCTTCGAGATTGTCGATTGGAGATTTTATAAGCAGAGACAAAATTGGCAGCTCATATTTGGAGCCTAGAAGTTCCTCCAAATGCACGAATTTTATCTTGTCGTCCCTATTGTAAGCTAAACAGTTTATCACTCTAAAATATTCTGAGATGCTAGTAGCATCATTATTTTCAATCATCAATCGAATATTTTCTTCTGAGTATTTTCCTAGCTTGAACTTTGGGATTTTTAAGTAAGCCAGGCTGTTTTTATTCGTATTTTTGTGCCAACTGCTGATTATTTCATGATTTTCGAGGAAAAAAATCTTTGCCGCTTCATTTGGATCTAATAGTGACATATTGGAAATAATATTTATAAAAGATCTAAGACAATAGAATTTTTCTTAAGCATATTAAAGAATTTTACTGCTTCACAACTGAAGGAAAAAACTCATCTACACATTCATTTTTATTAAGAGCAAAGTTTATCAAAAATTCTGATGTTTTGATCAAATTTCTTGGACTCAATTCTCTGATGAAGTTCAAACTTTTTGAGAATATTTTAAAACAAAAGAGAAATAAGCTAGAAAACTAGCGATTTTTTCTTTTTCTTTTAGGCTTTCCCTTACATCTGAATCAGACCTTGTCATTCAGATATAAATTTCGTTTGATTCTAAAAGTTACAAAGCTTGGGCAATAAATCTTTTTTCAAGATTTTCGATTGGAGATTTTATTAGCAGAGACAGAATTGACAGTTTATATTCTGAGTTTAGAAGTTCCTCCAAAGGCTCGAATTTTATTTTTTCTGCACTATCATAAGCTAAATAGTTTATCACTCTAAAAAATTCTGTAATGCTGCCAGCATCATTATTTTCAATCATCAATAGAATATTTTCTTCTGAGTATTTTTCTGGGCTGAGCATAGGAATGTTTGCAAATATCAGAGTTTCTTCCTTTATTTCTTCGTGCCATTAACTGACTATTTTACAGTTTTTAAGTAAAAAATCTTTTACCGCGTCATGTGGGCCTAATAGTAACATATTGTAAGTAATCTTTATAAAAGATCTAAAATATTATATTTTCTTTACTAAAAATTATAATGATTAATTATTAGAAATAATTTTTTCAATTATCTCGACGATTTCATCAAAAACTCCAATAAAAAATTGATCGCTATTCAGTGTATAAATCCCTTTGCATTTTTCTTTTAATTCCTTTAAGTACTCCTGTGCATCAGAAGGAGAACAGAACGTATCAGCATCTCCGTGAATAATGTAAATGTCTCCTTTAACTCTTTCACAGTAATATTTCATATCGAGGTTCCTAAATTCATCCATTTCTTCTCTCGAGCATATTCACTCTCTCCCTAAACCACGATGAATCGCTTTACTGTTTTCCATCAATAATTCATTAACATCCTGCAAAAATACTGGAAGATCCATCATATTGTATCGTGGCGATATTGAAATAATTGTTTTTACATCTCCATATAAAGCCGAGTAAATAATCGAACTAATAGCTGGCTTGTACTGCCCAATAATTCCTTCAACTTTATAATCTCTGGAAGTTAGAAATTTAACAGCGTCATCTATATCTGCTGAATCCCTTATAAATCCAGCATATGAATGCTCTCCTTGGCTATTTCCGCTCCCAGTAATATCTATTTTGAAAGTATTTGCATCAAGATGCTCAAAAATAAATTCAGATAAGAAAAAAAGCTCGGAAGGCCACATTGGGCAGATGAGATAGATTTTTTTGACTTCTGGGTATTTTATTGACATATAGTAAGCCAGTTGCAGTCCATGCCGATTTGTAAAATATTCCATGAAACTATTATATTTAGTTTTATGATGGCTAATAATTGATTTTACTTTATTATAAAACAATAGCTTTGAGATAATTATGATTTGGAAACTTTTTATAATTTAAATAATCAAGAGAAATATTAACCATATTTTTTATCATTAAATTGTAAAACTCTTTTTATATGAATTTGGTATAGGAACAATTAAGATAAAAATCTATATTAGATTTTATATATTTGCATCGCCCTTTAAATCTTTAGTATTTAAGTCTCTAAGTGGTTTTTATAATTTTATATGCTATAATTTTTCTTAAATTATATCCTGATATCTTAATAGATTTATCAATAAATGAACATTCAGGCTCTAATAAACATAATTATTAATTTAATAGATTAATCAACCCTAAATCAACTTGAAAATAGATTTATATAAACTTCTTTTAATTTTATATCAAAAGGTATAAAAATATGAAATTAGAATAAAAAATTATAGAAGAATATATATTAAATTAACAAAAAAAAATTTTTCTAGCTCAATAAATTAAAGAGATTAATTTTTGAAAAATTTAAATAATAAATGTTTTTAATTTTCAGATATAATTTTTCAATTATCTCCATCACCTCATCGAAAACACCCATAAAAAAATGGTCACAGTTTAGAGCATAACATCCTTTGCATTTTTCTTTTAATTCTCTTGCATAATCACTCGCATCTGAAACGGGAATGTACTCATCAAGCTCTCCATAAATTATATAAATATCCCCTTTAGCTCTTTCACAATAATCTTTCATATTTGTGTTTATTAGCTCATCCATCATTTCTTTATTAAATTTCCATTCTCTTCCAAAAGCCATAAAAACAACCTCATTACCATTGCGAATTGACTCAAAATTCCTTTGTATAAATTCTGGAAAATCAATCAAATGATATTTTGGAGCCACTGCTATAATTGTTTTGACCTCACCATATAAGGCTGCATAGTGAATAGCGCTAGTTCCATATCTCGAGCATCCAATAATTCCTAATACTGTATATCCTCTTAAGACCAAAAATTTAACTGCATCATCTATATCATCTGCATCTCTCCCATACCCAGCAAGGCCGTGCTCTCCTTGACTTTGTCCGTTCCCTGTTAAATCAAGCATAAAAACATTTGCATTTATGTGTTCGCGTATAAAATCAGGTAGTAAAAATACTTCTGAAGGCTTCATAGAAGGGACAATATAAATGTTTTTGTCATCTGGATATTTTACAGATATTTTGAAAGCCAATCGTAAGCCAGAGCGATTTATAAAATACTCCATAATGCAAGCAATTAGATTTAATATAGTTATAGATTATATTTATTTATTTGATTTAAGAAAAAAGAAGTTCTGTTTATTTTCACGTCTATTAAGAAGAATAAATTATTTATCGCCATATTAAATAATAAAAGGAAATTCTCCTAAAAGAATTATGTTAAATATTTAGATCATCCTGAACAGTTAGTTGCATGATTAATTAAAATAGTAATAAATTTAAAATATTTTATCAAGTAGGAAAATAATTAATCTGAATATTTTGATTGGTTTGTGTTTTATGTAATAATTAAAGGTTTAGCATGCAAAGTACATAAAAAGGTTTTAGGATAATTGAAGATCTAATATTACAATTTGCTTGAGAATAAATGCTTGCATTTGAGAAATAAAAGGGCAATTGATAATTGTAAAAGATTGAAAATAAAAAATGATTAAAATTATATTGCAATCAATGATGGAAGTGCAAATATTCAATAAAAATTTAATATCATGATAAAATCTAACGTTTTTAAAATTTTTTTCCATAAGCAAGTCAGAAATTTTATCGTGCTTAATTAAACTATGCTTATTATCAAAGCAATTGTGATGACAGCCATGTTTATTATTAATTTTAGGAATTTCAGACTCTTTAAAGCAAATATATTATATAATAAAGGCGTTGATTTTAATCAAGGTGTTAGATACATAAAAGATAATGAAAACTCAATTAATATAATTCAAATTTTTGACATCGTCGCACTTTCAAGGATATTAGCAAATATTATAGTAAAAATGAATTAATGTAGTAAGAAGTTCTCATAAAATTAATTGCCAGAAATTATTTTTTGGATTATCTCGACAACTTCATCAAAAACTCCCACAAAATAATGATCGCAATTTAAGGTAAAATGGCCTTTACATTTTTCTTTCACCTCGTTTACAAATTCTAGCGAATCTGAATAAGGACATATCTCATCAGAATCTCCGTGGATAATGTAAATATCTCCTTTAGCTCTTTCGCAGTAATATTTCATATCAATACTTCTCATTTCTTGGACCATTTCCATTGTGATTTTCCATGTTCTTCCATAAGCTTCGTGGATAATTCATCCAGACTCTTTGATTACATGCATCCTATCTTCCAAAAATTTGGGAAAAACATGCATATGAAATCTAGGAGCGATCGCTATAATATTTTTGACTTCACCATACAAAGCTGAGTAAAGAAATAAGCCAGTTGTATACTTTGAATAAGCTATAATTCCAGAGACTTCATACCCTCTAGAATTCAAAAATTTTACAGCATCTTCTATATCATCTGCATCTCTTCTATAGCTGCCATGAGAATGCTCACCTTCGCTGTCTCCGTCCCCTGTAAAATCAAACTTAAAAGTGTTTGCTTCCAAAAACTCAAAAATAAACCCGCACAACCAAAAAAGCTGTGTGGGCCACATAAGACAAGTTATGTATATTTTTCTATCATTTGGGTTTTTTATTGAAAAGTTGTAAGCCAATCGCAGACCATTTCGGTTAGTAAAATAGTTCATATTAGAATTTTTTATTATGAATTAAAAAATTAATTTATGTATCAAAGAATTCCTGCATTAATTTTTATTAACTCCCCCTCTGTGAATAAAATAATCTTGTTAACTTACGGAGGGGGGTTAATTTTTTTTTAAAAAAAAAATTTCGAAATTTAAAAAATTCCTTATTCGCAAAAATCGGAAAGCAAATATTAATTTAATTTGTAAAATTTATATTTTAAAACGCAATTTGTTTAAAATTAAACAGAATCAGCAAGAGATTTCATTATAATAATTATCACTTATATATCAAAATTTTTTTTCATAAATATTTTTTCTATTAAAAAATATTTTTGTTCGCTCACGGAGGTGGGGTTTTTGGGCAAAAAATAGAGACTTTCTTCTAATGATTTTGTTCACTCACGGAGGTGGGGGAGTAAGTAAAATAAATGTTAAATGAAAAAATAAATAACTTGGAAATAGTTACCATTTTTTTATTTTGGAATTCACTTATTTGAGTATTAACTATGCAGAATTAAAATAATTAACCAAGGTTTATGCAGACGCCAGAGATATTTATAATCAATAAAGCCAGTTTTATTTCCACAAAATTATTATTCAAAAATAATGATTAAGTTTCATAAATAATTTTATTGATTATCTCGAGACATTTATATAATAATAATAATAATAATAATTTAACGGTTATCGCCCTCTAGAGGACCAATATTTTCCAAATTCTTCTTCTTTTTTCTTCCCCTTCAACTCCAATTATTTCCATCTAAAAAATTCTGTCCATACCTCACATTTTCGGCTTTTTTCTTCAAATTCAATTCTACTTCATTTAAGACTTGATATCTTCGTCCTAAACTCCTTTCATAATTTTCTACCCCAATATTATGTATATCCAAAATCTTGTTGCATTCATATCTCTTTTTTCTTCAATTTTTCTTTCTCCATGACTTGCATGCAAATTCCATTTTATTTCATCCCTTCCCTTTTCGCGGGCAAATTTTTTTGCTTGTAATCGACTCAACGCCTAAATTCCAACACTTAGCATTTTCTAGGGAATCACCTCCTTCAGAATCCTTACTCTCTGGTGTACCTTGGCCTTCAGCTTTATCTCCAGCATTCCCAACCTCAGTGTTGTCCTTGATTCCACTTTCATCACTTGAGGTTTGAACTATTTCCACAGGCCGAGTGCCTGTTGTTGCATAAAGCGGCGTAGTTGTCTCACTATCAAGCACTTCTTCAGTTTGGTTCCAAGCCCAGGATACAAATCTTCCTCATATTTCATCTTCATCTTCTTCATCATAATCATCATGGTCATCGTAGTTGCTTCAGTAATCCTCCTCAGATTCATAGTCAGAAAAGAACTCTTCTGGTGGCATCAAGTATTCTTCTGCATTGAGAGCAATATCTGTACCATTTAGCCATTCTTCCTCGTTCTCTGACATGCCGCCAAACTCCATGACTTTCCAATGCTGCTTCATCATCCTTGATACCTGGCTAGAAGGCAGTAATTCCCTTCCCTTCATGTACAGCTTTAATTCTTCTTCTAAAATCAAGCGTCGCGCACTCATTGAACACTTTAAACATGCCATTTAAAACCTTAATTTAATAATGAGACATTTATATAAAAATGGCTTGTTGAGCCAATTCTCTCTTAAATCCTGTTTATCTTAATTAATTATTGTGAGAGAGGCTATCCGGTGATACATCATAGGCTTTTCTCCACTCTTGCTTTGTTGGCTGCTTGCCATCTGCTATATCCTACTCTTTCCTCAGGAGGTAGGCTCGAATACTAATTCTGAACTTATTAGGACGCTTTGCTGTGCGATGTATCAAGCATGGGCTGTCCTTCCAGAAATTTGAAAATAGAATTTCTGGTCAGGTTGTTGAATAAGATCCGCCTCAAGCTCAAGGATTCCACACCTGACATCACGCTAGGGAGCTGTCTGATGGCTCTAAGGATTCTGCTTGCTTTCCTTTTGAACTTCGACTGGTCATCTTTATCAGTGATGAAACCTTGGCTGGATTTACCCCAGCATTGTACTCTAAAACTAGATGCATATTACCGAACGCTGCTCTTCCTGATGTTAGAGGACAGGCTGGTTCGCCAAGCCATATTATGTATATCCTTTTAATTTCTGCAGCTGATATTCCACAAGGTTTGCCTAAACAAGTTGAGCAACAACGCAAAGATGATCGGTCAAAGTTCAATCTTGTGGCAGTTTTTTCCTCATAGAAAAATGCAGCCAGAGTTGGGAGGAAATACAGAGATGTCAGTGACTATTTTTCTAGCCGATCAGGCAGCATGAACACCCTGTGCTTCGATTTTCCATTTTTGTATAAGTAAACTTAAAAGACTATCTCGATTACTTCATCGAAAACTCCAATAAAAAAATGATCGCAATTTAACGTAAAATGTCCTTTGCATTTTTCTTTCAGCTCACTAACATACTCTAAAGAATCTCAATAAGGATTTATTTCGTCAGCATCCCCATGAAGGATATAAATATCTCCTTTTGCTCTTTTACAATAATATGGCATATCTGTGTTTATTAATTCTTGTATCATATCCCATGTGCATTTCCACCCCCTTCCAAAGGCAGAGTGAACAATTTCTTTATTTTGGTGAATTATTTCTAAGTCATCTTGTAAAAATTTCGGTAGAGGATTCATATGAAATCTTGGAGCTAAGGCGATAATTTTGTTAACTTGGCCATATAAAGCAGAGTAAACAATGACGTTGATAGCGTTTCTTGAGTGCCCAATAATTGCTTCTACTTTATATCCTAGAGAAGATAAATATTTTATAGCGTCATCTATATCGCCGGCGTCTCTTTCAAAGCCAGCATAAGTATGCTCACCTTGGCTGTTCCCATTGCCTGTAAAATTAAATCCAAAAGTGTTGCAATTCAAGTTTTCGAATAAAAATTCACTAACTTCTCGAACAAAAATATTTTCAAAAAAAATTATTATATTAAATTCGAAATAATTTTAATGCAAAATATTGATTTAATTGAAAAGTAAACAGAATATTTTATAAAAAAATTATTTTGGTATTTAGTTAATAATCAAATCTCTAATTAAAAATTTTTTTCAAATTTTGTTTGCTCACGGAAAGGAGGGGAGTGAGAATAAAAATTTCTGTTAATGATAATTGGCAAACTATAGAAATTTTTTTATCGTCTTGATTTTTAATTGAAAAGCGGCAGGCTAGTTCTAGGCCATTTCGGTTTGTAAAGTAATCCATATTTTAAGTGAAAAGTTAAGAAAAGAACTATTTAAAATAAAGCTGAAACTCTAAGTGAAGACAAACAAAATTTAGAATAGGCCAGAATTTAATAATGGCTGAATTTTATAAATATTAAAAATTAAGTTTAGATTATAAGCTGATTTAGTATAAAATAAATTTAATTTTTTATTTAAAATTTTTAATTGATATTAAAAAACAGGCAAGGAGGCAAGAGCATGGAAAGCTACTTCATTGGCTCATCTGGATCTATATAGACATTTTTTAATTTTATAATGATACCTTAATGGACACTCGAAGATATTAGCGGTCTAGAATGATGGGTTTTGTCTTTGAATTTTCCTCAATTACTGTAAGTTATCAACAAAATTTCAACCATAATTATTCATAAATTTATAAAATTTGTATATGGAGTTTTATCCATAGCATTTCTTTTAAAATGCACTATATATTTAAAACTTAAAATAATTTATTTTTAAAAAAAATAAACTATACATCAATAGACTTCCCTGACATCCAGACTCCAAATTTTTTAGCAGCAATTTTCTTTAAGCAAGCAGCCTCATTTAATGCAATTTTTGCAGTGAGTTCAGCTTTCTTTATTTTTATCATAATTTTCAACTGATTAAATTTTCTCCTTGCACATATTCCTCGTCATCAGGACTGTATGATTGTGGCTGCTAATTTTTCTTCATCATGATGCCTTTGTGAATTAATTCTGGATTTATTGTTTCTTTTAGGCGACCAAGTGCTTCTAAGGGTGTCAGCTCTTGTAGATTTATCAAGATTTGGGGAATAAATGTAGCTTTTGTTAGGTTTTTGGCTAGGGAAAGGGATTTGTGGGGTGAACATTTGGGTTTCTTCATCAATCATAGGAATATTATCTATAATTGGGCTTCCTCTGCGCCTATTAAATGCAGTTCTTGGCTGCTCTGGGCATGATCGCCTTTTATGATGATTAAAAAATGGTAAATCATAGTTAAATTTGAATTTAACTGAGTCATTTTCATCAGAATTCCTTTGCTTTGGCTTACTTTTCCCTAAAATATATTTATGATATAAATCTGTAGGAATTGACGGCCTTTTACTCGCAAGTTTTGATAAAAACTTATCCTTAATCGACCTCAAATTTTTTGCTTTTCTTTTAACTCTTTCAATACAATTTTTAATTGTAATTGTGAGGGGATTATTATTGCCGAAGTTAAAACTGCAAATTTTTAAGCCAAAATTTAAACTTTCTAAGGCTTCTTCATGTTTTGATTAAGATTAAGATTAAGATTACGCTGGGTATTTAAAGTCCCTACTACGTCCGAGGTCGCATGCCACGGTTTCCCGTGTGGTGGCAGAGCGTTCACCAAGCCCGGGCCGAAACCCCCGGTTTCTCGGTAGAGGTATTGTCAAGGGCCGTCTTATACCGGCTTTGCTGACCACCTCCATTTCCAACTTGGATCGTCGCTAAGTTTACGCCAACTCCGCTTCGTCGTCCGCCAGATCTGCCCATTGAAGGGCACCTTTTAAACTGGAGAGACCCCCGTCTCGATGTCTAACTCGCCTCCCCTCTTTTCCGGTCATCCCGAGAAAGAACTCAACAGCTTTCGCCATTCGGGCGAGCCACTAAAGCAGCTTAGGCAGGTAATTCGCCCTGCCTCATTTCGGGCACTCACTGGGCTGAGCGCTGCTGGCAAAAAGAAGTCACGAATAACTGCCCATGGGTCTGGTCGCAAAAACAGCGGTTCTCGCGCTTAGGCCTCTCGCTTCGAGGTCCCGGACGTTGTTGGGCGAATTCCTGGCTCCAAAAACCATGCCCGGATATACATGGGTAACCACCACTGGGAGGGTGGGTCGGTCGCCATACGCCATTTTATGTATATTCCATGTTTTGATAAATGTTCATACTCTAGTCCTAGGCTATGATGAGCAATTGCAAGAGTTTTTATATTTGACTTATTTTGTGCCACTTTTAGCAAGCTACAGGCTTTAGATGCGTAGCTTATGGCTTCTTCGTGATTGCCTCTTTCAGATAAGATTCCACATAAATTCAGATAAGTGCTTGCTAAATTCTCTACTTCTAAGCTAAATTTTATTGAATAAATATATTTAAATAATAAATTTTGATACCAATATAGAATGGTATATAAAAGAGCTTTCAGAAAGCTCAATTATTTTCTCAAAGTACGCAATTGCTTGTGATTCTTTGCCTACTTTTCTTAAATAGCAGCCTAGGTTGTTATAAACCAAAGCCCTCAGCTTATCTTTAGACGAATTTGATGGGAAAAATTTCAGTGTAAAAAGGGCCTGATTTAAGTAATAAAGGCTGTGTCTAAAATTTTTTTTTCTTAATTGTTCACTTGCAAGTTTGCTTACTCCCCCCCTCCGTGAGTGAACAAAACCATTAGAAAAATCGCTATTTTTTGCCCAAAAACCCACCCTCCGTGAGTGAACAAAAATTTTTTTAATAGAAAAATTTTTTAAGGAAAACAATTTTGATATATAAGTGATAATTAGTATAATGAAATCTAGAGCTAATTCTGTTTAATTTTGAACGAATTGCTTTTTAAAACATAAATTTTTATAAATTAAATTAATATTTGCTTTCCAATTTTTGCGAAGTGGGATTTTTTTAAATTTCGAAAAAAAATATTTCTTATAAAATTTATATAGAAATTGTTTTAAAAAAAAAAATTAACCCCCCCTCCGTGAGTGAACAAAATTTTTTTGTTCACTCACGGAGGGGGGGGAGTTAGCTCTATAATGTTATCTTCAAGCCTCATAGGACTTGCTGTTAAAATGCTGTCATTCATATTAATAAAATTACATTAACTAAAGATTATACTCATTATTTTAATTATTATTTATTTTTTTCTAAAAAAATATTTTTTTTATTCATAAAAATCGGAATGCTCCATCCAGTCAGCTCAGAGCCGTCGGTTTCTCCAAAATTTGTGGCGACACTTCTGCGACCTTTGCCAAGGCCATGCTCTTTAGAAGCTGTTTTCGGCCTTGAGCTAGTTTTTTTAATAGAGCCTGACCTGACAATTCTTAACTTGTTTTCTCTATTATTTGAGTTTTTTATATATTTCTCAATGAGATTGTCATTAATTAAATCAGGGTCTATAATCGATGGTTGCTTGAGATCTGTTTTTGTATCAAAAATGGGGTTTGGAGAATTTGACCTTGTTAAATTTGATTTTTTTGGGCTCGCTAGAACAGTTGTGCAGGAAAACAAAGGCACATATCTTTCTTTTATGCTAAAAATGCATTTATCTGAATTTGAGCTACTTGATTGTAAGCAAATTTATATATAAATTTATTTTATTAATTTCTAAATTATTTTTTTAAATAATTCAATTATTAAAGGATAGCTGATTTTTCACTTGCAAATAAAACGGGATATTTCCATGATATTTTGATTTTTTTTGGGCTACTTCAATAGGATTTTTCGATATATGTGTTTTATAGGCTCCATGCCAAATGAAAGTATATTTTTGATAATATACATTTCATCGTGACATTCGGTCGAAACTTAACATTTTTTTTTAGTCAAATAGCTCACTATCAAAAAGTTTCAACCAATTTTCGACCAAATATACTTCGGTGAAATGCACACTATCAAAAGTGCTCGACCATTGGACCTGCACCGTTTTTTATATATTCACTGACATGGACCATACTATTATTTATGCTTTTTGTCTTTGAAGAGTCTGTTGGTGAATTTACTTTACTAAAAGTTTGCGATATATTTACAGCAGACCCTGATTTGTCAAGAGTATTCAGAGATGGTCTATACGACAATACATTTTTCCTTATAATCCTTGATCCTTTTCAATTCGGCTTTTTATATGCAAAAGTCTCACGCAGCTCCTTGTTAGACTTTGTATTAAAATTTAAGCGGTGACTTCTATATCCATATGGAGATTTTGACTTATATATCGTAGGTCCTATATCTCCTTCAAGTGTCAATTTTTCCATTTTTTACATAATTATCTAAATCTATTATTCCCTTACATCATGAGACATGCACAAAAGTTAGGCTTTTCGTCAGATTCGTGGTCTCTTCTTGTTTTTCTTCTTTTTTCTTTGACTTGAGGCGTTTGTTGAAGCATGGTTGATTCGAGTCTTAAGCCTCTGATTGGTAAAGTTTCATAAGCATGGGATTCTGGCTTATTGTTGATAGGAATTTCTACAGGAGGATTGGTGACGTTTGGGTCAAGTTTTTTTCTTTTGTCTAAAAAACACCAGACATATCTGTCTAAATGGTCAAATTCTTCTGAAAGCAATTTGTCTTTTTCGATTCTGGCGAGTTTTTTTATAAGTTCATTTTCATTGAGGGCAGGACATTCTAGCTCGCTTGTGAGGTTTTCTTTTTCAACTTGGATTTTATTGATAGCAAGATCAAGCTCTTCGTAGCTAGCGTTGATATTTTTAGCTCGCAAAATTTCGTTAGCGATGTCTACTAACTCCTCCTCCGCGAAAAACAATTTTTTACTTGATGATGGAATTAAAATTGTTGAAATTTAAAAGGAAAATAGGAATAGAAAAATTATTTTAATTTGCAAAATTGATATTTTAAAATGCAAGCTATTTAAATTCAAGATATTTTCATATATACTAATTATCAATTATATATCAAAATATTTTTTAATTAAAAATTTTTGTTCGGAAGGTGATTTTTTATCAAAAAATAGGATTTTTCCAATTGCTTTATTAGAGGGTAAGCAGCCTTTTAAATTTTCAATTGTTGTATTGAAAGGTAATTTTATTTCAAATTGGATCATAGGGATGCAAATTTTTTTTTAAAAAATAATTTTCTATAAATTTTCCATATAAAATATGCACGTTTTTTCTATGCAAATTCTAATTATTTTAAGGCTAAATTATTTTTTTTCTAATCAATGAATCATAACTTGGAACTCAATACTAGTGATTCTTATATCAAGCCAAATATCCTGAGAAGTTATATCGCAAGAGATATTATCTCCATTAGCAGTAAATTCCCCAATGCTCCCTTTCTAAATTAAAATTACTTTTGGTAGAATTTGTTGGTTTCTTGACAAAGAGTTTGCATAAAGATTATTCAAACCTGAAAAAGCTGGGTATTTCTCTATTGTTTCACATATAAAAAATCTCAAATAATTCAATGAGTCGCTGACTAAAGTTTACTTAGGATCGCAGCTAAGCTGAATATTGCTGCTTGGGTGGATGTTTAAGTGAACATTTAAAGTTATCTGTTTTTGTGGCTGATTATTGTGACCTAAGTACACATATTTTTCTGTTTCTTCGTTTTGGATGCCAAGTTCCTCTAAAAGATCATCCATAATCTGTGAGATAGCTTATTATAAAATTTTAGAAAATCTTCTTTTTCTTATAAAATCCTAATTATTTATTCAAAAATTACACAATTTTATTAAAAATTAATTATGCTTCAGGTATACGATATTTTTTAACAAGCTCTTCTTCATCAGATAATGTCAATTCTTCATCAACAAAAAATTCTTGATTTAATTCCTCTATTCCTTTATTTTTAAAAAAAGTAGCTAATTGGGCTTGACATATCTCTGATAATGATTCAATCCCCATAATATCAGCTGCGCTCATAGTTTCAATCAAAAGTTTTAAATCTAACGATTTAATGAAAAAGCAATCCCATGGGTCTTCTAAGGCATCAGAAATATTGCTTGAAGGCAAAGGCTTTTTCGGGACGTCAGGGTGTTTATATTTATGATGGTGGGCGAATTCCAAAACTTTTTGCAGCGAATCCAGAGAAATATCGCTGAGAGTAACTTCGTTTGAATTTTGTGATAGTAGCTCATTTTTTATTAGGACGCTGATGTTTTTGAGCTCAGATCTTGTGACTATTCTATGCCCTTCTTTTGTAATTAACGTTATTTGCTGAGAACTTAGCATGATTTAATAATAAGTTTAAAATGAATCATTAATAAGACAACAAAAGCAAATTATGAGTCTATTTTATAGAGAAAAATAGAAAAAAAATTATAAGTTATATTGATAATGAGATATAAATAATTTAAAAGGCCAATATGAAAATACTAATAATTTTTATATTTTCCACATTTTTTTTGGTTTTTGTGTTATAATAAAAATGAACCAATGGAAAGCAGAATTGATAGGATGTACAAATGCATTTCCAACTTGCTGGGTTGTGTTTCCTGGTAATTGGATCGGATCAGCATTTTTGCAAGGATTGACAATATATGAAATGAATGAAGGCAACGGAGGTATAAAAGAATGCTTATTAGGGACTTTTACAGGCTGTTTTGGGCTTGCTATTAACCGTCAGAAAATCAGACAGAAATATGAAATTGCAGGAAGCTGCGTAATAGATTGTCTTTTATATAGCTTAATAATTTAGATTATTATAGAGGAGCTCCTGACAGTCATTTATGGCTTTTCACATCTTTTACTTCGCACCACCTTCTTGCTTGTCAGTCCGCAACTCTATCGTGTTGGAAAAATCTCGATTGGCTAAGGGAAGACCCTCTGCTTTGTTGGGCTATCCCTTTTCAGCTTCCATCATCCAAGATACAACCAGTATGTGAGTCTGAGATCGGTCAGCCGGGCATTATACTCTATCAGGTCAAGTAAAGCTGGGCTGGACGCACTCAACACACGCTGCTTTTCTCTTCCACAAGGTCCCAGACTCCCATCTGGTTGCAGAATTAAGATGGCAGGTTTATTCTCAATGCCATTTTTAATTACCTTTTATATAGCTTAGGCTGCAATTGCTGTTTATCTTTACAAGAATTTAGAGAGGTTAGAATGCATATAGCAAAGGTATAATTAAAATAATAGATAGTAAGTATAAAAATTAGCAGTTTTAAAAGCAATGGAAGATAAATTACCATATTGATCAGAATATAGTTAAAATGGAAAACATGAAAAATTGTGAGGTATTGAATATTATGCAGGAGATCATCTGTAAAAATCTAATTGATTTTAAAAACTCTGACTCTCTCATGACCATTTAATATAAAGATTAAAACTCATTTTTAGATTAAATTAATAGATAAATATATCATTACAGCTTATATCCCTTTATAGATTTCTTTATCGAGCAAAATGTTCTGGATTATTGAACGACCAAGAGAGACTCTATTAAAGGAACGGGCCGGATATCTATATCAGGAAGTGCTAAAAAGTGAGATGTCAAAAAATGGTGACAAGTCTGAAAAAAGTTGACAAATGAACGCGCCATTTTTTAAAATGGATTTATTATTAAAAGAATTTAAAACTTAAGATACCCAATTAGACAGAAGATATAATTACACATTATATATTGTCTTTAAATATTTTGATTTATATATATATTTAAATTTAATAATAGCTGTAAAAATCAAAAACTTGCAACTCGATGTGCATTTTTCCGGCTCGATGGAATTTCTTTATTTTATGCTAATTTATTTATTAAGACTAGAGTTATAATTTGCAAAGTGCGTGGCTTGTGATTTCTCAATATATGCAAAGTTCTTATCGACTCATATGATGTGTACTTAGCAAAAATTCAATATGGCTTATAAGTGAAAATAAAAAAACTTGCAACTCGATGTTCATTTTTCCGGCTCGATGGAATTTCTTTATTTTATGCTAATTTTATTTATGAGGACTAGAGTTATAATTTGCAAAGTGCGTGGTTTGTAATTCTAAATATATCCAAAGTTCTTATCGACTCATATGATGTGTACTTAGCATAATTAAATATTGATTAAAATTAAAATATCTTAAGTTTAAAATTCTTTTAATAATAAATCCATTTTAAAAATTGGCGCGTCACTTGTCAACTTTTTTCAGACTTGTCACAATTTTTTGACATGTCACTTTTTAGCACTTCCTGATATAGATATCCAGCCCGTTCCTTTAATAGAGTCTCTCTTGGTCGTTCAATAATCCAGTACATTTGCTCGATAAAGAAATCTATAAAGGGGTATGAGCTATATGGAATATTCTCCAAAATGCATAATAATTGAATTATCCTCCATAAATTCAAAAGACTTGCTTTGAAGAGGAGTAAGAAACTCGAAATTTCCACAGTCAAATATACTAATCATCTTAAAAATCACTTTTTAAAAGATGGGTAGCTGAAAAAAGGTTCGAAGTGACTAGTGAGCTGATTCAAGCCTCAGGTAAGTGGTATTCTTCGTTTAGGAAGTCCAGGGTGATTTTGGCTATTCACACCTCATGATAGGTTTTTTTCCTTATCCTAATGATGGCAAACTAAGGCACAAAGTTGATTCATACTAGGGTTAAAAATTCTCTGTCGTAGAGTTGGCCTCATCATCACCGAGAGATTGCTGACATCAGCATTTTTTGGCAGCATCGACACGAAAAGCGCGCGATGTATGATGCTAGGTGACTAGGGCCGCTCGAGCGCAAACGGCGAGGTCTGTAATTGTCCCCAGAGATTCACCTTAACTTAATCTTTAAAATTCAAATTTTTTAACTCTTATGATTTTCCATTATAATTAAGTATCATCTTTACTTATATTTTCAAATCTATTTAGTCTAAGACATAGCAATTATTATATAATTAAAATTCTTATATAGTCTTAATTTTATATCTGATTTTTTTAAAATACCGACATTCTATTCAGATTAATAATCTGCTTTCTGATCAGATAATTTTTATCCATTAACAAATTTTTTTCAATAGAACCCAATAATAAATATGAAATCAATCTTGATAATCCTCCTTTGTACAGTCGCTTTTGGCTTAGAATACCAATCATGCAGCACCGTTAGCTGTGGTACCGGAGCAAATAATCAATGTATATCTGTTTATACAAACAACAAGACTACAATAGTAACACCATGCTCAGCCAATCAAACATGTGCTGATAATGGCCAATTTTCAGGCACAACAGGGAACTGGGCAGCAGCAAACTGCGCAGAAAAATCGGCACAACCCAGTCCCTCAATAGACTGCTCTGTAAGCTTAACAACTTTAACAGGGAAGCCTTGCTGTAATGACAATAATTGTAAAAGTGGAAGCTGCGATAATGGAATTTGTGAAGGACTTTCGAACGGAGCCAATTGTACAGTCGATGAAGAATGCAGGCCAGGGTATTATTGTAAAAGCACTAATTGGACATTCCCAACTAATGGCACAAATGTGACAAACGAAACAAATCTGACAGGGCTGTGCTCAGACTCTTTATCAAGTGGTGACATCTGCACGTTCCATAATGAGTGTCCTATAGGATATGGCTGCAACAATTCTACCTGCACTCAGCTTTTTTCACAAGATATCAATGCCGTCGTGTCTGACAAAAGATTTTGTAAATCAGATTTTATTAGAAATGGCAAATGTGATGGAATTTATATACGTTCAAATAACACCCGCTTATCGTCCCCATATGCTTGTACGATTGGCCAAAGATGCAATTATGTATATGCTTCTGATAACGCAGTTGCAGCTGAAGATTGATGCCAATGTGGAGGGGTAAAAAATGATACTGGGTACTGTGGGAGCTTTGGAAATGTCATTGGTTATTGGGATGAAGTTTTCCCGAAGCTTCAATATAGCCGTTCTGATTGTTCAGGAAATTATTCACATAGGTACAATGATAGTGTGCATTTCACCGAGGTACTTTTAGTTGAAAATTTTTAAATATGTGCCAATTTGGCTGAAATTTAACGGTTTTTCGGTCAAATGTCTCACTATCAAAAATGATTCGAACAAATTTTTCCCTAGGGAGATGTATCATTATCAAATTTCCACAGTCATTTGGCATGGAGCCTATTCACACACTGATAATTTCGCTGAACTTTTCAATTGCAGCTCACTTTCGAGTATCGAAGAACAGTATTTAGAAGGAATGAATGAACAAGCCACTTATTGGACTTTATATCAGTCTGGTGCTATAGACAGCTGTGTGAATCAGCTTGGACTGTTCCCGACCAATGTCACTTTGGGTTCTGATACCAGTGGGGCTATGATGATGGTGATTTCTTCAATCTTATTAATATTTGCGTAATAGGATTTATTAAATAATTATTATTTATTCAAAATTATAGAAGTATCTTGGTCTTTTTGCTCTTCCAAAGATTTTTGTGATTTGGCATGCTTGATAATTCTACCGCATAATTTTTCCATTTTATCCATATGATCTGTCAATTTATCAACTTTTTCCTTTATCGCAACTATAAACTCATCCCCAGCGCCACCCATTTCAGTGATATTTTCCCTGTTTTTCTTTAATTCTACTATTTTTTCTCTTAAAGATTCATAGGAATCTTTTGTGATTTGATGCTTTTTCCCAAGCTTATTTTTGCATCCAAAATAAATAAGCCCAGCTTGGATTGTGTCTGCTGCAGCTTGTGCTTTATAAATTGAAGCAAAAGAATTGGATTCGTTAGTAGAAAAACTTGCGTATTTTTGGATAACAATGATAAAAAGGGATAAAAATACAGTCCCTAATGAATATCCAATAACTGCCATGGTTCTTCCAAAATAACTTATAGGATAAAAATCCCCATATCCTACACTAGACATAGCAGCAAACATACACCAAATCCCACTCAAAGGGTTCTGAAAATCTTGATGAGAAATATCGATCAATGGCCTTTCAAAAATCCTCATAAGGCATCCACAAATAATCATAGAAGGTATCACTAACAAAAATAATATCGCAACCATAGGATGCTGGGCAACCAGGCATTTAAATACAAATCTGACATTTGCTTTGGCATTATTATTTAAACAAAAAGTTCTTGCTAAATGATTTTGATAGGGTGTATAATTGATAATAGCTCTGTATATAAAAATCAGCCTTACAATCATAAAAATGTATAATAATTCTGAGAGGTTGTAGCAAATTTCTATTGTTTCGTAATTGTATCTATATGGTAAATATATTGAGGCATTAATGTAAGGATAAGGAAAAATAAATAAAAGTATAAATTCAATGGTTCGGCTCATGCTAAAGGTCTTTTTAATTTTCCGCTTAATTACTACTGGAAAATTTCAAACAGTGATTTTGTATTCTGGCTCTACAGTCATCAAGTATTTATCCAATAAAGCCTTTTTGCTGTCTCTTTGCACTAAGAAAAAGAATGATGCAAATGTAGTCACACATGTCATTTCTCGAAAATATTCAACGCGGCCTAGATCTTCTTCACAATTATCATGAGTTCGTGTTGGGGAATAGCTGAATTCATAGTCCAATGTAGCCGCAGCAAGTCCAATTAAACTAAAAAACCCAGAAAGTAGTTCACAAGATCTCCATTCATTAAAGATTGCTTCTGAAGTGCTGACTCCTTTATTTCCTGATTTTTTAATCAATACGTCTTTCAACGTATATTTACTCATCTTATTGTGACAAAATAATAAATTTTTGGATTTATTCTTTATTACCATAATAAATAAAAAATTCGCCTAATTTATTACTCAGTCGGTATTTAAATGGTATGGATTATTAAAAAATGAAATTAAACTAAATATTATCTAACTAAAGTCACCAAGTTTCCTGAGTTACTGACCAGAAGTACGTTTAAATCTGCATATGTAGTGATACATTCCTGCAATTCGTCTTGAGAAAACCCTTTGGCTAAGACTCGTCTTTCAATCCCTGCAATATCTGATGTCGAATTGTCACTCTTTTTGCATTCTTCTTTAATGATTTTGATAATTGCTGAAATCGGGTCAATTCGCTGCTTTGGTGCATTATCTATGTTGACAGAAGCTCTGGAAGATTCCATTAATCTTAAAGCTTCTTCTATATCGTCTTGGTCGACTGTTTCGCTGAACCTTAATCTTGCTAGTCCTTGAGCTAAACGGATAATCCCTAGTAAAGTTCTGGGTGTTACATAAACATAGCCAATTTTATTTATATCAGTTTGTTCTAACTCTTTATATAATAAAATGAAAAATAAATATTTTTTATTAAATTAAAATTAAAAAAAATTAATTCAAAAAAAAAAATTTTGCAGAAGTAAGCGTTTTTCTACATATTTTTGGATAATAAAATTATGCAGACCAGAAGGAATTATCGGCTCCATTCTTTTTGCTTCAGCTATATAGGCCCTCATGAAATTCGCATCCAAAGGCACAAAATGGTCTTTTTCTTTCGCTTTAAGATGCTGATGCACAAAGGTGACTGCTTCTGCCAAAGAAAGATCAGATTGAGGATCAGGAGCATCCAGCAGCAAAAAAACTAGATCAAACCTTGACAGTAGCGCAGCAGGCAGATTAATATTTTCATGAGGAGTTTTTTTTCTATCATATCTTCCATACAGTGGATTTGCAGCTGCCAATATCGAAGTCCTCGCATTTAACGTTGTCGTAATCCCTGCTTTTGCAATAGACACACTTTGCTGCTCCATAACTTCATGAATTGACGTCCTATCCCTCTCGTCCATTTTATCAAATTCATCAATACAACAAATCCCTTGGTCAGCCAGGACAAGTGCACCTCCTTCCAAGGTCATTTCTCCTGTAATCGTGTCTTTTAGCACAGCAGCAGTCAAACCTACCCCTGATGACCCTTTTCCTGTCGTATAAATCCCTCTTGGAGCCAGAACCGAAATATGCTTCAAAAGTTGGCTTTTGGCGACCCCTGGGTCTCCCATAAGCAAAATATTAATGTCGCCTCTGATTTTCATGCCGTCAGACATTTCTTTGGAAACTCCTCCGACTAATAATAAAAGTAAAGCTTTTTTGACGTCTTCAAGGCCATGGATTTCAGGGGCGATAGACCTTGATAGCCTTGTATACATGTCTTGGCCTTGTCGCTCACTGTGAATTCTTTCGACCATTTCAGCACTGAGGGAGGTATCTTTATAAGACTTTTTTTCGCGGGTGATTTTGAAGGCTTCTATATAAGTATCGTGGATAAGCCCAGCTGTGACAGCTCTGAAGCCAAGATAAGGCATTGTTAGGAGAGGACCTGTAATGGTTACAAGGTCTCCTGGGGTGCATTGTCGGGTGGCTGCACTATAAGCGTAAACTTTCATAGACCTCGGGACTTGGCCCATTGGAACTTGGTCAGATGGTTCTTGAATACGAATTTCTTGGAATGAGACAAATTTAGAACCTCTGGTTTGATGATGAAGATTTCCACGAGAATTATTCTATTTAGTTTCATTACCAAACTTTTATAATAATATATAAATTATTTTTACTTATAATATGCAGTATACTAGCTTTACAAACGTCAGATGTACACTCTACCAACGGTAAATACGACAACCCTCCTACAGTCTTAAACTCTTCATGGCCACATACATCACATACAAATGACGCAACAGCCATATGAGGTTTTACCTCAGTCGCCCTTGTAACGACACCTTTAACGGAAATTAAATTTCCAACATTTTTCGAGTCGACCTTTCTTAATGGGAAAATTGGAAATTTCAGCCCTGGACGATGCGAAATAATAAGGTCATATCTTCTCAGTATTTCTGGAGGCAGCTTATTTTTGTTGTCATTTGTAAGTCGCTGCTCCAATATAACATCTTGGACTGTTTTAGGGAAATCTCTTGTAGGTGTAGGTAAAATGCTGTCTACGACGTCCATGAACAGTTTTTGGTATCTTTTGGTGTTTGCCTTAATGTTCTCGACTAATCTTGCATCTTCGCTTCTTGTTAAAAAGCTTTCTATGCTATATTAATGAGGATAGGCATTTTTTTATTTATTTTTAAATATAGGGAAGGCTGGAGGGATTGGGATAAATCTTCTAAATATATTTCGATCAAACTTCTGTCTCTATCCGCAATTTGTTTTAGTTGGATCAGATAAGGTAAACGACCGAAATTTGGGTCTGGTTCTAAGTCAGGATCAGTGAAAGATTGAAGGAACTCTGTCAGACTTTTCTTTTCTTCGTCAAAACTAGGCTTCTGCCATTCACGATTTGCCTTCATTCTTTGCGCCAAATTATAAATGGCGCTAGATTAGTGTGTTGATCTATTTCTAAACTTCCTTAATTGATAGCAAAATATAGTGAAAATAAATTTTTTTTAATGCGATATTTTAATTTTCACAGTAAAAATATAATAAAACTAAATAAAAAAATATCTGAATAAAATCTCTTGTTCATTCTCAGAGAGGAATAAGCAATTCTTGCAGTAATTAGGCGAAATCGACAAATTTAAATTAAATATGATATGTAAAACATTTATGTCATAGTGAAAAATTAATTTGTAGAGAAATTATAAAAACATAAAAAATTAGCTAAACCAATGAATTTTATGAGGTTTGGGTAAAAAAAAGCTTGTTTTCATAATAAACAATTTGATTTGCTTACTGTATTATTGATATTTTGCAATATTTTAAAAAATTATTCTATTAAAATCATCAATTAAATATATTAATTATCTACTGTTTTGCAAAATGCATCCTTTCATTTCTATTATTGAAATATGCCTCCTTATGTATCTCAGCGACCAGTCCTTGCTTATAGCTCTGCCATTTTTTAAACCCATCATGCAATTCATCAGTTGTCCATTCTCTTGGACAATCAATTTCATATGTATTTTTCAATAAAGCTTTTAAATACAGCTACATAAACCTTACAATCGAATTTTCTGACAATAATCCTAGATGTTTCTGATTTAAAATAAATATTTTCATCCCATGTGAGTTTGAAATTACGCTGAATTTTGCAGGCTCTACATCAATATTATCAACATCGTCTATATCTTTATTAGGTGTTTTTAATAATATTCTCCCTCCAAAAAAGTCTCCAACCCTTAATATATTCTTATTTATTTAATTAAAAATATTTTTTGGCTTAATTCCTGAATAGTTTTAATGATATTAGTTTCTATATTAATTTCAAGCCTCTCTTTAAAAATATGATTCTTTTTGGACAATTCTATCACATTTTCTCCAAAAAATTCTTCAGCTTTTTTTACTTCTTCAGTATCTGACAAATCTATAGCCCTATAAAGCAGTTTTTTCTTATAATTTTCTACAGTTTTCCACACAGAATCAGCCCTAACATTCATATCATTATTTCCAGTTAAAAATGGTTTAATAATTTTTGCTTTTAATTTTGGACTTACAGCTTCAGTCGGAAATTTCGGTAAACAGCTGTATCCTTCTCAAAATACTGTGCAGATTCCACTATAAATTACATATAAACCTTTAGGCTTCATGCCTTTTTCCAATATAATTTCATTTAGCCCATAAGTTCGAGGCTCAATATTGGTCGCGAGAGGGATTAGTCCTAAAGCTTCAGTCCCTTCAAAAAGGTTAAGACTTTTAAAAAAATCAACTTTTATTTGGACACCAACTTGTAATTGTTCTTGAAATATAAGGCGATAATCATCTTTTGGGATTGCTATCATATATGCTAAAATAAAATAAATAATTTTTTTTTATTTTTAATAGAGAAAATTATAGGGAAGCCTGAAAATGCATATGTTTTTTCACTAGCAATACAGGATGCAGCTCTTTTAGAGTTATCAGTATTAGTAGCTAATAAAGCCCTTTCCCCAAACGTTTGGCCATCATACATAGAGTGGATTTTTATTTCTAAATTCCCAAATTCTGGCGATTTTTTTAAAATATCCACACTTCCATAAATAATCACAAACATGTATTCCCCACTTTCGCCTTGCCTAACTATTGTTTTCCCAGCTTTATAAGACTTAAATTTGCATTTTTTCAGCAACTCCACACATATTTCTGGCTTGAATTTTCCAAAAAAGCTTAACTTGCTTAAAACACAAGCAAGTTTAAAGTAATTTCTTTTTTCTGGCTGCTTTAAATACTCTTTTTCAATAAATCTTAAGTCGTCGCAGCTTAATGACCCTTTAAAAATCTCCCCAAAATCTTTGTCTACCGATATAGTAGGCTCTAATTGGGCATTATAAGCTAATTCTTCATGTATTTTATCCCGAATTTCTTTAATAGACTGCAATTTCAGTTCTTGAGACATTAATGCTTCTTGCACATAATCAGTGCAAAATTCATCTTTTTCTTGTAAAAGCTTCCTTGTAATATCTTCAGTATTCGTTAAAACCTTTTGGGTGTTTTCATTTGCATTGAAACTTGAGTCAATTTTTTTGGTCTCGTCAGCTAACTGGTATGATAAATCAATTTCAGTTGGGATCCCTGCGGCTGTAATAAAAAAACGCCTAAGCCAATTTTTTTTACCCAAAAATAGGAATTTTACTGATATTTAGTTCAAATTTAAGGGATTTTTTCTATTAAAATAGCTCTAATTCGCAAAGGATTATTTTAAGGCAATCCCTGTAACAAAGCTTTTTTTAATTATTGGAAGATAAGGCAGCGGATTTGATGTTTTTGATTTCTTAGACCTCCTTATTGTCGAAGATTTTGATGAAGGAGTCACAGTCCCTACCTGAGGGGTTAAATTAAATGATAGTCTTAGCGTGTTTTTCTTGCTCTCTCATTCTTTAAAAAGGTTTTCGACTTCTTTTGAGCTTGACAGGTTAGATCTGCTTGTCAGCAGATTTTTGTCAAGAAAAAGGTTGCTGGAGGTTTTTCGAGGGCTGATTTTGGTAGGAGACAGAAGAAACTCGTTTTTACGTTTTAGCCGAGCTGTTTTTGGAGTTTCTTGTTGGCTGCTGAACCTGAAAGATGTGAGCGGTTTCAGCTTTAAGCTGTCATCTTTAGAATTGTTGCCTTCAATGTAAATAAATTTGAATTTTGAATTCAGGCTTTTGCTAGACATATAAATTTATTTTTGGAAAATTATTGTAAGGAAAGGCATATTTTTTCATTTTTAGATATTTTGGAAGAATATCCACATTAATTAATTGAAAAATTAGAAATACTATAGAAAAAAAACTCTTGTATCAGGAAAAATCCAACACAAATGTTTGCATTCTTATCAATTTCCCCCTAAAATAATTTATTCAATTTTACAAGCACTTTTTCATTATAATTAATAGTATTTTTCTTCTTCAATTCCACATTATTACATATAATTTTATTAATATTAATAATTTTCAGATGGAGACCATTATATTAGAAAGACTTTCAGAGAACATCGCCTTAATAACACTGAACAGACCAAAAATCCTGAATGCTATGAGTAAAAAGATGTTCGAAGAGTTATCAAACACCATGAACCAACTTTCAGAAGACCCTGATATCCGATGCATTATCCTTAATGCCAATGGTAGAGCCTTTTGTGCAGGGATCGACATTAATTATTTAAGAGATTTCTTTGAAGACACCAAAAGAGCTGATACCGGCAGAACTGGGATCCAAATAAGAGAAAAACTCAAAATCTTGCAGAGCCATGTGACGTCATTAGAAAGATGCACAAAACCAGTCATAGCTGTGACTCATGGACTATGCTTAGGTGCAGGGCTAGATCTAATAACAGCTTGCGATATCAGAATTTGTTCAGCAGACACAATTGTTGGGGTTAGAGAAACTCGCATTGGGATGGCAGCTGATATAGGGACTTTACAGAGACTGCAAAAGGTGGTAGGAAATCAGTCGTGGGTGAGAGAAATGGCTTTTACAGGAAAAGACGTAAAAGCTGTAGAAGCTACAGGCCATGGGCTGTTTTCTAGGTGCCTTGAAAATAAAGAAAAAGCGTTAGAGGCTGCAAAAGAGCTTGCCAATGAAATAGATACTATGATTATTTATTAAAATTTAAAGTGTTTTCTAAAGGATGATTTAGGCATGTGCAGGCCTACCCTTTAACTCTCAGCAGCCATTTTCTGCAAGTATTCCAAAAAGCCCACAGACAGAAAGTCTTCACTGGTCTCGTTTAACCTCTCCAGTTAGTGCTTACTCCCCCCCCCCCCCTCCGTGAGCGAACAAAAAAATTTTGTTCGCTCACGGAGGGGGGTTTATTTTTTTTTTTTTTAAAAAAAAATTTATATATAAATTTTATAAAAAATATTTTTTTCGAAATTTAAAAAAATCCTAATTTGCAAAAATTGGGAAGCAAATATTAATTTAATTTGCAAAATTTATGTTTTAAAAACGCAATTTGTTTAAAATTAAACAGAATTAGCTCTAGATTTCATTATACTAATTATCACTTATATATCAAAATTTTTTTCCATTAAATTTTTTCTATTAAAAAAATTTTTGTTCACTCACGGAGGGTGGGTTTTTTGGTCAAAAAATGGCGATTTTTTCTAATGGTTTTGTTCGCTCACGGAGGGGGGGGGGGGAGTTAGGCTTAAAATTACCTTCTTAGGTGCGTCAGGCAGGAAAACATATGCCAATCTCTTTCCCACTAAATTACCCTATGTGGTAATCCATATTGGCATTGTATCTGAAGGTGCACTTAGAAAGCTGAACCTATAATAATAAATATCGAGAAGGAGGAATAGCAAGTTCTCTAACTCCCCCCCCTCGAAGTTCGACCAAGATATAGGGAAAATTCCTATTTTTTTTGGAAAATTAACCCCCCTCAAAGTTCGACCAAGACCTATATAAATTTGCTAGGAAAATAATTTTTCAAAATTTTAAACTATGTGGGGTGAGCTTGCGATTTTTGTATTCAAGTTCTAAAAAAGCGTTACAAAACCATCTTGCACTATTTTTTCTAACCCTTACACCCTCTCAACCATACAGAAGAATATGATAAATATTTTTTTTTTTTAACTACTAAATTATATAAAAAAATTCTATATAATTTTTTTTTAAAAAAATTTTTCTTAACCCCCCTCGAAGTTCGACCAAGATTTTTTTTGGTCGAACTTCGAGGGGGGGAGTAAGTAGCCATTTTATTATCATTCCAACGAAATTTGCAGCTAAAAGTCCAGTAGCTTTGGTTGCTGCTAAAACTTCATTGATTTTTTCAAGAGATCACTCAGTTAATGAAGGGCTAGACCACATCGCTAATTATAATGCTTCTGCTTTACAAACTGAAGATCTAGCAAGAGCTATTATGGCAACTATGCAGAAAACTAAGCCAGTCTTTCCAAAATTATAGGTTAATATCAAAATTTTTATTCATTAATTTTAATCATAATTTTTGAGGCTAAAACTGCTGTTAGGAGGGCATAGCCTTGGAGTCTACCATATGAAATTCATAAGAATACAAAGCACTGCTTGATTTCAGTTAAATATAAAAAGATTTAGTTAGCTTATCTTTAACATAGATGAATTTTCGGCAAATTCCTCATTTTCTTAAATATTTACTCTTAAAAGACCATAAAGAAAGTTCTAGGCTTATGCTAAAAATTAAGAAGTTTGCTTATTTATATATATAAGAGTATCCAGCTTCATAAAATTACGATAATTATTTCTCTCCCTTTAATATTCTATATTTTATGGTCGATCTACTTCTTTTTATCAGCGAAGATGCATACTCTTATAAAAATTTTCCTTCCAAAATTATATTTTATACACAATTCTAAATAAAAAATTGCCAAAAATGAAATAAAAATCTCCTAACCTCTATAAAAAATTACAGCGCCCTTCAAGGAATCAGCTCAAAGCATCTAATCGAAAAGAATTTCTCACTAACCTACTCAGAAATTTCTTCCCTTTATGTAGATCTCAACCAAGAGTTTCAGTCCCAGCCCAACATTGACATCTGAAAAATTTACGCAGCATGCGCTGTAAATTCTATTCTTTATCTCCCCTCCTCCCCTTCTCCAAGCTCTCAAGAGCCTACATTTACCCCAGAACATGTTAATAATTCTATAAGCTACTTTATGTTTTTATGGGAAAATTATCAATTAGCATTCCCTGACGCCTATGAGAGGCTGGCCTCAAAAATAACTGAGGCAATAAATAGTTGTGAAGATTTCCAGTTATTATTAAAATGAATTCAACAAGGCGTGTCTTGCAAAGAAAAATTTAACGTCGATATCAGTACGATAGAAATGTACGGAGCTATAAAATCCAATGCAGAACTAATGAAAAACGCGATCTCAGATGATAAAAATGAAATTTTAAAAAATTTAGAAAATTTAGTAGCATTAAAAACTTTGAAAATTGATCCTGGGATGAATACAGACTTAATTGTTGGATATGCACTAAAATGGATAGAAGGGACTAATGATGTTAATGGAGACCAGAGGATGATAAATCAACAAGTTAATCAAGACCCTGAAACAAGTAGAAGCATGCTGAAAATCATAAAGGGGCTTGAAATAACAGACGAAAAATTATTAAGTCTCCCTCCGTGAGCAAACAAAAAAATATTGTTCGCTCACGGAGGGGTTATTTTTTTTAAAAAAAAAATTATATAGAAATTTAAAAAAATCCACTTCGCAAAAATTGGAAACCAAATATGATTTAATTTGTAATTTTTATGTTTTAAAATGCAACTTGTTTAAAATTAAATAGAATTGGCTCGAGATTTCATTATACTAATTATTACTTATTTTCTATTAAACAAATTTTTGTTCGCTGGGTGGGTTTTTGAGAGCAAAAAATAAGGATTTTTCTAATGGTTTTGTTTGCTCACGGAGGGAGGGAGTAAGCAGAATAGAATTTATAAAGAAAAAACTCCCAGATGCACCTTCTAATGAAGAAATTGCCTGAATTAACCATCGAAGTCAGTTAACCATAATAGCCCCAAAATATCTTCATGCTCAAGTTGAGGTATATAAGTGCAGAATTATATGAAAAGGCCAAGAAATAGAAGCTGCAATAAAAACTTATAAAGATGACAATGGCAAAAGTTGGGAAAGGTGCCAAAAAGAAGCTGAAATTTTATTGAAATTATCGGGGAAATCAAAATATTTTTTAAATTTTTATGGCTGCTTTGCAGATGAAATAATAGAAAAGGGCCTCAAAAAATACTGCTCAAATATCGTAATGGAATTCTGCCCATGGACACTTACTGAAATAATAGCAACTAGACAGAATCAAAATCAAGTATTTACGCCGAAAGAATTATGTTCATTATTCATAGACTTATTAGAAGCTTTTATACACTTAATCATCCATTTAACAGTGAACACTATGTTTTGTTTATTATATTTGGAATATACCTTATAAATTTTTTTATTTTTATAATGCTTCTTTATCTTAATTTAATTGAAGATAAGTGAAAGCCTTGTTGCTATCACAGTTATCAAGGATTTCATAGAATATTTATCCACCTTGCAGCGGCACCAGCTAGAGCATTGACGACTGAGATGATTTGCTTGATAAGCTAGCTGAGAGCATCACCTTTCTACTTCTTCAGCCTTTGATGCATAGATAGCTGAATTACCATTCCTCATGCCTCTAGTTTTAAGCTGAGTTCTGTGTCCCTGCTTTTGGGATCGGTGCAATGCAGGTTTTATAAAATTGAATTTCTGGTCGACCGTCGAAAAAGATCTGAAGGGGCTTTCCAAATCAGAGCTCTTCCTTCTACATCAGGCGAAATTATCACTGAAAACGGACTAGGCTGGGCTCGGTGCATTACTGGAATTTCTTACCTAGCATAGCTGCCCATTTAGATAGGCAAAGACTTACCGGATATAATTAAATATGTGCTTTAGGCTGGCTGCATGGCGGGAGAGAGACATAATATTTATTATTTTTATATAATTTTAATAGAAAAATTTAAAAATTAGATAATACTTTGATTAAAAATAAAATAGCTTTATAAAAATTTCTCCTAACTCCCCCCCCTCCGTGAGTGAACAAAAAAATTTTGTTCACTCACGGAGGGGGTTAATTTTTTTTTTTAAAAAAATTTATTTATAAATTTTATAAGAAATATTTTTTTCGAAATTAAAAAAAATCTAATTCGCAAGAATTTGAAAGCAAATATTAATTTAATTTATAAAATTTATGTTTTAAAAGGCAATTCGTTTTTAAATTAAACAGAATTAGCTCTAGATTTCATTATATTAATTATCATTTATATATCAAAATTTTTTTCCATAAAAATTTTTTCTATTAAAACAATTTTTGTTCACTCACAGAGGGTGGGTTTTTGGGCAAAAAATAGCGATTTTTCTAATGGTTTTGTTCACTCACGGAGGGGGGGGGGAGTAAATAAAACTTTATTTTTTCATACGTTTTTTCTTATAATATATTTTGATCGCCATTGCAATTGCAGTCAAAATCAATTTTTAAATCTACATCTATTTTTTTTAATTATTAAATGCTGCCTAACTCCTCTCTTTAATCGAAACAAAATATTCATTTTTGTGTAAATTAAACCCCCTTAAATAGGAACAAAATCTCTTAATTCGTTAGGTAAAATGACACATAAATCATAAATATCCATATAATTTTTCAATTTTAAAAATTATAATATATCTAAAAAATTGGTATTTTTGGAAATTATAAATTTATATTTTATGAAATTTAATATAATTTTTCCAAAATAAAATTAAGCCCCTTTAATATGGAACAGAATTTTTTGCTCCGATTTAAAGGGGAGTAAGAATAAACATTAGGAATAACTTCATTCATATTATTTGGGAGTTAGCAAGCTTAAAAATTTATCACCAGGATATAAAGCCAGAAAATATTTTATTACTAATTAAATGAAACGCGGATTTAATATCAATATAATTTTAATAAGAAAATATATCTATTTGCAATGATTATATTAGATTATTATAAGTTCGAACGGGTCTTCGGGGTTTATCTCAAGCCCTCTCTGCCTTATCGGCTTCAAGTTCCTCGCCTTAGTCCTGATTTGCACTCACACCCTTTTCTATTGACGTCACAAAAAAATTGTGACAGTCAGCATTTCTTGGGAAGACTTATCTAGGTACTTCCTTAAACAGCCCTTAGCGGTAGGCATAATCTATCTTGGGTAAGAGATAGGATTCGACCCAATTCTCTTTCTGGTCTCAATTGCCCTTCTCATTCATAAGTATGGAGTTGTCTTGCGGACTCTAGCCTTCTCGTCTATGGATTGGAGTAAAAGCCCAGCCATGGTGCCCCGACCAGGGAAAAAAAACCACCCCGGACACAAAGTTCCATGCCCCATCTCTCTTAAACCCAAAAACTCCAAGGTATGGTAGAAGGACAGGTCAGATAAGTCACCATTCTATTTGTATTATTTTACAATGAAAATAAATATTTCTTCTTATTGACTATTCACATATTACATATATATTAATCCTCATGTTTACTATAAATGATCATAGAGTATTTTAGGAATATTCGCTGACGAGAATGGCAGTTTGCAAATAAAAATTGCTGATTTCAATGTTTCAGGACATTCTGACAGAATAGAATATACTTCAAGCCCGACTGAGGAACATGGTGTATATGGAACAGTAAGCTTTATGGCTCCAGAAGTAAGAGAACCATACATTAATGGTCAAAAAACAGCCAAGTTTAAGCGAGAAAAAGCTGACGTTTTTTCACTTGGGTTGGTATTTTACCTTCTCGCAACTTTTAAAAATATATCAAGATTTAATGAAAATCCTTATAGGAGAGAAGAAGTGCTTCAGGATATAGAAACTGACTGGATTAAGAATATAATATATAGCATGCTGAATTTTAATTATAGAGAAAGACCTTCATTTAAAAAAGCACTCTCACAATTGATGAGTGAAACAACAAGGGTAAGAGAAACCTAATATTTTTAAAAAATTTATACGATAAGACAGTTTTTTTCTAAACTAATTGATTAAGAAATGCTTTGCCAATTTTGGATCATTATTTTTTGAATACAAAGCAAAGCTGCACCATTTACTTCTTTATTAGGGTTCTGCAATAGCTCCATAGCTCTTATTTTAGCTCCAAGCTTCCCAGCCACAGTCTTCCCATACGGGTGGAATCTTGCAAACTCTCCAATATCTCCTAGCGCCAGTACAACAGTCTGCACACTTTCTGAATTTAATAGCTGTACCAGTTTTTTCACAGGCCCAAAGCTATCATTTTCTAAATGTTTTGCATTTTCTTTCCAAAAGGCTTCAGTATGGGTCACGCCTGGTACTAAATCTCCTCTTTCTACTTCTTTTAGCCACTTTTCAAATGACGAAAACAGCTTGACGCTGCTGGCTAGGACATCTCCTATATCTTTAACCAGATCTGTGACGTCTTGGTCTTTTAATATTCTTTTTGACAAATTATCTATAATTTCGACCAATTTATTTTCTATCATAATTTCTATAGTCCCTTCTCCAGCTGATAGGTTTTTTAAGGTCCCTAAAGCAACTCTGATGACTTTTTCTTTGTCAGTTCTACGGAGCTCTTTGATTATTTTTCCAATTAAATTGTAGTCACTTCTGATAAAAAATTCGTAGGAGTCTTCATCAAATGAAAGCATCCATAAGCAGCAAATGGCAGCATAAATAGGCTGGAAAATTCCTGATTTTTGCTCTAAAAGTGGAACTAAAACAGTCCGGAGTCCTCCAGTTCTTAAAAATTCTCTTCTAATTGCGTCTATCTTGAAGAGAGGCAAAAAGCAATAAGTGGCTTCTTCTAATGGTAATGAATTTTCCATAGCTTGGTTTATCAAGGAATCCACTAATCTTGTAGCTTGGTTTATATAATCCCCAGGGTTTTCTCTATACCAAAATCCTATAAAAATTAACATTTCTTAATATTTTTACCTTATTTTATTAGAAATTTGAATATTTCTTAATATAATTTCACTTAAAATTGACGCAAGAATATGGCTAGCTGCTCCTACAATTAATGGGATATTTTTAAAAGTATTTGCAGACCTCACTAATAAAGCCATGACATTAAAAGTTTCCCTGCCTGTCGCCAGCTGAACCAAGCTTGCAATTTGACGGCTGTCATCTTGAATAGCACCATCAATAGTAGCCAAAAGACTTTGGGCGAAAACATCGTCGTCACTTGTAGAGTCTAATAAGGAGAATAAGGTGCGATATATAGGAATTGGGTCTTCTGCGATTCTTTTGCGTTGCTCTTCAAGATTAGAAATCATAAATGAGGTGTAGATATCAGATTGGCCACGGCCTATAGAGCCTGCGGCTTCAATTTGGTTGACGTTAGGCTTCATATAGATAGACACACTTGAGTACGCTTCTGGGTGGACGTAAAAGACTATTGAATAAGCCATCAATCTATCTCTAGAGACTGCCATAATTTATGTTATTGGCTTAGCTGACATTTTGGAATATTAAAAAGCTAAATCTCCTGAATTTAAAAATTTTATTTTTTTAAAATTTTAAAAATAATTAAATAAAAAGCCCAATTATAGTAAGATATTATAATTTAAAATTAAATACCAATATTGCTTTTATTTTTAGAAAAAATCATTATATCGACAAGAAATCCTTATTTCTATCCTTAAAAACAATTTTAAAAATATTTCAATAATTATAATAAGAGCGTCTCTAGTCTAAATATAAAATACTTTGCGAAATCCCACAAACTGATAGGCGACGTCATATCCACCCCTAGCAGTCCCATTAATTCTTCCACATCTTCATCAGTCACAGGCACCACCACTTTGCTTTGCAGCACATTTTTAATTTCTTCCATAGTAGTGCTTCCTCTGTCTTTTTTGTCAAACATCCTAAACAATTCTCTTCTTTCGTGTTCTTGGCCTCCTTCATACCAAATTTTAGTAGCAATTCTTTCCACGTCTTTAAGCTCTACTCTGAGTGGGTTCCCAATGAACTCTTGGATGATTTTTTCTAGGTCTTTTCTAGGCATTTTCCCGCCTCCTACATATTGTAAAATAGCTTTAAGTTGGGACATGGAAATGGTTCCTGAATTTTCGGAGTCAAAATAGCCAAAAGAGTCCCTGATGTCGTTAAGAATTCTTTCAGGCAGGACTGCTTCTTGGTTGGTGTGACCTCGCTTTCTCTGTGAAATTTGTCCTGGATAGGGATTTACCTTGTAGAGTTCGAGTAGATTGAATCATAAATAACTGTTATAAATGAAAATCATGTCAGTATTTTGGTTTAAAAATCAAAAAAAATTATTTTTCGACCTTAATTAAGGCATTTAGAAAATTCTAATCAAAAAATAGTTCTTAAAATATACTGTTTTATATCATTATCTAAATTCTATATATATTTTATTACTACTAAAGGAAATTAATAGCATTTCTCATAAATCTAAATTAGTTTTAAGCTTCGCTTTCAATTTCTTGTATTAATTTCTGGACGTTTTCATCTTCTAGCAACTGCAGCCCAGCCCTTTGCATTACTGCTACCTCAATATTCCTGCTGCCACTTTCTACCACTTCTAATAGTCCTTTAATAGCTAATTTCAAGGTTTGGTCCATTGACTGATTTTCTTGATAATTTTTCTCTAAAAATTCTACCACATTTTTAGAATTTTTCCCAATAGCTTGAGCTTTCCATGCACTAAAACTTCCAGATGGCTCAGTCATAAATAGTTTTGGTTCTCCTGCTCTTCCAAATCCTACAACTAAAGTTGAGACTCCATAAGGCCTCACGCCTCCTTTTTGGGTGTATTCTTGCTGTGTCCTAGCAATATGTCTGGCAATACAGTAAATTTTTTTATTTATTGATTTTTCAGATTTTTTTTCAATTTTAATTTTATATATATAAATACTGTATATTCAGCAGATGGCGGATCTTCCATTGTCAGCCTAAAACTTTGGCATTCAACCCTTGCTTTATCACATAGCACTCTTGCGTCTGCAGTAAGTCCTGCGAATGCTAATGCAATCCCTTCGTCAAGAACATGGATTTTCTTGACAGTCCTGGTATCTTGAAGTTTAGCAGCAGCTTTTCTTTCAACAGCAAGCACAATGCAGTCAACTCCTTGAACCCCAACAGCACAGCGGCCTTTTCTGACAGCTTCCATTGCATATTCCACTTGAAATAGATGCCCATCAGGTGAAAATATAGTGATAGCAGTATCGTATGACATCTTTATATGATAATTTTAGTAAATGATTAGATTAAACTAGTCCTTGTGCCTCATACCATCTTAAAGCTTGAATAAACGACTCTAAAGAGACAATTCCTGCAAATTGTAACGCTTTTGAGCAGACTGCTTCAAGTTTCCCACGTTTAATTTCCATACCAGCGCAATCAAATAAGTCTTTTATTTCTTCTTTAGGTCGCTCTCTTCTGAATTCTTCAATTGTTATGCCATAGCGAAGCCAGAAATCAGGGTATAATAATTGTACAGCTGATGCTTCATCTCCGTAATTATTTTTTTTTATAAAATAATTTTTATTTAAAAAATAATAATCTTTTTTTATATAAAATAATAATTTAATTATTTATAATTAATTATAATTAATTATAAGGTAAATTTATATTAAAATGTATATATTTTTTAAAGAAAAATGTATAGGGAATAATTATTTGGATCTGCAACAGATTTAAATGACTTTTTGGGTATATCGTTTCTAATTGTAGGGACACCAAACTGTCTATCTTCGTCTCCGTCTTTTACAGTGTTTCTAATATACATAAAATGGCGGACGGCGACCGACCCACCCTCTCAGTGGTGGTTACCCATGTATATCCGGGCATGGTTTTTGGAGCCAGGAGTTAGCCCAACAACGTCTGGGATCTCGAAGCGAGAGGCTTAAGCGCAGAAGCCGCTGTTTTTGTGACCAGACCCATGGGCAGCTACTCGTGACTTCTTTTTGCCAGCAGCGCTCAGCCCAGTGAGTGCCCGAAATGAGGCAGGGCGACTTACCTGCCTAAGCTGCTTTTGTGGCTCGCCCCGAATGGCGAAAGCTGTTGAGTTCTTTCTCGGGATGACCGGAAAAGAGGGGAAGGCGAGTTAGACAACTAAACGGGGGTCTCTCCAGTTTAAAAGGTGCCCTTCAATGGGTAGATCTGGCGGACGACGCGGCAGTGTTGGCGTAAACTTAGGCGACGATCCAAGTTGGAAATGGAGGCGGTCAGCAAAACCGGTATGAGACGGCCCTTGGCATTGCCTCTACCGAGAAACTGGAGGTTTCGCCCGGGCTTGGTGAACGCTCTGCCACCATACGGGAAATCGTAGAATGCTTCCTCGGACGTAGTGGGGACCTTAAATACCTAGCGTTAATCTAATCTAATCTACAGTGTTTCTAAAGCCGAGCCTATTAGTTCTCCCTAAATCTGGATCAGGCTGCACCTCTCTTTTATTAGGCTGCCCATGTATGCATTGTTTAGCTGTCCACTCATTTTTTCGATGAATTGAAGATCCAAATGCATGGTCTTCTGGCAAATTTGGCTTTCCCTGGCCTAAATTTCTGGGTTTTCCTAAATCTTCATGTGCAGTTGACCTGAAATCTTCAACAGTTTTTTGGACAATAATTGTCTTTGGATGAGTGCTTCCATATTTTTCTGGCTGCAATGAAATTGCAGCCCCATCTAACTGCTTAGGATCAGGCAGGCCAAATCTATGTTCATGTTTATCAACTGGCCAATTATAATCTCTCCTTATTTGTTCTCCAGCTTCAGTGACCCCATGAGATTTATAATACATTTTTCTAACATCATCAGGCTCCATTGTTTTTCCACCTGGAGGGAAAATCAAAGTATAAGCGCTTTCACTGCCTATTGTCTTGACACCATATTTAAAATCAGGCTCATGCACTACGCCTGGCATTTCATAATTTCTCTCCATAGGCCTTCCAAGTGGCTCACGAATGCTTGAAGCGTATTTATCTTCTTTAAGTTTATTAGCGAATTCTGTAAGTCCTTGAAGCTGATTTGGCTTTATGACTTCATGGACATGGTCTGATCCGTGAGTCTTTTTGCCATATGTAAAAGAGATAAAAAAAATATTTTTTAAAAAAATTATTTTTTTATGAAAAAAATTTGTGAAAATATGTAAAAGACTCTGGGGGAAGAGGATCGTCTGCGACTCCGTAATGGATTTGTTTAGCGCCTGGCTCTTCATTGAAGCTTTTTCTGAATTTTTTGATGTTTGGTGGAGTAGATGTACGGGGTTGTTCTGGCTTGATACAGAACTCAGCACCTTCGTCAGGCATTTTGGTTACTAGTCCTGCAGGAGGGAGGTTTGCGTTCATTCGAGGCTGATTTTGAAAACCTGCGTTTGAGTAGTAAGAAGCTTGAAATGGAGGTTTGAGAGCCATTTGGAATATATAAATAACTGCTATTTAAATAAAGAATTAAAAAATCCTTACTCCCCCCCCCTCCGTGAGCGAACAAAAAAATGTTGTTCGCTCACGGAGGGGGGTTAATTTTTTTTTTTAAAAAAAATTTATATATATAAATTTTATAAAAAATATTTTTTTCGAAATTTAAAAAAATCCTAATTTGCAAAAATTGGGAAGCAAATATTAATTTAATTTGCAAAATTTATGTTTTAAAACGCAATTTGTTTAAAATTAAACAGAATTAGCTCTAGATTTCATTATACTAATTATCACTTTATATATCAAAATTTTTTTCCATTAAAATTTTTTCTATTAAAAAAATTTTTGTTCACTCACGGAGGGTGGGTTTTTGGTCAAAAAATAGCGATTTTTCTAATGGTTTTGTTCGCTCACGGAGGGGGGGGGGGGGAGTTATGAAATGTTGTAAGCTGAAAAGAAATTAAATGCTTTATAAGAAATATTTTAAAAGATATCAGATATTGATGAATTTAATGAAATTGGAGTAAAGTCCTGATGCTTCACGTTTTATCTCTTTTTTAAATCTTCACAGGTTTTCCCCCAATATTTCAGGCTAACTTCCCCTTTAACTGCGAGTAAAACCATTCGAAAAAATTTTATTTTTAGAAATTTGCCCTTTAAGAGAAAGTAAAAAACTCATATAATTAATGATTGCTATAACGAGATTTCTAACTAATTTCTATTAAATTTACAAAATAAATTAGGTTTCTTTAATTTGGATATTTATAATCTAAAAAAAAGTTTTTTAAATTTAATGTAAATTTTTTTAAAAATAATTAACCATCCTATAAGAGCAATCAAAATATTCTTGCTCGCCCTCAAAGAGTGGAATAAGCTACTTTTAATATTTATTGAATCAGATTTGTCTTGGCTTTTCACTACTAAAGATTTCATTCTATAATTGCTATTTTTTAACCTCAAGATCAATTTCATCTTTTCATTTGTTTTTATATTGCATAATTAGACTTTTTCAATTATTATCATCACTCTCTCATTTACAGGCTACAAATAATCTTTTCGGCATATGCTTGAATAAATTTCTTCAATTTCCTAAAATATTTCATTTCTCATTAATCCAGCACATTAGAAATTCTTAATAGATCCTAATATCATTCCAAATCAATTGAATGCCAATTTTTTTCTCTTTAATATAGAAGCCAAGATATGCTTCTCTGTACCACCTGTTTTAATAAAATAAAGCCTTTTGCCTTTTACATTCAGAGCTAGAATACTTATAGCAGTGAAACTAAGCTAATGTTGTAGAAGCCATGAACTCTTACATTTTTAAACTAGATTCACATCAGATTTTACTATTAAAAATGTCGGCACTCAAATTTAAGATACTTACTTAATTTTATCCCTAATCGAAAAATTCTGTTTTGAAATAAAATATTAATTAAATTAAAAGTTATGATTTCTCAGATGTCCAAATGAAGGCGTGCACAATGGAGGTGGACCGAACATATCTTTTTTAGGGGTGGACACTTGAAGTCCTCGGAATTCAAACAAAGGATCATTTGAGTTTTTTTTAAGCATTCTGGATATAGGACTGAGATTTGGATCTTGTTCTCCAAATGGGTTTAAGTTTTCGTCGTTTTCTTGTATCTGGTAGCTTTTTTCCATTTTAAATATTTCATATCGATAATTTTAGCGAAATATATGAAAATGGGGCAACTTAATTTTTGAATTATTTTATTGCGTACTTTATGGATTCTTGGGGAATTAATTTAAAATTGCTGATATCGGGTCTCCTATGCCGTATAAATTGTTTTATTATTTCTTTATACTTGAGAGGTAAGCAATGCTAAATGTTAATTATGAAAAATCTTTGATTTACCAAAATAAGATTAACCAAATTAAACTCTAAAGGCAGCCTATAAAGCAATTTCTTAAATTAAATATTATTTAAATATATACAAATGATGATACTATTAATTTAAAATCGTCAATTTTTAGATAAAATTTACTTTCTAAACTTATTCTACCATATAAAATTATTTTTTATATTTTATTAGAAATCCTTCAAGTAATTTCCACTTTGAGCCATTTTCTGATTTCCTTACTATCAAATCCCTTTTTTTATTATCTAATGGAAATTAATCAAAGAAATGAGTGAAAGCAAAAATAAAAGCGTAAGAATCGCAAATATTTCTCTCAGCCCTGATTTAAGCTCAGTTATTAATACTTCATCTGACCAGTCCGGAAATACTCCAAAACGTATTTTATTTGTAAATAGAAAAATAAAAGGATTAAAAAATGTTGAAACACCATCACTAGGATCCTTAGAAGAAGATTTCATGCTCGAAACTGACGGAAACGCTAAAAATTTTTTAAAAGAAAAAAATTCCACCACAGGTGTATACTCAGCCAGCAATATTTTAAGCGGTTTACAATATGACGATAATGGAAACATTATCCCTTACTCGATAGTTGGATCACCAAAATTATTTGAAACTAATAAATCCCTAGTTTGGGAAAGTTTTGAATCCAAACTGTCAGAAACTGACAAACAAAGAATAAGCAAGCACGCGATTTTTAATAAAAAAGCTTATAATCTAGACCCTGAAAAAGAATTCAAGGAAAAACTTAAAAGAATTAAAGAAGGCTCGATAAAAGAAGAATTGTTAAAAAACGAAAAATTAAGAAAAATGAGGCCGAGTGAAAGAATTATACAAGAGAGACAAGAAAAAATACTAGAAGCTTTTAAAAATACTGAATACAGATGGAAAAAATTAGAAAAATCATTAGGGAAAAAATTGAACAAAAATGAAGGAGATCTATTGGCGAACCGAGCACAGGAATATAGAGAAAAAGTTGAAGAATGGGATTTTTTAGATAGAACGATTTCAGCTAAAGAAAAAGCTGGAAAGTTTTCATGGTATATGTCATTAAGAGATATACTTAGTTAGAGTGATGGAATTTTTAAATGAAATCTCTTACTTTTCGTAAGCTTATAATAGCAAAAAAAAATTATTCTATTTAATGCTTTCAGAAAGCATCAAATATAGGAAAAATTAATAATAAAACTAGAAGAGAATAGGAAAGTTAGATTATAATTTTCAAAATTTTTAAATTTATAGGGGCTTTTAATTGGTATAAGTCGAAAGAAAAACTTGATACTTATCTGCATGTAGGGAATAAATTTTCTGGATTATTTTCAAGAGTGACAGAAAGATCAGGCGAACCTGAGCCAGTTATAAGAAAGCCAGGCTTAGCAAGAACCTTAAATAAGACTTTTAGAGATGAGCCATATTTTCAAAAGAGAATTCAAGAGGAATCTAACACTCTGGCTTGGTAGTGCAAAATTTTTCTGTTCGCTAACGAAGGTAGGCTAATTTTTTTAAAAATAAAATTCGATATAAAACATTTCTCCTAAATTTTAAAAATCCAAATGTGTAAATATAGCCCAGAGTGTGCTAGGCTATATTTAAAAATAATTAAATTTAATTGATATTAAAACATGCAAGCTAATTAACTGGAGATCTTATTTTTTATAATTAAAAATTATACCATAAAAATTGTTTGCTCAATAAACAAAGGTGATATTTCTAATTCTTTTACTAGCTGACCAAGGGGCAGTAAGTATAATGACAAGGGCGTAAATTTTATGGAAGCTGAAGATCTATTAGTGCTTGGGGTTGCTAAATTTCCTTTAGAATTAGAAGCAGCAAAAATTGGAGGACTTGAAAATGTGAAGCCTAGTTTAATTGAAATTCGAGAGCATGAGGAAATTATTGCTGAGAATTATGATGAAAATTATATTAGAAATTAATATCAAACTGCTTATGCTCATTGTATTGAATTTTAAAACTATAATATATGAAGAAAAACTAAATTGTGCAGTAAATTTGTAAATGAATTAAGAATGATTAGGCAAATTCATAGTTCTAAACAATATAATATATCTAAAATCTTTTGTAATTCCATAAAAATTTAAAATTTAGTAAGATATATTAAAGGTGAAATAATTAAAATCCATTTTTAAAGTATCCCCTTTTAACATTTATACAGCTTTTACCTAATAAACTCACAATACTTTTTTTACATAAGAAATTTGCCTTTCTCTCTAATATTAAAAGATATATTTCATATCTTCCATTTTTCCTATTAAAAGTCAATCTATTCTTATGGGCTTATAATGGAAAATGTTTCGCAACTATTTACACCTTCCCAAAACCATCAAAATTCAGCCCTTTAAGTGGAATGACTCAAGCCGGATGTTAGAAGCTGCAAAAATAAACTCTCCACTCCACTTCAATAACCTTGTTGAAAAACGGGTTTACAAGCAGAAATCCGAGCCACCAGAAGTCCCATCATCGAGAGTCAGGATCTTTAACGAGCTGAAGTAATATAACTAAGCCTTTATAACTTTAAATTCTTTCTTTTTCTTAAAATTTTAACTTTTAAGTAAATGGTCCTTCTTCTGCATCTCGGCCAATTTGGGCTTGCCAGAACGAACTGATAGATGAATTTATCATAATTCTAAATTGATTTATATATAGGAGAAATAAAAAGCCAAAAGACTTAAAAGCTTTTGTCTGAGTAGGGCTGACAGAAGAGCTGATAATAGCCTGACAATAATTTTTTGACTAATTCCTTTAATAATTATAAGAAATAAATGGTGAAGTTGATGGAAATTGGACTCCAAAGCGCTCTAACTATGGAGCAGGCAGGACCATCCTGATGAAGCTGAAAACAGAGCCTCTATCCCTTTTGAAGTAGCAGCCTTCAGGCTTGGGGATGCCTTGCCGAAGAGGGAAGTTTTGTTTCTCCCCCGAAGATTTTCCCGTCCCTGCCAGAAAGACTAGACAGGTTTGCCTACCACATGGTCTCTCCTTGTCAGGACCATTGTGGCACTCTACAGACAGTAGCTCTGCCTTAGGTAGCTAATCCCTTGGGCAGGTGGTTCAGGTCGTAAATCTTTTCTTCCCTCTTTTGTCTCGTGGGGCGAGGTAGGAGGCTATTTGAGCTGAGAAAAGGCGAAGGTTAGTGGGTTGCTCAGTTATGGCCAGTTTAATCATTTAATTTTAATTTACTAATTATTTATTTAATTTATATATAAAATAGGAATTGCTTTTAAATTTTTCAAAAAAAAAGAAATTTTTTTACTAAAAAACAATTGTGAAAAAATTATGTAGCTTTATTTGTGGGGGTTAAGAGAAATCAAAGGAAAGGAAAAATCCAACGATCAAAATTATTCACTCTTTTATACTTACTCCCCCCCCCTCCGTGAGTGAACAAAAAAAATTTTGTTCACTCACGGAGGGGGGTTAATTTTTTTTTTTTTTAAAAAAATTTATATATAAATTTTATAAAAAATATTTTTTTTTCGAAATTTAAAAAAATCCTAATTTGCAAAAATTGGAAAGCAAATATTAATTTAATTTATAAAATTTATGTTTTAAAGCCAAATTTGTTTAAAATTAAACAGAATTAGCTCTAGATTTCATTATCCTAATTATCACTTATATATCAAATTTTTTTCCATAAAAAAATTTTTCAATTAAAAAAATTTTTGTTCACTCACGGAGGGTGGGTTTTTGGGCAAAAAATGGCGATTTTTCTAATGGTTTTGTTCACTCACGGAGGGGGGAGGGGGAGTTAGAATAACAAAATAAGACTGTTTTGACTTTTAAAAATTAAGAAAAGCTGAGCTATGGTTTTAAGGGAATTTTATGGTCCTGCTTATTAAATTGAAATAAGGCGGTTGAAATCAGAAATTTAAATTAAAACTTATAATAAGCAAATAAATTTATTTATCAAATTATAGAACTGCGAAACGATATTATATTTATTACAGCTGATAAGATGTCAATAATAAAATGTAAATAATCCATTTGGTATAATTGTTCGCTTTAATCTAATTGTGTTATTTAATTAATCAATAATAAATTGTATCTCTGAGAATTATACGATCCTCAGGAAATTTTATCAGTATGATGCTCAGTCTTACCAGTGGATCATTACCTAGCAATTCAAGAAAGACCGACTGTATAGGTTGGAGGCACTGCTTGAGTTTTATGAGGCATAGGACTGATACTTGACATTCCCGAGAAGAAAGACGCTTAGGCGGAACGTGCACAGGAATCGATAAAAGAATGAGAAATGCGTCCCATGAGGCTTGGTTCCATTTTTTAGTCACTCTCAGTCATGGGCCGATAAAAAAGGCCAAGAAAAATTAACTATGATGCCAGGAGCGAATATCTTAAAGAGTAGTTTTGATATCACACACCTGCAGGAATCAAATGGCATATTAAAATTATTAACTAATTGCTAATAAATCGCTTAAATTACTCAAATATTATATCATTGGGGAAAATTTCAGTAATACTTTTTCCAAAATAATAATCCGAAAAATTCGATCCTGTAGGCTATGATATAATTAATTTTCTAGCATTTAAAAATTTACTTTTATAGACCTATACTGAGGATTTAAATCAATTCTAGATGTTGTATATTTAAAACAAGCTGGCTCTCAAATAGAATGCAAATAGAGCCAAAATATATCATTTTTTCGAATTATTATTTAAATAAAATTCGAAATTACTATATTTTAATGGAATAATAGGTAAGTTTCGCTATATTGAAATTATTAATTTAAGATTAAATTCTAACTTTTATTGACATATTTAATACATAACGCAAGCATTTCAATATAGAAAATTTAAAAAATTGTAGATCATTTGAGTAGAAATTCAAAATATTATTAAATATGCTTGCTCCCCTATATTTTATCAAACCCCTGCATTTCGATCAATTATATTAATAAAATAATTTTTAAGCAATATATAGGATTTTAATTTTGGAAAAATCTTTCAATAAAAGATAGGGTTAATTTTCTGAAATTTAATGCTATTTTTTGATTAAGAGCTAGGAAGTTAGAAATAATAATAAATTAAATTATGCCGCATTTACTATCTTTCAAAGCTAAATAAAGATATTCGCCCATATTTTAAGAATTTCTCATAAATATGTCACTTTAAGCCTGGCAATCCCTAATTTTCCCCTAATTCTCTATGCTTGATAATTTCCTTTAAAATTCATCCTTTGGATGCTACACAATTTCATCCACACTTTCAATCCAGTAATAAATTATAAACATTACTCCCAATGGACAGCTGCTTGTGTGCGCACACAAATTGCAAAAAGTCTCCAGAATGGGTCTGCAACCACCAAGAAGGCACTTCCTTCTTATGTAGCGACCATCTCAAGTCTCACATGTCTGACGAGTCTCAGCCTCATGCTTTATCCATTCTTCAGTGTCTTAACCCCGTCACCAGAAGCTGGATATTAGATTATTTTATAAAGGAAAAACAGAGTCTTGAACAAGCAAAAGCTAATCTTATTAAATGTCTTGAGTCGAAACTAACAGAAGCAGAAAATACGCTTGCCAGTGATCTTGAGATTTTAGATAGTGAAATTACTAAAATTCATAATATTCAATATGAAATTATGTCAGCACCAGAAATTCTGCCAAAAGATGCAAGCCCTTTTGTGAAGCTCGCTACTTTGCCAAAAGAAGACGCATTACAAAGGCTTCAAGAGCTATATAAGAGCTTCTTACAAGAGGCAATAACGAGGATGATTTCTTCGTATAGTTGGCAGAGTCTGGAAGATTTCGAAAAAAAATGTGAAAAAATTAAGGAAGAAATGAATGAAGTCATGGAGAAAAAAATCGATGAAATTGTGAAGGAGAATGAAGAGAGAATTAAAAATCTTAAGCTTGAAAGCGAGAATTTGGTGGAAAAAATGAAAGTAAATTTTAATGAAAAATTATTCTGGTGTGTATTAATATGGAAATTTATTGACTATTTATTTTAATGGGAGCCTAATATAATAAAAAATAAAAGAAATTGAAAATAAACACAAAAATGAAATTGAAGAAATTAAATCAAATTTCCAAAAGGAATTTGAAACGAGACTTCAAACAGCCCAAGAAAGTTATTTAAAGCCATATGCAATTAAAAATGAAGATAACGAGTTTAGGAGTTTAAATTCAAGCCAAGCAAATGATTTTGAGTTTGATATGGGATCAGAGGCGTCTACTGAAAGCTGGACAATTTCGTTTAATAAATTTACAGGAAGAGAATGGTTTCCTTTTCCGCAGTTCAAGATTGATTTCTCAAAGCCAGCGCCTATCCCAATAGTTTCTTCAAATAGTATATCAATTTTTAAGCATTGGACAAAAGAGCTTATTATAGGAAAATTAGAAAGCGACTCTAATAAATCCATTCAGCTTTCTCTTTTTGAGTCAATGGATTTAAGGACATCAATGTGTCCACTAACTCATTGGTTTTTTTTATAATTTATAATTAATTTTTTTATTGAAAATCTATACTGGCATGGTAAGTGATAATTATATTTTCTGCTATGGGAATCACCCATGCACAGGCATTACTTTTCTGATCGATCCATTTATGAGGATAATCCATCTTGCTCCAGGCTATCCATGTCATGGCTCAGGAAGTATTTTTTACAATAATAAAGTCTACACTTTTGGAGGTTTTGACGGGAAAAACTTAGTCCGAGCTGCTTATTTCGACCTCAGTCAAAACTTTTGGCATCAGTTATCTCCTATGCCGAAGCCTTCAGCCAGATGTTCCTGCGTCATCTATGGGAATATGATCCTCCTAACAGGAAGGCAGCATTCTGATGCGTATTTGTATGACATTAATACAAATTCGTACTCAGCGTTAGGGCTGACCTTGCTAAAAGACTCAACCAAAATAATTCTAACAGGGAACAACAGTGTCTATATAATAGACGCCAAAGGCTTTATATATAAAAATGAAAAAGGTGACATAAATATATGGAAGCCTATAAAAGAAGCCAAATTGAAGGACAGATGGCTGAACTCATATAGAGTGCTGTATAATAGCTCTGTATACTTCATTTTGGATCACAAGCTATATAGATTTGATTTGGAGAGTGAAACAATAAAGAGCGTCAAAAAAGATGTGACCGCGCTTTCTGAGAGAGATATTGAGATTTCTCTTTAAATAATATATCACTTTCAAAAGATAAGTCTGGATATATACGATTAATTTATATGTAATTTGCTATTAAAAGATTATATAATGAGGAAAATTGAATTTTTGACTTAAAAAATATTCATGTATAGAATACCGCTCTTTTATTAGTATTTAAATAAATTCCAAAATCACAGACTTTCAAGGTGCAGCACATCTAAGCACTGCTCATAAGACTATTTTAGCATATTTTTTATTTCTTCATGTTATTTCTAACGTTTTTTCTTGTTTTCATGAATACCTCCATAAGAGTTTATAACAATTATTCATAATTTATGAATTCAAACAAGTTCCCATCATTAGGATACAGCAACCGGCTGAGAAGCCAAACTCCTTATAAGGACCCCCCCCCTCATTTGTCCGATTTTCTAGTCTTTTATCATTTGTCCATTTTTCTAGTTTTTTTTATAGGAAAAAAAAATTTTTTTAGGACCTCATTTGTCCAATTTTCTAGTCAAAATTTTGATAGAGAAAAAAAATTTTCAGGGCCTCAATTGTCTCATTTTCTAGTTTTTTTAAAGTAAAAAACTAGAATTTAGGGCATTCGAAAAAATCCAAAAAAGACTAGAAAATTGGACAAATCATTTTTGACTAGATTTTGGGACATATGAGGTCCTGAAAAAAAAAAAATTCTTATAAAAAAAGACTAGAAAATTCGACAAATGAGGGGGGGTCCTTACACAAGCTACATACACAGAAATTCTTGAAGATCTTGAAATGCTAAATTGGCATAAACCAGCATCTTCACAAAATGAGATTCATTTCCCTCCAAAAATTTTGAAAAAAAGAAAGCGGACAGTCAATAAAATAGAAAATCTTGATGAAGATTTGGCAATTGAAAGCTTGATATATAGGCTTATAGGCTTTGGCTGTGTTTTTAAATTATAGATTTTGCATAAAAATTTATGGACTAGGGTGAGCTATAAGCGATCCTAGGCTATATCTTTGATGATGACAAAAAAGCCTGCCCTTAAAAAATTTTCTGTTAAAAAAATTGTTAAAAAATGCGTATCATTTGAAATTCTTCAAGAAAATGTGGACCCAGTTAGGAAGGTTCAAGTTGTTTCAGAAAGTAAAATAATGCAAAAAATGACAAATCAATGGGTTTCTCCTTATTTTGTGAATTTTAGCTTTCCGAAAAGTGCGTTTGTATTGCCGACAGCGAAGGAATGGAAAAGTTTGGGGTTTCCTTATCAGGATTCTGAGGCGAAGATAAGAAAATTACCGCTTGAGGATGGGAAAATTCTTCAAAATAAGGTGTCGTTTTATCAAAACGTAGGAGAAAGATTAGACTTGATTTCGCAAAAGATTACTTAATGTAATTTAATGGTACTCTATTTAAATAATTTAGCTTTTAGCCATATTTTGTAAAAGTTTCAAATATTTATATTTTTATGGTATTTTTGATAGCTTTTGCATTAATTTTTAAGTTTTTTTCCATTTAAATTCTCACTTGCATGCCTAGCGTATAAATTTGAAACTTTATCTGAAGACACTAAAATTAAATTGCCTTGCAAATGATAATTTATTTTTTCGAATTTATCGATTAATTCATTCTTTTAAAATAGCTTAAATTTGTATATTTCTTAATTACTGTTTTTATCTTTATTAGGAAATAACTTAGAAAATAATTAATCTTTACTCCCCCCCTCCGTGAGTGAACAAAACCATTAGAAAAATCCCTATTTTTTGCCCAAAAAACCCACCCTCCGTGAGTGAACAAAAATTTTTTTAATAGAAAATTTTTTTTATGAAAAAAGAAATTGATATATAAGTGATAATTAGTATAATGAAATCTCGAGCTAATTCTGTTTAAATTTAAACAAATTGCGTTTTAAAAAACATAAATTTAATAAATTGAATCAATATTTCTTCCCAATTTTTGCAAATTAGGATTTTTTAAAAATTTCGAAAAAAAAATTTTTCTATATAATTTATATATAAATTTTTTAAAAAAAAAAATTAACCCCCCTCCGTGAACAAAATTTTTTGTTCACTCACGGAGGGGGGTGGAGTTAGTAAAAAGATTTCCAAAATATATTTTTATAATCAATTTATATATATTTAATTAATTCCTTATTTGATAGGTAGAATTTAACGAAAAGCATGCAAAAATCGAGAATATTTTTTTAGTGTTAACTCTATCATAAACTAAAATAGACTTAAGCCATATTAGTTTATTACGCTTATTCACTGAGCTGTTATGAAACTTTTTATTAATAAATATCGAGTTGTTGAGATGGGGAATGCAGCAAATAAACAAAATAAAAAGAACTCTAATTCTCTCTAGTCAATAACAAAGATTTTTTATATTTACTTATTAATTGGAATTATACCTATTTTACGATGAAAGTGCCTAAAAAATATATTTTTGTTAAAGTAAGAAAATTCCAGAGTTCTATTATCTCAACCGCAAACGGCAGAGACTTCTCCACATTGAGCCAGGCCGGCTAACTTCCTCCCAATTTCAACCAGCTGTTGTTTTTCCTCCTGACTCAGCCATTGGCTATGTCCAAGGCTCTTGTATTATGGTTGCAGGAGGATCTGAGCTAAACAAGTTTATCACGCGAGTTGCACTAATAAATACTTCAACAATGAAGCTCAAGTTTTTGAGCCCACTTCCTATTGCTGCAAAGTAAATTAAACTAAACGATTAAACTGGCCATAAGCGGGCAAGTCACTAACCTTTTGCCTCGTCTCTGCCCTAAAATAGCCGCCTCCATGTGTCCTGAGAGACGAAATGGGGATTGGTCTAAACCACCTGTCCAAGGGATCAGCTCCCTAGGGCGGAGCCACCATCTGTAGATTGCTCGATGGTCCCGACAAGGGAAGAACATACAATAGGCAAAACCTGCATAGCCTATCTGCTAGAACATGAAAACCTTTGGAGGAGAAAACAAAACTTCCATCTTCGGTAAGGCATCCCCAAGCCTGAAGGCCTACTTCAAAGGGACAGACGTCCAGTTTTCAGTTCATCAGGATGAGTCTACATTTTTCTATCGAAGTGCGCTTTGGAGTCCAATTTCTGTCAGTGTCACCATTTATTTCTTATTATTTCCACAAAGGAAGGTCATTTATACGAGTACAAAGAATGAGTTTATTATGTAGGCGGGCTATCAGAAGCCAAACTTGATCCTAGATCTCCACAGGATGAGCCAGCCCCTTTAATGAGATACCATATAAATAAAAACAGGTGGGAATATTTTGTAAATTATGAAGATGAAGGTTTAGTAAAAAGAAAGATTTTGGTAGAAAAAGAGATCCAAGAGGACGAAGAGGTCCATTTAACAGTCGACAAAAGCGAAAAGACCCTTTATAAATTCGAATTAACTGAGCTTACGCTCAGAGACTTGCTATTACCTGGCTCTTTTATGAGCAATGCAAAAATATATTTTATTGGAGGGTTTATTATGGACCGAATTGGGAGACTGATTCCAAATAAACAAGTTTTTTCTTTACTCCCCCCCCCTTTAAATTGGAACTAAAAATTTTGTTCCGATTTAAAGGGGGGTTAATTTGTTTTTTAAAAAAACAATATCTTTTTATAAAAAAAATTTATATATATAAAAATTTAAAAAAAAAAATATTCAAAAACTTATCGAGTTAGATTAATAAATTTGTTTAATAAAATGCTATTTACTCTTTATCCTTTAAAAAAAGCAAGATATAACTAAATTTTCATTATTAGTTAATACGCCACTATTTAATTGGCATCAAAATTATTTGCACAAAAATTATTATTTTTATTGATAAAAAAAAATTAAAAAAAAAAAATTTAGAAAATTTATCATCAACGTGCTAATTTTGTTTAAATAAGATGTTATTTATACTCTATTCTTTAAAATAAAAGCAAGAAATAAGTAAATTTTGAAATTTTATAAAGAATTCCTATTGAATTTATATCAAAACTATCCAAATAAACAATATCATTTTTATCAAAAAAAATATTGAAAAAATTTTTAAAAAACAAATTAATTTTTTTTTTAAAATTTAGCAATTAAGGATAATAAATTTATTTAAATAAGATGCTCTTTATACTTTCTTCTTTAAACAAGAGCAAGATATAACTAAATTTTGAATTTTAGTTAAGAAGAAACATTTAACTTATATCAAAACTTTTTAGATAAAAATTATATATAATTTTTTATTATAAAATTAAATTTTGTTCCAATTTAAAGGGGGGTTAATTTACCAAAAAAGTGGAAAATTTTACCTATATTTTGTTCCTATTTAAAGGGGGGGAGTTAGATTTGTCCTTAAGTAAGCCAAAATTTCAAATTGAGCCATTTAAAATTCCTTATTTAGTTATACGGCCTATATGCTCAAATGGAGGTAAGCATATATTAATTACTGGTGGGTTGAATCCAAGGTCAGGGAGACCTAGTCAATATAGTTATGTTTTGACTTTAGCAGATACTTCTGCGACTTTCACACCTTTAGATGTACTGCAAGTCGAGCTTCTTGAAACTTGCGCACCTATTTCTATGGAGCATTATGTAATTTTCCCTAATTACCCACTTGTCCCTGTAAGAAGAAGGCACTTAAAGGAGTGGCAAATATTTGATATAAAAACAGAAAAGAAGTCAAAATTTATTGAAACAAAAGAATTGATAAAAAATGAAAATGAAGTAGGTGATGACAAAAGAGCACCAATTAAAAAAGTTAGACCAATGATAATACCCTTAGGAACTTTTATCAGTGAAGAAGAAGGATTCGAGTTTACAAGGAAAAAAAATGAGAGCGCATTAGAAGAGGATGGGGTTATCATAAAAATGTGTGAAATAGACTATGAGGAAGAAGATGACGATATAAAAGACCCTTCAAAAACTGAGCAAAAAATCGAAATTGAAAGACCTGAATCATTCATAGCATATGATCCAAAAAGGATACAAATGAATAAAAATGTAAAAAAGGATTATGATTTAATTGAAAGCTCAGAAAGATCCAATAGCAGAAGAAACACTAGTGTAAGCAAAAACTCGAAAAATATGAACATAGAAAATAGTTTGTCTAAGGAGAAAAAAAGAGATAAATCGCTTCCTACGCACCCAAAATGTCCTAGCAATGAAAATATGATTGAAACTACGACTAAATCAAGAGGGAATCTTGAAGATTATTTCCTTAAAAATTTAAAAAATAAAAAGCATTAATTTTGATTTCCTTTACTCCCCCCCCCCCTCCGTGAGCGAACAAAACCATTAGAAAAATCGCCATTTTTTGACCAAAAAACCCACCCTCCGTGAGTGAACAAAAATTTTTTTAATAGAAAAAATTTTAATGGAAAAAAATTTTGATATATAAGTGATAATTAGTATAATGAAATCTAGAGCTAATTCTGTTTAATTTTTAAACAAATTGCGTTTTAAAACATAAATTTTGCAAATTAAATTTAATATTTGCTTCCCAATTTTTGCAAATTAGGGATTTTTTAAATTTCGAAAAAAATATTTTTTATAAAATTTATATATAAATTTTTTTTAAAAAAAAAAAAATTAACCCCCCTCCGTGAGCGAACAAAAATTTTTTTGTTCGCTCACGGAGGGGGGGGGGGAGTTAGAGAAATAATAAAAATTTAACTGATTAAATAAAATTATAGTAAATCATTTATGCAGTTTTATTTTAAAAATAAATTATTTATTAAAAAAATCAAATGGGCTGCAAATTATTTAAACCTTCAAAAACCAAAAACTCTTCTATCGACCCATTCTACTACTTAGATAGAAAAAGACAAAGACTCCTATACATCCACCAAGATAAAATAATTGCTTCTCAATTCCTTTCTTCTATCATATTTCCTCCAGACTCTGCTGTCTGCTATCTAAATGAATCATGCATTCTTGTTGCCGGAGGTACAGATGGCAGCTCATTTTCCACAAATTTTATATTAATCAATGCTTTAAGGATGAAAATCAAATTTTTAGCATCCCTGCCAGTTGGAGTTAAAGAAGGGAGCTTATATATTTATGAAAATTGGGTTTATTATGTAGGTGGGGTTTCTCATGCTATTCTTGACTCAAGATCTGTTCAAGAAGAAGCTGCTCCTCTTATGCGGTTTGATTTAGAAAAAAATCGCTGAGAATATTTTGTTGGGCCTGATATACAAGAGTTCATGAAAAGAAAAATGCAGAATATTGGGGAGAATGATGAAGAATTTGATCCAAGCGAAAATAATTTATATAAATTCGATTTGGACCAATTTACGTTAAGAGATTTATTTTTACCTGGGACGTTTATGAGTAACCATAAGATTTATTTTATTGGAGGATATATTATGGACAATATTGGAAAATTAATTCCAAATAGCCAAATTTTTTCATTGAATTTAAGAGGGGATAAGCTAAGACTTGCAGTTGAGCCTTTCACAGCTCCATTTAACGTAATAAAACCTATATGCTCATCAGGAAATCAGCATATTATTATAACGGGAGGATTTGATCCAAATACTGAGCAGCCAAGTCCTTTAAATTTTACATTATCATTAAACAAATCCTATATAAAATTTACCCCTTTAGACGTTCTACCTATTAATCTCCTAGAATCATGCTGCCCTATATACAAAAACGACACCATTATTTTCCCAAATTTCCCGATCGTTCCTATAAGACGAAAATTAAAAAAAAATTGAGAAATTTTTGACGCAGGAAAAAATAAAAAACACAATTTCATGGTAACTGCGGATTTGATAAAATGTGTGAACAAAAAAGGTGAAAACGATAATCCACCTATTAGAAGGATTAGAAGAATGGCAATTCCTATAGGAGTTTTTAAAAGTAAAGAAGAAGGCTTTGAATTTTTAAAAAAAATGGACGAGAGTAAATCAATGATTGCAGATGACGAAATTAATATTGATATTGATGAAGTGGAAACCAATTGCAGAGAAGAGTCATCACCAACAAATAACAGCAAGCAAGCTGAAAGCTTTTCTATTTGCAATAAAAGCACTCCCATAAATGAAAAAAATCTACTTATTACGAATGTCGAAGGCCAGCCTAAAAAAATAGTTATAAAATCCAAGGAAAAAGAGAAATACCATAGTGCTCATAAAAATTTTATTATTTATGAATAATTAAATACTCCATATTAATTTTCTTTGCTAATAGAATAATCTAGATACTTAAATCAATTGATTTTAATCATTATAAATACACTTATTATCTCGTTTTCTTAACAAAAAAAAGCATATAAAGATCTTATATCTTAATTTTTCATATCAGCTTGAAAAAGCCATAAAAAAATACCATAAAATGTCATCAATCCACGGGCAAGCTCTGTGTGCAAATAAAACCTGTATAGACCCAATTGTAAGTATTTCGCAAGAAAAATGTTATTATAGGCCAGGAAACTCATGAAAAGCAACCCATCCTCAGCTAGCCAAAATAATCAGTAAGATGAATCCTCCAAGTCCATGTAAATTAGTGAGAGATAGAGAGCAGCCTATTTCAGGCTGTATTTTAAAGTCTATAACAGTTCATACTGAAGTAGAAGCAATTCCAATGCCAAAATTAGGAGAAAGAGAAACCATTGTACAGAGTAAAAAGTCCTTATCATTTGTGATGGAAAATAGCTCGATTCTTAAGAGAAGAGTCAATCGTGTTGCAATGCAATAAAGATATATTTAATTTAATAGATAAGTATAAATAAATCTTTATCAAAATAATAAGATTTCATTAAACAACTATATAGACAGAATATTTTTGGAAAAATTGAATTAATCTTATTATTTAGGTAATTTTGCATTTAAATCACGATTTTATTAGAATTATTAATTTAATTTTAATTTGATTATCGCCTGTACATTTACAGGTCGCCTCAAAACTCTTTCCTGATATCAAACAACTGTACCAAATTATTTTGTCTAATTTTTCACCTAGAAGCGCTATGTCTAGTAATCCAATTTAATTCACATAATTTTATTAAAATAAACTAGTTATTATTGATCAATTACACTCACGTCAGTTTGATTTTCTTTTAAGCCACAATAGCAAGATATATATAAGATCCCAGTACCAAATAAGGCTATTGCAATCGCGTAATTAATAAGTGAATTCTTGCTCAGGCAGAGAGTTGCAACACTGCTTAAATCTTACAACATATAAAAGAAACCTCGCCCTATGTGTCCTTTAATGAATAAAAATTTGTCAACAATAGATTTTAGACGCAACTCAGAGCCTACGATAAATAATCCGAATAATCTAACTTGAAATTACATATAGTAAACTGGCAAAATGATGTTTATTGGGTCAGTGATGCTAGGAGGGATTAAACCAAATACCCCTATCAATATAAGAAATACAGCCATCACAAGACTGCATGTTTTAAGCCATCGATCCCATTTCTTAGGCAGAGTTGGGTATTTTATGTCTACCATTTTATATATTTATTTTACAAATAAAGATTTTGGATTGAAAAATCTTTTGATATATCGAAGCACAAATAATTTCTATGCTGAATATAAATATAATTTTCAGGATTTATTTTCGAAATTTTTGGATTTCGATTTTTAGCATATTAAGACTAATCTAAAAAAGGATTTTTTATTAATTTTGGCTTATAAAATATAAATTATTAAATGGCCAAGAAAACTTAAAAAAATCCCTACAACAGAAACATCGCTTATTTTAATTCATCAGGATTGAATTTCCAAAATTTTTATTAATCCACAATTAAATAGGATTTTTTTCATTTTGTAATCTCTGCTCCTAAAGTATCATATTTTTTAATTATTCTTTTTATCTTCACAACTACAAAAAGTTTGATCAATATCTTTTCATCATGGATATTTATAAATAAAATGGAATTTAATTAGCTTTCTCTTTCATTTAAAATTGTTCATTTAATTCAATAATAAAGAAATTATGGGTTGTTGTCAAACACTTAAAACTATCAGCATGATAAAAAGTGGTGGCCAAAGTACTTCTAGTCCAGTAAAAAAGCGATCTCCTGGGAGTGGTGACATAAATACTAATAACTCACCAAATCATTCAGCGAATTTCAGAATGCACCGAAAGCTTTTTGTTTCCCATGTAAAATGCCTTGCAACAGAAAAGTTCAAAAATTTAGAAAAAATTGGGACTGGAGGTTTTGGAATGGTTTTTAAAGCTATATCTTCCATATATAAATAGTGATTTTAATTTGTATATTAATTAAAAATAGATATAATTACGATAAGATATATAGAAAAAGAGACAGGAATAGCCAGAGCTCTTAAATTTATCCCTAAAGATAGTATAAATCAAGGCACAATTTTTGAGGAAATCGACAACTTAAAACAGCTTGTAATTTCTATTTAGGACCATCCTAACGTTTTATCAATTATACAAGTCATAGAAGAGCCTGACAGACTTGCTATTGTTACTGAGCTATGCACAGGCCCCAATTTGTATGAAAAAATTTCAAAGGCTCGAATTTTTACTGAGAATCAGGCTGCGAATTATATGCATCAGATTTTTTCAGGTCTTCTTCATTGTCATAAATCCGGTATAATCCATAGAGACTTATACTGCTTTACATAATTATTTTTTTTAATTTTTTTTATTTTTAAATACAATATTCATATAATAAAGAATAAAGCCAGAAAACCTGATCTTTGAAAGCTCAAATGAATGCTCATTACTAAAAATTATTGACTTCGGAACGTCTTGCAAAAACTGTAAAGTAAGCAGTATAAAAGAGCTTGTTGGGACTGTAACGTCTATTTAGCCATATTATATGTCACCTGAAGTAATTAATCAGAATTATACGAAAAAGTGCGACTTGTGGAGCTGCGGGGTGATTTTATATATGATGCTCTCTGGAGTAGTGCCTTTTAATGGTTATAATACACATATCATTTACAATAAAATTAAGGAAGGAGAATTTTCACTGGAATATGGAGTTTGAGATAAAATTTCATATGGCGCAAAAGATTTAATTAGGCAGCTTTTGATTAAGGATCCGAATAAACGAATTTCAGCATCAAAAGCACTAAATCACCCTTGGATTCTGCAAGGAATAAGAGGGGCAATTGTAAATAAACCGCTGAGTGTAAATTTAGGCTATAAAAATATTTATAAAGCATTAAAGATATAAAGAATTCTTAGCGCTAAAGAAATATTCACCAATTAAGGACATAAATATATACCAAATTGTATAAAATTAAATCAAAGAAAAATTTTTTTTATTAATTAAAAATCAAGAAAATTTAATTATAATTTTTATTAGAAATTTTATTAAATAGGCATAATTTCAAGGCTTCAAAGCTATACAGGTGCCAACGCATTAAAACAAGCCACTCTCAGATACATAGCTAGTCATTTAATGGAGGAAGAAAAGAGCAGAGAATTGAACCAAGCTTTTGTAAAAATTGACAAAGATGGAGATGGAAAGCTGAATAAAACTGAGATTCGTGAGGCCTTAAAGCAGCTTAAATTAGATAAGCTCTATAATGTGAAAGAAATTATGGATAAGTGCGATGTTGATAGAACTGGGTTTATTGATTATACAGAGTTTATTACTGCAGCTATGGACTGAAATAAAGAATTATACCTTTTAAACATAAAAAAAGTCTATTATTATAGCCTGTTTTTTTAATTAAATTTTTAAAAAAATCATTTTTATTAAGAATATCAACCGATCGATTGATTTCTGCCTTCAAAATCTACGACTCTGATGGAAATGGATGCATTTCATTAGATGAAATAATTAATTTCATGGGTGAAGGCCTATCAGAAAACGCTGAAAAAGTTTTCAGAGAAGCAGACACAAATGGTGATGGGGTTATTGATATAAACGAATTTATAACTTTAGTCACAGGAAGAAATTTGCAGTTTGGTATTGATATCAGTACCCAAGCTGTATAAAGAATATAATTTTAATTTTTGAATTAATTATGATAAATGGAAGTTATAGAAAATCATCTCCTCAATGGCCATAACAGTTCATATAAAGTTTCACCTTTGAAAAATTAAATTATTTTATATTAATCGCAATATATATTGTTTAATAAGAATAAATAACTTATTTAAATTATAAAATTGTTTTAAAGCTGCTGAAAACTATCAGCTATCAAATATTTGCTCTCAAAGGAGCGACCCTGCCGGCTCTTTTTGACTGACTTTAGGTAGAATATGTACTTGCTACTGCGATTAAGTTTTCTGAAGACGTGAAGCCTGGGGCATAGCTCCAGTTTCACCCTAGGTGCCTATGATTCAGGGTCCTGAGTCGAGTAGGATCATACTCAAACTTGGGGAAGATAGCGGACTGTACCTTTTCAGTTCAGAAAATCCTATATCCCAGTATATTATCCTAAGTACGAGAAACACCTCTCCAAATACACTTAGGATGCGGACCTGCATATCTACTGGCGCGGGTAAATTTGTATCAGATGGCCAGGTGATCTTGTTTGCAAATTGATTATATCCTATTTAGTATTAATCATTGCTTTTTTCTTATTATATAGATTAGTATGGCGAAGAATGCACCTTCAAATGAATTACAAGGACTATCAGAAAGAAAGCAGATGATTAAATCATTTTCTCAAGAATTTATATGGAAACCTACATTGAAGATTGTGTCACCTAAAGCGCATTCTCCAAAAATTATTAGGAAAAAATTAATTGATACTCCTTTGCCTCCGATTCCTATACCAGTCAGGAAAAAACAGACCTTAGAAGCTCCCTTCATAGATAGAAAAGAGTATAATTACCATACAAAAATTGTTAAAGATGACTATGGAGATAGGGTAAATAACTATTATTCCAATTATTTTCACGTAGAATCACAAATGGGGAGAAAGCAACGTATACAAGAATTAATGGAAAAAAAACGAAACCATATTTCTTATGCAGCCCCTGGAGATAAGCCTTATAAGAAGCCCGAACAGTCCTCAGGATTTTTCCTTTTAGATGGCCTTGTATCAGGGGTCGACTATAAAACCCCTATATCTTTCAGATTTTTAAAAAATCTCCCTAATAAATACAATGGAGCAGGAATCTATACGTCGCTTATGAAAACTCTGTCAAAAGAAAAGCTCAATAAACCTTAAAACTTTATATATCTGATAAATTAATTTTGCAACCTCTAATAATGGTTTTTTAATGTCAGAAGAAAATTTTCCTATTCTATCTCCAAGATTGTCTAACCACAGATCCACCCCGACCTTGAAAAAGCAGTTTTTTGTGGCCGATTTCAAAATTATGCCATATACGTTTGACAGTGTAATTCCTAGATGACTTTTAGATCGTAGAGATTTTAAAGATCGGCTGAATTTTTTTTAATATAAAAATATATTTTGAAAATAATTATTTTTTAATAATAAAAAAATGGATGCAGGCTGAAACAGCTAACTAGGACAGATATTGCAAATATTTGTTCAAAACTTAGTGAAGAGCGTTCTGGTTTTGAAAAAGAGTCTGTGGCTAAGTGAATTAAAGACTGTCCTTATTTTTCGTCTATGAGTAATAGAAAGCTACTTGAAATTTCTAACCTTTTGAAGACCCACTGCTTCGTTAAAGGAGCCAATGTTATAAAAGAAGGCGAGATTGGGGACTGCTTATATGTAATTTTAAAAGGTCAAGCTGGGATTTATTTAGGAGGCATTACCCAGCCGATAGCGATTAAACACCCAAGAAATGTAGTCGGAGAAGCAGCATTAGAAAATGCTGTAGTAAGGACAGCCACAGTAAAAGCAGAAACTGATTTAATTGTTTTAGCTTTATCATGCATTGATTATTTACAATTCGCACAAAAAGAAAGGCAAAGAGAAAAGCATGAAATTAAAGTTTTTTTAAAAACAGCAAGCTTTTTTAAAGATTTATTACCATCAAAACTATATTAATTTCTATTAAAATTAAAAAAAAATATCAAGATTTTCATATTTTATAAATATTTACACAAATTGTATAGAAATTTTAGGGAACACTATTTTAGTTATGGAATATTCAAAAAATCAAAACGTATATAAGCTTGATGAAAGCGCGCACCATCTTTATATAATAAAACAAGGCTCAGTTTTATTAGAAGCTCCTGTTTGTTTTGATCAATACAAAAAGATTCCTTCCTCGCTTAGAGAATGAAATGGGAGTGACACAAGAAGAGAAATGAATCAAATCTTGAAATATTATGGACCAGCCGAGTTTTTTGGGGAAAGAGAAATGATTTTAGGAATCCCAAGAGACACACAAGCTGTTGTAACAGCTGATAGAACAGTTTTATATATTTTATCAAAGCAAAGCTTTGATTTAATTTTTTCTCACTCAGATAAAGCAAAAATGCTGAAAAATTCTGTATGCAGGCCGACGAGTAAAGAAATGAGAGAAAATATTACAAAAAAGGTGGAAGCCATTAATACAAAATTAAATTCACTTTTAAACGCTTGTGACATAAATGTCCGACCTACCGACCGAAGCTCCACAATTGATCGAAAAATCATAAGAAAAGTGACGTGGGCAAGATCCCTTGCGCAGCGCTACAAAGATGATTTGACAAAAGAACTGAACACTGTTGGAGACCTATAAATATAAATCTCGCTTATGTAACGTATTTTTCATAATAAATAAGCATAAATGGAAGGTTTTTATCTTGATCATTACAATATTGAAGCACTTAAGCATTTATTTAAAAATTTTTCAAGAGATGCCTTAACTACCATGAAAACATTGACTATCAACAAAGAAGAAATCATAAAATTCCCGCCCCTTGGGACTTTACAAATATTCAGGAGTTTAGAAGAGCTCATTATCACAAATTGCAAAATCACTGATTTTCCTACTGAAGTAATTACTGCCTCAATGCCACTATTAAAAAAAATAGACTTAAGGAGCAATAATTTCGCCACAGTCAAAATTTTGCTGCCTTTAGGTGAATTATTAAAATTAGAAGAATTACATTTAGAAGGGAATCCATTGACTTTATTATCACATAGGATAAGCTTACTACAAGCTTTATTATTTCCAAAAAATAAAATCCGCTATAAACTGTCAGCTTGCTATACAGCTAGCTATAAAGCGATAAAGCAGCCTAAGCAACAAATAATAGTTAGAGACTCCCGAAGCGTTACTAGTATAATTTTAAATAGCAGTAAACCAGCCAAAGTTCCTCGGAAAGGGATGTTCCCAATGCTAAAGTTTTTAAACCATGAAGTTATCACTGAAGACGAAGTTAATAGCGCAAGACCTTTTATTGATGAAACTTGGCTTGCGACTGAAGAAAATCAAGCTAAAGATTTAGACCCGATTTTGGAAAAAGTCAAAAAGAAAAATGCAAAAATTTTGGCACTGAGGGAAAGGTATGGAGCTGATATTTTAAGACAAGGCTTGCACCCTTGCGATTCAAAAAAACCGAGGGTTGAACATGTGTCAAGGACTGTGAGGCTGCAAGATATGCTGATTAGGTCGTCAAGAGAGCCGTCAGTTATTGATGCTGAGCCTGAAAGCTCGGTAAATACTTCAGTTAATGTGAGCAGGCATGAAGAAAAATTGCCAGATTCGCCTAATAAAGCTTTTACTGAAGAAAAATTTTTAGGGTCAAAAGCTTCAAATACCCATATGTCAGAAACTCCTGGGATAGAGTCGTCACCTTTACTATCAAAATCAATCAAAAAAATCCCACTTACTCCTATACCACCTTTGCCAGAACCTCCAAAGCCGCCGGTATCTCCATTAATTGAATTTAAAAAACGAAAAAATATGCAAAGAGAAAATTTATGAAATTTACTATATTTTACTTAATTATATAGTAAATAATGCAAAAGTTATATTATAAATAAACAAGTAATAAGCTCATTTTTAATATAATTTGTTATAGTATAGACAGTGATCGAAATAGATCACCTTTTTCAGCCACACGAAGAAGCTCTTTAATCCAACTAATCCAAGAAGCCAACGTAGAAGAGCCTGAAATCGTAGTTGAAGAGAAAAAAAATGAAGAAGTCCTCAAAGAAAAAATGAAATCAATAATAGAAGAAAGCAAAAAGATCCGGGAAAGAGCTATTGAGCCTTTTTTGAAAAAAATTTATAACTTCAGTGAGGTCAACCAATTTGTAAATAAAAGCGGCTCCATGCATTTTATAAGGATTTTTTGTTAGCAAGACATTTTCTCAGGAAATTTATTTCCCACAAAACAGTTACTCACAAAAAACCTTCAAATTTCTCAAATCCCTGAGGAATTTAGCAAGAGGAAAAATGATGCACAATAAAATCGACCCATATATAAAAAACAAAGTCCAAACAGTCAGCGATGTGCTGAATCTTGTAAATGATACCAAAGGAAAATCACATGGAATTACTGATACTGAAGTAAGACAATTATTACAAGAAAACATGAAAGAGCTGCCCCTAGATGAAATTGAGCTTCTCCATAAAATTGTAGCATTAGATGATGATATGAAAAATATGAGACTAAAAAACACATATTTGGACTGGTGGCTAGGAAAAATGGAAAAGAAAAGACTGCAAATTGCAGAACATCAAGCGATTTTGGCTTTACATAAAAAAAGAATTTTTGGTAACCCTACACTTGCAGTGAAGTCTCCGAAACCTTGACAAGAAGAATATGCGCCACCAAAAAACCCATTAGTTTCTAGAGCAATAAGCCAAGGGTATAAAATAAAATTACCTGAAAATAAACAAATTGCGACAGTGCATAGAATGGCGGAGCAGGAGTTTAAAAAGAAAGGAAAAGAAGTGATTGAAAAAGATGAACATTTTTCGTCGATTGATTTTAAATCACTATTTAAAGATCCAAATGTAAAAGAAGGGCCTGTTATTTATATAAAGCCTATACCTAGTCTAAATGAATTATTTTAAAAATATTTTATTTTCAAAATAAAAAAAATTATTTATATTAGGAATATATTAAAGCTTGAAACAATGCTTGAGCATCTACACACCCAATTAAGAGAAAAAGAAAAAGAATTCGAAGAGCTTAGTTATGATGACAAAGTTATGCTGAGACTACAAAGAATAAAAAAAAATATTGCAGAAAGAGAAATCATGAGAGATAGGCTGAAATCTTTATATAGCCAGGTAGAAAAAATGAAATTGGAATTCCAAGAGAATGAAAAAGAATATTTTTATAATATGTATGAGAAAAAAGAAGATATAGAAATTGCCCGAGGATGGCGCTATTTTGCGCCATCCTTGGGCAATTCAAAAAACAGGCCCCACACGGGAATTGAACCCACGTGTGGGGCCATTTTTGGTATGTGGAGAATATTGACTTCCACGTACCAAAAATGGCCCCACACGTGGGTTCAATTCCCGTGTGGGGCCATTTTTTGAATTGCCCGAGGATGGCGCAAAATAGGGCCATCCTCGGGCAATTTCTATATCCATGACTTGCTAAGCAAAGAAGATTTTTCTAAAGTTGAGCTGCCAAGATTTATTATTCCTCAAGAAAATTAATTTATTCTGCTTTTACTGAAAAATTTTCTTTGAATTTTGGTACAAAATATCTGAATTTTATATAAAAATAAGACTTTTTTTAAAATATCTAATTATTTTAAAGAAAAAAAGAATAATTTTCATTCTAAAAATCATAAATTAATTTTTGTATCAAAATTGCCATTTTAGTGTTCCTTAAATTCTTCTCTAGATTTTTAACGCAATGAGAAGAAACAGGACACCAGAAAGAAATTTATCTAGAGCAGGAAAGTATCTAGTTTCTATTCGACACAAAACTCCAGCCCCGAAGCTCGATTTAAGTGATATAGCTACGAAGCGAGCTACAAGCCCTATTAAATCTCAAAATGACGATAACCTGTCAGCTCGTTATGATCCTACTAAAAGAAGATTTACAAGCGAATGAACAGGAGACATTGATATCAAAAATTTTCAATATGCCCTATCAAATATCCAAGAAAAATCCTTGAGCACGCCTCTCCTTACAAAACCCAAAGAAAAAATCGACATCAATAAAATCCCCGAGTTAATTTCTTTTAGAGAGCAAGCGAGGAAGATTGAAAAACAAAAACCTGACTATATAAGATGCCTAAGAAAAAGCTTTCGAGAGCTAAAATCAATGAATTTAAACAAAGATCAAATTCCTAATTTAAGCTGGCGATTTAGACAGAAGATAGACTTCGAGGCACACTCTATATGAAGCAGGTAAGACCCGTCCCGATGAAGCTGAAAATAGTGCCTCTGTAATTTTTTGAAGTCGGCCTTGGGCTTGGAGATACCGAAGAGGGAAGTTTTGTTTCTCCCCAAAGGTTTCCTCTGCTTTTGCCAAATGGACTAGAAAAGATTTGATTCCCACTTAGTCTTTGCTTATTGGGGATAAGGAGCATCCGCAAGAGGTGGCTCTAGCCTAACGAGCTAATCTTTAGGTTAGGTGGGTTTACGTCAGATAGGCAGGCTAAATGGTCTATCCGCTTATGGCCTTATTATTTTAACTTTATCTTTAACCATAATTTAAGCTCAATTACATGCAAAATCCCATACGGTCGTCCAAATTCTAAACAATTTTTTTCTGCTGTAAAATCCGGAGACGAAGAAGAAACTCAAAAATTCCTATTAAAAGACCCATTTCTAGTCCACGTTTTTGACGAAGTTGGCTTAACAGCTCTTCATTGGGCATCTCTACGAAATTATCCAGGAATTGTTTCCCTTCTTTTATCAAAACGTGCTATTATTGATGCAATCGATACTGCTCATAGAACTTCTTTATTTATCGCTGTAAAATACAACTCAATAGAATGTGTCCGAATTCTCCTTATAAACATGGCCGATCCGCATATTTCTTCAAATTCAAAAAAAATGCCAGTAAATATAGCACAAACCAAAATTTGTGAAAAATTGATAAAAAAAAGCTATACTATTTACAGTTAGCTGCTATTTAATATATGAAAACAAGCCAGTAGATTATATTTATTATAAATAAGGCTATGACTTTTTATACTTTATATGCAAAACTCCCTGAGCCACAACGCAGCCAAAAATGGAAGGAAGAAGCAATTCCGGTATTTGAAGGAAGCTATAAGTCTCAGAAAAAGGCTGGAAATAAATTTTAATCGCTTAATTAATTATTAAATATGTGCTTAATAAGTCTGAGCCTACTTGTTTAAGCTGTCTTCGAAATCCAAAATTCGGATTAGATTAGATTATGCCATTCGCTTTCGCAAGGCCGGGGATTTGCACCCCTACTACACGCTCATCATCCCTGAAGGATCCCGGCGGACACCCTTCTCCGTCGCCGCAGACGAGGCTTCGCGCACCAGTCTTGACTTCCATGGCTCCTGGAGTCTAAGGGCCAACCACCTGGGCCGAAACTCCCAGTTTCTCGTTAGGCAAATACCGTCTTCAGGGTGTGAGGGTCATATTGCCCATCAGACATTGGCCGACCTTGCCCTTTCCAATGGTTGTACCGGAGGAAAAACTCTAAGTCCAGGGATTAGCTCCTGGGCCCGAGGAAAACCCAGCCCGACTATACATAAAGGATTACCGACCCCTTTCCACCTAAATCTTCGACACTGGGTCGTTGCCTGCTGGTGTTGAAGAAATAGGGTCGAGAGGTCGGGTGGTCTGTCGTCACCATTTTTATGTATATCCAAAATTCGGATAAATGCATAATCTTCTACTTTGGACTAAATTGTGTGCTTGCTCAAAATTGAGCCTGTGTTTTGCCATTATATAAGCAATTACTATTGTGGCACTTCTGGATCGGCCTGCTGCAAAATTAATTAAATTAATTGCTGCGATGCTAAAAATCTGCAGAGGATTTCCACCTCTCAAGCTCATCAACTCTTTAGGAGCTGCAGGCTGACAACGGCTGCCTTTTCTAGGCTTCTATGGGCCTGAAACCTAGGGTGTGACTCCCAATTTCACGCTGAGCATCTGCTGTCTTTAGGATCCCTAGGTATGGGACCTAAATCTCGGAGACAATAGCAGACTGTACTTCCAAGTCAGGAGGAAATTCACATGTCCTAGGTATTAACTCTGTGGAGCGAGAAAAACCTCTAACCAGATTCATTAACAACGCCGTATCTGTTTTTTTATTTGGTTCCTCCTGCAGGTGCTGGTGAATTGCGTCAATAAATCGGGCAGCCATCTCCGCCGCTGTATTAATCCATATGCCAGCTGCACAATGAACAAGGACTTTTTGGCCTGACAGGAGACTGCTGCTTATAAATTTAAGCGCTTCTGGCAGAAGGGGTATCATGTTTTCACTTTCTAAATCATTTATCTGTACAAAATGGTAAGTAATTCCAGGAAATGTTATATCTGATTGGTATTCTAGTACTTGGACAATATTTTTAATTCCTAAACTTTGGAGAAGCTCTAAATTTTCTGCAGCAATTTGGCTTCCTAAATAAAGCCCATTTTCAATTTCATGGATATCTTCTTGGAACCTTTCAAGATCAGAATTTTCCATATTATTTTAAATTAAATAAAATCTTGCGCTTAAATAATGGCTAAATAGTAGCTTTTATTATAAAAAAACCTGATTTTTGCTGTCCAATTTTAAAATTTTTTTAAGCTTTTAATTCAAATTTTACCAAGTATAAAACCAGAAAATCTAAAAAATGCGAAAAAATGAGGAAAATATGAATTTTTTATCTTTGGTGAAGCTTTTTGCTTCATAGCAACTATTAGTATATTTAGCCAATACTTATTTTGCATATTTATTTTCTAAAAAGAAGATTTGCAGTAGCTAGCTAATTTCTTTCGATATTAATAATCTATGAAAAGTATGATCAATAACTCCTTACATGCTCTGCAATTGACCCGTGAAAAAATATTAAAAGAAAGAGAAAGTACTTCAGAAACACAAGCTACGCAAGGCCCTCTAAGATCTATTCCTACACAAGGGACTGAATTAAGTGAAAGTGAAGACGAGGGAGATAACTCAAGCAGACTAAAAGATATCCCTATCATAATTACGTAAAATTAACCATAAGCAGATAATTATTTATTTTTTATATATAATAGGGTTTAAAATTATGGCTTATATCACTATTTGTTATAAATAAATATAAATCGATTTCTGCAGGTGTTCAATACCAAAGAGGTGGCCTTGGAGTAAGAACACAGGTAGATTTAAATCAACTAAGGCAAGAAATTAAATTAAGGGAATCTGAGCAGTTTGAAAGGGAAAGGGAAATTAAAAATATCTTGGGGAGTGACACAAGCCAAGATGAGCAGGGAAGTGGAGGAGAAGAACAAGAAAATCGGATGAATGAAGAAATTAGAAATAAAGTTGAAAATATCATTATCCTAGATCAGAGTGATATAAAATGCTGCTGCAGTCGGACGTGCAATTTGTTGTAGTCGATAATTAATGAGAGTGGAATGTTAGCAAAATAAATTTTAAATAAAGTTTTAAATCAATAGCTTGTATAGAGTAAAACTGCGAAATTTAAGAAATAAAATTGGATAATAATAATAAAAGGTAAAATAATTTTACTTTTTTATTATCCTAAATTCAAAAATCTAAAAGTATTTTTCCCTAATTTTAAAATATTGACTCTTAGTCAAGACTTTCCAATACCCAATTGAACAATTCTTATTTTTGGGCTTTTAGCCCAAAAATTTAAATCCAGCTTTTTAAAGCAGCAAACCTCAGCAGAATTTCAAAACAATATTTAATATTTGCATAAAATTTATTATACTCTTTTAAGCCACCTCACAGTCCTGAAGCGGGATAAATGATTATGAAGCCACATATAGTAAAAAATATCGTTAAATGATAGAATGCTATTACAAAGAAATAGAAAACGAAGAATGTGACTGAAAAGGAGAAGCCTCTGAAGTTCCAAGCCATTTAATATCTCAGCACAGCATCTGCGAATACACCAGCTGTAAACACAATAAAATAATGCTTGAGCTAGAATTTGATGAAAATTCTGGCTTCAGGTTTTTACTTTTGACCTTCCAGAAAGACGAAAAGCCGATTCCTTTTATATTTGAAGGAGTCATAGCCCATACCACTATAATGATTTCTAAAATAGGCAGGGAAGGACCTTTGTGGCTCTATCGAATGGAGGAGCTTGATCCGAACTCAGCCATCAAAATCTGAGACCTCCACTCTGCTATCTCCTGTTCCTCAACACTTCTACACTTAGACTCCACTACTTTCGACACCCTTTCCTTCGACTGTTTGCTTCCCTTTTTTTGGCGCGAAATGGGCCGGTTAAAAAAAAAATATAGGAATAATAAATTAAAGCTATAATTAATAATTTTAATTAAATTTTATATTTGAAGAAAGTATGAGTGAAAATAATTTGATAAGTTTACTGTTAAGAAGCCCATCTGAAGAAATCATTAGGTACAAAATGAAAATAGAGGGAAAAGTTTCGTCTATTGAATATGAAGGAAACGTGCAGAAGTTTGATGGGAAAAATATAGAGGAAAACCAACAGTGCTTAAAGGTCCATGCAAGGCAGATGCAGCATTTTTCTTATATATCTGATGATGGGGAAAAAAGATATAAAATTGTGTTAACAGTGTTATAAAAATTTTGGAAGAGGATAGGGATATATAATATAAAATAATTGTGTATAAGGAACTTTTCAGGAGGCGGAAAAAATGCACGGTCATTTCCTCCACGCCTTTTTTTTGACATAAAAAGACTGTAAAACCATTTGACTTTGTTTTGGTGGAAAAAATACTAGTTTTCGCAAAAGCAGGCTTAAAAAATTTTACTATCAAAAATAATATAATTTATTGCATATATTGTCGGAGGGCATCACATATGAAAAAAATTTCTACGCTTTGAATTAAAATTCCACTGTTGAGCGATTATTATGGTTTCTCCAAATTTAAAAACTTTTAATAATTTATGCAATAGATTATATAACTTTACGGCACTTAGCAAATCCTGGATTTTTTAAAATGGTCTGCCGTGCCAAAATCATTATACAGCTTTTGTACGAATAAAATTTAAAGTTATTAGCTATTATATATTTAAAAGCAATAAGATTCATCAACCAAATTTACCTATATCTAAGAAAAATGATTCATTCTAGTTAAGAAATTATATAAAAATACTAGGGGATAAAAGACGACCTATAAAAACAATTAAAATATATCATATCTATTTTTCTTAACTTTAGATATCAGCTTCAGCAAAATAAAAACTCTAATTGAAGAGCCAATTTTCTTTAAAATTTTGTTATTAAAGATTTTACTTAAAATCCAAAACGTCTCCATCCCTCTTATTATTTTCCTATCGTTTAATAAATATTTTTAATTTGCTCATGGGATCTGCTTGTACGTCAAATCCAAGCCCTCGGAATCATTCATCCTCTCACAACTCAAGGCTCCGGACAATGAAATTGGGCAATTTCACGTTTCAGTTGTATGGTAACCAATATTTTAGAAAATAAAATTGTGGGAAAAGGCTGCAGAAGAACGCCAGCTTGGGAAACACAAGCCACAAGAGAAGAGGTGGACAAAAAACGCAAGGAATTTTGGGAAACCAGGGTTGATGGAAACCCTGAAGTTTGGCAATTATTAAAAGGTGCAATAGATGAGCCTCTGCCAGCAAATTCTTTAGAAATGATAAGATAAAAAATGCGAAGTCGACGGAAAATGAGCTCGAGACACACTACCTATGAAGCAATAAGGAACGTCCTGATGAAGCTGAAAATAGTGCCTCTGCCATTTTTCGGATTAGGCTTTTAATTTTGGGGATACCGAAGAGGGAAATTTTGTTTCTCCCCAAAGGGCTTTCTCTGTCCCTGCCAAATGGGCTAGACAGGTTTTGGTTCCCACTTAGTCTTTGCTTATTGGGAATAACGGGGCATCCGCAAGAGGTGGCTCTAGCCTAGTAATCCTTAGATTTGGATTTACGCCAGATAGGCAAGCTAGTGGTCTATCTACTTATAGCCTTATAGCACTTAACTTAGCAATGATACAAGCTGCAGGGCTTTCTTTAGCTGATGGAGTTTTGATGACTGTTTATGACCAAGGGCAGCACCGCTATGAAATTCCTCCATATCTTATCAATGAGCCTGAGCATTATGGACCAGGTCTAGATGTAATATCAATAAATCAGCCTATAAAAGAAGAACTAATTGAGCTGACCTTGAGGTCTACAAAATATAAAGATTGGGTAGTTCGTATCAGCAACTGCACAAAAGTTACACAACTGAAAGAAGATTACGCGAGAAATTTTGATACCAAAGATTTGAAAATTAGGATGTTTTCAAATGGAAAGGAATTAAAAGACGGAAATACACTGGCTCACCATAACGTTAAAGCAGGGATGGTACTGCAAGTTGCAGTTCTTTAGCTATTGTTAATAATTCGATTTATTTAAATAGTGAAATTAAAAAAACTGTTTCAATTTTTGTGGCATAATTGCTTTTTTTACATACAATTTTTTATTTAAAATTAGACTAGCTGCTTATTTTTATTGCAAACTGATTAGATTTTGGTATTAAAATGTGATTGTTTGAAATTTATTTAAATATTTGGAAAATTAATTATAATTGAAAAATCAAAACAAATTTATTTGGAGAAAATTATAGCTGAATTTTATTCTTTTAAAATAACTCCCATTGAGATTTTTTTGTTTATTCTTTAAAGGGTTAAATTTATTTTAAAAAATTATATCATTAAATTTAACACATTATTTTTTTTTAAATTTAAAAATAATTTGCAAGAAAATTTTTATAATCTCTCTTTAAATGGGAGTTAATTTCTCTCTTGGAAGGGGGGTTAAATGATAATATAGTAATATAAATCATGGGAGGATGGGACTTTGGAGTTTTTCAATGTGAACAAAACCCTGTAATGTGTTTATGAGCATGGTGTGTCCCCGGTGGAATATGCTGCATGCAAGTTGTTGATGCCAAAATTTCTGATTCAGAGAACAAAAATGCTGCCTTCGTTGCATGCTTATAGTTTGGGCACGCTTATGGAGTAAAGTTAATTCTATTTGCTGCCAGCCTGGGCTAGCTTTTAAGTTAAGACCTGGACATAAGCTTTAAGATGATAGCCGAAATCCGGTTTCTCAGAATAAATAGCCTAGAAGCATGCCAAAGCTGCTCATAATCTATATGCAGCTGCTTCTTGGGCTGTATAGGAGCTACTTTTAACCGCTATAAACTAAGAGAAATGCTTACTATTAATGACTCTGTTATTATGGATTTACTTTGGTATTGGTGAGTCCCATGTTTCGCTGTCACTCAAGAATGGATGACCACAATGAATCGCCAAAAAAACAATCACAAACTTCTTATTTGGCAGCTGATTGGAGCTCAAGAAGGAGGCAATGGGGTAAGAGCTTAGGAAAGTATTAACTTAGTATTATGCAATTTCTACAATTAAATATAAAATCAGAGGAAAAATCCAATTAAAGGTCTAGGGATATTTTCATAAAAATGAAATCATGGGCAATTTCTTATTTAAATATTTATAATCCTTTCATCCTTATTGCAAAATAAAAAATGAAAAATAGATTAATTAGTTAATGATAAAATAATAATACTGCAAAAAAATGATTTTACAAAAGGATTTTTTTGCTATTATATTTTTATTTCAATCTACATTTATTTATCCAAGCTTTGTTTTTGTCATTAATTTTAAAATTATGAAAGAAATAATACGAGTGCACGTACTTATTGCAATGACTCCTACAACCCCTTCCCATATTTCATGGGAAAAACCTAAGAAAAAGAGCTCCTTTTGGGACAAGCAAAAATTTCTCTCCCACATAAGGTTGAAGCAAGCTTCCTAAAGGATCGCAAGATGGTTCGCACGATAAATCAAGATCATTATACTCATTAGCAGCCAAAGCTTGAAATCCCCATTTAAATGGCTAAATAATCTTTACTGTGATATACGAAATCCATCTAAAAGAAATAGGAATATTATCAAGTTTCACATATTCTCCACCAAAAGCCACTAATGGCAGTACTAAAATTGAGCTAAAAGCCATTGCATTTTCAGATCGAGAAAAAATTGCTCCAATTATGCAGCCCAGTCCTACTCCACATTGCAATAGCAAGGAGTAAATAATATCTATATGAAACTTACAAAATATGATAAATTTTGACCCATCATTATTATTAAGACCTGCAGAAAAATAAACAATAACTGCTGTCATAATCGCAATAATAAAAGTCCAAGGCAAATCTGCAATATTTTTCGCTAAAAAATAAGGGATTGTCCCATATAATCCTTGAGATCTTTCTTTAATATAAGGAGCTCTTTCTAATGGAACTATATAAAAATTACAGTTATTCACAGTCGTTCCATTTCCTTGGACTACTGCAAACATAACCAAAAGATAAATTAGCCCATTTCGATTTTGTATAGATTTTACATTATCTCCTAAATCATTAAAAAATAGCGCCACAATCACACTAAACCCCAGATGGCTTGCAAGCCTAAGTTTCAATGACAATTTATTCCTGCTTGCATTTTTGGCAGCTCTTTTAAGCAGTTCATAAAACTCTGCCCATATGCCAGGGTAATAAACTTTAATATTATGAAGCTCAGAAAGCTCATATTCAGAGCTCTGTCGTTCTTTATGGTATTTTTCCCTATATGCCGTAAATAATAAATTCATCATTTCTTGCTCATTTTCTGTTATATCAAATCTATTTGAGACGTGAAAAATTCTCATATAAAAATCAGCTGGATTAACACTTTTTGGGCATTTGTATCCTAATTCTGCGAAATATTTTCTTGAATTTTTGCAAGAGCCTTGATAGATAATATTTCCTTCTAATAAAAGTATAAGCTTGTCGAATTTTTTAAAAATTGAGGAGCTTGGCTGATGGATTGTAGAAATTATAGTTCTGCCTTTTAAAGCTTGCTTTATTAATAAATCAATAACTAGCTCTGCGTTATAGCTGTCCAATCCTGATGTAGGTTCATCAAGCATGAGAATGCATGGATCAGTTATCAATTCCATTCCAATGCTGAGCCGTTTCTTTTCTCCTCCTGAAAGTCCTTTAATTATCTCGTTTCCAATTAAATTGTCAGCAATATTCGATATATTTAAGTCGTCAAGAATTTCTTGGACTTTTAAAGATTTTTCCTCAATGCTACCAGGGAATCTGAGCATGGCATAAAACAATAGATACCCATTAAAAAACCTAATTATTAATTGGCAACTTATAATCTCATAGTAATAAAATAAGCTAGTATTAAAAGTATTATAATTGAATATAAAAAGTATAGTTTTCCCTGACCCAGATGACCCCATAATTGCTAAATTTTGCCCTGGATTAGCATCTCCTGAAATATTTTTTAATATTTGGTGGGTCTTTTTTTTCGAGGAAATTGAGTAACTGATATTTTTCCAGGAAAGTTTTATCAGATTTTATTAGTGAATAACTGGCATTCAGATTATTGCCAGGAATTTTATTTTCCTCTGGAAAAGTATCAATATTTGTGAGATTTACCTTTTGTTTCATTTATATTTATAGACATAGTGAAACTGTTTAGATTTATCCACCATTTTAAGTGCAAATCACCAAATTAAATTTTAAATATCTTTTAATATTTTTATCATTGCCAAAGCTATAAAATATTTTACATTTTATATATAACTGCTTTAGGCTTAGCTCTGTAAACTGTTTGTTTTTAAATAAAATTTATCAGTTTCAAGAATTGCTCAGTTTAGAAACTCTTAATATAATTTCTTACCCTATTTTATTATTTAGCTCCAAAGTTTATATAGCATTATTTTTCAAAAAGATGTATTCACAAACAAGATTCCATATTCTATCTAATTGATCATTCTATCAATTTTATTATTAAATGCCTTTTTTATTAATAAGCAGTCTAATCATTTCTGACAATTTAAAACTTTTTATTAACCTGTTAGCAAGCTTGATTTAAACTAGAAATAAGCTTTATGCTTATTAATAAACGTTTATTCAGGCATAATGGTAGCTTTTAAACTATCATAACTCCCACCATTTTAATATCCCTTTTAAATCCTCCTATTACCTCTAAAACTTCTTACTTAAATAAACGCATTCTCTTATATCAGACATATTCATAAAGCGAAGTAATTATGTTGCCTTTAATTTTTGCTTTGTTATTTACCCTTTCTCAAGCAGACCCAGGAATTTGTAAAAGTGCTTTAATATCTGTATACACCAAAACCCACAAAGACGCCACAAAAATGCTTTATTACTCTGGAAGAGATTTTGATGATTTAGGAAAATACGATGACTGCAATGACTTAGACTCTGCAAAATATCTTTTAATAAGAGGCAAAGTCCAAGGAAATATAGGAATGATAGGCCTATGTGGCCCAAAAGAATGTTCTACTTCAGATTACGACGACTTAAAAGGATGACTTGATGTTGCCTTAAATTTGACTTCACGAGGAATTGAGCTGGACACGCTGAAATTTTATTTTTCTTATGATTATAATCACGAACCACTTGACGGAGGAGCTATTTTTATGGTAATTTTGTGGTGCTTGTTAATAATCGTTGTCATTTCAGGCACATATCTTGAGTACCTGAAAATCCAAGACCCTGAAAAGAAATTTGAAGGGAAATTGGGGCTTTTAATGACTTTTTCAGCCATACACAATTCTTCAAAGCTATTTGTCCTTCCTATAGAAAAAGACAATTTACAAATTTTTAACGGAATTAGGGTTTTTGGAATGCTTTATATCATTATTGGGCATTCTTATGTATACCAGCTTAGTGCAGCAATCACAAATCCGAATCAAGCAATTGATTGGATAACTGATTTTGGGCATAAATTTATATCAATGGCCCAATATCTGGTTGATATTTTTTTCCTTATGGCTGGGTTTCTGCTTGCATATCTTACAATCGGAGAAATGAACAGAAAAAATGGGAGGATTAACTGGGTTGTGTTTATATCCCACCGCTTCATCAGGATGATTCCTGTTTATTGGTTTGCTTTTTTAAACTACCTGCTGCTAGAAAGATATATAGGAGGTGGCCCTCAGTGGCCATCATTTAAACAGCTCACTATAACAGGCTGTGACGACTATTGGTGGTCAAATCTTTTATTTTTAAATAATCTTTTGCCTAGTGACGCTTATTGTTGCATGGGCTGGACATGGTACGTAGCCAATGATGTACAGTTTTATTGCTTTACGCCTATTATTTTGATAATTTATTATAAGAGAAAATACTTCGCATATATTCTCTTATGCCTCCTTATTCTGCTGAATTTTGTTATAATTGCAGGGCTGTCAGATAGGCATGACTATAATCCTACGATTTTGTATGGGTTAAATGATAAGCATCAATTTTTGAATATTTATGTAAAACCATATACAAGGATGTGCACTTATATATTAGGGTTAATAATAGGATTTATTTATAGGTCAAATGTGGACTATAGACCTGTGAGCTTGATATCTCCTGTTACTGATATTGAAAACTCTGAACAATCTGCGTTTGAAAGTCAGCTTTACCCTGATAAGGAGAGGGAGGTTAGTGATAATTCAAACTTAGATTGGGTCACAAACTTAGAAGTTATGTCTGTAAGGTGGATTCATAATTGATATATAAGGTATTCAGCATATGCTCTAGGAGCTGGATTAATGTTTATGATAAATTTCCTTCCTTATCAGCTTGATGACCATGGCTTGGATTATTGGACACAAAATGGAAAAACCACTTTTTTGGTATTCGAGCATTTTACATTTGCTGTGGGATTCAGTTTGATTTTGATTCCTATGCTTTTTGGGAAAGGCAGGGTATTAAATTATATTCTAAGCTTTAAATATCTATAGCGCTTTCCCGAGGATGGCGCGCGGAATGGCGCCATCCTCGGAAAGTCAACTAAGCATCCATACGGGAACTGGGAGTTCCACGTGTGGATGCCATTTTTGACATGTGGGATCCAAACTTCCACATGTCAAAACGGCATCCACACGTGGAACTCCCAGTTCCCGTGTGGATGCCTTCCTAGCTTTCCCGAGGATGGCGCCATTCCACGCCATCCTCGGGAAAGCGCTATAGTTCCGCTGGCCAGAATTAGCTTTTCAGTTTACATTATCCACCCTATTTTTATTTATTTAGTTGCTTTGTCAAGATATCAAGCCTTTTACTTGCAAGATTGGGAATTGCTTTATAATGCAATTGCGACGATTTTTCTATCGTTTATTGTAGGCTTTATTTTATCTATGACTTTGGAAAGTCCTATTTTATCATTAGAAAGGAAACTTCTTGCTCCCCCTCCGTGAGTTAACAAAACCATTGGAAAAAAACCCTAGTTTTTGCCAAAAATCCATCCTTCGTGAGCAAACATAAAAGAAATTTTTTTATGAAAAAAATTGATATATAAGTGATAATTAATATAATGAAATCTCGAGCTAATTCTGTTTAATTTTAAACAGATTGCGTTTTTAAAAAATAAATTTTATAAATTAAATTAATATTGCAAATTAGGATTTTTTTAAAATTTCGAAAAAAAAAAATATTAACCACACTCTGTAAGCAAACAAATTTTTTTGTTCACTCACGAAGGGGGGGAGTTAGGAAGAAATAACAAATTATTAAGCGATTTATTAAATTTTGCTTTTATTAAATAAAGATTTTGTTTTCACAGAATTCCTTTAAATGCCTGAAAATTAGTTAATAAATGTCACTTTTGTTTCGAGCATTTGCATCTTACTATAAGATGAAGACTCACTCTGGCATCAAAAAAAGAATAAAAATTATAGGAAGCTTATGGGAGAGGCACTTCATGTTTTATCCGACTAGCAAGCATCACAAACTCATCAACAAAAGCAAGAATAACTTGAAGAGGAAGACAAATCCAAAAGAACTTACATGTCCTGGAGATGTAAAAAGACTGAAAAGGTTGATGCCGTATTGGAACTTTAAAAAGTACAAGAACTAATTTAATTTAGGATTACTTGGCTCGATTGAGATTTATGATGAATTTAATAATAGATAAGGGAAAATGGGAAATTTTATCTTTTAAATCATTCATTTCAGAAGGAAAAATTGTATGCTCATGCTAATTTTAATTTATAGTAGCATGATTATTGAAATAATTAAAAGCTATTAAATATTTCAAATGAAAAATAAATCTTTAATATTTGGCAAAATTTAATGCATAAAATGATAAATAAGTAAAGTCATGATAAAAAATATGAAATACAAGGAAAATTCACAGGGCTCTAATATAATTTTCATACAATGTTCTGAACATAATAAAATAATTTAAAAAATAATATGGAATAAAGAGAACTATTTAGCTGTAATTAAAATAAAGACTAAAATTCAATTCCTGTATTAATAAATTAAATATAGAATTCATTTAAGAAAGAAAATGGATCTTGGTTTTCAGTTTGTTTTAACCCTTAAAAATACATATATTCTTTAATGGCAGAGAGATTGGGAATTTACTTAGTTTTTTTTGGGTTCTAAAAATCAAAATTTTTAAATACTAAAATAAAAAATCTAAATTTCAATCTAAAATTAATATAATTATTTAGATGAAAAATCGAATAAACTATTTTATAAAAAAACGAGCCACTCTAATTAATTTTTACCTTCTCAATAGGGATTAATTCCTTTATAAATAGGAATTTTTCTAATGTGTTGCTTGCAAGCCAAAGGGATAGTTAAAAAAAAAAGATTATATGTTAAAAATAAAGAGTTTATTTATAAATAGTTTTCGATAGCTCTTGCATAAATCATTTACTCATATATTGCAGATAATAGCATCAAATTATAAAGAAGCAGTGAATTAAACCAGCTTTTTCTCATGAAAGTGCAATATTTAATAATAGCATTATCTTTCCAAAACAGTTTAAATCAAGTCTTATAGAATCATCAAGAGTTTTAAAAATCACTATGACTTTAACGATCGCATTGATATTTTAATTTGTCGCCAAATTTAATAAGCCTTATTTCAATATAACGAATTATAAATCGCATAATTTTAATGTTAAATTAAAAATCTTACATTTAATATTACTAAAATTTATTCATTTTTAATTAAATATATTTAACTCCATACCCAATTTCATAAAATTGAATCCCTTTCAACAGAATATAAAATAAACAAACATCATGCAAAAATCTAGTTCAGCCACAAATCAAACGCTTATTAAAGGAGAAAGCACCTCAGACCCCAGTAAAATCTACAGCCTGATCCCACCTCGTAAAAGGCACTTAACTCCAAACTCCCGAGTCCGCAGTACAAAAGTTATAATTCCTTCACAAGGGTCTTCTTTTTGCCATACACCCCAGATTTCCGATATTATCCCTTTTATCACTTGTGGGAGTATTCCCGTTGGTTTTCAATTTCCATTGAAAAATCGGCTGAAAAACCAAAAATATCTCCCATCGAAAAATCTTGAAAATTCACCTACAAGGAGAACTTCAGATGCAGTTGGAAAAGAATTTTCTCCTGAGGCAAGAACTGATTCTACTATGGCAAATTCGTGATACTCGAACCAAAATCCTTGTAACTCGATTTCAGAAGATGTTTCGTCTCCGCATAGACAAGTTGAGTCTTTACCAGGCACTGAAGATAAAGAATCACCGAAAAGCGTAAGGGTTTCTTATACAACTATGTCAGATTTCCATCAAATTGTACCAAAAATCAACACAAAATCTGTATTAAAATCCAAGCTCATAAATTGCCAAGAAAAAATTTATAAACTTCCTAATAGGGCTAAAACGCCAAATATCAGGCCAAGGACGCCTGAGTTTTACCATAGTCAAAATCCTCATAATCAAGAATCAATCCAAGAGTACTTCGCAGGCTCAAATATTTCAAGGCTAAAACGCAAAGGAAAAAATGACGACAAAAAACTTGATTTTTCAAGCGATTTTGTAAATATCAAGTATTTATTAGCAGGACACAAAAATTCAGTAAATTGTGTAGAAGTTTGAGATGAAAATATATGAAGCGGATCTAAAGATTGTAAAATAAACGTTTGGAATTTTAATGAAATACTGCAAAGTAATAAAAAAATCATCAGAAAGCCTGTGGTGATTGGGAAACATCATGGCTCTGTCAACGTTATAAAAAAATGTAGCAATTTAATAGCTTCTGGTGGACAGGATTGCTATATTAAACTATGGAGCCCAAATTACAAAGAGCTTGGCTGCTTGAAAACTTCATCAAGCATAAAAAGCTTAGAATCTCTTTATAGTAATAAATTGATTTCAGGAAGCTTAGAATCAATAACAGCTTGGGATTTAGCCAAGCAAACACATATAAGAGAACCCATAACAGAACATCTTAAAAAAATAAACTCTCTTACCAGACATACAGAATTTACATTTATCAGTGGATCAGATGATTCAACCATAAAGCTATGGGATTTAAGGGTACCGAGGTCAATTTTAACTTTAATTTCTCACGAAAATCCAATTACTTGTACAATATTTACGAGCCAATTTACTTTTCTTTCAGGGTCACTTGATAAAAGCATAAAGGAGTGGGATATCAGGGTAGCTGACGTTATAAGCACAAGGCAATCAAATAGTAAAATTTATTGTATGTCTGCTATAGGCTTGAAAATCGCAGCTGGGGGAAATGGCATTGAAATTTGGGATGAAAACAAGCACAAAGATATAAATTTTCATGAGGGGAGAATTAAATGCTTGTGCTATGATGGAAGCCAAAAGCTATTGTTTTCGAGCAGCACTGATAATATAGTCGCTGCATGGTCTTTTAAAGAATAAGGGTCGAAATGCTCCTTGAAGTTATATTTAAAATGCATAGTTTTAGTTGTAAGAATATATAAATAAATAATATATTGAAAAATGCTTATAGTAAATAATTAAAAAAAGTTACCAGACATAAATATATTTCAATAACAGTCCCTAATATAAAAAGGAAGCCAAACGCCCAAGCTCCATAAATTATTCCTAAAATACTTTGCAAAATAATATAAATGCTTCATACATGCATAAAGATCATTAGCAGCTGAAAGAGTTTTTTATTATCTGCTCCTATACAGTTCGAAAGCATAGAGCAATGATGATGGAATTCTCTTACACATCGGTGGCATTGCACACAATGTATAGTTGTGTCATCTTTGTTCATTTTGCAGGTTTCGCAATAGTTATATGTGAACCCTTTTCCAGAAAATCCTATTTTTTGTTTCAGTAAAGGCTTAAAAGCTAAATCCAAGTAATACCCAGGGTCTGATGTGAAAAAGCATAACGAGAAACAAATGCAGAGAAATGATAGCATAAGATGAAAATTATTAACAATTTCAGGGTAAAACCCACTTGCTAATCTATTGCTGTAAAATGATGTTCCTATTATGATGAGTAAAGTAGTAGCCAAATTTCCGGGGTTAGGGCAGCTGTGTCGTTCCATTTAAGTTTATAAGAATTCCATATTTCATATTTCAGTTTGATTTCAAAGATGAACTTATTTACTATTTACATATAAAGTACTGATAGGATTAAATTAATATTTGGTTTGCTTTTTTTAAATTATTAAAAATATTTTTATTTAACAATAAGAAAAATTATATTGGCTGTTTAGGAATTTAGACATATTAGCATCTTTTCATGGCTTGGCTAAGAAATTAAAATCTTGGCATTGAGTAATTAATCTCCTCCTTCATCTATATTAAAAAGCGCATATACTGCGGATCCAACTATTAGAGCTAATAAATAGGAAGCCATGCGAATATTTATTTTAGTCCTTCATCAATTTTGCTATAGTCTCCTGATGCAGCTTCATCTGCAATTGCGAGTAATAGTAGACAAAAACTTAGCACCAGTTTCTCTATCATATTTTATTATTGCTCATATAAGATTTTTGCCATTTAATACAAATTTAGAAGAAAATAATTATAATAAATGGTGATTATTGTTTATTAAAGATATGCTCTACACGCTTAAAAGAGTTGCAAGACTCGCATTTTCTCATTTCTTTGCAGTATTTGATAAGGCTTTTCCATTTAGGATTTCTTGACAAGCAAGCTTCATTTCCAATGGCGTACATTCCATACTTCGCTCTGCTGATAGCTACATTCATTCTCCTCTCATCTTTGAGGAATCCAATTGTTTTTCCAGATCTAACAGCACTGAAAATGACGACATCTACTTCTCTTCCTTGGAAACCATCCACAGAACTTACTTCACAATTTTTTTTCCAAGAATCTCCATATCTTTTGGATAATAATTTTTCAATGTGATCCACTTGTCCTTTATATGGAGAAATTATTCCAATATGAGCATCACTTCTACCTATTCTCTTTTTAAGCACTCCATAGAGATTCAGCGCGAATTGTGCTTCAGGGTCATTGAAGTAGCTCATGGAGCCGTTTTTAGTATTTTCTTTAGATGTGCTAATATTGAAAAAGAATAGCCCTTCAGGATATACCCAATTTGGTATTGGACGATTATCTATACTTTCTCCCGTACATATTTGATTATTGTAAAATGTTTTGCTGGTAAAGTCACTGATTTCTTTCATCATTCTATATTGCTCACTCAATAGCACAGGCTTAACATTACATTCTGTCATCCTTTCAAAAAAGGATCTATCATATTTATTTTTTTTGGATTTTTCTGAAAAAGTTGTAGCTGGGAGTTGTTTAGGATCTCCAATTAATATAACCGATTTAGGGTCATATTGAAATGGTATTAAAGTGCTAACCTCCAAACTTTGGCAGGCTTCATCTATAATTAGATAGTCAATTGATTTAACATTTTGCAAAACTGGAAAAGAGCCAGCTCCACTTAAAGTGCAAAATATGACATCGGAATTTTTAATAATATCTTTTTTGCATTTATTCTTTTTTCCAAGTAATGTAAATCTTTTCTTTTTCAATTCTGCTAATTTAGGATAAAGTTCTCTTGTGGTGCTGTAGGAATTATAGCTACCTTCTTTTTTCAGATCTTCTATTTGTTTTTCTAGTTTTTCAATATTTTTAGTTATTTCTTCTATCAGTTTTGAATCATTTTCTTTAATTCTACCAAATAATAAATACAAATCTCAGATTTTTTTGAGCATGAGTTTGGAGAAAAAATCATTTGAACTATAGAATAAATTCATCATTTTGAATAAAACATTTAGCATCATACTTTTATACCATCGAAAATAAAATTAACAGCAGAAAATCTTATTAATCTTTATAAAAAAATTTATTCCTCTAACCTAATAACTAAAAAGATTCATTTATTGATATAAGAAAATAAGCAAATTTTCAAGTTTTACACTCAATCTTATTGAATGCACAGTCATTTCTATTTCTTCAGCAGTTTTTTCTTCTTCTTCATCAACACCAAGCTCATGCTTTTGCTTTTTTTCTCCAATCCTCAGTAAAGAAATATCATTTCTTTTATCTCCATATATATCAAAAATTCCTTTTCTTAATACAGTTGATGCAATTTCGTCAACTGCTGCATTGCTTTGAGCACAAACTAAGATCTTGCTTTTTGGGTTAATTGCAAAGAGTCCTGATAAAATCCCAACGACTGTAGTTGTTTTTCCAGTACCCGGAGGCCCTTGAATTAGAGATATTTTTCCATCAGATTGTATTGAATTTTTAATTGCTTCAACCTGAGATTTATTATAATTTTTTTGACGTATTGTTTGCATGAATATTGGAGGTATGCATTTTTCTCTTGCTGGCGGACATACTTTAGGGTTAAGAATTTGACTTCCCAATGATAAATATTCAATATCGCCTATAACATCATACTCTCTCTTTAAGGGTGTAATGTTGCCTATAGAAGTTACTATATATTTTCTTGAAGTTTTAAATGATTTTTTACGTCTTGGATCTAGTGAAATCGTGATTTTATTGTTTTTGCCTTTATTTATCAATCCTAATGTTCAATTAATGTTTCTTATTTGAAGCTCTTTATAGCTTTGAGGCACCGGATTTTGGTTAGAGATAATAAGCACAATATCATCATTTCGGATTTCACTTTCAAATTCTGCTTCATCTGAGTCTCTATCTCTATCAGATATAGATGCATATCTTTTTTCAACGCTAAGATTCAAACAATAACTGTTTGACAGAAAAGCTTCTCCTAAAGCTTGCTCTAATATCGCATCTAATTCAATATAAAAAGCTTGTTCAAAGTAACGTTTGTATGCAAACTCATTTTGAAATGAGCTTGGGATTTTTAATTGATTCTTTTTGGGGTTTAAAGGGCTGTATGAAAGAATAAAAGTTTCAAAGTCTGAAAATTCTACATCTGAGTCTGAAGAGGAGTCAGAAAAATCACTAGAATCTTTTCTTTGGCTAGATTGTTGTTGATAGGTTCTATTTTGGGTATTGTTATACAAATTTTTCTTTGGAAGATCTAAATTTCATCCAGGCTTGAACTGAGACGGACTTGAATAGGAATATCCGTTTTCTTCTCTATCATAGCTGTCTCCATCTAATCAATATTGATTGAATCCTCTGTTCTGATACATATTTCCTGCAAACTCCTTATTTTGGGCTTGATATTTGCAGGCTGATGATTGAGGAGATGGAAGCACCATTGGTGCAACATTTTTAACTTCAGTGTTTAAATTTCTATAAGATGGGCTATAACTAGTAGGTATAGTGCTAAAATTATTTGTAGATTTGCATAATCCTTTCCCTGGAGTAGCAGAAAGAGAGGCTCCTCCTAGCTTGCAGTCTGAATTTTGAGATATTTTCTCTTGATGCTGCAGGCTAATAGTTTCCTTTTCTTTAAGCTCTTCAGAGTCACAGGTTGATCATATGGATCCCATTATTTATTGCTACATTAATCTCAATTTGTTGTTAAATCTGCATATTTCGGGAATATATGGCATTATTTTAATTTCGGGAAAATATGGAAATTTAAAGTTAAAGATTTAAAATAAAAATTTTAGGCTATTATTTAGGCATAATTATTGTTTAAAAAATGCAATAAGCATAAATCAACGATTAATATATATTATAGATATGCTTCATCTAGAATTTTCTGCCAGGCTGGTATTTCTCAATCTGTTTGGAATGAAGGTTTCTTATAAATTATAAAAAATAAAATAAAATAAAGAATGATTATTGCTTATTAAAGATATGCTTACCACCTTCAAAAGTTTTACAAGACTGATACTTTCTAATTTCTTTGCAATAATCAATAAGGCTTCTCCATTTGAGATTACTTGACAAGCAAGCTTCATTTCCAATGGCGTACATTCCATACTTCGCTCTGCTGATAGCTACATTCATTCTCCTCTCATCTTTAAGGAATCCAATTGTTTTTCCAGATCTAACAGCACTAAAAATGACGACGTCTACTTCTCTTCCTTGGAAACCATCCACAGAACTTACTTCACAATTTTTTTTCCAAGAATCTCCATATCTTTTAAATAATAATTTTTCAATATGCCGAACTTGTCCTTGATAAGGAGAAATTATTCCTATATGAGCGTCATTGTTACCAATTCTCTTTCTAAGCAATGCATAGGCACTTAATACAAACTGAGCTTCAGAGTCGTTAAAATAGCTCATAGAGTCATTTGCCATTACTTCTTTGGACTTGGTAAGATTAAAAAAGAATAGCCCTTCAGGATATACCCATTTTGGTATAAGACGAGATTTTATACTATTCCCGGTCTGGATTTGATTTTTATAAAATGTTTTGCTGGTAAAATCGCTGATTTCTTTTACCATTCTGTACTGTTCTCTTAATAGTGAAGGGTTAATGCTGCAAGACATCATCCTTTCAAAAAAGGATCTATCATATTTGTTTATTTTTGATTTTTCTGAAAAAGTTGTGGCTGGGAGCTGCTTGGGATCTCCAATTAGTATGACTGACTTAGGATTATATTGAAATGGGATAAGAGTACTAAGCTCTAAACTTTGACAGGCTTCATCGATAATTAGATAGTCAACTGAGTTGATATTTTGCGTGACTATATAAGAGCCAGCTCCGCTTACTCTCTTCCAATTTAATAATGAGATCTTTTTAATGTCTATTAATCGGATAAATTAATTTAACAAATGTTTTTACTTTTCAATTTTTAAAATTTTTTTATAAGAATTTCGGTTAAGCATAGAAAATTGGATAAAGAAAGCATCTAAAAACAAATATTCTTTTTATCAGTGCTAAAAAGTGTTTTATACTATTGAAAACATAATCGAGGTAAATTTTAAATTAACCAGAGCGATGTAACAATTTCTTATAAAAACTAAAATTTTTTCATAAAAACTATAGATCTCTGCTCATTAATAAATGAGTAGGAGATTTAAGGTACAAAAAATAACATCTGCAGCCCTGATTGTTTCAGCTTTGTATAGCTCTTTTTTATAAAAATACTTGGATTTTAGTTTTTTCAACTCTTTAAGATCGTCAGAAAGTAAATTGAATTCAGTTTCAAGATCTTCCATAGCATCATATTTTGCTCCTTTTTGCAGCTTTTCCATTTGTTTTTCTATTTTTTCCAGTTTTCCAATTATTTTTGTTATGTCTAATGAAGGGTCATAGAGACCTTCTTCATTTAGCTTTTTTTCAACAATCACGTTCAATTTAATAGAACTTATGCTCATTTCTATTTCGCTTGCAGTTTTCACTTCTTCTTCAACACCCAACTCATGCTTTTGTTTCTTTTCTCCAATCCTCAACAAAGAAATATCATCTCTTTTATTCCCATTTATATCAAAAATTCCTTTTTTCAGTGTTGTTGAGGCAATTTCGTTGACTGCTGCATTACTTTGAGCGCAAATTAATACCTTGGCATTTTCATTAATTGCATAGAGCCCTGATAAAATACCTACAACGGTTGTTGTTTTTCCAGTTCCAGGAGGCCCTTGAATTAGAGATATTTTTCCATCAGAATTAATTGAATTTTTTATTGCTTTTACTTGAGACTTATTGTATTTATTTTGGATTGCTTTTGTAAATTCATTGGGGATAGTTTTCTCGCTACTTGGCTTGTATACTATAATTAATTGAATTTACTTAAAAATATATGCCATAAATGCTTAAATTTTATTCTTGCTTATTTTAACTCGCAATCTTATTTAATTTAATACAGTATATGTTTGAGGACAAAGAATTTGTTCTCTAAATGAAAACTGATCAATCTTATCAAGCACTGAAAATTCTCTCTTTAAAGATGTAACGTTCCCAATGACTGTTATCATGTATTTTCTGTTATATTTGAGATCAGTTCCTCTATCTGCATTAAGAAAAATCTCAATTATTTCATGAGTTTTCTTTTTATTCCTCTCTATTCTTTTATTTATCAATCCTAAAGTCCAACAGACATTATAGTCAGTCAACTCTTCGAAATTTATAGGATATCTATTTTGTTCAGGTATGATTAAAACAATATCATTTACGCACACCTCATTCTCAAATTTAGCTTCATTTGAGCCTTTAATTGATAGTGTGGCTAAATTCTCTTGCATTTTCAAGCTTACTTCCCCCCCAAACAAAAATTTTTTATGGAAAAAATTTTTGATATATAAGTGATAATTATTATAATGAAATCTAGAGCTAATTCTGTTTAATTTTAAACAATTCGCTTTTTAAAACATAAATTTTATAAATTAAATTAATATTTGCTTTCCAATTTTTGCGAATTAGGATTTTTTTAAATTCGAAACAAAATTTTTTCTTAAAAAATTTATATATAAATATTTTAAAAAACAAAAAATTAACCCCCCTCTGTGAGTGAACAAAATTTTTTTGTTCACTCATGGAAGGGGGGAGTTAGAAGATAGTTATTTGACAGAAAAGCTTCGTCTAAGGCTTGCCTTAGAATTGCGTCAAATTCTATATAAAATGCAGGCTCGAAATGAGATCTGTAAACAGATGTGTTTTCGAATGTTTTTGGTATTGCTGTTGGCTTAATCTTTGGTAGAAGAGGGCTGTAGGTCAGAATAAATGTGATAAATTCTGAGTAGACTGTTGTAAAATCTGGAGAGATTTCAGGAAAATCAGTAGCAGGTATAATGCTTTGAGAAAAATCTGTCCTTTTCTTCGCCTTTTTTCATTTTTTTTGATTTTTTCTTTGATTGGATTTTTTTGGAGCGTTGCTGCAATTGGCTAGAGCGGCAACACTATTAAAACTACTTTCAGATTTATATTGAATAGGAGTAATGATGCTTAAATCCAAGGTATCTGAACTAGCAGTTGAGCTTTCGTCAAAATTTATGCAATGATGAGGTCTAGCTGTCCCAAACTTGTTTGGATCATTATTTAAGATGTGAGATTCATTAGTGCTTGGTTTTCTAGAGTTGAACAAGTTTTCATCTGAGTTGTCTAAGTCAGAGAATCTTTCTAGTTTACCATCTGATCGCTGAATTTCTATCTCTGGACGAAGCAAACTAGATGCTTTCTCTGAACTCGGCTTCTCAGAATCTAGTGATTTTAATAAAGACCCCATCATATTGTTTATAATGGAATGATTTTTTTGACTTAAAAATATGACAATTCGGGAATAATTGCCATTATCAAGCTAACGGCATATAGTAAAGCGAGTAAAGAAAAATTGACTTTTATGAATAAATGAGGTAAAGTAAATAGACGCATTCAGGAAGATACACAAGATGATTTATATAAAGTAAGATTAATTATACTTTGGCTTATTGAAAATATATTTCAAGTCATCAAAAGAGCGGCAAGGCTCATATTTGTTTAATTCCTTGGAATAGTCAATCAAACTTTTCCATTTAGGGTTATTCGATAAACGAGCTTCATTACCAATAGCATAAATTCCATATTTCGCTCTGCTTATAGCTACGTTCATTCTTCTCTCGTCTCTGAGAAACCCAATTTTTTCGGATCTGACAGTGCTAAGAATAACTAAATCGACTTCTCTTCCCTGGAAACCGTCAACTGAGCTGACTTCACATTTTTTTTTTCATGAATTCCCAAACCTATAGTATAATAACTCCTCAATATGTTGAACTTGTCCTTTATAAGGAGAAATAATCCCTATATGAGCATTCGTATTATAAGTTCTCTTTCTGAGAAATGCATAAATATTAATAACAAAATTTGCCTCAGATGCATTATAATAGCTTAAAGAGTTTTCTGCTTTCATTTCTTCAGAAGTCTCAAGATTAAAAAACAATAAACCAACAGGGTATATCCAATTTGGTATTTTTCTATAAATTATACTTTTTGGGCATTGAATTTGGTTGTTATAAAAGGTCTTGCTAGTGAAATCACTAATTTCTCTTATCATCCTATATTGCTGGCATAGGAGAACTGGCCTTATGTTACATTCCAATATACATAAAATGGCCGGAGACAAGCGACCCGTCCTTCCGTGGCGGGTGTCCTTATGTATACCGGACATGGTTTTTGGATGCGGAGAGCTACCCAAGGGGAGAGTTAGCCTCGAGGCGAGAGGCCCCAGCCCAATTTCCGCTGATTTTGGGACTTGACCCGAGCAGCAGTTTTTCGCATTCTTTTTGCCAGTAGCGCCGAGGCCCAGACTCGGTGTCCGAAAGAGGCAGAGTGAGTTACCTGCCTAGGCTAATTTGTGGCTTAGCCCCGAATCCCTCAAGGGGTTGAGTTCTTTCTTGGAGATGATCCAGAAAAGAGGGGAGGCGAAGCTAGACCAGAGAACCCAAGGGCGCAAGTCTCTCCAGTTAAAAGGGTCCTCCCAGGAGGACGATCTGGTCAATCCGGAGGCAAAGACTGGCGTATTCGGGGCAGAAGGGCTGAGTTGGAAATGGTGGTGCCCAGCGACAGTCGGCTGACGACTCAATAGGGCAACCCACTACCGAGAAACCAGGGGTTTCGGCCTGGGCTCAGAGAACCAGTGATGGAAGTCCATCCTTTTCGCTCGTGCCAGCACGGCTCCTCAAGGAGCGCGGAGGAATGCCACGCATTGGAAGTGGGGACTATAAAGACACATCGTTAATCTAATCTAATCTAATGTTACATTCCATCATTCTTTCAAAAAAAGATCTATCATAATTATTATTTTTTGAAATTTCTGAAAATGTTGTTGCTGGCAGCTGTTTGGGATCTCCAATTAATATAACAGATTTCGGATTATATTGAAAAGGTATCAATGTGCTAAGTTCGAGACTTTGGCAAGCTTCATCAATGATTAAATAATCAATTGAGTCAATGTTTTGCACAACAGCCATTGAGCCTGATCCGCTTAAAGTGCAAAATATGACATTTTTAGATTTTAAGATCTCTATTTTAAACTTTGTTTTCATAGAAAAATAGGTTGATCTTTGTATTTTTAATTTTTTTAATATATCCGAGAGAATAATAAATTCATTTTGAATTTCTTCCATTGCTTTATATTCTCCTCTTTTTTGCAGTTCTTCAAGTCTTTTTTCTAATTTCTCAAGTTTTTCAATTAATTTTTTTATTTCAGAGGTTGGATCGCTAAGACCTTCAGCCCTAAGTTTTTCTTCTACCAAAACATTTAGTTTGATAGAATGTATACTCACTTCTATTTCCTTAGCAGTTTTCACTTCTTCCCCTACGCCTAGTTCATGCTTTTGCCTCTTTTCTCCAATCCTTAATAAAGAAATATCATCTCTTGTATTTCCATCTAAACCAAAAATTCCTTTTCTCAATACTGTTGAAGCAATTTCATCAACAGCTGCATTACTTTGTGCGCAAACTAACACCCTGATATTTTTATTAGCTGCATAGAGTCCAGATAAAATTCCCACGACAGTATTTGTTTTTCCAGTTCCAGGAGGCCCTTGAATTAAAGATATTTTGTTTTCTGAATTCATCGAACTAGCAATCGCTTTTATTTGAGATTTGTTATATTTGTTATTTAAAAGAATTTCCTTAAGCTTGAAAATGATGGCATCTTCAGCTAAATCGCATTGTTGTGGGCAAAGGATTTGGTCTTTCAGAGAATAGCATTTAAGCTTTTCCAGCACCGAAAATTCTCTCTTTAAAGATGTGATATTTCCAATAATTGCGACGATGTATTTTTTTGAGTGTTTAAATTGACTTTCTCTACATGTATTAAGTAAAATATTGAATTCATTTTTTTTATCCTGATTTATCAATCCTAGTATCCACGGAATATTTTCTTTTTTAATCTCTTGGAAATTTGTAGGAAAATTATTTTGACTGGGGATTATAATAACAATGTCATTTATTTGGATTTCATTTTCAAATTTCATTTCACTAGAGCCAATAGGGGATAAAGCTGCTCAGTTTGATTCCATTTTAAGATTTAATCGATATTTATAGGATAGAAAAGCTTCTTCTAATGCTTGATTTAAAATAGCACCCATTTCAATATAAAATGCATGCTCAAAATGAGAACTGTAGATAGATAAGTCCTGGAATATATTGGGGAGAAGAATTGTCATGGATCTTGGCTGGGGGAGGCTATATTAAAGGATAAATGAGATAAATTCTGAATAAGTATTTGATTGGGAGGAATCTGATGAAGAGTCAGAAAAGTCCTTGCCGGGTTTATAAGACTTTGGGGAATGACATCTACTTTCTCTTTTTATAGAAGATCCTCTTCATCTTCCTCTTCCTCTTCCTCGTCTTTGATTCGGGCTTGGACTAGATCTCTCTGAACTATAATTGTGAATATTTTGTTTCTTAGCAGCAGCATTTAAATCACTTATAGGTCTATATTGAATTGTGTCAGAGCAGACAGAAGACCTACAGCTTGAAATATATGAATTGCTGGAGGAGTCATAATCCGAAGGCGGATAATTCACGGTGAACATAGGTGAGCTTTTTTCTGGCCATTTATTATACTAAAGTTAAGAAATAATCACTTTATAGCCAAAATCCAATTATGGTGTCTCAGATTATACAAAAGAGCCATTTTTATCCTACAGAGTATAGGTTGTAGACTTGGTTTCATATTTTTCAGTCAATGTGGAATAATTAGCTTCAACTTTAACTTGCTCAGAATAATGACTAGTGTACAAATTAGAAGATTGATTAGAAACTTTAGGAGATGGGATTGCAACTGTAGAAGGTTGATTTTGGAAAGAGTTTGCGACTGAATACTGATTTTTAGATTGAGTAGTGGAATTTGCAGATTTTAATGAGTCAGTATTAATTGAAAATGTAGGGCTCTTAGCTTGGCTTTGTATAGCTTGAGCCTGCGTTTGGTTCAGGCTATGCCGATGATGGGAGATGTCAGGAGGGGAGTTGGTTTCATCAACATTTTTTAGTAAAACTAACTCCTCAGATGACAAATCCACTATATATCAGAGATTTGCCATCTGGGGAGTTGATTTTTTTACCTACATCTTCCGACAATGGGAGATGTCGGTATAGCTGTAGCTTGATTTTGCAAAGTGTATAATTCTTGACGATGATTTCTAGATGAAGTAGCAGGAGCTATAAGATGAAGTGAGCTACTATTCATCGGAGCTTCTGGGATCTTAACTTGATTGAGTGCAGTTTTAGTAGGCAAAGATTGGGTGTTGGGCACATTAGCAGGGTTTATGCGTCTACATAAGTTTTTATCAATTGGTGATAAAGCGCTACTTGCCAGCTTTAGCTGAGTATTTATATCTGAACCTCGATTTCTAGATAAGATAATTTGATCTATAAATTTATGAGGTCGATTCCTCATTAGTAATGCATATGGAGAAAGTCCTTCTGGTTTGAGATACGGATGCTGACTAATTTTATTTAATCTTTGTGGCGCAGGTTTTTTCTCTACTTGATTCTTATTTTTATTCTCTGATCCCAATCAATTTCCCATAGGAAATTCACTTAAATATAAAATTCATTTTTTGGAATAAATATCGATTTAGGAAAATAGACTGCCGCTAATAAGCTATTATAGCCCAGGCACGACATTAGATTATTCTAAGCTAATAAATTGCAGGGCAACTCCCCAAGTCGGTTCTCCAAATCATGTTTATGAACCAACTCGGCGAGTTAACAATGTATTATATCAGGTGTATTTATCAGCTCTCAAATTGATTCGTTAACATGAGTCGGAGAACCAACCTGGGAAATACCCTGCAATTATAAGATTCAATGCATTGAAGGTAAGTTTCGATCAATGGGTAATTTATACTGATATTAGATAATATTATACACTCATACCAACAACCCTGCTAAATTTTGCTTAGAACAAAACCATTAGAAAAATCGCTATTTTTTGCCCAAAAGCCCACCCTACGTGAGTGAACAAAAATTTTTTTAATAGAAAAATTTTTTATGGAAAAAAAAATTGATATATAAATGATAATTATTATAATGAAATCTAGAGCTAATTCTGTTTATTTTTTAAACGAATTGCTTTTTAAAACATAAATTTTGCAAATTGAATTAATATTTGCTTTCCAATTTTTGCGAATTAGGATTTTTTTAAATTTCGAAAAAAAATATTTTTTATAAAATTTATATATAAATTTTTTTAAAAAAAAAAAATTAACCCCCCTCCGTGAGTGAACAAATTTTTTTGTTCACTCACGGAGGGGGGGGAGTTAGAATTTTTACTCAAATATATATAAACGCAAAATCAATAAACAAATAATTAACCTTTCTAGCTCATTCTTTATTTCCTTTTTAATTTTCAAACCTTCAAAGCAAAGCGTTTTAAATAGATTTTATGAAATCTATTCCGATGCTTGAACCCTAATGTCTAGGGCTGAATTGTGCAGAAGAGATAGTTAGTTTCATAATGAATTATATGGCTCATTGATGATAATTGAAATTAAAGAAATTCCACATGCTTATAATTTAAAGGCTATAAGATGCATTAAATTTCAGATTAATAATACTTTGTGTTATTGAAAAACAATGTCACGTCCTTAAAATATCTGCACGACTCGTATTTGTTTGACTTTTTACAATACTCAATGAAGCTCTTCCATTTAGGATTACTTGATAAGCAAGCTTCATTCCCAACGGCATATATTCCATATTTTGCTCTGCTTATAGCTACGTTCATTCTTCTTTCGTCCCTAAGAAACCCAATGCTTTCAGACCTTACAGCACTAAGAATAACTAAATCAACTTCTCTTCCTTGGAAACCATCAACTGAACTGATTTCACAATTTTTTTTCCAAGAACTCCCAAAATTTTCATATAATAAATCTTTTATATACTGAACTTGTCCTTTATAAGGAGAAATTATCCCTATACGAGCATTTCTATTGCATAGCTGAAATTTATGATTAAAGCCAATTTCCTTACTATATTGTTTTTTTAGATAAATGATATATGTAAAATACGGTACTTGTATTTTCCTTTTAATTAATAATTAATATAACCGAACATAAATCCTATTCCCCAGTAATGAGTATAGTCTATATACAAAATCTGCTTCAGATTCATTATAGTAGCTCAAAGAGTCTTCTGCTTTCGTTTCTTCAGATGTTTCAAGATTAAAAAATAACGTTCCAGTAGGGTAAATTCAATCAGGTGTTTTTCGAAGCATAACACTTTGTGAGCATTGAATTTGGTTTTTGTAGAAAGTTTCACTGATGAAATCGCTAATTTCTTTTGTCATTCTATATTGAACACTTAATACCAGGGGTCTTATATTACATTTCATCATTCTTTCAAAAAAGGATCTGTCATACTTACTAGTTTTCGAGATATTTGAAAAAGTTGTTGCTGGAAGCTGCTTGGGGTCTCCAATCAATATTACTGACCTTGGATTATATTGAAAAGGTATTAGGGCACTAAGTTCTAAGCTTTGGCAAGCTTCATCTACAATCAAATAATCAACTGAATTAATATTTTGCACAACGATATTGAGCCTGCCCCACTTAATGTGCAAAAAACAATATCTGCAGCTCTTATTAATTCTGCCATATATATAGTTTTCTTGGAAAAATAAAGTGTTCTTTTCTCTTTTAAACTCTCTACTTTGCAAGAAAGTTCTTCAATTTTTATTTCGATTTCCACAGTGCCATATTTTGCTCTTTTTTCCACCAACTCTTTATATTGTTCTTCTAATTTTTCAAGTTTTTCAATTAATTTTTTAATATTAAAAGTTGGATCGTAGAGGTCTTCTTTATTAAGCTTTTCTTCTACTAAAACATTTATTTTAATAGAATTTATGCCCATTTCTATTTCTTTCGAAGTTTTAATATCTTCTTCAACTCCGAGTTCATGCTTTTGTCTTTTTTCTCCAACTCTCAATAAAGAAATATCGCTTCTTTTATTGCCATCTTCATCCAAAATTCCTTCTTTTAAAACTGTCCATGCAATTTCGTCTACCGCTGCATTACTTTGAGCGCAAATTAATACCTTTAATTTTCTATTATAAGCATAGAGCCCAGATAAAATCCCTGCCACTGTTCTTGTTTTTCCAGTTCCAGGAGGTCCTTGAATTAAAGCGATTTTGCCATCAGAATTGATTGAAGTTACAATAGCTTCTAACTGAGACTGATTATATTTATCTTGAATATTTTCTGTAAGTCTACATTTTATTAGCGGTTCATACCATTGAGGGCTTAAAATCTGTCTGAGCAGTGAAAAGCGCTTAATCTTATCAAGCACTGACAGTTCTCTCTTTAGCGATGTAATATTTCCGATTATTGCTGCTATATAAATTTTTGAATTTTTAAACTGAGCTTCTCTGTCTGGGCTGAGTAAAATATTAATTTTGTTTACTTTGTTTTGGTCTATCAACCCTAGAATCCAAGAAATATTGTTTTCTTTAATTTCTTCGAAATTTCTTGGAAACTTATTTTGATTAAGTTAAGTTATTAAGTATTTATCCCCCCCCTTCTCGGTCCCAAAGATGGCATGACGCCATTTTGAATTTCCGACCTTAAACACCTGTCCAAGAGATTAGCTCATCCTGAGTAGGCCGCTTCTTGCGAGCGCCACGATGGTCCCGATGAGGAAAGACCATGTGGTAGCAAAACCTGTCTAGCCTATCTGGAAGGGACAGGGAAAACCTTCGAGGGAGAAACAAAAACAACCTGCTTCGGCAAGGTTCCCATTGAGGTAGTCTACTTGAGCCCTAAAGGTACATTTCACCACCTCTCTCGCCTGTCGCCTCGTAGTCAATTTCCGTCAACATCACCATTTTATTTCTTATTTTGATTAGGAATGATAATGATAATATCATTAATTTGGATTTCATTTTCGAAATTTAATTCACTAGAGCTTGAAGGTGATAAAGAGGCATGGTTATTCTCTACGTGAAGATTTAAGCGATATTTATTTGAAAGAAAGGCTTCTTCTAAGGCTTGGTCTAAAATGGCATTTAATTCAGTATAAAATCCATGCCTAAAATAATGGATATAGCTAGGTATATCATTAAATGAGTTTGGAATTATAATGGGTTCGGATTTTGGCCTGTAGAGACTGTATGAAAGGATAAATGTAATAAATTCAGAATAAATTTTTGATGGCGCTGATGAATCTGGAGTGGAGCCAGAAATATTGCTGTTTGGTTTTATGGGCTTTTGAGATTTATTTATGCTTTTGATAGGGAGTTTACTATTTGCTACTGCTTTTCTCACTGGACTATTATTGCTGAGATTTTTGTAGTTAACAACATTTTTCAAATTGCTTACTGGTTTATATTGTGCAAAGCTATATGAAGCTGAAGAGCTATCGCTAGAAGTGTCCAAAAAGCAGGAGTAGTCAGAGTCTAAAGGCACATAATCTGGATTATATTTGGTTCATCTATTAGTTTTTGTAGACGGGGCTTCATGTTTTTGAGGTGATGTATGATAAGTAGGAAGAGCCGGGAATTCAAAGAGATTCATCTGATATTTTGCATCATTTTTAGCGGGATCATAGCTATGCAAATTGGTGCTTCTAGCAGATGGATATGCATATCGAGCAGAATTTCTAACCTGATTTTGTAAGGTGTTTGGCCTAGATCATAAATTGCTAGATAAATTAGCAGAGTTGGATGGGCTATTTCGCATTGGTGTCACATATGCTGATGAATATTCTGACTCACTATATGAGGGCTGGTTGGATTTATTTAATTTTTCCTGCTCAATTTTCTGTCCTTCTTCATTCCTTTCTGAATCTGCTGATCCCAATAAGCACCCCATTAAAAATTTTATTAAAGATGCATATTTATTGTTTAGGTTACATATAGATTTCGGGAATATATAGCATTAAAAATTCGGCATCTTTTATAACTATTTTAGGTAAACATTTATAATTTATCAAAATCCATAATAATTACTTTTAGCTGTCTTATTATTTTATATATTGTTTTTCAAAATTATTATAAATATCACTGTATTCTATAATTAAAATTATATTATATTTATTCCCCCTCCGTGAGCGCAAGATTTTTTTATTCGATACTAACTCCCCCCCTCCGTGAGTGAACAAAACCATTAGAAAATCGCTATTTTTTGCCCAAAAACCCACCCTACGTGAGTGAACAAAAATTTTTTTAATAGAAAAATTTTTTATGGAAAAAAATTTTGATATATAAATGATAATTAGTATAATGAAATCTAGAGCTAATTCTGTTAAATTTTAAACGAATTGCTTTTTAAAACATAAATTTTATACATTAAATTAATATTTGCTTTCCAAATTTTTGCGAATTAGGATTTTTTTAAATTTCGAAAAAAAATATTTTTTATAAAATTTATATATAAATTGTTTTTAAAAAAAAAATTAACCCCCCTCGTGAGTGAACAAAATTTTTTTGTTCACTCACGGAGGGGGGGGGGAGTAAGGGGAATTAATTTTTTTAAAAAACATTATATATAAACTTTATAGAAAAGGTTTTTTTTTCAATTTAAAAAAAATCCTAATTCGCAAAAATTGGAAACCAATATTAATTTAATTTGTAAAATTTATGTTTTAAAACGCAATTTGTTTAAAATTAAACTGAATCAGCTCGAGGTTTCATGATACTAATTATCGCTTATATATCAATTTTTTTTCATAAAAAATTTTTCTATTAAAAAAAATTTTGTTCGCTCAAGGAGGGTGATTTTTTAGGCAAAAAATAGGGATTTTCTAATGGCTTTGCTCGCTCATGGGAGGAGTTAGTAAATTTTTCCATTCTGCTCTAAAATTAAAAATTAAATAAATTTGATGCTAAATTTATTATTTAATTTTAATTTTGAACAACTAAATTGAATTAATAAAATAATTAAATTTACAACTTTGTTACTAAAACATCCAGCCTGTTCCATTCAAACTTCTTAAAAAGTTCAAATTCTGTGTAAGAGAACCCAGCTGTACATGTTTCTTGTTGTGTTCCTCCATCCTTTCCATATGCTACATATTGATACCAGCAATCAATAAAGCCAAATCTCCTAGTGTTATATAAATTTTCCCCACACATGATACATTGGTGCTCCCCAATTTCATTCTCATTAACAAGATTAAATTTTCCTAATCCCTTGCTAATGCATACCGACTGCTTATAAGCAAGGCAATTTTGATTCATACAAATCCCTTCCTGAATTAATCCTGATTTTTTTATCTTCCAAGGACTAGGAGCACACCCTAAATGCTCACCTTGATAAAGTGCATGCAAAACATGGCCTGATGGAAATTCGCAATTTTCATCAGACCTGAGTTCTAAGTCATCATAAACTAATTTACAATTGTGATTATTGCAACAGTTTTTTAAGTCTGAAATTGAGTCTTCTAGCTGTGAAATAGTAGACTCATTACATACTGAAATACAAATATTTGTATGTGTACAACAGTGGATTTTTACGTTTATCAATCTTGTGTTTTTTGCCTTAGGCTCGACATGCACAAAGATTTTTTCACCCTTTTTGATGAAAAGCTCTGATAAAGGGGTGAAGTCTTTGTGATAGTAAGTTTTTTCTCGGAATTTCAAGTTTATTGAATATCTGTGCCTACAAAATTCTGGCGACATAAATGTTTTTAATTCCTTGCAGAGAGACTTTATTGTAGTATTAGCTGGAACTTTTTGTATGTGCTTAGGGGTAGGAAAAAAGTGAGGATCGAATACAAAAGTTATGCTTTTTGTGAGCGAAGAGGCAGAACAGTTTCCCATAATTATTATCTGATGAATTAAATAAAAATTAATCAATTTTTATGGAAATCGAAAAATAAATAACTGGAATCAGAAGTATCAATAAAGTAATCACCATGGGGTGTCAAGAGTAATAATCAGTGCAATTTTATGAAGATAATGCATAAAACGCATAAACATGAATTTCATTTTGTTTTTATTTAAATATTGTAAATAAATTTATTTATCATCAGATTTAATATGCTTTAAATTGATTTTCAATTGCAAGCAGTAAAACTTCATTTAATAAAGAAGCTAATTTTTCTCTCTATTTTTGATGAAAAAATGAAACAACATTTCTCAATTTAAAATTTAAATATTAAATTCAACAAAAGAGATTTCAAACTATTTACCTTTACTAATATAATTGAATGCATTATATACATAATTTTTTTAGCATAACAGATATTGAGTAAGAGTATTACAATGCTGTTGCTATTTTTATTTTTCAATTCAAGTTTCATACTGAATATGAGAATTTTAAGAAAAATTATGAAATGATTTATAATTTTAAAGCTTACATTTTTATTTATCAGTCTGTGCTTTATCATTATATATTAATTTCATTACTTATTTCACTGCTGACCGCTGAATTCTATTGCATTTTTGCAAAATAGATACTCTAAATATTTCTTTTTCAAAAATGTGAATTAATTATAAAATTTATTAAATCTTTCATAATGGCTGATTTTCCATATCTTCGTGAGCGTTCGCTTTCTTCCATGGAATATGCCGAATACAAAAAAATCCGAGTCCACACATCAAGCCCAGAAATGCGTCCTTTAGAAGCGGTTGATTTTCCCCCTCCTATCTCATTAGCACCCTCAGAAATGGACACTTGCTCTCAAACTATCCACAAACTCCTCAAGGAAAAAGAAGAAGACCAGCATTTAATCAAAATTTTAAAATCCCACTCTTTACAGCAAGTAAAAGAGTTAGAAGAGCTTCAAGAAAAATACAGCCAGCTTATGAGAGAATATGATGACTTGAACTCCCGATTAAAAGAGCCAAAAAATAAAGAAGGATTAATATACCAAGCAGTTCTTGCCAGAAGTAGGAGCAGCAGTTTAAATGAGAATGTAGAGTAATAAAAATAATTCACAAAAACTTAAGGAATTCCATTTTTTTGTTAGAAAGTATAATAGGCTAGAAATATTACAATATTTTTTATATGAAAATTATGTATTAAATATAGTTAAACAAATTTTATATATAAAATTACTAGTGGATTATAATAGTTTTTGGAATATGGGCTGTTGTGGATCACAAGTACCTCTCGATATTGTCTCAGACGACGAAAGAATTATTTTTCAGAAGCAGTTGGAAATGGGCCTTCACAAATATAAAGCTACAAGCCTCATAAGCACTTTTTCTTCAAAAGAAATCCAAAATCATATCACGATAAGAGGATTCATAGAAGCTCTGGCTTCTCTGAAAATAAATTCAGCTTTTCTTTCTTACCCTAGCAACCCTATCAACTGCTTTTATAGGTCAATTGGAAACAGTGAATTAATAGAAGCAAAAAAGCTGAAAATTGCATGTGCTTTATTAGGACAAGGCACAGATGATGAGAAACTGGCCCAGCTGTATAAAATTTATGTGGCTGACGAGAAAATGAAAGTAACCCCTGCTCCACTTCCTATGATGGAAAATGCTAAATTTGAAAAAATGATAAGAGATCTGTTTGCAGTTGCTATTAAGCTTATATGGGTAGCTCAAGGAAATGATGAAGAGTCTATGAGTATAAATAGGTTAAGGGCTTATGAAACGAAATTAGTAGGCGGGATAGTTTCTTCGATCATTTTGACAAAAACCGCTATATAATATTAAATTCAATGCTTGCTTATATTAAAAATTATTGGAAATTAGACAGATTAGCCTATTATAGGATATATTGAATATTGAGAATGGAATAGCCTTAGAAGACATAAAGGTAAAAAGTGGTAAATTGCCTGGAGGCATAAAATCACTAGTTCATCCTTATCATATCCGCCAATTTATTTTAAAACAATACAGGGCAATTGACTTAAAAAGTGCAGCCCAAATATTTCAGTCAAAAATTAAGTCAGTCTTTGACAAAACTGATGAAGAAGAAATTAAGCCAGTCGTCGCAGACACCACCATACTTTTTGGAGCAGAAATGCTTACAGCCAGCGTAGAAGAACTAGACAAGCCTTTCTCTTGTCACAGAGGCCACACACTGAAATGGTACAACGATGCCCCATTTTACTATCAAGAAGCCTACAAGACCTGGCTAATATCTTGCGATGCCTGCAAAAAAGGATTTTCGTCTGGCTGCTGGCAATGTAGGGACTGTGAGTATGATATATGTGAAGAATGCGGACTAAGCAAAAAAATGATCCCTCCTAAGCTAAAATGTGGAGAAAATAAAGAATTAATGTGGAGATGTGACGTCAACCAATTCTACGCAGCTAATTATAATGCGTTTTCATATACATGCAACCAGTGTCATGAAATAGGAGAAGACGCTCATTGGCACTGCAGGTCTTGCTTGTTTGATGTTTGCAGGAAATGTGGAGAAAAAAGTGGGTATAAGTTTCCTAAGTCGGCTTTCACGTGCAAAAAAAATCATCCACTGACACTAGAGAGTAATATTGTTGACTTGTATATGAGCAAATTTGGAGGCAAACCACTATGTGATGAATTGTAAGAGGTTCTTTTGTTAAAAAAATTATCTGGCAGATATTTCTTTGGTATTATTTGGTCGATTTTCCCTTTTACTCCTCCTGTATTCTTAATTGAGTAGCATGTATCACTTGACCAAAGTGGGCGAAGATAAAGAATTATATTTTTTTTATTAATTATTAAAAAAATTTCTGCACCAGAAAATTTATATAAAAAATTACAAAATAATGATAATTCCATAAACTATAAATTTGTTTTAACTCCCCCCCCCCCCTCCGTGAGCGAACAAAAAAATTTTGTTCGCTCACGGAGGGGGGTTAATTTTTTTTTTTAAAAAAAATTTATATATATAATTTTATAAAAAATATTTTTTTCGAAATTTAAAAAAATCCTAATTTGCAAAAATTGGGAAGCAAATATTAATTTAATTTGCAAAATTTATGTTTTAAAACGCAATTTGTTTAAAATTAAACAGAATTAGCTCTAGATTTCATTATACTAATTATCACTTATATATCAAAATTTTTTTCCATTAAAATTTTTTCTATTAAAAAAATTTTTGTTCACTCACGGAGGGTGGGTTTTTGGTCAAAAAATGCCGATTTTTCTAATGGTTTTGTTCGCTCACGGACGGGGGGGGGGGGAGTAAGAGCAATTAAACTATCACATTTCTAATATTCATTATTAAAAAGAAAAATAAATAGATTTGAGGTGCTCTAGGGATGCAGGCTTCATGCTTGTCAATATGAAAATTGTTCTATAAATGATGAGGTAGTTGAAAATTTACTTGATTAAAAATGGTTTTGCAAAAAATTATGAAGAAAATTTGACCAAGCTAAGTTAAAGTAAATTAAAATTATAAGGTCATATGCAGATAAACCTATTGTCTGGCTATCTGGTCTAAACCCACTTAACCTAAGGATTCCCTAGGTTAGAGCCGCCTCTTTGGGATGCCCCGCGAGTCCTGATAAGCAAAGACTAAGCGGGAGGCAAAATCTGTCGACCCAATCTAGCAGGGACAGGGAAACCTTCAGGGGAAAGTGAAACTTCCCTTTTCCCAAATCTTAAGGCCTACTTCAAAAAGTGACAGAGACACTGTTTTCAGCTTTATCAGGACAGTCTTACCTGATACATAGAGAGTGAGTCTTGGAGTCCATCTTCCGTCGACTAACCATTTTATTTCTAAATTCGACCAAGGAATGTCATTCCAAGAAATGCCGCCGTGATGAATGTAGAGCAGCAATAAAATCTTCAAGTCAGCATTGTCAAGAATGTTTCTATGATCTATGTGAAGCTTGCTCTATATTTTACAATCAGCCTATCGGCCCACATCCAGCGTTCGTTTGTACAGAAGATCATGTTCTTCATTACTTTGACAGTCCATCATATTATGAATCAGTAGGCCTTCCTAAATCTTTTCGCTGTAATGGCTGCAGCCAGGTAAAAGAAGAAGAATGCTTTCATTGCAACAAATGCAACTTTGACTTATGTAATGACTGTGCTGATAGCTTAGCTACATATTTTTCTTCTCCTTCTTTTAATAGAACTTGCAAGGAGGGTCATTTATTGGAATGGAATAATAAAGTTTGCAAAAATTACCAAGGAGGATTATATGTCTGCAAAAAATGCAACGAACAGTTTTCTGGGGTTGGCTCTTTGAGTTGCGCTCAGTGTTCTTATGATATCTGCATCAAAGACATCAATAAGGATTAGGTTAATTTATTAGAAATTGATTAAGTAAATTTAAGATATAGTAACTCCTTCACTAAATCCCTCAATTAAATAGCGCAAAAAATATATTTTTTATGATTTTAATAATGAAAAGCTATAAAATTAATAGTTTCAATATTTGAAAAATATTTTGATCCAATAGGGATTTAGATTTTTCAATTATAAATAAAATAACTGGTGTCATTGCATTTCCCTTTAATAAAAAATTTATTTATATATAAAATTAACCTAAAAATAAATTATAACTTTAAATAAATTAATTATAAAATTGTTTTATTATAATTGGAAGAAGCAAGACACACTGAGCAGCTTCCTTTTTTTGCGCACTCTTCTCTTTGACAAGCATAAATAAACCCTTTACAGCATTCACAACTCATAGAATTAGGATACCACTCTTGCATTTTTGTAATATTTCCTTGCTTTAAATCATCCTCTGAATGAACCCACAAGCAAATATTCTTAATTAAGCAATTTCCAGTTTCCACAAGAAATGGGCACATCATATTTTTTTCTTGCGTATCTGGGCCTTCTTCGAAATGTTTCATTTCTTTCATAAGTCTGTCTAGTTGGTCTATGTCATTTTCAATGTCATTCTCAAGATTATACTGGGGATCTGGGGTTTCCATATATGGCTCATTTTCTTGATAAGCCAAAGGATTTTATGACATCTCCTCAGGATATTTTCTCTTTAAGGTATTAAGTCAGCATTGGATGAAACTCTTATCGTTAGATATTTGGTTTAAAAATATCATTTTTGCCTATCTAATATTTGGCGAGGAAAATATTTGTAGGGGAAAAATAGTTAAAAGAAGCGCTACAGCCAAAGCAATGTCTTCTGTAGAGAACTGTCCTTCCTGAGAAGCTTGCCTAGTGAGCTCTTGGACCATGCTATGAGGGTTTTGAAACATCTCATTGATTGTGACGTAGCATGACCTCTTAGGAGGGTTGTGTGAAAAAACACATCGAGGGAAATATTGGCATTGTTGGCCTGTGAAAATTGCTTGGCATATTGGATAGTTATTTTCATCGAAATACCAAACAGTGACTTGAGGCTGGCTGTCCATTTATTAATAAGAAAATTTACAGAGTTATAAAGAATTCTCTGGCAGGAGTGTGGAAGGCTCATTGTAGTCTTCATCAGCTTCTTTTTTGGCGTCTTGGAGTCGTTTAAATAGTTTTCCAAACAATTCGAAGTTATTTTTGTGGGAAATTTCAAGCTGGTATTTTAAAGCTTTCATTCCTTTCATATAGTCATCAATAAGATTTCTCTCTCTGAGCTTTAGAATTTCGAGCTCCTTTGTGTGGCGAGCTTTTTCTTCTCTTTTTTCTTTTTCTAATTCAATTATTTTTCTTTGTAAGTTTCGAGAATTCTCTCTATCATTGAATAGTCCTACATCTCGCATTTTCATATCTAATATCTATGAATTTAATATGATTTTTTATATTTAAGGAAATTTTTTATGTTAAATAAAAATGGGGTTTTAGTAAGAAATTTTTGATAGGGAAATTAATAGAGATAACTATAAGCTTTCCAATACTTTACTGTATTTCCCATTTTTATCTTGATTGAGGACAATTGATCTTAGATGCTGATAGGATCCAAAAGTGGTAGTCATCATGTTAGAATGCTTTGATAATAATTTTATCGCCAGCTCTAGCTGGCCTGATCTACGTTTTTTTCAATTTTTATACAAATGCTGAATTTTTTTGATTCTTGATCTAAGCCTATAAAAATTTCCACATAAATTCTTGCGTACTAAATGGCCTCTATAAACCCTTTGAATTTCTGTAGCAGCAAGTATATAAATATCAAAATCAAATACAATAGGTTGGACTAGTTTTTTATACCTATTTAAAGTAATCACTGACTTTAATTTAATAAATATAATCTTAATATATAAATAATTATTATTTGTACCTAATAAGCTTATTTTTTGATGGGCTGAATTTTTTTCGTTGAGACATAGGAAGAGGCAGCTCAAATTTGGACACTTTATCTAGCTGTCTTAATGATGGTATCACTGATTTATCAACACTTTGATTCATAATAGATATTTCTGATAAATCTGGAGACTGAGCATTTGAGTAAAATTCATCACCTATTAAAGCATCTTCTACTTTTTTTATTTGTGTTTCGTACTGATCTTCTTGCTCCTTTAACATCTTTTCAATAACTCCCCCCTCCGTGAGCTAGCAAAAACATTGAAAAAATCCCTTGTTATTGGGGAAAAAACGTGAGCGAACAAAAAATTTGATATATAACTGATAATTAGTATAATGAAATTTCAAGCTAATTCTGTTTCATTATAAACAGTTTGCATTTTAAAACATAAATTTTACAAGCTAAATTAATATTTGCTTCCCGATTTTGCGAATTAAAATTTATATATATATTTTTAAAAAAAATTAACCCCAACAAACACAATTTTTTGTTTGCTCATGGAGGGGGAATAAGTAAATTTTTAAATTTTTTTCTTTGTAAAAATCCTCTTATATGTTTTTGAATTATAATAATGCTTTTTGCATATAATTAATACATTTGAATGCCAATTTTGCAAAAATTAATTAAAAATTATAAAAAATCAGCCTAATAAAGTATATTCATCTTGACTTTTAGGTGTCTTTTTATATATAGGAGGTTTTCTCATCATAATTGAAGGCTGCTTTTTTGGCTTAGATTTAGGTAAATTATCTCCTAAATATTTTATGCTCTGTGCTACTTTCAGTTCATGCCTCTGTAGGTCCTTTAATTTTCTCACTTGGAGTTTTGACAAACAACACCTCACAGTCTGCTGGATTTTAATAATCGAATCAATTATTCGTGTTCCCTTAGACATTTTTGAAGAGGACATGTCTAACGTTTATTTATATTTTCTTTGGCTGGTTTAATTTTAAACTTAAACTCATTAAATGTCTTGGCTGCTTGTCTATTAGTAATGCATTCTGTGAAATAGAGTTCTGTGTCTCCTTCTCCTCCTTGACTTGCCGACTCCAGTGTTGAGTGAAAAGCTTATGGACAACTGTGGCTTGCTGCTGGATGCACGAAGGTTTTCTACACCAATCCCAACAGTGGAATTTCTCGTCAACTCTCGGCAAAAAGGAAAAATTCTAAGCCCGAGACTTAGCTCTAGGTTTCATGCTAGGGAGTTGCCCGATGGTCTAACATTGTGTGTAAGCGCTCTGAGTTTTCCTTTTCTAACTCTGAACCCACCTTTCTCTCGAGGTAAAATCAAATTCGAAAACAGTCTAAGGCACAGTTGTTCATTTCTGGATTAACAAAACCTTGCCGGATATAAATAAATGGCGTCTCGGCCCAGGAGTTACCTGCCATCAATCTCCGGCCGAGACACCATTTTATTTTTGACTTGTTTAATCAATATAAAGCAAGCTGTTATAAAAATCAAATTTATGATAATAAAAATTGAGAAATGATCAAAAAGACTTTAAAATGGTTGAAAAGGTATGAGACATTAAAGTTCATAGCAATCCTGATTGTATTGTAAGTATTGAAAATGGGTATTTGATAGGCACTTATGAGCTTAATGAAGAAACAAGAGTGAAAACTGGGTCAATTTTAGCAATGGTGGAGATGGAAGAGAAAAATCGTATGATTTTGGACAAGGGAATTATGGATATCAAAAAAATTGATCAAACTTCTTTTCTTGCATCAACATCAGAAGGTGGAATTGTAATATTTTCTGGAGAAAACCTAGAAATCAAGGCTGATTCGGTAATTCATGATTTTTGTACGTCATATATATCAATTTCGGATGGAATTTGCTGGATTTCTTATCTAGATGGCACTGTTTCAGCAGTTGATATTAACACTTTGCAAACTTTGTATTCAATAAAGCCAAATGCTTATGAAATATGAAGCATTTTTGCCTCAGAAAATGAAGTTTATATTCCAACTTCTATTGGAAAGCTAGAAATTTGGGACAAAAGACTAGAAAATTCTGCATATAAGCTTAATATCCATACAGAAGATATATGCAGTATAGGGATTAGCGATAATTGCATAATAACTGGAAGTTATGACGGAGACCTCGCATTTCTTGACAAAAGAACCTACCAAATAATAGAAAAACTCCACATTGGCGGTGGGATCTGGCGATTTATAAACACCGACAGCTACATAGCATGCGCCTGCATGTACGAAGGCTACAAATTCTACTGAAAAGCTTCCAAAGAAATTTCCACAATCCCTACATCTTCAATTGCCTATGGTCTTGACCAAATAAGCCCTACAAGCTTTATTGGCTGCTCCTTTTACGACAGAGAGGTCTCGAAACTAACATTAAAAACAGTCTTTAATTCTACTTAAACATCATATTTTTTGCATCTTTTAACGCTTCAGCTAAAAGCTCACACATGTCTTCTGGCTCAAATGCTGATAAAAGTTTTGCGAAATCTTCATAAGTCATCTGCTCTTCTGGGGTAAAATTGAATTTCGCGATATTTGATTTCCTTTCAATTCTCCTAGATATTCTGAGTTTTGATGATTTTGGATCAATTGATTTAGAATGGTTTAGAGGAGACATGCGACTGAAGCCTGCTTTTTGAGAGCTTGAAGGCCGGTATAGGTCTTGAGATTTGTGGTAAGAAGTTTTAGGATACCTATATGCTGATTTCTGAGGAAAAGGGGAAGAAACCATGAGGATTCTTGGCCCACTGGTTAAGGATTACTAATGATTGAGAATTAAGGCATTTTCGCTTAAAAATTGAGAATTTTGTGATTTTTCTTGCCGGGAGATTAAAATTTCGGGGTTGGAGTGGTTGGAACTGCTGTCACTGAAATTTTCGTCTTTCTTTTGCATCATATTAAATTAAAACAAAAAGAATTTTAGATCATTGAATATAGCTGCACAATTAAAGAGAGATATGATATAGAATGAGTGCAAATATCCATTTTAGAGTGCAACTTAATGATAACTTACAAACTGAGTAAATTTTGTTAATTATCTGCCTGAATTCAGCGTTATATTATTTCATTTATCTTGATGGATTGCTTTACTCAAATTTGATAGTTTAATTTTGGAAATATGCAAAAACTGGAGAGTGAAAATTAATTATATAAAATTTATTGCTATTTTGCCAATTATCTATACCAAAGAAATAATTTATAGAAAAACACTTGGCTGCTTTTTTGACACTGAATTCTCATTCTTTATTGACTTAATGTGTCTCTAAATACCCGCTTTTATTTTAAAAATATTTATTATTTTGCATAGCTGCAGGTTATGAATTAATTTAGTAGAATCTGCCATACATTAATCATATTCAAAATAATTGGTCACATAGCCTGCCAATTCTATGATATTTTTATATTGATTAATTATTATATTTATTGTTAGAGTATTTTAATCTTAATCCCACATTTTAAATTGAACAAAATTTCTGTTCTTATTTATAGGGCTGGTTAATTTATTTTTGACTATAAAATAAATTGAATATAATATTTTTTCATTTTTAATCTATAAAAATTTCCATTGAATAAAAATTTATTTCCAATTTATAATTCTACTTATATTCTGTTTAATTTTTTAAGGGGGTGAGTAAGGGTAAGGCTATTAATAAGCAATATGTTCAAAGCATCCACCTTTTTTTGCTTAAGATATACTAAAATCGTCAGTAGGCATGCAGGAAATTTAGTTTCGGACCCTAAAAAACTTAAAGGCATGGTTGGAGTTTCTAGTAACACTGAATTTTTATACACGTTTAATATGAATATCTCACTAGCATTTTTTTCAACAATAATTGGTAAGTAAGCTGAACCGCGAAGCAAAAATGTCCCTTAATGATTATTCAATTTAAAAATTATACACAAAGATGCAATAGTCTCTGTTCAACCCAAATTAAGAAATTCGAACGACTTTGGGTATGAGTATTATGGTCAAATATTTTTCAACAATAGATTTGGCACTGAAGACTCTGAATGGTAACTTCTATTTAGTCTTCATTCTTTAAGAGAATATTTTCTTACTCAATTTGGTGTGCAAGAATTTAAGGAATTTTTAGAAAGAAATGAATTATTAAAGGACACGCTTCTCAAAAAAGAACAATATAAATCCTATTTCTCAGAGATTGCACTAAAATTCAACTATGATCGAAATCTGCTTAAATTGGTATCAGACTGTAATATTCATGAACTTGTGGTTAGTAATTTTTCAGAAATTTTCAATGGAAAAGAAAACTCCCAAGAAGATATCTATGTAGGAAAATTTTGGACCCAAAAAGCGATTGGTAGTAATGAAAATTATGTGTTTAATTATTTCCCACTTGAAGATGCTGATCACTTTGATAATGATAGTGATAAAAAAGAATTTAAAATGTTTTCCATTTCAAATGAATATCCGCAAGTAATTGAAGAAGAAAGGACAGAAGAGCCTGAAGAAGCAAAAGAAAGCACAGATAAATCTGCAATTGTTTTTGATTTAGATGAAGAAAGCTCTGAAGACACTATATCATATACAAATGACAAAGAGATGCCTCATGATCCGCTTAGTGAAATGAAAAGTCAAATCCCAATAGATATTTTTGAATTTTTCATAAAAAATAAAGTCATAGTTTTTTCACAGGAAAAAAGTTCGAAAAACCCAGTAACCAATTGGGTTTATGTGCAGCTAGAAACTGGAAATGATGATCTTTTAACGATAGAAACAGTTGAACGAGCAATGAAATCGTGTGGTGTTCGTTCTACTAAAAGAATCGAAATTTTTAATGGTACTAATAAGAGAAAGCAGAAAATAGTGGAAAGCGAAGTAATGAATAAAATTAAGGCCTCAAATAGAAATATTGTTTTGGGCCAAAAGCCAGAATTATTTCCAGCTAAGATACTTCCAAAGCAAGAAATTCCTTGATTTGAGATGTGGCTTAGAGACAATTTACCAAAAATTTTTTCAGGAAAAAATGTTAAAATAATAGCGATTTTAAATAATTTTCTGAAAAAATCCCTTCTAATCAAAAAGAACAAAGAAAAAAGCATGCACCAGAAATTCCTAAAGAGCAAGCTAAAATTAAAATTTTTCAAAGTCCAAAAGCATATGCATTTATTGAATTAAATGAAATTTCAGACAAAATGAAAGTTTTGAATCCCCATTTCAGGATTTTCGGAGTGAATATGTTCGGATCATTATTGCTTGTTGATGATGCTGATATCAAATTTACTATAGTTGTAAGAAACGTAGATATCACAGATCAAGATATGTTTGAAGCAAAATTTAATGAAGAATTATTGAATAATAAATCAGATGTGCAAATTCGTGGATATCAAATTTACAATTATTTTAATGGGAAAATGAACCAGATATTGCTGAGGCTTAAAACTTTTGAAGATGCTTTTGAGGTGGCAAACATTATGAATAATAAGACGCTTACTCTCTTGATATAACGATTTATTGGAAAATAGTTAAGCGCCCTTTCTTGATCGAACGATTTTCATATAGTTAAGCTTGAACCCCCACTACTTACACCTCAAATCTAACTGCCTATCTTTGATTATAATTAATCTTAGAGATATTACTGTATAATCGTTTCTTCGCAATTTCTAGCATATTTGCAAATATATTTCATACTCTTTCCCTTACTACTCAGGCATAAAATATTTTACATGAAAAAATTTTAATATATAAACTTAATATAATATATATTTTCCAGAATTTTTTGAACCGCTCTTGATCGAACGATGGAACATCATTTGATCAGAGATCGAAGGAGCTAGAGGGAAAAAGATAACTGTTGATTTTAGAAGAGGATGCGGAATTTGGGATAGTGGCGAATATAGAGAAACATTAAATGGCTTCATAGGAAGTGATTCTATTGAAGGGGGGAAAAAAGATAAGAAAAAGCATTAATTATATAACACAGTATATTTTAAGCAATTTTTAGCGGAAAATAAGTAGGATAAAGATTAATATATTTTAATTAATTTTGAGGAAATAAATAAAAAGATAAATATATATGGTGGGGTTTTCATTAGTAAATAAATGGAAAGTGTCTGCATCGAATGCCAACAGAAAGCTGAATTCATCTGTTTTTGTCAAGATATCAAGCTTTGTAAAGCTTGTATACCAAACCATCAAAAAAAAGTTACAGGCCCACACAAGCTTGTCCTTATAGGCGACCCAGACCTTGAAAAAATTCAGTTAGAGTTCAATAAAACCCGGAGGGCGACCAAAGGTCCTAAAAAAACTGCAGGAGGCAAAAAAAAGCCTGCAGGCCCTAAAAAACCATCAAAAACCCCTGAAGAAGAAAAAAAACTGGCTGATGAAAAAGATGCATTAAAACAGCGAATGAACGAAGAACTGCAAAAGCTTCAGAATTTTAAAAGAGAAATGATCAGCAAGCTATCAAATCAAGCTGCCAGAATAATCCAGCACATTGTAGGAGAGCATGACAAAGCTAAAGAAATCTTGAACCGCGAATGCGGAGCTAAACAAAGCTCGATTCAAGAAGCTATTATTGAATGTGACAAAACTCCTGCAAATGGGGACATTGAAAGAGGAAATGTCGTGCTTGCAAAAGTCCTAGATGCTCCCGATCTAAATGCGTTGAATCTTGTGAATAGTAAATGCACTGTTAAAGAAAAAAGTATTTCTTTAGAAGGGTCGCTGACTTTTCAAACTGTTTTGATGCCTTTGAAGTCCAATACAAAACTTCAAGAATTTTGGGTGAGGAAATTTTTTTTAAAAATTTATTTTTTGTTTTTTTTAGGAATAAAAAATTTGTAGAGAATTTTTATCAGCAAATGCAACTGGAATGAATGAAAAAATCAAGCAACTTTTTGATGATGTTTTAGCTGAAAGGCATCATGCGGTTACTGAAATAAAGCTAACTAAAGTAAGTTTAGGAAAAGACGGTGCTAAACATTTAGCAACTATTTTGCCTAAATATTCAAAAATTAAATCATTGAGACTTGTAGACACTGAGCTAGGGGTTGAAGGAGCTAAAAAAATAGCGACAGGGCTATCAAGCTTAAAAGGACTGCAAAAACTTTGTATTTCAAAAAATTCGCTTGGAGGACAAGGAGGGAAAAGTATTGCAGCAGCTATAAAAGATCTAAATCAACTAAAAACTATTGATTTGTCAAGCAATAAGCTTGGAAATGAAGGGACGAAATTCATAGCTGCAGCTTTAAAAAATTTAGTCGAGTTGAGATCATTGAGGCTATCAAACAATAACTTAAGCACTGAAAGCGCCAGAGCTCTTGCATCAATTTTAGTTGGCCTTAAAAAGTTGAAAACATTGAATTTAGCTGATAATAGTTTTGAAGGAGAAGATAGGAACATGCTGAATGAGACGACTCCTAAAGAATGCAACCTCGAGTTATAATTAAATAATTTATAATTCTTTTTATTTTTGACATTTTGCATATATACATAAATAAAAGAATTTCTGTCTTAAAATTTTAAGATTAATAAGAATTTAAGGTTAATTAAGCTGCTTGAAATATAGAGGAGAATTCTTGTAGCTCATTTAATATTTAATATATTTTTTTATTTAAATATAATATATTAAGAAACATTATTAATTATTAAAGCGGCTAGATTAAGTTAACTTTTCCATCATTATCGCTATCAAATGCTTGTATCATAAGAACAGCTTGACGATAGCTTAAAGGAAATCCAAGTGATTCGCTGGTATTTCTCAGATCATCAACTGAAATTAAATTGTCTTCATCTTTGTCAAAGTTCGTAAAAACGTCTTCAATATTGCTTGGCTCTTCCAGCTTCACAAAGTCAGGGTGCAGCAAAGCTTCTACCTCTTCAGTTTGAATTCTCCCATTTTCATCAGCTTCTAAGTAACCAATTAAGTCCATAACTGAATTTTTTTCATCTAAGTACCCATTGGCAATCAGTGAAGCTTCAATTTCTGCAGGGACTATGTATCCTCTGTTTTTTGGATCAAAAACTTCTTTAAATAAAGTAAAATAGTCTATGCTTTCTTCCGACATATTATTTGCAGATCTAATAATCAGCCCACCAAAGAAATATATTTAATAATAAGATTTGAATAAATTGAGAGTGAATTGAGAAAGGAGTAAAATGATAATAGCTAAACGCTTCAAATCTATAATGAGCTTATTTTTATTACGATGGTTTACAATAAAAATGCTATAGGGATTTAATTTGAGAAATTTTAATTAAGCGCTGGCTTAATTACTTTTGGATTCTCATGTCAAACTTATTTTGAAACGAATCCCATCGTTTAGGCCTTAATAGTATCAAAATCAATTTATTATGAGAAATTTTGAATAAATGTAAAATAAAGTATAAATTAAGAGCGCTAAGCAAGGAATAAACACTTAAAATCCGCTTGCCATGTTTTTTAAAATTCTTTGTTGTCGCCTTTTCTCCAAGTATTTTCTATCAAGTTCTTCATACTGCCTTTGTTTTAGCGTTGCTATAGGATTTGATGCTTCTAACACTTTTTTATCCTTAATTCAAAGATCATTGCTTGTCTGATAATTAAATCTAAAATATCCTTTAAAGCTTTTTCTTATTGGCTTTGGTGGTGGATCTTCTCGTGCACTCATATTTTTCTTTTCTTTTTCCATTTTCTGGGTTAAATCATAAAATGTTCTGACTAATCTTTCTGTAGGTTTAGCCATACTTGCTTTTAATTCACTCATCGTATGGAAAAATGGCTCAGTTTTTCGTTTCGGCTCAGTGGAACTAAATGCTTTTCTAGGAGGTTTAGTGGAAGGGTCGTATACACTTGAAATTACTAGATGCGCTACAGGTCGAGGGATTTTGGTAATATCGTCAGGCAAGCGGTTAGAAGGCAATTGGCCTGGCTTTGCAGGCTTAAGAGTTTTGGGACCGTGAATATCGTTGAAATAAGGAGTTGAGAGAGGTCGTGGGCATTGAAAATACCCATCAAATTTCTTCGGTTGTATTGTATAGAGATTTGATAATGGAGAAGAGGTTGTATTTAATTGCATATTAATATAATAATTTGCTTATCCTTTTTTTTAAAATATATTAAATAATGAAATATATAATAGGTTTTTATAAGCTATCCGAGTAATAAATATATTGTTTGCAAGACGAAAAGTTAGCTGAAATTGAAATTCACTTTTTTAATTAGAAAATAATTGGAAATTTCTAACAAGTTAGATAAAATTGGCTAAAAGATTATTCATGAATTTATTATCTTAAAAAAGTAAAATCCGAATAAGTTCACCTTAATTATTAAATTTAAAAGAAGGCATGGCTTTCTACCCGAGCCCACAAAATTTGGATTTTTATATTTTGATTGCTTTGGTATGGTTTTCCTTTTTCGGGTTTTGGTTTCTTAATACATATTTCTGAAACAAAGAGCACAGTTCATTTTTGCAAAAATCAATGACATTCATGATTTTCTTTAAACTTATCCACTGTGTTTTTCAAGTAATTCTTATAATTGCAGAGTTTGAAAATATGTATTATGTTTGATTTTGTCATACAGCAGCTTATACACTCTTCAATACAATTTCATATATGATCTTCCTACTTATAAGCCAAGGATTTGGGTTATACAAATCCTCACTCAATAAAAAGGAACTATCAGTAACTGTGGTAACGATGATTGTGTTTTATGCTTGCTTTACTGTGTATTCTCTAAATGAAATTGCAATGTTTCCTTTGCTTTTAACTTTTCTTGCAACCTGTGGATACTTCATTTTGAAGTTTGCATTTTACACGACAAAATGCCTTAAATTGAGATATGAACTTTTACAAATCTTAGAGATGAGAAACTTAGCACAAGTTGTTATAAAGAAATTAAAAATACTTAAGAAATATCTTGGCTTTGTGACGTTTCATCTTGTGTCACATTTTATACCCGCATTTTTGATTTTTTCTAATTACAATGGTTCAATTAATATGCTATATTAGATTGCATTTAACTACAATAATTAAAATATAAATCCCTCTATTAATGACAATACTACAATTTATAATAATTATGAGCTTAGCTTATAATAGTATATATTGCCACATGAAACTAATACAAGATTCTTTGGAGAAATATGTGAATATTTATCAATTGTCGCCATATGTTTTTTATTTAGATCAAAAAATCGAGGCGAAATCTTTATCCAAGAAACCCAAACACTTCTAAACTACCGTTCAATACTCCCGATTTATGAAGCAAGAATTACCGATCTTCCTTCTAGGCGTATTAAAAACACCCCTGAGATCCCTCCATTGCTAATAACGAACCCAACATATGAAGAAAAAGTATCACTTTTTGTCGCAATCCCAATTTTACGAGAAAATCGGACTGATGTAAGTCCAGATGAAGTCTTAATCCAGCCATTACTGAGTGATGTGCATTAAGTATTTGTAAAAGTTTTTATAATTAATAGCTGATTAAAAATGAAATTAATTCTCCTCTGGCTGCCAATCACTATTTTTGCTGAATTCAATGCAATGAATATTGCATTTAGAGAAGATTTCCTGCAAAATATATACACTCATGCTTTGGAGTCCTGACCAAATTACATTATAGTTTAGCAGTTTAGGCTCATAGAAATTTGTTTTAATAAGAATTTAATTTTTATTGGAAAATAGGAAACATTATTAATTATGAAGACCTTGAAAATACCCAAAATTAGAATATTAATACTGATTTAGAAGATATCATTATTCAAACTGAAGATCCTAATTATCCAACAGCAAAGTTCTCAAATATAATATTAACAGACATCTCTTTAAATTATTCTTCACCAATTACAATTAAAGAGTCTGATGTTATAGAGCTTTCAATAAATGATGTCAACGCTTTCTTTGATTCCAATTTAACACTTCAAGGAGGTGAAACCCCGCTTGAGAATCCTTGCAAACTCGAAATAAATGAAACTGATATCACGATTTATATATTTATCTTCATGGGAAATGATGGTGAAGCAGTTGTCGGGGTTAAAAATTCTTTACTTTTTCAATTGTGAATAATTTAATTTTTTCTATTATGATTTGACATATATTTTTAAAAAAAAATCTAATCACTAATGGAGCTAGCAAATATAGGGAATATTTCTCTTATGAACACCTTAAATGAGACAATAAATGAAGCCATATGAAAAGGGCTTCAAAAGGAAATTGCAATTTTCGAAAAAGAGATTATCGGGCTATTTGAAAAATATGTTATTGAATGGAATCATTATTTATCACAACGCCCATATAAAACACCATTAAAAGACCTTGGAATTGTCGTTGATACCCATCTCGCTCACAATGCAACAACTACGAACAATTATTTGTCACTTCCCCTTATAGGCACAGTTCTTAATGCAAAAACTGGGTTGCCTATCCTTAACTATACTTCTTCAACTCTTCCAAGCTCAAGCCAGCGCCAATTTCCAATTCAGCTATTTTTATCTGATTATTTTGTGAATTCTGCTCTTATTCAATGGTGAATCAATTTATCTGTTGATCTTTTAACACTTCCCCCTAATTTCCCATTTAAACTAACCACAAACGGCTTAGCATTTTTTGTTCCACAATTGCAGCTTACTTATGGAAAAAATAAGCCAGTTTATATACAATTTACTGCGGACCCAGAAAATCCTATCCCTTCTTTTACAACAAATAACGCAGTTTATTTTCAAGGCTACATACAGATGATTTTCTGGGTTCAAATACAGAAATCTTGGGTTCGTGCTTTTAATATGCAGGTTTTGACAAATGCAGTGTTTCCTTTATCTATTGTGAACACAACTGCTACTTATAAAATTAATAGCCTGCAGGCGAGTAAAATTTCTGTGACTGACTCAAATGTTGGAACAATAAACACGCTATTGACTGCGAATGTTCTGAATAATGTTTTTCAAATATTGATTCCTTTTATAAACTTGCAGTATGACCAGATGAATGTGAAAATACCGGATCTTGAGCATTATAAAATTCAAGGGGATATAGTGAATGTATATAAAGGATATACTGAAATTGACTATTTTCTTATTCCTATCATGTATAATATGTATATTTATTTAATTTATTAATCTCCCGTTAGTTTTAGACCCGAAGCTGCTTAAGAAGCGTTTCTTTTTGGTCTAGCTCTACCTTAGATTGTTTGTGGCTGATCAACTGGATCGCTATTCTAGTACCTATATGATCATTATAGCACTTAGAGGGGAGGGGGAGGGGGAGGGTTTATTTAGGCGGGGCCGGAAATCCGACCCCCCGACTCGCCCTTATGGGCGAGTTTTATTAAACATTATAGCACTGTCACTAACAGCTTTGGTTCCTTGTTTCACTTAGTCTGAATTTTCTATGTACATTCTCGGCACTAGAGTATTGCCTTTTAAATAAGAGTAGAGGGCCAAATACGATACTTGAAAGGATGCGGTGTAAAAAAAGTCTACCATTGTTCCCTCTTGCAGCAGGAGTGCCCGTATAAAAGCCTAACCCTATAAAAATACAATTTAGACGAGGAAGACTCTCATCCGAGCCATTTTATTTTTATTATTCTATCATACAAAATAAATTTTAATAAAAATGTTCTATTGAAAAAAATTTTAATAACTCCCATATCCCCTTTATGAGCGAAAAAACCATTTTTAGGGGTATAAATTTTTTTTAAAACAATTTATATTTAAATTTTAAGGATATTTTGTTTTTTAAAAATTTAAAAAATCCCAATATGTAAAAATTGAAAAGTAAAAATTAATTTAATTTGCTAGGTTTATGCTTTAAAATGCAAGCTTTATAAAATATAACAGATTAGCTAGAGATTTCATTCTAATAATTATTACTTATTTATCAAAATTTTTTTATAAAAAATTTTTTCTTTGCTCACTGAGGGTGGGTTTTTACAAAAAATAGGATTTTTCTAATGGTTTTATTCGCTCACGGAGGGGAGTAAGTATCTTTAATTACTTTTTATTTAAAAATGATGTTAATATATCAATAATTTCATTTACTTGAATAAGTCCATCTTTGAACACTTCCTTAAGTCTTTCTCTTTTCAAGTTAAATTTTAGATCAAAACACTCATAATTTTTGAAGTCTTTTAATGCATCTACGTTCTTTTTTAAAACTTGCTGGAATAAAGCATGAATTCTTTTATATTTTCCAGGCAAAAAATCACATATAAAATCAATTTTTGCTGGCTTTTTAGAGCACTTGTAAATTAGATTTGATGCGATACAAATCCAGGTCTGAAAATCAATGGTCTTTTCAATGCCAAAATATTCAAATAAAATTTGCTGCATAATCTGAGGCATTTTTTGAAAAAAATCATAAGAAGCAAGCAAATAACTAACAGCAATTGTATGCTGCTCATTTTCGCCATTTTTCCAATACGTATCTTCCTTCATTGAAAATCCTTTCTTTTCGCTCGAAGAAACCATTACCAGGATTTTATATTCATTAGAAATTTTTTGATAATCTCTTATATTAAGCCCATATCTTCTCAAAAAATTTTCTACCGCTTCAGGAGGCCCACTAAGCCTGCTTTGTCTTCTTTGGCGACTTGTTTGAGATTTTAATTGAATCTGATTTAATTTGTGACTAAAATTCTTTTTTTCCTCTTCTATTTCGTCTGACCCGCTGCTGAAATTTATTTCATCAATATTTTCCGAAACGATAGGGTTTGACTTTTTTATAGGCGAAACACTTTTAGACCTTTTATACTCATTAAGTGGCATCAGCTCAAAGTTTGTATCTTCTACTTCAACTTTTCTGCAGGTTTCCATGAACTTTGCAGAATATTTTTGGTTTCTTTCTTCAATGGCTTCAATTTTTGATTTATCGCTGGGCATGGAGAGCTTGTCACCTTTAAGCAGTCTTGAAAGGATTGGTATTGGGTAATCTCTGATTAGAGATTCAATACTTTCGTATTTGTGCTTATCTGCTATATATTTGTCTAATTTCATGCTTGGCTTTTCGCTGAGCTTTTGTGTGGGGAAGTTAGTTGAAGTTGAAACTGCAGTGCTTTTGCTTGATTTTCTCATCATAGCTGGCATTGAAGTTAAAAACAGCCCACATCCGACACCTTCTAAATTTTCAGATTCTGAAACTACAAGGTCAGTCACATAGTCAGGGACTTGGGCAAATGATTTTATTCGTTTTCCAGTTATCAAATAAATATATACTATTTTCAATATTAATTTTATAAAAAATAATGAAAATTAAGAAAATATATAGTTATTTTAGAGAGAATAATTAAGATTTTCAATACCAGTAATTTTTCTTGAAGCTTTTAGCAGGTTGCTAATTTTGCAACAAACTCCTTGAACACGTTCATTGGACTCATACTTTTTTGCAAACTCCTTTTTAGGGATCGGAAGCATAAAATTAGATGGATCGTGGATATAGCCTTTGTCTGGAATTATTCGAATCATTCGAATATGATCAGGATGGCAACGAGGTAGATTAGACTTATGCTCAATTTTTGAGTAAGGTAAATACAGTGGATCGCCTTCAGGCTGGCTTTTTAAATAATTTTGATATTGAACTTCTTTACTTGTTTGTCTTCTATTTATTTTCATGCTCAAAAAGATATTTTATCACTATATATGAGAAATCTTAATATAAAAACAAATACTGTTATAGTGCCACGTGCGATAAAGCAGAAAAATTGCTAATATTGTAATTAATAATCTTATTATGCATCAATTTCAGAATTAAAATCTTATGAGACATCAATTATTATAATTCTTGTACGAAAATTTCTTGTTTTAAATTTTAGCCATGCTTGTATATATTTTTAGAAATAAATATCCACTCTTCAAAAATAAAATTTATAAAAAAATAATTTGTTATAATAAAATAAAAAATTTACAGCTGACTTCAGTGTCGGTCGCCTTGGTTTTGACTTTTTTATTACTTCATTGTACTCTTGTGCAGATGAGCAAGGATCACATGCCAAGTGGCAGCAAATATCCCCGAGCAAGCTCCCATCAATATCATAAAACTCCCTAATATGTTGTCTGTTTAATCCTGAACCTATACAGCATAGAAAAATACTATAGGCAAATGCTTCATAGAAATGTTCATTATTTTGGGTAATTGAAACAGCTTTAGCTTGTATACACGCAGGACCACATGGGCAGCAAGATAAAAAGCATATTTTGTTGAAACTTTTACAGCACTCATATAAGCCTGTTTCGAACTCAGACATATGCACTGCAATAATTAATTTATTAGACCTATTTTTTATATAAAAATTATTCTATTCTCAAGGCTCAGTTACTTTTTACGATAAATATTTTCTCCTTGAAATATTATAATAATTTGCTAGTAAATATAAAACCGCAAATTAATTTTTGATTAATTAATTCAACTCATTTAATCATCAAACTCTTATTATGAAGAGATATGAAAATAAGGTCTGTGTTATCACTGCATCTGCAACGGGGATTGGCTTAGCTATTGCTAAAAGGATGGGACAAGAAGGCGGAAAAATCGTAATAAGCTCAAGAAACCAAAAACACATAGACGCAGCTGTTGATGAATTAAGAAAAGAAGGCATCACCGCAGAAGGTGTTGTATGCCATGTAGGAAAAGACAGACAAAAACTCATTGACTTCGCAGTCGAAAAGTTCGGAGGCATTGACGTTTTAGTCAATAACGCTGCAATAGCGACAGCTTTTGGCCCCACAATGGAGATGTCTGAGCAAGCTTATGATAGAATGTTTGATGTCAACGTAAAAGCAGGATTTTTCTTAATAAAAGCAGCTCTTCCTTGGCTTGTAAGAAGCAAAAGCGCCTCAATTTTGTTTGTGTCTAGCTATGGAGGATTCGCTCCTTCCCCAGTAATAGGGATTTACTGTGTCACAAAAACTGCATTGATAGGGATGACAAAAATGCTTGGGATAGAGCTTGCAGGTGCCGGGATCCGTGTCAATGCAATTGCTCCTGGAGTAATAAAAACAAAATTCTCTGAGCCTATTTGGGAAACTGACGCTGTGACTAGAAATCCAATGGGAAGAATGGGAACTCCTGAAGAATGCTCAAGCGTCGCTGCATTTTTGTGTAGTGAAGAAGCTTCATATGTGAATGGGGAGACCGTTGTTATTGCAGGAGGATTTCATGCCAGACTTTAAGATAAACTCTTCATAATCAGATAAAAATGATTTTAAAAATAATAATAGAAAATACCTAAATCCTCAGTCCTATTAAGTCTTTATTATTTTAATGGTGTCTTATTGGTTAGATCCTATCATTCACGAGACTCACGGGTTTTATTCAGATCCTGTTAAACTCCGTCTTCCTATGGTAGTATCTCAAATTCGCATTGCTAAACCCCAAAGCGCGATTTGGCAACTTGAATTCTTACTCCACCTTTAAATTGGAAAAAAAATCCTGCTCCATAAACTTTTCATAATAAATAAAAACAGAAAAATATAATTGAACAAATATTTTTGTAATTTAATTCATTTTTATGTAAAATTAATTAAAAATATTTATTGATACAACGTAACAACTGATTAAATTGCAATCTATGCGTTCTCCTCCATTAAATTAAGTCAAAACTATTTTTTATATAAAAATAGCATTTTTACATATGAATTTTCTATTGAAAAAAATTGTTCCAATTTAAAGGGTAAATTTACCCAAAAAATGGAAATTTTACTTATATTTTGTTTCAATTTAAAGGGGGAGTTAGCAAAAGACCTCGAGAATCCGTCAGATGAGTTGGTTCACGTTGAAAAGCTGGAGCGAGTTGACGCAGCAGGGACTGGTGACATCAATATTGAGCTTCCTAAGCCAATTTTGACAGATTATTTGGTAGTCAAAGGAGACTATAAAGCCATATCATTATGTTTGGAGACTTCAGAAGTCACAATAGATGAAGAAAGCTTAAGTTTAACACCTGTAAGGTTTATATAGACTGAAGCAGAAGTGGAGAAATTAATTGGTGCGCCTATGCAGTATCATGGACTCTTTCAGTATTGGGTGGACTCTGAAGAAACTGGAGAGGTGCTCTCGATGAGGTACGGCAAAGCTAAAAAAATCTGTTAATTTTTTTTTTAAAAAATAATAATCAAAAATAAAATTTTTTGTGAAAAATCTTGATCTAATGTTTTTCGTTTTCACCATGAGGTATCCCATTGAAGAAGGGCCAAGTCAGCTCGCGCCTTTTGCCTTCTGGAAGCTTCCTTTTGCAGCTGAAGATCTTGGATCGTTAGTGGGGCAGATTGAAAGTACGGTGGGAAATCTCGCACAAGGACCGGAGGGACCTGCAAGCGTTTATTTGTCTTCCTTAGAAAAACCAATAATTAATATTGTGGTGGCGACTAAATATGTCCTTACTGACAATGCACTACTTTGACCGCAAAAAATGGCTTTATAGCCTAAACCAAGACTGAGGCCCTTTGATTCTAATTCTAAGCTTGCTGTATAGCGGTCATATGGGATTGGTAGCCTTGGGAGTCAGCTAGTGTCCATTCCAGTCCGAGTGCTAGTTATCCAGATGGGTTTAGGCCCAGGATCCTGGCAAGCAAGAGTCCGATGATCTCAAGTGTGCGAAGGCATCAAATCTGGAAGACCTTAATACGTTTAAATTTAATTTAGAAAAAACTAGGACTACTAGTAGAGAATCTCTGTAGTTTTTATGGCTGCATGATTTTTCCTCAGAGATATTTGCTTGAAAAAAAAATTTTCGCCCAAATTTCCTAATTATAACAGATAGTCCGAGGAAATGTCCTTAAGGGAAAAAATTCTCCAAAAAGATATTCTCCAGTTTTTATCATACTGGCCACGAATATGGATACTCTGGCTTAAAGAGTACCATTGAGCGTATGCTGCCGCCTCAGATTGTCAACTTGGCACTTCGCGCCATATCAGGACAATCTTATGGCCTTTCCGAGGCAAAGGCTTCTCTTCGACTTGTCACAGTTTTGATGAATTCTTCAAATTTTTCAGCCCAAATCTTAGAAGCTGGCGGTCTGCAGCATCTTCTTGTTTTGTTGACAAACCCTCACTGTTCATCACCACTTCAAATAAAAACTATTGAAGCATTAAAAGCTTTAATCTCACACCCTCAGAATGCGACGAAATTTATTGAAGAAGATTTTATTTCATCTCTGGACCCTAAGATCATTAGCACTTATTTTTCAGTTAAAAAGGCAAAATCAAAAGAAGCTGTGAAAAAGCAAAAGACTGAAGACGAGGAAAGATTTAAAACAGGATATGACGTACTTGTGGGGATGAAAACGGAAAAAAAGTCATTGAAACTTTTAAATGCTAAAAAGTCGTTGCTAACTTCTCTGTTATAAATGGGGATTTATCAATTTTTTTTTATAATAAATTAGATGGCTTTAAGATAAAATTATTAATTTAATTATAAAAAATAGGTTTAGGAGTAAGCAAATGTGCATTTTTTCAACAACTGAAGAAATTACAAAGCATAGTTTCAGATATAGAAAATTTAGATGGAAGTGGGGTTTTAGATGTGCTTGACTCAATCAGAAAAGATTTGAAATTGCATATGTTGAGATCTTCAACAAACTCTTTAACAACCTTAAAGCAAGACTTAAAGAATTTTTTGCTGCTGGATACATTAAATACTTTTGAAAATTTAAAATCAATCACTCAGTTGACTTCTCACTCCCCCTCCCGTGAGCAAACAAAGCATTAGAAAAATCCGTATTTTTGGGTAAATAATTATTTATGAAAAATATTTTGATATATAATGATAATTATTATAATGAAATCTCTAACAAATTCTGTTGAACTTTAAGCAACTACAAATATTTGCTTTAAAATTATTTTTAAATTTTGAAAAAAAAACCAATATAATATATATATATAAAATTTTAAAAACAAATTAACCCCTCTATGAGAACAAAATTTTTTTGCTTGTTCACGGAGAAGGTGGAGTTAGCAAATATTGAGCAATGGATTAGTGCAATGGCTAACAAATACGAGCTTCTTGCAAAATTTGTTAACTCCCCCTCCGTGAGTGAACAAAACCATTAGAAAAATCGCTATTTTTTGCCCCAAAAAACCCACCCTCCGTGAGTGAACAAAAATTTTTTTAATAGAAAAAAATTTAGATATATAAATGATAATTATTATAATGAAATCTAGAGCTAATTCTGTTTAATTTTAAACGAATTGCTTTTTAAAACATAAATTTTATAAATTAAATTAATATTTGCTTTCCAATTTTTGCGAATTAGGATTTTTTTAAATTTCGAAAAAAAATATTTTTTATAAAATTTATACCCCCTCCGTGAGTAAACAAAATTTTTTTGTTCACTCACGGACGGGGGGGGAGTAAGGATTTTGCTCGATCAAAAGCTGCGATCAAACGCTGAGCTATTCCGTAGCATTTTTATCAGCATCTCTGATATTTTGCTTGTGATTATCAGAAGTCAAGGCGGAGTATGGTTTTTGACGTCTCAATTCTCAATAATTCAAGATTTTATCAAAGCCTTCAAAGAAGTTGAGATCCCAGACTGCACAGAAGAAGCTGAGCTTTCCCTTATAGAAGAAGAATATCTTTTAAGCGCAATTCAGCTTGAAAAGCTTCCAAGCTACTCCTCTCAGCTTTCCTTTATTTTAAGCTCAGTTTTATCAATCTCTAGATTTCTTCACGAAATCTTTTGCATTAACCCCAACTCCGGTCTCGCAAATCTCTATACCTTCCTAAATGGAGCTGACGAAAAATACACAGGCTACCCTTCGCAAATTTTTTATACCATAATAAGAGCACATCCAGAAATATTTTTATACCTCTTACTCTCCAAGTAATCCTAACCAAACAATAATTGCTTGGTTTTTCCAGCATTTTATATAAATATTTTTCATTATCATCAAACCACCTCTAATTTAATAATATTTTTTTAATTGAGTTTGCTATTGATTGGGGATTTAGAATTAATAGATTTAGTAGACAGCTTTGGAATGATAAGGAGCTTCTATGTGCTAGAAATAGCTGTGACACTGATGATTGAAGATAGAAGTGGTGAAGTTATGCTACAAGTGGGGACTGAGGCTGCTGAATTTTTGGAAAACTTGATGGAAACTGATGGTTTAGACGATATCAAAAAAATGCTGGACCTGCTTCGTGATTGGCTCAGGCCTCTCAAGAAATTCAAAGAAGTTTTCAGTGTAGAGAAGCTGATTGAGGACCTAGCGAACTTTGGGGAGAAGCTGGACAAGATGGAAAATAATAGCGTTTATTTAGTTTTGCAAGAATCTAAAAATCCTGAATTAAAAATAGGAGCTTTAGGACTGATGACTGAAAAAGGGTCAGAGATTATTCAGCTCATCCAGTTGTTGAGGATTCTTAATATTGTGATCAGCGTCAAGAAATGGAGCTCAATACAGATGATTTCAGGCAATTTATTGACAATTATAGCAAATTTGATTGGAAAAGTCAATAACGTGATTCATGCGCTCTTTGTGGACACCACAAATCCACAGGTCTTTTTTACGCTAAACAAAAGCCAAATTATGAAGGAACATTTAGAGCTGCTGGTGCCAAGCTTAAATATTATAAATATCATTATAGAGCAGCTATTAGCAACAAAACTGTCAAGCTACAATAATTCAAGACTTCTAGAACATCTAGTCCATTTGGCTGCACTATGTGACCTGGTTCTTGATAAAGGCAACGATTTGACTGTGCAAAAAGTCATCAGAATCATAAAAACTTCTTTTATCCTGTGGGCTCAGCTGCCAAGCTTCCTTGACATTTATTTAGGAGTCATGTTTGAGCATGCTTTTCAATATCCTTTTAAGTCTGGTGCTGTCTTATCCTTAATAAGTGGCTTATTTGAGCATTTTATTTCTTATAAAGACCCAGCGTTTATACACAAGTGTATAGAGTGGCTCTGCAAGACCCCAGCAGCACTGTTTGACCCTGAAGTCCTCTATTACTATATGATGCAAGCTAAAAATATGGAAGGCGAGTTCAAAATGATGAATATTTTTAAAATGTCCTATGAAGCCATCAAAGAAAAAAGTGGCAGCAAATATGAGCCACGACAAACGTGGGATTTTAAGAAAAAAATGAGCTTGCTGTTAGACAGAGATGGCTGTGTCCTTGACAAGCTGCTTAAAGCCTTTTTAAGAAGCAACAGAATTGAAGTCCACAGTGCATTAGTCCGACTTTTAAGATGTGCAGTCGCCACAAACCATTTAGAAGCCTCAATGAAGATTGTAACAGCTTGCAAAATTATGCTACAAGGCTCAGCTAATATCCAAGGAAAAGCGTTATATACAATTCTAGCTCTTTCAGAAGTGGCTTGTGCTAAATCACTATTTATCCACGAAGACCTCCCAGAAATTTTGCTTCCGTTTTTGTCTGACCCTAACCTAGCAGTCCCAGCACTAAAAGTTTTCAGGAATTTATTTGATTCCAGTATATGTATGAACGAAAAAGACGAAAAACAAATGCTAGTAGAAGATATACCCACAATAAGCCAAACCCAAAGCTTTTTGCTGGAGACAAGAAAACTGCTTGTTTTTTATATCCCAGGGCTTCCTGAAGCAGGAATGGTTGAAGAGGAAGAAGACGATCTCTATGGAGAATTTGTGAAAGCTAAAAAAACAGAAGAAGGCTGCTCATGGGAACTGACGCTACTTGTATTGAGAGTTTTAAAAGAAATCAGCGCCCATTCAGTTGGGAAATCATTACTGCTGTGTGGGCAGTACCCATTTAAAGAAGATTTACAAGGGCCATTAGATTTTGAAGAAACTCTAAATAGGATTTCAATTGGTTTTAATATGCCAGACTGGCAGAATAAAATGCTGACCCTTTTAGAAGTTTTGACAAATATTCTTAAAGATATAGGAATCACACTCGTTTCTCAAGTCGCCTTAAACCAGACAATTCAGACTCTCCAAACTTTAAGTAACCCTCGGGCTATGAAGCTCTTACAAACCCTAAAATTAGCCCCAATCAAGGTAGAAGTCTCCACTATTGAGCTGCCCTACCCAAAAGATCTTAATGAAAGATTCCCAGAACAAAAGCCAGATTTCGAAAAAATAAAAGAATTCAAAAAAGCAGTCCGCAAAGGCCACCAAAATCAGCTAATCACTAGTAAAAGGGTAGGTGACCGCATCCAAGTCAAAACTTTTCAGAGTCTGACTGATTTATTGCCGCCTCCTTATAAAGCATTATTTAAATGCAAAACCAAAACATCAGGCAAAGAATGGAACGTACTAAGTGAAGAAAGCCAAGAATTTGTCCCAGAACTGACTATGGAGTATCAGAAAAAAGCTGAAGATAAGCATAGTTCAGCACAACCATCAAGAGAGCCAATTCCTGTAATTCCGCCTGTGGTGGCTGATGTAGTCCCAGCTAAATCAATAGTAACCCAGCCTGTATCAGCACCAGCACCTGTACCACAGTCTGTAGTACCGCCTCAAAGTGCCCCAAGACCGACTGTATCAAGCCCAACTTCTATGTTTACAGATGTGGAAAAGAATGCTTTTAGCGACCTAATGCAACTTCTAGAGAAAAAAGATAGAAGCCATGACCCAAGATTGCAGTTGAAGATTGAACAAATATTGAATGAGTTTCCAAACTTATGCAGCTACATAAAAAATAAAACAGGAAACTAGTAAATTTATCTAGATTTGTATAGCTATAGTGCTTTCTAAGATTATAAGCTAAAATTAGTTCTAATTATAAAAATTGGGCAAAATGGATTTGGAAAAGAGGTAATATTTATAATTTTGAAATTAATTAATAATAAAAATAAATGGAAACCAAAATATAAGCATATTATGGGGGTATATAATGATCTGATTGAGAAGAATAAAAATAATTTATTAAGCTTTATCAAGATCCATTGCAGTTGCCGCAGTGTCCATTTTAAAATTCAAAGGTGACATAAGCGAAATCATAATTAAAATATGGCGTCACTCGAACTCTCTGATCTTTCCACCGAAAATTTATTCTTGAATATTCTAATTACGAGGTTTGGTTTTCCCCTGGTGAAATTATCCAGATATTCAGGGAAGCAAGAGCAGGGTGGTTTTTCCTGTTGACTCCTGAAGGGTACCACTTAACCTAGCGGTGGAGACTGGGACCTTTAGGGTGCCAATTGGACCCAAGTAATGTCTGGGCTCAAAGAGCAGTCATCGAAGCCCAAAATCAAGACTGGCATCCTCTTTTAGTGATCAAAGTCACCCCTTTGGCGGGCCTGAGGAAAATGGTGTGCTATCCGCCCCAGAGCGGTGCTGGAAATAGCTGTGATCGAGCAACCTAGTAGTGGATATCAAACGTGTATGGATCAATTAAGATTAAGACATAAACGAATTCGCCATCATCCAAATATGCAGCGCTGAATCTTCGTCTACCGACGCGAGCATCAAATGATCATTCATGTTCCACGAGAAATCAGATACATTTGCACAATGCCCTCCATGAATAAACACCAGCTCTGGCGGTCCTTCTCTCTTAGCCTCTTCTGTCTGCTCATCTCCAATTTTTGATAAATCCCACAAACACACTTTTCTATCGTTTCCAGAGCTTCCAATCATAGTCCCTGAAAATGGTGCCCACCTTACATTGAAAACTTCATCAGTATGGTATTCCAATGCATATAATTTAATGGTCATATTTCTGATATCCCATATAGCGACTGTGTTATCTTTGCTTGCGGTTGCTAATAAATTTTCCTCAAATTTATTGAAATCGATAGCATTTATTTCACGATTATGGCCTTCTATTATGTGGGGGTGGTCCGGAATTTAGTACGCTGTACTAAATTCCGTACTTTTTTTTACCGTCAAGATGACTGAGAAAAAAATGTACTTTTTTTTTTACGGAAAAAAATACATCATAAAATTTTTGTACTTTTTCTAGGATGGGGTAAAATAGTACATAGGTTTTAGAAAACCATCAAAACGGGGGTAAAAAAGTACACATGGCAAAAAACTCGTTCATAGAGGCAGGTACAAATAAGCTAAGAAAATAGAATAATTAAATTAAATAAAAGTGTATAATGTTGTATATATTTTCTTAAATATAATAATAAATATGAATAGATTAAAAGAACTGTGCAGTGTCTTAGACAATATATATTTTTTTTGATTTGTATTTTTTTTTTAAAAAAAATATTAGTAAAAAAGTTCACTATAATTTTTGTATATATTGTATCGATAACGATCTATTATTCAAAATCATTCATAATAAGACTAAAGTATTATAATCGCGAAGTAATATCTAATAGCATGATTAAATGTTTAAAGGTATGCACAGAATGCATAGCTACAGTTTATTTTAAAAAACTTAAAAACTTACGTAAAAAAGTACAAAATTTTTTTTGTACTAAAAATCCCAGTAAAAAAGTACATGTACTTTTTTTTGTACTAAAAATTTCAGTAAAAAAGTACATATACTTTTTTTTTTTATACGGAAAAAAGTACATGCTTAAAACAATCAATTAAAAAAAAAGTACCTATTAAAAATTAATAAATTATGGAAAAATAATTTAAATAATATTTAAATAAAAAATATGAGAACGCATTTTCTATGTTCTACTGTATATGATTTAACATCACAATTAGCCAATACTACTGAAAAATACTACTGAAGAATACTACTATAAAAACACTTCCTTAATTTTTTAAATCTATAATAAAATAAATATATGCAGAGTGAAAAATTAGAACAAATTGAAGCAGAAGATTCATCAAGTAGTTCATTAGGAGCAGCTTACTTACGTGATAAATTTGAAGCTTCTGAAGATGAAATTTCTTCTGAGAATTGAAGTGAAATATACGAATTCAATAGAAAAGATAATACGCCTCCAATTGGATCAATATCCAAATCTCATTGATCAAATCAAATTACACCATTGAATTTATTTAGGGCCATTTTTTCAAAGAAGAATTTATTATTGAAATAATCAAGAAGTGAATGTTTATGCAGAAGCTCTTTCAAAAAGTAAAAAAAGTATATGGTCAGTAACTGCTCAAGAACTTGAAAAATGGATTGGGATATAGTAATGATGGATCTAATAAAAGCTCCCAACCATAAGGATTATTGATCTATAGTCCCTCTTTGCAAAATTTGTTAATATCTGAGTCATAAAATCTAGGAGATTCCAAGACATAAGTCGTATGCTAAATATATTTTACAATTTAGAAATATTCAGCGCCAACTATTCTATTGACAATTATTATGGAAACAGAGTTTCGCATAAACTAATTAAAAATCTCCCAGAGAGATATTATTATTTTTTGACGCTGGTATTCAAGTATTGAACTCTTCACTTCTATCTTCAGCCTTAGTTTTGCTGCAACTGACTCAATTAATAAAAGCAGAAAAGTCCTTCCTATAGCTCATATTAGCAAAAAATAAAAAATGCAGGCTTGTTTAAGAATCTCCAGAGGAATGAATTCAAAGTTTGCATGTAGTTATTACTGGGAAACTTCTGAATCTGTAAGCAAACGAAGGAGGAGACTGAATACTGCTGCTGCAAACGCAAGAAGCCACTTAATCAATAAAAAATTTACTTGTTTTAAAAATTTTTACCAAGCAAGGGTTTAAGCGTAGTCCAAACGAATCAAATGAAGCTTGAATAAAGCTAATAAAACGTAATAGATAAATAATATTTATGAACTCTTATACAGTAGAACATAGAAAATGCGTTCTCATATTTTTTATTTAAATATTATTTAAATTATTTTTCCATAATTTATTAATTTTTAATAGGTACTTTTTTTTTAATTGATTGTTTTAAGCATGTACTTTTTTCCGTATAAAAAAAAAAGTATATGTACTTTTTTACTGAAATTTTTAGTACAAAAAAAAGTACATGTACGTTTTTACTGGGATTTTTAGTACAAAAAAAAATTTTGTACTTTTTTACGTAAGTTTTTTAAGTTTTTTAAAATAAACTGTAGCTATGCATTCTGTGCATACCTTTAAACATTTAATCATGCTATTAGATATTACTTCGCGATTATAATACTTTAGTCTTATTATGAATGATTTTGAATAATAGATCGTTATCGATACAATATATACAAAAATTATAGTGAACTTTTTTACTAATATTTTTTTTTAAAAAAAAAATACAATCAAAAAAAATATATATTGTCTAAGACACTGCACAGTTCTTTTAATCTATTCATATTTATTATTATATTTAAGAAAATATACAACATTATACACTTTTATTTTTAATTTAATTATTCTATTTTCTTAGCTTATTTGTACCTGCCTCTATGAACGAGTTTTTTTGCCATGTGTACTTTTTTACCCCGTTTTTGATGGTTTTCTAAAACCTATGTACTATTTTACCCCATCCTAGAAAAAGTACAAAAATTTTATGATGTATTTTTTTCCGTAAAAAAAAGTACATTTTTTTTCTCAGTCATCTTGACGGTAAAAAAAAGTACGGAATTTAGTACAGCGTACTAAATTCCGGGTCACCCATTATGTGGGTAGGATTTTCATGACGGATATCCCAGAGCATAATTTTTTTATCGTCACTTACAGAGCCTAAGATGTTGGGGGAAAATTCGCTTCATGAGACGTCAGCTACGATCTCACTGTGTGAAGAAAAAGTTCGGAGAGGCTGAATTGTATTGTTGCCTTCTGTCCCAGCTGAGATGTCTCATATACAAATTAAGTGGTCATCTGAGCCACTAGCTAGGAGCCCAGATTGGATTGAATTCCAGGCAAGGCCAAAGCCTTCTTTTTGATGTCCTTTCAAAATCAATTGAGGTCCTTGTGTTGATCGATTAGGATGTTTAGTATAATCATAGACATAGACGTTCCCAGAAGGGCTTTTCGTTGCTATGATATCGTCTCTTTTAGGCATTACCCTTGCTTTATTTACTTCTCCATCGTGATTTATCCTTATAAGAGGATCTACTTTATTTTCTACTTTTGACAGACTATTCCCGCCAATTTCCCTTGTGTTATCAATTCGCGGACGATTACTAATAGTTGTATCGTCTAAAGGTAATTTAACATTAGCAATAATTAGCTGGTCAGGCTCTGATCCTAGAGTATGAGTTCCTATTACGATTCTTTGTATTGAGTAATCAGCTGTATTTCTGCATTCTTTTGTGGGAAGCCAATCTACTGTAAGAGATGGGTGATCTAAGTCATGGGTTATTAAAGTTTCGTATAAATAAGGAGAATTTCTCTTCCAGGTGTTATATTCTGCGGCTAGTTTGGGGTCTACTATTTCTTCAGCTGTTTCTTCTTGTAGCATATTAATTAATCTTACAATTATTATGGCTGTTAGAGAAATACCTAGAAAGTTGTTGAGAAATAGCTTAAAATTAAAATTTAATCAAAAATTTTACATAAACATATAATATGTGTAAGTCTGAATAAATATAAAAAAAAATATCTGCTCGTTAAATACTGCCAATAAACTCAACTATTAAAAAATCAGCATTAGTTTCAAAATATTACAGCTTTATTATTTAAATATATTAATTATTTTACATTGGATATAAATATGTACCCAAACAGAAATATTGGGTTTTACCCTGGCAGAGATACAGTGATAAATCGAAACTCTTATGACCCAGACCCATCTCCAAACCATCTATCCCAAATCCCTGATTATTATAATTCTAATGTCTATGCTTCAGTCCCTCAATATCAAGCTCAACCTCAATACATGTACGACCCAAACCAATACTTAGCCAATGCTCCTACATTTTACCCCGGCTCATTTGAATACCCTCAGCGCGACTTTCCTTCACTTGTGCAGGCCAAGCCTCAAGTTTACCAAGCCAAAGAATATTTTCCACCCGGCCTTTCCCAACCCTTGCCGCCTAATGCCTATGGCATTCCCCCTGGGAATTTCGAAGAGAAGCCTCGGACATCGCTTAAAGCTCCTAATCCAAATGCTCAAAGTTTTATTCCTAGTAACTTATTCCCATCTCCTTCTCCATCACCTCCTCCACCTCCTTCTCCTCCTCCAATCCCTAACAAAGATGAAGAAGAACTGTTAATTTATGGAGTCCGTGGGATTTCTGCAATGCAAAAAAACTTTGATAATGATATAGCTTTATTAAGCAGGGGAAGAGATCTTACCAAGCTTGGGCTTAATGTAAAAGGCAATGAAAATCTTGCATCTACTTTACTCAGCGTCATGCAGGAAGGAGAGCTTGAAGCCTCAGAACAAGTGGAATTTGTACTGCCGTCGTGCTACCTTATAAATAAGCCTCTGCTGAAAATGAAGACTTTGGGGTTATTAAGCAGTTGCAGCTTATTTTATATGTTCTATAACATGCCTGGAGAAATCATGCAAGCTTTGGCAGCGGAAGAGCTGTATAAGAGGGACTGGGTTTATGCGCCAACTAGACAAGTTTGATATTTAATGACTCCGGGAGACTGTAAAATGTTTGATACTATGAACTGGGAAGTTGTCGCAGCAAACCGTCCAAATGTCACTTTTCTCACAAAAGATGAGGTAAAAGTCAAACGTCCGATATCTTAATGTAACTAATTAATAGAATTTATTAAAATATTTGTACAAAAATTAGCTTTATCAAAATCAAGCTGATTTTTAAGTTTTTTCTAATGTGGCTTTCAGTCCTATCAGATTTCGAACAAACTTGTGTATGATTTTCGAATTCAAAGCAGAAAGATTGACACCTTTAGGGTCAAAATGGCAAAGCAAAGTTAAACATGACTCTTTTTCATTTATCTGGTTTATCACAAAATAAAAAAAGTGACATCAGGCTTTGACTTTGTAAAACAAACACGAGCAGTCATACTCGACACTTGTAAAAAGCACAGTTTTATACCCGTTAATTTCAAATTTTTTGCTGGCTAGTATGAACTCTCGTCCTCTAATAAACCCAATATGTTTTGTAGCTAAATAGATTACTTTAACATTATTTTGCAGTTCCACCAAAAGCTTCGATTTTTTATAAAGCTTGTGTCAGTGTTTTCAGTTCTGGATATCATAAATATAGTCTTGGATTTCTGTTGACGACCTATTAATCATAATCTCAGCAATAATTATATTTTTCCCATTTCCATGTGGCTTCTTATAGACAGCAAGGACATCTTCAAATCGATAAGGCATCCACGAGTTTCTATTCACAAAGTGTCTCATAGCTGAGCCATAAGCTGCATCTAGCGCTGCCTCAAAATCATAGCCGAGCATGGGCTTTTAAAGAAATGCTTTATAATTTCTAATATTTTTTCAAAAATTAAATGAAAATCCTTCACCTATGGGAAAATAATAATTACACTTTATAAATGGATAGAGACATACAAGTACAGCATTATTACTGTCACGCCTGCAAAGTGACCTCTTCTATTAATTCTGAACAATTACTATGCCCGAGATGTGGAAGCGATTTTCTACAAATAGCCCAAGTAGAGGATTTACGAGAAAATTTCAGAGTCGGCCCGAATCCTTTTATTTTTGCAATAAATCGACAAAATGATGAGGAGTATGAAGAAGAAAACCCTGATGAGAACAGAAGGCAAGTGGGAATTCCGAATGCTTTGTTTGGGAGAATTGTGCAGAATTTGTCTGAAGAGCAGAATGATATGAGGAGAAGGGATGCGAGCAGAAGAGCGTTCTTGCAGGTTTTGTTGGAGCTGCTAGGGGATAATTTTAACCAAAGACGAGAAGTTTCGCAAGAAGGCATCGAGAGTCTGACTGTTGTGGATATAGATAGTGAGATTGCGGAAAAAGAATGCATGATATGCACGGAACATTTTAAAGAAGAAGAGCAGGCTACGAAACTCCCTTGTGATCATTTATTTCATTCAGGTTGTGTGGTGCCTTGGCTGCAAATGAAAAATTCGTGCCCAGTCTGCAAGAGGAGAGTTGAGTAAACCATTTTGGTGATGAAAAAATAATTAGTGTTTTAGTAAAATGAATAGATATGAGAAAAATAGAGATTTGCCTGTGAGAAGCAAAATATTATATTAATTGGCTCTGCTAGTATAATTTTTTGGTTTATTAAGAAAAAAGAATTAATTTAAGGTAAAAATAACTATTGGACTATTAATAAAAGGAAAAAGATGTTTTGGATAGTTTCTTTCGTCTTAGTATTCATGTATTACATTGCACTGAGTGAGAAACTTAAAAGGAAGCCAGTAGATAGAAGAAAGACGTTCTACGCCAGAGGAAAATGCTATATTTGTGAGGAAAAGTGAAAAAATGAAGTACTGGCTTCATGCGGGCATAAGTTTTGTGGTAAATTATAATCAGAATCATGTGCAGTAGACTCTTGGGATGAAAAAATCCAACTATCCTGTCCCCAATGTTTGAGCCCTGTTTACACTATTTTGCCAAAACAAACAAAGGGCAAAATTCCCCTATCTCAAAAAGTAGCTAAATATAACACAAGCTATGATCGTGATTTAATCCAAGAATTCTATGAATTTCAAACAATATTTGAATATTTTCTCATGACTTTTAGCACCCAAAGCTTAAAAGAAAATTTTTCAATATGAATGATATCATTAATTGGGGTGCTTTATATGATGCTTCCAACTGATCTTATAGACGAAGAAGGCTGGGGTCTTATTGGTACAATTGATGACGTCCTTATAACTTTTATAGGAATTTTCATAGCTTCACATCTCTACTATAACAAATTAAAAGAATTGTGTAAACAAACATTAAAGGCCCAGCCTGGAAAATCAGCAATAAAAAACAAAAAGACTAATTAATGCACAGGTTTTCATAATTTATTACAAATAAATTAGCCCGGCGTAATTCTTCTCTCTTTTAGTTTATCAACTAATGCCATAAGTACAGGAGTTGATTCTACCCCTAAGTTTTCTGAGCTTAAATATTTCATGATATCTTCATCTGTTAACTCCACTTTTTCACCTTCAAAATTCACCTCTTCAAGCCTTGTCTTCAGCACTCGCTCAATTCTTTCTTCTTGTTCTATTTTAAGCTCCCTTGTCTTTTTCAGTTTTTCTTCAAATTCGGGGTTTATTTTTTTGGTTTCGATTTTCGGCTTGGCTTCGTCTTCGCTTTCTTCGTCAATTGGAGGCTCAATTGACATGTGAATTCTATTATCAGATCTTTGACTAGCTCTTCCTTCTGATGATTTTTGGCTACCTCTGCCTTCAGCTGAAGATTTTTGGCTTGCTCTGCCTTCTGAACTTTGGGCAATTAAATTTTTGATCATGTTTTTTTCTTTTTGGTTAAGATCTGGCGAAGTCTCTGAGAAGTTTTCTGGGGTTCTCCCAATAAGTTTGCGGCCTGCGTGCCATGTGATAATTCCTTCTACTCATGATAACAAGGTAGCTGCAGCTATAGAAATTTTGGTCATGCTTTCTACTGTAATTTTGGGATTATCAGTGATAATTTGTCTTACCATCTGGATTTGGGTCTTTGTAAGCTTAAATACATCAATCATCCCTAGCTCCAATTTCAAGGTTCGAGAGTCAAGCATGTCTTTTATGTTCCCCCAAGTGCATGTCCTGTACCCTTTTAATAAGCAAACCATTTGCAGTATTTTTAAAATTTGCTGATTATTAGCTTGGTTTCTTAAATCAATAATATCAGATTGGCTTAAAGTCCTCAAAGCGTTTTCTACTTGGTTTATAGCCCCATATAGCTCAGCTTCTGTAACGCTTGGCTCTTCATATAGTCTCACAGACGGTATTATTCCAGCATCATTCATAAAATGCCTTGGCCTATTATATTTTCGATTTTCCAATACCCCTTCTTTTGGATCTGGAAGTTGGTCAAACATAAAATTTTGGTTAACCAGCATTGGCCTATTGGTTTTTGCTTGATCTAAATTCCCAAACACCTTTGCATGAATACTCAGCAGTAAATCTCTGGCTTTGTCCAAAATAACTTTAAACATTGCTGTTCCAGGCTTTCCTATATATCCATAATCTCATAGAAAAATAATCACTACAATGTTGTCTACGTTCATTCTTTCTAGCATGTGCAGAAGCTTTTCACCTGCAGCCAAAGTGGAGCCGTCGTCGTAGCCTTCTTCGTCTTCAGTTCGGAATGCGAGGATTTTATCTGTTACATCTGGCAGTTTTGGATCTTTTCCTAGGTGGGATAGCAAAATCTCAAGCTGGCGAGGAGATTTGAGAGCTGCACAGAGGGCTTGGATTTTGAATTTGTCGTGGATTGTTTTTTGGCCAAATGTTATACTTTTAATTACATCTTCGTCTGAAGCCATTTTAACTTTTTAGTTAAGAATAAAGGATTTTAAAAGATATCATAAGGATAAACTGAGGATTTATAAACTAGCATTTATAAATTGAGGAAAATATATTAGAATTGGATGAAAATAGAAAAAATTTTATGATTAGATGATAGGGAATTTAAGTGCTACATAAAAATAAAGTTAATTTATGAATTAAAATTTATTATAAATTAAAAATTTTCAATACTTATTTATGTTGGCATTAGGAAATATTTATAAATGAAGAGATCAAATTCAGTTCACCCTTTATCAAAGACTGGAAACCAAATTATTTCACAAAAAGATGACAGAAGCCAAAGTGTCTCGCCAGGCCATCGATTTTTCTTTTCTCGCGCTAGCCTAACATTCCAGCCATTAAGAAATTTCCAAATGATAGAAAAATCCAAAGCAAAAACAAAAGCTTCTCAGCTAACCGAAGCTATGGGCGAGCTATCTCAGAAATCTGAATTAAAAGAGCAGCTTTTGCTAAACATAGAAAAATATAAAAAGAAAATCACAAGTGTTAATAACGAAATTTTATATATCCAGAAAAACAGAAACAAATTAGGAATGCAAGCACAGCGATTAAACTTAACCTCTTCTAATTTAGAAAAATCAAGAACGGGCAATAAAAAAGAAATAAAAGAAATTGAGACAGTTATAAGAAATAATGTGCAAGTTATTACTATGAAGAATGAAGAAATAAATCAGATTAATCAAATGATAGAAATTGAAAAGAGAAATGTTGATAGGATGGATTGGAAGGTTAAAGAGCTTGCACAAGAATTGGAAAGCCAATTAAAGGCTAGGGATTATTATAAGCAAGAAGTTGCGATGACTTATAAGCAAATAGCTAATATAACTGAAAAGATTGAAAATATCAAAGCGGGAAATGACTCGTTTTGCAATAGACTTGGGTCTATTTAAATACTGGGCAAATATAATTTTTTGAACCTTTAGAGAATAGAGCGCGAGAAATCTCTTGAAAGTTAAGTAATCGGCCTACTTTAATTAAAATTGCCTAATTAACTTACATTATCCTTCTAGGCTGGATTTTTCCAATTAACCCTTTACATTTTCTGCAATAGTGAGCAATTTCTTGCAAATTGTCAAGATTATTGCTTCCATAGCAATTAGAGCAGCAAAGGCGTTTTCATCTAAATAAATCTTACAGTGGCAGTGGTGGAATTTCTAGCTTAATGCTTGTCAACACCTCAATTCTGCAGTTTTTGCAATATGCTCTTGTCGGCATAATCCCAAGGCTCTCGTTTTCCAGTTTAAATTCCTTCACATTTTTCTTCTCATAATAAAAATCCTTGCTCCCCTTCGTGAGTGAATAAAACTATTTGAAAAATCCCTATTTTTTTTCCCAAAAAACCGCCTTCGTGATTGAGTAAAAAATTTTTTATGAAAAATTATTTGATATATAATAATAATCATTATAAAGAAATATCGAGTTAATTCTTTTTAATTTCAAACAGCTTGCATTTTAGAGCATAAATTTTACAATTAAATTAATATTTGCTTTAAAATTATTTCGAATATGGATTTTTTAAATTTCGAAATAAAATTACTATAAAATTATATATATAAATTTTTGTAAAAAAAAAAATTAATCTCCTACGTGAGTGAACAAAATTTTTTGTTCGCTCCTGAAGGGAGGGAGTTAGGCTCTGTATGTATTTCCGTCTCATTTTCCATTGTATTTGTAGTGACCCTTGTTGTCAAAGTGTTTTTTAATTTTTCCACATATGGAGATTGCCTTTCAGAATTCAAAGTATGTACATTCTTTGCTGTAGAATCGCTGCTGAGTGTATAAATAGTTGAATATCTTTCTTCAATAGGCTTTTTTGAAGGTGTTTGCCTTATTTCTGTTAAATATTGGCTTTTTGGCTCAGCTAGCGAGCTAAAAATTGAAAACTTTGTGCTGTCTTGGTTAGAATTAAAAGAAGACTTTGCGTTGAGTTTTTCTTTTGGCTCTTCTCCTTCTTCAGTAAAAGAAAAATCGCTGAGGATTTCATCAGATATGTCTAGGTATTTTAGGTCAATACTTTCTTTACCGCAATCTGAAAAATCAATTGAAATTTGTGATTTTGACTGGTCAGAGTCTGGGATACTGCTCAAAGCAGACACAAACTGATAGCTTTGATTTACTTCTTTTACAATAGTTGTAGGCGTTCTTGTGTGGGAGACCTCAGATTCTTGATAATCAAGGATCTTAAAAGGCCTGCTTGACTTTTGACAGCCTAGATTTTCAATAACATCTTGAATGTCGAAGTTCTGCCTATACCTCTCAGGAGATCTTGGCTTTAAATGAAGGTTTTGGCCTTTCTTCAAAATTTTCAAAGAACCGCTCGGAAATGGGGATTCTTTATTTGGCTTGTTCAGCCTTAAAGAATTGTCTAAGTTGAGGATTTTGGCTTTTTCTTTGGTTGGTAAGCATGGAGAGTTCCGGTTCGTGGCTTGTGCACTATTGTTTCGTCGCTTATTCATTTTTACCAACCTTTTTGTTTGCTTTTGAATATCAATGTAAAGTGCGTACAAGCCATTTTTGTTTATGCCTCAATCAACTGCAATTTATAATTGGAATTAAATTAAATTATTAGGTGGGTGTTTAGGGTATCAGTTTCTCACTGGTGGCATTCTATGCAGCAAAAGCAGCCCTCAGGCATAGCTGAATTTAGCGCTTCCACCCTTGGTAACTCTAAGTCCAGGCTGAAACACCCTGGTTGTTCGATAGTGGTATCCATGATGGGTCGAACCTTTCCAGGCCCACCATTTTCCAGGCCGATAACCTTGGTCGTTCGGTATGCACCCTCTGAATGAGAGAGACTGCCTTTTGTTATCTACACTGCCTTCCCTTTTTCAGGTCATCCCTGGAAAAATACTCAGCCTCCTCCTCGATTAGGAGCAGATAACTGTAGCAGTTTTACAGATAATAAACCCTGCTCCATTTTTGGCGTCACTGGCTCCGGTGCTTCTGGCAAAAAGAAGTTGGGAATAACTGCTCATTGAATCAGACTACAAATCTGCTTATTCATGCTTAAGTTCTCGTTGTAAAACACCAGGTATTTCTGGGCTAATTCCTGACTCAAAAAAGCCAAGAACAGATATACATGGGTTGATTGGATGCCATCATCATTTTATGCATATTTATAATTGGAATTAAAGGAAAATTAATTGTTATTATAATTTAAAGAAAGCTAAAAATGCATTTGCATTTAAATGCACTTTTCTTATAATATTATAAATAAATTTGGGCTGCATTATAAATATCTTAACCCGCTTAGGCACAGCATCCTTTTTTGATGCTTTTTCCTTCAGTTATTTTTGTCCCACCTGGAGTACTAGGGGTTGTGGCTACTTTCGAGATTTTTTCAAGTATAGACGCAGACATAGTTTCAAACGCTTTTCTAATATTCACTGAATTTTTTGCTGAAGTTTCTATATATTTCACCCCCAATCTGTCAGCTAGACTCTGAGCATCTTCTTGGGTAACAGTTCTTTTGCTTGCCAAATCGACTTTATTCCCTATAATCATCTTAGGAGTATTTGCTGGGAGGTAGCTTTGGGTTTCCTCAAACCATCGATTAATATTTTTGAAGCTTTCAGTATTAGTAATATCATACATGAGAACAATCCCCTGAGCTCCTCTATAATAGGACGCCACAATATTTCTGAACCTGTCTTGTCCAGCGGTATCCCAGAGCTGGAGTTTAATGACTTTTCCTTGCAGCTCCAATGTGGTGATTTTGAAATCAACGCCTATTGTTGTTTGGAACTCAGGGTTAAATGTATCTTCAACGTATCTTAACAGAACTGAGGTTTTCCCGACGTTGCTGTCACCAATCAACAGAAGCTTAAAGAGATAATCGTAATCTTGCTCCATTTTTAAGTTTATTCAGATTTTATATGAGAGTTTAAGATAAGCCAGAGCCCATGGGGGGAAAATGTCAAGGTCTTCGATATCAGAGGGGTCAGAGAAGGAAATGGAAGAAGGGTCAATTGAGAAAGGCGAAAGGGAGGCAAAAATGGGGCTTGATGAGATAGCTGAGGGTAAATTTGGGAGAGGGATGCTGGAAGAGCTTCACTTTTCGGGACTTTTAATTAGAGATGGAGAATAAGCAGTTTCTGAATGCTTGCTTGTGAAGATAGGATAGGCTTGCTTATCTTCTATAGAAAAATTATTTGGTTCGGCCTTCTCTTGCTCGTTTATATTTAAGGGATTTTCAATATTTATTGTAGGATTTTGGCTGAGCCACTTTGAAAAAGGCCCTGGGTTATTATCGAAACTATTGATAGCAATATAGTATCTATGAGCTTGCAGGAGCTGAGAAATAACTGGACTGTCCTCAATTGAGACTGTAGGCTCTTTTAATGAAAATATCAGAGTGGGCACAACATCGGCCCTAATGATGGTCATTTGTAATTTTGATTTTCTATATCTCACAGTCCAGAAATATACTTTGAGCATCAAATTAGGCTGAATTTTGAGGTTTGGGACTAAATCTACTTCAATATTATAGAATCCATCTGAGATATGAGTTCCATTATAAAACCCATGAAATGCAATAGTAAAAGGATCGTCCTCTTCTAAGTCTTTTTGCTTTAAAGCTTCTTTATCGAAAGGGTATTCTTCTGGTTCAAGATTTAGAAGTTTGATCTTGATAAATCTTGATATCAAATAAGTCAGTCTGCAAGAAGATGGCAACATTTATTTAATTTTATTAAAATATGATGGCGCCATTAAAGGAAACACTCTTACTCGGCAACGAAGATTTTTTTTGATATAATTATATTTTATAATATATATTTTAAATTCATAATTAATGATTATAACAATAAAATCTCTAGTAAATTATTTTTTTAGATAGTTTTTGATTGAAAAAATAAATTAAATTAGTCAATTTTTTTATATATTTTTAAAAAAAAAATAACCCTTCTGTTGGCAAACAACAAAACATCCTGCTCTCTACCAAATGGTGAGTTAAAATAAGATAATTATGCTTTTAATAAAAGTCTTTATAGGAGCTGACTATTTGCTGTTTATATATTAAAGATGGGATTTTTGAGTTTTCTTGATAAAGTTTTTGCTAAGACTGAGAAAGTTGGTTTTAAAGTTGCAAATGTGACACATAAAGTAGTTGTCACTGGACTATTTTTGACGTTTTTGTATGGAACTTACGGGCTTGCACGAGATTATAGAGCATATTTTCTAATGAGAAGGGATCCTAAGTATAAAGAGTACCTACTGAAGAGAGAAGAATTCATTAGAAAAGCAGTTGAAGCAAGAAATGATGAAGAAAACAAAGCAAAAAGCAATATATAAGAAAAATCGTTGCAAAATAATGAAAAATCAATAAATTTCTAGTATTAAAGCTTCTTCTATCTAAAATGATAGCAGCCATTATAAGTAAATGTCAAAGGATCTCGAGTTCTTTTTCAATACCATTGGCAGTCTAATTTCTCTGGCATTTTATTTACTAATGATCCCTCCTCTACAGAGTTCGAAGAAGACAAGAAAATTCGATGAAATATCCTATTTAAACCTCATCCTTTCCCACATATGCGCCATATGCTGATTTTGCATTGGAGTGATTTCCAATGATTATGAAATATCTATTCCAAATCTGATATTTGCATGACTAAGTAGTAATTATATCTATGAATTTTATAAAATTGGTCTCGGAAGAACCGAATTTTTAAAAACCTACACAATTGTAACGGTATTATCTGCTATATCAATGCTCTTAATTCTCCCACAAGGTATAACAGAGTTTGCTGGAATAATAGTCTACATTCTTTTTTGTGCGGCTCCACTTGAGCAATTAAGACCTACTTTTGAAACCCGAAATCCCAGATTTATAGATATTTACAGCACATTTGCAGCTTTATTATGCTGCTTATCATACTTTATGTATTCAATTATCGCTGGCAACATAGTCGTGCTTATTCCAAACCTCGCAGGGATCATTTTTGCATTAATCCAAATCATCGTATATTTTTGGGCAAAAAGAATGATTCCCTCTTCTTTTATATCCCCTTTGCTAAAAATAGACACTTTTTTGTCTATTAAATCTTCTAAAAATATTTAAATTAAATGGAAGTAACGATCTTTAACTTCCCCCTTTAGATTGTAAAAAATATAGGTAAAATTTCTATTTTTTTGGGTATTTTAACCCTTTTTAAATTAGAGAAATTTATTTTTCAGGAAATTAATTTTTTTATAAAATTAGTTTTTTACCTAATTTGGTCTAAAAAGTGCAAGTGAAATATTATTTAGACAGCTTTCATCCTGGATCGATAAATATTTAAATTAATTCTTCATAAAAATAATTTAAAAATATTTATTTTTAAATTTAAAAAAATTTTTATATAAAAAATTCAACCCCCTTTAAATTGGAACAGGATTTTTGTACCAATTAAAGGGGAGGGAAATAAGTTAAACTTAGATTTTAGCTGTATTCCTTGTGACTGTTTCAATTGCATCAGCTACATACTCGACATTTTTAGTATTCAACCCAGCAATTGAAATTCTGCCATCAAGTGTCAAGTAAACGTGGTTCCTGGTCATCAGAGTTTGTGACTGCTCAGCATTCAGCCCAGTAAAAGCGAACATTCCAATTTGGTTGGTGATATGGCTCCAGTCGTGTGGGGATCCTTTTTCTTTCAATTTTTCTACCAATGCAGATCTCATTGCTTTAATTCTTCCTGACATCGTGACTAAATCCTGTTGCCATTGCCTATATAATTCTGGGGTATTCAGAACAGTGCTTACAATTCTTGCTCCATAAAGCGGTGGGTTAGAATACATAGCCCTGCCTAATATTTTCAACTGTGATACAACTCTGTCAGTTTCTGCACTGGAATCAGTCACAGCTGTAAACAAGCCAATTCTTTCTCCATACAAGCCAAAGTTCTTTGCAAAGCTCTGAGCTAGAAGCACTGGGCTCTTTTCCTTGACAAAGTATCTTAATCCATAAGCATCTTCATCAGTGCTTCCTGATGCAAAGCCTTGATAAGCAGTGTCAAAGAAAGCCAAATGCTGCTTTCTGGTAATGACTTCGTGGATTTGGGCCCATTGCTCATGGGATGGATCTTGGCCAGTTGGGTTGTGGGCACAAGCGTGAAGGAGGATGATGGAATTTCTAGGAGCTTCGTCAATTTCGCTTAAAAGTCTTTCAAAGTCTAGTCCTTTTTTGGTAGGGCAGTAATAGGAATATTCTCTTACTTCAAGCCCTGCGTCTCTTGCGATGTTTTTATGGTTTCCCCAGGTTGGTTTTGGAACGTAAATAATTTTATTGTGAGGGTAGAATCTGCTGATGAAAGCACAGCCAATTCTTAAAGCGCCAGTGCCAGATAAGGCTTGAAGAGCAGCAATTCTGCCTTCAGCAACTTCAGGGCAATTTCCGTATGCAAGCAGAGCTGCAGCTTGTCTGAAAGTATTTAAGCCTTCTGTTGGTAAATATTCATGGTCTAAGTTTGCATTGATGAGAATTTCTTTAGCCTTTTTGACTGATGGGAGGATCCAAGGCTTTCCATCATCATCTCTGTAAGCGCCAACACCTAAGTTCACTTTTCGTGGATTGGTGTCTCTCTTAAAAGCTTCTGAAATACCAAGAATTGGATCAGGTGGGCCTTGTGGGACATTAGTCCAAATGCTTGATGCTCGGCTTATTACCTTAGACAGCATATTTTATTATTGGAGTATGTTGATTTTAAGATAAATGTAATAGGATTGGTGGGGAATATTAGAAAGATTTATTAAATAGCTTATTAAGAAATCAACAAATGAGAATAAATGGATTTCAATTCTTGCTTGTAATAAAAGTGATAATATGTTGCAGCTCGCATTTTGAAGAGAAAATCGGATATGGGAGCTAAATCGATTTGTAGTAGTCATCTGGAAAATAAAATAATTAATAAAATTACACAATTAAAATGGAATGCATGAGTTAGGGGTCTCGTCCCCTATACTTGTCCTAGTGTGAGGGAAGTTCAACCTTTCTGAAGGAAATTAGCGTTGGGACTGCTCCGGCAGCCCCAAGTGTGCTTGAATCACATTCAAGACATGAAGAGAGACTCGTCCGGGCCATAGGCAACTGTAACGGTTCGACGGTTAGGCCGATTCCACCTACCGTTGTTCAAAGCTGTTAGCCAGTGGATGGAATTCATGAAGGAAGAGCTTGTTTAGATGGATCCTAAGCTAAGTGGGGGTCTACAAGAGTTATCGTAATCTTAAATCTTAAATCTTAAATAAAATTAAATAATAAATCATATGCTGAGATATTTAGCAAGCAATATAAGTAGAAGGAGCTAGAAGTGAGCAATATTTTAAAGCATAAGTGATAGCTTTGAGAATTCTTAATTTAAGTTTCTCTTAGCATACTAAAAATTCAATTGAAACTGGGATAAGTCTCAAAAGCTCATCACCAGACTTGAGAATCGGCTCTGCTATTTATATTCATCCTTAATTGAGCCTATAGCAATATAAACAAATACTTATGAGATGCCACCTGCCCATAGGCAACCATAAATAATAGGCAAAGTTTTAATCCAAGCAAAACTAGAAATTATTATAGAGGGCGATATAATCTAAACGCAAAGGGTGGTTAAAAAAAGCGTTGAGCATGAATATTTTACAGGAATAAAAATAAATTACATGATTATACAAAGCTTGCTAACTCCCCCCCTTTTAAATTGGAACAAAACATCAGTAAAATTTGCATTTTTTTGGTACTTTAACTCCTCTTTAACTTGTTTTTTCAATAGAAAAATTTTAACGATATTTTTTATAAAATCAGTTTTAACCTATAATAGATAAAAACGAAAGTAGAGTGCTATTTAAATAGTTTTCACACTGAATCGATTAATTTTTTTATTTTAATTCTTCACAAAAATAAATTAAAATTCAAAATGTTGTGCTCAATTTATATTTTAAAGAAAAAATTATAGATAATTCCTATAATTGTCTCTATAGGGCATAGATGGAAAGGGAAACTCTCCAATTGCTTTGGCTGACTCATGGTCTAACCTAGAGATTTTCCTGTTCCATCTCTTGCCCTTATAGAGGCAATTATTGGAATTACCTATAAAGACGAAAATACTAATTTTATAAAATTAACTTTGACCTAATTTAATGGGAAAAGTGGATATAGAGTGATATTTAAACATTTTCCACAATGAATCGATTAATTTTTTTAATTATTTTTATCATAAAATTAAACTAAAATTCAAAGTATCATGCTCCATTTATATTTTTTTAAGATTTTAAATTTTTAATAAAGAAAAATTTAATAAATTTTTTTTTTAAAAAAATATATTAAAGCAGGATTTGTTTTTTCTTTTTAAAGAGCAGGAGTAAGTATCTGAATAAGTATTCGTCAACTTCCAAAAGTATGCTTAAAATCCCATTACCGCCATCTTCATTCTCCGGTTTTTTTCCTTTATACTTTATCAGTAGCAGCTCTCTATGCCTCGCATAGTTGATATTTTTAATATCATCAAAATAAAACCCCACATGCACAATGATATTTGTAAACCCTCCGAATATCCCCACAATCCCTTGCCCCTCAGGAACTGCAATCTTTTTTTTCGGCCTTTGCCTTTCCCCTATCAAAATAGTTCTATTACTATTTGTATATAGTGCTAACTCCCCCCCTCGAAGTTCGACCAAGATATAGGGAAAATTCCTATTTTTTTTGGAAAATTAACCCCCCTCATAGTTCGACCAAGACCTATATAAATAAGCAATTTTTCAAAAATTTTAAACTATGTGGGGGTGAGCTTGCGATTTTTGTATTCAAGTTCTAAAAAAGCGTTACAAAACCATCTTGCACTATTTTTTCTAACCCTTACACCCTCTCAACCATACAGAAGAATATGATAAATTTTTTTTTTTTAACTACTAAATTATATAAAACAATTCTATATAATGTTTTTTTAAAAAATTTTTCTTAACCCCCCTCGAAGTTCGACCAAAAAAATCTTGGTCGAACTTCGAGGGGGGGGGAGTAAGCAAAACAGTCCATGAAAATCGCAGCCATATTCTACATTTGTTATATACTCTGCATTGTTTAATTTTACAGTCAAGCTTTTTTCAGCTTTGTTCCCAACAGTGGTGTCAAAGAATTTTTTATTTTGAATATCTTCAAGTTTTACATCGAATCCTGTGATATAGTCATTTAATCAGAATGTTATTTCTCTAATTGAGCTTCTTCCTTTCATTCTTTCGTTAAAATAATTTGTATTTGCTTTTTCTGTCAGGTGGGAAAATTGAAACTGGAGAGGGATGGAATCTAAGTCACATGTGTGAGCGGTTTCGTTTTCTTTTAATGGTGCACCACAATGCTGGCAGGCCGTGTATTTTACAGAGTGGAATACTCTGAAAAAGCTTCGAATTGAAACAAGTCTCATTTTTTATATTTGATCAGAAATATAGCTAATAATTTAAAATTACAATATGGATACCGAAATAAAAAGAAGTGGGTTTTTTTATTAATATGAATGAAATTTTTTATTTCGTTGTGGATAAAGAAAAAGGAAATCAAATGCTTATTCTTCTCTATTGACCCATTTACGGTTGGGAAATAAAATTTCTCCCAAAATTAATTATTCTAATGAGATGATAACTAATAATACTAAAATTTGCCAAATATAAATTTTCAAATGAATAAATTGCTACACAATAAAATTATTAATTTGAAGCTAAAATACAAAAATCTTGCTCTATCAAGATGGAGCAAGTTACATTATTTTTATAGAGTTCATTCAGTCAATTTAAATTTTAAAATTAATTGACTAAAAAAAAATAATTCGATGTGCTAAACAGAAATTTAATTCAAAGCTATTTGTTTATAAAAAATAGTTCTAAAAATATGATTCTAGCCACTAAATATATATTATTTTATTTTGCTAAGCCAATAAGAGGGATAACAATTTTCTAAAGACTGCTAGGCCATTTGAATATTCATGCTTTTATGAAACTGAAAAATGATAACGAATTTAATAGCAATTAATAAACTACGAAAAAAATATACGCTTATCATAGAAGAATAGAATATACTTCTATCGTGTAATTTCAATCTAAATTAATAAATTTACCCAACGAAATTAAATAAATCATCAATTTACATAATGAAATTAAATATAAGAATTAAAGCTTTTTTCAAGGCTTTCATCGACTGCTTTAGCCTTCATAAAGTTTTCTTCATCACATTCAAAGGCCAAATTATCTTCAAAGAACACATGCTTTGACATTTGGCCACTAAAAATTGTGGCCTGGCTATCAAGCAAAAATTCATGCTCTTCTCTTACCTTTTTATAAAGCTTCATCATTTTTCCTATAGACTTTACTTTATCTTTTAATATTGCTTTATGTTTTTCTCTAATTTGTTTCTCTAGTTCTTCGCATCTTTTTTCGTACTGTTCATCAGCTTCTGCCTTTCCATTAACTGATTTTTTTTCCAAAAGTGCCATAAAAATAGCCATAACTTTTTCTACCAGAAAAGGGACACTTCATGCAAAAACATTCATGAAATTGGGCAGCATAAATGGATGATTTGTGAAGTTAAATTGCTGGATATTGATAACGTCGTCGTCAAGCTTGATTATTGCAGCTTTGTTATTGTAAGTATCGCAATAATTGGGAGCTGAAAATACTGTAATCACGGAAGGAAACTCATTGCTGCCATTTCATCGGTGCATTTTGAAACCATCGAGCTGGGCTTCGTGGCCTCTTATTATAGAAATTAAATCGGTTCTGTCTAAAAACTTTGTTACAGCCTCATGGCCAAATACAAAACTGCAGCCCCTCGCTTGGTTTGGTTGAAATTGGCTGGATAATCTACCATAGTCATCATTAATAGGGTCAGACCACAAAATATCACAAAAAATTCCATCTTTAGGAGGCTCTCTGAACCTGTTGATATCTCCAATATCTTCTATTGCGGCAAGCCGTGGGGATATTCCTCCATGGAGTGCAATAAATTTTTCATTAATGAGAGATGATAAAGGAAGTAAATCAAAACTCTCCATAATCCTATCATAAGCATCTAACTCTTTTATATTTTTGGCCTAAAAATGTTTTAGCAAGGAAAATAAAAATATTGCTATTAATTTTAAATTTTAATATCTAATGCTATTTCGAATTTTTTTTTTAAAAAAAAAAAAAATTTCTATATAGATATAGTCATCAACTTTGTATTAAATGAAATTCAACAAGGTTTTATTCTTTATTAAAAAGGTAAGTCATATTTGGTGATGCATTCAGATCGGAAGTTAAAATATGAAGTCATATTTCTCGATTCATGATTACCACGGAGCATATAAATCTTATCTGGATACCTAACTTTCAATGAGTAAAGTAAAATAATTACTTCAGTCGAAAATACTCCTCTGTCAACATAATCCCCTAAAAACAAATATTTTGTAACTTTTGGGCTTCCTCCGATTTCAAACATTTTTAAAAGGTCATAAAACTGCCCATGAATGTCTCCCACAATTATAATTGGATCTCTAAGCCACAAGAGATTTGGTTCAGACCGAAAGATAGATGAAGCACTTTCTATAATTTGTATTAAATCACTTTTGTGCAGTTTTCCTTCTTTTTTTAGATGCTCTCGAAGGATTTTTGTATCTGGAATTTTGGATTTATCTGGGAAAAGGAGATTATGGTCTAAAGGCCTATGGGGAGGAATGGTGGAGTTCTTGACCACGCGATCGTTCAGAGGGTCGCTCAGTGGTTCCATTTATTAATTAAAAATAAAAATTTAAGGATTCGCATTGGGCTTCACCATGAAAAACTTCTTTTTACTGAAAAGATGATTTCAGTAAAGCAATTAAAAATTATTTATATTTTTTTTAACTCCCCCTTCGTGAGCGAATACAACCATTGGCAAAATCCCTATATTTTTTCCAAAAGCCCACCCTCCGTAAGTGAACAATAATTTTTTATGAAAAAAAAAATTATAAGTGATAATTATTATAATGAAATCTCTAGCTAATGCTGTTTTAATTTTAAACAGCTTGCATTTTAAAACATAAATATTAGAAATTAAATTAATTTTTTACTTCTCATTTTAACAAATTGGAATTTTTTTTAATTTTGAAAAAAAAAATTTATAAAAATTTTATATATAAATTTTTTAAAAAAAAAAAAACATTAGCTCCAGCGAACAAAATTATTTTGTTCTCTCAAAGAGGGGGGAGTAAGTAATCTTTTTGTATTTAATAAGCATGCTTCATCATTATAAATTTAATAATCTATGCAGCTTTATTTATAATGAAAGTATCTTTTTAATTATTAAAGAAAGTCAAAAATACAATTTTTAAGGGTATTTTTAAATGGTTATAATTTTTAAATGAATTAATTCTTTCTATTTAGAAGATTTGAACTTAGAATAAAAATAAGCCATGATTCATTTTCCTTCTGCAAGATTTTTTTTGATAGCAAAAATGAGTCAATAATATGAGTTAAATTTATGCTTTTGGTCGATTATTTCTATTTGGATAAAATTATTACTCATGAATTTAAAAACAATATAAGCTAACCTATTATAGTATTGAAACTTTTGATTAAAGTTTCTAACCCCTTTACGAAAGAGTCAAACTTTTGTCGCTTTTCTTATAGATGAGCTAGGCTTATATTTTTTTAAAAATTTACATCTAAATTCTATGTCAAAATTTTTCCCAATTCTTTCCCAATTTTAATTCTCATAATAAAATTTATGCTATAGAGCTGGACTTTCGTTATAAATAATTATTAAAATATTTATGTAAAGCAAACATTTTTTTGCATGGAGGCTGCAAGAGTAAGATTGATATACTAAAGCAATCCAATCGTGAAAATAATTGAAATTATTAACATTTTAGCATAATTTTTTATGTTGCTTTAACTTAAAACTGCTAAAAATCTAAAAAAATAAAATTTCCTAACATTTCAGAAGGGTAGGGCGTGATTCCAACCACCATTGGCAGAAGTTCGAATCCATGGCCTCGAACATCCAACCATCAGGGATAGAAGTACTGCTAAAAAAAAACAAATTTTTCTATCCAAATTTAACATAAAAATATCAGAAAATTTTACATGCACTTTTTTTTGGATAGATTGGCAACAAAAAAAAGTGATTTTCCAATTTTTTGATTTTTTTTTGTACGCGGTTTTACAACCAATCAGAGCTTTTTGAGGAGTCTTTCTAACCAAATGGTGACTTTTAGCAGTAAATCTATCCATTGGATGTATTGACCACAAAACTCAAAGTTGCTTTCCATCCATATAAAAAGGCATATAAACATAAATGAGCACTCATAAAGACATAGAAGCATAAGAAATTTCAGTTCAATAAACAATTTTGATAGAATATTTGTCAGTAGAATCAGCAATAATTAAAATAAGCTAATCTATTTAAATTTATTATAGGCTCTTTAAATCTATGAGAGCTATTATCTTCGCTAGTATCTAAATTTTTTCTCTTTCTTTGTGCAGTTTTGATCTTTGGGCTATTTCTGTCTCACTTTTTGCAAAAAAAGTAGGCAATAATCATCTCCTAGATGAGTGCTTAACAATAAAATCAATCAAGTCTATTCCTTGAAATTTGCACACAAATAGCACATGACCACATGGGATAAGATATTTAGTGAATACTTGCATGAGCAATCAGCATATGCAGTTTTCACTTCAAAGCTTTTACCACCAAGTTTCTTTTACTATTATAGAGCTCTCAGATGAATATTTCCCTTGGCAATCTTTTGTAATTTGAAGTGACTTGACAATCTTTTTCAAAAAATATTCTGTAAAAGCTGCATCAATTCCTTTATGCCAATTACAATTTGCAGAGCTAAATAGCACATTCAATTGTTTGAAAATTTTAGCTTTTAAAGCTTCATTCTCTCTTGCCAAAATCCTTTCAAAAGGTTACTCATATCTTAATATGCACAACTGTATGATTTAATTACTTACTTGAAGAATGTTAATTAGAATAGCATAAGATATCAAACAGCAAATTTTTTCAAGATAAATAGAAGTTTTTTATTTTATAACTCTAATCACTATAATTAAATTAGCGTTATTGATATATTTTAAATAGTATATCTCCGCTTCTTTTAATATTTTTGGTAATTCTTTTGATTGATGCATTAATGCTTTCTATTCGACTTGTAGTTTTTATTCCAGCAGTAAAGTAATTTAAAACGTAGCATTTAGCCCAATGCTTTTTTTGTTTATACAATCTTTGATAATCATAGTGTTTTTAAATTCATTTTTACTATAAGTGTTATAAGCGTGATAAAAATCTACTTTTAATTCCTGTCATTCAACATTCTCATGGTCTAAATATGCCTGCAAGTTTGTGTTATAATATTCCAAAAACAAAAAGACTATATTTGGATAATTAAAAGCTTTATTCAGAGCATTATATTGGGCCAACATTATATCGACAACCTCTTTTTGCAAAAGTGTTAAATGCTCATGCGTAGTCATTTTATGATGAAATGAAAAGAAACACTCCATTCAATCTCATTATTTCTTGTTTTGGATATTCTTATCATGGTTTTGTCATCTTTAAGGAAGCGATTTGCTATTATATCTTTAAATAATTATTATATTAGCCGTAGTGATCTCTGATTGATTTGTAAATATCGTGCTTGAATAGCAATGGGGTTCTGTGTTAGTTGATTCTTCTTCTGTATCAGTTTCATCACTTTCTTCAACTTTGATTTGCCTCTCTTGTTCCCGCCAAAGTTCATATGAGAGAGAGAGTTATTAATTAGACTACGGGCTTTATTTCAGGCCACTGCTCCAGATAAATTTTCACAAAATTTTCCTTACAAAAACTGTAAAAATTCAAAGTAAAATCTTTAAAAACTTCTAAAATTTTTTTGATTCTTTTTTGATGACGTCATCATCTGACGGGGAGACCCTTGCTTCCCTTGGATTCAGGCCTTATCGGTCACAGGTTCCACTTCAGGGGGGAAAATCAGCCTGAAGTTGATCGTCTGGTCCTCCTTCATGCCCCATGCTCCGCTCAAAGCCTCCTAGCATCCTTTCTTCCATGAAGTCATCCCGAATTAGCGCTTTTCTTCTAAGGGTCCAGGAAAAAGCCCAATTACGATGGCAAAACGTATCCCGGAGCTCCCGCGAGCTGCGGGCCCTCGGACCCTAGCCCATGGCACTAGGTGAGGGTTGCTTATCTGGCCAGATAAAAAGTCAAAGTTCATATAAAGAAATGAATTTATTTACTAGCTGGTCGCTAATTGAAAGAATGTGAGCTATTAGGCTTGTATATTCTGGATTCCCCAACAACTGTATCTATTAGCTCGATTGTTAAAGCTTTTCTTTGAATGCTTGTGATCAAGATAGAGTATTCAGTTGCCGCTAAGCTTATTAAATCTTCCATTTTATTAAATTAATTTTTTTTTCATTAAATAGCACTGACTTGAGGTGCGACACTGGCTATGTCTATACAGATTATATCGATAAGGTTATGTCGATACAGGCTATGTCGATACAGGTTATGTCGATACTGGTTAATGTCGATACAGGCTATGCCGATACAAGTTATGTCTATACAGGCTATGTCGATACAGGCTATGTCGATACAGATTACGTCGATACAAATTGTGTCAATACAAGTTATGTCGATGCAGGTTATGTCGATACAGGTTATGTCGATACAGGTTATGCCGATACAGGTTATGTGATGCAGGCTATGTCGATGCAGGTTATGTCGATACAAGTTATGTCGATACAAGCTATGTTTATACAGGTTATGTCGATACAGGCTATGTCAGTGCAGGCCATGCCCATAAGGATAAGAGGATAAGGACAATTTAATATAGGGGAACGATTGTTTAGGGTGTGTCGCAGGTATGATGATGCTGCACTTACCGACTCAAGATGCTCTTATATAGTGTGAATCAGTATAAGATGGTTCAAGAAGTAGCGATCCGGAATGGGTCTATTAAAGCTGTGCCTTTTCCAGATGCATAATTCAAAGCGCATGATACAAATGCGAATAAAAATACGAAATTTATATAGATACTTATGCTTATATGCCTTTTTTATATGGATGGAAAGCAACTTTGAGTTTTGTGGTCAATACATCCAATGGATAGATTTACTGCTAAAAGTCACCATTTGGTTAGAAAAGACTCCTCAAAAAGCTCTGATTGATTGTAAAAACCGTGTACAAAAAAATCAAAAATTGGAAAATCACTTTTTTTTTTGTTGCCAATCTATCCAAAAAAAAGTGCATGTAAAATTTTCTGATATTTTTATGTTAAATTTGGATAGAAAAAATTTTTTTTTTTTAGCAGTACTTCTATCCCTGATGGTTGGATGTTCGAGGCCATGGATTCGAACTTCTGCCAATGGTGATTGGAATCACGCCCTACCCATTTCAGAATATTTTATTTCTATTAATTTAATATCCAGAACTAATAATTATAAGTCTCATATTTTATCGATAAAATCCATAATGTTTTTGGTAAGCACAAGATTGAGAACTCCTTCTTTGAGCCGAATCCTTTTATCCTTCGACAAAAGAGACACACTTTCAGCGGCCCTAACTTCCAAAGACCCCAAATTCGAACCTGACAAAAATCTTCCAAAAGCACAAAAAGCATATTCCAGAAGTAGGATTTGGAGATCAATTAAAAGCATATTCATAAGGAAATATAATTGGATGTCTTACTTAACAGGATTTATGATAGTCTCAACAATCTTAATGTCATTCAATCTTAAAAACAAAAAATCCAAAGACCAAATTTTCCAAGAAACAGATGAAAGCAAGCTCACAAGGTCACAGAAAAAGGTTAAGCAAGAATTAGAAAAAGAGTACCAGAATTTCAACACCTTATTAGACGCTGCTGAAGAGCAACTCAAAAAAGAGCACCAAAAGCAGCTGGTTGACCTCCAAGAATATGTTGAAGCTAAAGCTAAAAAGCCCACTTCTATTTAATGAAATTTCTTAATAAACTTAAACTGATAACCAAATAATGGACAACACAACTCTTCGTAAGTTTGAGAGCATCAGCTTAGGAAAAGGGCCACTTTTTGACTGGCAACAAGAGCCCCAGCTGGTCCCTTACTATCTACAAGGGAACCGCCGCTTTGAATCAAATGCTATGATTGAAGCGCGTAACCGAATCAGGAATTCTCCTGAAGTCCGTGAATCAATAAACCGCTTTTGGAGTTTGGTCAAGAAAAACCCAATGGGCAGGGTGGAGAAAGAAGTCTACACCCAGCTTTGCCTGTGTTTTTCTAAGCTGCTTCTTCCTGACTTCAGCAGAGACGACAGCTTAAAAGTCATTGAAGAAGACTGGGATACCGACTCAGCTGGCGCTGATGCTTTAGACTATAAACACTTCTATGACGCTATTTTCCAGCTTGCTGACATATGGACTGAAGAAGTCAACCCTAACACTTATGCAGAGTTTTTAATCAAAATTTACAGAAGAATCACTACAAAAAGAGTGGTAACCCAAAATGGTGAAGTCAAAAAAATAATGCCAAGCATAAAACTTGTATTCCCTGACAGTGTTAAAAAAGAAGACGACTGGGAAGATGTGCATAGTGATGAGAGCTATGACTCAGATTATGAATATAACTTTCAAGAAGCGGAAGGAAAACGGCAGAGGGTAAAAAGGCTGAAAAGAGAAACTAATAATGAAAAAGAAGGAGATGAGCTTATGTATGATGAAATTGTGGGGAGTGACTGGGAAATTCCTGAAGAAGATGAACAGATTGAAATGTCTGAGCTGGATGATATCATCCCTTTTGGAAAAATCGCTCATAACTATATTTCTTCTTTGCATGACCCAAGAGCTCAGGAAGAACACTTGCAAGTTCCTTTTTCAACTTTTAGCAAGGCTGTAGAGATTCAAGAAAAGTTAGAGCATGAAGAAGATGAAGAAGAAGAAGAAAGGGCTGCATGACTTTTGCTATGAATTTTTTGGCAGTTTAGCAAATTCTCATAGGGATTTTACTGAATATTGCTTTTTGATAATTTATATAGAAATGTCATTAATTTTCAGAGAAAATGCTGATAAGAAAAAATTCAACAAATTTTCCTAATGTATGTCTAATATCAAAAATTGCAGAGAAAAAGCTACACCGAAGAAATGGCCCCACTCAAAATGGTTTCTCTTATTCCCCCTTTAAGATGCAAATGGTTGGAAACTTCCAACTTTTTTTGGGATTTTTATCCTACATAGCAAGTAAAATTTTTTTATATAAATTATAATTTAGATTTATCCAATTAATATTTTTAAAATTTAGACAGCTTGCTTAAGATAAATTAAATACTTTCATTAGCAAGCAAAAATACTTACTCATTCTTAGAGTGTTAAAAGAAGGGAAGTTAGCTCCAACGATAAAAACTTTTTAGAAGTGAAAAGCTGGAACAAAAAAATCCAAGAAGCCGTTAAAGAGACAAATAATGGTGAAATGACGCCAGTAGGACTATTTCTTCATAGCCTTTCAAAAAGCGTGCAAGACTATATTACAATCATCCCTGACGAAAAAAAGACATATATCAGAAACACACTAAAAAGAAAATCATCAATAAAAATCACCAATGCAAGCGTAAAAATAGTAGATGGAAATTTATCAGCGACTAAGATTGGAAACCGTCCTTCAGTCCATGATTTCAACTTGACAGCTATTCCTGAACATAAAGGCATGGAAATGGCAGGGTCTGCGATTTTAGGCGATGACATGAATTCTGGTGAGCTTAGCTTGCAAAGCGGGATTCCAACAGTAAAATCTGCCACAATTTCAGGACTTCGAAAAAGCTTACTTGAGCAGAAATACTTGCCCATGATGAAAAGATTCGAGAGGAAAACAATCGTGCTTTCTAAGAAGGGAAAACTGCCTACAGAAGAAGTATCCTCTTTATCTGCGGTAAACCAGTCAAAAATAGAAGATGTTGAAGAAGAAATCAACCCAGAGCCTCTGAAACTGCTTGAGTCCTTACAAAGTGCAGAAAAAGCGCCTACAGTTGACCCTAATAACGGCTTGTGGGATATTATTGAAAGAGTCAATAATGATGTTCTGAAAATCTTAATATTAGGCAAGCCAAGAAGTGGGAAAACCACTTTAGCAAAAGACTTAGCAGCTTCATTAGATTTAAAACATATTGAAATTACTTCTATTATTGAAGCTCTGATTAAAAAAGGACAAGTGGAAGATGAAGAAATGTATGATGAAGACAACCCAAAGCCAGAAGTTTACACGCCTTTCGAAAAAGAAATCCTACAGAGACTAAAATTTCCCATAACTTTTAAAAAATCATCTAAAAATATTTTAGTATTTCAAAAAATATCAAAATTTGACGATCAGGGATATATATTTACTATGATATTTAAATATTCAGGAAAAATAATTATTGTAAGTCATGCAAAATATATAGTTGATAGATTAAGCGAAGGAAAATCTTTAACTGATGAGCAAATAATCGCCCTTGCAGACGAAGCAATTCACAGCGATGAAGCGGAAAGCAAAGGCTTTGTGCTCGATTTACCCCTAACCCCTGAGCTGTCTGGGTTTATTTTGAGCGTAAAATTCAATTTTGTTGTTGACTTAGACATCTCAAATAACGACCTAGTAAAACAAGTAGATGGCTTGAAATGGGATCCCACCACAAACACTCTCTATACAAAATACAACATCACAGAGCTCAAAAAGCCAAAAATGATCGTCGATGAGAACGACGAACCAATTGAAGACGAAACTCCAAAGCCAAAATTCGAAGAATTTGTAGTAAGAGCTGACGACACTAATGAAAATTATTATAAATCTATTGGTGACTATGTAAAAAAGGTCAGAAGTATGTTTGACGGCATGATAAATTCCCTTCCAGTATCATGGCGTTTTGATTTTGATGCTGCAGGCTTGAACCCAACAGTCCGAAGAGATGCAGTCCTTGCTAAATTAGGCTCAAGAAAAAATAAATTGCCAGCTGCCAAAATTTTGGAGCCAGAAAATGATTTTAAAGCCCTTCTTTTCCAAAATATTGACGAAGGAAAAGAGCCAAGATCATGGTCAATTTGGAAACAAATTGACCCTGTAGCCTTAAAAGAAGAAAAAGTAGTGGAAGGAAAGCCTGAATTTGCAGTCGAGTTTTCAAATAATGTATTTGTAATGAGCTCTGAAGAAAACCAAAAGAAATTCGCCAGCAACCCTCGAAAGTATCTAAATGATGAGCCAAAAATGCCACAATCTTATAGAGTTTTATTAATCGGCCCACCAAAGTCTGGCAAAAGGACTCAGGCTGAATATTTATCAGCAAAATATGGCTGGAAATTATTTGAGGCTAACGAAGTGGTCAGCCAAAGCATTATGTCTCAGAAAAAGAACAGAAAATTACTTCGACCTTCTCATCCTGAGTCAGGATTTGTGCAAGCTTCAGAGCCTGAATTTCAATCTATTCTGAAAGGAGGCGCTTTGGCATCACCATTACTTATGCCAATTTTGCTACAAAAACTTGGCGTTCCTTTACAAAAGAAGCCGCCACCTCCTCCAACTCCAAAAGAAGGCGAAGAAGAAGAGCCACCAACTCAGCAGCCTACAGACAGATCAATGAGATCTAAAAAAGATGATAAAGACAGCGACAAAGAAAGCAGTGAAGGCGCTGTTGAAGAACAAAAAATCATTGAGGATGCCCCTCTAGGCGAAGAGCCAGCTGCCCCAGAAGTCTCAGCCACTCCTGAGCCTATTGTCTATGAAGATTTGCCGCTCACAGAAATTGTAGCCCAGCCTATAAAGCCAGAAGATTTACGAAAAATAATTAACGGGCTTATCATGATCGGGTACCCTGCCACAGTAGAGGACGCCCAGCTTCTTAAAGACTCAAATTTCGAGTTCGACAAAATTTTATACTTCATTGACCCTACAGATGGACAAGAGCTCGTTAAAAGAGGCATCGAAGAAATGTTTGACCTCACCCAAGAGCTTACTTTGGCTGATCAAGTCTCAGGCGCTTGCAAAGAAGTATTTGGTGAGGAAACTGTTATAGAAATCCCAATTGTTGGAAGTGAAGAAGAAGTCCACAATTTAATTTGCAGAAAACTTGACCCGTTTTATGTACAAATTGATGCACCAGAAATTAATATAGTTAAAGATGATGTAGAAGAAGGAAAAGTGCCTTTGCCACTGGGAGAGTATGGGAAGTATGACCCTGTTGTGATGAAAGAAGATAAATGGATAATCCCAGGGTCTGAGGAATTTGAAGTCCAAAGCTTTGGGAAGCGATATATTTTTGCTGGAGAGGCTGAGATGGAAAAATTCAATAAAAATCCGCTGAGCTATATTTCTCAAGAGCCAGTTGTAGTTCCACAACCTCATTTAATGGTTTTCGGGTCTCGAGGTTCAGGAGTAAACACAATGGTTTCATTGGTTTCTCAGAACTATCAAGTAGAGTCAGTTCCTCTTAAAAACTTATATCTAAAAGTCATTGCAGAAGAGCAGCTAAAGCGCCGTAAAGAAAGACTTTTAAGAAAAGGATTTACCCCTAAAGAAGAAACTGACGAGCCTTACGATCCTTTAAATGATGACCCAGAAATCACTGAAGAAGCTGAAGACTTTAACCAAGCTCTTCATGAGCAAAAAATGATGAGGGACCTCTTAAAAGGAGACAAACCGCTGATTATCAATAGCAGATGGTTTGATATTGAAGAAGAAAAGGTTTCTCAAAATTTAATTGACATTTTATCTGAAAGCAGAAGGCTGCCTGAAATTGCATTCATTTTGAAGAGTTCTGAAGAAAATACCATCAAAAGATTACTGGGCACTGAAGGGATTGAAGCTGAGTATAATAGGATTATGGAACAAAGGAGGATTGAAAAGCAAAAAGCAAAAGAAGAAGCCAGAGAAGAAGCAAGAAGACAGAGAATTGAGAACGGAGAAGATGAAGAAGAATTACCTCAAGAAGAGGAAGAAGAAGAGGATGAAGAAGACCCAGATGCCCCTGTGCTTGCAGATATGCTTGAAGAGGCTAAACAAAAAATCATCCAAATGCGAGAAAACGATATCCAACAAATGGAAGAAACCAAAGAGAAACTTGAAGAAAAAGGCGTCATTGTATTTGAAATCAACGGTGACATGTCAGTCGAAAGAATGTATCAAAAAATCGACTTTGAAATCAAGCAGCAGCTAAAAGGCAGAGAAAACTTAATTGAACGACAAACCTCTGTAAAACTTTCCAAAGAAAAAGCTATGGAGCTGCTTCAAACCCAAAAAGTGTTACCGTCTGCTGTAAGATTTAACAGTCCTATAAAGTCAGACAATCTAAGAATTTCAACTGAGTTTCCAGTGCTTTACAGAGACAGAATTTATTTCCCAAATTCTATTGAAGAACAAAAATCATTTATAGAAACTCCATTGGCCTTCAGTAAAATTGAAGCTGCACCATGGGATATTCATAACCGTCCATACTGTGCAATTATTGGAAATCCTCTTACTGGGAAAACAGCCTTAGCCAAAGACCTTGCAAAAGAGCTTGGAATAGTCAGAATTTCTTTAAGAGAAACAATAGAAGAAGTCTTAAAGCTAGAAAACGAATTAGGTCAAAGAGTTCGTGACGTGTTAGGAAATGGCTATGCTCTTGAAGAGTCTTTAGCTGTAGAAATAATCTGCTGGAGAATTGAGCAGCATGATGTAGTAGAACATGGTTGTGTCCTAGATGGATTCCCAAAGACGATTCAACAAGCTATGCTGCTAGCTGAGTTTAACAAGCTTCCAAACCCTATTTTTTATTTAGATGCAGAGCCTACAAGTGTATTGAAGCGTCGAGGCCAGAAATTTAAGCATGATAAAAAATCATTAAATTCCCAAATAAAGCAGTCTACAAAAAATAACAATGAAATCCTCTCATGGGTCCAGAACACCTTTGATACTGCCAGATATTTATCAACTGACCATTCTAAATGGTGGGTTAAGGATACAGCAATTGAGCATCTTAGCATAGTATATGGAGCCCGAAATAACTATGCCATTGCCAAGCTAAAAGGCACACCTATCAATATACAATATTTAGGAATTGCCAGACAAGACATAAGCAGCGCCTTGAGTAAGTTCAAAAGATATGATATTGTTATATGGAAGTTTAGAGGAGAGCTTAAAGAAGTAAAAAATAGCGACTATGTCGTGGAATATAACTCAAGATTTTATGTGTTTTCAAGCAAGGAAAATATGGATGCCTTTATTGCGACACCTGAAAAGTTTTTAAATGCAAAACCACTGCCAAAAGATTTACCAAGGCAACTTCAACCATCTGAGTGCGGAGAAATCGCTGAAAGCAGAATTGAGTTAGATGGGCATTGTGTGGTCACTTTGGAAGAAGATAAAAGCTGCGTCAGAGGCGACCCGATGATTTTGGCTGCTTATAAAGATAGAATTTTTTCTTTTGCAAATAATGCGCAGAGGAATAAATTTATGCGAAAACCTCAAAAATATGAAAAAACGAATTTGCCGGTAAAAATCCCACCAAAACCTGGAAATGTGCCGTTGAGTATGCTAGGGGAGTTTGAAAACTCAATTGGATATATAGAGCAATCACTTGGACAAGTTGTGATTAAAGCACTATTAGAGGTTGGAAGCCAAAAATTAGTATATCCATTGTTAAACTCCCCTCCCTATTTAAATTGGATAAAAAATCCTAAAAAAATTTCTTTGAATTTTAATTGATTTTGGCTAAAAATTAATTACAAAAGCTAATCCATTTAGTGTGAAGACTGTTTAAGTAATTTTATCAATTAAAATTAGTCAAAACTATATTATTTTACTTAAAAATTTCCCATTAAAAAAAATTTTGTTCCAATTTAAAGGAGGGTTAAATTACCTAAAAAATAAAAAATTTAAGGATGTTTTGCTCCAATTTAAAGGAGGTGAGTAAGTGTCAAAGAAAGTGCACTAAAACACTTCGGACTTTATCTCAAAGCCCATAATCCAAAAAACAGTAGATACCAAAATAAAAAATATGCAGAAAGAATGAAGGAGTTCAGGGAGCATTGCACAATTATGCAGGAGTTATATGAAGAAGGTGTTAGAAAAGAAAATGGGGAGTTGAAAGATTGGGAAATAAAGAACAATTATACAAAGGGAGACAATTTTTCAAAGATGCTTGACCAATATCAAAAAGACAAAAATTCGTATTTAGCTCATTTTATAAGATAAATATTTAACATTATAATTTTGAAAAATTCATCAAAAAGTATTTCTAATGATTATAATTTGAAAATAAGTCTATTAAAACCATTTAATATGCGTTTGCTAAAAATAAATAATTTTAAGCGTTAATTGGAGAAGCTGTAATTGGAGAAGTTGCTTTTCTAAGCCAAGCAAGAGCCAAATTCTCATTACGAGCCTCCAGAATTGGACTTAACGTATTCCAGATTTTATCATGATAAGCGTCAATATACTGAATATCCTCAGCGTCAAGCAGTCTCATGCACAATAAATTTTTATCATATGGCACCATAGTCACATTTTCAAATGATAAATAATCAGGAATCTGATCATTCTTTACTATTAAGAGGACATTTTCAATCCTAATTCCAAAATGTCCTTCCTCATAATATCCTGGCTCATTTGTGATATTCATCCCAAGCTCAAACACCTCGCTGCTTCCTTTACACAAGCACTGTGGCCCTTCGTGAACATTTAAGAAGTACCCAACCCCATGTCCAGTCGCATGGCAAAAATCTAGTCCAATTTGCCATAGCCTTCTCCTTGCAAGTATATCAAAGTCAGTCCCTGCCAGTCTTGAAGATTGAGGCCAAGTGACTCTTTCTATATCAAGATTCCCTAAAAGAACCCTAGTAAAGCACTCTTTTTCTCTTTCTGTGGGGTTTCCGAAATGTAAGGTTCGGGTTGTATCAATTGTGCCATCTAAATATTGGCCTCCAGAATCCAGGAGATAAATTTGGTCTTTTACCACTTTCGAAGAGGTTTCAGCGGTTGGGGCATAATGGATTACAGCTGCGTTTGGGCCGACTGATGAAATATTTTCAAAGGATAAGCCTTGGTTGAGGTCTTCAGCTGCTCTGTATTTATCAAGCTGTTCTGCAGCTGTCCATTCTGTTAAATCTGCACCTATCTCTAATTGGTTTTCGAGCCAGCTAAAATATTTGGCCATAGCTACTGCATCTCTGATATGGCTTTCTCTGAAACCTTGCTGCTCACGTGGATTTTTTATGGCTTTTAGCTTGGAAATTAAAGATGAGTTGTTAAGAGGCTTTTTGATTTTCAGGAAAAGGCTATAATTAAGTTCTGATTGATCAATAACTATTCCATCTTCTATACTTTCTAAATAATTTCCTATAGCTTCGTAAGGGAAAACTTCAATTTTATTTTCTGATAAATAATCTCTAATTCCATCAACTTTATCTGAATTTATAAAAAGAGATAACTGATAATCAGTCTCTGATGCTGCCTTTATAAAAAGATAGGAGAAAAATAGAGGATTGTAGTCAATGTCTTTTCCTCTTATCCCATTAATTAATGGAAAGCAAAATATTTAAACTAGAAGAATTATTTAGCAAGTGAAATATATTTATCAAAGAAACTGAGCTATTAAACTAATTTAACGACTAAAGTTTATATAATTTTATTTTACCTATTTAATTATGATGACACTGAATTTTTCTCAATTATTATTCTAATATAAATGCAATATTCCAATTATAATATAATTAATTTTTCATTTTTATTTTAAAATTATAATCATACAATTTAATATTAAAAAACTATTTTTTCTTAAATTAGTTATGAGTTAGATTCAAAATCCATGCAATTTCATCTAGCACCGACGTAAAATAATTCTGGCTTTCCTTTGTTTTCAGGACATTATATAGTGATTTGACTTTTTCATCAACTGTAGCTCCAGCATATTTCACGTCATGGATAAAAACCTTTTCTTGGCTGATGCTAGGTCTGGTATCCCAAACCTCATTAACTAAGTTTCTTAATATTGGCTTAAATGAGTAGCCTTTTTCTTCAAAATATTTTTTTCTATTAGAAGCAGCATCAGCATTTATTAATGCAGGATCAAATCCTATAACTGAACCAGATGGCAAGTTTTGAGTTATCCACTCAAAGTAAGTCGTGTTTCCATGGCCTTGCTTCATCATTGTCCAGCCTTGATATAGCTCTTTGGGTGCCTAAATAAATGCTACAGCAAGCCAATATCTCCCATCAGTCCATAGCAGAGCTTGTTCTTGAGTGATCACAATTTGGCCATTCGATCCTTTGAAGCCAGAAATAAAAGTCATTCTTTTATCGTGATGTCCGAGATACTCGCTCTGAATTATTTATACATTGTGGAAGTCATTGTTTGGAAGAAAATAAGCTTGGATGTTTTCTTCTTGCATGAGAGCACGCACTTGACCGAGCTTGTCAGACATTTATGAATTATATAAGCCAATGATTAATAGCAAAATGAGTAGCCTTAATGTGAAACTGCTAATTTAATTGATGCAAATGACGAGGAGTTGATGAATGCCTTGAAAAAATAAAAGCTTCAATTGATAAAGAAATGCTAAATTACGATCAGCCAAAGTTGCATAATTTAAAGTAATTAATCCGCTTTGCCTCGTGTTTAAGAGTAAATAGGTTTTAACATAATAGCTTGAAGGGAAAGTCTAAAATTATTGATTGGAATAAATTAAATGATTTTCCCCTCTTTTTCTATATTTTCAAAAATTTCAGAATAACTTTCTACTATTATATTTCCTTTTCATTATTTATTCATTGCCTCCCTTTTCATTATCCTTTTTATGATTTAAATTTTTGATTTTAGCCCATCCCATTCCTATTCTTCCTTTTTATAAAAAATGTCTTTAAGCCAGCCCTATGTGCGTCGCCGTTCACGCAGTCGGTCCCCACCTTCTGGAGTCAAGCTTCATGTAAAAAACCTCCCAGTAAACATATCTCAAGAATTTATCCACAATACATTCGAAGCTTATGGAAATATAATAGAAATAAGAGTGATCAGAAAAGGAAGCAATGGGCAGCCTTTAAGAGAGTCAGTGTATGGTTTTATTGTGATGGGTTCGCTCGAATCAGCTCAGCGAGCAATGGAAGATCTTAACAGTAAAGGGTGGAGCATCAATTTTAGCAAAGAGTCAATACACAAGTCTTCAACTCAACAACCTTTTCAAAATCCCCCAGTATCCCATATTCACTACAATAGTTTCATTATGCACCATACTTTAAATGGTCCAAACCTCATAATTTTTTATCTATAGTCGTCTGAAATCAGATTTTTTGACTTAATAACAGATGAAAATTAAAATATTGACTAATAGAGATCTGCATTAGAGCAAAGGCTATATATCAAACACTAGAAATAATGCCAAACGATGTGTCTTTCCAGCACAATGCTCAAGCCACCAATATCATGCTGCTAAACAACGCCAACCCGAAGCCAGGAATGCCAATGGACCGAAGACTGCTGGAGAAATTACTCGAAGAGCATCAGCCCTCCGCTTTCAACCTATCAGGAGTTCCGGAGCATTTTAAAGGTTTCTTTTTAGTAAGAGAAGTTTGAATTGGAAACATTTCTCCTGCGACTGATAAACAACTCTTATATGATGCCTTCAAAGTCTATGGCGAAATCGAAGGCATCGAAATGTTTTCTTCTAAAGGCTTCGCTTTCATTAAATATCGTAAAGTGGTTGCAGCCACCCGGGCATATGAGCGTGCTGACGGGACTTTGGTTGACAACCGTCCCGTTAAAGTGGCGTTCGCTGACCCGACTCGTCGCATTGATATAGTAGGCGATTCTTTAATTCCTGAAAATCCAAATTTTAACCCTATTGATGATGATCTTTTCAAAAATCTTTTCTTACTCTCCTTTAATTTAAGAAATATAAGGTAAATGGGAAATTTTTTATTGGCAAAACCTTTGAATCCATTTAATGCTAAGGATCCCCCCCCTCATTTGTCGAATTTTCTAGTCTTTTTTTTTATAAGAAATTTTTTTTCTGGACCTCATTTGTCCCAAAATCTAGTCAAAAATGATTTGTGTCCAATTTTCTAGTCTTTTTTTGGATTTTTTCGAATGCCCTAAATTCTAGTTTTTTACTTTAAAAAAACTAGAAAATGAGACAATTGAGATCCTGAAAATTTTTTTTCTCTATCAAAATTTTGACTAGAAAATTGGACAAATGAGGGTCCTAAAAAAATTTTTTTTTCCTATAAAAAAAACTAGAAAAAATGGACAAATGATAAAAGACTAGAAAATTGGACAAATGAGGGGGGGATCCTTATATTTGCTCTATTTGAAAGAGGAATTGATAATTGCAAACTATTTAAATATTGCTGGTACTTTAACTCAATAAATTCTATTAATTAATATTTCATAAAAATGCGACTTTTTTTAAAGTTTCATATAAATTTTTTACAAAAAAATGATTGGAACATTTTTTTCCGATTTAAAAGGAAGAGCTAGGTTATCCTTCTGGCAGCATAATACCTTCAGAGTCAAAACTTCGTGAAGTCTTTTCTCGTTATGGAAATGTCAGACGAATTTCAATCAGACAAGGCACTCCGTCAAGCCGGCCTTTTGCCTTTGTGGACTTCGAAAAAGGAGAACAAGCTTCTGAAGCAAGAAAAAAGCTTTATATTGAAGACAGTGATGGAGCTAAAAGGAGAGAACTAGGCGACCCTGCAGTAGAAATTTCATTCAAGAATACAAATAATATAGTGTCTAGAAATGGACTTAAAAACGGAGTAAGATTTCAAGAGAAAGCATCCAAAGAAGAGGAAGTCTCAGAAGTAGCCAAACGGCTTCTTGAACAACCTCCTGCATTTCTTAATCTTCTTAGGTTTCAATCTATGTTTTCTATGGGAACTCCTTTTATGAGTCCTGGCATGCCACACATACCGATGATGCCAATACTGCCTCAAACGCAAATGCTTCCTCAAAACAACCCAATATTCCAAAATCCAATCCCAGCTCCTGTACAATCTAAACCTTCCCCTGCAAAACCTCAATTATCAAAACCTCCAGCAGAAGAAAAGAAAAGCGAATTGCTAGGGACTGTTGTATGGTCAGGCTTTATGACAAGGAACAAAAAATTCAAAGTCGGCATTGACGCTACACTTGTACAAGGAACACCTGATTGTTTTCCTAGTACTATGTATCATATTGATATCTCACATAGAGTTCAGCTTAAAGAAGCCACAAAATTCCACAAGCTGGCACTTTTGACCTTTGAAGCTTCAAATGGGCTTCATGATGAAACTTTTGCAAGCTATGTGAGCTATTTTAAAGAAAAAGAAAGAGCTGGGTATATTGGAATAAGAAATTCAGTGCTGTATTTGTGCCCTCCAATTAAGGAAGCTAAAGAAATGTATCCACAAATTGAAGACCACCAATTATTAGGAATTTTTGTTGACCCTACAAGGAAAGTAGAAAAGAAAAAAGAGCCAAATCAATTGGAAGAACTTATGCAGCTGCTAAAAAAGCCTGGAGTAACTGAAGCTTTAAAGAATTTTGGTAAAAGTGGCCCATCGCCTAGTGACCCTAGACTGATGCCTCATAATTCTTAATATAATTTGAAAAATTATCAAATGGGTTTACATTTGCGTTTAACTGATGCTGAGTTTATTTAAAAAATGGACAAAGCAGCGAATGCTACGAATGGACCAGTTCCGCAGCATAACTCTTTTAGATTTACAGAAGATAACGTTTCGATGACAAGCGACTTTGATTCAGGGAATTTAGCAAAAGCTGAGCGAGCAGGACCTGGAATATACCATTTGTGGACTGGCCCAGACTGCATGGGAACCTTAGCAGAAAATGGATGCAGAAGTTGGCTGTTTTTCAAAGTGACTGCCCCTATCGGTCTCACAGCAACTTTTACTGTAAAAAATTTAAACTTGCAAGGAAAATTGTTTAAAGAGGGGATGAAGCCTGTTATAAAAGTTCCTGGAGGAGAATGAGAAAGGGTCTGCTCTCCTGTTACTTTCAATGTTGTAGGAGAAGACTTTGAATTCACATTTATGCATTTTTTCAAAACTACAGAAGCAGAAATAGCATTTAGTTACCCGTGGAGTTATAATGATCATTTGCAGCTTCTGGAAAAACTTAGGCTGTCGGCCCTTTGTCAAGTTAGTTAGCTAAAACGATTATGCTGGCCATAAGTGAATCTAGCCACTAGCCGTCAAAAGGTCGCCCTTTTGGATTTCCGACCTAAGTCGCCTGTCCAAGGATCAGCTCCCTTAGGCAGAGCCATCGTCTGTGAGATGTGCCGATGATCCCGATGAAAGAAGACTATGTGAGAGGCAAAACCTGTCTAGCCCATCAGGTAGGATAGGAAAACTTTCAGGGAGGAGAAACAAAACTTTCCTTTTCGGCAAGGCATCTCCAAGCCTGAAGGCCTAATTTAAAAAGGGACAGAGGATCTGTTTTCAGTATCATCAGGACAGATCCTAGCTTCTTTATAGGGAGTGCGCCTCGGAGTTCAATTTCTGTCAATGCCACCATATTATTTCCCTTTGTCAAGGAATTTATTTTTATAAAGAAAATATAATTAATTCGTTGGAAGGGAGAAGATGCGATTTATTGACAATCACAAGCTTTAGTGGGATGACTGAAGAGAGAGAAGAGAGAATTCCTTTGTTGTTTCCAGAACAATCGGTGGAAAGAGCACAAAAATTTGTAGGGAAGCCAATTGTTATAATTACTGCAAGAGTTCATCCAGGAGAAACACCAGGGTCTTTTGTGATGAATGGGTTTTTATATTTTATTATGAGTGATGACCCAAGAGCAATTTCACTATTTCCTTTCAAATTAATTAGTAAATAAATTAATTATATTTTATAGCCTCTAATATATATAAATTTTTTTCTTTTCCAATGAAAAACACATATATGTTATTAATTATGAATTATTCTAAAAAAGCCCTATAGCAATAATTAGTAGCAAGAGGATTAAGAGATAATTTTGTTTTTAAAATTGTCCCTATGCTAAACCCTGATGGTGTATATAGAGGTTATTACAGAACTGACACACGAGGAATCAATTTAAATAGATTTTACACAAATCCTTCTCTTGCTGAACACCCTACAGTATTTGCAGTAAGAGAACTAGTCATGAGTTATCATAGAGAAAACAAAGATCAAATTTATTTATATGCAGATTTGCATGGCCACGCCACTAAAAAAGGCTGCTTCATATATGGAAATTATCTAGATTTTCCCAGACAAATTGAGACTTGTTTATTCGCAAAACTGATGGCGCTGAATTGCGTGAATTTTGATTTCGAAGGGTCCAATTTTACTGAATCCCCCCCATGAGCGAACAAAACCATTGGAAAAATCGCTATTTTTTGCTTAAAAAAACCCACCTCTATGAGCGAACAAAATTGTTTTTTAATATAAAGTTTTTATATATAAGTGATAATTATTATAATGAAATCTCTAGCTATTAAACAGCTTGCATTTTAAAACAAAATTAAATTAATTTTTAAAAACCAAAAAATTACCCCCCTTTCTTTGGGTAGAAAAATTTTTTGGTTCACTCACGGAGGGGGGAGTGAGAAAAATATGCATGCCAAAGATAAAAGAGGGTTATCAAAAGATGGCAGTGGAAGGGTGGCTTTGTTTAAGTCAGCAAATTTAGTGAGATGCTATACATTGGAATGCAATTATAACTCTGGGAGGCTAATAAATCAAATTTTACCTAGTGGGCTTGATAAGAATCCAGAGTCTTCAAATGACAGCGAAATGTATAAAAATGGTCCTCCAGCTTACACAATGCCTATTTTCGAAGATGTAGGAAAAGCTATAGGGATTTCTTTGCTAGATACTGCTTACCTTAATAATAACTCAAGAGTTCTGCCCTCTGACCCAGGACTAAAACAGTTAAGAGTAGACGTTGCAGCTTTTTTATCTACACAAATACCATTCAGATTTGACCCTAACATTAAAAAAGCTTCAAAAAGCCAAGAAGACCTCGAAAATTTCATAAAAAATGGTTGCAAGCCTCCTAAGCTTGACTCAAGACCAAAGCTAAAAAAGATCCCAGAAGAAACAAAGCCACAAAAGAGATATTTCAGAATCTCTGAAAGCTCTACAGCGTCTAGCGAAAGACCAAACAAATCGAAAAAAAGCAGTGTTGTGGAATCCCCAAAGAAAGAAGCTGCTGATGTTAAGCCAAAGCAACTCTCAGTTGTCCCTGTAAAGAACTACACATTTCCGAAGCCACCAAAAACAGATAATCAAAAAATATTGCAATTGCCGAGAGGCAGAAGTAAATTAAGAGCGATAGGACAACACAAGACTTCTAAGAGTTTGAGTACTAAGCGTGGAGATAGTGGATACGAGAGGAATAAATCGTTTGAGAAAGAGCCGATGCTACTTACTGTTATGGAAGCTGCTGGAGAGTAAATATTAATCAATTTTATATAAATTATTTTTACCTTGAAATAATATTGTCCTTAAATCATAACTAATACAATTATTAGAAATGAAGCATTTGAATAAAGCAGCTTAGTACTAATATAATAATAAATCGATTAGTCTTTTGGAGTGAAAATTCAACTCATTTATATTTATATAATCTAGCAACGAAGAGAGTTAATTTAATTTTTATTTCAAGGCAATTTTCATGGTATTTATATTGAAAATTAAACAGAAAAGACCCTTAATTAATATAGATTTACTTACTGCAAGCTTTCTGAAGTTTAAAACCTGTTAAGTGTAAATAAGAAAATAATAAATGTTTGAATCCTCGGTGACTTTTTCATTAACTCAAATCTCTGAAGAACAGCAAAAATCAGCCAAATACATTCGCAGAGATACTACTAAACTCCCTAAACTATCCTTAACATCTCGTGACAAAACTGTAAGCCCTCGATCCTCAAGGCGAGAAAGCTCAAAAAACACAACTTTCCGTTCTAGATCCAACATGCGAACCAACAGCTTCAACCAAAGTACGAACCACCTCTTGCAAACCATCGACCAATCAGTCTCAGAAAAGCTTGGAGCCCTATATACAAATCCCAAAGAATTGGTCGACACTGTCAAAAAAATGGAGAAAAGCAAAAGTTCTCATGACTTTACAGGGATGCTAGACGTTGATGTAGACTTCAAAAAACGTACCTTAAATAAGCTGCTGTTTTTAAAGAAGCTTAAAGAAGACGAACTTAATAGCTTAAAGCTGCAAGTTATCACAAATCAAACAACTATAAAAGAAGTAGAAAGAATGGAAAATGTCGCAAGTGGATTAAGTGCTAAAATAGAAGCAGTAAAAGAAGACTATAATGACTCAGTTTTTGTGAAAAATAGCTTAAATTTTATGATTTCACAAAGGCAGAGCAATATTGAAGCTATGAGAGAAAAGATAAGAGAGCTGAAAGAAGAAAAAGAAGAGACCAGTGGAAAAATACAAGAAATAGTTGCTGAAAAGAGAAGATATGAAGCTTATGCAAAAAAAGTAGGACTGAGGGTAGAAGGGTTTGTGGAGAAATTAAAGGAGCAGAAAGAAACAACTGCAATGAAAAAAGAAAATTTTGTGAGTGAATATACAGAAAGAAAGTTCATGAAAGAGTTTTTAAAAAAGCAGTTGAACCAAAATAGTATAAAAAACAAAGTCAGCGAAAATGAAAGCAAAATTCAAGGCTTGGAAACTCATCTAGAAAAAATTGAAGATGAAGAGCAGTTAGAAAGCGAATTCAATGCTTGCTTAAATTATATTAAAAGGCAAGATCTTGTATTCAGTAAGCTTAAAAAGCAATCTAATGTGAACTCTATTGAAGAGATTTCAGACTACTTTATTCAGCTAAAAGAAGCAACAGCTTCTTTGAGCAGTTCTAAAGTTGACTTGGAAACCAAAATTGAGCTTAAAAGAAAAGAGCTAGAAAACATTATACTAATTAATAATTATTGAAAAATCAGTATTGGCATACTATCCTATTTTTAAAAATTAAATGAAATAAACGGCTAACGAATTAGAGAATTTTTAGTCACTTTGACATAAGAAAACTCTTGAGCAAACCAAACTCAACTGTTTGGTGGAGCCAATCATTGGATATGAAGCGCAAGTTACCAAAAAAATTGAAGATAAAGAGTGGCATACAGAACTAACCAAAGAAAAAATAAAACGCCAAGAAGACTTACTCTCCCAGTTATCAGGAATATTGACAAGGCTTCTTTATCAAGTTCAAGGAGAAATTGCTTTGCATGATCTTCTTCCTTCGAACTTGCCTATTGCTTTGGAAAAATTCAAAGCAAGAACAGTAGAAATATTTGACTATATAGACCAAGAATCAACAGTTTACCAGCCTACAAATATAGATCAAGAGTCAACAATTTACCAGCCTACAAAGTCTGATGCTTCAAAAGATAATTCTGTAACAATAGAAGTGCATCATTAAATATTAGCATTTCGTAAAATTGCACAAAAAGTTCTTCATGAAAATGTAAGACCAAAACTAATAATAATTTTGATAAATTCAGTCCATTGAAGTATAATAAGTTTTTGAAATATATAAAATGCATTTAACCTTTTTTAAGAGCAAATTTTTGACATAAATAATTAGTTATCCTATATGCTGTCGTTTATTAGGCTCAGATTCTTCATAAATAGGAACTCTTCTCATCCTTTTGATTTTTGCAGACGCTTTGAATTTCTGAGTTAAGGCAGCTTGATGGTGAAAAACTAGCCTAAATCTTTCTTCAAGCTCTTTTAGCTCATTTCCATTTTCCCACGAATCTCTCATAAAATCGATATAGCTTACCCATAACTCTAACTTTTCTTGAGGAGACAAGTCAGAATTAAAGCTTAACCCTAATTCATAGACATCTCTAATTTTTGTTTTTTTGTCCTGTAAGTCTGTTAAGCACCCTAAAGCATTTATATAAGCATAATAAATAGATTTTTTGTCTCCAGCTTTTTTTATGGCATCACTATAAATTTCTATAGCTTTGTCTAAATTATTCATCTGATGCTGACTGAAATTGGCATATTGGCCAGCAACAAATACTATGCTATCTGATTTGCCATTCTCTAAAGCAATAGAGTATACCTAATTACAGTAATTCCGACTGACTGCCGTTATCGTATTTTCAAATAAAAATATAATAAGGCTAGTCAGCAGAAAAGTTTTTATTATAATTAGATATATGCAAACTTAAAAAGCCTATCTACTTCCTCAAAGTTTCTCTGTCTTCTTTCTAGATTTATATGTTTATATACCCCTTCTAATAGTCCTGGAGTGACATCTTCATAAGCATGCTTATACAATTTCCTAGCCTCGTCTATGTGTTTGTGTAGCTCTTCAAAATATCCTTGTGCAATAAATAAATCAGGCCTTCTAGACAAGAAATGAGTATTAGCTCGACTATAAAGTTCTCTTGCCTTTTCAAACCCTTGAACTTTTTCAATATATCTAGCATAGCGGATCCAAAATTCAGAGTAATAGCAAGCGGCAACTATGCAACGCTCATAAAGAAGCCGAATTCTGTCATCATCCCCTTCGTTTTCCTCGAACTCTAAATATCTTCTCCAGTTATGAATTTGTTCATTATCAAGATCTTTTGTGCTGAAATTTGATCTTTTTATTCCTTGCTCAAATGTTTTTCTTTTGTTATTTTCGACCACAACTTTTTCATAAGCAATAACTATATCTTCTACGCGTTTTTTCTTACTCTTTCACTAGGCTAGAATCTTTTTTATCGATATGAATTTTTGGGATCCTGATTAATGAGATTTGGCTTCGCCCAGGATACTGGCTATGACAGTGAAGCGAGATACCAGATTAGAAGAGTGAACTCCTGCTATTAGGGGAATTGAAATTTCTAGAAGTGTGCCAAGGCCCCAGCGGGGAGACTGAGACCTTTAGCGTATTAGGACGCAAGATGGTTCGCCTGAGACTTGAAGGGCAGCTGTTGAGAATTTTGCTAGAGCTGAGGTGATTATTTCGATCAATTCAAGTAGTACTTGATTCTGGCAGGCATGCCATTGAAGCAGAAACAAAAGTGGATATGGCATTAAGTAAAGCGAAGAAAAATCTAAGATATATAATCACTATAATTAATAATTATATATTAAATTTCATACAAAAAGATTTGCTTTAAACATAATTTTGCTCTTTTAATTTTCTTAAAATAGACTTTCCGGACTAGTTGGAAGAGAGAATTAGCAAACTCATAATCTTCCTGAGAAGCTAACGAAGGCAGATTTTTCCCAAAAGCATCAATAAAATTTTTAAATCTGGTATAATACTCATACAACTTATTTGTCGGAAAGATCAGCAAATTGCTAAAAATCGTTTCCATTGCTGCGTAATTTTTATGGTTTTTTTCAAAATCCAAGTATTTATCCCACAACAAATTTGACGTATAAACCTTTCCGCATGCATTTGTCGCTTTAATAAAAAGCTCTCTTGTTTCTTCTTCTGTACAATGATCTGTTTTCCATATACAATAATGCAGCCATAAATCCACGCTGACAGGAATATACTTCAGTCCTTCCTCATAGGTACAAGTAACCATTTCATAATTATTTTCCGAGCTATAAACATCTGCAAGCTTCCTCCAAATTGGATAATACTGCGGAAACTCTTGCAAAAATTCTTGATAAATGCTTTTGCTTTTTTCATTAGATTTCTAATTAGAAATTACATATTTTTCGACTTGCTTAATCAGCTCAAGCCAAATGTCAAAGTCATAAGGGTTGTAAAGCAAAATTTGTCGCAATTTATTTTCGTCTTCTCTTTCCTGAGTCTGGAAATTCATTGCAAAATCTGCTGCCAAAAAGCCCGTCATTTATAATTGTTGTAATAAAGAAAGACAATAAATAGAGATTAAGCCAAAAATAATTCTAACTCCCCCCCCCTCCGTGAGTGAACAAAAAAATTCTGTTCACTCACGGAGGGGGTTAAGATTTTTTATAAAAATTTATATATAAACTTTATAGAAAATATATTTTTTTTTCGAAATTTAAAAAAATCCTAATTCACAAAATTGGAAAACAAATATTAATTTAATTTGTAAAATTTATGTTTTAAAAAGCAATTCGTTTAAAAATTAAACAGAATAAGCTCTAGATTTCATTATATTAATTATCATCTATATATTAAATTTTTTTTCCATAAAAAATTTTTCTATTAAAAAAAATTTTTGTTCACTCACGGAGGGTGGTTTTTGGGCAAAAAATAGCGATTTTTCTAATGGTTTTGTTCACTCACGGAGGGGGGGTAAGAGATTTTAAAATGCATGAATAGCTGCTTTATTAGAATGGTCTATTATAATAATGGCCATCAATATTGACGATCACGATCCTGGATATATCCCTCCTCCACCAACCCGTGAACAAGAAATCGAATACATTGAGAATTTAGAAAAAGAGTTTAGAAATCGCCACTTCCGCCACAGAAATTACGCTCCAGACCCTACAAGACGCTTCTGGCAGAGCTATGATGATAAAATTACCCACTACCGTCTTGATTATTGGCTGAAGTTCTTGCTCGGTGCATTCCTGGCAGTGCCGTTGGCAGGTTACCTTACAAGGAAGTCTCCATCAAAGTCAAGCTTTATGAATATTCCTTTCAGAACTTATCCATACCAGCAGAACTTCAGATTTTGGACTTTCTTTCTTACTTATGATCTCGGCTTGGCCTATGGATTCGCTCATTTACTTAAGAACACTGATTACTTTGAGCCTTTAATCCCATTAACAAGGGAAAAAAAGTTATAACCTAATAAAAGGTTTCTTCTAATTAAGCTGCTATTTAAATAGTAAATGAAACCTTCTATATAAATATGAAAATTACTGTTTGGGTGCTTACAGCCCTGAAGGTTTTGGCGTTGTGAAACGACACAGTGAGCACTGGATCACTTGGAGGGTATTTTACGTATAATGAGATCCAAAATGATATGATTAGTCTAGTATCAGAATTCCCCAATCTGGTTTCATCAGGGACTGTTGGCTCAACTTATAAAGGTGAAGAGATCAAATATTTAAAAATTGAACTAGCAGAAGGCTTAGCTCAGGAAGAAAGGACAGGAATTATGATAACGGCAGCTCAGTTTGCAGGATACCCAATCGGCCCTTCTCAGGTTATGTATATTGCAAAAGCTCTTGCGAATACTTACAAAGACGATATTAACGAAGAGTTTATTTTGAGCGTTTCAACTGTTTGGCTTATACCAGTCATCAACGTTGATGCATATATGTTAATGGAAACAGAGTATAGCACAAATAAAAATTTTCCAGTAAATTTAAAAAACCTCAACATGACTGGATGTGCAACCACAGGTGAAGGAGGGGTGAATCTTGACCGTAACTGGGGATTTGATTGAAATTCTGGCCATTCCTCCCACAATCCTTGTGACTCAGCTTATAACGGATACAAAAGCTTTTCTGAGTCTGAAACCTTGGCATTAAAAAATTTTGTGGAGAGTAAACATATAAGTGTATGGATTCACTATGACAGAAGTGAGGATGCTTGTATAACCCCTTATACATCATCAGGCAAGTCAAAATTCACAGGACCTGCTAAACATTTCTTTAAAGGTCTGCAAAAATCCTTGCCAAAAACTACTACATTTGGGAGCATAAAAGAAGTATATGGAGACAAAGAGGACGGAACTTTGATTGATTATGCATACTCAGAAGGAATAATAGCTTTTGAGATAGGGATCAACCATACAAAAACACCGTCACTTTCTATTTTCGATAAGTATTATGACTCAGCCATGTACTCTATGGAAAGAGCTAATTATTGTCTGAATTTAGAAGTAAAAACTATTGAATTCTATTGTGACGACGGCCCGTATTCTTGTGATAGTAAAAATTCCAGCAGCTATATTATTTATCAAATTAATGTTGAAAACAGTGGGCTATATGATACCGAAAGCTTAAAGGTTTCATTTGTTTCTAATATAGCCCAGAGCCGCCATTGGCTGTAAAAGGTTTTACCATTTGATGGAGTTTACTTGGGCAGGCAGCATCAGTTGGCAAGCCAACTCCACCAGCTGAAAAGTAAAGCATAAATGCCACTGGCAGAGTTGATTTTGAAACCGATGTTAGCCGAGCTAATTCCACTTATTGGCAGGACCTTTTGAAGCCCAGGGCGATCCAAAAGAGTCTCTTGGCTATAACGCTGAAACAAGTGAGTATAAGATTTCACCTACTAAACTTATAAAACTAGAAGACGGCAAAAAGATTTCTTACAATATGACTGTCATTGCTGCAAACGCTACTTATATATAGAAACTTTCTCTTCAATAGCGCGATAAGGCGTGCTTCCTGGTTTGACTAAAAGGTCTTTGGGCCATGAAAATCTGATGTTCCTTCTTTGTAAGAGAGTCATACAGTGAAAATAAAGAGTTCTGGCTGACCAATCTCGAGAACTTAAAGAGAGGCTATTTGCAAATTTACACTTTTGGTTCGTCAAATGGATCTGGCGAGCCAATTCTGGCCGCTACTTGAAATTATAAATGATAGTTGCCAGAATTTTATTAATTTTCTGATGGCAAGTATGATCAGAATTTTAATAAATGGCACAGGATAAGACAATCCACTTAAAAATATTGTTAAAATTAAAGCCCCATTTTTATAAAAGATATAATAAATTTAAAAAAAAATTATTTTAAAAAAATATTTTTTATAAAAAATTTATTTATATTGATATAATTATTTAAAATTTTTATTTTAACGTTTAAAGAAATTTAAAAATATTATAAGAAGAAAATTTTAATATCGTTAGTAAAGTTCGTAAAGAGCAACAAGCGCATAGCACAAACTTTGGCTTTTATAAAGCAGTTAGTCATAATTAAATTGGCATCATTTATTTAGAAATCTATCCTTCCGCAAAAACACAACTCGATAAACAACAAGTTTTTAATTATTAACTCCATTTTAATTTTCTAACGAAAACCATATGAGTCATTAGTAAGTTCGTAAAGAGCAACAAGCGCTTAGCACAAACTTTGGCTTTTATAAAGCAGTTAGTCATCATAAATTAAATTGGCATCATTTATTTAGAAATCTATCCTTCCGCAAAAACACAACTCGATAAACAACAAGTTTTTAATTATTAACTCCATTTTTAATTTTCTAACGAAAACCATATGAGTCATTAGTAAGTTCGTAAAGAGCAACAAGCGCTTAGCACAAACTTTGGCTTTTATAAAGCAGTTAGTCATAATTAAATTGGCATCATTTATTTAGAAATCTATCCTTCCGCAAAAACACAACTCGATAAACAACAAGTTTTTAATTATTAAACTCCATTTTAATTTTCTAACGAAAACCAAGTTAGTCATTAGTAATTTCGTAAAGAACAGCAAGCGCTTAGCACAAACTTTGGCTTTTATAAAGCAGTTATAATTATTACCAAAGGAATTATTAGATCGGTTTGAAAGGAATAAGTTGTCTGATCCTGTGCCATTTATTAAAATTCTGATCATCCTCACCATCAAAAAATTAATAAAATTCTGGCAACTACCATTTTTCATATCAAGTACTGGCCAGAATTGGCTCGTCAGATTCATTTGACGAACTAAAATGTAAATTTTTCACACAGCCTCTCTTCAAGTTCTCGAGATTGATCAGGCAGAATTCTTTATTTAGGCTGTTTTTCTCCCCCATGAATAAAGAATAGCAAGTTTTCATATGTTTAAGATCATCCGGTAAAACCTAGGAATGCACCTTATCGCGCTATTGAAAAGAAACTTCTATATCAGTTGAGGCTGATTTTGAAGTTTCCAGCAGTGAAATTGCAAATTTTTCGTTAATTGTAGAAAAAGAAAAGGTTAAGGGCGCAAAAAGTTCAGTTCTTATTAACTATCAGGTTTCTGTTATCAATGAAAAAGTGCCAGTTTATGATCATGTCTCACAAAGCCTTACCATTTCATACAAAGTAGTTAATCCAGATGATGGAGGAGATGATGATAATAGCAATAAAAAAGGAATTGCTATAGGGATTGGGCTAGGATTTGGAGTAGTTCTAATAATTATTGTTATTGGGGTTATCTTCTACTGCAAAAAGAACAGAAAAGGCCAGGATCTGAAGCAACCTAATAATCAAGAAATCCCTAACAGCTTGCCACAGTTTGAGTTTGATAAAGGAAGAGAGCTTAATGTACCTCCAAAAAGATTCAGTCCAGCAAGCCTAGAAGATTCAAGAGTTTAGGCTCAATTAACATAAAGGGTATTATCTTAATTTTTTATATCCATATCTTAAAAGTCATATATATTTCTTTAAAACTAATGAAAAAAGTCATAAATTATAGGGAAACCCTATAATAAATTAGCATACCTGCAATAACAGTTATTATGGCTATCCTAATTCTCAAATATTATTTTATTTGCTTTCTTCTACTTTCATATTATTACTGTTATGAAAGCCTATAAATTCCCTGTAAAAGACTGCAAAGCCCATGCATTTTGCAATTATCCTTACACAGAAGATGTCGCTAATCTTGATACAGCTGATTTAAAATCCTATTTAAAATCTCTTTCACCTAACAAAAAATACAATTTATCAGAACGTGAAATAATTAGCACAAATACATTAGCAACAGAATTAGATGTAAAATACCTTAAAAAAATCCAAGATCGTATGGACGATCACAACTCAGTAAAATCTGGGATTCCTATAGTAACTGAAGAAGGTCTGAGCGATTGATGCCAACAAAGCATTAATCGGCGATTCCCAGTTATCCCTAACATCAGGCCTTTTATGGTTTCCAAGCCGATCTATGAGTATTTGAAAAGCGTGCAAGACATTAAAAAATCACCGCAGGGTGGAGGAAATAATGCAGCTTCTAGAGAGCTGATAACACAAGGAGAAATCCAATCGATTTTAGAAAATAATAAAGTGAACATTTATTCATTGGAGCCACGGACTATGGAAAATGGGACTGCTTTTATGTACCCAAGACAAAAAGACAGAGAAAAGCCTAGGAAATCACTCATAAATGATTCCTCTGGGAAAATTGCACAGAGAACTCACAGTGCTAGGAGCAATAATTCAAATGCAACCTACACAAGAGCTCGAAGTTCTGTTATGAGCCAAATTTTGCACCAATTTAATACAGAAGTAAAAGAATATCATGGGAACTTAAGAACTGATTCTCACAATGCAAGGGAAATTTATGAAGGCATTTTAAAAGAAGGAAAAGCTCAGCTGAAGCTAGAACGGTCTTTAACTAAAGAAAAAATAGTATTTTTGTCAGATAACCAAATAAAGCTGCTAGACCGAGATATAGTTTACAATCAGCCTTCTTATTTAATGATGCATCTTGATCTTATTCATAAAACTGAGACTGATGATGCTTATAAGCTAGCAATAAAAAATGACTGGAAAAATGCTCTGGCTGAGTATAAAGAAAATTTTAAAAAGCAAGGACCGTCGCAAGAGGGCTGCTTTAATATAGCTGTGTGCTTACTTCCTTATCCGTGAAGAACAAAAAACTTTGTTCGCTTGCGGAGGTGGTTTATTTCTTTTTTTTTAAAAATTTTAAAAACACGAAATAATTTTAAAGTAAAAATTAATTTGTTTGTGAAATTTATGTTTTAAAATGCAAATTTATTAAAATGAAACAGAATTAGCTAGAAATTTCATAACAATAATTATCACTAATTTATATCAAAAATATTTTTTATAAAGAATTTTTATATTAAAGTATTTTTTTGTTTGCTTACAGAGGTGGATTTTAATCAAATAATAGGGATTTTCCAATGGTTTTTCTTGCTCACGGAGGGGTGAGTTAGAACATCTGAATAGCTATGAAATGAGCAGGACTTGGTTTTCTGAGTAAGTAACTATTTAGGGCTCTGCGATTTGATATAAAATCGCCTGAAGTGTTATTAGGTCTTGCAATTGCAAGTTTTAAGCTAAATGAAGTGGGAAGCTGCATCTATTTTTGTGATCGAATAATGGAAATTGAGCAAGCTAAGGACGGAAGAGTCTATTTTTTAATGGCTCTTTGTAGCAAAGTAATAAACAGTATCGATGAAAGTACACTCCATTATTTATTACTACTGCAAAGGTGCCCAGAAGACAGACTAAGCCCAGTCCAATCCACTCATGACTGAGATGAAACAGTCCCATTGGAGAAATGGATGTATAAGTCGAATATTCCTTTTTTCAGAAGATTTGATAAGAAAAAGCTTGTAAATTACATTTAGAAACATCTCAGTAGCTATGATATAATACACTTAGAATCAACCCATGTATTTGTTCCTGACCAAGATAAAGCATATATCATCATTAACGGCATGATAAAAGTGCGAGACCATACGCAATATCTAATGAATCCTAAACTATTATGAAGAATCCGCTGTGGACATTATCTCTATTATCCATATCACAGGCATTTCTTTGATAATCCTTATATCTGGCTTTTCGTTGACAGAAATACCTGTGTTTTGTCTATTCCCTCTGAGGATTTTGAAGCTTTGCTAAAAGAATCTAGACAATTAAATTCTGTGATCCTGACTAATGTGCTTTGCTCGTTTAGGCTTTTTAAAAATGTTAGCGATAATTGTATAGACTCTCTGGTGCAGGAATCAATGAAAATAAAAAAATTCAAAAAAGGACAGCTTATCAGAAGAAAAATTGGAGTAAGCGGGGAAGGCAAAGGAGTATTTGGAATAATTATTAGTGGACTGGTCGATGTAAGAAGAGAAGATGGGCATGATATAGGCATGAAAGGAAGGGGAGATTATTTCGCTGACTCCCCCCTCCCGTGAGTGAACAAAACCATTAGAAAAATCCCTATTTTTTGACCAAAAACTCACCCTCCGTGAGTGAACAAAAATTTTTTTAATAGAAAAAAAAATTTGATATATAAGTGATAATTAGTATAATGAAATCTAGAGCTAATTCTGTTTAATTTTAAACAAATTGCGTTTAAAAACATAAATTTTATAAATTAAATTAACATTTGCTTCCCAATTTTTGCAAATTAGGATTTTTTTTTAAAATTTCGAAAAAGCATTTTCCACAAAATTTATATATAAATTTTTTTAAAAACAAAATTAACCCCCTCACGGAGGGGGGAGGGGGGAGTGAGGAGTTTGTGTTTAAAGAAATGAGGGGAACTGCATCATATGGAGATTTCTATGCGAAAAGTGATACATTAGAGATCGGGTTTATAATTGCTTCAGATATTTTAAAACTTCCTGAGCATGAGCTTGAAAAATTGAAAAGCAATTTAAGCAGCTTTAAAAGAACGAGGTCTCGTAAAGAAACTCATACAAAAAATAACTCTTTTTGGCTTTAAAGCTCACAATTTTTATAATTTTTATTTCAATAATACAATGAAAAATAAGTCTATTAAAGTCTATTAAATAAATACTAATGTTAATAAATCCTTATTGAGTCCATTCCTACAATCAAAAAATTAAATAGTCACCAAATTAATATATAGGAATTGCCCGAGGATGGCGCAAGATAGCGCCATCCTCGGGCAATTGCTATAAATTTTCCTATTTATACTTATTCATGCAATAAGTGCTAATAAGATTTATTATAGAAATAATATTAATAAAGCACAGATTAAGTTTAATGTAATTACAACTTTTCATAATGATAAAATGTCGAGTATATAAAATTTCACTATCAAAATTTCTCTCCTGAAATCATTTTATTATTATGAGGCTCGATTTTCCATAAGAAAACTAATCCAGCTAGATCTGGCAAGCTTCTGGGAGGGGTATATAGCATCCTGACTTGATCCTTTGGATATTTGGAATGGCTTAGGGTTTAATCCACTCATCACACCCAAGGAGTGTGACCTTTACGATAGAGTTTGTCCTAAAGATGCTTAAATAAGCCTTCATAAGAGAGAAGATGGCACAGTGGCATTAACGGTGCAGCACTAGACACTATAACCACTAGATAATTGAAGTAACTAAGTAATTGCAACGTTTTAGGACTGTCTTTTGCGCTGAATTGCCTCATCCCCTTACTTACCAATATGCGTTTTTATAATTTATCAAGTAAGCTTGATGAATCAAAATATTTGAAATTAATATAATCATTAATAAGCAATCCGATATCTCTTATAAAAATCCTATAAAACTCAGAATTCACCATCTTACTATTTTTTATTATCCAAACCACTTTATTCGTGACACATTTTGATTGATTGAAATGGATTTATTTTTTATTAAAATGATATTTGCATTCGTTGCAATATCGATAGTAAGTTTTGCTTTTGCAAACTCAAATATTCATTTTTTCATGAGTAAATATTATTTGAAAACAGTCGGCTTTAAATAGATTTTATGGGCTATTTATATTAAAAAGTATATAACAATCACTCCTTTATCAATTGACAGTTCAATTTCTCAGAACCAAAGCGAAACTTGAGCTTATTTTCAGATTAAAGATTATGGGTCTTTTAGTTTGTATTTGTCGGTCAGTATCGAACTTACTGAACCTGCATATGTTTGTTTAGGTATTAAAGAAAATGGGCTGCCTGAGGTTATTACTGGATACCCACAATTTGACTGACTTGATATAGACAATTGAAATTTGGGCTCTAAAAAGCATAATGTTATAATATCTCCTTATCAGTATGCGTTATCTTCTTTATTCGTAGGAGTATATTTAAAGACAAGCATCGAAATAGCTTATACAATTACTGCTTTGCAATTTGTAAGCCAGCCTTGTATAAATAATTGTACTGGCAACGGATTATGTGCTAAAGGAAAATGCAACTGCAATAGCGGAAATATAGGTAAAGACTGTCAAGTCGTTTCAAAAGTTTTAGATGTCAACGATGGTTCCTTTAAAGACGTCTATTTCATAAAAGAATATTTTATTTGACCTATTTTTTCTAGGCTATTATTTTTACCCTATTTTTTGTTGGCGTATTTTTTCATTTATTATTTTTTTCATTTTTTCAACTTATTTTTTGACCTATTTTTTGACCTATTTTTTGGCTGTTTTTTGTTGTTGTTTTATTGGCTTTTTTGGATTATTTTTTTAATTCTAAAAAGTTTATAATATATAGTCAAAAATAAGATTGAATATCACTTGAATAAATAGCATTATGGAATCATTTCAAAAGCAAATGGACTAAAAAGTTCAAAAATAATTAAGAAAAAAATAAGTTAAAAAATATAGGTCAAAAAATATATTTCAAAAAAAATAGGAAAATAGTCTTTATGAAATGAAGGCATGTCAATGATTCTCAAAACATATCAACAGAGCCTGGGTCTATAACATATGCTGATTATGGCGAAATAGATTCAAAAACGGGAGAAAATATCGATGTTATTATACACTCTTACGATAGCCCTATTACTGTCTGTGTCAAGCCATCTCAAATAAACTGAACAACTACTTTACCATCAAAATCAGTTTGCCGAATAAGACTTAATGGAACAGATATTAAATACACCATAAGTTCAGACGATTATATGACATATTTTGCAATAATAAACACAGATAGCAATATAGCTAATCTTCAAATAATGTTGATTGGAAGCAGCAGTGGAGATTCTTCGAAGGAAATAATTTTTATTTCTTTAATTACTGTGTGCTCAGCTGTCGTTTTAGGGTGAATTTCGTTCGCTATATATAAAACGAGGAAAAGATTTCAAGTAATTTCATATAGAAGCGAAAATTATTTGAATCGAGCTTTAGAAATAAAAGACATAGAAAACCATTTTCCTGAAAAACAAATCAGGCAGATAGATATAGATAAAGGCAGCATATCATGTCCTATATGCTTGGATAATTTTAATCTAGATGATATTGTTAGAGAGCTCTTATGTGACCATATTTATCACAAAAAATGCATTGATGAGTGGTTTGCAACAAAAACTTATTGTTGTTTGTGCAAGCGGGAATATAAAAATGCTGAGAATTTGGATTTAACTAGAGCCATTGAAGAGACAGTAGGAATAAATAATAGCTTAGGATTAATGGTGGGAGCAAATGAAGAGTCTCAAGGAATTATTACAAGCAATCCTGTTCATGAAGAGCATGAAGAAGTTGATGCAACATTTCGATTAAATTCACCTAATATTAACTAAAATTTTATATTTTAATTTTAAAAATAAAGAATCAATATTTAATAATTGAAATAATTCGACTGAAGAATTTTCTTAAAAATGTCGAATATTTATTAATTGCAGTATTAACTTTGATATCAGCAATTTTTCTAAAACTCAAATAAGCATCTAATAATATGATAAAAGATTTAATTCAGAAATGGATTTTTTTACTTACTTACCCCCTTTATATCGGAGCAAAGTATTGGCAAAATTGCATTTTGAGTACTTTAAACCCCTTTAAATTGGAAAAAAAAAAAAAATTCAATAGAAAAATTTTTATTGTGGAAAATACTAATTTTTATAAAATTAATTTTGGCTTAATTTAATAGACTAATGCAAGTAGAATGCTATTTAAATAGTTTTAAAATTAAATCAATTAAGTGTTTTATTTAATTCTTTATAAAATAAATCAAAATTCAAAGATTGTGTTCAATTTATATATTTTTCAAAAATTTCGAATTTTTTTTAAAATAATTTTTGCCTTATTTAATGGAAAAAGAGGCAATAGAATTCTATTTAAACAGTTTTCAAGCTGAATCAATTAATTTTTTAATTATTCTTCATAAAAATAAATTAGAATTTTAAGTATTGTGCTCAATTTAATATATTTTAAGATTTCAGAGAAAAATTTAACCCCTTTAAAAAAAGGATTTTGTTCAAATTTAAAGGGAAGAGTTATTAATTGTTGTGCAAATTATAACTTAAGAGCAAAAATATTCTAATGATATCTTAGTTATTTGCTTTTAATAAATAATTTGTTCCTTGCTTTACTGCTTGCTCTTTCGCTATTGCTGCTGCCTTAGTTGCTTCTTCTTTAAAAGATTCAATTCCTTTGTCAATTTTATCTTGATTTTTAAGTAAGATAGGCTGAACAATATTTTCATAAAGAATTAAGGCTCCTTTAATCTGTGGAGAGAATAAAAAGAACAGAAATAGAAGCTTGAACGGATGATAGAAAGGGACCCATGAGAACAAAAATGATGCTGAGTCATCTATAAACCTACATATAGCGTAAACCACCCAGTATGTAAGCCACTGTTTATCGTCGTCAGTCTCTGCTGATTCAATAGCTTTGAATGACATATAAGCTGGATAAATGAACCCAATAAAATCCCCAATGATATCAGCGCCGATTCCAAACATCATAAAGCCAAATACGCATGCGCCTAAAATCACTACTATATGAGAAGTTTGCAAACCAGTTTTTGAAGAGATCAGCTTCAGGATTGTGTTGTTTTTCGTGCTTTCGTTAAGGCGAAACAAAAACTGGTTGATTTGATCCATTTATGATTGGTATTCATGAGGGTGATGTCATAATAATACTAATCAAATTTAATTAGAATGAAATTAAGCGGGATTATTTATTAAATTTTGCAAGGAAATATATCTGATTTATTATACATAAGTAAAATAAGACAAGTTGAAAAATAATAAAATGCTTTCAATGAATATATAGTTATTATGATTTTTAATAAGGATTAGTTTAATATTCGTTTAATATTCGTTTAAATTTAATTAATTTTTCACGAATAATCAAAAAATTGAATATCAATTAAAAAGGGATTGTAATAATGAATAAAAGACTTTAAATTAAATTTATATGCCTATATTTAGATAAAGTGAGGTTGCTTATATTTGATACCACACTTACCCCAGATATTATATTTTGTGATAGGGTTTGCATTAATCACTTCAAGAAGCCAAACAATCCTATGCAAGAGAGATCTTATCGAGTCCCAAATGGCTCATAAATCAATCATTAAACAATGACTCATCAAATAAAAAACTTAAAATGTGCTAGGGTTACTTTGGATTTCAAAGACGCTTCAAATGCATCAGTAGTGTGACAATAGTGTAAAATTGTGTGCCACCGATATGCTTATTGTGCACCAGCTGTGGCTATTTTTTCCTACACCAATTCTAAATATCAAATTCTTAAAACCATAATTTAAATTATATGCCTATGCTTTGGAAATATTCATCTAAAGAGCTTGCTGTATATCGATAAAATTCTCTATTTTCAGGACCAGTAAGCCTCTCTTCCCACTCACTTCCTTCAAAATTCTTTGCCAATTTCGCAATTTTTCCAAAAAATCCTCTAGCATATTTTCTTGTAAACCAATTTAAGATTGCATATGGAATAACCTGAAGACAAGGATCAAAATTGGATATGAGCTTCACAACAGTTTTATTTCTATTGATTGGTATCAGCTTAAACCCGCAATAGTTTATTTTTGCCCTTCCAACATTCTCATCTAATGGTAGCTCCACACCTTTAAAGTACTTTGACTCATCACAAGATTTTGAGACTACAAGCACAGCTCCATGGCTTCTCAACAAATCTGCCCCTATTCCATATACAAAAGTTTGCCTTGTAGCTAAACCTTGCACTCCAAATTCCTGCATCGCAATAATTCTTGAACGAGACAGCTTTCTGACACACATCGATTTTTGGCAAAAAGGGAGCCATTTTGGGTAAAGATCAAGCTCATAAAACATAGTGACTATGTTAAATATCCCTACATCAAGCTCAGCTTCAGTCAGCATAGAAATAGTAGGAGTATTTGGGACTTGTTTATAGCTTATTTTTATGTCTTCAGTTGATGACTCAGTAGTTCAGCCTTCTGTGTCATCAAAATAATGTAAACCCTCCATTATTTCTTCATACTCCTTTTGGAGCACATAAAGCTTTGGATGATTGTTCAGGTTGATATGATAAACTTCTTTAATTTCGTTAAATATATTGATCGCTTCGTGCAGCTTATCGTTATCATATAAATTTAGAATTCTGGAGATTGCTTCATCTTTTTCTGGGGAGTTGACTTCAAAATCGCTTTCTGAAGTCTGATTGTCGGCTTCAATTTCTAAGTCGTGGTTAAGAACAATTGGAGGACATTCTAAAACGCATTGTTCTTTATTAAAATTTGATGAAATGATAGAATTCTTTCAGTGGATCAATAAGGGATCGATACTTTCTAGTAACTCTAATGCAGCTGTTTTGCCTACCAAACTTTCTAAGTCAGAGTCAGCTGTCAATAGAAATTGTTTGGATTCTTCTAGATCTCCAAAAAGGAATAAATTAATGGAATTTGAAAGTTGGTGTGAAAAGTAAGTAAAAATGTAGTCGTTTTCGTTTTCCATCTTAATTATTTATAATTTTTTACTAAAAATTTGCAATTATACAGAGATTAGAAGGAAGCAGTATAAAGGAAATCTGCTATAAAAAAAATTTCAAAGTGCCCTTTAAAGCAAAATTATGCAGCAATAATTTCTAGCTTAGCTATCGAATAAACCTGGAAAAATATTTGATAGACTAGAAGTCATTAGGATTTTGAAGAAGTCTTAGAAGAAGATTTTATCAAGGTAAATATCTGCAATATAATTCTCAAATGAAGCAAAGTTTAGGTTTGAAAAGATTGATGGCATTATTTTTCGATTACATAAAGAGTTATGTTAGATATACTTGGAATATTGCTATTTATAAGTGGTCGGATATGAATAGTCATGCTAAAAAGCATCAGAGAGATTCGCCAAATAATCATTAGGATACCTATCCAGAAACTTCGCCTAATTTATATCTGGTCTTATGAAAATAAATTTTATTAATAGGGATATTAAAAAATAACGATTCTATAAAATAATATTCAATATATTAAATGATATGGGCTTCAATAAAATCATTAATTATAAAGATTATTTCAATTCTACAAATATAAATGGGAGCTAACAATTCTTCAGAGTATCAAGAAATTAGCATAAGCAGATGCGGGGTAAGTGAAATTGATGACAATCTTCAAAAAGTTCTATCAATTCTAAATAGACTGCTCAGAAACCTAAGGGATTTAGAAGATTATGCTAGATTATTTAAAAATTCTGTAGGACTACCAGCAAAACCAGAAAGCAATCTTCTCGATGCCATTAAACTTATGGTCATTTGTTACTCTGCTAGCTGCGGTGGAGATTTTTCAAGGATTAATTTAATCCATATTGATTCGAAACCTTATATCAACATAAGCAAGGCATCTCTGAGAAGAGAATATTGGGATATTTATGACAACTGGAATAATTTTTGCAGACTACTTGAAGACACTGAATCTTTAGCAAAAGAGCAAGAAAATATGGGCGGTTTCGATGCTAATTTTGACTTTGAAAAATTATCAGGATGGCATAAGACGAAGCTGATATCTTGGGGTTTATTTAATCTTAATAAAATAAAAAAGCTTGAGAGCACTATAGGAAATATTGACAGATTTAATGCTAATATGAAAATAGATGAAATTCCAAGTTTCATATCAAGGATTTTCGAAAGTGATTACGCAGAAATATGCGAAGCTGGAAGAGAAGCTGCTCGTGAGTATATGTTCAATCCAAAAAGAATTTGTGACAAATTTTTGCCAAGATTGAAATCTATTTCTTAATAATATTTTTTTAGATTTGATTAGTCTTTGTAATAATATCTTGCAGCCGCTTACTAATAATAAATGTTTTAGTCAGCGTTTTATGTAATATTTTTGATTTAAAAGTAAAACCGTTGAAGCGATGCTTAGCAATGCGAGTTATTATTTAGAGTTTCTAATGCTGATGGAAAGAAATTATTTAAGATTAAATCATGAAATTATTGCTAAATTGAATTATAATAAAAAGTTTAATTTCAATTCAGAAATAGAAAATCAGCAAAATATGCTATATAGCATCCAAATGAATTTTCTCTTATCAGCATTTTAAAATTTCTTTATTTGATACAGATAAACTTTGAGTAGCTTTATAGCGTCTACTTTTGACCCAGTTTGCATCGTATTTCATGATTAGGAGAAGTGACATAACTATTCCTATAGTTTCAGATAATTACACTAGCCCAGTCCTTACAATTCTTCTGCATTTCCTGAATTTTCAAGAATTCCTAAATGCGTTACGATGGAATAAGCAGTTGTTGTTTATGGAAATATTACAATGGATTGAAATGCATTATTGATTTAAAATAGCAAGTAATGGCCATAGAATCACAATAGTTAATGATGAAAATAAAAGAATGGTAAAATCTCAGTATCAAAAAGATGATTTTGAAGAGTATAAAACCTTTTTATAATAGCTCTTAATACTATTTAAATGGGGCCGGAAAAGTTTGCATTAGGAAATAAAATAAAAGCTAGTAAACTTATAAAGAGCAAGGTTTTGGAGCAAGTATTTGATTGAATTAATTGAAATTGTGAAAAAGAAAACAATATTGCAGCATCAAATTCGATTTTTATCACATCTAGTAGACTTTTTATAAGCATTTTAAATATTAATAAGTATATTATTTAAGGAGTGTAGAATTTATCGATGAGCTAATGTGACAAAAGTTTTACAAGTCAAACTCTTGGATTTTTTAGATTTATGAGCTGGTTAAACTCAGAATATCATATTTATTTATATATTTATCAATTGCAAAAGGTGCCCACTTTTTAGCCTTATTTAGGATGCTATATTTGCACACCATTTTCCCTCTCTTTAATTTATAAAGTGGGTTCATCCATGATAATATGGTATTTTTTGAATATTATTTGTAAGCCGAACATTGTAAGAGCTAAATTCTATAATTTCGCTAATAAACCTATTACCGCTATAAACTGGCAATAATTATAAAACCGAACAGAATCATGAATAATGCCATCAGCTATCTTTCATTTTAAAATTGAACTATTCATTTATCTATCTTCACTTTCCAATTGTTTCTTGTAAAACAACTAATAATTTAGCAAAATATGCAAAATATATATTTAAATTACAAGATTGAACAAATAATTTTCATTTAAAAGACTTCATATATGGACTAAATAAAATTACTATTTTTTAGTTTAATTCAAATTTAAAATTTCTGATGATTCAAACAAAACCGCAACTTCACAAGCAATACTACTAAAAGCCTATCTTTATGATTTTATTATTAGCTTCAGAGGCTGAAAAATTGAAATTCTGATACTTGAATGGAAAAAAAAATTAAATTACTTGCTGCTATATTCTTAAAATTAGTGACTAAACTAGAAGTATTTTTTAATTATGTTCAGATATACCTTTAATCTTTTTTAGCGAACAAGCTTTGCTTGATCTTTTTTAATTTTTCCAAGTTTTCTTTTCTAACTGCTAATTCACGCTTTAAGTGGTGTATAGGCTTTTGGATATTTTCAGTGAGGCGCACAGCCTCATGTTGCTTTCCTGCAAAGCCAGCATCGTTGTTGATAAAAAGCCTGAGTTTTTTTAAGCTTTCTCCAACTTGGTTTATTTGAGAATTTAAAACTAAATAACGAGTTAAGTCAAAGCTTGAAATGGTTTGACTTAAATCGTAAGCATAAAGGCTTTGAATATCTTGCAGAAGCTGAATGCAATCGTCATTGTTTGATTGCGATTGTATTGCTTGTTGCATGTCTTTCATTTTTATTATTGGACATGGTGAAAAGCTTGACTCTAAAAGCAATTATAAACGTAGAATTTTAACTGGATAATCGAATAGAATTTTATTATTAGATTAAAAATTTAGATTTTTTTCTTCGGGTCAACACTTAACTGGTCACTTTAGAATTTGCCATTTTATTATCGACTTGGGATTTTTCTGGAATTCAGTATATTAATTTGGTTTTTATAGGTAATAATAAAATTTAAGTTCAGGATGATTTGATTGATTGCATTTTATTCGAATAATTTTAATGATGTCAATTTCCAAAAAATACTGATTGGTCGCAAGTTTGGGAATTTAAGTAGATGTTGTAGAGGATTTATTAAGTCCTAATGTCAAAAATATGGAAGTAGCCTATATTTCAGCTTTCTGAATTAAATCATATAAAATTCAAAAATGTTTTAAATGCAGTTGGCCAAAAAAATAATACCTAAGCAAATGTTTATATTTAAATTTTTGATTTGAGAATTTTTATAAATTTATTCCTTATTGATTCTAGGTTTAAAGTCTATTTAAATAGTAGAAAATATTGTTTTTTACTTAATACCAAATTACTAAATTAAACATAATTTCTTGCCAATATGTATTTCAAAAGGATTGAAAAAAATACAAGAAGAGTTATTTATTCGACTTGTATGCTTGATAGGCGACATAATCTATAGTATTTAATTCACTAACAAGCCAAAAATTTAGCCTTGATTAATAATTTAGTTTTTGTCTGGGCTTTAAACTTTCACATGAACAATTTTTGATTTACTTTGCAATCTGCTAGGAATCATTAATTATTAAGTGATATCTTTAAACAGCAAGGAAAATATTAAAATTAAATAGATATTTGCCTAAAATTCTTTATTGCCTCTTGACAATTTTTCTAGGGTTTTATAAATCAGGAAAAAAAACTTTGAAAATTATAAACTCGCTGCAATAAGGGAATATCGCAGCCTCTTTTGTAAGATATGATAAGTATCTATACTTGCGTCATATTTTAGGTAATTCTAATCACCTGAGATTGTAAAAATAAATAAAAATCAAGATTGGATAATTTATCTAGAATTAGGACAACTCCACATTTATTAGCGCATTATAGTGCCTATAAACTATATATATATACTTTACTGCTGTTTTATTTACTTTTGTAAATAGAATGGCGAAAACTTGCAGATAAGTTTCATTGCTATAAATGGGTATAAAATCTAATAAAATGATATAATTTTATAATAATATAGCATAATTAAGCTTGTTTTAACTTCCAACAGTTTACATATTTGTGTATGCTCCCTGTAATAATATATTTTCCAGATCTTGTTATGCTTAATCCATTCAACTGAGATAAATTTGTATTAAATTGCATAATTTTTTCTCCAGTTTCTATATTTCATATCACAATTATCTTTTCCTCACCTCCAACAGCTAACTCCCATCTTCAAATTAGGACAAACAATCCTTTCTAATTTAAAAGGCTTTAAAAATAAAAATATAAATTGGGCTCAATGCTAGGAATTTAATTTATTATTTTTATGAAAATAAATAATTAAAAATTTATCGACTCAGTGTAAAAACTGTTGGAATGATATTTCTACTCGCATTTTCCCATTGAATTATGCTAGACTAGTTTTCTTATTATAAAAAATTTTTGTCCAATTTAAATGTTTATGGAAAATGTATCTATACTAAAGAGGAGTAAGAGCCCTGCATTTGGGCAAGCCACCATATGATTAGCATTTTCATACAAACCTTCCAAAATTTTTATTTTTTGGTTTTTCAGAAAATCCCATATTATCACACTTCCATCTTTATCTCCAGAGTATAAAAATTTGTTGCATTCTGAAAATCTCAGTGATCTTGGTCATTGATTCAAAAGGCTAACAGCTCTAATGTCTTGCTGATCAAATTTCAATATGGAAATATTTCAGTCAGACGTTGCAAAGTATTCTCCATTTGGCGATCAAGCAACATTGTATGTACGAGACTTTAGTTTATGAATTGCCTCTTTTATTTCCAGGTCTCATAAAATTCCGAAATCAGAATGTCCTGAAATCAGAAATTTACCACAAAACGAAAATTTAAGTTGTGATGCTGGGGATCTAGAAGCCAATTTTGCATACAATATTTTGGTGTCAAGGTCTCATATGTCTATTGTATGGCTACGAAGTGTACCTTCAGGACCTACAGCAATAAATTTTCGACATTCAGAAAATGAGGCATACCTAACTGCTTCACACTTATTTGAAATATTATCCCATTTTTGGTTTTTAAGATCAAATCTGTCTATCCTGTAATTTTCAGTAACTTGATAAATGAATTTTTCACATGAAGAAAAAGAAATGGCTAAGATTTTATATTCATCCATCTCAATGCTTTTTTGTACTTTTTGTTTTTCTATGCTTCATAGTTTTATAATTCTTTTTTCTTCAGCAAATGCTATATATTTTCCAGATGGCGAAAATTTGCATTTTGCTGGGCCCCTTCAAATGCTTCTAATCAAAGCTAATTCTTTTTGATTGTTAATGTCTCATAAGCAGATTGTGCCTTTGGAGTGCGCTGAAACTAACAAATTTTTGCCTGGGGATCAAGATAGTGAATGGACCCAGCCAATTTCTTTGCAATCTAACCAAAAATTGAATTCTTTAGTTTGAAAATTTAATAGGGAAATAATTGAGTTGTTACGCTTGCTACACCCATTCAGGGCTAAATATTTATCATTAGGAGAAAAAGCAATAGCTTGTACTGACCAGTCTGTTCTAAAGCTTAATTTCTCGTTTTCAACAATTTTTTCTTCACTTAATGCAGTTTCATGCACCCTTTGCCCAGATCAATAGAGTAGTATTTTTCCAGATTGGCTAAAAGCGATATTGCAGTCTGAAATACATTTAATTCTTTTGCATTTACTTTGATCTTTTAAATCATATACTTGTATAAAATTATTTCCATTGCAAGCAATATACCTCCCATATGGTGAAAACATAAAATATCTCACCCCATGCACATAATTTCACCTAAAAATTAATTTTTTTGATTTTATATCTCATAATTCTAAGCCTTTTTCCTTACTTAAAATGGCAATATAATTTCCACATGGAGAAAGCTCTGCTCAATCAACATTATGCTTATAATTGCCAATCTCTGGAAGTATAACATTCTTTCTTACTCCCCTTTAGCTGCAAGCAACATTTATTTATCATCAAAGGGGTAAAATTTTTTTTAAAAATTATATTAGCACTTTTAAGGTTAAAAGAAAAATCAACATATTTATAAAATTTAAGTTTTGACTAAATTAAATGAAATTAGCTTGAATCTTATTATAACAACAATTATTATTATTATTATTATTATATTAACAATATTTTTTGCTCACTCTCAAAGAGAGCTAATTTTTTCAAAAAATCAAAATTTCAATATTTTTCTTACTCTCAAATCGAAGGAGTTAGCGCTCAGATTCTGATTCTTCTATCATTACTACATGTGAGTAAAAATTTTTCATCTTTTGATATATTTATATTATTTGGAGAACTTTTTTGTTTATATAGATCAGCAGAACTACTGAATATTGCATTTGTTAAGTCACAGTGATTGAATTTACAAAAATAAAATTTGGACTCACTAAAGTTTACTCCTTTAAGATTACTTCCTTCAAAATTGGTCTTAATAAATATACTTCCAGATAAATCTGTGTGAGGAATTTTAATTTTGCTGAAATCTAAATTTTTAAAAATAAAATTAGCTCGATTTAAAATGCAAATTGCATTGCTTGCTGCTAAATTAATAGAGTCTGTGAGGCTTGATAGTTTTATAATATCACATAAAATATTGTTAAGGTTATCAGTTAAAAGCAAGCTAATGAAATGAGCAATATCTTTGTCGACCATGAAATTAATTTTGTTGAAGTATAATGCGTTGTATATATTTTAACACCAGTTAATTTGTCTTAGCAAAAAATAATGAGGATTTTATTTGCTTGGGTTTATTTTCCATCTTTTATTATTAGCATCTTTAAATCTAATATTTTAAACATTATTTTGATGATTATTGGAATATCTTTAATTCTAAAGGACTTCTTGATAAATTTTTAGCTTAATTTAAATCTTTGCTATTTTTAATTCAATAATTTGATGCTAAACAAAACTAAATTATTGCAAGCATGAATAATTTATAAGAAATAATATATCCAAGAAACCTAAAATTAATTAATTTAAGTTTATTTTACTCCAACATACTTTGTTCTAAGTCTCTGGTTTTTCACTACATCATTATTGTCTTTATTCCAGTGCCTTCTATCCCTAACGTTTTTTCGAGGATTAGAATATGGAACAAACACTCCTTCAAGTCTCAAATATTTATGTTCTAAATGCTCAGCTCTTTCTGGAAAAGCTTCAAACCACTCTTCTTTTGTAGATTTATTTCTATTTATATACCAAATCTTATGTAAATTTGCATTTGAAGGATTCCAGGTGATAAAGCCTTTATTTTTCTCATCGGTGGTTACAATAAGCTTCACTGTTTTATATTGTCCTGAAGTAAGCATTGCTGCTTTTTGTGCTGGAAGTTCTGTATAAGGCTCCATAAGTGCTTTGAAATATATTGGAAAATCATTACCTCCAGAAAGAGTTCCAAGTAATAATCCAGCTGCTTCATTAAGATTTAAAGTCCTGGCAAACCATTCAGCTTTAAGATAGGTGTTATTCGAGTCCGTTTCAATGTTATGGGCCACTTTTTTGTGAGCTGTTGCTTCTTTTCTCACTGCTTGAGTATATAAGTTTTGAATGAACTTTAAAGAAGCATCAGGATCAAAAATATTTACGAACTCCCCTCTTGCTATTGAATTTTTTCTGTCAATTTCCCTTTTATCTCTGATTGATTGGAAAACTAAAGCGAGTTTTTGCTCATTTGTAACGATTCCTAGGCTTTCTAAGGAACTATGAATAGGAAATCCAAATTGCCCCATCATGTGTAGGATTTTATAGAGCATCCCTCCTGGTTTCATTTGGGCTGGGATTTTATCAATAAAGGACTCCGCTCTTGGTGAAAGCTCATCAATTTTTCCTGTAAAGGTGAAATTGAACTTCTTATGGGCGTGATATTGATAATCTCTATCAACTCGCTCTAATTCTGTTAAAAACTTTTGAGCGTAATAGGAAATCGAAAATCCTTGGCTTTCAACCTTTTCTATATATTTTGAGGCATCAATATCCAGCATTTTGATGACGAAATCAAAAAACGTAATTTTTGCAGGGAAAATAATCCTGCGTCTGAATTCTTCTTCAAAAATGTATGGGAATAAAATTTCTGATTTTTGGAAATCGCCTGTTTGATGCACACATAAAAGCTTTGCTAAAAATGCTGAGTTATTATGAATCGTGCTGGGAAGCCTGCTTGAAACATTAGTTAAGTATTCATCAAATTGATATTTAAGTCTCCCCAGAAAAAGGTCTTTGTTGTCTCTATATAAAGCTAAACAGGTTTCTCTAATTAAATTCAATTGGAAATACTGAAAATCTGTTTGAGCATCTTCAATAGCTTTGGCGTAGAGCATATAAGGGAACTCGTCTAATTGTTGGTCTTCATATCCCAGCACATTGACTGTGACGTTCCATCCTATTAGTGGCTTTATTTTTTCTTTTGCGATTTGCCAATGATCTTCGTTGATATAAACTGGGAAAATTCCATTAATAATTTCATTAGGTAGCCCTTTGATAATTTCATTTGCGGGCAATGGCTTGACTCCGTTTTGATATGATCTGGAGCCTTGAATAATCTGTCCTGCTTTGGTTTCAAAAAGCGCTGAATCGATAAATGAGTCTGCAGTTATAGAATAGACAAGGATTTTTTTTATTTTAATTTCATAGGCAAGTCCTAGTAAGTCTCTTGGCCTTTCAATTTCTAAAGTCATACAAAAACAGTCACCATCTGGAATTGCATCAATTCAGCTTTTGCCTGAGATAATACATTAAATTAATCAGATTTTAAAGTGATGCTCTCTTCAGCAGGGAGTAATATCAAGACCTCCCTTTTTAACTCCTAGTTGATGACATCAACAGTCATCTTGTCCTGCAAGAATTCCAGTGATCACCAAAAGGACCAGAAAGCCTCAGGTCGCGTTGACATTTCTCCAGACTTGACTCCTGCTCGTGTTCCGCCTAAGGGTCACCCTTCTTGGGTGTGCCAAGATGTAAAACTCCTATACGTCCTAAGATCCTATACCAAGCGACTTGCCTTATACGATAAGCCATATTTGGCATTGTGGGTAAAGGTGCACCAGATAATCCGAATCCCATAATAATAAAATTCATGGAGGAGAAAAAGTTTACGGAGTACATCATTTCCGTCCATGGTCATATTGTTATTGCCTGAGATAATACAATTTCCGTACTCAGTGATATGATTTGCATATTTTTGCTGTATTTCAGGGATATTAAATTTCATTACTGCCTCATTGATGTTTGATTCTGTTTGATTCAACATTTCATGTGCGGCTCTTGACTCTTTCGCTAGCTTCTTTTCTAGATTCCTAATCAAGACTAATTTATGAGCATAATTATTAAGCTTTGCCAGCTGCAAATTTGTTAAGTCTCCTATTGAAGTTTCTCTCATAATTTCATAATAACAGTTAAATAGCTCTTTTGCCGCATTAAAATAAATTGTGCATTGTTTTCTCTGGAAAATCCTCAGCCTTCTCGATTCTCCTTCAAGATTATCAATTCTCCTATTCATTTCTTCAATTAACGGACAAATTTCTTCCAAATTTTTCCTTTGGTTTTCTGTTTTCATTTCCAAAATCTGAATAATTTTCGCACTCACAAAGTTAGTGACCAAATGCACAAGTTTTCTGAAATCATCTGTGTCCCCTCTTGTGTATTCTAATTCATAAACTTTTACAGATGAGCCTTTGTGTACTTCGATTTTACAGTCTTCTAAGTCGTTTTCACTAATATAGATTAAGCCTTCATACATGTCTTCTTGATGGGATCTTTCAATTGAAATTTTATAGCTTGCATTATTTTCTGTAGAAATAAATCGTGCCCAAATTGCAACTTCGAAAGCAAGCTCATAAATATTGTTAACAGCTACAGGGATTCTTCCGCCTGGAGGGACATATTGAAAGGAGCCAGGCTTTGTCCCACTTTGAGATAGAGCAGTTAAGAGGGTAGCGTCATGGTTTTCAGAAAAACCTATTGAATGTACAGCAATCGAGGTTCCGAGATTTTCCATGTCTTTTTGGAAATTTTCCATAATGGGGATCAGCTGTGCTAATCCGTCGTTGTCTTGACCATCTGAAAGCCAAATGCAGAAGACGCTTTTCATGCCTTTTTCTTTTATTTGTTTATCGATAGCTCCGATTACAGGAGCGAATAAAGTTCCTCCTAAAGCGCTGAGATTTTCAGCTGTGTTAATGACTGCATCAAATCCATTATCACTTGAAGATACTTCCACAAGCCGATTGTTAAATAGATATAATGTGACTGGAATGCGAGCCTTTTTAAATTTCTGAATCAAGCTTAGAGTGGCTCCTTTTGCGTCCTGGATTGGAGGTCCAGCCATAGATCCACTTCTATCAATCGCAATAATTACGTTTAAATTATCTATTTCAGCACCTCCTGCTTGAAAATCAGGAATAAACAGTTTAATTGCCATGTACTCACCTACGAGATGAATGAGCTCACCTTGAACGATGTTTGCCATATTGTATCAGTATTAAAAAATTATTTTCTTTATAAGTGAAACTCCCAATCATAATGCTCAATATGAATTATTCCCGACTACTTTACTTCCCCCCTCTGTGAGTGAACAAAACCATTAGAAAAATCGCTATTTTTTGCCCAAAACTCACCCTCCGTGAGTTAACAAAAATTATTTTAATAGAAAAAAATTTTTTATGGAAAAAAAATTTGATATATAAGTGATAATTAGTATAATGAAATCTAGAGCTAATTCTGTTTAATTTTAAACAAATTGCTTTTTTAAAACATAAATTTTATAAATTAAATTAATATTTGCTTTCCAATTAGGATTTTTTAAATTTCGAAAAAAATTTCTATAAAATTTCTATAAAATTTCTATTTTAAAAAAAAAAATTAACACCCTTTGTGAACAAAATTTTATTGTCCACTCACGGAGGGGGGAGCTAGCAATTTATTTATTTATTATTATTTCCTTTATTCGGCTCGTAATTTTTGATTTCGTAGATTTTGCACTCTGCGATTATTGACTTTATAAGGACACATGTAGTAAAAATTATTATTGGTAGAGACATGCTTAAGACAGAAATTGGTACGAGTCTTATCCAGATCGTTAGCTGTAATTTCAGATACATAAAAATCTTTCTTGATAAAGTTTCTTGGAGCTGGATTATAACTTTCTTTTTTCTTATTGTCTTAATAAGTTTGGTGAAAAGGAATTTCAATCTATAAATTATATAGAGAATGACAGGGATATTGATAGCTGCACAATAGAATGACTGGCTTCTCCTAATTGTTTTGAGTATTTGCAAGAATGGCATAAACTTTACGCTTCCTTTAAGCTCGTATTTGCATAATTCACATGCTAAGCCTGTGTTTTCTGCTCTTGACCTAGCCAGCAAACTTCGAAATTTGTATTTTTCTTTTAATCATTTTTGTAAGCATGCTTCGTGAACATACTTAATTGACCCCTGGAAAAACCTGGCTAGGTCAATCTGGCTCTACTGGCAGTTTTGCTCTACCTGGCTCTGTCTGGAAGTCTGGCTCTCCTGAATCTATCTGGCTCTGGAAGCAGGCTATACCTGCCAGCCTGGCTAAACTGGCAGTTTAGCAGTCTGGTCCTACCATAAAGGCTTAGAAGGAAATGATAGATATATAAAATGAGAGTATTATTTTGCATTTAAATGAAAATTTGATTATTCTTCAAAATTTAAGAATAAAATTAGTCTTTTTCAGGCAATATAAATATTCATAAACTCATTAATAACAGTGATTCTATTAATAAAAGGCTCAATTAATTAGAATTACTTATGCTCTAACTCCCCCCCCCCTCCGTGAGCGAACAAAACCATTAGAAAAATCCCTATTTTTTGGTCAAAAACCCACCCTCCGTGAGCGAACAAAAAATTTTTTTACATATAATTTTATATATAGTTTATTATATCTATATTTAATACAAATAAAGAGGATAATATTGAAAAATAATTATTAAGTTTGTTTGATATATTATTCAAAGGGTTAAAAAAAAGAATACCATAAGTGAAAAGGTTGAATTTAACAATTTTAAATTTAAGACAAAAAAATGAATAGAAGAAATCGATTAGATAATTAACTTCTTCATATTAACTTGATGGCTGAAAATCTTTGGATGATTAACGCCATAAGAACCCGTCAACTCAAATGATTTTCTGACAAGTTGAGGGCTTACAGCATCTCACGCCTTTGAAGCAATGTTTATCAGTTGCTGGCGATCAAGAGCTTTGAGGTTTCCAGTTCTTTTCGATCTTCTTTCAATCTGCTCTGTTGGAATTTGATTCTGAAATCTGTTGTTTTTGATTTGAAATTTGCAATTACCAGTGCGTCAAGTGGTTGCAAATACTTTGTGCACCCTCCAGGGATCACAATTTTGGTTGCATCTAAATCTGAAATTGCATTAGAAATCATGATAGTTTTATGACTTCCAGCCTGATCATAAATCAGCAGTTGGTTTTCTCGTCTCAATATTGTTCTGAGAATCTGGTCAGAAATGTAGCCAGATTTATTTGATTTTATGATGACATTTTCTGGAATATTCAGTCTTTCTCTTACAAGGTTCGGGATCTGGCCATTTTTCTCTTGAAAAATGAGCAAAGCAGGCATTTTTTCTCCATCAGCTCTAATCATAAGCATAACAGTGATAAAATGGTTCATTTTAGCTGATTGAACGCCTAGAATTCGTTGAGTTCCCTTGAAATCATAAGTGAACTTGCTTTTTACATCTCAATCAAATCTCGTTTCATCGAAATTGTAAATGTTAGATGGAACGAATTGAGGAAGCAATGACGCTAAATCATCTAGGTATTGCCTGACAAGTTCTGCCTCTTTTTCGATTGGCTTAATGCTTGAGGCATTGATTTTTCTGAAAGATAAATTATTTCTGGTCCTAAATCCTTGCCACCATTTATCTCCACAGCCGAATCGCGCCAATCCCATTTCTGCCGCCAAACTTTTTGCTTTCTCCTCAATCGTTGATCTGAGAACCTGAATACCTTGCTCACGGATTGCAGTAAACCAATGAACTAGTTCTTTCTCTAGCTCTGGAAATTGAGTGAAGCTTTCTAATTTTAATTTTTTATCAGATTTTACTGATTTCTTCAACTCATCAAGCTTATTCACCCATTCGGAAATCGAGCTAAAGGAGTTGACATGAAACTTTGCAGCAACATCTCTCATGCTCATCTCATTTTGGTGTTGAATGTAAAATTCAGCAATTTCAACTTTCTGCCAAATTTCAATGTACTTTCTTTTCCCTTTGTACATTTTTATTATGATTTATAGAGAATTTGCTTATTATATTAAATAAGAAAATATATAAAATATTTTAACTGAATGCATATATTTATTACTAATAGCTTTATTGATTATTAAATTATTGAAAAATTAAAGCTGTGTTTTACCTTTAATCAAATGGTATTCTTTTTTTTTTGGGAAATTCCCTTACTCTCCCCCCATAATATTTTTAAAATAATTTCAACTTATAAAAAAATATTATTTTACAATTAAAAATTTATATATAATTTTTTTTTAAAAAATAAAAATTAACCCCCCTCCGTGAGCGAACAAAAATTTTTTGTTCGCTCACGGAGGGGGGGGGGGAGTAAGTGAAACAGTGTGCTTTTTTACAATATTATCAATTTAATGTTTCCAGAGAAATGAATTTATATTATAAGAATATTTTTTATATTATAGCATTGTTTAATCAAGCTAGGTTGCATACTGCAAAATCAGCAATTTAACTAAATATAGAAAGGTAGACTTGTGGGAATATAAGAGAAACGAAAGTTAAAATTATTTTTAATATCAAATTATTTATAATTAGTACGAGGTAGAGCGGACTGCCAGGTAGAGCCGTAAAGCCAGTTAGACCTAACAACATTAGCCAGACCCCATGCATTTGCATGGTGAGATAATGTTTTCTTGATTTTGAGAATTTAGACAGATCCTGCATTCAAATGACATTTATATTTCTATAAGGAAAGGTTGTTGATTAATTCTTAAATTACATTAATTTTATATTATGATTATATAAAAGCTCAAAAATGCACTTATTGCTTTGTTTTAATAATGCTTAAAATTATGTTAAATTCGCTTTATATCAGAACTAGCTAAAAATTAAATCTAAAATTTCAGAATTGGTGTTCAGTTAATAATTTTTTATTTGCTCAATAAAAACATAAATAATTTTATTAATGTCTTATAGTTAAAACTTAACAGAAGCATGCCTTTTTTCAAATATTTGGGCTTTATCGATATGCAAGTTTCTATCCTACTTGCTTCCAATATTTATAATTTGCATCATATTAGCCAAACATTTAATATGCTTAATTTAGTCTCTCAATCTCTTTGAATTTTTAATCTATAATAATTTTAAATCCTTGCTTCATCGGGGTCTTTTATTTTTGCAATTAAATTTAACGAGCAGATTTAAGAAAGTAAATTAAAATTATATCAAATCCCTTTATTCATAAACCTCCAAAAATTGGCTATTTAATTATTGGAAAAAATATATGTTTCAACTAATTTTCATCTTCATCTGGTTGATAAACAACTTGTGGTATGCTTAGACATACAATTTTTTTCTTTGGTTTTGGCTTTTCTTCCACATCTTCTTCTCTTTGGCTTAAATTTGTTTGCTCATCAAGTGTAATATCATTGAAAATACTTGATTTAGTCTCATCTGGCTCAAACTGTTGAGATTTTCTTTTCCTGTGATTAGGGAATTCTGTAACAAATGAGCTTACTCCCCCCCATCCTTGATCGAACGATTGACTGTAAAAATTCCTAAAAATTTGGGAAATTAACCCCCATCTGGTCAAGCACAGGTAGCAACCCTACACCCCCACCCCCCTAAAAGCGGTACCCCTATCCCCCCTTTTTTAATGGTACCCCCCACCCCCCCTTTCACAGATGGCACCCCCCCCTTAATATAGCATAAATATATGACAAATGCCAATTTAGAGCAGACGCAATAAAATAAATTATTATTTTAAATATTCAAAATTACTGATTTATACAATATCCACATAGCGTAGCACAATCGATTAAGGAGTAGGTGGAATGAGGTGAGAATTTCCTATAACTACTAAGCACACCACATATGAAAATTTGTTAGCGAGCATAATAATGATCTTTGGTATTAATTAGCAATATATCCTGCATATATTTATGAACTTTGGGAACAATGGCTAAAAGTCGAATTAGAGATCCAAAAGTAAAACTGACAATAGCAAATAATATTTTTATTACCACTATTGAATCCTGTTACCAATTCAGTCCTGCAATCCTTATAAAATGGACATTAGATTAGCTTTAATGTATGAATCAATAAATTTAATGCAATTTATTGTGTTGTGCTTGGCTCATTTAATAATTAATGCCATTATCTATATCTTTGGCATTATATTTATAAATATAAAAAACAAAATTAATAATATATTTTCTAATTAATTGCTAATTAATTTAAATTTATTAATTAATCATAAATATAAAGTAATTTGTGGACTTAATTTATCAATATAGCGTTTTAATTGGGTTATATTTAATTTATTTTGCTTGTTTCCTATTAATTACTTCTATAAAGAGGGGGGGTGGGGGTGCCATCTGTGAAAGGGGGGGTGGGGGTACCATTTTTTAGGGGGGGTGGGGGTTCCCCTTATTTGGGGGGTGGGGGTGTAGGGTTGCTACCTATGCTTGACCACCCATCCTTGATCGAACGATTTTCATATCATGACAATTTTTATATATATAAAAATACATTAGTTATCAAAAGCTTGGGAAGATGTACCTAATGAAGTTGTTTTCAGAGACTTTAAGACGACAGAAAGCTTTGGAATCAACCATTCAAAGTGATTTAGTCATCAACCTAGGCTTTAAAAACTTAATAATCTAATAAAATAGAGATTTTTTAAAATTTTAAAAATAAAAAATTTAATTTAATAAGGAACAAATTAAAATTTATACAGTTTAAAGGGGTAACTAATAAATCAAAATATTAAAATTGGTATTTTTATGAAATTAATTCAATTTTTTGCTGTAAAACTAATTATTAAATACTCTTAAACCTCTTATTTAAAAGTAAATAAAAAATAATATATATATATATAGTTTTTATTTTAATATAAAATTTTTTTCCAAAAAAAATGTTTATTAACCCCCATCCTTGATCGAACGATGGCGAGTCGTTCGATCAAGGATGGGGGGAGTTAGGTCTTTGATTATTGTAGCAGATTGGTTAATTAGTTTAGGTTTATATAAATCTTCCAGGGGAGAATTACTAAATCCTTTTCTTTTTTGCATTGGGCTGACGTCTATAGATCTTAGAAGCTTTAGCTTAGGTAATCTAACTGCGGAGTATTTAATTTTAAGCTGCTCAGAAGGGTTTTCATGGTCTTTTTCAATGTATTTCTGCAAGAACTTCCGAGATAAATCCATTTGCGTATTATAACATTTTTTGAGTAAAGCTTTTTAAATAAAAGTTAATGGATTGATAGAATTATGGCAAAGATATATGTATTATTCCAGTAAAATCGATTTTAAAGCAGTGTGAGCTAAAATTTTTGAACTAAATACTTAAGGCATCGTCATCAGAGAATAATTTATAACTGGATTTAATAAAAAGTGACCCAAATATATTTTGTTTAATTTTTCATAAATAATCCCCTAGCCATTCCCTAAATTTGTTTCCGAATTCATAGGCTAAATAAGTAAATTGAGCAATAATCAAAAGAGAAAACTATAAAAGCTTGTCTATTATTAATTATTGTCTATTTATTCGAATTAATTTTTTCCAAATTAATCATATAAAAAATTTCAAGTTATATATTTTTAGCCATTTCTTGATGAAATTTCTTTATAAAATTAATAAGCTTATATTTAAAAAAACAGCCAAAAATCTTAAATTATAAATGAAATCTATTGAGTTCATAAATAATTTTCACTAAATATAATTTACCTTTTTTCCAATTTAAATCCCTTTTAGCTTTTGTAAAAGAATAAAGGAATTTTTTTGAGCCTTGAGGTTCTGGAGTATAAGCTCCAACTCCTGGAACATCTCTTTTTTGAAAAGACTTATTTTTCATATAAGTATAAACAGGCTTAAGAACGCTCCTATCAGTTTTATATTGATCAGGAACCGGGCTATCTTGATCCATCATTTCTTGATAATAGACTCTCCTTGTCCTCTCTGTTGAGCAAAATCTGAAATTAAACTTTGTGCTTCAATTAAAGAATAATTAAATATGGTGTCTTGGCCCAAGGATGGCGGGAGGCAATGCAAACTCGAGTACATATTTAATTATATCCGGCAAAGATTTAGCAACCCAGAAATGGACAGCAATATCAGGTAAGTATTTCCGGCAGTGTGCAGAGTCTGATCCAAATCCCTTTGCAGGGTTGGATTTTACCTCGTGAGAAAGGAAGGCTTAAAGTTGGAAAGGAGAAGCCTAGCAGTGTTTGACCCTTCAGGTAACTCCCGAGCTTGAAGCCAAGAATTACTCCTTGGGCTCTGAGTTGGAACTTTGATCGTCAGTTGGCCGGAAATTTCATTTTTTGAAATTTCTGTGCAGACAACCCATATCGAGCCCAAAGACTTGGAAGAGCAGTTGTCGAAACCCGAACGCTCAAAGCCAAGGGGTCATGCAGTCTTGGTACCAACGTGATGTACGACACTCTCGGATTAGCGGGAAACCTGTGCAGGTGATGCGTGATCTAATGTTAAACTCTTAATTTAATATATATGTGTGCTTGAATCTAAACACTTCGGCGCAGGAGAAGGATCTTTTGTATGATAAAGTGGTGGCGTCTTGCTCGGGTTAAATTTTACAGTTGGAGTAACAGGGAGTTTTCATGCATATTTTGGCCCTGGAGATCTGTCGAAATATTCCTGAAAATTTATCAGTCTATTCACTTTCGCTCTGTTAAATCGTGTTGCTGGAGGATTTGGCATAACTTTTTCAGCTTTAGGCGTATACGTAAAAGCAGACGGCGAATCAGGCGACTTTTTCAATCTTAAATTCGCTTTTGGAAATTTAACTGTAGGAATTCTCTGTTTGTTCGACAAAAACTCATCACTGGCATCATAAGTCCCTGGTCCGATTTCTTCATCAGAAGACGAGCTTGGCATTCTTTTTGGCTTTGATAACTCTCTCAGCCTTTCTTCAGAGTATTTGTAAATTTTCTTGTCTCTTTCAACACTTTTATTTAAATCGATTCTTCTGTTGAATTTTTTTATTTTAGGTTGGCTTTGAGAAATTGTCAGCAAATTGTTCCACTCGTCTTGTGAGAAGTAATCATATGGAGATTTAGACATATATGATTCCAAGAAAATGAGAATTTTTATAACTTAATTTGAAGGTTTTAAGCGCAGCTTCTTCAATATAACTGTAGTGAAGGGCGTTTTAGAGGAAAATACTGAGTTTTTGCTATCATAAAAATTGGAGACAAATATCAATAAAATTCAAGTGATAATAGTCAGTTCTTAAAATGAAAATATTTATATATGGACCAAAGTCTTAAACTCAACAAATCTGCAATGAAAGCTCAGCCTATAAGGCGAGCTGTTAAATCTTTTACTATTGTACCTCAAATTTCGTTATACAAGCTTAATGATCAGTCTCCAGAGCCTACATCAGGCAGCTCTCTTTTCCCTTCGATTACAAAAACGATGAATAAATCTTCAACGACAGGCAGACTTAGCTCAATTGAAGCTAAGCCAATAAACTTACAGTCTAAGTTAAAAGCAAATACGCACAGAAGAAAACTGTCCCAGCCCTTGAGCCCTACATCAGAAAGGCTATCACATTTGTATGTGTCTCAGCTATTTTCTTCAAGCAGTAAGAAACAAACGGTTCATTTAAGGAGTTCTACTAAATACAGCGAATGAGAAATTCAGGATGCTTTAAGAAACCCGAAGAAAAAAGATATAAGGAAAGGAAGGCTGAAGTTAGTGGCCTCATTGAAATCATTAAAGATGTTTGAACCGAGAGAAGTAACGTGGGTTTAGAGTAAACTTATTTATCGATAGATTTTAAATTTTTTTGAAGCTTGATATGTGACTACTTTTATAAATATAGATTTTTATATATAAGAGGTGAAAATATTGTTTGGAGAATGTATAAAAAATGTTTTAGTGTAAATTTTAGGGTAGGGTTATAGTTAATTTATTAATTATGCTAAGATCATCAAATAAATATTTTTATTATGGGCTCGAATGCTAAATATTATTGATCCCACTCAAATATAATGGATTTTGAGTTTATTTTAAAATTTCAAGGCAATGGAGTGCTAGTTGCAAAATTATTCATAGAAAATGAATAAAATAATTGAAAGATATAACATCGAAATTTTATTAATTAATTAAAGCGTAGGAACTTAAAATGGCATTATTATATATCATACCCTCTAAAGACCATCATATTATCTTGCATTTGTGATAAATATTGCATTTAGTAACTTTAAATTAGTTATTGCCCTTCTTGTCAATACATCTCAGTAAATTGCTGCTGTTTTATTAAATCCTGAGGAGTAACAGAAGATCTGATTGTATCCAAAATCCTAAAAAAATCATTGGCATCAACTTCACTAGGTTTAAGGGCTGACCAATTAGCATAAAAGGCAAAAATGGGTTGCTCTTTGGGATTTCTTACAGTCTCCATTAATGTTACTCTCATAGTTGTAATGATATCAGATCCTAAGTATCCTTCAGTTTTGCTTGCATGCTCATTCAAGCCTTATTCAGTCAAATTATAAGACGTATCTCCTAAATTCAGCTTAAACATATGAGCCCTGCAGGCACATCTGACAACTGAATATAAACCCTCCTTTCAAAGCATCTTATAATTGCTGGATCAAGCTCCTATTTTATATTTGTGGCACCTAGCATTAAAATTCCTTCTTCATTATGCCCAAGTCCTTACATTTTTACTAAAATTCTCCTGGCCGAGTCATTTTCGTATTCATTTCTGCTTCCATTAAATGAATCTATTTTATCAATAAAAATGATAACAAGCTTGCCTAAATAAACTATTTGTTTATTGAAATTCTGATATTGAAGTAAAAAATGCTTATTTATCATTAAAATTGAAATCCTTCTTAAATTTAAATTATAAGCATTTATTTGATGGAATATTAAATAAAGATTTTCAATCGCAATTAATTGCTTAGAAAATTTTCAAATGTGATAATTCCACAAATTTAAAGGCCTAATAAAGCTCATGTGACGATTTATTACATAATCCCAATGAAAAAAGTTAATTAGGGCGCTAAAACGGGGATTATTTCAGCTCTGGCTTCAGCTTCAAGCTTCATGCCACGCTAAGTATTAAAGCCATCAACTCAAAAATTGTCAAGTCATCAGTCTGAGAGGAGACTCAGCCTAGCCTGCTTAAAACAAAATTTGCAGCAAAGGACTCTCTTAACTCTGGCACTACTCAGGGCATGAGGTAAACTTTTGATGCCTCCTTCTGAAACCATCTTTGCCCTTTTACAAGAAGTTTCTGCTTATGCTGCGCAGTCTCTTGTCTGTGGGTTGAAGGGAAGCCAGTTACCCCACCCTGAAAATTCCTCCCCCTGCAGACCCGTAGCCCTCCAGAAGCAGGCACTACATCCCTGACTCCTTGAAGCTGCAGACCTTTTCGCCATCTCAGATGGAGGAAATTTAATTCCAATGAAGATAAAAGAAGTATTATTAAAATTGAAATTCAATATCTGCCATTAAATTATCTCAGAATTAATAGATTAAAAATGTCTAGATCCGTAGTCAGAATAGTCAATCCTCTTGAATTATCAGAAGGCGTTGGTGCACGCGTAAAGCGTGTAATCGGTACTTCTCAATTAAAGAACTTAGATCCTTTTCTTATGATGGACCACTTTTTTAATTTTAATTTAATAATTTTTTATCAGCTCAAAAATTTCCTTCTTTTTTATCAATTTGAACAAAAATTAATGACAAAGTCCATTTTTGTATTTTCTTCTCTTATCAAATCCTGCTAACCACTTTTTTGTTAGCAAGCCTGCAGGTTTCCCTGACCATCCTCACAGAGGCTTTGAGACTGTAACATATATGCTTCAAGGAAGTTGCAAGCATGAAGACTTCAGAGGCAATATAGGTGAAATATCGCAAGGAGGCATTCAATGGATGACGGCAGGCAGAGGAATTATGCATTCTGAGATGCCAGGAACAAATGAAATGGAAGGAATTCAGATTTGGGTTAATTTGAGCAGAGAAAATAAACTTTGTGAGCCTTCATATCAAGATGCAAAAGAAAGCGAAATCCTCAAAGTTCAAGAAAGTGGCATAAGGGTGGCGATTATTGCAGGGAATAGCTTACTCCCCAACCCGTAAGTCAACAAAAAAACTTCGCTCGCTCACAGAATTTTTTTTTTTTTAAAATAATTATATATAAAATTTGATAGTAAATTTTTTTTCAAAACTCGAAATAATTTAAGAGCAAATATTAATTTAATTTGTAAAATTTTTTTTGTTTTAAAATGCAAGCTATTTAAAATTAAATAGAATTAGTTAGAGATTTCATTATAATGACTATCACTTATATATAAAAATTGTTTCATAAATAATCTTTTGACTCACGGAGGATGAGTCTTTATAAAAAATAGGGATTTTTCGAATAGTATTGCTCGCTCACGAAGGGGTAGTTAGGCAAAGCAGCTTCAACAATAACAAGGACTCCTGCAATATTTTTAGATGTTGAGATGGATCCTAATAAAGAGTTTATTCAAGAGATTGCAGATGAATGAAATGGATTTTTATATGTTCTTAATGGGTCTGTGATCATTAAAGATAAGACTATATCAAAAAATCAAGCTGGAATATTAAGCCAAAGTGGGGAACTTAAAGTTGAGTCAATTGAAGGTGCAAGATTTTTGTTACTTGCTGGGCTGCCTTTAAATGAGCCAATAGTTCAGCATGGACCAATTGTGATGAACTCTTATTTGGAAATTGAGCAAGCCTTTGAAGATTATAGAAATGCAAAAAATGGGTTTGAAGGAGCCCTTACTTGGAATTCTAAATTTAAGCTTCAATAGCAAATAAAGCAATAATTTTCCTCTATTTCAATGCAATTAGGCTCTCAAAGATTAAATATCGTTCATTTTTATATTATGATTGTATCCGGTAAATTCATAATTTTGCAATTATAAGATTGTCAATTTATTTGTAAAGCCTTATAAAAACTATAAAGCTAATATATTTGTTTCAATAGTACACACCTTTGATAAGGAGCAAAGGATAATTGCATTATTTTGCAATGGCTCACCTAGGCGATTATTAAAAGGAACAGATATTCCATTTATTTCATTTTTTTATAAGAAGTTCTTTAACTATATTTTTGAATTCAGTATCCCAATTAAGTAAACTACACATTAAAATCTAAATTTATGTCATCAATGCAATATAAATCAATAATATTGTGTTCTGTTTAATTTAAATATAAAGTATGTGTCAGTAAAGCAGAAAATAATAAATATACATGGAGGACGAAAATATTATCCTCTGCGATAAATACTCATTAGGCAAAAAAATCGGCGAAGGATCCTTCGGAGAGATTTATTTTGGAATCGATATTGAAACAAAAAGAGAAGTCGCCGTCAAAGTAGAGCCACCATCAATTAATGTTCCTCAATTAATTGCAGAAGCCAAAATCATACGCTCTCTCGATAAAGGCATTGGAATTCCAAAAGTGATATGATACGGAACCAGAGAAACCACAAACTATATGGTCATGGAAATGCTAGGACAATCTTTAGAAGACAAGTTTAAATTATGCAATCGAAAATTTTCTATCAAAACAACAGTTATGATAGCAGATCAAATAATAACGAGAATAGAATATGTACATACAAACAGTATCATTCATAGAGATATAAAGCCTGACAATTTCATGACTGGAATTAACAAAAGAGCGAATTTAATTTATATCATCGATTTCGGATTAAGCAAAAAATACCGAGACCCCAAAACAAAGCAGCATATCCCATATAAAGAAAATAGAAGTCTTACGGGGACTGCCCGCTATGCAAGTGTGAATGCACATATGGGGATTGAGCTGAGTAGAAGAGATGATTTAGAAAGCATTGGATATTTATTTGTATATTTCACAAAAGGAGAGCTGCCTTGGCAACGAATTCAATGTGATGGGAAAAAAGAAAAGTATAAGAAAATCATGGAATCCAAGTATAGCACCCCAGTTGAAGTCTTATGCAGAGGACTTCCTATAGAGTTTGTAGAGTACTTGCTTTATTGCAAGTCATTAAGATTTGACGAAAAGCCTGATTACGATTATTTAAGAGGGCTGCTCAGAAAAGTAGCGCTTGACCAGAATTTTACATTAGATCTGGAGTTTGACTGGATTATTATTGACAAAAAAACACATCAAAGTGAAACTGCTGACTCCAGCTTTGTGAGGACAAGACCTAAATATCATAGAGTTCCTCAGCCCTTTCCATATGATATGGGCCAGGAATCAGACTCGCAAAATGATTCAAAAACAATCACGAGGCAGTCATATATTGGCCCAGAATTTAATGATAAACAGAAAATTTTAGATGGCCGTAGAGACTTCCTAGATCGATCATTTATTAGAAGAAATAGTGTTCGAGAGAAGGCTAATAAAAGTTGTCACAGATATATTAAAATGGTTTTGCGATTCAGTCCGCCCTAATAGTCACGGAAATTAGTCAAATTAAGTCTGACTAAGGCTTATGTATGTCCAAAATAGGTTTGGCTTGGTTGGTTTCTGTAGCTGGAAAGAAGTGACTCGGCAATGTCCTTCGGGACCATCAGGGTTCACCTTGCACAACGTCAGAGGTTGTAGCATAGGCCAAAGAGGCTGAGTCTTTTTCTGTAAATACTGACAGCAGCCACCCAGCACATGCTAGGCTCAGGATTTTCATGGATCAAACTCCTCAGGAGACCATTGTTAGAAAGGCAAGGAGAAGGCGTAACTCCCTTGCGTACACTTATTTTGTACTGGTAGTAGGCAGCTTGGAGAAGAAGAAATGTAGTTTATGAGCATTCGGCAAGCAAATCATTGCCTATTTGGCTATATAGAGATCTGTTTCGCAAAATGGATGAAAATCCTAGGATGTCCTTGGTGACTGCATACCAATATGGTTTCCACCGCATATTAATTAGTATTAAAAATTCATTCGGCTAAGGTTTTCCTGACGCAAGTTGGGCAGTAACGCTGAGCTAATCACCCAATCTCAATCTTGGCAAGTTTTTATTCATGAGTCAAAGGAATCGAGAATTGGAAAAGGGATCTCCAAATAGTGTTGAGAGTTTCTTGGCCAATTGAAATTATTTCCCAGAGTGAAGCCAGGAGTTACGTCCTGAGCTTCGAATTTCATATTTTAAGAGAGTGACCAGAAAAATTCAAACCTTCTAAAGTTTCAATGATGGGTGCCCATTTTGGCGGGAAATAGCTGAAACCTTTCTTCCGAATAACGAGTAGCAAGAGCTCTTGCCTGATAAGAGCAATCATTCGTGATCGCATAAAACGAAAAATACAAAAGGCGAGTAAGCATTAGGGAAGAGGTAGTCCTTTCAAAATTATAGTGAGCTTTCTTAAAGTCTAATAGCGTAAAAAAGCTGTCATATATTTTAATTGTTAAGAAATTTTGTTTATTTAGCTATAAATAATTTTCTAATGCCTGATTTAATTTAAATTTATTAATGCTTGTCATAAAATAGTCATTTTAAAATTTTCATTTGAATTAATATCAGATAACTTATGGCTGAATTTTGATTAATTTTAATTTGAATTCTAAGCTATCCATTATCAAGTATTCAAAGCCCTTATATTAGAAAATTACTTGGCAATAATTTTTTATAGTCATAATTTCGAAAAAAATTATACTTCTCCAAATTTTAAGTGAAAATTAAAATCATTTTGTTTTCTAAAAACCATTGGAAAAATCCCCATTTTTTGGGTAAAAACCCACCTCTGTGAGTGAACAAAAATTTTTATAGTAAAATTATTTTAATATAGAAGTAATAATTATTATAATGATCTTGCATTTTAAGCATAAATTTTTTAAATTAAATTAATATTTTGTTTTAAATTATTTCAATATGGATTTTGTAAAAATTAATAAAAACTTATATATAAATATGCAAAAACAAAATTTATCCCCTCTCTGTGATCGAATTCGCTCATTGAGGGGTAAAAACTTTTTTTTTTGGGTTTACGCTTATTATCATTTTCAGGATTTTTTTTGAATTAATGGAATATCAGATTTTTATCAAGAAGATTTGCGCTAAAAAATAATAAATCAAGAAGGGTTGAAAATTTTCTATTAAATTTCCAAATTTCATATTTACTTCATATTATCTTCAGTTCAGCATATAAATATGGACGGATAAAGTGCACGATACCAAGTGGTCGAATTGTTTACTGTATGAATTAAAATAATTAAATTGCTTAAAATAAAACAAATGAATTCAGTTGGCTTATAAACATTAAAATGGCTTCTCTCCTTTCGGGTAATCAAAACAGACGTCAGTTCAATAAAAAACCAAAACCTCAACCAACTGCAAAGACTCAAAAACCTTCATACCAAACAGAGGCAGAACAATTTATCTGCTCCTCTAAAGAAGGTGAAGAGTTTCGCAGAGATCGATTATTCATATCAGACTTAATGAATAAGATCGGGATAATCATCCCAGACAGTCAACAAGGCTTGCAAGAAAAGCAGCTCAAGCCTAAAGTGAAGCAACACCAAGCTCCATCCTCACTCCTCCTCTAAAAACGAATAAAATATAATAAAATTCAATTTCAATATCTTTTTTTTTCAAATAAGTAAGTTTTCATGAATATGCGTTTTTTGGTATAGAATTTATATTGCTTTAATTTATATTTAAGACAATTTTGATTTTAATTTAGAATAAATGGAAAATTCAAATTCTGCAAAAAAAATATTTTTGGCTGAGGGAGCCAGAAACTCCTGTGAATCTGGTAGCCACTTTGCAAAACGTTCAGTCCTTTTTGAATAAAAGATCCCTCTATCAGCGATCAAAAGTCGCCGAGCTCCCTCGCCAAGAATCAAATGCAAACCAAGAAAATCTGACGATTTTCGCCCTCAGAAACATCACTGCGCTCTTCAGCAAGGAAAACTCCAGCATGCTCTTCGACTCATGGCCATTGATTTTCCCAGGTGAAAACATCCTCGGAAATTGTCCAGAAAAATTCATCAGTCAGCCTCCAATGACTTTTCTCCTCATAAACGATGCTTCCACTAGAATCCGTATGGAAGTCGCTTCAGCAATGGCTTCAATAATAACAAACTCTCCATTGCTAAAATGGCAAGACAACATCGAAAACTCAGGGGCGGCCCATGCATTAAATTCGCTTTCCCATTCTTTGGAAGGAATAATTTATAACCTGCATGAAGCTTTGGCTTACATTTTGTCCAGAAATGAGCCAAAAGAAATCGTGCTCTCTGTATTAAAAACCGCAGAAGCACTAATCGGGAACACTTCTTATGCCAAATTTTCAGGAATGTCACTGCCTCCTCTCATTAGTGCTGTTATAAGCAAATTTGATGAGAATGATGCTGACATTACCAAAGCAGCCATTTCTGTGCTTGTCTGTGCATTTAAAGAAAATGTTGAAGAAATGGTTCAGTTCCTGACACCTCAGTTTATGCACATTTTCATAGGATCTAGCACTCTCTTGAAAGAAAAGCTTGAGCTTTTGGCAAAAATTGCAAGAAATTACTCAGTCCATCTTGATTTCTTGATAGACTGGCTGAAGCAAAAATTAGATGACCTCTTGGTATGTGACGAGCCTGACATCCAAAGGGCAGCTTTTAAAGTTATTGAAGAGTACATAAGAGGGAATCAGAACTGCCCATTGATTGGCTTGGCTATTAACAAGATGTTTTATTTAATTAAGAAAAAGAAACTCGATGAGCTAAGCTACGCATTTGATGTCTTGACAGTTTTGCAAGACTTCAGCCACTTTTCAAGCGATCAGTTTGACGAGTTTTTGAGGTTCCTTAAGCACTATGAAAGATCCCAGGCCCCTTATTTCCTTAGAAGCAGCTTATTAAAGCTGATTGGGACCTTATTTAAAACCAAAACTATGCCAAAATTTTTCTGCTCAACCGCTCTCAACATCATAGCAAACCACAAGGAATCCAAAGACCTCAAAGTTGCTATCAGTGGAGCCTCAGCAATCTCAAGCTTCTGTACTAACCCACTTTGCTTGGACAGACTTGACTTAGTTTACAAGATGATCAACGAAAACAGCCAAAACAAGAAAGAAAAAATAGTTTCAAACGCAATTATTTCAATAGGAAATTTGTTCAAAAATTACTCACGGTCAGACCTCGGAGACTTATTTAAAGAATTTTTCGAAATCTGCGTTCAAGGACTCTCCCATAAAAACGCCAAAGTTGGCTGGGACTCATGCAGAGCCCTTTTCGAGTTCTTTGGAAATAAAAATATGCCACACAGTGAAGTGGCTGATATTTTAATTCCTGTGCTTATAGCTACAATCAGAGACCAGAAAAACTATAAAACAAAATGGAAAGCAGCTCAGATGCTGAGAAAATTCACCACTGAGCTATGTGACAGATCGTTGGAAATCTTACAAGTTTTGATTGCTGGACTCGAATCAACCAAGAGCTCTTTAGTTTTCGATGCAAAAACTTTGAAATATGAGAGAGGGTTCAGACAAGAAGCAATCAATTGTATAGTGTATATTATGGAAAATGTCCAAGAGTTGAGCCCAGAGCTTGTAATATATTTGTCACAGCATAGCTGGGAAATCTACGAATGGCTTGAATGGATGGTTTCTGATGTGATCAGAACAAGCTTCGACTCGAACCCTGCTGAGCATCCAGCTATTGAGTCAATCAAGGATTTTTCAGAAAAAATTTTAGCCTGGGTATCAAAATGTGAAGGAATTCAGATCTCCTTTGGGTTGCTAGAAAAATACAGAAAATTATCACTCTTCAGCGAAAGCAAAATTTTCAAGTATTCAGCACAACCAAATATCGAGAAAAAATGTGACTTTCTTCCAATAAGAAATCCATTTAGCAACCAATTCATATAGATAAATAATATATATCTATTTCGTTAATAATTTCTTGCTCCCTCATCCTTGATAAAAAATTCTTAAAATTTTGAAATGAGCAAATGATTCTAATATATTGCAAAATTTTGGATATAGGGTTTTACCCTATATTAAATTAATAAATTAGTCAGGATTCACTATAATTATAGAAATAGACTGCAAAGAGTACCTAAAAATTTTAAAATGCTGGCAATTAGCGATTAATAAAATCACTCAACTTTGATTTTAATCTTAAAATTAACTGCTTATTAAATTCGTTTACTTAAGAATTTGCTTAAAACGAAATTTTTTCAAGAAAATTCACCATTTTTTAACGAGCAATGGTAATCTATGGGGGAATTAGAATATCTTAGTGTCATGCTTTAAGCTTTTTGCTTCTTATTGTGCTTTTCTTATTATATATATTTCATTGGAGAATTTTAGATAATTAACAATAAATTAGTTTGCTTTTTTCTTGAAGCTTAGGGGCTGGTTAGGATGTATCGGATCATTTGAAATTTTATATCGGAGTTTAAGAGGACTGTTGCGCCGGATATCTTCATGTGGTTCCGAAGAACTTTTTATGCTTTCATAAGTAGGAATGAAAACTCTTTCAGGTTCTTTCCTCAAAGCGTATGGAATGTTCTTCTTAGTAGTGTCTGGCAGGCAAAGAGATTTTGAGTCCTTATTATGTTTAGGCTTTATCATATCTTTTTTATCAAAAGAAAGATCGGCAGGTTTTGTCTTCAACTTTTGCAAGCCTCGAGAATAAGAAAATTTTGAAAAATCTTGATTGCGGGACGCAGGACGAGTTTCTGAAGGCTGAGCACCAAAATCTTCAGGAGAAAGATCTGGGACTGCGCTTTCAGCCCTAAACCTTATACTTCTTCTATTACTTTTTGACGCAGAGTTCGCAGCTCTTGAAAAATATTTAGCCAAGCTGCTCATTGGATGTTTGGCAAGCTTTTCCTTTGAGTCAGCTTTTTTTTTCTTCGGTTGTATACTTTTGATGATTAATGGTGATTCAATTAAGCTTTCAACTTTTCTGAACGCTTTCAGAATGATTTTATTTGTCTCTACTTCTAATTCTTCTCTTTCTACACTATACTCGTCTTCTTCTGAATCAGAGCTATCAGAATCGCTTTCAGTGTATGGCAGGTCATCTTTTATACTGTTTATTATATCTGCCATTGTTCGCTTTTTTTGTGGGGCTGTAGGGATAGTTTCTGTAGCTTCTTGCTCTTTTCGTAGCTCTTTTTCTTCATCACTCTCAGTCAGTTTATTCCTCTTTTTTAGCCTTTCAAACCTTCTTAATTCTTGGTCTTCTAGATCTCTATCACGAATCTCAATGTACTCTAGTAAAGTTTCTCCTAAATATTTGCCTAGTTTGTGTAGGCTTTCTTCAGTGAATGGATGAGTTATTCTTTCTGCATCTAAATATCCATGAGATGAAGTCTCAATTGTATAGGTGCATGGCAGCTGAAGCTCCTTTCACATTACCAAGCGGGCTGTTTTACGCTTTTCAGCCTCATTACGAAATCGACAAGAATAATAACGAAACATGTCTGTTATTTCACTGACGAGTTTGGGAAAGACTTTGATTTTGTAGTATTTGTCAGAATGAAGAGGGTAATGTGGCCCATACATGAAGACTCCTTTTTTGGTTGAGTGAGCATGGAGATCGAAGTAAAAAGTCAGTTTTTTGTTGAGGCTTCTTTGTATTGCTTTATTTTTGAGAGAATATATGACTGGGTTTAGTTTTGGGTTTGGGTCTTGAAAGCTTCGATTAAGATCTTCTCCTGTCAAGGAGCAGCGTGTGTTTCCAGCGATCACTCCGTCGATATTCAGCATAGGGACTATTTTAAACACAACTTTTTTCCTAATTCTTCATTATAAAATTCTCAAAAAATTTTTATCTGCTAATTTATTTCTAAAAAAATTTATTTCTTACTATGCTTACTCCCCCCCCCCCCTCCGTGAGCGAACAAAACCATTAGAAAAATCGCCATTTTTTGACCAAAAACCCACCCTCCGTGAGTGAACAAAAATTTTTTTAATAGAAAAAATTTTAATGGAAAAAAAATTTTGATATATAAGTGATAATTAGTATAATGAAATCTAGAGCTAATTCTGTTTAATTTTAAACAAATTGCGTTTTAAAAACATAAATTTTGCAAATTAAATTAATATTTGCTTCCCAATTTTTGCAAATTAGGGATTTTTTTAAATTTCGAAAAAAATATTTTTTTATAAAATTTATATATAAATTTTTTTAAAAAAAAAAAAATTAAACCCCCCTCCGTGAGCGAACAAAATTTTTTTGTTCGCTCACGGAGGGGGGGGGGGAGTTAGAAAATAAAATGGTGACATCGACGGAAGATAGACTCAACACACTCCCTATGAGCATGTTGACCTGTCCCGATGAAGCTGTAAATAATACCGAACAGGGAAGTTTATTTCTCCCCCGAAGGTTTTTCATGCCCCTGCTAGATGGGCTTGGGCTAGATAGGTTTTGTCTCCCACTTAGTCTTTGCTTATCGGGACTAACAGGGCATCTGCAAGACGTTGCTCTAGTCTAGGGAGTCCTTAGGTTAGGTGGGCTTACGCCAGATAAGCAAGCTAGTGGCCTATCCGCTTATGGCCTTATAACACTTTAATTAACTTACTATGTTTAGTATACTTTTAACCGCATAGAGTAAGTTTTTTAGCTTTACTACTATTCCCTGTAATAAAATTTAAAAATCCTTCCATAGCCCAAGATCCATGAGTTTCTCCTGGATGAACCCTTGCTGTCATAAAAACAAACTCTTTTTCATAAGTGTTATTAAAATCTGTAATAGTCAATATAGGTGTATCAACTCCTCCCAAACTTTTGCAAAGCATTTCTCTCCTCACAAATTCACATTTTTCAAGCTCTTTCAATAATTTACACAATTTTGTATAGCTATAAGGTATTGAATAAGCAAAAAAGACTGCATCATTATCCTTGAATTCAAAAGAAAAGGACAATGAATAGTAATGACGGTTATTTGTTAATCTGCTTACTTTACTATGAGTATATACAATATCATAGCCACCTTTAATCCATCCAGTTTTTTCCCTATAAATGCAAGGCATCATTCCTTGCGTGTATAAGCTATTTCTTTTACTCCTCAGCCTAAAATTCTACTTTGAAAAATTAACACTTTCAACGAATTTAATCCAGAAAAATTTTATATTAATATTTTAATATATTTTTGCTTTCCAAAAGCCTCGCAAAAGAGACAATTTTAAGAAAATAAAAATTAATCCCTCTATAAGCGAGCAAAAAAATTTGGACTCTTCGGAAGGATTAGAAAAATTGACTATATTAAACCTGACCTCTCTCATGCCGCTTTTATTGTATACTTTAAAGTAATACCATTGATTATGTCCATAAGTGTTTGAATCAGTCCTTAAATACAAATCATATTCATTTTCCTTCGCTTTTTCAACTCGGTCTAAATTCCCACATTCAAATTTCGATGAAAATTCGAGCTCGCTTGGTGGCAGTCCTTCTCGCATTCCTGTAAAAGGAGGACCTTCTGGCTTAGTCTGACTCTTTTTCACAAGTTCTCAAGCATGCTTTATTCTTGGATTGATAGAAAACTTATAAGTTTCAAGTCCTGAAAAAGCTTCATTGAGTTCTAAATCCCCCCTCCGAGAGTGAGCAAAACAATTTTGTCCGTCCACTCATGAAGGGTGTTAATTTTTTGTTTTTATAAAAATTTATATAGAAATTTTTTTTTTCGAAATTTTAAAAAAAATCTTAATTTGCAAAAATGGAAGCAAATATTAATTTAATTTATAAAATTTATGTTCTAAAGTGCAATTTGTTTAAAATTAAACAGAATTAGCTCGAGATTTCATTATATTAATTATTACTTATATATCAATTTTTTTTATTAAAAAAGATTTTTGTTCACTCAGGAGGTGGCTTTTTGGACAAAAATAGAGATTTTTCTAATGGTTTTGTTCACTCATGGAGGGGTGGAGTAAGGGAGTCCTCAGGTCTATATCCGTTAAAAATAGGATTTTGTGCAGGGATTTGGTCATAGGTAAATGATAGAGGAATTGGGCCATTCTGCAGAAGCGAGTTTGGCCGTCAACTAAATAAGGGTTACCCAAATATCATATCAGGTTCTAAACTATGTCCAGATTCCACTAATGGGATATGAGGGATTATTACGGAATCTACCTTTTCTTTCAGCTGAAAATCAAAGTTCAAGGGAGTAGGAGTTTTTTCATCCACATCTACAAGGACTTCGTCTTCTGAGTTGTGCTCGAAGCCTGAATCTTCGCTGAATTCTGTCATCTAGTATTTTATGAAAATTTATTAGAATTAAGCAGATGAGTGCTAATGCTTAAAATAAAGAAGCCAAGAAGCAAAATTTAAGTTTTAGCAGAGGAAAATAGATTACCTTGCAGATGTCATTTAAATTACTGCAATTTTTAATGGAAAAAGGCTCGAGCTATAAAAGAGTTTTAGAGATCTTCCAGAAGATATGCAAAGAAAAAGAAAAAACGATGAGAAAATACTCACTCCCCCCCCTTTAAATTGGAACTAAAAATTTTGTTCCAATTTAAAGGGGGGTTAAGAAAATTTTTTAAAAAAAAATCATTATAAAATTTTTTATAAAAAAAAAAAATTCAAAAATTTATCGAATTAGATTAATAAATTTGTTTAATAAAATGCTATTTACTCTTTATCCTTTAAAACAAAGCAAGATATAACTAAAATTTCATTATCAATTAATACGCCACTATTAATTGGTATCAAAACTATTTACACAAAAATTATTATTTTTATTGATAAAAAAAAATTAAAAACAAAAAATTTTAGAAAATTTATCGATCAAAGTGCTAATTTTGTTTAAATAAGATGCTATTTATACTATATTCTTTAAATAAAGCAAGAGATAAGTAAATTTTGAATTTTTGTAAAGAATTCGTATTGGATTTATATCAAAGCTATTTATATAAAAAATATCATTTTTATCAAAAAAAAAAAAAATTTTTTTAAAAATTTTTTTAAAACAAAAAATTTAAATTGTTTTTAAAAATTTACAATTAAGGATAATAAATTTATTTAAATAAGATGCTCTTTATACTCTATTCTTTAAACAAGAGCAGGATATAACTAAATTTTTAATTTTAGTTAAGAAGAAACATTTAAATTATATCAAAACTTTTTACATAAAAATTATGATTTATATATATAAAATTTTTTATTATAAAATTAAATTTTGTTCCAATTTTTAAGGGGGTTAATTTACCAAAAAAGTGGAAATTTTACCTATATTTTGTTCCAATTTAAAGGGGGGGGAGTCAGAGAAGAATAGTGAAGTAATTAAAGTAAAAACAGAGAAATTACCTTTGTTTTTGTATGATTTGATAGGACAAGAAAAACCGTTTAGCCGAACATCAAAATCAAAGCTAGAAACTTCTGTCTCTAAAACGCCTGAGCCAAGCAATCGAACTGCAAATAAAATTATAAGGGAAACAACCCCTAAAGAAACAAAATTGAGATCAAGTTTAACTTATAAAGAATTCAAAGATACCCACAATTCAAGTTTTAGATTAAAACAGGAACTTAAACTGAATACTAAGATAAATAACATAAAAAGCACAGAGCTATCACAATCAATGCCGAGACCTAGTCCTGATATTAATTTAAATAGAACATTCACTTGCCCTAAAAAAGCGAAAACATTAAGGCTCAACAAATTGATTACCCAATCTCTTCTGTCTTCAGGAAGACCTCTATTTCCTCATGCAACCAAATTTAAAAATGAGTTCATAGAGAAATATGTTTGTAATTAGCTAGTCCTTGTGTAATAAATAAAATTATAAATAAACTCTCTTAATTTAATAATAAATAAGATTATAGATGACATTGAGCATAAAAACAGGAAAAATAATAAAAAGCTAAAGAAAAGCTTAATAAAGCATGTTTAAGCAAGCAGATATATGAATCTTAGTTATAAGAAAAGATTAAACTTATTTTACTGATTTAGCTTGGCAATTCCATCTTCCAAAACCCGTCATTCAAATAATGTAAGTTTTCTATTGCAGCCCCAGTTGGGTTGCTTCTAATTTCTTCTGTACTTTTCATCATCCTTCCTATTGCAAGAGCATGGGTTTTCCCCTCAGCCATTATTGCTACGATTTCTCCTTGTTTAGCTTCTTCTATTGCTCCCCCTGCAGAAACCAGTCCAGGAGCCATAACATTAGCACCACCGATAACAAATCGGATTGCCCCTTTATCAACTTGCATTTTCTTTAGCATAAAAGGAAATTTGTGTAAAAGTTTCAAATGAGGAAACATGATATCTTCACAGTGTATGGATATAATTGTTTTCTCTACGTATGTGAATGATAAATTATTGTGAGGTGCTTTCAATTTTGCTTCGATTACTGAATGCTGCTTAATCTCTCAATTAAATTAGATTTTTTGGTAAAATTTTTTATAGTTTTAAGCTAATAAATAAACAAATAATTATATCAAATTGTTTATTCTCCAATATTAAAAGTGCTTTAAGCCGGGTAGAAGTCTAGTGATTGTGCACTTTTTGACAATGTCGATTTTACCGAAGTGTTTACTATTTTTGAAATTGATATTAAAATTAAAAAATTTCGTTCGTCATTAAGAATTTATAGTTTTTATTTGTTTATAATTGGGATTGAGAGTTAGGGAAAAGAAGATCAATGTATGGCTCCATTTCAGGATGGCCTTCAAGCATTGCTGATTTTAAGCCTCTAACATTGGAGCTTCTAAGCTGCGATGTGGTGCGAATCTCTTCTGGCTTTTTAAGCATCTTTATGTATTTAAGTATTAATTATGCAAAATAATTGTGATATAAATGTGAGAACTTTTATAGTCCAAGCTATGCTTATTTACTATTCATTATTCATTATTAAAGCCTTATAGATAATTTTTGATTATTTTATTCTTTATATAGCATTTCTAAGATTCGATATTAATGAATTGATGAACATAAATAGATATTTCATAGTTCATTAGAATCTAATATAAACTAATTTATTGCTTTCAGCTAAAATTCTTTGATATAAAACTATATTACTTGGTCTTTATTTTATTTATTTGCCATTATTTTTTTGAAAGCATAAATCTCCCTAATTTGTGTCGAAAAACGATGCACACTTTATAAATTAAGAGAAATCGATATTTATTGAATTTAGAACACTATAAGAATAGCTATAGAAGTTTCCTATGTTTGGCGCTGTAAGGCCGATATAAATTCTGATCGGAATTTATCGGTAGGTTGCACCAAATCAATGCCTTGGTCGGACCAAAAAGCGATTTGGTCCGACGAACTTGGAAAGCTCCTGGGAAAATGTCTGCGCTTTTAGCGCTATATAGAGGAAACCTCTATATTTATGATTGCGATAAAAAATATTAGATTAGAGCTCAGCCTAGAATAGAATGAATTATAGTTAATCAGAAATCTCTTGATTACGTTGGCAAAATAAATAATAAAAATGAAATTAACACCAGTCAATTGCATCATGTTTCTTAGCACTGTGACATCATTCATCATTCATGGAATTATTTCAACAAATTTTGAAAAGTTAGCTTTATTTGTACTTATTTCAAAACTACCCAAACGTCCTGCATTGTATATATCGATTTTTGGCTCTATGATTATAACACTCATAACGAATTTTCCAGAAGATTTGCTATTTTTATCTGCTTTAATTTATATATTTCCCCAAATCCTCAAATTAAGGCTTAGTTCAGCTGTCAATTGCTTTATTTGGTTAAGCATCATATGGCTCATATTTGCTGGCTATTTTAAATCAGGACAATTTGAATTATTGACTATTATATGGACTTCAATAATATCCAGCTTAGAAATTTCAAAACAAACAAAATTTGATGAAATTTTGAAAGAAAAAGAAGAATTAGCTAAAAAATGCAAAAGGTTAGAAACAGAAGTTTCCATAATTGAAGCCAGTCAGCGAACTCCTTCTGCAAAAAGAACTTCAGAGCTTATAAATAAGCTCAAACATTTATCTAATACTTTTATGCAAGGAGATACTCCAGGCTCATCAATGAGAAGTTCTCGATTTGGAAATGAGTCGCTAACTTTCTCCTCATATTTATATAGCCATCGAAATATTTATACAGATGAAACTGACTCCCCCTTTAAATTGGAGCAAAAAATCCTGTTCCAATTTAGTTGGCAATAAAATATAATTCAAAAATTTCTGATATTTTTGAAAACATTGCATTATTTGTGATTAAGATTGCCATTAGGAGCTAAAGTGAATACAGATAGCTTTTTTCCTAAGTTCAATCTGCAAGAGATGTTTTAAAGAGGATATAGGTTCAATGAGTTATTAAAAGATTTCAGATTGGGGTTCGCCGCTTTTCTGATTGACTTAGATTTTAGACAAAAATGCCATTAGATGCTAAAGAGCGTGAAAGGTTTGGCTCGCAAGATGGGTTTTATTAGAATTTCCGCGAAATTATTAGTGTTAAGTGTTAAAAAATTAGTCTATTCAATTGAGAATGGTTTAAATACATTCTAATTGCATTTGCCTATTAAATTAGTTCAAAATTAATTTTATAAAAATTAGTACTTGATCGATAACATTTTCCTAATGAAAACCATATTTTGTTCCAATTCAAAGAGGGCTAAAGTATCCAAATTACCGATGTTTTGTTCCAATTTAAAGCGGGAGTGAGAGTTCAGATTTCATTACAAATGATGAAATCAAAGAAATTATTGCTTCCTTAATCAGCCAAGACTACTTATTTTGAAATCCTGAAAAAGGTCACGTGACTGATCTCAATCTTCTGGAAATAGGGAAAAATCAAATGAATCTATATACACAAACAGACGACTCAGTCCCTGAATCGCCTAGTAGACGAAGAAAGCTGTCCAATCCACTTCTAGTGAAGCGTTTAACCACAATGAAAACGTCATGCATTGATAATAAGTCTTTATTTGAAACTCTAAATGAATTAGGCAGATGAGATTTTGACCAATTTAAGCTACTTGAGCTGACAAAAAATCCAACTTTTGAAGTCGGCAGATATATTTTCGATTTTCTAGATTTTATGGGAATTTTTGACATTGACGAGCATAAACTAGATAGGTTTTTGACAGTTGTAGAGAACGGGTACAAAAAAGAAAATTATTACCACAATTCATTGCATGCTGCTGATGTAGCTGCTTCAGCAATGTTTTTGATTCAGCAAGGACTTGAACTTGGAAATGGCCTTGAAGATATTGATAATTTAGCTATGATTATTGCTGCGCTTTGCCATGATATTGAGCATCCTGGGGTAAATAATCCATATTTGGTTATTAGCCAAGATTCTTTACTCCCCCTTGGAGCGAACAAAAAATTTTGTTTGTTCAAGGAGGGGGTTATTTTTTTTAAAAAATTTATATATAAAATTAAATAATAATATTTGTTCGAAATTTAAAAAAATCCATATAGCCCCTGAAATTATTTAGATCATTATTGGCCATCCATTTTAATTTCCAAAATTAATTTGTACTTGCCATCTTTTTTAAAAAGTAAAAACGAAAATGACAAGTTTCCGTTTATGGTTTTAAGGTACCTAATCAGACTTATACTGTATAAGGCAGGTGCCCTGTACCATATTTTTTCTGGTCTGTATTCTGCTGGGGTATAGAGATCTATTAAGGTGTATGAACTATATTCGAAATAATTTTAAAGCAAATATTAATTTAATTTAAAAAATTTATGATTAAAAATTAAAGTTGTTTAAAATTAGTTCGAAATTTCATTATAATAATTATTACTTATATACCAAAATATTTTTTCGGAAAATTTTTGCTTGCTCATGGAGAGTGGTTTTACCTAAATAATAGGGATTTTTCCAGTGGGTTTTGTTCACTCACAGAGACAGGAGGGAGTTAGCATTTAAATATAACGATCAAAGCGTTTTAGAGCATATGCATGCAAATAGAACTTTTCAAATTCTCAGTGAAGATAAAACTAATATTTTAGCAAATCTTGCTAAGGTCGATTATCAGAGATTCAGAAAAATAACGATTCAAGCAATTTTAGGAACAGATTTACAGGTTCACTTTGACAAATTAGCTGATTTCAAATCAATGATTTCCAAGAGGCTCAATTTTTCGGATGATAAATTTAAACTGCTTTCTTTGCAGATGTGTATAAAGTGTGCAGATATAGGCCATGGAGCAAAAACTCTTGATCTTCACAAAAAGTGGTCTAATTTAATTACAAAAGAGTTTTTTAAGCAAGGTGACCTTGAAAGAAGACGAGGATTCCCTGTCACACCGCTTTGTGACAGAGAAAGCGTAGTGTTAAGCAAATCTCAAGAAGGATTTCTAAAAGTACTTGTAAGGCCACTATTCGAGCTCTGGGAAGAATTTTTGGAACTTCATGCAGCTGAAGAGAACAAAGATATTGCCATTTACACATTTGAAGCGTGCTTGAGCAATATTAGATGCAATATAGAATACTGAGATAATGAGTATATTTTATATAAAGATTGAAAACAAACATTTTTCCTTGACGATTTGCCTCCGCCTATGCTAAAGAAACATTCAACTCAAATACCGAACGGAATTAATTAAATGATATATTAAATAATTTCAGTACTTGAAGCTGCCATTAATTTAATTAGATTTAATTTATTAACCTTTCTAATGAAATAAATAATAAATTACCGTTTATTTTAGTATAATGTAATATTTGTTGAAAAATGCATGCCAGAAAAAATTTATAATTAAATGAAATTAACACTTGCCAATTCGATCCTATTTTTGAGCTCATTAACATCTTTTATCATTCGCGGAATTTATCCAGCAAATTTTGTCAAGTTTGGCTTATTTATTCTTATTTCACGGTTTCCAAAAAGAATTGAATGGTCAATAGCTATTTTGAGCTCGATGATCCTGGCACATATAACATCTTTTCAAGAAGATTTACTATTTTTATCAGCTTTAATATATTCTTTTCCTCAAGACTGTAAATTACAAAAAAACTCAACAATAAACTTATACATTTTGATTAATATTGCCTGGCTTATTGTTTCAGGATATTTTAGAGCAGGTCAAATTGAACTACTTTTTATTATAGGTATATCTTTTATCTCTGTTTGAGACATATCACAATCTATAAAACTTAATAAGCTAGAAGCAGAAAATATTGAGTTATTGAAAAGATGTGCAACTTTTGAACAGGAAAGAATAGGCATCGAAGCCAGTAAACTAGTTCCATCCTTCAAAAGAACTGCAGAACTAGTCGAAAAACTGAAAAAAATATCAAATCCTTTAACTGGTAATGCTTCTCAACAAAAATTGCATATTATTTTTCAAAGTGAAGGACACCCAGATAATCCAAAATTCTTGAAAAGAAGTTCCTCAAATGAGTCAAGTAACTCAAATTTCATCACAAATGATGAAATAAAGGAAATTATTGCTTCTTTAATAAGCCAAGATTATCTAATTTGCAACCAAGGAAGAGTTAAAGCTTCTGATTTTAATATTGCTGAAATAGGTAAAAATCAAATGGACTTGTATACACAAGTTGACGACTCATTGCCTGAAACTACAATGCGGCCTAAAAAATATAAACTAAAAACATTTGTTCAGAGATTGATTACTATGAAATCATATTGTGATGATAACGAATCTTTGAGTAAGGCTCTTGGAGAATTAGGGATGTGGGATTTTGATTCCTTTAAGTTAATTGAATTTATCACAATATTTAAAATGGCAGTTAGGGATAGGTCCTTAGTCCTGATCCACCAGACTGGACCCATAAACCGAATTCAGTGAGAGAAGTCAAGCTTCTTGAGGGTTTTGGCTTGAAGTGAAAAGGTTTGTGCTGAGGCTGTCACAAACTAGAGGAGTCTTAAAGTGCTTGATAACTTTAACGGTTCGATGGTTAGACCGGTTCACCTACCGTTGCTCAGAGCTGCTTTTTTAGCTGAACCTCAATTAAAGAAGACTTAGAAGACACTAAAAGTGCAAGAGAAATTCATTAAACTTAAACTTAAACTCAAATTGAATTTATAAATAACCCAGCTTTTGAAGTTGGAAGATACATTTTTAGGATGACGGGGCTAATTTTAACTTACGATATTGATGAACATAAGCTGGATAGGTTTTTAACAGTTGTGGAAAATGGCTATAAGAATCAGAACTATTATCACAACTCATTGCATGCTGCAGATGTTGCTGCTTCAGCAATTTTTTTAATACAAGAAGGAATTGAATTGGGAAATGGTTTAGCTGATATAGATGTTTTCTCTTTGATTATAGCTGCACTTTGCCATGATGTTGGACATCCAGGTGTTAATAATCCCTTCTTAATAGCTAGCAAAGATCCGTTGGCATTTAAATATAATGATCAAAGTGTTTTAGAACATATGCACACAAATACCACATTTCAAATTCTAATCCTTTAAAGCCAAATAAAATTTTATTAAATTACTTACTCCCCCCCCCCCTCCGTGAGCGAACAAAAAAATTTTGTTCGCTCACGGAGGGGGGTTAATTTTTTTTTTTAAAAAAAATTTATATATAAATTTTATAAAAAATATTTTTTTTCGAAATTTAAAAAAATCCTAATTTGCAAAAATTGGGAAGCAAATATTAATTTAATTTATAAAATTTATGTTTTAAAACGCAATTTGTTTAAAATTAAACAGAATTAGCTCTAGATTTCATTATACTAATTATCACTTATATATCAAAATTTTTTTCCATTAAAATTTTTTCTATTAAAAAAATTTTTGTTCACTCACGGAGGGTGGGTTTTTGGTCAAAAAATGGCGATTTTTCTAATGGTTTTGTTCGCTCACGGAGGGGGGGGGGGAGTTACCATCTTTTATTTCTTAAAATTGAAAAATATAGTGACCAAAAATTTTGCTATTAATTGGGTGTAAGTGAAGATAAAACAAATATTCTGGAAAATTTTTCAAAATCGGACTTCCAAAGGTTCAGAAAAATAACTATCCAAGCAATACTTGGAACAGATTTGCAGATTCATTTCGATAAACTCTCAGACTTTCAAGCAATGCTGTCTAAAAAGCTTACTTTTTCTGATGACAAGTTTAAGTTGCTTGCTTTGCAAATGTGCATAAAATGTGCTGATATCGGGCATGGAGCGAAAACTCTTGAGCTTCATAAAAGATGGTCAAGTTTAATAACTAAGGAATTCTTCAAGCAAGGAGACTTGGAAAGGCGAAATGGATTAGCAGCCTCACCTCTCTGTGATAGAGAAAGCGTTATACATATTAATGATGTATAGTCCTCAAAGGAGTATATTTTATGCAACAATTTATATTTGATTTGCAAATAATTTTTAAATGCAACTGAAATTCTGCTAGCCAGAAATTATTTATCTCCTTCCGCCCATGATTGAACAATTTTCATGTATTTAAGCATGAAGTTTATTCCTTGCCTTAACTATTGCAGATTAAGATTAAGTTTAGCCGTTCACATTTGAAGGGCCGGGATTTGCACCCCTTCACGCTCATCACCTATGGTAAGGCCTCGGCGGACATCATTCCTTGCTGCCGCAAACAAGGGATTCGCACATACCAGTCTTGAGTTCCATGGCTCCTGGAGTCTAAGGGCCAATCACATGGGTCGAAACTCCCAGTTTCTCGTTAGGCAAATACCGTCTTCAGGGTCTGTGAGTCATATTGCCTCAATGATTGTCCTGGAGAAAAAAACCCCAAATCCTGAGGATTAGCTCCCTGAGACCAGGAGAAGCCCAGCCCGACATACACAAAGGGTTTCCGATCCTTTTCCACCTAAATCCCCAACAATGGGCCATTGCCTGCAGGTGTTAAAGAAATAGGGCTGGGAGGTCGGGGTGGCTCGCCATTTTTATGTATATAACTATTGCAGATAATAATCAATATTAAAGATAATGCAGGATAATAACATCAGCATCATTCTAATATGATTTATAGCATTATTGCTAATAAACTTTTTATGGGTGAAAAGATTTAATATGAGATCTACAAATTAATTTACTATAAATTTTTTCGTAAATGATAAATTGCTCTAGCAATTTTAGTGCGAATTTAGTGTGCTATTTATTCTAAGCTAGCATATAATAAGCAAATCTCAAGAAGGGTTTCTTAAGGTTCTTGTAAGACCTCTTTTTGAAAGCTGGGCAGAATTTTTAGAAATTCATGCTAGCGGAGATAATAAAGAAAAGGCAATCAGTAAATTCGAAGTATGCATCACCAATATATTATGCAATATTGAATATTGGGACAACGAATACAATCTATTCAAGGAAGGGAAGCAAGGCTTTTTCCTCGATAATATGCCTCCTCCATTGCGAAAGAAGCATGCAACCCAAATAATCAACGGATTTAAGTAGTCTATATATTAAATATGATTAAATTTAATATTTGCTACATTATTAATAAAATTTATTAGGAGTTTTTAAAAATTTTTTTATTAAAAAAAATATTTTTAGATGAATTGTTTTTAAAACGATAAGTTTATTGTTTAAAATCATGACTTTCCATACCTTATGACTGTAGCAATTGTAAGCCCAAGTTTGGCATTATTCAGATATACATATCAAGTGGAAAAAAATTATAATTAAATGAAATTAAAGGCATCCAATTCTATTTATATTTTATGGGCTCTGACTTCCTTTATCATTCATGGATTTTGCCCAACAAGCTTAGCAAAAGTCGGATTATTTGTTATTACTTCCTGTCTTCCACAAAGTATTGAATGGCCGATAGCAATTTTGAGCTCAATGATCTTAACTCTTATAGCATCTTTCCAAGAAGATTTATTATTTTTATCAGCTTTGATTTATGCACTTCCTCAAGTTTGTCAACTCCAATTAGATTCAACCATCAATTTGTACCTTTTAATTGATATTATCTGACTAATTCTTTCTGGATACTTTCAGAGTGGCCAAATAGAACTACTTTTTATTATAAGTATATCTTTTCTTTCTATTTGGAACATATCAATATATACAAAATTCAGCCAATTAAGAGAAAACAATTTTCAATTGGAGAAAAAGTGTGTAGCTTTGGAGCAGGAAATTTCTTGCATTGAAGCCAGCAGACTAATTCCTTCATTTAAAAGGACTGCAGAACTTGTAGAAAAACTGAAAAAATTGTCGAATTCTTTAATGCCAAACGCCTCTAGACAAAGCTTGCATGCAAGGTTTAAAAGTGAAGTGCAGCTAGATAGGCCTGAAATTTTAAAAAGAAGTGCTTCTAACGAAGTAAGTAATTCAAATTTTATAACAAATGATGAAATAAAAGAAATTATCGCTTCCCTGATTAGTCAAGACTATCTAATTTGTAACCAAGGAAAAATTAAAGCTTCTGAATTCAATCTTGCTGAAATTGGAAAAAACCAAATGGATTTGTATATAAAGGATTAAATTATTATTCTATCTTGCTCTCTCATCCATCCAGCCTAATAGCCGAGGAGCTGCTTTCTGAATTCATCTGTCCTGCGCTATACTATAATAAATTTTAAAAGTGCACTGCAGTTTTTTTAGATTTTGACCATTTAAGATCGTTTGGCATGAAAAAAATACAAATGAGTTCTTTAAATATTTTAAAATGGAGTGTGGGAAAAGTAAACAGTGTTTAAAGCAGCAAGTGCAAAGGAAAAAAGGAAATAAATTTAAGCAAGAAAAGTAAGAGAGAGTTGCATAATTGCAGCTCTTATATTCCAAATGATATCATGAAGAAACAATAAAATAATTTTTTTTTGTAAAATCCTTTTTATAAATATATTATATTTGTATACACAAGTAGATGATTCACTTCCAGAAACTACAGTAAGAGCAAAACATCCAGAGCCAGGCAAATCATTTTTCCAACGCCTAACTACTATGAAGTCCTATTGTGATGATAACGAATCTTTATCTGAAGCTCTAGAAGAGCTTGGAACTTGGGATTTCGACTCATTTAAGCTAATTGAATATGTAAATAACCCAGCCTTTGAAGTTGGCAGATTTGTTTTCAGGACGTTAGGACTAACTACAACTTATGATATAGATGGGTGCATCTCCAATGATTGTGTATTTTGATAGTGTGCATTTCATCGGAGTACATTATGTTGAAAATTGGTCGAATCTTTCGATAGAGAGACATTTGATCTAAAAAAACTCGTAAATTTCAACCAAATGTCAACTATTCAAAAATTTTGGACCAAATTTATTTCAATGAAATGCACACTATCAGCAGCAATTTACTATCATTTGGCGTGGAACCAATATAGACGACCATAAACTCAATCGATTTTTAACTGCAGTAGAGAGTGGCTATAAAAAGAAAAATTACTATCACAATTCATTACATGCCGCAGATGTTACAGCTTCAGCTGTATTTTTGATACAAGAAGGGATAGAATTAGGGAATGGTTTGGCTGATATAGATATTTTTTCTTTGATCATCGCTGCACTTTGTCATGATATTGGACATCCAGGTGTTAATAACCCCTTTTTAGTAGCTAGCAAAGATCCTTTAGCATTTAAATATAACGATCAAAGTGTTTTAGAGCATATGCACACAAATACCACGTTTCAAATTCTTAGTGAAGATAAAACAAATATTCTTGTAAATTTAACGAAGTCAGATTACCAAAGATTTAGAAAAATAACTATCCAGACTATACTTGGAACAGATTTGCAGATTCACTTTGATAAGCTTGCAGACTTTAAATCAATGCTGTCTAAAAGACTTACCTTTTCTGACGACAAGTTTAAGTTACTTGCTTTACAAATGTGCATTAAATGCGCTGATATTGGACATGGGGCTAAAACTCTTGATTTACATAAAAAGTGGTCAAATCTCATTACAAAAGAATTTTTCAAGCAAGGCGATTTAGAAAGAGGGCATGGATTTACTGTCACACCTCTCTGTGACAAAGATAGCGTTATAATCAGCAAATCCCAAGAAGGGTTTTTAAAAGTCCTCGTCAGGCCTCTTTTTGAAAGCTGACTAGAATTTCTCGAGCTCCACGTCAATAAAGAAAATACCGAAGAAGCACTCTCTTCTTTTCATATATGCATTACAAACATCCAAAGCAACATCGAATTCTGGGACAACGAATACAGGTTATTCAAAGAAGGAAAGCAAGAATTTTTCCTCGATGAGCTTCTCCCTCCTCTCCTTAAGAAGCATTCAACCCAAATCATGCTGCCAAGATTCAAGTACAATTAAATATTATTTTTTCTTATATAAGACTAAAATTTGTAAACTTAAAATGGAGGGGCAAGACTTAAGAGTAAGGCTTGCAGAAGCTTTAAATACTTATGGCCTAAAGCAAGTTAACGTTGCAAAAGACACAGGCATCCATCACACAACTCTCAGCCTTTGATTAGGTGGAAGAATAAAAGGAAGCAATCCAAAAATCGAAAACGAAGTCGAAGCGTGACTAAATAATTTAAGTGTTTCGCGGCCTAAAGAACTTGGCCCAGTTAGAACTGACATCACTAGATTCCTCCGGATCACCCACAGCCAAAATGAGCTGCCTGGAGAAGAGAGCGAGCTGATTCCAATCAGAATTGACATAGAAATCGAAGGTAGACGTGTAAAAGAAGCAATTTGTTGGGAAAGCCAAGAACCTTATTTCACTCCTCAGAGCTTTGCTGAAATTCTGTGTGAAGACTTATCCCTGCCACAGCCTTTTCAGAAAGAAATCGCTGGAACTATTGAAAAAAGAATACAAAGGCATGAAAATTATAATTGGAATGTGGGAGAATGCATACAGATTATTGATATTGAAATAAGAATGGAAAACATGATATTGAGAGACAGGTTTCTTTGGGATATCAACAATAAAGAAAATAGTCCTGAGTTTTTTGCACAGTGCTTGTGTGCTGATTTAGGGCTTGGAGGAGATATAGCTGTACAAATTGCTTATATTATTAGGGAAAGGATTGCGTACCTGCATAAACATTTAGTGACGATGAGGCCTGGATCTGTGCCGATAAATGCAATTTATAGGGATAACCCTCACGAGTGGGAACCAAAATTGAAATTATTAAATAACATTATGTAGATTCAAATAGTGCAGGCTCATTAGTAATTTTCATATTGAATATTAAATAATATATGGATCAACATTAATAATTTTTTTTGTTTATATATCTTATGCCATTTATTAATATTAGATTTATAATTTCACAGATGCGCCATAATCTGAAGCGCTTTCTTTCGGACTCTAGCAAGGCTATAAGATGAAAATTTTCATTACATATTCTATTTATCAGCAAGAAAAGGAAAATATTAATGTGAGTCAATTCCATTTTATCAATAATCCGATTAGACTACTTATTCTTCAGCAGCATTATCAAGACTCCAGACCTTGATGTAATCGATTTTGAGTGCGGCATCTTCACCACTCCAGGTTGGCTGCCAAGCACCACGGTTGTTCCAGAAAGAGTCTACAGAGTGCTGATCGGTATCAGACCATGGCTTGCCTCCAACGCCATCAGGGAAGTATCCTGAAGTTCCTCCACAAGCCACGTTAAGAGTGAAGTAGAATTCCTGATCAAAAGGAGCATTAAGCCCTGCACCAGCCCAAGGGTTATTGAAATTAGTTGGGAAGTTTCCTCTTTGCCAGAAGCTAATCTTGGTCATATCGACATCCAAAACAATATTACTTGGAGTATCAAAATAAGTATAAAGTCTGTCCTTAGACCAGTAAAGTCCATAGACATGGAAATCATCTGCAAGAGATGTAGGGTTATTATATTCCTTGTGGGTTAATGGATACTTATTATTAGCCCAATCAGGCCCCCAGTGAAGAGTAGAAGCAAATTGATTATTCCCACCTGCAGGATAAGATGGTGCGTTTCCACGAGACTCCATGATATCGATTTCTCCAGATGCTGGCCATCCTCCATAAGAGTTGTAATTTGGAAGCATCCAAATGGCAGGCCAAAGCCAATCCCCTCTAGGCAATTTTGCTCTGACTTCAACTCTTCCGTATTTGAACTTAAAAGTGTCAGCTGTTCTCAGCCTTGCTGACCTTACTGGATTAATAACATTTCCAGACGCAGCAGCGTTTCTTTCACATCCGTAGAACTGGTTACCTGTGCAAGCATCAGCAGGACTGCCTCCCCAGATATTAACGTCTCCAGACTGCAATGTGGTCATCCCAATGGCGTCTTCAGTCATAGTTGGCATGATGTAGAGAGTGGAGTTCTTTACATAACTGTTGGAACGGTTGTTGACATACCACTCGAATTCCCAGTTACCACCACCTGACATGGTGATTTCGTGCCTCCACACCCTGAAGTCAAGGGTTTTGAAGTCGTCTTGGAAAATGAGGGTTTCGGCTGAGCACCCAATAACTAATGCCATGCATATCAAAGCTAAGCTTGGCGACATTATAATTATTATTATCCACCACATTTGGGAGAACTTTATGCTAGTGACATAGGCATGTCGAATAATTAGATTCAGTATGGCTGAGGCGAACCATAATAAAAATGGAATAACTTAAGATAAACAGTTGCGCTTGTGAGGATTCATAAATTACTATTTATCATTGATTTTAATTAAATAATTGAGATTTGAGCTTAATAGATATTTAAAAAACGATTATTATGACTTCAGAAGGAATAACTTCTAACTCTCATTCCATAGAAATACTTATAAATTTTTTTCTTATAGAATATAAAATTCATTTAATTGTATTTGAGCATCTTAACAATATTCTGTTATGATGAATTTTCTAATCTTTTTAAAAATTTATATAATTACAAAATAATTTTTTTGATATTTTAAGATTATATCCTAGCTAATAATTTTTTGTAACTTTTTACTAAAAATAAAACAATTAAATCGAATATTAGGGAAGTTAAGGAATTTATATACAAGCTAAAAGAAGTTCCGATTCATTAAGAAAAAATTTATACTCCCAAGGCAAAATCCCAAAGTAAAGCAAATAAAGCTATTATCGACTGAATTCTAGTCGTAAAGAGGATTACATGAATTTTAATAAAAATTAACAGCAATTTTTGTATATGGATTGTCATTTTAAGCATAAGGATTAGGCAATACACAATCAGAAATTTAAAATGTCAGCAATATGACTGGACTGCGATCCTGGTCATGATGATGCAATGGCAATTATTCTTGCAGCATATTCTGCCAATTTATTAGGAATTAGCACTTCAGCTGGAAATCAAACCATACACAAAACAACTAGAAACGCAATTAGGGTTTTAAGTGCAATTGGAAAATCTTATATTCCTGTAGTAAAAGGGCAGGCAGCTCCTTTAATCCGCCCATCCATGGTATGTGCAGAAATACATGGCGAATCAGGGTTAGACGGCCTGAATGACAAGCCGTTATTTGATGAAGTCGATATTAGCCATATCCAAGGTCCAGCCCCGCCTGTAATGTATGAACAAATCCGACGATATTTCTATCTCACAGGCCAAAAAGTCAGACTTGTAGGGACTGGGTGTCTTACAAACATCGCTCTATTGCTTGTTCTTTATCCTGACGTGAAGAGCATGATTGATATTAGTATAATGGGCGGAGCCATTGGAATTGGAAATATCAGCCCTTCAGCTGAGTTTAATATTTTATTAGATCCTGAAGCTGCAAAAATTGTATTTGAAAGCGGAGTGGACTTAGTTATGATCCCCTTAGAAGTAACACATACAGCCCTAGTCACAAATGAAGTGCTGCAAAAAATTGGAAATAGCACTCCTTTTACTGCAAAAATCTGTGAACTATTGAATTATTTCAGAAAAAATTACAAAGAAGTGTTTGACTTTGCAGATCCTCCACTGCATGATCCACTTGCAATTGCATATGTTTTAAGACCTGATCTTTTTACAGGAAGATCAATGAGGGTTGACATAGAAACTCAAAGTGATTATAGCTACGGACGAACAATATGTGACGTCTGAAATAAAAGCACAATGAAAAAGAACTGCTGGGTCGCTACAAAGGTAGAACTTGATGGCTTTTGGGACTTAATGATCCAAGCAGTTGAACTCGCAGACTCTAGATCAAGTTTAAACTAATATATAATAAATATCCCACTATGAGATAATTATTTAAGGCGATTTCTTTAATGTGAGTAAGTCGATGTCGACTACGTTCTTAGCTTTGACTCCTTTATTATGCAGAGTTTTGACAACTAACTCAATGTTCTCTTTTTTCTTTGTCCCAATCACTAAAGTCTCAATTTCTCCTTTGGCCTTGATATTTTGGGCTTTTCCAGGGCACACAATCAGAACTTTAGCATGCTGCGCATTATAGACACTCAGCCCATCTTCTTCAGGAGCAAATACAGTTTTAGCACCAACAAAGCTGGTACCTAAAACACTTCCGAAAGTCAGTGGATACTTATGCACTAAAGTGTTCACAACTGTGTCTCCTCCTTTTATTCCTACCTTTTTTGCAAAATCAGCTGCAAAGTTAACTAATTCTTCTTGAGTGTGGGAAGAGCCAAGATGGGAAAAGTTTGGGGTATTGGCCTTTACTTCAAAATTATTCATAGGATTAAGGGTTTCTTCCAATTCTGCATAGACAGGGATTTGCTTCATTTTCAAGCTTCCTCTTATAGTAGAAAACCCTGTTTGGATGACTCCTTTGAGTTCAGGGAACTTTTTGCTCTTAAGAAGACTGCCTGCGTTGGTTTTTGACATTTCTGGGATATGATTCAAGAGATAGTCAATATGATAGTAGCCTTCAAAGCTTTCCCAAGGAGACAGAATAAGCAGTTTGGCAGATTTCATGCTTGACTCGAAATGTTCTGTTGAATCTAGACTTATCACTTCAAAACCAGCTTTAGCACATGCCAGATTAAGGATTAAGGACTCTGGATATTCTTTGTATGCAAGCCAAGTAACGACTTTATCACCTGGATGTAGGCCTAGCTCTGCGAGACCCATGGCGTAGGCTTGAGAATATCTCTGCATTAGAAATTACATTTACTTCTTTGAAGGTCCATCTTGTTTGTTTACCGAGAAAATGCCAAGCGTCTCTGTAAGGGAACTGATTTAGTTGAGCTGCAAATGCTTTTTCTATTGGCCCACCTGAATATAGTCTCTGAATGGTTTTTCCAAGCATTTTTTAATAGAAATTATCTCGAAATTATTTTATAATAAGGAAATTGAGAATTCGAGAAGATAATTTTAATATAATTTAATCACATATTTAAATTCATATCTATGTTAACTTAAAAGCGTTAGAAAAATAGTAATATCATTATGCTTGTTTATCTTAAACCTACATCATATCTTAAAATAAAGGTGAAATAGAATTATATAGCTATAATGCTGCAGTATCCATTGAATTACAGAATATTGATTTAATAAGATTAAATAGTTTTAATAGAGTTCATAATTCATGGCATACCATATGAAAGAAATGTTGGACTACGAAAAGGAGAGATGGAAAGAGAAAGGCCCATATTGGGTATTTGGAATTGCTTTATTTATGTTCTATCCTTTAGTACTCCCAGAATTAATAAAGCCGTTATATGAATTTTTGCTTTCTCACTTCGATGAATGCATTACCTTTGTTTTATTGATTCAGATTGTTCATCATGTAAGCTATGCTCTGCATTGTGCAATTCTTATCGTTATAGCTTTGTTGAAGAATCCCAGTTTAGAAAAATTTAGAGTAAATCCTTCTTCATGGCCTTGGGAAGTGGATATGCCACTTATAAAAAGAAACGCAGTTACCCTATTCGTCAACTTTTTCCTTATCAACCCTATCGTGGCTTATGTTGGCTATAAGACCGATTTATTCAGTACTCGGTTTGAGACTGTTTATCCTTCTTTTACTGAAGTTCTTTGGCAAATACTGTTTTGTATGGTAACTGAAGATATATGGTCATATACATTTCATGCCCTCAACCACTATGGCCCGCTTTATAGGAATATTCATAAAAAGCACCATCAATATAATATCACAATAGGTATTTCAGCTGACTCCTCCCCATCCTTGATCGAACGATTCACTGTAAAAATTCTTAAAAATTGGGAAAAATTAACCCCCATCCTTGATCGAACGATTTTCATATCATGCAAATTTTTTATATATAAAAAATATATTAGTTATCAAAAGCTTGGGAAGATGCGCCTAATGAAGTTGTCGTCAGAGGCTTTGAGACAACAGAAAGTATTCTTATGAAATTATTTCAATTTTTTGCTGTAAAAATAATTATTAAATACTCTTAACCCTCTATTTAAAAATATATTAAAAAATATATATATTTTATATTTTATATAAAATTTTTTTCCCAAAAAATTTTTTTTAACCCTCATCCTTGATCGAACGATGGCGAGCCGTTCGATCAAGGATGGGCGGAGTGAGTACGCCCATCCAATAGAGTTCATAATGGTCAACATAGCAGCTTTATCAACTGGCGTTATTATACTGAGGAAAAGGATGCATTATATTTCCTTTTTATCATATATGTCCTATAGGATTGGAGATACTGTTGACCAGCATGGGGGCTATGAATTTCCTATTTCTCCATTTTCGATATTGCCTTTTGCAACTACAGCGCATTTTCATGACTATCATCATTCAGCAAATATAGGAAACTACGGCTCTCAATTCGCTATATTGGATGCTATGTTTAATACGTCTCCAGGCTTTTATAATCATATGAAGAAAAGAAATAAGAAATATGTGAAGAGAGCTCCTCAAGGATCTCATACTGAGTAAAAATCAATTTAATTAAATAATCTGTTGAGACCAATCTCTAATTTAGTCAAATTTTATTACTGTTTTAAAGATTTAGAAATTAGTAAAATCATTGAAAAATATAATTTATCAAGCTTATAACCATGATAATTTATTAAATAAATGATTTAATACTCCATATATTAATATATCCTCAAAAATCGTTATTTTCATAATATATCATCTAGATGTGCTAATAAAAATGGAATTCAGCTTCACATTTTCACAGGTTGTTCCAATTATCGTTGCCATTTTAGCGATATTCATCTACTTTTTCGGAAAGAACAGAAACAAATTAATAGCCCACAAATGGGCAAACACACTCGAGCCATTTCTTAAAGAAAACTTCACAAATATAGGGGAATTCGCAGGAGCAGAATATTTAAAGTAAGAGCCACACAGACAATACACGAACCAAATTTTCAGAATTATGGCATCAGGAAGAAAAAGCTGCCTTTATTTTGTTTCAATTATAGAGCTGACAAGAAGACACAATATCATCTATGCGACGATTGGGAGATTTTTTAGCAGTGAAACAGATAGATTTGCTTTTGAAATCGTAGTAAATGTGAATCCTCCATCTCCAGTGATATTTGCTCTATTGAAAAATATTCACAAGAAGAAAATTTTTAAAGAATATGATGATTTAGGGTGAGGCGAAAAAAAAACGCTGGGGTTTTTTTCGCCAACTTTTTCACCGTTAAATTTATAGGAAAATTTTGAATTTTCTCCAGATGGCGGAAAAAACCCCATAATAAAAAAAAAAAGTAGTGGCGGAAAAAAAAAAACCCCAGCGAAAACAAAAACCGTCAAAGTCAGAGGAAAAAACCCCCAAATGGTGCTAAAAACGGAGGAAAAAACCCCAATATACAATATAATTAAATGCTTAAAATGATAGGCAAATATTAGAGAAAATACAAATAAAGATTTATAATTTAGTTACAATAAATCAATTAAAACAATATTAATATATAGATGTATAGATTTATTCTCAAAGTAACTATAAAGCTATGATTAACAAAAATAATGGAAAAATATAAAAATCAACTATAAAAAAAATTTACAATCAAAACCTGGCGGAAAAAAAAAAAAACCGAAACGGTGCAAAAACCAGAGGAAAAAACCCCGAGTATGGAGTGAAAATTGGCGAAAAAAAACCCCCAATGTTTTTTTTTTTATAATAATTTTTTTCCAAATATTATCAGTGAGGATAGATTTACCTGCTAATTAATTAATTATTAAGCTATTTCATTCTAGTTTGTCAATCTATGAGCTATATATATATGCTAAATCATTCAGCGTTCTAATTATAAAAAGTTATTTGAATAATAAAAAAGAAGGCGAAAAATTTACTTTAATACTATCCAATACTTAAACCATATATTTACTTTCGATGCATCATACCAGCTCATCTTGTATTCACCTGCGACAAACTGCACTAGCTCATCTTGTATCCACTTGTGGCACATCCTGTTCTTGCTTATTTTGTATTCAACTGCGACACATCCTGTAGAGATCATCCTGCATCCAACTGCGATATATCCTATATAGATCGCTATGAAATAATACCTTAACTCCCCCCCCCTCCGTGAGTGAACAAAACCATTAGAAAAATCGCTATTTTTTGCCCAAAAACCCACCCTCCGTGAGTGAACAAAAATTTTTTTAATAGAAAAATTTTTTATGGAAAAAAAATTTGATATATAAATGATAATTATTATAATGAAATCTAGAGCTAATTCTGTTTAATTTTACACGAATTGCTTTTTAAAAACATAAATTTTTATAAATTAAATTAATATTTGCTTTCCAATTTTTGCGAATTAGGATTTTTTAAATTTCGAAAAAAAAAACATTTTTTAGAAAATTTATATATAAATTTTTTTAAAAAAAATAAATTAACCCCCCTCCGTGAGTGAACAAAATTTTTTTGTTCACTCACGGAGGGGGGGGGGAGTAAGAGGTAAAATAGCGATCTTACAAGTAAAAATGGCAATGACAATTGCTATTTTTATAGCAAGTACAGATTTGACTTGGCAAACTTTTTCTATAGATTGTATTTGCCAAGCCAAACGTGAACTGGTGATACAAATGGTCTTTGCCATGGTTAGAAGAATTTTTAGATAACTACTTTCGGTCTTTAGATATTGCTCTACAGAGATAAAAATAACATAAAGGGGCTATGCTAGTTCACCTTGTATCCGCTACGACAAATCCTGTACTAGCAAAACGTGTATCCGCCTGCAACGCATACTACTAGTTCACCTTTTATTCATCCTCGACATATCCTGAAAAGCTCATAATAAAGGTAGCATATAACTTAGTCTTAGCCTGATTGATGAGACTGGAGCAAATATGCTGAATTGTATCCGCTTCACCCATTGTATTGAATATTTATAAATCCATAAACATAACGATGACCTCCCTTATCTTCATGTCTATTGCAACAAAAATTTTTCGAAAAAATCTTTATGCCTACTCAACACAACATTTTTTATAAAAAAATTTAATGCATTTTTCTCTAGGTGAGTTTCTCAAAAAAAAAATAAAACAGCGCACTGTAGGCGTGTCAATGACCTTCTCATCGAGATTTGGACGTCTTGTATCATTGCTCGCCATTTTATTAAACTTATCTTGTAAAAAATACGGGAAAATTTAAGATGCGCATCGAAATTTGTTGCAAGAGATATGAAACTTATTTTTCCTATATAAAATTTTATATTGAAAAATTGCATTTTTGTTGCAATAGACATGAAGATTGAGGGGGGGTCATCGTTATATAAAAATCTATCCTCACTGATAATATTTGGAAAAAAAATTATTATAAAAAAAAAAACATTGGGGGTTTTTTTCCGCCAATTTTCACTCCATACTCGGGGTTTTTTCCTCTGGTTTTTGCACCGTTTCGGTTTTTTTTCCGCCAGGTTTTGATTGTAAATTTTTTTTATAGTTGATTTTTATATTTTTCCATTATTTTTGTTAATCATAGCTTTATAGTTACTTTGAGAATAAATCTATACATCTATATATTAATATTGTTTTAATTGATTTATTGTAACTAAATTATAAATCTTTATTTGTATTTTCTCTAATATTTGCCTATCATTTTAAGCATTTAATTATATTGTATATTGGGGTTTTTTCCTCCGTTTTTAGCACCATTTGGGGGTTTTTTTCCTCTGACTTTGACGGTTTTTTGTTTTCGCTGGGGGTTTTTTCCGCCACTACTTTTTTTTTTTTTATGGGGTTTTTTCCGCCATCTGGAGAAAATTCAAAATTTTCCTATAAATTTAACGGTGAAAAAGTTGGCGGAAAAAACCCCAGCGGTTTTTTTCCGCCTCACCCATGATTTACGTATATTAGCGCAAGAAAGACCAAAATACACTATGCCAAATGGTTTTGTTATTATGTCTGAAAATGATGAGAGTGCGAGCTGGATTCTTACTAATGAAATTTTGCACTATATTGAAGTGCTAGCTCCAATTATCGAGATGATTTATATTACTGATTTAGAAATTTTGCCAGTGAAAGCGCCGTTAACTTTAAGGTGCAATTTTCTTTTGCCACATAATAGTCAAAATAAAGTAAATAGCCAGCAAATTGAATTGGCTGGAAAATTTGCTTTGGCACTAGCTGATAGATTAAGTTTGTTTAGAATTAGTAATCAAGCACGGGAGTTATGCTTGAAAAGTAGGTCGAATTTAAGACCGAAATCTGAATAATGCTAAATAAATGAATAGCTAATATCTCTTATTAATTGCTAGAATAAAATCATAGATATTATGAAAATAATTTCTTGATTGCTTTATGTATATATATATAAAGTAAGGTAATTACATTCTTTTTAAATGACTATTATGTTTTGTTAAAAATCTTTTATTTATTTGTGGATATTTCAGATTAAATTAAGTTATAGATTCTTTATGCATAGCTTCGAAATAGATTTGTGGAGTGGAAATTATAAAATATCACGATAATATTAGAAAATATAATTTTTTTAAATTAAAAATAAGTTATCAAAATTGCTAATTCTCTCTATTCTTTTATGAGTTATAATAAATGGTTGCAATTTTTCAAGCATACTTACCTTTTTATTGGACAATGATTTCTGCAGGAGCCGGTGGCAGCATTGCTAAGCTTTTTACTTTACCATTCGACACTATTAAAGCCCGAATTATGGTTCAAAACTAACTAACTCTCCCCCCCATTTAATAACGGACACTTTTTTTGTTCGTTATTAATGGGGTCTAACTTATAAAATTTTTGGAAAAAAAAAATATATATAAAATTTATATTAAATATCTATGATTATTTTATATAAAAATTTCAATTAAAGAGTTAATAATAAAAGGATTCAAATGATTGCAACAGAAAGAGAAGCGCCTAAATGCAAGCGAAAAAGATAACTATTGCTAACTCCCCACCCCTCCGTGAGCGAACAAAACCATTAGAAAAATCCCTCACCCTCCGTTAGCGAATAAAATGTTTTTTAATAGAAAAATTTTGATATATAAATGATAATTATTATAATGAAATCTGGAGCTAATTCTGTTTAATTTTAAACAAATTACGTTTTAAAACATAAATTCTACAAATTCAATTAATATTTGCTTTCCAATTTTGCGAATTAGGATTTTTTAAATTTCGAAAAAAAAATAACCCCCTTCGTAAGCGAACGAGATTTTTTGGTTCGCTCACACGAGCGGGGAGTAAAGCACCAGCTTCAGATTAAGCCACTATTAGCTTATTCGCTTTTATTTATTATTCTTTGCTCGATTATGTTTGTCCTTATCTTATTCTAACTACTTAAAATTAGTAAACTATAAAGACTAAATTAGCTTATATAAATTTTATAGTAAATTTTGTTCGTTATTAAATGGGGCGGGACCTAAGGAAAAAAATTTTAGGAGAAAAAAATGACGGTTTTGTTCGTTATTAAATTGGGGGGAGACTAAGAGGCTCTATAAATTTTTCAGGCCCTTTAAATTGTGCTGCTTTTATTGTAAAAGAAGAAGGTTTTTCTTCCCTCTGAAGAGGTCTGAAATATGGAATTCAGCGTCAATTTATTTATTGTTCTTTACGCCTCGCCACATTTTAAAGTCTGAGTGACTGAGTTAGCTGGTCAACTAAAGAAAATCCTAAATATACCACCTAATTCAGAAAATTTATTTAGGCCTGCTATCTGGAGCTCTGCCTCTTTTATTGCACTTCCAACTGATTTGATTAAAATTAGGCTTTCAAGAGATGTAAAAAGCTCACAATTGAGACATAAAGGATTAATTAACGAGTGCAGAGAAATGATAAGAGAAGAAGGGCTTAGAGCTTAATAGCTTTATCTTGGCACGATGCTATTTGAAACTCAATAATAAACACAGCACAACTAGCAAGTTATTTCCAGATTAAACAGTCTATGCTGAAATTCGGATTTGGAGATGTGCTGTCAACCCATTGCATGTGTGGATTCTCAGCTGGTGCTTGTGCCACGTTTTTAGTATCGTTAATACATATAGCGAGAGTAAAACGATTTAATGCCAAGCAAGGCCAATATAATTGAATTTGGGAATTTGCATTTAAAACGCTAAAGAATCATGGTATCTTTATCTTCCATAATGGGCTTGCCACATTGTGAGATTTGGAGCATGGAGCATGGTTATAATTTATGCGACATAATAGATTGCATACCCCAACAGAATGCCGATCAGAAAAAATATGGTCTATTGCGCCTGCTTTATATAGTCTAAGTCTGTTTAGGTATCTTAAAACGATAAACGAAGATTTTTCCTTTTCTCTCTTCTTTTCAAAAAAGCTGACTTGTGCAATCAATTTTGAAAATTAAAATGAACGGCCAATAATAATCCAAAATATTTCAGCGGCTATATGTTTGCATCTTTTGAAAGTGTGAAAAGAATTGTTTTACAAAATATGTAAAGGACTGAGAATTTTAAACATTAGAACCAAATTAGATAAATAATTCAGTTAATTGCAGAAATTATAATAAGTCAATATCAAGTTTTATTAAAATTTAATCATTCTACAATTAAATAAAGAAGTTACATTTTATTATGAAAATCAATTACCAAATTTTTAAGAAGCACTTTTTCTGTGATTAGTATTCTGATAGCAGATATATCATTGAGTTTTTAAGTCTAACTATCATTACAAAAAGCAGCATCTTCTGAGTAACAGACTGTCAGACTTTACATTAGAAATTCCTAAAAGGAAGAATAGAAGCTTATGCCTGCACATATATATCACACAAATATGGTATTTATTGAAAACTCCTCGAATTATTAAATTACTAGTGCTTTCACTCTATGATCAGCTGAAATTAAGGCTTATGATAGAGTGCAAAACTAAATTAAATTATTAAACTGCATAAGTGGGCAATCCACTATCCTTGCCCTATCTCAGCTCCAAACCAATAGCCTTTATATACCCCATGTTCAAATGAGGAAAATGGAAAGCCGCCATTTTGAGTTTCCGACCTGAACCACCTATCCAGAGGATTAGCTTCCTTGAGCATATCATTATCTGTAGACCAGAGGATTAGCTTCCTTGAGCATATCATTATCTGTAGAATAGTCCGCTAATCCCAATAGATAAGGGCAAATATGGCAGGCAAAACCTGTCTAGCCCATCTTAAAAACAGCAAACCCTTGGGAGAGTAACAAAAAGCCATGCTTCAGCAGGTTTCCCATTGAGATGGTCTACTTAACTCACGAAGAGTATCTCTCAAAACTCATCGAGCCGGTAACCGCTCCATCACAATTCTATTTCCGTCAATATCATCATTTTATTTCTCGAAAAATTGCAAAAGGATGAGGAATTTTTTAGACTTTAATGTAAAATCAAAAGAATGTAGAGGAGGATATAAAACTTTGGAAGCAATACTAAATAAAGCATGAACGATGTAATGATGATATATATAATTCCTTGGAGAAACATATTGACTAAATTAAATAGCATAGGAATAAATTTCAATAATATTGAGCTAAATTCTTTTTGAATAATGCATTTAAGATAATCTTCTAGCTTTATGATCCATCAACAAAATAAGTAAGGGAAGATGAAGGATGAATCTTCTTTTACTGCTTTCAAAATAAATAGCGGCATAATTAATGCTACCATCACAAGCAGTCATTCTTAGATTAAGATTATTTACTATTGCTTTCATACATATTTTGCTTAATGCTCACGAATGCACTTACCTTACAAATAAAAAGAAATTCCAATAATTTTCTTTTTTAAATTCCATTTCAAATATTAATTCTCAAATTCCCCAATATTTTCCTTATTTAATTAATTGAAGTGTTAAATGGTATAATACTCATAAATGTCTAACAATATAAAAATATTTAAATTTTTTTACCCTAAAACAAGTAAATCGCTTTAATTTTCTAGTTTTGAAAGATCCTATTTTCCGAAAGAGTTGCTCCATGCCTTCTTTTCTTTCAGATGCTGCCGTCTTTACTGATCTTGTAAAATATTGCAAATATGAAGAGCCTAAAAGACGTCATTCAATCTCTTAATAAATCCAGCAATTCTTATGCGCAGCATTGGCACTTGCTATTTAAAAATCCGTCAAATGAAAAGCGGTTTGCAACAGAACTTTTGTCGCATCAGAAAACTTCAATAACTATAATTTACATCTGCACAATTTTTGTAATAGCTTGATTTTTATCAAGAAAAGAAATAACTTGTCTGCGAGCATTCCTATTATGCCTGTCTGCCATACCATTTCTTCTTGTAAAAATTGAAAGATCATTTATCCATAGGATCTTTACCGAAATCATTGCTATGCAATTTATTTTGGCTACGATAAACACTGGCTCAATATGTGAATGTGTATGTGCTTTTATACCAAGTAGCATTTTGAACTATTATTTCTTGAAAACATGAATATATAGCTTTATCATGAATATTCTTGAGATACTACTCGTTTATTTACTAACTTCCCCCTCCGAGAGCGAACCAAAAAATCTTATTCACTAACGGAGGGGCTTAATTTTTATTTAAAAAAAATTATATAGTCAGTGTCACTAACTATATATATTTTATAGAATTTGTTTTTCTTCGGAATTTAAAAAAATCCCACTTCTCAAAATTGGAAGGCAAATATTAATTTAATTTGTAAAATTTATGCTTTAAAATGCAATTAAAAAATTAGCTCGAGATGTCATTATACTAGTTATCACTTATATATCAAAATTTTTTCCCATAAAAATTTTTTGTATTAAAAAAATTTTTGTTCGCTCACTGAGGGTGGGTTTTGGGCAAAAAAATAGGGATTTTTCTAATGGTTTTGTTCGCTCGCGAAGGGGGGAGTAAGAGATGTAGAAGTTTTTAATATTCTTTGTGCTGTTTTTTGCCATATTTTTTGAATTGTAATGATAGAAAGAGACATGAAAATCGCTTGAGCACTCTATCACTCACAAAAAGATAAATGCAATAAATTCGAGTCATTGCTTCAAGGACCAGAAAATTCCATAATTATTGCAGAATGTGACAGAAAAGGGGGAAACAGTAAAAAAGAAAAAGAAGTGTTTTCAAAAGTGAAATTGAAAGAAGACCGCTTCAGCATCCATATAGAACTAGCAAGCTTTATTGATGAGATTTTTAATAAAGCCTCCTCTAAAGAAATCACGATAATCTATACAAGAGAATCTAGTGTTCCTCCATGCATTTTGGGAGACAAAAGCTTGTATTTGCACATCTTGAGATGCTTGTTTGGATATGCACTTGATTATTCGTCATGTGGGACTGAGTTATTATTCCATTTAAAAGGGCCCTCTTCGTACACAGATGAATACGGTATTGAGTTCCAAATTTCTTTTCATTCAGAAAAAGTAACCCAAGACGGTTTAAATAAAATTTTCCTTAACTCAGAATCACTACTCAAGCCTAAGTTCATAGAAACCCCTTCAAAAATTAATAGTAAACTGCTGATTTTCAGTCTGATTTTAGAACTACTCAAAGGTCGGGTTAATCACTGCCTTTATACCTCAAGCAAAAGTAGAGCAGTTTTAAGCGTATTTATTCCAATTAAGACTTCAGACAAATGAATTGAGACGACCTTCGTACCGACTCACTCCCATCCAGAAATCGCACCAAACAACTCTATCAAATGGAAACCTGAAAAATCAAAAATCGGGGCAATGACAAGATTTCAGAGAAGGAAATCTCTAACACAAGCACCGGAGTATTTGGAGTATCTTAAAAAATATTCTACTCATGCGGATAATGGCTACACAATACAGCAAGACGTTATGGAAACTCTTTCAGATGTGTCGAATTCTTCCAGTGCCAATTTTTCTCAAGAATGTGACGAAGACGTCCGAGTAGGTCCTTGCGGTGTTTCTTATTCTAAATCCCACCCTCCGTGAGTGAGCAAAAAAATTTTGTTCGAAGTTAATTTTTTTTTTTTTAAAAAATTTATAAATAAACTTTATAGAAAAATTTTTTTTCGAAATTTTTAAAAAAATCCTAATTCGAAAAAATTGGAAAGCAAATATTAATTTAATTTATAAAAATTATGTTTTTAAAACGCAAATTTTTTAAATTAAACAGAATTAATATTGATTTCATTATACTAATATCACTTATATATCAATTTTTTTTTTATAAAAAAATTTTTGTTCACTCACGTAGGGTGGGTTTTTGGGCAAAAATAGGGATTTTTCTAATGGTTTTGTTCACTCATGGAGGGGGTGAGTAAGACATATGCAGGCGTGCTATCGACTATTCCTAAATCATCTCTAGTAGTTCCAATGCAGAATTCAAAATCTATGCCAGAAAGCCCTTGAAAGCATAAAAACGGCTCGCTAAAAGTAAGACGAGTATACGCAAATAGTAAAAATAACTATTCTCCTTTGCCTGACTACAAATTCACAGACTCAAGACCTACCTTTTGCTTATTAGCAGAAGATACTAATGAGAATAAGTCTTTAAAGTGTGAAGTAGGGGCCTTCAAAGTGCTCATCGTTGACGACATGGCTTCACACAGAGAATTTCTTGAAGCGAACCTTGGAGCCATCACACATATAAATGCAGAGCATGCAAAAGATGGGAACGAAGCTTGGAAAATGTATGAGGCCTACGCAAAGAGTGGATATATGTACAGAGTTATTTTTATGGATTTAATGATGCCGAAGATGGATGGGTACAAATCCACACAAAAAATAAGGGAAATTGAAAAACAAAATGGGTATCCAAAGACACTGATATGTGGGATGTCAGGAGATAAAGAAGCTAAAGAGAAATGCGTAAATGCAGGAATGGATGAATTTTGTAAGGGTTATGTAGTGATAAAGCCGCCTCAAATTTCAGAGGTGAAAGCGATCCTTAGCATCCCTTGCAATAAGAAACAAAAATTTTGATATTTGATAATGAAACTTGGCTAATTTTATTAAATTTAGATAGTTGCATTCTGAAATTAAATGCTGAATTTGTACTTCTAACATCTGCAAAAAGGGATTTTTTAAAAAATTTTAACAAAAAATAGTTACAAGCAAAAATATTTTGTTTTTTTCGCAGGTCTGGGAAGTAAGAAAGCTGGAGCAGAGTTTTAGATACTTTACAATAATATCAGAATGTTTCTAAATTAATATAAATTTGAAGTTTTAGCAACCTTCAAGAAGGAGCAGCACAGCCTATAATATAATTTAAGTTCTAAATTAATACTTGTTTTAGCTCATTTAAACACCGGATCTAATTTTTCATAAGAGATTTTTATTCATAAATTTTCAGATTAGCCATTTCATGAAGCCAATTCATTCTTGTAAATAAAAAATGTTTGCTAGATCATTCAGGTATCTAGGCCGAGCTAGCTCCTTCCATACACTTAGCAGGCCTATACAAAGATTCCAGATTCGCTCTTACCAGTTTCAGTAAATTCAATGCAGACTTAACAAAACTAATTACTTAAGCAAGCTTTCGTCAAGTTTATTAATGAATTTAGCTTACTCACAAGATTTTTATCTATTGAGCACAGAAGATGTTGAATCTTTACTATCCAAGGTTGAAGAAGAGCAGGTGTAAACTTTATTTAGACTAGGCTTGCGCTTGCTAAGCATTAAATAATAAAGCATCTATTTAATTATGGATTTCTGTTTAAATAAACACAAAAGAATAAGTCCCGTATAATATCAAGAGATTTTTTCGTAAACTCGAATAAATTTCCAGAGATCAAAGAATCTCGGGGATATTTGAAGAGGAATTGAAAACTAAATTAATAATCCGGCAATCATGATTTCTTATTTGAAAGGGTAAACAGATTGATAATTTTAGCTCTATATTAAATAAGTTGCTTAGTTTTAGCTAATTTTGCCTTTATAGTTATAATTATAGAACCGATTAAAATGAATCCAGCTTACAATGAAGAAGACCTTCCTGACATAAAAGGTTCATCCCCTCTGCCAATAAATATCCCAAAGCAGCCAAGTCAATTAGGCCAACAAATGTGCATAAAATGCTCTAAATCTTATGATAGCACTGTTTTCAATATTGAATGCCCAAACCATAAATTATGTATTTCCTGCAGAGCACAAAATCCGGATAGATGTCTCTTTTTCGGGTGCAATAGACTTTATAACGAAAAAGATAAGCAAATAATTTATGCTTACATTAAAAAAATTGATGAAAACTACTTTACATGTGACCTATGTGGAGTAAAGAAGCCAAAATTTATGAGAAAAATTAATGATCAGTGTGACTGCAATGTTTGCTTGATGTGCTCTATTGGTGATCCATATGAATGCGCTTATTGCTGTCAAAGATCATCTGAAATCATAATAAGTGATATCAAAGGAATTGCATGCAGTAATTGCGAAACACTATTAGACAACCCAGAAAAACTGCGCACCCACAATTGCTATGTTGGCCATTAAAATAGTTTTTAATTAGTTTCCTGTAATTTCTAGTCATTATATTACTATCGAAAATAAGTTAAATTTTCTCAAATATGACGAACTGTATATTTTTTTAATAATGGACTTGATTCGACTGGACAAAGAAAGGTAACTTTAAGTCAGGTTTAACTCTCACCTATGTGTAAAGGCAATAAAAGTCTCAATATCTCAGGTATCAACTTATCTTCTCAGCCTCTCATCTCATCTTTTAAACAAGCCAGGAGTCTCAAATATTGATAAATGCGCAGACCCTCAGTCTCGTCTGATACTTCTTGATGAATCTTTAAGCAAGCTTTCAACCGAAGAGCTTCCTGATTCTTTGACCTCAAAAATCCTGGATAACTCAGTAGAAATTATTGATCACACCTTAGATTTATCATATGACTCATATTCATTCCAAGAAATACTGAGACAGCTTCTTCCAAACACCTTGCCAATTCTCCCAAACTTCGAAACTATAGGAGACCTCGCTTACATTAGGCTAATTCCTGACTATTCTGAGCATTCAAGACTATAGAGGTTTCCTCTATATAGCGCTGAAAGCGCAGACATTTTCCCAGGAGCTTTCCAAGTTCGTCGGACCGAATCGCTTTTTGGTCCGACCAAGGCATTGATTTGGTGCAACCAACCGATAAATTCCGATCAGAATTTATCGGCCTTACAGCGCCAAACATAGGAAACTTCTATAATCGGAGAAGTCATTCTCGATAAGAGCGGGAAAAAGTGCGTTGTCGGGATTTTCCAAGATAAAGCTGAGGTGATTGCAGGAAGTGGAGACACCAAAGTAAACGCTGCTGAGCATAACCTGCACATAAAATATGACTTCCTTAAAGCGCCGCTGGCTGCTGGCTTGGAAAGTGAAAGAAATAGACTATTAGAAAAATTTGAAAAAAATTCAGTAATTTGTGACACTTGTGCAGGGGTCGGACATTTAGCACTGCTAGCCGCTCAAAAAGGGTATAATGTGATTTCAAATAGTGAAAACGAAGAAAATTATGAGGCTTTAGTGGCCAATGCTATTAATAACCAACTTGACAAAAAAATTTATGCATTTAATCAGAAGCCCCTTGAGATGCTTGAAAATATAAAAGAATCATGGGCAAGTAACGATGATAAGGAAGCTGAAGAAATTCAAACCCAGATGGTCCATTATCTCTTAAGGTCACCAGACTTTAATGATTTGCCCCACAAAAAGTTTAATCATCTAATTTTAGAAGTTAAAGATCCTGACTTCCAAGAATTAGAAAAACTCTATGGGTTCTTTAAAGGTGTTAGCTATGATCCTCTGCCGAATTTGCATTTTTATGTAGAATCATCTGCAGCTGCTCCTAAAGAAAGATATATCTTTTTCCAGCCAATAAATACTTGCCTACTTTGTAATTTTATTATAATAGCTACGGTATCTAATAACAATAGACAAGTTTTTATTTACTATACACATTGATATCATTGAAAAGCTCTCCAAAGCTTGGATGCACAAAATCAAAGACTCACAAATCCAAGAAGTTCACTACGTAAGAGACAAGCTCTACTGCATTTCTCTCCAAATCCCTCAAGAAGTCGCCTTTTCACAAGATGAAATCCTCAGAAGTGAAGGGAGCGTTTCGGAAGAAGAAAATTCTGAAGATCTCACTCCCCCCCCCTTTAAATTGGAACTAACAATTTTGTTCCAATTTAAAGGGGGGGTTAAGAAAATTTTTTTAAAAAAAAAATATCAATATAAAATTTTTTTTATAAAAAAAAATTCCAAAAAATTTATCGAATTAGATTAATAAATTTGTTTAATAAAATGCTATTTACTCTTTATCCTTTAAATCAAAGCAAGATATAACTAAATTTTATTATTAATTAATACGCCACTATTAATTGGTATCAAAACTGTTTACACAAAAAAATTATTATTTTTATTGATAAAAAAATTTAAAAAACATAATTCTAGAAAAATTTATGGATCAAAGTGCTAATTTTGTTTAAATGAGATGCCATTTATACTCTATTTTTTGAAATAAAGCAAGAAATAAGTGAATTTTCAATTTTTGTAAAGAATTCGCATTGAATTTATATCAAAATAATTTAAATAAAAAATATCATTTTATCAAAAAAAATAAAAAAAAAAAATTAAAATTTTTTTAAAAATTTAGCAATTAAGGCTAATAAATTTATTTAAATAAGATACTCTTTATACTCTATTCTATAAACAAGAGCAAGATATAACTAAATTTTTAATTTTAGTTAAGAAGAAATATTTAACTTATATCAAATCTTTCTACATAAAAATTATGATTTTTATATATAAAATTTATGATTTTTATATATAAAATTTTTTATTATAAAATTAAATTTGTTCCAATTTAAAGGGGGGTTAATTTACCAAAAAAGTGCAAATTTTACCGATATTTTGTTCCAATTTAAAGGGGGGGAGTCAGAGAAACCATGTCAAGACAAATGGACTTTATGCAGCGTTCTATACGAGAAAGTGAGCTTGTACATACTTCTCTATTGATGTCAAATCTCAATTCCCTTATAATTTCTCAGCAAGGAAAAAGACAACAGAGTATGCCTGAAAGCCCAACGAAGCGTTTTAGGCCAAATAAATAGGTATAATTAAAAGTCGCCATCTTCAATAAAATATTTACACGTAAATGTTTTATCTTTACTTTTTCTTTGTTTTAGGATGCTCAGCATTATATGAGAACTGTCCTTATGTGATACATCCTAGTAAAGAAGAGCTCTCAGGGCTGCTAGAAAACCCGGATTATATGGCGGTTGATATTATTTATGATAGAAATGGCATGCCATCTAAAGTCCTTTCAAACGTAATTGTTGATGTATTAGACAAGTACCATACTTTTGTTAAGGTCTATGCATATGACTGTGCAGACGATGAACAATTATGCCCTGAAAATATTAAGGCTGAGCTGCCTATATTTGAAGCTCACGTGCCGGCTGGGCTAAATCCATATACAGGAAAGCCACTTGTGCATAAAAGAAAATTTGAAGGAGAAATTGCATATAAAGAGGTTTCAGACTTTTTATTGACAAACATCCCGTTTTTAGGCGAAGTGCTAAATAAAGAAAACGAAGATTTCTTGAATGAAAACCAACTGAACCATGCTATTTTGTTTAGCAGCAAAGAAAAAGCTCCACTGATCTTTAAGGCGCTTTCTTCAGAGTTTAGAGGAAGATTGGAGTTTTGGGTATCTTTGTCAAGTGATCCTGAGTATTCAAAGACGTTTGGGGTTACTGAGTATCCTACACTCATGGTAAGGGTTGGGGAAGATATGTATAAGTATACAGGAAAATATGATTTCTTTGAAATCTCGAAATTTTTGGACCAATTTGCTGCAAAGGAGAGGCAAGAGTTAAAACTGAAAAAGAAAAAGCCGAAGGAAGAAAAGAAAGAGGAGCCTGAAATCCCTCAATTCCCTATTCTAGATTTGGATTCAAATAACTTTAAAGAAAAACTAGAAGGAGGCAAGCTTGCAATTGTTCATTTCTATAAAGAAAGCCAAGTAACTGAATGGGAAGAAATTAAAAAGAACTACAATGGCGTTGTACTACTTGCGAATTTCCAATGCAAAAATGAAGCTGAAGAAGAGTTTGCAAAATCATTAGGCGTCAAAAAGTTCCCATCACTTACTCCCCCCCTCCGTGAGTGAACAAAACCATTAGAAAAATCGCTATTTTTTGCCAAAAACCCACCCTCCGTGAGTGAACAAAAAATTTTTTTATGGAAAAAAATTGATATATAAATGATAATTATTATAATGAAATCTAGAGCTAATTCTGTTTATATTTAAACGAATTGCTTTTTAAAACATAAATTTTGCAAATTAAATTAATATTTGCTTTCCAATTTTTGCGAATTAGGAATTTTTTTAATTTCGAAAAAAAAATTAACCCCCTCCGTGATTGAACAAAATTTTTTTGTTCACTCACGGAGGGGGGGGAGTTAGAATATTCCCAATTAACCGCAAACGTAAAAGCTTGGAACTTGTTTTCTCCAATCAATACGAGCTTGAATATGAAATTTCCAGAGAGCTAAAAGTCGATATCATTTCACTTTCTGATTCAAATATCAATGCATTTGTCAATCAAGTAGGTGAAGAACAAAAAGTAGGATTATTATACCTAACAGAAACTACCCCAAACCTTCATTTCAAAGGTCTCGCATCTGACCCTGCATTTAAAGATTTCGTCAAATTTGGCAGCCTTAATAAACCTCCAGAGCAAGCTAAACAAATTTTCAACCAAAGCAGATATCCTACAATAATCGCATTTTCTTCTCCAGATGAAAAAGGAGATTTTAATCTATTAGAATTTACTGGGAATTTAAATGATTATGCAGCTATGAGCTTTTTCTTAGATAAACAGGCTATCCCATATATGCTTAAACGAGAGATCAGCCCTACAGTTGATGTAGAGAATGCAGATATCGTAGAATTTAAACACAAAAATTACGAAAAAGCATGCACAAAGAAAATTGGGATGTGTGTAATAGGCTTTTTTGAAGGTAACCCTGTAAGATTTATATAGGAAAACACTCCCCAATTTTCTGTACTTAAAAAAGTGAGTTTATTGATGGAAAAGCGAAAAATCCCTTTCCATTTCGGCTGGGTTGATGGGATTTGCCAGCATGAACTGCGAGAAAGTTTTGGAATCTCAGAAGCAATGATGCCAAATCTTGCAGTTTATTTCCCACACAAACAAAAATCAGCCAGACTTGTCGGAACTTTCAATGAAGATGATATTAATTCCTTTTTAGAAGGTGTTACAAGAGGGAAAATCTCAACTGACGACAAAGCCAAAATTAAAGTTATCGATAGAGATTGTGAAGCTTTCCATAATAGTTTAAAGCAGAATACAGAAGAAGGTCATGATGAATTAATTGAAGAAGTACTAAAAGAGGAGGAAGAGAAGAAAAAAGCTTTAGGGGTTGAAGAAGGGACTTCAAAGAAAGGAAAGAGGAGAAAAAGAAAAGGAGTGAGTAAGGCAGATGATTTATAATGATTAAACTAGGTTAGGACTAAATTTCAAACTTCTTATGATCTTCAAGCAAACTTCCTTTGGGGTCTGGAAAGAATCTTCGATTTTTCAGCTGCTTTTGGATAGACATGAAAAAACTGAAAAAAAGCACAAATATGAATATGCATTGAAATACAGTAGAGAAATACTCCCAACTACTTTCTTTGGCTTCTTCTAAATTTATTATACTGTTTTTGATCATTTTCTGCTTAAAAAGTACCTATTTTTTTTATATAAATGGAGATGAGCTGAGCACATAATTATTAGAGAAAGGATATCAAGCAGAATTTTTCAGTGCAGCGTTTTAAGCAATTAGGCTCACTTTCAAGATTTTTACAGAAATAGCAGCAGAAATTCATACAATTTGAAGCAGTCGCTTCAGATTGAGCTTCTTCACTTTGAACATTATTTAAATCTGTGTCACATGAAAATTGACCAATGCATGAAAATTTCAATTCTGGGTTTTTATAGCAAAATTCTAATGAATTGGGGTTGCAACTTAATTCCTGCATGAAATATCGCCTTTCAGCGATTTGTGTTGATGGAGAACTCCTATCAGGGGTAGCTATACCACTTAATAAGCTCATAGGGTTTGCATCATAAGTAAATTTTGCATAACATTTATCATTCACCGGCAAATTTTGTGAATTTGTATGATGTGCGAGTGCAAGCAAAATCTGAAATGCTAAAAATATGTTCATAATAGTGCTATTAGTTTTAAATAATCCACTATGAATACTGACAAAATCTTAAATTATATTATTCCTGCGCTATAGCAAACTCTAATTTTGCCTAAATTCATAAAGACTTAGCTAAGCATGGTGCCATTATAATAGCTTATATCCACAAATGGTGAAGTGGTACCCTACAGAAGACTTCAAAAAGATCAAAACAAAGGAAGAACAGAAACCTACACGAATTAGAGGTGCCATCACCCCTGGCCAGGTTTTAATCCTCCTTGCTGGTAAGCACCAAGGCAAAAGAGTTGTCTTCATCAAACAACTTGAAAGTGGATTGCTATTGGTAACTGGGCCATACAAGCTTAATGGAGTTGCACTTAAACGAATTCCTCAGGCTTACACCATCCCTACATCAACAAAGCTCGATATTTCTGGCTTACTCTCCCAATGATTAGAGAGGCTTTTTATGCCTCTTATTTTTTATTCTGAAAAAATCTATAATTTTTTCGCTTATTATAAATTAGGGTCGTTAGACACTTCAGATATCACTGATGCCTTCTTTGCTAAAGAAAAGAAAAAGGCTGCTAAAAGCGAGGAACAGTTCTTTGTTGCAAAGCCAAGCAAAAAAGAAGTCCCAGAGTTCAAGAAAGCTGCACAGAAAAAACTCGATGGAAGTATTGCTTCAGCTATTAAGGATCCTTTGGTCAAGAAATATTTATCGACGAAATTTAGACTGAGAAATGGAATGTTCCCACATTTGCTTAAGTTTTAATAGCTAATTTAGGTATTACACTTTTCAGCTAAATTGTCTTTGATATTTAATAAAAATAATAATCTAAGTGTTGCATTAATATACAACATTTAATGGGATTTCTTCAAATATTATTGATTTATTCAGATAATAAATTCTTTAGAATCATAAAAAAACCTTTCTTGGTCTATATCGTTAAAGCATTGTTTTAAATGAGAATCATATAGGACTTTAAAATCATTTATAGCTAAAATAATGTTAAGAGTTCTTTTAAAATTTTTATATTCAAAATTCTCCATGAACTTCTATACCAAGTATTTTTGGTTAATTTTAAACAAATGGCAAAAGTTAACCCAGAATTAAGAAAAGAAAGGTATGTCTCAGTTGGGCAGCGCGAACAAAGCTTATGAAAAGTCAGAGCAGCAGAACTTCAAAAAGAAGAGCCAAGGCTAAGAGAGAACCCTGATTATGCCAAAATTAAATGAATTCTATACCCAGATGACCACTTTATTGAAATATGAAATGTTGTAACTACTTTGCTATTACTTTACACAGGAATTGTAAGTCCATATAAGGATCCCCCCTAATTTTGTCCAATTTCTACTCTTTTTTTTCTAACTCCCCCCCCCCCTCCGTGAACAAAACCATTAGAAAAATCGCCATTTTTTGACCAAAAAACCCACCCTCCGTGAGTGAACAAAAATTTTTTTAATAGAAAAAATTTTAATGGAAAAAAATTTTGATATATAAGTGATAATTAGTATAATGAAATCTAGAGCTAATTCTGTTTAATTTTAAACAAATTGCGTTTTTAAAACATAAATTTTGCAAATTAAATTAATATTTGCTTCCCAATTTTTGCAAATTAGGATTTTTTTAAATTTCGAAAAAAATATTTTTTTATAAAATTTATATATAAATTTTTTTTAAAAAAAAAAATTAACCCCCCTCCGTGAGCGAACAAAATTTTTTTGTTCGCTCACGGAGGGGGGGGGGGAGTAAAAAAAAAATTTTTCAGGACTTCATTTGTCCCAAAATCTAGTTAAAAATGATTTGTCCCATTTTCTAGTTTTTTTGATTTTTTCGAATGTCCTAATTTTGGTTTTTTACTTTAAAAAAACTAGAAAATGAGACAATTGAGGTCCTGAAATTTTTTTTTCTATCAATATTTTGACTAGAAAATTTGACAATGAGGTCCTAAAAAAATTTTTTCCTATAAAAAAACTAGAAAAATGGAAAACGATAAAAGACTAGAAAATTGGACAAATGATGGGGGGGATCCTTAGAATTGCTTTATATAATTATGATCCAATAGAGTGATACATAGCAGAACTAATTGTGAATTGTTTTTATTTTATTGATGTTATATTAAACTGCTTTCTTGCCTATTATGATCAGGACATGAACATTGTTGTCAGCCATAAAAAAATATTTTGCAATTATGCAAAAGGCTGACTTGTTTTGGACATTTTAGCATGTCTCCCGTACCAAGCCATGATCCAAACTTCAACAAATTATTCCTCATTAGCAAGGATGGGAAGGCTGCCAAGAATATATAAATTGGTGAAAATGGGTAAACTGATGAGGATGATGAAATTGATTAAAACCAGGACAAGGGTTATGAGATATATGAATAGTATTTTACAGATCGACATTGGGATTGAAAGACTGGTATGGTTTTTCTTAACTTACTTGGTGCTCATACATTTACTTGCTTGCTTATGAATTTTCATTGGAAATCTCTATCTGAATTATGATTATAATAACTGAATCATGCAAAGCGGGTATCAAGATGAAGAGGGATTTGATTTATATATAATCGCGTTTTATTGGTCCGTCACAACTTTATCGACTGTAGGATATGGAGAAATTCATGCTTGAAATCTCCCAGAACGCTTAGTCGCAACTCTAGTTATGGTTGTAGGGATATTTTTTTACTCATTCATTATTGGGTCATTAAGTAGCTTACTTACTAATTTAGATTCCCGTACATCGAAAATGAACAGAAAGCTGGACATTCTCAAAAGCCTGTCAAGGCAATATAAGTTTAGCCCTGAGTTTTATTCAAAGATTTCTAATGCTATAGAGTACCACTATAAGCAAACCAAGCTTGATTTAGACGAAATTCTTGAGGACTTGCCTTTAAATTTAAGAACTCAGCTTTTGCTAGTCATTTATCAACAAATGCTCGAAAATAATGCTTTTTTCGAACATAAACCGTCATATTTTGTTGCTTACGTAGCTCCTCTATTGAAGCCTCAGCGGGTTGAGGAAGGAGAAATTATCTATAAGAAAGGCGATTTTGCCTCCGAAATGTATTTCATTGTCAGCGGACAAGTGGCAATGATGACTGCTGTAAGTGGAGGAGAAATGATACCTTTCAATGTACTAACAGAAGGATATTATTTCGGAGAAATTGATATTTTGTTTTCTGAGGAAAAAGAAAGGCTTTATGATGTAAAAGCGTTGGAATCTTCTGAGCTTTTAATATTCCCAAGAGATGATTTTGAAACTATGCTTAAAATGTTTACAGAAGAGTGTATAGAAGTTCTGGCTCTTGCTCAGCAAAGGCATCAGAGATTAAAAGAAAAATGCGAAGAAGCAGAAAAAGAGTTCTTGGAAAGGAAAAGAATTAAAAGATTTCAGAGCTTTCCTAATGCCATATTCTCAAAAGAGGAGTTCTTAAACCAAGCCAAAAAGGGCTTGAAAATGGAAGAAGCAGAAGAAATCGAAGATTGATTGATTAATTAATTAGAATATGTCTTTGGGGTTTATTTCAGCCCCTCTCTGCCTTCACCGACTTCAGGCTTGCGCCCTAAGCATCGGGTCGCACTCACACTCTTTTTTTGACGACGTCACCAAAAAATGGTGACATCAGCAGCTCACGGGAAGACGCACCCAGGCACTTCCTTGGACAACCTCTATCGGCCCTGGCCAACCTGGAGATGGGACCTGGCTGGATATTTCCGAACCCTCCTTCTGGTCTCCCTTACCCTTCGCTCCAAAAGTGTGAGGTTGCTATATGGATTCTCCTTGTCTCTGGGTCGGGGCAAAAACCCTATCTGGAGTCCGACAGGGATAAAAAGCCACCCATGACACAAATTCCGAACTTTGTCCCTCTGAGACCCGAAGTAGCCAAGAGGTGATGGTAGAAGGACTGGTTGGATAGTCAGCCATTTTATTTGTGTGAAATCGAAGAAGAAGAAAATGAAATTCACACCGATGATGAACAAAAAAATAGCAATGAAGAAGAGCAGATAGATGCGCCTGCTATAAATGAAGAAACAAATCCAGAAACAGCTCGACCAGAAGACAATAAAATAGCTTGATTTGAAAACTTGAAAAAAAATAAATCACTGTACCATGAAATTCTGGGAGACACACTCGGAATCAACGAAGAAGAAGAGCTCAAGAAAAAAGTTTCTAAGCTGGAAAGAAGGGTTGAAGAAGTGAAAAATGCTATTGTTGCAATAGCAGATGTGCTTGGCCTTGGATGGGCTATTGACTCTGAAAAAACGACGCCATCAGCAACTTTAACTTCTTTGCAAACTAGCTTTAATTCGTCAGCAGGCCAAGGATTAATGGCAAAGCTACTAAAAGAAGTAAGCAAAATTAGCCAAAAGGGGGAACATCACCCCTCATAGTTTTCACGAGTTGAATTTTAAACAAAATTGTAAAGATTTAGATATTGATTTAACGTAAATTAGAAATTTTAAAAATCCCTTTGAAAAAATTCACTAATCCTTTCTTGATTGAAATTTTTATCATAAGTTCAGCCTTTCCCTTATTTGATCATTCGAATAATTATAATACAAGAAGATACAATTATATATGCAAAATTATGATGTTGAAAGCACTTTATTATATTGAATAATCCTAAAGAAGAAAATCTTATGAGGGTTTACGCTTGAGCTATAATTAAAAAGCAATTTAATTGTCAACTAATTTGTCTGCTCCAGAAATCTTGGCTCTTAGTAGTCTTTCATTAAATAATGGCCCAAATTAAATATCTCTGGTCTAATTAAAATTAATAAAGTTAACTCACTATACAAATCAGTATACAAATTAATTATGATAGAGTAAGCTAGATATATATTTTTCTTACTCCTTACTCATAGAGATATGCTAATTGTTTTAAAATTTGATATTAATTTTATTTTGATTTTTAAAAGTACTGAAAAAGATATATTAATTATTTTTCATATTTGTTTTAGATACAAGCTGCCTAAAATACAACAAATGTAGCTAGAAATTTCATTAATAATTACTACTAAAACTTTTATCTTAAATAAATATTTACTACTTTTTCTTATAACATAGGGATTTTTATCAGCTTTCTCACGCATGAAGGAGGTTATAATTACTTTAATTATCAATTTTATGGGTTTATTAAAATTTTTCCAGTATGGCTAATAAAATGTTATTAATTCTGATCATATTTTCTGCTCTGAATTTTTCCTTTGCAGACAAAAAGTGTTATGCTTTATCAATAGAAGGAGGTGGTAGTCACGGAGCATTTGAAGCTGGGGCATTATGACAACTTATAAATTCTCTTCCTCCGGATGAAGTTTTGTACAATGTAGTGACTGGAATTTCAACTGGAGCTTTGAATGCTGCAGGAGTATCATTTTTCCCAATAGGTAGTGAAAAAGAAATGGCTGATTTTGTAGTTCAAACATGGCTCAATATTAATAATAGCTCAACAATCTTCGAAGAATGAAATGATGGAATCATAGGAGGTCTTTTCTTTGGGAGAGCTAAAAAACTAAGTTTAAAATTTATTAATATTTTTATAACAAGAATCTAACATTTATTTGAGAAAAATTAAGCGAACTCCATCCTTCATTGACTATTCCATTGAAATTCTTTTAAAATCCGTAAAATTACTAATATCTTTGTTAATTAGAAAGGTAAGTGTTTTGTAGTATAATCATTCCTAAGTTATTTATAGCTGCTTGATCATATTTTAAATAATTTAATTCATATCCCTAATATAAACAGGAATTTATATAAAAAAAATTTATATATAATAAGCAAGAGAGTTAATAGATTAATATGATAGATTTAGCTTCGATTTATCGCTTTAAACATGAATCCAAATAAATTTGATTATAAAATACATAAACAGAAATAAATCCCTTCAATAATAATTATATGTCATAAGCTCATAATCTAGTGTTGATTGCACTATCTCTGTTTGCCCTAAATATATCATGCTTAATTTTTTTAATCAAGCAGTGAGAGTTAAAGTATATAAGATATGGCTAAGCGGTTAAAAACCACGCTAGATTTGCTCAGGAACAATTATACTATAAAAGCGCTCATCTCTCTTATTAACAAATATATTATTAATTTTTAGATAAAATTAGGTAACCGAAAATTTTTGTTTTTAAAAATTTATATATATATAAGTTTTATATACAATTACAGTTAACTAGCTCCTTTAATGCCTTGAGCAAATTGTGGATTTTGCAAGGCATGTGGAGTAATCCTTCATGCTAAAAAATTCCATATGTGAAGTTTCCATATATATGTAATACTACAGATATGGAATTTCTTGGCATGTGAAGGATTATTCCAGATCTTTGAACAATCCATAATTTGTGAATGCAGATAACATTATCTGTTGCAAAATTTCTTACTGCTCAACAGAAAATAATATGATTTATAGCATATTCGCAAGTATATTTATGCTTTATATATTATTACTTGCGCTATCGCTAAAAAAAGTTTATGGAAAATATGCTTAATTTCATATTAATAAAAATGAATAGTCTCTTTTTCTAAAAAATTTTTATATTCCATCCTATGATAAAGCAATGGCGGACGATTTTATAAGAACGAAGAGAGTTAATATATTTTTAGCTTTCCCCATTTCTTTCATTCTGGTTTGTATAATAATGCGCCATTAAAAAAATTTGTGAAAGAAAGGTCACAACGTGGAATACATAGAAATATTACTGTCGGATCCACTAATTTAGATACTGGACTATATGGACAATTTAATGAGTCTTTAGGCAATGAAAATATGACCACAGCAATTTTATGCTCAGCTGACCCTCCTGCATATTTTCCACCAACATGGTTTCAAGGACATAATTGAGCAGATGGAGGGTGCATTATCAATTTAGATGTCTTTGCTGCTGTAAATCGATGCTTAGATATTGTAAGTAATCAAAGTGACATTATTGTTGACCTTCTGTTTGACACACCTGATGAAGGACTAACAGAAGTATATAATTTTACAACTTTATCAGTAATAAGTAGAATTCGGGAAATTAAAGCTTCAGACACAAATTTATGGTTTTTATATAATGCTGTTAATGCATGGCCAGATGTGAATTTCCGATATATTAAATTCGGGTATATTAGTTAAGGTAATAAGTAAACAGAAATAGTCTACTTTTAAAATATATTTAACAACCCCAAATTTATAAAAATTAATGAAATACATAATATATTGCCAAGTCAAAAAATGCCAGGAGGATATGTACCATTGGATTTTGATCGAAAAGTAATTGAATGGGAAATTGAGCTTGGCAAAAATGACACTAAAAAAGCTTTGGGTTCTCTAAAAAGCGGTAAAGAAAGCTTAAAAGATAGGTTTAAAAAGAAAGACAATATTATATATCCATAATCCACCATATAAATATCAATTAGTTTTTCAAGTAGTTTGATTATTTAATAAATTATCCAATTAGCATAGTTTTTTTTTGATTGGACTTTTATTTTTTAAAAATGCACTGATAGTATCATAATTAAATTATGGGCCATTACACAAACCTCCCAATTTTAAAACCGAACAGATTATTAAACATGCCAATTTTTGCTCAGAATAAGCACAAAAAATCAATATCATTAAACCACAGTCTTATAAGCTCAGACAAAAGCAAGGCTCTCGATATAAATAAATCATATACATTAATCACAAAAGATCAAATAATTGACTGCATGAAGAGCTCCCAATCTTTCAAAACTATGTTTGTAAAAGATAATAACAAAGATAAGCATAAAACTATTGAAAAGACTATGAATGCTTTAGCAGCAATTCAAAGAAAAGTATATAGAATTCACAGTCTAAAACAAACTTCAAACTGTAGTTTTAATTCCGTGATCCCTGCTCCTAAAACTTATGGAAAGAAAAAGCTTAAAAGATGCACCTCATATGCACCTCGTATATAATATTTATAATTGAATATTCTTTTACCATTTTCCAGAAAACTGGGTTTTAGCCCTTGAGGAAATCTTAACATATTAAATTGTATCATATAAAAATATGATCTAAAACATCAGAAAAGCCTAATGATGTCTTTAAGTCAAGCTTATCCGCTTGAATGATAGAAGAAACAAAACGAGATTTGTTAACGCCGTCTCCAAGAATTAATATTAAATAAAATCGAATAATCATTGACTTAATTAAGTCATAAACCTTAGTTTTAACTCAAAAGTCCAGATTAAACAAAAAAGTTCAATAAAGCATTAATTTAAACCTTCAAAATTTTTTGGAATTTTTATTTTTAAAATGTATAAAACATTTTTTAGGTTCCTGATGATTAATTAAATTGATTTAAAATTCAAATGAAGAATAGAATTAGAAAGCAAGAAGAGCTGCATACATATTCAGCATTGAGTGAAATTATGCTGAGGTTAAAAAAGAAAGGATATATAGACAAGCTTCAGCAAATCTTCCTAGCAATATACCAAAATGAAAAATCAGAGGACAATCTTTATTCTGAAAAACTCAAAGAAGGAATAAAACTAATAGTTAATGGCTTATTGGAAGAAATTTTCAAAGAAAATATCCCTGAAAACTTCTCAGCTCCTTCAACTCCTGTTTTTGAACCTTCAAGAACCCCAGTCCAGTTAAAAGTTCCTAGCAGCTTATCAAGAAATTCTCCTTCCTCACATGGCTCAAGCCAAATGAAAGCATCTGTTTCCCAAAAGCAATCTATTTATATACGTAGTTTTATTAATTAGGTTTTTGCTCTATAATAGTTAATTTACTTGCATAATAAGCAATATTCATAATAATAAAAAAATACTTTGCTTTTGAGAAATGAAAATGAACTTGCGAGTTTTTCAGAATTCAATACAATTGCCGGTCCATCGACTTTTGGAAAAGCAAAACGAGAAATAAGCCTGGAAAAGAGAAATAACTCACCTGGGCCGGCTGCGCATATATGCATTAAAATGATATGGCCAGCCAGCCAACCTCATAGCATCTGTAGGTGTGAAAGCCCAGGGATCTTATGAAATGGAGGATTTCGCTGGGTAGCGTGTATTAGATCAGGCTTACTTAGCTTGTTGGAGTGCAATGCAGACTACGCCAACTTCACCTCATTCAGATTGTGGTTTTTACCTTTGGAAAAGATGGATGATCGGTGCTTGAAAGGAAATGCTTTGTAAAAGCCCTTGGGCCAATCGGCTATTTTTTAATGCGATATGGGAGTCGCGCCGAGGGCACAAGTTCCATCTTGCCGAGAAATTCGAAAAATCGAATCTTGTTGAAGGGCAACTATAGTCAGGCACACGGCACAGTGACCCATACTGTTGCACTCTAGCTCATGTGTGAGCCCATTTCTGGAGTAGCATAGCTTAGAGGCAGTCATGAAGCTAGCCGAAGATAAAAACCTCTTGAAGTATAACAATTAGTTTCTCAATAATTTTAACTAAGAACTAAGGATGGCTGCATATATAGCTGAGCCTCTTATGGTAAAACAAAATTCTCCAAAGGTTGTGATACCGAAGGCAGGGAAAAGAATTGATTTTGTAAATAATTTAGGAAATCCAGCGCCAAATAGTTATTATCCTTCCAAGCGATTTATTTCTAAAAGATAGAGAAATTCTACAATTGAAAAACATTGATGCGGAATCCTAATGAATTTTATGCTATTAATTATAAATGTTCTTATATATTGGTAAATACGCACTACACTAAATATTTTAGCATGCACTTAAAATCAGCATCATTTATATCAATTCAACATATTATAATCTTGAAAATGGCAATTTTAATATGAAATATTTATAATTTTCTCTACATTTAAATAGTAAAGAGGTCAACTAATCTTGTATTTTCATCGTATAATTTCCGTCTTGCTGGCAATAAACCTCTGATACCACAGTTCCGAATTCCAAAATTCCCTTCTCTTTAATGGAAGGCTCTAGAACTTCCCAAATTGTATCAGCTATGTATTTGGCAAGTTCTTCTGTAGAGGTATTATATATAGGCAATAAGGTGCACACTCTTTTCGGGAGCTCATAAAATGTGTTATGAAGTGCATTAATTCTAATGTGGTCCTCAAGGTCAATAACAGGCAAAATCGTAGATTTTGACGCAACCAAAACTTTATTGTGGAAGTTTTGGCATAAGTTTTTGAGCTCTCTTTTCACAACTGAAAAATCGACCACAAAACCATCCGCTCCTAGTCTTTTTGATTTTATTGTTACTGCAATAGTGTAGCCATGCCCATGAAGTTCTTCTTGTCAATTTTGGCCTGCGAGAATATGGGCAGCGTCAAAAGAACAAGTTTTATGATAAACTTTTAGTTCATATGATTGAGAAATTTTTCCTTCTTCTATTGACATTATAATGGTTGGTTTATTATGATCTATTTACTTAGCTTTAAATTTGAAATTTTAATAATTTATAGTCACACTATTATTCTTTACCATATTATATGCTATCTTTGATATTAAAAGTGCAGATAATCAAAAAAGTTCAATACTCAATTCAATATAGCATTAACATTAACATTAACAGGTATTATAAAGGCTCGTCATATTGGCGCGGGTTTCCCCTGCCCTACCTTCACCCGGTTGCTCACCACAGATCGGACACGGCCTTCAAGATGTTGCTCCTACTGGACGAGGATGTGCACTCGCTACCCGTAGTTGGATGAGTTACGCCACCTAGCAGTACGACAAGGTTGTCCATTCCGAAAATTTGAAAAACAAATTTTCTGGTAGGACTGTCGGCTAAGATGGGAATCCAAAGCCTGGGACGTAACGCCCAGTTTCACGCTAGGGAGTTGCCCATTGATCAGGAGGTACCTTCCCGATGCTGCAGAGCCTTCCCTTTCCAACCTTGGAAACCATCTCCCCTGAGGTAAAACCCTTGGTGTCAGAATGAGCTGGGGTCGGCCTAATCCGACGTTGCGCTCCACTGTGCCAAGGTAAAACCTAGCCGGACACACATTCCGAACGCCTTTCTCCCTTCCACAAGGTCCCCTGCGAACGCAGGCTACAGGTGTTGAGAAAAAGAGCTGGATCGCCGTCGCCATTTTAATGTATATTCAATTCAATATAGCATAAATGATAAAACTACTTACAACTCTTCTTTTAATTTTTCTTTCTCCTGTATTTATTTTTGGATTTTCTTTACTAATTGATGTCCCTTCATCTATATTTTCAGGAGATTTGCCTTTTGAAAGTTTTTTTGGCTCAATTTTGATAGAAATTAATTTCTTATACGGTGATGAACTTCCCGATCTTATTCCATGCATAAATGAACAAGATAAAGGAGCTGAAAATTCTCTGGTAATATCTTCAGATGCAATCGCAAATGAATAAAAATTCTTCGGGTCAATATTTTCCCTCTTTCCTGTTGTCTCATCATTTACTTTTTTACTTTTCATTACTATTCCACTTGAGTTTGTGGATAAAAAAGACATGTCTTGGGTATTTACCCTCAATTGATTTTCTTTAAAATGATTAAACCCTGTAAAAGGGTCAGAGTTTGTATACTTATGATGTTTTTTAAGCGTAGATTTTGCTGGGTCTGGATTTAAGCTTATATAAGAAAGATCAAAATTTGAGGAAGCTAAATTGGGAGTCAAAGGTGGAGAAATCTTTTTCTTTAATAATCCTTCCCATTCTATATCTTTGCATCAGGAATGGGATTTTATTTCTTCAGCCCCTATTTTGCTTCCTAGTCTTTTTTCTGGATTTTTATCAAGTAATTTTCGCAGGAGATCTTTTGCACTGCTGCTAATATAATAAGGTACAGTTACTTCTTCATTTTGAATATTTCAGTGCATTTTCTGTTTATCTGGATCATAAAACGGCGGAAGACCTGTTAGCATTTCATATAAGAGAGAGCCCAAACTGTAAAAATCGACACCACGGCCATGGCCAGCCTTCTGAAGCATTTCTGGGCACATGTACTCTGGAGATCCACAGTAGCTGTACGTTCTTTCTCTATTTCGAATATTTTCTTTTGAAAGGCCAAAATCAGTGATTTTGATATGCCCATCAATATCTAATAATACATTTTCTGGCTTCAAATCTCTGTATACTATATTTCTTCCATGCAAATATTCTAAACCAAGCAATATCTCTCCAAAATAGAACTTTGCTTGGTTTTCTGTGAACCTCCCAAGCCTATGCAAATGATAAAACAACTCGCCACCAGGGCAAAAATCAAGCACCAAATTAAGTTCGCTTGGAGTTTGAAAAGCCCAGTGAAGTTCTATTATAAAGGGATGATGCGAGTTTATCATGATATTTCTTTCAGCAAGAACTTGCGTAACCTTATCTTGATTTAAAACAAAATCTTTACTCATTGTTTTTATTGCGTATAACTTCCCAGTATCTTTTTTTCTTACTCTGCTCTTTAAATTTTAACCAAAAATCCTGTTCCAATTTAAAAGGTTAGGCTATTTTTTAAAAAATTATATTAAATTATTGGCGTAGAAAATTCTTTAAAACAATAAATTTGGTCAAAACTAATTTTATTGGAAAAAAATTGTTCCAATTTAAAAGGGTTAAAGTACCCAAAAAATGAAATTTTACCTACTTTTGTTCCAATTTAAAGTAGAGGATTTACTTCAATGACTTTAGAAAAGCCTCCTTTTCCGATTAGTTTGACGGGATTAAAATGTGATCAGTCTATATTCCCAGTAGCATTTTCTTTGAAAACTGCAACAAGTTCTTCTTCATCGCTTACAGGGTCCAAAGGACGATCATACGAATTGAGTCAGGCGTCAATAATTTCCAAGTTATTTTTTGTACACAAGGCAACTATTTGAGGCTCACTGTCGTATTGTCGAATGACTTCTGAGAAGAGTCAGCCACAAGTTAGGGACTCTTCGCGTATTGGAATTGCAATTAAATCCCAATTAATCCGAACCCGAAAAACTTTCATGGGAACTCTCTTTAGGAGAGAATTTGATGATTGAGGCTGTAATGAACGTGTTTGTCTTGTTCCTTTATTGCTATTAGACGGTGATTGGCCCATTATCTAAATTTATTAAAATGATATTTTGAGTTAATCATCAACGGACATTAAATAGAATAAATATGAGCCAAAGGAAAGATATAGATTAGATTAAATTAGATTATGCTGCTCGTCGTTCGAAGGGCCAAGAGCTCGCCCCAAATGCTCATTATCCCATATGATCCAAGCAGATACCTTCCCTCTTACCAAAGCAGGGTCTTGCAAAACCACTGGCTCCTGAATACTTACTCCTGAACAAAAAATTTTGTTCGCTCACAGAATTCTCAAAAATTGGAAAGCAAATATATATTTAATTTGTAAAATTTGTGTGTTTAAAATTAAACAGAATTAGCTCTAGAGATTTCATTGTAATAATTATCACTTATATATCAAATTCTTTTTTATGAAATATTTTTTCTTCGCTTACGCAGGGTGCTCACTTGCGGGGGGGAGCTAGAAATCGATTTTATGACGCTTAAATCCCACTATCTAATACGCAAATACTGTTTTGCAGGTTTTCGAGAAGTCTACACTGCTCTACTCTCCACGTCTCTCTCTGATCATGCCGTTTTGATCAATTGCCGGTTAAAATCCATTCCTATTGTCTAACACCTTGAGACGCAAGAAAAGCTAATGCTCGATATGCAGCAAGGGCACCGCGCATTATCTTAGCTTGATTTTTCTAATGGGTGCTCCTTGCACGTGCTGAGTAAAATTGCCCCAATAGGTTGGGCGGTCATCTCTCTGTAATATTAATGTACATATAAAGATATAGATAAAAGTTAAGATTTTAACTTTAAAAAGACTAAACAGCTTAGTTTGCTATTGATAATTGAATTTAACAGAAATTATGAAATTCCTATCACTTCATGCATTTCATTTTTTATCCCATATCCTTGTTTTATCAAAATAATTAACTTCAATTATTTTCTATTTTATAAGATTTAAGCAATTAGCAATTTTAGATGAGATTTGCAAACGAGTATTCATATTATTTTCTATATATGAGCTCTTTTATAATTTAATGTGAGGCCTTTCTCATCTCAATATCTATAGCAGTTAATTATTGATGAAAAATCAATTCTAATTAAAAAGCAATCCAATAAAGATAATAAAATTTAGCTGGCAGTTCAATGAAGAATAATATCTTCTCTCTTGCTATAAATACAAGAGCTATATCTACAGGAGCAATTAGTACTATAAGCTAACTAATTTTTAACTAAATAATCAGTTATTAATGATTAAATTAATTTTCTAAAATTTTTTATATAAATGGCAGAATTTTATTCAAATTTATTCATAATCAAATTATCATAACTAAATTATTATCTATTTAATTTTTTTTGGATAAAAGGAATATTTTCTTTATTGAAATCTTCAGGATTGAAGCTTTTAGCTTGTGCACTAAGCTTTGCTGATTTCTTTTTAAAAATTTGAATTGATTTAATTACTTCGTTGTAAAAGGAGAGCCCAAGCTCTGAAGAAAGAGATAAAGGAGATTTCGAGACTTGATTTTTAATTTCTTGCTCAAAGTTCAAATCTTGAAAAAGCATGCTAAGATTCACAGATTCAGATTTTATTTGAGAACTTTTTTTAAAAAGATATGTGTGGAGACGGCTTTCAAAAGGTGTAATTTGGGGTGATAGAGAAAATTTTAAGGTCTTATATGAATTTGGTGTATCTTGAATCGAAGAATTTTCAAAATCGCTAGAATCAGAGGATAGCTGAGGTTTAAGATTGCACAGGGTTGTTTCTAAGGCATCGTCAATTAGAAATTTTGGAAGTAGTAGGCTTAAGTGTTCAGTTGGAATTTCAATCATTTTTTTAAATTTAAATATTTTGATTTGAATAATAAAAGTTAAGATGAAAAAATGGGAATTTAATTGATGCTAAAGATGGCTTTGAATTTATTAAATTTCCTAATATAAGTTTGAAATTGTATTCAGTTTTTTAATTTTAATTAAAATACTACTATTTATACTTTTGAATCTTAATTTGCCCTTTATATTACTTACTCTTGTGAATTGTAAGCTTTTTAATAAAAGCTGAAGAAAAATTTAAAAATAATTTTGATAAGAGCATAACTTATAACTTAAATTTTATCGCGGATGTACCGCATTTCTCCCTTTTTTTTTTCTTCAACTTCACTCTATAAATAAATGTTTTTATTTCGTCATCTACTTCCCCAAATTCTCCAGCATGTTCCTCTTTCATCCAAACAACAAATTTCTTCACATATAGCTCAACATCATGCACCACAAATCTTCTTCTGATCACCTCCTCTAGCATTCCATTTTTCCCTAACTCCATTAATAAATCAGCTCTTTCATCTTCATTCAAAAGACAATCATTAAACAGGTGGATTTCTTTCTCATTTCACTTACATTTCTCATATTTGGAACTCTGTTTTAAATGCCTTAAATTCTGCGAATACGATGCTGCATTAAAACCAGCCCTTAATCTGAGGATATCTGCAACCTTCTGCCTTCTATGCGAGTTTAAATATAAAGATGGGTTCCCCTCAATTTTATCTTTCCCTTCACTTAAGGCCATAATTAATCTCGTCGTTCCTCTCGCTTCGGCTTCAATTTTCAAGGGTTTATCATACCTTTCACTTTTCCCGCCAAAATTCAAATTACCATCATTCTCAATTACTACTTTTTCGCGGGCACTCTCATCTTTATCTTGACCTTCACCTTTTTCGGCAAGTTCTTCCTCTACATCGTTTCCTGCATTATCTAAGCTTTCTTTTTCATATTCCGCATCTTCAGATTCATAATCTCTGCTCTTATTACAATTTTCTTCTCCATAATCCAGACTTTCTTCATCAGTATAAAATTCTTCATATTCACCTTCAATAATTCCATCAATTCCATATTCTCCGCAATCTCTATAGTCCTCATCGTATCTTTCGTAGTTTTCATAGTTATCATAGTATAATATCCAGTTTTACTTATTGCTAGATAATTTTATAATTCCTAATTATTTTAGAAATAGTCAAGCTAAGGTTTAGGTTTTAGCAAAATAGCTTTATGATTGTCATTTGTTTTTGCACAACAAATACAAATATAAACATCAATTGGATTGTTTAAAGTGCAGAACTCGCAGACCCAATGATCTTGGATTTCAGGATCTTGATGCTTAGGAATTTGAGGAGGATTAGTTGGAGCTTTTGGGAATGTTGGAGGTGGAATAACATATTCTGGATTTTTGAAAGCGGTCAGCAATTTTGCATTGTCATTTTTAGGGGGATTTATTTGAGGATTTTCTTTTGGAACAAATTTCTGGGGAATATTATTTAATTGCTCTTGATTTAGCTTAGGTGGTTGTGGAACCATAGGAGTCTTTGGAAATAGACGTGGATTATTTAGAGGAGTTGCACCTAATGGATCAATTTTGAATGGAGTTTGCCTGACTGGCAATTTAGACGCAGCAATTGATTCACTATTATCTAAATTTTCCTCTGAACTAGAGTTATCTTCTTCACTTTCGCTTTCTTCTATTTCGCATTCGCTATCTTCTCCATTTTCGCTTTCCTCTCCACTGTCAGAATCTACTGTTTTAGCACCAATTTTAGCGTCAAAGCTATCTTGTTCTTTTTTGACTGGAATATGAAAACCACCTGGCTTATTTAGCAAAGGCATTTGGGGCGGAGGCTGGTATGACCCTTGGAATGGGAGTGCAAGTGGAGCAAAATTCTGAATTGGTTGTTTAGGTTGAACTTTAGGGAAGGGGAAGGGGCCTGGCATTTCTGGGAATTCTCTAGTGGGATTAAGGTCTTTAGCTTGGGTTTTAGGGATAGAAAAATTTGGCATAATTTGAGGTCTAATCACAGGTGGGATAGAGTTCTCTGGAGTTGAATCATTTGAATATTTTCTTGGAGGGGAAAATGGCTTTTGTTTATCGGGATTATATGCTGCTGGGTTTTGTTTAGGAATGATAAAGTTGGATTTAAAGTCAGCTGGATTGTTAGTTTGTGCCGATGGAGCTTCAATATTTGGCAGCGATTCTTCACTTTCAGAGAGTCTAGTTTGGCTTGGAATAGGAGAAATGTCTTGATTCAGTTTCGTATGTATATGATTGTTAAAGGCATTCGGCATAGGTTGAGGAGAAATAAATTTAACAGGCCTAAATTCATTAAAAGCTGATAGAACAGTATTTTTTTCAGTGTCTTGATAATTTTCACTGTTTTTAACCACTTGAGCCGGCTGATTATTAACTTCTAATGGATTCGAAGGGTTATTTGGTAGCAAATCTTCAATTTTCGCTGTTTTGGCTGCTTTAGGAATTGTAAAAACATCTCCATAAATTGGAGGAGGAGGAGGCCGATTAAATGGTGAAGATATACTCTTTGCTGGCACATTTTCTGTATCTTTGGGCTTTATAACTTCTAACGGATTTGAAGGGGTATTTGGTGGCAAATCTTCAATTTTCGCTGTTTTAGCTGCTTTAGGAATTGTAAAAACATCTCCATAAATTGGAGGAGGCTGATTAAATGGCGAAGGTATATGCTTTGCTGGCACATTTTCGATATCTTTGGGCTTTATAACTTCTAACGGATTTGAAGGGTTATTTGGCGGCAAATCTTCAATTTTCGCTGTTTTGGCTGTATTAGGAATTGTAAAACTATTTTCAAAAATTGGAGGAGGAGGAGGAGCCCGATTAAATGGTGAAGGTATATGCTTTACTGGCACATTTTCTGTATCTTTGGGTTTTATAGGCTCATCTTTTGGATGAAAAGAGCTAATATCAGGCAAGTCATCATTCCCTTCTTCATTGAATGCTTGCTTTTGCGAATTAGGAATATTTACTTGTTTTGGATATGTACTTATATCAGGTAAATCGCTTTCTCTAAGATTTTCTTCCCGAACTTGCTCATGCGATTCAGCTTGAAGAACAGCATCTCTTACTTGCTTTAATAACTTTAATTTTCCAGATAGGTCTGATTTTATTGTAGATGGGATATAGTAATCGCATTGCTTTATGTAGGATTGAAGCAATTTAATTTTATCGTTAATGTCTTTAGTGACTTTAAACTCTTCAAGCGGCTCTTGAGATCTATATAAAAATTACTCAGTATAAACCAGCATTTCAGGAAGCATTTCAAGCTCAGTGCATCCAATTATGGCTCTTTCCCAGTTTGAGTACTCACTTACGTCAAAAATCTTGTGCAAAGTTCATGAATTTTTATTTCTTATAAGAGGAAAGCTGAGATTTCCTTTTTTCACAGTCAAGCCTTTAAGTTTTTTAGTGCCTATAGAAGCTGTAATGAACCTTCACACATTCTGGGGATTTTTAAAATTCATGATGTTTTGGAATCTGAAAACAGTGATATCTTTATCAGTAGAATGCTTAGCCAATGACTTGATGTTTTGTTCTACGTCAACTTGATTTTCTGTAATGCCAACAGCTATTTCTGGAAGAATTCCATTGAGCCCTTTTGCAATGAACTGGTAAACTTCTTCAGCTTCATTTTCGCTGAATTCATTTATGAATGCTGGAAGGAATTGGGTATTTATTGTTTTCTGCATGAATAATACTCTTAGCTGGTTTCCGAAATCATTTTCATTAAATTTGGCTTTGGAGAGCTTGTCCGTAAAATTAGAATCTGATAGTCTGAGTTAATATTACAATATTGATATAAGAGACCTTGCATTACTTTTTTGAATATAGACATTGCTTTCGACTATTTTTTTATTTTGAAGAGCGTTAGGAACTCTTTTAAGTGCAGCTTCAGCGATTCACCTTTGAGGATCCATTTCTACAATTATTATAAAAATTTAATATTCAATTAGAAGCGAATGAGCTTTTATTTTATATGATTTAGTAATGATTATTTGCTGATGATTATTATATGACACAATAATAATTGATTGCATCGGATATTATAGTGAAATTTATTACATATATTGCAATTAGTGTAGAAAATCTATTGCTTTTATAATTTTTGAGAAATGGAATGAATGCTTAAATAGAATTTGTTTTTCTTATTCGTATTTTTTATCGATGCTTTAATATTTGTAGAGTGATTATGTTACAAAAATAATTATGAGCTTTTAATAATAAATTATCTAGTGATTGATATAAAATTTATGCAAATATTATTCAGAGAATTGGATTAAATATATACTTAAATATTTATGGTTGTTTTAATTATCATTCTACATATTCTCTAAGCTCAATTATTATTTTGGTCGAATTAGTGCAAGGATTATTAATTGTCTGAATAAGGGCTAAAGTGCGGATAAATCATACTTTTAAAGAAAAATGATTATCATAATTTGCAATAATCAATAATAAATCAATCTAATACTTGGAACTTTCTTCTCAATCATTCGAAATAAGTTCGATAAATATGTATGATAATAGGATCAACACCAGATGCATTTTTGCTAAAAGCATGCTTTCTTATAGATTTCTTCGAGGGATTGCAAGTATGTCTCTGATACCTTTAATATGGGTCCTCTCAAATAGTGTAATTTTTACTCAGATCTATCAAAGTTCAAATATTTTCTTTTTCAGCTGGGTTTTCTATTTTGCTTTTGAATCTCTAAGTAACATCTTAATTCAAATGAACGAAAAATTTGGCCTATCAAGACTTCTCTATATTAGCTACGTTTTCGGCTCGATCATATCAGGAACTCTAATTTTGATTGCATTTTTACTTTCAGATGTCACAGGAATAATCCTATTTTTCTTAGGCAGAAGCCTTCAAGGACTAAGTGAAGGTAAATAATAAAAAGGGTTAATTTTCAAAAGCGAAAGTCATTACATACAGAGTATCTGCCAAAAAACTGAATCAGACGCAATTCTCTTTAAACTAAAAACCTGATATTTCATTGGTGCGATGTTTGGTTCTATGCTCGGATTTATTATCACTATTACAGAGATTATTGATTCATGTGCTTTTCTTATTTTTTTCTATATAATTATTAGTGTCATACATTTTATTTACTCAATAAAAACCTATCCGAAGCTCCCTCCATATTTCGATTTGAAACTTGGGTCAAAAGTCCATAAGACTTATTTTGGGTTATCATTCGAAGATCACTACCAAATTGCCAAAAGAGATATGCAGGTCATGCATTTATCAGATAGATCAATAGCAAAAACAAGAATCTGTGGAGTTTTAATTATTTCGCTTTCTGGATTTGCGAATTGTATGTCATTGGCTTTCCTTTATTCAGACCAAACAATGCATATATATGAGAGTTTTGACAGCTACTATATATTTAATGCATATATGTCAGCTATGGTATAAGATATTTAGATTTTGGCAGCACTAGCGATGGTCTTTGTTAGGAAATTAAAAAAATATTTATTCATCTACATCGTTATTTATGGATCAATTATTGTTGCAGCTTTATGGCTTTGCATGATAATAACTAGCAATTTTGGTTGGGCTGGCTTATATCTTAACTTTATTCTTTTGATATGGGGTTCTCTGCTATTAAACGAGCTTTCAAATTATCAAGCTTATCTTATCATCGGTCCAAAATCTCACCTATTTGTAAATCTTTTGTATTTGGGAATTTCTAGCTCTGGGTATATTTTCGGTGCATTTTTAGCAATTATTTTTGAAGAAAATTATATAAATGCATCAATTTTGATTAGTTTTTTTATGGCATCTGCATTGCTGATACTCGCTGTTTTCTCAGAATGCCAAGAGCATCCCGAATTTGTAGAAAAAGTATCTCAACACACAATAAGGGAGCTAAAATATCCTTTCCAATCGAGAAAAGAAGCAAGTGATTCTTTGTTGCATCCATTAATTGACATCCCTGATGAATAATTTTTCATAAATTTAATAGATTACAAATACTAAGAATAATTGTTAATTATTCAAAAGAAACCTGAAGATCATTTTCAAAGATGTAACTTCTCTGAACAAAAGGTCCGCTGAAAAGTCCATTTTCAGCCCGATAAGCATCGAGAAAATAATCTTCATCGTCTAAAGCTATTTCAGAAAGATCATCTTCAGTATGCCAAGTCACTGAAGGTGAATTTTCATTTTCAGCCATAGAGTTATTCAAATTCGTGCCTGATGTGCAGCTTGCAACTGTATTAGCATCTGATATAATGGAATGCCTAAACTCAGCTTTAACTTGTTTTTTGGGAAGGAATCTGCTGTTCGCGATGATATGGGATTCGTACATAGGAGGCTTTTCAAAGATTTCACCAGAAAATTTTATTGGCTTTCTTTTGGCTTTTTTAGGTTTTGCGACTTTTTCTGGCATTTCTTTAGATAATTCTGAGTCAGGGGTCTCTTTAGTCTCGTTTTTTGGAAGCATTTGTGAAAAATAAGGGGGATCATAGCTATTAGAAATTCAATTAAAATCTTCTTTTGTTTCTAGTTTTGAACTTATTAGATAAAATCTTTTGCAGTTTTTTCTGTTTATTATCCTGATTTCTTGTCATGCAGTTAATGAAAGCCCAAAGATGAATGAGAAAAAGAATAAAAAGAACCTTTCAATTTCTTTTATACCTTTAACAAATGAAAATAAATTTTGAGAGCTAAATGAATTTTCAAAGTTGGCAATTGGAAAATTTAAATTAATACCAACTTCTATTTTTTCAATTTCTGTATAAATTTCGATATGGTAGTTTCCTAAAAATTCATGAAAATCAGGCTCATAGAAGATTTCTATGTGATAATAATCTCCAGGAGCAATTTCTATTCTTTGGCCACAAGGGTGAAGTTTTAATCCATGCATTTGACAGCTAATGCCATCCAAATAAATCCCTTTAACTAATGCCTGAACTTGCCCTGAATTAAATAATGTAAATACTCTACTATAGTAGAGCTCATCAGACAATTTTTTCATTTCATCTATATGAAAATTTAAGTTTCCTGAATCTGACTCTAAGAAGCTTAACTTGTAAGAAATACCTTCTCCAGAGAGTTTTATTTCTTTGAGTAATTTAGAGCCATTTCTCATAAAAAGTGAGGCGTAGTATTTTTTTGACTGTGTCGGCTGGAAAATTACAGTCCCAACAAAAGCTACACTATGAGGAGGCACAACAACTCCCCCTCGTTTGCCTAAGTAAAATGGAAACTCAACAGATTTTTTCTCAGGTTTTTCTTTTGATATTATAACTTCATTGTAGGTATTATTTCCATATCCTAATCCGCTCATGACTTTTCCGTATAAACTTATGTTTTCTGGTACTCGCTTGAGTTTTGAAGAATTTCTTTGTGTAAGAGTTTTTATTATTTCAATTTCATTGTTTTTATTACATTCAGGAGTTCTTGGTAAATTTTCAAACTCATCTTCATCGATAAATTCATTCTTGCATCATTTAATATTTTCACTAAAATTTGCAGGAGCTAAAAATAACTCAATAAGCAAGGATTCATCTGAATTATTTTCAAACTCTATATTTTTCTCTATTTGATGCTCAATGTAAACATTTCCGATATCTAATTCTGAGGACTTATAATGCAAATCATCAGTAAATTCAAGCATGTCTCTAAATCTTATTGATTTTAAATTTTTTTTAAGCTTATTTTCTTTAGAATTTGCTTTGACAAATATTTTTGGAAATAAGCTAGAAGGGCTTTCAAACACATCTAATCAATAATATTTCAGTCATTTCGGCAAATTTTCAAAAATTTGATACATTGAATAATTATCTATTTCGATTTTCGAAATTTTAGCTTGTTGTTTATTGTTACATTTAATAGGATACAGCAATAATTTTGATTCATTAAGGCGAATAAAGGGTCAAGGGGATTTAGAATGCTGAGAGTTATTTGATAGATGGGGAAGTAATTTTGAAGCTCAGTGCAGTTGTGAGTAGGATTTTGCATCTAAGATAGTACTGATTAGTCAAACTAAGGCAATTATAAAAGTCATGATGAATATTTTTATTATCATATTGCATATGGAGAGTTTAAGAGAAAATATAGATACTGATAGCTTCAGATATTAAATAGTAGTATATTAAAGCATTAGCTTATTGCATTTATTTAAACAGTTGCAGACATTTTATAAAAGCATATAAGGACTTTAAATTTATAAATTTTACCAAAGCAAATTGTACTTTAAATTTTATTTTGATTGACCATATGCAGATTAAATTCTTAATCAAATATATAAAGAAATTCTAACCATTAATATTATTAAACTAATTGAATATGGTTGCTTGCCTCAAGTTCATTGTATTTCATTAGGAATTTCTTCTCACCAGAGCCGCCATCCCCAGCGTCTAGATTTGAAATGCACACTTCACGGGTTCCCATGCTTTTAATAGTAATCGTCTTCTTTTGATCAGGTCTCGAGCCGTAAACTAAATCAGCCGTCAAGGTCATTGAGGTGTTATTCTTCACGTCAACTCTATACTCCTCCGTTTCCTTTTTACATACGTTAATTTTGAAGATTCCATATTTAAAAGTTTCGCTGCATTCTTCTTCTCCAATTTTGGTCACAAACCAAAACGAGCAGGCAGATAATAAAGTATTCAAAGGAACCAGAACTTTGATTTCAATTGAGGTATGTGGTTTAATGGATTTTATTCTTCTCAGAAGAAGGGTAGGAGATGAATGACCCTCAAAGTACAAGTCAATGTCCTCTTCAACATTTGATGAATGGCTTGTAATTGTAATAGCATAAATTGAGCCTTCTTCTGGGACTACTGATTTGATTTCGAGTTCTTTACTCCCCCCCCCTTTAAATTGGAACAAAAAATTTTGTTCCAATTTAAAGGGGGTTAATTTTTTATTTTTAAAAAAAATATCAATATAAAATTTTTTATAAAAAAAATTTATATAAAAATTTTAAAAAAAAAAATATTATCAAATTAGATCAATAAATTTTGTTTAATAAAATGCAACAAAGCAAGATATAACTAAATTTTCATTATTAGTTAATCCGCCACTATTAATTGGTTTCAAAATTATTTACACAAAAATTATTATTTTTATTGATAAAAAAATATTAAAAAAAAAAAATTTTAGAAAATTTATCGATCAAAGTGCTAATTTTTGTTTAAATAAGATGTTATTTATACTCTATTCTTTAAAATAAAGCAAGAAATAAGTAAAATTTTGAAATTTTATAAAGAATTCGTGTTGAATTTATATCAAAACTATTTAAATAAAAAATATCATTTTCATCAAAATAAATAAAAATTTTTTTGAAAAATTTAAAAAAAAAAAATTTAATTTTTTTTAAAATTTAGCAATTAAGGATAATAAATTTATTTAAATAAGATGCTCTTTATACTCTCTTCTTTAAAAAGAGCAAGATATAACTAAATTTTTAATTTTAGTTAAGAAGAAACATTTAACTTATATCAAAACTTTTTAGATAAAAATTATATATATAGTTTTTATTATAAAATTAAATTTTGTTCCAATTTAAAGGGGGTTAATTTACCAAAAACGTGGAAATTTTACCTATATTTTGTTTCAATTTAAAGGGGGGGAGTTAGGCTTTTTGCTGCCTTTAGGTCCTTCTTGGATTTTTTCTGGGATTTCTGTATATTCAGGCTCAATCACCTCACTTAATCCTGAATTCATTTCTTGGACCATTCTAGATATTTCGTCGAGGTCTCTATTAATTGTTCCGATTACAGCTGATCCATCTCCTTCAGCTTCCATATCTCCCTCATCACTTCTTTCGCTGCTGAAAAGTTTTTGCAGCTGGTTAATGGTTTTAGAAGTGTTGCGGACTTGACCATAAAGACTATCAATGCTTGCTTTGAATGCCTGGTCTGAGCTTTTGAGTGAATTTAAAGCTCCCCTAGCTGATTCTTCTAAAAAGTTCTGGATTTTATGATGCAAAGCACTTTGAGGGACTTCATATGATTCTTGGAGCCTTGGGAATTTAATTTCAAACAAATTTTCTGATGCTGGGTCATCTCTATAATAAAAATGCCAAATTCCTTGCTCAGAGGTCATTTCGAAATTATATTTTCTGCTGAAATACCGGGCTGTGCTTGAAGGCAGGATATAAAGTCCTCTAGGTATGGCATCATTGGTAGCTTCTTGGATTCTAATATCGAACAATTCTTTGGTTTCATTTCTAGGGTCGGAAGCCAGTGGGTAGACATTTTCATAACATGGATCAGAGACCGGATGCTGAGAGTGCCCATAAGCCACTTTACTTTGATAGTTAGCAAACCTATGATCCACTGTATAGCGCACAGAAAATTCACTGCTGCAGAAAGAGGCGACACTGATAGCCAATGGGTATCCGGCACAAGTAATTGAAGCAACTTGTATATCTTTATTGCGCAGGTAGTCTGCAAAAGAATTTATACGCACACTAATCTCTTCAGGAACGCTATCGAGCTTTAAGTCTTCGTCTTTCTCGCCAATAGAAATTAGAAAATATTCCATTAAAAGTTTATCAAGTCTCTACAAAATTTGAGTAATGAAATTAATTATATTTAATATTAAATAATTGAATTTTTAAATAAATCAGTGACATAGAAATCAAATTCACGATAATTTTATGGCTTGAAAAGTTTATTCTCACTCACTCTATTGTTTACTTACTTGCTTACTTTCTTACTCCCCTCCCGTGATTGACCAAAAAATTTTGTTTAGCCCACGAATTGGGTTATTTTTTGTTTTAAATATTTATATATAAATTTATAGTAAATTTTTTTGGTTGAAATTTAAAAAACCCCAAGTCACAAAACTTTACAAGCAAATATTTATTTATTTGTTTAAAATTAAACAGAATTAGCTAGAGATTTCATTATATAGCCCGTTCCCGGCTATAGATCGGGCTGCACGGTCTTTGCCAGGAACGGACTATACTAATTATCATTTTTCAATCAATTTTTTTTTCAGAAAATTTTTGATGGGTTTTTACTCAAAATTAAGGATTTTTCCAATGATTTCGCTCATAGAGTGGGGAGCTGGTTACTTAGTTCCTTAATTGCTTACTCCCCTCTGTGAGCGAACAAAAATACTTTTGCTGGTTAATTGTTTTTTTAAAATTTTTACAGTAAATTTTTTCGAAATCAAAGAATCCCTTTTTGTAAAAAAATTAGTTTTATTTGTAAAATTTATGTTTAAAGTGCAAGCTGTTTAAAAATTCGGCAGAATTAACTAGACATTTAATTGCACTATTTATCATTTATATGCCAAAGTATTTATTTATAAAAAAAATTTGTTCGCTTACTGAGGCTGGGTTTTTAGCCAAAAAAAATAGGGATTTTTACAATGGTTTTGTTCTCTCATGGAGGGAAGTTAGTGTTTAAAGTTATAATCTTCTTCTACAGGGTATCAGGCTTAAGATAACCATTTTGCTCCAAATTATAATGTCGCAGACATTTCTACGTTCATTATTTTTATCTGATGCACGCAATCTGGAACTTCAGCGTTCATAAGCCAGCTAGAAAATATTTCAAGCCGTATTACCCCACCTAGATTTTTGACTTCTGCGTATGTTACATCTAAGAGCCCCCCTCATCAGGTATATCAAGCGGCGAACTCCTATGCTTTCTTAGGCCAATATAACTTACTCTATGCTATAAGCCATATCTGACATTGTGGATAAAGGTGCATCGAATAAACCGAACCCCATAATAGCAAAATTCGAGAAATAGGAAAAATTCTCAGAGATAACTCATTCCGTAGGTAGCCGTTTTATAATTATTGGTGCAGTTTATTCATTTATTTATTTTGAGCTTAGAAAGTAAATTTCATGAGCCAGAGAGAAATATGAGTGTATATAAAAAAATTTGGAAAATCAAATGATTGTTTTAATTTTCAGTATTAAAATTATGTGTAGGTTTCTGATAGCAATTCTTCGCACTTATATAAAAATCCGGCCGGCCAGAGCTGCTGCATAAGTAGTTGACATAATTCAATTTTTAAAAACAATATTCCAGTTGAAGTCAACCTATAATCGCTTAAAATAGCTAATTATATACAAAGAGATCGTATAAGCCATCTTGCAAACAATTAATTCCTATAAATCTTATTTTCTAAAAAATTAATTTAAGTTCTTATTCAAGTTATCGATCCTGGTCTGAATTTTGTTGACAAAATCATTATTATCTCCGTACAATCCAACGAAAAACTCTTTTCCTTTTATGAAATTTTCTAGCGCTTTTGCTTTATCTCCTTTCAACTCATAGACTTCTCCAATAAGAATGTATCCGCCTCCATAATAAGGGTGTTTGTCTCCATAAACTTGTAAATAAATATCTTTTCCCATGGTGTGGTATTCAATTGCTTTATCCCAATTTTTTAAAGCTCTATGATCAAATGCAAGATTATTGTAAGACAAGCCTACCATAAAATCTCTTTCCCCATATACAGACCTTCTGATATCTAGAGCATATTCGTGCTCCTTTATTGCAGCTTCAACTTTCCCTACCTTTCTGTAGGCATCTGCTACTAAGTCAATATAAGTTGAAGTTGATGGATGCTCTCTTCCAAGAGTTTTTGCGTTCATATTAATAGCTTTGTTAAACTCCTCAATCGCTTCTGGTAATTTTTCCCACTTTTCATATAAAATTCCTATATGTGCATAAGTATTTGCAATGGCAGGATGTGTGTCTCCAAGATTTCTGTTTTTTAGTTCAAGTGTCCTCTGATAAGAGTCTAACTCCCCCTCCGTAAGCGAACAAAACCATTAGAAAAATCCCCCTCCATGAGCAAGCAAAAAAATTTTTTATCAAAAAAAAAGTTGGCATATAAGTGATAACTAGTAAAATGAAATATAAGCTAATTTTGTTTAATTGCATTTTAAAACATAAATTTCACAAATTAAACAAATATTTGCTTTCCAATTTTTGTGAATTAGGATTTTTTTTAATTTTGAAAAAAATCTTACTATAAAATTTATGTGTAAATTTTTTAAAAAAAATAGTAACCTTTCAGTGAGCAAACAAAATATTTTTTTACTAATGGAGGGGGGAGTAAGGATTCTTGGAATTTTCCCTGGTCTCTGTATAGTAGCCCAATTGTTGACAGGCAAGAATCTAAAACTGACTCATCCTCAAGCTTTCCGGCTTCTAGTATTTGCTTAGCTTCTAACAGAAAAGTCTCAGCTTGATCATAATCTCCTTTAGAATGATAAACAGAGCCAAGTCCTGTAAGGGTCGTTGCGATATCTTCTGCACTAAGCTTTGCAGCTCTTTTGATATCTAAAGCTTTTTGGGCGAATTCTATAGCTTTTTCAAAATCTTTACTGTCATGAGCATCTGCTGACAAATTATCATAGCAAATTGCCATATCTTTTGTACTTTCATTTTCAATGGTTTTCAATATTTCGTGAGACTTATTGAACCAGCTCTTTCCAGACCTTGCATCTCCCATCATTCTACAGTTCTGTCCAATATGATTATAATAATAAGCCAAAGCTCTACCATTATCCCCTCCAAGCTCTTTAACAATTTCTGCACCTTTTTCGAAAGCTTCTTCAGATTTTCTTGTGTTTTTTAATTCTTTGTAGAAAAACCCAAGTCTTTTATAAAGCTCTATAATATTATCATCAGGTTTTCCTAAGCTATGCCTAATACTGATAGCGCGCTCCAAGGCTTGAATACCCTCTGTAAATTCATCACCACTCCAATGTGCTAAGCCTAAAAACTCATCTATGTCTGCACACTCTAGAGAAATTGGCCCTTTGATTTTTTCAAAAATATTTCTAGATTTTTTAAAGCTTTTGATAGCCTCAGTTGGCTTATATTTCATTCCAAAGACGTGGCCACGATTCATAAAATAAATAGCGACGTCTATATCGTTGCTTTCGACCTGTGTTTGCATAAAAGGCAAAGCTTTTTGCAAATAGTCATGTGCTTCTTCAATATTTTCAGTAAGTCTATAAACTGTTGCTATGTTATTGCAAATTATAGCGACTTGTTTGCTAGCTTCCCCGTGCTTTTCTTTTGCTACTTCTAAGGCCTTTTGAAAGTATTTGATAGCATTCTGGGGATCTTCTATTTTTTGGTAAGTATAGGCTAGGTTCATATAGATAGCTTCGAGATCTTCAGGGTCAACTCCTTGCTGCGTCTCAACAATTTTTACTGCTTTTTCGAAATACAATGCAGCTTTGGGAAGATCCTCTTTTTCTCTGTAGGCACTACCAAGCTCATTGTAAGGAATAACTAGATCTGGGCTAGTCTCACCTTGCTCTTCTTCTAGCTGAGCTACTCTTAATTGAAGAGCTTCAAAAGACCTGGGCGCTCTAGAAAAAGATCTTGCAGGATAAAAGGAGATAAATCTTGCTTGGAAAGATATAGGAGATCTGATTTGGGAAGGTTGAAGAGATCTGGTGGTAGATCTAGAAGCTAATACTTTTCCTAATCTACACAGGGATCTGAAGACCATTTTATTATTATAATTTGTGAAAGGATATTTTGTCCTTGAATTAAATGATTTGTTCATTTAATTAATAGAATTTAGTGAGCGTTTTTATAATAATGATTATGCGTAATATATACTTCTTTATTGCTGAAATTTTAGCTGTCTTTAATATACAAATAATTTTAATTTTATATTTCAAATTTATTATTGTTTAATAATTACTTATGGACATAGAAATTATTTTGATTTGTCTAAACTAAATGCAATTTTTGAAAATTATTATATATCTTTAACTTTTTTAAATAAAGTTTTATTACGTTTCTAATTAGAATTTTGCTTATTTAGTTTTTGTATTTTTGCTTGGATTCTAACAAACTCTTCAAATTCTTCAGGAATGCTTGCAAAAATTAATTGAGATTTTTGAAAATTTTCGATTGCAGTGTTTTTATTCCCGATCTTCTCATATGTCTCTCCAATATATAAATAGCCCCTTCCTACACGAATATCATTATCTCCATGAGTCTGTAGATCGCTCTGCAATCCTTTGTTAAAAAATTCCAATGCTTTATCAAAATTTCCCATTTCCCTATAATCCCCTCCAAGTGCATGATAAAAACTTCCTATTTCTGGATCTTTTCCAACAATTACTGAAGTCCTTATATCAATGGCTCTTTTATGTTCAATTGCTGCTTTCTCGAATTCTCTTAATTCAAAGTACACTCCTCCTAATATCGCTAAATAATCAGCTTTATCTAAGTTATTGCTGCCTAAAGCTTGATCATTTATTTCAATGGATTTTTTTATATTCTCAATGCTTTTTTCGGCTTTTCCCCAAAATTTGTATAAAATCCCTAATTTAAAATATGCTGATGCTACATCAGGATGAATTTTTCCTACAAGTTGAGACTTTAATATAATGATCCTATTTACTATAGCTTCAGATTCTGGAAATTTCTTTTGCTCTATATATAATGCATCGAGGTATTTCAAGCAAAAAAATAATCTTTCATTATCAGAATTTTGCTGCTCTAATATTTCTTTCGCTTGCAGAAAGTATTTTTCAGATTTTTCATAATCCGTTTGATTATAGTAAGCATAGCCTAAAGCCAGCCAGTTTTGCATAAAATTCTTTGAATCCATTCCAAGGGTGTTTTTAATTTTCACTGCACTTTGGATACAATCAATGACTTTGTCAAATTCTGAATATTCATTTGCTTCAGATGCTACGAATTCATAATATGTTGCTATCTCTTATGATACACAGAATTTGGGATCTTGCTGCAGCTGAAGCCAAACCAAGCAGGAAATGAAGTCTGAGAGCAATGACATTTATGTTACAGTTGGGTTTTGCCTCCCTTGTCCGGCAATAAAGACTTCGTGTCTTCCCGAAAAAAGGCTTTTTACCCCCTAGATACCACTAATGTCGACGACGAAGGCATAATAATACTGATATAGGCTAGGGAGTTAATCCCTAACAGAATTTAATCACTCAAGCAGCGGCTGTCAAGTCCAAAACCTGCATACTCTAAGGTCCAAGACAGCATTAAGAACCATGCCGAAATTAGAGGAGAGATATCTTATGTGGAAATGCTGACATACCCAAGGGTTTCTCTAGCAGCTGAACTAGGAGGAAAAGCCCTAATCAGTAATTAATGCTAATGCTATCTCTAATGATACTTGATCAGGGATCTTTTTTAGAGCTTCCAAAGATTTTGCATACAACTCTCTAGAATCTTCATGCTCATCTACTGATTTAAATTTCTCAGCAAGATCCACATAAAATTTAACTAATTCTAAGCTATTTATCCCACTTGTTTCGTTGATAGCAGCTGTTGCTTTATTTACGGTTTCTTTTATAGCATTTTTATTTCCTGTTTGTTTGTATAGCAAAGCTAATTTTTTGTAAGCATCCATATCATATATTTTTAAGCTTTCTCTTATATTCAAAGCGCCTTGCAAGTATTTTTCAGCTTCTCTTACTTCGTTTATTTTTCAATAATCCATTGCTATTAAAACATCGACTATCGCTATTTCTAAAGTAAATTGTCCTGAACTGCTTTTAAATATATTTCTGCTTTTTTTTCAATCTTCTATTGCCCTTCTAGGATCATTTTTGGCTGAATAAATATTCCCAGAATAAAGAAAATAAGCTGCAGCACTTCGATTATTACTGTTTATCTGTGTCTCCATATAAGGAAAGGCTGATATTAAGGCTTGCTCAGCCTTTTCTGCGTCATTAATTATTTGATAAACTGGTATTAAGTCTATGAGGCCGCGAGTTCGGAATTAAAAGGATGGGTTGAAATATACCATCCTGCGGAATCAAACGACGCGCTAAACACTAATTAATAAGTAAGTAGTATTAAGTCCGTCAGAGTTCATGCTACTTCTTTGCTTTGTTCACCAAACAGGCTTTTTTCAATTTTTAAAGCTTTTTCGTATCATTCTATTGATTTTTCAGGGGAATTAGATGCTAGTAACTATTAGATTTAATGTGTGTTCTTTCTTCAGCAAGATAATTTAGGCATGCATAGGTGCACCTTTTAAATCCATATTGCAAGCATTCAAAAGATTCACCATAATGGCGGGAATACTTCAGTACCGCGCGCTTGACTTGCCATAAACTGACTCCAAAAAATATATTGGGCATAAGGTTCACCCTCCTTAAGTGTGCCAGGCAGTGAAGACAATATGTCTCTTTTATTCCTTGAGCCACCGAATTGGCATTGTAGATAAAGGCCGACATGTAAAAGAGAACCCTATAATAATAAATATTGCATAAGAGAAAGGGTTTTTTAGACAACACTTCCGTACGGAGCCATTTTATTATTGCAGTGGATTCAGATGCACGATAACAATCCCCTAAATTAAGAAAGCAATTTCTAAGATCAGCATTATTCAGTTCAAGCTTATTTTCAGCGATTTTGGCTGCTTTTTCGTAGTAAACTGTAGATTGATTCAGATCTCCTTTTTCCTTATAAGATGATCCAAGTAGATTATATAAATCCATTAAGACCTTTGCATCTTGATCTTTTTCGGCCAGAGCAGCTTTAGATAAGAGATCATCAATTGAGTTGGCTTGCGAAGAAAACAGTCGAGTATTTTGATAATTGACAAATAAATATCTTTTATTGGTGCTTTTGAATTGGTGGCTCAAAGCTAAGCCTTTTGATATTTTGTTTAAAAAGCGAAGCATTAAATTTCATATTTAATTGGTATTTTAAATTTTATTATGTTTAATTATTGATTATAGATATTGATTTTATGATTAATATAATTATAGCTAAGTATAAATTTTAATAATTAATTTAGAGCTAATATAAGTTAAATTAAGATTCAATTTATAATGGCTTCATAAAAGCATAAATAAGTGTTAAAAGCTGTATATTTACGAATAATGAATTTTTTTATATAATAAAAAATACTTAGTATAAAATTTTATTGTTATAATAAGCAATATAAAAAATTTTATAATTTATTGGGCGAATAAATTTGAATGACTATTCATTACTATCTCCTCTTATTGACTCAATTTTAGCTCTTAATCGAGTTACCCTTGCTTCCATACCTGGCACTTCTATCAAAACTTGTTCTGCTTTTTTATAACAATTAATAGCAGCTTCTTTATCACCTTTTGAATTATAAAGATCACCAAAAGAAACATATCCTACCCCAACCATGGTATCTTTATCTCCAACAGTGCGCAAATAGCCCTGCAAACCTTTTTCATAAAGCTCAGAAGCTTTATCCCACTCTTTTAATTCTTTATAAACATCTGCAAGTGCATAATAAAATACACCGATTCCTGGATCATTGTCACCAAATACTTGCTCTCTAGCGCTTATAGCTCTTTTATGCTCAGCTATTGCTTTATCATATTCTCCTTGAGCTCTATAAGCCTCACCCATGTGGCTAAAAACATCAGAATTTGCAAAATTGAATGGACCTAATGCCTGGTTATTTATTTCGGTAGCCTTTTTATATGCATCAATGCTATCTTTCCATTTACCCCATATTTTATATGTAGCTCCCAAATTTATATATCTATCTGCTATTACTGGATGAATTCTCCCTATAATCTCGCATTGCAATTCAATGCCTCTCTTTGAAAATTCAACAGCTTCTGCGTATCTTTCCATGTCTCGGTACAAACAGCCAAGCCCACTTAAGCATGCTTCTAAAGTCATTTTATCATTATTCTCGCTTTCTAGTAAAGCTTTTGCTTGTAGGAGATATTCTTCACCTTTTTCGTAATTTTTTAAGTCATAATAAGCCGATCCAAGATAGAAATAATTCATCGTAGCGCCATATGGGATCATTCCAAGGATCGACTTGATTGCCAGTGATTTTTGCGAACAATCTATTGATTTTTCAAGCTCACCGAAGTCATATGCTTCAGCTGATAAGCTATCATAGCATATGCTAGCCTCAAATGAATTTTGATAAGGGACTTTTTTTAGCGCTTCTAAGCACTTTGCAAATAACTTTTTGGAGATCTCTACACCTCCATTAATTTTGAATCTTTTTCCCATTTCGTTATAAAACAATGCTATGTCTACACTATTCCTTCCCCTCAAATCTTCTGTAATTTTTGCTCCTTTTTCACAAGCTTCTTCTGCTTCTTTATCGTTTCCCAATTCTTTACATAATAATGCTAATCTCTTTACAGGCTCGATGTCGTACACCTTTAGAGTATCCCTTATATCAATAGCACTTTGCGCCCATCTTTTAGCTTCTGCCGGGTTTTTTATTTCCGCATACGATATAGAAAGTAGATTATCAATATTAGCAATTTCCATAGAAATTGGCCCAGAAAGATTTTCATATATTTTTCTACTTTTTTTATAATTGTCTATTGCAAGGCTATGCTTACTTTTTGACAAAGCAATATGGCCAGCATAAAGAAAATAATCTGCAGCACCTCCATCGGCGCTATTTACTTTTTGATTCATACAATGAGAAGCGGTGGCGAGTGCTTTTTCAGCTTTTTCAATATCATTATTCATGTAGTAAACTATTAATAAATCAGTTAACCTATAAGCTACTTCTGAACTTTGCTCTCCGTGCAGGCTTTTCTCGACTTTTAAAGCCTTTTCGTATCATTCAATTGCTTTTGGAAGTAATTTCATTTCTCGATAGCAATTGCCTAGGTGAATAAATTGCTCCACGAGCTTGGGATATTCAGGACCTAAAATATTTTCAGCAATTTTGGCTGATTTTTCATGATATGTTGTAGATTCATGTAGATTACCGCTTGCCCAAAAAGAAAGCCCAAGCTTATTATATAGAAACATTAAATCCGTCAAATTTTGATCTTTTTCAGCTTGAGCAATTTTTGACCTAAGCTCATCAATCGAATTTGGATTAAAAGAGTATTGTACAAACTGAAAGTTGTTTAAACCGCTTTGTGATTCGATGGAGTTTAAGAGGAGATTTCAAGGTGCGCCTTTGCTGATTTTACTCAACAAGAGCAACATTTTATTATATATTTATTAGAAGAAGCAACTTAGAGTCTAAGATTTTACAAATCATTAAAATTTATCATAATTTTTAATTATTGTTTATATTGCTAACAGTATCCATTAGTCTCCACGTTCCTAATAAAATATATATTTTAAAATATCACAATTATTATCCTTATTGACAGCATGACAAACAATTAATCTATTTAATAGTTTAATATAAATATACCTAAATTTTTCTTATTATATCCAGCATAGTTTAAGCATTAATTGATATAATATATAAGTATTTGATAAAAAGCTAACTTAGTTTAATATAAAAATTCATTGCTACAATGAGCAATATAAAATAATTTATAATTTCTCGGGCGAATAATTTTATTGGATTATTCATTACTATCTCGTCTTATTGACTCAATTTTAGATCTTAATCGAGTTACCCTTGCTTCCATACCTGGTATTTCTATCAAAACTTGTTCTGCTTTTTTATAACAATTAATAGCAGCTTCTTTATCCCCTTTTGAATTATAAAAATCACCAAAAGAAACATATCCTACCGCAACCATAGTATCTTTTTCTCCAACTGTGCGCAAATAGCTCTGCAACCCTTTTTCATAAAGCTCAGAAGCTTTATCCCACTCTTTTAAGTCTTTATAAACATCTGCAAATGCATAATAGAATACACCGATTCCTGGGTCGTTGTTACCAAATTCTAGCTCTCTAGCGCTTATAGCTCTTTTATGTTCAGCTATTGCTTTATCAAATTCTCCTTGAGCTCTATACACCTCAGCCATGTGACTAAAAACATCAGTATTTGCAAAATTGAATGGGCCTAATGCCTGATTATTTATTTCAATAGCCTTTTTATATGCATCAATGCTATCTTTCCATTTACCCCATAATTTATATGTAGCTCCCAAATTTATATACCTAGTTGCTATTTCTGGATGGATTCTCCCTTGAATTTCGCATGCTAATTCAATGCCTCTGCTGGAAAATTCCACAGCTTCTGCGTATCTTCCAATATCTCGGTACAAAAAGCCAAGCCCACTTCAGCATGCTTCTAAAGCATATTTATCATCATTCTCGCTTTCTAGTAAATTTTTTGCTTTTAGAAGATATTCTTCACCTTTTTCGTAATTTTTTAAGTCATAATAAGCCGTTCCAAGATAGAAATAATTTGTCTTAGCACCATATGGAATCATTCCAAGGATTGACTTGATTGCCAGTGATTTTTGCGAACAATCGATTGATTTTTCAAGCTCACCGAAGCGATATGCTTCAGCTGCTAAATTATCATAGCATATGGTAGCCTCATATGAATTTTGGTAAGGAACATTTTTTAGCGCTTCTAAGCATTTTGCAAATAACTTTTTTGATATCTCTACACCTCCATTAATTTTGAATTTATTCCCCATTTCATTATAAAAAAGAGCTATGTCTACACTATTCAATCCCCTCAAATCTTCTGCAATTTTTGCTCCTTTTTCACAAGCTTCTTCTGCTTCTTTATCGCTTCCCAATTCTTTACATAATAATGCTAATCTCTTTACAGGTTCCATGTCGTATACCTTTAGAGTATCCCTTATACCAATAGTACTTTGCGCCCATCTTTTAGCTTCTGCCGGGTTTTTTATTTCCATGTACGCAATAGAAAGTAGATTATCAATAACGGCAATTTCCATAGTTATTGGCCCAGAAAGATTTTCATATATTTTTCTACTTTTTTTATAATTGTCTATTGCAAGGCTATGCTTACTTTTTGACAAAGCAATATGGCCAGCATAAAGAAAATAGACTGCAGCACCTCCATCGGCGCTATTTACTTTTTGATTCATATAATGAGAAGCGGTGGCGATTGCTTTTTCAGCTTTTTCAATATCATTATTCATGTGGTAAACTATTAATAAATCAATTAACGTATAAGCTACTTGTGAACTTTGTTCTCCGTACAGGTTTATCTCGATTTTTAAAGCCTTTTCGTATCATTCAATTGCTTTTGGAGGTACCTTCATTTCTCGATAGCAATGGCCTAAGTGAATAAATTGCTCTACGAGCATGGGATATTCAGAACCTGCAATCTTTTCAGCAATTTTGGCAGATTTTTCATGATATGTTATAGATTCATGCAGCTTACCACTTGCCCAAAAAGAAAACCCAAGCTTATTATAAAAAATTATTAAATCCCTCAAATTTTGATCTTTTTCAGCTTGAGCAATTTTTGACCTAAGTTCATCAATCGAATTTGAATTAAAAGAGTATTGTCTAAACTGAAAGTTGTTTAAACCGCATTGCGATTTGATGGATCTCAAGAGGAGTCTTCAAGGTGCACCTTTGCTGATTTTATTTAACAAGAACAGCATTTTATTATATATTTACTAGAAGATGCAACTTAGCGCCTAAGATTTTATAAATTATTAAAATTTATCATAATTTTGAATCATTGTATATATTGCTTATACTATCAATTAGCCTCCACGTTCCTAATAAAATATAATATTTTGTACCATTTTTTAAATATCACAATTATTATCCTTTTGACGCATGGACAAGCCAATTGCATCTATTTAATAGTTTAATATAAAATATATCTAAATTGTTCTTATTATATCCAATATAGTTTAAACTATATTGGATATAATATGTAAGTATTTGATAAAAATCTAACTTTAATTTAATATAAAATTTCATTGTTATAATAAGCAATATAAAAAAATTTATAATTTCTTGGGCGAATAAATCTTATTGAATTATTCATTACTGTCTCCTCTTATTGACTCAATTTTAGATCTTAATTGAGTTACCCTTGCTTCCATACCTGGTATTTCTATCAAAACTTGTTCTTCTTTTTTATAACAATCAATAGCAGCTTCTTTATCCCCTTTTGAATTATAAAGATCACCAAAAGAAACATATCCTACCGCAACCATAGTATCTTTTTCTCCAACTGTGCGCAAATAGCTCTGCAACCCTTTTTCATAAAGCTCAGAAGCTTTATCCCACTCTTTTAATTCTTTATAAACATCTGCAAGTGCATAATAGAATACACCAATTCCTGGGTCGTTGCTACCAAATTCTAGCTCTCTAGCGCTTATAGCTCTTTTATGTTCAGCTATTGCTTTATCAAATTCTCCTTGAACCCTATACACCTCAGCCATATGACTGAAAACATCAGTATTTGCAAAATTGAATGGGCCTAATGCCTGATTATTTATTTAAATAGCCTTTTCATATGTATCAATGCTATCTTTCCATTTACCCCATAATTTATATGTAGCTCCCAAATTTATATACCTAGTTGCTATTCCTGGATGGATTCTCCCTTCAATTTCGCATGCTAATTCAATGCCTCTATTTAAAAATTCAACAGCTTCTGCTTATCTTCCCATATCTCGGTACAAACAGCCAAGCCCACTTAAGCATGCTTCTAAAGTCATTTTATCACTATTCTCGCTTTCTAGTAAATTTTTTGCTTTTAGAAGATATTCTTCACCTTTTTCGTAATTTTTTAAGTCATAATAAGCCGATCCAAGATAGAAATAATTCATCGTAGCGCCATATGGGATCATTCCAAGCATTGAATTGATTGTCAGCGATTTTTGCGAACAATCTATTGATTTTTCAAGCTCGCCGAAGCGATATGCTTTAACTGCTAAATCATCATAGCATGTGGTAACCTCATATGAATTTTGATAAGAGACTTTTTTTAGGGCTTCTAAGCATTTTGCAAATAACTTTTTGGAGATCCCTACACCTCCATTAATTTCTAATTTTTTCCCCATTTCATTATAAAAAAGAGCAATTTCTAAGCTATTCACTCCTTTATAAAATTGCGTAATTTTTGCTCCTTTTTCGCAAGCTTCTTCTGCTTCTTTATCGTTTCCCAAATCTTTACATAATAATGCTAATCTCTTTATAAGTTCGATGTCATATTCCTTTAAAGTATCCCTTATACCAATAGCACTTTGTGTAGGTGAAGCGGTTTTGCTGTTTCTGATTTTTATAACTGTAGAAAAATAGGGCAGCCCAACAAAAAACGTGAGGATTTAAGGAATTTTTTTAATGCTATAATAGACAGCGGGACAGGCAAAATCGCCAAAATTAGAGGGATAATTTTGGCAAAAAGGATTAGGCGATTTAATTTTTAATTTTTTTATTTACCCACCTCTTCAAAAATAAACTTACTCTTACTAATAAGAAATATGAGATATTTTAGGATTTTCTGTTTTGAACTATATTATAGCGATTATAGCACATTTGGAGATATTTTAAATATTCTGTTTTTATCCTCATCCCTCTTCTCATTTCAAAAATAAACTTCTTATTCTGATAATAAGGAATTTTATATGATATTTGTTAATATTTTAAATAACCTATTTTTATTCAACTCCCTCAATCATTAAAAAATAAATTATTCTGTACTAAAAAATAAAAAATATTCCAAGGTGACATCTGCCTAATGAGAAATTGGGATTTAGCCCAGGCGGTAAAACACGAGGCTTAAGAGTCATGGAAGTCAAGATTATGTGTGCCAATTGATTTTCTGCTGAGGTGAATAGCGTTCTACCACCGCTTTAAGAACGCAGAGTCGTAGGGGTGTGAATTTCCCGGGCCTATCAAAGAAGATTTCTTATTAATATTAGCATTAACTATTAGAAAAAACTAGGGAAAAAACCATTTAAGGTGTCTATTACAGTATTAAAAACAAATCCACAATCCACTTTTTTGTTAGGCTAATCTATTTTTTTGCAGGGATACGCAATCAGAGTTAGCCAACCCTTCACCCACTTTGCGCCCATCTTTTAGCTTCTGCCAGGTTTTTTATTTCCATATACGACATAGAAAGTAGATTATCAATATTAGCAATTTCCATCATAGCTGGCCCGAAAATATTTTCATATATTTTTCTACTTTTTTTATAATTGTCTATTGCAAGGCTATGCTTACTTTTTGATAAAGCAATATGGCCAGCATAAAGAAAATAGACTGCAGCACCTCCATCGGCGCTATTTACTTTTTGATTCATATAATGAGAAGCGGTGGCGATTGCTTTTTCAGCTTTTTCAATATCATTAATCTTGCGGTAAAGTTGTAATAAATCAGTTAATGTATTAGCTGCTTGTGAACTTTGTTCTCCGTACAGGTTTATCTCGATTTTTAAAGCCTTTTCGTATCATTCAATTGCTTTTGGACGCCATTTTATTTCTCGATAACAATTGCCTAGGTGAATAAATTGGCCCACGAGCTTGGGATATTCAGAAGCTAAAATCTTTTCAGCAATTTGGCTGATTTTTCATGATATGTTACAGATTCATGCAGATTGTCGCTTATCCAAAAATAAAACCCAAGCTTATTATATAGAAATATTAAATCCGTCAAATTTTGATCTTTTTCAGCTTGAGCAATTTTTGACCTAAGTTCATCAATCGAACTTGGATTAGAAGAGTATTGTCTAAACTGAAAGTTTTTTAAACCGCCTTGTGATTCGATGGATCTCAAGAGATGTCTTCAAGGTCCACCTTTACTGGTTTTACTCAACAAGAGCAACATTTTATTATATGTTTATTAGAAGATGCAAATTATTCTAGATTTTATAAATTATAAAAATTTATCATAATTTTTGAATTCTTGTTTATATTGCTAATACTATCAGTTAGCCTCCACGTTCCTAATAAAATATAATATTTGTACCATTTTTTTAAATTTCGCAATTATTATCCTTTTGACGCATCGGCAAGGCAATTTCATCTATTCAATAATTTAATATAATATATAGCTAAATTGTTCTTATTATATCCAGCATAGTTTAAGCATTAATTGATATAATATGTAAGTATTGAATAATATTAATATAAATTCAGCTTAGTTGTTATTATTACCTTCATTGATTGGTCTAAACATGATAACACTGCTAATCCTAACCTATCTGCGCTCCAATCAAAACTTGCAACAGGCTGTGTGGATAAATCTCTTTGGTTCAGCATTGTCACACTCCCTGGCACACCTTTGGGGTTTCCATTCATATCCTGAACTGATCTTTGTGAAGGATAATTATATTTATATAGATTCAAGCTCCCATTTCCTCCTAAAGTCACAAAAAGATCACGATTCTGAGGCAGATGCTTTACTCCTCATACAGTAGCGCCATGGACTTTTTCAATTGCTTCAGCATACCCGCCTTCAGTTGCATTAAAAGTTCTTAAATCAAAAATGTGGAATTTTCCTTCAAGAGTTGTAGCTACAATTTTGTTCATCATTTGGTCTCTTCTGTCAAATTGAAGTCCACAAACCCCATTCTTTAAATTTGTGTCCCATTGCAAATAATTAGTTCTCAGATCAAATAGCTTGATGTCTCCATTATCATAGCCAGCTGCTAGCATACGTTCAGAGTCATTATATAGCTTAAGCGCCATAATAGATTGCTATAACTCAGCATAATAACGACAAGGGAAAATATGGTCTGGGGCACTTGCTTTCTTCAGCTAAGTCTTACTAGGCATCTTAAAACAACAAACAAATATTTGCCATTTTCGTTTTTGATTTTTCAAAAAAACTGGCAAGTACAAATTAATTTTAAAATTTAAATGGACGGTCATAATCATCTAAAAAATTTTAGGGGTGATAGCAATTTCCAAAGCAAACAGCCCAGCAATCAGGCTTGATTTCTTCAGCGGGTTCTAATGAAACAACTGGAGCCTCTTGTCTTATATCTCATACTTTCACACAGCCATCTCTGCCGCCAGTGACTAATTCAGGAGGGCCCATTCCACTGCCTCCAGCGCCTTCTAGGCTGTTTATCAAGCCTTCATGAGCTTTTACTTTATATACTTCTTGTTGAGTTTCTAGATCCAAAATCGTCAAATTCCCTGAAAAATCACCAATTGCTATTTGGCGGTTAGTCAAAGAAGATGCTCCAAATGTCGCGCATTTATACCCACTACCTTTTGTGAACTCATGAAGAAGCCGAAGCTTGCCTTCAGTTTTTTGATCTAATTGAAAAAGCTGGAATATTCCTTTCATGCTAGGAGATTGGCCTAGTATCACAAATCGAGAGCTGCAAGGAATCCATTTGGTATCAAAAGGTGTGTAAGTGAGATTTCTATGGGCATGCTCGATTATTTGAGGCGCGTCGGTGGAATCCATTTTTATGTAATGAATTTCAGCTGATTAATAATTTTCTATTTTTCTTTTGATTAAATTTTCAGTTCAAATTCATAATTTTTCTCCGCTGAAAATACATTTCTTTATTTTTTACTTTAAATTAGTCAGTATTGTCGTAAATTTAGATATTTCATTTTAACAGATTAATGGACTCGGACTCTTCACTCCTTCTGGACAAATCTAGCCGCTATAATCAATCTTTACTTGTGAAACTTTCTGAATCAGTAAATTCCAAATAGGAAATTAAAAATAGCGAATTAACTGCTGCATGCTTAGCCCGGGATTCTGAGATTTTGAGGCTCGAAAATAAAATCTACGAATTATCTTCGGCTCTTAAGAAATTAGAAAACGAAAAATCATTGCTTTTAGTCTCTGCGTCTACACAAACACAGGAGATTTTTGGGCCGCATCGCAATGAAAACTGCGAAAAAAATTCAAATGAAAAGAATTTGCTTATTTTGAAAATAAAGAGCTTACAGCCCTCCGTGAGCAAACAAAAAAATTTGCTCTGTTGATTTTTTTTGAGAAAATGTATATATAAACTTTCAGTAATTTTTTTTTCCAATTTAAAAATTTTCCATATATAAAAATTAATTCAATTTGTAAAATTTATATTTTAAAATGCAAGCTGTTTAAAATTAACAGAATAGCTATAGATTTCATTATAATAATTATCAATTATCTATCAAAATTATTTTTTTATAAAAAATTTTGTTCTCTCACGGAGGGTGGGTATTACCAAATAGGATTTTTCCAGTGGTTATTCACTCACGGAGGTGGGAAGTTAGAAAAATCCTTATTGGATTCTGAAGCCATGTGTGATGAATTAGAAGAAAAGCTGAGAGAAAAAGAAAAAGAAATAACGAAACTTAAATTGCAGATAAAAGAACAAGATTCAACTAATGAATCTTTATCTTATGTAAAAGGAAACTCTACAGACAGATCATTAAAAAACAATAACGACTGGAAAGAAGGAACATCACCAAGGTCATTATCTCATAACGTAAAGTCAAAAAGTACAAAAAAATTATCCGTACCTAAACTATCCCTCATCACAATAATCAATGCTCATAACTCAAACGTAAATTTGCTGAGTGCTTCGCCTAAAAACGAATGAAAAATGGGCTACTACTCCCCAATTTATAAAAGTTTGAGAAATTCGCCTGTGAAATTGGTACACAAGAATTAGTGTAAATCTCTCAGCTTAATATTTAATTATATCGTTATTTGCAGATTTTTGAACTTTACCACCTAAGTGTGAAATTTTTTTCCGCGTGTGAAAAGGTGTTTTTTCACGTGTGGAGCCCTTTTGATTTCACATGTGGAATCCTCTTTTCACACGCGGAAAAAATTTCACACTTAGGTGGTAAAGTTCAAAAATCTGCAAATAACGATACTGATAACTGATTTTTAATTCTGAAATAAATAATTTTCATCAATCTTTACTCACTTCATATCAAATTCAAAATTCTAAGACTACACCTTGCCACTCCTAATTTCATATTACTTACCAAAAATGCAATTAAAATGAATAACTATCACATTTACGACGAAATCGGTAAGGGGAAGTATTCGGTTGTTTACAAAGGCCGTAAAAAAAGAAGCATTGAATACCTTGCCATAAAATCAGTAGAAAAGTCTCGTCGAAAAAAAATTCTCAACGAAGTTCGAATTATGCATAATCTCGACCATGAAAACATCCTCAAATTTTACAGCTGATATGAAACTCGTAATCATCTATGGATCATTTTTGAATACTGCGCTGGCGGCTCTCTGCTCAATTTGATTGAAAGTGATAAAACACTTCCTGAAGAATCAGTCCGCACTTTTGCTTTTGATTTAATGAAAGCACTTTTATACCTTCATAGCAATGGAATTATATATGGGGATTTGAAGCCTTCAAATATTTTATTCAATGAGTACGGGCAGCTTAAATTAGCTGATTTTGGCCTCTCAAGAAAAATTGTGGATTTAACTCAGGGTGATTCACAGAGCAAGCGAGGAACTCCTTTTTATATGGCTCCTGAGCTCTTCCAAGACGATGGCGTCTACTCATTTTATTCAGATTTTTGAAGTTTAGGATGTGTAGTATACGAATTAGCGACTGGCCAGCCTCCTTATATTTCTACATCATTTCAAGAGCTAGTCGAACAGATTTTAAATGCCCCAGTCCCAGAAATACCTGATTACAGCAGAGATTTTAACGATTTTTTAAAAGAGTTAATGCAAAAAGACCCAGCGAAGCGCATAAGTTGGGATGAAGTAACAGTCCATCCTATATGAAAAGAAAATACGATGACTTTAAATATCACTTTACCACCTCAGCCTTTATATGAGAAATACTTAAAAGCCAGAGGAGTTCAACAGAGGACCGTGAGTGCACAGGCCTCAAATACACAATTTTCGTCAGGGAGGGTAGATTTAATGAGGATGTCTCAGAATATTCAAAAAAATCTGTTGAGAGAAAGCGTGAAAAATGGGTATCAGCAGAAAGAAGTAGAAGGAAATGATGTGAAATTGGATAACCGAGACCAAGTTGTAGACTTTGGGGAATACAAAGAAGAAGAGGAAGACGAAGAATCAGAAGAAAATACAGAACCTACTGAAGGAGAAAAAGATAGTGGCTTAGAAGAAGAAATTGGCATAATTGAAGAAGAAAAGCAAGAAGTTAAAGATAATAGGCCGATAACGATCCAGGGAGGACTTAGAAATCCTCCTGTTTCGATAGAAGAAGAAAGGCCTAATTCAGCCAGCCAAAGGGTGAATTCAGCACAGCCAGCCAACTTAACAAAGCAGTCTTCTATTTCAAAACCGCCACCACCTTTTGAAGCCATCATGATCCACAACTCTGATACTTCTGTCAAGCCAATTATTGGGAACCGTGAACTGGAAAAACAAGGCGAGCTGTCTTTTAACCCTCAAACGCTTGGATTTGAAGCTTGGACAAGCGAAGATGTAATGGCGAACGCCGAAAAGCGTGAAATTGAGGCCCATTTCCATCAGATTTACCAAGCTTTGACATCTTCAGCACAAGGAATTGATAAACTGAATATTTTGACTTATTTCGAAACTTTGATTATAAATTCAACAGTAGCAAACAAGTTGATAGTGTCTCCATCTGTGGGGCTACTAATAAGACTGCTAAGGTCAAGCAAGTCTTCGCCGATGAAGGTCAGAATTTGCAGTATTCTAGGACATAAATAAAATGGCATTTCGGTTCGAGAGAAATTAGCTTTGCTAATTTTCTCTCCCTCATGGAATTTTATTTATGGGGTTGGGTTTTCTCTCGAGAACTTCTGCACAGCAATAGCTGTTTAACTTTGGGGATAACCAAAGGAACAGCTCCTCAGTGCACTCAAGATTTCGGAGTTTTACCTCTCAGCACATCCCCACGGAGGATGACCCTTAGGCGGAACACGTGCAGGAGCTGAGTCGAGACAGGGCGACGGCAACGCACCGGGTGAGATGTGCGGCAAACGGGCGAAATGCAGATGAAGGCTTGGCCGGTGGGCTAACCACCGCGATTCCAAGATGGCTCGGCGACGTCATCAGTTTTGCTATAACTCCATTTTTATGGGGTGCGGCACTAGACACCTTAAATACCAGACATTAAGTTAAGTTAAGTTAAGCAGTATTCTAGGACAAATGGTGAGATATTCTACTTTTATAGAAGTCACTTTAGCAGAGTCTGGGCTTTATCAAGCTTTAAGCGAACAGATTAAGGATAAAAACGAAAAAGTTCGCAGACGAGCTATGGCAGCACTTGGAGAGTACTTATTTTACGCAGCCACTCAAATGGATGATGAGCAAGGCCAATCAGTTTGGGAAATCCCGCATTTAATTTTTGCATTGGTAATAAAAGTCAGTAAATCTGGAGAAGATGAAATTTTGCGGTTTTATGCTATAAAAACTATCGAAAATATCACAGCACAAAGCACAAAAGCAGGCACAAAATTCGCTATTGCAGAAGTAGCACAGAATCTATGCTCGGTATATTTGTCGACAAAAAATGAGTATTGCAAGGTTGCAGCTTTATCAGCATTATGTCATGTAATTAGGCTTAATTTATCATTATGCAGCACTGTGATAGAAAGGCTGGCAATTAGGCATATAAATTCAGGTCTTTCTGAAGATCTTCCTAAGATCCAGCAGAACTTTTTAACAATTTTGATACTAATCACCCAAAACCCACCCAGTCGCTTCGCAGCAATCCTAGCTGAGGATAAAAATTTTTTGTCTATTGTTTTATCTCTGCTAGAAAACCCCAATGTAGTTATCAGAGGCAAAGCATTAATTCTGCTGAATTTATTGATAAAAGCCAATGTAAGATGGATCCTTATACTCTCAGAAAATAAGTTTTTTGCCATCATAGAAAAATTGTTAAGAGATTCGTATAGATATGTGCAGTGGTGCTTATTTTATTTATTAGTACAAATTGCTGACCTTTCTCTCGTAATAGTCAAAAATGTAGCAGAAGATATGAAAATAGTGCTTGATAAGCGTGGACAATCAAAAAATGCGATAGTCTTATTACCTGTGGTTCAGCAAGTTATAACATCTGGGGCTGGTACGAACCATCTTTCATATCCAGCGCTTATAAAATTCCTGGTTGAAATCTTGGATTTATGCTTAAGGTCTTCAAGTTTTATAGAAATCACTCAACAAATTATGCTGCTACTTGAAGCATTAAGTGGGCAGACCAAGCAGCTAACCCAATACTCTGATGCTATTATAAAGTCTCTTCTGCCTGCTCTATTGACTTATAGTGGGGTGGAAGATATTGATACCAGATTCAGAAGCTTAAAAATTTTTTCTGATATTTTGCTGCCATTTTTATACGAAGACTCTATTTATGACCCTGGAAACTCAAGCAAGGTAACGACAAAAATTATGAATGAGCTACTAGTTAAACAGCTGATGCCGCAATACCAGAGACTATTATCTGATCATGACCCAATTCCTCTATACGCCCACAAGCTATTAAGTGCCATAATTGAGAGATGTGCTGCTTTTGTTAGCATTGTAAAGCGCCAAGAACTAATTCCAGTCATACTAGAAAGTTTTGAAGGAGGAAACCCAAAGCTGAACGTTCAAATTGTATCAATCGTCAAAAGAATTGTGGAGTCTAAAGAAACCACTTTAGAAGAGCTTGCTGGGCTTAGGATTATCCAAAAAGTCAACTCCATAATGAGATGTGTGCTGGAACAAGACTGATGCGTTGATAAAATGCTTGATATCTTATACGAACTTTTATTCCTTGCTGCTGATAGTTTGCGGGCCAAAAAATCTAACCCTGATTACTCAGCTCTTCGAATTATAGAGCCTCTCACAGACAATTTTCCTATTTGCGCCAAGCTTGTTAAACAAAACAACGACCAAGTAATTTCTATTTAGAATCTCATCGAAAAATGCACTCATTGTTTATCATTAATGATCCAGCTATTTTGTAATAAAATTGCTCAGAACCCTACCCTGGAAATGATCCAAAGCTTAATAATTGTTTTATCAATTAAAAAGCCATCACTTCAACGACGATGCTTAAAAGTGCTAAAAGTGATTTCTCAGTCTGGGATCCCGATTCCTTCTTCCCCAGAACTTGCATCAATTTTGAGAAGAAATGAAGAAAAAGAAATCCAGCAGCTCGCTGCCGATATATGGGGTACTTAGTATAGATAATTAGATAAGAAGTTAAATGGTGATGCTTGATTAATTATTTTCTTAATTTGAATCCTCTAATACGAAGGTATTCAGGGTCTCTTGGCTCACTAGGAACGTAAACAGGGACTATTCCATCATCTTTGGTGATTCGGTGGTAATGGGCATTTTGGCCGACTACTAAGCTGCCATCAAGTTTCAAGTCTTCTATAAGTGTTTCTTTTCCTTCTAGGACTAGGACTGATCTGTTGGAAATTGACCATGATCCTTTGACTTTTTGTCTTAATTCCACAAAGCTGCAGGCAAAAGAAGGCTGGATAATAATTTTTGCAGGCAGTCTGTATCTAATTCCAGCAAAGAAGGTGTCTGTAGTAGCATCATCGATTGAGGCTCCACAAAGTCTTAATAATTTGATATTTGCATTAAAATATTCGCACTCTCCACTTCCAGCACACCATGGATCTAAATTTTGTGCTGATTTTGCTGCAGCTTCCTGCAAATTATTTTTCACAGCAGTAAATGAAATCCAGCGCTCAAATTGTGTAAAGCCTATAATTGATTCTTGTGTGTACATCTTGCTGAAATCTTGCATAAGGCATTCAAGTCTTGTAGGAGCTTTAAAAACCGTTTTAGTGGCATCAGCGTATTTTGGATTGACAAATTCTGTCATAGCGCCTCCTGTTCTGTTTAAGGCATCCAAATAATCTTGTAAGGAGAACAATAAAGTGTTGGTGTTTCCTGGGAATGGAGATAATTTTGCTGATTCTGGAGTGCCGATGCCGAGTTCTTCATTGGAAACGTCACCTTTGGCATTCATTCCTGATCCTTTGATTAAAGTGTCAACAATGTTGTACTCCACGTTCAAAGTTTGGATTTGGCCTTCTTTTTCTAATGTCATGATAGCTCCTAATGACTCTTTTGGCATTCTAGGAATCGTGGCAAAGTTCATAGCATAGTTATTGACCTTTGATACTCCTAAGAAAGATGGGAGAGCTTTGAATACAAGAGGATTTGTGTCTTGCAATATGACCATCCACTTCTTTCCTTCAGAAAGCCATTTCTGTGGAAGACCATATTGGTATAACAAGATGTGGACATCTCCATGTCCGTGCGGTTTGCCAGAAATATACATTAAATGGAGTGGCGAGCCAGCCTCCATGTTAAAATTGTAGCAGTAAGTAATTGGGAAAGGCGGGTATCTTGTGGAAGAGAGGACAGCGTTCAGAAGTGCGTGTTAGGCAAGGTTTACTTGGTTTGGTGGATTTAAAACCGCATGCAGACATCCAGGTCAAGGTTTTGTCTCTTGGGAAGAAGGGGAAGTCGAACAAATCTTTAGCGTGATAGCAGACTGTGTGTCCTTGGCTCTGGTTCCATTTTGGTCAACAGCTTGACCAAAAATTCATTTTTCTAATTTTTGGAAAGAGCGAACCCCGTTGACGCTCAGCATGGTGCTTCAACATCTCTAGCTCTCGGTAGGTATAATCCCTCATCTGTGAGGAGCAAAATAGTGTGAGGTCGTGCTCGGGCTGGTAAGTAAGCAGTGGATTGCTATGCGGAGGAGAGTAGTGGCCCGCGGGTCTACAGGAGACTTGTCTATAAGTAATTAAAGTAATTAAGTCAGCTGTTTTCCAGAAACTCTTCCATGCTCAACTGCAAATCTTGCTTCATTGTCAATTAAAGCTGGGACTTTTTCTTGTCTCATTAAAGTGAGCTGGTCACGAGACATACCAAAATAGTTATGCTCTTCAAGAAGCTGAAGAGTACGTGAATGAGTGTCCTCTGATGTCATAATTGCTAAAGGAAGAATTGTTCCAGATCTGTCCTGCAGTGCCAAAATGGACTCAATGTAGAGCTGAAGGAAACAGGTTTCTGTCACAAGCTCTACTGGAAGTCCTACTTTAATAGAGGAATAGCCTAGTCTTTCTCCAAGACCTCCAGCAACCAAAACAAAGGCACATTTTCCGAGTTCGGATATGCCCTCATTTTCTAATGCTACAAACTGGTCTAAGTTTGTCTCTGGGTTCACTGAAACTCCGTGAGGGATTTTTGGAGTCCATCCTTCGAAAATATTAACAGAGTTTGCGGAGTCCTGAAGGAGTTTTCTTGCTCTAGAAATGTATGACTTTATGCCACCTGGGTAATTTTTGTCGAAATATTTAAGATCTTCGACGAGAAGATCTCTTGTATGTTGATCTTGACCTTCTGGGAAGAGGTGAGACTGGTTGTAGTCAGGGTCTGCCATAAGAGCAACGACTTCTTGAGCTGATAGGCTTTCCATTATTAAAATATTATATGGCTATAAATTTAATAAAATATGTGGTAATACTGATTTATTGATTTCTAAAGAAGGAAGCATAATGAAGCTAAATTGTGAGTAAAAACTGGCTTATTGGTTATTATGATTCCTTTAAACAATTTTTTAGTAATTAAGCAAAATTGTTGGTATTCATATAGAAAATTAGTAAATTTATTTAGATTGTCAGACATAAAAAATTTATATGATTTGCTATCAACTTTAAATATAGCATTTTCTAAACTTTCTTATGTTTGAATTTCAATTTAAATATTTACTCCCCCCCCCTCCGTGAGTGAACAAACCATTAGAAAAATCCCTATTTTTTGCCCAAAAACCTACCCTCCGTGAGTGAACAAAATTTTTTTAATAGAAAAATTTTTTATGGAAAAAAATTTTGATATATAATAAGTGATAATTAGCATAATGAAATATAGTGCTAATTCTGTTTTAATTTAAACGGATTGCTTTTTTAAAATATAAATTTTATAAATTAAATTAATATTTGCTTTCCAATTTTTGCGAATCAGGATTTTTTTAAATTTCGAAAAAAATATTTTTATAAAATTTATATATAAATTTTTTTAAACAAAAAAATTAACCCCCCTCCGTGAATGAACAAAATTTTTTTGTTCACTCACGGAGGGGGGGGGAGTTAGATATCTTTAAGTTACCACTCAAAAGTTAAAAACAACTATTATACATGAGATTGACATATTCATAAAAAATCATTTAAGATAGCTAGCAAGCAGTGTAGATAACAGATATTTTATAATCATTTTTCTACTTTCAAAAATTGTAAAAAATAATATCTTATTAAACATTCAGCATGAAAGCACAGCTTTAGATCATTCTATACCTTACTCCCCCATCCGTGAGTGAACAAAACCATTAAAAAAATCCCTATTTTTTGCCCAAAAAGCCCACCCTCCGTGAGCGAACAAAAATTTTTTTAATAGAACAATTTTTTATGAAAAAAAATTTGATATATAAGTGATAATTAGTATAATGAAATCTATAGCTAATTCTGTTTAATTTTAAAAAATTTGCGTTTTAATTCATAAATTTTATAAATTAAATTAATATTTGCTTTCCAATTTTTGTGAATTAGGATTTTTTTAAAATTTCGGAAACAAATTTTTTTATAAAATTTATATATACATTTTAAAAAAAAATTAACCCCCTCCGTGAGCGAACAAGATTTTTTTGTTTACTCACGGAGGGGGGAGTTAGCTTTATTCGCAAACTCCTTGATTTCCATCTATACTTTTACCAGAAATTCATTTATTTCTACAATAATGCATACTATAGACTTATTCTAATTTCTTATCATATTATTTTATTCTTTGTTTATTTAATGTTAACAATGATTTTGAATTTGCACATCTGATTTATAGCAAATGATATTTATTTAAACAGCATTTATGATGAAATATCAAATTAAAATAATTATAAATATTTGTCCAACTATTTGCTCTATTTTATACTCCAAATCTTTCATAAATTTCTTTTCTAACTGGAATCTGTGAAATATAAGCTTCCCATCCATTCCCAGCAATCTCTTTTATCTTAATGAAGACGTTTCTAACTACTTCTTCTAAGTCCGCAGGCATGCCTCTATAGCTTACAGAAGCAACAGCATAAAATTGGAAATTTTGGTTTAAAATTGAAGGATAAAGTATTAGCGTTTGTGTCATACCTTTAAAGCTCATTTCTTTATCTTTCGAGCTCCCCATCTCTTGCATTACCTCACACCAGAAATAAAAAATTTCACTTAATTTCTCTGCTAGGGCTTCTGGGTTTGCCAATCCAAATTTCCCTATCGCAGCCATCAAATTTTCTCTGACTTGTGGTAGTTTTATTCTTTTCTTTGCTATTGGAATTAATTTATCCAGAATTTTTGGGATTTCTGGTGATATAACTGCTGGATTATATATTGAAATTTCTCCCAAGGCCGATGCAGAATTATTTGTTGCAAAAGTAAAACTATTAGCTTCATCGTCATCAGGGCCTTGGACAATTTGCAAGGTATTTGTCAATTGTGTTATAGTTTGAGGAAGTAATGACAAAATATAAGAATTCGCTAATATAACTAGATCTCCTATATTAGCTCCAGCATATTGCTTAAGCTGTATATCATCATTATTTAAACAAATCACCGCAAGCTGTGCTAATGATGATAAATTTGGAAGAGTCTCAGAAATTTCAATTATTGCTCCAGATAGCTCTAATCCTTTCATAGCAAATTGTTTTTCATGGCCTGTTAGCCCAATTTGGATAAGCCTTTCGCATCTTTCTAATATAGCAGGCCCATACTGACTGAAGCAAGCCCCAAGCGCAAGAGCAAGAGATACTAAAGTTTCACATAGTGTCCAGATTAATTTGTGGTTATCTGGAGTTTTATTTCATAGGGCAAATAGTGGTCCTATTATAATGCTCATAAAATTTTCACTTCGAAGCTGCTCTCCAAAGACATCACAGATTGATGCAATTGCATCAAGCAAATTTAATAGAGCGCGGCCTGAGTAATATTCGAAGCCTTTAGCAAAAATATGTAGGATCTCTTCTAAATAGTTGCCAAGATCGTGAGTGTCGTGGCAGATTAAGATACAAAATGAAGTGCAGGCAGATCTTTGAACTAAGCCATCCTTATCCATAACTCCTCTCATAATGCTTTCCAAATAAGGCTTAAAATACTCTGTCCCTACAATATTTTCTGTGAACCTTGAAATTGCCCACAGCGCCATTGATCTCACCATTGGCTGTTCATGAGAAGTTTGCTTCTGTAAAAATGGCAGAAATGTTGGCAATGAGGGCAGAATTGCAGAAATCGCTCCTGAAGCTATAGCACCCAGTGCCAATAGTCCACTTTCAGTCTCAATCCAATTATTACTTAATAATAAACTTTGAATTTTTTCTTGTATCAGTCCAAAAGTTGCAGCCCCAAAACTTTCTGCTAACTTGTCAATCAAAAGCGCGCTTTCTCTTCTTAAAGTTCAGTTCATGTTTTCTTCTTCATATTTTTCAAATCGAAAGTCTTCTTTTTCAGGTAGCATGTCCATAAGATCTTGTTCTTGCACTTTCAAATTATCAATGACATTACTAAGCAATCTTAAGAGATAGGGGGATAGCAATTCTTTAGCAGTTGCTATTTCAGTCCAAAAGCTTGTAGCAGTTCTTGCATTTGAAGTACTTAACTCATACAACATGATGTCAGCACATTCTGGAAATCTGACCCAAACCAAATCCTTTCTATTTGAGCATATAGCTAAAATCCCTTCCGCTACAACTCCGCTCATAGCTTTATTTGAGTGAATTCTTATCAATAAATCCAAATAGACCTGCAGCATAGGAATCACAACACTTGGCATTATTTGAACCAGCTGATTCATACACTTCACTGCTTTTAAATGAGAATTTTCTATAAGAATCATCAACCTCTTAATCAGCTCTTTCAAAATTTCTGAATACTCTTGGCTATTCAGCAGCTCTGATAGCAAATTATAAGTAGAAATATCTTCAAATAATTGCAGCCCCATATCCTGTGCCCAAGAATTTTCAATTTTTTCAGTCAAAACAGCTAATAGCTGAGGCCACCCATCTTGTGTGATATAGAGTGTCGTAGCAATGTTACTTATGGCTTTAGCAATAGGAATATCATCCATTGCATTGAGAATTCCTTGCTGAAGAAAAGTTAGATGTTCCAAAGGAAAATCAATACCTTTTTCTAGCGTCGATTTCAAGGAGTGTCCAGCTGCAAGCCTTGTGTTCAATGGTAAGGAATTATTATTTAGGATGCAAATAAGAGCACAGGAGTACTCAGGGAATTGCGAGAGCTGGGTGACTTCGTTTGCTATTTCACTTTGACGAACATTAGAAATGCCTGAGAATGTTTCTGTGATGAGGTTTGTGACGCGCTGAACTAAGGATTGATCTGGCTGCCACATTTATTAGAAAATTAGAAGAAAATAGAAAATAATTGGGAATTTTGCAAATTAAGAATTTATCACCAAGCTTGATGCGAAATTTACCTTATAATAGTAGAACCTTTTGTCAGAGCACTCTAACAAGCATTTTCTATAAAAAGATTTGCATACCTTTGTAAGGTAAGTAAATAAAAAATATGAGCGAATCTACAGGGTATCTATACAGGTTCACAACTATCGCTGAAGCACTTGAGCAGACTCTTGATCAATTCTGTAGCACCAGAGAAATCGACTTAGACACCAAGCAAAGGTTTCTTGAGACTTTTCAAAGCGTTTTCCAAAATGTAATGGACAATAAAGCAACGAAATCCTGCATGATAACAGGACATTTAGATACTTATCAGCATCTAGATGGCATTTGGAATTTCTATATAAAAGATGCTACATTAAGATCAGAAACGGACTATATAAACTCAAACATGCTGAAAATCATTGCTCTAGATGCAACACCACAAAATGAAAAAGGTAAACCACGCAAAAGGCAAAAGATGGCTTAATAACTATTCCTAATTGCAGGCTCTTTCAAAATAAATTTTAAAAATCAATATTTTGCCACTTGCCTCATCCTATCTTTCCTATATTTGCTTATTTTCATTAATTTAGCACAGAAAGTCTTATTTTCCTAATAAATCTTATCTAAAACTTCTTTAAAAAATATTCTTCAATCCCATCTAAAGCAAACTTATAATTGACTAGGTCTAAGTTCTCTCTTTCAGCCGTCATAATTTTTCCGAAATCTTTTCCTGCAGGCCCAGCACCCATCATAGGCATAGCAAGGTTTTGGATTTTATCTTTCCCTGCTAAGACGTCTCCCATAATCAAGCTTAATATTCCATTCATGCCAAATAATGCTAAAAAGTACAATGATGATGAACTAACATAAGTCACATCCAATGCATCTAGCTCAACTCCTCTCTGTGTCATGCCTCTAAACTTCTGTGTTAGTGGAAATGGCACTCTCGCCAAAATAAACCCAGAACAAAAGCTCGAAACCCACGAAAACAAAAGCATCGTTGTAATCCCATAGGCTGCATTTTTCTTTATCATATCCAATTGGCTTGTAGGATCCATAAAATTCGCCATAGCTGTATTTTCAAACTCCTTATACAAAAATCCAGTCTGTGGCTTGCAAAAGAAACTTCTCCTTATCTTAAAAGCTGACTCTGGGACTATTGAATAATTTTGCCTTAGTTTTTGTGACCTCATGACAGCTTGTGTGACTACGACATCATCTTTTTCTGGGTCTTTTTTAGGATCCATCAGATGCGACAGCATAACCCTCAGCATGCCTGATAGCAAAACAACTACTATAATCGGAATCAGCACCCAGTCCCTGATGCTTGAGTCTAATAGTAATTCCATTAATTATAATAATATCAAGAGAATGATGCTGGTAAGCTCTATTTAGCAACCTCAGATTTTGCTTCTTCGTGAAGGCACTGATACCTCTCAAGGCCGTGGACAGATTTTGTCAAATATTGGAGCTTGTACAGCCATCGTGGAGTGCGTCAAGTCAACCTTAGGGCCAAGAGGGATGGATAAGCTTATTCATGTAGGTGATAAAGCGACGATTACAAATGATGGGGCGACTATCATTAATCTGCTTGATATTGTGCATCCAGCTGCGAAGTCACTGGCTGATATTGCGACTGCACAGGATAATGAGATTGGGGATGGGACTACTTCTGTGGTCGTGCTAGCTGGAGAGTTTCTGAAAGAAGCTAGAGAGCTGCTGGAAGATGGGATGCACCCTAGAGTGGTTATTAGAGGGTTTAGAGAAGCTTGCCAGAAAGCGGTGGGGAAGATCAGAGATATTGAGCACAAGGTAAATGCTGCAGATACCAAAGAATTCAGAGAATTATTGATAAACTGTGCCAAAACTGCTTTGAACTCCAAACTTGTCAGCTCTTACAAAGAATTCTTCGCTGAAATGGTTGTTGACGCCATATTAAAGCTTGATGCCGATTTAGACAAATCAATGATTGGAATTAAGCACGTCAAAGGTGGAAGTGTGACCAATTCCTTTTTGGTTGACGGTGTAGCATTCAAAAAGACTTTCTCCTATGCAGGATTTGAGCAGCAGCCAAAAAAGTTCGAAAACCCTAAAATAATTATGCTGAATTTAGAGCTGGAACTAAAAAGCGAAAAGGAAAACGCTGAAATCAGGATTGAAAACCCTGAACAATATCAGAGCATTGTTGACGCAGAATGGGAAATTATTTATCAAAAGCTAGATAAAATTGTCCAATCCGGCGCACAAGTTGTATTATCAAAATTACCAATTGGAGATTTAGCTACACAATATTTCGCTGACAGACAACTGTTCTGTGCTGGAAGAGTACCTATAGAAGATCTACAAAGAATTGCAAAGGCTTCTGGAGGACAAATTTTGACAACTGTTTCAAATGTTCCGGCTGAAGCTTTGGGGTCATGTGCAATTTTTGAAGAAGTCCAGCTGGGAGGGGAAAGATACAACATTTTCAGAGGTTGCCCAAGCTCACATTCGGCTACCATTGTATTAAGAGGAGGCTCTGAACAGTATATAGAAGAAGCTGAAAGATCCTTAAATGACTCAATAATGATCGTCAAAAGAGCCCTTAAAAATTCCAACGTTGTAGCTGGAGGTGGAGCTATTGAAATGGAGTTATCCAGATTTTTAAGAGATTACAGCAGATCTATCAGTGGAAAGCAACAGCTAGTCATTAATTTGTTTGCAAAAGCTTTAGAAGTGATCCCAAGGACACTTGCAGAAAATGCTGGATTTGACGCAATTGAAATTTTAAATAAACTCAGACAAAAGCATTCTGTAGGTGGAGTTGAAGGAAGATGGTTTGGGGTTGACATCAAGAATGGAGGAATTTGCAACACCTTTGATAATTTTATATGGGAGCCGTCACTTGTGAAAATCAATGCTATCTCAGCAGCTACTGAAGCAGCTTGTTTAGTTTTAAGCGTTGATGAAACTGTTAAAGCACCTAAAAATGAACAAGAGGTAACAGCAGCAGAAAAAGCTTTAGCAGCAAGAGGAAGAGGCAGAGGCAGAAGATTCTAAAAATAAATAGATTTAGTATAAAAGATAATTTGCTGGAAAAAATATTTTCAATTTATGAATTTAGTTTATAGTAAATGCAAATAAAATAATTTAAATTTTATGCTGATTAAAAATTTAGTCACTATAATGGTTAAAAAGATTGTTAAGGGTCCAGCAGGCTCATCCAGAATAAAAAGCCAGTGAAGAAAAGTATATGATGGCATTGCAAAGATGAGAGCTCAAGCAGAAGGCCAAAAAGACATTGAAGATTCCCCTATTATCATAGATACATCTATAGATCCTAAATTATTCCGATTCCACACCTTAATAGGGTTACTCTTAAGCTCCCAAACTAAAGACTCAACGACATCACAAACTGTTTCAAAGCTTCAAAGCCAAGGACTAACCCCAGAAAGAATGGCAGAATTATCCGTTGAAGAAATAGCTGACACAATTTATGGAGTAAGATTCCACAATAACAAAGCAAAGTATATTAAAAACACCTCAAAAATTTTACTAGAAAAATACGATGGAGATATTCCGAATGATTTTAAAAAAGTTATTGCTTTACCTGGAATAGGCCCAAAAATGGCTTATTTATTTTTACAAATTTGTTATGGGAAAATAGAAGGGATTCCTGTAGACACACACGTACATAGAGTTGCTAATAGACTTGGATGAGTTAAGTCTAAAAACGAGCAGGAGACTAGAAAGCAATTACAGGAATTTATGCCCCAAGAAATGTGAGCAGAAGCTGATGGGCTGCTGCTTGATCTTGGACAAAATATATGCACTGCAAAGAAACCTAAATGTGGGGAATGTGATATTAGTAAATTTTGCACCTACTACAAAGCAAATCATAAGAAATAATTATAATATGATTATTCATGTAAAACAGCAATCTCGAAAAGCTAATAGGATTAAGAAATGACTCTAGAATGATTAATATATGCATATATAGCTTGATTTTATTTATGCCCTCTTATCTTTAAATAGTCGTTTAAATTTTATGCAAAGCAAATATTGTATGTCTTGATTTTAATGAGACTTAACTGACTTTACGAAAATTTTAATTTAATTTTTTTGGTAAAAAATTAATTGCTGCTAATAATAAGGATAAATGAAGAGCTTAGGATGCACCGAAATTATCAATTGTTGCCTGACGAAAATAATTTGCAGTAGCGATGTCTCTCACATTCACTATACTATAACCACATCATTTCCAGCATCACCTCAATTTTCTTCATTTTCACTAACTATAAAACCTTCATGGTCATTTTTTCCTCTATCTGTTTCTGTGCCCAAAACCTCAAACTTCCCTGAAACAATTTGATTTAAGAAATTCCCATTTCCCTTTATAATGGTTAAGAAGATTGTTAAAGGCCCAACAGGCTCATCTAAAGTGAAAGAGCAGTGACGAAAAGTCTATGACGGTATTGCGAAAATGAGAGAAGGCATAGAGGCACCAGTAGATGTAGAAGGCGCATCAACTCTTGCAGATCAAACTTTAGAGCCTCGACTAGTGCGCTATCAAACCTTAATAGGACTACTTTTAAGCTCCCAAACAAAGGACCCAGTTACTGCAAAAACTATTGAAAAGCTCCAAAGTCGAGGACTTACCCCAGAAAGAATGGCAGAAATTTCCGTTGAAGATTTAGCTGAAGAAATCTATGGGGTAAGCTTTCACAATAACAAGGCAAAATATATTAAAAAAACCTCGCAAATTTTGCTAGAAAAATATAATGGGGATGTTCCTAATGATTTCAAAAAAGTTATTGCATTACCTGGAATAGGCCCGAAAATGGCCCATTTGTTTTTGCAAATTTGCTTTGACAGAACAGAAGGAATTGCAGTAGATACCCATGTGCATAGAATATCGAATAGACTGGGCTGGGCGAAATCGAAAAACCCTATAGAGACTATGAAACAACTGCAAGAGCTTTTACCAAAAAAACTATGAGGTGAAGTAAATGAGCTGCTGGTAGGGTTTGGACAAACAATTTGTACAGCAAAAAAGCCAAAATGTAATGAATGTGATATTGTAAAGCTTTGTCCTTATTACAAGTCAAAGCATAAAGACTAACTTAATATTGCCAAATTTTAAATTATGAATAGGTTAATTCTCTTTTCAAAACAGAATCATTAATTTTTAATTGGTCAAATTACTGAAAGAATCCTTACTCCCCCCCCCCCCTCCGTGAGCGAACAAAAAAAATTTTGTTCACTCACGGAGGGGGGTTAATTTTTTTTTTTTAAAAACAATTTATATATAAATTTTATAAAAAATATTTTTTTCGAAAAATTTAAAAAAAATCCTAATTTGCAAAAATTGGGAAGCAAATACTAATTTAATTTGCAAAATTTATGTTTTTAAAACGCAATTTGTTTTAAAAATTAAACAGAATTAGCTCTAGATTTCATTATACTAATTATCACTTATATAGCAAAATTTTTTTCTATTAAAATTTTTTCTATTAAAAATATTTTTGTTCACTCACGGAGGGTGGGTTTTTGGTCAAAAAATGGCGATTTTTTCTAATGGTTTTGTTCGCTCACGGAGGGGGGGGGGGGGGGAGTTAGTAAATACTTGCATTAAAAAATGCTTTTACTTTGGAATTATAAATAATGTGGAAACATACCAAAATAGAAGTTGCAAATTTAGATTCAGCAAAAAACCGAGTACTACGGAAAGAGTTTTTATTAAAAACAAGACACATCTCTTATCCTTCAAGTTCTTTCTTGACACCAGTTAAATTATCAGAAAAATTTCATATTGAGGACCTCTATAAACCTTTTCAAAAAGCGAAACCAAAATCACTAATAGTCTCAAAAAGTGGTTATATTAGCAAAAATTCAAGTTGCTTAAACTCAGTCCGTTCCAAAAATTCTGATGATTCTTTTTATATTCAGGCAAAAAATGCTTTTTTAAATGATAGATCATCTTCCTTCATCATGACTCCAAACCCTAATACAAATCATAATTCCAAGTTCTATTCTCCATCAGTCAGGCAAAAAACAGCTATTCCAAAACTGAACTCTCAAGACTCTCGGAAGTCACTTGTATTTTCGCCACAAAATAAATTGTTTAAAGTAGATGTAAAGTTGAGAAAACCAATTTTCTCGCAAGTGAACAAGCGGAGCTATGAAAAATACTTGGGAAATGAATTACCATATGAAAATAATAACTAATATATAAAAATGATATGGATTATTGTAGTAGGACTTATCTGGGGATTGACTAATACGTTTATGGAAAAAGGCACCAAAAAGAGTCTAAATCTTCCATATCTCCCTGAATTTTTTCAAACCTTTCTCCATCCAAGATTCTTTATCCCATTTATTCTTAATCAAGCTGGCTCAGTCCTTTATTCCTTGCAATTAGGCCAAACTCCTTTAAAGCTTGCAGTACCTATAGCAAACAGCACAGCCTTTCTTGTAACTATTTTACTTGATAAACGCAGCATGAGAACTTATTTTGGTGCTTCTTTAGTGATTTTAGGAATCAGCTTATGTCTAAATTCATAAATAAAAATTCTTACTTCCCCATTCTCTCCGTGAGTGAACAAAATTTTTGGCAAAAAATCCACACCTCATTAGTGAAAAAAATTCTTTAATATAAAATTTTTTATGAATAAATATTTTGATATATAATTGATAATAATTATAATATAAGGAAGTCTCTAGCTAATTCTTAAAGCTTGTATTTTTATAAACATAAATTTTACAAATTAAATTTTGAAAAAAATGTACTATAAAATTTATATCGTGCCTTGCCCCTTTTTGGGCACAAGCACATGGGTCATACTGATGACCAGTATCCTATCCCAGACTTGGGAAAATGCGGAACTGGTCATCAGTATGGCCCATGCACTTGCACACAAAAAGGGCCAAGGCACAATATATAAATTTTGAAAATATAAATTAATCCCTCCTACCATACATAGAAAAAATTGTTTTTGTTATCTCACAAAGGGAGGAGGGTGAGTTAATAAATAATGGGCTGTGGATGTTCTAAGTCAGCCAAAGCTATAGATCCCAAAAAGATAAAACTAAAAGACAAAGACAAAGGAACAGACAAAGGAGATTTACCTGAAAGTTTCGAAGAATATCAAGAAGAAATGTCAAAAATCTATATAGCCCGATCTCTAATTTGGATCATACTTGTCTGACGTCTTCCGAAGTTAATAGGAAGTTGTGATGTCACGAGCATTTCCGCTCCGAAAATTGAACAAATCGTCTGCCATTATGAGAAGCTCTTCTCACCCATAATATGTCATTGCCACTGCCTGACTCAACTCCTGCGCATGCTCTGCCTAAGGTTATACTCCTCGGATCTGCTGATTGGTAAACTTTGAGCCTCTGGTTGCACTGTGGAGCAGTTCCTTTGATTATCCCCAAACTTAAACCGTTGTTGATATGCAGAAATCTTAGGAGAAAATCAAACCCCATAAATAAAATCCCGTGAATTAGCAAATTTCAATTCCCTCAAGCCAAATGCCATTTTATTTATCCAAAAATCTATAACATCCCTGTAAATGAACTGAAATTAGTTGACGAAAACGGAAATCCAATTAACAGCGAAAACTACGATGAGTTCAAAAACTCTTCAACAGACAAGCCTTTTACATATGGTGGACATAATGATCAATATAAAAACAAAGAAAAACCGAAAGCTTTTGTATATGGGCCCAAAAAAGTTCAAACAAGATACATGAAAAATAAAGTAGCTGCAAGGAATAGGCCTGAATATTTGGAAAAGCCGCAGGAGTATTTGGTTGATATAGATGCAGGATATGTAGAAACTTATAATTTCAAGTCAAACTTGCAGTCAGTTTTTAACAATTCTTTAATTTCTGCTGGATCCAGAGCTGTTTACGTCCCTCCAAACTTCGCTATAATTTCTGGAGGCAAAGAAATTCCGAATAGTAGCTATTCGATTGATTTAATATCAGGAGAAATGAATAGGCTAGACAATATGTTTGAAGGCAGAGAATACCACGCTATGGCTTATTTAGGAGGAATTGTATATGTAACAGGGGGGAGCTCTTATCAGGACTTGGATTCTTGCGAAATGTATATTAGAAATAAGTGGGGAAATGGCCCAAAGATGAATAGAGCAAGAAGTTGGCATACTGCATGCCCACTTGGAGGATGTATTTATGTATGTGGAGGATTAAAAGAGAATAGTATAGAAAGATTAGAAAGAGATAAATGGGTACTATTAAACGTAAAAATCCCTTTCCCAATCAACAGAATAGGAATGGCCCCACTTAGTGGGGTCAGTCTGATTCTTGCAGGCGGGGAAAGGACAGGAATCAGCTACAATACAAGATGCTGAGAATTCATTATTGACAGTGACCAACTCGAAGAAATCACAGAACTGCCTGAATTTGTATGATTTTTCGGCCCAGGAACACATTTCAATAAAGAAGCAGTTCTTTATTGCATGGGGAAAGTGTATTATTATAACCCAGAACAGAGAGTTTGGAGGATTTTAGGATAAAATGTCATAAAACGCCACAGTTTATATTCTCTATATAAAAATAAAATGGACAGCTTCTATGTAAACCAGCTGGTCTGGGCCAAAGTTGATGGGTTTCCCTGGTGGCCTGGGATTGTAATTTCCACTGAGCTTGATTCAGTAACGGTTTATTTTATTGGCGAAAATTCTCATGCAACTTTGAAACCCTCCAAGGTATGCGCGTTTGAAGAAAAAGAGCCTACAGGTGAAGATCCATGGCTTCTACGTAGTATAAGGGCTGCTAAAAAGTTACAATCTCCAATTACAATAGACCAAATTAAGCAGGCTAACGAAAAACTCGAAAGAAAACAAAAAGTGATTATTATTCAGATAAAAAAACGACAGCGCAAAGAAGAAAGCAGTGAAGACAACTTAGAGTCAAAAATCGCTGAACTTCATAGAATTCTTGACAACAAAATCAAAGGACAAGACACAAGTTCAGCGAAAAGATCCACACAAAATGTGAATACTCTTTTGAAAACTCAAAAGCTGCTGACAGCATTTGCACATAGAAATTTGTCAAAAAATATAGGCCAGACGAAGCCTACTATGAAAAATCTAGTTAAATGTTTTAAGAAATTAGTTGATTTGAAAGTTTCACAAAAATTGTTTATGTCTTGCAAGATAATTAAACTTGTGAAACTGTTTAAGAATGAATTTGAAGACAGCCAAGAAGCAGAAATGAAGATTTTAGTAAGAATTGCTGATAAACTTATTAAAAGATGGGAAAAAATCGTTTTATTTTCAGCTGCTGATAATTAAGCTGAGAGTGATTTTTTATTAATTTTGAATTGCATTCAAAAATTTTAAGCTGGCTTTATGACGAATAATTATAGCAATAAGAATTATAATCTTTGCTTAAATAACTAAAATCAATAAATTAATGATTTATTTCCCAATATTCTTTTTAGCTTGATAGTAATCAGGTAGCAAAGTCTCAACTACACAATTATCAGCATTGGTATATAGTGGATAATCAAACGCTGCCATATAATTGTAAACGTAGTTATTATAAGAACTCTTGCCCCACCAATCTGACATGCACTTCATATTGAATCTTCTGTTTGTATTGCATTTATCAATAAAATCGCTCTGTATCCATATCTTTAAATACTTCGTTTTATCTGCTGCATAAGAATCCCCAGGGAAAATCGAGCAATAGCTAGCACCAGTTTTCCCATAAGTGCAGGTGCAAGTCCCTTGAAGCTGCCCATTATTAGGAAAATAACTATCAGGGACTGACAAGCAGTCAGAATTACTTGTGCAGGTCTTAGGAAAAGTTGTAGATTTTACTGATTTCATGCATTCATAAGCCCCATTATTTAGCATGCAAGACCCCGAATCGCAGAGAGCTCCTACATTAGTTTTAGAGCAAGCTCCAACTGGCATATGGTCGCCTATTGAATAATAAGACACGCAATAGCTATTTTGAAGAGATGTCCCTGTATTGCAGCCAGCATGATTTACACAGTCATAATCTGTTGAACACCCACTTCCTCCTACAGGAATCTGCTTCTGGCAAGTATTATTGACGCAGCGTAAACCAGGATCACAGTCATCGCTTGTTTTGCAGTATTCATTTAGGTATGCTCCAACACAGATCCCACCAATACAGCCATGCTTGGCATGAGAATTGCAATCAGAGCTATCTGCGCATTTTTCACCAGGCCACGCAAAAGATGTGATAGGAGGCTGGTCGCCAATACAGGTAGAGTTCTGTTGGCTGCTAAATAAACAGTAATTTAGAGCAATTGTTGAGCATTTTTTGATGTAATAAGCATTTTGAGTACTAGCGTAAAAGGAGCAGGTGTTGCTTGTAAAGGTTTGGTTAGAGAGTCTGCAAGCAAATGAGCCACAGTTTAAACTCGCATCATTTGTGGAGTTAAAATCTTGGCAAGAAACCGAAATAAAGCTGGAAAATAAATAGGAGAAATATAAGAAGAGCATTTTTATTATTCGACAAGCTATTCTATTAGGGATTAATTATTAGTCAATAATTGTATTTGGGTTAGCACTTTTCAAGACATCGTAATATTTTTCATAAAGTCTACCAAAGCTTAATCTATCATGATAATCCACAGTAAGCATATCTTTCAAAATAGGCTTCAGCCAATCAAAGCCTTCAATACCATCAATTTCATCATTAATTACTTCTTGCTCAGCACAGTTAAGTCCTTGAATATCTTCTGGATCTAATTTAAGCATTTCAAGTACAGTCAAGCCTAAAGAGAAAACGTCAGCTAATGTCCTTCTTTCTTTCAAAGCAGCGCTTAGTTCTTCTAACCTTTTATCTTTTTCTTTTTTTCTCCGTTTTCTGGAATCTTCCCAAGCTTTATAAATCTCTGGAGCCATATAAATTTCAGTTCCTACAATTCCTACTCGGGTTGAATGGGTGGTGTTTATTGATCGATTTGACACCAAGCTTGCATCGAAATCCCCTATAGGATTTGCCCTAGGATGGCGCTATATGGCGCCATCCTAGGGCAAGCGAAAATTGGCTCCACACGGGAACCGTATTCCACGTGTGGAGCCATTTTTCCACGTGTGGAATCCACATTTTTCCACGTGTGGAATCCACATTTTCCCACGTGGAAAAATGGCTCCACACGTGGAACACAATTCCCGTGTGGAGCCGTGTCTCCAATTGCCCGAGGATGGCGCAATATAGCGCCATCCTCGGGCAATTTCTATATCTTATATATATTTTCTCCATTACCATCGACTACAAAAATATTGCTGGGTTTTATATCTCTATGGATAATTTTCAAATCAATAAGTATTTTGAATGCGTTAAGCATATCAAGGAGAAACTTCATAACATTTGCTTCTGAATACCTTGCTCCTTTGCTCTTCATTCGTTTAATTTCATCTTTAAGTGACTCTTTGCAGCCTTCCATGACCAATGTAAACCTATGCTTTCCATTTCCCATGTCATAAAAAGCACCATAAATTTTCATAAAACTTGAAGACCCTGTAGAATAAGCTTTTGCCATAATATCAGCTTCCTGTTTATACCTTGTAAGTTTAAAATCGTTTGGACCTAGATGGCATTTAACCACCACCTCTTCTACTTTTCCATTTGGCTTGTAATATCTTACTCTGGAGACATAAAAATCAACGTCTTCTGATTTGATTGTTAGAGGAATTATCCTGTCGATAGTTTCTCTTAATCCCCCCTTAATATTGGAACAAAAAATAGGTAAAATTCCCATTTTTGGGTATTTTAATCCTATAAATTATAGTTTAAAATTTTAATTTTTATGAAATTAATTTTGTCCTAATTTATTGCAAGAAGTGTAGCTAGAATATTATTCAATTTCTTTTCACATGAATTAATTAAATTATTTAAGTAATTCTTCATAAAAACAAAATAAAATTCAAAAATATTGGTTCAATTTTTAAATTGAAACAGAATTTTTGTTCCAGATTATAGGGGAGTTGTTAAGGGTTCCCAACTTTTAATTTCGAGATTGTTCATGTCAAAAGGCTCAATTTCTTCAAAAGTTGTGGCGAATTCATTGCTTAATCTATCAGTGGAACTATCAGCAAAACTCTTCTTTTCTTCTTCTTGCTGATTCCTATTTATTTGAGGGATTAATGGCGAAGACTAACTCCCTCATTTAAATTAAAAACAAAAACCTTGCCTATTTTAAAGTGCTGCTAATTGTTTCAAAAAATAATTCATAATAAAAAAAATTTAAAATAATTAAAACAATAAATTAAACAAATATTTTTGAAATTTGATTTATTCTTATCATTATTTAATTTAAAATATAACTGATTTAGCTTGCCAACTATTTAATTAGTATTTTAATTTACTCACCAAATGATTATGCTAGAATTACTTTTAAAATTTAGGATTTTTGCCTATAAACTTCAATTAAAAAATAAATTTTGTTTCAATTAAAAGTGGGATATTACTCAAAAATAAAAATTTTGCCTATATTTCTTCAAATTTATAGGTGGGAGTGAGATAATTCTTCGGCTGATTGGCCTCTCTCTATTTGGGGTATAGATGGAGAAGGCTGATGCATTTGACGGGCTGATTGGGATCGATCTATTTGAGGGATTTCTATTAAAGCTGGAAAATATGTTTTGTATTTATCAATTCTTGATTTGAGCTCTGGGATGCAATCACTATAAATATCAAAAACTTTGCGAATTGATGACCTAAACCTAGCTTCATCGAAATCGTATTTTTTATAAGGCTCCAGCATCTCCTCTTTATTTGCCAAAGAACTTGAATTTTTTATAAGTTCTAGATGCTCTTTATTTCTGAGTTCGCCATTGAGCAAAGTGGCGAGCAAAATCGGCTGCTCTTCAATATGTAAACAATTATTTATCTCTTCATAGTCTTTAATCATATCAGCAATATCAAAGAAATTTGAGGATGACGAATCTATGTCGCATATATTAGTGACTATATAATTTTCTAAGCTCTTACTCCCCCCCCCCCTCCGTGAGCGAACAAAAAAATTTTGTTCGCTTACGGAGGGGGGTTAATTTTTTTTTTTTAAAAAAAATTTATATATAAATTTTATAAAAAATATTTTTTTCGAAATTTAAAAAAATCCTAATTTGCAAAAATTGGAAGCAAATATTAATTTAATTTGCAAAATTTATGTTTTAAAACGCAATTTGTTTAAAATTAAACAGAATTAGCTCTAGATTTCATTATACTAATTATCACTTATATATCAAAATTTTTTTCCATTAAAATTTTTTCTATTAAAAAAAAATTTTTGTTCACTCACGGAGGGTGGGTTTTTGGTCAAAAAATGGCGATTTTTCTAATGGTTTTGTTCGCTCACGGAGGGGGGGGGGGGGGGGGGGAGTTAGTATCGAACTTCAAATTTCTCATTTCTTCAATAACTGAGATCCACTTTTTAACAGCCTTAAAAATTTCAGAATAATTTATGCCTCAAAGTTTGTTTGCATACTCAAGGCTTCTAATTAATTAAGATTTGGATAAATTAATAAGCTAAAATTAATGATCGGTTGACAAATTTCATATTTTAGTTAATATATTTAAGGATATTTTTGCATTATTGATTATGCTTTCAACTTCAGGCCCTTTATTTTCTTCATAGTTTTCTATAACCAGACTGCTATAATCCAAGTCAAATTTCTTCTCCACCAACCTGGCTAAATCTTCGACATAGAAAGCCAGGTCAGGATTTTTAGATTTACAGATCTTTATTAACTCAAGGACGCTAAGCACTTGATGGGCATCTAAAGGCTCCAAACGTTTAAAAAGCAAAAAGAAAAAATATTGTTTTGCGCTTTCATTAGCTTTTGCTTCTTCTTGGAGATCTCTAAAAGGCTTTCGGATGCTCTCATCAAGAATACTTACTCTCCCCACTCCATGATCGAACAAAAATTTGTATGAAAAACAAAATTTGATAAGTAAGTAAGTGATAATTAGTATAATGACATCTCTAACATTCTGTTTAATTGCATTTTAAAGCACAAATTAAATTAATATTTGATTTCCAAGTTTTGTAAATTGGATTTTTTTAAATTTCGATGTTGTAAAGTTTATATATAATATATTTTTTTCAAAATAAAAATTAGCCCCTCCGTGCATGGAGGGGGATTGGAAGATGCGGATCGAGAAATGGATAAAGCAGCTCTGTGGACATTTATTATTCTAATTCTACATAATTTTTGCTATTTAAGAGACTCTTTAATATAAAACTGATTGATTTAATTTTTATAAATTGTGATTAATTACTCCGAGCTTAAAATCCTAAATATTCCGAGAAATTTTCAAAGTTCACTACTTCTTCTCTATATTTATCATAGAGCTCAAAAAATGCTAAAGTGTCTTGTTTATTTGCTACTATTCCCATTTTCTTCAGAGCAATATCGAAATCGCCTAGAGATATTTGACCATCTTCGTCACAATCAAAAAATCTTAAAACACTTTTTATATCAAAATCTGGGTTATTTTGCAATTCACTTTTAGCTTCTTCTATTTTTCTTTCATTTTCTATTAAAACCTCAAAAAAATTTTTAATTGTCCCCAATGTGAAATTACTAAATTCGCTGTCTTCATTTTGTCTTGATAAAAGAATTTCTGCATATTCAAGATCTTTTGGAGCGAAAATTAGCTTAAATTTATCCAAATCAATAGTATTATCAGCTCTTCCATAAGTTTTGAATATAAAGGAAAGATTCACTCCAGTTAATTGAATTGCATTTAAAAATCTTTCTAAATCTAGAAGTTTTATGACTCCATTATCTGCTCTGTCTATTAGTTTAAAAAGGCTAGGAACAGAAAAATCGTCTAGAACTGACAAATTCTGCTTGAGAAATTCTAGTTTTCTGATCGCAAATAGTTGGATTTTCATCAAATTATCAATTGAGCATGATTCGTCTGAGACTTGAGGAGGAGCTTGAGGTGAGCTTTTAAGATCAGATTTTCTCATCTCTGGGCTACTTTTTTTAGGGGTCTCAAATTTAAACTCTTCTTTTTTTGGCGTTTCTATTTTACTCTTTTCTTCTTCTTTTTCTTCTTGTCTTGGCCTGTCTTCAGATTTACTTTCGCTGTCTTTACTGCTAGCAATTTCTTGCTTTGTTTGATTTAAAGGTAGCATAAAATCTATCCCAATTATATAAGAATAGAATTTTTCTATATTTTTATCTCTTTAAAGTGATTTTATTAGCAAAATTTATATAAAATAAGTATAAAAATTCGTTATAAGTGATAACTGCATCTTCTTCAGTGTCAATTCTCCTCAAAATGTCATCAAGATCTTGCTCTAAAAGTAAATTTCCAAATTCTCTAGAAAATTCGATAAAATCATTTTCTGAGATATAGCCTTTACCTCGCTTATCTAGAGCATTGAATGCTTTAACAGTTGTATATCCCGGCAGTGTTGATAATTTTCCTTTGATTTTTTCAAGATCTTTTTGAAAAGATAGCTCACTTTCCAAGAGCTTTGATAGAGAATATTCAACGGTTGGGGTAAGACGCCACCTATGAGGTAAGCAGCGAGCACTAGCTATAGAACGGAGTCCTGGATTTGTGGAAGGCATGCCAAATTACAATAAATTAAAGCATTCATACTGACAATCCGTCATCTCTTTTATGATTAAGATTACTATTAGATATGTTTTTATTTATTATAATTAGGTACAAAACTAATTGAAAGAAATCTTCAATAGTTAATCGGCCGTTTAGCTCAGAACTGTATTGCTTTATTAAGAGATATAAATCAGTATCTGAGGATTTAATGCCTCGAAGTGAGAGGAATTCTGAAATATCTTTCGGGATGAGGCACCCAGTATGAACCGTGCAAAGAGTATGGAAAGCTTGATATGGATCAAATTCAGGGTTTTCACAAAGAACTATTCGCAAAATTTCTATATTGTGCTCGCCTTGTCGGAGCTTTGTTATTAAGTCATAGAGAAGATTTTTTGATTCGGAATCCAGCATTTGCTCTTAGTTCTAACTTCCTAAATTTTAAATTAGAGCAAAATATTGGTGAAATTTCCATTTCTCAAGTGAATTTTTCCTCTTTAAACTTGAACAAAAAAATTTTTTTTATAGGTAAAACTAATAATGCAATTGTAAATAGTGTGTTATCTAATTTAATGTCGCAAAAAATCTAAACTATATTAATTTAAATTGGGAAGTGTAAGTAGAATACTATTTAAACGAGGCTATATATTTAATGATAAAATTAAATTAAAAAAAAAATTAAACTACTTTAAATTATAGCATATTTTCGGTTCTAACCTAAAGAGTGGGTAAGCAAAAATTATTAGTTGATAATTTGAAAAACAAATAAAATGATAAAAATTGAAGATGGAGGAATGATGGAAAAAGTATGTCAACCTTATTCCTTCTGCTGGGATTTTTTACCCTGAAGAGAACTGATGTAATCTATCATCATCTCAAGGCTATAGAATCCAAACTTATAGATTTAGCCACAGTCATCCTAAAGGTATAGTCTTTATGTTTCATGGTCTAAGAAGCAATGCTGACTACCCCCTAGCCAACGACAAGAATTTTTGCTTGCTAATGATGATTAATTTTTTTTCAGAAAATTATCCAAAAATATAAAAAAATACTTTTATTTAGAATCGATTATATTTAAATTGAAAATTTAATTTATTTATAAAATTTATGTTAGAAAATAGCTATCTAAAATGTAATATAATTTGCTTGAGATATCTTTATTATGATCATTTATTACCATTAAAATATATTTGCTAAATATAGGATTCTTCTAATGATTTTGCTCGTTAATTAAGTGATGGAGTGAGTATTTAAGCTACATTTCCAAATTCCTCTATGAAAATGGCTATACAGTGCTAGCTATGGATCAACAAGGCCATGGAAAAAGTGAAGGACCTAGGAGCCTAATAGCGAGCGTAAATTATCTTATAGATGACTCATTAAAATATATAGAGAAAGGTTTAGAGTTGTATGATAGAAATTTACCTGTTTTTTTATTAGGAGAAAGCTTAGGAGGTTGCATTTCACTTCAGTTATCTCTTCGTTGCCCAGAAGCTTTTAGAGGGCTGATTCTGCTAGCACCTGCTGTAGGGGTTTCACAATATGGAGAAGGAATCGCTAAAAAATTCACAAGATTTGTATCATGAATGAAGCCAAACATGAGACTTATTAGTAGGTCTCAGTCAAAAGCCTCGAAGAATCCCTCTTTTCCTGACTGGCATAGAGATAATCCATTGATTGATAAAACTGGGCTCCCAATTATTAGCGCTAACGCACTTCTGCAAGGCCTAGAAGATTTACAAAAGCAAGTAAAAAATATAATAGTACCGTTTCTGACTATACAGGGAGGAAAGGACTATATTATAAGCGCTAAAGTAACACAATGATTTGTAAAACAAGCAAAATCAGCTGATAAAAATATGATATTTTATGATAACTTGTATCATTCAATTGGTGCGGAGCCAGAAATTGATGAAATTCTCCAGCAAATCCTTAATTGGATGAGCGCAAGAATTTAATTCCTATTAAATTTTCTATCATCTACAATAATTGCTATTAATAGTTAAAACTAGTTTTTAATTTTTTATAAAATCATTCTTGATTTTTCCTAAATATTCTTTTTCTATTAGATTTCTATTAACCCTCAAAGGCTTTTTAAAAGCAGAATTGAAATTGCGGCCATTATGTTTAGACGTATTTTCAGAAATATAATGGAAGCCAATCCCAAATCGGTGATCATTGACATCATTGGTCTATCAGCTCAAAAAGCAGAAGAAACACTTAGAAATCAAGCTTTAACAGCCAAACTCCTGAGCGTTGCAAACTCTGCTAAATCGTTTCCTCAGTTCAGTCCTTCAACAAGCTCTGGTAAGCTTCTATACTCAATTGCAACTTCAGTTCCAGAATCAATTGATACCTTCAAGCCTTTTCTAATCGAGCAGGTCGCTATAAACAACATAAAATCAGCACCTCAATTAGAAGCAGCTATTGAGTATCTCAAAAAGAATAAGAAAGTTGAGCAAGAAGAATTTCTGAGATTTTGTGGGGTAGGCGTTGAAGTTACCACAGAACAAATCCAAGCCACAGTCAACGAAATCTTGGATAATGATGCAGAAACTATCAGAAAGCTTGGATGGGAAAATAAAGGCTTAGTCGGCAATCTCATAGGAAAAGTCAAACAAGTCCACAAGTGGGGAAACCCAAACACCATCAAGGAACTTGTAGAAGCCAAGCTTTTGACTATTTTAGGCCCTAAGGTAGAAGGAGAAGCCCAAAAAGCAAAAAAAAAGGAAAAAGTCACACTGGTGGAAGAGACCAAGAAGGAAAAGCTGAGCACTTGCATTGGGAGAGAACTTAAAAGTGCAGTAAACACCGAAGAGCAGATGAAAAAGCACTTAGCCTTTACTGGTGGAAAAGTGATGACTAGGTTCCCACCAGAGCCAAACGGATATTTGCATATTGGCCATGCTAAAGCTATGAGATTCAGCTTTACAATGGCTGCTGAAAATGGCGGTCATTGCTACTTAAGATTTGATGATACTAATCCTGAAAAGGAGACTGGAGAGTTCATAGAAAACATCAAGAGAAATGTCGCTTGGCTCGGCTACACACCATGGAAAATCACCCACGCCAGTGAGTATTTCCCTGAAATGTACGAATTGGCATTGGAACTAATAAGAAGAGACAAAGCTTATGTTGATGAACAACCATGGGCTTTAATTAAGGAGCAGAGATTTAATCAAATTGACAGCCCTTATCGTAATACCTCGCCTGAAGTAAATCTAGAGAAATTCGATAAAATGAAAAGAGGCTACTATGCTGAAGGAGAAGCATGCTTGAGAATGAAAATTGATATGAAGCACCCTAACCCATGCATGAGAGACCCAGTGGCCTATAGAATTAAATATTTACCACATCCACATGTAGGGGATAAGTGGTGTGTTTATCCAACTTATGATATGGAACATTGCATTGTAGACTCTATTGAAAATATCACCCACAGTCTTTGCCGTGTCCTCACACGACGACTATTTCATAACGACTATTTTTTTTGGCCTATTTTTTTTTGGCTATTTTTTTTGGCCTATTTTTTTTTGGCCTATTTTTTTTTGGCCTATTTTTTTGGACTTTTTTTTGGCCATTTTTTAGCTATTTTTTTACTAACCTCCCCCCCCCCTCCGTGAGCGAACAAAAAAATTTTGTTCGCTCACGGAGGGGGGTTAATTTTTTTTTTTAAAAAAAATTTATATATAAATTTTATAAAAAATATTTTTTTTCGAAATTTAAAAAAATCCTAATTTGCAAAAATTGGGAAGCAAATATTAATTTAATTTGCAAAATTTATGTTTTAAAACGCAATTTTGTTTAAAATTAAACAGAATTAGCTCTAGATTTCATTATACTAATTATCACTTATATATCAAAATTTTTTTTCCATTAAAATTTTTTCTATTAAAAAAATTTTTGTTCACTCACGGAGGGTGGGTTTTTGGTCAAAAAATGGGCGATTTTTCTAATGGTTTTGTTCGCTCACGGAGGGGGGGGGGGGAGTAATATTTGGGCCTAATTCCATCTTAATGATTTTAATATAAATTTTTAATGTATTTTAAACGATTTTATCATCAAAAAATGCACCTTTAACAAATTTACTCAATATTAATCACGTAAGGAAATATATTCGTTACTCAATAATTATTTAGTTCTCTCAGTAGCTTCAAGAATGAACTCGACAGAAAAAATAGGACAGAAAAATTAAAATAGGCCAAAAAAAATAGTCGTTATGAAATAATCGCCATGTGAAAGTAACCAGTCTTTGCACCTTAGAATTTGAAATCAGACGTGATTCTTACTATTGGCTTGTTGAAGCTCTAGATCTCTATAAAGCCTCAGTTTGGGAGTACTCAAGACTCAATATCACCCATGTCATGATGTCAAAACGAAAACTTCAAGCTTTAGTTGAAGGCAAACTTGTTAAGGGCTGGGATGATCCTCGTCTACCAACCTTAAATGGCTTGAAGAGAAGAGGCTACACATCAGAAGCCATCAATGAATTTGTCGATCTTGTAGGCGTCACCCGCAGAGGCAACGAAAACATCATTTCTATCAAACTTCTTGAGCACTGTATCAGAAAGGACTTAAATGAAAGAGCTCCTAGAACTTTAGCTGTCATTGAACCTTTATCAGTCACTATTGCTGGCTTAACCTCGCCACAAACTATTAGTGTCCCACGCTTTCCACAAAACCCTGAAAAAGGTTCATATACAGTTACAATCACTTCTAACATTTTCATCGAAAGATCAGATTTCCACGAAGCTGATGACCCTTCTTTCTTTGGCCTCGCTCCTGGAAAAATTGTTGGACTTAAATATCTTCCATTCAAAATCCGCTGTGTTCGCTTCGAAAAAGATAACCGCACCGGCGTTGTTAGTCGCTTAGACTGTGAAGTAGTAAACGACGAGACAAAGCCTAAAGGTGTCTTACATTGGATTTCTTATGAAGACTCTGTCCCATGTGAAGTAAGATTATACGACTACTTGTTTTTATCAGAAAACCCAGCTGCTATTGAAGACTGGAAATCTGACCTAAACCCTAATTCATTACAGTCTATAGAGGGAGCCCTTATTAATAAGGATTTATTAGACGCCCAACATGAAGATAAATTCCAGTTCGAAAGAGTCGGGTATTTCTCAGTTGATTATGACTCTACCAATGAAAAGAAAGTGTTTAATAGAGTAGTCACTTTATTAGAAGGCAAGAAAAAACCTAAAGCATAATAAACACTTTTAATTAGAAATAAATTAATTATACGGAGTATGCGGTTATGCATAAGGAAAGCGTCAAAATCAGTAGGTATATAAGAAAGGTATAGTATGGGAGATAGGGGAGCTCTATAATAGTGAGAGAAATTATCAGAAGTAAAATGATAAATGTTGAGACGCATTCAAAACAAAGCTCTTTGAGGCGCTTATATGTGTATAAACTTGTAATAAATACTATAAAAGTTCATAGAGAGATTGGGTAATAGCTGTATCCTCCGATTTGAAATAAGCAGAGAAGGATCCCTATAGAGTGCATGGCTATTCCAAATATGCATTGAGGCATTGAGTGACCTATAGTTATTTTGTCCAGCACACAGAAGAACTTTCGTTTGTCAGACCTCATATAAGGTTTGTGCAGAATAAAAATTCCTAGAAAATTCAGTATCAAAATCAATAAATTCCCTATCATTTTTATAAGTAATGACTAGCACTGCAAAGCCTCAGCCTGCTTCAGCGCCACCTCAGTTCTTTGTTGACAATAAAAAAGGCGAAGTAAATGAGCTTCGAACCCTTCTTAAAGGCATAATGAATCAGCGCGATGTGAAAAAGCGCCGTGAAGCAATCAAAAAGGTTATTGCATATATGACATTAGGTATAGACGTATCTAAACTGTTTACAGATATGGTACTCATATCATCTACTAATGATATAGTGCAGAAAAAGATGATTTATCTTTATTTAGTAACTTATGTTGAAGCAAATCAAGATCAAGCTTTGATGGCGATAAATACTTTTTCGAAGGATTGCCGAAGAACAAATCCTGATGCGAAAATAAGAGGCCTAGCTCTAAGAAGCTTGTGCTCTTTAAGATTTCCAGGAGCTATGGAATATATTCAAGGAGCTATCACAGAAGGCTTAGGAGATCCAGACCCCTATGTGAGGAAAATCGCTATTATAGGGCTCATCAAACTGCACAGATCTTCGAAAGAGCAAGGAATTGGAGACTCTTTTATCAATACTCTGTATGAACTTATAAGAGACACAGACCCTATAGTCTCTTCTAACGCAATAATCGCTTTAAATGAAATACTAGAAAATGAAGGAGGTATTGCAATCAACAGAAAAATGGTCGTTTACTTGCTTAATAGGATTCATCAATATAATGAATTTGGCCAAAGCACTATTTTTGATATAATTGCACGATATTCTCCACAAGATGACGAAGAAATGCTGGACATTTTAAATATTTTAGAAGACAGATTAAGGCATGCATCAAGCAGTGTAGTGCTAGGGTGCATCAAGGTTTTTATGAATATGACCAAAGACAACCCGGTGCTGTTGAAACAAGTATTTTCAAGAGTCCAAGCTCCACTTATTACACTTTTTGTAGGTGGAGAAGTATCAGAAGCTTATGAGTTGTCATATTGTGTATTGGCGCATATAAGCTTGATAATTTCAAGAGGAGCTGCTGAGGTGTTTGAAAATGACTATAAAAATTTCTTTTGCAAATATGACGAGCCTACATATATCAAGTTTTTGAAAATCGATATACTTATGATGATTGCAACAGAAAACAATTTAAATGATATTGTAAATGAATTATGTGCCTATGTCACTGATGTCAATATAGAAATGAGCAAGCAGTCTATCAGATCAATTGCTTTGATTGCAATGAGAATTCAATCTTCAAGCACCGCAGTAATCAGACAGCTTGTCGGTTTTCTAAGCTGTGGGATAGACTACGTTATTACAGAAACTCTAGTAGCCATGAAAGACTTATTAAGAAAGTATCGAAGTTTAAGCGAAGAAATTGTGCCTCAGCTTACTAGCACTCTAGATGTAGTCAGCAACGATGAAGGAAAAGACACTCTCATATGAATAATTGGAGAATTTGGTAATCAAATAGACCAGGCTCCTTACATATTAGAAGGAATTATTGATAATTTTAACCCCAGTGAAAATCTGACTATAACCTATGCATTATTAACAGCTAGCGTTAAGCTCTTTTTAAAGCGCGCTCCAGAGATGCAAAATACGCTATCAACGTTATTTAAACTGCTATTTACTGACTGTGATAATCCTGATATTCATGATAGGGCAGGATTTTATTACAAGCTTCTTCAAAATAGCCCAGATATAGCAGATCAAATAATAAATTGCGATAAGCATCCCATACATATGTTTTTTGAGGATGATAAGACACAAGCTACAGAGGTTCTTTGTCAGGAATTCAATCAGCTGAGTGTCATTTATCAAAAGCCTGCAAAAGCGTTACCAAAGCAAAAAGCTCAGCAGGAAGTTGGAGAAGTTGAAGCAGTAAACCCTTCAAAGATTCAAAGAGAGCCAGAGCCAACAACAGATTTATTATCACTGGACTTACTAGATCAAGATTTAGTTTCACCCCCAGCTTATTTGATTCTTCATCCAGACCCGTCAATGGATTCCATTGAATTTCAAAACCTTTGGGCGAATATTTCAGACGAAAGTCGGTTTGGCGAAAGGCTAGCAAGAGCTATTGGCTTTGAAGACGTAGAAAATCTGTTCGCCCAATTAAAAATAGTCTGTATTGCTGGTGGGAGTGAAAATGACCACTTAAAATATTATTTCTATGCTAGAGACCAAAACAGTGGAAGCCCATTTTTGATAGAACTGAATATCTTTATGAGAACTGGGGAGGTCCAAATGACTATAAAAGCTCAAAATCCAAGATGGATGCAAGATTTTGTAGGAATTGTCTATCAAGCCCTAGCACCAATAATTAATAGAAGCTAAAATAACAGAAAAATTGTTTAAACTACTATAGCAGTTATTATGCAAATAAGTAATTATTGTTTTGAGCATGTTAAAAGTATCGCTTTATCACACTCAATCAGCAAGTCATTCTCTATTGCTCCATTTCTTACACTGATAAGCCCTCCAAACTCTGACTCTATATTCGAAAGATTCCACTTAAACCCTTCTGTTGACAATTTTGTATTCCCTTGTACAGGAAACAGCCCAAAATGTCTAAAATTTTCTCCTTTTATCAGACTTACCTTATTTAGCCCTTTTCTTATTGGGAGAGCCAAATTTTCTTTATTATAAATGAACAAATTTTTATTTGCAAATTTTTCTTCAAAAATGATGCTCAGCATATAGAAAGACTGATCCATTCTACCAGCCAGGTCGCCAAGGATTATTACAGGTCTTTCATCAGAGGCAAAACATAAGCTTTTTTCGCAGTCTGTTGTGCATTGGTCAGGATCGCAGATCTGTTGGACTCCAGAGAAAAATTGTTTTGTTTCCTGGGTAATATGGTTCATGTCTCCTACTATTTTTGTTGGTAGCTTATTAGATGATTTGGCAATATTTATAAAATGATGATATCCAACCAGTCCTCTCGTGGATGGTTACATATAAATATCCAGGCATGGTATAGAAATTGCCCCACACGGGAATTGAACCCACTTGTGAGGCCATTTTTGGTACGTGGAAGTCAATATTCTCCACATACCAAAAATGGCCCCACACGTGGGTTCAATTACCGCGTGGGGCCCTTTTTTTGAATTGCCCGAGGATGGCGCAAAATAACACCATCCTCGGGCAATTTCTATATTTGGAGCCGAGAGTTGATCTGAGGCGAAGGTCTTAAGCACAGAGCTGCAGTTTTTTGCCTAATAAATGGGAAGTTACTCATGACTTCTTTTTGCGGCAGCACCCAAGCTAGTGGGTGCTAGAAATGGAGCAGGGTGAATTGCTTGCTCAAGCTGCTATTGCGGATTGTTACAAATCGCGGAAGTGGTTAGTATTTTTAAACGGATGACTTGAAAAAAGAGGATGCAAATTAGGTAACTTTGAGGCGGTCCCTTTAGCAAAAGGTCCCTTAGGTTGGCGAGCTTGCCAGAAGTACCAGGTAGAATTGGTGTAATAGGGGCGAAGGGACTGAGTTGGCACTGGTGGTGTTCAACTATTGTCTTCGGACATAATAGGGCAGCCACTATCGACAAGCCAGGGTTTCGGCCTGGGCTCAGAATTACCAGAGGTCAGCCCAATTCATTTTGGACCACACACAGCTTCTAACGAAGCTGTGAAAAATGCACCCGCTGAAGCATGGACATTAAATATGAAGCGTAATCTAATCTAATTAGCTGCTTTGGCAGCTAGAAAATCTTTTAAAGAATTTGAAGCGGCATCTGTAACAATAATATTTTTCGCACGGGGATGTAAGTTTAAGTAAAGATCTTCTAAGCCACAAATATCAAGGACGACAAGGTCTATCTCTTCGTCATTATAAATTCATGACAAGTTTATTGATTTCAGCATTATAAAATTCCATTTTTTCTGATCATATTCTATGCTGGAAATTTAACACCAAGAGCAATGGTTTTACTAATGGATTAAGGATATCTAGAGTAAATATTAACTTTATAGGGTTTTCTGGTTATTTTAATTTAAACTTGTTTATGTAAGCAGTTTATTCAATTTTGAAATAATTTTTTGGATATATGCTAATATAAGCTATATTAATTATCATGAAAACCCAATATAAATTAATAAAAATACATACTTCACCTTCCCAAAACTTTTCTTCTGCCGATCTCTCAATCTCTTCTTCTCACATTCTCATAAACATACATAAATATGGCACAGAGTGGATGGGAAGAGACGCCTGCTCAACAGGAAGCAACTATAGAAGCTCAACCAGCAGAAGCTAACTCCCCTCTCTGCTAGAGAACAAAAATATTTTGTTGCCTTTTTTTAATATAAATGAATTTTTTTTCTTTAATCTAAAAAAATCCCAATTCGAGATAATTTAAATCAAATATTAATTTAACTTGTAAAATTTATTTTTTAACATGCAAGCCGACTAAAATAAAAAAGAATTAGCTAGAGATTTCATTATAATAATTATCACTTAATATTTTTTCATCAAAATTTTTTGTTCCCTTAGGAGGGTGGGTTTTTGGGCAAAAATAGAGATTTTACCAATGGTTTTGTTCGCTCACGGAGCGGGGAGTAAGGAATTCGAGGAAGAAGTTAAGCTCTTTGGAAAGTGGACTTATTCTGATCTCGAGGTCCGTGACACCTCTCTTACCGATTACATCAGCATTTTCAACTCCAGAGCCAAAACATTCGTCCCACACACTGCAGGCAGATGGCAAAAGAAAAGGTTCCGCAAGGCTGCTTGTCCAATCATTGAAAGACTTGTAAATTCTTTGATGATGCACGGCAGAAACACAGGTAAAAAGCTCATGGCTGTTAGGATTGTGAAGCATACTTTAGAAATTATTCACTTGCTCACAGGCGAAAATCCAATCCAAGTTGTCATCAATGCAGTCAGCAACGCTGGACCAAGAGAAGACTCGACAAGAATCGGAACTGGCGGTGTCGCAAGACGTCAAGCAGTCGATGTGTCCCCTCTCAGAAGAGTCAACACAGGAATTTACTTAATCTGTGCAGGCGCAAGAGCTTCAGCCTTCAGAAACGTCAAGACTATTGCAGAATGCTTAGCTGATGAGATAATGAACGCCGCCAAAGGATCAGCAAACAGCTATGCCATCAAGAAGAAGGACGAAATTGAAAGAATTGCTAATTCCCCCTCTTGAGCAAACAAAAAAAAATTGTTCACTTTAGGAAGGAGTTAATATGTTTTAAAAAAAAATTATTGTAAATATTTCTAAACTTAAAAAAACAAAAATTTAAAATTACAAATTATTTTAATTTTTAAAGTTTATGTTTTAAATGCGAGTTTAATAATTCCAATATAGTTAGCTAGAGAAGCCATATACTATTATCACTTATATTTAAAAACAATGTTTTATTAAAAAATTTTTTTGTCACAGAGAGCTTGTACCCAAAAATAGGGGATTTTTCCAATGGTCTTATTCCCTCACAGAGGGTTAAGGGCAATCGTTAACTTAATCAGCTTAAGTTTTTACTCTGGATTATTAAATATGGATATAAATTTACCACCCGTAAAGCCAATTGTGTCATCTAGAAATAAAATTGACTCTTCGAGGAACACGCACTCTACAGAAAGCTTGTATGGAGTTTATACACGAAATCATTTGCAAAACCAAAAAAATTCCCTTTATGCTAAAGGGAATATTCTAGTAGAAAGTAAACCCAAGCTAAAAATCCCTAGCTCCTACAAATCTTCACGACAAGTCCAATATGAAAGCCAGCCTAAAACAGATCCAAAAATATTTACAAGTTTTGATAATTCAACTCAGCGCTCATTTACTCCTAATGAAAAACCAAAAATCGAAGTATGAAAAACTTCACCAAGGAAAATCAGGTCAGGTTTAAATGAAAATTCACAAGGTGAGTTAAAAATACTAACTATCTTTGTAAACAAGCAAAGCTATTTTGCTGATTACTCAATGGCTATTTTTTTTTGAAATCTTAAAAAAAATCCAATTGGAAAATAAAAATTAATTTAATTTAAAAATTTTATGCTCATAATGAAACTGTTAAAAATTAAAAAAAAATTAGTTAAAGATTTCCTTATGACAATTATCACTTATATATATTAAAAATTTATTTGCTCGCTCACAGAGGAGGAGTAAAGAAGAAGTAGAAAGGCTAAATTTGGTTATAGAAAATATGAAGAAAATCCATAGTGAAGAGGAAAAAAAATTAATGAGCCTTATTGAAAAACTTGAAAAAGAGCTGGAAAGTATAAAAGCAGGGTACAAGGAAACAGTTAAAACTCTTGCAGGAACTGTAAATAAATATGTGGACGATGAAAAGAATGCAGATGCGAGTAAAGAACTGATAAATGTGCTCAAAGAGCAGCAAGAAAAACTAAAATTAGAGCTCGACGAAGTTATTGAGATGGTGGTAAGCCAGCCTTCCAAATCAGCTAAAATTTTACTAATTGAAGAAGGAGATAAAATATTTAATATAGTAAGCAACGAAAGTTTGTCAAGCACTGGAAAATTCCAGAACTTCGAAGAAAATTTGCCTCTTGAAGCAAATTTAATAAGAAAGCCTATTGTTGAAGTAATTGCACTATATGACTACCATCCGGGATTTTCAGACCATTTGAGCTTTAAAGCTGGAGATAGGATCTCTGTAATGAGTAAAAATGAAGATGGGTGGTGGCATGGGAAAATTGGGGAGAAATTTGGAAGATTTCCAAGCAATTACATTTTACTTGACTAATTTGAGCTATAAATAATAAAGTACAAGATTTATATTAATATTAATATATTATTTCTTAAAAAATAATAGTAAATGAAAATAAGACTTTGGATAATTTTATTAAATATGCCTTACTCCTCCTCTGTGAGATAACAAAAAAATTTGGTTCGCTAACGGAGCAGGTTATTTTTTTGTTTTAAAAATTGATACTTAAATTTTATAGTATAAATTTTTTTCAAAATTTTTAAAAAATTCCAATTCGTAAAAAATTGGTTTAACTTGCTAAATTTATGTTTTAAAATCAAACAGAAATAGAGATTTCATCATAATAATTATTACTTATATATCAATTTTTTTTTCTTAAAAAATTTTGTTCGCTCACGGCATCAGGCATTTACCCAAAAAATTGGAATTTCCTAATGGTTTTGTTCCCTTATGGAGGGGGGATAGGCTGAAAGTAAAGTCAAAATATTTCGGACTGAGTCTTAATTATATGTTTCATAAAAAAAATCGATTTAATTTTTACACAACTCATAATGTGGAATTAACTTTAGATATATGTGTAAAATTGCGACTTTATTAGTCATTAAATGATATTAATTATATATTCGTAATGCAAGATATGCTTAAATTTTTTTCCAAAATTTGCGGCAAAGGTTCAAATGTTTTCGTCAATTATTTTCGAAATAGACTAAAAATTTTACAATAGTTGCTTATAATTAGATTATTATTCATTATTTTAAGAAAATTAAGAGTTATATATGGCAGCTTTATAGAGTTTAAAAGCTCAATAACGGATATCTTATAAGAGATGATGTGAGCATATGGCTAACAAGAATTGATTTCAACTGATTTATTCGAAATAAATAATTTTGATTTTAAAGCATTTTCTTTTAGCTGCTGTATTCATTATCCGAAAAACTTTAAACTTATTCGTTTAAGGATCATATCACCCTTGAAAATATAAAGATATCTTATATCATTGAGATTCAGGAAGCAGCCAACAATCCACCTTTTAAGAAAAGTATAAATTAATTGAAAAATAGATTATTCATAAAGGCAGTCACTCTAAAAGAGCATCAATAGCTTAATATCTTTCATCCATAGTTACCTATTTCCCATTTAATAACACCTATAATCCAAGCAGCATGCTTTTTCATCTTTAGAAGTTTAGTATTAAAAGCTATGAATCCATCTTGAAAACCCTTCAAGAATTTCAAGAATTTCACGAATTTATTGTTCTTTTCGACTCAACCTCATAATTTTTTCTAAAAAATTTCAGTTTCTTCGAATATCCTCTTAATTTTTACCCTATATATAAATTAAAAGAGTTTTCTTAGGCAAAATACAGAAAGTCTTAAACCTTTAAGCTTCAAACCTTTCCTAGCGTTGCTTTGCCGAAAATTCCAGCCTAAGAGCCCATCCTTTCGAAATTTAAAATCCCCTTATTTTCAGAAATTATTTATGATTTCGCTTCCAAAATTCAAAACGGATACAATAAAAATGTCAGCGAAAATTGTGATTGCCTTGGTCCTGATAGCCTTAGCAAATACAGCCCAAGGATTGCAGGAAACCCAAAAATTAAGAGTTTTTACTTCTCCTAAACTATTTTTACAAGTCACTCAAGATACCACAACCACTGATGAGACCTCCACTGATGAAGCATCAACTACATCTGAGTCTGAGTCTACGGAAGTAGAGCAAACTAGTGAGACAACTGATACAGCAACTACTGAGGAAAGTTCTACAACAGAGGAAGCAGCTGCAGATACTGAATCTGAGTCAACTGATGTAGAGGAATCCAGCGAAACCTCAGATACAACATCATCAGAAGAAACTTCAACTGAAGAAGCAGCAACTGAAACTGAGACTACTGAAGTAGAAGAAGCCAGTGATACTTCAGATGTTGAAAGCACTGAGGAGACTTCTAGCGAAGAAGAATCAACTGAATCTCAGTCAACTGAAGAAGCATCTAGCGAGACTGAGGAAACAGCTGAGGAAACCTCCACAGAAGAATCAACTGAAGAAGCATCTAGCGAGACTGAGGAAACCACTGAGGAAACCTCCACAGAAGAATCAAGCGAAGCTGAAACTACTGAGGTAGAAGAGTCTAGCGAGACTGAGGAAACCTCCACAGAAGAATCAAGCGAAACTGAAACCACTGAGGTAGAAGAGTCTAGCGAGACTTCAGAAGAAACTTCTGAGGAGAGTTCTTCGACCGAAGAGGAATCTAGTGAAGAATCAGAAACAAGCACTGATGAAACCTCCGAAGAGACTGAAGAAACCTCAGAAGAGAGCACTGAGGAGACATCCAGTGAAGAATCAAGCGAATCTGAATCCTCAGAGTCTAGCAGCAGCTCTTCAGACAGCACTAGAGAGTACTTAGAAGAAGAGATTGATGAGGATGACTCTGATCTTGACGAAGAAGACGAAGATATCCAAGATGAAGTTGAAGACTACGATGAAGAATTAGAAGACACTAACTCCCCCCCCTCCGTGAGTGACAAAACCATTAGAAAAATCGCTATTTTTGCCCAAAAACCCACCCTCTGTGAGTGAACAAAAATTTTTTTAATAGAAAAATTTTTTATGGAAAAAAAATTTGATATATATAAATGATAATTATTATAATGAAATCTAGAGCTAATTCTGTTTATTTTTAAACGAATTGCTTTTTAAAACATAAATTTTGCAAATTGAATTAATATTTGCTTTCCAATTTTTGCGAATTAGGATTTTTTTTAAATTTCTCGAAAAAAAATATTTTTTATAAAATTTATATATAAATTTTTTTTAAAAAAAAAAAAATTAACCCCCCTCCGTGAGTGAACAAAATTTTTTTGTTCACTCACGGAGGGGGGGGAGTAAGGATGGAGAGCCTATAACTGAAGATGATCTTGAGGACTTAGTTGATGAAGTCGAAGACATTGAAGACGAATTAGATGACGACGAAACCTTCACATATGATGGACAAGAAATTTCCAATGAAGATCTTGACGAAGTTGCTGAAAGCTACGAACAAACTTTGGACGAGATGGACTATTATGACGCTGAATCCATTGTTTATGATGAAGAAGGCAACGTTGTCTACTATGATGAAGACGAAACTGATTGGGCCGAAGCTGAAGCTGAAGCCAAAGAAGTTTACTCATCTAACGATACTTCAGTCACTTTGACATATGATGACGTCGATGAACTCATTGACTTCTGGGAAGAAACCAGAGATCAAGTTGAAAATGGATATACAGTTGAAATCAACGGTAGGGCAGTCACTGTTGAAGACTGCGATGAAGCCATTGACCAGTTAGAAGAAATTGAAGACGATATGGACGAAGACGACCTTGTAACCATTGAGTTCTCAACAGGAAAATACACCTACACAAGAGACTATGATGAAGCTGTAGGTTATGAAGAGGAATACCAAGAAGCTGACTTAGAAGATGATGACGTAGAAGATGCATATGATGACTTAGTAGAACTCTACAACAAAGGAGTAGCTGACGCCGAGGATGGCACTATTATCCTCAGTGTTGACGACCTTGACGATATCATCGACACTCTTGAAGACGCTGAAGATGAAATTGACTCTGACGAGTACTATGTCATCAACGGCAAAAACTACACAGCTGAGGACTTGGATGAAATGATTGAAAGCTCTGAAGACCTGATTGATGAGATTGAAGACAACAATGCATACGCCATTGTTTATGATACAGAATCAGGCGAATATTATTATATTTCTGAAGAAGACTATGATGAAATGAAGGGTTCTGATGAAGCTTCCACAGGATCTGGCACTGCCACTGATGGTGACAGAATTTACTCCAATGAAGACTTAGACGAAACTATTGAATACTACGAAGAAATCTATGAAGATATGGATGAAGACGACACTGTCACAATTGACGGAAAAACTTACACCTATGATGATATTGACGAAATTATTGAAGGCTATGAAGATGCTGAGGACGACTTGGAAGACGACGAGTACTACGTTGTTGACTCAGATACAGGAGTCACCTATGTAATCAGTGAAGACGAGTACGATTCAGTCACAACTGGGTCTTACTACCAAGACACAGCTCAAGTAACCAGTGATAGCGAAGTCACTTACAGCTCAGGAGACTCAGCTGATGGAGACTCAGGAGAAGTCGACTCCGATGTAAATGTCGAAGCCTACGAAAGCTCAGCTATTTACTCAGAAGATGAGGAAGAAGCTGAAGAAGATGTAGATGAAGATGTAGATGAAGATGTAGATGAAGAAGAAGAGGAAGAGGAAACAGAAGAAGAATCTACTGAGGAAACTGAAGAATATACCTATGAAGGAACCACTGATGAAGATGATTATGATGAGGTCGATCAAGACGAAGTCGAAGATCTACAAGAACATTACGATGAGGCTGAAGAGCAAGCTGAAACTGGAGTTATTGTTGCTACTGAAGATGATATAGAAGATGTAGAAGATGATTTAGAAGATGTTTCTGATGAATTAGAAGATGCCGAGCCAGGCACAACTGTAACTGTAGGATCTTATGAGCTTGACTATGAAGATGTCAAGTCTTTGGAAAATGAAGCTGAAAATGTTGAGGATACTTTAGACGATGATGACTACGAGTCTGTTAGTTATGACGTAGAAACAGAGACCGTTTCATATAATGATGAAGATGAAACTGACGATTTATATGAAGAACAAGACGAATACTATGAGTGTCAAGAGTGCAAGAACAGTTCTTAGAAATTTTAATACAATTAATAATTCATTTATTTTACTATTTAATCTGACTTTAATTCCAATCAATAATTAGGTTTGATAAAAGATATATTTAATTATAGATATTCACAATTTTTAATAAAATTTAATATTAATATTTAATAAAAGATTTAATTGTTATTCTTTACTTCCAAAAGAATTTCCTAATGATTTTATTGTCGCCTTTATTTTTCTTGCTTCTTCTAAAGCTTCAGGTCTAATCAAAAATGGTTTAATGTATTTATTATCAAAATACCTCCATTTCCTATGAAATGCTGATTTTTCTTCAAGATCTTCTTTAGCGATAATAACTTTTCTATATCCTAAGGCTTCTTCTCCAATAGACTTTTCAGGATCTATAACTACAGTTTCCTCTTCTTTTGGATCAACCCACCACACTCACAACGGTAAGATAGTTCCAAAACTCAGGATCGTTACAATCACTAGACCTAAGACTGTGATTTTCAAGAGTTTCTCATTGTCTCCATCAACAGTTAACACTAATGCAAAACTAATTGCGCCCCTAATGATCCCTCCTATTCAACAGACTGCTAATTGCTTAATGTTAAGTTTATGCTTTCCTCCTGATAGCAATCTCACAATTAAACTCAGCCCAAAAGTCCCACAAAGACGAGCAAAAATCGTTCCTATTATCATGAAGAACAAGAAAACTCATGAAATGCTGAAAACATCATAGCTAAGGGTTGTCATACCCAGATAAGAAAAAATTAATGCTTCAGCTGCATCTCCTATGAAATTCATGAATTTCATACATACAATTCGAGAAGTCGGAGACATGTTATAGAAAGAATAATGCCCTGAAATAATTGAAGCTATCAAAATACAAATAACACCAGAAATTTCAAGCAGCTGGGCTATCGTATAGCCTGCCCAGGAGACGTATAGAAACAACCCAATCATCCTGCTTGGATCATCGCCTATCGATTTAAATATTTTCGTCATATATGCAGTCAGCACACCAAAGAAAATTCCACATAAAGAACTAGTGATGCAATTAAATAAAAATTTTCCAATAAAGATTCCAACCTCTTTAATACCAATAACGCTTAAATCCATGCTGCTTAAAGTTTGCAGCAATAAGATTCCCACCGCATCATTAGTAACAGACTCTCCTAATAAAATGCTAAACAGCTTAGGGGTGTTTTCCTCTTTAATCATGGCAAGCGTACACGCGATATCTGTTGAAGACAAGACTGCACCTATCTTTAGCCCATCTTGAAGAGGGATATGATAGGTTTTCCCATTTTTTATTATCAAGCCGAGTTCGCTAAAAAGGTAAGCCTCAAGCCCAATGACTATAAAAGAAGTCAATGTGCCTCCTATGCCGAATAGGAAAATTGAGCCAATGTTTTGGAAGAATCTTTTGCGTTTGAGGTTATATCCTGCGTTAAGAATTAGGAAAGGAAGCATAAAATTGAAGAAAATAGTTTCTTTGAACTCAGATGGGCTTCTTCAGGTCTGATTATAAATTACTGCTCCCATAAGCGATCCAATCGCAATTCCAATCACAATTACAACGCCTGATTCATGAAGGAACCAAAACTAAGTAAAAATTACTCCCCATTTCTGAAGATAAGTACCGAGGATCATAAAAAGAGTTACGAACATCAGGCATAGGAAAATTTCAAAAAGGAGGACGTCAACCATATTTTCCTTATTTTATGCGGTTTTTAATTTTATCGAAATTTTAATGAAAGTGCTACCTATTATTATAGAGCTTAATCTATAGTAATTTTTATGATTATAAATTTTGGTTTGGTATATCTTGGCATTTCTTCTCCTGAATATTTAACTTAAAATAGAAATTATTTTTTTCCGAGTCTTCTAATCTATATTCTAATTTAATCTCAAAAATTTATTAATAAGCATTTCTTCTATTATTCTTAGAATTAACCCATGCGTTTAAGTACTGAGAAAACAACTCTTTAGCATTTTCAGGGACATTTGTCAGGAATGGGTGAGCTAAAAGCTCTTCAGAACTAGCGCGTTCTTCAGGACTTTTTACAAGGCAGCGGTTTACAAAGTTGTTTAGGTTTGCACTCCACTTGGCAGGATTCCTAAAAGTTGGCGGTACTCCTGATGCAGTTAAGTATAATGCTTTCATCGGATTCATATGAAGATTTGGTGGCTCTCCGTCAGCCATTTCAAGAGCTACAATACCAAGTGACCAAATATCTACTTTTACATCATATAAAGTCCCAGTAATCAGCTCAGGTGCCATCCAGCTTGGAGTACCTACAACTGTTGTCCTTTTATTTTGCTCAGTTGTTAGCTGTGCTGCATACCCAAAATCTCCAACTTTTACACTTCCGTCAAGAGCAATCAAAATATTATCACTTTTTATATCACGATGAATCCTATGTTGTCTATGTAGAAACAGTAACCCTTTCAAAATTTCTCTAAAAACATACGCCATCGTGTCTTCACTGATTTCTCCTGCTCTATCTAGCACCAAATCAGTCAAGCTTCCTTTCATCAATTCTACCACAATCCACAAAAATCAGTTATAATCATAAGATTCATAATAATTAATCACATTCGGGTTCGCGCTCATAATTGTCAAAGCAATTTCATTCAAAATTTGTTCCCTTTCTTTAGCATTTTTCGGTTTAATTTTCTTCAAGGCAAAAGCTTCTGACGTTTCTTTATTTTCGACATAAAATACAGCCCCAGAACCTCCTTCTCCCAGCTTGCCTTTGATTTGATACAATTCTTCGGGGTTCCTTTTCACTAGTTCAACTCTTTCGTGGGATCTTATGGTGAACTAAATGAAGCTTACACTTTCTCTATGTGGCATTGGGGCTACACCTTCGATTACCAGGCTCATGACTCTTCGTATGTCTTCTTTGTTTTCCTCGACTTCATTTGAAGGGATTCCTGCTTCTATTGCTAGGACTTCCCAATCATCTAAATTAATTTTGGAGTTTTCAATGTCCTTTGGGGAGGAATCGGGATGTGATGGCAAAATCGAGCTTTGTGAATTTGCAAGCATAGACAAATTTCCTGAAAGGCCAGAATAGCAAGCTTTGCAGTATCGCCTTGAGGAGAGGAAGCCTGATCTTTTTTCTTTTATGCTGCATTCTCTACAAAAAATAGTTTCTACATAAAAATTACTACATATCCTGCATTTCCTTCTCTTGGAAGTCAACTTGAAGGTTTTTGAGCATCCAGAGCACTTGTAGTGTGGATCAAAAATGCTAGCGAAAACATCCATTTTCTAATACAAATTTATTATTAGACAATACTTTTTGAATTCATTGAAAATATTAGTTTCAAAATTTCAATTTTATAAACAAACTCTGAATTTTTTTATTTTAGGAATATTATTACATTCTGTTATGGGTGGAGAAATAAAATATGTAATAAATAGATTTCATTAATATTTAGCAATAAATACCAAAGAGATACTTTAAAATAAGGGCTGATTAATATCAATAAAGTCAAGTTTATATATTGCTGCTTATTGCTTTTAGAAAGGCTTTACTTCTCCCCCTTTGGGCGCTTCCACTTCGGGAATTCTTTTCGGCTTCATTTCTAGCTTTTTTCTCATAAGCTGAGCTCATACTTGATTTTCAATACCTTAATTGCTGTATAATTTTATGTGTTCTACCTGAGCCAATCTTCTGAAATATTGATTAGTTAAGTATATTTTTATGTAATTATGCTGAACTCATACTAGATTTTCAAAAGCTTAATTGCTGCATAATTTTATGTGCTCTACCTGGATATACATAAAATGGCGTATGGCGACCGACCCACCCTCCCAGTGGTGGTTACCCATGTATATCCGGGCATGGTTTTTGGAGCCAGGAATTCGCCCAACAACGTCCGGGACCTCGAAGCGAGAGGCCTAAGCGCGAGAACCGCTGTTTTTGCGACCAGACCCATGGGCAGTTATTCGTGACTTCTTTTTGCCAGCAGCGCTCAGCCCAGTGAGTGCCCGAAATGAGGCAGGGTGAATTACCTGCCTAAGCTGCTTTAGTGGCTCGCCCCGAATGGCGAAAGCTGTTGAGTTCTTTCTCGGGATGACCGGAAAAGAGGGGAGGCGAGTTAGACACCAAAACGGGGGTCTCTCCAGTTGAAAAGGTGCCCTTCAATGGGCAGATCTGGCGGACGACGAAGCGGAGTTGGCGTAAACTTAGGCGACGATCCAAGTTGGAAATGGAGAGTGGTCAGCAAAGCCGGTATGAGACGGCCCTTGACAATGCCTCTACCGAGAAAACGGGGGTTTCGGGCCCGGGCTTGGTGAACGCTCTGCCACCACACGGGGGAAACCGTGGCATGCGACCTCGGACGTAGTAGGGACCTTAAATACCCAGCGTAATCTTAATCTTAATCTTAATGTGCTCTACCTGGGGCAATCTTCTGAAATCTTGATTAGCCAGGCATACTATTATGTAATTAAGTTGATTAAAATTATATACTGATTTGTTCAGAATTAATATTTTCTTCTTGTGATTGCTCTATGCTCATACTTGGCAAGAGACAGTTTTGCATCAAAATTGTTTTATATTCATCCCTCTCTTTGGCGATCTCCATGAGTTCTTGGTTAAATTTAATTGTTTCTTTGGTTTCAATATTCTTCAGTGGTTCGTTAGTTACTTGTTTAGCCTTGGCTCCATAGTATAAAGAAATCTGGGTTTCGTCTCTGTTAAAATGTGCTGGGCTTATATTTACAATCATTAGGGTTTTAGCAGAGCCACCTATAGAGTCACGCATAAGCATGGTCAACTTATTGTCTCTGTAAGGAATATGGCTATCTCCTCTAGCTAGTGCATTTATCACGTTTCCTAGTATAGTCAAGCTCTTATTAATCTCGTTGCCTTCCCTTAAGCCCTCAGCCGTAGCTTCTGTTTTTCCAATCCTTTCAGACCCAGCTAAATCTACAAAGCTAAGCTTCCCTATTGTTTTTTGGTCGGTGTTTCTATTAGTCACTTCTATTAAAACACTAAAGATCGCGTGAGATCGAGAACTTTGAGTATTCATTTTGGTATTAGAAACGTGTCTGCCATCTATTCCTTTGTTATAAATTAAGTGGAGCTCTTCAGCATTTCTGGGATGCTTTATAGTGGTTTCTGGGATAACAACCATCCCATGTGCATCTCTTACTATTGACAAATCTACTCTTTCGCTATTTTTTTGATAAGGTTTGAGAAGGTCAATAAGTGTTGTTTTGTAGAGCTCAACCATATAGCAAGACAGCTTAAATTCAAAGTTTGGACCAAGCTTTTTCATCATGGAGTATATCTCATCAATTGCTCTTGGGACAAGCCCTGCGTTAGAGTCTCTATCTCCTTGAATTGTATAGGTTTTACCTGAACCAGTCTGCCCATATGCAAAAATGCACACATTATACCCATCAATTGCACTTTGGATCAATTTTTTGGTGTCTTCAAACACTTCTTCTTGTGTAGATTGCGGCCCAAAAATCGAATCAAACGAAAACTGCTTAACAACCCCACTTTTCATCTCAAAAAACAATGTGAAATCGTCTCTAATTGTAACAGTGCTGGAGCAGTTTCTTGCAAGCTCCATTTCATTCATTGGCCTTACTCTACAAAACACTCTAATTTTCCCTTTCAAATCTTCAATGTAATTATGCAGCAATTTTCTCTGTATAAAAGAGTCCTTTAAATCTTGCTTTAAATTCTGTGCATTTTTCAATGCATCTTGCAATTTTCCAGCCAGATTTTCATTTTGCTCTCTCATTTCTTCGACTTCAATGGTGAGTTTTTCCTCTTTTATCCTTTCTTTTTCTTCATATTCTTGAAGGATTTCTCGGAATGCTGCTTCTGTTTCATTCTGGACTTGCTCTATTTCTTTTTTGTGTTTTTCGTTTTCCTGGATTATTTTGGTCTCAAATTCTTTTCGTTGCCGTTTATTTTCTTCTTCAACTCTTCTTAGTTGGTCTCTTACCATCTTGATTTCACTCATCAAAGAACTGTTTTCTTCTTGAAGCTTCTTCAGCTGGTTTAAAGCAGCATCACTTTTTTCTTTTAGATATTGAGCGTTTGGGTCTTTTTTTTCTCTTGCACTTTTTAGTTCTGTGAGTCAGCCATGGAGCTGGGCTTTTAAATTCGCAATTTCGCTGGTGTCAGCAACTGAAGATTCAGTGACCCTGGTAATGAAATCTTGGTTGTCATTTTTTAGCACCTCCATCATTTCTAGATCTACTTGGTACTTTTTCTCCATTTCAGTTAATTTTTGCTTTAAATCGAAATTTTGTTTCTTTAAATTATTCATGGCAGTATCAAAAATCTTGCTTCCATTTGCTGCTTCGTTTTCAATAACTTGCTTTAATTTTTCTGTTTCTTGCCTATAATGGTCTCTTTCTGATTTCAAAGCTTGCATTTCTTGAAGATTTGAGTTTGAAATTATGCTGTTTGCGTCTAAAGATGTAGGAGTCTGAATATTTGGACGCTTTGCAAACTTGAATTTAGACCGAAGCTCTTTGCGTAGCTGGGCATTTTCTTTTTGTAAAGCATCAAGTTGCTCTTTATATTGAGGATCAGTGACATCTCCTGACCTAAAAGACTTGTCTTTAGAGGGAGATGAAGAAAATGAGGTATCAACTGAAAGGTTCAATATATTTGAAGGACTCTGGGAACGAGTTCTCCTAGGTGTCGGAATTTTGTCTTCAATGCTTAATCCTTTTTCTTTAGCTTTTATTTTGGCAGCTTCCATCCTTTTCGCCATCGTATCTGTTTCTTTAAAAAAATAGTCATAAGAGCTATACAGTTCATTTATAGCTTCTTTATCATTTTTATCAGGCTTTCTTTTATTTTCCATCTCAAAGGTTTTGCTTCATTTAAGAATTTGGTTACGAAAATAGTATTTTTGTTTTCTGCACAATACATAGAGTTCTTTTTCTTTCTCATAGATCTCGTTATAAGCTTCACTATTAGGGATTTCTAGCTTCCCTATTAAATTTTCTAGCACAAGCTCACAGATTTCAGTCCTCATTTGATTCTCGTTTCCCTTTACTTTAGAAAGTTCTCCTTCAAAAATAACAGCATCGTCTCCAAGTGTTCCAGGCGATCAAGACAGATAAGCCCAGCAGCCTTTGGCCTTGCACGCGTAAAGATGGCAAAACTCCAGAGTAAGGCAACGATGTAGTGGACGTTAAGCTTTATAATTACTTACTTAAGCAACACTAAGATAGACATTAGAAAGTTCAGCCAAAAGGTTGTCTTTTTCTTCAGAAATTTCTTTCACCATGCATTCTCTTTGCTCAAATTCTTGCATTAGCTGCCTATTGAAATTCTCAATGTTTTCCCTGTCTGCATAAGCTTCTTCAAGCCTATGCTGGAGTTCTTTCTTATCGTTTTGCATAAGACCTAGCTGCTTCTCATATGAAATTTGCATAGAACTTATAGCTCTTTCTTTAGCAGCTTCTTTTTCATTCATATCACGATTGTATTTCTGCAAAATTTCTTTCTTCTCTTGCTGCAGTCTATTGATTTTTTCTTCAAAATTATTAATTTGGCTTTCAGAAAAATCTTTAAGTTCCATCAATTCCATGCTTTTTTCTTCAATTGCTTTCCTATATTGCTCGACCTTTAGCTTTATTGCGTCTTTTCATTTATTTATAAATTCACAGAACCTTTCGTGGGTCTCTTTTTCAATATTGGAGTAGTTCGTATCCATTTCTTTTAAAAGAGCGCAATGCCTTTTATGCATTTTTTTCATTTCGTTTTCTATCATTTTGATTTGGTCGCGGGCCAGATTTGAAGGGATAAAAGCTGATTCTCGGCCTCGATATTGATGGGATCGGGGATGATCCCGCTCGGAGTCTATTGGAGATAAATCGGATGGGCGATCATTTGAACCTATATCGCTTGGAATGGGGGAATTGTCACTAGCTGAGTAAATAAGCAAATTTGACCCCCCAGAGATTTTGCTATTAGGAGATATTTCATTGTGATCTTGGTTTGTGCTTCGGAAAGGGCTTGGGGATCGAAAATCTTCCTCACTTTCTTGAATTTCATATTGCTCTTCTGACATTTAAAAGTTTTAATTGAAAATAGATTTTTACGGGAAATTAAAAGCGGCTTAAAAAAGCTAAAAATAAAAACTACATTCATAAAATAATATAAAATATCAATTTTAGTATTCCAATTTTTTATTTTGAGATTTTTGGCTGCTGATTTCATTTAATAACCTTTTAGGTTTCCAGATTATAAAAATGTCCGAGACGTCGGAGAGCGAGGTTAACATAAAGGAACTGGGCGAGATGTACGCAGAAATCACAATTCAATTCGAAGCAATTCCTGTAAAGGAGCCGGAAGTTAAAGAAATTATCCCCGATGTCCCAAGCCCAACTCATAGTGAGCGAAGAAAGGCTTATCACTACCAAAAGCTTTTAAGGGAATATGAAGTCGCTGTGCTAGAAGGAATTAATGCAAAAAAAAATAACTTCAAGTAGACTTAATGCATTTCATTGTACAATTAGTGATGATTAATGATTTCTATTGGGAGAGTCTTTTGTTACTAAATAATTTTGCCTCAGTGATAATTTGAGAACAAAAAATAATAATTAAAAATTGAAAATTTAAGCTCCTTTTTCTTTTGATTTTATCCGGAGAAATTATTGCAAAAATCTATTTATATCAATTAAATCAAAATTAAAGGCGTTATATAAGAAGTTTAAGATTTATTAAAATTAAACATCCCTCTCGCCTTGCTGAAAACTATATTATATAAGCTATTTAAGAAATAGCAGGAATGATTAAAAATTATAATCCTTATCCACACAAAGAAATAAAATGCTGATGCTGACGGAAATTGAACCCATCCTGATGAAGCTGAAACCAGGCCTCTGTTCCTTTTAATTAGGCCTTCAGGCTTGTGGATGCCTTCCCCTGAAGGTTTTCCTGTGCCTGCTAGGTGGGCTAGATAAGTTTGCCTCTAAACCTCTATCGGAGCTATCGGGACATCCTACAGAGGGTGGCTCTAGCCTAGGGACTACTAATCCTTAGCTTAATTAAGTTTCGCCAGAACATTCAAGAGGGTGGAATTTTGGTTGAGCCTGACACCTTTTGCACTCTGTGTCTATACACTCATTATAGGCAACCTTTCCTGCAGTCAAGGCTACCGGCTAGCGGAATCCGGCTTATGGCCGGTGAAAAATCTTAATCTTTATTCATACAAACCTCATATCATTTTAGCATCCTTCTCGTGAGAAAAACGCTAGAAACTATAACGAATTCTTATAAATCCTTTTAAAATCAAATAAAAAACCTTATAAATGGCCATCTCTCTCTTCTTCCTATTTTTGACCCTGGCTTCTTCAAACATCCTGCCAGATCAATCTCATCCTTACCCCATTTCTCCTTCAAGCCCTAACTCAAACGAATCTGGCGTGGACTACTGATTTTACATTTCAATTGACAATCGCATTTCAAAGGGCGACTATTTGAATATTATCTTTCCTTCGCAATTTACTAACATCGGTATGACAAGCATCACAACCTGCTACATTAATGGTGTAAGTCATTCCTGCAGCAAATTTAGCGCAAACCAAGCTCAAATTACAGCGTCACAAGTAATTCCAGGGAACTCCCGCTTGCAAGTAAAAATCCCTGGCATTACAAACCCTACAAGCGAAATTGGGACTGGTTGGTTCCAGATCTATTCACAATATGCTGTTGGGTTGCAGATTATTGACTCAAATGATGCGTTTGGGGTGATTGGATTTGCCCCAGAAGTGTCCAGCGTTACTGGGACAATTGCAATCGATTCAACAGGTGGAACAAGCGTGGTGGCAGTAAGCGGGAATTATGTTTTTACTATTACCCTTACTAGTGCTATTACAGCTGGGACTCAGTTCAGAGTTAAGGTTCCTAGCCCTTATAGTGCCTTAATTTTAATCTTAATTGCAGGTCGGTCCTGCTTATTGATTACGGAGTCACCAAGGACAACTCTTGAGGCTTCATATGCTTTGCGAAGCCGACAGTCAAGCTGGGCCGGATTGAGATGGCTCTCCACAGCGAAAATGGATTGATATAGAACTTTCTCTTCAATAGCGCGATAAGGCGTGCTTCCTGGTTTGACTAAAAGGTCTTTGGGCCATGAAAATCTGATGTTCCTTCTTTGTAAGAGAGTCATACAGTGAAAATAAAGAGTTCTGGCTGATCAATCTCGAGAACTTAAAGAGAGGCTATTTGCAAATTTACACTTTTGGTTCGTCAAATGGATCTGGCGAGCCAATTCTGGCCGGTACTTGAAATTATAAATGATAGTTGCCAGAATTTTATTAATTTTCTGATGGCAAGTATGATCAGAATTTTAATAAATGGCACAGGATAGACAACCCACTTAAAAAATATCGTTAAAATTAAAGTCCCATTTTATAAAAGATATAATAAATTTTTAAAAATTATTATTTTATTTTAAAAATATTTTTATATAAAAAATTTATTTATATTGGTATAATTATTTTAAAAATTTTATTTTTTAACATTTGAAAGAAATTTAAAAATATTATAAGAAGAAAATTTTAATATCATTAGTAAAGTTCGTAAAGAGCAACAAGCGCTTAGCGCAAACTTTTGCCTTTATAAAGCAGTTAATCATAATTAAATTGGCATTATTTATTAGAAATCTATCCTTTCGCAAAAACACAACTCGATCAACAAGTTTTTAATTATTAACTCTATTTTAATTTTCTAACAAAAACCAAGTTAGTCATTAGCAATTTCGTAAAGAACAACAAGCGCTTAGCACAAACTTTGGCTTTTATAAAAGCAGTTAATCATAATTAAATTGGCATCATTTGTTTAGAAATCTATCCTTCCGCAAAAACACAACTCGATCAACAAGTTTTTAATTATTAACTCCATTTTAATTTTCTAGCGAAAACCAAGTTAGTCATTAGTAATTTCATAAAGAACAACAAGCTCTTACTCCCCCCCCCCCTCCGTGAGCGAACAAAACCATTAGAAAAATCGCCATTTTTTGACCAAAAACCCACCCTCCGTGAGTGAACAAAAATTTTTTTAATAGAAAAAATTTTAATGGAAAAAAATTTTGATATATAAGTGATAATTAGTATAATGAAATCTAGAGCTAATTCTGTTTAATTTTAAACAAATTGCGTTTTAAAACATAAATTTTGCAAATTAAATTAATATTTGCTTCCCAATTTTTGCAAATTAGGATTTTTTTAAATTTCGAAACAAATATTTTTTATAAAATTTATATATAAAATTTTTTTAAAAAAAAAAAATTAACCCCCCTCCGTGAGCGAACACAAATTTTTTTTGTTCGCTCACGGAGGGGGGGGGGGAGTTAGCACAAACTTTGGCTTTTTTATAAGCAGTTATAATTATTACCAAAGGAATTATTAGATCGGTTTGAAAGGAATAAAGTTGTCTGATCTTGTGCCATTTATTAAATTTCTGATCATACTCACCATCAAAAAATTAATAAAATTCTGGCAACTACCATTTTTCATTTCAAGTACTGGCCAGAATTGGCTCGTCAGATTTCATTTGACGAACCAAAATGTAGATTTTTCACACAGCCTATCTTCAAGTTCTCGAGATTGATCAGGCAGAATTCTTTATTTAGGCTGTTTTTCTCCCCATGAATAAAGAATAGCAAGTTTTCATATGTTTAAGATCATCCGGTAAAAACCTAGGAATGCGCCTTATCGCGCCATTGAAAAGAAACTTCTATATCACCTTGCTCCTGCTTCGGCACCTGACACTATAGGACTTTCGAAGTATTCTCTCTTACTCTTGCGCCTCCTACTTACCTTGGGTTCCAGTGCTGGTGGCAGGCTATAAACTTTCCGTAGCCGCTTGAGTGGACGAAGGTTCTCAAGACAAAAATCTCCAAAAAATAGAATTTCTTGTAGACTTTCTGAAAAAGTGAAAAGTTCAAATACCTCGATGTAACTCCAGTTTACGCTAGAGATCACCTGATTGGTGTAGGCAATATCTATAGACATTGCTGAATTCCTCTTTTCAACTCAAAGTCCTCCCTTTCATGTAAAATCCAACTCTAAAAGCGAATGAGTGTTAGGCTCCACACATTGCTGGAATTGCTTACTAGCATTGCTGTCCATTTCTGGATTGGCAAAAACTTACCAGATATAATTAAATATGCTCTTGAGATTTCATGGCGGGAAGGTCATGCCGAGGCCCAGACGCTATATTTAATTAATTGCCTTATAGTATTAGTTCTTCAACTACTTGTACAGTGGTAACAACGACAACACTACTTGGAACTTTTTCTTGTAGCAAAGCTAATGGAAATTTAGTCATTAGCGGATTAACTTCTACTGTAGCGTCAGGGACTGTGGTTAGCATTAAGGTTTCTGGGATTGTAAACCCTAGCTATGTAATCGCAGCTTCTTTTGTTAATTTTATTATAGAAACTTTGAGAGAAAATACTAGCATAGTCATTCACAGAGCCACAATTCCGAATATTTTAGGGGTTGCAGGAACATTGACTGGAATTACCTTGGCTCCGTTTACAACGAGCTCTAGGTTTACTGAAGGGAATACTTTATATGCAACTTTAACTTTTACAACTGCAACCAAAATTCCTCAAGGCGGATCTATTATTTTAATATATGATGCAACTATTGATTCTTCATCATGCTTAGTCCTTTCTGGGGTTCCTAACACTTCTTCTGGAGCTCGTCCTAGCTGCTCAATATCATCAGGTACGACTGCAACTATTACAAGTTTTGGCGCTATTGCTGCAAAAACTACTATAAAAATTGTCAATTTGATTACAAGTCTATCTGCAAGCATCGGGCAAGTCAAGATCTACACTTATGACTCAAGTTCAAATCTTATCGATCAAGACTTGACTCATGGAGGAGTTATACTTCAGTATAATAATTTATGATTGTTATTAAATATTTTTATAATATAAAATTCAATCTAGAACAGAATACTATGGAATCAGTCTATTCTGTTAATTCTGGATCTGTCGCATATTCGGTCACCGCTTTAAAACAAGGAACAATCACAATAAATATAGACCCTTACTATAATGTAGCTGCAAATGACGTTATAAACATTTATCTTCCTAATAATTTTACAACTACTTCAACTCAGACGTATACTTGCAAAATAGGAGGGGTTACTCCATCTGCATTTTCAGTGGTCAATGGGATTTTCAGCATAACTGTTGATGCTGGTACAGTTTTCAGCACAGGAAGCACTACTTCAATTGTATTAGGTGCAAGCGGCTCTGGGATCCAGTTTCCTCCTAACGCAACTTCATATTCAAATATTATAGAATGGGTCATAAGTATCACCCATTCTTCAAACTCAGAAGCAGGTACTTTGCAATCATCTTTAAGTAACGCACTTTTTGTGGCCGGATCTGGCCATACAGAGCTTTTTTATTCTGAAGTAACATCAAAGTACTCTGCATATACTTTTAAAATTCAGACAGATCTTGACCTTTGGAACAGTGGGACTAGGAAGTTTATGCTTTCTTTAACATTCCCTAACGATTATTCTAATGATCTAGGCACCGGAATTTCTTCCTCTGGGAGTATTCCTATTTATCTTTCATCTTTTACCACCACGAACTACACAACCCCATTAAGTTGCATATTAACCCCAGGCTCAACCCCGGTAATAGTGATATCTGGTTTCGATCCTATCAAGGCCGGCACAATAATTTCGTTTACTTTTTTCATTAAAAATCCTACATCTGCTGGAAGTGGAAATATCCAGGTGCAAACATATTATATAGATTATAACTCTATAGAAACAATATGCCAACAAGGAGATTTGGCTGTAACCTATACAACATCAGTTACAGCTTGAGATACAATGAGTGTTACAACCAGAAACACAACAGTTGTCAGTACTTCTACATGGTTTATTTTAGATTTATTACTAGCGAGCACAGCTTCTGTTGCTAATGATTACCTCATGATCAATTTTCCTGGCGAATTTACTATAGACACTAAAAATTTTGTAGCGAAGATTGATGGAGAGGCAGTTGATAAGTATGTGATTTATGCGAATTCATATCAGCCAAGTATTGTTTTGAGCTTAGAAACAATAATATTAAACGCTAGTCCATCTGCTGCTAATGAACTTATACTCGAAGGAATTATCAATGCTCCATATGTAGGCTCTGCATCTGGAAGTTCTGGTGTAATTGGTGTAGGACTAATTGATGGGACTTCGCATCAGATCCTAATTACCCACCTTGTTAAAGAGTAAAACCATGAGAAAATTATATATTTTTGGGAAATCAATCCCCTTCGTTAGTAACTCCCCCACTGTTAGCGAACAAAAAAATATCGCTCGCTCATGAAGGTAATTTTTTGCTTTTTAAAATTTTATAGTAAATTTTTTTTTCGAAATTTAAAAAAAAAACCTCCCAATTCGCGAAAATTAAATCAAATATTTAAAATTTATGTTTTAAAATGCAATTTGTTAAAAATTAAACAGAATGTACTAATTATCACTTATCTATCAAATTTTTTTCATAAAAAATGATTTTGTTTTCTTGCGAAAGGTGTTGGGCAAAAAATAGAGATTTTTCTAATGGTTTCGTTCGCTCATGGGCTTAGGAGAGTAAGCAAATAATTTTTTTTGTATCAAACTTTATTTTAATATGTATTTACTCTAATAATCAAGCCAACTATTAAACTTTAGACACTTCATTTCTAAACATAAAATTCATAAATTAAATTAGATTTTCAAATATTTATAATTTTATAAAGCCAAAAATATGATATTAATATAAATTTGAAAAAATAGCTTTGCTTACTCCTCCTTATCCTCCTCTGTGGTCGAACACAATCATTGGAAAATTCCCAATATTTGCCCAAAAATGCTTCCTTCCTGAGCAAAAAAAAAATTTTATAAAAAAAAATATTGTGATATATAAGTGATGATTAGTATAATGAAATCTCGACCAAATTCTGTTGGAATTAAACAGCTTGCATTTTAAAACGTAAATTTTACAATTTAAATAAAATATATGCTTCTCAATTTTTGCGAATTGGGATTTTTTTAAATTTTGCAAAACAAAATTTACTATAGAATTTATATAAATTTTAAAAAAATCCTCTCAAGCTTTTGTTCGCTAATGGAGGTGGGAAGGAGTTAACAAGAAAAAATTAATGCTCGCTAGTCAAGGGGCAGTAAGCTACTCAACAGATAGTTTGTCAGCTATCACTTCAGATACATTAAAAGTTACAATTATACCGAACAGCTATATAGCTAACCATTGTGATGTGACATATAAGTTCAGTATAACTACAGCTCATGGGATTCCATCTAGTGGAACAATTCAGATAAGTTTTCCGGTAGGATTTGACTTGGATTATTTTAGCTGCTCTTATTCATATTCTATATCGAGTGCAGGTGCCTGTGCAAAATCTGGCCAAATAATATCTGTTAGTGGTTTTAGTGCAATTGCAAGTGGCACCTCATTTAACGTTAATGTCCTCTCTGTTAAAAATCCTAATTCAGGAGCTAGCGGGACTTTTACCATTACAACAACCTATACATCAAGCACATCAACTGTTATTGAAACAAAGACAGCATCTGGCTTTACTCTGACTACAACTGACTCGGCAGAATACTCAAATATATATAAAATTGCATTCTACCCCGACACAAGTGGGACTAAAGGCCAAATGCAGCTCGATTTTGCATTGAATTCATCAGTTCCTACACAAGGGGACCTGTACATAGAATTCCCCAGTAGCTTTTCATCCTTGCCATCCACTATGACGAAATGAAATTGCCTTTTGAACGTCCAGTATTCGTCTTGCTCTATATCAGGGCAGAAAATAACCATAGTCCCTGCCACAAGTTTCCCAACAGGCATTAATATGACTTTGATTATCCCTGAAATTACAGTCCCATCTACAAGCTCGACTCCAGTTAAAATTTCAGCTTACTTGGATTCTACAGTAATGGCTGAAAATCCGCCAAGCCCAGGAAGCTCATTTTATATTACGACAGGAACAGTCACTCCAGGTATAATCCAAGGCACCTTGACAGCTTGGCCAAAAAATGCAGCTGAAATAGCGTTTTACCAATTCGTACTTAAATCAGCGACTGGTATTACAACTACTACTCAAATTTTGGTATATTTCCCATCAGAATTCCCAAGAAACCTTGGAGACTTGATGGCATACTCCAATTGCAGTACTAGGATGGATGGAAAATTGCTTATCGTATCTAAAAGTATGGTTCATGGAGTACTTTTGCAAGGCTTTGTAAGTGTCGCTTCAAATCAGCCATTCACTATTTTATTTGAAGGTGTTAGAAACCCTGAATCACCGACTTCGACTTCAGTGTTTTCTATAGTAACATTACTTAATGGAGCAATTATAGACTCACTATCTACATCTCTGACTGTCAGCATTTCATCGATACCATCTATCATGGATTTAGTAAGTATCAGCCTTGAAGATTATTCTATAAGGGCTACCACAGACTATACATTTTTAGCAAATCCTTCATATATCCCTTCAACTTTCCAAGTGTGGGTGTGGTTCCCATATCCCCAGTTTTCTATAGAGCTTTATGGACTCGGTGATATTTTTGAATGCAGCAGCAAATCTGTTTCTAAAATTTCAGGAGCCGGCACTGCTTGACCATCAACTACTCCTTCTTGCTCGAATACTCATAAAAACCTTGTAGTTTTCGATGCAACTGGATCAGGGTTTTCTTCTTCAAACTACTTACAAGTAACGATTGAAGATCTAAAATCAACTGGCTCTGCTGGAATAGTTAATAATTTTGTGATGATGATTTTTGATAAGAGCTCATTGTCGATTACATATAGAAATTATGGGATTGCTTCGACAGATGGCAATGTAGAATATTTAGAAGATAAGGCCCAGATCTTCGTTGGGTCTCAAGATGCAAGAATATCTGTTTCACCAGGGACAACAAGTAATTTCACTATATACACGTCTAGTGAATATATGCCAGCAAGACAAACGTTGACATTTACTTATACTATTTTGGGCAGTAATGCAACTAATAATATAGCAATTGAGCCAAATATCATTCAAATTACACAAGGAGAGTCGTCAGTGACTTGCTTTGTGACTTGCTCTGCAGAAATTGTAAGAGGAAACTATACGATAAAATGGAATATGACTGGAGATACATATGGACTTTATAGTGAGCCTGCGTTTACCTTATTAGATGTCTCATCCAGACGAATTGTGAAGAGAAAGGTTTCATTTGAAGGAATTCCTACATTGATGATTGGAGGCACGTCGATACCTTTGTATGTGTACTTACTATGCAAACAAAATCATTGGAAAAATCCCCTTCTTATTCGAACAAAAAAATTTTTATGAAAAATAAATTGATATATAAGTGATGAAATTTCTAGCTAATTCTGTTTTATTTCGAACGAATAGCAATTTTAAAACATAAATTTACAAATTAAATAAATATTTACTTTTAATTTTTGTGAATTGGGATATTATAAGATTTATATATAAAATTTTGTAAAAAAATTAAACTCCTCCCCATGAGTGAACAAAATTTTTTTTCGCTCACGGAGGTTGGGAGAGTTAGAAGCTGCTCCCGAAGATGGTTTGACGATTGTTGCCTCACCACCTAGCCTTATTACAGTATCCGCCATATCATTTTTGCCAGGGCAGTTTGTGACCAGTTTTACTGTTACTGTAGCTTCCACAGCCTATGTAGGAAGTGAAACCATAAATTTCACCTTATCAGGAACAAACTCAGACTGGTTTTATTTAGACTACACTTCTTTAACTTTTGATTTAACGAATTATGATGTTACAGCTCCAGCAATTTCTTCGTTTATTGTTAATAATCCAAAAAATAGAAATTATATAGACATCACAATGCAAACCACTGAGGCGTGTACTATTTATTGGACCTTTGGAGAAAGAGGATTAGATGTGCCAAGTAATGCCACTTTGATAGGCTCAGCCAAGAATAAAACAGCTGGGTATCATCTTGAATATATCGGAGATAGCTGGCTTTATAACTTCAGAGTGAATAATCTAATAGCTGAGCATGACTATGTGATGTATGGAATTTTGGTGGATTTGAATAATAACGAGATGGATGACGTTTTTAGTGTCGACTTATATACAGATGATCTCCCTGATTCTGTGCAAATAACACTGAAATTTGGCAGTTTAACTCCAACTGCAGATCAAGCTCAGTCAACTGTAATAGCTGCTCTTAGCACCCTTTTAGACTACGACCAATCCTTGATTTCTTATGTGCAGCCTACGTCTAGGATGCTAGACACTCTTACTTCAGCTTCTTATATCATTTATAATAGTGCTACATCTACAGCATTAGCCCCACAAGAAATCGTCAGATACATGCTAAACTCTAATGATCTTAACCGACTTCTAGCACCATCGAGCATATCAATTGATCTGACTTATAATATTGTAAAATCAATGGTTTATATATCTAACCCAAGGCCAACATGGTATACATATCCAACTGTCAAGACAACAACAAATACAACTGTTAGTGTTGCTCTTGCAGTAACCACTTCAGGGACACTTTATGCTGAAATCATTCCAGATGGAAGTGAAATTCCTTCATCAAGGCAGGTAACTCTAGGACTGGATGCATTTGCAGATAAAGCTACAGTGTATTCTCAAGCCATAGTGGCAAATACTTCAGTGACTGTGACATTTACTGGAATGAGCCCAGCAAGCAGCTATACTATTGTGATTACAGCAAAAAATAATAATTCAAGGCTTCCTAGAATTATGAGCGATAGAGTAATGGCAGCTCTAGAAATTATTACGCAAGCTACGTCTGCTACGACCACTACTACTAGTGAGGGGATTTGTTTGTTTATTTCGTGCCTTCTCTCGCTATTTTTATAAAATAAAATCTTTATTATATTTTTACAACTAAAATATAGAGATCTAAATTTGATATGTATAGAAAAATTAAGTTAAAGAAAAATGGATTGCAGAGCTAAGATTATGTTTACCAGTCATGAAAATTAGCTTACTTAGTTTTAAAACTAGTCATCAAATCTTAAAGGCAAACTTATGCAAATTATTCATGAAGTTATTTTCATATCAATATATTTTTTAAATTTTTTATTAGTGAAAATTTGTATTTTGGATTAATAAAATTAAAATTAATGATCTAAGATGGGTTCATCTAGTGGACTTAAATATTCATTTGGTATGATACACAAGTTATGCAGAGCCAGCTACTTATGCGATCTTTTTTAAATTTCCATGCACAGATCGGTAACTGTTTTTGATGGCTTAGCGAATTCTCTTATATAATTGCAAGTTTCATCAATTTTAAAGTCACTGATTTTGTCGTGTTGCTGCTGAGTTGTAACAAAAAGGAAAGAAAGTCTAAAAGCAAGTCTATCGCCATAGCTTGGCTTAGCTACTGCCATTTTTAAAGACACTGCGAGCCGCAGGAAACCCATAATCGAATCAAACTCCATTAATATTTTAAGTAATCTAGCATCGGAAGTTCAAACTGATGCGTCACATGCAATTCAGCTTAATTTACATCAAAAAATATTATTTTTAAATATTTTCATCTATTCAACTAACTTTCCATTTATCCACTCTCCTTCAATTCGTTCTCCTCTACTTCCAATGTATGTCCCTTTGCCATGCTGCTTTCCATTTTTCCAATATCCCATGTATTTCTTTCCACTCGGCCATTCGAATTCTCCGTACCCTTCCTTCTTATCGTTCACATATTCTCCCCTATAAACTCTTCCGTCAGGCCATGTGAATTTACCGCTGCCATGCATTTTGTTATCCCTTCATTCTCCTTCATAGACTTTTCCATCTTCCCATGTATAAATTCCTCTACCATGTATGTTGTTATAGAAGAATTCGCCTTTATATACAGAATTTTCAGCTCAATGGAATTCTCCATATCCATGCTTTAGACCGTTAAGGTAATTTCCGCAGTAATAAGCTCCATCAGTCCAGGTCTCGACGCCATAGCCTTCTTGTTTGTCATCAACCCATGATCCTTCATAGGTTGCACCATGGAAGTGAATGTATTTTCCTCTTCCATGGGCTTTATCATTTTTTCATTCTCCTTCATATACATCTCCATCTGCGTGAATCAGTCTACCATGGCCATTAGCTCTATCATCTTTTCAGTAACCTACGTATTTTGACCCATCTTCCCATAGAAAAATGCCTCTGCCTGATTTCTTGCCAAATTGATCAAGCTGACCAATATAAGTTCATCCTTCTTTAGATCGAATAGGAGGGCCAAGGTCGTCTAAGCAATTATCGTCAGATTTAAACTGATATTGGCCTAGCCTAGATTCAGCAGCTCTTGCTTTTTCGCTTGCAGAGGAGTAGTAGTCTAAAAAAAGCTTCTTAGATGTGTCTTCAGTGAGAGGATTTGTAAGAACTGAGCCTGGGAGCTCACTTTCTTTGAGAGACTTTTCGCGTTTTCGCTCACTAGATAAATTAACGATTTCCATATCTGGGTGCGCTTCATTTTTTGAGCCATCTCCAAAGCAGCCACAGCTGTTTCCCATTTAATGCTGGATTTATTTTATATCATTATATTGCTGTCTAGTTATTCATAAAGCTTACAAAATGAAAATTAGATGCTATGTGCTCAGAGATAACGGGGATATTATATTAATAGAATAATGTTTTAAATGTTATATAATTGAGCTAGGTCAAGTGCTTCCAAATTCCTAAAATTTTGATTATTTAACTTGAGTTTAGTTTTAGCATTAATAGACATAATAAATCATAAAAAAATGCAAAAAGTAATAAATATGCAAAAGCGCAGAGCAACGACAGAGCTGACACGAGAAGGCGAAGTGATCCCTCAATACGAAGAAGAAACTGTTGGCGAGGACTCAACTCCTCAAGAAATCTCTCAACGAAAAATCTTCAGAGCACGAAGACCGCAAAAAGCAGCTCAGGCAGCTTCAACTGAGCCTACCAGTTTTAAGCTGAAAACACAGCTAGTTTCCGAAGACCTTGAGTCGAAGCTGCTTGAAGCCAAGCCAGCACAATTTAGTTTTCTGGATCTTCCAGACGTTGAAGTGAGAGAAGCATCGCCTGTTAAAGCTCCTCCACCTCCTCCACCCAAGCCAGTTGAGCCTATTCTAAAGACTCCTACCATTTCAGCATTCTCAGGGATACTTAAAGATCTTAAAGAGAAAAAGGAAGACGATATAGTCAGCAGTTTTATAAAAACCGCGTCAAGTCAGGAAGCTGCCCCACCTTCAGAATCTCCGAAGTTCCAGGACCCCATCAAACCAACCCAAACGAGTCATTTTGTATTAGTAGAAGGCAAACTTAGTGTAAATGGAGCATCTAGAGGAGAAGGATTTATCGAAATTGCTAGAGCAGACGTAGGGGAAAAGAAAGTGAATTTATTGATTTTTAGGAACTCGTTCAAGAGTATTATTTATCAAGCAGCTCTAGCAGAATCTTCCAGTTGAAAAGAATGTGAAAAACAAGAAGAATCGGATGATGAGGAAGAAAAAGAGGAAGCTAGCATTGAAATTGTGGTTTATAGGAAAACAGACAAACTGAGGGCAGAAACTTGTAAAGTAAGGTGTGGAAAATTAAGCAAGATAAAATTGATGGAAGAACTGGAAAAGGTCAAGAAAGAGACTAAATCCCCCATCTGTGAGCGGCAAATTATTAAGAAGATCCCTAAAATATAGACCATATAGCAAAATAGTTTTTAATATGGATGATAATTATTATAATGAAATATCAAAAATTTTTGCTGAATTTCAAGCAACTTGAATTAAAATTAATAATTAAATAATTAATGAAATTTTGCGGATTTGGATACCATAAAATTATATATATATCGTTATTGCAGATTTTTGAACTTTACCACCTAAGTGTGGAATTTTTTCCGCGTGTAAAAAAAAAAGAGGATTCCACATGTGAAATCAAAAGGGCTCCACACGTGAAAAACACCTTTTCAAACGCGGAAAAAATTTCACACTTAGGTGGTAAAGTTCAAAAATCTGCAAAAAACGATATAAAATTAAAACAAAAATTAGCTATTAGTAAAATTTTTTGTTGACTACAGAGAAAGGAGTAAGAAGAACACAGACAAAGAAGAAATAAAAACCAAAGATAAAAAACTCGAAGAGAAGGCCAAGTAAATGTCATCTTTAAGAATAAACATTTTTAGATTCTAAATAATGACAAGGACTGAGCTGAAAAACAATTATTTAAGTAATAATCAGAAAATTATACCTATAATTAATCATGCAGAATAGAGCAAGAAAATAATTAAATCTTTATCTTCTTCAAATACTATGAAAACATGAGCTTTTAAAGATGTTCTCTCAAAATTGCAACTGAATAAGGCTAGCTTAGCTTAGGCTAATTAAAAGCCAGGCGTTTTTCATATGGTGAAGCAGCCATTAACCTTTCCCATACGAAGGTTTAACTACTTTTCTGCTCCAACCCAGAGAGTCTATTCTCCGAAAGCGGCGCCACTTCCGGCGCTTCTGTCTTTTCCTTTCCTTGCAGCTTCAGTTTTGAGTGGACAACTTATGAATTTCTGTGGCCCTGGACGTGTAATAGAGGTAGCTTGAATCCAAGATTCCCTTGGAGTCTGTCGGGTTTCGAAGTATCCCTTTGGCAGCTAGAAGAAAACTGCTCCTCTGTGGCCTTGAGTTTCTCAGTCGAGGAATGCCCATGGGTCTTCGGATCCAAGGACGTTGAAGGGCACCTCCATTTCCAACCTCAGGAAAGCAGCCAAAACCTGCCCGGATACACATCTCCTGAGGTGCACTTGATTCTTGACTTGAGTCCGTCCTAGTTTGCAATAACCATAAATTAGATCGCCCCCCATCTAGAGATCAAGAAGGAAGTTGATACGTGTAGACATTTCAATTTATATTGGCAACTGAATAAATAATCTTTGTAATTGTTGCACTGCTATGCCTCATCGTTGTGAATTCTTATAAATGCGTTTCTCCAACTATAAATTAGCATAAAAATATGCGGAGAGGCTCAATCTTCCAGTGCAAAATCAGGTCAAAATAATAATTTTTATCTATTATGGGAGAGGAGAACACAGGCTCTCTACAGAACGATTCACCGTTTCCTAGATCAAGCCTAAACCTTACAGAAATACCAGAGGATCAAGTTCCAGATTATTCCACAGAAACAACTCGACAAATTTTATCTCGACTTGGCCCATACAATCCTCCTCCTGCACCTGAAGATTTAGCCTCAAGAATAAAGCTTGGTCCTGTTCAAGTCGAGAACCGTGCAATTTATATTGGAGAATGAAACCAAAAACAGCAGAAATGCGGCTTTGGTATCCAAATTTCTGCAGATGGAGCTCGATATGAAGGCTATTGAAAGGAAGACAAAGCCCATGGACAAGGAAGACTAATATACGCTGATGGCGATATATATGAAGGCGAGTGAAAAGAAAATAAAATGCAAGGAGAAGGCACTTATTGGAGAACAGATGGCTCTAGATACAAAGGAACGTTTGAAGATGGCCTTGAGCATGGATATGGGTTAGAGGCTTACCCTGATGGCGGACTTTATGAAGGCGAATATTTGAATGGGAAAAAGAACGGCAAAGGAAAATTTATATGGCCTGATGGGAGTGTATATGAAGGAGAGCTTCTTGATAATAATATTCATGGAATTGGGACATATACTTGGGCTGATGGAAGAAAATATGTTGGGGAGTGAGCGTTTAATAAGAAAAATGGAGCAGGGACTTTCACTACAAGCGATGGAAGCATTTACATAGGAGATCATAAAGACGACAAAAGGCATGGCCATGGAATGCTGGTTTGGCCAGATGGCAGCACTTACGAAGGTAGCTGAGTAAACGGAAAGCAGGATGGGCTTGGATTCTTCACAACAACTGCTGGAAAGAGAAAAGAAGGAGAATGGAGTGACGGAAAGCGAATAAGATGGATAGAAGATGCAAAACATAAATAGATTTTGCTATAGAGTAAATTTTGTATTCGTTAATTCTTGGTTTAGCAAGAAGTTAAATAGAAACTTCTCTGAACTCGTTTTATTAAAAAATGTAAAATAATGGATAATAAAATTTAATTCAGAACAGCTTACTTTCCTCCACGAATTATTTAGATTTATATTTTGATATTAAGCATATATATCTTCATAAAAGTGTGCTAAATATTAAAATTAAAGCCATAATCGTGCTAAATACTTGCTCCTTACTCATGCACGAAAGAAACCTTTGAAAAAATTCCTATTTTTTGCTCAAAAATCCACCCCTCCGTAAGCGAACAAAAAAGTATTGCTATATAAATGGTTATTATAATAAAATCTCTAGATAATTCTGTTTAATTTTTAACAAATTGCAAATCAAATTAATATTGCTTCCCAATTTTTAGAATTGGATTTTTAAATTTCGAAAAAAAAATTATGATAAAATTTGTATATAAATTTAAAAAAAATTAATTCCCCTCAAAGAGCAAACAAAATTGTTTTGTTCGCTCACAGAGAAGGGGGGTTATAGATAATGCAGCGCAATAAGAAATAATTTAATCATATATTATTATAAATCATTGCCTATAGGTTTCATGGCAGACAAAGAATTATACCTTCACCTGAAGTATAGCAGGCAAAGACGAAAAACAGTAATATCAAAAGCTTATGAGTTCTTATATGGGTCAGGTGCAGAAAAATACTTACTTATTCCTCCTCTCCCACTCTGTGCGCGAACAAAAATATATTGTTTAGTAGTGTTAATTTTATTTTTTTAAATTTATGTAGTAAATTTTTTTTTTAAAAATACCCCAATTCGCAAAAATTGGAAAGCAATATTAATTTAACTTGTAAAATTTATGTTTTAAAATGCAATTTGTTTAAAATTAAACAGAATTAGCTAGAGATTTGATTATAATAATAATCACTTATAGATTGAAAAAAAAAAATTTTCATAAAAAATTTGTTATCAGAAAAATTTTTGTTTAATTACGGAGTGTGGTTTTTGGGCAAAAAATAGGGATTTTTCCAATGGTTTTGTTCGCCCACAGAGAGGTGGAGTTAAAAAAATCAAGAACGAAGAGGCACAAAAACTTAACTGAAAACTACCAGCCAATTCTGCTTCAGAAAGAAGATGTATTCCTAGACTGTGAAGAGATCGAAAAACCAATTCCTATTATAAAACAGCAAGGAAACCTTTTGAAACCTCGAAAGTCTAAAACTGAAACTGTAGCAAGCATATATCAAGATAAAACGCTTTTGAAGAAAAATAAAGATGAAATAACCAAATCTTCAAGCGTGCTTAAAAGAAATGCATCGAATCGGTCAATCTCACCATTAATAAGCACAGTTTCTATATCTACACTACTTCTACATAGAAAAAAATCTGTCATTCAGTTCCGAGAATTTACTCCAGTTTTATTACACAAAAAAAAGCCTGAAATTAATAATAATTTTTAAAATTTAGTGAATGCTGTTCAGATTGACTGTCATCTTAGCAAGCCAAATCAGTCCAAAAATAAAAAATACAAAAAATAGCAATAGGCTTATTTGCAATTTTTCTTGCTTATTTTCATCTAGTTTGGCTGGAGTTCATATTATTGAATCTTCATTACTTGCCGATTCTGGATCTTGCTGCTCTATTTCGTCTTCAGATAAATTTTCAGGATAGTTTTCAACAATTTCTTCATTCTTGAACAATAATTGATTTTTTGATGAAGATAAAGAAGGACATATAATATTTTTCACTAGCCATAAGCCTAAGAGAAGCTTGAATTTTTTGTTTACTAATTCTTTGCATTCTTTCTCTTTGCAGTCAATTTCTCTTCTTTTATTTTCATACTCTTCAGGAGGAGGAAGTGTATTCTGGAGACAATCATTAACTGCGCCTAAAACATTGCCGGGCTTTCTTATTAAAGGGCTTTCCATTTATTATATATCATAAAGTAAAGTAATTATAATTCATTTGAGGAGAAATATAAACTAATTCATTTAGATTTCATGAAAATATTGGTTAATCTCAAATAATTAAATATTGATTCATTGATCAATTTTAATAAAATGATTTTACTATGTTGTATCAAGAGGATTCAAGATCTTGAACTATTTTTACGTTTTAATCTTTGAGATTAAACCCCACAAACTCTTCAAAAATAGAATAAAGTGAAATCTATCTCCCAATCTTGCGACCGAAGATCTATGAGAACCGAATTCCCTAATATAATTATGCCCCATCACTTCCCACGGATTAAAATCATTCTCCCACTTTGATATATTTCTCTCAAACTCAACAGCATATACTTTATTATCAGCTGCAACAATATTAATTAATCTGAGGATTTCCTCTAATGGCATATACAAAATTATCATAACAAGCAAATTCTAGCAATGCAGCATGTAGACTTTCAAGTGGGACAATGGGAAACGATTTCTATTGCTAAGAAAAAAAGCTTCGCCTAGACAGAAAATCCTGACTACATCTGTATAATAGCCTCCATAGAAAAAACTTAACTGTGAGGGATGATAGTTGAACCTCTTGCGTTTACAGCTGACGTGATTAGGGAGATAAAGATTCCTTGAATATAATTTGAAGGTTTTTAGGTCCAAAGTCATTAAATCATCATAGCCGTGCTTGATCCATAAGAGCTCGTGCGTTTCAATTGCGAAATCTAATATATATAGTGTATCAGCAGTTGAGATGCGCTTCGGAGTGATATTGATAGGATAATTTTGAGCAATTTGAGGAGAATATATGTGCTTTTATCAAATGATATGAGTTTATCATCACTAGACTGTCCTTTACTAATTTTGTTTTGCTCGATTTAACTCTTATATAATTTATTCACCCTTATGCACAATCCCAGTAGCTATTTTTGTGATCTTAAGCTAAAAATTGTATTGCAACAAAAGTGTAGCCGCCAAATGGTGTTTATAGGGGAAAAACCTATAACAAGTTTGCAAAATTCGACTTGGTTGTATACCCCATTTGGCAGGTATTTTTGGGTTGAAACTAACATCTCAGCTCATACCCCAAATGGCTCCCAAGGTGAACTTCTCAAGATTTAAGAGCTACATTTTATTATATTTTGCTATAAGTATTAGATCATTTAATAAATTTATTCTATATCAAAGCATTATAAAATAAAAGATGCTTTATTTAGATTTTAACCATAACTTTTTGGGCTAAATTGAACTTGAAATACCTTTCCATCTTCAAACTCGTTACTATATATATAGCTCCTTTATTATATAAATAATAAACTTGTGCAGGATTTTTACTAATTAATGAATTTCCTATTTGTTTTCAAGAATTTTCATCCCCTATTTCACTTTCATACACTTTCCCTCCACATTCAATCAGGTAAAATCTTTCTGCTTTGATCAGTAGTTTTCTTTTTTCTGCTGCGAAATTGAAAGGAATTTTTGTAAAAGAATTGCTAGTGATTGAGTACCTCAGAATGTTTTTATTTGCGTGTCCAGAAATAAAAATATTACCTTTAAAAGTTACGCAATGGCAATAGCAATCGCCTTGTGGCATTGGATTTAAATTGACCCATCTGTTTCCTTCCAAATCAAACCTTTTTGATAGCGTTGAGATGTTACCATTAGGATTTAAACCTCCGAAGCAGTAAACGTTTCTATTGTAATAAATAGCTGATGATATAGCGCATGGTTTTCCAGCTGGCAATGTTCGAGCTCTGAAATTTTCATCAATTATCAATGAAATTCCGGAAGATGGAGCTTTTCCATAGCAGAAGAGCTCACAATTGGGAATCTGAGCTATGCAAGTATCCCAATTTAATACCTCTGAACTATCCAACGGTTTAACCTCTTCTTCTTCATTTTTAGTGTCAAAAATCATTAAATTTGTCCTATTGTTTTCTTCTTTTGTAAGATAAAGAGATGTTCTTTTATGAAAAGTAATGATATAATCTTTATAAGCTTGATTGAGCTCTTGACTAGAATTGCAAGTCTCTCTTAGCTCGTTTTCATATAATGAGCATGTTTTTCTGAAATCCCATTCGATTTCTGGGTCAATTGGATTACTTAATATCTCTGATCTTTTAATTTTAAGTTCATTTATTTTGGAACTTAGAGAAGAATTTTCTGAGATTTGTTGCTTTTCGTCAAGACCTGATAATCTTTTATTGATTTCTTCAGAGAGACTGAGCAGCTGGGAGTTGAAAGCATCCATTTCTTTTTTTCTCTTAAGTTTGGTAGCTTTTTTTCAATCTTCAAATTCTTTTTTGTTTTTCTTAACTTCTTTAAGAAGGTCTGTATAAGAACTTCTTATGTCTGTATGTTTATCATCAGGCATTTTCTTATTTGAATTGATTTTTTTATCATGCTTTTCTAAGATTTTTTCTATTTTCGAGAATCTGCTCTCAAAAATGTCTTCAAGTTTTTCTTTAATAGATCTTTCTATTAATTTATCAATTTCTTGGCTTAACTCACACAAAGCATGTTCACTACTATATGAATCTGAGTTTACTGAAACCAATGTTTTAACCTTTTCTATAGCTTCATCAGGGCTTAACGATAATAATTTTAAAATTGGATCTTGCTCTAACTTTGATAATTTATTAGTTTGAGAAATCTTTTTAAATAGATCATTTAATTCTGTGGAGCCAGACTCAAATTTCTTTAAAAGATCTTCAAAATTATTTTCTGTGTTCCAAAGATTTTGACTAAAGGAATTTAAAATTTTTTTCTTTAATTTTTCATGTTCTGACTTTTTTTCAGCAAGAAATTTGAGAATAGCTTCCTTAGTCTCTGCTATAGGAATCAAAAAAATAGGGGCAAATTTATGGAGTCTTCCAGATATTTCGCAATGATTAATGAAGTGGATTTTGCATAAGTAAGCTTCAGGAGATGTGCATTGGCATATATACTCAGCTTCAAACTCACAATTTTGCTCTAAGCATTTCTTGACCTCCATATTATAAGTGATATTAGAATTTTAACTATAATTAGCATTAAATACTTCTAAGGCTCGAAATTGTTAAATGATACTTAAGCCAGCTAGTGATATAACGATGCTTAGCAAAATTGAACTTTGTTTTAAAAGTTAATTTTAAGCATTAATATTTTTGACTTAAAATCATTTATTATCTCTCTTGCACGGATTAAGCACTTTAGAAGCTGTTGCTGATGTGCCTTATATGTTATTATAATAACAAGTAATTTTCATTACAAATTTTAATAGGAGTCAAGCGTTTTGCGAATATTTTTCAATTTAGAAAGCACTTTAAATTAATAACGTTTAAAAATATTACATCTCTGCTTGTATAAAGGCATCTTTTTTCATTATCAAAATGCATCGACTTAAGGTGAATCAGTTTAAATAACACATCTACTTTCAGCTTGAAATGATAATATAGAACTTCTTTATAAATATGGAGGCAAAGCGGTGCTTTGAGGTAAGCTGCTTGCTTGAAGCTGAGTACACATGTCAGTGCTCATCTCCTGAGACTTATTTATGCAAAGTGCACTGGATGAAGCATTGTGAACTAACTGATAGAGACCATGCATTTGAGTCTATATTTTTAAAGCCTTATGAAGGAACAAAAGAAGGAATTCTTAAATTTATTGAAAAAGAAAAATCTAAAAAAGAGAAAAATAAAAATAAAATCATTTCTTCTTTCAGCCAAAATCTTTGCAATTCAGAAAATTGCATTGAAGAACTTCTAAAAAAGCTGGACTCAGATTCAATAGAATTAGGAAATTTATTTGATAAAATTTCTAAAACCCAAAAAATTTCGAAGTTTGATCAAGACCCAATTATAAAATTATTGACTATGCAGCCTGATGATGCTATTGAGAATTTTAAAAAAATTATTCCGTCAAATGAAAATTCATATAATAGAGCTCATTTATTGTGCGGTCTCAGCGATGATATTGGGAAAATGATTGAAAGCTTCATTAAAGAAAAATTTGAAGCCTTCCTTGACAAAAGGCTCTTAAATATAGAAAAAACCCTTGAGAGACATAGTAACGAAATAGATTCAAATAAAGTAATAGAATTTAATCTTAATTTTAAGCTTAATTAATCTATATGCGTTTAACATCCAATACCGCTCTGGGGCGAATTTCGCGCCATTTTCCTTGGGTCCTAATTGGTGTGAAAGCGCCCGACTTTGATCGCCAAAAGAGTATGTCAGTCCCTAAGTTTGGGCTTCAACGACTCTTCTTTGTGCTCAGGTACTTACTTGGGTCTGAACGGCACCCTAAAGGTTCCAGTCTCCACCGCCTGGGCTAAGTGGTACCCTTTGGAAAATTCCACTCAATAAGGTTAGGAATGCATAGGAAAAGCCACCCGGCTTTTGCTTCCCTGACATAGCTGGGACAATTTCACTAGGGGAAACTAAACCACATAATTGAAATATGCAAGAGATGTATTTCCGTTGGGATACCAGAAAATTTGAGTAACACCATATTTTAATTATAATAGAATCTAATCAGATAAAAGAAGCAATGAATCATATTTCGAATTTAATGAATGAAGCTGAGAAAACTAAGAAAGAATTTGAAGATTTTAAAATATTAGCTCAGGTAAAAATGCAAAACGAATTAAATTTGCTTAATACTCAGCTGCAAAATCTTAAAAAATGGTTGCCTGATCTTCAGCTGCATGATTTAAGGGGGAAAAAATCTGAAATTTTAGATTTACCGATAAATCCAAAAATAGAACAAGATTTCAAATTAACCTGTGAATTATTTGAAAAAGAATTGTTCGAGCTTCGTAGCGCTCATCCATCACTAAGCCAAGCATATGAAGATTACATAAAAGCTTATCATCAAAAAGCTTCTCTATATCTTATTGATGAAGATATTATAGGCCGAAAAACTAATTTATTTATCTCTAACACTGAAAGTGAGAGAGATGAAGTTAAGGTGCTTGATGGATGGGAACCATTAAAATGCGGTACATGCATTTTGGAAATCTTCCACCTTCTGGCATGACAATCATAGCTACTGAAAATTTTGATGTTAGAAGACTATACCCCCTGAAATATTTTAGATCATTATTTGACCATCTATTTTTAATTTTCAAAATTAATTTATGCTTGTCAGCTTTTTTGAAAAGAAAAACGAAAATGAAAAATCTCCGTTATGGTTTTAAGGTGCCCAATCAGACTTGGACTGTATAAGGCAGGTGCCCTGGACCATAATTTTTCTGGTTTGTATTCTGCTGGGGATAGTGATCTATTATGGTGAATAAATTATACCATTTGGAAAGCCTTGCTATTGATCATCAGTTATTTATTTTAATAGAAGTGTTTATTGTTTTGGAGGATTTAATGATGGCTATTTGAATTTATCAGAAAGATTTGATTTAGATAGAAATCTATGAATAAAATTAAGCCCAATGCCAAAAGCAGATGCTGGTTGCCATTCTCTAGTGTTTAATGGAAATATTTTAATATCTGGGTGCGCTAGCAGAAATCTTACTCGTTATTCAATTGATGCCAACAATTTCACAAATATTAATTATGACTTCTCAGAATCTAAGAGAAAGATTTTGATTAAGGTCGAAAGGTTTTATTTGATTGAGTGTGGAAAAGGATGGATTTATGAAAGCGAAATTGATGATTACACTTTTTGAAAACAAATAGGTAGGTCTATAATAAGCCATAGCTGTCCTTATCAAGCATATTGCTCTTATAATAAAAAAGCAATACATATTGGATTAAATTTACGCAGAAAGCAATATTATAAATTTGATCTAGAGCAAAATCAATGGATAAATACAAATGAAGAAAAAAATTGGATCAGTAATAATAAAAATTGCTTAATCTGGTAGTCATGAGAGCTACAAAATTAAACTGATTAAAGTCCATAATCTTACATATCTGTATGCAGTTTTTATATTCTTTCAATATTTTATAATTAAGTATAATTATTTAAAAGTGAACTCATATAAATATTATGCAAGAAATTTAGATAGATAATAATCAATTATATTTAAATTTGTCGAATTATATTGTTTGGTTAAATTCCAAATTTAAGAGATATCGAATTCAATTGATCTTCAATTTCCGAAATTTGATATAGTTAACTACACTGACTGGCACGGGGTGCTTTTGGCTCGAAAACTGAGCCAAAAGCACCCCGTGCCAGTTAGTGTAGTTCACTATATTTCTTTTTAGAGTAATGAGCAAGATCTTTTTCGATGCTTGCAATTTTTGAGTTTGTTATTTCTTTTTCTTTCTTGAAATCATAAAGTTTTTTCTTAAGAATTCTATTTTCTTCCATAATCTGCCCCATATTTTTATGAGATTCTCCATAGTTATGAGCCTGCATCCCTTTAATAGTCTTTATCTCCAATTCTTTTTCTTTTCTTTGCAGCCTTTCTTCTTTAATTTTTAACTTATTTTCAAGGCTCTTTATTTCCTCCTCCTTAACCAATAATTTTCCTTTTAGCTCATAAATTTCCTCTTTTTGCATTTCTATATCTTTTTCTCTCCTATGTATTTCAATCCATTTCTCATGCATTATTTTTTCTTGTTGGAGCCTTTCTTCTATCAAAATCGAGGCAGCTTCTTCTTTTGCCTTAATCTCGTTCATTTTTTCGTCAAATTTTGACTCATCCTTGACTCTTTTCAGCTCGAACTCTAAAAACGATTTTTCAACCAAGCAATTATCAAATTCCCTTCTCAAATACTCCAATTCTTCTGAAGACTTTATAGTTTGGCTTCTCTGTCGAGAAACTGAGCCTATACTAATAAAAGAAAATTTTCTTGAGGTTTCAAAGACTGGGCTTATACTTCTGGAAGGTGTTGAACAAAAAGAGGAGCTTGGGGAGGTCATAAAATAGCTAGATGTGCAGGATTGCTTGGGATTTCGAGAAAGCCTTGACTTGATTCTTAGCTTTTCTTCTTTGTTGATCCATTCTTTTTCGATTATATATAAAGACTTATTTAACTTTGCAGTTGCCAATGCGCTGTTTTCGATAGCTTTTTCTGTTTTGAGCTTGCTCCCCCCTCCGTGAGTGAACAAAACCATTAGAAAAATCGCCATTTTTTTCCCAAAAACCCACCCTCCGTGAGTGAACAAAAATTTTTTATGAAAAAAAAGATATATAAGTGATAATTAGTATAATGAGATCTCAAGCTAATTCTGTTTAATTTTGAACGGATTGCGTTTTAAAACATAAATTTTATAAATTAAATTAATATTTGGCCCCAATTTTTGCAAATTAGGATTATTTTAAAATTTTGGAAAAAAAAAATTTCTATAAAATTTTATATATAAATTTTTTAAAAAAAAAAATTAACCCCCCTCCGTGAGTGAACAAAAAATTTTTTTGTTCACTCACGGAGGGGGAGTGGAGAGTTAGAGATCTTAGTTTTGATCGAGTTTATGGATCTACAAAGCTGATGGACTAGATGCTTATCAGAGCATACAGATATTTCATGCTCTTTTTCTTTCAGCTCTCCTAATAGTTTTAAAATTTCAAGATCTTTCGTTGTAGAACCTGAAGGTTTTTGCTCCTCAGAACTACTAGGTGAGGAAAGAAATAATTTCTGAAGAGACTTAATTGCAGCTCTTAATTCTTTATTTTCGTTTTTTAATTCCTGGATCTCCCCATTGCATTGTTTTAAATTTTCGTCTAATATTTTTTGATTTGCAATAAGAAACTCATTTTCATGCCTTGCCAGCTCTTCTTTTTCTTTATAGATTTTAATTGATTCCTGCATATCAGTCATTAGGGGTCCTTCAAAACTCAGCCCGGTCTGGTCAAATGATAATTTCATCTTCGCAAATTCCGCATCCTTGCTCATTTGCTCTGCAATTCTTTCAATGTTTTCTGTTTCCAATCGTGACCTATCCATCATCTGTAAGCTATATTCTTCACAAAAAGAATCAAATTCTCCTTCTGTGTTCACTTCAGTTTGATAAAAGAAAGCAGGCTGTGAAACACTTTCATTGTTTTTTGGTAATGGGATAGTAGAGCTGCAAAAATCGAAGTCAGCATTAGGGCAGTCCCAGACTTCTGATGGCTTTTTTACTTTGATAGAGACTTGAAAGTTAGCTATATTAAACTTATATGCTTTCTCAGTCCCTCCTTCACTAATTAAGTCGATAATATCTTCTAATTGAGTAATGGAAGATTTTATGTCGTCAACTCGACATAAAATTAATTCGCTTTCTGATTTTGTGCTTGAGCGGGCTCGTGTTCGAGCTTTTTTGGCCGTTTCGCCTACAACTCTTCTGACTTGGAGTCAGAACTCTGGGACTTGGCTCTGTAGATCTTTGTCTATTTGAGGCAGATCACAATCCAAGAGATTTTCAATATCAGTCCTGATTTTTAATAAGTGATGGTAGCACACATTTTCTATTTTGGGATCGTAGAGTTTTTTATAGTTTTCCAGCTCATTTTTAATATTATTTATTTCTTTCTCTTTTTGCTTAAGTTTTTCTTGATTTTCTTCAATATCAGATATTTTGAGCATTTCTAAGTAATCTAAATCTGCTTGCAACTGATTACACCTCGTGCATAGATTATCGCTGTCAGCTCTATTGAGAGTATCATCATCAGAATTTGTAAACAAAATTCTGGAATCTGGCTGAGAGACCCTAATCATTTTTTCATAGCATTTCCTTAGTGCCATTTCCAACTCAATATCAGAATAAATATCGATCGAAATGTTGATCCACTTTTGAATAGTTTTCTCAATTTCTGATTTGAACATAGAGATCCCATAATCAGGATTCTTATCAAATTGAAATAGATCACAGTTAAAATCCTCATTTCCCCTCATAATAAGTCTTAATATGTACCCTCTCAAATCTTCATTTTCCATGCTCATTTTTGAAATTTCTTTGCAATCGGATTTTTGGGATTTTTCCTCGAGTCAGTTTCTTATTTTTTTGACTTCTTCGTATATATTCAAAATCTTTTCTTGAATCAGTTCATCATTCGAGGAAGAATTACTTGAAAGAAAGGACGAAAGTTGCGAACAGATTGTCTTAAAGAGATTGGAGTCTGATGGAGGAGGGCATGGGTCGATAATTCACTTTCTTTTTGCAAAAGAAGGAGGGGTTTTTATGGTTGATTCAGGTTCAGCTGTTGTACATTTGGCTTTAGGAAAGATTGGAGTCATAGGTCTGCTCATGTGTTGAAATATGAATTAAGTTTTAATTTCATTTATGCTGCTAATTAATGAATGCTGATCTTATTCAGGTAATGCATTATTGAACTTATGATATCTAAATTAAATGCAGGCATAAAGTGTTAATGCGAATCTAAATTAAATGCAACTATTATGCTCTCCATTTAACCCAAAAAAACAGAATAGTCTATATATGAATTCCTAAATTTATAAAGATGAAAGTCTTTTTTTACGCAGTCAGAGCAGGGCGAAGACCTGGAATCTATAAAAGTTGAGATGAATGTCTAGAACAAATACATAAATTTCAAGGCGCCGATTACAAGAAATTCCCTGATTTCGATTCTGCTAAAAAATTTTTAAGCTATGAATCTAAAGAAATTCCTAAAACGTTGCAGTCATCAGAAACTGAAGACATTGAAAAAGAAAAGAAAGAAATATTCGATAATGCTGGAATTGTATATACAGATGGAGGATCTCGGGGCAATCCTGGGATTGCTGGCTGTGGAGCTGCTCTCTACAACTTAAAACACATAGAAGTAGCAAGCTCGTACAAGTTTTTAGGTAGGAAGCTTACAAATAACATTGCAGAATATGAAGGAGTTCTTCTTGGTATGGAGCTTGCTACTGAGCATAATGTGAAAAAATTAGAAGTCCGTTCAGATTCTAAATTGGCTGTGTCACAAATTCAAGGGAAATGAGCTGTGCGACATCCTGATATAATGGAAATTTGGAACAAAACTATGAGCAAAACTAAAAATTTTGAGTCTTTTTCAATAAAACACATTGACAGAGAAATGAACTCTAGGGCTGACGAACTTGCAAACAAGGGAATGGATCTTATAATTGTTGAAAATAATGAAATATAATGAATTGGCTTATATAAAGCGTTTTCTGGTATGGACAAAAATTTGATAAGATCTTATATTTGTAATAGATTTTTCTTACTAAATCTCAGAGAGCAAGCATGATATAGCCTGAGTCTCCTTTGGGCTCGGTCTATATAGTGAAGAACACAATTCTTAGAAAATCTAAATTCAATTATAAATAAATATAAGACAAATATTCCCTTAAACATAAATTTAAAAATAGAATTATGATTTCCTTTCAGCCTAGTAGGTGCAGCATACTAAGGTAAAAAGTCGGATGAGATGATTTTTGATAGCTATTTCAAAGAAACAATAAAAATTTATTGGCTAAATTACTTGACAGAAGGAATAAATTGTGAAAAGAGAGAAATTTGACTAATTCTAAATAGGAGTTTATCGAAAAACAATTGAAATTAAAAAATATGATTTCCTTTCAAATGGCTATGCATCGAAAACTTTTAAACAAAAACAATTATAAAATAATGATTTCAAAAAAATTATTTAAGTCTCTTAATTTAATATTATTCATATTTGCATTAAAAAACCCAAAGAACCCAATAGATTTCTTTATATTTTATAATTTAAATTCGTCGCCTCTTTGATTAAACAATAATATTCTGCAGCAAACAAATTAAGAAAAGATGGTCGTGATTTATTCTAAAAACTATATCATTTTATTAAATAATTAGGATTAAAACCTTTTTTTGTTAATTTCGAATTTTATGTCGTTGCACACCTCTTGTGCTATTGCAAAGCTTTTTTTCATCAAATCTGAATTTTTCTTCTCTCCTAACCCCCCCCCTGTGAGTGAACAAAACCATTAGAAAAATCGCTATTTTTTGCCAAAAAAACCCACCCTCCGTGAGTGAACAAAAATTTTTTAATAGAAAAAATTTTTTATGTAAAAAAAATTTTGAGATATAAGTGATAATTAGTATAATGAAATCTAGAGCTGATTATGTTTAATTTTAAACGAATTGCTTTTTAAAACATAAATTTTATAAATTAAATTAATATTTGCTTTCAAATTTTTGCGAACTAGGATTTTTTTTAAATTTCGAAAAAAAAAAATTTTATAAAATTTATATATAAAATTTTTTAAAAAAAAAAAATTAATCCCGGAGGGGGGAGTAAGAAGAACTCTTGAGGATCAATCTTGGCAGCCATGCGCTCATAAGCAATTTTATACTTTTTAATGCTCTCAGGATTCTGTATAAGTCTAGTAGCATCATATATTTGTTTGGCCTTCGCTAAGGGGTTGCCCACTACCATGATATACCCAACTAGCGCGCTTTTTAGCTTGAAATGGGTGATCATATTATGCTTTTTTTGCAATTCCACCATATGGTAATAATAAAATGGCACCGTCAAAATAAGTTCTCGCAGAGAGTTTTTCAGCTTCTAATTATATGGTTTAATTTTCCAGTGACCCTTATGCCTAATTACAATAAATAATTAATTAAGTAGTTCCACCAAATGAGCCAATATAAGATCAGCATAAATATTAGACATTTCAAGGTATTTGTAAAAGTTTATCCCTACGCCTTCTTGTATGTAAGTAATTCCTTTTAAGAAATATAGAATTTTCCCATAGATGGCGCTGTTTGCCCTTGATTTGCCCACTGGGGGAATTTTTGGGTCGACCAGTACCATATGGTTTGGTCAAACCAAAAAATTTTCCTCCTGGGCAAATCAAGGGCAAACAGTGCCATCTATGGGAAATTTCTATATCTATGATTTGGGTTGAAATTATCCTGAATTACTTTGAGCACAATATTTGCTTGGCGATCTGTAATGCTTTTAAATGTGCTAATTTCACAATATTTCAGCATTGTTAATAAATCTTGTACCGGCTTCTCATTTTTCGAGATTTTTACACAAGTTGATACGATGTCCTGAAGATCAAAATTTGGATGATTATAAAATGAATATTCATCATGTAAACACTTATCAATTGAATTTTGTGCAGCAAATAATCGGATAAGAGTAGATTTGGCTTGCCAGGTATTCTTGGTAAAAAATCTTAGAAAAGCCATTGTTTATTAGGATATAATAAATTATATTTTAAGCACTCATTTAGCGTACCTTTGCAGTCACACTTTTATATTAGCTTATGATTTCAAACAACAGAAAAATTAGAAATGATTTTATACGAGGGTGAGCTAAACGAATGCTCTGGCAATAATAACAGTCTATTGTAAAAATTAATAATCACTGAACTCGTCTTCTTCTGGAGCATAAATAGGCGGGAGAGCACCATGCGCATAACCAGGCCCATCCATTGTTTCATTCTGAGGCAAATAACTCTTTTCTCTGAACAATATGAAAGCTCTCGTTAAAATTTTTCTCGATAAGTGCCTAAAAAGCTTTTTATGTTTTTCCAATTTGTTAATGCTTGGGCCTCTGCATTCTGATTTTCAGTTATAAAAAGCATACTCTAGGGGCAGTGTTTGGGCTGCTTCAATTAGGGGTATCATCCTTAGATGAAGTCCTACTAAATGAATATTCCCAAGCTTCCGTGTCCTCAATAAAGCTTGCTCTAGCTTCGAAGCGTCTCTGTTGTATCGGTATTCTGCTAGAGTTATCAAGTTCTCGTATCTGGCTATATCAGAATTTTGGCCAGATCCTCGTGGCTGGTCTTTGTATTCAAGTTCTATGTCTTCTTCCATAATAATTATTAAATAAAGCTAATTTAAAAGCCGGTTATTATTTTGGGATTTTAATAGATAAATAATAAAATAGCTTAAAAATAACGATTCTGGTCTTATATCAATCGTGGTATGTTATTACTCACTATTATATTACAAAATCAATTTATTTTTGAAATAAATTTTAGTTGACTTCAATTAAATAGGCATATTAAATTAATTGATGGGAAATCTTCCAGGCAAGCACATCACATTCAGAAATGACGTAATAAACGTCCCTTCCAGTCCAAACTTTGTATACCGCAGAAAAAGTCAAGAGCTAAACGAGCTTACAATCATAAAAGTTTTGAATCTTCCAGAAGCCTCTTCTGCAACCTCTCCCTCAGTGGAGCCAAAAAGTTCAGAGAAATCAGGAGATTCCTCTGCGAGTGCTGAGTCCAGCTCTTCATCTGACTCCCAATCGCAGACTTCAGAGTCAGAAGAGCCGCCCGCACCATACGAACTGCTTCCTGACGGCTCGAAAAAGGTAAGAATAATAGAAACTTCTTTAGTCCAGCTTCCTCATACGAACAAGGACGCTTTCCGCAAGCACTCTAAAGAGTTCGATAAATCAGAATTCACAAACGCAGTGAATGCTTTGAAACTCCTTAAAACCCATGTGGAAATCATTGAAGACTCTGATCACAAAGAAACCAGCCCGAAGTTCAAGAACCAGATTCATAATTTTGAGGCTGGGGAGTATAAAATTGCGAAAAAATTCATTGAAGAAAACCCACTTGAAGAAGAAACTAAAGAAAGCGCAAAAGTGGAAGAAGAAGTTGAGCCAAAAAGACCTGAAATACCACATAGAAAAACTGTGGTTTTTGAATCGCCAATTGACACAAGTAAGTCCAATGCGAATTTTGCTGACAAACTTAGACAGTTCAATAAAAATGAATTTATCAATGCTAAAAAGATGAGCATGAAGGACGATGAAATTGCTGATATTTTAGACTCTAGCCGCAAAGAAGCCAAAATCCGCAGCAGAGGCCGCAGCTTAACATTGAAATAAAATGTAAATTATTAATTAAACCCTATGAGTAACCACACTCTTGTAGTCGCTTGGCTTTATAGGCTCGAACCAGAATGAGAAGTTATTTGGCTTTCTTTTAGTCTCCAAGCCCATATCTCTGACAAATTGGTCTATTGTAGGATATGAGAATCAGCTGAAACTTATCGTGTCTTCACCATTTATAACTGTTCTTGTGTAGTCTCTTCTCTGTTTGATATCATCGATCATCTTAGGGTATCCTGGCAAGTTGACTCTTCCTCTAAGGACTTCAGCTAGCCAGACTGTCTGCATATTTGTATAGAGAGGGTTGCAGTAGGTATTTGTGATCCCAACAACTGCAAAATTTTTCTTATCTGGGATAAGGGTGTTTCTATACATCCAGAGACCGTCATTTTCTGCTGGCAGGCCAAAGTAGTTTCTATCGTAGCCTGTTGCACAAACAACTAGGTCAGCTTCAATTAGTTTTCCACCTACAATAACTCCATTCTCAGCAAGACCTTCTACTGCACCTCTAACGACTTTAAGGTTTCCTTTCTTGATTTCATTAAAAATATCTCGTTCTCTGCTACCTCCTCTGAAAAATTTTTCATTCTTATAAGCAGTAGTAGGGACTAATTCACTTGGCAAGTCTTCATTAAGTGCATTTTCAAGCACTTTCCAGTAAGCGTCACCAAGCCACTTAAAGTACTTATTAATAAATGATTTTTCGCAATAAAATGGGTATTGGAATAAAAATCCAAATCTGCTCGAAGACAAGTATCCAAATGGGATTCCATGGAACTTTTGGTCTATTGGAGTAAAATGGTGAGCTTTTCTCATGACTATTGTAGGCTGCGCTCCATACTTATAAGCCTGTCCTAGGACGTCAAAAGCACTTTTTCCGCTCCCAATAATCACTACTTTCTTTCCTTGGCACCATTCTTTTGCATTTATAAATTCTGCATTGTGTATCACCCTCCCTTTAAAATTTTCTTTTCCAGGCAAATTGGGCATATGAGGCTTATTATAAGGCCCAGTGCACAGAACAAGAAAATCATAGTCCTTTTTTTCTCCTTTTTTTGTCTTCACTGACCAAGATTCATCAGGCTTTTGAGAAATCTCAACAACTTCTGTGTTGAATTTAAAAAGCGGCCACAGGTTGAAGGTAGTCATATAGTCTTCTACAAACTTTTTCACTTTTTCGAGCCTTGGTAGCTCTTCTGTGCCTTCTGGAAACTCAAAATCTGGGAGATTGTAATGGGGATATGGGAGTTGAAGACCGCACCCATCGTAGTTTTTCCATCACAACCCTCCAGCGCCTGAGTTTTGCTCGAGGACTTCTACTTCGTAGCCTTGCTGGGTAAGAGTTTTAGCTACAATAGCTCCAGCGATACCTCCGCCGACCACTCCGATTTTTTTCGGAATTTTGGTTAAGAAGTGTTTATTTGGGTGATCATGGTATGAAGCTTTAGGAAGAAGCTGATAAGGAGGACCTGCGGGCTCTTCATGAGATATGGGATATGCTAAGTAGGCTGCTGTTGCTCCTGCGCAGAGAGGAATTGAGAATAGCAGTTTCTTCATTATTATTGGATCCGATAGGATTTACCATATATCCATGTATATAGAAGTTTCCTATGTTTTGGCGCTGTAAGGCCGATAAATTCTGATCGGAATTTATCGGTAGGTTGCACCAAATCAATGCCTTGGTCGGACCAAAAAGCGATTTGGTCCGACGAACTTGGAAAGCTCCTGGGAAAATGTCTGCGCTTTTAGCGCTATATAGAGGAAACCTCTATATCTGACGTGTCAACGGTTGGATGAAATAAATTATGCGCGAATTTTAATTTGGAATCAGATATACCATTAAAAAGGATTTAAATTTTTGACTGTTTAGCAAGTTCAGTTTGCTAAAAAATGCATAACAAATGTCCAGATTTTTTTTCAGGGAAATTTTTTCCTTTTTAAATCTCATTTTCCAACAATTCTGAATATTTTGATGTTTTTTACATTTTTGAAGTGCATTCCGGCATCAATATAGCATTTGCTTACTTATTATGCAAAAACACCAATTAAAAATATCGTTAAAAATTGGCCTTTAAAAATTCATAATATTAAAATTGATATCTCTTTTATTAGGATGTAATCAAATCAATGACTCATTGGATTTTATTAAGCTGATTCAATCACCCAAAATGCATAAAATTTAATTTCATCGCATTTTAACTAGGCAGCACTATAAAAAATATGAGCAAAGAAGAAAAAGGCTCCGAAGAGATGGATACTGGGAATAATGAAAAAGAAAGCGACAGATATGAGTATTACGTACTTGTAGAGCACGACCACCAAGGCTCAGAAGAAAAAGAAGATGAAAAAGACGAAAAGCCCCAGAAGAAGCAAAAGCGAGAAGACTCAGATTTCCTCAATATTAAAAAAGGAGATGTAATCAAGGTAATATTTAAAGACGAGTCCGGATGGACCTGGGGCCAAAAATACAACACAAAACTTAAACAGGTAGAAGGTAAAGCAGGCTGGTTCCCGACTTCGTTCGCCAAAAACTACTTCACAGCAATCAAGGCTGAGCGTAATTCAGAACTCAACAGATTAGCCCAGTACCCAGCAGACTTTTTATCGTATTGTTATACTTCAGGAACAACCCCTGCAGAAGCAGCTGTAAAAGCAGCTGGCCAGCAGGAAACCCACTTTAGAGGGCTGCCCCTGCTTGAAGATGTCAAGGACGACCCAGATCCTCCTCAGAAGGCAGTTAAATTGATGAACCAGTATTTTAACTACGAAGAGTGGAATGACCATATGAATAAAATTGATCCTTCCAGAAGAAGAGCAAGGCCGAACCCAAAGCTGAAGAAGCAAAAGAAAATTAATTGGTAAATTTCTGAAGGATATAGATTGATAAGATATATCTCCAATAGCATTTTTAATAAATAGAAATATTTAATCAATCATAGTCTAGGCAAATATCTATTATGCATGAGCTATCGGAGATAAATTCGTTATAAAATGATTAAGTTCTGTTCAAATTTCTTTTAATCATGCATTTTAAATCTAATCAGTTATTTTTTAAATACAAGTTTTAACAGAGCTTTAAAATCCATAAAATGCATTTAAGTACGATAAAGGATCTTGCTTATTGCAAAGTATAGAAAAGTGATAAAAATGTAATCAAATTTTCTTTCAGAATATGGACATAGTTGCAAGCCTTTTCAAAAACATCAGATGCTCCAACTGCAACGAGCAACTCAAACTAGTAGCGAAACGCCGAAAATGCAAAATCTGCAGTATCTTTTATATAGAATTCATATTCTGTGCGAAATGTAGTATAAAAGAAGTCCCTGCCCATTTAGGATTCATGTATGCTCGTCGCTATTGCTACCGCTGCTATATCAATATAAAACTTATGAAAGAGCCAGACTCCCACAATTCCATCCACGAGGAAGAAGAAAATAACTCCTACGAAATTTTAGGTGACAAGCCTGAAGATGGAGTCAAAGTCATTGCAGAAGCTGCAGGGTTTCCTACTGAAGAGATTGAAAATAATCGTCAAAGCATAATTGAAGCTATGGACGCGCTTGTAAAAGGTGTGAAGCCGCTCCCTTCTCGTCGTAGTGTACCATTAAAATAGGTTGATCGGGTCTTAAACCAGAGAGTTCAGCTTATAGAAGACGACCCCAATAACCATTACAAGACAATTAGAAAAATTGGTGAAGGAGGATCAGGCAGCATTTTCTTAGTCGAGCACTTAGAAACCCATGGAAATTTCGCGATGAAAAGAATTCGCATAAAAAATCCAAAGCAAAAAAACCAAATTCTCAATGAAATTAACTGCACCATTTTGAGCCAGAATCCTAACGTAGTGACTTATTACGAGTCTTATTTATTTGACGAATTCATATGGATCATTGTTGAAGTTATGAAAACAAGCTTAACTGAGCTAGTTATGGACAGATGGGGAATGATCCCAGAACACCTCATGGCATATATTTTAAAGGAAGCTCTAACCGGTTTAGTTAATTTGCACCATGAACATAGAATTCATCGGGACATAAAAAGTGACAACATTCTAATTTCTTGGGACGGAAAAATAAAGCTTACTCCCCCCACCGTGAGCGAACAAAGAATCTTGTACACTCACGGAGGGAGGTTAATTTTAATTTTAAAAAAATTTATATATAAAATTTTAAAGAGAAATTTTTTCTCAGAATTTTAAAAAATCCCACTTCTCGAAAATGGAAGGCAAATATTAATTTAACTCGTAAAATTTATGTTTTAAAACGCAATTTGTTTAAAATTAAAACAGAATCAGCTATAGATGTCATCATACTAGCTATCACTTATATATCAAAATCTTTTCCCTTAAAATATTTTTCTATTAAAAAAAAACTTTTGTTCGCTCATGGAGGGTGGGTTTTTAGGCAAAAAATAGGGATTTTTCCAAAGGTTTTGTTCGCTCACGGAGGGGGGGAGTTAGTGATTTTGGATACGCAGCACAGCTTACAACTGAAGAAGATAAAAGAACGACTGTAGTGGGAACTCCTTGCTGGATGGCTCCAGAACTGATTATAGGGAGCAAGTACGATACAAAGGTCGATATTTGGTCACTTGGAATTGTTGCATTGGAGGTTGCAGAACGAGACCCACCATTTTTGAAAGAAAATCCACTGAGAGCGCTTTACATGATTTCTAATGCTCCTTCACCTGCTTTAAAAAAACCTGAAGAATGAAGTGATGAGTATGTGGATTTCGTAAGTTTGTGCCTTATTAAAGACCCAGATCGTAGACCGAGTTCAGATGAGCTGATGACCCATCCTTTCATCCAAAGTGCCCCTAACGATGCAGGATCTCTCTTTTGCGAGTATTTCCAAGAATGGGCAATGAAAAGGAAAAAATAGTTTGTAATTCTTTTTAATATCCTATTTACCTCAAAATTAGTGTGGAGTAATTTTTGATTCCCGACACCATCTAACTGCCTAATTCTCCGCTATTCTCATGCTTTCTCCTTGACAAAATCAAATTCTGGAATCTATAAATTAGATAAAGCCTAATAAAAATATGAGTGAAGAAGGAATTTGCTGTCCAGTGTGCATGGAAAGATTCAATGAGAGCCGCCACTCTCCTCTCCTTTTAGGATGCGGCCACACCTTTTGTCGGGACTGTCTCTGCTCACTCCACAAAACCAAACAACAGCTCAAATGTCCTCACTGCAACAAAGTTGATCACCGAGCACCAGATCTGCTGCCTAAGAACTACATCTTATCTGAAGTCGTCTTAAAATCGCTGTACAATACAACCACTGAGTCAGACCCGTGGTCTTGCAAGTTGCACCCTGGGGAAAATATTGCTTTTATGTCTCAAAGTACCCGACAACTCTTCTGTTCTGAATGTTTGAATGGGAAAAACGTCAGAGACCTGATCATGCTGGAGTCTCAAAGCATGGCATCTCAGCTAAAGGTTTTCAAAGATCTCTATGAAGGCTGCTCTGTGCATGACTTACATTTAAGGGCTGAAGTCTGTGGGCAGTTAAGTGAAGCTTTAGAAGGGCAAAAACTGCGAGTGATTACAACTATTGATTCCGCCTACATGAGTGCTGTGCAAGCTTTAGAAAACCAGTTTACAGCGTATAAACAGAGGATTGCCACAGCTTTCAATAAAGAAAGAGATAAGCTGACAGATACCAAAGATTTACTGAATTTGTTGAAAGAAATGAAATCTGGAGGAGTCCCAATGAATAAAATCACCCAGAGCATGCCAGTGCCGAAACAGCTACAAATAATTGGGGCGTTGATGTCTATAAGTGAAATTGGGATTTCAGCTGACCTGAAAAAGCTTGCTTACACGCCTTTTGAGTTTCAAAACAAGATTGAATTGCCATCTAAAGCGTTTGATGTAGCAGTTGCGATTATCGAAACCCCAGTCCACTTGCTTAAAGGAATTGGCGCTTCTATGGATACAGCTGAAAAAAAATTAAGCAGATTTGGCCCTCCTACCAATAGATGGGGAATTTTTGAGGGCAGAAATCAAATAGAAGCAGTTACCTTTACAGTGAATAAAAAGATGTTCATCACTGGGGTGGGGATTGGGAATGCTTATCATGTAGGAAAAACTGTGAAAATTGAAAACTTAAAAGTGATTAATGGCTCAACTACGAATTCTCCTGCAATTTATGAGGATACTAATATTGACTTGTTTTACGAAGCCAATTCTTCAAAAGTGGTCAAAATTTCGTTTAAAAAAGCTGTGGAGTTGGAATGTGATCATGACTATACTATAAAAGCAGTGCTCAAAGGAGACGCAGGCGTTTTTAGAGGTGGAACTACAACAAGGACCAAAAATGGGGAAAACGGGATTATTTTTAAGTTTAAAAATACTACTTATGATGCTGATGATGTAAAGAATGGAGAAAATGCTGACGATGGGCCGATTTTTGATATTTACTATAAATTAAGCATCGACCAGTCTAGCTCTGATATGAAATTTTCTAGATTCGAAAGTGCACAAGGGCAATGGGGATTCTTTTCAGAGCATCAAGTAGAAGCTTTTACATTTAGCTTCGACAAACCAGTAATGCTTTCAGGCTTTGGCGTTGCAAACCCTGTACAAGAAGGCAGCACCTGCACTATCAACTCATTAAAAATCCTTAAAGGAAACTCAACTCAAGGTCAGCTGGTCTTCGAAAATCCTGAAAAAATGACTTTGACAAATAACGGTGCTGATCCTATCACCAAGATCCAGCTTTCAAGCTTAGTTAAACTCCAAGCAGGAGAAAAGTATACAGTCCGAATCGAAATTAAAGGAAGTGACTGGGTTTTTCGTGGCCAAATTTTTAAAGGAAACGTAATTACAGTCAATAAAATCACTCTAACTACAGAAAAGGCTGAGTATGCAGGAGGGGACACCAAAGATGGGGATAATGAAAGAGACGGACCATTAATTGACATTTATATAGCCTCAACAGATGCGGTTTCTGCCTTCGGCATGGGAGAAGTCCCTGATAGACTTGTAGAGCTTGCTGGAGGGGAAACACAAATTTGCAGATTTGAAGAGACTGATAAACAGTGGCACCTCAACAGCGAAAATCAGGTAGAGACATTCAGTTTTTCTTTCAGTGAAGACGTTCTTCTTACAGCTTTAGGCCTAGGAAACTGTGTTAAGGTAGGAAATTTCATCACTGTAGAAAACGTCCAGATCCTCTCAGGATCTTGCTCTATAGGCCCTATAATCTATAATTCAACACAACAGGTCTGCTTGTATAATCATACAGATACAAACCCAGTCGTAAAGGTGAAGCTTGAATCTCCATTAAAAATAACTGGAAACATTCCATATACCTTAAGAGTTATAATGAGAGGTGAAGGCAAAGCTTATAAAGGGAAAAAATTCCGAGGAGCTGCTATCACGATGCCAGATGGAATAATATTTAAGTCAATGAAAAGTCGACTTGGAGGAACTGATAAGCGAAATGGCGACAATGAATCAGCTGGGCCTCTATTTGATGTTTACTATATTCCGCTGGAAAAACCATATTCTCTTGACCAATACAATGAGCTACTCAACTTGTTATTCCCCAAGTTTACGGAAAAAAAGAGTCCTGAAGTGCTGCCTGGAGAAGAGAGCAAAGTCTGCAGGTACGCGACGACAGGATCTAGTTGGCATATAAATACAGACGGTAAGCAGGTCGAAGCGATCTCCTTTAAAGTCTCCAAAAACATACGGTTAACTGCATTAGGACTAGGAAACGCCCACGAAGAAAGCAAAAAGGTGACCATCAGGAAAATTCAAATTAGAGAAGGCAAAAGTACCCGCGGAAACAAGGTTTATAATCACAGCACAAAGGAAAAACTCATCAATATCGGCGAGGAAAGCAAGTTTGTAAGGGTGGGGCTTGAAAATCCTGTAATTTTGGAGCCAGAAACATGGTACACCCTAAGAATCAAGTATAAGCAAGGAGCTCCAGTGTGCAGAGGGACAACCGTGAATAACCATCCATCAGCGAATGGGGTGCAGTTTGACTTTGAAAAAGCCAAATTTGATGGAGGAGACATGGAAAATGGAAGCCATGAAGTGCATGGTCCTTTGAGGGATTTTTATTTCCATCTATAAGGTAAAATTAGTTTAAACTGAATAATAAATAAGGATTTATTAGAAAATGACGCCATTTTGTGCTTCATGTGAAACCACATTACTGGGTAATTTAAAAACTAACGCCTTATAAAGATTTATGTCCTCTTCATTTACAGTCAGTCCACAACCAGAAAGCCGCTTTCGTCCTCGCAGTTTGACTCCGATGGTGAACTTTTCTCGTAAAACTCCAGACCCTGGGCAATCTGTGATAGCAGATTTTTACCAAAATGCATACATTGTTCCAAAATCTAAACTTATCGCTTTATCTCCTCAAACTGCCCCTGTCACTTCCCAAGACTCTGACACAACCTCTAAATCAGCTTTAATACACCGTGTGTCAGATCTTGAAAGGCAGCATCGTCAAGACAAAGCAAGGATTGAAAACTTGGAAAAACAAGTAATTGAACTGACTATGAAATACGAAGAAATGAAAGCTGCCAATAAAATGCTTTTAGAGCAAAAAAGCTGCAACGGCGGGGAAGTCCACGCTCTGTATCAGGACCTTTTCCTGACTGATTTAAAGCAACAAATGAATGAAAAAACACAAGAAGCGGCAAAAATCAGGTCAAAACAAGTCCAAACTATGAAAGAGCTAGAAAGTTTGAAGCGGGACAATTTTCAGTATCAAGCCACCTTGAAAAGGTATAGAACATTGCTAGCAGATGCTCTAAAAAAGCCTCCTATGGACTTTGCAGACTCATCATCATTTCTTAGTGCAATAGAGAGTGATGCAAGCAGTCGCAAGCAAGGATCAAGCTCAAATAGAAGATTCCAGCATCTTCTAGCTCAAGACAGTCGGGCAAGCTCTCCAGTCGGTTTAAAGCTAAGCCTAGTTTCTCTATCAAAACTAGAAAAACTCGTACATGTCTTGAGTGCGCTGAATAAAGCTCAGACAGTGCTTGATATCTGCAAAATCATATCTAGGGGCTCAAAGTCTTTAACAAAATCACAGAAACTGACCCTTTTCCTTATAGGGAGCAAAATAAAAGACGACTATATAAAATGCTTTGAAAAAACGCCTGACTTTATAGGCCGAGTTCGGGTAGGAAATGAATGGATAATGCTACATACTCACGATAATGCAGACCAAGAAGAACCAATTTTCCGCAAACTTGATGATTTAAAGTTTTCATCAAGAGAGCATGATTCTCTTGTGGTGCCTATTCTTATAGAAGACCAGCTTTCTTTTGCAGTTCAATGCCAAGACAAAGTTGCCAAAGATAAAAAAAAATCCTTTACTGCTGCTGATGAAGTCATAATAAAAATAATAGGAATTTCAGTTGCTTCAAGAATAAACACTATATGGGCTATGAGAGACCTGCACATAGAATTCCAAAAAGCTACACAAATAGCAAATATTGCTTCAGAAATCGTTTTGGCGAAGAACCATAAAGATATAGCAAATAGACTAAGAAAAGTGCTCGCTGGGTACTGTAATTTTGAAGTGGCTGGGATAGTATTTTTAGATTCTACAACAAAGGAGTTTTTTGTAATGGTGCACGACCCAAATGCTGAAGAATTTTATAGTGAGGGAGTTTTAAGGTTTCCGATGACAATGGGGATTACTAGTGAAGCATTGAAAAAAGGGGGTGTGATGCCAGTTCCAAATCCAAGACTTTTGGCTTGCTATAATCCTCAAATTGATAACGTAGCTGGAGCTAGAGAGGTCAGAAATATTCTGTTTGGGGCAGTTAAAGACTATAGGGGAAACTCAGCAGCTGTAGTTCAGTTGATAAACAAAAAAGACAATGAAATATCTGAAAAGGACTGCAAAACACTGGAATCGCTGCTAGGAATGCTTGGAGGCTGCGTTTCTGCAGCTAATATTACTATCGAGCAGTTTTCCTACCCCCCCCCCCCCCCTCCGTGAGCGAACAAAAAAATTTTGTTCGCTCACGGAGGGGGGTTATTTTTTTTTTTAAAAAAAATTTATATATAAATTTTTATAAAAAATATTTTTTTTCGAAATTTAAAAAAAAATCCTAATTTGCAAAAATGGGAAGCAAATATTAATTTAATTTGCAAAATTTATGTTTTAAAACGCAATTTGTTTAAAATTTAACAGAATTAGCTCTAGATTTCATTATACTAATTATCACTTATATATCAAAATTTTTTTCCATTAAAATTTTTTCTATTAAAAAAATTTTTGTTCACTCACGGAGGGTGGGTTTTTGGTCAAAAAATGGCGATTTTTCTAATGGTTTTGTTCGCTCACGGAGGGGGGGGGGAGTTAACAATTGAAGCTAAAAGAGGCATAGAAAAAGTTGTGGAAAGTCTTGCAATGTCGGATTTAGGGTTGGTGGGGACAGATACAGAGATATCATCTATGTTCAACCAAATGATGATGCTTAGACATCAGCTCTCTGAGTGGTCAAAGTCAAGAAAAATGAATGTAATACAATAAAATTTATTTGTAAATTATTATTATTATTTATAACTTCTTCCTTCAATGCCCATAAAATACATTATCTTAATCTTTTAGGTGTCACAATAGAATCACCTACATGTGAAAAAGGACTCTTCCGAGATCTCTCCAAACTTTTGTTATTTCTTAGCCTATTTGGCGGCTTTACATCAAATGTTGACCTTGTTGAAGAGCTGGGTGTCCTCCCTCCAGTGCTTATAGAATAAATCCACAGTTTCTTATGATCCTCATACAGCGGACTTTTTTTTCAGTACTCTTCATCTTCAGCTGCATAAGGGTTTTCTTCCTCTTCAAGCTTTGGACTCCTCCTAAGTTTAACAGCTCCTTTAAACGACTCTCTGAATATTTTTTACAATTTGTCCATGATTTCTTTCAAAACTTTGTCTTTTTCAGCAAGGCACTCTTTGAGTGCTTTTATGTCTTCTTGGTTTTGTTTGGCGAGTTTTTCCATTTCCTCAATCTTTTCTTGTTGAATTGTTATTTTAGGTTCTGGAGTCGCACTCTGTTTTGGAGTTGGAGTTAAACTTCGACTTTGAGTAGAATTGAGCCTTCGCTTTAGGTTTCTGATGAGTGGCTTTCCTATTGATGCTGGCTTTAGCGACAGAACAGTTTCGCTATTTTTCAATATGATAATTCATGGAGATTCATTAGCTCCTTGCCGTTTCCACTCTGTCAAGTTTGACCCTCCTCAGTAAATTTTCATCATTCTCGGCTCTTTTTTGCTAACTCCCCCCCTCCGTGAGTGAACAAAACCATTAGAAAAATCGCCATTTTTTGCCCAAAAACCCTCCCTCCGTAAAATTTTTTATGGAAAAAATTTTTGATATATAAATGATAATTAGTATAATGAAATTTAGAGCTAATTCTGTTTAATTTTAAACGAATTCCATTTTAAAACATAAATTTTATAAATTAAATTAATATTTGCTTTCCAATTTTTGCGATTAGGATTTTTTTAAATTTCGAAAAAAAATAATTTTATAAAATTTATATATAAATTTTTTAAAAACAAAAAATTAAACCCCCCTCCGTGAGTGAACAAAATTTTTTTGTTCACTCACGGAGGGGGAGTAAATGCTGATGCTTTAGAAATTTCATCGCCAACATAGATACCTATAGGATTAAATGAGTTGTCAGCAAGATCTTTGTTAGTTTCTCTCATCATAAGGACATCTTTCATGCTGAACAGGATGAGAAGCGAAGGCTTATCTTTAGGAAGCTCAAGATTAATAGATTCCCTAGTTTGTAAATCAAAGAGTGGTAAATTCATTATTATAAATCAGTTATCTAAATATATATTTTTTCTATATGAATGTAAGAGATTAGCCTAAACTTATTTAGAATAAAAAGTAATGCTTACTCCCCCCCCCCCCCTCCGTGAGCGAACAAAAAATTTTTGTTCGCTCACGGAGGGGGGTTAATTTTTATTTTTTAAAAAAAATTATATATAAAATTTTTAATTGTAAAATAATATTTTTTTATAAGTTGAAAATTATTTTAAAAATATTATGGGGGGAGAGTAAGGGAATTTCCCAAAAAAAAAAGAATACCATTTGATTAAAGGTAAAACACAGCTTAATTTTTCAATAATTTAATAATCAATAAACCTATTAGTAATAAATATATGCATTCAGTTAAAATATTTTATATATATTTTCTTATTTAATATAATAAGCAAATTCTCTATAAATCATAATAAAAATGTACAAAGGGAAAAGAAAGTACATTGAAATTTGGCAGAAAGTTGAAATTGCTGAATTTTACATTCAACACCAAAATGAGATGAGCATGAGAGATGTTGCTGCAAAGTTTCATGTCAACTCCTTTAGCTCGATTTCCGAATGGGTGAATAAGCTTGATGAGTTGAAGAAATCAGTAAAATCTGATAAAAAATTAAAATTAGAAAGCTTCACTCAATTTCCAGAGCTAGAGAAAGAACTAGTTCATTGGTTTACTGCAATCCGTGAGCAAGGTATTCAGGTTCTCAGATCAACGATTGAGGAGAAAGCAAAAAGTTTGGCGGCAGAAATGGGATTGGCGCGATTCGGCTGTGGAGATAAATGGTGGCAAGGATTTAGGACCAGAAATAATTTATCTTTCAGAAAAATCAATGCCTCAAGCATTAAGCCAATCGAAAAAGAGGCAGAACTTGTCAGGCAATACCTAGATGATTTAGCGTCATTGCTTCCTCAATTCGTTCCATCTAACATTTACAATTTCGATGAAACGAGATTTGATTGAGATGTAAAAAGCAAGTTCACTTATGATTCAAGGGAACTCAACGAATTCTAGGCGTTCAATCAGCTAAAATGAACCATTTTATCACTGTTATGCTTATGATTAGAGCTGATGGAGAAAAAATGCCTGCTTTGCTCATTTTTCAAGAGAAAAATGGCCAGATCCCGAACCTTGTAAGAGAAAGACTGAATATTCCAGAAAATGTCATCATAAAATCAAATAAATCTGGCTACATTTCTGACCAGATTCTTAATGACTACCTCAGAACAATATTGAGACGAGAAAACCAACTGCTGATTTATGATCAGGCTGGAAGTCATAAAACTATCATGATTTCTAATGCAATTTCAGATTTAGATGCAACCAAAATTGTGATCCCTGGAGGGTGCACAAAGTATTTGCAACCACTTGACGCACTGGTAATTGCAAATTTCAAATCAAAAACAACAGATTTCAGAATCAAAATTCCAAACAGAGCAGATTGAAAGAAGATCGAAAAGAACTGGAAACCTCAAAGCTCTTGATCGCCAGCAACTGATAAACATTGCTTCAAAGGCGTGAGATGCTGTAAGCCCTCAACTTGTCAGAAAATCATTTGAGTTGACGGGTTCTTATGGCGTTAATCATCCAAAGATTTTCAGCCATCAAGTTAATATGAAGAAGTTAATTATCTAATCGATTTCTTCTATTCATTTTTTTGTCTTAAATTTAAAATTGTTAAATTCAACCTTTTCACTTATGGTATTCTTTTTTTAACCCTTTGAATAATATATCAAACAAACTTAATAATTATTTTTCAATATTATCCTCTTTATTTCTATTAAATATAGATATAATAAACTATATATAAAATTATATGTAAAAAAATTTTTTGTTCGCTCACGGAGGGTGGGTTTTTGACCAAAAAATAGGGGATTTTTCTAATGGTTTTGTTCGCTCACGGAGGGGGGGGGGAGTTAGTAAGCATATATTGATACATTTTGTATCAGCCGACTTATACATGCATCTATAGCTGCTTTTTAACACTTTTTGTGCGTCGGCCTTGGTTATCATCGAGAAATGCTTTGGAAATAGAGTTGGGGCTGATAACTCCTTTTTTAGGATAAGGAGGCAGCCGAAATGAAGGCTTAGTGGTGGAAAGTGACGATTCTTGTCTGTTGTAAGAAATTGAAGCACTGATATTGTCAGTACTTGGAATTCTCATCGGAGGATTTGGAGAGTTGTTTCAGGAGCGAATACTTGGGGTTTTGAATTTATTTTCGTCAGGGCTTTTGCAGCCCGGAGAAAGCTTGTCTTCTTCATAGTTTGATAATTTCGAGTGATGTCTTTTTAGAATTAAGCTGAGCAGATCATGAGACTTGTGTTCTTGATAAGAGTAATTTTGCCATAAAGGGCCTACTTCGCTGCTGTCTTGAATATGTGACGAATCTTCTCCATATGAAGCATCATGCACTTTTGGCCTCTCTTCGCTGCTTGCCCATTTTTTCGGCCTAGACTCAGCTTTATCGTATGAAATTCTATTAAGTCTCAGCCTTTGCTCAGTCAATTTTGGTCTATTATTCTTTTTTATCTCTTCTTTTCTATTTGTTTCTTTAGATTCTGACGCATTAAAAGTTTTCTTTACCTTTTTGGCATAAAATTCATTATGTTTAACACCATTCTCATTACCCAAATCTTCTTGCCATTGCCAAGTTTTATTTAATGAAACTTCTTGTATATGACTATACGTTGACGCTTCTTCTTGCTCTATATGATGGCCTTTCAATTTATTCGAAACAATTGAGATTGAAGCAGACGAAGCATGCTCATCTTCATCCATATAATGTCACCCTGAATATAAAGGATGTGGCTTTTCTGGGTTTTCCACTCTGGGAGATTCTTTTTTTGGGAGATCAATTTTCATTTCAGGAATCATCAAAAAGTCGACTTCTGAGTCTTCTTGGTCTTTTCCAAAGATATTTTCTATTGTATTTCCTCAGTCATTATTTCAAGCATTCATGTCTCGATTTGGGGTGATTTTTAATGTGGTTTGTCTGCTGTATTTCCTATATAAATATTACTTTAGATGACAACAATTGCCCATTTAGTAAAATATCATTAATAATTATTTTAATTAAAAAATTGATAAATATTTTTGCGGAATAAGGAAGTCTTAAGAATTGATATTATAGGCAATACAATAAAATTTAAAAAATTGGCTGACCATATTTACTGTAGTTTTTAAAAGCACTATTTTATTAAATATTATCAGATAAGAAATGCAATTATTATTTCTTAGCTTTGCTTGAGGGTGCTCAGTGAGTGAACAAAATAATTTTTTTTTAAATTTATAAAAATCCCAATTCGAAATAATTTTAAAGCAAATATTATTTAATTTTAAAATTTAAGCTTTAAAATGCAAGCAGTTTTAAAATTAGCTAGAAATTTTATTATACTAATTATCACTTATTTATAAAAAATTTTCCTTTAAAAAAATCTCCATATTAAAAAAATTTTTTGTTCGCTCACGGAGGATGGGATTTTTCTAATGGTTTTTTTACGCTCACAGAGGGGGAGTAAGTTGAGAAAAGATGAGATTCTGGTGAGATATAATAATTCATTAGCATTTAGCTTATTTAAAAAATAGAGAAAAATTACCATAACAATTTTAGCTCATATTATTATTTAGCACATATGCCAAGCTTCTCCCTTCAGATATCATAGCTGCTGCATATCCAAACTCTGAAATTACTTTGCGTGATCCTTCTTTATTGCAAACATCTCCAAGGTTTCTTACAGTTAAAAAAGGATCCCTTATGCATATAAGTTTGGTCCATTGGCTCTTAATTGGCTTACTCTCTTTCCTAGCGCGCTCTAACCTAGATATATCTACTATCGTATCATATCATCCAAACGATTCATAAAATCGAAAATAATTATAAAGGAGCTCCCCTATTGTTTCTGTATTTCTTTGAGCCAATTCTCTATATTTCTCATAATCCCTATCAAATCCGCAATCAAATTCTTGATAAAAATCTGAAATTTTGTTATCATTTTGTAAATTTGGGAGAATAGGAGGCTGCCTTCTTTGCAAAAAATATATCACCAATAAAGAATGTGCATACTGAGATAATGTATGCTGTATGGTATCTGCGATTCCCATCATTTTTGCCCAATGCTTTACAGTAACAACTAGTTGAGGCACTCTTTCATCAATTTTACTATAGGTATTGAGAAGTTCAGTGTTTCTTAGCGCAAAGTAATTGTTAAGAGAAATGCTGGAATCTACATCAGGATGAGAAGTTAGCCTAAATTTTAGTATGCGAGTTCTCGCTTCTATAATGTTAGAGCTTATACATGAATTCCTGATGGTCTTTTTGATCCTTTTCAACACCTCAAGCTCTTCTACAGCCTGGGGGAATGTTAAGTTAAGATCTAAATCGCTTCCTACAATTCCAAAACCACTCCTTGCGGAGCCATAAATTTCAACACTGCAATCACTTCTAATGCCTAGCTTCATCATTCTGTCTAATCGAGTTCTAATTCCTTCATAAATGCTGATAGTTTCATTGCTGAGGCGACTTGTTGTAAAAATAACTGCAATTTCTTCAGAAAGCGATTGGAAATCAATATTGATATTTATATTGTTTGTAGACATTGAATCTATCAGACTGCTTATCATTTTCTATATAATATTATTTGGGAATTAAGACATTAAGTTCATTAGACAATTGGGGGTTTATGTTAGGAAAAATATATTCATTTAAAAATTTACATCAGTATTGGATAAAATATAGATGAGCCACAATATGTGAATACTTATTGATAAGCTTTATTATTAGTTTTACTAATATTTCTCAATTTAAATTCAATTTTCCAAGACTAAGTAGTCACAAATTTATAATGTTTTCATTTAAAAGCCAGCTATAAATAAACATTAATCATTATTTCTTAAAACAATATAATTTATCAATTTCTAGATTTTACTTGTGTCATCATTTAGCATGTCGAATTAAATTAAAAATGAACCCAATTTCTGGAAAACCTCTACATAATAACAACAGCTTTGGAGTCAAAACAAAGGTGGTAATAAAATGAATACGTTTGGAATAGTTTCTCTCCATATTCCGTATAATTACTGTAGGTTCGATTTTACTCTATGCCTTTATCAAGCAATAGCAGGAACACATTAGAATGGAAGGGAGGATAAAAAGAGGTCTGTAATCCTTTGTGTATATCGGGCTAGATTTTTCTCGAGCCTTAAGGAGCTAATCCCTGAGACTTTAGTTTTTTATCCGAGACCATCAATGGAAACTGCAAAAGCTTTTGAAGAAGAGGTGGCATCTGCCTAACAAGAAAGTGGGAGTTTCGACCCAGGTGGCAGACAGACTATAGGCTCCACGCGTCATGGAAGGCAAGATCGGCTGTGCAAATCGCTTGCCTTCGGCGGCAGGAAGGGTTCCTGTCGGTGCCCATCGGGGATGATGAGTATAAGGTGGAAATCCCCTGTATTCGAGGACGAAAAGTTTAATCTAATCTAATATGATCTAAGTAACTAAAAAAGTAAAAGTCAAGAACAAGCAAGAATTTAACATAATTCAGTGAGACACTCCTGATCTCCATAAAAACAGCAAGAAATTTCCCTCCGACCTCAAAACCAATCGCATTGATTACGCAACTGAAGAACGGCTCCGAAGAGAAGAAGAAAATAAGAGAAAAGCCTTAATTTATAACCAAAAACGAGAAGCAGCCATGAAGCGCGATCTTTTAATTTCACAAAAAAATACAATTGTGGAAATCAAAGAAGCTGAAAAGCTAGAGCAAAAAAGATCAAAATTTTCTGACTATAAATCCCATGCTGGGTTAGCATATAATAGCATTTCTCTTGAATATCACAATTCTCAGCGAGGAAAAGAGCTTCAGCGACAAGACGAATACCAACAACATAAAATGGGACAACGGTTCCAGTCTTTAGACTCAAAAAGAAATTCTGGGTTCAATATTATAACAGGGGAGCCTCGATATAATCTCATCAGCCAAATTCAGCCTTCCAGACACTCTTAATTTTTATAAACTTTTTTAATTATCTGCTAATTCATATGAAACTCGTAAATTTTTCCCTTTTTTCTGCAATTTTGTAACTATGGCCCTCCCAATCTCTCTTATATGCTTGACGTGAGTCCCTCCGCATGGTCCGCCTGCATCAGCATTGCAGAGCTTCACAATTCTAATAGGCTTCCCAGGCTGAAAAAAGCTAGGAATATCAAAATTAGCCTTAGCTTCTTCATAATCATAAAGTCTCACACTTGTCCCTTCTTCAGTTTCTGCAATGAGCTTTTCCAGCACCTCATTAATTCTTGGAGCTGCAGTATCTCTTTCTTCATTTGGTAAAAGCGCTAAATACTCAACATAAGCTCCTCTTGGGAAGTGAAAACCTTTTCCAGGAGGCAAGTTATACCCCAAACTATGCACAGCTAAGTCAATTAAGTGCCCGGCTGAGTGCAGCCTTGCAAAAAGCCTTCTTTGATTTTCATCGATTTCAGCAATTACTTCACCTGAATTATCAAAAACAGTTTCTCCCAAGTATTTCCCAACATGCCAGATATTTTCATCCTCTTTATCATTCTCCAAAGTAGCTACTTGGAATTTTATCTCTCCCTGGGTGATAAAGCCAGAGTCACTTGGCTGGCCACCCCCTTGAGGATGAAAAACAGTCCGATCAAGTTTGATTTTCCAGCTTCCTTCTGGAGCCTGAATGGAGCTTAATATTCTTGAATTGCAAGCAAATTTGTAGGAATCTTGCAAAAATTCTCGAACTAATGTTGACTCCATTCTAAATATTCCCCAAAATATAAACTTTAGATTCTAATGAAATAGTACTATATATTTTTAAATAAAATTTAGCTTCATCAGAGAAAATATAATAATAAAACTCCACCACTCAAAATATTATTTTTAGCATATAATTACGTGCTAATAAATGGGCAAGAGCAACAATCAGATAAATAAGCAGCATCGTAAATCCAAAGAAAAAAAAGAAAAAAAGAAAAGATCCAAAGAAGAGCACTTCAAGCGCAAACACAAAGAAGAAGAAAAAAAGAAAGCAGAAAAATTTGAAGCAGAAAGGTACGATTTAGACGACTTTGCTTACAAGAAGCTATTAAAAAATATCAGCGAGCTATTAACTTATAGCCAAGAAACTAAGGAAGCCATCCCACAGCTGTTTTCTATGCTAGACTCAGGCCATGAAGTAGACTTAACAGACATTGAAGATGGCTTTGTAAGAGAACATCTTGAAAAAATCATGGAAATCTTTGAAAAACAAGTCACAAAAACTGAAGATGAAGATGGAAGGTTCGTATATGTGAGATCAGGGAAAAAAAGTTTGGAAAATCAAATCAAGTTGTATATAGAAAACAGCAGCAGCGACTCTAAAAGGGAGCAATGGATGACCTCAATGTCCTCCAGCCTAGAAACTGCCTACAACTTACCAGTCCCCAAGGCCAAAAAACCAGAGCCTGAAGAAAACCAAGAAGAAATCCGAAGCTTTATGCACAAATATGATCATGAAAATCGGCCTAAGTCTCTTATGGAGCTTCACCAAGAAAAGCATGGAATCTCCCAAGACTCCAACACAGACCAATACCTGTATGGCCACAAAACTCTTGATAAAAGGTTCGGGAAAGGGAAATTTTACACCAGTTTTTCTTAATAATTAATCATAAAATGGCTAGAAAATCAAGTCAAGTCCAGGGTGAGCAAATTTGGAATCAGTCCGAAAAAGTCAACGCAGAACTTTTTGCCTTTACTTATGGCTCTTTAGTAGTCAAATTAATCAGAGAGCTCGAAAACATCAGCGAAGTTAACAGACAGCTTGAAACAATGGGTTATAATATAGGACTTAGACTTATTGACGATTTTCTCAGCAAAAATGATGTGACTTGTGAAACGACCAAAGACACAGCTGAAGTAATAGCGAAAACTGGATTTAGAATGTATTTAGGGGTTACCTGTGACGTTACCAATTGGAATGCTGATGAAAATGAGTTTTCCTTGATACTTGCTGACAACCCTCTTACAGAGTTCGTAGAATTAAACGAAGATTATCGCGATTTAAAGTACCTGAATTTATTATGTGGAGTAATCAGAGGAGCCTTAGAAATGGTGAGGATCAAATCAGTCTGCACATTGGAAAGAGACTCACTTAAAGGCGATGAGTTTACCGAACTTAGGGTAGTTATCAAGGAAAAAGTCCAAGACGAGTATGAACCTGATGATGATTAATTAACATTTATAACCAGAGACTTGTTATAGCTCGGGCTGCGCTGACAAATCCCGACGCTACTCAGTGAGTAGACAAATAGCATTTGTTAGTAAAATCAACTATCTGGGGTAAATCCTCTTGATAATGGAGATTTATCACCCAGGTAGTTAATTTTATCAAAAATGCTGGTTTTCGGGAATTCATCAGCATAGCCCGAGCTATAGCAAGGCTTGGCCTATACATAAATTAGCCTTTTCTTCTGCGGCTCAGTGTGAGCTTTATAAAATCAAGATTTTCTGAACCGAATTTCAGCTCATCTTCTGCAATTCTATCTATTAGCTTTGTAAATCTTCGTCTGGGGGTTCGTTGGATTGCCAAAGCGTTTGCTTTTTCAGGGTCAGTTTTGACAGGCTTATTGAGTTTTCCTAATAAGAGCTTTGTGGCTTGTTGAGCGACATAAGTGCCTGTTAAGGAGACATGAGATGTTATATCAGTCATGGACTGGATCATAGATTTAAGGTTATTGAAGCCTTCAGAGTATTTTCGTTTAACAAAGTTTTTAGCTGAGGCGATTTTTTCAGCGTATTTTTTTTCAAGAGGCATGTCAGGAAGATGATCTTCTCTTCTTTTAATCCATTTTTGGTATGACATGAATTTCAGGTAGGATATTTGGTCTTTTCCTATAAGTTTGTCAACTTCATTTTCTATTATCTATTTCTGGATTAAGTTGAATATATATTTATAATAAAGGCTAATTATATATTTTGTATGAAATACCATAATAATACCACAGCATTTATTAAAAATGTTTTATTTAGCAGAATAATTTTTGCTGATGAGTTGACTTAGTTTCAAGATTTAACAAGAACGATGTTGGTTTACTATGCCTGGAGCTAGGTTGCAGAGTTTTAGTAGAGTTTGTTTGGTATAAATCAGATCTTGTTCGTCTATGTGTTGTTCTAATAAACCGTTCACAGATTCTAGCTGTATTAATTTCATCATTTTGATCAACATTACAGATTTTCAAAGATGGAACACTGAGTCCACTTTCTAATGAAAATCGTTTGGCGTTGAACTTATCCCCAGTTTTATATGAGTGTAATCCTAGAAAATACCATTTGCGGTCAGAGTTCTGTACGAAATCTAGCGAGAACTTCATAAGTTTTTGTTTCTTAATCACAGTATTTTCTAATAAAATTTTCACATACTCTAAAAACTCACACAGATCAACTGTTTCTGTTGACAATTTTATATACTTCGACTTGATTTCTTTGTTTATCAAAAACCTTACTTTATTTGCATAATTTGTAAACAAAGGGTCATTTATATCAGGGCTGTTGCTATTAAAAATTTGGTTAAATAGTGAAATTTGTGAAACTGAAGCATTAAATGGCAGCTGATTTCTGATGAATTTAACTTGAACATGCTCTGGGGTTCTTCATTGAATTCTTGTAACTTGTGCACAATTTCCAATAGAAATAACGTATTTTTGAAAAGTGAAGGCTTTTTTTTCTTCAATTAATATCGATGCTATTAATAAAGCATCTTGGATGCACATAACAAGCTGGATTTCAGTTTCTGTTTTAAAGACACCAAATGGAAATTTTGGGTTTTCATGCTTAAATGCTTCGAGATTGGAAATTAATGATAAATCAGATAGTTCAATAAATTCCAGAAACTTTCCGTTGTCTTTGATTAGTGTCAAAGCTTCGAAGCCGAATCCTTGAATTAATGTGTCTGGGAGAGGTAAACTGATCTATATAGCCAATACTTTATTGTTCTTTGCTGCAAGTTTCAGCAATTTAAAGAAATGCATACCTAATAAATTATTAATTAATCTTCAGACACCTTAGGTGCTAACTCCCCATCCGTTGACGAGAAAAACTATCAGTAAATTCCAAATTTTTTGGGATAATAACCGCTGCAAGATAGTAAAATTTTTAATATAAGTTGTAGTTATTATAATTAAATACCTATAGAACTTTTAAATAGCTTGCTTTCTAAATATTTATTCTATAATTAAATTTTTATTTTCAAATTTTTATGATCTTCTAAATTTTGATCAAAAATTTTTATTTCATCATGTGAGTAAGTAATATTTCAAAACTCCCAACTCAAAATTAAAAATCAAAACTAAGGGCAAGTCAGTAGCAATCATTAGTACAGCTTCATCTCCTAAACTCGCGCCCTTGTTGAACAAGTTCAAATACCTCAATGCATATGAGCAGCTCACATTTTCATTGACTTCTAAATGAACTTTATTTTTTCCATCATTTTTGGGCTTCAGTGAAATTTTTCCTTCCCCAATATCTCCCCCAACTTTAAAATGGACGCTTTGCTTTGTTACTTCAATGGCCAATGTTTCAGTCATCTGTGACATATCTCGGCATATCCTTGTGAATTCTGCGCTTGGCAGGGTAATGACACAAGGATACTCTTGTTCTGGAATCCCCAGATGTTCTGAGTCTAAATTTAATAAATTAAGATTAAACTCAGACACTTTATCATCATCTTTTCCCTCAAAAATAAACGTAATTATACTCGCATTGTCCTCAGCACGAATTTGAACGCGATCGTCATTTTCAGCGCACTTGAGAATCTTACCTAAATTTGTAATTGAAAGGCCTAAAGTTTGGGCGCGATCACAGCGGAATTCGTCAAAGCCATTTGCGTCAAGGATAAAAGTGACTAAAGCAACATGAGAAGCATCCATTGCTTGGAGAGAAATGCCTGCAGGCGTACACTCGAAGTTTACATCTGTCACGAGCTCTTTTAAGGCTTCAACAATCCTCTTTAGAATAAGTGCTTTGCTTAGTAATGCTTCGAACATATTAATATGGAATTCAGAAATAAATAGGAAATAGTAGGAAATATTAGCGAAAACTCATAATTAGATGATATAAAAACTATTTTTGGGTTGATTAAGTATGATTGATAGCTATTATTGTATTTTTTACCATTTTTTCTTTAAGAACTGCATTTAATATATAATTTATGCAGCCAAAGAAAGCGAGTTTAACTTTCTTATTAAATATTAAATATCTGCAAAGGCAAATATATATGAATAAAAGTAAATAGTTTTATTTAGAATAACGCTCTAATTAGAACTTAAAATAATAATGGAAGACGATCATAATCTAGACGAGCTAAAACTCAAAGCTCAATCTTTAGAATCAACAAAGGAAAAGCTTATGGCTGCAATTCAAACAACGCGCCAATCCATCTTTAATTACCAATCATGAATCTCTCAGTTAGAAAAGCAAAATGAAGCCTTGGAAATTGAATTATCCAAGAAGAAAGAAGAAATAAAAAATAAAAGAAGATCTTTGAGGGGCAGATAATAGTTTATACATAACCATTGTGTTTTAAATTTAAATTTATAATAAAATATTCACATTGCTACATAATTGTTGTCTCTGCTTTAGTAGGAACTAACCCCCGCTTTTTCATCCTGCTCTTTATTACCATGATTTTCTCTCTCAGCGCAGGTGTGAGCGATAAAAATTTTCTTCTTTTTACTATAGAATTTGTATTTTTAGCATTTTCTTGCCTCTTAAGTGGCGAAGTGGGCGCAATTTTGGGCAGAAAAGATTCTCGATTTATTTCATCAATTTTTGTAGGTGAATTTGGAGCAGCTTGTATATTAAAAGAGTCTTTAAAGTTTTCAGTGGATTTGTTTCCATTTGAATTTCTGTCACTATTTGATTTTTGTACAAAATTTTCTATTTATTTCTTACCATTTCTTGAAAAAATACTTCTTTCCCTTGACATTTTTTCTAGATTAAGCTTAAAGAGCTTTGGAGGACTTTCACTAGATTCCCTTGGTCTTAAAGTTTCAATAAACGGCAAATTATTAGTTTTCTCATTAGGAGATTCACTTCTTTCGTCTTCAGAGTCCTCACTGTCTGATTCATTGGTGTCGCTTTCTTCTTCCTCTTCATTGCATTCCATTTTAATCACGCTTATGATATCTTCTAAATTACGTTTTGTATGGTGATCTTTGTTGAAAGTTAAAGGAAAAATGTAATCCTTTGGTACTGAATTATTAATTAAGGTAATTTGCTTTGGATAGGAAATAGGAGAATTATCGTGAATATGCTGAACTATGTCTTCATCGTGAAGCTCTATAGCAGTAATTTCATTTACTTCAGTTTGAACGGTACTTAGTTGTCTTGATTTTTGACTCCTCCTATGCTGAGCACGGTAGAGTTTGAGCTTTTGCTCTGTTTTCAACAAAGTATGGTACTCTAAAATAGTTCTTGCAACATTTTCTCCTAATCCTAGCAAGTTATGGATTTCAAATGCTACAGTTTCTCTGTGCTCGTCTAGATAGCCAAAGTATGAAGTTTCTAATGTGTAAGAATTGATTACATTAAATTCTGTAGAAATCACAACTCTTGCTGTCCTTTTTTTCGCTTTTTCTTTTACAAATCTCGATGAGTGAAATCTAAAAATGCAGTCTCTTTCGCTCAGCAGCTTAGGGATAACCCTACATTTTAAATATAAAGGATTGTGCAATGGATAATATGGCCCATACATAAAAGCTCCTTTTCTGCAAAAATGCCCATGCATATCTATGTACATAAAGACTTTTCTAGGGGATTCTCTAGTAAGCTCTTTTATTAATTCTTTTAAAGAACATATATTAGGATGCAGCTTTTGGCTTGGACATGTAAAGCAGCGATTTTGATCATGGCCGTTAAAATCAGTACGGGAATTACCAAGGATAACTCCGTCTGGATTTGTCATTGGGATTACCTTAAAAATGAACCGATTTCGTAGCTTAGCAGCCTCTATATGTTTACTGCAAATAAACCTAAGAAATCCTTCTACAGTCCAAGAGCCAACAGTCTCAGATGGATGGATTCTACCAGTCACCACAATGAATTTTTTAAATTGGTCATCTACCTTTGGGTTTGTTATTGTAAGAATAGGAATATCAATGAGGCTTAAGCTTTTACATAAAACTGAGAGAGAAATGTTAGAAGTTTCATAAGAATTGGAGTCTGTTGTTAATGTATTTAGAAATTTTGTTAGCCTTGTAAGGGTGTATGGTACAGTTGTTGCGAACCAAACTTTATCGTTGGGGTATTCAAAATCGTAGTCAAACGTAAGTTGATTGTAAGGTTTCTTAGGGGTGCTTCCAAAGCATTTATTAATTTTACTACTTGAAAAGCACAAGTTTTCTCCTCCGTACTCCCAACCTTTACTTCTGCTATTTCGAACTCTTTCAATACTGAAAACTCGAGGCCTAAGCCCATGCCGATATAAAGGTGAATTTCTTGAGAAATTCACTATATTGAATCTAACCCTCCTTGGCTTTGCAATCCCCATAACAGAAAAATAAAACCAATGCATATGCCCCAAAGTATTTGTATCTGGCCTCATATATAAATCATACTCATTCTCATTAACCATATAAACCTGGTCTAAATTCCCCCCTTCAAAAACTGAATCAAAAATCAATGAACCTTCAGGGATATCTTTAATCATCCCAGTATCTACTGGAGTTTCAGATTTATTTCGTTTAGATAAATATTCGTGAGCTCTTATAGATGGTTCAGAAAAATCAAATGGATAAGTGTCTGTAGAGTTATTAGTTAGCTTGGAATGGACTTTAAAAGAATCAGAAGGCTGCCAACCTTGATAAATCTGTTGGAGTTTTTGGCCTGGTTCATTGCATACAGGAAGTTCTAAGTCAAAGTAAAGAGGAATTGGGTCTTTTAAAAATTTTGGTCGCCAGCCCATAATCATATCAGACTCAAGAGAATAGCCTTTGCTTGCTAAAGGAGTTGCTAATGGTAAACTGCTCTCATAATAGGACATATTAGTGAATTAAATGATTTTTTATTATTTCATATATCTACAGAATTAGTTTATAGTCTTTACCGAGAGGAAAGACGCTTAAGCAAGTAGTCTTTGAGAGAAGCCACGCTGATTATACCTTCATGGTTTTTGTCGATTTCTTCAGAAAATTTCTCCCATTCAGCTTCTTCTAGCCCATAAATGCTTCTTTTAAATTCGTTCAAAGATAAATAGCCATTAGAAGGGGTGCAGGTCCAAAGTCGTGTGCTTTTGATGGGGGAAATTTCTCCAAGTACTTTTGATCGAAAATTAATAATGAGACATTTGACCCCAAAAAAAATTTAAATTTCGTACAAACGTTACACTATTTAAAAATTTTCGACTAAATGTACTTCGATGAAATGCACACTATCAAAATTACACGATCATTTGACATGGAGCCATCAGAAGTAATATTATATGCCTGGAAAGCTTTTTCAAACTCTTGCTTTTGGAATAAAAGGCTCCAATTAGTTGAAGCGACAAGAAAGCCTGAGTAATCCATGCGGCCACAATTATCAGAATCGCAGTTCTCTATAATTTGATCTAAATCAATCTGTTGACTTGTGGCAAGCAATTTTGACCCTTCTAAAATTTCTTGTCTGCTGATTACTCCATCTCCATTTGTATCTAAGCTTTTAAAGAGTTTTCTGAGTTCACTTTCTTCTCTGAAAGTCTGTACTCGAGCAGCAATAAATGCCAAAATTTTTTTATCTAATTTTGACTTTGCTCGGAAATTGCATAATTGTTCGAAAATTTGATGATTTAGTGGGACATCTTCAATTTCATTAAAAATATGTTTTTTTATCCATGGATGGTCTAATACTTCTTGTGCTGAAATTCGCTTTTCTGGATCGATTTCTATAGTTTTTCTTAATAAATCTTTTGCTTCTTGGCTAACGTGGCTTCATATCCCTTTGTTTAGCTCTATGTTTCCTTTTTTGATGTATCCTATTACTTCTTGAGGAGTTGATCCAACAAAAGGAGGCCTCCCGCATAGCATGAAATATATGATAACCCCAACGCTCCAGACATCGCATTTGCTGTCAAAAATCCCAGAAAATACTTCTGGGGCTTGGTAATAAATTCCTTCAGATTTCACAAAAAAATTTGTTTCTTCTGATGGTTTTTGAGTTACTCCAAAATCAGTGATTTTTAATAGAGCATCAGGGTCTTTAGCTTCGAATAGGAGCATTTCAGGCTTTAAACATCCAAATGTAACACTGTTTGAGTGGGAATAGTTAACTGCAGTCATAATTTCTTGAGTGTATTTGGCTGCGAGTTTTTCTCCGAAGCGGATTTCAGATAAAATCTTTTGAGAGAGATCACCACCTACTAGCAGCTCCGTCACGATATAATAGCTAAATTCAGACTCTACAACTTCAAAAATCTTCATTATATTCGGGTGATGGAGACTCCTCAGCATTTCGAGTTCACACAACATTTGCTCCTCGGAGTTTAAATCAAGCTTTGATTTTTGAATTTCTTTTATGGCCCTCATGTACCCACTTCTCTTTTCAATTGCTTTAAATACTGTTCCGAAGCCTTCGCTGCTTATGATCAAAATGATTTCATAAGTGTCGCGAATTTGCCCTTTTCGTGTAGGAATTCTCGGCTTTTGTTTTAAATTTTTCTGACTTCCCAGGCTTGAAATGCTCGTTTTGCGGCTCTGAACAGGGTTTTGGTTTGCGATACTAGAATTACAACAGCCCATTGTGCGTATTTTTAAAAATTTATTATATAAAATCTGGTGATTTTGAGGCTGTAGGCCAATACGGGACCAAATTGAAAAATCAGCCACAAGTCTAATAGGGAAACGATGGATTAATAAGAATTTGAGTGTAAAAATTTTATTTGAGAAAGCTGTGAAATAATTGGGTTAACTGTGAATCCCATTCGGTACTGAATTAATTAGTAAGCGAAATATTTGCCATTTTAAAATTTAGCTTATTGATTAAGTTTTTATTAGATTCATGCAATTATATATGTTTCAATCTGGCACAATATCACTAGGTTTAGTCAATCTTATTTTCAATTAAAATTAAATGCAATAATATTGAATTTGCACTATTCATTTAAAAAAAAGCTAAAATTATTATGTTTTTATTTGTATATGCAGCAGTAATATCAGAAACCACAATCATAGAAGAAATTTTTTCCCCTGATGAAGCCATGTCCTACTACATTGCTGAAAGCTATAACTTTACCTACCCTTATACCCTTGTCGAAAGCAATCATACAAAAAGCTATATAAAAATCTTGATTGATCCCTGCAAATCTAAACGTGAATATTGTTGCGAAGGCTATGGTGAAGCTATGTGTGAAGATAATCTCGTCGTTTATGCAGGCCCTAATCTAGAAATTGCTTGAGCTAATAACAACTTTGCAGTGATTTGCAATAATGAGTTCGAAAATCAGCCTGATTGCGGAGATTTTATTGAAATTCATCCTCCAGGGGACACTGAAATTATGAATTATGTGAGGATTACTCAGCTATACTCTTCTGGATTTCATACAGAGTTTTTGTACACAAAGAATATTACATCAGGACACTATGAGCTGTGATGGGTTCATAAAGATAGAAGTGGTTATGATATATTGTATATAAAGCCTTTTTTCATAGTAAATGCTTAATTATTTTGCAAATTATATTTTAGGAATTTATTTATTATGAGTTTGTATTAGTTTGAATAAGCCTGCAAAGTTGCAAGATCAATCAAACATTTTGTAGCTGTTTCTTGAAATTCAGCAGGTGCAGCTGCAATAATATGAATCAATTCTTCAATGTCATTCACAAAAGTAGGGAAATTTCCAAGTGTTTCTACCCCATTTTGCAATTTTTCACATATTTCAACTAGTAGCAAGAAGCAAGAGTCAACGACTTCTCTCTTTTCAGAAATAATATTTGGTTTTACTATACTTCTTATCATGTATACACATTGAGCAGCAATATCAACAGTGCAAGAAGGCCCAGTGCATTCAATTATTTCACTTAATGTGTATATTGCTTTGGACAAAACTGAGGGGTTTGTTTTATTATTGATTGATTTTATAATACCAGAACTGAAATACTGAAAGTGAGGAAAAAATAAATTTGGGTGGTCTATGCTAGGTTTATGTATTGTCTTGTGGTATCTTTTTGTCTTAAGTTTAAGTCTCTCTTTAATTATTTGTTGGGCTGGGGTTAATTTTTCAGATTTTTCAGAGTGATAAATTTGTGGCTTTTTGGTTGGAGGATTTGCTAGTTTATTTGCTGATTCTCTTATGACATCATAAACAAGGATATCACTTCCCGCAGATTTATTTTCGGAATTTAGTCTTGATATTAAAATGTCGCACATTTCTTTAGGCTTTAAAAACGTCAAACTAATTAGTGCTTTTAATCTTTTTTCTTCAAAGTCTTTTAAATTAAATTGATTTGGACATTTAAATAGCACGTCAGCTAAGCTCTCATAAACTAAATCAAGTTCATCTAGATCAGCTCCTATTAACTCTTCAGCTGCATTAATGGCGGCGACGTTTCTATCTTTTTGCTCGGACCTTAGCCCTTGTATAAGGTCTTCTAAATACATTGGACTGTCTCTTGTAATTTCTTCTTCTTCATCTTCCTTTTCACTATCACTACTTCCGAAATCGATTTTATTTTCAGCTAGAAAATCTTCCAAACTAAACTTAATTGATGGACTTTCTGGGTGCATAATTTGTGATACAGCAGATGCAATAAGTAAGCCTGAGTTTCTTATTTTTATGTTTGTGGATGAAAGTCGGATTTGAACTCCTGAAAAAATGTAGTTTGCGATTGGGGCTGGAAGTGCTGCATGGATATTGTGGTATATAAGCAGAGTTAGAACTGACTAGAAAATACAATAATTTGTGCTGAGATTGGACTCTTTTAGTAAAGATTCTTTGCTTCACTCTTGGGAAGCATTTATTAGGCAGTTATCAGACAAAGAATAATGATCAAGCAAAGCAGAAAGCTTCACAGAGTCTTCGTATGTGGAGCAAACTGCCTTAAAAGGTAATTGAGATGTAAAAAAGACTGCGAACGTTGGAGTGAAGGTTGGAAAATAATTATAAATTTCAGCAAGAGGCATTTCTTTGAATATGCAAATCAGAAGAGGAGAAATTACTTTTAAAGATGATAATAGCTCTATAATAGTTTTGGTAGGAGAAGATTTCTGAAGAGCTTTTACTACGGGAAGAGGTTTTCTTCTTAATAAAATTTTATCAATGATCTCTAATGTCTTACTGAAAAGAACTTCACTGCTTTCTAAATCTTGCTTAAAGAGAGCGCAGCATAGGTCACAAAAATAGGTCTCTGCGTGCAGTAAATTGTGTTTAAATTTGTTTGCAATTCTGTCTGGAAGAGAAACTAAGATATTCAGTAAATTATTCCAACCTATAGAGATGTCTGAAAGCAAACTAGGCAAATTTTCACAGATAAAAGTTGATATAGCGATATCTGATACTTCTGAATTGCTAATTTCTTCTATTTGTTCAATTAATTTCTCTACTGCGCTCATTTTATCTATATGACCAATATTCTTTATTTAGTGATAAATGATAATTAAACCCAAGAATTTTAGTTAAAATAATTGTTTATTGCGCTTGCGCATTTTGGCTTTCTGCATTCCACTTCGCTATAGCTTGTCTAACAGGCTCATGCACTTCTCTAACAGCTTCAATTCCTCCTATTTCTTCTCTCCATCTTACCAAATTAGCATGTCTGCTGAAATCAAAATTACTCAATTCTAACTGACTTAAAGCGCAATACAACAAGATATCAGCAAACGTTGGCTGAGCAGTTCTAGCTATGTAGCTTCCATTTGCAAAGACAGCATCAATAGATGTAAGGAAACTCTCCAAAGCTGCTGACCATTCTGCTACTTTTTCAGGTGGAGGCACTGGCTTGTTGAAAAATTTAGGCAAAACGATATAATTGTAAACATAAGGAGAAATAGCTTTGACTGTATTAGTATGATGCCAATGCAGTGAGGCGTTCACTCTCGCTCTGGCTTGGAGGTCTGCTGGAAACCATTGAGAATCAGTATGAAAGGCTTCAGCTAAATAGTAAATAATAGCATTGCTTTCACCAAGGCTGAAAGTTCCATGAGTAATTGCAGGGACTTGGCCATATGGATTAATGGCAAGAAACTCTGGAGATTTTTGCTCGTGCTTTAGCAAGTCAACTTGGATGAGCTCATTCGGAATATTATGAAGCTTGCAGAAAATCATCACAGCTCGGGTTGGAGGGGAAAAGACTGTTCCGTGAATCCTGAGAGTGTCTGCCATTATTATTTATAGCCAATATTAATAAAGACTAAGTTAGAGAATTTATTCAATAGCTTATAAATGATAAAAGATAAAGGATATTAATTTAATTGAAAAATATTTATGATAAATATTGTTGAATAAATCTGAATTCAACTTACTAACTCATTTTTGCGATTTTTCAGGATGCAATAATAGAACAGGCTTGTTAGTTAGTAAAAAATTAGCAATAATACAGAATTATTTATAGTTTTAAATGTTTCCGTTCGTATGATTAGAAGTTTCTTCTATCCATTTCCCATTTTTTCAGTTTCCGAACTCTTCTTTACTTCCAACTGAGTAGCTTCCTGCCTTAATTCCTCTGCAATATCTAGGTTTTTCTGGCCTATTTGATTGCTCTATTTCATTTTGCAAACTTTTTGTCATTGTTCAGTTTGATACCTTGCTGTTTTTTTCAAGTTCTTGGTTTTTTTTCTTCAATCCTTCTATAATTTTTTTATCATTTTCAGAGCTATTATAAGCATTTGTCAATAGCTCATTATACTCATCTGTCCGATTCTTCATTGTTTCATTTAATTCAAATATTTTTTCTTTTTGGATTTTGTTTTCTTTTTCTGATAAAACTTGTAAGGCTTTTAATTTTTCCACTTCTTGAGCTAAGAGCAAGAAAGATTGTTCCATAGCTTGGCATTTAGCTTCGTAAAGCTTAGATTTCTCAGTTAACCCTAAAATGCAGTCTTCAAGAGACTTTTTTTCTAACTTCAGAGTGATAAGTTCTTCTTCGAAAAGGCTTGAAGAAGTTTGAATATCAGCAGTTGATTGAGTGTCCCTGGAGTTGTCAGGAGTTGAAGCAAATGATGAAAATGCAGAAGGATTTGTTGAATCTTCTTCAGTTTGGATATATTTTGATTCCGCGGTTTTTTGTTCTCGAGTCTCAGTACAGCCCATTTTATTTTTCGTAGATTAGTTATTATAAGGAAATTATCTCTATAAATTACTTGCAAAAGCTCCAGTTAAAAATTTTGAATTTTAGGTAAAACAGTCAGAATTTTACTTTGCAATAAATAATTATGAAAAATTTGGTAAAAGTTTAAACATTGCGATTTATAGCTAGAGATACACAGAAAATTATACCAGAATAATGATAAAAGTGTTACAAAAAAATAATTTTATGTGATTATATAGAATTTTTAAAATGAAAAAGCAAGCCAGTGCTAAATTCTTATTGATAATTAAACTAAAAAATGGCAACTTTAGACATTATATATAAAGTAAAAAAATTTTGCTTATATTACTTTAAATATCGAAAATCATTATTTACTAATCTTGGCTATTGAGAAATTCATTATTAGAGATAATAAATGATATATCAACAATAGATAATCGAAATCCCTTGATGCTACTTATACTATAATAATCCACCAAATATGTCCAATTTAAATAAAAAAATTCCAGTAAGTATAAAACTAATTCATAATAGTTATTTTAGAATTTCATTTAATTTTATCCTAAAAGCACCAATAAGTAGTCATTGCTCATTATTTATATCCCCACATTTTTTCTTAATAAATGGAGAGAGGAAAAGAGCCGAGATCTAACATAAGGCAAACTTCACAAGAACTTCAAAAACTATTAATGCGCTCTTTGACTCTTATCTTAGGTAAAAACTGCAAAGTAACTACTACAGCTGGAGCTACATACAAAGGACTAATTCATACTTATACTTCAAATGGGATCATTCTTTATCAAAATCGAAATCCTCAAGAATCAATCAAGCCTATTAAATTTTCCCTCAAAGATCTGATATCAATAGAAGCTAACAGCATCACAGTTGCTCCTCAAAAAAAATTTAAAACTGATCGGGAAATAACTAAATCCAATAAAAAATACTCCCGACAATTGCAAAAATGGGAAAGTGACGCTCCTATAGAAGAAACTCTCACTCCCCTCCATAAACGAACAAAAAATCTTATTCGCTTGTGGAGGGGTTAATTTTTTTTGTAAAAAAAATTATATATAAATTTTATAAAAAAATTTTTTTTTCGAAATTTTAAAAAAAAATTAATTCGTAAAAATTGTAAAGCAAATATTAATTTAATTTATAAAATTTATGTTTTTAAAACGCAAGTTGTTTAAAATTAAACAGAATTAGCTATACATTTCGTAATACTACATATCATTTATATATCAATTATTTTTTCATAAAAAATTTTTGTACGCTCACAGAAGTGAGTTTTTGGTCAAAAAATATGGATTTTTCAATGGTTTTGTTCGTTCACGGAGGGGGGAGTCAGTAAATCCAATGAGCCCTGGGACCAGTTCAAAGCCAACAAAGAAAAATTCAACTATAAAAGCACCTATAGCGAAGATATTTATACAACAGCAAAAGTCGACCCTAGAGAATTAACTGAAGAACAATTAAAAAAAGCCCAAAAAGTTGAAGAAGAACTTTTAGGGACCAAAATTGAGGAAGAATTCGAAGATGTAGAAGACGAAGAAAAGAAATTTGGAGCTGTTCTCGGCAGTGGAAGATATGAAGAAAACAATAGCCAGTCTCCTCCCAGGATAACTCGTGATAGAGCTGTTAGCATTGCAGGAGATTTTTCTATAGAAGATTATAAAAAATTCAGGGAGCATTTATTGAGGAATAAAATTTCTATTTCAACGGAGATGGAGACAGTTAATTCCTTGTGCCCGATGATTGCTGCTGACAATAAAGAAGAAGTGCTGAGGGAATTCGTCAAATTTAAAAGAGAAAGATTGCCTTCAAGGAGAGAAATAATGGAAGACTTGAAAAAATCATCAAAAATAATTGATGAGTTGTTTAAGAAAATGCCAGAAATGATGAAGAAAGATGAAAGGAAGCCCAAAGGAGTTATAGACTTATTTATTTCTGGATGGAAAAATTGTGAAAGGGATACAGAAGTTCAGATATGGCCAAGCTTTAATAGGCATTTAACTACTTCAAGCACAGTTCCACCTAGAGTTACTGCTAATCTCTATAAATAAGTTCAATTCAATGTAAAATATATGAAAAAAGATTTAAAAATGGTAAAATGATTTAAAAAGAGAAACTCTATTTCTTAATCTATATGTCCTTTAATAAACACTATTATAGCTAGATATACAGCTCTAAATTTAATAAAAAAATCAAACTTTGATATTAACAAATGTGTAAATTCTAATAAACCTGAAATTATGAACTTTTTTACTTTTCAATTTATCTTTAAATTAAAATAGCAAAGATATTATATTTTCTAATAATAATTTATTTAAATATATTTAAAGTAAAGTTCTTTTCCTAGTTGGAGACTCTCTAGAAGGTAAAGCTGTCATTCCTCTTTGTGGAGATTTCGAGCCTAATCCTGGACTTCTTCCTTCCTTTTTACTTGACATATCAATTACAGTTCCAAATATGGCTGATTTCTTCTCTCCCATTGAATTTAGCTTCTTCAGCTCTGCTTGATCTTCAAGTTTTTCTTTTTCTATTGTATTATACCCATCAGTGAACTCTTCAATTCCAAGCTTTTTACCTTCAAAATACACAAACAGCCCTTCACCTTCTTTCTTTATCTCCACATTTTTAGTACCAAAGACATATTTTTCTTTATCAGTCCTAACGAAATTTACATCCATAGTATTTTCTCTTGTATTTAAATATTTTGCTAGTGCTACATCCACAAGATCTCCCTGCTTAGCTATATAAGCTGGTTTTGACCTCTTAATATCATCAATCATTTTTTGCATGGAGCCTTTCTGGTACTCTTTTTCTTCCAGCATATCTTCAAGCCTCCTATAAAGCCTATTAGTAAGTAGCCCAGCCTGCGCTTGCATGAACACCAAATCACTGAAATAAGACAGCTCCTTCAGCAATTCTTCTTGAATTTTTACCTCAGCATCAAACTGCAGTTTGAAGTCTCTATATTGATCATAAATTCCCTCGTCATTTTTCAGTAAAGTCTCTATGTCTTCAAGATGTTTTCTAAATTCTTCTAAGTTTCCTAAATAATCAGCTATTTGTTGCTGCTTTGATTGGAGCTCTTGCTCTAGGGCTGGCTGGGAATTCTGATAATCCCTTATATCAATTTCAATTTTCCTAGAGTGATTCATAGACTCATTGATGTTTATTTCTTTTAGAGCGTTTAGATCTTGATAAGCTTTTTCAAGTTCAGCTGAAATCTGAGCATAGGAATTGTTTTGAGCATTTAGCGTGATATTTCTGGATTTTTGGTCTTCTTGGGATATAAGTTCAGCTTGAGTGATTTCTATTTGGGCTTGAAGCTGTAAGTTTTCGATATTTGCGTGATCTAGTAATGAGGTTTGAGAGTTCAGCTGTGATAGCATCGCTACTCTTTCTTCTTCGATTTTTACCAGATCATTGGCTAAATGCGGATCTGCATACCCAGTAAGTATAGCCTGGTAGCTGCTTATCATGGTCTCCCTTTCTCCGTCATCTTTTTCAATTTGTTTTTTGAGTTTCGCAATTCTTTTTATTTCTTTTTCTACATTTTCGCCATCAATTTTATTTTTTTCATTCTCATTTTTAAAATGTTCTGCTTGCTCTTTAACGTTACCTATTTCTTCTTCATAATTATTTTGGTGGCGGCGACAAAATATGTGATTGACGATGGGCACAAAAATCGCTTTATAGCATAAACAAAAGGTTTTGGACCCTTTAATCCTGCCTATAGCGGCGGTATGGGGTGGTTAAGCCTTGGGAGTCAGCTAGTTGCAATTCCAGTCGAGATAATAGTTATACGAATGGGCTTTGGGTCATGGGTTCTTCCCTGCGGCTCCGAAAGCCATTTTTCTGGGTGTCACCCCTCTTCAAGTAGTCGACAGGAGGCATACATAAAGCAAGAAGAGGAGCCTTTCTAGCCCATCGAGACTCAGGGATATATTGGTGCAAGCCCTAGTTCCGGGAATAGACTACTGTTGAGACAGGGATCAGGCGACTGAACTCCTCCTTAACAAATCCGGTGGCCAAAGAGGGAGAAGACATCAGATCTGGAAGGCTTTAAGCCTTTTAAGTTTAAGTTTGCTTCTTCTTCCAGAGCTTTTATTTGAGAATCTACACTGGCAATAGCTTCTTCGAGCTTTAGATTTTCTCCTGAAACTTGTGTGATGACTCCATCAATAAAAATTTGTTCTTGGCCCAGCTGCTCTCTAGTTTCTGTCATTGATTGCGCAAGTTCTTCCATTGGGCTGTCAAAATTTACTACAACTTCTTGGATTGCTTCGTACTCTTCTACTTGAGCTTTCATCACACGAATTTTTTGGCACAGGCCGATAGCGATATTTCTTAATAAATGTGGCTCTGAGCTGGAAAGTTGCTCAATATTAAGCTCAAATCTACTTGGGAGCTCTAAGTAAGGCTCTGCCATATCAAGATTGTTTTCGTCTTCTTGGCGCTTTCTAAGAGGTGATTTACCTGGAGACCGCCCTGGAGATCTTGCAGGGGATCTGATTCCATCCTCTATGAGTTGCTCATATTCTGCTCCAAGGCGGGTTCTTACTCTTACTACAATATCATGGATATCTTTTTCAGCATCTTCAACGGAATTTAGCTTCTTTAAGTAATTGCATTTTCCTCGTATTTTGAGTGGAGATACTCCAATGTTCTTTGGGCGGGCTTTATTAGGAGAGATACTTCTGCGGGAGTTTCCTAGAACTCCAACTAATTTTACTTTGACACCTTTAGGACCTTCTAAGCCAACACCTTTTTCTGGCTCGAATTTTACCCACTTTTCGAAGTTCCCTGTTATAGTTTTGTCACAAAGTCTTCCTAGTTGGACAGAGCTTGTTGCTAAGAGAGCTTCATCGCGAAGCTCAAGATTCATAACCCCATCTGGCGAAAATGATGGAATTGTTATATAAGAAATTGATTGGAAGGAGAGTTGATGAGTGTTAGAGCCTACAGTTACGACCAGCCCCAGTGTTGAAGGGTCTATAGGTCTTGGGAGTTGTAATTCTGTGAATTGAATTTCTAGCTTGAATTGTTTTGAATCAGCCATTTAACGATTATAACAAATTCCGTTATTCATTAAAGAAATTCTAATAAAGCAATTTGTCCTCCTCTTTGATTTTAAAATTCAGATAATTTTTATTTAATATGCATTATAATAAAAGTTCGACAACCAGTATTATTTAAAAAAGGAAAGGAATTATTCTAAATTTGCAGTTTTATTTTTTTATATACTTAAAGAAATGAGCAATATTAGAGAATTATTATTAAAAATATTAGCACATAATTTTGGTTATAAAATTTATGTTTTTAGATTTGTAAATAAACGAAATTATGCATCAATTATTAGTGGAATTATAAAATGGCTGGCTTCAAAGTTTTAGTATTTCTTGGCATCCTAGCTTTCTCATTTGCAGAATCAGATCTCCCAGTTCTTGGCGGAGTCGATTTATGCCCTCCATGCGTACAATTCGGCAAAGACGAGCTTCAAGGTCTTTACAACTATATAACTACCTCTACAATCCCAAATACATGTGATGACGTTTGTAAAATCCTCACATTCCCTCTGCCAAAAGAACTATGTGGCTATTTCTGCAATGCAGTAGGCGTAAAGATTTTCACCGACGATATCAAAAAAGCTTACACTGACCCAATTTACTTTTGTGAGCTTATTGATCAATGCCCAGCAAATAAAGGAGGAGCAGCAAACATTACTAATACTTATGTGACACCATCCACAGCTCCTCAGTTTTCTACTTTCAATATCCAGATCCTATTCCAGGTCACAAAAGAAACTGGAACAGGTGAAGTAGCATTGACCTTAAAAGCACCTAACAAGAGTGTGTATACCCAAAGCTACCTAAACGAAGGTTTTGCAACTGGATCCTATTCAGCTAAATTCCAAGTTGTTACCAACGGAGATTACGCAGTAGGAAACTACACTGGCCAAGTCGCTGTATGCTCCGGAACCTGTGGGACAAACTCACCTATAAGTGCAGTCCTTGCTACAACTAACGTTAAATTTACAGTGACTCTTCAGCCTTAAATAATATTCGAGTTTCTTAGCCTTTAATGGATTTCTTCTCTCACTTTATGTGGATAAAATATGGTTGGAGCTAAGGTTCTATTCCTTTTCAGTATCCTTTCTCTTTGTTTTGCAGAAATTAAGCTTGTCTCTATAGAAGCAGTTGATATGTGCTCTCCATGTGTAATTTTTGCGGACTCCTCTCTACAGCAGCTTTATAACTATGTAATGGATAACACTATTCCTGGGTCATGTAGCCAACTCTGTGGCATTTTTGGGCAAAATTTAACAGCACAAGTATGCAACTATTTATGTAATGCTGTAGGAATTGCTTCTTTTGTCAAAATTGTGAAGGACTGCCAGTTAGACCCAATTTACTTCTGTGAGCTTCTTGATGTCTGTCCAGTTGTAGCTGGCGGGTCTGCAAATATTACAAATACTTATGTTGTCCCTTCTTCTGCTACACAATATTCAACATTTAATGTTCAAGTACTTTTTCAAATTTTGAAAGAAACAGGGACTGGGCAAGTGTCTTTAATATTAACAGCACCTAATAAAAGTGTTTCGAAGCAAAGCTATTTAAATGAAGGGTTTAAGCCTGGGACTTATTCTGCTAAGTTTCAGGTTGTAACTGATGGGATGTATCCTGCAGGAGTTTACAATGGAGTTTTAGAAGTATGCACAGGAATTTGTGGGGCAACTCTGCCGAACTCAGCTATTTTATCGACAGGCAATATTAAGTTTACAGTAACGCCAAAACCTTAAATTAGAAATAATCTATATTGAGTTAGATTATAGATATAATTCACGAACAGCATTTTCAGCAGCTATATCAAGCTAAATCCAACAGAGATAAATTACCTTTTTATAAGAATTCTTAAAAATGGATGTGTATTTCACTAAAGGATCACCAAAAGTCCATGACTACAACCCAATTACCCATTCTCCATTTTACAGCACCCCTGAGCCTTCACTAACGTACTCACGTGGGCCAACCTATTCCAAGCCTTTTACCAATGGAAATATCTTTGATATTAAAAGCCATAAGGATCCTATAACTGGAAGAATGTACAGATATGATGACGGTAGAAAAACTTTATCAAAAACGGGGAGCTTAAGGGTTAACAGATCATTTGACGTAGAAAAGGCTGCAGTTTTAATTAATCCTCCAAGACTTTATAAATCAAAGCCAAAGGCGTTATCGCCTAGCCCTATTTCAGGGATTACTAGGGGTTTTGAACGAAGTTTAAGTCCAGTAAGAGAAGAGTTGCCTACTAGCCCTGAGCCGAGATTTGACTTTTTTAGAAAAACAAATGAGTATGGGAGCATTGCTGGATCACTTAGAAAACCCGTTCAAGTTGCTTATGTCAACCCTTATTTATTAAAGGCGACTGGCACGATAGGGAATCAAGGAAGTTCAAATCAGGAATTTAAACAGGCTGCAAATGCATTCTTTTCCTAATTCTGAACATTTATGAGGTAAGCAATATTTTAAATAAAATCAGAAGCATTAGATTCATAATTTTTTTACAATGGCTCCTAAAAAAGTTTTATAAATTAATTTTAGATTCTAAAAACAAAAATATATTATGAGCATGCAACACTAAAGCAAATAAATATTGAAAAATTGACAAAGTGATTTAGAATGCATGAGAAAAGGGTATCAAACTGCTTAGAGAAGAGCCAAACTAGATTTGTGAGTTTCAAGGTGAAATCTAGATTTAAATAGCACGCAAGGAAAAATTAAAATCTGAATTAAAGCCAGTAAATAAAGAATTTATTAAGACCTTTACTATCATTTATTAAAATATTAAGTGTTTTTTAATTCAATATATACAAACACTAAAGGTTGCGTATCAGATTAGATTAAATTTCATGCCTTAATGGAACAACGATAAACGAATCTTAATTTTACTTATCGCATTAATTATTAAAATATATTTAGAAGATTCTGTTTAGCTATAATTATAACTTAGTGCACCAAAATCAATAGCAATAATTGATAATTTGTTCCAATTAAGACTAAAATTTATGTTTAGTTTTTATTGCAAAATCTTTTAAGAGTGTCAATAAAAGTTAAAGATGCAAATAAGCATGAAACTTCTAGAGAGCTATATGCAAAATCATTCGAAGCGCCAAAAAATCCGCGACCATCATTAGAGGTCGCAATATATTATAAATTTTGTTTTGATAATCATATTAATTAAATATTGAAAATTGAGCGGGAAATGTGCGACTTAAACGCAATCATAATTTCGATTTTAAGCAACGATCAAGCTGCCCGGCAACAAGGTGAAAACTTGTTGAAGAGCGCTTTTCAAGAAAACCCAGAGCATGCTTGCTATAATCTCCTAGCTTCTATGACATCATCGAATGAAGATGTTTCAGGCTTGGCAGCAATTCTTTTGAAGAAAAAACTTATAGACGAAGGGATTTTGCAGAGATCTTCCAGACAATTCCATAGCCAACTGAAAGATTCATTATTTTCTTTGATTTCTCCTGAAAAATCATTTTTATTCCTTAAAAGGCTTGCTGATGTTTTAGTTAATTTTTCCATTCTTGATGGATGGGTAAATGAACTCATGAGCTTTATAGGGCAATGGAGTACACATCCTTCTCCAAATCTGAAGCAGTTTGCTATGTACTTATTTGAACTAGCCACTGAATATCAGCTAACTTTGGCCATTTTGAAAGAAAACGCAAACTCTGTGATGGGGATTCTATGGAACTCTTTGCAAGACCCAAATATATTCATAAAGCTTGCTGCAATCAAAACGATGCTGATTTTTATGATTTCTCTCAATGATGAATCAGTGATAACAAATTATGGCCAAGTTTTTGAGTGAACTATAAATATTATCAGTCAAGCTGTAGAGGATCCAAATTTAAATAGCGAACATTTAATAGGAGCTCTCAGAGTAGTTTCAGAAATAACTGATGCATATAAAAATTGCTGGGGAGATCTCACCGAAAAGCTGGCTCTTCTAATGTCATCTATTTCAAAATCTCAAAAATTCGGCTGTGACTGCAGGTCAGGAGCAGTCGAAGTATTAACTACCCTCATCAAGAAAACCCCTGAAAATCTAAAAAATAATACTTTTTTCATACAAGAAACATTAGCCCTTGGCTTCAGCCTCTTAACAGAAATTGACTTCGCATTTGATATTGAAGGATGGAGCCAAGCAGACTCTGTAATAGGTCAAAATGAGCCATTCAGCTTGGGAAAAGAAATTCTTAGAGAATTATCTGTAAATCTGAGTAATGCTGTTTTTGCAGATGCAATGAAACTTATATCAGCCCACTTACAAGCTCAGCATTGGGCTAATCAGCATAGCGGAATTTTGGCGATTGGATTAATTGCAGAAGGCTGCCACAGTGCTATAAATGAAATTCTTCCTCAGCTTATGAATTCTCTCATCAGTTTCACAACTTCTGAATTGCCTAGACTTAAATGGGCAGCTCTTAGTGCAATAAGTACATTTTGCATTGAATTTGAACCAGATTTTCAAAAAGTTTATCAGTCCCAAATAATTGCAGCAATACTTAACTGCCTTGCTTTAGGGAATTTAGCAAAGGTGAAAAGTCAGGCAGCTATTTGCATTTCTGACTATGCAAAAGGGCTGCTATCGGATAGTGCAAATCCAAAAACAGAGCTGATTCCATATCTCCCAAGTCTAATTCAAGCATTTTTATCAATTTTTTCAGACCCTACAACAACTCCTTATTTGCAGACCCAAATTTTCAGTGCTTTGTCTATACTTGCAGAAACTGCTGATACCGACTTTTCGCCTTACTATAGTCAAATAATTTTTGGAGTAAGAAACATCATCATATCTCCTGCAAACAGCATGGATGAAAAAGAAGTAAAAACCTACGCGATAAAATGTGCAGGAGCTATAATAGAAAGTGTTACTGGCTCACCTGAAAATTTTAAAGAAAATGTGAATTCTTTGCTATCTGAATTTTTAAACATAAGGAATATGTTGGATGAAGCAGATCCAATCCATCAAGCTATTAATGAAACTTTGCCACAATTTGCGCTGCATTTACAAGAAAATTTTGCTCCTTTTTTGCAAACTTTAATCGCGAAAATTCTTGAAAATGCTGACCAAGTTGTAGATATTCGATTAACTGATGTTGAAAGCGCTGACTCTTTGAGTGCGAATAAAAACATGAGGACTATTCAGTTTGAATTAAAAGGACTTGGAAGAAAACAGCTAGCTATTAGTACAACTTCACTTGAAAGCAAAATTCGGGCTTGCAAAACTTTATATGGCTTAGTTGAATCACTAGGGCCACTATTTTCTCAATACGTAAGACAAACTGTTCTTATTACAACTAAATTAGTTTCATATAAATTCAATTCAGATATAAGAAAATTTGCCTTGAAAACAATATGTAGCTTGCCTAATTGTTGTGAAAATTCTCAACAAAGGGAATCTTTATTAATTCAAATAATTCCAACAATCCTCGAAGCATTATCAAAGTTAAAAACGCAAGCTCCAGTCGAAATCCATAGGCAGCTAAAATCACTTTTAGGCTGTATGGAATCAGTCGAAAGTGTTGCTGTAATTAGCTTAGGCCAAGCTTATCAGCTTAGTGCTCTTCTCGCAGAATGCTTAAAAGACCTTTTCCAAAGAAAAATTGACAGATCCCAAGAAGTGTTAATGACGTTTAGTGAAAAAATTTTGTCAGAGCTAGAAGATGATGAAAACGTTGATGATGAAATTTTGAAAAAAATTATGGAAATTGTTGGGAAAATGATGAAATCATTCAAAATCCAGTATCAGCCAATTTTTTCTGAGTTTTTTAAGAATGTTTTTGGCGAAATTTTATATAAGCAAAATGCTAATGAGAATGAAATTTTGAGCTCAATATGCATTTTCTGTGACTATATAGAAGCTACTGGAGATCTAATGATAATTAATGGAGCATCGCCACTTTTAGAACAATTTATACAAAAATCATATCATAGTAATTCTGATATTAGACAGAGCTCGGTGTCTGGGATTGGAATTGTAGCTGAAATACGGGACTCAAGTATTTTTCCTGCTTATTTAGAAAAAGCTTTACAAGCTGTAAACTATATTTTAAGCCTTCCAGACTCAAAAAGTGAAGCTTTAATAACTTCAACTGAAAGCGCAACTGGAACACTTGGAAAAATCGCATTGTATTATAGATCTGATCTCATTGGAAATTGGCTAAATATGCTACCTTTAAAGTCAGATCCTGAAGAAGCTAGAAACAGTCATGAACTTTTACTAACCCCCCACTTTAAATCGGATAAAATACATGTAAAATTTCCAATTTTTGAGTACTTGAGCCCACCTTTAAATTATCACAGTTTTTTTTTTCTATAGGAAAAATTTAAAAGTAAAAGTAACTAATTTTTATAAAATTATTTTTGACCTAACTTAATGGGATAATTAAAAATGAGTCTCGGCCCGAGTATGACTGTCTGGTCAGGTAGCTTCGAACGCATATTTAATTATATCTGACAAGGTTTTTCCAACTCCGAAATGGGCAGGAACATTAGGTAAGAAATTCCAGCAGTTGTGGAGCCTAGCCCTAATCCGCTTTTATCTAGATTTACCTTGGAGGAAATAGGAGGAATCAAAGTTGGAAAGAGAAAGCCCACAAGGTCCGCAGACAATGCCCACACCGGTCGGCAAATCTCTAGCGCGAAACCGGGAGTCTGCCAGAAATTTACTTTTAAATTGGAACAGAATCTTTGCTTTAATTTATAGGTGGATTAAGAAATCTTGGGAACTTAAAAGAATTTGAACTTAAAATTAGGGATATTGTTGGAGAAATTAAAAAATTGCCTAATGAATATTTAACAGATGAAGGGAGAAATATTATCTTGCAGAGTTATTTATAATTAATAAAGGTGAAAATCACATTAACTTGACCTTAGGTATTTTTAATTAAAATTTTAAATTACATAAAATGAGCAATTTAATAGATACTTTATGTGAAAAGTTAGGCATACAAGTCAGTTTGGAAGATCCAAACTACCTAATTGGCAGAGAGTCATTTAAAAAGCGAATCTCTGTAATTGAGCAAACTATCAAAAATCTTGATTCATTGTGCTCAAAATTATCCTACAAAAGCCCAGAGCCTCCTAAATGAAGATCTAACTTTTTGCCTCCAAACTTCCCTAATGAAGATTTTTGTTTACTCCCCCTTTAAATTGAGCAAAATACTAATAAAAATCGATTTTTGGGATACTTTAACCCCCCTTTAAATTCGAACGCGCAATTAAAATGAAGTGCTCTAGTAAGGTAGTTCCCTTATTTGGACTTTTTAAAGGGAACTACAGTTCTTCTGAGAGCTTGCCTATAATAGATGTCATCCATTGGCACTGAGCGACAGGGAAGAGTGTTTTTTGAAGTAGGAGAAATGGGGTTCTAACGATGGTGTAGCTGCCCATCCGTTGCTCAGAGCGGAGCTCGCTTCTCATAAAAGGCTTCAGAAAACAGAATATCAAAACTATTTAAGGGTAATCTTACTAACTAACTCCAAAAAGTTTTTTAATAGAAAAATTTTATATGAAAAAAATGCTAATTAGCTTTGGCAAAGTTAACACTTAGTCGATTAAATTTTTTAAAATAAAAATTAACCTCACTTCAAATTGGAACAGTATTTTACGTTTAAAATTAAAGAGAGGAGTTTAGATCGAGATGACCCTACCAATTTTTTATCTATCTCAACTGAAACTAAGATAGTTGAGGGTGTAATTATAAAGACAGTTAAAGTTCCAATGTTAAATAAGCGGCAAAAAGAAAATTCAGTGTCAGAAGAGTCAGAAGAATCAGATAAGTCAAGCTCAAGCTTTGAATATTTATAGAATTAAATTATAACAGGGTTTTTAGGGATTATTCCAGCTCCCTCGCCATCCCAGGGATGGCCTCGCTCTTGCCTTAGAGCTATTCTAGCAGCTGTTCTTTTACCTCTGACATAACTAAAAGATGGTCTTTCGGGAGATCGCCTACTTATCTTCTGGGTCTCACCAAACAACAAAGATTCCCTCAGCCTCCGACTGTGATCAGAGAATGGTAAACCATCCTTGCTTCCTCCATGGCCTGCCCGAGTCGTTTCTCAGGCTCGGTAATGCTCTCATGAGTGCTTAAGGGCATTCACCAGCAGGTACATCTTCAAGCAAGAAAAAAAGGTCGAGGGTCAGCCCCTTGAAAAAAATCCCATTCTGGAGAATTATCACCATGTGTTTCCTCTTCCATGGGTCAAGATCAACTCTCGGAAGACCAGAGTCCACGTCAGATCACGTCATTTAATAATTCTTTTGAATATGAAGAAGAAGAAGATAATAATAGCTACATTTCTCCGCAAGATTTCGAGGAGCTAGCAAGGGTTTTGAAATTTAATGACTTCTAACTCCCCCCCCCCCCTCCGTGAGCGAACAAAAAAATTTTGTTCGCTCACGGAGGGGGGGTTAATTTTTTTTTTTTAAAAAAAATTTATATATAAATTTTATAAAAAATATTTTTTTCGAAATTTAAAAAAATCCTAATTTGCAAAAATTGGGAAGCAAATATTAATTTAATTTGCAAAATTTATGTTTTAAAAACGCAATTTGTTTAAAATTAAACAGAATTAGCTCTAGATTTCATTATACTAATTATCACTTATATATCAAAATTTTTTTCCATTAAAATTTTTTCTATTAAAAAAATTTTTGTTCACTCACGGAGGGTGGGTTTTTGGTCAAAAAATGGCGATTTTTCTAATGGTTTTGTTCGCTCACGGAGGGGGGGGGGGGAGTAAGAGAAAAATAATAATCTATTAGAAATGGCGACTAAAAGGTATCAGCAGAAGATTATCGTGCTAGGAGACTCAGGGGTGGGGAAAACTTCTTTATTGAATCGTTATGTGCGCCAAGAATTTTCTCAAAATTATCGAGCTACTATTGGAGCAGACTTTTTATCGAAAGAAATTACAGTAGATGATAGACATATTTCTCTTCAATTATGGGACACAGCAGGTCAAGAGCGTTTTCAATCTCTTGGAATGGCATTTTATCGAGGTGCAGATTGCTGTCTCTTAGTTTATGATATGACAAATCTAAAGTCCTTCCAAAGTCTTGCTAATTGGAGAGATGAATTTTTGAAGCAATCTTCTCCTAATGATCCTGCAACTTTTCCATTCATTGTTTTAGGAAACAAAAGCGATTTAGTCAATGAGAGAGTAGTTTCTGAAGCAATGGCTCAGCAATGGGCAAAAGAAAATGATTTAATATTAATCGAAGTCTCTGCTAAAGAAGGGAAAAGCGTAGAAGAAGGCTTTCAAGAAGGTGCAAGAAAAGCTATGAAGAGAGAACAGCAATCTCAACCAATTTTAAAACCTGCTATCAACTTACTCACCTCTTTTAAATTAGAATAAAATATTTGTTTAATTTGCATTTTTGGGTGCTTTAATTTAAATTGGATAATTTTTTTTAATAGGGAAATTTTATCGATGAACTAATTTATAATATCACTTTTGACCGAATTTAATAATCAAAATGCAAATAGAATGCTATTTAAACAGTTCTCATTTTTCATAACAATCGATCAATCTTTTTATATAATTCTTTATTAAAAAAATAGCCCTTCTTTAGTTCCTTTTAAAGGGGGAGAGTTAAAGAAGAATAACCAAACTGCAGGGAAAAAGAAATCATGCTGTAAGTAATTTAACAAATTAATTATTTTGATACGAGTGCTTAAGACGGGTAATTTTTGTTTTTATGCTTTCTGTAGCCCTTGAGGGTGAAAAGTGGACAGATCGTTTTAATTTAACTTGCCTCGGCAAGCTTGAGGATAAATGTAGCTCTCTTTGCTTGATAGAGATATGATTTCTTTTCATAATGCTAGTCAGAAGCATAGGCTGTGGCTTTGTCATGTCTAGTTTACGATTATCAAAAGTAGATGCAAATTTTGTATTTAAAACCGGTGATAAGCTTTTTATTCTCTCTGTTTTTGGAGATTCCCTCAGAAGCAATTTTAATTTTTCTGAGATTATGGGTGCTGGCTTATAAATTTTCTTCAAATCTTTATCAGGTATGGACTCATTTCTATATACAATTTCTTTATCCGTATTTCTCCTATTAGCAAATCTTTTTCTTTTTACTTCCAAAAACGTGCTGTGTCTCTGTGTTGGCCTCAATTTTGCCTCTAATTCCCCTACATTATCAGAAAATTCAATATGCATTAAAAGGCAGTAACGTTAGATCCGCCCTCTTATGGCGGTTACCCATAAATATCTGCGTATGGTTTTGGAGCCTCAAGTTCGTTGATCCTAAACGAGGGACTTGAGCATAAATCCGCTGTTTGTGTAATGATATAATGGACAGTTACTTGAGACTACTTTTCGACAGCATCACCCAAGCGAGTAAGCGCGTGATATTTTTCTAGATAACCTGAAAAAGGGAGAAAAATTACAAAAGATAGAGGTGGTCTTCCAGCAAGTTCCCTAAATGGAGATCTAAGTAGAAGTAGGAGGCAGGATATGGTTTAATACGTGGCGAAGTGGCTTAATTGGAAAATAATGGTGCTCAGCAACGGTCTTCAGGCCCAGTATTGAAAAGCAGAGGTTTCGGCCTGGGCTTAGAGGTACCAGAGGCGGACACTCACCAATTCGCTTGAGTTATCACACAGCTTCTAACGAAGCTGTGCGGAATGCCGCTCATTGTAGTGGAGACTTAAATATTTAGCATCCTTTAATGTAAACGCAATCAGAAAATTCTGTTCCATGCCATTTGATCAGAACTATTTGCTCCTCAGAAATTTGGCTGACATTTTTTCTCGTGAGGTATATGCTTGGAAAAAATAGTCAATTTTTAATCAAATGTCTCACCAGGATAAATTTCTACCAAATATCGCAGAGGAAATGTTTTACTGACAAAATATCCAGATGAAAAAGCGTGTACCCGAAAATTCATTTAAAGCATTGCTATCTGAGTCTTTATCTATTGTGATGGATTTTGATAATAAAGGATGGTCTGGAAGCTTCTTGCCTTTTATGACAGAATATATTTGCCAAGGCAATAAAGGTGGCTTTGTGTGGAAAATATTTATAGCCTGAGTCTCCTTTTTACTCGGGCTATGCCGAGGTCTCTCGACATCAGAAGTGCAGTTGGTTTTACTAGCAAATGTTGTAAAGCCAACTCCCTTACGACATCGGGATAATCCAAGCCAAAAGGAGGCTCGGGCTATACAGTAAATGGTTCTTCCATTGTTTAACGATTATAATGTGACTAATCATATTCTCAGATTTGAATTAGTAAAATATATTTCTGTAGGTTTATTTACTGCTATTTACCTTATAAAAATAGAGAAACCATATTTACTTCTTATTAGTAAGTCTCTCAAACATAGTTTTTACCATCTTTTTCGTATCAAATTTCAGCCTATGTCCCCAATCTCTTTCTGCAACGCTTCCATCAGTTCCATCAGGCCAGCTTTTCACGATTGGATCTCTATAATCTGGCTTGTACTCCACTTCTCCAGGTAGCCATCTTAAGACTTCATTGACATAATCCCCTACACTCACTCCACAAGATGCCATTGTATAGCTTCTTGCCGTCAGTCTGCTATTTGGAGCTTGCATAAATTGGCTTACAGCGTCAATTAAGTCATCTAAATAAATTAAAGGCATTTTGGTTTCAGGAGTTACTGGGATTACAGTTTTTCCAGTTTTTAAGAGATCATAAAACATAGTCACGGTAAATGCAGCTGAGCCACCACCAGGGGCGCCTTCAGAGGTGACTATTGGGATACGCAAACTTCGAAAATCAACTCCATGTTTCAGGTTATAATATTCTCCAATGAGTTCTAAATGAACTTTAGTGATTCCATAAATTGTGGAAGGTCTTTGGATTTCAAGGTTTCCTGGGATTTTTGGAGTCGAAGCTCCAAACGACGCAATGGAAGATGCTGCGAAAAATTGAGCATTATGAATCCTAGCTTGCTCTAAAATATGATGAAGCCCTTGAATATTCAATTTCAAGGCCAGCTTAGGGTTCAATTCACTAGGTGCACTAAGAGTAGAAGCCAAATGGTAAATAATTGTAGGTTTGTATTCAGCAAATAGCTCTTCGACACGATTGTTATCTAAAACATCAAGTTGCTGGAAACGGGTGTTTTTATCCCAGCCAGATGATGGCTCTTTCAAGTCAGTAGCCAAAACATTTTCGAGTCCATAAGTTTGTTGAGCTCTGGTTAAAAGTTTTGAACCAATTTGGCCTGCTGCACCAGTGAAAATTACTCTAGCTGTAGAGAATTTTCTCATCGCTGCGTTCATTACCATTATTATTATATATAATTGCACTCTCAACACAAATAATTGCATAAGTTGCTTAGGCACTTTCCCTAGCAACCGAAAAAAAATGCACTATTTATCCAAGCGAGAAAAAAAATTACAATTTGGTGTTGGGGCTAATTAGAAATCCTAAAACATAAAGATTGTGATCAATGCTATGAATCATGCCCAACTTGGATGCTGCCAGACCACTGCCAAAGGCCCTTTAAGCGTTTTTAAGTTCATGCAGCTATTAGATACTAATTAAATTAAAAAGGAGAATGTTTAGCTAATTATGGAATCATATTCTGAAATATAACGCTCCTAGTGACTTCTTTTATTGCATATTATGATAAAAAAATTGGAGTATATAAATTCTTATATTAATTAATCCAGAATCAAGCTAGTGATTATTGTACCACTATCGAACCTAACTTTATAAGTAACTTCTAACAAATATTACTATCATTCGATTTGGAGGAATAGTTGAAATTGTAAATTGGCTATAGTTTAGTTTGAAGCAAAAAATTGTATGACAATCTTTATCTATTTAATTTCAAATTGTATGGCTCGAGATTATTAAATAATAAGCATTCATTTAATAAAAATTGAAATATTGCTGCAGTATGTGACTTTGAGTGCAATAGCGCATTTTTTGGAAGAAAGGCGCTATATCTTCCCCTGTTGAGATATTGCTATCACTGCAAGGCAGAAATTGCTTATCATCCCGGTATCAATTAACCTTAGAAGGCTAGAAAAGGAAGTCTAGCGATACATTATAAGGGTTAATGTGATCTCAGATGAGACTTTGGGGCTGTAGCTTTACAAGTCGCTGTGTAATGAATCAGCAAGGAGTAGACCATCTAAGTGAAGGATAGGAATACGCCCACAGCTCATCAGATTCAAGCAGAGGAATCACAAGATTATTGGACCTAATTAATCAAATTCATGCACTGAGGCCAAGATAATAGGTAAGATGTGAAGACCAAGCTATCTTACTATCCTTACTGATGGTTAAAGCAATCTTTTATATACTAGATCAAATTTATTCAAAGATTCATTTATTTAATATTTTGGAATAGCTCGAGCTATTGCACTGAACACTTACGAGTTCAATTAATGAAATCTCAAATAAGTTAATAAAAATTATATAATTCAAATAAATGTGATCTGATTTCTTATGAAAGAATAGCTGGCTTCATTTAAGTCACTCATTGGCAAATCATCAAAAATTATTACATAATTAAGCATCATATTTCTAATTTTATTTAAATTGATTAAGTTATTTTTTTTTAATCTGTTTAATTTTTGTATAATTCCCATTTATGCTAGAGTTGAACGAAGAAGGAGATGAAATTTCAGGTTACAAACAGAATTTATGGAAAATAAAAGAAGAAAAATCCATAAAAAATTCTATTTTTGAGCTTTATAGCAGGCTATACTATAAAAAGAATTATGATGAAAAAAATATATTCAGACAGAAAGTTGAAATTGTTCTAAACAGCACAGTTTGGTGCTTTCAAATTATGAGCTTATTATGAATCCCTAGCCTTCCAGTAAAGGGCTGAAGTGAAACTATGGTTATATGAGAAGCTATTGGATATTTCAAGCTTGATAATGCATGCTTAGAACTGGGATTAGTTAGTGAGTGCTTTTTTATATCAATTTTGAGCACCTTTATTATTAGCTTAGTTATTATGATTTTAGTATTTATGATTTATCGCTCTTACAATATTCCAGAGTTTACTTTTAGAATAGTGAAACTCTTTTTTTATTTATGAACTTTATTTCTAATAATACCTTCTATGGAGCTACTTACCATTTTTCTAAAATATAATTTTTGGCCTCAAAAATATGTCTCAGAATACAAAAATAATAATGAGATTGGGAAGTTTGAGATAAGTACTTTATACCAGATTCTAGTTGCTTTTACTATGATTATTAACTTTCCTTTATTTATTTTTCATACAGAATTTTCAGGAGAAATTCGGCATTTTATGAGTTGTAAAAAAATAAATGCAAAGGCACACTCAAAAATTGACAAAAATACAGCAATTTTTACATATTTTTCCCCGGTTATTTACGCGATTTTTGCTAAGGATTATATCGTTTATTTACAAATTTTTATCTCAATTATTTCAAGTCTCCTTGCAATAGAAACTTTAATGTACTTACCTTATTTCTCATTATACTCTAATTGTATAGTGATTCTTAAGATTTTTATTGTTGCTTTTGTGGCATTTTCTTTCCTTTTGGGATATTTGGCAGATAATTCGTTAGCTATTTCTTTAATAGCAATACTTTTAGGTCCACTTTTGGGTGCATTTATAGTCAGGCTTGTTTCAAATTTATTAAATAAAACAAATATCCCAGGTAGCTTATCAGGAATCATTTCTCAGTATGACTTGGAAAAAGCTTTCAGATCTGCTTTGTGTAAAAATGATACAGAAAATAAAGATCAAATAGTCTACATGTTTGAAGCTTTTTTTATCAAAAATATATTGAATAGAGGAAAACTTCAAATCATATGAATAACTAATTACTGTTTTTATACGCTAAGAGATGAGTCTTTAGCGAAAATTAAATTAAGTAAGGCCAGGAGTATTTTTGATTGAGACCTCGAAATTAATTATCAAGAATATTTATGCAATCAAAACATATTAATTGCTTGCTTAGGCGAAAACACACAGTTTTCAAATTATTTTCAAAAACTAAATATGATAAAAAGAGAAGACAAAAAGATGTGCCTGAATTCACTTAAATTCTTAAATGAAATGGTTTCGCCCAATCCAGATCTTAATAAACTAAAAAGACATTTGAGTGTTGTTTCTGACAAGATCTTGCTACTAAATAAAGAATACAGCCAATTGACAGCAAAATATCCTAACATGAGAGAATCTCTATCTCTTTATGCTTCTTATACTAGAAATATAATTTATGATGTTGAAAAATCAACTCTACTTGATTACAAATTAAAGTCCCTTGACAAGTTTATTGATACTTCTATGAACGATTCAAAAGATTTTAGCTATTTTAATGAAAATAATGCGATTTTAATGTTTTCTACTGAAGAAGAAAACTTCGGTTATTGCTTTTTTGGAAATGAGAAAGCTGCAGAAATTTTTAAACTTCCTTTATCAGAAATTATTGGTAACAATGTTTTAAATTTTATCCATCCTCACTATAGGAATGAAGTTAAGAAGGTAGCTAGTTCATACATTTGGAGTACTTCAAGCTCAGAAATTAATTTTGTCGAAGGATTTTTTTGGCATGCTCCGTCTGCTGGTTTACTGGAATGTGTAGGGAAAATAGCTATAACTTCAATGAATACTTTATTTGTTGGCTTAATAGTTTTTAAGCTAAAACCAGTCAATCATCAAATTGCATGGCTCACAGAAAATAGAGAAATTTGCTGCTATACAGATAATTTTCCTAAAATGATTAAAAAATCCTATATTAATTTGGCTGGATGCAATATAAGCAATTTATTTTCTGATTTAAAAGAGGATTTACAACTTTTTATCCCTTATCATTTATCAAATTTGGAGAAAGAAACTGTTATTATCATTGGCTATTACAATTTTTATACAATGAAAATGCCTTATGCAATATTGACAAGTGACTATGAAGAAATTAAAAAGTGAAAAAATGAAGCTTTTAGCCAAGAAATCCATCTACAAAACTTACAAGAAAGTAATTCATTATGTTTGATAAGCTCTCGAGAAAATACATTGTTTAATTTTGAGAGTCAAAATCAAGAAGATATTTACATAGACTCTAAAATGAATTTATATCAGTCTAATGATGAATGTTACTCTGATGCAAGTAATAAATTGCTATCAGAGAAAGGTGATGATCAAGATAAGCCAAATAAATCAGAGTATCCTGTTCATGATAAATACACTGATTCAATAAAAAAATCTTCAAGATCAACTAATATTTTGCATATTGCTTTTGGTTTAACAGTAATATATAATTAGTACCTAGTTATACTCTGTGTGAGTACAGCAATTCCAGTTTATGCTTATTATAAAATAAACTTAGTAAGCAATATTGACCTTTCAATTGCTGTGGGAAAAGCAGGGATAGATTTTCAATCCATAGGCTTAATTTCAAAAACAATTTGGATACTTTCTTATTTTGATAGTTCAGGTTCAAATCCTGTTGAGTTAGCCTTCTGAAAAGATTTTTACAATATCTTGACAGATTTGGAAAATGTAAACTTGAATTTAACTTCTAATTTTAAAAATTGAAATTTTTGTTCAAGCAAAAGCATTTTGAGTGATAAAAATGTTGATTTATTGTATTCAGGAAATGGAATTTATAAGAAAAAAACAAATTTGCTCGATACAACTACAGAGTTTATTAAAAATGTAAAATTTATCTAGATGAATGAATTCTCAAGAAAATTAAACAATTCAGAAAGTGTATGAAAAGAGGTAACATTTCTTTTATTAAATGGATATGGTGAAGCATTTCAATATTGCAATAGATCGTTATTTGAAATTGTAGAATGCCAAAAATCAATGGTTGATGATTTTGAAATAAAAATATACACTTTATTGGGATTAGGTCCAACAGTGCTCGTTTTATGCGTTTGCTTACTTCTTCCATTTTATTATTCTGTAGTAAAAATTGAAAATACTCTTTGAAATACATTAAGAGCTAAATCTTATGCCCATTACTCTGAACTGAAACAAAATCTTATAGAACGACTAAAAAATATCCACTCTGAACCTGAAATAATGGCTTTTGATCAAAAATTGTCTAAAGATCGAAGAGAGCTTAAAAGCCTTTGAAAATATATATGAAGGGCATGTTTATTAGTATTAGCAGTGATTATATTTTCTATAGTAAATATTACTTATCTTTATGATAAATGCGCAGATTATTTATACTATAGGCCTGTATTTATAAGAGAAGTGATAAACCAACAGATGTTGTATACAGGCTTGGATATATGAGCGACTGAATCGGCAGCAGATAACTATGGAGCCCCCACTTCAAATATATTTCCTTCATTGTACCCTTTTAGGACCAGTATATCTCAGTTTCAAAAAGTCAAATCAAGGCTTGAATATTCTGACTCAACCATAATCAAACAAAAGTTTTCATCTATTTTATCAAAAAAATTTAAAGAAATGTATTATGAAAATTTAGATGGTTCTGAAACTTTCGCTTTTGGACTATATCCATCTAAGGAAATATTTGAATTTGATAGCTATCTTACAGCAGATTTACCTATCCCTGTAGACCAATGACTCAGAATGATGTCTATTTCAAGGGAGCTAAATTCTTATTATAGTATGCTTATTGAAGATATTGACAAATACTCAAAAAAATTGATTGATAACCAAATTCTTATTATAATAGCAACTTTAGCTATTTTTATACTATCTTTATTTGTTCTATATTTTGGGTTTTATTTGACATTTTTTAGGAGTGAAAAAAAATATTTGCAGAAAATAGATGCAATAATAAATATTGTCTCTTATTAAAGATGCATAAATAAAAAACAATTTAAGAAAAAATATATTAGTCTTTTCAATGAATTTAAGTTCAATCTTTTACTAATTTGCTTATTGTTAATTTCCATGAGCCATTTATCATTTTGCCGCTCATCAAAAATTAAGCAATTTTTCGAATATCCTAAAAATATAAAATTTAACTAATATGTATACTTTAAATCTTAGATGATTGCTAAGGAGGGTTAAACCAAATAAATAGAAAATAGACTATGCTCAAGTGCTCTTAGAGTTCAAATGAAGTTTAGGATTATAAGGCACACAAATCATTACTGCTATTAAAAATATAATTCTTTGTGCTTTTAATAAAGGCATTTTCTATTTACAGCTATATTTTAGAAGTAGAGTATCTTTAATTGAAAAGAGCAAAGCGATATTGTATCCATATTTGCTTAAGTACCTTATGAATTATACGAACAAAATGTAAAATGGGTAATTATATGAATTATATTTCAGCCATTTGAATAATAACTATTTTTTGCATCAATAATGAAATTTCAATAGTTTTGAATAATTAAACAATTTATTTAAATTCACTCCAGGTATTTTTTTTTTAAAATCTGTTAATTTTATATATTACCCATTTATGCTTGAGATGAATGAAGAAGGAGATGAAATTTCAGATCACAAACAAAAGTTTTGGAAAATAAAAGAAGAGAAATCCATTAGAGATCCTATCTTTAAACTTTATAGCAGGCTCTACTATAAAAAGTATTATGAAGATAACAACATTGTAAGACAAAAAATTGAGTTCATTTTTCGTAATACAGTTTGATGTCTTCAAATGATATCCTTATTATGAATTCCAGACCTTTCAATCAAAGATTGAAGTGAAAATATGGCTATATGAGAGGCTATAGGATATTTTAAGTTGGATAACACATGCTCAGAATTAGGCCTAGTTAATGAATGCCTTTTAATATCAATTTTGAGCACTTTTATTGCCAGCTTAGCCATTATGATTTTAGGGTTTCTGATTTATCGTTGCTACAATTTGCCAGATTTCATTTTTGGAATAGTAAAATTCTGTTTCTATTTATGAACCTCATTTCTAATTATACCTTCTATGGAACTACTTACCATTTTTCTGAAATATAATTTTACAACGCAAGAGTACGTAACAGAATACAATAATGATCATAACGATATTAAGATTTATGAGATAAGTGCAGCTTATCAAGTCCTAATTGTTTTTACTATGATTATTAATTTACCTTTACTTCTTTTTCATGAAGCCTTTTCAGGAGAGATTAGACATTTTATTAGTAATAAAAATATAAATGCAAAGGCTCACTCGAAAATTGACAGAAATATCGCAATTTTCACATATTTTTTCCCAGTTATTTATGTAGTATTTGCTCAAGATTACATAATATATTTGCAGATTTTAGTCTTATTTATTTCAGGACTCCTTGCGATAGAAACTCGAATGTACTTGCCTTATTTCTCGTTATACTCTAACTATATTGCGATACTTCGGCTTTTTATTATCGCTTTTGTGTCATTCTCTTTCATTTTGGGATACTTGGCAGATAATTCGTTAGCTATTTCTTTTATAGCAATACTTTTAGGGCCACTTTTGGGCGCATTTATTATTCGATTTGTACCAAATTTACTAAATAAAGCAAATATCCCAGATAACTTAACAGGAATCATTTCTCAGTACGATTTGGAAAAATCTTTTAGGTCTGCTTTGTGTAAAAATGATATAGAGAACAAAGGCCAAATAGTCTATATGTTTGAAGCTTTTTTTATCGAAAACGTATTGAATAGAGGAAAACTTCAAATCATTTGAATTACAAATTACTGTTTTTATACATTAAAAGATGAGTCTTTAGCGAAAATTAAATTAAGTAAGGCCAAGAGTGTTTTTGATTGAGGCCTCGAGACTAACTATCAAGAATATTTATGCAGCCAGGACATATCAGCTTCTTGCGTGGGTGAAAATACACAATTTTCAAATTATTTTCAAAAACTAAATGTGATAAAAAAGGAAGATAAAAAAATGTGCCTGAATTCAATTAAATTTTTAAATGAAATGGTTTCGCCTAGCCCTGACCTTAAAAAATTAAAGAGACATTTGACAGTGGTTTATGACAAGATCTTGCTACTAAATAAAGAATACAGCCAATTAACAGCAAAATATCCTAACATGAGAGAATCTCTATCTCTTTATGCATCTTATACTAGAAATATAATTTACGACGTTGAAAAATCAACTCTGCTTGACTACAAATTAAAATCTCTTGACAAGTTTATTGTTACTTCTATAACTGACTCAAAAGATTTTAGTTATTTTAATGTGAATAATGCGATTTTAATGTTTTCTACTGAAGAAGAAAACTTCGGTTATTGTCTTTTTGGAAATGAGAAAGCTGCAGAAATTTTCAAACTTCCTTTATCAGAAGTTATTGGTAACAATGTTTTAAATTTTATCCATCCTCACTATAGAGATGAAGTAAAGAAGGTAGCTAGTTCATATATTTGGTATACTTCAAGTTCTGAAATTAATTTTGTTGAAGGATTTTTTTGGCATGCTCCGTCTGCTGGTTTACTGGAATGTGTAGGGAAAATAGTTATAACTTCAATGAATACTTTATTTGTTGGCTTAATAGTTTTTAAGCTAAAACCAGTCAATCATCAAATTGCATGGCTTACAGAAAATAGAGAAATTTGCTGCTATACAGATAATTTTCCTAAAACTATGAAAAAAACACATACTAATTTGATTGGATGCACTATAAGCAATTTATTTTCTGACTTAAGGGAAGATTTACAACTATTCACCCCTTATAATTTATCAAACTTCGAGAAGGAAACTGCTATTATTATGGGTTATTACAACTTCTATACAATGAAAATGCCTTATGCAATATTGACAGATGACAATGAAGAAATTAAAAAGTGGAAAAATGAAGCTTTTGGATATCAAAGCTACCTTGAAAGTCCGCAAGACAACGATTCATTGTGCCTAATAAGCTCTATGGCAAATACATTCCTTAATTGTGACAGCCAGCTGCCAGAAGATATTTACTTATTTTCCCCTCTCCGTGAGCGAACAAAACTATTGAAAAAATCCCTATTTTTTGCCCAAAAACCCACATCCGTTCGTGAACAAAATTTTTTTTATGAAATTTTTTTTGAAAAAATATTTTGATATATACAAGTGATAGTTATTATAATGAAATCTCTAACTAATTCTGTTTAATTTTAAACACATATATATACTTATTTAGAGGCCGTAAGACCATTTTATGACGGAGCTATAGCTCACCGCGCTAAGCCTTAAGGCTTTGATTACCCACCGCTAGCGACCACAATTTATTTTATCCCCACATCTCACGCCCATTGTCTTGGCTAGAACGCCCGTTTTCGATGCGATTACACCTAATTATCTTGGGTCTCCTCCGTCGGAGTCTGATGAGCTGCGGACTTGCTTCCATTTAATTTTAAAAGCTTGCCTTTTAAATCCAAATTTTAAAAATTAAATTAATATTTGCTTCCCAATTTTTGCAAATTGGGATTTTTTTAAAATTTCCAAAAAAAAATTTACTATAAAATTTATATATAAAATTAAAAAAAACTAACTCCCTCGTGAACGAACAATATTTTTTGTTCGCTCACGGAGGGGAGTTAGATTCTAAAGCGAATTTATTTCAACCAAATGCAAATGAGGAGTGCTGGTCTGATCCAAATGATAAGGAGTCATTAGAAAAAGCAGATGATGATAAATCAAATAAATCAGAATATTCCTTTCAAAGCAGATACACAGACACAATAAGAAAATCATCAAGATCAACTAATGTTTTGCATGTAGCTTTTGGTTTCACAGTAAATATTTATTTAGTACTTAGTTATCCTAAGTGTAAGTTCAGCAGTCTTATTTTATGCTTACTCCCCCCTCCATGAGCGAAGAAAAGAATTTGTTCGATCACGGGGGTTAAAAAATTTATATATAAATTTTATTATAATTTTTTTTTCTCAAAATTAAAAAAATTCCAATTTGCAAAATTGGAAACAAATATTAATTTAATTTGCAAAATTTATGCTCTAAAATGCAAGCCGTTAAAGTTAAACAGAATTAGCTCGAGATTTCATTATCATAACTATCATTTATATATCAAATTTTTTTTTCATAAAAATTTATATTAAAAAAATTTTTGTTTGCTCAGGGAGGGTGGATTTTTGTGCAAAGAATAGTGATTTTTCTAATGGTTTGGTTCGCTCATATAGGGGAGGAGTTATTATAATATTAATTTAATAAGCAATATTGACCTTTCGATCGCTATGGGAAAAGCTGGTGTAAACTTTCAAACAATTGGTATAATTTCAAAAACACTTTGATTTCTTTCGTATTTTGGCAGCACTTATTTGCCTGCTGAATCAGCCTATTGAAAAGATTTAAACACTGTTTTAGCAGAATTGGAAGAAGTTAGCTCAAACCTAACTTCAAATTTTGAAAATTGAAATTTTTGCTCAAGTCGAAGCATCTTAAGCGATGAAAGTATAGAATTATTATACAATGGTGACAAAATTTATAAAAAAAAGGCAAATTTGTTAGGTGCGACTACAGAATTTATTAAAAATGTAATATTCATTTAGATAAATGGATTCTCGAGAAAATTAAACAATTCAGAAAGTGTATGAAATGAGGTTACATTTCTTTTATTAAATGGATACGGGGAAGCATTTCAGTACTGTAATAGGTCATTATTTAATATTGTGGAATGCCAAAAATCAATGGTTGACGATTTCAAATATAAAATTTATTCTTTATTAGCAATGTGTCCTGCTGTACTGGTTATATGCATTTGTTTACTGCTTCCATTTTATTATTCTGTAGTAAAAATTGAAAATACTCTTTGAAATACTTTAAGATCTAGATCTTATGCTAATTATTCTGAATTAAAGCAAAATCTTATAGAAAGACTAAAAAATGTCCATTCTGAGCCTGAAATAATGGCATTTGATCAAAAACTTTCTAAAGATCCAAAGATATTCAAAAGTCTTTGAAAATATATATGGAGAGCATGCTTATTACTGATAATTGTAGTGATTTTTTCTTTAATAAATATTACTTATCTCTATGATAAATGTGCGGATTATTTGTACTATAGGCCTATGCTAATAAGAGAGTTGATAAATCAGCAAATGCTTTATACAAGCTTGGATATATGGTCAACAGAATCTTCATGAGACAGTACTGGATATTTAACTGCATTTTTTTTCCCTACTATGTACCCTTTTGGTAGAAGTGTAGTTAAGTTTGAAGATGTCATATCAAAAATTGGAAATTCAGATAAGTTGATAAAAAGTGGATATTTTTCATCTATTTTATCCAAAAAATTTTGGGAAATTTATTATGAAAATAATAATGATTATATTTCTGAATTCTTCGCTTTTGGAGTATACTCATCTAAGAAAATATTGGAATTTGATGGCTATCTTACAACAACTGCAACAGTCTCAATGGATCAATGATTATATATGATGTCAATTTCAAGGGAGCTAAATTCTTATTACAAAATCATTGTTGACGAAATAGACGATTACTCAAAAGAACTGATTGACGATCAAATTACTATTATAATAGCAACTCTAGCTATTTTTATATTTTGCTTATTTGTGTTGTATTTCGGATTTTATTTGACGTTTTTCAGGAGTGAAAAGCAATATTTGCTGAAGATAGATTCAATCATAAAAATATTGCCTCAGTAAGAGTGTCTATTATTAAAGACGCAAAATATAATAAATACAGCACATGCTTATAGTAGATTTTTAATTAAGACTTCTAAATATATGCAATCGTTATAGCTCTGGCTCATAATATTGATAAAATCCCTTAAATACATTTTTTAAATGTGCTCTGCTAGTAAAAGCTAATTATTATATCTCAATTAAATAAAGAGTACCAAAAATGAAACAAAGTATCAATGATATTGCTATGCGAACTTCAAAAATATAACATTTTATTTTTATTATGCTTACTGATTACTTTTGTTACTGTGCAGCCAGTTAACTGACTGCAAGTATTAGATAATTATGGCATTGATAAGATTTTGATTGCATTGCTCTCTAATCCGAGTGATCGATTTCTATTATGTATTTATATCAATATCTTTAAAGAAAATTATTAATTTAATTGAGCTATCTTGCCATTTCGTAATATTTCTTGCAGGAATTTAAATTTCCGTTATTTAAATAACGATTATTATTACCTTTGTTGGTATTCTGAGAAAAATATATTTTGGAAGACTGCTGAGCTTCACATTCTTGCTTCAAGTTTTCCATATAATTTAATTCCACAAGTTTTTCAATATTATACCGTTGCTGCAATGCTATTTCTTTAAAAGTATAGCGTCTGAATCGCTATAGTTTGCCTTGGCGAGGGTTCTCCGCAGCAACTTGGAGCTCTGACAAGCCACCTAAAGGTGACAAGCCAACTTCAAGTTGGCAAATCCTTGCAAAAGGGCGCACTCTTGCCAATTTGGAGTTGACTTGTCGCCTGTAAGAGGCTCCTCAGAGCTCCAAGTCACTGTGGAGAATCCTCGCCAAGGCAAACTATAGCGATTCAGACGCTATATCAGGGTCTATTCAATAATTAATATGATTTTTGCTTGTTATTGCGGAAACTCTAAACTTTTGTGAAGGAATCAATGAAAACATTTGAGGAGATTTAGGTGAAACTGCTGAAAATAAAGAAAATATAACTAAAATTATAATTGGGAGAATCTGGATTATAGGCTTTCAATTAATTCGTTTCTGTGTTCGTCTTTGGAAATTATATGTTTTTTCCTTTGAAAAGTAATCAGAGAAAATATCTTGAAAATATTCATCAAAATCGGAAGATTCTTCTGGAGAGCTATTGATGTCTTTATGGCTGTCAACGCCAGTAAGGTTATAATTTTTGCGTTTTTCCTCGTCACTTAAGCATGAAAATGCTTTACTTAATCCTGCTAGTGAGCAAAAAAAAGTTTTTGTTTTTTCATAAAGATAAATTATTAATATTTTTTTTCAAACATAAAAAAATCCATTTTAGCCAAAATTGAGAATTAAAAATTAATTTAATTTGCGAATTTATGTTTTAAGATGCAAGCTGTTTAATATTAAACAGAATTAGCTAGAGATTTCATTATAATAATTATTATCACATATGTATCGAAATATTTTTTAATAACAAATTTTTGTTAGTGGGGTTTTTAATAAACAAAGGGTATTTAGCAGTTTAAAAGCTTCATCAGCTTTTGGGGATTGATTTTTATCAGGATGCAATTGCAATGCAAGTTTTTTGTAAGCCTTTTTGATCTCTTCTTTGGGGCAGGCAGGCTTTACTCCTAAAATTGCATAGTAATTGTCTTGCTCAAGTATTTTTTTGCAAATTTTTTCTTGAGCTATATTTGTCTGACTACAGTTCATATTTAGAAAAACTATTTTTTATTTTTTGCGAAATCTTGTATATATTTTCTGTTAACGAATGTTTCTACTTGCATATCTATTAAAACCTTGTTTTAAATGTTAAAGATTACTTCACCTTTAAACTTAATAAAAACACTTATTATATCTTGCAAAACAACCTAACAGTTATTATCAAAGTTGTTTTTGGATGAGGTTTTTAAGTTAATATTTTTATTACACTTTTTAATCAATAATTTTTTATTGTTTTCTTAATACATTTATTCATTTTTAAACCTGTTAAAGACAATACTTTCACCAGCTGTATACAATGGCCTAAACTCATTAAAGCTGTCAGACCTCTCTGCTACATCTTGCTCTGGGTCTAAAATTAAATAGCTCGTATTAGGCCGATAAACTGGAGTATTGGATTCACCAGGTTTTTCTAATCTTTGCAAATATAATTTTTCAATTTCTCTCAATTTCCCAGTATCAGCTGCCTTTTTTGTTCGCTTTTTCTTCCTTTTACCTAAGGCAGTCGTAGTCATTTGCCTTGATTCTCTATAAAAGCTAGTTAAGTCTTCATTGGGCATGTTAACTTGCGTTAAATCCATATTGTGGTAAATACTTGGCCTAGCAGGCGTCCAGTCTGAATTTTCGCTTTCTGATTTAAATGTATAATGAGGAGGAAGACTAAATTCTCTGGGAGAACTATATTTCTCTTTATCAATCATTGACATAACAGAACCTAAAGTCTGTAAATTTCTATACTCAATGGCTTCTTCAGGCTCAGATGAAAAAATTAATGGCTTCAATGGCCTAGGAGGTTTTTTAGATTTAGGTGATTTTACATAGGGAACTGATGAGATCCACCCTGTTTTGTCAGGAATTAGGTTTTCTGGATTAAAATCATGGTCAAGTGGGCTCTCCAGTTTCGAAGGAAGCTTAGAAAGTTCTGATTTTCTTTCTAAATCAATTATTTTGGCTCCTCTAAAATCTCTTCTAACTGTTACTCTTGCATTGGTTTTCTTATGCTTCAAAGTAGCTATATGGACATCATCTTTATCAATAATAGTATCCGGAATATCATAATCATTCCTATCAATTTTATCCCCTTCTTTAATATTCCCTACCTCATTCACCACTTTTGCACCATGAAATGTTTTTCTTATTTTCACATCTTCTCCAGTTTCATTATGCGTAACAATGACAACCTCAGGGTCAAATGGATCCGGATATGCATTGTGAAACGCAAAGTCGCTTTCATCTTTAACACTTTGGCCAATTAAATAATCATGTGGTAGTCTTGCTCTTTTTTCTAAATCTACTATTCTTGCTCCTTTGAAATTTCTCTTGACTCTGACTTTTTCTCCTTTATACGTGTATAAGGTTGCGAAATGGACGTCATCTTCGTCAATTATTGCGGACGACAAATCATAGTCAGCTATTTCGATTGGAGGTTTGTTCTTTAGTACTTTATTTTCTAAGTCTACAATTCTTGCACCTCTGAATCCTTTTTTAATGAAAAGACGCTCTCCTGTGACCTTATGAGGAATTATGACCACTTCGGGGTCGTTGCTATCAGCAAAAGCTCTTTCAAATTCTAATTCATCCTCTTCCTTAATTACCCCTAAACTATTGTTGGGTTGACCAAATAGCATATTAATTTTTTCTTCTTCTGAAAGCCCTTCGCTATTAGAAAAATCTTCTTTATTTGAAAGTCCATCTATTTCTTGATTTTCTGGCTCATTTTGGGTTGACTCTGCGTCAATTTTGTGTGAAAATTCTGGATTTTCATGATTTAAAGCTTCAAGTTTGCCACTGCTAGTTAACTCAAAGTCTTCTTTATATAAAGAAACGAAATCTTCATTATTTGGCTCAGTTTCTGTATATTCCTCTGAAGAAAGGTTATATTCAATTATTTTTGGTGGCTCTTCTTTAAGCTCTGTGAAGCGTGGCTCAAAAATTTTCATTGCTGGAGCTTTATACTCGGTTTTAGAATTTTGGAAATCCCCTTGAAGGATTGTGTCGTCTTCTCTCAAAAATGTCGATTCGTCAGATAAATAATTATTAGACATATGCAGTTTTTCTTCACCATATGGTTCATCTATTATAATAGGAGGCTTTGATATCTGGAATATATTTGGATCTACCTTTATGTCTCGAGCTGAAACCATTGGATATGAGTTTCTTCTTTTATAATGATTATACAATTCATCATCTGTTTTTACTATAAAAGACTTGCTTCTCCACCTTAACTTTTTCTTTTTGAATGGCAAAAACGCAGGCAAAATATCTTTAAAATCCACTTGTGGGAGAAATTTCACCATATTATTCAACGTGTTATTAGGGCTTACAAGCTTTTGACCTTCTTGATTTGTGTCTCTAAATTCATTTTCCCATTCTTTTCTTAATAGTGACTGCTCCAATTTCTTCAAATCAATAAAGATAAAAAATCCTAAAAATAGCGTAACTATGAAGGAATCTAAAGAAAACATGAACAGCCAGTCAGATATAGAATAATGGTTCATTAGTAAGATTTGAGCTGTTATTATAGGGATAAATGTGCATAGCAAGCTCACATATCCAAATTTTATTAGCAGCTTATATAATTTCCACTTATTATCGAAATTGGCTTTAAAGCAATCTTTATTGAATAGCCCACAATAAATAATTCTGACACAATGAAACGATATAAAAGCCGATAAAAGAAGAGTTGCAGCTGAGGCTCCTCTATGATTTTTCCAGCTTCATGCCATTCGATCAGAATATTTAACTCATGTGACAATTCCTTTGGTACATTTTGTTGAAATTTTTTACCTTGTTATAAATTTGATAGAATTTTAAACGTTTTTTTTTGCCGAGCAATTGCCTCACAAGGAAAAAGTTACTGCCAAAAATCCTATACAAGGGATAAAATCCTATCAAATAGATGGCGACGGATTTTTCCTTCAATATCTAAAAGTTCCATCACTTCTGAAAATATTTTTAATATATTTCCATATAAAAATTTCATTGCACATATAATGGAAAAACAAAGCCCCAAGAATAAGAATGATTGCGATAGTTACTATTAAGCTGCTCTCAGTGCCAATTTCAAATAATCGTCTAGAATGGTCTCCTCCTTGATCAGGAATATAAGAGCACAAAAATATCCAAGAAGCGCATGATGAGACAGATCACACAGAAATTGCTGAAGGTACAAAGTTAACACCAATCGCTGTTAATTTAGTTATGCCTATAATGCCTACTGAAATAAAAGTAACTCCAGTAAAAGGAAATGGTACCGTCCCTATGTCAAAGTTATCTGATGAAGTTGTATTGCTACAGTCTGAATTTTGACATTTTATACAATAATTGTTGAAGTCTTGATAGCCATGAGGACATTTAGAAACACAGGTATTATTAAACAAAATTGTAGAATTGTCACAGCTTGTGCATTCATCTATGTTGTTTTCGCACGTAAGGCATGATGAATCGCAATCAACACATGTTTTATCAATTGGAATTGTAGTCCCAGTTGGACATGATTTTGTACAGCCGCCATTATATACGAAATAAGCAGAATTTGCGCATTTTGTACAGTTAGAAGTCGAGTTATAGCAAGTTTTGCATTGAGATTGGCATGGAAGACATTGATAATTAGAAGTCGGGGTTGTTGTATAGCCATCTTCGCATGGAGTAATGCACAGATGTGAAGTCAGAACTTTAGGAGGGCTGCAAGATGTGCAGTTTGTAGATGAATAATCGCATGTAAGACAACTCGAAGAGCACGATTGGCAAGAAGTGCCATAATAATACTGTCCATCTGGACATGGTGTAATGCAGTAGCCATTTCTTAATGAATAATTTGCATTGCAGGTTAAGCAATTGCTTGATGATGAACATTCATAGCAATTATCTGAGCATTTATAGCAAACATATGATGAACTGTAATAGTCTGTTGGGCAACTACCCACGCAAGTATTATTTAATAAGCTTCCTGTGCTGCAAGAAGTGCAATAGCTTGCTTTTCCTTCACATGTTTTGCAAGGCGTTGAGCATGATTGACACTTCGATCCTACTTTATAAGTCCCATCAGGGCAGTTTTCATAGCAAGAGTTGCCAATTAGTATAGCATCATTATAGCATGATAAGCATTTTGTAGAGCTCGTTTCGCAAGTTTTGCATGTGGAATCGCATGCATTGCAGCTACTTCCGACTAAGTAATAATTATCGTTGCAAGATGTGCAACTGGTTTTCGTTCCTGAGCAGGTTTTGCAGCTCGTATCGCAGCTAACGCAAGTGTTTCCTACAAGAATTAGGCCATTAACACATGATGTGCATTTATCTATAGTTTCAATGCATGCACTGCAAGGGTAATTACAACTCACACAAGAGCCATTTATTAGAGATAATGGGGGTGAGCACGAAGTGCAAATGGTTGAGGTGCCTGAGCATTCGAGACAAGCAGTAGAGCATGCTTCACAAATAAGCCCGCTTTGATAACTGCCTGATGGACAATTATCATAGCATTTGCCTTTATAAGCAAAAAGTTGGGTATTGGTGACATTGCTAGGTTTGCATGTGTTACAATATACAGATGATAAACAGGTATTGCAAGGATATACACAAGGAAGGCATTTTGAAGAATCTAGATAATATCCAGAATTGCAGATAGTTATTGGATCACACATCCCATTGTCATAAGAACATGACTCTGTAGCACAGGCTGGGTCGCACTGGCTATTTGCTAATAGAGCTTTAGTACAACCTTCAGCGCACATTAAAGTGCAGGCGCCTAAATTAGGCTCATAGCCACTAGGACATACAGACCAGCATTGATGATTATACAAATAAGTGGTAGAATTGCAGGCTGTGCATGTCGTTGTCGTTTGGGTACAAGTAGCACATGGGCTTTGGCAATTCTGGCAAGTATTTCCTACTGGTACCGTGCTTTTATCGAGACAGGAATTTATGCAGTTTCCTTGATAAAGATATAAACCATTCAAACAGCTAGTGCAATAATAAGTTTGCCCAGAGCAAGCACTGCAATTTCCTACACAAGCTGTGCATTCATAACCACTCCCTATTGTAGTGTATCCTGTATCACATTTAGTTTGGCATGAAGACCCTTGCAGAACTTTTCCAGTAGGGCATGTTGTGCAGTAATCAAAAGTCCCTTTGCAAGTATCGCAGTTTGAGCTGCAGTCTTCACAGACATTACCTAGTTGCACTGTATAATCTGCTGGACATTCTTTTAAGCATTCGCCGTTATAAAGATATTTACTACTATTACAGCTAATGCAAGTATCTGTGGTTACAGCACATTCTTTACAAGAACTATTGCAGTCTACACAAATAAGGCCGCTCTTCAATGTCCCTTCTGGACAGTCACTATAGCAGTCGTTATTATATAGATATTGCTTAAGCCCTGCTATAGAGTTGCTTAGACAAGCTGTGCAAGTGGTTGCTGCTGAACATTCTTTGCAAGGGTATTCACAAGCTTGGCATGCACTTCCATCCCAGTATTTCCCAGACCCACAAGTACTTTGCACACAATCTCCATTATCTCAATTGCAATCCACTGTTTGACAGTCAGAATCACAAACTCCATTATTCAGCATGGCATCAGTGCAATTAGCAGAGCATTGGACAGGGGGCTCAATAATAGCACAAGTTCCTGTATTATTATAATACCCAGCAGGGCAGCTTGATAAGCATAATGAATTATATTTTACATACTGACTCGCACATAAACTGCAGCTTGTTGATCCAGAGCAGGCTATACAAGATGAAGGGCAGCTTTCACAAGTATTTCCATTAGGATAGCTCCCATCAGGGCAATTAGCTAAGCATTGGTGCTCATATAAGAATTTATCACTGGTGCAGCTTGTGCAGTAAGTAGTTGTCCCATAGCACTCATAGCACCCCTCACATTTGATGCATTTATTGCTGCTTGTCGAAGTAGTTGTATAGCCTGTATTGCATGAAGCTTGACATTTAGTTCCTTGTAAAACTTTTCCAGCTGGACACGCTGTGCAGGAATCATAAGTCACATTGCAATATAAACAATTAGTGCTGCAATCTACGCAAGAATCCCCTACAACTATCGTTGTATCGCTAGGGCAGCTTGATATACAATTATTATTGTATAGATAATAGCCTGACTTGCAAGAAATACATGTGTTAGAGTTGCCTTGGCATTCAGAGCATTTGCTATTGCAATCTACGCAGGTAATTCCACTTTTCACAGTCCCAGAAGGGCATTTATCATAACAATAATAATCATAAATAAGTAATTGGACTCCTGTAGTAGAATTTGCCTTGCAAGATGTGCAGGTAGTTGGCCCAATGCAGTTGTTGCATGGATAGGAGCAATCTACGCATTGAGTTCCATCTTGATATTTTCCAAAAGAGCAGCTTCCTGCAGATAAGCAATTTCCATTATCATAATTGCAGTCAGTTGTATTGCAAATTGAATCACATGCAGAGTTTCCTAATAATGTCGATGTGCAGCCCACTGCGCAGTCACTGGCAGAAATAGGGATGCAATGGCCAGAACTTGGCATATAATTTTCAGGACACGAAGAAACACACCAACTGCTAGTTGAGTCACTGTATAGATACATGTTCGTATAGCAAGCTGTACAGTTTGTAGTCGTTATGGAGCAGCTAAAGCAGTTTGTGTTGCATGCTAAGCATTGGTTGTTTGATAGTATGTAGCCTCCTTGGCAGCTGTCGACGCATGAGCCATTTTCTAATACTAAGCTTGAAGAGCAGGCTGTGCAAGTGTTTGGATCTGTTAAGCATTTAGCACAATTGCTGCTGCAAGATATACATAATGAACCACTTTGAATAGAAATATCGGCTGGGCATTGAGAAACACAGCTATTTTGATATAAATATTTTCCATTTGGACAACTTTTGCAAGTATTTGTGGAGCCCGAGCATGTCAAGCATGTTGAATTGCAAGCTAAGCAGATCCCATCGCCAGGAATATAGGTGCCAGAGGGGCAGCTTGATACGCAAGAGCTCCCTAATAGATAATTTCCTGAATCACAACTGGTACAAGCAGTTGCTGATGATGAGCATGTTGCACAAGTCTGATTGCAAGCAACGCATTCAACTCCATTCGAAAAATAGCCATCAGTGCAGTGATCTACACAAGTTGTCCCTTCAAGCAGTTTATTTCCAAGGCATGAAGTACAATAAGCGGGCGCTCCAGAGCAGGTTTCACATGAGTTTATACAATCTTTACAACGGTTCAGTACTAAAACTGTTCAATAAGGGCATGGAGATACACATGAATAACCATAAAGATAGTAATTTGAAATGCATGTAGTACAATTTGAGGTTGTCAATGAGCATGTATTGCATGGAGAATCACAAGGGTAGCAAACTCCATTGCTCTGGATATAATATCCTCCACCTGTGCAACTAGATACACATTTCCCAGATTGCAAGAGTAGCGGGGAATTGCATGATGTGCAGTAAGAAGCTGATTGTGAGCATTTCGAACAACTTGGAGAGCATGCATCGCACGTATATGAGGTGCTATTGGCAAAGGTGCTATCTGGGCATGTGACTGTACATGTTCCATCAGCATTCAGATATGTATTTGCCCCATAGTTTGGGGCTGATTTTTTTACCGTGCATGAAGTGCATACAGATGCGCTTGAGCAAGTGGCACATGGGTTTATACATGACAAACAAGTCAAGCCATCTCCATATTTACCACTTGGACAAGAGCTGCTGCAGGTATTATCATAATAATAAGGATAAAGACCTGCAGAGTCACATGTCAAGCAGTATGTAGAATAGTCCTTGCAAGTTAGACAAATAGTATCGCAGTCGTCGCATTTCTTTGCGGGTGTTGTAATATTGTCGTATTGCCCATTAGGGCAATTTGCGTTGCAGGTGTTCCCATCTAAGTAAGGATATGATCCACTTGGATCACAAGAAGTGCAATAGTTTGGAGTGGTGAAGCAGGTATAGCAATTACTGTCACATGTAAAAGATGAGGTAACGTAAGTGCATTCATCAATTGAATAGCTACCTATTTTTGAGTATAATAGTCAAGCTGACGTAAGTATTTGCTTGTTAGGATTCGTTAAACCTGTGATAAGGATTGCAATCCTGCTAGCTGAAGTATATGAAGTGTCAAAACCACCAGTGGTTATTATTACTTTGCTTGCAACCACACATGTAAAACTTGAACTCAAAGTTATTGGGAGGCATGAAATAGACCCGGCTGAGAATTCAGCTGGAATTGTCAGCAAAATAGTTGTTCCTGATGGATGCACATTAAGAGGCGTATAGCTGATAGTATAATTTGTAGTTACCCCTATTCTGCTATCTGCAGCACTTATAACGATGTTTGTAATATTTCCTGGGGTTGTGGTAGTCACAGTTAGCCCATTCTCTTTTTTATCCATATAATATCCATCTGTTGTCATCGTGTAAATTGAGAATGAAGAAGTTGATTGGGTAGATGGAGGATTTGTGATTGGCGAAATTGAAAAACACAAAACGCTGCCACTTGATAAGGAACTTGACAAGCTTAATGTAGCCTGAACATCTGTAGAGTTCCCTGAGCAAGAAATTGATGTTATAACGCTGCTTATAGCAGAGCATGAAGGATTTGAAGGCGTTGCGATCTCAGCTGGGAATTTTACATCAACTACACATCCAGTTTCTGTGGGGTTTTTGATTGTTATGTTAAATGTATAAGTAGCTGGAGCTCCATTTACAAATGAATTCATTGATATGCTAGCAGAACTAAGAGTATTTGCTGTAGTCATCTGCACATAAATTCCTGAACTTTTTGCATCAATAGCATATCCATTAGAATCAAAAGTCTCCACATTAAACGATTGATATTTTCTTGTGGAAGGTGGGTTTATTATGAACCCCACCGAGAAGCTTAAAGTCCCAGGACTAAAGCTGCCAGTGTTAAATCCATTGACTATTTTTATAGAGTTACTAGTGCAGGTACAAGAAAAACTGTTTGTATTGAATCCTGAAATTTTTGTACAGGAATTTTGAGCACTAGTAATATCTGATATAGAAACTCCAGTAGGAAAAGTTACAGTTAAATATCCATTAGATGGGATGAGCGTGGTAGTGTTAATAGAAAAAGTATATGTAGATTTATCTCCAGTAATAAAGGAATCTGGAGTTACTGTGGCAGATCTTAATTCTGCAGCTTGGGCTGTAAAAGTGACTCCAGTAGTTATTTGGTCTACAAGATAGCTAAAAGTATTATCTGGTGATGAAGAAATAGCAAATGAGTCTGTCTTGTAAGTGGTAAGTGGATTTGTGATTTGATCGATCTCAAATTTTATGATCCCAGCTGAAAATCCTGATGGGAACCCGTCAGTAATATATAAAGTTTTTGATGAAACTGAGCAGCTCGCACTTGAAGAAAGCCCATACAAGTTAGAAAGGGTGCATGAAGTTTTAGTTCTTGCTGCGATTCCTACAGTTGATGGGAACACAATAGATAGCCCAGCTCCAGCTGGCAAGTTATGACTAACTACAAAATCAAATAAATAGGCAGTTGTTGCACCAACTATGTAAACTGAAGTGCTGATAAAAGGATTGGAGCCGTCTTGAGTTATTGACCCTGGGGTTGCTGTAAAAACACCTCCAGTTCCAATGTCAACTTGACTTAGCGTTGATGTCAAATGGCGCACTGAAAAAGTATCAGTTGGCTTGGTTGATGAGGGAGTTGTTATTGGGTTACATGAAATGCTCACAGTTCCACCCTGAGCATATGCTGTATAGCCATTGGTGATTCTTATAACATTTGTACTTACTAATGTGTACGAAAGCTGCTTTAAAGCAATTCCACTAGAGCCAGTCACAACCATTGAAGAAGTAAATCCAAGCTGACTAGGGAAGGTGATATACATAAAAATGGAGTGGCGAACCAACCCGACCTGTTAACACTGTAGCTGGGGTCACCCAGGGGACCTTGTGGAAGGGAGGTTGGCGTTCGGTAATGTGTATCCGGCCAGGTTTTTACTTGGTTTGGGTGGAGCTCAATGTCGGATTAGGCCTACGGCAAGTTACACCCAGGACCAAGGTTTTTTGCCTCTTGGGAAGATGGGTTCGGCGTTGGAAAGGGAAAGTCCAGCAGAGTCGACAAGACCAATCGGGCAATTTCCTAGCGCGATACCAGGCGTTGCGTCCTGGGCGACGGATTCCATCTTGGCCGGTAGCTTGACCAGAAAATTCATTGTTTGAATTTTCTGGAAGGGCAACCCAAGTTGACGTACAGCACGGTGGCCCAGCCCACTGACTCGCCGTTAGACGCGAGCCTCAGGCGGGCGAGGAGTCTACCCCTAGAGGGTGGCGGCAGGCGGCCAAGACGAAACAAGGTGGAGATAAAGCGTTGTATGACGCCCAACAGGGAGCTTTTCGATAATCTAATTAAGTAAGTAAGTAAGTAAGTAACTAGGGAAGGTGATTTCTATTATATCATTTGCCGCAAATGGGTTAGTAACAGTAAAAGCGATGACGTTAAACTGGGTGCTTGTACTTACCGTTTTGCTTACCGCTGATATATATGAGTCAGCAATGGTTATAGTATTTGGGTCAGATGCAGCTACCAATATTGTATTTGTGCTGGACTCATAAATCCCTCCATAAGAGTCTTTTAAATTAAAAACAAACCCTGAAAACCCAGTTGGGCTAGGTGGATTGTAGCATAAAGTTACATTAAATCTCACTTCACCTGTTTTTGTTGACGAAAATCCATTTTTAACTGTCAAAGCTTTATTTGTGCTATCAAATGAGCATGAAATAGCTGAATCTATATTAGAAACAGCACTGCAAGCTGGACTTGCTGTCCTTATGATTTGCCTAATATTTGTTCCTGCTGCTAAAAGATACTCATTTCAAGATGGAAAAGTTATATAAATTATGCTTCCTGATGGAGACTCAAACTGAGGGGTATATATAAAAGTTCATGTACTTTGTGCTCCAATTATTGTGCTGGCCGGAAAAATAGAGGCTGCATTCATCGATACAGAAGTAGCCTGGATAGCTAAATTTGTATCATTTGGATCTGATGTGTCAATGACACTTCCAGAACTTGATAGTGTTGTAATTAAAATTGAAGATGTTTGAGTTGTTGATTTAGGATTTGTAATGCTTCCTAGCACCACTTGAAATGGAAGAATGCTTCCTTGTGGGATTGATCCGCTTGCGAAAAAATTATAAATTGTGATGACTCGATTGGCGGAAGAGCAATACGCTGTAGAAGAGGTTCCATACAAATTTGACAAAGTGCATGAATAATTAGAGCTGTCTGAGATCGTAACTTCACTAGGAAAGCTCAATGTAACAACCGAATCGCTTGGAGTTGCTGATGCTAATTGAAAGCTTATTGTATATGTTGCAGATGATCTGACTGTGGTTGGAGAGATGCCAAGAGCATCTGTTGAAAGAATTGTTCCACCTAGATAAATTTTACCTTTGGCAACATTGAGGAGTAAAATTCATAAAATTAGAATTTTCATTTAAATTTTATAATTATCAACTTTTATAAATAAAGAAAATTCAATATACTTATAATATCAATAATTCACATTCTATACCTTATGAAATTCCTTTACCCATTATAAATCATTACGCTTAATAAAGCCAGATTTTAATGATTTTATAAATTAAGCATCCCAGACTGTTAATTTTTTGTCATAGTAGACTTAGCTATTGCTATCTAGAAATAGGCAATATATTTCTATAAGGTGTAAAATATTTTAAGCATTTATATTTTCTAATAGATTAAAATGAAAAAATCCCAAACTGCATCATCATCTTTATCAAGACGAAGCCCGAAATTCGAAGATTTAAAATACAATGACAAAGACATCAACAGTTTTGCGTTCAATTTCACAAAATCCCCAAGAGAGCCGATGGATAAGCAACGAATTTATACAGCCTCAAATGTAAAGATCCCAAGATTGAAACTGCTAAATTCAGGTAAAATAGAAAAAAATGACTCTGATCCAAGTTTATTTCGAGTCTCAGGGTCCCGCTCAACTCGTGATATTTCCCATATCAAAGACAAAGCAAAAGATGAGTCAATGTCACCATGTCTCCCTCCAATTCTCCCAACTGATATAAGTGCACTGGCAAAGCTAATTGATACAACAGATCCATTAGGAATCCCTAACTCATAATGAGGAATAAAATTGTGGCTTTAACGGAAATTGGTCTCCCTGTGGAGTATGACGGACCAGTCCTGAATGAAATGAGGGCCTCTGTCCCTTTGAAGTAGGCTTTCAGGTTTGGGGAAGTCTTACTGAAGAGGGAAGTTTTTTCTCCCTTCAAGGTTTCCCTGTCCCTACCAGATGAGCTAGACAGGTTTATCCTATCACATATTCTTCGCTATCGGGACTATCTAGGCACACTAACCTAGGGAGCTAATCCTTAGGTGAGGTGAGTTTGGCTAAAAATTCAAGAGCGGAATTTTAGTTGGGCCTTACCGTTTGCACTCTGGTGTATGCGCACCCAGCGAGGCCACCTTTCCTGGAGACAAGGTAGTCCGGCTGGTGAGGGTCCCGCTTATGGTCGTATAAATCTTAATCTTAACTCATATAGCCCACGCCGTATAAATTCCCCAACAAACTGTCAAAAAGGAGCCTGTTCTGAAATTTTATCAAAAATTCCCAACAAGCAGAGCCTAAAACCTGAGCAGTCAGCTGACTTGCTAGAGAGGCATTATTTAGGAAGCCCAACGGGCAGACAAGATGTATATAACCTCAAAGAATGACTCAAAAAAATGAAAGAAATTTATGTGAAAGGAATTTCAATAGAAAATGACCAGCTAACTATTGAAGAGCTAACAAAAGCTGAAGTAATATATGAAATGTGTGAGCGAGAAATAATTCGTCAGGTAAGTGTAACTTGCCTTGAAAGAGGCGAGCTCATGCAAGAAGTGCATGCTTATTTTCTGAAACTGCATAAACTGAAGCTTGACACCCTTGTAAAAGAGCATAACGGAAAACTAGAAAAAATTAAAGGCGAAATGGAAGTCATGGGGAAAAAGCACACTGTCACAAGAGCAAAAGCCCAAGAAGAAATAAAAAGCTTGAATGAGAACATCGAGAGTTTAACGAACGAAAAAAATATTCTGCTGGGAGAAATTTCTTCACTGCAGGAGAGGCTGAATGAAATGATGGAAAAAGCAAGCCAGGAGTTTTTAAAGCTTAGGACTAGAAGGTCTTCATTTATGAAACCAAGCAACACTATGATGCCAGAAGCGAGAAAACTAGAAAGCTCTGACATAGAAGCATCATTCAGTTATAACCATGAGATGGTTCCTGATAAGATTAATACGAAAAATGAAATTCTACTAAACGAAGACCACCCAAATCCTCCTAAAATTTCATTCCTGAGAGAAAAAACGAATATTTATAAATTCGATGAAGGGACACACATTTTGCCAATATATCGACAACTTTTTAAATTTGAGAAAAAGTGAGAAGACCAAGAAATACAGGTCGAGCTCGATAAAGAAAATGAAAAAACATTTTCAGAAATCAGCACACAAACTTCGAATGAGAATAATAGCGAATCGGACTCTGGAAAAAGATTTGGAGATGCAGCTGCACAAGTTAAAAGAAAAAAAGGAAAAAGCAGAAGAGGAACGCTTGTAGGGAAACTTAAAATACCTGATTTGTCTCCTAAGCCTTCAATAAACCCTTCTCTTCTTAGAACTCCTGATGCATCGCCTAGGCCTTCAATTAACTCTTTAGTTCCTCCAAAAACTCCTCAGCCCCAAAACAGAAGCAAATCTCCTGCAACTCCTTTATCAGAAAGAAAAGGTGATAGAAGGAAATCATTTATGGTGAAACCTACAAGTTTCTTGATCCCTGATGAGTTCCCAGTACTAATAAATGAGCCTGCAAGCCCTGCAAAAGCAAAACCTGCGATTGTTATCAAGCAAATTGATCCCAATGGAAAATTGATAGATGAAGGGATAATACAAAAGCAAGAGGAATTGAGAAAAATAAATTCAGAAATTTCAAATAAGACCAATGAGCTTGAAAAGCTTGATCATAAATTGAAAATATTTGAAAGCCTAATTAGGAAAATGGGAATACAGACTCAAAATCCTTTACTATCAGAAAAGCAAAGCCCTACATTACAGACAGAGAAAAAAACTCAAAAAAATCCCTTATTATTTGTAAAGCCAAAAAAAAAGCGAAAAAGAAGCGGGAGTGAAGATATCAAAATTGAAGTGTCTGATACTGATAGACTAGAGACTCAGGGATCATATAATGATCTATCAATATTCTCAAGCAAAGACTCTAAAAAGTCTAAAAAAATGAATCTTATCTTATCTTATAGAATTTATATCGCTTAACGTCCACTACGGGGTTACAACTCCAGGTTTATCACTCGCCTTTCGTCGCATCGGGCCCACCAGCCTGCTGGAGACAAACTCGCTTCGATCACCAAGTTGCTTCTAGGGCAAATGTCCACGTCTTCGACGGCTCATGGATGAGCTACTTGCTTGTACATGGGTTGCTTTTCCGAAAAACCCAAAAAATGGATTTTTCTGGTCGGCTATCGGCAAAAAGGAAAAATGCAAAGCCTGGGACGTAACGCCCAGTTTCACGCTAGGGAGTTGCCCGAATGGTCCAGAGGACTTTGCTGGGCTTCCCCTTTCCAACCCTGCACCTTCCTTCCCCACGAGGAAAAATCCACCCCTGAGAATAGACTAGGGCTAGGCTCTGAAAGCTACCAGAATTGCTTACCTAGCATTGCTGTCCATCTCTGAAATGGTAAAAACTTGCCGGATATAATTAAAATATGAGTCGAGGCTGCATGGCCGGGAGGCCATGCCCAGACGAAGACGCCATATTTTAATTATCTAAAAAAATGAATCAAGGAGACATCGTTAAGCTAGAAGAAATCATCAAAAATCTTCCTCCAGATTTCGATTTAGAGGTCTGGAACTCTGGCTACAATTGTGGATTTGAAATGGGCAAAAAAGAAGGCTTTGAAAACGGTGAAGAATTAGGCATAGAAGAAGGAATTTTGCAAGGATACGTTAATGCTCTTCGCGAAACAAATGATGAAGGCTATACGTCAGCAAATGAAGAGCATTGAACTGACTCCTCGATAGAAAGTTCTGCAACAGATATGCCTAGCACTCTAAGAGATAATCTTCTCGATTTCCAAAACTTTTCAGTAGAAATGATGGAATCGCCATTTGACAAAGAAATTCATGATGCGTCATTTTCAGACGATGAAGATAAAGCCCAAGAGAAAAGCTATAAGCCTTTGAATAAAAGAGAAATTATAATGAAAAAAAGAACAAAAATAGTAACAAAATTTATGGAATTCCATTTTGGAAGGAGAAATATGGTCCACATCAAAAAAGTTAACCCTGCAAGCAAGCTAATGGCGGATTTTTTGACTAATAAAATTGGCTGAATTATTAAGCGCGCCTCAATGACCAGCAAAATGGTGAATAGAATCATGGCAACTGTGTATGAGGGCTTTGCAAATAAAATAAAAACTGACGAAGATGGGTTGCTGGAAGCCACTTATGATGAGTTTTCTCAGAAATATGGCTTGAAAACTGTATGTGACCGAAAATTCTTACTCCCCCCTCCGTGAGCGAGCAAAACCATTAGAAAAATCCCTAATTTTTGCCAAAAGCCCACCCTCCATGAGCAAACATAATTTTTTTAATGTGAAAATTTTTTGCGAAAAAAAATTATAGCTAATCCGGTTTAATTTTAAACAGCTTACATTTTAAAATTGAAATTTTACAAATTGAATTAATATTTGTTTTCCAATTTTTGCGAATTGGTATTTTTTTAAATTTCGAAAAACAAATTATTATAAATTTATATATAATTAGCCTCGTGAGTGAACAAATTTTTTTTGTTCACTCACAGAGGGGAGAGATAGAATTTATCGCATCTTTGTTCAAAACTGCTGACAACCTAAGATCATTAGTTTACCTCAAATTCATTGGGGCGGGTGAAAAGTTATATGTAAGAAATTATAACAAAAAAAGCCTGGAAATTTATTTAGACGCTCTTGCATTCATGTACAATTCTAAAATTGGGATTACTATAAACCTTGACGATACTTCAGATCAAATTTATTTACCAACAATCAGAGCAGTTGAATGTATAAAGGAAAAAATGGAAAACTTCGCTGATAAAAAGATGATTGCTCAAATTGTTTCTATTGTAGAAAAAGCATCAATTCCTGATCCGAAGCGAATCAATCAAGGTGGATTAATTGAATCTGAGCTTGTTTTGAAACTTATTATAGACACTTATGAAGAATATCAAATAAGAGCTCAAGAAGGTGTCATCCAAGCCTTGAAGTCTATAAAATATGATGAGGATTTATCAGGGATTTCTAAAGCAGAATTTTTAATTCTTATTAGAAATATTTCGCCTCAAAAATATAGAAATTGGCATTTTGATGAAGAGCCAGCCCAAGATAAGTTGGAAGACTTTTTACAATTAGATAAATTAGTATCGTTGTGTATAGATAAAGGATTACTACTCATTAATGACTTAAAAGAGTATTTGCCGCTGCCTATTGATTATTCTCAAGAAGATATCTTATCAGAAATTGATTATACTAAAGAAGAGCTTTATTCTATTATTTCCCAGTTAAAAATTACTAATATAGAAAAACCAATAAAAATTTTATCCCCTGATCAATGGGAAATAAAACTACAAAATTGTGAAAAATCAATCACACAGCGAGAGCCTCATCTTACGAAGCTTGCATGGAAAATATTCCAAGATGAATTATATCCATTTAAAGTCTATAAAAACTCTATACCGGTCAACTTTTTAAAGCAACTAGCTTTAGAATTTTCAAACAAACGAACAAAATTATTTAGACGCCTTAAGACAATTTTATGGCTGAGCCAATGATTATCGCTGGGTATTAAGGTCGTTATTGCCCGCTGCTAGCAATGGCAGAGCACTTGTCTTCACATCTCATCCGTTTGTTTTCGCAAGAATACCCGTCTTCAATGCGATTACGCCCAATTAGTTTCCATCTCCTCTGTTGGAGTCCGATGAGCTGCAGACTTGCCTCCATCTTGCTTCTTACGATCCATCTCTCTGCCAGCTTTGAATCATGCAGAGACTCGTTCAGCCTACTCTGGCCAATCTTCGCCCTACACACCTTGATACCTGCTAATCTCACCAGCCACCCTATCCAAGAACCCAAGGTCTATTGGCTCGATTGCATAGCTTGACTTGAAAAAAGTTTTTTGTAAGCTGATCAAGAACCTCGCCTGGGGAGAAAAATTAACTAAATTAAAGATAGCTCTTGGTCGTCGAGCTACAATTTCTACGGATAATTATCTTAGCTTAGAGATGCTCAATTTACTATTAGCAGTTATAATATATATTCGTAATGAATGTTTTACCCCCTAGTTGATTTTACTAAAATTTAAATATGTCAATTATAGGTCAAGGTCTTTCACGTGAAGACATCAGTAGGGCACTTGGACTTGTGAGATATTTAGAAGAACAGCCTGAATCCTTGAACTTTTCAGTTCCCGTGGACTACATATTGCTGCAGCTTCATGACTATCCATATATCATTAAGCAGCCAATGGACCTCTCAACGGTGAAAAAGAAAATAAAAACAAGTCAATATGCGAACTTTGAAGACATGCTTTGCGACTTAATCCTTATATGAGATTAGGATTATTAAAGCCAGGCGTTAGCCATATTGGTCACGCAGTTGCAAAAGACCTTCAGTATGAAGGTTCTACCGCTTTTTGACTCCAGCCCAGAGGGTCTTTCCAGGTGGCTGACACTCCGGTACCTTCTGTCTCCTTCTTGCGGCTTCAGTCTTGAGTATTTATGGATTTTATGGCACTGCTATAGTTGATTAGAGTGGCTTGATTCCTAATAATCCTTGGAGTCTGTCTGTGCCGAAGTGCCTTCCTTCTACAGATAAATGAAAAAGATTACTCCCTGGGAGCCGAAAACCCCAGTTTCTTGGTAGAGGAATGTCCGTGTATCCCAGATCCAAAAGGACGTTGTGGAGCACCTCCATTTCCAGCCAAAACCTACCCGGATACACATCTCTTGAGCCTTTATTTGATTCTTGGCTTTGAGTCCGTCCCAGTTTGCTTTACCATAAGGTCTGAACTGTTGAACTAAGTGGCACGTGTCGGCATTTTAAAATATATTCCTTATATGAGATAACTGTAGAACTTACAATATGGTTGAGTCTCCAATTGTGCAACAGGCTGATGCAATGGAAAGGTGCATGCTAAGATTTTGCAATCAGCATGGGATATCACTTGAAGCCGCAATGAGAAAGCCTAGAATTGAAGAACACCCTGATTGTGTAAGTTTTAAAGACAAAGAAGCTCTCTCTGAAAGGCTTAAAATAACCCCGCCAGAAAAATTAGAGGAAATTGTACATATAATTGAAAGAGAATGCCCATATGCTATATTAAAAATTACAGAAGAAAGATCACAGTTAAGGATTGATGCAATCGATAAAAAGGTATTTCAAAGAATTAATATACTGTAGTGTGCTAAAAGTCATTAAAATTTGAATTTTAGGTTTTTAACGACATTCAAATAGAAAAGAATAGGTAAATGATATACAGAATGCTAGACAATGAAGAAAGGGATTCTTCATTACCTATAAAAAAGATTAAAAATGAAGCCTAGTGAGTAATAATGATTAGCCATTATCCTAATTCTCATTCTTTTTACTTAATAAAACTGATTTCATCCTGGTGACATCTTTGCGATCCTCTTTAAAATCAATCATAGAAGCGACCTTTTTCCAGCTAGTTTTATCGTTGAATTCAGCCTTTTGCTGCTTCTTGTAGGTTTCCTCATCTCTATTCATTGCTCTCTTCTGCTCTGTCATTTTGGCTCTGTTGTCATACCAAAGTTTTAACTCTTCTTTGGCTTTTCTTCTTTTCTCATCCTTAACTGCTCTTTCTTTTTCGTCTTTTTGGTAGAGTTTTCTCATAAACTCTTGATTTTCAGCATCTCGGGCTCTTGTCCTTTCGATTTCTTCTAAATCTTCTTCTGTTGGAGCATGAGGTGCTGTCCCAGCTTGGCCAAAAGCATCTTGATTGGACTCTTGGCCTGCAAAGTATTGAGGATTTATAACTTTTTAATTAAATAATTTTAATAAAAAAATGAAAAAATATATAAAATATTTTTAATGAGGATCTGAGTTTTGAGCTCCGAAAGGCTGAGCTGCAAATGCATCACTGTATTGTGGTTCTGAGCTACCTCCAAAAATATCTCCACTGCTTTGAGGTTCAAATGCATCACTGTAAGGTGGAGCTGAGCTGCCTGCAAAAATATCTCCACTATACTGCTGAGTAGTTCCACCAAAGATATCACCAGATTCCCCGCTCTGTGGCTGATTTCCAAAAAAGTCGTTTTCCTCTTCAAATACATTCTGACTTGGCTGAGCCTGATTTCCCGCCCCAGAAAGCAGCCCCTGCATCGCTTGTTCAGCTTCCTTCTGTCCTGTTTTAATATCAAATGACATAAGCCCTTCCACTCCTTTTTCTTGGCTTCCTTCTACAATTTCTTCTTGCAAGTCTCCTCCATACCTCACACTCCTTCTGATAGGGTTCACTTTGTCTCCCAGTTCTGGTTTTTCCCATTCCATTTCTTCAAACTCGCCAGGCTGCATGATATTCCAATGGATTTCGCCTTCAGTTTTATTGAAATCGAAAATCTGGCTCCACAAGTTGTTGTTTTGATCAAGCTTAGCCTTTTGTAAATGCTGATCTTGTAAAGGATATGAAAAGTTGTAGGGACCAAATACAAGATTGCTTGAATATTCAATTGAAGGATCTGAGGAACAATATAAATAAATTTTGAGATCTCTGCAGTTTTTAAGGCGAAATTGTCCACAGACTGCAGTGATTATGCAGTTCGAACAGTCACGGAGAAAAATTGGGCCTTCGGTAGGACCGAAGTGTAAGCGGCAATTTTTGCATTTGTCACCAGTGACTTGAGCAATGGTGTCGAGAAGATAAACAGTGCAATCTTCAAGGGTGTCAATTGAAAAATCATAGGGGAAAATTTGTCCTGGCTCTCGGGTTAAGGTTTCGCCTACTTTCTTTTCAAATCTAAAGTCAGCTGGATTAGGCCTTTTTCGTGCCATTATAAATTAATAGGCAAAGTAAACGAATATAGCCGTGATATTGAAAAATTACAAAATTAACAGGTTTGTATAGAAATTCTGTAATTAATGGTTTTTGTTAATTTAAGCTAAAGTTTTAAAACGCTTTTTTGCTTGCTAATAGGAACAATAAATAATCTATGACTTTATTAATAATTTTGGCTAAATTATAAAATTAATAGCTTTTTGTTTTGAAGTCTCTGCTCTTTATATCCCATTTTATACGATTTTATTATTTTAATAGAATGATGTCTTTTTGCATGTATTTTTTAAATTGCTTGCAATCGTATAAGGAATCAATAAGATTTGTGCGACAGTTTTAATCAAGCTGAAACCTTCAGGTCTTTCTTCATCATTATCATTATTTATCATTCTTTTATATAGCTCTTTCGCTTTCATATTATCTTGCGCTATTTGATTTGATAATTCAATCATTTTCTTTTTAAGGGCTACTTCTTCTACGAATCTTAGGCCTAGCTTTAAATCTTCTTCAGCCAGGTCACTTCTTCCCATTTTATATCTAGCTTGGGCTCTTCTTTCTAATGCCCGTTGATGGTTTTCTTTAAAGAGTAACGCTTGTGTTGCTAAATTTTCAGCATTTTCTGGCTTATTCAACGATAGCATGCATGACGATAAATTGCATAATAGCACAGCTCCACAATTGTTGTCGCCTAGAAGCTTTGCTGCAATTAAAGCTTCCATATAAATCTTTACAGCATCTTCGTATTTTTTATTTTTAAACAGACGGTTTCCTATTAGCTTATGATAGGAAAGTCATTCTTGTTTTTCATCATTATCGAGAAAGCTTAATTCTCTGCTGACCTTTTTAGCATTTTGTTCGGTTGTTAATTTTTGCTCGATGGCTTCTACGTTTCTATTTGACTTGTTACATTTCTCGACCTGAAGTATCACAGACGACAGCTGGCCAAGGATGATACCTACCTCAATATCACACTAACTAGTCATGATGATAATAATAAATATGAGAGATTTTGCAGTATTTTCGCTTCTACGCTATTGAAACTTGATTTATAGCATTTTATATATTTATTTAACACTTTATTTCATATCTCTACTATATACAAAATTTTTATATAGTAAAAGTCTTTAGACTAATAATAAAGAGTTAATAGAGAAATACTCCGAATTTAACTTTATTATCTCATTTAATGCATGAATCCAACCCAATTATTCTTTAAAATTGATAGACATAAATATACAATTTAATTTATATTATCTATCATAGACATATGCTTAATCTAGCACTGGTAAAAATTCTGTATATAATAGAGTTATGAATAAGGTATTAAATATATGTGTATAAGCATGCTATAAATCACATTTTTATTGCCTAAGAGCGAGCATACTACAATATCTTTTATATTTCTTATTATTAAGGCGAGGTAGTTTGATATTGAAAGGGGAGTGGGAGGGTTGAGGGGGGGTTTCATGTTAGGCCAGACAGCTCCGGATTCTTTCAGGATATCTCTAAGTCCTTCCATTATAAAAATATGGAAAAAGTGTATAGGCCTCTGATTTGGATTGTGAACTTTGCCATGAATGAAATGCAGGATTTTTATGGGACTAAGCTTAGATACATAATTAACTTACAAAAGGGTGGCACTGCGCCATTTGTTTGATTCTTGATGAATTACTACCAAAATTTTGAGATAGGAGCCTGGGCTTATTTAGTACTGCATGGAAGCTATGGAATTGTATGGCTTATCAAAGACTGTGCATTTCCTGATAAGAATTTTGATAAGAAGGTATCAGTCCTAGCAATAACTCTTGTAAGCGCTGTCCTGCTCTTATATTGGGTACTACCATGACTACTAATAAGTAGAACTGCAAGCCAAATAATAAGCCCAGAAAGGATAGCCATCTCTGTTTCTCTCGTAGTAATCGGAGTGTGCATAATGATAGCAAGCGATGCTCAAAAATATTTTACTTTAGAATACAAAAAAGGCTTAATTTCTGAGGGAATGTTTTCTTATTCGAGAAACCCAAATTATTTTGGCGAAATATTAATTTATTTAGGCTTTGGAGTGCTGGTCGGCCACTGGCTGTCTTATACAATTTTATTCACGATTTGGACAACAATTTTTATGAGTCTAATGATTCAAAAAGACCAATCCTTGAAAAAGAAAGATGGATGGAATGAGTACAAGAAAAGGTCTTGGATCTTACTCCCTAAGCTTGTTCCCAGTTCATCTACATTGACAATAGGAATTTATGCTATTATTTTTTCAGCATTATATTTAAAAATAGCCTAATAGTTCCTCTAATAAACGCATAAATTATAAATATGGAATTTGAAAAAGATAAAAATAAACCCGAGCACCCATTTCTAAAAAGAACCAGAAGTCATCTAGGAATTACGCTGAGCCCTCCAATGAATGTAAAAGATAAAGAGCAACCTCATAAAGGAGATATTTTGCAGAAAAAGAGCGATGGGTTAAAAATGGACGTTTTTCCAATTCGTAATTATGTGTGTTAATTGGTAAATAAAAATTCCTAAAGTGATTTTTTGAAATATAAATATAATTTTATTTTGATCAAATTGATTGCAATTCAAAATCTATGAATATAACGATGACTGATGAAATAAGCTTTATTAAATTGCATCATCATAAGTAGCTTAAATTATTTTGGAAATAAGAATTAGATATAGTATATTAAGTGAGAGGTTGTTAGCTATAAGTATGAGAATCTGGCTGCAAAATATGGAATTAAGAAAATAAATCATAAGAGTAAATATGAGAAAATAGGAGATAATAAACAAAAATTAAAATTTTAGTCAGCATTAATAATTTAAAATTTATGTTATAAAAGAATCATGCTGAAAAGCAATTATTTATTAAAACAAAAATTCACAAGTAACTAATCATTCAAAGAAATGCAGTATAGAGTTAATTAGTGTTAAGCTTACTAATATTCATTAGCCTGAAACATCTTCTTCTCTTGATCAGCATATTTCATAATAATTTAAGTTATTAGTTCTATCTTAAACTTTACTTTATAAATTGCTGAAATTACGTTAAATTTCACTTTTATTCTTTTTTTAGTCCTCTTCCAAAGCCTCCAGTTCTTCTAGGTCTATCGTCATCTCTAGGCTTCTTAACTGCAGGTGCTTTATAGATATCAGGCCTAATATTTGTAGGTAATCCGAGATATTCACACATCGCAATTATTCCTTTCTCGTTTAAATAATAATAGAACCATTGCCAGTTGAATTTTTCCTCCTCAGTCCTCTTGACTTCAAACTCTTGCAAATCATCATAATTTTTAGATTTGGAACAGGAATGTCTTGATGCTTTGGTAGCCCGGTATCTTTTCTTACTACAAGTGTTCCTTCTTTCAATAAGTATTGGTAAATTTGCCTCTTTTCACTTTTAGACACAAGCACCATTTATAAACCAATCTTTATTGCAATTGCAATGTGAAAAAGAGATGAGATTCACTTTTAAGCTTAAAGCTTTTTTACTGAAAAAATTTATAGAGAAGAGAAAAAATAATTAAAAAATATTTAAAAGAGAATTATTTATGAATCTTAGAAATGAGAATTTTGAATTTCTAACCAAAAATGATTACGATTACTAAAAATTATCACTTTGTACTCTTGGTTGATAAATATCGATATTAAGTGTGTTTGCTAGTAGAATATCTGTTTTATTTTAATATTTGAGATTCCAGTAAAGTTAACCGTCTAGCTTATTAATTCAAGGTTTTACTTAAATAAATAATTTCCATAGCAAATAAACAAACAAAAAAAACCATATTTAAGAAACCTTTTAATTGCCAAGATTTCAAAAATATAATAGAGGAATTACTTTTCCAATTAAAGCCGCCTTTAATATACCTTACAAAATTCATTTTAGATAACATTTCCAATAGAGTTATATGGTTGAACTGCAACTGGTGACTATATATTTATTTCAGACACATTTGACTCTATTGCTGATGTATTGCACGTACACGCTGCAACTCTTTTCACACTTTTGCATCAAACTATTTATCTTGCTTGAAGAATAAGATGAGGCCGAAAAGAATACTTTAAGATAACTCCTGAAAAGAAATTAGCTGGAGAATATTGAAACCTAGAGTGTGGTAATTTCTTTGAAATCAAATTTTTTGTCAGCGGACCAGAAAACTAAAAAGTTATGCAGGAGTGCTTTTATTAAATTTCTTGAGCTGAAATTTAGAAAATGAAGAGTTTATTTAAAAGTTTTATGAAGAAATAGTAAAGTCACTGAAGGAATCAAATTATGATTTGAGAAAAATGAGAGAACTTTGGAGTTGTTGGATTAGGATGCTGTTTATATATCAGGGTTTCCTCGCTTGGCTCGAAATTTATCAGAAGAATTTCAAATAGTGAATTAATATGGTAATTTAGATTAATAGCTGGTACTTATAATTAAATCTTCAAAAAGTAGCCTTTTTTACTTCCTTTTATGATTAGCTTTTCATTAATACTATCTTTCAAATTATATATAATCCCAATCTAAAATATATTAGTTTCCTTATCATTCATAATTTTATAATACTGAGCTCAAACAGTTAGATAAATTACTATATTTAGTCCTCTCTTGTCATTCAATATTATTCATCAATAGATTTTACTAAAATCAAATTCGCTTCTTTATAGAAGCTTATATTTAATTTTAAATTCAATTTTATCTTGAATTTCATTTTAGGAATTTTAAAGAGTGTTTAAAAATATCTCAAACACAAACTTTAATCTGCATCTTATAGCTTTTTGAGAAAGCAAAAGGCATATAATTAAATATTTTATCCATCTTAATTAAGTAAGACATATTAATTAACGTATATAATAAATTTAATTATGACCTCAAAAATATGATGCTCGAAGAAGAACTACAAAAATCATTCATAATTAAAAATTAAGAATTTAAAGACGCTAATAAAGTAATTTTGGATACTCATTTAAGATTAGATTAAATTAAGTTTTTCTCATAGCCATGAGCAGCTAGTAAAAGCCTCCTGTGAGTAAGCTTCTTCCGCTTTGCGATAATTATCGTTCCATAATCTCCAGAAAGTTTTTCATGATAGGGTTCCACCTTGCCTTTAGGTTTCAGTCTTGATTGAGCAACTCTATGGGTTTCTGAGATCCTGCATCGAGAGACGAAAATGATTGATTCTAAACATCATCTTTCTAAGACCCAGCTACCGCTTAAGAGATTAGTCTGGAGGAAAATCTGCGTCCTACAGCTATGAACGTGATAAAAATTTCTAATGAAAATTCCCGTGGTTCCAAAGGACGCTATGCGTGTCTCCATTTCAATCATAGATAGCCTCCAGAGTATACCTGAGTACACATTTGCCAAGTCTATCTCAGTACTTTTCTACATTTTAAGATATGTGTTTTGACTACTTAAATATATAAAGAAGTTGCATTATCTACATTTAATCTTTTATTAAAAAACTTTTCTTTATAACTATAATCGTATTTAACTTATTTCTCTAATTTCGCTACAATGGTGAACCTTCGCTATATGATCAACTAGCGAATATTTATTATACAATATTTTTTTGCAATACTCACAGATAGCTCTGGTAGACTTCTCATGAACTTGCCTTATATGGAAAATCAATGCATACTTGTTCTTATAATTTTTACCACAAACTTCGCAAAGGCACTTTTTCTTACGGTTGCAATGAATCTTTGCTATATGTTGATGCAGCCCTTTGCGGCTTTTCATAACTTTTTGGCACTTCGGATAGGGTAGACACTAAAAAACCTTAAGAGTTCTATATTATTTTCTGCATAAAATAATTGAATTGTGGATAGTAAAAAAAAACCAAAAAATATAGTAATTGCCCGAGGATGGCGCTATCTTGCGCCATCCTCGGGCAATTACAATAGCTATACCCATTGCACATATTTCTTAACTCCCAACTGATTATATTACTTTTGAATGAAAAATTCATTTAAGTTATTTTATATATTACCACTTCGGACACCCAATTGTTTCACCAGTTTTTCTGCGGTTATCCAATTGAAGTTTTAAGGTTATTGTCTCTTTAGCGGTATCTGGTATTGTATCTTCTATATTTAAGAATCCTTCAATTTCTTTGCAAAATTCCAGCTCTTCTTTGATATGTTTTTTAAGAGACGAAGCCGAATCAAAATTTTCAAAGCAAAGGTTGCACTTAAAATCTTTGTTTGAAAATTCTTGAAATTGTGGAGGAAAACCATCTATGGAATCATCAAAAATTTTGCAGTGCAAAGGGAGTAGTGGATGTGATATTGGATTCATATCTATTCAATTAACAAATAAATTCAATGGCTTAATTTGGACATAAATTGATATAATTAAAAAAGCTTATAACCTTTATAAGTCCTAGATGGAGTTAGGGCTATAATTTTGAGATTTATTTAATAAATTAAAGAGAGGATCATTTTAAGTCGATTTTTGGATGGATAATTCTAGCCATCCATATGCCAAGAGGAAACTTTGGTTTTTTTTTGGTATTAATTATAAGCAATTTTTCAATTATGAAGCAATTTCTGTATAACTTATAAGTTATTAGACTAATGATTTGAGACAAAATAAGGAATTACATAATATTACATTATTGATATTGATTAAATTTTTATATTGAAGTTTTATATATAAAGTTTCTTTATATTCAAATCATTAAAAACATATAAATTTTATTACCCTTCAGACATAAAGAATAATTTTTTGTAAAGTAGAAAACTGAATAGAAAAATTCTAATTTCTTTTACTTTAATTTTTATTGCTAAAATAATTGTATAAATATGATACAAGCAGTCAAAATTTTTAAAAAACTACTTTAATGGCTTAATATTTTAATTAAGAATGATTCTTTTGTATATCAATATTTTTTGATTAAAACTACATAAACAAATAATTTTTGTAATATAAAATTTTACCTATATTTTAAAATTTAATTACTTTTTGTTTTAGTTATTATTTCTTCTTAAAACAGCTGGCAATTTTCAAGTTTGAAACTATAACTACAATCAGGAATGCTCCAAATTCCACAATATGGCTCTGCGGTTTTTGTTTCGACAATCATTGCAATATATTCTGTTTTTTGCATTTCTTTATACTCTTCAAAAACTAAATTGCTAACTCCTCGTCCGAGAGAGAATCAAATTATTTAAAAAATTTCTAATCTGCAATATAATTGTAAGTTAAAAATTAATTCAATTTGTAAAAAATATGTTTTAAATTCAACAAATTTCACTACAGATTTCATTATAGCAATTATCACTTATATATCAAAATATTTTCATAAAATTTTTATACTAAAACAAATTTTGTTGCTGATAAATGGCTTTTACCCAAAAAATTGCGATTTTTAAAATGATTTTGTTTGCGAACGGAGAGGGAGTAAGCTTATCTCTTTTATTTTGAATTATAGCCTCATTATCAACATCTATCTCATTATCACTCACTCTCTTAGTCTCTTTGTAATGCTTTCTCTTTTTCTTCTTTTGTAAAATCTTTTGTTCTTTATTTTCAACAAATTGCTCTTCAATTAGTACCTTTTCTTCCTCCTTGCTATCGTTTTCTATCAACTTTTCAACCTCCCATTCTTTCTCTTCTTCATTTTCATTTTCATTTTCAGCTTTATCTTTACTTTTATTTCTGTTGTCATAAACTACCTCTTCCAAATCAAGATTTTCGCTATGGGGGGTTTTGATTTTCTGTTTCTTTTTCATTTCTCTGCTATTTTTAGTGTTTTTTTCATCGATTGTTTGAATATTTACATCAAATGGAGAAATTGGACCTGAAGGGAATGTAGGAGGCCAAAATTGAGTTAAATTTGGAGCGGTTCCTCCATATTTCTGTTCAATTTGATTAGGATTGCAGTGAGTAAGTAAGGGCCTTGGTATTGAATCATTAAGCAGATTTACTTTTTGTATGGTACCTTCATCTAAAAATGGCTTTACAAGACCCCACATGAATACAGCAGTTGATGGAGGGTTTACAATATAATTCACTCCTAGACGACATCTGAAATTCGGCTGCAAAATCTTTGATAGTTTGCTTAATGAAGATATAGGCAGTTTGGTCATGCCAAGATGTGCCATATCAGCAAGATTGACTCAATTTTCTACATGCTCAGGAAGCAAAACATTCTGCGTTACATATTCAAAGAAAAAGCATAAAAACCTTATATACACATCATCAGGAACCTGTATAGATCTAACCTTTTTAAACTGAAATTTGGCACAGTTCATTATAAGAATTGGCCGGTAATAATGATCTCTGCCGTGCATATAAAATGCCCCAGTGTTCTATATGATATTTACAAGCAATTCTGCTACTTCTGGGTATAAAGCTAAGTATCCACGAGGAAATATCTGCTGTTTTCATTTCAAATGATTGAGCAACCCTTTCAGCGCTTTTCTTGTTTTTCAGCCAGTTCCATAGTAAAACCTGAGCATATCAGTTCTATCCCAATCACCAGGGATAATGATTCCTTGCTTTTTTACTTCTTCTTCAAGTCTTGCTAATTTTCTTATCTCAAGTTCAGTCAGGTCTTGCCCTTTGAAAACAAATCTCTGTATCTTTTTCCCTTTACCAGAAGTAGCAATATCTTTTCCAGGCTTAAAGAAATAAGATGATGGAGGTGGACGAACAACGTCTGGTATTATTTGTTCATTTTGGCCTTTCATTGTATTTTTTTGTTATATTGGAGAAATCATTATGAGAAATTAATGATAAAATGATTGATTCTATATCTCTCTATTTTTATTCTATACAGTCAGCTCTTTAAGTATAAATTCAATATAACTCTTCTAAGCTTCCTATTAATTTTATATAGCCATTTATATTTTGACAACCTGAGAGACTAATTTCACAGGTTTTTTACCCTAAGTATTTCATCAATAAATATATTTTCTTTATTAAGATCTGAAAAGACAACTATTAGAATAATGATAAAACTCAATAATGAGCCATACAATAGATTTTGGTACCAATGAATTTTAAAATTATTTTTAAACAACCTAAGATATAGTATCAATAAAATATCTAAAAAGGTGATATGACTATTTCTGAAATCAATCAAAACTATAAATCACAAAAATGATATTGAGCTATTTATTATTGCATTTCAAATTGCAATTCTTTATAATCCTACGAAAGCTTTGTTATAAGAAATGATAAATTAATTAGAATATTTAAGATATTACAAATATCACTAAAAATTGCTATTTTTATTTATTTATTTATTTTTAAATTATGCTATGCGTAATGGATCTTTTGCGATTTTTAGAGCACCCATCATTTCTACTATTCAGACGATTTTCTCATGCAAATATTGATCGCTCTCTCAATAGACGTCGAAAGCTTCTGAAACAATCTCATTGATGAAAAAACTATTCTCCGGAAAGCACTTCAACAGTAAAATGAACGACGCTTTCCCATCATGGTGTGATTTTCCCTCCTCCTTATAGTCCTCATAAAATTCCAATAATTTATGAAGGAAATCCTATTATACTTAAGCCTCATCAAGAAGAGGCAGCTACACTTTGAGCTTCTGTAATAGGAACCCAATGAGAAACCAAAGAAACTTTTCGAAAAAATTTCGAAAGATCATTTCTTGAAACATTGGGGAAAAGACACAAAATAAAGTCACTTGATAAATGCGATTTCTCTCAGATTGTGGAATATTTAGAAAAGGAAAAAGAAAATAAGAAAAATAGAACAGCTGAAGAAAAAAGAGCTGAAAAAGAAGAGAAACTAGCACTTTATAAGAAAAAAGGATATGCAGTAGTAGATGGGGTTAAAGAAAAAATACTGAATTTTGTTGTAGAACCTCCAGGATTGTTTAGAGGAAGAGGAGATCATCCAAAAGCGGGGCTAATTAAAAGAAGAATTATGCCTGAAGATGTAACAATTAATATTGGAGAAGATAGCAAAATTCCTAGCCCTCCATACTTTAAGAGCGAGCAAAACCATTGTAAAATCCCTATTACGGAAAATTAGCTCTTTTTAAGAGGAGTAAAAATTTTTTTCTAATACAATTTGTTTTATATAAAATATTTTAATTTTAAATAGTTAAACTCTCTTCATAATTATATTTTTATACTTGATAATTTTTAAATATTTCAATATTTTTATCAATAATTTCAAATAATTTAATATGATCAATTATTCCTTCAATTTTTCTAATCCAAAATATAAAATATTTTTATATAAAGTTATTTCTATAACGAGATTTCGAGCTAGTTATACTTAAACTTACAATTTACATTCTTAAACATAGATTTTATAAATTAATTAGATTTTTCGTTTCAAATGTTTGCAAATTTGGAATTAAAATATAGGACAAAATTTTTATATATAATTTAATATGAAAAATAAATTATCTCTTTTAAAACAAAAATCTTTCTCACTTTTAAAGGGGAGTAAATGCCCTGTGAGAGGTCATAAGTGAGGAAATATTGTTCACAATCATACAGTTACATGGCTTGCGTATTATAAAGATCCAATTTTGCCAAATAGTTTTAAATATGTATGGCTTGCTGCTACATCTAAAATGAAAGGACTTAATGATATGCTGAAATATGAAAAAGCAAGAAAACTTAAAGAATTTATCGATAAAGCTCGAGAAAGTTATTGATCTAAAATCAAATCAAGAATTTTACTCGATCGGCAATTAGGATCTGCTTTATATTTAATAGATAAATTAGCATTGAGGGTGGGAAATGAAAAATCTAATGAAGAAGCTGATACTGTTGGATGCTGCTCACTTAGAGTTGAGCATATTAAATTTGAAGAAGATAACAAAATCACACTTGATTTTTTAGCGAAAGATTGTATGAGATATTATAACACAATACAAATTGATCCGGAAGTTTATAAGAACTTGCAAGATTTCACCAAAAATAAGGACCTTGATGATGATTTATTTGATTTAATTAGATCAAATACACTCAATGATTACTTGAAAAGTTTAATGGAAGGATTATCATCCAAAGTGTTTAGAACGTTTAATGCATCAATAAGGCTGCAGGAGCAATTAGCAATTTTCAATGAAAAAAATTTGCAATTGGAGGATAAAATGCAATTTTTTATTAAAGCAAACAAAGAAGTAGCATTGCTATGCAATCACCAAAAAACAGTTCCAAAAAACTTTGATAATCAATTGGAAAGAATTAATTCACAAATTACAAAGAAAAAGAGCAAAATAGAAAACCTGGAAAACCATGCAAAAGAGTTGAGGAAGAAGAAAAGACTGGCAAAATCAGAAAATGTGAAAAAAAGAATTACAACAAATATTAAAAATACAAAGAAAATGATTGAGAAGGTAAAGGATGATATTGAGAAGTTGGAGACTAGAATAGAAATGAAAGAAGATACGAAAAATATTGCTTTAGAGACCTCGAAGATAAATTATATAGATCCGAGAATAGTAGTATCGTGATGCAAGAAAAATAAAGTTCCACTCGATAAAGTATATAGCAAGTCTCTTACTCCATCCCTCCATGAGTGAGCAAAATAAATTGGTCGTTATGGGTTTTAATTTTTTTTTCCCTAAATTTATAAAAATCCAATTTTTCGAAAATTGGAAAGCTAAAATTTATGTTTTAAAATGCAAGCTGTTTTAAGTTCAACAATTTTTATTATAATAGCTATTATTTATATAATCAAAATTTTTATAAAAAAAAATTAATATTGAAAAGATTTTTTATTCGTACACACATAGAGGGTGGGTTTTTACCCAAAAAAGGGATATTTCAAATGGCTTTGTTAACTCACGGAGGCAGGGGGGAAGTTAAAGAAAAGTTTAAATGGGCAATGAACACAGAACCAGACTGGGTATTTTAATAATATATCTGATCTTATTATAAAAAAAATTAATAAATATAAGGCAAATTTTTTAATAATAAGCTACATAATGCTGAAAGATTTTAATAAATAAATGATTAATTTAGCTATGCAATCGATAAAAAGGAAATGACAATCTTCTGATGTTAAGTATTGAAATACTAAACAATCATAAAAATTGTGAAATATAATAATGAAATAAAAACAAAATGAGGCAATAGCAGCAACACTTTCAAATTGAAAGCAAAACTAACAATAGTAAATTTTTTTTTATTAGATTATTATTTTCTTTAAAGCTTGAGCAAAATTGATAATTGCATTGGCTATCGCAGTCTATATGCAATTAATATATTTCTGTCAAAAATTCCTTCCTAATAATTAATCTTCTACTCAATTTTACAAATAAATTATGGACATAGGTAGGCCTTTAAAGCTTTGCAATATAAATAGTCCAACTGATGTAGAAATCACAACAGAAGCCATCCAATTCCTCCAATCTCTCATCAACCCTGTATCTGTAGTTGCAAGATTAAAGTTAATCAGAATTTTAAGATGATATACTCTTTTCCGCAGGTATAATATCAGAATCTCCTTTTAAAATCCAAGTAATGACTCTAACAGAATCGTCAGCAAGCATTCCTAAAGACCCACCAAAAGGCCAGAAAGCCTTCACCAATCGTGTTGGCCTCGCTCCAGACTTAACTCGTGCGTGTTGTTCCGCCTAAAGGTCGCCCTCATCGGGCTATTAAAGCGGTAAACTTCTATACGTACTAAAATCCTGGGCCTAGCGACTTACTCTATGATATAAGAGACATATTTGGCATTGTGGATAATGGTTCACGAGATAAGCCGAACTCAATAATAATAATAATAAAATTCGTAGAGGAGGAAAGGTTTACAGAGCAAATCATTTCCGTATATAGCCATTTATTATTGTGTATCTGCAGTTTCAGTCATTGGATCTCCATGTATGGGAAAATCCTACTTAGCTAATCGGATTCTGAATAAAGATGAAGGCTTCCAAGTAGGAAATCCTCTTACTACGACAACCAAAGGTATCTGGGTTTGGTCTCAGCCTATAAAAATTACTCGAACAAATGAGCATGGGATAGAAACGGAAATCGATCTTTTAGTAATTGATTCTGAAGCCTTTTCAGATCGCGATGACGGAAACCAAAAACTAGGCCAAGAGATATTTGCATTAGCTTCACTAATTTCATCAAAAATTGTGATGATTTCTAATAAGCCTATTAGCGAAAGTATAAATGATCTTGATGTCATTTTACATCTTGATGAAGCTATTCAAATAAGGTAGCTTTTACATAGAAAAAATGAAGAAACCAAGCAAGACATTACCCCTTATCTGCCTTCACTTTCGTGGATGATTGCAGGATCTCAGCTTAAAATTGAAGATGAGCCAGCTCAGTAATGAATATTTAGCTTATATTTAGAAAGAGAACTTGGAAAGCAAACAAACGAAAAAGAAGATGCAATCAGATCAAAGATATTAAAATACTTTAAAAATAGAGACTGCTTTATTTTGCCTCAAGCCTTGGAAAATCAAGACAATATCTCTGATTTTCAATTTTCTCAGCTAAACCCTGAATTTCAGACCCAAATGAATAGTTTTACAGATTATATCAAAAATTCAACAGAAATCAAAAAGATTGCTGGTAAAATCATCAATGGGCCAATTCTATGTAATATGGTCCAAGCTTATGCTCATAGATTTCAGAAAGGTGCCCCTGCTATCATTATTGGAGCATTTGAAAGGGCAGTTGCTGCTGAATCTCGAAGAATTAAAGAAAAGCTGTTTATCCGCTATATCAATAAAATGAGTTTGATAGAAAGTGAGCTTCCATGTGATGAAGAGCACTTGTGGAAGGAGCATCAGACGACTCAAAAAGAGTTGATAAAAGAATTCGATCTGTTAATGCTAACTCCTCCCCTCTGTGAGCGAACAAAACCATCGGAAAAATCCCTATTTTTTGTGTAAAAGCCCACCCTAAGAAATAAATATAAAATTTTTTAAGAAAAATTATGTGATATATAATTAATAATTATTACAATGAAATCTCTAGCTAATTTCTGTTTAATTTTAAACAGCTTGTATTTTAAAACATAAATTTACAAATTAAATTAATATTTGCTTTTTAAAATAATTTCGAATATGGATTTTTTTAATTTTGTAAAACAAAATTAACCTCCCTCTGTAAGCGACAAATTGTTTTGTTCGATCAGGAGGGGGAGTAAGTGTTTTTGAGCAAGAAGAAGTCCAAGAAGAAAGAGGAAGCTTGATTGATAGAACTGATGGCTATTATGAGGACTTAAAATCTTCTAATTTGAAAGCAAGTGAAAATCGGTGCAGAGACTTATTTAAAGCTCTTTTTGATCCTGTAAGGCAAGAGGGATTAAAATATCTAGATGATGGAAGTGCAAATATAGGAGAACTAGAGCAAAAGTTTTTAAATGCAATTCAAAAATACCAAAATCAGGCCACCGGGCCAATGATGGAGTCTATTTTTGTGGAAGAAATCACATTTTTAGTCCCATTTATGTGTAGCTTACTCAGAGATATATATAACCATTCAGAATTAAATCATGAGTCTTTAGAGAGGGAAATAAAAACTATCACTAGAAATTTGCATGAAAGCAAAGCTAATGAAAAAAGACTTAAAGATTTAATGGAAGAAAATAGCAAAAATTATGAAAAGCAGCTAGATCAGCGCGATAAACAAATTTCTGAAATTCAAGCAAGTGTAAACAACAGGATTTATATTGCAGAAAACAAGCTAAAAGCTCAGGAAAGAGAAAATAAAGGCTTAAAGTTAGAATTAGAGCAAGCTCAAAAAGAGAGAGAAATGATGATTGAAGCTGAAAGAGACATTTTCCAAAAAAAGAATGCAGATTTGGAAAGCAAGTTATCAAAAATGCAAGCTGATAATAGTAAATATGAAAAAATGCTAGATGAGCTAAGAGATGAACTTGAAAAGATAGTAGCTGAAAAAAATGAGCAAATCAATGATCTTTCAAGAAGAATTAAATTAATGGAAACCCAAGAAGTGACAAGCCCAAGACAAGATGCTTCTATATTGAAATCATTCAAAGAATATTTAGAAGATATTTACAATAAATTCACTAAAGAGCAAAACGCTAACTCAAAATATCTAACTCAACTTGAAAGAGTTGCTAACTTGCAAAATGAATTAAACCAATTAAGAATCAAAGAGCAAGAACAAAGGAACCAAATAATTGAAGAGTACGAAGAGAAATTAAGAACGATTAGACAAGAAAAAGAAGCAATAAACAAAAAATATAACGAGTTGTTAGAAAAGAGCAGCCAAGACCAAAGATCCACAATAGAGAGCACTTCAGCACCTGATGTGGAAAAATTCAGTAAAATTAACAATGAAAGAGAAATTGAAATTAAAAGGCTGATGGAAGAGAAACTAGAACTTTCTAGTGAATTAGCTAAAAGAGAGCAACAGCTATCAGATCAGCAGGAGGTTGTAGAGGCACATAAGAAAACTTTGGAACAGATTCAAGCTGAAATTGATGACAAAGATAATTTAATAAATAAGCTGAAGATTGAAAATGTGGAAGAAAAAGACGATAATGATATTTTGATTAATTTGATGGGGTTGACGCTGGAAATACAGCAAAGAAGAAGACATGTCCAGACGATACACTTAGGAAGAATTCAAAATCAAGATAATAGAATTAAAGTGGCAAAGATACTTAAGAAGTATGGAGTTCCTTATGAGTAATTAATAGAAAATTGCTGAAATTTAATATCATTTTTTTCCTTTTTATTGTTATAGAATTTGATGACAGACAAGTTCCAATTCTAAACGCCAATCATTCCTTTTTTAAGTGTATTATTAAAAATTGCATAACGCGAAAAAATCTATTATTAGCAAAGATTAGGTCATAAAAACTGGAAATTAATTTTTATCATAAAGATAAGCTACCAGTAATGATAAATAAATATGAGATTAAAATTCTCATAAATGAATTTTGCTTTCTTTCTTTTTATTGCTACTCAAATCATTCAAAGGTCAGAAAGCAAAATGCTAAATGTCACAATAAAATGCCCAGTTTTCAATTTAAGAAAGCGAATATCAATATTGCAAGATGGTTGATATTTGCCTTGGCTTAACTCGGACACAAAGACTTCAACCACAAAAATATTCACAGATCACAACTTCATTTATGATATCCTCAAACCTTATCTCCCAGAAAATGAATATTGCGACATTTGAGAGCCAGACCAGTTTAAAATGATGAATCCTTCAGCAATATGACTAAATGATAAACAAATGTTTTTGGCTGTTGCTAGAATCAATGTTAACAAAAATAAGAGTTTTTTATATTCAAGCTGATATGATTCTAATTGAAATGAAGTGATAACAGAAGATTTTGTAGGGAATACATCAGTACCTGGAATTTTGCCGATTGAGATTCCAAGTTTGTATTTACTTAACGCAGGGCCTGAAGACCCAAGGATTTTTTGAGCTTTTAAGAATCAGCTATTTGTAGCATTTAATATGTATGATTATGATGAAAGGAGAAAAATGGGACTAATATGAAAAAAGTGAAGCATACTTTTTTATTGTAAACAGTGTAAAAAGTTCATAGCAAAAGAAAAAATGCCTAGAGATCACTAGTGCCAACGACGAAAAAATAGTTGTTGCCGATTCTAGTTAGGGAATTTATCCATAGCTGGAACTCTAGTCACTCAACCACAGCATTCAAGTCCCAAACATGTATACTCCAAGGTTCCGATATAGCATTGAGAATCAGGCCGAAAGCCGGAGGAGAACTATCTCTAGTGGAAATGCGTACATACTCAGGGAGGTTCGCTAGCAGCTGAACGAGTCTTCTACGAAGATTGGGGTGAGACGTAAAAGGAGTTAGAGCCCTAATCTATAATGAATGTTAATGTTTATACAGCACTTTTTTAATAAGATTTTTGAGTGAAAAAAATTAATAAGATAAATTCAATAATGCATTCATTTTACCATTCTGAATTTGCTATTATATTTTAGTTAATAGGCAAAAACAAAAACTTGGATTTTATTTTATTTCCTGTTTTCTTTATTTATTATTATACCTCTTCTTTTGCTATGCTTTTTTTAAAATTTTCAGTCATTTTGACGATTTGCAGTGCAGCTATAAAAAAGCACACTGTACTTTTTTCATCTTCACCCGAAAAATGTGGGTTTATAATTTTAACACAACTGAATTTTATCCATTTTCTATCCTAGAGCATATGCTTAGAGGCTATTATGGGGAAAAAAATTGGACTCCACTTATTGTAGATGATGAGCATTTGTATTTTGTATATAATTATAAAGATTTTCAATTAATTGATTGTGCGGAAAAAGGAAAAAATTGTTTATGAATTAATGGAGTTTGGGATCGAGTCCCTGAAGGGTTGAAAGGTGGATCCCCATATATGCAATATAAAAATACTAGCTATTATGTAAATTTAGGCTATTCTCACGTATTTGTATCTCAAAACAACATTACCTGCGAAATATATCGCCCTTGTCTTACGTTAGTTAGAAAGAATGAGGATGCACCTTTTTTGGAATTAATATATGCCTTTCAATAGTGCATTGATATTATATTTAAATGCCCATTTTATATTATTTTACCGTTTATAATCCATTGAGTTATTCCAGGTAAATCATACACAAGTGAGCCAATGGATTTCGCAAACCAATTGTTTTTAAAGCCATTAACAAGATATGCTTCTGTCGATGAAATAGATATTTGTGGAGATGCGAGAATTATGATGGCGCTGTCAATAGCGCGATGAGACTATGAAAATGATATTGTTGATATGACGATTAATATAAATGATACGATTCCACTAGCTTTAAAAGTGTCTGGCGTTGGCGATGTTATAGACGAAGTAATTATGTGAGATGGTTTAGGAAAGCTCCCTAAAGAAAATAATTGTGCTGAAAGGTTGTTATTTTTAGAATTTGGCACAGTACAGCCTGCAAAACGCCAACTTAACAAAAGAAAGAGAAGGCCTCGTAATGACTAATAAAATTTATTGAAAATCTATATAGTTAACTTAAAGTATATACAATACAATTTTAAGCTTTAAAAAATCATAAAATAGTTGGCATGGAGATATATAAAAAATGTTAATAAATTGCTAGCTCTGATTCATCAAATCGCAATTTATTTTAAAACGGAAATTAGATGGAATTTAAGTAAACATTAAAAAATTATTACACTATGAAAATCAATCTTCTAATAGTTACTATACTTATTATAAGATGCCTATTAGCAAGCAAACAAATTAGCTCAATATAATTAATTCTGATTGAACATCTAAATACACAGCATGGTGAGATGCCTTTTTTCCCGGTTTTGTCACTACTCTCGGGGCTCCTTTAGGGTCTCGCAGGACAGCTCGCTCCTCCAAGTCTCCCTTAAGCAGTTTAAGAGCCTAGAAGCACGAAACGTTAGCGGCTTGGTGCATTGCCTCGCTCTATCCAACTTTTCTCCAGCGCCTGCTGAACCTAAGCGTCCTGTCTTTTATATAAGCAAGGGAAAGAGATGTTCATATTAATTTTAATGTCTTCGTCCTTGACAGGGCCAGGGATTCGCACCCCTACATATTTGGCTTCCATGACTCTGGAGCCTTTGGGCTATCACCTGGGCGAAACTCCCTGTTTCTCATCAGCTAGATGCCACCTTGGAGCTCTGCTCGAATAACTTATTATCCTTCTGAGGCTTCTGATGGTCCTTCCCTTTTAAATGATGGTCTCGAGGTAAAACTCCAAGTTCAGAAATCAGCTTCCTGAGGCTCAAGACAACCTAGCCTGGCATATATAAAGGATTTCCGAAATAGGGCGCGCTTTTCGCGCTAAAAGGTAGAAGGAGCTTATGGAGCCTGTGGGAGCGCGTTGACTTGGTGTGGTAGAGTGGCATTGATTGGTGACCCACATCGGAGGATCGAGTGGGTGGTGCATCATTGATGCTTCAAGTGATTTTGCTGGTGCGGCTTCAGGAGTTCGATTGTGGACTATAGTTGTTGATTGTTGGAAGATGCTGGAGTTTTTGTTGCAAGAAAAGTGGACATGAATTGGCTGAGTTGTAATTGGCCGATTTCGGATGAGTAATGTACGAATCGGTGATTCAATTAGAACTTAACTTACGAAACGTGTCAAAAGCTAAACTTTGGAGTAGGTCTGAATTTTTGGTTTCTTTGGGATTTTTTGGAATTTTTAGAGGGTTTTGAGAATTTTTTTGAGTAAAAACGAGAGAGAAATGCTGAGGTTTCAGCGGTAAAATTTTAATTCTAATACTAATAAAGGATTTCCGGCTTCTTTCTGTCACACTGGGCCATTGCCTGCTGGTATTGAAGAGAAGTCCACGCGTAAAAACCTAACCCCATAATAATAAAAGTTGGCTGACGGAAAAGAAATAAGCAGAGTGAATCAACTTTTCATACGAAGCCATTTTATTATTATAAGGTGCCTATTAGCAGATAAATCCCTACGAGTCGTGATCAGATGTCCTTATTTAGAGCTTCGACAGCGTTTATCAATAACCTCAAATGGTTGATATATACCTTGGCTTAATTCAGAAAATTCATCTACTAGGAAAATATTTACCGACCATTACTTCATGTATAACTTTCTCAAACTTAATTTGCCAAATAATGAGTTTTGCAGTATAGAAGAGCCTGACCAATTTGCTACTATGAATCCTTCTGCTATGTGAATTGAAGAAAAAAAAATGTTCTTGGCTGTTGTGAGAATTAATATTAATAGAAATAAGAGTTTTTTATGAGCAAGTTGATATGACTCGGATTGAAAAGAAGTCATTACTGAAGAATTTATTGGAAATACGGCAGTGCCAGGAATAATACCAATTAAAATTCCAAATTTATATCTTCTTAATGCTGGGCCAGAAGACCCACGAATTTTTCGAGCATTAGGGAATCAAGTTTTTGTTCTTTTTAACATGTTCGATTATGATGAAATGAGAAAAATGTGGATTTATAATTTTAATACAGCAGAATGCTACCCTCTTTCTATACGCTATCATAAAGAACAAGCTTATTTTTCAGAAAAGAATTGGACACCTTTTATTGTAGATGATGAGCACTTATATTTTATTTATAATTATAAAAATTTTCAAATAATTGACTGTACAGTAAAAGGAGAAAATTGTTCCTGAAAAAGTGGGGGGTACGAACGACTCCCTGAAGGGCTAAGAGGCGGATCTCCTTATCTCCAATATAAGAATACAAGCTATTATGTGAATTTAGGATACTCACATATTTTTTATGTAAAAGACACAAATTGATGCCATCTCTACCGACCCTGCCTTACATTAGCTCAATATATTGACGAAGAGCCTAATTTTCGTCTGATTTACACAAGCGAGCCAATTGATTTTTCAAATAAATTATTTTTAAAGCCAATAACAAAATATTCACTCCCCTCTCCTTGAGCGAACAAGAACATTTAAAAAATCGCTATTTTTTGGGTAAAATTTCACCCTCTGCGAACGAAAATTTTTTTTGATATATAAGTGCTAATTTATTATAATGAAATCTCTAGCTAATTCTGTTTAATTTTGAAAAATTACATTTTAAAACAGCAATTTTGCTAATTAAATATATATTTGCTTTCCATATTTACGTTTTTGGATTTTTACAAAAAATTGTTATTCAATTTATAAATAAATTTCTGGAAAATAAAAAATTAACTCACTTCATAAGCAAACAAATTTTTTTTGTTCGCTCATAGAGGGGCGAAGCCAGAAATGAGTGAAGTAGGGATGTGTGGAGATGGGAGAATCATGATTCCACTTTCAATAGCACGCTGAAACTATGAAGAGGATATAGCAGATATCACGGTTAGCATAAATGATACGATTCCTCTTGCTTTAAAAGTGTCAGGATTAGCTGAAATTGTTGATGAAGTAATTTTCTGATATGAGAAAGGGTCATTGCCTAAAGAAGAGAATTGCGCTGAGAGGTTGGCATACTGAGATGTAGGACTCACTCAGCCTCAAAAGCCAAGATTTAATGTGAGAAAAATAAAGCCTAATAGCGAAAAACCGTAGATACACAATAATTAACTTTTTTACTCTAATCATTATTATGAAATATCAAGGTCTTTTAATAATAGCTGCATTTTTCATTGCATGCTTATTAGGAGAGCAAGAGTTTCGAATCGTTAATAAATGTCCAGTTTTTGGCTTAAAAGACCGCATTTTTATAGTAGAAAAAGGCTCATTTCTTCCATGGCTTTTTCCCAGCAGCTCATCCTATGCAAAATTATTTTCAGATACTGAATTTATTTATGATTTTATTGTTCCTCATCTTACTCTCCTCCTAATAATAAACAAAAATTTAACTTCTTAACTAAGCCCTTTTAAATTGAACAAAAATCTGTAAAATTTTCCTTTAAACCCCCATTTAAAAAGTGTATTAAGTTATTTTAAAAAAATAATCAACCCCCTTAAATTGGAACAAAATGTTTTTGTTCCAATTAAAAAAGATGGATTAAAGAGTTTAAAACAAAATTAAGACTAGTAAATCTTATATAATTTATCAAAAATTGTTTTATTAAAAGAGTTTCTATTAAAATGATTCAATTTTAAGCTCACCCCTTATAATAAGTAAATTCTAATCTATTCATTGAAATTTTACTTACTCCCCCCCCCTCCGTGAGTGAACAAAAAATTTTGTTCACTCACGGAGGGGGGGGTTAATTTTTTTTTTAAAAAAATTTATATATAAATTTTATAAAAAATATTTTTTTTCGAAATTTAAAAAAATCCTAATTCGCAAAAATTGGAAAGCAAATATTAATTCAATTTGCAAAATTTATGTTTTAAAAAGCAATTCGTTTAAAAATAAACAGAATTAGCTCTAGATTTCATTATAATAATTATCATTTATATATCAAATTTTTTTTCCATAAAAAATTTTTGTTCACTCACGGAACGGAGGGTGGGTTTTTGGGCAAAAAAATAGCGATTTTTTCTAATGGTTTTGTTCACTCACGGAGGGAGTTAGCTATTTTTTATCCTAAAGACACCTTATAATCTGCTAAATGTTGCTTATTATTAGAGAGTTAGAGAAGAAGAAAAATGCACCATTAAAGACTCTGACAAATTCAAAATGATGTTTCCTTCAGCTATTTGGTTACCTGAGAAAGAGATGTTTTTGACTATAGTAAGAATCAGTATAAACAGCAGAAAAAGTTTTTTATATGCAAGTCTATATGATTCAGATTGGAATGAAATATTTGCAGAGGAAATGATTGGTAGAACACTGGTCCCTGGAACTTTGTTTATTGATGGTCCAGAATGAGGCATGCAGAATCTTGGACCTGAAGATCCAAGGATTTTTAAAGTAAATGATAATGAAGTTTATGTGATTTTTAACATGCTGGACTATGATAACAAAAGGAAAATGTGATTATATAGCTTTTCAAGTGGCGCGTTTTATCCATTATCATTAAGTATACATAAAGAGTTAAATTTTTATATAGAAAAAAATTGAACACCTATAATAATTGACGACGGGTGTATTTATTTTGTATATAATTACAAAAATTTTCAAATTATTGATTGCACTGATTTAACCAATCCATGCACACAGATTTCAGGAAAATATGATAAAACCCCCAGCGGACTAAGAGGAGGATCTCCATACATTCAATACCGCTCTACCGATTACTACATCTCTCTAGCATATACACACATAGAATTTTCCAAAGTAAATAACAGATGCCATATTTATCGTCCAAGTCTTACACTCGTAAAGGTATCCAAAAATCCTTTGCATTTTGAGCTGATTTACACAAGTGAGCCTTTGGATTTCCAAGGAAAATTATTTCTGGAACCTATAACAAATTATAAAAGTTTGGAAGATGTAGGTCTTTGTGGGGATGGTAGGATTATGATGGCTCTATCAATATCTAGGTGAAATTATGAAAAAGATGTCGTAGATATTACATTTAGCTTAAACGACACAATTCCAGTTGCTGCGAAAGTTTCAGGATTGACTGAGCTGGTTGATGAGGTTATTTTCTGATATGAAAAGGAAAAATTGCCTAGAGAAGATAGATGTGCGGAAAGATTGGCGTATGTAAATTATGATGTTGACCAAACTAAAAGAAATAGAGATAAAGTGGAGGTTTTAGATGCGCATTATGTTGCTGACTCCCCCATTATAAGTAATTTCTTGCATATTCACAGAATTTTTTCCTAAATCTCCAAATTATAAATTTAATATGAAAATACGAAAATTATTATTATTGAGAGGTTTTCAGATAAAAAGTGAAAAATGCAAAATTTTAGGCATTTACCCCAATAATAAGTAATCTCAATCAATTCATATTAAATTTAAAAAAATTGTGCAAAACTCCTCACTAATAAGCAAGAAGTTGCTTATTGTCGAAGGAGTTAGTGGAAATAATTAGGATTTTAGGGCTGCTTGCCAGGGTTTAGTACCTAATATTATTTAATTATTAGATTTGTTATATAATTACACTTTAAATTATCATAAAGCCTAAATCCATATTAATTTTGATAAATGAGTCAATTGCCACCTCAACGCAACATTGGCCGATTTATGCCTCCTGTTCTTTCTCAATCGAGATCGCAGCTGCGTTTTAATCAGCCAAACTCCATAAGGATTGCAACATCTCAAACATCATCATTCTTACAAAACCCATTTTCTCAATGCACAAATGATTTCTCAAACAGACCATTTCAGCAAGACGAAACGACATCGCTTTACAGTGAATCAACTTTAATGGCACCGCCAAACCAAATGGGTGAAAATTTAGGGACCTTTAAATCAGAACTTTGCGAATTTTTCAAACTTCTTGCTGAAACACACCAAAAAAATGCTGTTCAAGTTGCTGAAGCTTGGACAAATAATAAAAGGGCTGAAATTGTGCAGGGTAAAGAAGAGTTTAAGAAACTGGCTGAAGAAGCTGAAGAGAAAATTAAAGTTGTGGTAAGTGAAGTTGTGAAGAAAGAAATAATTGATGATATGAAAGACAATATCAAAATTGCAAAGCAGAATATGAAAATTTTCAAATCAAACTTTCAAAGGGATATTAAGAAAATCCATGAAAAGTTAGAATTGATGGGAAACAGAAAAAGAGCTTTTAAAAAAGAAACTGCAAAAGTAAACTGTAAAATATAAATTTTGAGAGTAAATTTCCTGAATGGAAATTAAATAAAAAATATTAAAAAATGATTTGTTTTAGTCAATATCATTATAAATAATTATTTTACTTTATATATCAGCATACTTCCTTACGAATTATCATTATATTATCAAAATACTCCATATTAAATTTCGAGAAGACCGGTAAGCATTATGACATTAGTCGCACAACAATAAACAACTGTTTTTTATAATAATCAGGTTAGCTATATTGGATTTCGAACATTAATAGTGTAAAATAGACAATAATTAATAGTGAATAGCCGGATAATTAGCGACATTTATTTGTATAAAAATTTTGGAAATTATCAGATTTATTAAAAAATCAGCTTTTCTAGCTTATTCTTTCATGTTTCTTTAAAATGGTCTTCTCCAGAAACTATTTTTAATTATACACTTTTCAAATTGCCCAAATTTTAATAATTCATAAATTCTTTCAAAATTTTGAATAGACCTTTGTGATTATTCAATCTCTCTAATCCTAAATAATTTTATTTATTATTAGGAAAAGATGCTAATCTATTCGCATATTAAATTCTTTATGTACTATTCTGCTTAAAGTAATTAAAATAAATGACTGCGATTCAGTTTTTTTACTGAGAAGATAATTGAATCAATAAAATAACAACTAAGTTTATTAAGATTCTTCGTTTAACCTCCACTAGCAGGCTGCTTGCTACGACAGGCGCTTTAAATACCACTCTAGGAGCATTCGCACCATCTTCCTCAAGCCCGCCAAATATAGTCACCTTGAAACTATTTCGCGATCAGGACGTGAGTCTTGAATTTTGGGTATCAACGACGTTTTTTTGATCTCAGGCTACCTAAAGGTCGCAATCTCTACCGCCTGGGTTGATGGCACTCTTCTGGAAAATTTTATTCCCTAAGTCTAGGAGTCCTGTCGGAAAACCACTAGGCTTTGCTTCCCTGACATAGCTGGAACCAAACATCATAATTAAAATATATAAGAGGTAAATTTTCAGTCTGTTGGAGACTAGAAAATTTGTAGGACACCATATTTTAATTATAAAGATATTTGAATCTATGAAAGAATCTTCTAAAAAACTGTTTGAGAATCAAATATTAGTTTTTTATTGTAAAAACTTATTTCTTGCATATCATTTTCTAATAAGCATTTACCAGAAAAAATGACATAGGTAATAAATTCTAAAATGGATAATGAAAAATTCTGCAATAAAATATCAGTGCCAACTCAAGCATATCAAATGCAAAGCCTTGATTCTAGCAATAAATTATCTACAATTACACTACCAAACCCTTTGGGGTCTTCTAAGTATCAAGCTTTGAAAAATTGGTACCAAGAAAACAGAAAAAACCAGACTATATCTTTGATGCTCAATAGAATAACAAAGAATAACAAAATCTCTTCAGAATTTTATAGTAGACCTCTTTTAATGCTATTAGAAGAAATTTGCGACTCATTAATGATGGAGGAGCTTGAGATTTCTCTATGGGCAATATATCTAGATAATATTATATGAGGAAAAAACGCTTCATATTTCGAAAATGGGATATGGTTCGCATCTTATGCAGCCAAATCTTCATTAAGTAATGATATAGAGATATATGAAAAGATTATTGTAGAAAAAATCCCAAATTTTCACAGATTTTATGATGAGTGGTATTCACAGCATAGAAGTGACTTGTCAGTAAATTCTATGAATATTAATCAAAAATATAATAAGCTCTCAAGAATTGCTAAATACTACCAATTCACTGTGCTAAATTATATACTAGTTTATGGTGAATGGCCAATCAGAAGGATTTTTGTCAGCCAGATGCTAGCTGGCTTGCCAAATTATTTGGAAAACTAAAATTAAATTTTCTAACCAAAATATGTGCCTTAGTCAGCTATTCATCGCAAGATGCATAATTATTATGTAGACAAAATTCTGGATTCTCCAAAAGGCGCTGAAAGAATGAAAAAGAGAATTCGAGGGAAGAATGAAGATGTTTTAAAAAAGAAGATAAAACTGTCTAAAAATAAAGAAAAAATCAGATTTGAACAAGATTAAGATTAAAATTTTACACAGCTATAAGCGAGTTTCCTACTAGCCGGATAATCTTGACCCCGGAAAGGTGGTCTACGCTGGATGCAATACATCTGATTTCAAATGATGTAAGGCCTAACCAAAATTCCACCCTCTTGAATTTTCTTGAGAAATTCACCTAAACTAAGCCTAGGCTAGACTTGCCCTCTGTAGGTTGCCCCGATAGTCCCGATAGACCAAGACTATGTGAGAGGCAAAACCAGTCAGCCCATCTAGAAGGGACAAGAAAAAATTCGGGGGAGAAAAAAACTCTCTTCTTCGGCAAGGCATCCTAAGCCCGAAGGCTTACTTCAAAAGGGACGATGCCTGTTTTCAGATTCATCTGGATGATCCTACCTGCTCCATAGGTAGAAATCAATTTCCTTCAACGTCACAATTTTATATTTCTGATTTAAACAAGGAATTGTAGAAAAATCAATTAAAAATTTAAAAAATGAAAAAAAAGAGGCGAAGGAGCTCTCAAGAATTGAAGAGGGTGCATCATCAAGCGTGCACACAAAAGATGCGCTTAGAAATGAGGAACAAAAAAAAGACACATATATTATGGGCAAGATAGAAATGTATTGTTCAGGACTTATCGAAGCAAATGATTTGGTCTTAGATGATAGTTTAAACGAAGACTGAAGTATCTTATTTGATTAAGTATTTCTGCAATTCGTATTATAATAAGCTCTTGAAATTAATGACAATATTATTTATCCAATATAAATTCATAAAATACATTATCTGATGATTTCGAAAATTGAAGAATTAATTGATCATTTGTTCTAGATTTGTAGATTAGAATTTAAATTAATTTATAAAAAATTATTCAAATATATCAGAATAGAGTTAGTTTTAAAGGCAGCATATCCGATCTGCGATTGTTATTTCTTACAGCGATGTCCTTCCTAATATGCTATTAAATCTGTATTTCTTTACTAAAGTCTTAAAGAATATAGCTGAGTGTGGAGGCTACTCAACTCTAATAGAGCGGTTGCGAATAAGCCTGTAACCCTAAGACCTCCGAAATGCCAAGAAGATGTTGTTGCGGCACATATGCAAGTTTAGCAAACTAAGAGAATGATCTTGTGTGACTGGGAGTAAACTCTCTAGAGATAGACATAATAGTATAAAGAAGGGCAGTGAAAATCTCTGAAAAGTCTAGATAATTATAAATATCAAGACTAAATATCTTAGAATTCGATTAAGGCTCATTAAAACTTTGATTTTCTAATTTAAAATTACTTTTATTCTTATTACAAGTTTTATTTATCAATCTTTAAAATATCCGTTCTCTACCCAATTATCTTTCTTCTCTATACACAGCGACCCTAATTTAAACTAATCTACTCTTAATTTAAGTTCTTTATCAATAATTTGTATTTTGAAACCCATTTCTCTTAACGAGATGAATTACTTTTTACCTCCAATTTCAAATTATATAATTTTTTTCAAAGCATATTTACTTTTTTTGATATATAAATTTTTTATTAGCCAAGCACTTATCTTTACATGTATAATTATCTAAAATATATTTCCCATACAATTAGATCTCGATTGTCTTGGCTCAGGCTGTTCACCAAACCCCTCTGCAAAGATTGCATGAATATGAATATCAATTTCAGGGTTCATCCTTGGTATCCCATCATTTTGGTAATTTAAAATTGGTATTTGCAAATTCTGTCTCCCGTTCGTGCTTCCACTTCTGCCAGTCCCTGACGAAATTCTACTTGCATTATCATCAATATTTCTTCCATTATTAGCAATATTTACTGCTAAGTCTGTTATAACTCTTCCAATTCTATCCAGTAAAGGTGAAATCTGTATAGTTAATAATCCTAATTCTTGGCTCGTTGTCAATTCGCTATTTCTTTCGTTAAAGCTTCTTTCCAACTCCATGGTCAAATTATCTTCAATGCCAGACCCAGCAGTTGCTTCTGAATCTGATCCATGCGAATCATGCGACCACTCTTTTTCTTCTTCTACGTGCATCATGTTGAGTCTTTCTCTCATTGGCCTTACTCTTTCATCAGCATGCTCATGCTGCAAAATTGTATTTAATGAATAATACCTTTCGAGCATTGCCCGAGACTGGTCTAATAATCCTACTGCTGGCATTATTAAATCGTTGAAATCTAATACCTGAGAGTTTGGAGAGTCTGAAGGGCTTATTAGGACTGGGGACTGCATTGAACTGTTTAACGATTGCAAGGTGTAGGTCCTTAATGGTTGAATTCTAGGTGACGATATGCTGATTCATTCATCTCATCTATTTGGCCACCCGTTATAATGGATAAATGCCATTTGCCCTTCAGGACGGTGCTCAATTTGTATAACTTGAGCTTCAAGCCACTGCTCAACTGTATCTTTTACATCAACTCACTGCCCTTGCACAAGAGTTCTTTCAGAAAAGTTGAATCCTTGCAATTCTCCATCATTAATAGTCGTATTCATACATTGAACCAAGCCTTCAATAGTTTGAATGTTTTGCCTGATTGTTTCCAAACGCTCGTTAGCCGAAATTTCACGCCTTCGCTGTTGACGTCTACGTGTTATAAAAGAAGCTGCTTGATTATTTGCTAAGGCCGCTCGCAAAAAATCTGTAAGAGTATTTCTGTCTCCATCAGGATTGGAAGGATTTAGATTAGCGACTAAGTAGAAAATTGAGTCATTTTCTACGTTTAGTAAGAACAAGTTGTCTTGGTTTTTCAGAACTTTGCCTTGAAAAATTAATCTTTGTTTATCAACAGGGACCTGAGTTTGATTTAGGATAAGAGTTTTTAATTCTGAGATTGGCGTTTGCCTGGCAGCATTCACAACGAACTGCTGTGAATCTAAGGTACAGATTTTTATTCTTATTCGGTCAGAACCAACATCCATTTTGGTATGATTGTATCTTGAAAATAATTGAAATTCATATGAGTTTGAGAAATTAAAAAAAATTAAATTGGTGTCAAGATGAATAGGGCTTTATTATTTTAGACAGAGAAAATTAGAGAATTATGATTAAATATGAATCAATATTATGGGAAACAGCTTAAATTACTTAAAATTGATGAAAGTTTACACTCACGACTTATAGCAATCACAACAGCAGCTAAGTTAACAGTTTTAGAAAGACTGGGATCAATGGGGTTGGTATTTCCAAAGTCATCTTCAAGACTATCACCAATAATTAAAAAACAATCAAACAAACTTGAAGCTATTCCATTATAAATGGCTAAGCAATCTTGCTATTGTAGCTACCATCAAATATTTAATCTCTTTAAATCAGCATATTGAAGAAAAACACAGAGAGCATTCACTAAAAGAATTTCGCCACCAGAAAGAAACTCTTAAGCATAAGCTAGAATATGTTGAAGACTCGATTTCGCTGTTTAAAGAATCCCCAAAAATTGTTAAAGTTCCTTCTACTGCAGATAAAAAGGAAGAAGAAAAACTCAAGCAAGAAAAAGCTGCAGAGTTCGCCAAAAAGCTTCAAGAGGAGCAAATAAATAGAATGAAAAGGCTTAAAGAAAGAGAACAAAAAATAATTAAAAAATGAGAATCTGAAGAGAATAAAAAGCAATTAGAATTGATGGTGCTAGAGCAAAAGATATTGGAAGAGAAAGAAAAAAGATTAAGAGACTTGCAATTAAGAGGAGAGCTAAGGCGAGAACAATTAAAACGAGCTAAAAGCGAAATGAGAGGAGTAAGGAATAGCGATGTGCTTTATAAGAAAATTGAGAAAAAGTTCGAAGAAAATGTAATTATTCCTGACTCCCACGTTTAAATTGGAACATAAAATTCAGTTCCAATTTAGTATTTTTTACTTTAAAATTTATATTTTATAAAATTTTAAAAATTAAAAATCACTTTTAATTTATTTTTATGAGAAATTAATTCGGAAAACAGTGATTTAGTGTGGAGACTTTTAAATAATATTCTAACTGCATTTTTTTCTATTAAATAGGTCAACCAATTTTATAATATAACCTAAAATTTTCTATTAAAAAAATGATCCAGTTTAACGGGGGTTTAAGCACCCAAAAAATGGAAATTTTACCAATATTCTGTTCAAATTTAAATGGGGGAGTGAGCTTGAACGAAGAAAAGAAGAGCTAGCTAAAAAACGAGAATTATTTTCACCAAAACGAAATGAAGAAAAGGATGGAATCCATAAAGAAAGTTCAGAGCAGCTGAATACAATTAAAGAAAAAGTGCTTGAAAGCAGCTTGAAAACTTATAGATTACACAGAATTCCCGAGGTGATTATACAAGATAAAGAAGAGCTAAAAAAGTTTGAAAAAGAAGCTGAAGAAAAGAGAATTTTGATAGAAAAAAGAAAAAAGTATGGAGAAATGATTAAAGAATATCACGCACCTGAAATAGACCCTTTTAAGAAAAAAGAAATGGAATTAATTAGACTTCGCTTGAATTTTCCATCACAAAAACGAGGTTTTTTAAAATCTGTTGTTCATAGGAGCCATTCCGTAAAAAACTTTCAAAAACAAGCTATGAGCGACTCAGGATCTCCATCCAAATTTCAGCCATCTCATAGATTACGAGAAATAAATTCCAGCGATCAAAAACAAAGAGCAATCCCCAAAGATTATTTAAAAGAGCAACGAGCCATTCGAGAGCAATTTCAAAATTCACACAAGCAAGCCCAAAGCTTTAGCATTGACTCGAGTGAGCCAGAGACTTATCACTCAGTCTATCAAAAGGTGAAAATGTTGGAATCAAAAGCTTTGGAAACTGAAAAAATTCTTCAAAATTCAAAATTTTCCAACCGAATTTCTGTACGCGAATTAAATGCTGAAAAAGAATTAAACGAAATAATTCTACAGAGCATAAAATCAAAACTAAGTTTATTAATGTAACATTATAAAATATGGGTGGGTGTGCAAGTAGAATAACTCAATCAGAATTAGAACAGCACAAGCGTGATTATAACTCAAAAAATGATGCAAATTTCCGATCAATTCCTTTTGAACAAACAATTGATCAAGCTATCAAAGAAGATCAAAGCATTCGGGGGTTAGAAGAGAAACGCAAAATTTATACGAGGAAAGAAATTGAATATAAAACGAAGCTGGAAAATACACCTGCAGGAGTACCTCCTATACCTGAATTGAATATTGAGATACAGAAAGGAATCAATTTTTATTCTCAAGGGCTTTGTATAACACAAGGGAAACCTTATGTTTGTGTGAAAATTGAACCAAAAGGGGCAAGTTTTGAAACATTTGTGTCTGATATTTACAAGCCGTATTGGTATATAAAATATTAATTGATTTTATAGAAATTATATAAAATAAAATTAAAAATCTATGGGAGCTAAAGCTTTTATTATTAATTTATCAGCATTTTTAAATAAAAAAGTATAAGCTTTTCCAAATAAAGCAAAGTTTGCATAATTTCACGAGTATTCATATAAGAGTATATATCAAAAAAAATTTGAGACAAGATTTGCTATTAGGATCAATTGAAATCAAACTGAACGATTTAGAGGACCAAAAAGTAGTTGATGGATGGTATAATATTGATACAAAAATTCAAGGATTCATCGAGTCTCCTGCTTTGAGAATTCGAGTTCAGCTTGTGCATAATGAGCGCTTATTATTACAAAGAATGATAGAAAACTGTCGAGAAAAATTAGCTGCAATTCAATCTGTAAAAGAAAAAATAGAAGCTACTATTAAGCCCTCAAACGAAGTTCCGAACGAACTAGTTCCAATCGATCCATTAAACATATAATTATTTGCACAAATTTTATTCCATTTTTTTTGCTAACTATCCCCTCTGTGAGCAATCAAAAAAAATTTATTCGCTCACTGAGGGGTCGATTTACTTTTATAAAAAATTTTTTTTCGAAATTTATACACAGAATTGGCATGAAATTTCATTATATTAATTATAACTCTTATATCAAATATTTTTTCATAAAATATTTTTATATTAAAAAAAACTTTTGTTCACGGGTGGGTTTTTAGGCAAAAAATAGGGATTTTCTAATGGATTTGTTCGTTCGCTCATGGAGGGGGGAGTAAATAATTTAGAAAATATTATAGTCAACTGGTATTATTTAAAAAATTATCATATGAAAGGTCGATGCAATTTTGCAAACAAATTATATAATAATCTACTACGAGATATTTAAATTTTAAAGTGTGCTCGCATTTCAGCAGGATTCTTTAGACCGAAGCCCACCATTTTATATCACAAATCGGTGAATCGGAGCTATATGTCTTGCAAGACTCACCAAAAAGCGGGCCAAGAATTCTTCATGGGTCACGCTTGGTCTTGCAAAAACCTGACTCCAGCGCGTGCTCTGCATAAAACAACCTGCCACACAGTAAAAACAATATGCCTTCTTTCTTCCTTGAGTCATCGAATTATCTATACAGTAGTTCCATTTTGGCATTATGGATATAGAAATTGCCCGATGATGGCGCATTGAGCGCCATCATCAGGCAATTTCTATAACTCCCCCCCCTCCGTGGGTGAACAAAACCATTAGAAAAATCGGCATTTTTTGCCCAAAAACCCACCCTCCGTGAGTGAACAAAAATGTTTTTAATAGAAAAATTTTTTTATGGGAAAAAAATTTTGATATATAAGTGATAATTAATATAATGAAATCTAGAGCTAATTCTGTTTAATTTTAAACAAATTGCGTTTTAAAACATAAATTTTATAAATTAAATTAATATTTGCTTTCCAATTTTTGCGAATTAGGATTTTTTTAAATTTCGAAAAAAAAAAATTTTTATAAAATTTATATATAAATTTTTTTAAAAAAAAAAAATTAACCCCCTCCGTGAGTGAACAAAATTTTTTTGTTCACTCACGGGAGGGGGGGGGGGGAGTAAGTGGAAAATAGAACCATAATAATAAATATCATAAAGAAGAAGGGTTGTTGGAGACAGCCATTTCCAAGCAAAGCCATTTTATTATTATAAATAATAATCCACACTAATTTATTTCGCATCGTCACATATACTTATTTCAGTGGATAGCCCAGTAAAGGCAGGAGCTTGAGAGGAAAACTCTCCATTTTCTTTACCAACCTGGGTTTCCAACCAACTGGAGAGCTTTCCGCTTAAATTTCCTACCATTATCGGGTTATCCATAAGAGATAAGTATATTAATGTTAATAGTAAAACACTTTCGTAGAATTAGAAAGCTATCCATTTTTACATATAAATGTCTTTCCTGACTTCTATTTCGCCTGATGTAGCGCTTGCACTCGCTGGCGGGTTCCTGGTTTCTTTGGCAACTGCTCTAAATCTTCTTGTTATGGGTCGAATTACAAGTGTGAGCTCAATGATCATTTCAATCTCAAGATTTTATGTAAATTCTTCTGGACTATTTTGAAGGATCAGCTTTTTACTCGGATTGCTCAATTCAGTGCTTTTCTTTAGGGTTTATCTAGGTGACACAATATATGGTATCAGAGTATTTGATGTTCTAAGCTCCATGTCAGATTTAAGTTTGCCGCAATGAATAATTGGCTCATTTTTTATTGGAATGAGTACCAATTTGGGTGGAGATTTTATAGTCTATCACATAATCTGTGGACTTCCAAGGCTCTCAAGACGCTCTATGTTGGGTACAGCCATCGTGATCTTATTTGGCGCAATAACATTAAGTTATAGGCACTCTATTCCATCATTTGAAAACAAGGGTATTATTGATTCACAAACAATGGATACTTATTTGTCCTTCATAGGAGACTCATTTTCTGGGGTTTATTTAATTTATATTATCAGCTTTGGGGTTCATTTAATTTCTAAAGCAAAAAAAGCAGATAAAATCGATCCACTTTTTTCATTTGCAATAGGCATTATTTTTGGGTTAGGATTTATATTATCAGGGTTGTGCAGAAGGACTAAAGTGATTGGGTTTTTGAATTTTGGGGACAATTGGGATCCAACAATAGCTTACTCTATAGTAGCCATGGTTGGCTTTAATTGGTTTGGGTTTAATTTAATATTCAAAAACGTTACTACCCCACTGCTACAGGGTAATTTTAATCCCATAATTGATGGAGGAATTAATATGAGTTTTTGCATAGGAGCAGCTCTTTTTGGAATTGGCTGGGGTATATTAGGATTTTGCAATGCAGGGATTTTTATGAATATTATGCTATTGCCTCAAGCACTTTTGGCACTGATTGGAATTCTAATGGGCAACACTACAATGAGATATCTTATGGCAATAATCAACTCTCCAGGCTTTAGAAGAATTTTTATTTCAGAGTAATTATAAGGATTTAACAGTAGGTTTTAATTTTTTAAAAGAGCTATATTAAATTATATAGAGAATAAAAATTGAAATAAGCAAGAATCATTTAATATATACAAAATTTATATCAAAGTCATTTAAAAGAGGACTAACTATTTAATTATTTCTTTTTTTCAATACATATTCTTTAAACTCATAAGTACTTATCATCCCATCTCCATTGATATCTGCTTCCTTAAAAAATTTCTTTCATTGCGCATTTGGAATGCCTGGAATAGCTTTTTTCATTTCATGCAAACTTAAAGTCCCGTTCCCATCTGCATCATATAGCTGAAATACTTGCTCCAATTTCTTTATTTGCGTTTCTGAATTTCAATTTATAACTGCAGCTACAAACTCTGAATAATCAATAGAACCACTCCTATTCATATCAATTCTGTCAAGAATCTCCTCAACATTACTTTCTTCACAGACACCTAAAGCTCTGCATCCGGATATCAGTTCCTCTCTACTCAAAATTCCATTATGGTCCTTATCGAGTTTCCTAAACAGTTCGATATATGCTTTTTCTTCACATTGATTGGAAAACTGTGAAACTATATACTGGTAAATGGATTTTTCTATTTTTGACTGTGCCTGAATATGTGTTACATTAAATTGAGCAAGCAATTTCAGTGACTCCTCGAAATTTTTGCTTTCTTGGCTTGCATTTGAAATTGAGAATCATGGGTGGTTAAGTGCATCAAGTGCAGAGATTCTTTGCTTATAATTGAGATCGAGCATTTTCGATATTAAATCTTTTAGTTCTGCAGAGTAAAAAGCTAATTCTTTATCACCAAGGCTTAAGCCTTTATTTATACTGGCAATAAGTTCTTTTTCAGTCTTACCAACAAAAGGAGGTTTACCAGTGAGCATAACATATAGAATAACTCCGATGCTTCATATATCACTTGCGCGCTTATTTAGAGATCCTTTAATCATTTCAGGAGCCATATAGTGAATCTAAATAGAAGTTACAGACCAAACTTTGCAACTGTTAGCTGATGCTTGCCAGATGGAACCAAAATCTGTTAGCTTTAGAACACCATCAGCCTGGTTTGTGCTGAAAATTATGTTTTCAGGCCTGATGTTTCTATGAATTACACCTCTGCTATGACAGTAATTTACAGCAATTAAAATATCTTGCATATATTTTTTCGCTAATTGTTCACTACCTTCGCAGCTTCATGAAAATCCGCGCCTTATAGTAATTTTTCTATGAATTTGTATTGAGAATATTTTTATAAAATTCCAATTTTTAAAAATTCCGTCCAAATTAGGTTTTCAATTTTTTTATTAAAGAGTATAGGTTGCGAAACCTTGTATCTCACTATCGGATTCATTAATCTTATCAAAAAGATCTAATATATTCAATTTTGGGGCAAATCTACTCAAGATTGGCCAATCCTGCTTAACTCTCAAAGTAAGAGAGGTGCTGGGTTGACTCTATAGAGATTAAGTTGCACTTAGGAGCTATAAGTGGGTTTTCTAAAATTTTTTCGAAAAGATCTCCTCCAGGATAATATTCAGAAACAAGATAAAAACTTTGATTGTCTTCTACAATTTCATAAAGCTTTACAATATTTGGATGATCCTAACTCTTGTAATCCTTGATCGAATGATTATATTTAAAGGTCCCCAAAGCTTTGGAATCATATATTAGTTTTTTTATTTTAATAAATCAATATGAAGCATCTATAATTTTTCCAAGATTTTTTTATTTCTCCTTAATCGAAATCTGGAGAATTGCTCAAAATAGGATGATAGGATTAAGTAACTTATACAAGAAAATACAGTTTTTCTGACTCAGAGCATACACATTTCTGCATTTCAACACTTAGAAATGTTTTTTGTATTTCTTTAATTATTTTATTTTCATTTGTTTTTTTGTCTGTTACAAGCATGATGTAGCCGAAAGACCCTACAGAAAGTCTTTTTATGAACTGATATACTGCAAGCACGCTTTAAGCTCTTTAATGAATTTGCTTGCTCACGAAGGTGGTAAATATTTTTTAATTTATAGCTTATTACCAAAATAGACCACTTACTCCCCTCCATGAGCAAACAAAACTATTAGAAAATTTATATTTTTGGGGTAAATATCATATTTCAAAATTTTTTGTTCGCTCTGTGGGTGGATCTTAGGCAAAAAATAGATATTTTCCATTGGTTTATTTCTCTCACGGAGGGGAAATAAGAATAATTAAGATCAAGATAATTATATTCTTGGACAAATTTAACCAAATTAGATCTAAAAGTATAACTTAAGTATATTTTGTCTTTATATATTCTTTATCTGTCTTCACGAAATCATTTTTACTAATTCATTTATTCAACTCATTAGCATTAGTTTTGCTATTTGCTTGTTTTTTATTTGATTTTGAAATTCTAGATGATTGACTTTTTGATAAAGACTTTGTAGGCTCATTCAAGTCACGCTTTAGACTTTTTGTGGCCTGAATTGCAGTGGACTGATCTGAAGATTTAAGATCAGCCATACCATCTTGGCGAGCTTCTCTATCTGCACAGCATCCCATATTAATAAGAAAATAAAAAAATAATTAACTAAGTTGAGATTCTAGATCTTAAATTCAAAGAATAATCAATTTCATATATTATTCTATTAATGCAAATTTTTAAGGAATTTTATATATTATTAAACTCTATCAACTCAATTTTTTATCAAAAATTCTTTACTTACCATTTGCTGAATTAACTAATGAATTATTAACTGTTTAAATATGATTAAGATAAATTGGTTGCAATACTAGATTATGATTTTTAATAAGTTTAGTAAATTAAATTAAACTTTCTGACGACTTAAATGAGTTGATATGATATATTGCTTAAGAAATTATAATCTTAATTATATTCAAAATCATTTGAATTATATAAGAATATCCATATTATGAAAAATTATTGGTTGCAACATGATATCATTAAAAATTATTTTTAAAATAAGCCAATTGATTTAAATAATTTATTTAAGTTATAATTGCCTTGCTACCTATTCAAAAAGCATTGCTTAAATTCATCAATGCTTATAATATTGTCTTTATTTTCATCAAACTTTTCAAAAAACCTATCCCACTCTGCATCAGGAATTCCAGGAATTCTGACTTTAATATTTTTTATACTTAAATATCCTTTTCCATTTTCTTCACATAGTAAAAATACGTTTTCGATCTTTTTAATATTCCTTTCAGATTTTCAATCTGAAATAGATGCGAGAAACTCAGAAAAGTCAATTAAACAATCTTCATCAATTTTAATGCTATTCAAAATTTTCTCTATTTTTTTATTGTTGCTAAATCCAATTTTTTTAATCCCATCGATAAGCTCTTGCTTGCTTATTGACCCATTTTTATCTGTATCAAAAAATTTAAATAATTTCATGTATTCTTTTTCTTCATCAATGGACGAAGCTTGAGAGGTCACAAACGAAAAAATCGCTTTTTCTAATTTAGGTCGTCTCTATATAATGATTACATAAAAATCTCTTATGAATTTGATTTCCTGCTCATTTAGAAGAATTGGCTCATCTCCTTCTTTAAATTTGGAAAATCACTGATGGCCAAGAGCTTCGATTGCGGTCATTCTTTTCGTCGAGTCAAAAACAAGCAATTTTTTTATAAAATCTTTGACTTCTAAAGTATAAAGTTGGATTATGTCTTCTGGCATTAACAGCCCGATAGCAATCTTTTTAGACAATTCTTCTTCATTACGGGATATAAAAGGGAGTTTTCCAATTATCATTAAATATACAAGCACTCCAACACTCCACATGTCACTTGCTGGATCATCATAAGATTCTTTGAAGACTTCTGGTGCCAAATATTGAAGCTAAATATAGTTTACAGTACCAATATTACTTCTCTGCTTTTCCATTTCAGAGTCCAGCCCAAAATTATTTAGCTTGACAATGGCATTTGTTGATTTGGAATCAAACAGTATGTTATCTGGGTTTATATTTTTATGAACGACGTCTCTACTATGAGAATAGGCTAGGGCCTCCAGTAAGTTTTTTGTGATCTTACAAATCAAGGGCTCGCTGAGATATTTTATCGATAATTTTTCAGAAAGAGAATCTCCCATCAGAAACTCTTGAACAAAGTAAAAGCTTTCTGAGGATTCTATGATTTCATAGATTTTCACAATATTTGGGTGGTCCTACATAATTTTTACAAGATCTTTTAGGCTATCGACTCTTTCCATGAATTTCTCACTTTCCCCTCATTCCATCTTTGCTCATCTCACCTCTTTTATGAGCCTTTGCATGTTTGTCCTTTTATCTCGAGCAATCGCAACTATTCCATTTGGGTTATCGTGCAGTTTTTTTATTATTGCATAGTTCTCTTTCAAAGATTCTGGAACGTTAAGTATAAAGGATCCTCTGCTGACTACTGGAGTGCTTCGTCGTGGAGTTCTAGTTTCTTGAAGTGGAGAAGAAACGGGTGTTTTTTGGGTTTGAGGCTTCAGAAATCTTGTTTTGCGTTTAAATTTTGGCCTTTTTATTGGCGCTTTTTCTGTCACTTGATTTACCGGTTCAGGCCTCGAATCACAGCAACCCATATTATATCTATATACATTTTTTTCGATTTATCTAAGATTATTGTACTATTAGGCCATTATTATATTTATATTTGGAAGTCTTTCAGACTTTCCTCTACTCAAAAATTGCACAAGTTTCTGAATCCTAGTTTTTTTATCATTGTTTATGTCAGCAGCTACGAAAAATTCTTGTCATTCTTCATTTTTATATTCATGAAAAGATAATTTTAGCTTATCCACGTTTAAATACCCTTCATTATTTTCATCATATGGCATCAGCGCATTTTTAATTTTTGCGATTTGGTCTGGAGCATTTCAATCAGTAAAGGCGGTAACAAATACTGTAAAATCGAATTTATAATTATCATCAATATTGGATTTTTCCACAATTTCTTTCATTTCTTTGTGATCTGTGAACCCAAATAAACTATGGTTAGCATAACATTCTTTAATATTTATTGACTGGTTATGATCGGCATCAAGAATATCAAATATATTTTTAAGCTCTTTTTCTTCAAATAAACTTTGCTGATTTATTATTGAAACCAAAATCGCTTTTTCAATTTTATTTTTGGTCTAAATTAAAATTACATGAAAATTCAAAAATCGAATAAATGATTTTTGCTTCATAATAGTCCTATTAAACCAAGGATGATCTAGAGCTTCGTCAGCAGAAATTCTCTCATTTGGATTAGATACCAACATTTTTTCTAATAAGTCTTGGGCTTCACTTGAATAATACAGGAAAAGATTTTTATCCATCGTGAAGCCGTGCTCAATGCTTCGAATTAGAATATGATCAGTTTCTCCATGGAAAGGGGGTCTTACTATAAGCATCATGTGCAATATAACTCCAAGGCTTCATATATCACTCTTTGCATTTTCATTTTTCCCTTCAAGAATTTCTGGAGCTGCAAAATGGAGCTAAATTATTATTACAGCATTTAAATTGGAAGACATTTTTATTTTGTTTCAGGATAAGCCAAAGCTGATTAATTTAGCTGATGTGTGATCTAATCTTGAAGCAAAAAGAATATTATTTGGCTTAAGGTTGCCATGCACGATCTTTTTATTGTGGCAGTAGCTTAGAGCTGATAAGATACTATGAATATATATACAAGCCAGCTCTTCTGATATATTGCCTTTAGATATTCTGTCAAGTAAGCTGCCTCCTTGCAGATTTTCCCTTACCAAGTAGATGGAATTTTGGGTTTTGATTAGTTCATAAGTCTTAACTATATTTGGATGATCCTGCATAATTTTTACCAATTCCTTTATTTTTCGCAGTTTCACTAAATCTTCTTCAGTCTCTCTAACTTTTGACAAATCAATTATTTTCATTACTCTCTTAGCGTCAGATTCATAGGTGCTTATAAGTTTGACACTTCCGAAGTCGCTTTTAGCGAAGACTTTTAAGGTTTTAATGTTTCCATTTGATGATTTCGAAAAAATTGGCTGAATTAGATTTAAACTAGATTGTGAAAATCTTCGAGTGCGAGAGGTTTTCTCTGATTCCATAGATGAAGATTTATCACAATCTGGATCCATTGGCTTAAGACTTTTTGTAGTCATTTGGCTATTATTAGATTCGGGAGTTTTATTGCCATTAAGAGCGGCTTGATTTGAATTAAAGCGTTTTAGCTTTTTCTTGCGTTTTAGGAATTGATCAGGGGTCTTAGGCTTTCTTGCAGGCTCTTTTTCTTCTTCTCTGGAGTTACAACAGCCCATTATTGAATTATAAAATTTGTAAACAGATAATAATGGCATTCTTGCAACTTAAAAAGAAATTTTTGAAATCTGTAGAAGCGCAATTATCACTTCTCTGGGCTTAAAAAATTATAAAATGTTTTATAGTAATGGGATTTCAACTGTTTAATTAATTCTGTATATCATCTTATTTTATTTCTTTGAACAGTACTATCCACTTCTATTTGAAATATAATGGGTTTTAACAGATTTTGATTTTTTGCATTTATTAGTTTGACACTTTTGCCTCATCATTAAGTTATAGAAATATCTAAGCTTTACCAATATATAAAGAGATCAGCTGCAACTCTGCTATTTATGAAACTAATAATTTATTAAAATAATTTAATTTTAATATAAAATGATCATTAAATCAAAATACCAGTAAAAAAGTTGTAAGCTACAGCCATCTGAGATATGTAATATAAAAAGGACTAAAAGAATTCCTAATAATAAATTTATTGATTTTTAATAAGAGCTTCCAATCTTTTTCGCCTTATATCTACTTTTTGTCTTTTACCCAATTTAAAGGCAATAATTATAAAACTTATCATAAATATTGCACATCCTGCTATCAAAATATAGGTTCCTATCGCATCGCCTTTTTCTTGATTTTCTGCAGGAGCTTTTCCTTTTACACTAGCAGCAGAAATCCCGTCAAAGCAATTTTTCTTTTTGACCTCAAATCCCAATCTTTCGCAAAAATCTTTTCCATTATCTACAAAGCTCGTCAATGGATAACAAATTCAACTTCCTCCGCTGCAAAATTCAATGCCGCTTTCAGTCATTCCAGCTTCAAAATAGTCATCTTTGCAGGATTCATATAAAGAATCGCATAGATTTTGGCAGATTCCAGACTTATGTCCTTCTCCTCTACTATAAAACTTACACGTCACCATCACACTCTGAGCACAAAATATCTTGCATCACAGTCAGGCATCTTGCACTATAACCTTGATAATCTGTATATAAAGGAGGATTCATTAAAGGCCTTGAAATTCTTCTGAATATTTGTAAAGAATGTGATATATTGCAGCACGTCCTTTGAGAGTGCTGCTGGCAAAATGGCAATTTTTCTGTGTGTACTTGAGTTCCAGGTGAAAACCTGAAACTCGTGGAGTTTTGGCAGAGAGACCAAACCCCTATAATTAAAAGGTAAAATTTATTCATTTTAATTTATGATCATATGCCTTTTTAACATTGCATAGTAAAAATGTGCATTGCTATTAAATTATAAAAGCACAATTGAATCATAAGAAGATGGATACAAGAAACATCAATGTTCCAAGGTCATATACAACGCCGAGATTAGAAGTTGTCCAAGTAGATTACTATAAAGATATCATAAATCACATTTACTTTTCATGCGGAATGCAAATCTTTTATATGTTTTTGATTGCTTCATGTATGCTTATTAGTTTATGGATAGTTACTCACATAGCTTCGTACCCAGGTATATGCTATTTAGACCATCTCTGATTTTTCATTGTGGAAATTCTGCTTTCTTCTTTTGTTATCTTAGAAGTTTTGATTCGGTTCTTTTTACTCGGATCAATGAAATTTTGAATTAGTTGGAGTAATAGGTTTGACTCATTCGTGGCTTTTCTATGTGTGATAGGAATAGCTATCACTGTTTGCTATTTTGCAATTCATGATATTGAAGAAACTGTAGGAATTAGTTTATTAGTCATAAGAAACTCGATTAGTCTTATACGGGTTGTGGTGTTTTTTAAAAACCAGGACAGAGCTTTGTTGAGCAGTGTACATTTGGCAGATAACCCAGGAATTCTTGACGATTTCCAAAGCTCTTTGGTACCTGAGCGAGCTGAGCCAGACCAAAATGAGAAGAGAGAAAGGTTCATTTAGTGGCATTTTTTCAGGCCCAATTAAGGACTTTTTAAAAAAATTTCTTGTTCTTCTTTCTGATTGATATCAAAATTGTAACGCCATCACATATTAGTGACATCATCTCTTGGGAGATCCCTGCTCCTTCTGAATCCAAACTCTAGCGGCTGCTGCTAGTCCTAATTCAGAGGGAAAATCGGCTGGAGATGATTGTCTGGACCTCCTTCACGCCTCCAACCCAATACGAAGCCTCCTAGCACCCCTTTATTTCGTGAAGTCACCCTAAATTTGCTGCTACACTCCTCAAGGACCTAGTGAAAAGTCTATTTATTCTGGCAAAACTCACTCAGACCTTCCACAAGAGTAGACCCTCGGGTAATAGCGCTTGGAGGGTTGGCTTTTTGTTGCCTCAATGCTATAAAAAATAAGTCAGACCAAAATGAAGATAGAATAATAATAAATTTCTAGTAAAAATAATGAATGGACTTCGCTATCCTTGCTTAGTTAGAGATTTCATACAAGATAGATTATATCAGCCAAATAAAGGATATTTTATGAAGCCGGATCATCAATTAGGGCAGCTGACTGGAGAGCTTAGATATCACGATTTTAAAGGAATCCATTCCTATAGAGAAGCAATCGGCGAAAAATACCCAAAATATGCTTTCTTAACTCCTGTAGAAATCTTTCAGCCATGATATGGACACGCAATAGCGAACTATTGCTTGGAAAAGCAAAAATCGCCTACTATAAAAATCATTGAGTTTGGGGGAGGAACAGGTACAGGTGCCTTAAGTATACTTGATTTTTATAAAAATAACCATATGCAAACCTATAAAAAAGTAAATTACACCTTATGTGACATCTCCCCTGTAATAGCAGAAACAGCTAAAGCTAGATTATCTAAAGCTCATCCTGAACTATATAGAAATGGTCAAATTTCAGTGATTGCAAAATCAGCCTTTGATTATCAAAAAATTACTGACTCCCCCCTCCATGAGCGAATAAAAAAATTTTGTTCATTATATGAGGAGTTATTTTTTTTAGAAATTTATCTATAAATTTTATAGGGAATTTTTTTTCGAAATTGAAAAAAATTCTTAATTACAAAATTTATGTTTTATAATGCAAGCTGCTTAAAATTAAACAGAATTAGCAAGAGATTTCATAATAATAATTATCACTTATATATCAATTTTTTTTTTCATAAAAATGTTTTATTCGCTCAAGGAGGGAGGAGTGAGGAGTTTACATATATTATTGCCTTAGAAATGCTCGATAACTTGCCTCATGACAGAGTTTGAATGGAAAATAAAGAATATTGCTTACAGTCTATGATTACTGAGGATTTAGAGGAGAAAAAAGAGCCACTTACTGATAAAATTATTAAAGATTGTCTAGATGTGTATACAAACATGCCGCCAATGAGTGACAGCGATAGAGAATCTGAATATGCAGAAGGATTCATATACAATTTAATAAAATATTGGAATAGAAAAAAATATGATAACTTATTTTTACCGACTGGAATTTATATGCTAATGAACCACTTCAAGAAGGTTTTTACGAACCCGCACTTCATATTCAGTGATTTTGATTTTCTGCCTGGCAAAAAGATCAAAGGAATAAATGCTCCAATCGTCTCTAAAAAGGGTGAAAAATCAAATGAGAAGAAAGATTTTTCCACTTTTTTGACACCAGTTGGGGAAGCTGATATATTTTTTCCTACAAATTTTAGGTTTATACAAGAATTGAATAGAAAAATATATGGAAAAAGTGGAGGTGTCGCAAAAAGCTATAAATTCATGGAAAAATATGCGAAAAGTAACTGGACAGAAACACAGACAGGGTATCGGCCACTTTTTGACGACTTTAGGAACACATCATTTTTTACTTCAGACTAATATTAACAAACCTTATTAAGCAAATACTTTTAAATTAGTTATTATGCTTGGCTTTTAGCGTCTTCTGCTTTCGCTTCTGCAAGAGCATCCATTAATTCTCTAATCAAGAATGTTCCAAATCCATATCCGCCAATTCCATACTTAGTGATAGTTTTGACGAACAGTTTAGGCCCAATTGAGTCGTTGCCTTGGCTTGCTTCAGCCCAGATTTGTGCAACTCTTTCGTCAGAAAGACAAGGATCATATTTAAGTGCAGCTGATTTGAATTGTTCAGCGTTAACTCCTTCAGTTCCAAAGGCTTCGTATTCTCCAAACAAGAATGCGGTATCTTTTCTTTGCTTGGCTTTGTAAACGTCAATTAAAGCTACCAAATAGCTAGCCTTGCTGACAACCCAATCTTCACTTCTATTCCATTCCATAAGGTTCTTCATGTTAATCTTAGCCATAAAGCTTTCTTTGGTGATTTCTCCATTTCCTCTTGTATCTAACTCTACCCTTGCTGCAAGCAAGATCCCTGCTCGCTAAAGGAAGGTAATTCTTTTTAAGTTTTATGTATAGCAATTGAAGCGCTATAGCTTGCCTTGACAAATGCTTCTACACAGCAACTTGGGGCTCTGGCGAGCCGCCAAAGATGACTAGCAATTCCAAGCTGACTAAGGACATTCTTTTGCAAGGATTTGTTGACTTGGAGTTGACTCGCCATCTTTAGGGGCTCGTCAGCTTCGAGTTTCTGTGGATAAGCATTTGTCAATACTCTATAGCGCTGAAGACGCTATAGAATTGCAATAAAATTGTTTTGGCTTGAAAAACCGAAATTATGTCTTAGGATGCAAGCTATCTAAATTTTAATATTTTTCTTAATTACTTTACATAAAATATTATCCAAAAGTTATACTAAAATAAACTTTTTCTTGATAACGAAATGTTATAATTTATAATTTTCTTACAAGTAAGGGAGTAAGAGTCTCATGAGCTTATTGATGTTTTCATCAGATATCCAAAGGTCTAAATCTTCTTTGGTTCCGCTAATAAATTCGTTGGCATCAATTGTGCCACCAGCATCTTTATCAAGCATGTTGAAGATGGCTTCAGGGGTCTTTCCGAGCTTGGCCATCTTGTGGCAAATCTTGTAGGCGACAAAATCTTCGTGTGAGACTGCTTCTGGTTTGATGTATTCTAAGGCAAGGGTTCCCATTTCTCTGTCTCCCATAAACATGGTGTACAGGAGCTCAATAACGTCGCTTAACAAAGCAACTCCTCCAGTGCCTGCAGCTTCAAAGGCAGCACGGCCGCTTGCCTTTCCTTTAGGTCCAGATGCCTTCTTGCCTTGGTTTTGTCTTGTTCTTTCTAGCTTGTCAATAAGTGGGTGGAAGCCAACTCTAGCTCTGACAAGATACACAGAAAGGCTACTAGGAACTGGGTCTGGGTGGAACATTTGAAGAAGTCTGCAGTAGAATGCAGCATATTTGTTGCCTTCACTGAAGAGTTGATCAAGAGCTGGTAGTAACCCTGCTAAATGCTTCATAGCGAGTTTAGAAATACCGAAGGTCTTGTTGAGGTGCTCCATTAAGAAGTCAGGCATTGGTTTAGGAGTTTTGCGTTCTGACAAGTCTTTTCTGTCAGCTTCGAATTTCTTGTCCATAAGATCTTCCAAGAATTTGAAGACGTTCAGGTAGCTGATTGGTTTTTCGTTTGGAATACCAGCTTCTCTGATTGCTTTGGTGACTGCGTTGCATTCAATCATGGTCTTATTGTCCTCTTGCATTTCAATGGCAGCAGCTTCGTAGTGTTTCTTTTCTTTTTCTTCGACGTTGTCTGGGATTTCAATAGTGCTGGTTGCTACAACTATGTGAGAGTCTCCTTTGATGGTCTTCTTGCTCATCCAAGTTCTGAAGTACTGCTGTTGCTTGTTCTTGTATGAGTTGATGAATCTGATCAAGAAGTTTCTGTTCATTGCTAAAGAGTGTCTTGTGTGGAGTCCTAACAATTCAGTTCTGAGCTTATCGATGGTGTCGTTGAGTTCAGAAATTTGGTTTTCTTTCTGAGCGATTTCAGCAGTCATTTTGTTTATGGCTTCTTGGACGTCTGATGACTTGTCTCCACTGAATTCTTCAAGGTAGTCAATCTTATGCTTCAAGTTCTGGTTTTCTTTTTGCAGAGCTGCGACATCTTTTTGGAGTTTGTCGACTTGACGAGTCTTGTACTTGAGGTTTTCGTTTTCGCTAGTAAGCTCCTTGATGCGTCTTTGTAAGTCACTGAGGTCGATTTCTTGAGATTTGATTTGAGTGTCTTGCTCTTCTTTTTCTTCTTTGATCAGAGCATAGAGCTGCTGGTATCTTCTAGCGCTTTCAAGCTGTTCTTCAAGCTCGTTTAGTGCCTTATCCTTATCTTCAAGCATATGCTCAAGGTAAGCAATTTCTTCTGGGTTTCCAGCTTGGCCGAGCTTGAGTTTCTCTTCAAGTTCGTTTCTTTCAGTTTCAAGCTTCAATATGTGGAGCTTAAGTTCATTCTTTTCTCTGATTTGCTCAGCTAGTTTTTCTTCGAGTTCAGCTTTTTCTCCAGTCAGTTTCTGGATTTCTCTGTCTTTAGCTTTGACGATATCTTCAAGTTCATCAGCGTGCTTGGACTTAGCAGCAAGCTCTTCTCTGGCTTGTCTAAGGTCGTTCTTAAGAGCGTCCAAAAGTTCGAGTTTTTCTTTGTCACCTTGGAAGTTCTTTTCGCTTGATCTTTGAAGCTGGTCTAAGGAGTTTTGCAAATCTCTGATTTGGGTATCTTTTTCTTTATTGACTCTTCTGATGTTTCTTACTCCCCCCCTCCGTGAGTGAACAAAACCATTAGAAAAATCCCTATTTTTTGCCCAAAAACCACCCTTCGTGAGTGACAAAAATTTTTTTAATAGAAAATTTTTTTTTATGAAAAAAGAAATTGATATATAAGTGATAATTAGTATAATGAAATCTCGAGCTAATTCTGTTTAATTTTAAACAAATTGCATTTTAAAACATAAATTTAATAAATTAAATCAATATTTGCTTTCCAATTTTTGCAAATTAGGATTTTTTTTAAATTTCGAAAAAAAATATTTTTTATAAAATTTATATATAAATTTTTTAAAAAAAAAAAAATTAACAAATTTTTTTTTGTTCACTCACGGAGGGGGGGAGTTAGTTCCTTGTTGGCATCGTCAAGTTCTTCAGTGGTTCTTGACATTTCTTCCTTCAAGTTCTCAATTTCATTGGTTGCATCAGCAACTTTGATCTTGAGTTCAGAAATGACGGTTTCTTTATCAGCTGATTCTTGAGTTAATTTTTCAACTAGTTTGGAGTTTTGCTCGACTGAGTTTTGGAGTAAGTGAATTTGGGCTTCGTATTGGACTTTTTGGCCTTCAAAGGTAGCCTTGGTGGTTTGCAGCTCGTTGAGTTTGTCTTGGACATCTCCTTTGAGTCTGTTGATTTCTTTAGAAAGTCTTTCTCTTAAATCTTTTCTAAGCCTTTCTAGTTTCTCCCATTGATCAAGTCTATCAGTATGCATTTTACTATAAATGTGTATTTTCTCGTAAAAGTAAATTATTACTCCTATTAATGACGACTATAGAATAACTCTTTGAATGACTTCTGGCATGTTAGCTGGCGACTCTTCTTCGATCTTTTCAATTGCTTTCTTAACCTTGTCGAGAGCATCTTTAGTCTTGGCATCGTCAGAAGAAATGGTGTTTGCTGTTTCTCTTATAGCCTTCTTTAGCAAATCTTCAGTTTGGATATCAACGTCATCAATGCTTGATCTGAGTCCTCCAGCCTCTTTGACAAGCTTGCTTTGGAGTTTGGTTTGTGATTGTCTGGAAGGAAGGAGTTTGCTGATATTGGTTGAAACCAAGTCAAGTGAATCAGTGATGGTGTTTGGCTCACCTTGTTGAAGGGCTCTTGCTTCTTTGAGATCTTTGGCTTGGGCCTTATCGTCAGATGATCCACATAATCTGAAAAGTCCTGCGAAGACTGTATCAGTTTCGGTATCATCAGCGCTTGCTGATTCTGCAATTAATTTAATTAAATCTGCAAGTTTTCCTTTAATTGGAGTGTCATTGAGTAATGATTGCTTCTTTTGCTCAATAGTGTTTGCGTTGTCAAATCCACCTAGGATAGAGCTTGCTAACTGAGGAATTGTAGTTGCTACTCCTGAAGGATCAGTGAGAGCCTTGAGAGGAGTAATATCAGCTTCTAAGCTTGGGAACAATTGAGAGACAAGTGTTTGAAGAGTTGAATAAGATCCTTTAATTGACTTGAATTCAGCCTCTTCGATAGCTCTGAGCATTTCAATGGTTTCAGCTTCCCTGTTATCTTTAGGCTTGGCTGCATCTCTCAGTTTTTGGAGCTCTCTTTCTAAGTTGATTCTTCCAAGCAGCCTTAAGACTAAGTCAACGACGTTGTCAAGTTCCTGGGCTGAGTACTCATCTTCTTTTTGCTTGAAGAGGTTGAGTTGAGCTTTAAGAAGATCTTCTCCCTCTGGGATAACCATTTCAGTTTCAGTGATGGACCCCTTGACAGTTCTTGCTTTATCGCTGTCGATGTCTCTTAGTCTTTCTAAGACGCTCATGACCTTATCATTTAAGCTCATAACCAACCTGCTTTGCTCTAGCCTTAGTCCAGCGTAATGCTCAATCTTAGGTGCGTGGTCTTCTTTCAGAACGTCTTCTGACTTAGCTTTCAAGTTCTTCTCAACAACCTTGTTATCAGGAGTGCCGAAGTACTTGGTCATGGCTTCAATGACTGGGATTGCCATTGCTTGCTCTCTGTTGTAGGCTTCGCAAATAAGCTCGGCGTTGACATCAAGTCCTTGTCCTTTGAGAATTTCAGTCCAGAGGACAGTGGAGAAGGTCTTGCTACCAGTTCTTTGAGTAACTGTGGTAGTGGCTTGATCTTCAAGTTCGGTGATTACTTCATCGACTGGCTTTTCTAGGAGTTTAGCTAGGAGTCTAAGAATTAATTTGCTGTATCTTGTGGCGAGTCTTCCTACGCGTTTAGGAGTCAGCTCAGTAAGCTTCTCAAATCTCCTGCTGCATTTGTCAATAAGAGCTTGCTCATCGTGAGGGTGAGCTTGGGAGAGGATTCCAACAGCTTTATTTAGATAAACAATGAATTTCGCGACATCGTTATGATCTGGACCAGCGAAGAATGGCTTGATTTCTCTTATTCTCCTCGTTCCTAAACGAGCAAAACATTTAAAGAAGGGTTAATTTGCTTTAATAATGTATTTATTAATTTAATTCTTAAAAATTAAAATTTAATTTAATTTGTTAAATTTATATTTTAGAATGCAAGTTGAATTAGCTAGCTACTTCAATATAATAATTACTTGCATATTACATTTATTTTATAAAATAAAGCTCTCAATGAGAGTTTTTTCCAATTTTTTTCATTTGTTTCGCTCTTCTACATAGGAGAAGAGTTAGCTTAACAACTGGGTGAAGTTTCATCTTCTTGCTAACTCCATAGTGAACTTGTCTAGCTTCTTCATCAGTGACTGGTGGTCCATCTTTGGTAATCTCATTAAGGTTGAATTCAGACCAATCAGCGGCAAGTTCAGTATAATAAGGCATCAATTGGTGAGGTTCAGTTGGTACTTTATCCTTTCTAGCCACAAGTGTATCAAGTTCTGGGTGTTCAGCAACGCTTGCTTTTTCATATAACTTCTTAGATGCTAAGTTCAAGTTTTCAAGTGTAGTCAAAATCGACTTAATTTCATCTTCACTTGGCTCTTGTTCTCTCAATTTGACCATGAGTTGGTCCAACAAATCTCTTACTCCCCCCCCCCCCTCCGTGAGCGAACAAAAAAATTTTGTTCGCTCACGGAGGGGGGTTAATTTTTTTTTTTTAAAAAAAAATTTATATATAAATTTTATAAAAAATATTTTTTTTCGAAATTTTAAAACAATCCTAATTTGCAAAAATTGGGAAGCAAATATTAATTTAATTTGCAAAATTTATGTTTTAAAACGCAATTTGTTTAAAATTAAACAGAATTAGCTCTAGATTTCATTATACTAATTATCACTTATATATCAAAAAATTTTTTTTCCATTAAAATTTTTTCTATTAAAAAAATTTTTGTTCACTCACGGAGGGTGGGTTTTTGGTCAAAAAATGGCGATTTTTCTAATGGTTTTGTTCGCTCACGGGAGGGGGGGGAGTTAGTCTTCTTTCAACTTCTTTCTCAAGTTCTGGGTAAGTCTTCAAGTAATCATCCAAAAGTTCAAGAGCTCTGGTATTGTTGTCTGGAATTTCATCATGGACGGCTTCGTGGATACTATTGACGAGGTCTTTGGCTTCTGCAAGCTGTTCATCGCTTCCTACAAGTCCAGCAAGCCAGAGAAGTCTGTCAGTATCGTTATCCTTTTTCATTCTGAGGGAATGGAGAAGTTCAACTGGGTCAAATGGCAATGAAGCTGCTGTTTGCTTCTTGGTCAAAGCTGCAACTGCTGCGTCAACGTTTTCGTCATCTTCAGGGAGTCCAGTCATTCTGAAGTAGACGTTAATGATGTACCCAATTCTCTTTGTCAAGTCGGCAAGGTTTTCGGCCGGCTTGTCTTTAAGTTCTTCAACTTCAGGAGGGACAGGGACATTGAAGAATTTCGAACCATTGTCAACAAGTCTGTGAGCCTTATTAAGAGTTGTATATAAGTTCTTGAAAATATCAGGAGCCATTACGAATTCTCTCTTTTCTTTTTCCAAGTCATTGAGGACATTGAAAACGTCACTGACAGTTTCCATGTTGGTTCTGTTTTCTTGCATATTGTTGTTGACCTCATCCTTGAACTTTCTAAGCTCGCTGACTCTCTCGTCAATATTTGGTTTGCTTCCATAGATCAGAGCACCCATGCCTTCTAAGGTTTCGAAGGAGTCTTTGACAGATTCAGTGGCTAAATCAGTGATGTCGATAGCTGACTGTGGGCCTGCTCCTTTCTTGGACCTGACTCTTACAGCTTTAGGTCTTCTGCCTCCTGCTCCACCTGAGCTTGCTGCTTGACTGACAGCATCTTTGGATTTTTGAATCAAAAATTCCAAAAGTTCTTCTTCATTTGAAATGGCTGGGAACAGCTCTTCAATGGTGGTCTTAATAGTGATAAGCGCTTCTCTTGCAGTGTCAGGGACAACTCCAGTTACTGAATTGATTCCTTGCTCACAGACTTCATTGGCTTGTTCTTGGTCACTTTCGTCACCAACTCCTTCAGCTAAATCTTTAATGTTGCGAGAAACTGCATCTTGGGTGATTTTCCCGTTAACTAATAAGAACTTGAGAAGAGTGACTGGGTCATAAGGAAGAACGCATTCTCCTTTACCTCTCTTTTTGATTGAGTCGTTGATTTCTTGGTTGTCTTCATTAGCGGTGTCATCGTCCATGCCAATAAGTTTACCTAATAAAGCTCTGAGTACATTTGTCCATCTGCCAAGCTTTTCGACTTGAGGAGCGAGTTGATTAGGAACTTCTAGCTCAGACAAAGTCTTAATAATAGGAAGTTCAGGCTTTTCAAGGGTCACTGCGAGTTCTTTGGCGAGTTCTGCATCTTTAGCACTAATATCGGCGATTTTCTGAACAAGGTCTTCACCCATGAGTTCTCTCTTGAAGTCTTCTTGGTCTCTAGCAAGTCTGAAGATTTGGTCAATCAAGATGTTATACCTTTGGCCACTAGCGATACCTTCATCGATTTCTGCAAGTCTCTGGTGTTGGCCAGCTCTGATTTGTTGAGTAATTTCATCATTAGGCTTGTAGTTGGCTTCAATCTTATCCAAAGTGCTTTCTCCTTTGTGAAGGGTATCAGCAAGTTCTTTGATAGGTCTTGCAAGCTTGTTATTGATAGCTTGGGTTTCTTCAGGAGTTTCTTCTCCGTCAAAAGTGCCAACTCCAATCATCTTAATAAGAGATTTTGCAAGGTTTTGGTATCTATCGTTGACGTGAACTCCGTCTTGTAGTGAAACTGCGTTTTCTCTGTCTTTTTTGACTCCAGCGTGCTCGTGGAGGAAAGGATGAACTCTATCTGGCTTAATGATAGGTAGAAGGGCAGAGACAATTGCATCATCAGCGTCAAGGATTTTATTAAGCTGAGCTGAGGTGACACTTTGGTCAGAAATACCTTTGAACGATTTTTGTTTGAGGTCTTCTAGCTTATTTTGGAGATCAGTAAGTTCATTAAGTTTGGCAACAATTGAAAGAGGATCGTCGAAATTTGGATCTTCTAAAGCACTGATGGCGTCAGCTAGCTTTGCAGCCTCTTCTTGAAGGTCAGGAGTCATAGCGACTAAGCTTTTCAAGGTGTCTTGAGATGCATCAACTTCGGCTTTTTGCTTTCTGAAAGAATATATTGAAATGGCGTGGCAACCAACCCACCATCTTTGATGCATCCAACTGGCTTCGTTCTCGAATCGCGCCAGACACCACGGGAGGAAGTTTGCATTCGGGACATATATCTTGCCTTTTTTTCGGTTTGGTGAAGCGCAATATCGAGTAGACAACCACAAGTTATACTCCAAGATCACTCAGATGTGAACGAAGCCGAGAGTTGGAGCTGGATTTCCCAGCAACATCAGAGGCCATTTGGGCTATTTTCCAATGTTAAACCAGGAGTTATGCCCTGAACTTCGGATTTTTATTTGACCAAGAGCCAACAAGAAAATTCAATCCTATTATTGATTTTTCCATAGTGGGCAACCTTTCTCGGCGTATAGCATAGCAACACGAATCACCCAAATATCAGGGAGCGAGTACAAGACTTCTTCCTGGAAGGAGCAACCTTTGAGATTTTGTGCACAAATTGGCAGCCAGGTGAAAGGAAAGTCAGGGGAGATAGGAATACAGCGGACTTCTGAATAAGTTTAATAAACATAAACACTTTCTGAAAAGATCGGTAAGTGGGACGACCATTTTAGCTCTTTCCATAGCAACTGCAGCTTTTGCGCCTTCGGTGCCGACTTCTGGTTTTTTGCCTTCCCAATCCATCTTGTATGCTTGGTCAGGTTTTTTGTCTTTGACGAAACCCCATTTCTTGTCTCCACGAGTCCAAGTTTTTTCTTGAGATTCGTGTTCAGGAGTTTTCTCTCTTTTTTCTTCCCAGCTGAGATCTCCTTTCTTGCCAGTATCGAGCCCAGTGTATTTGTCACCTTCCTGTTTCCATTCTTTTTTCTCATTGAAATCGAAATCTGGGTCATCTTTCCAGCTTTCTCCCCATTTCTTGTCTCCTTCTTGGTATTCTTTTTCTTCTCCTCTAGATGTGCCTAAAGTCCAGACCTTTTCCTTTCCTGAGCTTGTTGGGAATTAAGATTAATATTAAAAAAAATATATAACCAGAAATTTAGTAAAAAATTATATAAAAAGTCTTTTTTATAGATAAAAAAAAATAACCTTGTTGGGTCACTCCAGAATTTTTCAGTGTAATCTTCAAGACCTTCAGGAGTGCATCTAACACATTGTTTGGTTCCATTAGTGACATCTCCTATCTTCGTGGACTCTTCAAAGCTTTTAACGATTGGTCCAAGCTCCCAGGTGGTATGAACTTCGTGGTCAGGGAGGTATTTGATCACCACACCCCATTCATGTGGGTACTTATACCATAAAATAAAAAAACTAAAATTACTTATCAAGAAGTCCCGATGGGCCTGAAGATCACTACTTGCCTCTAATTATCATTCCACCACTTACTTGCCAGTCAAACAGGACATTCCATTGTTTTGTTCTCGTGGACGAGTGTCTGCACTTGCTACCAGAAGTCAGAGAAGCTGGGTCATTTACTCGCTATAAGCCTACCAGAAAATTTAAAAAAAAAACCTACCCGAGTTGTTGATGAAAATGGAGCTCATGATATTGTGCTAGATATTTCCAGACGGAACAAAACTCTCTTTAGAGCCTTCCAGCTACAGTTTTACCTCGCCACCAGCAAAAATACCATTTAGGGTGAGAGTCCTGGCTTATCATGGTCATCCCAGTATTGCGCTCCATCTAAAATGCCCAAAAATCTGTGGACACAAATCTTTTAAGCTCTCCCATCTCTTCCAAAAGGTCCCGCTAACATGAGCTCACAGAGCAAGCCTTAAGAGGACGTCAATGCACCATACCATTGTTATATATATTGGGCACTTATGCCAAGTTTTTGCAACAATGTGAATGCCTTCTTCTACGAACCAATGCTCGTAAAACCAAGTATCTGAGTTCTTGTCGTGCCCAAACTTTTCCCCAGTTTGGCTTGTTGAGTCGAACCACTCATAGATATCGCAATTGTCAATTACCCAATAGGCCTCTTGACCTGTTTCAGTTGTTTTGGTGAAATGTTCCTCTGCTGAGACTGCTGAGATGAGTTTATTATAGATGAGCCAAGTCTCATAGTGTTTCATTGAAAAGGCTGGGTAAGACCCAGACCACCAACTTTCAAGTTTAGAAGCCATTAAATTATTAAGCCTGCTATACGTTTATTTAATATGGATTAATTTATTTCAGTCCTAGAAATGGAGTCATAAACAAAGGCCAATGAGAAAATATAGTGATTACTAAAAGCTTAAAGAGAGCTTACTACCCAATCTTTAAATTAGAGCAAAATATCGGTTAATTTTTATTTTTGGAAAATAAATCCCATTTAATTTGTAACTAATTTTAATGGAAATAGCTAGATAATAACTTTAATGTGAATTTTTTCTACCAAGATCGAAAATTTTTTATTAAAAGTAGGGATTCTCTTAAAATATTATTTAAACAAAGTGCTTTGAAATATAAATTTTATAAATTAATGTTTAAAAATTTAAAACTTTATAAATTTTATTTCAAAATAAATTTGAACAATTTTTTTTCTTTTAAAGGGAGAAGAGATAGAATAGCTTCTAAAATTATAATCATTTACTGGTTTGCAGATTTTTTATATAAAGGGTTATTTTTTTCAGTATAAGATGAAAAGTAGATAGCTGACTTGATATATAAAATACTGAGAAAGAATTTATTTAATCTTTAGCTCACATTGCTCCTTTTAGCAGCAGCAGATGATTCGATATTTTCAGTAAAAGCCATGGCATATTTAAGATAAAAAAATTAACATAAAATCATTTTTTATCGGGTTTGGAAAAAACCCTTTCGCACTTTACGATAATTTTACATAAAAAGTAATCCTTGCTTGTTTATGTTTCTCTTTTTCGACTTTTTTCAGTATTTTTTAATAGTAGTAAAAAATGTGATTTGAAAGTTGATCGAGGAATTATCATTTTATTAGGCATTATTTTTAATTTAATATGGGAATTTCCTTCAGAAGTATTTTCTCTATTTTTTTCTCTTTAGCTGTTTACTCGTTAGATTGCTATAAGTTCAATTGCAAATCTTCAGATATGCTGTTTGTGAATGAAACCTGCATTTTTTACGAGCCAACACAGGGGAAATATTGATTAAATGAGTGCCCAAAATACTTTTATTGTCCTATTCCAGCTCCAATTCAAGAAATAAATTCCACTTGTCAATACATCCCTAAACCCAGTTCGTATTTATGGCCTGGCGAGCCATGCACATCAAACTCTTCTTGCATAACAAATGCATGTATAGATTCTATATGCATTGGAAATACTGCTGGAGAATCTTGCAAGAGTGATGGCGATTGCAATCCTGGCTTATTCTGCAATTCAGAAAAATGCACTCACTCTCCCAGTATTAAGCAAATTCTTGCTTGCTCTGGGGTTTTCCAAAAATAGGGATTTGTTGGGTCATGAAAGGGGTGAAGCAAGCAAAAATCGATCTATCTTTTTAAATTTACTATTTGAAAATCTTGTGCTAAAACCCCTAACGAATAAGCAAGAATTTGCTTTTACTGGGGCGAGTCAGCAGATAAATACAGGAAGTTACGGCTGTTCTCGAGATGAAGATTGTGTAAATTCATCATTTTGCAATTTCACAGGAAATCCAGCTACTTCTATTTGCGTGCTAGGGTACAGTTTGGCTAGTAGCCAAGCAATTGCGAATTGTGAGAATGGAGTTAGCAATTTATGTCAAAATATTGCTTGCATTGGAGGAAATAATCCAGTATGCAATGTAAAATTGTCATCTCAATTATTGCCGAAGGCATGCCAGAGCTCAAATGACTGTCAGATAGACGGCAATTTATCAGAATATTTGCCTAGCTGTGAATGCGCATTTAATCCAAATGGAAAAGCTTATTGTGGGTTATATCCTGGGGATAAGCTTTATCAGCAATACTTAATTATGCTTCAAGATTGGATTAAAAGTGATATTATCAATAAATGCAACACAGAAAGAAGAGGAATTTCACCATGCATGCAGGCATATTATCCAAATTATTTAAAGTTGGCTTATTACGCATCTCTTGTTTCAGCATATCCACAACTGCAAAATGCTCCAAACTGTGCGCAACAGATTTATTTATCTAATTATTGAGGGTTCCTGCAGCAAATCAATGACCAAGATGAATATTCCAATTCAAATCAAATCCTTTTATCACTGGCACTTTTGTTTATATTGTATTAACTATATTTTTATATAACATAAAATAGGTGTTTTATGAATAATAAACCCTTTATTTAATATTAGGACAAATTTATTCTTAAAATGCTAAATTAACTGACCCTTTGCATCCAATAATCATGCAGTAATGCTCCATGAGCATATTCCACTCTTCAAACTCATCCATCCATTCCAACTTCTCCACCCTTTCTCTTTCATGCCTATCAGTGTGTCTATTATAAATCATCAGCATGTTATAGCTTTTTTCGGGTATTTGCGTTGAAAGCGATGAGGTTTGGGATTGACGGCGAAGCCTATTTCCTATACAAAACGGGTTTTGCGGCGCAAGAAGAAAATACTGAGTACCTTAACTAGGTCGATAAATGCTAGATTTGCTTTTTTTAAAACCACTAAAGTGTTATAAGATTCCTTTGTCGTAATTGCCTGCTGCTTGAGAAAGCAAGAACTTTGTTACTTTTACCTCCTGGCCCGTTTGAGATTGGTGTGTTGATTCCATTTTATTAAAATTTTGACAAACCTAATTGTTTTAGCTAGCCATTTTAAAATTGAAATATTAAATATGGAATCTGACGACACACTCATTACTATGAACCAAATTCCTCTAATTTTACGATTTGTGAATTCAAATTCAAGTATGATTATGTTTAATCAATCCTGATCTATTCGGCCTTATTCAAATCCAAAATAACAGAATCTGATTGTCAAGTTTATCTCAAAGTGAAATGTTTAGCTCAACAGAATTTACTCTTAAAATAAAAAGAAGTATTGAGCTATTCATCGAAATTTTATTAAGTGCAAACGCGGAAAGTAGATTCAAGCAGCCCTGCAAGTGCTCAGGCTCTAGAACAATTTTGAAGAAAAATCTCCAGTAGAATTTAGAGATAAATGCATTTCAAGATGGTGATATATATTGGGCTTGGGATAAATAGTACATGAAACTAACTTTTCAGCTAACTCCCCCCCCCCCTCCGTGAGCGAACAAAACCATTAGAAAAATCGCCATTTTTTGACCAAAAACCCACCCTCCGTGAGTGAACAAAAATTTTTTTAATAGAAAAAATTTTAATGGAAAAAAAAATTTTGATATATAAGTGATAATTAGTATAATGAAATCTAGAGCTAATTCTGTTTAATTTTAAACAAATTTGCGTTTTAAAACATAAATTTTGCAAATTAAATTAATATTTGCTTCCCAATTTTTGCAAATTAGGATTGTTTTAAATTTCGAAAAAAATATTTTTTATAAAATTTATATATAAATTTGTTTTAAAAAAAAAAAATTAACCCCCCTCCGTGAGCGAACAAAATTTTTTGTTCGCTCACGGAGGGGGGGGGGGGAGTAAGCAAAAGTGCAAAACGCGGAAAGCAGGTTCTAGCAGCCCTACAAGTGCTCATGCTCCAGTAGCAATTTGAAGAAAAATCTCCAGTAGATTTTAGAGATAAATGCATTTTAAGATGGTGGTGTATATTGGATCTGGATAAATGGTACATGAAAAAAAAAATTTCAGCTAAGAAAAAGTGCGAAACGCGGAAAGCAGATTCGAGCAGCCCTACAAGTGCTCATGCTCCTGTTGTAGTTTGAAGTAAAATCTCCGGTAGAATCTAGAGAAAAATACATTTCAAGATGGCGTAAGTCAAGATGAGAGTACATACAAAATGGTTCATGAAAAACCCTTCAGCTAAGAAAAAGTGCAAAACGCGGAAAGCAGATTCTAGCAGCCCTACAAAATGTTCATGCTCCAGTAGCAATTTGAAGGATAATCTCCAGTAGAATTTAGAGAAAAATGTATTTCAAGATGGTGATGTATATTGGATCTGGATAAATGGTACATGAAACTAACTTTTCAGTGAAGAAAAAGTGCGAAACGCGGAAAGCAGATTCTAGAAGCTCTACAAGTGCTCATGCCCCTGTAGCAATTTGAAGGAAAATCTCCAGTAGATTTTTAGAGAACAATGTATTTCAAGATGGTGTAAGTCAAGATGAAGTACATAAAAAAATGGTACATGAAACGAACTTTTCAGCTAACTCCCCCCCCCCCCCCTCCGTGAGCGAACAAAACCATTAGAAAAATCGCCATTTTTTGACCAAAAACCCACCCTCCGTGAGTGAAACAAAATTTTTTTAATAGAAAAAATTTTAATGGAAAAAAATTTTGATATATAAGTGATAATTAGTATAATGAAATCTAGAGCTAATTCTGTTTAATTTTAAACAAATTGCGTTTTTAAAACATAAATTTTGCAAATTAAATTAATATTTGCTTCCCAATTTTTGCAAATTAGGATTTTTTTTAAATTTCGAAAAAAAATATTTTTTATAAAATTTATATATATAAATTTTTTTTAAAAAAAAAAATTAACCCCCCTCCGTGAGCGAACAAAATTTTTTTGTTCGCTCACGGAGGGGGGGGGGAGTAAGCAAAAGTGCGAAACGCGGAAAGCAGATTCGAGCAACCCTACAAGTGCTCATGCTCCAGTAGCAATTTTAAGAAAAATCTCCAGTAGAATTTAGAAAAAAATGTATTTCAAGATGGTGTAAGTCAAGATGAAGTACATAAAAAATGGCACATGAAACGAACTTTTCAGCTAAGTAAAAGTGCGAAACGCGGAAAGCAGATTCTAGAAGCCCTACAAGTGCTCATTCTTCAGTAGCATTTTGAAGAAAAATCTCCAGTATAATTTAGAGATAAATGCATTTCAAGATGGTGGAAGCCAAGATGCGAGTCCATACAAAATGGTTCATGAAAAAACCTTTTCAGCTAAGAAAAGTGCGAAACGCAGAAAGCAGATTCAAGCAGCCCTACAAGTGCTCATGCTCCTGTTGTAATTTGAAGGAAAATCTCCAGTAGAATTTAGAAGTGCAAAACGCAGAAAGCAGATTTTACTATCCCTACAAGTACTCATGCTCCAGTTGTAATTTTAAGAAAAATCTCCAGTAGAATTTAGAGATAAATAAAATGCAAGATGGCAGTGCATATGCAAGATGGTGCAATAAAATGTAAGTGCATACAAAATGGTACATGAAACGAACTTCTCAGTTAAGAAAAAGTGCGAAACGCGGAAAGCACATTTTAGTTTTCCTACAAGTGCTCATGTTCCACTTGTAGTTTAAAGAAAAATCTTGAGTAGACTTTGGAGAAAAATAAAAAAAAATAGCATAATTAAAATTAAAAATATATACACTTTAAAGAAAAAATAAAAACCTTGATTAAGAAAAATTGAGTCTTTTAGCTCAATAATTCCTCTAATATTAAGACTTATAGCTTCAGAAGGATTTTTATCTCCATGGGTTAAAATTTAATAAGTAGCCCCCCAAAATAATTAATATTTCAATTTTAAAATGACATGTTAAAAAATTTAGGTTTGTCAAAAATTTTAATAAAAATGGAATCAACACACCAATCCCAAGAAAGCCAGGAGGCAAAAGTGACAAAGGTCTTGTTTTCTCAAGCAGAAGGGAATCACCACAAAGGAATCTTATGTGCACTTCTAGCTCATATCAGATACTTCCTTCCCGATATCTTTCTATACTCTACTAAGTATGTTTCTTCTTGCGCCATTCGGAATTTCCATCTTGCAAGATGGAAATCCATTTTGGCTCAGCAACAGCAAAAAAATCCCAGAATTCGGCCGTGTAAAAAAAAAATAAAACGGCCGGAAGGCCAAGGGGTCGCAGATGGCAATTCTCCGGGGTGGGGTGCAGGCTTGGGCTGACTGGGCTTCCCCTCGACCCACAGACAAGATACCGACGACGCAACATCAATCAAGCACTTCTGGAGGAGCATTATGGTGCCTGCGAATGGCACAGGTGGTTCCAGAAGAAGACAATGGACGATCCTCTCATACCCTGAGCACCACCAGGGGTTAAGAGAGTCCTTGCCGAAATTTTTGATCCAGCAGGATCGGGTGAGTCTCCCCGACAGACTGAGGACGTCACCATTTTTGATGGCTCCGAAGAAAAAGGGCGTTAGGTGGCTTTAGTGCTTAGTGCCACATGAAGCACGAAGCTGAAGTCCGACTGGCTAGGGGCTGAAATAATCCCCGCTTAACCTCTCTAACTAATCTCTCTCTCTCTCTCTCTTGCGCCATTCGACCCGTTTTGTATAGGAAATAGGCTTCGCCGTCAATCCCAAACCTCATCGCTTTCAACGCAAAATACCCGAAAAAAGCTATATAACCATCCACTCTTTCATAAAATCTTCTAAATCTGTCTAAATGAGAAGCCACCGTCGGATAAGAAACAATTCCTTTAAGCTCGACATGCCTGGCATGTAGATTCTGAATCATAGTTCTTCCAAACGGGTCATGAGGCTGGATCATGTCATAATTCAAAAACGCAGAATTAGGATACAGATTTGAGAAGTCTTCAATTAAAGAATCTGAGTGCTGGGCTTCCATATAAGCGAGCACACACTCTGCTAATATTAGAGTAGGCGCTGATATATTTGTATGTAAAACTAGTTTTTCCATTAAGAATCTGGAGTTTCTTAAATCTGCGTGCAAGAGTTTGTAGTCTCTTGCTAGTATTTCTTGGTTTGGAGTGATGGGAGATGATATCATGGAGAATAATTGGGGATTAGAACCAATTATTTGGCTTTTTTGGTTACAAACATCTTCGAAATCGATTTCGACATATTGAAATCGGGCTTCTGGCTTTTCTGTTCTTAACAGCCAATAAGCAGTATCAAAGCCAGCGCCGATGGAAATAATTTGTTTATTATCATCATCAATTCTCAAGAATTCTTCAACTGTCATTCTAACTCGATGGACTCTTGCCCAGTAGCCACGATTTATAAGAGGAGGCCTTTTCACTGTGTCTCTTGCAAAGAGTGAGATAAAAGGATCGTGAACATAGCCTAGTTGAGTAGCATAGCTATATCAAAATTACTTCTTTGAGGAAAGAGCATCTTGTGCTGTAGCTTTTATTGGCTGATCCTCTTGCATATTTAAGAATAGATTTATTCTGATATCAATAAATAAGGCAGAGAGCATAGTAATAATCTCAAAAATTAAGCAATTGGGATTTTTGCATGTTTTTATTTAATAATAAGAATATTGCATAAGGCATTAAACTTATTTACCCCTCTGTAAGCGAGCAAAAATTTTTTTATATGAAAAATACTTTAATATAATTAATGCTAACTATAATGAAATTTAAAGCGCTTGTAAACTAAAGATATATCTATCAATTAAATCAATTTTTTTTTTAAATTGATGAAATTCTCTTACTACCCCTCTGTGAGCGAACAAAACCATTGGAAAAATCCTTTTTTTTTTGGTTAAGTCCACCTCCGTAATAGAACAAAAAGTTTTTTAATAAAAAAAAATTTGATATATAAGTATAATTATTATAATAATGCGGCTTGTATTTTAAAATGTAAGTTTTATAAATTAAATTAATTTTTGCAAAGATGGATTTTTTTAAATTTTGAAGAAAAAAATTAACCCCGATTAATTTTTTTCACTCACGCAGAGGGGAGTTTAAAATATAATCCACCGCGAACAATCAAAAAACTTTTACTTGGTCATGTAGGAAAAAGAAGTAAGCATGCTTAAATTGATTGCATTAAAAAAAAAGTGTCCAGAATTGGGAACCATTGCATAATTCCTAATCAATTATGCTAATTATGATAAAAGCGAATGGAAGCTAAATCAAGCAGATTACAGCACCACACTCGTCTTCCATCAGTAAGTCGCAGAAAAAACTCTCCAAGCCGAAAATGCACAGCCAAAGATTTGCATCTTCCAGCACTAACTCCTCCTTCCTCTTAGTTATCAACAAGCATTTTTGTTACTGGCTTAGGCTATTTTTTTAAACCTGTTTGGATTTTAAAAAAGCAAAATTTGCTTATATTTAAAAAAACTCATTTATTTACTTTTAGAGTATAAGCTTTTTAAAATTTAATTGATTAGCTAGAAGAAACTATATATTAAAATTGTTTGTACGGAATATTATATAATTAGTTGCTTAAATTTCTGATCGGCTCCCACGAGCCAAAGATGGATTTCACGTGTGAAAATCCAGAAATTCCACGTGGAAACCCATTTTTGGCTCGTGGGAGCCGATCAGAAATAACGCCAAAAGGTCATATAAATTTTTTGTCCTCATTTGGGTTTATTTTTTCAAAGATTATGTTTTCTCAATGATTTTGCTAGCTAGCCAAGTGATAGGGTTAAGCACAAAAAGAAGTGCATCGCCTTATGCGAGCACATTACTTCAAGTGCCAAGATCTAGACCTCAAACTAAGAATCCCAATCAGGGGCATCAAAGATTGCTTAATTCAAAGTTTTTTACAAAGCTTATAAAAATTAGTGGAGCGTCAGCATCAACGGCTGATACTGGGGTTGATGACTCAGAAAATCCTATAATAGAGCCAGATAGCCCAAAAATATCAGATTTAAATCCTTCAAACAATATAAAAGCTGCTATACATAAAATAGACCCTGGATTCCAGCACTATCTTGATTCGGACATGACTTCTGAATTAAAGTGCGATCCAAGGGCACTGTTTAGAGAGTCTATTGAGATTAAAAGAGGAAGAATCATTCAATTAGAATACAACGATGTTGTAATTGAGGATTCTCATTTATTGCCTCTAGATTCCGAAAGTCCAAAGTTCTCACGAAGAGGAGGTGTTAGCTCCCCTTTTGATTTGGATGAGACCCGAAATAATTCTAGGTGGAATTCACCAATTCCTCCTAGGCCTGAAACTCGAAATACATATATGAAGCCTCCAAATTACTGCAGGCATTTTCGATCTAATTCTAACTTTATATCATAATTTTTTGTAAAATGAGTTTAAGTAAATATTATAATTCTATAATAATCAATGCATTTTTCGTTTTATTGATGGTTTTGTTAAAATTATATGAATAAAATACAAGAAACATTGTATTATTTATTATTTATTATTGAGGTTGATTTTAAAATAAATTTTAATGGATATTGATTTAATATAAATGTATAGATCAAGTTTTTTTCCTTTGATATAATTTCTTTTAATCGCTTATAAATTGTTTCTCATCCCCTTAAATCAAAATTTAAATAATAAATAATTTATCTATGGAATCTCGAAAACCTGATGCGTGGGGAGTTAAAGAAGTCAGCGAGTGGCTCTCATCTCTTGAACTTGGCCAATATAAACAAAAATTTGAAGCACTGTCAATAGATGGGATGCTACTTTTTGAAATGACCGACCAAGATCTTCTGAATGATCTAGAAGTGCCTGTAAGGCTGCATCGATTCAAAATACTCGAAAACATTAAGAAGCTCAAAGAGCACTGTCTTTCTAATCAGCGACAGCAAGATCCAGAAGATAGCTCTCAGCAGCAAGCCAATTCAAGGGCAATCCCAGCTGAAATCGAAGAAATCAAATGAGAAATGCTAGTTTTAAAAGCAGTTGAAGGACAGCTACTCAACAACACTTTCCTAATCGGTGCCGAAGGCGCATCAATTGGTAGAAATTCTGCCTCTAACGATATCGTTATTGGTGAAAGTTTTGTAAGTCGAAAACACTGCGAAATCCGATTTAATCAACCAACCAATCAATTCTTATTGACTGATACTGGAAGCACCACAGGGACTTTTCTTATGGTAAGGCAGCCTTTGCGTCTTGAGCTAGGAATGATGTTCCAAATGGGCTTAAGCGAATTTAAAGTAAATAATGTCCGATATAACCCCTATGGAAAAATCACATCACTTGAATTAGCCATTTATGAAGGGCCTGCAAGACAAAATGCAATTAATGTTAGTGCAGAAGGACTAACTATTGGGAGAGACATAGCAAATGCTTATTGTATCAGAGAAGATTCACAAATGAGCTCGTTTCATGGAAAAATCACTTATGATAATGGAACTTTTTATTTGGCTGATATAGGCTCAACAAATAGAACTTGGAGAAGACTGAGTGGGGAAGGGCAAAAAAGTGAACCTTATCCTTTGTTGGTTGGAGATGTAATTAAAATTGGATCAACTGTCCTTGTTGTGCAGCTTCCTGATAGCTCTCAATTGCCTTCAGTGATAAGTTCTTCTGAAAAAGAAACAGGCGAATCTGTAGTTGATGATGCAGCCTGCAAAATTTGTTTCACGAGAGAGCTAAATGTTGCATGCTATCCATGTGGGCATATGTTCTGCGATTTCTGTGTTTCAAAATCCCATAACTGCCCTATCTGTAGAAAATATGTGCAAGACCTGGTCAAGCTGTATAAATAAAGTTAATAAAATACTATCATGCGCATAACAAATTATAATCTCATTTGAAGTCTTGATCTAAAAAATCCTTTAAAGCCCAGTCATATTTATACGATCTCTTAAATTCAAACTTTTTTAGAATAAACAATAACTATTTATTGGATTTACTAATAAATACTGGTTTGAATGTACACTTATTCATTTCTTCATTTATTTTCACTTCTTTTAATTTTTTTATTTTGTCATCTTTTAGCTTACTCCCCTCCCCCTTGATCAAACGACTCGCCATCGTTCGATCAAGGATGGGGGTTAAAAAAATTTTATATATATATTTTTATTTACTTTTAAATAAGAGGGTTAAGAGCATTTAATAATTATTTTTACAGCAAAAAATTGAATTAATTTCAGAAAAATACCAATTTTTAATATTTTTATTTATTAGTTACCCTTTTAAACTGTATAAATTTTAATTTGTTCCTTATTGGATTAATTTTTTTTTTTTAAATTTTAAAGAATCTCTATTTTATTAGATTATTGAGTTTTTAAGCCTAGGTATAACTAAATCACTTCGGATGATTGATTCCGTAGCTTTTGTCGTCTCAAAGCTCTGAAAACAACTTTATTAGGTACATCTCCCAAGCTTTTGATAACTAATATATTTTTTATATATATAAAAATCTGCATGATATGAAAATCGTTCGATCAAGGATGGGGGTTAATTTCCCCAATTTTTAGGAATTTTTACAGTCAATCGTTCGATCAAGGATGGGGGGAGTTAGAAGTGTTCATCAGTCTTTCATAAAAGTCTTGGCTTCTGGACGTCCTGCTTTTTGCCATAATTTTACCTGATCCTAAGCTGATAAATGATTTTTTTTCTGTTTTTTCAAGCTCAACTTTGGTTTCTCTTTTAAATATCTGAGCCCTTTCTTCAATTGTCATTTGCTTCATAAAATCTTCAAGCTTTGCTATAAATTTGTGAAAATTCAATACCTCATTACTACAATCTAAATCAGTGAAAAATGGAGTTAAAATATGCATAATTTTTTGATCTAAATTTTCTTTATTTATATGCTCAGAAGAAATATGTCCATCTCTATCTGAGTCCAGTATGTTAAATAATTTTTCATACTGTTTCTCTTTGAATTGCTTATAAATTGCTTTGGAATTTTCACTAGATTTTTGTGCCATTGCTGTGGCTTTTCAAAACTCATTTGTCTGCTCATTTGCTTTATCAATCATATTTAAATGCTTGTCTCTTTGGGAATATAGGTGCTCCCAAATAGGGACACTAGAATCTCCTCTTTCTTTTGATGTAGACTTAACATGAGGATGAAAAAGCTCTTGTCCTGTAGCTTTGTCAACTGAGACATCCGATTTATGTCTTAGATGCTGTATTTTGGCATCAATTGTGAATCTCAAATTATAAAGTCTGCCGAATACTTCTTCTCTACTGTTTGAAGCAGATTTTTGGCTTATTCTGGGACTATTCAGAGAAATTGATTTTTCGGAACTTGACTTGCTCCTCGATCGCTTTATCTCAGCTTCTTTATACAAATAATCTTTGCCCACGATACGATTTTTAGTTGCAATTGTTTCAATGATTCTTGGAGAAAAAGAGCATTCTTTCAGTTCTTCCTTCAAAACATCTTGTCTTAGAGTGTTTAGCTTTATTTGGTAGTCTTTTGCTTTATTAATAAGCAAATCTTCAGTTTTTTCATAGTTTCTAGGAACCATAAGCGTTGAATTCTTATTGATTTTAGGTTTAAACGTGCTTTCGCTTACTTTTTCTTCTTCTAGTTTATGTTTTATTTTCTCAGCGAACAAAAAAATTTTGTTCGCTCACGGAGGGGGGTTAATTTTTTTTTTAAAAAAAATTTATATATAAATTTTATAAAAAATATTTTTTTCGAAATTTAAAACAATCCTAATTTTGCAAAAATTGGGAAGCAAATATTAATTTAATTTGCAAAATTTATGTTTTAAAACGCAATTTGTTTAAAATTAAACAGAATTAGCTCTAGATTTCATTATACTAATTATCACTTATATATCAAAATTTTTTTCCATTAAAATTTTTTCTATTAAAAAAATTTTTGTTCACTCACGGAGGGTGGGTTTTTTGGTCAAAAAATGGCGATTTTTCTAATGGGTTTTTTGTTCGCTCACGGAGGGGGGGGGGGGAGTCAGCGTTTTTTTTTTAATTCTTCCTTTTTCCGGAGACCATTTACGTAAAGTCACTCTCCATGGTTTGCTGATGACGGTCGAGCTTTAAACGTCGTATCTGGAGAAGGAGATAGAATTGGAGTTTTTTGAATCTTTTTGTACAATCGAGTATATACATTTTGCTTTGGTAATTTTTTAGCAATTTCATCTGATTTTTTATCAATTTTTGGAGTGTGTTTTTTATTAATAAGCATTTTATTAGTGTTTACAGCCTGTGGAGACGGTTTTGTAGGGGTTGAGAGAAACTCTGCTAGCAATGCAGAATCTGGTGAAGTCGAGGTAACGCGATTTTCAACCAGTTCTTTGTTAGATTTAATTATATTTGCCAATGATAATTCAAATGTTTTGTTTAGGTTGTGGCTGGCGGCAAATTTTTTGGCAATAATTTCAGGATCGTCATTTGAATGGACTACTAAATTAACTTGCTTTTCATTTCCTATTTCAATAGTCAACACAAAGAGCTCACTATTTTTTAAATTCTCATCTCCACTTGCTATTGGAGATTCGTCTGGGATATTAAAATCAATAGATTCAGACAAATCTGTGGGCTGATCCATGTTTCACAAATATTTACATATTTTTGAAGTAATTTAGTTTAAACCATTGACCTGATAAATTAATCAATAAAAATCATAATTTTTCCTTTTGATTAGTTGTAGCCCGATCCCTATTATGGCTTGAGCTCTACTAACGGCTCAAAGATCTATGGGAACTTGGTGAGCCAGCATTTGTTGATAAAGCCAACTCTCAGATGGCAAATTCTCTTTTCATTGGAGATTGTTATATTTGGAGAGCTGACTTTACCAAAAATGTTGGCTCACTAAGTTCCATATGATGTCGGGAGGTCTCAATAGAGTCCGATTCAAAGCAGGGGTCGGGTTATAAATAAGATGCTATATCTCAAGAAAAATTAATTTTATCCTGCCAACTGCTACTCTAAGATTTATTTAACTGATAAAATATGAGAAATTTTATATGAATAAAATTGTTGAATCGATAAAGAAGAAGATTTTCAAGTTTGATTAATATAATTTCTAATTTTATAGCCAATTTACTAGATAAAAATTTTTTCATCATAAAAGTCAATACCTCCTGCTTTTCTTCTAATTTTCACCGGATAGTAAACTCCATTTCCAACGCTAGCTGAGGATGTTAATGTTAATGCTGAATGTTTTAAGTCTCTACTTCCAGTAGCGTGTTGGCACAAGCGAATTGGGCGGACTTCCACCTCTGGTTCCTGAGCCCAGGCTGAAACCCCTGATTTCTCGGTAGTGGGTTGCCCTTTTTGTGTCCGCAGACCTTTGCCGGGCACCACCATTTCCAGCCCAGTCCCTTCGCCCGTCTAAGGACAACTGTACCTATCCTGGCCGGTGTCGTCCTCTTTAAGGACCCTTTGAACCGGAGGGACCGCCTTGTATGTGAGTCTAGCCTGCCTCCCCTTTTACCAGGTCATCCCTGAGTAAAACTCAACCACTTCCGTGATTCGGGGCAAAGCCATCAATAGCAGCTTGATCAGGGAAATCACCCTAGTCCATTTCGGGCACCCACTGGCTAGGGCGCTGCTGGAAAAAGGATTCACGATTAACTGCCCATGGATCAGATCACAAATCAGTGGGTTTGTGTTTAAGCCCGTCGCCTCTGGGCTCCTATATTGTTGGGCCATATCATTCCTCCTGAAAACCATGCCCGGATATAAATGGATTACCGTCACGCGAGAGGACGGGTCGGACGTCATCCACCATTTTATGTATATGCTAGCTGAGGATATTGGCAATAAAACACTATAGTCCAGGACCATTTTTGGACCCTCTGTGAAATATGTGTCCATCCAACTGATGGACAGCAAACAGCTGCAAACTCTACTCCACATGCTGTTAAGCGATATATTAATTTTCACTTGCCAACTAATAGAGTTGAATTGTCAACTACTGTTGCCCAAACCTAATACACAAAGTCTTGTAGCCCAGAGCGATCCAAAAGACACCTTGACTATAACTCTCACTTTGTTATAGACCAATTGTTTTTTGATCAAGGAAATTATATATTTTTAAAAATTATATTAATATACCAAATTTAACAAATTTCTGCCTCACAATAAGTTGACTAAAATTCAATAAAATTTGTTTGGTATTTTATTGTTATATTATTAATTATATTCAAATATAATTTATATTCAAAAATATTTTTTGCATAATTTCTAAAAAAATATGATTTTCTAATGATTTTGCTTGTTAACCAATAAGGGGGGTTAATAATATTACTCCCAAAAATTTGCTTGAAATTATTCATCTTGCTGCCTGTATCAAAAACATTAAATCCTCCGATTCTCACTTCTAACGAACTTTGATTAGTAGCAATAAGCCATATATGAAAGAGGCTTAAACATATCAGTGAAAAGAACATTGAGATTCCGACAATAGTACTTAATAGCAGACAAATTGATAAATCTTCATCGCTATAATAAAGCTTAATTCCACTTGAAGTTCCTAAAATCAGCAAATCAATTGACGTATAAACCAAAAACTGAATAAAATATTTATGATTAAAGAATCCAATACAGTTCCCTACTCAAGGACAATGATGATCCATTCTAAGTATGCATCTATCACATATTGAACAGTGATGAGTTCTGGGAGGTCTCGATTGATGGCATTTATTGCACATTCCTATTTTGGCAGCATAAACATCTGCTTCAATATGATCAGTTGTTAGACCTTCTGTTGTATTGTTAGGCAAAAAATCAAAATATTCGGGAATTGTCCCTGGATCAGTTGCTACAACCCTGATGTAGCTTCATAGAATTAAAACCAAATCAAAGTGGAATATGGTATAGAGGAAGATCAGGGGTATAGATAGCTTTTCAGATGATATAAAACTTGAATAAAAGCTAAGATATAGGAGAGCCACGACTATGAAAAAAGCGAGTGCTGGGATTCCATAGAGTACCCTAAGTGCGTAATTTTTATGGAATAGCATATTTAGCAAAACAATATATAGCTGTTTTTTAATTTAAATCAGCTTATATATTTTTTGATGTAATGATGCATTAGATTAGTTACTTAATAAGTCTCACTTATTTAATTCTTGATTATTATTTCCTACACATTTAATTATTAATTTACTATTAAAATTTGCGATTTTATCAAGTTTCACTTATTTCTTCATTCAAAATAACTTGATGTGCATTGACATTTTTAGCAGTTATTCTTATCACTTGAATGTCCTACCCAAAGGTTCCTCCTAAACAAGCCCAAACCACTGCAGCTCGTCTATCTGAGCAAAAGAAGCAGCGCTTACTCAAGCTTCAGGAGCGCGAAGATCTGAAAGGCATGCTAATCACTAAATTCAAGAAAAAGTACGGCGACAAAGTGCCCGGGTTCATTGACAAAGAAGTAGAAAATTTCATGAAGGCTGAAACCCTAACTGAAGCAAATCTGCAAAAACTCGACGAAAGGATCCGCAAAAAGGCAGAGGGCGACTATGATACTCAATCAGTGAGATCTCATCAATCAGTTCCAAAATCTCAACAATCAGCTCCAAGTGTTCGCTCAGGTGTGTCTCAAAAATCAAAAGCATCACGTCAAACTCCTGTGGACCAGCAGTCAGACTTTGATGGCCTTTCAGTGACATCTTCACAGGTCACAGCTTCGTATGTCCCTGATGACAACGAAGACGAATGGGCAGCTATAATTGATCATGACACCTTAATGTATAGAGAAGAAGAAAGAGCGAGGCTTCGACGTGAAAATGAAAATAAAGTCAAGCTCAAAAGAGAGCTTGATAGGCAGCTTGGTGAAAAAGAAATCAGAAAACATATGGAAGTGGAAGAAAATAAATTATATGATTAGATTAGATTAGATTAATTAGTTTTAGCGGGTCACGGAGGTTTATTTCAGCCTCTACCCAGCGCTGCCAGCTTCAGGCTTGCGCCCTAAGCACCGGCTCTGTTGCTCACTCCATTTTCTGTCGACGTCACCAAAAAATGGTGACGTCGTCATCTGACAGGGAGACTCACCCAGGTACTCCTTTGATCAGGGTCTAGTGACCCGGCGCCGTCCTTTCTGGGAGGGGAAAAGTAGCCTTCCGGAGTCTTCTTCAGGTCCCCAAGCTCCACTACAAGCTTCCTCACTTCCTTCTAGTCCTGAAGTGTGACTCCTGATTCTGCGGCTCTGGTCTTCTCGTCTTTGTGAGAGGCAAAAAACCTTGTCGTGATGTCCCGACCAAGGTAAAAAAAACCCACCCTGGACACAATATCCAGGCCCCGTTTACTTCTTAACCCCGTAGTCCCTGAGGGTACAGGAGAAGGACGGGTCGGATGGCTCGCCATTTTAATTGTGTTAAATTATATGAAGAAGCTCATAAATCTTAAATCACTTAATTAGCCTGACCCCTAGTCAGCCTCAAGATAAACAACTCAGTTTTACCACTTATTTGGTACCCATGTTGGGCATTGGAGTGCGGCTCACATCCCCAAGATTATTCAGGAATCCAGAAATGCGCGGGAATCACTAGCAGCTTGGCGCGTTTCCTCATTCTTCTTTAGCGCTTGCTTGCCTAAGGATCTATCTTTTATATCAACAGTGGAAAGTAGTACAGCACGATAGGCAAAGAATGTGACAATGATCCCTGCCCTTTTCTTCCCCTTGTGCAAAAGTTAATGTAACACTTAATCCTATAATAATAAGGTTGGGTGAGGGAAAGGAAATCCACAGAGAGAATTACCGTTTCAGTGAAGCCATTTCATATTTATATAGAGAAGCTCAAAAGAAAAACCTTGAAATGATGGAAGATAGAGAAAAGCAGAGAGATCAAGAATATAGAGATAAAATTATGCAGGAAAAAGCTTTGAGGGATAAACAGTTGCAAGAAGAAAAAAGAAGGAAAAAACTAGATGAAAGACAGCAAAAAGAATTGGACACCAAATTAGTGACAAGGCTCAAAGAAGAGCTTCAAAATGAGCAGATGAATTTTGAAGAGCGCAGACGTGAAGAAAGAGCTTATATGCAGCGGATGATGAGAGAAAACGAAGAAAATAAAAAGAAGCAGCAAGAATATAAAGAAAATGAAAGGCAAAATGATGTCAACTCGATGGAAGATTATGCAAGAATGCTTGATAGGCAAGAGCAAGACCGCCTTAACGAAATAAAAGCTCGTGAAGAGCGCCAACAGCAATTAATGGCCCGCATGGCTGATACAGTTCTAAAAGAGCAAGACCAGCGCAATAAAGAAGAAGACTTAATGCTTCTCAAGCAAATTGAAGAAAAAGAAAGACTCGAAAGACTAGAAGATGAAAGACGCTTCCAACGTCAGCAACTTCAAAAAGAAGAGCTAACTCTTCCTCCTTGAGCGAGCCAAGTAATTGGAAAAATCATTTTTTTATTGCTAAAAAAATCTCCCTCTGTGAGTGAACAAAAAAATATTTTAATATAAAAATTTTACTATAAAAATTATTTTATAATTGTGCAATGAAATCTCTAGCTAATTTTGAATTTTAAACTGCTTTATTTTATTGAAAAATAAACTAATTTTGCTTTCAATTTTCATTTCTGCAAAAAAAAAATTTTACCATAAACAAAAAATTTTGATTGCTCACATTGGATTAATTTTTAAAGAAACTTGTAATTAAATTTTTCGCTTATGGAGGGGAGTAAGAAAATACTTGGATCAGCAAGTTGAAGATAAAAAGAAAAGAAAAGTCGCTGATAAAATGAACCATGAAGAGCAAGCAGATATGTGGAAGAAGGACTCTGAAGATTTCTTCAGACTGGAAGATGACAGGAAGAAAAGAGAAAAAGAAATTAATAAAGTCCATGCAGAAATGCTGAAGCAGCAAATGGCTGAAAAGGATTCAAAGAAAGCTAGAGCCAAAATGAACATGGAAGAAGTAAGAATGAATAGAGACTTATTGAAACAGATTAAACAAGGCAAAGAAGGGGAAGAAGGGGAAGAAGAACAAGTTGTTTAAGAGCTATAAGTTAGAAAAAATTAAAATTTAAATTGGAAAATAATTTAACTAAGGTTGCTTAACTGCTCCCATTCGCCTTCGTAAGGATTGAACACCATGATAAAGACTTTGTGACTGTTAACTTCCATTTGGGTGGGATCGATGATAATTTCTAAAGGAGTTTCCCCATAGTGTCCTTGAAAGTGTAATTTCAATTCTAGCACTTGGTTGAAGTGTTTGGCGTATAATTTCATAGGGTCTTTAGTAAGCACTACTTGATTAAATCCAGATCTTACTTCAATCTTTGGGAAAAGGCTGTATGGGTCTTCATTTGAATCAATTCCTTGAAAATGCATACATTCCTTAACAGTTGAATGCCCTGGCTCTGCTTCAGAAAGTTTAGAAATTTTTACCCTTCTTACAAGTCTAAACTGAGGGATTTCAAGACCTAGCCTTTCCATAAGCTTTTCCATGACTGTATCACACATAGCATGAATTACGAGCTGAGCTTTTCTATCAAGAGGAGTCTTTTGCAGATTCACAATTACAAGTCTTCCTTGCTTCCCTACAAGCTCAGGGATGTTTGCTGCTGGGGTCACTCTTAAGCTTGATCCCATTGCAAGGCATAAATCAGAAATCGAGGCCATCTGAAAAGCTTTTTCCAAGATATTTTGATTCAAATTTTCCCCAAAGTTAATAATTGTATCTAAAAGGTCTCCTCCGCAATAAGGATCATCACACTTTTGGCCTGTTTCATGCTGATTAACAAAAGGATTTGATCTAACACCGTAATCCCTCATATATTCTTTGTGGCATCTGTTGCAAACTTCGAGATTTGTATTTCCGTGCAATTCTCCTAAATTTTCTGGAGGAATTCCACTTTTTCTATGCATACCATCAGTGTTTTGAGATGCTACATACTTTAGCACGCCTTCTTGCATGAGCTTAACAAAGCTCATATGAGTTAGCGTTGGGATCGCTTTTTCCATTGCTACTCTTTTGGTAGGCTTTTCAGGCTTTTTTCCATTGTGTGCTTTTCTTTCCCAAGCTCCTGGACCAGTTTGCAGCACTGTTCCATATCCGCTCCTGTAGTCAGGAATTCCTGAGCTTGTAGAAACCCCAGCTCCAGTAAAAGCCATAAAGTGCGAGGACTCTCTAATCCATTGAGCCAAAATATCAATTTTCCTTTCAAGCTCTTCTGGAGAGTCGAAATATTCTTTTTTTTCTTCTTCAGTCCTATGTGCTGACGTATTTGTGTTGACTTTGCCAAACTTTTTTTCTGCACACACATTATAAGCATCATTTAGTTCGTCACTTGCAATATATGATTCACATTGATAGTACTAAATTACGAGCAAAATGGCATTCGGTTCGAGAAATCAGCTTTGCTAATTTTTATCTTATATTTATGGGGTTTGGTTTTACCTTGAGACCTCTGCTCAGCTATATAGAATTAATTTCTAGTCGCATAGGGCTAGAGGATTGCTTCAAGAGCATTCAAGAGGCTTGGGTATTCCAAGCTTCACACCTGAGGAGAGTGACCATTAGGCAGAGTACCATAGAGTAGCCAGAAAATGGCGAAGGCAAGGCAGCCAGTCTTGGGCAGCTGATTCTGCTGGTATTGGTGCTTACATGGGCAGCGTCTCAACTTGGTGCATAAGCCATTTTGTTAACGGAAGCCTGTAACGCCACTGTTTGGGTCCAAAAAGGCGGAGGCTTTAAGCATTAACTAATTAAGATAAGATAGCACCAAAATGAAAGATCACTAAAACTTAGGGATAAGCAATGAGCAGTTTCAAGGGCATGCATTAGCATGTGCTCTTTGATATAGCGAGAACACTTAACAACTCCACATTTTAGACAGACCCAGTTTTCGCCTATATATTGGCAGTCTCCGCACGGATCAGTTATTTCAATATGTTTTATTGCTTCTAAAGAGCTATCAAAATATTCAGGTAAAATATGAGGACAGTCATATTTAGGGGATACTGCATACATCCCGCCAAACTGTCTTGCGTTTCTGGCTGCTGCGAGCTCTTTTTCAAGCTCGTCAACACGAATCCCATCTCCTGGCTCTAAGCGAGGCTGATCTATGTCCATTGGCTGAGACCTTGTTTGGACTTGTACAAAGCGAGTGTCTTGGTTTTGGAATGCTTCCACAATAGAAATTAATAAAGGGCTTGTAATATAAGAATCACAGTCATAGCACCAAAAAGAACAATCTGTGAAGCTGAAAGCAATTGGATGGGATTCTTCGTTGTTATGTAATGACATATGAGAGTTTATATACCGAGAGCATCCGATAAAGAGGCATTCAAGGCATAACCAGTTTTCATTTGTATTAGAGCATAGGTGGCAGGGCGATTTTCTTGAAATTCTTGCATAAACATCCATATCGATTTTTACATGCCTAGAAATGTGAGGACAATCTTCTTTTGGAACTACTCCGAAGGAGCCTAAAAACTCTTGTGGTTGGTCACTTGACATATTTTATAAGAGAAATGTTAAGCTTTCAATAAAATGTCAAATTCTGGTTAGAACTGGTAGTATGGTATCGTGCGCCATTTTTCTTTGCAAGTGATGTCCATTAGAAATCAGCTATGAATTTAATTCAATGTTAACTTTTGAGTTGCAATTATTTTTCTAAAATTAAAGAAGAGTTTAGCTTCATATTTAATGTTAACTATTAGGGAAAAAAGCCCTTATATGCAGTATTAGATTTTATAATTTCAAGTTTATTTGTCTAACTCCCCACAACCCTTCTTTTAAGCGAACAAAATTGTTTTGCTCGCTTAGAGACGGCTTGATTTTCATTTTAAAAATATTATATATAATTTTTAAAAATTTAAAAACAAATCAATTCGAACTAAATTTAGAGATATTAATTTAATTTCTAAAGTTTATGTTTTCAAATGCAAGGTGATTGAAATTAAACTGATTTCATTATTATAATTACCACTTATATATCAAAATATTATTAAAATAATTTTTTGCTCGCTCACAGAGGGTGGTATTTTCCCATGGCTTTGCTTGCTCACGAAAGGAGGGAGTAAGCAATTAAAACTGTAAAAAGCTCCATATTTTTATAATAAATAGTTCTATGCCTTTTTAAATGAATAGAAATATCCTTACTCCCCCCTTCGTGAGCAAACAACTCCATTTGAAAAAACCTATTTATGGGTAAAACCGCCCTGGATCAGTGGTTAAAAAAAATTTTAATATAAAATTTTGTATGAAAATAATATAAACGCTTGCATTTTAAAACATAAATTCTGCAAATTAATATTTGCTTTCAATTTTTGCGAAAATGGATTTTTAAATTTTGAAAAAAAAATTTAATCCCTTCGTTGAGCAAACAAAATTTGTTTGTTGACTATAGCTGGAGTAGGAAGTTAGCAATTAACCGCTAACCTATTTACTATATTATAATAGGATAGCCGTTACCAGTAGATTTCATTCATTTAAAAAGATATAAATTTTTCTTTGAAAACCTATTGACGATAAAAATAATTGTTTAGATAGTCATATAGATAATTGATAGATTTTAAGATTTTATTTCCACAAAATTCTTTTTGCTATGTGATCAATTGGCATATAAAATTTCCATTTATTACATTTATAAAATTTCAAGCCGTAAAATCTATTCATTTCTGATAAAGAATTTATAATTTTACTTATTTTTATTATGCAGAAGATAAGTTATATAAATAAAATGAGTCTAAAGATCAAACTTGTATACAATAAAGAGATTAGAAAACTCGTCAAACGCCCAGAAACAATTGAAGACTTAAAAGCAATGACGCAAAAGCTTTTTGGCTACAAAGACTTTTGTTTCAAATACGAAGATACAGAAGGTGACATCATCACAATTTCTTCTGATTCAGAATTAGAAGATGCTTACGAGGAAGCAATCTCAGAAGATATCAAAAGCATTAAGCTGTATGCTGAAGAAGACAAATCTGTAAATGCAATAGCTGATGCTATATCTGGAATAAATGTAAAAAATGATCAAGATATGCTACCGATCAAAAGGCCTTTCATAAATAATATCAATTCATATGAAAGAAATGATTATGAAGAAGAGCTAAGAAAAGAAAGAAAGTATGAAACAGCTTGGGACAATATTGGATGCGCTTATTGCAGCGTATACCCGATAACAGGAAATTGCTATCAATGCACAATTTGCTATAATTTCAATTTATGTGAGGATTGCTATTTTGACGGCAATCATATGCATCCCCTTGTAAAGCGTATAAAGCATGGACTGTTCGGCGGCAGAAATGTTTCTATATATATACCACCAAGCATGAGAATTTTAAATACAAGTGGAGTGCAAAATGGAGAAACGGTTGAGCATGGAGGAGAAATCATTAAAAAATGAACAATATTGAACAATGGTGAAGCACAATGGCCACATAACTGTACACTTGCTAAAGTGAATGGCCAATTAGAAATAGATCCAATTAATATACCGAAACTTATGCCAGGAGACATCACTGAAATAGTCGCAGTAGTCAGGGTTCAAGAAAGATCTGGCATATTCCATGGAGAATGGAGGCTTCAAACCCCAGCTTTTCAAATGTTTGGCGACGCCTTCAAACTTGAGGTGGTTGTAAGAACGTTGAGCCACGAAGAAAAAGTAGCGAAAATGGTGGACATGGGATTTGGAGAAGATGCAAGCTTCGCTTCCTTGGTGGCACATAATTGGGATCTTGATGCTGCAATTGCTAGCCATTTAATTGGATTGTAAAGACTAAAATAAATTAATATGCAAAAATAATTTAAGCCTTTAAAATTTAATTAGGGAAAATTAGAACCTTACTCCCCCCCTCCGTGAGTGAACAAAACCATTAGAAAAATCGGCATTTTTTGCCCAAAAACCCACCCTCCGTGAGTGAACAAAAATGTTTTTAATAGAAAAATTTTTTATGAAAAAAATTTTGATATATAAGTAATAATTAGCATAATGAAATCTAGAGCTAATTCTGTTTAATTTTAAACAAATTGCGTTTTAAAACATAAATTTTATAAATTGGATTAATATTTGCTTTCCAATTTTTGCGAATTAGGATTTTTTTAAATTTCGAAAAAAAAAAAAAATTTTATATAAAATTTATATATAAATTTTTTTTAAAAAAAAAAAAATTAACCCCCTCCGTGAGTGAACAAAATTGTTTTGTTCACTCACGGAGGGGGGGGGAGTTAGGATAATTTATTCCCTAGTCTCTCTGATTTATTAAATCAAAACTTTATCCCAAAATCTTAAATTCTAAGCAACCTTAAAAATGTTGATATTTTATAGTCAATTTTCATGGATTTTACATTTAAATCATTTATTTTTTGAGAAAAACAACTTAATATAGAGCCTTGGAATATCTTTGAGTAAAATTAATTTATTGAGATGCAAGATAATAAAGAATAAATGTCCTCTATATGGAATCTTACCAGTGGGCTGCGCACAGGGTTTTTAAAGATTGCACCAGCAGGAAGAGAGCTCTATGGCACTGTAGTTAAGTCTGGTGTAAACAAAAAGACAGTCACAGTTAGAGTGAATAGATTTTTTTTCGTCAAAAAGTACAATAAAACCTATTCATGGGCAAGAAGCTTCCAAGTCCACGATGAAGAAGAGTATTGCGTGCTAGGGGATAAAGTTATTATTAGATCTTGCAGGCCAATGTCGAAAACAAAGCGTTATTATGTTAGAAATATTGTTGTCATGATGCCCAGGCCATTCACAGGCCAAAAAATTCAAGGGACAATAGAAGTCAATGAAGAGCCAAAAACAGAAGAACCAGAGATAGCAGAAGAAACAAGCCAAGTAAAAGAAGAGGCAAAAGAATAATAAATAAGACTTTTAGGAATCATTTAGTCGTGGAATTAACTATTGATCTTAGATATAATCAATTATTTTAAATTAGAAGAAATTGATCTGAAATTGCAAACTCGACGCACTTAATAATTATTAAAAAACTCTTTTAGCCTGAGCTAAATATGTATTTTAAAGGTATTTGCTCTTAAGGCTCTTCAATGATAAATATAATATCAGCATTCAATTTATTATCTCATTATCTATTATAATCTACTTACAACTCCCTTATGATGTGAATTGCAATGCTCACAGTGATTTGGTAACTTTCTATAATCCTGCTCTTTATCGCAAAACATGCAGACCATCCTGCCAGCATAAGACCATGAATGATTTTCTTGAGCGTCATGGCACTTATTGCAGCAATAATGCTTATAGCAGCATGGAGGAACCATTCAATACGTATAGCCCATACACCTATATAGATTTCTTTATCGAACAATATGTAATGGACTATTGAACGAGCAAGACAGATTCGCTCAAAAATATGAGCCGAATCTGTATACCAGAAAGTCATAAAAAGTGGCATGCCAAAAAATGGTGACAAGTGTGAAAAAAGTTGACAAGTAAACGCACCAATTTTAAAATTTATTTTCGTAACAAATATCTTTTAATAAATATGGGGCTTAATTTTATTTATAAAAAATGGCTTTTCTATATATAGATCCAAAAAAAGATCCGAACTATGCACCAGGGCGATGATGTGTAAAGATATTCTGCAATCAAAATCAGTAGTTGGGCATTGAGAACTTGCAACTCTTAAGATTCCAGCTTATTTTGAGACTTGTCATATTATTGAGTTTTCCTTTATATAGTGTCTAAGTTATCCAATTTTCAGAAAAATGGCTTTTCTATAGATAGACTCAAAAAAAAATCCGAACTGTGCATTAGAGCGATGATGGATAGAGACATTCTGCAATCAGAACCAATTGTAGGACATCGAGAACTTGAAACGCTTAAGATTCCAGCTTTTTTTTGAGGCGTGTTATATTATGAGTTTTCCTTTATAAAGCATGTAATTTATCAAATTTTCAAAAAAAATGGCTTTTCTATATATAGATTCAAAAATAGATCCGAACTGTGCACCAGGGCGATGATGTGTTGAGACATTCTGTAATCAGAATTTGTTGTAGGACATCGAGAACTTGCAACACTTAAGATTCCAGCTCATTTTGAGACATGTCATATTATTGAGTTTTCCTTTATAAAGCGTCGAAGTTATGCATTTTCAAAAAAAAAATGGCTTTTTTATATATAGATTCAAAAAAAGTTCTGAATGTGCATAAGGGTGATAATGTTTGGACAGATTCTGTAATTAGAATCAGTTATGGGGCATTAGAACTTGCAACGCTTAAGATTCCAGCTCATTTTTAAGGCTTGTCATATCATTGAGTTTTTCCTTTATAAAGCGTCTAAGTTATCAAATTTCAGAAAAAAATGGCTTTTCTATATATGGATTCAAAAAGTTCTGAACTGTGCACCAGGGCGATGATGTTTGAATAGATTCTTCTATCAGAATCAGTTGTGAGATATTGAGAACTTGCAACGCTTAAGATTCCAGCTTATTTTGAAACATGTCATATCATTGAGTTTTCCTTCATTAAGCGTATAATTTATCAAATTTTCAAAAAAATGGCTTTTCTATATATAGATCCAAAAAAGATCCGAACTGTGCACCAGGGCGATGATGGATAGAGACATTCTGCAATCAGAATCAATTGTAGGACATCGAGAACTTGTAACGCTTAAGATTCCAGCTTATTTTGAGGCGTGTCGTATTGTTGGGTTTCCTTTGTCAAGCGTTAAATTTCCAAAAAAAATGGCTTTTCTACATATAGACCCAAAAAAAGATACGAACTGTGCACCAGGGCGATGATTTTTGAATAGATTCTTCTATAAGAATCAGTTGTGAGACGTTGAGAACTTGCGACGCTTAAGATTCCAGGCTATTCTGAGACATGTCATAAATTGAGTTTTCCTTTATATAGCGTGTAATTTATCAAATTTTCAAAAAAAAAAATGGCTTTTTTATATATAGATTCAAAAAAAGTTCTTAACTGTGCATCAGGGCGATTATGTGTGGAGACATTTTGCAATTAGAATTTGTTGTGGAACATTAGAATCTTGCAACGCTTAAGATTCCAGCTCATTTTGAGACATATCATATTTATTGAGTTTACCTTTGTCAAGCGTCGAAGTTATACATTTCTAAAAAAATATGGCTTTTCTATATACAGATTCAAAAAAAGTTCTGAACTGCGCACAAGGGGGATGATGTGTGGATACATTCTACAATCAGAATCAGTTATTGGACATTGAGAACTTGCGACGCTTAAGATTCCAGCTTATTTTGAGATATAAAAAATAACATCACATCTACTAATTATCTTCAAATGCCTCAAAGTCTATTTTTAAACCAATAAATATTTAAACAATTACCATAACATTATTTATTTAGAATTATAAGATATTAATAAATCCGAGTCTAATTGGGTATCTTTAATTTTAAGTTAATTTAATAATAAAGCCATTTAACAATTGGCGCGTTTACTTGTCAACTTTTTTCACACTTGTCACCATTTTTTAGCATGTCACTTTTTAACACTTCCTGAAATACTGATTCAGCTCATATTTTTGAGAGAATCTTTCTTGGTCGTTCAAGAGTCCATTACATTTGCTCGATAAAGAAATCTATATCGGGATATAAGCTATAACATTTGAATAATTGCTACATTGATAGGGTACTCTTGGGTTAATTTTCCCAATCCTTCCTACATTTTTTATAAAATTAAGAGCACTGTCTGTATCTATAACAAGCTGAAGTTTTAGCTCTAGCACTGGGAGTTCTGGTAGCTGAGTCAAGGCTTTAACATCTTCAATGGTATCCCCTTCACTTTGTACCATAAGTTCTTCGTACTTTTGTAATGATTTTTCATATAATACTTGAGTCAAAGTTTTGACCTGCTCATATTTCTCTATATACTCGTCAACAATTGTTGAAACTTCATTTTCTAGCTCTTGCTGTTTATTTTCTAACTCCACCCCTCCGTGAGTGAACAAAAAAAATTTTGTTCACTCACATTAAATTTTTTTAAAAAAATTTATATATAAATTTTATAGAAAATTTTGTTTTTTCGAATTTAAAAAAAATCCTAATTCGCAAAAATTGGAAAGCAAATATTAATTTAATTTGTAAAATTTTATGTTTTAAAAAGCAATTTGTTTTAAAATTAAACAGAATTAGCTCTATATTTCATTATACTAATTATCATTTATATATCAAAATTTTTTTCCCATAAAAAATTTTTTCTATTAAAAAAATTTTTGTTCACTTACGGAGGGTGGGCAAAAAATAGGATTTTTCTAATGGTTTTGATCACTCACGGAGAGGGGAGTAAGCAATCTTTTAAAGAACTAAAATTTTTACTGACTGTTGATAAGACATCATCTCTCTTGCTTGAAATCTCACTGATCGCAGTTTGGATTTTTTCCAAATGATCTTGGCATAAGTCAAAATTTTCTTTAGCTTGCTGTCTCATAGCTTCAAGCCGTTCTGAAGGCTCGAGCTTAAGATATTTAAGGGTCTGGGACATATGGGAGATATGCTCTATGAGCTCCAGAATATGATAGGAGTGAGAAATCTGAATCAAAGGTCGACGGTCCTGCTTCTTATCAAGAGGACATATACTAATTGACCAAGAATAGCCCACTAAGGAGCCATTCTTGTCTGCCAGAAAAAATTTTGACAAAAGATCCTAATCTGCCATTACCACTGAGTTTTGGTGTTTCCAAATTTTTTGAGCAAGCCAAATGCAATAAAAAAAATTGTTCTTTTGCGATGATGCATTTGGCTTGTCAAAAAAAATTTGGCAACATCAAAACTCAGTGGTAATGGCAGAAAATATCCTAATCTGCCATTACCACTGAGTTTTGGCGTTTCCAAATTTTTTGACAAGCCAAATGCATCATCGCAAAAGAACAATTTTTTTTTATTGCATTTGGCTTGCCCAAAAAATTTGGAAATACCAAAACTCAGTGGTAATGGCAGATTAGGATCTTTTGTCAAAATTTTTTCTGGCAGACCAAGAATGGCTCCTTAGTGGGCTATTCTTGGTCAATTAGTATACTATTACATCGGTTCCTGACCTTAAATCAGCTGCACATGATTTGCAAAGGGTATGCCCACATAATAGAACAAGAGGAATATGAGTTACTCTATCAAAACGCTCAATGCAAACAGGGCATTCAAGAATAGCTTCCATTGTATTTTAATTAATATGAAATTCAATATATTGTAATCCTTTATATTTTTCTGATCTTAGAAAAATTCTAGTATTTTTATCAAGAATAAAATCTTTGGAAAATTTAATTATTAAATAGAAACATTTCTACGTTATTCATATGCTATGAAAGTAGTGACAATTTTGTCCTAATGCTCCGGATTATCATATCATTGACGTTCTCCTCAGCTTGAATTGAGCTAACATTCAGAGGATCTAGGTATTTTATTAAATTTTCTTGTTTAAATGCTTTGAACTCAAGCTCTTTTGCATAATTGTGGGCTGACGAATTGTCCGCGGCTACCAGGTCTTTTCCGAGAAAATCGAAGCTTTTACTTACATTGTGATTGATATTTTTAGCAAGCTTTTCACGGATTTTTCTTCTTTCTTCCAAATACATAGGATTTGATGATTTATTTTTCTTTGAATTTTCTTGAGAGCTGTCGATTCCTGGGGTTTCTATCCTGGCAGACTTTTGTTTTGTTGTTTTTGCTCGATATTTCATTGAAAAATGCTGCAATGAAGGTGTTGATGACTGGATTTTTTTCTTAACAGGCATCGCGAGTCTTTCTTTTATCAGTTCCATTTCATGGCGTTTTAAATTATCAATTGAAGGCTGATGAGTTTCTTTGATGTATTTCCCATATTGATTTCTTTTCTGCAGTAGCAATTTTTTTTCCTGAAGATGCTCTAAATATTTTTGCTTTTCTTTTTTCTCATTTTCTAGATATTCATGCAGTTTATAATCATTTAAATTGTGCAGATCATTTATAGACTCAGATTTTTTTGAGTTTGCAAAGTCATCTTCTTTCGGTGTTTGTTTTTTCAAATACTCGTTCGTTCTCTCATAGTCGGAAGGGCTATACCAATGCTTTTTTCTTTCTTCAAGCTCCTTACTTTTGATTTCTTTATTAAGTTTGCATTTTAACTCGAATTCTTCTTCGAGTTTTTTGTACAACGGCTTCATATGAGGAATTGGACTCATTTCATTTTTCTGTTTTTCTAATAGCTGCTTTCTTCTATCACTCTTTTCGTATAGCTCTTGGATCTTTTTATCTCGAATTTCTTCTTTAATTTTTTCTTCGTTAATTTCTTCTTGCTTTTTCTTAAGCTCTTCCTCTTCTTTCATCCTTTCTTCTAATTCTTTTCAATATTTTTCTTGCCTCTTTACTCTCTCAATTTGTTCTTCTTGCAGTTTTCTAGTGAATTCTTGGGCTTCTTTGTTTTTCTTTTCTTCATATTCTTTTGAATATTTTAATTCCGGTAATTTAACTACCTTTTTGGGGATTCAGATCTTTTTGCTTCATTCTTGACTCAATTTGCTATTGGTTTCTGATGAGTTATGTAAATCAAGTAGTTTATCTTGAAGGCCGTTGAGGTTTTTGAGAGCTTCGTTTGTCATTGCTTGATATATTTTGGCCATAGCATTTTTGGTTGATAAACTAAGTTTATCACTCAGTGCTTTCTTTAATTCTTTCGAAGTCTCTAGTTTGGTAACTTCATGGGCAAAATAAATATCAAGCTTCTTATTACTAGACATTATATTCCAAGAAAAATTATTAATTTTATATTTAATGTGAATGCTTAAATTAGATATAATTATTGAATGCTCTTTTGAATATGCATTTTCTGAGGTTATAACAGTAAAGCTAATCTCAATTGTATTTCCGAATATTTAAATTTGTACACTTGTTCTTTAACTACTTTAATATACTTTTAATTTAAATTGTTCGATTTAAAAGCAGCAATTCTATTTTTTTTGCATTAAAAACTAATTAAATGGATTTTTTGCTATTTTTTCTTTATATTTAAAAAAATTTAAAAAACAAATTTAACAACTCCTATAGCTAGTGGTTTATTCATTGAAATTCAAGAAATTTTGCGTCATAATTTAAAGCAGTTGACCATTGGCTTAATAGTCATGCACCCGATAATATTGTTTTATGACCAAAAGTTAAATGGAATCATTCGCCCAAGCATTGATCCAAACTCGTTACCAAGAGCTTAGAAACTTGGTAAACAACGATTACATAAATTTTTATACTCCAGAAATTCATATCAAGACATTTTATGAAGTAGGCCCAAGAATTGATGGAAACAAGCCCCATCGATTTGCTCAGGTCAGAATGTTTACTCATAGACAGTTTCATGCCAAGCGAGCCGTAAAGTCCTACTCTCTGAGTGATGCAACTCTAACAAGAGATAGAAGCGATATAATGTTTCCAAGCAAGCAAGGCCTTCTTTTTTCTAACATCTTAAACGAGGTATCAACACTGGCAAAGATGCATCATCCAAATATAATAAAACTATATGAAGTATTTCTAGAGCCAAAATACATTCACTTAGTGATGGAATTTTGCAAAGGAGATATATTTAATCAAAAATATATTTCTAATTTGCCCTATTATTATAGAAAAAGGTCACTTTTTGAACTGTTGCGTCAAATTCGAATCGTCCCTGATAGTAAAGGAATTTCTTATACAGCACAAATTTTAGATGCTGTGAGACACATCCATAGCCTCAGAATTTGTCATAGAGGATTGTGGGTTGAAAACATTATGTTTGCAGATAGTGAAAAGACTCAAATTAAAATTATGGGGTTTGCAAGTTGCACAAAAATGATGACTACAAATTTAACTGAAAAATGCGGAAACCTTTATTATACTGCCCCTGAAATTTTTTCAGGATCGTATAATGAAAAATGTGATGTGTGGTCTACTGGGGTGACTGTCTACACCATGCTTGTTGGAGCGCAGCCTTTCCAAGGAGAAACTTATGGAGAAATCGTAAAAAGTATCATGAAGGCAAAAATCTTGAGACCTTCGCAATTTAAAAACTTGCCAGGTGAAACTCGGCACTTTATAAAGGGGATGCTTAAAAAAGACAATAGAGCAAGCGCAAATGAACTTCTTGACTCAGCTGTTCTATATACTTACAATTTCTCACAAAAATCTATGATTTTACAAAAGATTTTGCGCGCAACCTTAAATCCAGAAAACGACAGAATGCTAGAGAAAAAGCGAAACCTTGCAAATAAGCTAAAATTTGCCTTGTCTAAAATTCTGGCATCGGCAAATATGCTTCCTGACGTCCCTGTCATAGAGAAACTCTGAAAAGATCTTGACTCAAACAGAAATGGAGAGCTCAGACCTGATGAGTTTCAAGAAGGTTTAATCAGATTTTTAAAGACTCAAGAAGATGTGCAAGAAAAAGCCCAAATGATTTTTAAAAGAATGGATATCACAAGAAATCGCAGCATAACCCACGATGTTTTCATAGGCCTAGTTCATGATATTCCAGATGTGCATTATCTTTATCATGCATTCACCAAACTCGATTCAGATGAAGATGGTCTAATTAATGCTGAAGATATTGGTTTGTATATAGATGAAAAGCGAGTCGACAGACTCAATCGCTTGGTCGCAGAAGTGCTTAGTAAAGAAACGCTGAGTTTTGAGGATTTTTACGTCTTAATAAGGAAATATGCAATATAAATTCAAAGTTATAATTATCTTTTAATAATGGGAAATTGTTATTGTAACCATTATCGTTATCTGAGATTATAGATAGGCCCACTGTAGGGAAAAGGTCAAGCTCTCTAAAATATCCCATGCCTCACTTGCTCGTCAATCATCACCAGCCTTTAGACGAGAGTCTATACTCGCTCTTTGAAATTCGGAAAGTTTAGACCACCTTGCTACATGTCATCATAGGTTGCTTTCCATAGAATTTCATAAAATCAAAATACCTGGACCGATGCGGCAGAAAAGGAGACTTGAAACTCAAGACGCAACGCCTGGCATCGCGCAGGGTAGTGTCATGATTGGTGACGATACTACCTAGGCATAGTTAGAGATTAAAATATCATATGGTGGTATTTTCATGAAGTTTCGTGCCCTATAAAAATGACTGTAAATTCCAGATTTTTGAAAAAAGGAAAAAATAGCTAATGGATTTTATGAGAAAAAAAGTTCATGAAAATACCAAAAGGAAAATCTCACCTTTTAAACCAACATGAAAATACTAATAGAGATAAAAATTATGATATCAAAACTGAATAGTAGAGAACCTTCACAATTTCGTGTCCATTTCTCTAACTCCCCGCCCCTCCTTGGGCGAGCAAAACCATTAGAAAAAACCCTATTCTTTGTCTAAAACCCAACCTCTGTCAGCGAATAAAAATTTTTATGGAAAAAGTTTTTGATATATAAGTGATAATTAGTATTACGAAATATATAGCTAATTCTGTTTTATTTTAAATAAATTGCGTTTTAAAACATAAATTTTATCTAATTAAATTACTTTCCAATTTTTGCTAATTAGGATTTTTTAAAATTTCGAAAAAATTTTTTTCTATATTTATTATAAATTTTAAAAAAACAAATTAGCATCCTCCGTGAGCAAACAAGATTTTTTTGTTCGCTCACGGGGGGTGTAAGAATCTGTGCCAGGATTGGACTTTGGCTGATCAATTCAGCAATGCCGCAGCAACTACTTTTTAAAACTTAGCCAGATATATATCGGACGCCAGCCTTTCTTCCATAAGGTCCCCTGCGGGTATCAACTACAGGGCTTAAGAAGATGAATCTATCTATAACTTATAACAATGCTCATGCATTGTTTAAGCTCTTATGAGCTTTTTCGTAGCCAGATCAGCGATTTATACCTAACTGTTTGGATTTTTTCCTCTTTTTCCAGGATTTTACACCGCTTTTCGTGTTTTCCACCTTGACAATTGATTTCACCTCATCCAAGTCTTTAATCTCCTCTTGTACTTTTTGGGTGTTTTTGGTTTTTTGATCCTTTTCGTATTTTTGGGCTTTTTGGGCTTTCTGGGCTTTTTGGGCTTTTTGGACTTTTTGGGCTTTTCTGGTCTTAATGGCTTTTTTGGGCCTTTATGATTTTTTGGGCTTTATTGGCTTTTCGGCTCTTGTGGTTTTTTTGGCTTTTTGTTTTTGATTTTTTTGACTCTTTGGGTTCTTCAGCCACTTCAGTTTCCGCTCTTTCTGCTTTTTCTGGAACTATTGAGAAGCTCACCCTTAATGAACTTGCGGCCAGCATTAGCTCGCCATTATCCAACACTTCTCCCATTTGTTTAGCTGCTCAAAGCTTTATTTCTCAGTAAGCTCTTCTTCTCTATCCTCTTCACTTGATTCGTCCCCATCTTCTTCAGACTCTTCATCTACCTGGCCTTCATTCCAATCTTCTTCACCAAGAATATCATCGACATCCTCCGAGAACTCCTCATCTGAAAATAACTCATCATATTCGGAGTCAACTTCATCCAATCGATTGCTGATACTGCACAATCTTTGGCGATAGACCAAAGCAGCTTCTTCTCAGCTTCACGTATTAAACTCTTTTTCCTCCATTGCAAAATAAAAAGTTAAGAAGGTGAGTCAATTGCCACATTTTAATGTATATTGTTATTCTAACCAAGCTGTAAAAGATTTTGGGCTTCGTGAAGAAATACACTCAGGGACTGTTGTGCTATATATAAAAAAGGGGTGCGCTAATTCTGATAGAGCTCAAGCCTTATTAAAAGCTGTCAACATAAAGCCAAGGACTATTGAAATCGAAGACACAAAGTATCAAAACTTAAGATTTGCATTGAAAGGATTTACAGGGCAAAAAGATCCTCCGTATATTTTTATAGGAGGAAAGCACTTTGGAGGCTTATATGACTTGGAAGTTGGAATTAAGCAAAAAACTGTACAAAAGCTGATAAAAATTGCAGAAGAAAGAAGTGCTGAATATTAAATAAAACATTAATTGTTTTGTAATATTTAATTAAGTGACTTATGAAATTTCTTATTGACTTAGGGGAAACAGAGGAGAGATTTGATTGACTTCAAACAAAGGAAATAAAAGTAGAAGACCTGAATGAAGTTAGATGAGCTCTAAGAAGAGCTATATGAGGATCATTTCTTGGAGGATTCAGCATTTATTCATCACTTTCATGGTACAGGTGAAAAGGAGGATTTAAACATTATGAGCGAGATAAGGTAGGATCAATGATAGTTTCAATAACTCTCCCAATTGTTGGGCTTACTAGCTCTGTAGTTATCTTTGCTGCTGGACTTTACTTTTTTTTCAAGACTACAGACAGGATGTACTTTAAATACAAACAATTAGAAGAGTTTCAATCAGAAGGAATTAGCAATAATCAGCCAATTACTGACACAGCAGCTATTGAATCTTAAGTATAAGATATAATCATAGGCTTATAGGCTTTAGTTAGATAATTACACGCTGCAATAATATTAAGAAAACTAATATCAATTTGCAAATGTATAAAAATTATTTAGCTCTAAATTTGACTGGATCGCTTTTCATTTCCCTCAATAAAAATTTTTTAAATTCATCGAAGCTCAGTGATCCATCATTATTGACATCAGCCTCTTTGAAGAACTTCTGCCATTCAGAAGGCTCAATCCCAGGAACTGCTTCAATCAATTCTTCTAAACTTAATTGTCCATCACCGCTTTTATCATATAAATTAAATGCTTTTCTTAATTTCTCAACCTGGGCTGCTTCATTTCAATTAGTCGCAGCAAGAATAAACTCAGAGTACTCAATATCCCCACTGCCATCTATATCGCAGCTCTCGAGGATTTCTTCTACTTCTCCAATATCTTCCAGAGCTAAAACCTTGCATTTATCTATAAGCTCTGCCTTGCTAATAATTCCATCATTATTAGAATCTAGTGATTTAAATATTTCAATATACTCTTTTTCTTCAGCTATGTCTGAAAACTGAGAGACAATAAAAGTAAAAATCGATTTTTCGATAACGGTTTGAGCCTATATAATGTATACGCGGAATTTTGAAACTTGAGTAATAGCTTCTTCGTTTCTTGAAGCTTTTTTGTTTACTCCCCTCTTTGAGGGAAAAAATAATTGGACAAAAACATTTCCTTCGCAAGCGAACAAAGACTTTTTTTTTTAATAGAAAAATTTTTTACAAAAAATTTTGATATATAGGTGATAATCAGTATAATGAAAATCTCTTCTGTTTATTTTTAGCAGCTTGCATTTTAAAACATAAATTTTATAGATTAAATTAATAAAAACAAATTACTATAAAATTTTTATATATAAATTTTACCAAAAAACTAGCCCTTTTGTGCACGAAGGGGGGAGTTAACTTGCTATTTTCAAGTATTCATGGATGATTTAATGCGTCAGCTGCAGTTATTCTTCGTGTACAGTCTACCTCGAGCATTTTTTTCAGCAAATCCTTTACTTTAGGAGAATATTCACGAAATAGCTCATCGCTTAAAATCAATCCTTGTTTAATTTTTTTTGCTAATTCAGCCGAAGTTTTGCCTATAAATGGAGGTCTACCTGTTAGCATGAGATAGAGAACTACCCCTAAACTCCAAATATCGCTTGAAGTCCTGCTAAACTTGCCTTGGATCATTTCTGGAGATATGTAATGAAGCTGCATAAGTATTACAGTATCCATTTGACTTGTTAAAAGATCACAAACTCCTGGAGGCAGCTCGAAGTCCATTATTTTTATAATAGCATCCTTAGATTTTGATTCAAAAACAAGGTTTTCTAGTCTTATATTTCGGTGAACAATTCCTCGGCCATGATAATATTTCATGGCTCCTAGAATATCAGAAATATAAGCACTTGCATAATATTCATTTATTTGACCATCAATTATTCGATCAAAGACATTGCCTCCCATCAAACTTTCAAAAATAAAATAAATTTTATCCTGCGACTTGACTATTTCATAAACCTTTGCTATATGTGGGTGATCCTATATTATTTTTACGAGTTCTAATAATTTATTCACTTCTTTTCAGCCTTTTGCTTCCAATTTTGGATTTATTAAGGATTTCTTGATTTCTTTTATCAATCTTTGACAATTGTTTCTTTTGTCAATAGCAAGTTTATTATCACCAAATAACCCAGTTTCTAGTTTCTTAATGATAATAAAATTTTCTGTAATTGCTTTTGGAACAGTTTTTATAAATTTCGCTCGATTTATCCCAGCAGATTTTGTTCTTATTTTTAAGGACTCAGGCTGAGAAGTTGATTTTCTTTGTAGATTACTATGGTTTTGTTTTCGATATTTTCCTTTTGTGTTCGCTTTCTTTGGAGGAGATTTTTGTTGATTAATATTAGCGGTTTCTTCTCGAAACTCACAACAGCCCATTTAGAAAAAAATATTATAACAATAAAAATGTCAGAATTTTGTATTTGCAATTTTTTACAGCTAAATTAACTTTAGATAATGAATATTTTATATATTATAATAAATTTTTTAATTTATCAAACAATTTTATTAATAAATATTTATTGATAATTATAGTAAATATAAGATTAGCAACTAATGATAGCAGCCGAAAAAAAACTGTTTAGATATTTTAGTCTTTTAAGCAAAGGGACTAAGCTAATTGGCAGAGAAATTGCTAAGCAGCTATAGCTGAATATCCAATTTTTAGAGTTTCATCACAAAGCTAATTTTTTATAATAAAAAATATATTGCATATAAAGGCTAAATATGGATTTTATGTGGCTGTATGAAGTGAGATTTTTATTCTGCATAATTAGTTTAATTAATTTTTTCAACAAAAAATAAACAGAAACCTAAATTCTTTATTTTGTCTTACGCTCAAAGGTAGTGTAACCGAACGGATTAAATTATCATCTTGTATCTAAATTAAGATTTTTCGCTCAATGAAAATAATTTATTGAATAAATTTCAAATCTCTAATTTTTATTAACTTTAGAGGCAAATTATTTATAATGCTTTGGCAAAATAATTGGGCACTCCATCAAAAAAAAGATATTTTCCGCTTGAAGGATTAAAAGATTAGAATTAGATTTATAAGATAGGCTAACTATTTATTAGTGAGTAATTAATTAACTTTACTCTCTTTTAAAAGGATTCTTTGAAACTCCTCAAAGCTAATTTTCCCATCATTACTAATGTCTGCTTTCTCAAAAAATTTGTCCCATTGTGAATTTTCAAATCCCGGAACAGCCACTTTTAATTCTCCTAACTCCCCCATCCTTGATCGAATGCTTCGCTGTAAAAATTCCTTGTGCAAATTTTTATATATATAAAAATATAATAGTTTTCAAAAGCTTGGGAGATGTGCCTAACGAAGTTGTTGTCAGAGGGTTTGAGACGACAAGAAGCTGCAGAATCAACCATCCGAAGTGCTTTAGTCATCAAACTGGGCTTAAAAACTCAATAATCTAAAATAGAGATTCTTTAAAATTTAAAATTTTTTAATTTAATAAGGAACAAATTAAAATTTATACAGTTTAAGGGGTAACCAAAAAATCAAAATATTAAAAATTGGTTTTCTTTGTGAATATAATTCAATTTTTGCTGTAAAAATAATTATTAAATACTATTAACACTCTTATTTAAAAGTATATAAAAAACCATATATTTTTTTATTTTATTTATATTATATTTTTTTTAACCCACATCCTTGATCGAACAATGGCGAGCCGTTCGATCAAGGATGGGGGAAGTACGCTTAATTGACCGTCACCACTTTTATCAAAACTTTTGAACGCTTTTCTAAGTTTTTCGATCTGCTCTGAAGTATTCCAATTAGTTGCAGCAACGATAAACTCAGTAAATTCTATTTTCCCATCACCATCAATATCACAAGCCGAAATTATTTTTTCGATTTCAGAAGAATTTTCTATTGATAAGATCTTGCATCCTTCTATGAGTTCTTCTTTACCTATCGAGCCATCATTATTTGTATCTAATGACTTAAATATTTTTATATATTCTTTTTCTTCAGAAAAATTCGAAAATTGCTTTACAACGTAACTAAATATGGCTTTTTCTATCATACTTTGGACCTATATAAAATATACATGAAATTTTGTTAGCTGAATCGCTGCTTGCTTACTTTCCCCGGGCAGGCTGTTGTGCTTATCATTATTTATTATTCATGGATGCTTAAGTGCTTCAGAAGCAGTAATTCTCCTGCTGTGTTCAATTGTAAGAATTTTTGTTAAGAAATCTTTTAAATCATTTGAATATATAGAAAAAAAAGAATCGCTTAACAATAAACCCTTGTTGATTTTTTGAGTCAAGATAGCAGGTGTATCACTTGGAAATGGATGCTTACCTGTCATCATTACAAATAAAATAACACCCAGACTTCATATGTCACTTGCAGCATGACTATAATCACCTTTAAGCATCTCTGGAGACATATAATGAAACTATATGATATTTACGAATTCCAATCTATAAGGGCTATCAAAAATCCTTGATGATTCCCCGAAGTCCTTTAGTTTTAGTAAGGCGTCACGTGACTTCGATTCAAAGACTATATTTTCAGGTCTGATACTTTTATGGACAATTCCTTTGCTGTGATAAAACTGCATGATTTTTAATATTTCTCCAATGTAATTGCTTGCCTGCTGCTCATTTATTCCATGATCTAAAATTCTTGTGAAGAGGCTATCACCTTTTAAGTACTCAAGGACAAAATAAATTTTATCATTTGTTATCATAATGTCATAAACTTTTTCAATTCCTGGATGATCCTAAATGACATTTACAAGCTCTAAAATTATATTTAATTCATTCCAGTCGCTATCCTTTGCTTTAGGATTAATAATTGTTTTATTGATTTCTTTGATAATTCTTTGACAATTAAATCGTTTATCAACAGCAAGCTTACTATCACCAAATTGAGTTTCTTGGAACTTCTTAATAACAGAAAAGTTTTCTCTAACCCATGAAGGATCAATTTTTAAAACATGAGTTTGAGCTGTTGCCTTTCTACTTAATTCATCATCTTGAGATTTATTTTTGGAGTTCTTTGTATAGTTTTTTGTAAACCTTTTCCTTTTTAATTTACCTTTCTTTGGAGAGTTATCTGCTTTGGGATCTTCTTGTCTAGAGTCACAGCATCCCATTTTAATTAAAAAATAAAATAAATCCTTTAACAAATAATTCTCTTTTTTTTAGAGACAAAGTTGCTCAAAATAAAGTAAACAAAATGATTTGAAATTATTTACTATAATGATTTATAATAGATCAGCAATCAAAATACGATAAAATAATAGTGATTAGTTTATGTTGAGAAATTGCAGAAATAACGATGTTTTTTTATAAAGCAGAAGTTAAAATATAAAATAATTTTTTTTAGATTTTTAAAAGTTTCATTTCTTTGAAATGAATGTAATTAATATCTAATAATTAAAATAAATATACTAGCTTCTCTTACTCCCCCCCCCCCTCCGTGAGCGAACAAAACCATTAGAAAAATCACCATTTTTTTGACCAAAAACCCACCCTCCGTGAGCGAACAAAAATTTTTTTAATAGAAAAAATTTTAATGGAAAAAAATTTTGATATATAAGTGATAATTAGTATAATGAAATCTAGAGCTAATTCTGTTTAATTTTAAACAAATTGCGTTTTAAAACATAAATTTTGCAAATTAAATTAATATTTGCTTCCCAATTTTTGCAAATTAGGATTTTTTTTAAATTTCGAAAAAAACAATTTTTTATAAAATTTATATATAAAATTTTATTTAAAAAAAAAAAATTAACCCCCCCCTCCGTGAGTGAACAAAATTTTTTTGTTCGCTCACGGAGGGGGGGGGGGGAGTTAGGATAAACTAACTGCTCATCAACAAAATAATTTTTCATCTTCTTTTGGAGATATTTTCCAACTAGTTCTTTTTCCATAGTTTTGACTGAATCCTTCGCAAAATCTTTAATTGATGCCATTATGATTCCCTCTTCACCTTCACATTTTAAAGTCACTAAAAATCTGATTCGATATTTCTTGCATGTTTGCAATATATCGTCACTATTTAAATTCCCATAGTCATAAACAGCTGAAATGTCTAATTTTCAGAGTTTTAGCACCAAATTAACCTTTTCATGATGCAAAGTCTTAAAATCTATTTTCTGTCCATGAGTTTTGCATATGACTATAACAAGTGGGCCTTTTATTCAAGGATCAGTGTTTCCTTGAATAATTATCTTGATTATTTTTTCGACAAAAATACGAGACCCGATGCCTGAAATCTTATTTTGACTGGCTTTTGAATTAAGCGAAAATGAATCAATTAAATTATCATATCTTCCACCTGAAGCAATAGAAATTCTTTCTTTGCTTATCATTTTTCCTTTAGCAACTGATTGAGATGTGGTTACTTTAAATATAAATCCAGAGTAACATAAGATTTCATCGTGTATTAATCCAAGATCAACTAAGAAATTAACGTTGTAGTCTTTACAAGTTTCTTCCAAGTGTTTTAAATCAATGTCTAAAATCCTTACAAATGAATTATACTTTCAAATAGAATTTTTTTTTATTGTTTCGATAAGTGATTGCAAATTTTCTTTCAGCTTTAAATAATATCCTAATCTTTCAGCAGAGTTTGCAGAAATTCCTAAATCAATTAAATCTTTTTTAACTTTTGCCCATTTTCTTCTTGGTATGTCTCGGCATAATGACAAAACTTTCATTCTTATATTTTCTGTTATTTCGCAATGATGCAAAATAATGTCAAGTAGCCTTGTATCATTTACTGTAATTTCTAGCATTGGTAAGCTATTTCCAAACTGCTCTAAAGCTAACAGGGTGACTTTGAGAAGTTCTGCTTTGTATAAATATTTAAAAGAACTCAGCTGTTCAGGATCGTAACAAAAATCGATGCTTGCTTCCAATGATTCCTCTGGATGTTCGCCTGCAGCAAGAGGTTTGTAGACGTTTGATATTGTAAATCTCTTAAGAACTCCTTTTATGGGTGAGGTGGAAAAACTAAATCGATTCAAAAGCAAAAAAAAAATTATTATTAAAGGTATAATGTTGAAAAGTAAAAAAGTGCAAAGTAAGGTTTAAAATGGAAAAACAGCATAGAAAAAAAAAATATACCTTCAGAAGCAAATTATATTAAACCATTATTTTTCTTACTAATAAAAATTTTTAAAATTTTCAGTCATTTGTAACAGAAAAAAAAGGTGGAAAAGCATCAATATTTTTTTCGCTTCACCCTTTTATGCTGATTGTATGTAGAAATTTTGCCCATGGGCAAAGTAAATTGCTATTTAGCTGGACTAAAATCCCTGAAGATTCCAAAAACACAGCATTTTTATTGCTTTCGATTGGAGTTTTTTTCATTGTCCCATCTTTTTGATACCAAAATATTGAAACATTTGTTGAGTATGGCATGAGCAATGGAGTATTTATTTCTAAAGCCCCAGATTTATTTAGCACTGCTTGCAGTTTATTTATGACATTGCTTTTAATCATCGCTTCGATTTTCTTATTGAATTTTTTTCCACCTGATAGTTCTGATATTCCTTCAGATATATTGTATGTAAAATTTTGATGCTTAAGATTTGACCTCTCGAATAAAGCATGAAGCAGCATATTATTTTCTGAGTTTTTAGGATTCAAGCTTATATTCATAAACTCACTGAAAGCTTTTGGGTCAATCTTATGGTATAGCAAGCCACTTTGGAGAAGTTCCTGTGCAGATGGTCTGTTGTCGGGAATAAGCTCAGTGAGTCATAAAATTATTTTGGGAACCTCTTTGGGGACAGTTTCTAAAAAGTCTCCAGGCAAAATTCTATTATCTCTTAATTTCATGATTTCTTCTACTCTTTGCATCATTGATCCGAAGGGCCTTCACATTTCAAAGAAAATAATTCCAAGAGAATACATGTCAGTTTTTAAATTGTATTTTCCGGAGACTTTTTGCTCAGGGGAACAATAAATTGGGGTGCCAATTCCTGTGCTTAAGCTTTCGCTTATCTGTCTTTTTAAAGAGGCTTTTTCAGGTTTTAAATTTGTCGTTGTGGCTAGTCCAAAGTCTCCCAGCTTCACTTCTCCAAACTCATTTAAAAATATATTTGATGGCTTTAAGTCTCTGTGTATAGTTCCCTTAGAGTGAATATATACTAAACCTTGCAATATTTCTCTCACTCCCCCCCCCTTTAAATTGGAACAAAATATAGTAAAAAATTTCCACTTTTTTGGTAAATTAGCCCCCCTTTAAATCGGAACAAAATTTAATTTTATAATAAAAAATTTTATATATATAAATCATAATTTTTATGTAAAAAGTTTTGATATAATTTAAATGTTTCTTCTTAACTAAAATTAAAAATTTAGTTGTATCCTGCTCTTGTTTAAAGAATAGAGTATAAAGAGCATCTTATTTAAATAAATTTATTATCCTTTAATTTAAATTTTTTAAAAAAATTTAATTTGTTTTGTTTTTAAAAAATTTTCAAAAACAATTTTATTTTTTTTTGATAAAAATGATATTTTTTATTTAAATAGCTTTGATATAAATTCAATACGAATTCTTTACAAAAATTCAAAATTTACTTATTTCTTGCTTTATTTTAAAGAAGAGAGTATAAATAACATCTTATTTAAACAAAATTAGCACTTTGATTAATAAATTTTCTAAAATATTGTTTTTAAAATTTTTTTTATCAATAAAAATAATAATTTTTGTGTAAATAGTTTTGATACCAATTAATAGTGGCGTATTAATTAATAATAAAATTTTAGTTATATCTTGCTTTGTTTTAAAGGATAAAGAGTAAATAGCATTTCATTAAAACAAATTTATTAATCTATTCGATAAATTTTTGAAATTTTATAAAAAAATTTATAATGTTTTTTTTTTAAAACCCCCCTTTAAATTGGAACAAAATTTTTAGTTCCAATTTAAAGGGGGGGGAGTCAGCATTTTCCAGATTTCTATTGGAGATGGAATTTTTTGATCCAGGAGGGTGCGAAGAGTATCTCCTGCGCAATATTCCATTTGTAAAGCACCCATCAACATTTTTATTTTTTAAAATTAATATTAGATTTTATTTAATTTTATAAATTATAAATAGTAATAGGATCTTTCCAAACATTTTAAATATTGAAATCAAGGCCATTTCTTAAGGTCCACCTTTATGTAAAGTTTGCTAACTTCGGGATCAAATTCATGTAGCACTGATCCAGTCTTATCTGAGGCAATTTCTAAATCTTCGCTTAGATCATCTTCACTGCTGCTTTCTTCTTCGCTGCTACTTTCTTCTTCGCTATCATAGCTATCTTGTTCATCAGAGTCAGATCCGCTGCTTTCATCCTCTTCAAACCAAGCATTATGATATCTCACAATATTTTGGTGTTGCAATTTAGACAACAGAACAACTTCTTTCAATATATATCTAATATGGTTCTCCTTTTTTCCTTTTAATTTTATACAGACAAAGATTATAAACACATCATGAAGTTCATTATATATATCTTTTCTATGAAAAAAAAGATTAATGAAAAGCCCAAATTTGACTGCTCTTCTAATTTAGGATATCTTTTTAATCGCATAAATACTCCCATCAATTTTATTTTTTGCTTTATAAACACTCCCTCCTCCACCTTTGCCAATTCTTATTTCTTCTTCAAAATATCTTCTATACTCAAACCCACTTATAGTACAAGACAAAGTTGGTTCAGGCAAATTTATTTCTTCTTCTTTCTTTTTCTCATTGATTTCAAGCTGCATTGAAGGCTCTTTTTTCTTTCTTTTTTGAAGTTCTCCATATATTTCTTCCATCAGCAAACCAGAATTGTCACGTTTCAATTCTTGTTCAACTGGCTCAGGAATTGATTCTTCTGGCTCAATATTGTATTTCATCAATTCTCGTTGTATGAGATCACACATATCGTAGACCATGGTTTGCGAAACCTTGGATTTTTCTTCAATTAAAGCTTGGACTTTTAATTTAATATCATGAATCACGTCTTTATGAATATTTACTGCGTTTATTAAGGAGAATATTGGAGGTACATGAGGATAGCCAGGAACATAAGTAATTGAAAGGTAAATGCTGCTAAAATTCAAGGCAGAATCTGAAGGATTAGAACGTATAAATATTTTAAAAGAAGCACTACATAATTCAGTCAGAGGGTTTAAAATAGTAACATCATCAGAAAAAATAGCCAATAAAGCGTCTAGTTCTTCTTTTTGATCGTTGTAAGTGTTAAAGGCTTCAACTGCATCTTCAGTAGGCGATATTTCACAATTAATTGTGTTTCCGAATTGATTTTCTTTATTATTTTCTGAAGATTTATTTTCTTCAATCAAACTTGGAAGCTTAGCTTCTTCATTTATTATTTGCTGAATATCTTTGGGTTCTTTTGTTTCAATTAAAACAGGAGAGTGAATTTCTTCTTCATGTATTGGGTGCACTTCCTCAATTGGTTTTAATTTTTCAGGCAATTTTTGAAGAACTTTTTTGCTTCTTTTTCTTTTTCCATGCCTTTTTGGAGGTTGAGTTTGGATTATTTGTGGAGGTTTAGGCTGGCTTTTATTAAATCATAAATAACCAAAAAATATTCCGAATAGAAAGGATGAGAGTATAATTAGTAGTCCTTCCATAATTTAAAAATTTTGTATATTACGTGTTTTGCATTTATATCAGAAATAAGTTTTAAAAGAGTTTTTTTAAATATTTCTAGGATTTTATTATCGAAAATGAAAAATTTCGAGCTTACTGCAATCAAAATACTTAAACTATTTTTTTGATAATCTGAGTACCAATTATGCCAATAAAAAATATAAGGGTTATAAATTAAATGGATCCAGACGAAGAAATTCTCAAAGAATACCAGCAAGAAATTCGCAACATGAAAGATGAGATCATTCAGCTTAATAGACAAATCGCTCAAGCCGAAAATGCTGAGAAAGAGCTTGATGAAAATAACCTCCAACCAGAAGATCGAGATGAAATCTTGAAAAAACAGTCACTTTTAAGGCACTGCCAAGAAGAAATTGAAGAGCTCACTGAGCAGCTTAACAAACTTAGAGAAACCAATATTGAGCTCGCTGAGAGCTGTGAAGAGCTTAACAATAGGATTGATCCGCTTCCTATCTCTGACAATCAGCTTGAAGAGCTCAGAGAACAAATTGCAGCCTTGGAAAAAGAAAATGAAGACCTCAGAAGGCAAAATAGTGAAATTGAAAGCTCGGGCCTTAGGGAATGGGAAAATTTGTCCCCGCATGCTTCTAATGAATTTTTTGTGAATCTCCAAAAGAAACTCTCAACATTGGAGCAAGAAAATACAACTCTTTCAGCAAAATATAAGAAAGCTGAAGCAGAGACCAAGAGATTGAAGGAAAATTGTGAAAAAGCTGCCCATAGGTTTAAAAATAACGAAGACACCAGAACTAAGCTGCATTTGCTAGAAAAAAACTACACACAAATAAAATGGCGACTTCACCTGCTCATCCTCTCTCGGCATATTTCGAGTTTAGGGACCTTGCTGCACCTGAAGCCAAACCGAGCAGGAACGGAGTCTATAGGTACTGGGCATTTGTGTTCCGGTTAGGTTTTATTCCCTCATGCAGCAATGAAGACTTTGTGTATTCCAGATGGATATTTTGGAAAAAAAGGTAATTACCTAGAGACCACTAGTGTAGTTGGTGCCGATACTAGCTAGGGAATTTATCCCTAGCTGGAACTCTAGCCACCCAAGCGACAGCCATCAAGTCCCAAACCTGCATACTCCAAGTTCTGAGACAGAATTAAGAACCAGGCTGAAAGCCGGAAGAGAGCTATCTCTGCTGGAAATGCTGGCATACTCAGGAAGGTTCGCTACAGCTGAACTAGTCCTATGCGAAGACTCTTTTCGGGTGAGATGTAAAAGAGGAAGAGCCCTAATCTATAATTAATACTAATGCTAATGCTAGAAGAGAGCTTAGAAAGATGTGTGCAAACTGAAAATGACTTAAAAGAAGAGATAGATGACGTGGAAAGACAAATCATGCAAAAGTCAGCAAGTACTGAAGGTCAAGATATTAGAAGCCTGCAACACATGATTAGAGATCTCAATGAAAAGATCAGCCAAGAAAAAGCTCAATGCACAAGACTAGAAAAACAGTTACAAGATATTCTCGTAAATAGTGAATCAAACCAATTTTTAAGCTAGCCCTCTTAAAATAAAATAAAGCTAAATAGTGCATAAGCTTTTATTCAGTATAAATGAGTATAAGCAGCAAGAATTGAGAACTGTGAAGATAACAGCAAACCAACCAGTCAGCAAGACTTCGACTAAGCTCAGCAATGATCTGGAATTGCTTGGAAAAGTCCTTGCAGATAAGATGAAGTCAGTAAGAGAAAAAGATAAAGAAATCGCTGAGCTGACCTTGAAATATGAAGAAGCCAAGATGCAGCTTTATGGGCCAGAGAAATTCAACGTCTAACTAAAAATTATTTAATTTCAAAAAAAATCAGCTCCATTTTATATAAAAATTGTGTGTTAAATCAAATTTTCTTCTATACGTTCTTCTGTGTGTTCTTCTGTAATAGCTGGTGGCGTAGATTTCGGCATCAAATATGTGATTTTTAAGCTCACTAACAGCGTTCCTGCCATGATTCAGAATGTGCCTTGATACCCTAGATACTAAATAAATTTTACCGGCCAAATAAAGAGCTCAACACCCCATAAAGAAATTGCTAGTAAAGTGAACCCTAAGAATGACCAAGAAAGGATTCAATCGTCATGGGGATAAATTATTTTGCAAGCGACTATTATAATCAAATAAGTGCTGCTACCAAAAATGAAACCTAAAGTTGACCAAATAAAATAAAGGATTTTTACACTGGCTATATAATAGATAGTGCCGCATATAAACACTTGAGAAATAATTGCGACATAAGAAACTCTTTTCCAGTCATATTTATCAATTGCAAATCCCCATAAAAGTCTGGAAACCCCTCCCACCAGAAATCCAGTTGAGCCTAAATAGGATAAAAAGTGATCATCCTTTATTTTTGTATGGCCAAAATTTTTGTATTCTGAGACAAAATATGCATAAAATGCAAAACTAAAAAAACAGTTCAAGCTCAGAAGCCAAAAATTTTTTTGCTTTGCAACATCTTTGAGAGTTAGCGTCCTTTGGTCCATTTGGGTTTCTTTGGTTCCTCCTTGAGATCTAACCATGTAAATTCCTAGTAAAGATGACACAAGATATATTAAAGACATCCATCTAATTGCACCAGGAACATTGTCATAAACAGAAGATCCGAAATACTGAGATTCGTCATCCTTATTCTCAGGGAAAGTTATAAATGGCGACTCATTGGATGGATTGATCAAGCTTGTCCATATCAGGCCAAATATAGTTGGTCCCAAACTATAGGCTGAAATTCCAAAACTTGATACAAGTCCAATATTACTTGGGAAAAACTCCCAGCAGGCCCAAATAATAGGCATATTCAGCATTCCACTGATTACTCCTGCATAGGTCCCATAGAGAATGCAAAAAAAATAATAATTTGTGGCAAAAGAACTTGCAAATAAAAAGAGTGATCCGGAAAGAGCTCCAACAGCAGCAGCAATTCTGCAGCCAAACTTTATACATATATAGCTTGCAATGACTGAATAATTATTACTAAATGCGATCGACTCAATAATGTATGAAAGAGTATAAGCCAGATACATATCTGATTCAGACACATTGTGGTTCTTTGCATGATAATAAGAAGCGAAATATAAACTAACAGCGCCTCACAAATTTATTGTCCCAGATACCTAATTATGCCTCACTAAGTTGACGATAAAGCACCCAACCAGTGCGAGCAGGCTTTTGGTCTTTTTGGAAAATGGCATGTTTTTATTAAATTTTTAAATGGAAAGCTTATTTATTTACACAAAATAATTAGTTACTATGCTACGTTGGTGATTTCTTCACATAAAGTTAGATAACTGCTGAGTTCTTTTCCAGCTGAAATAAGTTGATTTTTCAACCTAAGACTGGGGTCTATGGCTCTCTTTTTCTTGATAAATTCTACTGCATGCTCATAGGTTCAGCCTTTCTTGGCCATGTAATAAGCTATTAGAACTATAGCACTTCGGTTTTTTCCCCACTTGCAGTGAACCAATACCTTTTCTCCTTTCGATTCTGCTTCATTTATGAATCTAAGGCAGTCTTGGAGATAAGGTATAACACTAAATGTCTTTCCTCTGGGCAAAGGCCTTATGCATAAGTTATACATCTTTTCATTAGCGGGCACATCAAAAAGTTGCAAAATGTGTTTAATTCCATGCGACTTTAGCTCGCTTTCGTTTTGTACACTGTATTGGTCTCCGATAAAGATGTTTTCGTCGATTTTATGCATATGATACTTCTTGACGCTTGTTCTAGACTCATTCACGCCCATTTTAATTTTATTTCATATGCCTTAGTTAGGAAAGTTATCATCAGTATTTATCGAGTTTTTTTTTAAAGTCGAAATATACATTAACTCCCTATCCTTAGTTAACAGTTAAATTATTAGAAAATCAGTAATTGTAAAATAAATCTAAAAAAAAAAATTTAATATATATATTATTATGATTATAATAATGAGATCTTTAGCTATTTCCTTTAATTATAGATTATTTGCATTATAAGACATAAATCTTATAAGATATATGAGATTTTTACCTCAAATATTTATATCTTTGAAACTTTTAAAATAAATAAAAATATATTTTTATTATGCAAACCTTATGATAGAATTTTTTGCTGACTAATCAAGGGAGAGTAATCAATTTTGGCAAAAAATAATTACAATTGGTGGGCAGAAGGGTCATTCATATTTTTGGTGAAATATTTTATCGGTCAGAATTTAAAACTATGTATGCAATCGAGCGATTATAGAGGCTACGAGGCTGTGGATGAATATTTAGCAGCATTAATTAATAAATTTGAAAAATTGCTATCATCTCGCAAATAATTTTTCGCGAAGCTGAGTAAGAAAAATAACGCTATTTATTATTCATGCCTCAATTAATTACTAAATATTTTTAAGCTGTTATTTCTTAAAATGGCAATTCCACTTCTTATAGGAGATTTGCCATCTGAAAAGTTGGTTTTATCAACCAGTTTTGGCAAAACTAACTTCCTGATTAAAGTCTGATGCCCCAAGCTAAAGGATGCTCTGACTATAACTATATTAAAATTTACAATTTTGTTATGAGTTTATATTTAAGTAACTTTCGGCATTATTGATGATGTAAAATTTATCATTTTTTGATTGGTATCAATGTTATATCTTGGCGAGATAGAACTAGAAAAAACAGAAAATAAGCCATCAGAAACTGTAAAGCCAAAGCCAAAAAGGCTATCGTATTCTCTTAAACTTGAAGAGTTTAAACAATTTTCATTCCAAACTAATTTCTTTAAACAATTTGATTTCAAGCCTGGAAGACCAAGAAGAAAGCAAACTCTTGTATTTCCAAAACCAAAAACCCCTATTTCTTTGAGTATTTATGATATTGATTCTAAAATCAAGTTAAAAAATAGAAGAAGCATAGAAAATGTTGTAGAACCCCCTAAATCTAAGCCGGAATCGCTACCTTATGATGAACGAGTCAGAATATTCCAAGATTTTTCTAAACTAAGAGATTTAACCAATCGAAATCAATATCTTAAACAAGAAATCATGAAATACGATAATTACTTTGCAATTCGACAGCCGAGTTTAAATACCTGCTCATCATGCCCAGTATTGCCTTCAATAACTTCAAATAGTCAAACTGATTTTACATCTCCAAAATTATGAAGAAGAGATACTATTCAGCCTTCCCCATCGCATTCGAAAAAGAGAGTGAAAACATATGATCCAACTTCAAAACGACCGAGAAAATCAATTTCAAGCTATTTTATGTAATTAATTATAATCTCTTGCATTAGTGATGAAGGTAATCACACATGGTTGATAATATCCTTGCGCGGGGCGTCGCAATTAATGCAAGGAGTTATAAAAATTAATTAAGATACTTAGAACAGTACAGTTTTAGTCGTCTAGTTGCGTCTAGATATTTCCGTGTCCCACCAATCTCAACGTAACTTATGCTGACAGCCCTTAACATCCACCAAGGGTTAGACAACACAGAACCTCCACCATTTTCCACATGTTGGGCTTACAGGCCGCTAGATCAGCCTGCTTCGATAGCCAGAGCACACTTGGAGGCGATATTCACGCCTTTGATGGTTTATGTGTGAGCGACTTCTGTCTTACTTGCCTTTCACACTCACATTCCCTTGGGACATGCTGGAGGGCAGACATATCCATCCCGGTGCTTACCTGTCTTTGCCTGGATATAAATCACATATAAAACAAAGCTTTAGTTATAAAACGTAAAGTGAGTAGTGCCAATTGGCAAATCGAACCCTACAAATGTTGCCATTTTATAATTATGTCCCATCAATCCCAATTTCAATAATTTTTTTCCTCTCAATTGGTGAGCCTGATAAAGGTAGAAAATTGCCAGGGTTATAATGGTAGCTATGATTCAAATTCACTTCTGGGCTACTTCTTTTTCTTGATCTTACATTCGGTAATGGAGATTTTCGGAGCCCTGGGCTATTCAACCTTGAAAAAGTATCTAGAATTTCTGGTTTTCTTGTCTTAATAAGTGGTGTTATGTTATGAGGAATCACTCTTCCAAGTTCTCTTTTGGTTTGGCGAGTTTGGAGGAAATTATTAATAGCTCCATGCCTTTTGTTCAACTGCATCAGACTGTTTCACAAATTTTCAGTTAATTGGTTACTGGGTCCTAATCCACTGACTTAAAATAAAAATTTTAATTTTCGAAGCTCTATCTTTATAAATGTCTCTAAGTCCTTAATAATTTTTAAAAAACTAACCGATGAAACGGTAAGTGCTTTATAGAGAAATCATAGCCTTTTTGATAATGTTCCAAAGCTGAATCAAATTTTTGGAGATACTCTGATTCCACGCCAATGTTATAATGAGCAACAACCAGCGTTGTTATAGAATTTTCAGCTAAATTCTCATCATTATTTTCCAAATCCCTTACTCCCCTATTTTAAAAAAACAAAACTATTGGAAAAATCCCTATTTTTTGCCTAAAAACTCACCCTCTGTGAGCGATCAAAAAATTTTTTTAATAATATAATAATTTTTTATGAAAAAAATATTTGATTTATAAGTGATAATTGGAATAGTGAAATCTCTGCTAATCTGTTTATTTAAACAGCTTGCATTTTAAAACATAAATTCAAAAATTAAATAAATATTTGCTCTCAAATTTTAAGAAATATGAATTCCCAAAAAAAATTTATTGTAAAATTAATATATAAATTTTTAAAAAAACTAATCCCTCCGTGAGCGACAAAATTTTGTTCTCTCACGGTTGAGAGGGAGTTAGCAAGCTTAAAGCTTGCTTTGCGTAGCTCAACGCTATATCATGCTTTCCCAGTTGTGAATTAATTGCACAAATATTAAGCTGAGTTGATGCAATTGCTGCAGGGTCTGAATAAGTTTGCACTTCCAGTTTGAATGCTTGCTTCAAATAGAATAGAGCCACATTGGGCTGTTTGATTCGTTTATAGTGACAGCCGAAATTATTGAATGTGATTGCAGTTAATTTTAATCGATTTTGCATTCTACTAATATCAGGATTTGTCCCGTCGAGTAGAATTTTTTCAGCTTTTTGCAAAAGCTGAAGAGATTCTTTTGGATCATCTAAATTTGCCATAGCATTTTTGTTTAAGTCAAGAATGTGTGATTCTAGTTTGGAAATGTTATTCTCAGTAGAGTCTTCGACTTCAAGATTTTCAGACATTTTGAATAATGATGCTTTATCTCAAAATAGTTAATTTAATATAAGCATTATATTCTTTATGCTATTTAGTTTTATTATATCTGTTTAATTATTATTAGTTCTGTTTATTAATCAATAATTCTTTTTATTATTTAGAGTATTTCACTATTAGCGTGCTTGCATATTAATCAATATTACAATAAAGCAAAAAAGAAGCAAACGATATGAAAGATCTCAATTAAAAGCCCTTTTTCGCTTCTTTGATGATCTTATTTATAATTTGAAATTATCTCATAATGAAATGAGAATGCGATTAAAATGAAATGAGAATGAGATTAAAATGTTCTAAACAAATTAAACATAAGAAATTTTAGCAAAAATCAAATTTGGTTTATACCACTTTTTAATATAAAATTAGTATAAGGTTTAAAAGCCTAACTCCTACCATTTAAATTAAAACAATATCCTATTCTATTTAAAGAAGGGGGTTTTATTAAAAGAAAAATAAATTATGTTAATAATTTTGAATTTTAATTAATTTTTAAGAAGAAATAATTAAAAAAATAAATAGATTTAGTATAAAAATCTACTTGAACTTTTCGTTAAATTAGAAGAAATAATTTTTTATTAAAATTAGTATTTCACTCGGAAATTTTCCTAAAAATAAATTTTTTTCCAATTTATAGAGGGAAGTAACTATATTTTTAATTAAGAAAAGCATAATAAATAAATGATCAAAATAGTTTATTTTTTATTTAATTATTTTCACTTTCTCTTTTCCTTTGCTCATCTGCATAAGCTTTTCTGAATTCTCTGAATTTCATATATCCTTGATACTGTTTATAATTCTTCCTTACTCCCTCTCCATGAGCGAGCATATCCATTGAAAAATCCAGGGAAAAAACCACTCTCCATGAGCAAAAAAATTTTTAATAAATACTATTTTGATATATTAGTGATAATTAGTATAATGAATCTCTAGTTGTGTTAAATTTTAAAAAACTTGAATTTTAAAACTAAATAAAAATTTCAAAAAAAACTAAACCCCTTACTCCCCCCCCCTCGAAGTTCGACCAAGATTTTTTTGGTCGAACTTCGAGGGGGTAAAGAAAAATTTTTTTAAAAAAAATTATATAGAATTTTTTTTATATAATTTAGTAGTTAAAAAAAAAAAATTTATCATATTCTTCTGTATGGTTGAGAGGGTGTAAGGGTTAGAAAAAATAGTGCAAGATGGTTTTGTAACGCTTTTTTAGAACTTGAATACAAAAATCGCAAGCTCATCCCCACATAGTTTAAAATTTTTGAAAAATTGCTTATTTTCCTAGTAAATTTATATAGGTCTTGGTCGAGCTTTGAGGGGGGTTAATTTTCCAAAAAAATAGGAATTTTCCCTATATCTTGGTCGAACTTCGAGGGGGGGGAGTTAGCGAGCGAACAAAATTTTTTGTTTACTTATGGGTGGTGGGGAGTTAGCAAGTTCAATTCGCTATTCATTTTTTTGCTAACTCTATAAATAAAAAATAAGACAATCAAAAGGAAAAATAAAATTTGTAAGCTTTATATTAACAAAATCATCCTAATACAACGAAAAAATCAATATTAGCTTAGTAAGAGCCATAACTCCTTGGATCATTCCCCAACAAATAGCACAAAAAATAAAATTCAGCAAAAACACAGTTAATACTTTTGTATCATCTTCTAACCCATCATCATCTTCTCCTGAGCCATCATTGCTCAACTGCATCAAATCTCTATATAATTCATACTGGTAGCTTCATTACTTAATTTCAATGCTCTTGGCTCAGATAAAGCTTGAAGAAAACTCTTGTTTCCTTTGGCGTCTTCACTATACTGTTTGGATTCTAAAGTTATACACCCCAGAATAAGCAAAGTAAAAACGATATATTGTTTCATTGAATATTGTAAAACGGATACCTTTACAAAAATTAAGATAATTTTCCATTACGAGATATGCTATCCAAATAGTGAACTTAAATATTATTTGGAAAAAAAATATAATGATGGAAAGTTCATATAAGTAAACTTTTGTCTTTTGGCCGAAACAGCAAAGAAGTGAAATCTATTCATGGAAATTACTATTTATTTGGAAAATAGAAGAAAATATTTGAAAATTTCCAAAAACTTTCAATATTTTTCCATAATATATTATATGTGCAAATATCTCAATCTATACTTTTGTTAACTTAAAGGTGTTGCTTCTTGAAATAGTTTTATTTCTTCTTTAAACTGCTCTTGCATATCCCACCAAGTTGACATACTTGACGGCTTTTCTCCTGAATAAACCTGTGGCCATACACTAGGCGCTGTTGTTTTAGCAAGCTTAATTTCTATTCTTCCAGTCAAGATTTCATTAGTCTCAGTTCCTTCAGGATCAATGGCTTCAAAAAGTGGCAAATAAAGCTCAAACTTTAGCTTATGGTTTGAATGTATGCACTTAGCCATAAACTCAATATGATCATTTTTCACATCAATAACTTTATCATAAACTTCATTGCATCCTGCAGCATCCATTCTGTGAGAAAATTTGATATCAAGATATATATGAGTCGTTGACTGTGCCCATCTGAAGCTTGGTCTTATTAATTGTGGATCTTTTTCTACATTAAATAAGTTGGACAATCTTGCTAAATATCTCTTATAGTTTTGCAAGAAATTTGTAACTGATTTTAATTCGACTTTAGATTCGTCCGCTTTAGAGATTAAATACTCAGCTTCATCCCAAGATCCTTTTTGAATATATGTCAAAATGCAACTAAATAAAGGTTACTCTGAGCTCAAATTTTCTGGAATAATTTGTTGAGCGATAACATCTTTGAGATCATAGGCTTGATCAAACATGTTCTCACAGAGGAGCCCAAAACTTACGTGTATCAAGAATAGTAAAAGCATAAAAATATGGCTTTTTTAAAAATTAATTAAATAGGGATTTTATATGCTCTATCACTTACTCCCCCCGCCCCCTCCGTGAGCGAACAAAAAAATTTTGTTCGCTCACGGAGGGGGGTTAATTTTTTTTTTTAAAAAAAATTTATATATAAATTTTATAAAAATATTTTTTTCGAAATTTAAAAAAATCCTAATTTGCAAAAATTGGGAGCAAATATTAATTTAATTTGCAAAATTTATGTTTTAAAACGCAATTTGTTTAAAATTAAACAGAATTAGCTCTAGATTTCATTATACTAATTATCACTTATATATCAAAAATTTTTTTCCATTAAAATTTTTTCTATTAAAAAAATTTTTGTTCACTCACGGAGGGTGGGTTTTTGGTCAAAAAATGGCGATTTTCTAATGGTTTTGTTCGCTCACGGAGGGGGGGGGGAGTTAGCATTTGGTCTCTTGTAGATGTAGAACTTGCTGATTCAAAAATATTTCTTTTAGTTTCGTGAGAAGGAGAAACTTTTACTTCGACTCGTTCATCTGGAGGAGAGTCTCTTCTGATTTTGCTTAAAGGTGGACTTAGGACGATTTTACTGCTAGCGCTAGGCTCGTTTCTGATTGGAATTGATGGGGAGGGCTTTGCAATGTTTGCAGGCTTGCTCTCATTCGGCGGTAATTCATCAATGCTAGTTCTAGTTTCATTATTCCAAACTACGCCATCTCCTATTTGCTTTCCGGTGGCACCTGTCATTGGCAAAAGCCATAGCCAAGGATTTTGTCCGAAAACTTGAATCCAATTCCTTCACGTGCCTTTATTATAAATCCCTATCCTATTAACTGCTTTTTTATCCATTTGCTCAATCGTGGTGGAGTTAGTCAATATAAGTTTTATATGAAACTTCATAAATAGTGTAAGCATCACTGATAGCAATGCAGAAAGTAAAAATGCTCCAATTAAAACTGCTTCTGAGTAAGCATGCAAATCTCTAGTATGTATTATATAAAGCAAATTGCCATAAGCGGGCTTTGAAAGCACCACGACTGCAATATACAAACAATTCAGCACATAAAATAAAACCAGAATAAAAAATTTCCTATTGAAAAAACCTACACAGTTGTTAAGCCATGGACAATGATGATCCATGTTCAATACGCATCGATTACACGCTGAGCAATGATGACATCGCTCAGGTTTAAAAACGTGGCACATTAAGCAGTATCGTCGCCTTTTGGTCTCTGCATCTCCCATATAAAAGCCTCATAGAGGCGGAACCATGCCTGGGTCTGTGAGCATTGCTTTGAAGAAGCTTCAAAGAAACATAAAAATCAAGATATGAAATACAGATAGAAAAGAGATGATCTTCAGATTTAAATTGGGGATGTCTTCTATATGAGTGAGATATAGCTGAATAACGTTGATGTAAATAAAAGAAACCACTAGAAATACAAAGAGTACAAAAAAATTTCCCAGAAGTTTGGTGCAGTTTGTAAATGTGCATCTGCTCATTTTATCTTTGCATGCATAGACAGTTATTTTGGTAAATTAGGAAGACGAAGAGAATTTATTAAGTAAATAAAATTTATTTTGATACGATAGAAATGAAAAATTTGTTATTATCTTAATTCTCTTTTTTATCTTGAAAATAATTTGATTTTAGCTAAATTTTATTTATTTTACCTTCTTCATCATTAAGTAGCCTAGTTCTCTACAATTGTTAAAAATTCATAATTCCAAAAATAAGCAATTAATAGTATATCGTAATTAATTAAAAAGATGTAATAGAAAGCAAATGATTCTAAAAAATACGAGCTAATCAATAGAAGAAAAATTGATAGAATTCAAAGCCATATTTCTTCCATGGACAAAAATATAAACTATTTATAAATAATGTATTCCGAGTTTGGAACCAGCTCAGAAAAAAATGCAGATGCTTATATTAGCGATATTTCTGAGTCAGTTGCCAGAGTTTTATACCAAGAAGAAGAAAGAATCAAAAAAGAAAACTACTTAAGAGAAGAAATTTTAATAGGAAATTATTCACCTGAAATTTTCAGAGAATTTCTTAAGTTAAAGAAAAGGTCTGATATTGATCTCTTAAGCATGAAAGAGCTTACAGATTGTCTAAAAGAGTTCAAAGAAAGCTACAACGATCTAGAAATTGAATTCTCGATGAAAATCGAAGAGGAAACTAGCAGAACCAAAAGAAAGAAAGATGGCGAGCAGCAAGAAAAAGAAAGAAAGAATATTGAAGATTTCGATGGAAAAGAAATTGAAAACATCACAGAAAAAGATATTTTAGCTGAGTGCATTAAAGAAGACTTTTCTTCTGATTCTGGGTCAGAAATTTCAAGTCCCAGAATGAAAAAAAGCCCATCAATAAAACCGTTTGAGCATAGGACAAGCAATAATGAATTCATACTAACACTTGATGGAAAAGAGCTTTTAAGTGAAGATCATTCAATGAGTGATAGTTTAAATGACTCACTGCTTTCAGAGTCTTCGCAAAATACTTTAAAAAGAGCTACTCTTGAGCAAGAGTTTTTAAGTCGAATCAAAAAAACACAGAGCCCTAAAATGTCACCGCATAGACTTTCTCCTCCAGAAATGTCAATTGATACAAAGGTCTCAAAAGATAGAAATTCCAAAGAAATTTCTCCTTTACTGCTAGACTCATCTTTGCTGGATGCTGGAGTTTACTTGCACCAAGATGTCTATAAGATTGAATCAATTAAAATCCCAGATAATGAATTATCTATGAAAACGTGCGAGGTTGTAATATCAGAGTAAGATTTATATAGCCCTGAAAAATCAAACGCAGTCTACTACACAATAACAACAATTCCGCTAGGTTGAGTAGTAAAACGCCACTTAAATGATTTTTCCTGGCTTAGAACCACATTTGCGTTTTTATATTTAAGCTTCTCCTTCGTGAACTAATAAAAAATCTTGCAACCTAAAATTGGAAATTTTATCAATATTTTGTTCCAAATTGAATGTGAGGGAGTTAGCAGAAGCTCACCCTTTTAGCTCGAACTTGTGATTCATAGGGACTTCTTTGCAATAATCTTAAACAAGCATCGCTCCAGATCTGCAAGAGATCTTTACTGGAGGCATTACCCCTCCTCACAAGTGAATCCTGCTTGTGCTCCGCCTAAGATCTCCATTTCGGAAGACCAAAGAGGTAACATCTTAAAATTCTAAGGCTAGACGCTCACATCTATGCACTATTTATGCACTGGAGTATTGTTGATACTGGTGAATAATGGCTCACAAGGAAAATCGAACCCATAAAAATAGCATATGCGATAATATTGAATTGCCCTCTAAGAGAACAAATTCCGAACATCGCCATTTTATTCTATATACGTTTTTTATATCCAGGTGTATATATTCCTCCTCCTCTCCCTAAAAAATGAACCGGAAAAGATAAAGACGATACTTTGGTTAAAGACCAAAGATTTCTTCAGAGATTTATCAATTCAGCTATATCTCATCCATTATTAAAAAAATCACCATATCTATTTGAATTCCTTAAAGAGCAAGATTATTCATATTTCGAGACCTTTAAAAAAGACTGTTCTAAATTAAAAAGGCCTGAATTCGTAGAATTTTTCCCAACTTTGGAAGGTTTTTCATATTGCGATGCATCAAGTCCGAAGGAGTCCTCAAAAGATATTAGTGATTTTATTACGCTTTCCCAAACCTTACAAAAAAAAATAAAAAGAAGATCAAACAAGCTAGAAGAGCAGCTGACTGAAATATCGATTTCTATTAATAAACTCTCGAAAACTATAAAAAAATTGCAGAAAGCACAAGAATTAATTTCTAATAACAGAAAAAACTCTGAGTTGTTTAGACTGTTTAGCCAAACGATGGCTGCATGGGCTAAATGCAATATAGAAAGAGTGAAATCTGTAAAAGAACACATGAGCTCCTTTTTCAAATACACTTATAATGAAGTTCTCCCAATTAAAGATATAATCAAAGAAAAAGAAATAAATTTTCAAAATTACTTAAAAGCCGATAAAAAAATCAAAATTAAAAAAGAAAAATTATGAGCCCAAGGAGATGTAAGCAAATGGGAAATAGAATCAAGAGAACCGATACAAAATTTAAATACTTTGCAAACAGACAAAGAACTAGCTTTCCATAAGATGCTCACCCAAGAATCACAAAAAGTCCAGAAATTGAAAGATTTATATGCGTATTACAATTATAAACTAAACGAAGAAAGTTTATGATTCATCCCGTTCAATGCAAATCGGAACATCAAAGAATTCAGAGAATTCGCTAAAAAGGAGATTGCCGTCATATGGAAACTGAAACAGACTTGGGAAAGTTTTTCAGAAAAATTGGCAAGGCTTGAAGACGACCAATCCTTATAAATTGATTAAATCAATAATAGCATAAATTTAAACGTACAAATAATTATTTGAAATATCGCTATTCTATAGGTAAGAATTTACTCAATCTTGGGTCTGGAGATGGACTTTTCATGGTCCTTCTTGGGATTAATGGGCTGTCAAGCATCGGAGAGCTTTGCATGACTATGTCTTGAAATGCACTGAAATCGAATTCTTTATTAATTGTTCCTTTCAGCTGGTTTACCATCTCATTAACTTCATTTAAACTGATTTCAATTCCAGCATGGAAAAAGCTTTCATATAAATCTTGTGAAGTTATAGCGTTTCGAGAACCCTAAATAACTTTTACTTTTGTTAGTAAATAAAAAACATCCTTCAAAATATCTTCGTTCAAAACTTGTTTTTTATCAAGTGTAGCAATGACAAAGTCACTATAAGCAAAATCTCCATTTGATAAGTATTTGTTTTTTTCTAATTCACCACCTATTAATTTCTTTGTTGAATGGAAGTTGTTTTTTGAATTGCTTTGCAAATTAAGATATTAAAATTTATAAAGAGTTGCTATTGTGCTAAAATATTATAAAAATACTTGAGTGTTTCTTGACTGATTAATTGGGATAAGCACTTTTCTAGCTTTTCTACAGCTTTTAGCTGCTTGGCATTTTTTAAAGCTTGAATGACATCATATGCATTGACAATTCCAGTTTTTTTCGTATCCAAAGCTCTGAAAATGTCGTCAAGCTCTCTGATTTCGTTATAAGTCATATGCTTTATGACTAGCTTCATCAGATAATTTTTAAGCTTATTGGGTGCATGATATTTCATCAATGTTTCTATCACATCTAAAGGCACATGCTTCAACTTGCTTTGCCTGTATTTTTTAAACCAAGGATGCTTCAGAACCTGAGGCAATTTTATTCTGGTATGTATGTTCTTTGTAAGCATTTGACTTATTAAATCTTTTGCTTCATGAGAAATCAAGTCCCATCTTTCATGGCGAAATGCAACTTCTTCATGCAAAATCTTTTCAAAAACTTCATGATGGTTTTCTCCAGCAAAAGGAGGATAACCTCCTAATAGCACATACATCATAACTCCAATACTTCAGACGTCACATTCAACACCGTAATGCTTGCCTATCACTTCAGGAGCAAGATAGTAAGGAGTACCTACGATAGAGTGAAATTCTTTTGTTTCTTCAGCAAATTTAATCGATAGCCCAAAATCTATCATTTTCAGCTCAGCATCAGGAAATCGACTAGTTAATAAAAAATTCTCAGGTTTAATGTCCCTATGACAGATGTGTAAGTTATGCAAATAATTCACAGCTGAGCATATTTTTTCTAATCACTTAGCAGCAGTTTCTTCATTCAGTACTCCTTTTAGAAGAAAATCTTCTAGAAGATCTCCACCGTTGCACAATTCCATGACTAAATGGACATAATTCGAATCTTCATAGCACTGAAGCAGTTTTATTATGTTAGGATGATCAGCTTGCTGTAATATTTCCAGTTCATTTTTTAGTACATCAATTGAATGAATTTTTGCAACGGGAATCGACTTAATAGCAAATTTTTGTTTTCTTGAAGATTGATGGATCCGGACTGCTTCCCTAACAGTTCCAAAATGGCCATGGCCTAATACTTTTATAAACTTATAATGGTCACGTATATCTGAATAATAATTACTTTCACGGGTAACACCTCGTAAAGAGGATGTAGGGACAAACTCACCGATTGTAGGATATCTTCCTCGATTGTGCGGAACATTGCAGCATACTCCCATATTTGTGTGTAAAGATTCAGTGAAAGAGATTATTATAATTATTTCAAAAAGATTTATAACAGATCATAAATGATACATAAATTATTTCATAAAGCTTAGTTAATAATGGCTATATTAAAAAAAAATAGATGAAACTTACCATTCAATCAATAATTAGGCTAAGAAAAATAAAATTACCTTTAGAAATTATCGATTGATATTTATAAATCCTAATTAAGCAAAAATTCTGTTTTTCTTTATTTTTGCAAAGTATCTGGCTTAGTACAGCATCCTGTAAAGTATGCAGCAACTCTTCTGATAAAATATTTAAATCTTTCAGAATTCTAGATCAGTAAAACCTGTATCGGCTCAAAATTAAAATGCCTCAGCTGAATTCATAAGCAGTTCGTTTTAAAATTTCATTCTTTATGTAAACTGGATTTTAAAGATTTTTGCTGTAAAATCACGCCAGAATTTAAATAAAAACTCATTTCTATTGTATTCTTTAAACAACACTTTATATCAAAATAAATATATATAGCCATGAACTTGCATTTATTTTTACTATATATATTTTATTTAAGAAAGCAAATAAGGAAAATGATATAAATGGAAAGAAAAGCAATAGACCTGTTAATCTTCATTCCAGAGCAGCCAACTTACTGAATAATTGCCCCAGATACTCTAAAAGAGCTCCTAGAAATGGTCTCACGGCAAATCCATTTAGACCCTTCTCAATTCCACATAATGTACGAAAGGAGAGGAAACCTTGTCAAAATAATTGACGAAAGGACCTATTCTTCTATCATAAGTCGGTCAATTTCATCATCCCTCGATGAAATTTCTTTTACTGTCCAATTTGTTAAAAAATCAATCACAGCACTACATGAGCCGATAGCAGACTTATTAGTCTCAAGCATTCCTCAAGAAACTGCTCAAGCCTCAACAGAAGACACAACTCAAGAAAGCAGCTTTAAAATTGAGCGAAAATTATTAAACATCCCTCGGATCTGGGTCGAAAATGACCCACAGTGGATGGATTCAGATTCAAATCCAAAGATAAATTCCATCTCTGCCAAAAAAAAATTGCTCTGCCCCAAATTGACGATGAAATCGCATGTAGACGGCATTAGAGGGATTCATTTTTTTAACTCCAAAGCAGTTCTTGCATCAGGATCTGAAGACTGTATGATTAAGCTGTGGGATTTGAGAAGCTTAAAAAATGAAACTGAAGTATGGGATCCTTATTTGACGTTAAGAGGACACATAGGAGCTATTTTAGCAATCGCAGGAGGATATAGCTGGGGCGGCATGAATATTAATGAAAATTTATTGTATTCAGCAGGAACTGAAGGAGTCATAAAAATATGAAAAATTCCGCACCCAGATTCAATTGATAATGAAATTTCTTCAGAAGGAGAAACTTATTGTCTTGGAACTTGGACTGGCCATAATGATGCAATATGAAGTTTAAATCACAGTCAAACTGAAAATGCGCTGATTTCTGCAAGTTCTGATGGCTCAGTATTACTGTGGAGAGCACTTGAAATTTCAAGATTAAATGAAAATTTAAGCTCAGGACGAAGGCATGCTCCATCAAGCATTTTCAATATTCCGAACGAAATCCCAACATCTTGTACATGAGTCCAAACAAACCTCCAATACATAGCGGTAGGCTATAATTCAAATGCTTTGAGTGTTTTTAATAGAGAAACATCAAGGTATTTTAGAATTCCTTATGCAGGAGAATTACAAAGATTTTGCCATCAAGTCAATCAACTGATCAGTTCTTCTGCAAATTCTTTGCTAATTGCAGCACACGATGATAAAAGAATAAGATTTTATGATATAAACTCTAACTCTTGCATCAAAGATATGGTAGCTCATACAGATTCTGTGACTACAGTTTCAATTGATAAATCAGGATTTTATTTAGTCTCTGGTGGACATGATGGAAGCTTGAGATCATGGGATCTAAGGAAGTTTCAATGCTTGCAAGAGCTTCCTGTGCATAGAAAAAAGTATGATGAAGCCGTTCATATTGTTACACATCATCCAACTTTGCCTTTATTAGCCTCTGGAGGGGCTGATTGCTTAGTAAAACTTTTCGAATTTAAATAATGTAATATATTTTTGGAATTAAATTATTATTTTATCCCCCCTGATAAATAATATGAAAACAAATAGAAATCCTGAACAATTGAATATATTAAATCAACTATCAAAATATCTTGATTTTGAAATTCATTATTTTAAAAAGCTGCTGATTAGCTCTCAAAAAGCAGAGATGAATAGAGAAATAGCGAAAATAGAGAATTTCTTGGAAACAATGAGTTCAGAGATAAAATGGAATTATCAAAATGACATGTTAATCCAACAAATTTTAAAGCATTATAAAACTATTACTGGCCAAATCAAAATTTTATCTGATTTTGTAGGAGAAAAAGAAGAGAGACTTAGAGACAACTCACTATTTGAAGAAATTAGCAGTTCTTCAGAAAAATGCAAAAGTATAATTATTAGAGAAATCAAAAATATGCTGCTTGCTGGAGAAGATGAAAATACTTTAATAGAAAGATTTGATTATCCTGAAGTCCAAAAATCTTCAGGGTACTTATACGATGTCTATTTAGAACTTGTATTAAAAGCAACTTTTTCTAATTATATTTTACAAATAAAAGATGAGCTCCATTTTGATATTAAAAATGCATTTGAAAGTTTATCAGATGAAGATGTGCAATCAATTTTTACTCACGAGAACATATTTGGAGAAGATACAAGATTAAAATATAACGATACGGTATTGAAAAGATATTCTATAGATATAGGCAAATGGGATTTCTACCAGCTAGCAGCAGGCAAAAAGCGAGAATCCAACTCTCTAAGCTATAATGAGTTAGAAAATTTTTTAAATTGGATGGATCTGAACCAAGATAGCATATACAATTGCTTAAAATATTATATTTTGAATCTCTTGGTAGCAAGCTTATTAGTTAAAGCTCCAACTCCAAAGATTGATGAGCTTGACTGAGATCAAATTATGTTTTCAGAGTTACTTAATACTTCAACAGTCATCAGTGGGAGTTTAGCTGATTATTAATAATAATTTTATAATTATCTTTATTTAGTATTTTGTTGGGCAAAGCAAAAGAAAGTTATCTGTGGGACTAACTATTTACTTGCTTAATTGCTTATAGAGACCCGCATCCACTATTCGTCTTCTCATAATTTCTCCATTGCGTGTTTTCTAGTTCGGGCATGGCCTCCTTAAGGACGAGGGCTTGCACTCGCTATCTGGGCACCATGCTTTATGCCAATAGGCTCGCCTTCCAGAAAATTCGAAAAAGAATTTTATGATAAATGTAAATCAAATGGGACTCAAAGCCTTGACACAACGCCTGATATCGCACTCGATCAACCGATAAAATCCCTCTGTCCTTGTTGAGCTGCCCATTTCAAAATCCGAAGTTCCATCTCCCTACGGGGTAAAAACTGAACTGGATATAAGCATGCGGCCAGCTAATACCAATATTGCGCTCCACTAAAACAACAAAAGCCCGAAGGATATGCATTTCCAAACGCTATCCTCTGCTCCAGAAGTTCGTTGGGTAAATATTCGGCTATAGATTTTAAGAGTGTAGGCTGGCTCACCACACCATTTTAATTTATCTTGGGACTTCCAATAATAAGAGTTCCGTTGATTATTACTGCTGATGAAGCAAAAATTTTATCTTGCGTGATTATGTCTTCAACAATTCAGCTGCCATTATTATTTGCCATTCTACTTACTCCTCCTGCTATGCTTGATCTTATATCTCCGTGCTTGTAATCTCATGATATCTTCATATATTCAATGATTTTGCTAAATCCTGTTACCAAGAAGGAGCCATCATTTTGCTTACTCCCTTTAAGGGTGAGCAAAATAATTGAAAAGTCCCTATTTTTGCCTTTAAGAAAAGCAAAAAATTCTAGTAAACATTCTTTTTCTATAATATTTTGATACATATTATAACTGCTAGAAAGAGATCTCTTACTAATTTTATTAAATTTTAGACAGCTTGCATTCTTAAACATTAATTTTTTAAAACTAATTCTTTTTTTTCAAATCGGAATATTTTAAAGTTTCAAAAAACATTCCTTTTTATTACCCCTTTAAACATTATATACATTGAAATGCGGTATGTGTCAACCTGCCCTCTTTGCGCAGTCCAGACCTTATGGCCATGACCAACTGGGATAGACTCCAAGTCGAGAATCGAGTGCAGGCTCAAGAGATGTGTATCTGGCAGGTTTTGGCTGCTTTCCTTTGGGTTGAAAATCGAGTTCTCAACAACATCCTTTGGATCCGAGGATCCATGGGTATTCCTCTACCGAGAAACTGGGAATTTTGACCCAGGCGACAGTAGTCTTTTTTGTGTAACTGTTGAAGGAAGGCACTTCGGCATAGCAGACTTCAAGTATCCTTGGGATCGAGCTACTCCAGCAAGGCCTCAGAAATTCATAAGCCCACTCAGTGCTGAAGCAACAAGGAGGAGACAGAAGATCCCGGATGTGGCATCCACTTTCAGGGAAGACCTCTGGGCTGAAGTCGAAAAGCGGTTGAACCTCTGTACGGGAGGTCTTTGGTGTTGTGCCACCAATGGCGAACGCCTGACTTTAATAGTCTAACCGAATCCCTTAAAATATTTTGTTCGCTCTTAAAGGGAGGAATTATCAATATTATCAACATGATGTTGGAATTTTACTGTTGCATTATAAGTAAGGCTGAAATCCTCTTTTATATCATAAATTTTTACTATCTTTTGTACAGCTTCATCAACAAAAAGTTGGTTGTTTGACAAATGCATCCCATTAAAATTTCCTTCAGTGTCCTGAATAGTGCATTCTGGGTGTCCTCCTTTGCTTTCTTTGCAATAATAAAGATTTGTGCTTTTGGTCATTATCAAATAATAATCTCTTTTGAGAGTTGTCCATAATGAATGATCTCTTCCTTCCAGTTCATCTGGGAATGGCATTCATTCACTCACGTAGAAATGTCCATCTTTCAGCACAGCTATATCATTTAATTTCCCAAGTCAATCTTGTGGAAATACAATAGACCTTATATACCTTGCTTTAATGCGTTCTTTTTTGGTTTCTAATAGTCCAAAAATTTCGATTCGTTCACCATAGTTGCCATATGCATGGTTTAAAACGTAAAGTGTGGAATTGTCGAGTAGGAATATTCCATGAGGATTGAAAGGGATGTCAGACGGAAATTTAGACATAGGGATTGATCCCCAGGTTTTTGAAGCTGGGTCAAAATAGAATAATGAGCCTCTGGTACTGTTGCTAGCACTTAAGTGCTTATAATAGTAAGTTTTAATATCGCCTATTGCTGATATCACTAGATTTCCATAAAGCTCAAAATCTTCTGCAGCTAAAGGTATGGCGTGCATTTTGCATTTTTCATGATCATGCAGTTTTACTGTCACTATAATGTCAAAAAAGTCAATAAGAAAGTAGGCAGCCCAGCTTATCAGAATCACGATGAAGCTAAAAAATAGGCTACAAATCATTCAACAATATGGTTTATATATAGCTTAAAATAATGATCTATAAAAGGAGCCCCTTAAGAATTGAGTTAAATTATTCATATATTGGACATTTTGCACCTGGCTCTGATAAGTGTAACTCATTGCATGAATTGAGAAGATTTCTGAAAAGTCAATATTTAAAACATTGAGATCTTCGTGTATGCAGTCATTTTACCTCTTAAGTGGCTTTCTATCTGTGCAAAGATTATATAAACAGTATAATTAATAAATTTTTTTTCTTTAACATTGAGAAAACGCCATGATTATAAATACTTACCTTAAATTATTTTTTATTCCTAGTCAATTCTGCAAGTCAAGATGAAATTATCTGTCGGTCCTCCGATAAAGATATTTCCATCTTCAATCACTGCAGAAGCAGCAAAAATTTTATCTTCAACTATCACCTCTTCAACTTTCCAACTGCCATCATTTTTAGTCATTCTACTAATTGTTGATACAACTGGTGATTTTTCCTTATCTGCTTTCAAACGGTCTGCAAGCTCCATAAATTCAATCATTCTATTTATTCCAGTAACCAATATAGACCCATCTTTTTGCACAACTATATTGTCTAAATGATGAGAAAAGCTTACTGTCTCAGCTAGGGCAAGGCTGTAATCTTCCTGTATATTATAAATATATACAGATTTTTCTACTGTATCAGCAACAAAAAGCTGATTATTAATCTTATTAATTCCATTCACCATGTACCCTTTTGCTTGGGACATGCACTCTGGAGCTTTCCCTTGCACTTCTTTGCAATATAGAACATTTGTATATTTCCCTGAAACATTCCAAAACATTTTCTTTATTGTTGTAAGTAATGAATGGTCTCTTCCTTCTGGTAAATCTGGATAGACCAGCCATTCAGAGATATAAAAATGTCCTTCTTTTATGACTGCAATATCATTTAATCTTCCAAGCCATTCATTGCCAAACTCAATTGATCTTAAATATTTAGCTTGAATTCCCTCTGCAGATTCAAACAAACTAAAAACTTCAACTCTTTCTCCAGAGTTTTGGCTCAGAGTCATTTGATCGGAGAATTTTCCTCGCATTTTCGTCCTCATGAGATATTTGATAGAATTTTAATGTGTTTTTCCCAAGTAATTGTCTCGCGAGGAAAAAGCGACGATCAAAAATCCAAGGAAAAGTCGCAGAAGAAAGAATACCTACCAAATGATTGTATCGGAGTTTCCAAATGCCATATTTATTGCGTAAAGTGTATTATTATTGTGGATATCAATTCCAAGAGGGTTGAAAGGTAAATCTGATGGAAATTCTAGCATAGGAATATAACCCCAATGTTTAGTCTTGGGATCTATATAAATTAATGACCCTTTCTGAGCTTTTTGAGCTGAAAGGTGCTTATAATAGCATGCTAAAATATCGCCCATTCCTGAGATAATGAAATTTCCATAAATAGCAAAGTCTTCAGCTTCTGATGGCAGAGAAATTTTTTCACATTTTTCATCATGATGCAGATTGTTCGTGACAAATACATCTAATTTATTAAGCAGAAAGTAGGCAAGCCAGCTTACTCCTATGGTCAAAAGGCAGATGATCAGTTTCAGATCCATTTTTATAGTAATTATATAAAATTCTAGAGCAATGGAGATTTTATGCAAGCATGGCTTCTTGATTATATCTAAAATAGTATAATTTTTATTTATTGCAATATAGATCGTAAAATTCAAAACGCCAACCTGACTTGAATAAATTATCACACATTAAAATGGCTGGAGAAACAGCCTGCCCTCTTAGCACCTGTTGCCAGACTCGCATACAGGAGGCGAATTGAAACAGGGACATGAAACGTCGTTATGATTGGCGAGAGCTACCCTAAAATAATCTAAGTTAAGTGACTTGAATACCAAAATTCGTAATCACCTAAAAAATTCTAAATAATTTTTGCATGAAAGAAGTTAAAATAGAAATAGTCAAGATAAAATGATATAATAATTTTTATATATTAGAGAAAAGAATTCTATAGGTATTTTATATTTTCTTTATATGAAATAATAGCGGGTGACATCCAACTCATCCTCTCAACGACGATAATATGCATATATTTGGGATGATTTTTGCAGTATGTTGACCCTAGCAATACCAGGACCCTCAAGTCTAAAGCCCTAACACAAACTTGCTAGTTTTTGCTTTTATTCTGGCATTACTAAATGCTCCTTTTTACAAAGAGACCATGCTTCAGAAAGGATATCTGCTTGACTAGACCTCGGAATGTGAGTTGGAAGAATGGCTGGCCCATTATTTGCGGGCTATCTAAAAGATCAAATAGGATTTCAAAACACAGAAGCTTCAACCAGTTGATTGATAATGCTGTATAAACTGTATTTAAAATACACAGCAAATTTTTTGGAAAATTTGTATCATAATATGTTGAATCGTTCTTTATTTTAAATAAATCATATAGAAATTATGATAAAATGGAAAATACTCTAGATATTCAAGAATATTCGCCAATCATAAAAAGTCAAATCTGGCATTATGAAATAGGAAATACTCATGGATTTTGGTTTTCAAGCACAGGGAAACCAAGAGTAGTCATTGGTCCTCACTGTAACAGACAAATTAGGGATGTATTGTTTAATTTCCGTTTTATTATTTACAATCATATTTGGAACATTGCTGCTGTTTAGCTCTTATTTTGTCCCAAGAATTATGTCTACAATAAGCTGAGTTGCTTATTGCACTTGTCTAACAAGCTGGCTTATATCTGGATTAAAAAATCCAGGTCTCGAACTTGAAATACTTACTAATCAACAAGAAATAACGAAATATTTTAACGATAAGAAATTTTGCAGGGTTTGTGAAGTGCTGAGAGAGCCTGGGACACTTCATTGCGTTGAATGTGATGTCTGTATCAAAGAAAAACAAAGTCATTCTTTAATAGTAGGAAAATGCATTGGTAAAGAAATAAAAGTTCCTTATTATATATTGATAGGATCAATTATTTTTCTTGCATCATATATTGGATTTATAGCAGTGTATGCTATTTTTATTTAATAATAGCACGGTTTAAGTTTAAGTTTAAAAGAATTACTCTTGCACTTCAGTGCTATAAGCCTGTATTACTTGAGGTCCAGCTAAATTAGCAGCTCTGAGCAACGGTGGATGGACCGGCCTAGCCGTCGAACCGTTAAGCTAATAAGCCCTTCCGAGACTTCTCTAGTAGTGTCAGCCTCAGCATTGACGTCTTCTCTTCAAGCCGAGACTCTTAAGAAGCTTTAGACTTCTCCCACTAAACTCAGTATATAGGCCCATCCTGCGGGTGACAGGAGTTAGGACCTATCCCTAACTGATTTTTTAATACTGCGTAGCACAGTTTAAATTACTCTTATTCTAATAATTTATAAAAATTGTAGCATTTCGCTGTGTGCAAGAAAAGTGCAGTAATCACAAAAAAAGCTAGAGATTATGAAAACTAAAATTTGTTTGTTAATTAAGCATTCATGGGCTTAAAGTGCTCTGACTGCATCTTCAGCATAATATTTAACATCCATATCTGTGTCATTTTTTGGTTTCAGGGCTAATGATCGTGCACTTTTGATAGTTTACATTCACCAAAGTACATTTTGTCGAAAAATTGGTTAAAGCTTTTTTGATAGTGAGACATTTCACCGAAAAAGCCGTTAAATTTTGACTATATGTCACACTATTTAAAAATGTTCGACCAAATGTACTTCGATGAAATGCATATTGTCAAAAATACACTGTCATTTGACATACAGCCCATTTTTTAATTGATCGAGCAATAGCATTATATCTTTTCTATTAGTTGTAGATTCCACTAAATTTTTAATTGTTTTCGCTACATTGAACCTTATATTCGGCACTCTATCTTTTGATAGTGTTTTTAAGCACAAAAAGCAGTCATTGTCATCTAAATATTTTCCAAGCTTGCTTATGATTCTAAGTGCTGTCATTCTTTTATTAAATGCAGGACTATAGCTCAGCACATTTATAAGTGGCATGATATAAATTCTTAATCATTCTCCGTCAAAAGCAATAGCTAACTTATTAGCAGCCTCTAGCACAGCTTCTCTAACAGCAAAAACTGGGTCTTCAATTCATTTCATTAAAGGCGTTGCTAGATGCTCATTAAATTCATCTTTTCCTAAAATAGTTCCAAGCTGGGCCAAGCATTCTACAGCTTTTAGCCTGACCCTTCATTGAGAATCTCCCATCAGCTGAATGAGCAAAGGCACAGAAAACAATGAAATTTTATCAGTAGCCAACGATCCATTGAAAGTTTGAATATGCTCTGCAAAGCCCATCCTTACTTCAAAATTATCATCTTTTAAAAGCTGAGTTACCAATGGAAGAAGCTTTAATATAACGATATCAGAGCTTAGATGTGGAGAAATTTGGCATATGCTTTGCATGAGAGCAAGCCTAACATATAGTGATGAATCTTTTACTAATATTTCTAAAGTTGGGAAAAGCTGAGACTCGACCATATGTGAAGGAATCGATTTAAAAATCAAAGGCAGCTTTTTTAAAGCAATACATCGAACTTCAGATTCAGAGTCCTGGAATAAATTTAATATTTCTGGCAGGAAGTCATGGATAACATTTTCTAGCTCGATTATTTCTTGCAAATGGTCTAAAACTGCATATCTAACTCTTCAGCTTTTATCGTTAGAAAATGTTTTTACATGCTCAAGCAATTCTTGATGGTTTTTAAGTAATTTTGTAATGCTTTCTAATGCCATTTGTCTGATGCTGTCATATTCATCAATGCGTAACTCATCAAATAATTTCATCAGCTCTTTACTTTCATATACTTGAAGAATTTTTCCTAATTCCTCCCCCTTTAAATTGGATCAAAATCGATAAAAATTTCCATTTTTAGGAGTTTTTAACCCATAAATCGAAAATTTTTCTAATAGAGCGAAAAATACTAATTTTTGTATAAAATTAAAAATATTTTTAAGCAGTTTTAACACTGAATTGACTAATTTTTTATTAATTCTTTGTAAAAATAAAATTTAAAAATTCAAAATATTGCATCCAATATATTTTTTTTTAATTTTTAATTTTTTTTAAATTGGAACAGGGTTTTTAGTTCTAATTTAAAGGATGAGGGTAAGTTTTCTGCAGCAACTTTTCTCACAAATGAAGATTCGTCTTTAGCCAGCTTAATAAATTCAATCTCAAGCTCAGCTTTTTTATCACTAGTTAATCGTGATAATGGAATATGGAATAAATTACATGCAGCAACTCTTCCATAGTATGACTCACTTCCAGAAAGATTGTTTATCACTTCACTTATTTTTTCTTCTAAAATATTTTTTGGCAGCTGCTCAGCGATTTTATTGATGCTTTGAACAGCCTTGTCTTGGACAACTGTTTCTTCGCTTCTTGATAGGCTTTGCAATGGAGGAAGTAAGCAAGCAAGATAATCGAGCCCTCCAACGTAATTAGAGAGGTCTCCGAGTTTTGAAGCGATTGCAAGCAAAACTTCTTGATTGTCATCTTCTAATAGCTCGTTTATATAAGGCACGAGCTCCTGCCGAGTTCTTATGTCTCCAATTGCTTCTGCAATTTGTTCCAAGCTATTGATAGCATGCAGTCTTGTGTTGTGGTCTTCTGCTTTAAGCTCATCAATTAAATAAAGAATTGTATCAAATTCTTCATCCATTTAAGTAGCAATTATTATATCGTATTAAAATTTGGAATGCTTTGATAGGAGTTATCATTTTATGATTATAAATGTGCTTTATAGTGATTGAATTTCTTTAAATTTGGGACTATATTATCAAGATAAAATATTTTGAATCTAGACTTATAGAAAAATGAAATGGGTTTCAAAAATTTAGTTGATGACTCTGAGCTATTTCCAAATTCAGGCTAATCAATTTAATTTATGAAAAATTCCCAATATTAAAATAACAATTAATTTCCCTTCAAGGACGAGCAGAAAAATCTTGCCGCTTAAATAATTTTTTTTTTAAATTTTATTATAAAATTGAAATATAACCTTTTTCGACAAAAGTCCTTAAAAAGTGATTAATTTGTCAATTAGCAATTTTAACAATGATTTTGCCCACTCTTAAAGGGGGAGTTAGAAATTAAATCTTGATACGTATAGCATAATTGCTTGCGTGTATTATTTAGTCTAGAAGTTTTTTGTTTTGCATTATTTTTAAAACAACTAGATTTAATAAAAGATTTAAAAAATCATCTTCCATTATAATAATTTGCATTCTCAGAATTCGCATAAACTTCAAGAAATTTGAAAATTTGTAACCGGTATTAATTATCATTTGATTAATTAACAGATATGGCAAGAGATAATTAAATATAAAAAATTTAAAATTTATGTCGATATTTTTAAAACAAACTACACAGCGCAAGAATCAATGCTCCCAGCTTATCAATCTGACTGGAAACCTCAAAATTCGTCGTTTTTTAAGATACTGAATCCATTTTTATGAGGACTGAAAAAGTAACCTGCTTCACGTGCCTATAAAATATACCTCTAGCAGTGAGCATACAGTCTGATGAAGAGCCTCGCCTAATTATTTATTAAAAATAGAAAATTAGATTTTTGTCTAATAATAATATTTCTTTAATTTGATATATCCGAATATAATCAATAATATGAGCCTATTTGGATATACGTTAGAAGAAACTAGCAGCGAAATCGACTCTTGGGTATCAGAAATCAGAGAAAACCTTAACCACATAACAAATAAGAAAGCCGAAGACTACGGCTTTGACTTCACAAACGAAATTCCTCGAACATCTATTGCAAAACGTTTTGAATGGGAGGAAATCCCAGATGATACTAAACCATCATGTGGATTCTATTCCAGTTTTCGAAATTCTTATGCGAGATCAAGTTTATCTACTATGCCGTCTTTAGACGCCGATCAAGTTGAAGAAATTCCAAAAATCCTAGACTTAAATCTCAGGGTTTCGTTAGAAAGCGAAAATGTCAGCGATTTTTCTTTGAAGAATCAGCAATCTATATAATCTAGTTCACAATTTTGGTGTAAGGTAACTAAATTTGCTATACAAAATAAAAATGCTTGTTTTATAAAGTAAGCAACGTAATTGAAGAATTATTTTTTTTTAATCATTGGAGTAAGAATTTAAAGTTAAACTTGTAAATTGTGGAGTAAATGTAAAGTGCGCCATATTCATATATGATTAAAAGCATGATTATGTTAGATTAAAGTCACGAAAACCCGCGAAATCAGAATATTGAGGATTTAGCAATGGCTATTTCCTAATTATGAAATTAAAAGAAAAAGAAGCGATTTAAGCCTTTTTAGTTTGGAACTAAAAATGTTGGTATCTTAAGTAAAAAAATTATGAATTATGGCAGATTAGATTAATAACAAATTTTTAATTTAAACTAATTCACGCAATTGTGAAAATTGTTAAAATAGCATGTTTTACGAAGGATTAAAGCAATTAAATACTGAGTTCTTTAAAAAATAAAGCATTTCCATTTTCGATTTACAATCAATTATTATACCAGATGTCAAAAGTAATCCTTGAAAAAACCTTGCAAGCAGCAGTCCAATGCCCAGCTCTTCTTAATGAAATATCTATTTCATCATGTCAAGAAACTCATGTGCTGTCAATATTCCAAATCTTAGCAGCCCATAAAATTCCTCCTCCGGTAATTTACTATAATTTGTCCTATTCTTTGCTAGGAGCATCTCAAAAGTTTTCAATTTATCGCGAAATCCTAAAAAAAGTTGACACAAGCTCGACATCATCTATGATAAAAAGTTTGATTACAAATTATTACAAATATAAGCCAAGTTCAATGCCGAAATTGCATTTTTCAATTGACCAGCAGGTGAAGCTTATAAAATCGCTTTCTATTTTAAGTCTAGAGCCTAGCTATTCCTCTACAGCAAACAATTTGCTTTTTTATTTTTCAGATCTGATAATAAGAAGCCCTAATTTTGTGACACCAAATCAAAGCATAGAGATTCTAAATTCCATTATGCAGCTTAAAACCACAGATCAGAGCCTTTATTGCCTTACAAATATGTGCAAAGTTAATCTAATTAACAACATCACATCAGTTTCAGAAGATCTTGGATTTTATAAAGAAGTAGATCTTGGACCTCACACTGAAAGAGATTTTTTATATAGTCTTATTATTGCAAAAAATTTAAGTAATATACTATTTAAAATAAATGTAAATAAATTTTCACTGTTATCAATATAAAATATTATAAATCTATATGATGGATAACCCAATACAAAGAATAATTTAAAATAAATTAATTTTTACTAAAAAATTCATTTATGTTCTTTTTCAATTTAATGTGAATCTTTTTGGTAATTTGCTGGCCGCTCCTGCCTTTCTTTTTAAGGCTGTATCAATAATAGTTTATAATATTTGTATAGAACGTGAAAAATAAATTACTTGGCTTCCCAGCGATAAGAATTTGGTAAAATTTTCAATTGTGTAAATATTCGACCACTATATTTTTAGTAGTAGCAGGCAATATTGCAAATATTTTTTTCTCATCTAACGACAATGTTTCAAATTTTCCATACACATCCATCCTTTTTTGTTTTAAAAATAAAAGTTCAAGCAGCACTAATAGTAGGCCTTTAGTTGGATCATTTATCAGTGAATCACTCATGAAAGATTCTCTTCATTCGGTTAACGTCTGTGGAAAGCCAATCAATTCATGCGGTATTTCTCTTAGTAAACTATTATAAATTTTGACTTGAATTTCATCAGATGGATCTAATTCTTTTTGGGAAAGCCAAATCAGAGTATTATAGCCCTCGCTTCTTATTTCTATCTCTGTTTTCTTACAAAAGCATAATCAAGTACTCTTGCATATCTTATATCTCTTCTCAGATCCAAGAGGCACACATTTTAGAAAGTTTGCTTTATAATCACAGACACTTTCTTCTTCAATTATTAAAGTAGCATTATTAGTCTCCAAAGATTTTTTCTCAGTGCTTTTATTTGTAAATGGTTGGCTAAACACAGGATTCTGCACATTTATTTCTGTTATATCAGTTATAGTGCTTGGAACATAATCTTCATCAACTATTTCTATATTTAATTCATCTCTAGACTCTGTACTTTCAAATTTAGGAGGATGAGATCTTTGTATTTCACTCTCATCAAACCTCACATTGAAAGGCGCTGCACCGATATGAGGACCTCCTTCACTTACATGATGCCTTCCTGCCCCTAGATCTCCTGTACGTTCTCTTCCTTTATTTTGATGGATTGTTGAGCTTCGGCTTCTGGGCTTTATGCCAGTTTCAATGTTTAAGTTAGAATCTTGAGGAACTGCGGGCTCCTCAGTTGCCCGTTTTATGCTGAATTTTTTTCTATTACTTTCTTGGCCTGACTTAAGATCTCTACTTTTTTGATCACGCTCTGATGATTCTATAAAGTCTAAAGAGACAGGATCTGAAATTTGTGCTGCATCAGAGTACCCTACAGTGTCGGAGCCTGATATTTTCAGTTCTTCAGATCGATGAGTGCCTATATCTCTATCTGTATTAAATTTTTTATGAAGCTTTACATTAAAAGCTTTTTCTAATTGTTTTGGTTCTGGTAGTAGAGCTTTACTTTCATCATTCATACTGTCGGAAATCCTTATATTGCTTATAAGAGTTCTTGAAGGATTTTCCATTATTTTCTATTAATTTGAAGAATTAAGGCATCTGCTTTAAGACAACTTTTTCACATTAATTTAATTAATTATTCATGATACTAAGAATCAGTTTTGCTTGTAGCTACAAAAGTTGAAACGCATGCACAGACCTTTAAAGTGCAGGAACATAATAATCTAAAAATGTTTGCCATAAAGTAAATAACGACTACAAGGGCAACAGAGTCTGTAAAATTCAAGTCTTGGTCACAGGAATTGTATTCAATATAAATTACAACACAAACTATTCCTCATGCGAGCTGGAAGCATAAAATAAACCAAGTTACTATACAATATGATATAGCGCAGTAGGCAGATAAGGCATGTTTAATACAATTTGGAGGTTTCTTGACGAAAAACACAAAATTGAAGAATATGAGAGCATCTGCTGCCATTGTGATGAAGGAGCCTAACAAAAGCTGTGACATCATTTCTCCACAATAGCTGGATAATATGTAAGTTACCATGCATAAGGCGCTCAAGCAAAGCTTCAAGATTGAAAAGACCAAATCAAAGTAAAAACAAGGGATCACTTTTTGGTTTAAAAATTCTGATCCTGATCGCTGTATTAGAACTTCGTCATGGCCGCTGTCCATATTGAGATTATTTATAGCGGAATCGAGTAAATTTCTCATTTTTACTCCAAGTATCTTGACGAATTCAAAAAAGTTATAGGCAATAATATAAATTCTTCAATAATACTATTTCTATCATTGATTTTCATATTAAATATGCTTACATCACACAAATTAATTGGAAACTATGATAAATATTGCATTGATTCTGACGTGCCAAAAAAGGGATTTAGTGTTAAAATACTAAATTTTCAAGAAATGCCTTTTGGCTTGTCAAGATCATTAAGAAATTAAAGCAACAGATGATGACTTTTTCTGAAGCTAATAATTTCAGTCATATTAATTAAATTCGTTTGCTGAAAGAGTTAGACATCTTATTCGGCTTTCTTCTACTTGTTTTCCCCAAAAGCCTGGAGAGTCCTCAGTTCGCAAGCTAGCATTAATTCCTGGAGATGGAATAGGCCCAGAAATTTGCTCAGCAGCTACAGAAGTTTTATCGGCAATTCACGCTCCAATAGAATTTGAAACATTCCCTAGCCTCAATATCAACGATGACAACTCAATTAAAAAAATAAAGCATAACATTAAATGGCGATGACGAGCGACTCGTCCTTCACATGGCAGGTGTCCTTATGTATATCCAGATGCGTTTTTTGGTGCAAAGTGCTACCCAAGGTTTGGGCTAACCTCGAAGCGAGAGGCGCAGCACTATTTCTGCTGATTAGTGCTTGGCCCGACCGACAGTTTTTCACATATTTTTTACCAGCAACATCCAAACCCAGAAAGGGTGTACTATAGAGGCAGACTTACCCTCTTAAGCTGCTTCATGGCGTGTTCCGAAGAATCGCAAACATGTTGAGCTTTTCTTCCGGGGCTGATTCGGGGGAAAAGGGGAAGGCAGGCTATATAAAATTCTCATGGGCTAGTCTCTCCCATCTAAAAGATCCCAAAAAGAGCTAACTAGGGTCGGATAATGGTGTCTTAGGAGTTTGAAAAGGTTGCGCCTAGAAAAATTCATATAACCTGGATCAAAAGTGCGCGCAATACCAAGAAACCGGAGGTTTTATCCCGGTATTTTGGAGTCTTTTGACGGCTACACCACAGCGATCGCTGTGAACGCATGGCGCTGCTAGAAGTGGACTTAAATATTTTGCCTAATCTAATCTAAAAAAATAAAATCATACCCAGCTGCACTAAAAGGGACAATCAGTCACCAAGTAGGCGAAGGCGCAAGTAATCCAAATGTGCTTTTCAGGAAAAAATTAGAAGTCTATGCTAACGTCTGCCATGCTTTTTCACTTCAAGGTATCAAGACTAGGCACGATAATATAAATGTCATAGTTATCAGAGAAAACCTTGAAGGAGAATACAGTGGGCTTGAACATGAAGTTTATCCTGGCGTTGTAGAGTCTATTAAAGTTATAACATATGATGCCTCACTAAAAATTGCGAAATATGCATTTGAACTTGCATACATGAATAATCGCAAAAAAGTCACAGCAATTCATAAAGCGAATATTATGAAAAAGGCTGATGGAGAATTTCTAAAAGCAGTGAGACAGGTCGCGAAGGAATATAGTCAGAGCACCTTTATGGCTTGGGCTTCCCAATTTTTCCCGCTGATCGAATCAACTAATTTTGGTTTGACAACTCCCCAAATGGCACAAACCCTGCATCATGTGATTTTGTCACTTGGGGAGATGGTCAAACCTGCATTATTGGCTCGATCAACTCACTTCTTTCTCGTCGAAAAGATCGGGAAACCCAAGCTATAAAGATGCTCGGACTATATCCGACTATTCAATACCAAGAGATGATTATAGATAATGCTTCAATGCAAATGACTTCAAATCCATGGCAGTTTGACGTTGTGGTATTGCCAAATCTTTATGGGTCAATTATTAGTAACATTGTTTCTTTCCTGGTAGGAGGACCAGGGATAACTCCAGGTGTAAATATTGCTAACGACTTCGCATTATTTGAGCCTGGGACCAGACATTTGGCGAAAGATATTGCAGGTAAAGGGATTGCTAACCCAACAGCAATTTTATTATCAAGTGCTATGATGTTGAGACATTTAAATCTTCCTCATTTTGCAGAAAGACTTCAAGAAGGACTTTTCAAAACAATTCGCGAAGGAAATGTACTTACTAAGGATATTGGTGGTGTTGCAACTACATATGAGTTCACCAAAGAAATAATTAAAAACATCCAACAGTAAATTGGATTTTATGCTTATACGTGCCAAATATTTGGTTTAAATGCTAATATTAAATATATTCAATGATTAGAGAATAAAATCATTTGTCTATTTATAAAACTATTTTAGTGTCAGACAAAAATCTAAAAAAGAGAAAATCTGACCTAATTTTTCTATAACAAAGAAAACGTTAGTAACTTGATTAAATGCCTTAATAATAGTGCTTATGAACTAAAATTTTATCATATCTTAAACCAATCATAAGAAAAAAAATTCCCTCCAAATTCTTTTTTCATCGCATTTGCCTTCTCATTAATTTTTTTCTGAACCTAGTTAAAATGAATAAAAATAGTCATCCTGATTACTATTTTATATATAAAATGGATAAAGGTTACCAGTGAATATGCTTTTATTAGTTGAAATTAGGTATATCTGATATTGCTCCTTCTCTTATTATTTCTTCGTTTTATCCTTCCTCTTGTTCTTGTCTGTCATGCCTCACAATCATATTTAGAAATTCATCAAAAAATCTACCTCGCCATATTGAATTAGAAAATAAACAGATTTTCAACTATCTTAATTCTTTTATCCAAAGCAGTGATTTTGCCTCTAATAAAATATGGAACCCGGCAATTTGTCTGCTGACCCAAGCAGCTCAGAATCTGAGAGTTCAAATTCTCGAGAAGAAACAATCAATGAGCACCGCGAATTTGCTAACTGTACCTCATCCTGACAGAACGATTTCCTTCTTTTTATCAAGATGGGAGTTAAAAAATTGTAAAAAAAGTATTATATTTTCTTTTTATTAATTCATATAATTATATATATTAAAAAATTTTCCATATAAAAGATATCATCGTGAGTGGTTAGAAGCATAGCATGCAATATGGCTAAAATTCATTAGAATTGCTAACTTCTACTCCCTTTAAATTAGTGTAAAGAATCTTATTCCAATTTAAAGGGGGATAGATTTTTTTAAATTTTTTAAAATTTTGAATTTATAAATTGAGGAAATATAAAAATTAGTATTTTCATCGTTAAAATTTTCCTATATTGAAAAAAAATTTGTTCCAATTTAAAAGACGGTCAAAGAAGAAAAAAATCAAATTTTAGATATTTTGTTACAATTTAAAGGGGTGCGGAGTAAGAATGATTTATGTGGCAATATCTCTTGCAGTAATTCTTGTTTAAAGATAGGTTGTTGGATTCGAGAAGAAGATTGGGAGTGAATTTGTATTTCTTGTTAAAGATAGGTTGTTGGATTCGAGAAGAAGATTGGGAGTGAATTTGTATTTGATAATGCGAAAATCGGTCTATCAAAGACTGGGTTTAATTTTTTAATTGAATTGTTTAATAAAGGATGGGAAAATAAGAAACTTAAGACTGAGCAATCCAAGTTCAATAAAAACCATAAGACTCTGCAAGAGAAGCTCAATCATCTCCTTCAGCAAGCAGAACATTATGCAAGTTTTCTCTTTTATGGAGGCGCCACAAACAATAAAACACCAGTCAAAAGTCCTGTCAAAAAGCGTCTTAAACGAGGCAAAGACGAAGATGAACTTATCCACGAAATGAAGCATGAGCATCGATTTAACAGACTTACAGCTCAGCCTACAATAATGAAAAATGGAGTCTTGAGAGACTATCAAATTGAAGGGGTTAACTGACTCTACAGCTTGTATCGTGCAGGAATCAATGGGATTTTGGCAGATGAAATGGGCTTAGGGAAGACAATTCAGTGCATTTCTTTTCTTGCGTATTTGAGGGAGCAGGAAGGAATTATAGGCCCACATTTAATTGTGGTACCGAAGTCAACACTGGGCAATTGGATTAAAGAATTCGAAAAATGGTGCCCAATTATCAGAACAGTTAAATTGGTGGCTGCTAAACCATATAGAGAAGAAATTCTTAAGAATGAGTTATAACTTTTACAATGATTTGATTATATAAATAAAATATAAGAATCAATTTTTTAAAGGAAGTGGGTTTTGAATTCTATAAAAACATAATTTTTTTAGCTTTAGAGGTTTAATTCCAGGAAAGTTTGATGTTTGTGTCACATCTTATGAAGGAATCACCATTTGTCAGAATTATCTCTTAGATTATTATAGAGCATTCCAGCCAGCTTTTTCGGCTCATCACGTCCCTTGCTTAGCTTTACCCTCTTGCTTGCCAGTCCGATTAAAAGGCCTGAAGGTACGTGTGCTCCTCACAATTGAGGGCTTGCATTTAAAACCCAAGAGTAAGGTCAGAAATTATCTTAAAAAATATAAATGGAGATTCCTTATCATCGATGAAGCTCACAAAATTAAAAATGACGAGTCCAACTTATCACAACTAATTAGACGTCTGCATAGTGATAATAGACTCTTAATTACAGGAACTCCATTGCAAAACAATTTACACGAATTATGAAGTCTATTAAATTTTTTGCTTCCGGACTTGTTTATACTTATTTAATTAAATCATTCAAGTATAATTTATTCAAGCCTTATCAGCCTATATTTTATAAATAAGAGTAGTTCTGCTTCAGATTTTGATGAATGATTCAGATTGGGAGCTGAAGAAGGTCTCACTGAAGAGGAAATCGAAGATAAAAACGTAAAAATGGTCCAGCAGCTTCACAAAATTCTAACTCTCTCCTCCCTTCATGAGAGAGTAACTTTTTCACTTATTTATGAAGGGGGTAATGTTTTAGATAGAATTGAATAAAATTTTTATTATTATAATCATATATATCAAAATACTTTATTTAAAATTCTTTAAATAAAAATTTTTGCTCATTACAAGAAGGATTAATTTTCTAAAAAGTAGAATTTTACAATGATTTTATATCTCACAGAGGGAATTAAAGCCTTTTATTTTGAGAAGGACTAAACTTGAAGTAGAAAAAGGAATTCCACCTAAAAGAGAGATTCTTGTAACAATTGGCATGACAGCGATGCAAAGAGATTTATATAAAAAAATCCTAACAAATGAACTATGTAAACTCGACAATAAAAGCCACTACTTAAACATAGTAATGCAACTTAGAAAAGTATGCAATCACCCTTTCTTATTCCCTGCAATGGACGACGAAAATGCTGCTGAAGAAAATGTGATTTTGACATCCGGGAAAATGAAACTGCTTGACAAGCTCTTGCCGAAGCTCAAAGAAGGCGGATCGCAAGTCTTGATTTTTTCACAAATGACTACTATGATGGACATTTTAGAAGACTATTGTGTCTTTAGAGAGTTTAAGTTCTGCAGATTAGACGGAACAACAGATATTTATGAGAGAGAAAAAATGATAGCAAAATTCAATAAGCCTAACTCAAAATACTTCATATTTTTATTGTCCACAAGGGCTGGTGGGCTTGGAATTAACCTACTCTCTTCCCGTTTAATTGGAACGAAAATTCTGTTCTAATTTAAAGGGAGTGATCTTTTTTTTTAAAAATATTTATATAAAAAGCTTTTGCTTTTTTAATTTTTTTAAAAAAAAATAAAAAATCCCAATATTTTTGCATTTTATTGGATTTTTATAAATAATTAATTCAAAAAAATTAATCAATTAAGAGTGAAAACTATTTATATAATATTCCACTTGAAATCCCTCCATTAAATAAGATCAAAGCTATTTATATAAAAAAATTAGCATACTTCCTATAAAATTTTTCCATTGAAAAATTAAAATTATGTCCCATTTTAAAGAGGGTTAATTTACTCAAAAAAATAGGAAAATTTTTACTGATATTTTGTCCAAATTTAAAGGGGGAGGGGAATTAGCATGTGCTGATACTGTGATTATTTACGACTCTGATTGGAATCCTCAGATGGATTTGCAAGCTATGGATCGTGCTCATAGAATAGGGCAAACCAAGCAGGTTAATGTATATAGATTGGTGACAAAGGATACATTAGAAGAAAGAATTATAGAAAGACAGTGCTTAAGGCTGAAGCTTGACTCTCTAATTATTCAGCAAGGCAGATTAGCACCTAGACACAAGCCTTTAGATAAAGAAGAGCTGCAAGAAATGCTTCACTATGGAGCTGATGAAATTTTCAACACTATTGAAGATAATTCAGACATTACTGAGGAAGAACTTGCCCTTATTTTACAAAGAGGTGAGCAAAAAGTCCAAAGGATTGAGCAAGAACTTGACAATCAGCTTGAGAAGAAAAAAATGAATTTATATCTTATTAAAAAGAATAAACGCTTTATTCTGAATACCAAAATTATTCTATGCAAAACAGAGGATTTATTAAATCTTAAAATTACCAAAATTCTATAAAACGATTTAATCGATTTTGAAAGCAAAATTGATATGTGGAATTTTGAAAGCGTTGACTATTCTAAAAAGAGAAGAGAAGACTCACGAGAAATTTTACAAAAAGCAATCCATGATAAGATCTTAGAAGAGTTCAAAGAAAGAAGAGAAAGAAAACTTCAGCAAAACTACAACACAGACTCCAAATTTAACTTTCAAAACTCTGGGTCTTCTAAGCCTAAAGAATTCAAGCCTGCCCCTGATTTCAGGTTTTTCGATAATAGACCTAGGCTAGTAGAGCTCCAGAAAAAAGAATTCAATAAAGAAATAACTGAAGAAGAAAAGGCAGAACTTGAACAAATGCTAATGACAGGGTTTGACTGGAATCGAAAAGAATACAACGCATTTTTAAAAGGCTGCGAACTCTATGGCAAAGATGAATATCAGCTGATTTCTGAAGTCATGGGAACTAAGACTCCAGAGCAAGTGAAAACCTATGCAGAAGTGTTTTGGAGCAGACTTGATGAGCTAGCCGACAAAGAAAGGATCTTGAAATCTTTTGAAAAACGAGAAAGTCTTGTAGAAAAACACAAGTTGTCCCAAAAATTGATTGACCAGAAATTTTTGCAATATAAGAATCCATGGAGAGAGCTGACGTTTGAGTCGAACACTTCTCATAAGTCTAGGATTTTCACACATGATAATGATAGATTGCTGGTGTGTATGGCTAAAACAGTTGGGTATGGTAACTGGGAAGCATTGAAAATAAAAATTAGAAAAAGTCCATTATTGAGGTTTGACTATATGCTTAGGTCTAGAACTGCTGGAGAACTACAAAGGAGAATTGATAGCTTGATCAGAATATTAGAAAAAGAAGGGGAAGATAGACCTAAACCAGAAGGAAATTCAGGAAAAAGAAAAAGAGAAGCAGCAGCCACAAACGCAGAACCTGAGCCAAGAAAGGCACTCAAGGTGATTGATAATTCTGCAATTACAAGCTTGCTTAATAGCGTTTAAATAAATATTATAATGAAAACTGGCTATAATGAACAATTTCATTAGTTAGTAATGTACCCCTTAACTAAGCTTCTGTACTCCAAAGAAAGTTACAATAACAGTAATATCATCGACAGACTTATTGTAAGCCTGCTTCCACCTTCTTGTTGCTTCATTTATTAGGCTGTCACAACATGTGTCTTTTTTATTTTTTTCTAACGCATTCGCTACCAATTTTACTGCTTCTTCACTAGAAATCACATCCCAAATCCCATCTGAAGCAACAATACGTTAAAATTATGTTGCATAAGCGGTAAATCTACTAGTCTTCGCCTACCCTCAGCTCCACGGAGGGTAGACTCCATAGACCCCAGAACTCAAATAAAGAAAGTGAAGGCTACCTTTTTGGATTTCCGACCTGAATCACCCTGCCATTATTTGGGAGAAGCTCCGATGGTTGTGACAAGGGAACTATGAGAAGAAAAAATTGTCTAGCCCATCTATAAAAGATAGAAAAGCTTTAGAGAGACAAAACTTCCATATTCGGCAAAGCATCACAAAGCTTAAAGACCGACTCCAAAGTGACAGAGACACTGTTTTCAGTTTTATCAAGATGGGTCCGACCTACTTCATAGGAGTGCACCCCGGAGTCCTTATTCCGTCAGCTTCTATTTTTATTACTCTTTAAGCAGCAATAAGGAATTTATCATTTTCTCTTAAATGGCGCTGCGAAAACTCAGGCTCAGAGCTCACTCCAAACTCATGGGCAATTGTGTCACCAATCGAGCGAGACATCGCTAAGCCGTGGTTATTTATTGTTTGTCAGACTCTTAATGGGCCAATATCTTTTCCGAATGAGCTTCGTGCATGATCAACGATTCCATTGGACTTGATAATTCGATTTTTTTCATCTTCTTCTGTAGGCTTATGGTCTCTAGATAAATCTTTGAAAGTCCACTGGCCATTAAAGCTGCCTAAAACAGCTCTGGAATCTCCAATGTTAGCACAAACTAATTTGTCACCGTTAACTAATACAACATTCAAGGTGCTTCCTGAATTTTCAGTTGGAAGTTTGCTTTCTGCAATTTGGTCAGTCAATTTTTTGATAGACTTGCTTAATGAATCTTCTAACTCCCCCCCCCCTTAAATTGAAACAAAATATAGGTAAAATTCCTACTTTTTTTGGGAAATACCCCCCCTTTAAATTGAAACAAAATTTTATTATAATAGAAAATTTTATAGGTAAAAAAATCATTATTTTATATGTAAATACGTTAATACCCTATTTAATATGCTTCAAACATATAAGATTTAGAAATTAAACTCTATTTTGTCCAATTGTTATGGGGAGAGTTAGAAGAATACCATTGTCTCTTTAAATTTATATAATTTATTTTCTATAAAATTTTATCTCTGAAAAAAATTTTTATATATAAATTTTTTTATAAAAACATTTTCTTAACCCCCCTTTAAATTGAAACAAAATTTTTTGTTTCAATTTAAAGGGGGGGGAGTAAGTCATTAAGTGAAAATTTGGTATGCCTTAGTTTGGATTCGACCAAGCCAGGAAAGATTTCTTTGATTTGGAGAGAAATCTCGTGGCCCGAAGGGCCATGCCCATCGCAAACTGTGAAAAGATAAAATTCATTTACTTGGTGAAATAATGGTTTAGCGATACATGTATCTTGATTGAATTTTTTATAAATCCCACCGGTTTCACCAATTCTGGATTTAGAACTATATGAAACTACGCATGGTTTTTTGGTTCTTGTTATCGCTGGGTGCTGAAGCCCAATAAAGTTTTGGGTTTTTGACCTAAAAAGTCGATGCTCATCTGTGTTTGAGTCTGAATTTTGTGGCGTCAAAAAAATATCATCATTAAGTAGGCTAAATCTTGGGATGCAAGTACGTTGCTTTTTAAGCCTTAGGCGATTTTTGCTGGTCTCAGCCAAGCTTGATCTTGACGAAATTACAAATGGCAGAGAAGTTTTTGGTGTTGTTTCAAGGGTATTTGATTCTGACGTCACCTCGCTAGTGATCAAAAACTGGACAGGATCTTTAAAAACTGTCCTGGTAGATGTACAAGGGATCTGTAAAGAGTCCATTCTTAACATAGATCTTTGCCTGTTGAGCATAATTTTATTATCTCATAACTAAAAATAGATTTTTCACTGATCATAAATGAAAGTTCTTGGAAAATGACCATACCAATTATAAATGGTGATATGCATTGAAAAATAAGCTTAAAATCTAAAGAATTTTGTAAGAAAATCATGAAAACCAAAATGTAGAGAATATTATTTGATTATAAGTTATTCTTTTAGATAATAAAATGATATTTCAAATTTATTTTTGGTTATTTTTTAACAAATGCAAAAGCCATATCTGGAAGCATTTATACATATGATAAATATATTCAAAAAGCAATCGTCAAGAAATTAAGAAACTTTAAAAATCAGTAGGTAGAGAGCATTCTTGAATATTATTTTTGATTTTTGTTGAATTTTTAAAGAAATATCACAACCCTATATTTGCATAATTTTTCAATTTAGAAGATTAATTTGCTGTTATGCATAGGCTATTGAAATTGATGCTTTTAAGTATATTTGATCAATACTTGTTTTTAATAAAGATTGCATTTTATTTAAGAATTTATTTTCTTGTCTTCCAATTTTTATTAAATTTCACACCTAGCAATCAACGTATAAAATATCAGAAAGTTATCAACTGAGAAAAATGCGTTATTTTCATAGAAAAAGCTTGAATTTTGCCTAAACAATTTAATTAAAGTAATAGTAAAAATAAGTTATTTTGCTGGAATATTATAATGAAATCTAAACCAATAACACGTGAAAAATTAATGAAGATTCCATCAAGAGTAAGTTCTCAGAGAGACTTAGCGATATTCGAAAAATCAGGCCAATCAAATTATATAAGTCAACTGAAAAGAATCATATCGGTTAAAACATTTTTAAATGAATCACGTGGTGTAGCAGAATCCAAAGTAAACGAATCATGATCTCATATATAGCACACCCCTCGTGGTTGCTCGTCATTAAGTTCCCCTCTCCGTATCACCCACCACCTGAAGGTCCTGAAAATTTTAAATTTTAAAATATTATTTGACAGGTCCCCTTTAAATATTTTAACTTGTCAAATTAATATTTAACATGCTAAAATATTTGGGACCGTTAGGGGGTGGGTGGCTGGGGAGGGGGTGCTCAAGGCCGATCCAAAACAGGGTGAAGCTATACTATCTTCTCATCTAAATTCTAGCAAATCGATACATCAGAAAAAGGTAAGAAATAAAGCAATCAAGTTTAAACGAAAGGCCGCTATAAATAAAAAATCAAATCCAATAGAAAGAAGCGTTAGAATTATGGGCAGCTCTGTGGCCAGATATTCTAAACAAAATTCACCTAGAATTGCTCAAAGACCTGTGCACCGGTCTTATAATTCTTGTGATTTTTCTTGTCAAAGGAAATTATCATCTGATTTAGAAGCACCAATTTCGAGAAAATCGTCTATTCACAGGCAGTCGATTTCGCGGATAAATAATTTAATGGAGCATGATAAAACTCGAGTTGGGGTGATTTTATTCCGGCCCCCATCACTTATTAGATCTTCGTCCCTGAAAAGTTCAAATATTAAAAGAAGCACACTTTCAGGAGGATTTAAGAAAGCCAGTAGAAGAAAGATTAATTTATCAGCTGATTTCATTCCTTTTGCTGAACTAGCGAATCATCGGGCATTAAATTTTGACAAGCATGTAAAATAAAGAAAGAAATTAATATCATATGCATTTATATAAATTAACATTGGGTCTAGAAGAATATTTCTTATTTTTCTAAGGCTAGAGAAACTGTCAAAGATATAACTCCCCCCTCCGTGAGTGAACAAAACCATTAGAAAAATCGCTATTTTTTGCCCAAAAACCCGTCCTCCGTGAGTGAACAAAAAAATGTTTTAATGGAAAAATTTTTTATGGAAAAAAATTTTGATATATAAGTGATAATTAGTATAATGAAATCTAGAGCTAATTCTGTTTAATTTTAAACAAATTGTTTTTTTAAAACATAAATTTATAAATTAAACTAATATTTGCTTTTCAATTTTTGCGAACTAGGATTTTTTTTAAATTTCGAAAAAAAAAAAATTTTTTATAAAATTATATATAATTGTTTTTAAAAAAAAAAATTAACCCCCCTCCGTGAGTAAACAAAATTTTTTTGTTCACTCACGGAGGGGGGGGAGTAAGCAATTTTTACTTAATTCAAAGATCTATGCCCAATATTTAGCTTAGTTTTACAGATATTTAGGTGATAGCTATTCAGTAATATAAATGGAAGGGAGAGTAAAAGAAATTTCAAAACTTCTTGAATCTGCTATGAGGCTATCTTGCATCATCAAAAAAGGTATCTTATTTAACAAAACGTCAGCGCTAGTTAAGTTCTCCACCGAAGAACCATATCAGAGTCAAGGCCGAGATTTCTTTAAGCTATACGGCTTCAACTCACTTCTTCCTTTAACCCAAGCTAACTCTGAATATTATTCTCCTTCAAGGCATCATAAAATCTTAATCAGAGGCGAAAAAGAAGAAGAGCAATATATAGAAGTTTGGGATCAGCATAGATTAAGACTTGTAAAAGAACTTAAAAAAGTTCATTCAACTATTATAGAGAACCCTGTTTTCGGAGAAATTTCTTGGAGCAGTGATGAGAGATATATTGCTTACATCGCCGAAGCTTCAAAGAAAAAATCTGGGTCATTTTGGAGTGGTGAAGAAGATGTCGGCAATACAAATCTCTATAAAGAAAATTTCGGAGAAGGGCTTGCTAATGTTACTAATCCTAGGTTATATGTTTTTGACATAAAAGAAAATTCAGTTTCAGAAATTCCTTTACCAGCTGACATATATCCAGCACAATCAAGGTTCAGACCTAATTCGTATGATTTAGTTATTGTTGGATTAAAAAAGACTCCATACAAAGTAGGAATGGCTGCAATGCTTAACAGAGAATCCAATCTATATCAAATTAATCTCGATACTAAAGAAGTTATTAAAATTGATACCCAAGATACATTGCAAGGAATTGTTTTTCCTAGATTTAATCCAAGTGGCACTTTACTAGCATATTATGGAGTTCCAAAAGGAAAAAGAGCCCATATGATGTGCTTATCAATTAATTTGCTTGACTGGGAAAATAAAGCTCCTCGCTGCCTTGTTGATGTTGTTGAAGACTATAATGATCATTTTAATGGAATTTATGGATTTCACGATTCACTTTCAACATTAAACTGGCTTAATGATGAAAAATTAATATTTGAGACACATCATAAAGGAAGCGATTGCATATTTACAGCTGATTTAAATGGAAATGTCAGTGAATTTACTTATGATCTTCTAAAGCCATATCATTTATCCTTACTCGATGTGCAGCAAGACACTGCTTTAATTAGAGCTGCAAATGGCTTAAATTTCCATAGAATTCTTATCGCTAATCATACTAATGGTATATGGTCCAACACTTTGATTGATAATCTAACCCCAACACCTACAACTCCTGAAGAAGAAAAAATAATAGACGCTTTAAATAGCGCGACTATGACTACAATTAAACATCAAAATACAGAAATGTCAAGCTTTTTATATCATACTTCTCCAGGCAACCCCTTATATATAATGCCGCATGGTGGTCCACATTCTTCAGCGTTTATAGATTTTACATGGTCTTTAGGTGTAAGATTGGCACTGGGCTATAATGTTTTGATGCCTAATTATAGGGGAAGCACTGGGTATGGCAGTAAAAATTTAGAAGCTTTACTAAAAAATGTTGGAACTATGGATGTTGAAGACTGCTTGGAGTCTTTAGAGCTTGCCAAACATTATGTGGATACAAACTATGTGATATCATATGGTGGAAGCCATGGAGGATTTTTAAGTGCACACTTAGCATCAACTGGAGTGCCCAAACTAAGTATTGTCGTAAATGGTGTTACTGATATTTCTTCAATGAGTTTAGTGACTGATATAACAGATTGGTGTTATGCTGAAGTATTTAACGAAGATCCAGTTTTCCCTCCAACTGAGGCTCACATTGCAGGGATGTATAGAGCTTCACCTGTAGCTAGGTCTGGAAATATTAGCATACCAGTTCTAATTGTGACAGGAGGCTCTGATAAACGTGTTCCACCTCATTCCTCAATGCAACTCTATAGAATCTTAAAAGGTAGAGGAGTTGACGTAAAGTTACTTTGGTATGATAATGATGGACATAGTCTCTTAAGCAAATCGACAGCTTACGACTTTATAGCTAACCAGTTTGTTTGGGTTGAAGAAAAGATAAAAGGATCAGCATAATAAAAACTAATAATTCTTTAAAAATGGTTTTTGAACCAACATATCATAAAAATTTATTGAGCTATCAAATCTCCTATTCTACATCCTTACTAAATGATATTCATCCAAAATTAGGTATGGTTAAATATGAAAAAATATCCTTATCAATCATAAGGCAGAGATTGTATAAAATTTATAATACTAGCCCAATTTCTCTTAGCCATCCAAAATCGAAATAAAATTTTCCTTTTCGGGAGTATAAGGAGTTTTAATCATAAGAAAGAGAAATGAGGTTTGTATCACGTCCCGATCAATAAGAGAATATACTAAAGAGATCTAAAGATGCAAATCTATTATGTCAAATATCTAAAATGATAAAATTATTCAATAATATAAATGGAAGGAAGAGTGGAAGAAATATCAAAACTTCTTGAATCTGCTATGAGACTTTCTTGCACCGTTAAAAAAGGTATCTTATTTAATAAAACGTCAGCACTAGTTAAGTTCTCCACAGATGAACCATATCAGAGTCAAGGCCGAGATTTCTTTAAGCTATACGGCTTCAACTCACTTCTTCCTTTAACCCAAGCTAACTCTGAATATTATTCTCCTTCAAGGCATCATAAAATCTTAATCAGAGGCGAAAAAGAAGAAGAGCAATATATAGAAGTTTGGGATCAGCATAGATTAAGACTTGTAAAAGAACTTAAAAAAGTTCATTCAACTATTATAGAGAACCCTGTTTTCGGAGAAATTTCTTGGAGCAGTGATGAGAGATATATTGTTTACATCGCCGAAGCTTCAAAGAAAAAATCTGGGTCATTTTGGAGTGGTGAAGAAGATGTCGGCAATACAAATCTCTATAAAGAAAATTTCGGGGAATTGCTATTCAATGTTACTAATCCTAAGCTATATGTTTTTGACATAAAAGAAAATTCAATTTCAGAAATTCCTTTGCCTGAAGACATATATCCAGCACAATCGATGTTCAGACCTAATTCGTATGATTTAGTTATTGTTGGATACAAAAAGACTTCATACAAAGTAGGCATGACTGCGATGCTTAACAGAGAATCCAATCTATATCAAATTAATATCAATAATAAAGAAGTTATTAAAATCGATACCAAAGACACATTGCAAGGAATTGCTATTCCTAGATTTAATCCAAGTGGCACTTTACTAGCATATTATGGAGCTCCAATATACTTTAATATGGCGGAGGTGACACCCGACCTAGTGACGCAATTTCCTCAACACCTGCAGGGAACGCCTAGGTGGAGGAACCAAGTCGAGATGCAGGTTCTGCATCCTTAATCTATTCCAGCAGAGGTTTTCTCCGTGCCACAGGGTATGATACCTGGTGCTTGGGGTTTTCTTCCTGACATGGAGTTGGAAAGGGCACAGTCAGTCATTGTCCCCGAGACTAGGCATGATCCCTACTCGAATTATGGACTCTGAAGACAGCAGGTGCCTAGCGTGAAATTGGGAGTTATGCCCCAGGCTCCAGCCAATAGCGAACGGACGGCCCGGAGCAAGTCAGGTAGTCGATGCCTAACTCCCCCTCCGTGAGTGAACAAAAAATTTTGTTCACTCGGAGAGGGGTGTTAATTTTTTTTTTTAAAAAAAAAATTTACACATAAATTGTATAGAAAATTTTTTTTTCGAAATTTAAAAAAAACCTAATTCGCAAAAATTGGAAAGCAAATATTAATTTAATTTATAAAATTTATAATTTAAAAAGCAATTTTTTTAAAAATAAACAGAATTAGCTCTAGATTTCATTATACTAATTATCACTTATTTATCAAAATTTTTTTCCATAAAAATTTTGTTCACTCACGGAGGGGAGTAAGCGAGGCAGGCGATGTTAGTATGGCGCTCTTAACTGATGCGGATTAACTTTTAGAGGTGAAAATCCTTGGCCGTCTTCAAACAATGCTCTTAATTTAATGGAGTTCCAAAAGGAAAAAGATCTCATGTGACATGCTTATCACTAAACTTGCTTGACTGGGAAAATAAACTTCACCGTTGTCTTGTGGATGCTGTTGAAGACTATAATGATCATTTTAATGGAATTTATGGATTTTATGATTCACTTTCAACACTAAGCTGGCTTAATGAAGATAAATTAATATTCGAAACCCATCATAAAGGAAGCAACTGCATATTTACAGCTGATTTAAATGGAAATGTCAGTGAATTTACTTATGATCTTCTAAAGCCATATCATTTATCCTTACTCGATGTGCAGCAAGACACTGCTTTAATTAGAGCTGCAAATGGCTTAGATTTTCATAGAATTCTTATCGCTAATCACACTAATGGTATATGGTCCAACACTTTGATTGATAATCTAACCCCAACACCTACAACTCCTGAAGAAGAAAAAATAATAGACGCTTTAAATAGCACGACTATGACTACAATTAAACATCAAAATACAGAAATGTCAAGCTTTTTATATCATACTTCTCCAGGCAACCCCTTATTTATAATCCCCCATGGTGGTCCACATAATCAAGGAGTTGTAGATTTTACATGGCAATTAGGTGCAAGATTAGCATTGGGCTATAATGTTTTGATGACTAATTTTAGGGGTAGCACTGGATATGGCAATAAAAACTTAGAAGCTTTGCTAGGAAATGCAGGGGTAGTAGACGTTGAGGACTGCTTGGAGTCTTTAGAGCTTGCAAAGCAACATGTAGATACAAACTATGTGATATCATATGGTCGAAGTTTTGGAGGATTTTTAAGTGCGCATTTAGCATCAACTGGAGTGCCCAAACTAAGTATTGTCGTAAATGGTGTTACTGATATTTCTTCAATGAGTTTAGTGACTGATATAACAGATTGGTGCTTTGCTGAAGTATTCAACGAAGATCCAATTTTCCCTCCAAGTGAGGCTCAAATCGCAGGGATGTATAGAGCTTCACCTGTAGCTAGAGCTGGAAATATTAACGTACCAGTTCTAATAATTACAGGAGGTTCTGATAAGCGAGTTCCACCTCATTCATCTATGGAACTATATAGGGTCTTGAAAGGCAGAGGAATTGACGTTAAGTTGCTTTGGTATGACAAGGAGGGGCATGGTCTCTTTGGTAAAGCAACAACTTATGATTACACTGCTAACCATTTTATTTGGGTTGAAGAAAAAATGAAAGGATAGGCATAATAAAGCATAATAAATCCTAAAATTGAGAGAGAATCAAAGATATCTTAAATTTTTTTTAAATCATCAATGTATTCCAACTAAAGGACTTTTTAAAGTTTAAACTCTACACTAAACAATGGCAGAAGAGCCTTAAGAAGAGCACAATAGAGATTTTACAAAATTTCATAATACTAGCCCAATTTCTCTCTCCCACAAAATCAGGCATATTTCGCTTCCTAAGAAATTTAATTATGCAAAAAATAAAATGGCAATATTTTGAGGTTTAGGATATACTTAGCTATTTCAATTTGTTAAAACGCTCTTCGATATCATCTAGCTCATTTCTTTGTCCAGGCTGCATTTTTGGGTCATCTTTAGGTGAATTTGTAGGGCTTGGAGTTTTGGTTTCTTCTTCATGCAAATCTTCAATATCAGGGTCAGGATATTGAATCTTTGGTTTTTCATTTTCTCCACTTGCATCTTCAGCTTTCTTGTCAACAGTATCTTTTGGATATAAATCTTGTCTCAGATTCGATGCAGCATTTTTTTCTTCTTCACTTTCAACCACTCTTGTAGTCATCCTTGTTGGGCAAGAAGCTTCAAAATTTCCGAGATTTTGCTGATTAAATTTCATTGGATTTACTATAGTTTGCATATACTAAATGATTTTTACCTTCTTAACTTCTGATCCAGGCACAAAGTCGACTCTTTTTTCTGATGCAATTTCAATAATTTTCATCATTTTTTCATTTTCTGATGGTATAGAAGACACTAATTTGTTAAGAACGGCATGATTTACCATCCCATCAGCATCAATATTCGCTTTTTCGCAATATTCAATGCCATATTTCCCTGCAAATTGCTTTCTTATTTTTATCATTTCTTCACATTCTGATCGGCTAGCACTTCATATTAATGTGTCGATTGCTGATCGTAATTCTGCAGGGCAGGTTTTGGACTCAGAAATTTGTCTAATTCTTTCATTGCATTGAATACAAAACATAGAAACGATTTCTAAAGCTGAGATGTAATTTTCTGTGTTTATAAAACCTTCCACTTTGATCATCGCCATCTCTTCTTGACCATTTCTGAGAAGGGTAGCTATTTCATCTTTTAAATTATAGTTAGCCGCCATTCGTTTGTTTTTGATGAGACCTATTCTGATTACAGCCATTTGGAGACTTGTTTTTAGCTTATCGGCATTGTAGGATGGTTTATTCCCCATTTTTAATAAATAAAGGGCCAATGGTTTAGTTTCATAGATAATGACATTTTTTTAAAAATAAAAAATTGTTAAACAATAAAATAATTATTTTTGATTTTTTTGACAGATTTTGATCAGACGAACAAAGAAAATAATTACTCGGGTTATATATTTACTAATTTATATTTACAGTGAATTTAAGCTAATATATATTTTAAATTCTACTTACACTTATAATCCTTGCTTTATGCTTCTTGATTTCCCTTCAGATGTAAAAGGTCTTGCTTTATTAAAATCAAACTTTTGAAAAGTCCCTGCAGTTGTAGGTCTATTATATTCTGTAGCAGGTGAATTTGTGCTAAAAAGATCAAAGCTTGTTGACTTTGGAATCCTTCCAGCATTTTCTGAAAGCTTTAATGACAAATATTGGTTGTAATTAAAATCTCTTTTTCATTTCTTTGTTGAGTACACAGATTTCGCACTTTGCAATCTTCTAAGTACCCCCCTCAGTAGGTGAACAAAAAAAATTTTGTTCACAAAGGAGGAGGGTTAATTGTTTTTTTTTAAAAAAATCTTAATTTGCAAAATTGGAAAGCGAATATTAATTTAATTTATCAAATTTATGTTTTAAAAAACACAATTTGTTTAAAATTAAACAGAATTAGCTCGAGATTTCATTATACTAATTACCACTTATATATTAATTTTTTTTTCATAAAAAATTTTTGTTCACTCACGGTGGGTTTTTGGGCAAAAAATAGGGATTTTTCTAATGTTTTTGTATACTCACGGAGGGGAGTAAGTATTTTTTTTGTTTTCATCTGTTATTTTAGTCAGCTCTATAACTCTTGAATTCTTATTCAATGATAGATTTTGAGGGGCGGTTTTAGACAAAAGAGAATGAGGAGTTAAAGTTGAAGGCTTCATATCAATTTCTAGCATTTTTTGAAGAAGAAGCTTATTCTGTTGGTCAATCACTGCTCCTCTGTCATTTTTTATCCGTTCTTGCTTAGCTCGGCTTTGAAGATGAGGCATTGCTTTTGGAGGAAGATTGTCTATGCGAGGTCTCATGTTTCTTATTTTTATTTGATGCAGCATATGCTCTCTTAAGATTTCTCGATCTGTGCAGCGCTTGTTGGCACCTACGATATTCCACATTCAGATAATTTATATTTAACTAATGAAAGAAATGAAAAAAATTAATAAATTCCTAGCATTGCTATTAAAAATACATGAATAATATTTAAAAAATCATTGCAGCTTTTTTTAATCATAATATTCGTTGGTTTAATTAATATGAGTATAATTGTTATAAAAATATCCAAAAAATATTGTAAAGCATTTAGATTGCTAATGATATATTTTTGATTTGAATATGAAAATTTAATGAAAAGTTGATGAAATATTGATGAAAAGCTGATAAAATTACAAGAAAATTAGGGAAAAAGTGTATAATTTAATTCAATTTTATTTATACCCAAATCAATGTGCATTTCCAAATTTTTACGTATTATTGAAGTCTCCTATTCATTCTCTCATATCAGCTCTACTTCGCTATAAATTAATATTAAAATCATAAAGAATAAATGGCTACTACACCTGTAATTACAGTATACGACGCCCAAATCTCAGGTGAAGTTAAAGAAAGCATTGCCCTTCCAGCTGTTTTCACCGCTCCAATTAGGCTCGACATTGTTCGCTTTGTCCACGACAATCTCAATAAGAACCATCGCCAGCCATACGCAGTCTCCCTCTGGGCAGGTCACCAGCATTCCGCCGAATCCTGGGGTACAGGTCGCGCTGTATCCAGAATTCCAAGAGTTTCAGGCTCAGGAACAGGCAGAGCAGCCCAAGGTGCCTTCGGCAACATGTGTAGATCTGGCAGAATGTTCGCCCCTACCAAGATCTGGAGGAGATGGCACAGACGTGTCAACATCAAGCAAAAGCGCCATGCAGTCGCCTCCGCAATTGCAGCTACCGGTATCCCATCACTTGTTATGGCAAGAGGCCACCAAATTGAAAATGTCAATGAAGTTCCTTTAGTCCTAGACGGAATCGAAAAAATTGAAAGAACCAAAGAACTCCTTGACGTCCTCCAAAAATATGGAGCTGGCGACGACTTAGAAAGAGTCGAAAAAAGCGTCCACTTAAGAGCTGGAAAAGGAAAATACAGAAACAGAAGGTACACACTAAAGAAAGGACCTTTGATTATTTACGAAGACAAAAACTGTGCTTTAAGAAGAGCTTATAGGAACATTCCTGGTGTAGATGCAGTCTCAGTCCACGAATTAAATATCCTAAAGCTTGCACCTGGTGGGACTTTAGGAAGATTTGTAGTCTGGTCTGCAGCAGCTTTTAAGCTTCTTGACAACATTTTTGGAACCTACTCAAAACCTGGAGTTGAAAAGAAAGGTTACACATTGCAAAGACCGACCATGACCCAAGCTGATGTTTCAGCTATTGCTAAGTCAGACTCTGTGCAAGCAGTGCTAAGACCAATAAAACTAGGAGAAGATGAGCACCATCCTAAAAAACAAAATCCTTATAGAAGCAAAAGAGCTATGGAAAAGCTTAACCCATTTTTCAAGCTAAAGAAAAGATTTGAAATCCTTAAGAACCGCAGAGGACATTAAGTAATTATTTAGAAATAATTTTTAAGCTATAACGACTATTCCAGTTCCTTGAACCTTCATAAGAGAAGCACCTATGTAGAACCCAAATAATTTCCATTTTTTGGCTTCATAAGCTTGAATGGCATCATAGATGTCTTTGTGAATATCGACTCCGTTAACTACCATAACGTCTTCATCATATTCAAATGATAGAGGGTTTTCAAAAACATTGAGGACATGGTAAGCTTTAGGGGAGTCTCTCAAAGATCCACCACAGTCTGAAAGAATTTTTGGAAGTGATGAGAAAGCTTTTTTAATTTCTTTTAGACCTTCAAGTGCTGAAACTACTGAAGCTTGCTTAAAAAGACTAATAGCTTTGGTTAAATGAACTTTAATAGAGAGGAGATCGGTAAGACAATCTTGAATATCATTAACTTCTGACTCCGATGCAATTCCTTGCAAAACTCAAAATGGCGACTTTGACGGAAATTAGTCTTCGAGACGCACTCCATATTGATTGGTCGGACCCATTCTGATAAAGCTGAAAATAATACTCTATCTCTTTTGAAGTAGGCTTCAGGCTTGGGGAAGATATCCCTGCCAGATCAGCTACCTTCCACAAAATCTTTGTAATAGGGGGCACCCGACAAAGAGTGGCTCTAATCTAGGGAGCTGATTCTTAGGTTAGGCGAGTTTCGCCATAAAATTAGGTGAGTGGAATTTTGTTGGGCCTTACTCCACATGTGCTCAGGTAAATAATCACCCAGCGTAACACCTTTCCTGGAATCAAAGGATTCCGGCTAGTGAGGGCCCCACTTATGGCTGTATAAGACTTTTAAGTATAGTTTCTACTTTGCAAAACTCCTTCAATAATTTCATAAATTTCCTCATCTTCTGAAAATGGTTTTTGGGTGGATTTCAGGAGATTCGAGCTTTCTTCTGGGACATATAATCTAGCAAGTGAAATGCTTAACAAACACAAGATTAGAGCAGCTTTCATATTTATTATTTCAACATCACCTAGTAAAAATTGGTGAAAGAATTTCAAAGCTAAAATAAAAAATAAGAGATTTTTATATAGTGAAAATGTTTACTGGCAATATAAGCTCTAATAACAGCAGCGACAGCTGTAAATAGGTTTAGCATGAGCTAAGATTTTAATTTTTTATATCAGATAAATATACACAAAATAATTCTCTATTTAATACTTTTGTTTTCGAAAAAAATTCACAATATTTTGGCATTTACCTTAAAAAATATGAGTTAAAATGCTTTCAAGAAATAATTCCAAGCATAATTCAGGAAGATATTTTCAGAAAAAGATTGACGAAGATGAGCTTTCAAACAGGTATCATATGAGAAAAGAACAGATCTGGCAAGAAGAGCATGAAAAGGATATTGAGCACAGCAATATTTTAACTTGCCAAAAAATAGAAGAAGACTGAGCCAAAGTTTACTTCAAGAGAAAAAGTGAGCCAAAGCAGGACTACTTAAAAGATGCTATAAACAATACTTCTAATAGTATTGCAATACAGACAATTGAAATCGGCCACAACAGTGATTATGATTCAGAAATTGAATATCCGGATAACTCTATAATCCAGCAATATATCGAAGATCAAACCCTATGCCAATCACAAGAATATACTATAAAATGAGAAAACAAAAGAGTCGTTCCAAAGACACCAAAACAAGTTTGCGTACCAACTTATAGAAAACGACGCACAAAAACGTTAGATCTTGACAAATTGTTTGGTAGCATTCCAATAGTTAAAGCATCTTCGAAGTATTGTATAAAGCCCTTAAAAACTTGCAAGCATTCAAGAGAAGTAAAATCAGTTGATTTATCGGCAAAACCAAAATCAACCAAAAAGCGGACAATGCCAAATCTACTATCTAAAGAAAGTTTATTTGAAAGAAGTACAATGAGTATAATAAAAAAGAGAAAAGCTTTGAAGGAGGCTTCGAAAATAATTTTTAGCTTCAGAAGCAAATCAGAGCTAAAATCTACTTCATTTATAAAAGAAAAGCCAGCGTCACAGCTGAATTCTTATAGAGATGAGGATGGAATGAAATTGCGAGACTTGAGAAAATTAAAACTTCTAGAGAACCTAAACAGGCAACGACGTCCTTGTGTAGCACCGATTGGAAATTAATCGCTAATAATTTTTCGTATGATTAGGGGAAAATAAAATTTTGCTTCTAACTATTAATTTGACACTAAATTTCCACATTTCTTTGATATATATTAGAATTTTAAAGGCAATGAGCAGCCTAGATGAGGAAGAGCTTGTTTATTATGTCACCTTACCTTTCTGTGTTTTAAGTATAATAGGAAGCCTCTTCATAGTTACCATATATCTTCTCCTAAAGGAGATCCGTGTCTTTACCTTCAGATTGATTTTTTACCTAGCCTTAATGGATCTTCTCTTTGCATCCTGTAACACTTAACACAGCTTTTGCAATCCCATGGTTCATAAACGACTACTACTGCTACGTTCAAGCCTTATTAATGAATTTCGCAGGGTTATCTGTCATTTTGTGAACTGCAACCATTGCATATACATTAAATAAATCAGTTGTACATGAAAAAGAAAATCTGGAATCTTATGAGCCTTATTACTATTTTATTGCATTTGGCATCCCTGCACTTCTTGAAGGCCTTCCTTTCATTACTGGAAGCTACGGCAAAGCTCAAGGCTGATGCTGAATCTCTCTTGGAGACGATAATCACATTAAACAATATACTCAGTCATGGTTTTATGGACAAATGTGGAGACTGCTCTGCTACTATTTGCCGCTATGGCTGACCATGGGATACAATTCCTGGGTGTATTATAGGATTTCCAAAAAAATTGTGATAGTGCTGGACAATTCCAAACAAGAAGAAAAAATGAAAAGAATGCTATTAATCAGGCTAAAGCTCTATCCAATTATTTTGGTGATCTGCCAAACCCCAGTTTCCATGCTGAGAATTGCATATTTCATTGGCATGGAAGATGATGGAATGCTGTGACTTTCAGCAATTGCTGGGATCTTTGTCATATTGAATGGAATTTTAAACGCGCTTGTATATGGTCTTACAGATACTGTAAAAAATGCGCTGAGGAGATATCGTGAAAAGTACAGCACCAATTTTTTTGAAAGCAGTTCTCTTATTGAAGGAACTATTTAAATTGTATTTGATATAAACATATTAAGTTGAAGTTAAATAATTAAGTTAAGACTCAGCTTCCAGCTTTCTTAGGTGAGCTAAAACTGTTTCTTGTATAAGAGCGACCGTTTTTTGTTTGAGATTTTCAGAAAGATAATTGTATTCATTCAAAATTCTGTCGCGGTCTTTGGAAGTCTTCATTAGGTCCATTTCTAAGTCATGAATTTGGCTGGTCAAGTTTTCTTTTGTATTTTCATTTTGCTTTCTTTCAGTGGTTTGTTCTTGTAACAAAGTTTCTAGCTGCTTCATATGGGCTTCTTTTCGCTCGTTAAGAGTTTCGTTAAGCTCTTCATTTTCGGTCTTTGATCTGTCTAAATTGGTATTAAGCATATAAACTTCGCCTCTTAAGCTTTCAATAGTAGCGTTTGCTTTTGCGAGTTGCCTTTGTAGCTCAGTTCTTTCTTCTCTCAATTGATTAATTGTGGTTTCCAAAGCTAAAATTTGCTCAGAAGCACGCTTATCATTTTGCATTATTTCTCTTTGCAAGTCTTGGTTTCTTTTATTTAAATTTTCTCTTGATTCTTCAATAGATCTCATCCTTGTTTCCAGCCCTTTAAGCGTCGTGTTAAATTTAGTAGTTTCTTCTTCTCTAATCTTAAAATCTTGTTCTGTGAGTGCTTCTTGATGGTTAGATTTGAGCTGTGCGATTTGTCCTCTGAGGGTTTTATTTTCATTTTCCAACGCTTCTCTTGCAGTTCTCAAATTCCTAAGGCTTTCTTCAGCATCTTCAAGCTTATTTGTAAAATCTCTATTAATTTCGAAAACCTCTTGGAGATGCTCTTTTTTGGCTCTATCTAAAGAGTTTCTGCTGGTTTCTTCGAGTTGTTTGTAAAGTCTCTCCTGCTGAGAGAGTTTTTCATCATATGCTCTATATCTTTCCATTGTAGAGTTCTGAAGTTTTTGGAACTGCTCTTGGAGGTTTTCTAGCTCTTGGTTTAAAATCCCTTTTTCGTTGTTAGCCCTGCTTAATTTGGTTTCTAAATCTTGGATGACTCTTCTGTCGTCCATTTCACGCTTAAACGATTCTTCTTTTTGAATCATGACTGCTTCTTCAGCCATAGCTCGCTTTGCTTTTTCATTTTCTAGTTCTCCTAGTAGATCATTTCTCATTTCATTGCTTCTTCTTGCTTCTTGGTCAAGTAGCAGTTCCAATTCGTTGATTTTTGATTCACTTCTTGCAGTGGCCATAATTTGGGCTTCTAACTTCAGGTGAATGTCATCAGAAAAATCCCTCGAAGCTGTCCTTTCCATACTTTTGGAAAGACTACGCGGAGATCCATATCTTGATTTGTTGGGAGACTGGTCGCCTTTCAAAATTTGTTCAAGTTGCTGTAAAAGGTCTTCTGGGATCTTATTCCCTGATACTTCAATAGATTGAATGGCATGAGGCTTTCTTAAAGCTGACAGAAGGGATCTTGCACCAGATGCTCCAATGTCGTTCCATCTTAAATCAATTTTCACAAGCGATTTATTGGTTTCTATCAAATCTGCAATATATCCAGCACCTTCAGGGCCAATTCGGTTATTTCGTATATCTAGAGTTTGAACTGACTCATTATAGGCAAGCGCTTCAGCCAAAGGCTTAAGATTGTTTCCTAGATTGTTCCACTCAAGTGATAAGTTACGTACAAAGGTTTGTCCTCGAAGAGCTGAGGCTATGGCTCTTAATCCTTCACCAGTGATATTGTTGCCACGAAGCTCCACATTGTGAACTCCCTCATGGAATGCCATTTATGGGGTCTAGTTTCCTTTGAGAACTTCTGCACAGCAATAGCGATTTAACTTCAAGTGCATTCAAGAAGCTTGAAGTTTTTTTACCACTTAGCACACCTGAGGAAAGTGACCCTTAGGGGAACATGTGCAGGAGCTAAAGTATGAAAAGAGTGAGGACGACCCACCCCATGAGAATTCATAGCTAGAAGGCGAAACTTGTTTTGGATTGCTGATACACACGGGAAAATGAAGTGATGTCGGAATGCCATGTAATATCACCACTTGTAGTTCTAGTGGGATATAAAAAATTATAGTTAAAAAGAGTGGGCTGCGGCCTGCTCATCCTGCTGAAGGATTAACTCTTTTTAAATACTAACCCCCCTCCGTGAGTGAACAAAACCATTAGAAAAATCCCTTTTTTTTGCCAAAAACCCTCCGTGAGTGAACAAAAATTTTTTTAATAGAAAAATTTTTTATATAAAAAAATTTTGATATATAAATGATAATTAGTATAATGAAATCTAGAGCTAATTCTATTTAATTTTAAATGAATTGCTTTTTAAAACATAAATTTTACAAATTAAATTAATATTTGCTTTCCAATTTTTGCGAACCAAGATTTTCTTAAATTTCGAAAAATTTATATATAAATTTTTTTAAAAAAAAAAATTAACCCCCCTCCGTGAGTGAACAAAATTTTTTGTTCACTCACGGTGGGGGGGGAGTAAGTTAATTAGAATTAAGTGAACTCCTAACTCCCCCCCCCCCTCCGTGAGCGAACAAAAAAATTTTGTTCGCTCACGGAGGGGGGTTAATTTTTTTTTTTAAAAAAAATTTATATATAAAAATTTTATAAAAAATATTTTTTTTCGAAATTTAAAAAAATCCTAATTTGCAAAAATTGGGAAGCAAATATTAATTTAATTTGCAAAATTTATGTTTTAAAACGCAATTTGTTTAAAATTAAACAGAATTAGCTCTAGATTTCATTATACTAATTATCACTTATATATCAAAATTTTTTTCCATTAAAATTTTTTCTATTAAAAAAAATTTTTGTTCACTCACGGAGGGTGGGTTTTTGGTCAAAAAATGGCGATTTTTCTAATGGTTTTGTTCGCTCACGGGAGGGGGGGGGGGAGTAAGTTATCTTTCAAAAATTGCGCAACTATTCCACATCCTTCATCTCCAATAAAAGCATCACCAAGATTTAAGGTAGAGCTGCCTTGCTGGGCAGAGAGCTTGTTTTCGATCTTGCTTAAAGAGAGTTCGTTAATGGCGAATGGTCTATCAGAGTCTTGCGATCTTCTCTGATCTGGAGTTGCACCTTCGTAACTTGACATCCAATAAAATAATATGAATTTTTTTAAGTAAACAGCGTTAGATTGAATTTGGCTGGATTGGAATAGACGATAAGCAAATTTAATTGCTTGATGTTTTAGTTACAGGTTTCAAAGCATTGCGATGGCTTTAAACATAGATTAATTTTGAACTAGAAAGAAAAGATTTTGAAAAGAGGCAGTCTTTCGGCCAGGAGCAGAAATTGGTATTATTAGGTGAATTATTTAAATTGACAATGAAAAGAAGTTAATTTAAGATAAAAATTTATTTAAGTCACTTTTTATCAATAAAATTTAAGGTTATATTGCATTAGAAAAATTCAAAATTCAAAGTCATCTCTAGTAATGAAGCACCAAAATTGGAATGCTGATTAAGTATTTATGCTAAGTCTTGGCTTCTTAAAGTAATATTTTTTACAATTTTATCATAAGATTTCCTAATTATGACGGAAAACAATCTAAATTATAAATCTTTTTGCTTATCAAGATAATAAAGTAACCTTAATAATCATTGCTTGAAATTATTGGGTTTTAAATCAAAAATAATTTTTCTGATTTTGATTGTGAGAAGCTGGACGAGTGATAGAAAAAGTTCACCACTGCTATCTCTTCAATTTGCTTTATGTCTGCTGGATTTTTAAGGCTAATGAGCTTTGAAATCCAATGACGGCTAATTGTATTTCTCTGAACTCTCCTTACTTCGCCATTAAATGATTATTAAATGTCTGAAAAATGGATAAATTTCTTATATCTAGAAGCTTCAAAATAAGTAAACCTATCATAAGCTTTATATAAATCTATTATAAATTATATATACCTCTAAAATAAATGACAATTAAACAAAAATTCGTTTATTTTCAGTCAGCAAATTCGCAACAATTTTCAAAAAAAAAATCTAATAGTTTATCATCGAAATTGTAACAAAAATAATAGCAAAAATACAGTATGTACGGATGCCCATTCTTCATGCAGTCTTCTTCAAAAGGCACAATAAAATCTCCTTTTGCAGTGAATAAAACCCAAAGAGCAGATGACCCCATCAGTTTCCAAATCATCCAAGATTACTCCAAGCCTTACATTTCTCCTTATATTGATTCCTTTGCTCGTTACAAGCCTGAAAAGTTCCCATGCTTTTATGATCTACCCTTTTACCTTCAAAACTCTTTATTCCATCACACTTTTATATCCCGTCATCGAAAAACTGAGTTCACTAATAAAGTGATGATTGCAAATGAACTCAGGGAATCTGGAAATAAGAATTTCCATAAAGGCCATTTTTTCAAAGCATTTATGTGCTATGATCATTGCTTAGGCCTATTTTCTTGGATTGAGCTTGAAAGCCAAGAAGATGATGAAGGGCTAAGGATATATATTTAGTCATATTGAGCAGGAAGCAATAATATATGGTTAATTTTTAATTTTTATTCGGAATATTAATTTCAATTTTTATAAATAAGCAGAAATTATTAAAAAGAAAATAATTCAAAATCCAGAAATGGATGAATTAAACGAAAAAGCAAGAAAAGGGATGATTTCACAAGTTCTGCTGAACTTGGCTGCTGCTCTCATAAAAATGCGAAATTTTAAGGAGGCTTTAGAAGTTTTAAAAGAAGCAGTTTTAGTAAGCCCAAAAAATCTAAAAAACAACGGCATGAGAGCTATATGCAGAGCAGCAAATAAAGAATCCGACATTGCTACTTTACAATTAGCACTAGATGATGCGACTAAAGCTGTAGAAAAACATTCTGTATATCAGGCTATTATCGAAAAAATTAATGAAATTCTGCAAGATAAATACCAAGAAGAGTGCCTATTTTACAAAAATTTTTTCAAATGCGTTAAAGACTACTCTGGAGTCAGACCAAATACCGACTATGAGTTTGAACATACAGTGATAAAAAAGCTTGAAAATAAATACCAAAATATGTTAATATATTATAGAGAATCAGATATTTTAGGGAAAGTCGAAGAAGAGCATCGAGAAGTTGTCAAAGTTTGCTCAAAAATGAACTGGATTTCGAACCTTTCTTTAAACAGCCCAAGCATATTGATGGCAAAGCACGCAGAAGCTGCTGGACTTAACACTTCTGATATTTCAATTGATAATGCATTTGAAGGAGCGAAAAGACTTGAAATTGTAAAATCTTTCAAAGAAGGAAAATACAACCAGCGCCTCTTATACCAGTCAATCCAAGAAACTATGGAAGAGTTTGAAAGGAATCCGAAAAAAGAAGAAGTAGAAGAGGAGGATGGCTGGTTTACTTGGCAAAAAGGCTTGATAATGTTCCTTATTTGTGCGATCCTCATTTATATATTTTCAACACCAAGCAAGAATATTGGGTGCATGCTTTTTTCTCTGGACTTTAGAAAGTGAGACACTTCCTCTGTGATATTTGGTCCAATTTTTTTTCCTCATGAAACACTTCATAGAAATTTTAAGCAAATGTCTCATAAGTAAAAAATTTCAGCCAGATTTCCCAGAAATCTCTCACTAGGAAAAAGCCTTGATCAAATGATGTGGGGCCAGAATATCACTAGATTTAGTTACAATTTCTAGTGTTTTTTCTAATCATTATTATATCATAAATTTCTCTTCATAAATAAAATGTTGGCGATCATTTGCGTTTTGATCACAGCAGTTGCTTCCAAGGTGTGGGTTTATAGCCCAGAAGATCTCCGCAAAGAGTTTCGGACTAAGTATGGGCAGAATCCAATCCCGGCATCACTTGCGAATTTTGGAAATCCACCTTATGGGTCAGTCATCACAGGAAGAGTTTTTGTTCCTATTAAAGAAGACGAAAGAAGAGGATGTGGGCCGTTAACACCTATTCAATGGGAAGGAGATCCAGATCAATATAATAGTCCTATCCTGCTACTAGAGAGAGGTGGCTGTGGATTTGTTACCAAGATCAGAAATGCACAAAACATTGGAGCTTCAGCTGTTCTTATCGTAGATCACACTGCCGAAGACATCACAAAGATTGTGATGATTGACGATGGGACTGCTGGAAATGTCTTTATTCCTTCAATTTTAATCGGAAAAGACGATGGAGCATTAATTAGAAACAAAGTCCTCGAAAATGCAGGGTTTATTGATCGCATGCATAATGTCGCTCTTACATTTACTTTCGAGATGCCTCATCCCGACAACACAGTTGAATACGAAATTTGGATGTCTAGCGAAAATCATTAAATTACATTATTAACTATGGGTTTTACGTCCACTGCGGGGTAGCCGTTTTCAGGGCTGCCACCATTTTTAAACATGTCGCGCCCACAAACTGCTGGTCAACTTGTTTTGTTGCACCAAGGCACGCTTGGAAATGACGTTCTGGCTTGGACAGCTCATGAGTGAGTGACTTCATCTTACTTCCTTGACGCCGTGTGACGACTAAAGGCTCATTCGCTGCCGCAGAATGGAAGTGGAAAAACCGCAGGCCTTTCAAGTTCCTTAAGGGCTGACCAATCAGACTAGCCTTAGCTGGATAGAATTTTCATGTAAAACCAAGCAATGAATGGATGTCGCCATTTTATGATTATGTCTAGCGAAAATCATTTAGTTAGGTCCTTCTTGCACGATTTTACTCCATTTGCAAAGAAGTTTGATGAAAACATGATAACACTGACCCCGCATTATGTTCTTTGGTACTGCTCTACATGTAAAGTCAAAAATTGGTTGGAGGGCCACCCAGACTGTGTCAGCGGAGGGAGATATTGCGCTCCTGATCCTGATTATGATGGACCTAGAACTGGCCGAGAAATTGTTCTTGAGGATTTACGACAATTGTGCATCTATCAGCTAGCTGAAGAAAAGCATAATCAAAAGTTATGGTGGAATTATATAAAAGCTTTCAATGAGACCTGCTCAAATAACAACTTCAAAGAAAGATGCTCAGAACTTGCCATGAAAGAAGCGAAAATAGATATAGATTATGTAGAAAACTGTATGGAAAAAAGTTTCGAAGGCTCAAATCATAATCAGGAGCTTGATGATAACAAAATTTTAAGAAAAGAAAAAGAAAGCCTCCTACAATCAGGCATCTTTTTCTATCCAACCATTTATATCAATAACCAAACCTTCAGAGGCGATTTAGAAGCTACCGAATTGATGACAGCCATTTGTGCAGGGTTCAAGGAAGAACCAAAAGTATGCATAGATTTCAGACTTAACAGAAATGATGACCCAGAACCAACACAGACAGGCATTGGAGTGTCAACATTAGTGATGATTATTATTTTTTCAGCAGTGGTACTTGGAGTTATATTATTCTTTTACAGGAGATGGATTAAAAGAGAGCTTAATTACGAAATGAAAATGCAGGTGAACTCAGCAGTGAGCCAATATATTGCCCTTAATCTCCCCTTGGTCAAAAAGTTGTAGACGAGTTATTTAAAAAAATTTATTTAAAAAATCAAAATATTCCAATTAACAAATTGGAAGAGAAATTTATATTAATATTATAAGTTTATGCTATAGAAACAAACTAGTTAAAATAAATTATATTAAAAATATTTTGCATCCAAGATTTTCCTTAAAAATAATAATATATATCAATCAAGGAGGAGGAGAAGTTAGCGACCAAAGTATGTCTAGAGATTAACTCCCCCCTTTAAATTTGAGGAAAACATCTAAAATTTGCATTTTTGGTTACTTTAACTCCTCTTTAAAATTGGAACAAAATTTGTTTTTCAATAGGAAAATTTTAACGATGAAAATACTAATTTTTAATTATTTATTAACAAAAATAATTTAAAATTCAAAGAATTCAATTTATTTTTTTTAAGGTTTTAACAATTTTATAGAGAAAAATTTAAATATAATGTTTTTTAAAAAAAATAAATTGGAACAGAATTTTTTGTTCCAAAAAAAGGGGGGTAGTAAGTAATTTCATTTATATAAATTATGTTTAGGCTCTTTAGGAAATTTTCAGACATTGCCCAAAAGCCTTTGAGAGACCGAATCCTTGAGGCTCCTACTTCAGCGCTTCTCTCTACAATTAATAGCCCTGAAGCAACCTCTGTAGATTTGGTTTTCGGACTGAAAGAACTTTCAGATAGGATTAGAAAACATAATTTAAGCAGGAAAGTATTAGCTGAGCCAAAATATCATGAAATTCAACTCAAAATATCTCGAGACATCATGAACCTTGACAAAGACAGCGTTTTGAGTTATTCATATTTCTTAAAAACCTATGATAAACTTACAGAAAAAGAGTTCACATTAGCAAGTGAAAGATGGCTAGCAACTAAAATCAGGAAAATTGCTAATGAGAATGGCTTTACTGTTAAGGAGTTAGGAGAGCTTGCAGAAAATCTATTGTCAATCAATAAATATATATATGAAATAGAAAGCAGCGCTGCTTCTCAAAATGATGGAACATTAGAAGATTTTATGAAAATATTGAAAGTGGCAAGAATTTTGAATAAAGAACCAGATTATGATTTTTGGAATAAATTTACTGAGTTTTTTGATCATATGGATTATGAAAATATGAGCCCTAAAGAAATTTTTGAAAAATTAAACATCTTATACTCACAGCCTGATATTTATCGCAAAAAAATTTGCCAAATCACTGATAAAGCTTTTAGTTCCCTTCTGTCAAAATTAGATTCCTTACATCCCCCTCCGTCAGCGAGTATTTTTTTGCTCGCTTATGGAGGGGGTTAATTTAATATTTTTTAAAAATTTACATGTAAATTGTATAGTAAAACTTTTTCTAAATTCAAAGCAATCTTAAATCGCATAATTGGGAGTAAAAACTCATTAAATTTGTAAAATATATGTTTGAAGATGCAAGATATTTAAAATTTAGTAGACTTAGCTAGAGATTTCAATCTAGTTAAAATCACTTATATATTAAAAAATTTGCACAAAATGTTTTCGCTAGCACAAAGCATTTTTTTTTACAAAAAAAGAGATTTTTTCCATTGTGAGGAGAGTTAGATTTTCCACAAATTTTGAAAATTTTAGAATACTATACTTTGCAAGCTAATTTAGACGAAAATATTTATTTATCTTTCATATCAAAATTAGAAGAAATATTACAGAATCCTCCTTATATCATAAAATCTGAACAGACATTTAACCTTATTTCATTAATAGCCGACATCAGCAAACAAAAAGACTACCCAGTTGTTCCATCCTTAAAAAATGCTCTATTAAATGATATAAAGCTCAAGCTTGATTCCAAAGCTTTGCATTTGTCTCAATATAAGCCTTTGGTGCATGACATTATGAAAATCGAAAAAGTAATATCCAAAGATTTATCATTAAGCCTATTAAATTACATAAAAACTTCACAATTCATCGGAATTTGAACATTTGAGTGCATTAGGCTATTTGAAAAATTAGGAATAGGAGAATACACAGATGGTTTTATTGCTGTAAAAATTATTTAGGATGCAAAGGAAGCAATAAAAGCAATATCCAAGTTGGACTGGGTTGATAAGTTTTCTATTATTGATGTCATTTTGCAGATTGATGGGTATGATTTTAAACCTGGCTGCTTTGACTGCTTTAGGAGTATAAAAACAGAGTAACTTTTAATCAGACTTCACTATGTAAGTGGAAACAATTCTTATGAAGTCTTAGATGCCTATCTACAAGCAGAATTATCGAGAAAAACACAATTAAATCTGATGCCTGAAATAGAAAAAATTGTAAGGACTTTGAATGCAGTTAACGATCCACTGAGCGATCCATTAGTATTAAAGCATTTATTGATGCTTGGCGGCTTAAAATCAGAATTACCTAAAGAGCTATTACTCCTCCTTTGATTAGCTAGTATAAAAGTTGAAAATAATACCCTTTGGAAAAAATTAAATCTATTTGTTGAAGAATAAAACAAAGTTAAATATGAAGATCTTCTTATATAAAAGATTAATGAATTTAACAATTAGATAATAAACTTTAGAGAGTCGTCATCCTAACAAATAATTATAAATTAGCATCCGAATCGGGTAAAAAATTCTTGCTAACTAACCAAAATGAGAGCTAGGGTCTCTTGCATCTAGAATGCCTCTTTCTGATATAGAAAAAGTTCTAGCTGTCGATTATCCAGTTTTCACTGCAAAATCAGTATTAATGTTATTCAAAGAGATAAAAGATAGAATAGATGATAGAATACTCGTACATGGGATGAAATATTTGTCAACAACTTTTGATTATATGGATTGGGTTGATTATTCATATGCTGCTCTTATTGTTGATCAAAAATTCTTTTTGTCTCCTTTATTTGACAAATATTATGAGAAATTTTTCAACGAATTAACAAAATGTGTGTTTCCTACTCAGTATAGTAGAATGTATAGGATATGGGGATTCGTAATAAATGAAATAGGAGATATTATACACTGGCAGAATTTGGGAGGGCCTTTACACACCGAGACATTTTTCAACGTGTGGAGCTCGAATCCCATATGTGGAGCCATTCAAGTGTGGAAACTCCTCATGTGGAATTTGGGTTTCACACTTAGAAAAATGCCACAATGTATGGAGAGCCTCCAAATTATGGCAACGCATAATATAAATGAATTAAAATCAAAGAAAATTCGTAAAATGATAGAATTGTTAGCTTTTGCCCAAAAAATCCCAGCAAACCTCGCTTTAAAGCTACATAAATATTTCATCAACCAGCAAAAGGACTATTCCTCAACAATCCTACTTATTAATTTAGCACTAAAGCAGGATAATTTGACAGAAGAAGAAAGAAAACGAGTTTTAAATCAATTTTTTTCAATATCTGAAAATATATCTTTTGACGAGCTGAAAACAAAAGTCTTGACTTACAATATAACTGAATTGAGCGATAAAAATAAAGAAGAAGCATTTATCCTTAAACTTCAAGAGAAAATTCGAGATTTGTCACCAAGATACATGTACTCAGTCTTTGATTTGTTAGGCCAACTATATTTTAAAGTTTTGCATGCCCATTATGATTTTAGCAATAATATTGTAAATGCATTTGCTGATTATGTGACTAAGCATTCAAATAAGTGTGGCTCAAAGTTGCTAACTAAAGCATTTTGGAGTTTTGCAAAGCATAACAATAAAAGCCCAGATCTCTATAAAGTCTTATTGTCGGAGCTAGGGAAGAACTACTATGATCTGAACCCTTTAAGCAAAGTCAATATTTTAGCTTCTTTTGGGAAAAAGGGTTTAAGGGTGAAAGACGTTTATGAAATCATCTGCAATGATATCCTGCAAAATGTCGACGATTACATAGCGAGCACATCGGAGATTTTAACTTCTATTGGTGAAGTAAACTATGAAAATGAAGAATGGAGCCAAAAGTTAACGAGAATTTTTTTAGATAAATACGATTTCAGCGCCAAACAATACTCAAATTATTGGTACTATAATTTACTGTGGGCATTAGTTAAGTCAAAAGCTTCTGAAGACGATATAAATAGACTCATTTCATATGCTAAAGAAGGTTTTCATCATTATGGTAAAAAAGGGATCAAGCAGTTTTGACTCTACTATCATTTTAAAAATTCGAACCCAGCACTTTCTGAACAAAGTTTCAGAATTTCTCAAGAAAAAATTAACTGGCAAACAGTTTATGGGGTGAGAGTGGATTGGCTGAACCCCGTTGTGGATGCTTTTGAAAGTGTTGGAATTAAGGCAGATAGATTTGAGAAACTTGAAGAGATTACTTCTCCATTGTTAATCAAGGAGAAAAAATTGTGTCTCTGGGCAAAAAATCCATATATAATGACTTATGAAAATGAAATGCTGAGGGGAGATTTTATGTTTGTAAAGGAGTGTATAGAAAAAAGAGGAGGAAGGGTGCAGCTTTTAGATTTAGAGGCATTGAAAGGATTGGATAACAAAAAAATAGTCAAATTGTTTGAGGCTCAAGGAATATTAAGTTAAAACTTAAAAACTCAAGGATTATTTTTAATCAAGGATTAGTTATAAACCATATACTTATTTGTTGCTGAGAACTTCGCATATCCCTTGATCACTTTTTCGATGGCATCAAGCAAATCTTTTTCTGAAATACTCTTTCTTCTCTGTCTGATTGCAAACATGCCTGCTTCAGTGCACACAGATCTAATATCAGCTCCAGTTGTATTAGGACAGAGTCTTGACAGCAGTTCAAATCTGATGCCTTTGTCCATGTTCATAATCTTCGCGTTAATTTTGAATATCTGGGTTCTTCCTTCTAAATCAGGCAGCCCAAACTCAATTTTTCTATCCAACCTTCCAGGTCTTAGAAGTGCAGGGTCAAGTGTGTCAGGTCTATTAGTAGCCATAAGGACTTTGACATTTCCTCTGTTATCAAACCCGTCTAACTGGTTGACAATTTCAAGCATAGTTCTTTGGACTTCACTATCCCCTCCATGCCCATCATCAAACCTCGCCCCACCTACAGCGTCAACTTCATCAATAAACACAATGCAGGCTTTCTTGCTTTTGGCCATTTGGAAAATTTCTCTGACCATTCTTGCCCCTTCTCCTACATATCTTTGGACAAGCTCACTTCCAATAACTCTTATAAAGCATGCATCAGTCCTATTGGCAACTGCTCTTGCAGCAAGCGTTTTACCAGTTCCTGGAGGACCGTAAAGGAGCACTCCTTTTGGCGGGTCAATGCCAAGGTTGATGAATTTTTCAGGGTGAAGCAAAGGCATTTCGACGACTTCTCTAAGCCTTTCAATTTGTTCTTTACAGCCTCCGAGATCGCGTGTCCGTACAGTTTTCTCCCGAAAAAGTATAAAAGTAAAAGCAAGCACCCAAGATTGAGAATTTTAGCATGTAAAAGAGAAAAATAAAATTTAATCAAGATCTGCCCCTGAAATAAAGAGTAATAAGTAATAAAACTCTCTCTCTCTGCAAATAATGAATGACTGTCTTTTTATTAATTCAAAAGCATCTTATGAAATATGCTGGAAAAGAATCAATACATTTAAAAAAAAAAAGTTATACAGAAATTTAGCACAAATAGCAAATATAATGAAATTGACTTAAGAAAGTAACTAATTTCGACAAAACAAGAGTTGATTGGGGATCAATGACCAATTATTCTTTGGACTAAAAGGTAAAAAAGAGATACCAGCAGCTTCTCCCTATTTCAAGCAAAACATTCACTGTTATTCTATTCATTAGACCAAATTGTGATAAAGATTCTGCATTGATTATATTTTCAGGAAAAAAATAAATTTCATAGCATTATGAAGATCAATCTACATAATAGCATTCAAATCGCATGCAGTCCAGATGGATACATAACCAAGGAAATTCTTTCTAATTGCATTGAGAAAAAAATTGTATAGATGTCGAACTAATTATATCTGATAAATGCACTACTCATATGTGTGAAGAAATAAAGCACATTTTACAAAGATCGAAGAATAAAGAATATTTTTTATTTCTGCCGGATACGCTAAATATGTTCAACCATTATATTTAAGTGTTTTTAGAGGATTTAAAGCAAGAGTTGACGAAATGAAGAACAAATAAATTGAAGAAAACATTGACAAAAGCATCAAAGCTGGAAATATAAAAAATCCAGACAAATTTTGCGCGATTTAGTGGGTAAAAGCTGCTTTTGAGTTTAGAGCAGAGACAATCGCAAATAGCTTAAAATTATGCAACCTATCAAGGCAAGAAAAAGGAGAAAAAATTGCATTTGATTATTGCTCAAGATTTAAAGATTTAAATTTATAAAAATATTTTACTTTAATTTGATTTTTTTATACCACTCTGAGAGTTTTTTTCCGCCAACCCTCCGAGATCATTATAAGTTACGTCAGGTTTTTCTTCTAAAGTCATCATAGTGACTGTCGGATCGATTTTTGGAGGAAGAGGGATTTGAATGAAATACTTGGTTCGGTCGACGCCAACGCGCATGCCTTCTTCTATATCAGTTGCAGCTACTTTTTCACCGAGTCCTACAACAAATTTGGCAAGCTGCTTAATAGAAATCATGTATTTGGCTTCATTTGTCCCTGGATTGATGATTTTTGTGCATCTTGCGACTTGAAGAGGCTGCTCCATCTGCATCATCATTTTGTCACCTTCGAGATCCCAATAAGAAGGCTGGGAAAGGCCAGTGTCAGATTCTTTTACGCCTGTGGTAGCAGCGATTTCTTTAAGCTTCGTAGTGATATCGCTCTCGATAGACTGAATTACTTTAGCATATGGCCCAGAGCCATAGCGCATCATGAGACTGATGTCAGCTTCATCCAAGGGTTTGATGGGCTTGCTCTCTTCGTTCTTTTTGTCGTCAGACATTTTATTATAGTTTTGGAATTGATAAATAGAAAACTATGATTTTCTTATGAATTAAATGTTAGAAGTTTGAATATGCGTTGAAACTATTTTTAAAATTAATTTATTTATAAAAGATATTTTAGTATAAAACGAATAAGAAAATCCTTAAATTATTCTATTATATTAGCTTATATACACGTCTTAAGAAATCTGTTGTTATTTAAGCTTTCTTTTCTTCCACCTTTTGGGTGTGAGCCTGAGCTTCTGCCACATGTCTCTCATGTAATACATTATTCAACAGAACATTATATTTCTTTGCAGCTTCTTTAGCCCTCTGCCATCTCTCCTTCTTCTGAGCTTTTTCCTTAGTTTTTCTTCTTAACCTCTCAGCAGTATATCTTAAGTATCCGTATGGATTGTTAAAGCCTTGAATTCCTACTGCCAAGCTGAGAGCCTGCAAATTCAACTCTATTTGACGAGTGAAACCTTAACTTGGCAAATCTGCGATATCCTGTATATTTGCCAAATTGAGGTCTGACTTGTCAGTCGGAGTTAACTTTGCAAGCCCCCATATGACAGAAGGAATTGAAGGCTTGAACAATCCATAAGGATGCTTAAGTTATAATAAGTCTTTGTATCTTTGGAGCTTTAAAGTAAGGCTTTTTCCCTTCTCTTTTGATTTCTCTCTTGACGACATATTTTCTAACATCGTCTCTTTCTTCAGCTTTCACAGATTTCTTGTCAACTCCTTTGTCTAAGGCGAATAACTTTCTGATTCTTGAAGCTCTTTTTGGGCCAAGTCTTCTTGCAATAGGGCTGTCGGTGATGCCAGGGAGCTCACCTGGACCCTTTTTGGTGACAACAAGTTGAAGAACAGCGATATCGTGGCCAACAATGCAGCCTCTGACTGATTTGCGCTTTCTCTCACCTTTTTTGCGAGGGCGGTAGTTGGTGTGTCCAGCTGAAAGCAATAAGCGGACTCTTTTGTTTTCAAGGACTCCTTGCTTCATTGAAAAGCCTTGCTTGTCATTGCCTCCAGAGATACGGAAGATGTAGCCTTTAAACTCTTCTCCTAAGGCTTCTCCATCAATTTCTTGCCCCATTCTGCGATCGTAAAAGAGTCTTACTTTGCGCTCATCGTCGATATCGATGCATTTTTGTTGTCCTGTTTCGGGGAAAGAGATGTTAAACTTCATCTTTTAGCCACTCTATTATAAACACAGAAAATGGCTTATAAGATGAATAGAACATATAGAGAATTAGATAGGTTTTAGACTGCTAATGAACAAAAGAGGAAAATATATAATAAAATTCCATATCATTTAACCAATGCTTATTTGTCAATTCTTATAATTAATCAGGATTAGATATGATTATAAAAATTTTAAAATAAATAATACAGTTTTTGTTTTATCCTTTCAGAAATCTTTAGAAATAACTGTGATAAGACTTTATATGTTTAAAATACAAGTAATCAAATATAGAATATTTAAAAAATTTTCAAAAAATAGCAGTCGAGTTTATTATTTTCCCTAAAAATGACGAGCATAAGGGAGAATTTAAAAAATTATCGATTTCAAAGCCCAGCAAGGATACTTCTAACAGATGATTTTCTATCAAAAACTTTAGACTCTGAAAAAAACACTGTCCGTACGGATAGCACTTCTAAACAAATACCAACAAAATCTCGCCTATCAGCCACATCAAGATCTTACATGTCAGCCACTCCTCACTCAACAACAAAACAAATCAACTTAGATGACTGTTTTTCTCCAGGTAATCAATTTTTCCCTAAATTTCTTGCAAGATTGCAAGGACTTGGAACTGTAAAATTTGAACGAACGGTGGTTAAAGAAGAAGATAAGATTTTGAGCTTTAACAGAATTCTCCAATCTGTTAATCTATCTCCAGTAGTGAAAAAATCTGTTAAAAAACGTAAAAGAGTAAGTTATATGCCAATAGGCACACATTACAAAAAATTAGAAGCAAAAATCACTCTAAATACTATGGAGTTTAATAACAGCCAGAAAAATTCACCCCCAAGTCCAAGCCAAGGAAAGCGATATGGGTTAAAAATTGTATCGTCTCCTTATCCTAATAATTCTCCATTTAAAGGAGAAGCAATAGGGAGAAACATACAAGAAATAAAACCAATCAAAATGATTGATATCGCAACTTGGGCCCCTGATTGCCCAAATTCCCTAAGAGCTAGCAGCAAAAAAATTAAACAATAAATAATTGCTATAATAAATGGGAAACTTATTCATTTTACTCTTCCTAAATTATTCAAATCTTACTAAATAAATTATAATGCTCGAATTGGAGTTACAAGTGAGTTAAATTGATAAATAATGAGTAAGTTTAGCAATATGGTAAAATTTAAGTAGCAACTGAAATTGAAAATAAATGCAAGAGGGTCATCAAAAAGTCCAAAGCTAGAGCTGACCTCTATAAGAAATTCATCTCATAGTAGAAATTTATCAATCGATTATAAGAACGAGCTAAGAGCTTCAAGAAGATATGAAAACATATCGCCAGAGTTATATGATTCAGGGAATATAAAACTTAAACCTATTAATCAATCTATAACTTTACTAGAAAGTAAAAATGAAGAAATTGACGATGAATTTAAACTGCATTTGTCAGCCAAAGATCGTAGAATTGAAAAGCTTAATAATATGATACTTGATTTAAGAGTAAAAATCAAAGAAAATAACGCAGAAACTATAATAAAAAAATTGAAACAAAGAATTGTTTTATTAGAAGAAGAGTTGGAATTGATGAAAGAAGAAAGAGACAACGGACAAAAAAATTATGAAATATTAGAAACAAAATATAAAAGAGCTCTTGAGAAATGAGAAGAAGAAAAGGATTTAATTAGATATGATAAGGAATTATCATTGCAAGAAGTTTCGCAACTTAAAATAAGCCTGCAAGAAAAAGAAAACATTATTGATGAAAATAAAGACAGCATAGCTTTTATATCAAAAATGCTAACACAAACTAATCAAATGAATAATGAGCTTAATCAAAAAATGCAAAGTCTAAATGAGGAATTAGATAAAGCCAATAAAAACTATCATGAATCACAAAAATCATCAAAATTAGCAGAAGGGTATGAAAAACATTTAGAAATTTATATTGAAGATATCACAGATAAAGAAAAAAAGATTGACAGATTTAATGAAAGCGTTGAAGCTATAATAGAAGTAGCAATTCAAATTAAAAATCTTAAAGAAGAGATTGCACAAAAAATTTCAAATTCAGAAAGCTGAGAAGGAAAGTTTCCAGAAGAGATCAAATATCTTGAATTTCAAAAAGAAAATATCAGCAATATTTATGAAAAATTAAATGCAAGCATTATTGATTATATTGAAATTAATGCTATAGCCTCTGATAAAACTATAAGATCAAAACTCGCTGATCTAAATGCAGATATCAAAAGACAAATTTCGATAAAAGAAAAATACCAAACAAAGTACAACAATTCTAAGCAAGAAATAATTCGATTAGCGGCTTCAATTTCAAGCTTAAAAGATTTGCATAAAGATGAAATATCTAAATTAAAAAAAATTATTGATTCAAATGTCATCTTATTTGAAAAGTTAAAAAATGCAAATCATGAAAATAAAGAAAAGCTTATAGGAAAAGATTTAGAGATAAAAAAGCTTGAAAATAAAATAAAGGTTCAAAATGAAAAAATTGATGATTTCATTACACAGAAAGAAGAATTTTCTTTAAGAGAGGAAGGGCTTAAGCTACAATTGGAACATTTTAAATCAAAAATGATGAAGCTATTAGAAGAAAGACGCTCAGCAGACTTCGATCTTAGCATAAGAGAAAACAATTTAGAAAAATCTCTTTGGAAAATTGATTCATTGAAAGATGAATTAATGAAACGAGAAAATGAAATCGTCAAAAAAAATCAAAAGTTAATTTTATTAGAAACTGAGATGCAAAGGCTAAAAACAAACATAAATAAATACATTTATCATAACAGAAACATTGAAGGCAATCTGCTAGGGAATTATCTAAAAGAGTTGGCCACAAGAGATCAAAAAATTGAAATTTAAAAGAAATGCTAAGGGTTGGAAAATCTAATGATAGACTAAATGAAATTCAATAAAATAAAAAATGAAATATTGTTTAAATTCCAAATAGTGAAATATAAAACAGAATCTGTCTAAGCTAATTTTTAAGATAAAAAACTTTATGATGAAAATGGAGAATGAGGACAGTCGCACAGGCTCAATTGGAATTCAAATTTCAAACCAAGATGAGCCAATTCTCCTCCCACAAGAACGTCCAAGCTATTTTCAAAGAGTATCAGTAACATAGCTCAAAAAATTATTGAAAAAAGTCGAGCCTCCAGAAAGATATATAAACTTCTCAGGTACGATAAATTATACATCTCCATCAAATGCAGTGAAGAACACAAAATACAACATTATTACTTTTTTCCCGCTCTTCTTATTTTACCAATTCGGACAGCCTTTAAATCTCTTCTTTTTAGTTATCGCTCTCAGTCAATTCTACCCTCCTTTACAGGTAGGGTTTCTTTTTACATATATTGCGCCTTTAGCCTTAGTCACTTTTATAACGATGTCTAAAGAGGCTTATGATGATCTAGTTAGGTGGCAGCGAGATCGAGAAGTGAATAATCAATTATATACATGTCTCAGTCACAATGGCTCCAAAAGAATCCCATCAGAAGAAATCAAGGTTGGGGATTTCATTGAAATCCATTCTCATGAAAGAATCCCAGCTGATATGATTTTAATGCAAACTTCTGATGAAAGCGGCACTGTTTTTATCAAAACTGACCAGCTTGATGGAGAAACTGATTGGAAATTAAGAAAAGCTGTTGTGTGCACGCAGAGGGTCAGACCGGAAATGCAGCTGCTAAATTTGGCAGGAGTGGTTACGATTAAAGCTCCACATAAAAATATATATGAATTTGAAGGGAAAATCGAACTTGAAATAGGCGGAAAAAGTGTCGCTGAAGGGCTAGGGCTGGAAAATACAGTATGGTCTAGCACTTCGTTAGCGTCAGGAAGCTGCATTGGATTTGTGATCTATACAGGAAAAGAAACAAGAAGTGTAATGAATGGCAGGGAGCCTTCAAACAAGCTTGGAGCTACTGATATTGAACTCAATAGGCTTGCAATGTATTTACTAATACTCATGATCTCTATGTCATTTTTAATTGTATGTCTAGCAGGATTTAGTGTCAATACTCCTATTTCCTTCTTCAGATTCTTATTGCTCCTTTCCACTATTATTCCTATTTCTCTCAGAGTTAACCTTGATTTCGCCAAAATTTATTACAGCTACCACATCGCAAAAGATCCTTTAACTGGCAACGCAAAGCCAAGAAACTCCACAATTCCTGAAGAACTTGGCCGAATTCACATTTTATTAACAGACAAAACAGGAACTCTTACCAAAAATGATATGATCTTAAAACGTCTCAGTTTTGAATATGAGAAATTTTCAATTGACGATAAAGACAGTATGGAGGATTTATTAAAATTAATGAACTTAAATTATCAGAACTGTCCAGCTCCCATTGGCGATTTTAATCAAAAGAAAAAAAGAAAAAGAGATACAGATATGGTTGTCAGAGATATGATTACAGCACTCACCTTGTGCCACAATGTTACCCCAGTGATGGAAAATAATGAGCAGATTTATCAAGCAAGCTCACCTGATGAAATCGCCCTAGTCAATTTCACAAAAAGCATAGGTGTAGAGCTGCATCATCGAAGCCAAGAAATGATGATAATTAATACACCAGCTGGAATTGAAGAGTATAAAATTTTGCAGATGTTTCCATTTACATCAAGCAGCAAGCGTATGGGAATTATACTTTACCATGAAGCTACAGATAATATTATTTTTTACTTAAAAGGTGCAGAAGAAGTTTTAAAAGAAAAAATTGGCTCCCAGATTTCCAGAACTCGAATGATTGAAGACTGTGAAAACTTAGCCCAAGAAGGCTTAAGGACTTTGGTGGTGTCTCAAAAAATTTTGACAAAAGAAGAATATGAGGCATTTCTTGAAAAATTCAATACTGCAAGGGTTTCTTTAGTAAATAGAGAAATAATGATAAGAGCCGCTATCGATACACTTGAAGTTGATATGGAATATTTAGGCGTCACAGGCGTTGAAGATAAATTGCAAGACAAAGTGGACAAAAGTATTGCAAAATTAAAAAATGCAGGAATTAAAGTATGGATGCTTACTGGTGATAAATTTGAGACTGCGAAATGTATTGCAATTTCAACAGGCTTGAAAAAGCATGATCAGACTTTTTATGAAATTGTAAATATGTGTGATAGAAATCTGTTGAAAGAGACACTTGATGAACTAAGACTAGTTGGAAACCAAACAACTGTGCTGGTTGTTGATGGAATTTCTATTCATATTGCATTAGAGGCCTTTGAAGAAATTTTTGTACAAGTGGCCAGCCAGTTAGGAGGGGTTGTGTGCTGCAGAGCAAGCCCAACCCAAAAAACCCAGGTTGTAGACGCTCTGAAAAGATATACTAAAAATAGAGTTTGCTCCATCGGAGATGGAGGAAATGATGTAGGGATGATACAGGCTGCTCATGTCGGAGTAGGAATTGAAGGGAAAGAAGGGAAGCAAGCCTCTTTAGCAGCTGATTATTCTATTTCAGAATTCAGACATGTAACTGCATTAATTTTATGGCATGGGAGGATGAGCTACTTAAGAACCTCACGATTGGCGAATTTCATATTCCATAGAGGTCTTATAATTGCTGTGATCCAGTTTATGTTTTCAATGATTTTTTATTATATTGCAATTCCAATTTATAATGGATATTTAATGCTTGGCTATACTACTATTTTTACCTCAATGCCTGTATTTTCAATTGTGTTAGACAAAGATATTGAATATAAAACTATCAAAAATTTCCCCATACTTTACCAGACCCTCCAAATGGGCCGTGCATTGAATTCTACTAGATTTTTGCTGATTCTAGTGAAAAGCATATATCAAGGCTCAGTAATAATTCTTTGTGCAATCTTACTATTTATTGATGATAGCTTTATAAACATCGTTGCAATAACTTTTTCAGCTTTAATTTTGACAGAATTGCTAAACATTGCAACTATGATTGAAACTTGGACAAGAGGAATCATAATATCAGAAATAGCTGCATTTACAATGTATGCTATATCAATTTTAGCCCTTAGGAACTATTTCGATGTTATGTTCATTCTTACGCCTGATTTCTTCTGGAAAGTCTTATTAATCACTACAATTTCTTGGCTTCCACTTTATTTACTTCTTCCATTTAAATTGGAGCCTATGAAATTCCATATAAAAAAAAGCGTATCCAATTAAAAAGAGGTTTAATTTTTATAAAAAAATATCATATTTGCTCCTATTCAAAGGAGGAAGTTAGGTAAATTCATCAAAGACAAGCTGATGCCATCAAAAGCCAAACAAATAAGGGAGAATAGTTAAATTTGTTTTTTAATAATTTTGTTAATAAACACCATTTTATCAATGAATTACCTTTACCTGAAAATTTATTCGATTTCTTTAAGCTCTTTATCATGATGTTTGTGCTTACGAGGAGACTCCATACCTTCAGTGATCAATTCGCGAGTCATGGTTGGAATATACCCGTTAGGGACTTGATGCTCGTCCATCTCCCAGAAAACCTGGTCTTCAAACAAGTCATGAGGTCCGTTAAAGCATGGCAATTTTAGAATTAGGCCTGTAATTACGCCAGTTATAATTGCAATCGCTAAAGTAATTCCTAAGCTTGCAATTTGCAGTCCTCCTTGTTCTGAAGCAGTTCTACCATCAAATCTATCCTCAACTCTATACCCTAAAGTGTCTTCTGTTAAAGCACCTATAAAAATAGCTGAAAAAATGCCTCCAAAAATTCCTGGCATTCCATGAAGGTTATTAATTCCACATGTATCATAAAGTCCAATTTTTCTCTGAAGTAAAGGAGAAAGCACTTCAAACCCAACGCAAGACATAAATCCTGCCCAATACCCTACAAATAAAGCTGCAAAAGGATATACAATTTGGTCTGCACTCGTCCCTACACAGACTCCTCCTGCTAAAGTTGCATTTAAGACGTCTTCCATGCTCAATTTTCCTTTCTTAAATATAGAAGAAGTAATAAATACAGCAGTTGTTGATCCAGTCAGTGCTAGAAGAGTGTTAATAACTGATCGGATTCTGTCTTCAGGGTTTAAAGCAGGGAAACAGTTAAAGCTAGGCCAGTACATCCACAAAAACAGAGTTCCAATCATAGCAAATAAGTTCGAGTTATAATTTGAACTGTTTTTTGGATGTCCTTTAGTTTGTTTTGGTGAAATCATCATCGTCACTGACAAGCCAAAGTAAGCCCCAAATGTATGGATTGTTATACTCCCACCGATGTCTTGTAGGTGGATTCTATCAAAGCAAATAGCTTCATTTAATGCGTAAAAGCATGCCTCGATAAACGCCATAACCAGGAGCTGAAACAAATTTAGCTTGCCTAAAACTCCTCCTAAGCTGATTAATATGGCTGCACAGCAGTATAAAGCGGTCACCATTGTAGTGATGTCTACTTGAATTTTAAAGTCCCAGTTGTCTCCACTCACACATCTGATCCAGAACCCATTGTAAAGGATGTACATCTGGAATACCACGACTGTTAGAATAAAGTTAAACCCAACCGCTGACCAACTATGAGTTCTAAGAAAAGTCATTAGGAATCCAAAGCCAATAAACATCATGACTGACACATCTTGCATTACTGGGTAACCTGTAACAAAAGCAGTCTGCGGCTCTTCATTCCAAGGGAGGCTAGGATCGACGGGGTCGTAACGAAATTCGACAAAAATGCCATATAGAATCACAATGACCACTTCTAGAAGGATAAAGAATATCTGGAATAGAGAGGAATTTTTCTTTGTTTCAGAGTTTTGGTCCTCTGGACGATCAATTTCCATTTTATCGTTAAATTATTATGAAAGTTGGCTGGGAGAATTTAATGGATTATGAGATTATAAATAGACTAATATGAAATCAGGCTCATGTGATACATTAAAAGTGGCATACAGTAAAACTTAAAGGTAAAATAAGTTATAAATTTTAAATAAAATAACTTTTCAACAACAGTATGAGAGAACGAGCTGTAGAAAACATGAAATTTTGAATTTTAAAATTTTTGCTACAAGGTATAAAGATGAGGAATTTTTAATTTAAAATTAATATAGCAAAATAAGTTGCTCATCAAAGCTTTCAGAAGATTTAGATTTCTAGATTTGTTTATGACATATTTTCATATTAATAAATAAGTTCTAATTTTAGCTTAATCATTTTTACTCTTGAAAAATCAAATAGTTATAAACTTTCGACTTCTGTAAATTAACTTTTATTCTATCATCCCTGTATCAAGAAAATCTATATCTTGTAATAAATTATTTTATCCATAATTTTTTACCTAAAATACCTTTTAATAATCATTGATCCATAGATATGGAAATTCTGGCCAGACTTCAAAATCAAGCTAACCAAATTAAGCAGATTCACCTTAGAGATCTTCTCTCACAACGTGAGAGAAACCAAGTCTGCACTGCAAATTTCGAAAATATCCTTTTCGATTATTCTCATAGTAAAGTATGCCAGACAACACTTGATTTGCTAGGGGAGTATGCCATATCTACTGGACTCTTCGATAAAATAAGAGCTATGTATGAAGGTCAGCACATCAATACAACAGAAAACAGAGCAGTTCTCCACGTTTTATTAAGAGCTCAAGAATCCCAGCATCCTCAGTTCCCTGAAGTTCTCCAAATCAGAGAAAGGATCAAAGATTTCGCTGGCAAAGTTCGAAATGGAGAAATTCTGGGAGTCACAGGTAAGCCTTTGTTTAACATTCTCTGCATTGGGATTGGTGGAAGCTACCTAGGCCCAGAATTTGTAGCAGAAGCCTTAAAAACTGAGCCAAACTGCATGAGGGAATCTATAGGCAGAAATCTTCGCTTCTTAGCTAACGTAGACCCAGTTGATTTCTTAAGAGCTACCCATGAGCTAGACCCAGAAGAAACCTTAGTGGTCATTATTTCTAAAACTTTCACAACTGCTGAAACCATGATGAATGCAAGAAAAGCTACCGCATGGCTTACATCTCATATAACTAGCCATCCTTCAGAAAAAGTAATTGAGCATCATGTCTGTGCAGTTTCTTCCAACCTCCAAAAAACTAAAGAGTTTGGCATCCAAGATGAAAGAGTTTTCGGATTTTGGGATTGGGTAGGCGGAAGATACTCAGTTACCTCAGCTGTAGGCCTAGTTCCTCTTTACCTTCATTATGGTCCTCAAATTGATCTTTTCTTACAAGGTGCTAATTCTATTGACAGACTTTTCCTTGAAAAAGCCAACCTGAACCAATGGAAAGAAAACATCCCTCTGCTAATGGGACTTTTGGGCTGGTGGAACACACAATTTTTGGAGTACTCATCAAGAGCTGTGTTACCTTATTCTCAAGCATTGGTTAGATTTGCAGCTCATATTCAGCAGTTAGATATGGAAAGCAATGGAAAACAATGCAAAAAGGATGGAACTCCTGTAGAAGTGTCAGGACCAATTGTATTTGGAGAGCCAGGAACTAATGGGCAGCACTCATTTTATCAGCTTATGCATCAAGGCAGAATTGTTCAATCAGAATTCATAGGATTTTGCCAGTCGCATAGCTCAGATAGTGAAGCTCATAATGAATTATGCTTAATTGAACTGAATATAACGTCAGAAGCTATTTAAAATATTCTAATTTTTTACAAAAAATTATAAAACTTCTATTATTCTCAGAGATAACTCAAAGAAATAGAGAATAATGTCAAATTTCTTTGCACAGCCTGATGCACTTGCCTTAGGCAAAACAACTGAAGAGTTGAGAAAGGAAAATTGCCCTGATGCCTTGGTTCCTCATAAGATGTTTAAAGGTGATAGACCAAGCTTTAGCTTATTATTCCCTGCGCTTACTGTAAACGCATGCGGCCAGCTTTTAGCTCTTTATGAGCATCGCGTCGCAGTAGAAGGGTTTTTGTGGGATCTTAATTCATTTGACCAATTTGGAGTTGAGCTAGGAAAAACACTTGCAACTAAAGTAAAGCAAGCAATTGCATCAGAAACCTTTGAAGGCCACCCAAGCGAAAATTTGCTTCTTCACTATATCAATCATAGATAATTAATTAATTAATTAGTTAATCAAATAAACTTCAAGGCTTTAATTAATTGCAAATGTGCATTATTTATAGAGTAGATAAATTTTATATGAGAAAATTTTAAACAGAGAATAATTATTATATTGTATATATGGATAGAGAAAAATAAAGTTTATCAATGAGAAATGCAAAAATAAAATTACGATGGAAGAACGCTTCAAAAGATTTATAGTATTTGTAATAAATTGTTAAAAAATCTAAGATTCTAATTTAGAAATTTTATATTTGACTTTAATCATTGAAATTGCTCACAATTTGTTAGTTATCGCAAAAATAGCGTTGAAAATGCGCAGGCTACGCAGCCGAAAGCTACCCAAGGGCTTAAACGATCACCTACTACAGCAGCTCTTCTAAAGATCCCTCCAAATCCTTCCTTTTGTGAGTCTATCATAGATGGCCTGAATTGTCGTATATAAGAGCATAAGCATATTGTCAAGAAAATCACAATCATCAAACTCTGAAAGTTGAATAGTGCAGACTAAATAAGAAATACCATTTTGATATAAAATTATAATGGAGTACATGTGGACTTACGGCAAAAGCAGGAAAATCTCTTTGTTAAATTCTAACTTTCTGAAAGGTTAAACTAGAGAAAATGATTTTTTTTACTTTGGACATCAAAATAAACATATGAACAGAAAAGATTTATTGTTTTTATGTTGATAAAAAGTTAAATTATTACCATTTGGCTTTTGGCATCAATTTTTGAAATAATATGTAAAACAAAATGCTGGTCAAAAATAGAGTTACTGGATAATTTTTTATCACATAAACTCCATCAAAAGTTTCTCAGTTGTCAAATATTTTCTCTTTTTCCAGTTGATTTTGAATAAATTTTTCATCAATTTCTAGCTTATGTTGAAATAATTTCTTGTGGTGTTTTATTCTTCTTTCTTGCTCATAATAATCGGTATTCTCTAATTTGCCTTTAAATAGCATTATTCCAGAGACTTTAGGATTTGATTTGGCTTTTATAAAATTTACTATTATTTTCTCATTTTCAATAGCATTTGCTAAAGGAGTATTATTTCAAAAAACAACATCTTCTGTTATAATCAGAGGAATAAAAACATCATAAGCAGCTGAATCTTTGACATTTTCATAAATTTCAAGGGAATTAATCACAATATTTTGGCCAATTCCAATACTAAATGTTTTATTAGCATTAGAAGATCAGAATTCTGCAAACTTAAGAATTAATATATAGCTCCCAGGCGTTGGAAGGCGAATATTGTAGCTGAAATTATCTGATGAATGTCTTTCAGTCTGATAAATTGCAGGATCGTTTGTGTATTTTACGATTTTATTCCTGCCAGGATGTATGGAAAGTCCTCCTTTATAGCCTTGATCTTTATTCCAGAATACACCTGAACTGTCTATATATTCTTCGCCACCACAATTTACAGCATATATAGGTTGTCCAAATGAGCAAATTAATGTCATACTGACAATGATAAGAAATTTCTTATCCATATTTATCATTTCTTCTATTAATTCTCAATTTTATTATATTTAAGTGAGAGAAATTAAAATTTTTGATAGTATTTTCTTTGTATCTCCTTTCTAGATTACATCACGAAGTATATTGCTATAATAATGCATAAAACGTAAAATTTAATTTAAAAAATTTATAATGAGTCTTATATTAAACTAGATGAGCATAAGCAATCGTTTTATTAGCAGTGTATCTATGCAGGCCAATAGACTATTTAAAAGTTTATAAAAAGCGTAAATTTTAAAGCTAAATTTTCAATTTCTAGTTATTTAAATGCTCCATGCGAGCAAATAGGTTATCAATTTCCCAACATCTTGTCCTTGCTTTGTTACATTTCCAGATTCGAGATTTGCAAAATAATCTTCAAGTGCTGCATTCACAGCTGTGAAATTAACTCCATAATGAACTAGCAGCTGAGCAAAACCTTTTTCAGTGGCTAGACTCAAAATGGTGTTAGTGAGCGTTTGAATTGCACATGAATCGTAGCTTGCGGTAAATTTATTCACAAAGTCACTAAAGTTGTCAAGACTGTCAAATATTTCTGTTGGCAAAATGCTGAAACTTCCTATAAAGGTGTTATATGCAGTTGTAGTGCTTGATATTGATTGGACACAAGTTGAAGGGGTTGAAGGGTTCTTTTGAAGGCCTGTAATCACTCCGGCCATAAAAACGCTGTAATATCCAGTAAGTGGTTTTCCTTGTTGGTCTTTAGGAATGGTGAAGAAATTACTTTTTGTTAAAAATGTTGTAAGAGATGATAAGAAAGAAAGTTTGCATTCCAAGGAAGATGGGTCTTTGCAGACATTTTCAGCTGAGTTTGGGCTGAAAAATTTGTTCTGGAAGTCAGATGAGGCTGAAATAAAGCAGATAAGAAGAAAGAAATAAAGAGGCTTGGATATCATCTTTTATTTATAAGAAGAAATATAAGAATTTAAATGGGTAAATAAGAAAATGTATTCATGAACTATTTAAGGTGAGAGATTTATTTTTTATCTTGGATGATAAGTAAATGGTTCAAAAAATAATAAATTTATGATCTAAATTTCTCAAAATCAATAAGGTGAATTTATATTTCAATTCATTTTAGCCTCAATATCCAATAGTTTATTTAATATGGAGTTTTCTGAGACTTTTGAGCTCTTGCAAATGCTCAAAGGCCCCAAATCGCACGATCAGCCAAATATTCTATCCTGCAGAAGTGATCGTTTCTCTGACTGCGCTGAAAAAATGATCCACTACTCACAATTAGAAACAGAAATTTTAGGACAGTCCCCTTTAAACTGCTTTGCTACCAGCTCTCAAAGTACTCAAGGCGATACTTATTCAGATGGCAATTTTAATGAGCCTGAATCTCCAATTACAAATTTTACAGAATCCAAGGAAGAAAGTAACAATTATCAAAACCATGAAGAAATCGTAAAAACCTTCCAAATGGTAGGAAAAAGCAATATTGCTTTAAATTATGAATGCAGCGAGCTTGTCATGCTGAAGGTTTATTTATTTTCGCTTTATGACTATATCGAGATTTCTCTTCCGAGGACAAACACAATTGGGCAGCTTATTGGGAAAATTTTAGCTGCTTATAAGCAGGATATAGCGAGAGAAATTCCATTGCCAAGTGGAGCGATTCCTGAAGCGTATGGGATATGGGTTATAAGTGGGGAAAATGTTTCAAATGAAATATCACTTATGCTGGATAGATCTTCAAAGGTTTCTGACTGCTCGAATTCTAATTTGATTTTTTGCAATATCCCAGGGTTCAAAAATAAAATAAGGCGCTCTACAGTTTTACTTTCGAGTAAAAATATTTCTGGGGTTTCTCTAAAAATAAATTATGAAGGCTTTTGTGTTCCTGTTTATGTGGGCCCAAATGTCACCCTGAAAAACCTACTTCAAACTTTAGAAAGAAAATTCCCAGAAAGAGGCTACTACAACCCAGATGAGTATGAGTTCAAAATTAGCGTCCCAATAGAATTTTCTATCAGAAAAGAAGAATGCATTGTTGACATGAACTTTACTGTTAGCACTTTAAGGACCAATGAGCTGTGGCTTTGCAAAAAAAATTATAAAGACTCACCAATAATCAGTGAGCCAGCAAAGAAGATCCATAGTGAAATTACTAAAGAGCATGAAGAAGACCATGAAAATTACAAACCTTCTATGTTTAACGACAATTACCATCATGGCAGATGACAATTTTGCTGCAGGAGCGACATTTTGCAAAATACCAATATTCGGGGAACGTAAAATTAAAAACGGTGACCCGAAGAGCCACGGAGTCGCAGGTGGCGATGTTCTGGGGTGGGAAGCAGATTTGGGCTGACTGAACCTCTCCCTCGGCCCACAGGCAAGAAGCTGACAGCACAATGCTATTTCGAGCACTTTAGGAGGAGCATTAATTTGCCTGGAAATAGCAAGGGTAGTTCCAGAAGAAGGCATTTGACGATTCCCTAATACCCTGAGCACTGCCAGGGGTTAAGAGAGTCCCTGCCACAAATTTGGCAAAGCAATCTCATGTGAGTCTCCCCGAAAGATTGCGACGTCGATAGAAAAGCGCGTAAGCTGGGATTAGAGCTTAAAACTACTGGAGCGTGAAGCTAATCAGTGTAAGGGTAAAGGTTGCAATAATTCCCGGTGACCCCCTTCTAATCTAATCTTTCTCTATGTTCAACATGTCAAAATCTCAAGCCTGCGCTTACAAGGAATACATAGTCATCAAAGTAAACAAATGGGGCAGAAAACAAAAACGAATTTTAGGAATTGATCAATTAAGATTATATAACATGACAGAATCTCAGGCTAAGCAAGCAATAAAGCAACACGCGCTGACATCATCAGCAAAAAATGTGCTTTTTATGAAATTCCAAGGGTTATATAAATCAGTTACTCATCACCCAGAAATCCCAATAAGCAGTATCCAACGAATTGATCAAGACCATTCGAATTTAGCTTGTTTTCATATTGAGTACATAGAAGACAACGAGCTGAAACGCAAGCTATACGAAACTGAGTCATCTGCAATAGCTTCTGAAATAATTGCAAAAATTTTAAAAATAATGTCAATGAATGCTGCAGACAATCAATGGCATGGCGATTAGGAAAACAATTCATATTTTAAAATAAGGCTTGTAGGTTAAATTCTCATTAATGATAATTATGCCGCGCTTTATTTTTCTATAGTTTAATCTATTGAATGGGAGTGGTAGTAAATTCAAATAAATTAATAAAATAATTTAATATCATGGAAAAGATTGAAGGTGTAATAAGAGGCACTTTCCAAGGCGGAGGCTACATACAACAGTCTGATGGAACACTTTATATTTATTACGAAAGTAGCTTAAAAGATTTAAATAAAGAAATTTTGCAAAGAAATACAAGAGTCGTTGCACTACTGTCAGGGAACACAATAATGCAAATAAAGCTGAAGGAAGACAACATGGACTGGTCAGAAGCAACACTTATGCATATGATAATCTAAGCTTATTTTTTAATAAAGGCGATTTCTTTGAGAAGGCGTTGCTATGAAAATTGGATTCTATGCCCGATAAATGTGATTTAGGTGATGAATTGACAGACAAGCTAAAATTAAGCAATTTTTTAGCTAAATTTTTTCGTTGCTTGACAAAGTTATGATCTTCACTTACAATTTTTTTATTGATTTTTATTTGAAAATTTGCATGAGTCTTATATTGAATTAAAAATTCAGGTTTTGAGTCTGTGAAAGTCATCCCCATTCTTGCATCAAATGATGGATTTTTTCTTAGTTTTGGTATCGATTTATTCTCTACCAACCTTTGTGCAACAAGTTCTAGCTTGTTGAAACTTTTATTTTTTGCCCTTCTTAACTCAGGGAGCTCTTTTCTTCTTTTGAAGTCATTTGAGTTATTGGCAGCTGGTATTGGACTAGGCGTTTTATTTAATTTTGGGGTAGTAGCCATACTACTTATGTTACTTTGGTATGGTTTACTAATTTTTTCAATGTATTTTTCTGTTTTTCTTAGAAATTCCAAAGTATCCTTTGATTTTGTACTAGAAGTCACATGGTGAAAGTATTTCTCACCTTTAATCTCTTTTCATTTATCTGGAATTGATGATTCTCACATATAAGTCATATGGCGTTTTAGACCAGATCTCCGTTTTATAAGTCCAGATTGGGTAGCATCAGACTCATTATTATAATTTTGAATTGGATTTGATGACTGAAATGACTTGTTTGCCATTATTTTAACACAGCAGTTAATTTATTACAACATATATTATTTTACTTTATTTCTTTTTAATTTTTATATTAGTTTCAAAATTTAATTGAGATTTTTAGTTCCTTGAATCCATTTATATTTTTTATCAAGTATTTCAACATAAAAATTAAATCATTATTATCTAGAAATGATTAACTTCAAAATTTTTTTAATAAAATTTTATTCAATAGTAATTCTTATAATTAGGTACTAACCGAATGCATGCTTTTAAATAAGTATAAGAGGATTTAATAAATTTTCATGATAGTGTTTAAAATTAATTATCTTATCTCTACAAAATTGAATTAATAATGAAATTAAAAAAAATTATGTGTTTATCATATAAAAATTATTTTATTATAAAATTTCTCAATCTTGCATATAAATTTTCTTATTAATCACTCTAGAGATCACTCAAACCTTTTCCTTGACAAAAATGGTTTAGAGGATATTTGATTTTTCGCTGCATATTTATCACTTAGCCTGATATCGTTTTAATTTTTTACAAAGCTTTGCTAAGAGCAAATCCTCTATAAACACCGAAGCTTATAATCCTTAATTTATTAAACTGCATGCAGCTTTTCTCTCAAAGTGTGCAGGAATTATTCAATAAGTAAAGAGCTGTAATGTTAATGATATCAGAGGATCATACAGGAAATTAAATTCTTACTTTTCTTCCAAATACAAAAAAGGTTTAGATTTGGATTTAAAGAAGTTTATCCAAATGAATTTTTACTATCTTCAAGAAGATTAACCCTTTAATATCAGGAGTATGTTAGAGGCTTAATAGTAATGCCGATAAAAGATCAAAATAAATAATAAAAACATTGAATTTTCAGATTCTCCCATCGTAGCACTTGCATAATTCTAATAGCCCTTTTAATGTTTAGTAAGACTATTATGAAAGGGTAAAGACTCAAAAAATATAATGAAGTAAGCTATTGTTTCTTCTTAATTGAAAAAAATAAGTAAGTTCTACGCTTCTGAATTTCTGCAGGATGGGTATAATGCATAAAATATTTTTTATTTTGAAACTCATATTAATCCATATTAAATCTGTCGAAATCCTAACAATCTTTGTGATTAACTCTTTGCTAAAATTTAAATATAATTATTTTGCAACTATTGAATTTGTCTCACTGTTTTTGCTATAGATAATTCGGATTTAATCGTACCGAGATTCTCCCACACAGCTATTATTCCGTTTTCTAAAAGAAAATATTAATTTTATTTATTAAATTCAAAGAATATTCTCACCAGATTTTATTAATAGGGTATTGACTTATATAATAAATGTCAAACTTCAAGAGACTTGACCAATATATTGTCTTGCATTCTCTTGGAAAAGGTGCAACAGCTCACGTCAAAGCTGTTGAAGACCCAACTACACACCAAATTTATGCAGCCAAGATCATGAAATCCTACCATGGCAGCGGAAATGAAGAATTAAAGGAAACAATTCAAAATGAAATGGAAAACCTCAACAGCCTTGCTCATCCAAACATAGTGAACTTAATATGCGTCAACGAAAGCGGAACCTATGCTAAGCGAAATGGGCAAACAAAGCGTGTTATGTATATGCTTATGGAACTTTGCCCAAATGGTGAGCTTTTCGATGTTTTGTATAGGACTGGAAAATTTAGTGAAGAAATCACGAGGTTTTATTTTCATCAACTCATAGAAACTTTAGAAGCTGTTCATAATCAAGGAATTACACATAGAGACATAAAGCCTGAAAATATACTTTTTGATCGAGATTTCAACTTAAAGATTTCGGATTTCGGATTTTCTACTTTAATTGACAAGTATGCTGATGGAATGCTATATACTCAGCTAGGCACACAAGGATATATGGCTCCAGAAATTCATCAAAATCTGCCATACAGAGGTGAAATTGTTGACCTTTTTGCGGCTGGGATAGTTTTGTTTATAATGTACACTCAAAATCCTCCTTTTACAAAAGCAGTACCAAACGATCCGTTTTACCGCTTGCTTTCGAAAAAAGATGATAAATTTTGGGTTTATCATTCAAGAAATAAAACTTCAGACTTTTTTACCCAAGATTTCAAGAATTTAATATTTAGTATGCTTGCACTTCAACCAAATGATAGATTGCCTATTTCTCATATAAAAGCTCATCCATGGTATAATGGCCCTGTGGCAACAACTGATGAAATAGTTAGCGAACTGAGAAAAAGAAAAGAAAAAATTATTCAAGCTGCACAAAAAGCTGCAAAGGCAAAAAATTTAGGTAACAGACCTGGCGCAATTAATAATGGAGGAAGAGTTTATAGATGTGAATCAGGTGAGCCAGAGCTAGCAGGCCAATTATCACTCCAAATTGAAGATTTAGTAGTCGAGCCACTTCCTGAGCACTTTAACACAGTTAATCGATTCTATCAAATTATATCTGGAATCGACCCACAAGATATTGTGACTATTTTAGCTCGATCATTCCAAAATTTGGATACTGAGTGGAACCCATCGCATGATAAATATGAATTTGAAGTTACTATTCGAACAGAGGTTGACACATTGAATTTTGTTATATCAATTTATTCAATGGAAGATGAATTGAATTTGATATCTTTTAAGCTGAATAATGGAAGTAAATTTGAATTCATGAGCATATTTAAAACCATTGAAGACAATATTTTCAGTGCCCAAGAAAGTTATTAAATGCTTATAATACAATTAAATATTATTATTCGGCTTATTTTACTGGACTTTTATATAAACATTTCTTATAAATTTACGATAATTTAAACAATTAAATAAAATATAGTTTCCTAGTTTTCCAAAAGCTTCAAAATATTTTCGTTTAAAATTTGGTTTGCCTTATAAAGTTCTCTAGTTTGCTCTTCAAATTCCATAGAACTTGCTAATAGGCTCTGATATCTTTGCTTTGTTTCTTCCAAATCGTCTTCAAGTAAGCTGATATTTTTTTGGAGCTTTCGTACCATGAGTGATAAATGCTCGTTTTCTTCTTTTAAGTTCCGGCTTTTATTAATTTTGTCAGATGCATCGGTTACTATATTTTCTAGCTCGTATTGTTTTTTATCTTTTTCTTTGATATTGCTAAGAAGATTTTTATTGATTTCAGTTAGCCTTGCAATAGTTTTTTTATCGTCTTCAATTTTTAATTCTTTTTCTTTTATAATCTTTTCTAACTCTTTTTCTTTCTTCTTCATAACAGATGTCAACGAGCTTTGAAGCATCGATGTTTTTAAATGAATCTGAGAGCTTGTATATTCAGCTTGTAAAGCATCAATCATTTTATTTTTTTCTTGTAATTCACCTTGTAAGCTGCTTATTATTATGTCTTTTTCTTTTACTTGCTTTTCTAGATGGCGAATAGCTGCTGTGGCTCCATGAAGCCTTTGTTCAAGGCTTTTGGATTTGTCTGTTCTATTTGATTGGACTGATACGGATTCATGCCTACAAGAATGGATTGGGAGCTTTGCAGTTGGCTTGTCCCAACTTTTTCGCTTAAGGTGAGATTGTTTAATTAAATCATCAGAGGAGTGAGAAATTTTTAATTCACCTTGTTTAAGCTCTGAATCTGCGAGTTTATCTGGTATTTCATATTCTTCAATCACTCTGTCTTCAATAATATCGTAGTTATAAACGTAAGGTTTTGGAGGTGTGTGGGGATTTGGAAGTTTTTCCTCTTGAATTTCCATTGTTTAAAGAATTTTTAATTTGTGTTGGATTCTTGAAAAGAGATTATAATGACATTCTAATATAATTTTATTTTCATCATGATAAATACTGAAATTTGTATCCATAAGAAGCCTTATTATATTTCAAAAATAATAGCCTAATTAATTTGTGCAATATTTATAAGGATTTCTATTGTTAATAATAAAAACTATGATTAAGTTATATAAAGTTAATTTGTTCTTAATGGAAAATAGCCGCGCTATTTTTCATAATATAAATCTAACTGTCATATAAACAATGAAATTAAAGGTAGGTAAGAAAAAGAGGAATTTAGTTCAAAATGAAAACTTGCCACCTGAATTTTCTACAGAACTGGTTGTTCTTGAGCAAGCTATCGAAAACAATTGCAGCATGGAAATTATCAATAGCACAATTATGCTTTATTCTGTATTTTCTAATTAGAAAGCAATTGAGCATTATGAAGCGTTAAAAGATCCTCAATACTTAGAGTACCAAAACAAGCTTAAAGTCTTACTTCATCGAAAAGACGTAAAATCTGTGATTAATTATCAAGATTCCGTTAAATCTTCAGAGCCAAAGAAGCCAGCTCTTTCATCTCTTAACAAACATAGAAATATAGAAAACGTCTTACTCCCCCCCTCCGTGAGTGAACAAAACCATTAGAAAAATCGCTATTTTTTGCCCAAAAACTCACCCTCCGTGAGTGAACAAAAATTTTTTTAATAGAAAAATTTTTTATGGAAAAAATTTTTGATATATAAGTGATAATTCGTATAATGAAATCTAGTGCTGATTCTGTTTAATTTTTAAACGAATAGCATTTTAAAACATAAATTTTATAAATTAAATTAATATTTGCTTTCAAATTTTCGCGAATTAGGATTTTTTTTAAATTTCGAAAAAAAATATTTTTATAAAATTTATATATATAAATTTTTTAAAAAAAAAAAATTAACCCCCCTCCGTGAGTGAACAAAATTTTTTTGTTCACTCACGGAGGGGGGGGAGTTAAGAGAATTCAATAATGAAAACAACTCAACTCGCCCCATGATACATGAAAACTTAAAGCAGCAACAAGATGTGCTTGAATATAAAATGCGTGCTAGAAAAAACAGTTTAAAAAATAATTTGAGCTTTGGTAGTGAATTAAGTGAAGAAGACCTAGAAAAATTTGAGGAAAAACTTGAAGATTTAATAGAAAAATTCGTCACTGAAAAGATCCAAAAATCCAAAGAAATTGCTGATCTTTACTCTACTCAGATTTCAGAAATGAAAAATATGGGCGATAACGAAGTTATAAACCAAATTATCTTTGAAATGGAAAAAAATAAAGAGCGAGAAATCTCGATCATCTCCAAAAATGTTGAAAATGCGATGGGAAAAGAAATAGAAATATTAAGAAAAGAATATAATGTAATATAATAAAATATTTTTTAGCACCGTTAATGAAGAGAACTAACTCCCCCTTGATTAGGAGCAAGAATATATGTTCACTAGTAAAGGGATTTATTTCAATATAAAAACAATTATTACAAAATTTTTTCTGGATTTTAAAAATCCAAATTTTATTTAATTTATATTTAACTTTGTGGATGCAATCTGTTTAAAATGTAATATAATAAGTGAAGATAACTTTATTATAATTATTAATTATATATCGAATTATTATTTATAAAAACAATTAATATTACAAAAAATTGTTCTTGCTAGCAGATGTGATTAATTTTCCGCAAAAAAAACTAATATTTCCTATGGGTTTCAAACAAAGGGATTTAAGGAAAATTGGCTTGCTCCTATTCCAAGAAGCCGAAGTGGAATATCAGGAATGAGGTTTTTTGATGGAGAGGATCTACAATATCAAGAAAGAAAAAAATCAATGCAAGCTACCCAACGCCGATGGATCGATCAACAAAGGCAATTTGAAAACAAAAGGAAAAAAGAAGAAGATGAAGAAGAGAAAGCTTATCATCAACAGACTATGCAAATTAATAGAATGAGAGGGTTCCTAGAAGATGATTTGGAAAGGAAAAAGAAAGCGATGTCAATGTCGATAAGAGATACTAATCTAATGCTTACTTTCTGTAGGCTAAAAAACTTTTTTTTAATAATTAATTTTTTTTATTTTTTTTAATCTGTAGTATTCATTCAAAAGATTTAGCAGGATGAAAAAAGAAAGAGAGCGTTGGGAGAAAGAGCAGAAGAAAAGAGAGGAAATTGCAGACTTAGAAGAGCAACGAAGAATCCGAGCAGTAAGCAACTATGTGCATTTACTAAATTAGAACGAAATTCTAGATTTTTAATTAATATAATCCCTTAGCTAAATTTCTTATGGACGTTATTCGCGCCATTTTCATATGAAATTTCAAATTATGGATTTGCCGCACTAAAATCTGCGTTTTGAAACGTATATTTGGTTTCCACATACCAAATTCAAAATGGCATGCATATGCATGATAAGAAATAAATGCAACGCATTATATCTTTTAAACACTTAAATCTGCTAACCATTAATTATTCTGCTTTTTCTTTTTCCGATGATTGAGACCCACATAAAAATAGTAGCCCCGCAGCAATTCCTAAATTTAATATAGAAATCATTGACCACTCAGCCGCATTTTTTGAAAAATTCAGATGATTTTCCACAAAAATTACCAAAAGAATCTGAAATGCGATCAACCATTTAGCACCTATTCTAAAATTGCAAATCAGAAGAAAGCTTGAGAACAGTTCAAAAACAGCAGCAGAAAGAGCAATGATCTTAGAATTTAGAGCGACCCTTGCAGGGGTAAAAAAAAGCGCGATTCTTGTATATTCATAAAATCTAGCATATGTTTTTGCGTAGCCTTCCACAAGTTGGTTTTCAAACTTAGCAGAGTCTATTAAAATCGCAGCTCCATGCAAAATAAATACCATAGCTAATAAAAACCTTCCCAAATTGGTTTTAAAGCTATTAGTGCTAGTCTCCTCCTTATCCATTTATAATTGAATCACACAAAAGAATTTGAGAAAAACACCAGAAGGGGCCTTAATAAAAACAACTATGGTGAAGGGTATCAAGAAAAAGAAAGCGGCTGAAGGCGAATGCTCGTCTATATTTCAGCCTGATATGGCAATTTTATGCCTAAATAAGCAAAATGAATGAAGAGATGCCAAAATAATTGACGTGAGGCCTAATAATTATTATTTGAATGATCGGAATGAAAAAAATATTGAGTATTATGTTCATTATGAAGGAATTAATAGAAGATGAGATGAATGGGTCACTTATGAAAGAATAAAACAATGGGAGCCAATTTCTGCCAAACTATCAAGAGAAAATTTCGCAAGCTGTCCAGAGCATGAAGGAGTGGATGATAAAACCTTAGAAATCCACGAAGAATCCACAAAGTTCAAAACAATTGATAATATCGAAATTGGCAAATTTCGCTGCCAAACTTGATATTACTCCCCTTTCCCTTCGTATTTCCAAGACCTAGACACTCTTTATATATGCGAATTTTGCCTCAGCTTTTTTAAATATAAAGAAGAACTTAAAAGACACAGCCAAATCTGCCAATACCACCATCCAATGGGCAATGAAATCTACCGGGAACAAGATATATCAATTTTTGAGGTAGATGGCGAAAGAAACACTATATATTGTGAAAACCTATGCTATATTTCTAAGCTGTTTTTAGATCATAAAAATCTGACATATGATGTAGAACCTTTTTTATTTTATGTTTTAACTGAATATGATCAGTATGGATATCACATTGTTGGGTATTTTTCTAAAGAAAAACCAGAACCACAAAATTCCTGCAGATATAATTTATCTTGCATTTTAGTAATGCCTTATGCACAAAGAAAAGGCTATGGGAAATTTTTAATTAGCTTTTCTTATGAGTTATCTAAGATAGAGCAAAGAAAAGGGACCCCAGAAAGGCCTTTATCTGACTTAGGGTTTGCATCTTATTTTTCTTGGTGAGGGTGCGAAATTCTGAAATTTTTAGAAAACCATACTGAAAATATTTCAATTAATGATATTTCTAATGCAACTTATATTATCCAACAAGATGTTATAGATGTACTGAAAAGATTGGAAATTTTGATAGAAGTTGACCAGAAAATGATACTTAGGGTAAATAAACAATTTTTGGGAAAAATTAAGGCTGTTTTAGGAAAACCTGGAAGACAAATTGATAGAGAAAAAATCCATTGGAGTCCTTTAGGAATGGCGAATAATGTATAATTATGATGCAATATTTAGATATTAATTATAATTTATTTCCAAATATTGGTGTTCCCATATTCTGAATAGGCGTAGCCTCTTTGCTTCTGCTTTTTCTTAGCTCTCTGGCAGTCGAGAGTCTTAAATCTATTTCTCCCGTATCTTTTTCTAACAATTGCTGTATCATATCCCTTGTTCTGATTAATTCTTCTCTAATTGCTCTTCCTTTTTCAGCATGCTGCTCACACTCAGCTCTGCTGTCAGCAAGCTGTTTTTCTAAGGATCCTATTTGCTGTTTAAATTTTTTCACCCTACATAGAATTTACTCACTCTTCCTCTTTGGTGAGAGAACAAAATAATTTGTAGGGTTAATTTTCTTTTTAAAAATTATATAGTAAATTAAATTTTTTAAAATAAAAAAAATCTCAACTCGCAAAAGCTATAAAGCAAAAATTAATTTAATTTCTGGAATTATAATTTTAAAATGCAAGCCATATTAAAAACTCAACAGAATTTATAGAGATTTAATTATAATAATTATCACTTATATATCAAACATTTTTTCATACCAAAAAAAAACCTTTTTCCCTCATAGAGGGAAGTCAGATTTTAGTTTCGTATTTGAATCAATAAGTTTTTCATGACTGTTTTCTAAGCTGCTCAATTCTTTAAATGATTTTTTAAACATCTCTTCTTTTTTATCATGTTTCTCTTCCAACTCTTGATATTGCTCTTGTATATCTTTAGCAGCCGCATCTCTTAAGCTTCCAATTAATAATGCTGCAAGCTGTCTTTGCTCTTTTTGATTTAAAAAAATCCCACGATCAGGCATACTGAATAATTTCGTTAAAATGTCTTTTTTCGGCTTATGTTCCACTTGGACAAATGATATGTTAACTTCTTGCATTAATTTGCTTTCTTCTGATTCTGAATTTACATAGATTGGAGGCAGAACTTGGCGTTGATCAAATACCCCTGTTTTTAGATATTCAGTGACACTTTCTGTTAGTTGGTTTGCATAGATCACTTTTGTATTGATGTCAGCTAGTTCAAGTTCTGGTGGTAGGTTTATGATATCGGTTCCTAATTTTCTGAGACTTTCAGAGTTGATTAGTTTTGCTAGGATTGATATCATTGCTGACATTTCTTGGCTTGCTTTGACCATATCTACATCTGCATTATCATCTTGCGATTTCTCATCACTCAGTCTAGGGTGAATGTATTCTTGATAGTCTTCTTCAATAGTGTCAGTTAAATAGGATACGTCAACGTGATGGGCTTCTGGGATTCCTGGGTTTTTTGCTGTTAGGTAGCTTAAAGAGTTGCGATATCTATCTCCAGGATCATATCCTTGTTTATTTGATTTTGACATTTAGTAAAATACAAATTTTATAAATTAGTGTCACCTAATTTAAAGGAAAAAGCTAACTCCACCCCCCCTCCGTGAGTGAACAAAACCATTAGAAAAATCGCTATTTTTTGCCCAAAAACTCACCCTCCGTGAGTGAACAAAAATTTTTTTAATAGAAAAATTTTTTATGGAAAAAATTTTTGATATATAAATGATAATTAGTATAATGAAATCTAGTGCTAATTCTGTGTAATTTTAAACAAGTTGCTTTTTAAAACATAAATTTTATAAATTAAATTAATATTTGCTTTCCAATTTTTGCGAATTAGGATTTTTTTAAATTTCGAAAAAAAATATTTTTTATAAAATTTATATATAAATTTTTTAAAAAAAAAAATTAACCCCCCTCCGTGAGTGAACAAAATTTTTTTGTTCACTCACGGAGGGGGAGGAGTAAGCAGAATATTATTTAAACATTTTTCACACTGAATCGATTACTTTAATTCTTTATGAAAATAAGTTAAAATTCAAAATACTGCGTCTAATTTTTTAAATTTTATAAATTTTATTTTGAGAAAAATTAAGCCCTCTTTAAATTGAAACGGGATTTTTTGTTTCCTATTTAAAGGGGGAAGTTAGAAAAGCTTTATATTTAAAAAAATTAGCCCGCTTGAAATTGATAGAGCTCTTTATTCCAATTTAAAGGGGTGGATTAGTAAATTTTTTATTATTTTTCATTGTGAAATTAGCAAATCGTTTTTCTATTCGAATTTTATTATTACTAGAGATACTTTAAAAACAAAATAATTAATGAATATATGTTGAAGATTTAATTCACTATTAAACTAAGAAAAAATAGTTTAATCTTAAAGGAGTGTATTAAATTTCTCAATATATTTAAACTTTATATAGCAATATGCTGGCCATTTCTGCATCCAGGCGAACATTTAATACACCTGCTACAGCAGCTATAATAGGCGTCTTCTCCACACCCTTTACAACTGTAATATTTCAATTTTCCAGGATGGTAAAAACATTCTCCAATCCTATTCTGTTTTGCAATAAACATTTTTTTACAGTTTTTACACCGATGGCTAATTTTTTCATCTCCAATTGCAACCCCTATGTCACTCATTAATCTCTGATTAACCTCTTTCAATTTGTTATTCTCAGAACTCATGCTCCAAATATCTCTTTCCAAGTTCATTAAAAATTCATCAATTTCTTCTTTACTCCCCAAGCTTTCGATTACTTTTTCTAATAATTGATTAGCCTGCCTTTTATATTCCTCAGCTTTTCCTGCATTCTCAGCTATAGAAGTTTCCTATGTTTGGCGCTGTAAGGCCGATAAATTCTGATCGGAATTTATCGGTTGGCTGCACCAAATCAATGCCTTGGTCGGACCAAAAAGCGATTTGGCCCGACGAACTTGGAAAGCTCCTGGGAAAATGTCTGCGCTTTCAGCGCTATATAGAGAAACCTCTATAAGTCTTTTCCCCGATTTAAAGCAGTTTCCACTATATTTATTTGATCATTACAAGAATCAATATCAGTTTTCACTTGCTGATATTTTATATTCATTTTTTCATTCTCTTCTGTCAAAATTACTTCCCTTGTTGCCTCAAACTGAATTTTATTATTAAGTTCGTCGCTTTCTGCTTGCAGGTGCTCAAGCTCCTGTGTAAAAATTGCTAATTCCCTCCATCCTTAATCGAACGGCTTGCCATCGTTCCATCAAGGATAGAGGTTAAAAAAAATTTTTTTGGGAAAGAATTTTATATATAAAAAAAAATATCTTTTTTTTATAATATTTTAAATAAGAGTGTTAAGAGTATTTAATAATTATTTTTACAACAAAAAATTGAATTAATTTCATAAGAATACCAATTTGAATATTTTGATTTTTGGTCACCCCTTTAAACTGTATAAATTTTAATTTGTTCCTTATTGAATTAAAAATTTAAAATTTTAAAGAATCTCTATTTTTAGATTATTGAGTTTTTAAGCCCAGGCTGATTCCGTAGCTTCCTGTCGCCTCAAAGCCTCTGATAACAACTTCATTAGGCATATCTTTCCAAGCTTTTTGATAATTAGTATATTTTTATATATATAAAAAATTTGCATGATATGAAAATCGTTCGATCAAGGATGGGGGTTAATTTTCCCAATTTTTAGGAATTTTTACAGTCAATCGTTCGATCAAGGATGGGGGAGTAAAGCGCTTTGAAAAGACCCTATCATTCTTTTAACTTCGTCTTGAGACATATAGATCGGAGCTTCTTCAATGAGGGTTTCACGGTCCATTAATATGAAATTATAAGAAAGTAAAAATAAGGAAGAAGAAAGGAGAATAATCGATATAAAAAGAAAGGAAAATAAGAGAAGATGCCAAGGGTGAATGGTGAAGTGGTATCACATCTGCTTTGCAAGCAGAAGGCCCCGAGTTCAATCCTCGGTTCATCCATTTTTGTAATTTACCAAGATTTTTGTTAGATTATTGACGAATTTTGGTTAAAAAATCTATTGTCCAGGAAAAACCCATGGATATTCATGTCATTTTGTTCTGAAGTTTCGTGATCTGCAATAGATAAATGAGCAAAATTAATCATCTCATTGACGCTGAGATCTTTCCAAGTTTTTTCATCTTCTGCTCGATTAAAAGATAAATCGTTTTCATCTGGAGGCAGATCCTGAGGCTGCACAGGGATTTCTGGCATTATGAGCTTGTCAGCTCTTCATTCTTCGTCAACTACTCTAAGTACTCGGGAAGGGAAATGACTGTGGAAACTGTAATAAGCGTCTCTGTTAGAGCCTGTTTGAATTCGTGATTGAGATTTTGCGGGAAACTCTCCGTGATGCATTTAAATATGAGAAAAGGATTTTAAAAATAATTAAAGAAAGATGATTTTTAAATGAAAGCATTTAAAAAATTCCATTATCGCGGACAAATTATTTGAAGACAAGCATGAAGGAATAATTAAATTGGAACTGAAAGGGATTAGTGTGAATGAATATTTTTTTTGACTTGATTGAATTCGAAGACAATTAGCTGATAATTTAGACTCTAACTCATCATATGTAAGATAGGATGCATGATATATTAAGGATAGATTTAATTATGTTTGTCATTGTCCGCTTCATGGCTCCATGAAACATATGGATTTGGCTCTAAAACTGGTTGCTCAAGCCATTTTCTCAAGAAAAACAAGGAAATAGCCCCGACTAGCGCAATTGAAGAAATTACGAGCCAAACCATCCAGCATCGATTTTCCCCATCTTCTGGGCAATATTCGCCAAGCAGTAGTCCACTTGAAAGTCCTGCAATCAAGCTACCAACTGTAAGTGGGAAGCTTGAAAGCAGAAAATATGAGCCCTCTCTCCCAGGAACAGCTTGCTCCAATGTATACTCGATAAGCCTTGGAAAACTAATACTATCTCCTATAGATAAAATAAAAGCAAAAGTCAGAATTGTAAAATAATTTCCCCCAAAAATAAGTGCCAATGGAGATATAGCACATAAAGATCCACCTATAATTAGGATTGTGTATTTATCATAATAATATGCCAGGCTTATAAGAATAAAAATTACCTAATTTATTACTGAATAATAATCTTTAGAAAATAAGAAACTAATTATAGTTATACTGATATTTTTCAATCTTACTCATTATATATTCTATTAGATTAAATAAACTCTGATTTAATTATTGCATAATTTTAAAGTGCGATTCTATATAATTTTAGTCTTTGAAACCTTTGCTTCTCAATGTTTTTAGCTGGTTGATGTGACATTCAATAGAGAGTGAATCATAAACCATAACTGTCATAATTGGAGTAAAAATTATCGTCATTAGTTGGATAGAGCCTATGACATAGGCAAATTGTGAGTCGTTGCCTAGATCCCTTTCCATATACAAAGGAAGAGTATACAGGACGTGAACATAAACAGTCCTCGTCAAAGAAATACAAAATGCTACTCCCATCAGTCTTCAAAATGACTTATAGCTAAATGCAGCCTTAAAAGCTTGCCATTTCGTTTCTCTTTTTGTATCAATATCAAGTTCTTCCTCTCCCCTCATATTAAAATCCAGCTCCCTCAATAAAATCGACAGAGCAAAGCCAAGTCCCATAAGACTTGCTGCAATCAAAAACAGAACAAAATAAGTATCTTCATCCTCATCAAGAATTATTAAAATCGAGTGATCTAGCATGGTCTCTAGTGATAGGTGAGTTGATATAGACCTAGAGGAGTAGGCCACGCTGTGGAGTTCTCCGGGGTGGATATTTGGCACATGGCTTAAAACCTCGGCTTTTTTCCTCGCTTGCAGACTGCTTACCGGTGCAATATCCTTCAGTACTCCATGGGAGGATTACCGAGCCTATGGTACAGCTCCGATAGTCAAGGGGAGTCAAAGGCGGTTTAAATATACTCCTAGTCCTTTCGGAGGTTGAAAGAGTTTTTGTTGTTTAGTGGGACCAAGAAGATGAGTAGGGCGATCTCCACGAAATCCTTCCACATCTCCATTATTTGCTGACGTCAGGAATAAAGGGCAGGCACAAGGACAGCGCTAGTGTTAAGGTAAAAGTTGTCCATGGAACGGCATAAGGCTGAAATAATCTAGAATTTTAATCTAATCTAATTATCATCCTCATCATCGCCAAAATTAAAGCTAATTCCTACAATAATTGAAGCGATTCCTACACAGAGTGACATAAACACTGTAAACATTGAGTAAGCAATACTTCGAGAGCGGTGACTTGTATATTTTTTTATTCCTAATTTAACTGATGCATTGTTAATACTCCATGTAATAGTCAATATAAATAGCAGCACACACAAGCGAACTGCTGTGCTTGAAACAATTATTAATAGTGTATATGAGGCTATTCCTGCACCATTTGTCAAAAGCATTGAGATCCTTACCCCAAGTCTATCAATAAGTCAACCCAAGGCTAAAGCGTAGAAGCATACAATAAGTGATTGGCTAAATGCATAAAATGCATATTCTGTATCAGAAAAGTCAAGGATCTCAGTTACATAAATAGAGTTAGCAACTACACCTATGCTAAACCCACTGAACCCAACAAGCTTAACAATATATAAAATCCACAAATCCTTTGGTGATTCTCAAAGCCATGAAAAACTCTTTTTGTAGGTCTCATAAGGGTTAAGCTCTACATATTCATCAGCTTTAGAAGTATTTGAATCAAGGTCTTTATATCCGTTTTCCATTGCTGAGTAAATAAGTATATATTATAATTTTTTTGCAAGTGGCTTACTTAGTTTAAAAGTTTTTTTATTTCAAATTGTTCCTCTTGACGCTTTTTTCTCTTGATTTCCTATGCTTTTTTATAGATTATTATGTTCATATTAGGTCGTGGATATCTCAGTTTGTTAAAATAGGACTTTTATTATGATTAGTATTTTATTGAGCAATAAAAAATTAATTTCAACATCATAATCAACAATTTGTTATTCTATATGATTATATTAATTAACTGAATTTAATAAAAGATACTGCTTGAGGTTTTTTTAATGAAGAGAAAGGACTTTCAACGAGTTTAGCCTTAATAGTTGTGAATTGTCAGGCTCAATTTTTTGGGTCAAGCTCTTTTTCATACTTCTTATCTTGATTTCATTTAGCACAAGCTCGGATGCAGTTGGACTAATATTGACTGTAGGGAGCCTGCTATTTTTCTTCTTGCTTTTTGATCTTTTCCTTCTTACATTTGGCTTGGTTTTGATTTTAAAGTTGAAAAATTCCTTCTTTCTAAGTTTGGGAATTTTTAAAACTAAATTGTTAGACGCTAGCGTAGAATAGTCTTCTAAATGAGTTTCTGATTTTACCTTCTGCAAACTTATTTTGCTATTTACTTTTGGTGCTAAGTAATCTTCATACAGTCCTCTTTTTCTCATTTTTGCTCGAAGATCTGGGTATTTACTTAATTCTTCAAAAAGGGCTGATTTCTTTTTTGCTTCGAGTCTTCTTACATTTTGGATTAATTCTTGGTTTATTTTTCTTTCAGACTTAGGAGTATCTGGGCTTATTTCTTTAGATAAAGCTTCTTTTCTGACCTCTTCTGAGTAATAATTATTATTAGGGGTGTCAGTTCTTTTAAATTCATTTGGATGCAGTATTTTTATTGGAATATTTAAATTACTTTCTCTATTCCTTAAATGGCCTCTTTTACTTATGTATCGATTTTCTTCAATTTTATCAACAGCAAGCGAGTCATCATAGCTAGCTAAATCACACTCTAAAGCATATTTCGTTTGCTTTTTCAAAGGGATCGTCCATAAATCTGAAGGAGACTGAATTTTTTGGTTTAAACAAACCTCTGGCTTGGCTATTTGGATATTTCTCGCATATGCAAGTCAAACAACTTTCTCAATATCCTCGATAAACTCCAATTCTAAAATCATGACTCTCTTAAACTCTCTTTTCTCAACCAAAGTTAATATAGTCAACGCAAAATCACAAACAATGTTAAAAATTTGAGGATCATTTTCTCTTGTCACTTTTCCTGATATTTCTTTACTCAGCAAACTTGCATATCCTTGCTGCGTGTACTCAATTCTAAAATTATATTTGACTTCATAGATATCAGCACTCGGCCTTGCAGGCTGGATATAATTCAAAGTTTGTATTGTGGTTAATCCAGATATCATATCCTTTAAGTCCTTTTCATATATTTTCCTCCTTTCATTTTTTGATATAAAATAACATATAAGTGATCCAGAATTTTTCACTTGCCGCCGTCATAGGTGGTCAAGCATAGGTCGCAACCAGACACCCCCACCCCCCGCCAATAAGAGAACCCCCCACGCCCCCACCCCCACCCCCCTCTCGGGTTTACCCTATAGAAGTAATTGATAGGAAATAAGCAGAATAAATTAAATATAACCCAATTAAAACACTATATTGTTAAATTAAGTCCACAAATTACTTATATTTATGATTAATTAATAAATTTAAATTAATTTAGCAATTAATTAGAAAATATATTAATTTTTTTTTTATATTTATAAATATAATGCCAAAGATATAGATAATGGCATTAATTATTAAATTAGCCAAGTGCAATACAATAACTTGCATTAAATTTATTGATTCATAAATTAAAGCTAATCTGATGACCATTGTGCAAGGATTGCAGGACTGAATTGGTAGCAGGATTCAATAGTGCTCATCAAAATAGTATTTGCTATTGTCTTACTTAACTTACTTACTTAATTATCTGGTGTTTAAGGTGTCTAGTGCCGCAGCCCAAAAGGGCCTATGGCAAAACTGATGACGTAGGCGAGCCATCTTGGCACGGTCAGCCCCGTCCAAGCCTTCTAACAACTCCTGCTTCACCAGCCCTGCTGCACGTCTCACCCGGCGCGTTGCCGTCGCCCTTGTCGCTCGACTCAGCTCCTGCGCGTGTTCCGCCTAAGGGTCATCCTCCCGTGGGGATGTGCTGAGAGGTAAAAGCCCGAAATCTTGAGTGGACTGAGGAGTGGTTCCTCTGGTTATCCCCAGAGTTAAACCGCTATTGCTGTCCAGAAGTTCTCGAGTGAAAACCTAACCCTATAAATAAAATTCTTTGTGCACTTTCCCAAAGAAATCTAGAAGAGATTGGGATTGCTGAAATGAAACGCTTAGTCCATAATTATTGTCTTTAAAATGAAGAGCTGAAAGTTTTGAGTCAGCAACCAAAATCGTTTCGAGGATATTTAAGTTTGTGGAACTGCTTGATAAAAGCTTAAGCAGCCAATTATAAGACCTTTTTTCCATAATATTTATTATCAGCTTTCCATTAAAAATCCAGTATTGGATTTGGATCTTTTATCAAAATTTAAATTTATATTTTGGTGCAAGAGAAGATCAATACTTAAATTAATAGAAAAATTTTAAGGGATCAAGATGTCATAAACCTTTAAGAAAGTATTGGTTAGAAAGCGATAATAAGCTAAAGAATTTAAAGTTTCTAGAACTGAGATTGCAGGGATATGATTGTTAGAATAAACTAGAAACTTCTATTCTTGCTAAACCATTAATGCCAAAATATAGGAAAAATAATAAGTTCAAAGAAATTGAAGAAAAATAAAAAATATGATAAAAAGCAGAAAGTGTTCGAACGCTTTACAAATTATTTATAGAATTTGATAAATTTTAGTGATTATGAATATGCATAAATATTTAAATTAAAGTTATTACCACTTCAATTAAGTATTATTGTTTAAAATTTCCTATATTTTCAAATTTTGCACTCTATCTATTTTCATCTGAATTTTTGTTGCATATTCATGATTTTCTCCATAAAAATCAACATAAATTTTACTTCCCTTTCCATAATTTATTAATGCATTGTTTGTATCTCCTTTCATTTCATATGTTTCCCCAAGCCGAATTAATTCACCAGCGTAGCAATCTACAATATCGCGGCTGTTATCGTAGCATTCCTTGTAAACATTAATCGATTTATTGTGAAATTCAATTGCTTGATCCCAATTACGTAAATTTTGGTAATCAAAGGCAAGATTACTATAAGACTGACCTACTCTAAAGCTATTTTCTTCAAAAACAGCTCTGTTTATATCAAGAGCAGCTTTATGCTCTATTATTGCTTCTTCAATGTTCCCTATCCTCTGGCACGCATTTCCTAATAAATCAATATAAGCAGAAGTATTTGGATGATCTCTTCCTAATGATTTTAAATTTAAACTAATAGCTTTTTTATATTCATCAACAGCTTCAGATTAATTAATTTACTTTCGACGTTTGCTTATATGCTAATCGTCCATGAGAAACCCGGCAGACGCCTGCCCTTCCACCACAAGAGCCTTGCACAACCGGATTGGACTTCTGGCTTGAAGCCCCTGAGGGCTAATTCCCCGAGACACAACTCTCAGTACTGTGTTAGGCACATACAGTCTTGGGTTTTTGGGGAGTCTAATTACTGTGCCCAGCCAAACCTTTGCTGAATATGCCCTTTCCAAGAGCCTCTGGAGGTAAAAATCCATGCCCCAGGGAGTAGCTCCCTAAGGCACAAGAAAAACCACCAAGTATACCAAATCTGTTTCTCAGCCTTGTTTCCCCACTTAGGTGCTCCTTGCAGGTGTTGAGAAAATTGCGTTGAGAGGCCGGGTTGGTCATCTCCGCCATATTAGCGTATATAACAGCTTCTGATAATTTACCCCATTTTTCATAAATAAGTCCAATTTTTGAATGGATATCCGCAATAGTAAAATGAGATTCTCCAAGGTTTTTTGCTTTGAACTTAAGGACCTTTTCATAAACCGCAAATGATTCTGAATATTTTCCTTGGTCTCTATATAATAGTCCTAATGTTGAATAATAAAATTCTAAAAGAGACTCGTCTTCAATCAATTTTTCTTCTAAAATTTGTTTAGCCTCCGTCATATGAGATTCAGCTGCTATGAGCTCGCCTTTAGCATGACAATAGGATCCAAGCGTCACTAATGAAGAAGCTATTTCATTGTAGTCAAATTCTAAAGCTCATTGCAAGTCTATGACTTTTTGACAGTATTCTATAGCTCTTTCGTAATCTTTTCTATCAGAGGCATCCTTTGATAAATTTCTATAGCAGATTACCATTTTTTCTGTTTTTGAATTTTGATGAGCTTGTAATATTTTTAAAGATTTTTCAAACCAATATTTGCATGACTCTGTATCTCCAATTGACTTAAGGTCATTTCCTGAAAGGTTATATATAAAAGCCATATAAATGCTATTATCCCATCCAAGTTCATTTACAATTTTTTCTTCTTCTTTTATGTTTTCGTCAAATTTTTTCATTTTTTTCATTTTTTGATAGAGAAATCCATAATTCTTATAAGGGTCTTTCAGACTTTCATCAGGCTTTCCTAGGGTTTTTCTTATGTTCTCAATAAACTCCAAATTTGGTTTATTCTCTTGAAATCGTCCAAAATAAGAATAAGTCAATTCTAAATGGTTGTCCATTTCTTCAATTTTATTCGAAATCTGTCATGAAATACGTTCAAAAATTTTTCTTGCAGTTTTGAAGCTATTAATAGATCTATTTTTTTTGAATTTCAACCCAGACACATGCCCATGAAGAATGAAATAGCATCCGACATCCTCATCACAGCTTTCAGCTTTTGTTTCCATAAAGGGTAAAGCCAATTGCAAATGCTCATATGCCTTATCAATATTTTTTTCATGCATGTATAGTTTTGCTATGTTATAAAGTGTAACAGAGACTTCTTTGCTGTTATTTCCGAATCTTTCTTTTGATATGTTTAGTGATTTTTGGAAATATTCAATAGCATTCTCTATATTCTCTATATTTTCTAGATTTCCGTAAGTATGGGCTAAATTTATATAGCTATTTCTTAGGTAGATAAGATCAGTTTCTCGATAATTTTCAATAATTTTAATTGCTTTTTCAAAAAAACTAACTGATGTAGATAAATCGCCTCATTCTCGATATGCAGTCCCCAGCTCGCTGTAAGGAATAACTAAGTATGGACTATTTTCGCCTCATTTTCCTTCCATCTTAGAAGTTTTAAGTTGAAGTTCTTCTACGATAGAACCAAAATCAGTATGAAAATATCTTATAGGATTAAAAGAAATAAGCCTATTTTGAAATGCTAAATGAGATTGAATTCGGAAATGATAAGAAACTCTTGAGGTGGATTTTGAGGCTAATATTCTTCCTAATCTGCACAAAGATCTGAAAGCCATTTTAGAATTATAGCTGTGAATGGTTATTTAATATTAATCGAATTTACCTCTAAACTATCAACTTTTTTATATTCCTACTTTAGTAATGAGAATGCTTATAGATCGTTTAAAATATTCCACTTGCTCTTGAGAAATAATATTTCTAAATTAAATCTATAATTTAAAATAATTGATAATATAAAAAAATTATATAGTAAAACAGCATTAGTGTTGATTTAAGATAAGCAGTTTAAGCTTTTAGTAACTTACTAATGCAATGTAGCAGCATCTGTGATTAGCTTAAATTCTCTCTATTTCCTGCCTTGATCCAAATACCAAGAAAATATAGGCTAAGACTGTGTTTAATAGTAAGGCAGTTATCTAGCTTCTTCATATTGAAGAATTTCGAGAGCGAGGCACTCGAAAGAACTAGCAGCTAGCAGCTTATCTGAAATTTAGCCAGTGCTGCAAGCTGTTACGTCTCACTTAAATTGAGTCATTCATTTTTCGAAAATGACAGTTGAAATACTAAAATTATAAATTATATAGGACTGAAAAAAAGATAATCACAAGACAGGATATTTATGTTAAAGTTAAGTGAATTGATTTATGGCATTTTCCTATTTCTAAAAGCTTTATTTTTAAAAAATAAATATATTTTAAGTTGCTATAATACTATCAATTTTCGTCTGCATTTCTGCAACAAACTCATGATTTTCTCCATATGTGTCATTATAGAAGTCTTTCACTTTTGTGTAACTCTGCACTGCATTGATATTATCACCTTTCGCTTCATATGTTTCCCCAAGACAATACAATTCACTTCCATAATATTGCTCAAAATCTCGATTGCTATCATAGCATTGCTTATAAATATTTATTGCTTTATTATGGAGTTGAATTGATTTGTCCCAATATTGCAAATCTCTGTGATCTTTAGCAAGGCAGCTATAAATAAATCCAGTATTAAAATGATTTTCTCCAAATAAAGGAAGCCCTATCTCAAGAGCATCATTATGAGCTTCCATAGCCTCTTGAATTTTTCTAACAGTTCTATAAGCAGATCCTAATTGGCAGAGATATTGATAAGTTTTCAGATCGTCTCTTCCAAATACTTTTATATTTACATCGATAGCTTTTTTATACGCTTCAATAGCTTCATGCATGCTATTTGATTTTTCATAGAGTTCCCCTATACTAGAATAAACCTCACAAAAAGACCCATGAAACTCACCATAAGCCCTGCGCTTGATTTCAACCGCTTTTTGGAAAGTTTCAAGAGCTTCTGCATCTTTCTCTTGTGCTTTGTATAAAAACGCAAATGCTGTCAAGCAGAAGTCTCAAGCAGTTTCATCCTTAACTTTTTTATCTTCTAATAACTGTTTGGCTTCTATTAAATAAGACTCAGCTGTACTTAACTCCCCTTTAAAAATGTAGTATTGGCCAAGTGCTGCTATAGAATTGGCGATTTCGCCAGGGCTAAATCCTGTAGCTCGTTTGATTTCTAAGGCTTTTTGGGCATATTCTATAGCTTTATCATTATCATTGCAATCGTAAGAATACATTGAAAAGTTTTGGTAACAAATTCCCATCTGTTCTGTGTTTTCTATTTCCAGGGTTTCAAATATTTCTAATGACTTATGAAGCCATTCCTTGCTTGCTTTTAAATCTCCTAAAAATTTAAAATCATATCCTACAAAATTATAGTATATTGCGAGAAGGTGTTTATTATCTCCTTTAGTCTTTTTAACGACTTCTGCTCCTTCTTCTATAGTTTCTTTACTCCCGAATAAAAATTTCTGTTAAAAATTGAAAGGGTATTTTTTTTAAAAAAAAAATTATAATTAAAATTTTATATAAAAAATTTAAATTTAATTTTATATAAAAAATTTAAAATTTAATTTTTAAGCGTTATTACAAAAAATAGTTGATTCGTCTGAAAACTTTTTAAATAGTATTCTAATTGCACTCATAAATTATGCCAAACTAATTTCATAAAACTTAGTATCGCTAGTTGCTTAAATTGCAACTTTATCACCTAAATTTGGGAATATTTTCCACATGTGAAATCACAAGGGCTTCTCATTTGGAATCATCTTTTCACATGTAGAAAATATTCCACATTTAGGTGGTAAAGTTGCAATTTAAGCAACTAACGATATTTTCACCTATAAAAATTTTCCACTAAAAAAAAAACCTCAAAAATAGAAACTTTATCAATATTTCGTTCAAATTTAGAGGGAGTTAGATTTTTTTAGGTTATTTATTCGTTTGTAAAGGTAGGCTAGATGCCTATAAAGCTCTATAAGACTCTCATCAAAAACTTTTAAAGTTTGCAAAGCATGGATAGCACGCTCAAAGGCGTCTATAGACTCATTCACCATTCCAAGTTTTAAATATATAAATGCCATATTTCTGTCTATTCCAGCAAGTTCATTTGATATTGGCCCAAATGATCGCTCAATTATTTTTCTAGATGTACATAAGCAATCAATTGACTCATTAACTTTATTTTTTAAAGCGAGTGCCTCGCCGCGCACCTGGAAATACAAACCTACCTGCGCATCATTACTATTAATATTTTTTTGCATGTAAGGTAAAGCTAGATCTAACTCTCCCCCATATTTAAACAGCGACACTCCTTTGCTTTACTGAAAGTGATATAAATAGAAAAGCAATTATATTAAAGTTGGCAAATATTTTGTTAAACGGAGTAAGCATTCATTATATTTTTCATCGTCTTTATTAAGCTTATGAGCCACTGATAAATAATTTAGGGCTATAGCAATTTCCTTACTATTATCTCCTTGCATTTCTTTGGCTAATTGTAATAATTTTTTAAAAATTTTGAGAGCTTTCTCTGCATCTTTTATCTCTAGATATAGCACAAAGCCTCATTTAGATCTCTGAGGACAATTAATTTTAAATAAATTTTTATAATTTTAAATTAAGGTAAAATCTGAAAAGTCAATTTTAGAATTGACAAATAGGATGTATATAATGACATTTTTAAAATGAATTTTGACTTTTTAGCTTTTTATTGGAATTTTAAACTAAGATTTTCTTTGAATGGCATTTTTCTTAAAAATCTATAGGGGAGAACTCGCTATACATAAAACCTAGACCTATGTATCTAGTTTTAAGGTTATCGAGATCTCTTTGTTGCTGTTTTTCAATTATTTTTATAGCGTTTTCAAAATATGTTGTTGCTATTATTGAGTCTCCCATTAAATTAAGTTAATATAGAGAAGTTTCCGGTAGCATCTGCGGATTACTTGCTTCGTTAGGCTGTCTATCGCTGCCCCGACAGGGGTTAACTTTTCTCCGCCTTACGGAGAGTGAAGCGGGGTGGGTCATCGTGTCATATGCCAGACGAGGTTGCTTGAACAAAATTCCAAAAATTGGAATTTCTGGCTGACTGCCAGCAAAATTAAAAGCTTGCACCCCAGGGAGTAAACTCCTGGTTTCACGATCCTGAGTTGCCCATAGGCCAAAATGGTTTCACGTTCCAACTCTCCCATGAGGTAAATCCAGCCCATGAAAATGAACTAAGGCTAGACCCTAAACATATTAAGATTAGTTACCTAGCATACTGGGCTTGCAAAGCCTTGCCGATATAATTAAAATATGTGCTCGAAGCTTCATAGCCAGACTGAGACACTATATTTTAATTATGGGTCTCCCATGCCTATAAAGGCATTTCCAAGCTGATCATAGAGGCTTATTAGGCTTAAGCTATTATCTCCTTGCTCTTTCTCTAGCTGGGCTACTCTTACTTGAAGTGATTCAATAGTATTGGATTGCGAAACAAAAAATCTTATTGGTCGAAAAGAGAGCATTCTCGCTTGACAAGACAGAAAGGACAAAGATTTGGTATGATGAGAAGCACTACAATTGAGCCTGGAAGCTGCTCTTCCAAGTCTTCACAGCGACCTTAAGACCATTTTCTTATTAAACTGTGTGAACAGAGATTTTTAATTTATGCAATTAAATGCAGTGTAATTAATTAAATATAAGTTTAATAGTTAGCTAATAAATTCATGAGACATTAGGCAGTTGAAGTATTTGAATTTATTTCAGTTATTGAAGAGTGAAAATTTTCTTTGATTCAGAAATGATCAGATAAACTGCATGCCCTTAATTTAAAATGTATCATAACTAATACTTATTCATATTAATTTCGAAATAACTTTTTAAGTGCTTAGTGTCTAAAGTTCCTCTTAATATAGGAGACTTTTAAATTCTTGAAAATATTTTATTTACAAAAATTAGAAATAGCACTAAATATAGATTTTGTGAAGATCCATTTTCATATCAAAATGAGAAAATTAAGACCTAAATGCTTAATTGAGAGGGATATGCTAACACTCAGGCTTTCAAATTAGCTTAATGAAAATACTCGTGGAATTTTGAGTATGCTCGTAAAGGTTTAAATGCTGAAATAAATTTAATTTAATTGTCATTTAATTGTATTTATAAGGCTTGGCTCAGAAATAAAATATAAAAAGACATTTAAATATTTTGATATTTTTGTTGCATAAGCTTACAATACTAACTAACTATTTTATATATCTGCGATATAAGTTTCATATGAAGTGCAATGCTGAAACATTTGTTTTCAATACTAAATAATTTTCTGCATACTAAAATATATGAACAAAAGTCTGCCATATCCACCTATAGGCATATCCCTTAGATAGCCCGATATGGGCGAGGGATAGAGGCCAAAACATCCCATTTAGTCTGGCCAACTCGGGCTGGTCGAATCAAGTGGAAGGAGCTCATTCGCCACTTACCACTTGGTTGGACCAACCTGAGACGGCCGGACCAAGTGGAAAGTTTTGGCCTCTTTCCCTCGCCTATATCGGGCTATCTTAGGGATATGCCTATATTTATAAAAGCAAAGCTATTTTTAAAATGTCTGCATAATAATTATTAAAATTTTGAAATTCCTTTATAAAATTTTATAGCTTAATATAATTATCAAAATATCTAAATAATAAATATTTAATGGCCACCTATCGTTTAGTTCTTGTTCGTCATGGAGAATCGACCTGGAACAAAGAAAATCGCTTTACAGGTTGGACTGATGTTCCACTGACTCAACATGGAATAGACGAAGCTAGAGAAGGTGGTGAAATGCTCAGACGCCAAGGTTTAACCTTTGACGTCGTTCATACTTCAGTGCTTAAAAGAGCAATCCAAACAATGAACATTGCCCTTTCAGAAATCGACCAAGAGTACTTACCAGTCCATAAGCATTGGAGATTAAATGAAAGACACTATGGAGGACTGCAAGGACTCAATAAATCAGAGACTGCAGCTCTGCACGGAGAAGAACAAGTCTTGATATGGAGAAGATCTTATGATATCCCACCTCCAAGTCTTGAAGAAAGCGATGAAAGACACCCAGGTAACGATAAAAGATATGGAAAGCTTCCTAAAGATTGTTTACCAAGAACTGAGTGCTTAAAAGACTGTATTCAAAGAGTGCTTCCTTACTGGTATGACGCAATTGCCCCAGATATTTTAAGTGGGAAAAATGTATTGATTGTAGCCCACGGAAACTCTTTAAGGGGCTTAGTGAAGCATTTAGATAATATGAGCGAAGAGGATATTTTGAAATTAAACATACCAACTGGGATCCCACTGGTCTATGAATTAAATGAAAGACTGCAGCCTATCAGGCACTACTATTTAGCTGACGAAGAAGAAGTTAGAAGAAGAATCGAAGCAGTCGCTAACCAAGGAAAAGCTAAGTAAATTAATTAGAAAATAATTAAAATATGCTAAAATTTACAAGAAGATGATTATTCTTTTCTAAAAGGCGGCCGACGATCCATGAAAGTGTGATTGGTCGCTCTCGTTTTCCCACACCAGAAGAAAGTGTTGAGTATCTTAAGGCGCGAGATAAAGACCAAGTTTATGACTATTTCGAAATGAAAAAAGCAGGAAGACTTGCCCCATCTGCCTATGACATGGAAAAAGAAGAAAAAGAAAATGAAAAAGAAGCGAAAAGGGAGAAAAAAGAATATATACAAGAGCTGCAAAAGAAAGGAATGAAAATCGAGTATCATAGCTCCACAGATGAAGAAAAAGAGATAGAGGAGCTAATTAATAAAGATTATAAAGAAGGCTACAATGTGGAAGGAGAAGATGTTTATGGGAAAAAGGCGTATAATGATCCATTTGATAAAGAGCTGTTTGGGCCTAAGAAGTGAGATGAATATGTAAAAAAGAAAAAAGAGTTCGAGCCAATTAAACCTTCAGAGTGAATTGAAAATGTCAAGCCAGAATGGGAAGAACATATTGCCAGTTGGAATTTGGGGAGTGGAGAAGGAAATTTCAATGAAAATCAAGATGTATTAGAGAAATTAGAAAAAATGGCTGATGAAAAATTAAAAACTCAGAGAGAAAATTGTTCAGTTATCAGTGGAAATGCAGAAAAAAGCCAAAATATCGATGTATTAGGTGAACTAGAAAAAATGGCTGATTCAAAGAAAACATTTCATGACCAAAAATTGGGAAAAGACGCAGAAAATGATACTAGCCTTGATATTGAAGACTTACAGAATATTGCAGCAGATCCAAAACAGAAAATATTTGAATTTGCAGCACTGTGGCTAAAAGACGTAGAAGAGATGCATAAAAAATTGCCAAAAAATGAGCAAAATCAAGTGCCTAATCTTGGATCATTTCTTGATATAGCAAGCTCTAATCAATTTTTCAAAAAGAAATTTATGATATCAGATGAAGATCTTTATAAAAAAGAAGCAGAAGAATTAGATGAAGACGAGGATGAGTTTGAAAATAAATATAAAGAAGAAGAAGATAAACAGAAAGAGAAAGATGAAGATAAACAGAAAGAGAAAGAGAAAGATGATGATAAACAGAAAGAGAAAAAGAAAAAGAAAGATGCAGGCAAAGAGAAAGAGAAAGGTGAGCCAGTAGAAATTCTTCCTTTAAGAAAGAGTAAACCAAAAAGTAAAAAATAATTAATTAAAATTTAAAATCTTTCAATTATAAACGCTATTGGCAATGCTAAAATATTGATTTTATAAGTTTTGCTTATTTTTCACTAATCAAGGCAAAATTGCTCAACTTATTATTTGAGAAGAATTATATTTCTGGTGTGTTTCTATGAGATTTTTATATAAGAAAACAAAGCATTGGTTTCTGCCCTGGCTGCTCAATTCTTTGTTGCGACATTGTAATATATGATAAACCTAATAATAAATAGGAATAGAATTTACTTTGAAATTAAGCCAATTTATAAAATGGAACAGTCCTTGGATAAAGAAATCACTAATGTTAATATTTCTTTTTAAAGGACCACAATAGAAATGTCAGTTAGGGGCAGGACTCAGGTCCTCCATCCTAGCTCAGTGAGAGAAGCCTATAACTTCTTAAGAGTCTCGACTCAAGAGAATGGGCCTACACTGAGTCTGGTGTAGATCAGAGAGGTCCTAAGGGGTTGAGGGACAGAACTAGGTTAACGGTAAGTCAGACACACCTATTTTTATCAAGAGCTGTGATTCAAGCTAAGGTCAGGAAGTATGTGAATTGAAGAGCTATCTAAAACTTAAACTTCTTAAAGGTTTGAATAATCCTTGCACAAGCATGACTAATAAAATTTATTAATTTGACAAAAATAATCAGGATAAAGATAAATCACTTAAATTTTAATGACTTCAAATTTCATTTCTGATTATAACAAATCAAAAAATTTGAATAGAAAATTCTAGTTTTAAAAACTTTCAAACTCTTTAAAAATATAAATTTATAATTCTTGAATATAATTAGATAGCATTTTTTTTAAATATATAGTCAAGTAGGATGATTAGCACGGGGGTTTTTTGGCTTGCCGGCAAGCCAAAAAAAACCGTACTAGTCATCCTACTTGACTATATAAATAAAAGTCTGATGGATTATAAAAATTATCATGATAATAAACTTCATTATAATTGCATTTTAATCAATCATAAATTATATTTATTAGATAGGCTGAAAGCACTAGTTTTTAAAAAGCCCTTGATGACCGAAAATTGGCTATTTAAATCTCTAAGAATAATTAATATTTTTGTATTCTCTTTGTAGTAGCTAGCTTTTTTATATTTAAAGTGGCTGAAGTATGACCTGGAATATTTATAATATATGATTAAAGAGTCAGGCAACAAGAAAATGTATAAAATATCAAACAATCTTTGCAGAAAAAATTTATATAAATTATTCAGCAATTCTCAATATGTCCATTAAGCCAATTCTTTTATTCTCACTCCCCCCCCCTTTAAATTGAAACAAAAAATTTTGTTTCAATTTAAAAGGGGGGGGGGGAGTCATATATTTATAATTTTTATACTTATGCCCTTCTTGGCTAACAAGATTTTTGCTCATGTGGAGACTATCTTTTTTTTATATAAAAATTTTATATTATAGAAAATATTATACAGATTTAAAAAATTGTTGATATTTGAAAAGAAAAATTTATGTTTATGATTCCAGCTGTTTAAAAATTAAAAAAATTTAGCTGGATAATAATCATTAATTATATATAAATTTCTATTTGTTAATTAATGTTTAGCATAGGAACAATTTTGCAATTCTTTGGTCGCTAAACAAGAAGAGAAGTTAGAAAAAAAAAGTTAAAAAATAGCAGTAAATATTTATGATAATGGAATATTATATTAAGTAGACGAATTTCAAATTAAAATTTATTTTTAAGTAATTAACAAGTGCAGTTCAAAATTTATAAGATCATACATAATGTTCCAATAGTCTCAGAGGTAATCTCAGTTCAGATTTTTCTTGCACATTTTACTGTATATTAAATTAATATGGAAATCCTTGTCCTTATTCATTAGTCATACTAGTTACACTTTTGTTATAAATAAAGCTATTAGTAAAAATTTTTATTAATCCTTCAATGGATTGCTGTATAAAATATCACTAGGTAACTGTACTAAACCTGAAGGGCCTGATATGAGTGGCAAGAAAACTTCCTGAAACTCGGTTTTTACATCAGGAATTGCTTGCCTATGCTCAAGTAAAGCAGGGTACAACCTTAAGCAATGAGAAAGTTTTAAGTAATACCTTCCTGTTAAATTTTCTTCCATCCTTGATGCATAACACTTTATCGCGACGTGTATCCTTTTATGGGCTGAAAGTTGACTTCCTTGCCTAAACTTCATCCCACAGCCAGGCTCTTTACATACATACGGTTTTTCACCCGAATGCGTAAATAAGTGCTCGTTTAAATTTTGTTTAGACGACAAAATTTTCTGGCAGTGGGGACATTGGTATTTTTTATCCTGCATATGTAAAGCCTCCATATGCCGGTCAAGATTAAATTTGTTCTTGTAAGCTCTATTGCAACCTTCAATAGGGCAATTAAAGGCCATGTCTTTCATAATATTCAATTTATTAAGAGGCTGGCTTGACTGGTTGAAGTTTTGTTAAATATGGAGAGAAGAAATCATCGAGCTGAAATATTCTCCGGCTGAGAAAATAAGACAGATATAAGAAATTATTAAGCAGGATAGGCCTTTTATGGAAAAAGGAAATAGATCCTATCTATTTCCCAAGATTGGGGCTCTGAATCCACTTACTCCCCCTCAGTGAGCGATAAAGCCATTGGAAAAATTCTTATTTTTACCCAAAAGCAAGCGAACAAAAATGTTTTTAATAGAAAAATATATAATTGATAATTATTATAACGAAATCTCTAGCTAATTCTGTTTAATTTAAAACAGGTTGCATTTTAAAACATAAATTTTACAAATTAAATTAATTTTTTTACTTCTCAAATTTTTTTTCACTCGTAAGACGGGAGTTAAAAAAATAAACCAGTAGAAAGCATTCTATTGGGATTCTATATGCATTTCCTTACTTTTTGCAAATAAAAAGCATTTAAAAAGTCACACAACTGGGAAAGCTTAGAAAATCAGATCTACTTGGAACTTTGCTTCATATTTAATTTGGCTGCGTAATTAAAATAAATTTATGACTATTAATTTTTGATTTCCACATCGAATTAAAAGATAATTTTATAGCAATTATTAGTTCGTTTTTTTTTGAACTAATAAATAATTTATTAAATTGTAAGCCATTTTCTATTCGCTTTTCTAATTTTTGAAAAGCTAAATTTAAATTTTTTATGATTAAAATTTCTTCTAGACTGCGCTATTTTTTACCATATGTCAAATACCACATTCAATATTAAATTCAATTCTGACAACAAGCACATAGTAAATTATGATTTTTATCTAACTCCTCCCCACTCTGTGAGCGAGAAAAATAATTTTTTTCAGTCTAAAATTAAACAGAATTATTAGATACTTCATTATACTAATAATTACTCATATATCAAAATATTTTTCATAAAAAATTTTTGTTCGCTCACTGAGGGTGGGTTTTAGGGCAAATAATAAGGATTTTTCTAATGGTTTATTCGCTCATGGAGAGGGGGAGTAAAGAAGATAGAATTTTGAAATGCTAAATTCAAAGTTATTAACTTTTTAAATAAGCTTCAAAATAGCATATCAGATTCAAAAATTTTTTTTTTAATATCATGAAAAAGACAATCCATATTTCTTGACTCTTTATAAAAATATTCGGGCTTTCGATGTTTCGAACTAATTAGGCGCTTTTCGGAAAATGTTAAATATAATAATTTTTGGCCTATTCAGGGTATTTCCATTGTCCATTAATATTTAAATTTGTACAAAAATTTTAATTTTATTTTAATTCCATTAACATCAGAAATCTCATATTTGAATGAATGAAGTAATCGGACCTCAATTAAGTATACACTGATTATTTCTCCTGTTTTTTACAGAATTTTTAGAGTTTTTTTTTTGGCTTAAAAGTTTATTTAACCACTTAAAAAAATTCAAAATTATTACTTGAATTATAAAATAGTGCATTACTCAAGCATAATTTAATCAAGTATATATATAGAATAATTATTTTGTATATAGTTAAAACAAATTATAAACCTCCTCTGCGATCTAGGAAAGGATTTTTGCCTGCTCAAGGAGAGGGGGTTAATTTTTCTTGAAATATAAATATACTAATTGCAAAAATTTTTATTTTACAATTAATCTGTTTTTTAATTCAACAGAATTACCAGAGATTTCTAAAAAACTATAGGTTTTTTTAAAAAATATAGAGATTTTTCGATTAGTTTTTGGGAGTAAGCAACAGAAAAAAGATTTTAATGCATCGCATTGCATAAAGGAGTTTTAGATTTTATAGATTTTATGCATTTTTTAGTTCAATTTTCAAATATTTAATAATTATTCTATTCTATGGTATCGGCTTAATCAAAATTTTAAAATTAATTTTAAGGAAATTTCCTATAAAAAGTTAGGGTAAATTATAATTACCAAAAAATCTACTTATAAATGAATTATCATGAAAGTATTTTAGTTTGGCGTAATTAAAAAAACCTATTCGATTGAAAAAGGATTTTCGTTTTCTTGTGACTCATTGGCTTCTGAACTTTCTGGGTTTGCATTTGAGACTGTATTTTCTTGGTTGGTTTCATTTAGATTGTGCTTCTCATCACTTTTAATTGCATCAATAGGCTGATTGGACTCATCTTCTCTTATCTCTTCAATGACTTTATTTTCTTCATTTGTTTTTTTCTCTTCAACAATTTCTTTATTTTCTTTTTTTTCTTCCTCCTGACCTTGGTTTGCTGCATCTTTTACTTCTAAGTCTCCATCTTCCTCATTCCCAATTACAAATTCCTCTTTAAGCGCTTCTTCTTGTTTAGCGCTTACAAAAACTTCCTCTTTTTCCCCTTTAATCTCATCTACTTTTATTTCCTTTGTTTGTTCTTTTTTATTTTCTTTTACTTCTTCAACTATCTCCTTTTTATTCTCTTCTTGCACTTTGTTTTCTTCTTGTACTTTTCTTTCTTCTTGCACTTTGCTTTCTTCTTTCTCTTTTTGTTCCTTTGACGCTGCTGCATCTTCTTTTTCGCTTGCAAGCAGCATAAGTACAATATCATTTGATAAAAAATTATGTAACCTCTCTACAAATATATCGTATTGAGAATCATTATTAGCTGAAAAAAATTCAATAGCTTGCTGGTATAAAGCCATCAAAGAATTCACCATTTCAACACTCATTCTCTTGTCAAAGTTACTCTCATAAATTGAGATGGCTTGCAATATTTCTTTAATATTCATACTTTTTGTAGCTTTCCCAGTCATTTCTTCTTCTTTTAACTGAGGAAGCTTCGAATTTTTTTTTACAATTGCTCCAAGTCTATGCAGATTTTGTGATATTAGTTCGACACATGCATCAGCTTCCCTCAGCTTAAAAATTTGTTTATATTCTGGGTTTTCCCCGATTTTTTTCCATTCAAAAGTCAACCTATCCTTTTCAGTCTTTGATTTTTTGATTGCATTTAAACTTTGTAAAGTAGCCCAGCTTAATAAATGCCCGATCCCAGGGTAATTTGTGCTTAAATCCAGCTCTAAAATCACAGTATGAGATACCACAAGCACCCTCTCTTTTGCAATGCGTGGGTCTCTTAAATCTAACTCATATCCATAAAAACAGCCCATTTTATCTTTTCGATCCCATGTTTCTAAATACATAGGGGAGCCCAAATGAAATTTACCGATGTCAAGGCTTTGGAGTTTGCTTTGTGAAAGAGCCACGAGCCGCGATACGAATGATGGCAAAATTCTGATTATTTCAGAAGCTGTAATGTTAGGGGTCCATTTTCGATTGGTTACGTCTAAAAGGATGTCACGGCCATCAGCACAGGATGGGAAACCAATCACAGATTCACAGAGGAGCTTTGGGGATTGAAATGGGTATTTTCCTTCAAGGTGGATATCGAATATTACTGGATGATTATATATGCCTTGAAGGAATTCTGGAGATAATTCTGCACGAATAATCATTCCAAATGGAGTGAAATGAGAAGTTGTGGATATTCGGCGATCAATTTGAGTGAGAAGGCTAATTTCTGGCTAAAATTTACCTTTATCAAACCTTTTGTGCTGGATTTCTTGAGAATATTCTGAAGACATTTTGATTATTGCTGTAAAGGTGCTTGAGATTATTATTTTTCGAATTTAAAAATTTTATATAGTGTTTATATAAAGATTTGTATAAATATTGTATCAACTGCGTGAAGCGATTTGTAAAATCTATATATATGATATATTTTAATATATTCAGCTCTTGTAAAACTCAGCCAACAGTCTAATAAGAGCTAATTACTTCTAATTATTAAATTTTTTATTATTCACTATCATAAGTTTTCCTTATTATATCTTTTAATCAAAATATATATATTAAAAAATGGCGACTTTGGGATTTTAGAAACCAAATTTAAGAAAATTTTTATTTTCTTGCTAACATTTAATATTTGCACAAATAGCTTAAAAATGAGAGCCTGAAATTATTTGCGCCGATTTGCACTTAAAAAGAAAATATAGCAGTTATCTTAATAAAGAAAATCACAATATGAATTAAATGGATACTATTTTAACTCGAAACCACATAATTCCTACATTATGTTAATAGGATTCTTTTCTTGGCTAGCCAATTTGATCCACAATTTTAAACTAACTTATTTTTAAAATTAATTTTTTTGAAATAAATTTGCAAAAAAAAATTAAATAAACCTTTCATTAAGAACATTTTTTTTGATTCCAAATTACTCCAGAGGAGTAAATATTAAGCCATCTAAATTCGGTAATAAATTTTCTTAACTTTTTATTGATTTTTCATCTAAATCACCATTAGATTCTTCTTATGTGTTCTTTCTTAAAAAAGATGAAATTTTTAAAAATTCTTTTCATTTTAATTCAAAAAACATTTTATTTTTGGGGGGGTATTATAAAACATTTTCGATGAAAAATAGAACCACTCGATTTAATTCCCGAGCCGAGATCTGTGGCATATGCCTAAACCCAATCGAGTTTCAAGGAAAATTGGACTGTTGCAAGCATCCATTCTGTTTTGACTGCATTGAAAGGTGGTCTGAGGTAATTTCTATTTAGACAGAAAACACATGTCCTCTATGCAAGCTAAGGTTCACTTCTATTACAAGAGTTTCACATAGAGTGAATTATTGTACACATAAAAAGCCAGACATTTTGCACGTAAAGCATAAAAGCCAAAGAGATGTCCTCGATAACCAGTTTAGATTAGTTTTCAGGCATAATGAGCATGAACTAGATATGAATCTAGGAAGAATTGTTTTTCAAGAATTCCAGAGAGGGAGAAGCAATGAATCAGTTTTAAGAGCTTTGATCTCTTATTTTTATCTTAATTTAGAAAATTAATAATATTAAATAAACAAAAAATTACACAATTGGTGTTTAAAGTATACTCGTTATTATTGAGATATATAAGAAGATACCCTATAATTTATAAAAAACAAATTAGTATAGAATTATATATAAATTCTCAAGGTTTTAATTTAATGCATCCAAATAGCTTGAAACATCGATTGATTCGTACTCATCTGAAAGTTGCCCATTTGTTTTAATTTTTAATCTGTTTTTGGCTTTGCTTTGGGCTTTGGAACTGAAGTACAGATTGATAGTCCTGAAAAATTGAGATTGAAAAACAAAAAGGGCATCGAAGAAGTCTTTGCATGTTTTAGCTTTGAGGTCAATTGAAAATTTGAGATAATTTCCTGTTTCTTCGTTATATTTGCATACTTTGTCATAGAAATATAGAAAATCAATCTGGTAAAATCCCTGCTCTTTGATTGAAGTAATAGCTGTATATTCATAAAAGTCAGCAGGTTTCGGTTGATTGAAAATATCAGCAAAATTGTATTCATTTACAACGACTGCTTTAGGTATTTTTTCTAATCCTTTTCCGGCAGACTCATTTTTCTTGATAACTTCGTTAGCCACCTTAGCAGTTGACACATTTCTACTAAAGGCTTGTGGCTACCCTCTCAAAATATTTTTTTTATAATTCTTATATTTTTATCTTTAAAACGTCTTATATTTATACTTTTGAAATAAATTTTCTAAACTCCCCCCCCTCCGTGAGTGAACAAAACCATTAGAAAAATCGGCATTTTTTGCCCAAAAACCCACCCTCCGTGAGTGAACAAAAATTTTTTTAATAGAAAAATTTTTATGGAAAAAATTTTGATATATAAGTGATAATTAGCATAATGAAATCTAGAGCTAATTCTGTTGAATTTTTAACAAATTGCGTTTTAAAAACATAAATTTTATAAATTAAATTAATATTTGCTTTCCAATTTTTGCGAATTAGGGATTTTTTTAAATTTCGAAAAAAATATTTTTTATAAAATTTATATATAAATTTTTTAAACAAAAATAAAATTAACCCCCCTCCGTGAGTGAACAAAATTTTTTTGTTCACTCACGGAGGGGGGGGGGAGTAAAAAAATCATTTTCAAAGGTAGAAAAATTAGTTCTATTTTTATCATCAAATGCTTCAAGCCTTTTAGCTCTCTCCCTTTCTTTTTGCTGCTGTCTTACTTGCTCTTCTCTTTCCTTCTGTATTTTATATTCTTCATAATGCGCCTTTGCTAAATTTAAGAATGGTATTAGTTCTCTCACAACTTCGCCAACTTTGAAAAAAATTATTTCTGGGGTTCTCTTTTGAGGGTCAATTGTTTGATGAATCGAGTTATAAACTAAAGTCGACCTTCCTTCAAGAGCGAAACCTTTTGCATCTCCTGTGATGTTTTGAAGGAAATCGAAAGGAACATTGCTATTGCTTATGAATGTTAATTCTTCTATCAGAAATCGAGTTAAACCTTTTTCAGAAAATTCGAGCTTGACAATTATGGAATATGAATCAATCTCTTGTTCTTCAACTTCAAGAATCCGAAGATTTTTTCAAGGAATTACACTCACTGGAATAGCATTTTGGTCAGCAAATGCTTTGAATTCTTCTAGAGTTCCCATTTATATAGAATAATTATTTATAATTTCTTTCATTGTTTTTATGCTTATTTGATTGATAATATTTAACAATAAGTGATATAAAATTATTTTATTTGACCCGAAATCAATAAGCTTTAAAATATTTGGGCACAATTAAATCGAATGAAGGCTCATAGAAAAGTTTAATTCAGATAAAGCCAAATACATGATTGAAATTTCTATAAATAATCTATTTTTCTATTCCAAATAGATTTCATGCTAAACTGATTTCTTACAAATTTGAAAAAAATATGACAATTGTGCTAACCAAATTATGAGGATAAAGTTGCCTATAAATAATAAGTTTTTTCTAAATTTATATATCCTATAATGCGAAAAAAACTTAATTATATTAAAAATAATTTTCACTGTCTACTATTATTTTTTATTTTAATAAAGCATTTACAATATTATTTATCTCCAAAAAATTTTTAAATATTTTTCTTAGGTATAGCCTCCCTGCTATTGTCTTTAACTTTAAATTAAATAATCAATATGGACGAATCGGAGATATTGGGGCTTCACAATGCTTACCGCGAAAAATATGAGCAAGACTTCAAACCAAACACCCTCACATTTGTAGCTGAAAGCGAAATTGTTTCAAAATATATTTCAGATCTTTGCCAGAACGCAACAGGTCAAGGAACAATATCTCAAAAGCAAGCATTTGAGCTTAAGAATAGAGTAATTTACATTGTAATTTTTTATTTAGCTTGAGCAATACCAAGAACAAGCAGGACTCCTGGACCCTCATCTAGAACAATGAATTACCCCTCTAATGGAAACAGTCAGATTTATAGTAAGAAATTCAGGAGATCCTCACTTTTTATTAGAACTTGTGTATACTCTATGCAAAATCAGAGGCTCTAAAACAATTGTAAAGTTTTTCCCACACGAAGTAAGCGACCTTGAGCCAGTTTTTTACTACTTAACTCCCTCCCCTCCGTGAGCGAACAAAACCATTAAAAAAACCACCTTCCGTGACAAAAACTTTTTATGGAAAAAAATTTTATATATATGTGATAATTATCATGAAATCTGGAGCTAATTCTATAATTTTAAACAAATTGCATTTTAAATTATAAAATTTTACAAAAATTAAATTAATATTTGCTTTCCAATTTTCGAGAAGTGGGATTTTTTTAAAAAATTTATATATAAAATTTAAAAAAAAATCAGCCCCCTTCGTGAGCGAACAAGATTTCTTGTTCTCTTACGGATTGGGGGTAGTAAGCAACTTAACTGAAGGGACACTGTGGCAAAGCCATTATTCTCTTCTGATTTGGCTTAGCATCATAGTAATAGTTCCATTTGATTTGGAGACAATCGACTCGAACGGAGATCTAGTTAAAAGGTTTTTAGATTTAGGCAAGAAATTCTTAGAGCACACTGGAAGGCCTCGAGATGCAGCTGGGATGATGATTGCGAAACTTCTGACAAGGCCTGATATATTAAGGAAAGGATATTTAGAAGAATTTATAGACTGGTCTGTAGCCATTGTTAGGTCAGCCCAGGAATTTTTAAAGCTTGGAGTTCTTTTCACAGGTGTGGAAATATTTACCCATGGGCAAAGATCAGAATTGCTTCCTTACCTTACCAAAATGTCAGTACTTCTTCACAAGGAAGAAAACGAAAATATGTTTTCCCGACAGCTAAAAGTAAAATTGGCAGGTCGGCTAGCACTTATACAACTAAAACCTATTGTAGCTAGCTGAAGATATTTCAGAGGCTCAAGATCACTTGTAGCCAACCTTGAATCCAAGTCTCAGCAAACCAAAATCATCACAAATGCCCAAGCACATACCTTAAAAGCAAGAACCCAAGCCCAAGAAAACGATGACAGCTCTATGGATGCCGACGTTGACTACGAACTCTTAGAAGGACAAATTGATGCAATTTTACAAGGCTTAAGAGATAGAGATAACGTCGTCAGATGGAGCGCCGCAAAAGCTATAGGAAGAATTACAGGAAGATTAGATAAAGAGCTTGGAGATGAAATTGTCCCACAGATTTTAGAGCTGTTTTCGCCGACTGAAACTGATTCAGCTTGGCATGGCGGATGTTTAGCTTTAGGAGAACTTGCAAGAAGAGGGCTTTTATTACCAAACAGGCTTGATCAGGTATTTCCTTTGCTATATCAAGCTCTTTTATATGATAAAAAACAAGGAAACCACTCAATAGGAGCTCATGTGAGGGACGCTGCCTGCTATCTTGCCTGGTCTTTTGCAAGAGCTTATGCCCCTGAAGAAATGTCAAAACATTTAAGTGAGCTCTCCAGACACTTGCTGCTTGTATGTCTTTTTGATAGAGAAATTAACTGCAGACGTGCAGCTTCAGCTGCATTCCAAGAACATGTAGGGCGTCAAGGTAGCTTTGCACATGGCATCGAAATTTTGACCGAAGCTGACTATTTTACGCTTGGGAACAGAAACCATGCATATTTACATGTGAGTTGTTTTGTTGCACAGTATCCTGAGTATTTGCATTCACTTGTTGACCATTTGGTGGAGGTAAAATTAAAGCATTGGGATATCATTATAAGGCAACTGGCTGCTTGCTCTTTGTCTGTGCTGGTTCCGTTTGACCCGAATTATTATATACAAGTGGTGATACCAAAACTTCTGCCGGAGGTATATGATAATAATTTAATAACAAGGCATGGAGCTATTTTAGGGGTTGGAGAAATTGTTGTAGGATTAGCGGGAAGAAGCGCTCTGAATAATGACCCTAAAACTATTGAAAAAATGATGTATAAGCATTCAGTGAACTATTATATGCTTAAATCCAGTGAAGAAGCCTTAGACGGCGATAAGGCAATATTAAAAGACAGTGAAAACAGCAGATTATTCAAAGAATATTACAAAAAGCTCCAGAGTGTCTCACATCTAGACCTTATCCCTACTCAGCTTTTTAACCAAGTCAAAGAAATCGTTCCTACAATAGAGAAAAAGAGGCTTTACCGAGGCAAAGGTGGACAGATCATAAGAATTGCAGTCTGCCGATTTTGTGAATGTTTAGCGAAATCAAGCATTGTACTATCAGGGAATTTAATTATAAAAATCCAAGAAACTTTAAATGAAAGCGTCATGCATAATGCTCCAGAGGTTTCTGATGCTGCACAAGCAGGCTTAAGCGAATTTAGTAAGACTTATCATAACTCCCCAGGTGCCCAATTGGTGGAAATAACGTTGAAAAAATATCTGAAGACAATGCAGGAGTTTAACTCTAATAAAGAAATTCCTGCAAATATTGCTAGAGGGTCTGCGTCAGGGATAGGATGCTTGAATTTTACTTTGATAAGCACGATGCCAAAAGAAGCGATTTTTGCTTTGATTGAAGCTACAAAAATAAGAGGGACTGAGTTAGATGACCCAGAGACTCGTAGAAACGCAGCTTCAGCGCTTGGACAGTTGATTTCTTTTATGATAGAAAATTCAAAGACACTAAATCCTGGAAATGTAAGGTTTGAGGATGAGCTGCCAGTTCATGAGTTTGATAATGAATTGGTAAATATAGTATTTGACTGCCTATATTCTTGCACAGAAGACTATACAAATGACAAAAGAGGCGATGTTGGAAGTTGGGTCCGAGGTGCCGCAATCCAATCATTACAGATGATTGTATCAACCGGAATAGCAATTTCAGAGCCAGCTTGGGAAAAAATAATTTGTGTATTACTCCGTCAGCTAGTCGAAAAAATCGATAGACTCCGACAGCTGGCTGGCGATATCATTACTAGCCTTCTACAAAACTTTACACTTCCAGCCTGGAGCCAAATTCTTCTCCCTATTTTTGTCTATAACCAAGGCTATATGCAGCAGTTCAAAGAAACCCAAGAAAAGCTGCAAAAAACTGAGTCACTTCCAGACCAGTCAGAAATGCCAATCCAATCAATTACTTCAAACTACGAGAGATCAAGCTTATGGAGTGTCCCCAATTTTGCATTCCCCTTAGTTGTCCCATTACTTAATGAAAGCCGCTTCAGACGTGACATGATAAGAGGAATTATCGTCAGCGTCGGAGGAATCACTGAGTCCACCGTAAAAAGCTCCTCAGAAGAACTCGTAAAATACGCAAAAAGAAATAAAGAAATCGTGTGGGATTTATTGAACATTTTTAAAGAAGCTGAAGAAAGGCTGCAGATTCCATTTATGAAGACGTGGAGCTTGCTATTTAAGCATATTCCAAGCATCAATGAGATGAGCGAGTTTGGCCATCAGCTGCTGCTTGTGACGCAGGAATCCATAAAAGCAAGCAAAGATATCCATAAATGGCTGAATTCGTTAGGAGTTTTTACAGCGCTGCTGGATAATCCACAATGCTCAAGAGAAGCCTTGAGAATTATGGTAGGAGCTCTTGGGCAGGCATATCCAAAGGTAAGGGCACAAGCGGCGCAAAATCTGTATTCATTTTTCTTAGGTGTTGATTCACACAGTACTTTTTGCAGCTCGGAAGAAGCGTTTAATAAGATGGTTGACATGATTATCAACACTTCGTGGATTTTAAGTCTAAAAGAAGTAAGGCCGGTGAGAAATGAAATATTTTTGCTGTTAGGGATGGAGCCACCTAAGGTTAAAGTAACAGCCAAAAAAGATGAAGATTCGAAGGAACAAGAAGACGAGAGCTATAAATCACTAGTGAGAGAAATGGGCTATTAATGAGTTAAAGCTTAATTTGAGTAAGATTAGAGTAGTAAATGAGTGTTTAGATTTATGGTTATCATAGTTATATTAGTACTAAATATTAGCCCTTATTAAATCAATTCATAATTTTTGGCCTGGAATGACTTATATTTGCTGTTAACGATATCGCTCTTGATATTAATAATCTTTTCTATGAAGTCCTAATTTTTCCATATTATACCTTTTTCAAATAAATGAAAGAAACAAATTGGAGTTCCGAGATATGAATCCCCAATTATAGTGCACTTCATTAAACATCTGTAAACCATTTATTATAGGGAAATTAAATAGAGTTTTTTTTTTAAAAAATAATTAACGTATTTTATTCTACTGACTTAAGCGGAACAATCTTCGAGCTTTTCCCTCTGAAACTAAATGCAAATTTAAACAAAGTGCTCGTATTTTTTACCGTTTTTCTAAAAAGTAAACTTGGGTATTTTTTCCTTTGAACTATCCAGCCGATCATTGCGATAACAATATACCCAAAAATTAATATAAATATCCAAGCAATGCTTGAATTTTTTTGAAGGCCTATATTAATTGTTGCCAAAAATGAAGTTCAAGTTACAGCTATTAGGCTTAGAGAAAGTCATCAGCTGAACCGAGGATAATTATAAGCTTTATGCTTAAATGTGAAGATCACAAAACTGATAGCTACAATTGTAAATAAAATCCCATGTATTAATTCCTCAGCTCTTTTGACTGTTTTATTCATAAGGATAAGAACGACTTGGAATATCGTTTTTGCCATTAAATGCAATGGGGTATATTTCACATGGATTAAAGGCTCTAGTTCTTGTCAGAGCGGCCTACAAAAAACAGCTAAAGGCTCATAAATCAAAAGACAGAGCCCAGAAATTGCGGCATATATTATATGACTATCTTTTCAGCAGAATTGGTAGCAGTCTTTTACCATATAGCTGTCTGTAAAATTATTTCCAATTGATTTATCACATACAAAAACATCCAATAAGACTGATACTATGGGGATAAACATCAGATTTCCAAGAACTGGCATCAATAAATCTGCTAATTGATTCAAAAATCTTAAAAGAGGAACTGAGGGAAATTTTTCGTCAAGTCTTAATAAAACATTGGTCGACAAAATAACCCATAGCAGCACACAGGCAAATATAAAATCAAGGAAAATCCAAAAGACCCCATTTGTTGCTTTTATTACGTGGTTAAGGTCTAAAGATACCATGTTTCCTATATTTTCTATTAAAGAGTTAATCGGTGTAATATCTGGCCCCATCGCTAGCAATTGAAAAAACTCTATTACAACGGTAGCGCCCATCATAAAATCTTCAATAGAAATTTCCTGCTTTGTTGTCAGCTGGTCCACTTTTATATTCCATCATTTTTTCCAAATATAAAACGTCAGCAATGCGGTATTCAGACCCACAGCAATACATATGCCAAAAATTAAGTATCTCCCTTTGCCAAAAGTTCTAATTAAAGTATCTGGAAATGGGCAATCTCCATTAATCACCCTCAGCAAATGAATAGAAGTTGTATTTCCTGGATACAAGAGAGGTTTAAGAACTTCAAGAATAATAGACCCAGTTGGCCTGAAAAAAGCATTATCACTAATAGTCACATCGCCTGTATCAGGATCCATTACAGCGTTCTGCAAAACAACAAGTTCAACAATTCTATTATTTGTTCCATTATCTATTTGCACCTTGCCAGAGCATCCCGTGAACTTTTGTTTTCTTACATTCGATATCATTTGGGTTCCATTCCTATAATCCTGACCTCGATGAATCATAAATTCAAGTGACAAAGCGCCTAAATATAGCGCGTCAAAATACCAGCACGGTGGAATTTGGCGGTCAGTTTTGTCAATCCCATATCTTGATTGAAGCAAATCTGCTACCATTGCCCCAGTGCTTCCAATATAAGCTGGCTGCTCAAAAGCCATTGAGGGAATACTCACTTCTTTTACTTGTTGAAGATAAGCTGCGCCTGAGGAATACATAGACGACATAACTCCAGGAATGCAATAATAAATAAGAAGGTCTCAACTCCTCATGCCTAAGTCGTAAAACATTTTTATACCGTCAGGGGCAATATTGGGAAAAACTGCGAAAACTATTAATCTTGCATTACTATTTATAGCTTCTTGAAAAACATGGGAATAATTCGCTTTTAAAGTACTGTAGTAAGAATTTGCAGGGAATGATCGAGAGTTAGGGCTGTTGAGAATATCAATTTTATAGTCTTTAGCTTCGTGTACAAAATTGGTAGCCCACTGGCTGGTAAAAGCATCTACTTGATGGATAAGGGCGCAACTATTTCAGCCAAGGGTATAGAGCATTTTGACTGCCAAAGATGCGATATAAGTGGCATCAAAGCTCACCCTTGCAAAATATGGGTAATTTGCGCTTGAAGAAAGAGTGTTTGAACCTATTCTTGCTCCTATTTGGGGGATAGTTAAGTTTAGCTTCATAAAGGTTGATATAAGGCCTAATAAAACTGTTGTGCTGCTTGGAGGGATGTAAAATAGCCCAATATTGGTTATGTTTTTGTTTATACAGCTTAACTGATATGACGAGTTTAATGCTGTTGCTCCACAATCGAAATCATTTCCTTGAATTTCAAAATTCTCAAGAATTCCTAGTTTTTCTTCATTTAGTAATGAGATCGCTAAGTGGCTGCCTGTAAATTCAATTGCATTGTACGGATAATCTTGAACTCCATTAGGATTATGAATCCCACTGTTCAGGCCTACTTGCAAGATTTTTTTTTTAGATGAAGGTATTATTTGTGAATTTTTTCCTATAAAAATAATATCGCTAAAATGATTTTCCGATGTATCAGCAATTAGCTCATGAACTCCATTTTTTACATTGACTAAGCTAAAAGCAGTCACACAAAAATGATTTGGGCACATTCTTTCAGCAACCTCTTTAACTATGAATTGATTATCAATTATTATTCCTCTATTGACTTCCTCATTCTCAAAAATTTCAATTAAAATGGATATCTGGCAAGAGATATGATCTTCTTTCGAATCAGTAAGCTCTTCAAATCTGGGAGTAATAATTAGCGATCCTTCTAACGTAGAATTATAGCTGCTTTCAATATTCATCAAAACTGAGCTACCTGCTTCTAGCAAGTTTTCTCTAGTTAAATTATCCACTATTTTTCATGCGACATCTAAGTCCGTAAATAAATAATATAGTCGTTTGCGCATTTTGTGAGACGAACTCTGCGTGTGAGTCATCCCAATATATCAAAAAAATTCAAAACATAGAGTCTCATACTGTGTGTCTCCATTGTGAAAAATATTTTTGACATGTGGAGGATTAGCCTACATGCCAGATACGTCCGCAAAATCTTTAAGGGACTATATAAATTTGATCCCAAATTAAAAACCTCTCTATTAACTATTTCCGCTATATTTGAGCAGCTCTGGATTAAAAAATAATTGAACTCATTGGAATAACTACTATTAATAAGATCTTTTAAATAGAAAAATTCCTCAATCTTCCCTCCGTGAGCGAACAAACTAATGAAAATCCCTATTTCGTGAGAAAACCTTTATGAATGAACAAAATTTTTTTTTAATATAAAAAATTCTGTTATGAAATTGAGTTTTAAACAGCTCATCGCATAAAGCATAAATTTTATAAATTAAAGTAATTTTTCCTTCTCATTCTTACTATATGGAGTTTTTTAAATTTAAACAGAATTTTTTTCCTATTAAAATTAATCCACTTTAATAGGCAGAAAATTTTTTGGCTTGCTCTTGGAAAGGAAGGGAGTCAGATAAGAAGAAAACCCCAGTTGTCCAATTGAATTTTTTTAGTGTGTTTATAATAGCTTTCAAGTAACTGCTTTTCTCAAAGTTTAATGAATAGGTTCATTTGTTGTAGCTTTCTTGGTAGTCGTCCATAAGAAAGTGAACAAAACTATTTGTTTCAGCAAGCTGAGATAAATGATAATGTGTGTTTCAGTCATAGGATGCATCAATAATTGATCAATCTTTGTCGCTGCTTTGAATTAATGAATCAGCTGACTCTTTTACTACTCATGTTAATGTAAAATTATTATATGTTGGCTTTATTTTTGAATTAAGCTTGCTTTGTACGATGCTTATGTCAAAATCTTGGTTTTCGCTGTACACAATTAAGAAATCAAGAGAATTTGAAATCGCAATTGATAGAAGTAAGACAATAAGCAATACCATCAATATATTTTTATCCATAATTTTTGCACGGATCTTTTATCTTAATTCATGGAGATTATTTAGCAGGTGCTGTTTTTAAAAGAAAACTTAATAAGTTATTTCTGATTATCCACTAAAGCATATAAAATCAATTTTTAATTTTATGATACTTAGCTTTATTTTATTAGGAATATTTAAAAAAAATAATTAAGATATTTCACTTGTTTAGATTTTTTAAAAACCCATATTTTTTAAAGTTAATAATAATTATAGCGTAGGCACGCATACTAAGTCTTTCCTTACAGCTTTGAGAGCTGATCAGTAACCTAGTGACGAGTCAACTTCAGTTGGCCAAAATTGATTCTTATCCAGGATTTGTCAACTTGGAGTTGACTCGTCTACTTTAGTTGCCAGCCAGCTTTCAAGTTTGCCAAGGAAGACTCAATGCCAAGTTCGCGAAAAGTGTGCCCACACTATATAATAATTGATTGCATATCAACTCTGAAGATATGATATAAAATATTAAACTAATAATCCAAAAATCGTTTATAAAGGAGAAGTGATAATTAATATATAATATCATTTTTATTCGTTATTAATTCATTCCCTACTTATAAATAAAATAGCAAACGCATCAAAGAATTACCTTATTCAATTTATTTAGTAGAATTTTCAAGAAAACATTTAAAAGATCTTAAGCTGATGCATATTTTCTTGTGGTACTTTTTTGTCTTCTCTTAAACAGTTTTTCCACAATAAAAATGATTTTTGTGCAACAGTATCGTATTTATACGATAATTTTCTCAAAATATTAGCATATCTTTTATTTAATCTATGGCTCCTTATTTTATCTCTCTGAGTTTTAACAAGATGAATCGTATTTATCATTGTAGTGATTTGCTGCTTTGCTTGAGTAGAAGCTCCAGTCAATCTATCAGAAGTTGATTTTAATTCCAAGTTTTTCGCTTTTAGCTGTTTACATTTGTCTTTTTGATTTTTAATTTCAGTTTTAAGTTTTCTGTTGTCGTCTGCTAATTAGATTAGATTATGTTATGTATTTAAAGTCCATAATTCGTGGACTATATACCGCGGGGGTGGCAGAGTATAACCTCATTAAGTCAGGACCGAAAACCCACGATTTCTCGGTAGAGATGAGGTCAAGGAACAGCTCATACTGATTTAGCTGACCGTCTCCATTTCCAACTTGATACGTTGGCCAAGTCAACGCCAACACTGCCCTTTCCATCGCCAGATCCGCTCCTTTTCGAGCGCCTTATTTGGAGAGACTCCCGTCATTGGCCTGATGTCTAACTCGCCTACGAGTAACCACCCAAAGGTTTGTTCGCAAAAACAGCAGTCTTCGCGCTTAGAGTTCTTGCTTTAAGGTCCCAAACATTTCTGGGCCAATTCCTGACTCCAAAAAACCATGCCGAATATACATGGATAACCACCACTGAGAGGGTGGGTCGGTCGCGGTCGCCATTTTCTGTATATATTTTTGTCTGCTAATGATTTGATTTTTAGGATTAATGTTTGAGAAAGCTTGCTCACCTCGTTTATTTGCTTATTTTTAAATAGAACATCACCTATTTCTTTGCATAGTTCGTCTGATTGTTCTCTGATTTGGGTGAAATCGTCAGCATTATTTTTTTCTTTGCCTTCTGAACACCCCATTTAAAATTTATATGAGTTTCGGCAGTTATTAAATTTCAAAAGCAATTGAATATTTCTATTAAGCTAACTAAGGAGCTATGGATCAATATATAATTCTAATTAATTATTGTAAATATTTCATTAATTATATATTGTCCATTGTTGTTGATAAATTTAATTATATTATCTCGTAAAAGCTTCCTTATCTGCTTATTAGATATTTTTTGCTTATATTTCTCTAACTCTAAATAATAATGTCCTATTCCTATCTATTCAAGTATATAATCATAGGTGATACCGGTGTTGGCAAATCCTGCTTACTTTTACAATTTACCGATAAAAGATTCCGCCACGATCACGATCTTACAATTGGTGTCGAATTTGGCTCAAGAACAGTCCATGTAGAAAATAAGAACATAAAGCTTCAGATATGAGACACAGCTGGTCAAGAAAGCTTCAGATCTATCACAAGGTCTTATTATAGAGGTGCTGCTGGAGCTTTATTAGTCTACGACATCACTAGAAGGGACACGTTTTTGCATCTGAATTCATGACTTCAGGATGCTAGGGAAAATGGGAATTCTGGGATGTCTATTATTTTGGTTGGAAATAAAACAGATATAGAGTCACATCGAATGGTTAGCACTGAAGAAGGGTTGAGATTTGCAAGAGAAAATAACTTATTGTTTGTGGAAGCGTCAGCGAAGAATGCAAGCAATGTTGAAGTGGCATTTATGGATGTTGCAAAAGCTATTTATGAAAAAATCAAAGAAGGGACAATTCATCCTTCTGATGAAAACAGTGGAGTCAGAATGGGGCCTTCTGTAGCTGCAAATTCAAGATTAGCGAAAAAGCAGACTAATGGTGGATGTTGTAGTAATTAAATAGATAATGCTGTATAGTTTTGTGATCGAAGAAATTTTATAGAGATGTGAGCTCTCATCACAAGTTCTTTGGGTTAAAGTTAACGTCTTATTTAGATCTTTATATAAGCATATCTAAGAAAAATTAATCTCAATCCTTTACTGAAGATTAAGCAATTTGCATGATTTACCGAAGAAAAATTTTAATTTGATATTTTCAATAATGAAGTTTTGCTTAGTCACTTTCTTGCTCCTCTTCATGCGTCTCTTCTTTTTTCTTTCTCTTTTTTATGCTAGGCTTTTTTGGAGGCTCAGCAGCAACGAGCATCGGATTTTGGAGGCATTTTGTTCGAATTGCTTCAAACATTTTATCGTTTTCTATAACTTGAGCTCTGAATGTATTTTACATATGTCATAAAGTTAATTTTGAATCTCCTTGCTGAACTGCTAGATCACTTGACAACAAAGTTAGCTTTTGAATGAATTCTTCAGTGATTTTGCATATAAGATAAGGAGTTGATGAAGATAATTTTCCAATATCTTGATTTGATTGGACAATTTTTTTGATACGGTTCTGTATATATTTTACAGGTGGGAACGAGAGATTGTTCTTATTTTTCATAGCAATATTTATCTGACTTATCCATAATGATTCCAAAGACTTAAAATATGTCGAATTCGTGTCTAGAATAAAAACTATTCAAGCAGAGATATTATAGAGCAAATACTTAGCAAATTTTCTGCTCTCTTGCTAAAAAAATTGAATAATCTAATTATTAAGAATTGATTTAGTTATAAATGTCAAATTTTTTATATGCTTATAAAAGGCTTCTCAAAAGCACACCTAAGGTAGAGCATAAGGCCGATTTAAAGGGTTTCAGCATATTCCAAAATTAATTATCTTGAGATAAATTCTATTTTGCCGAAAGGTTTATTGACCCTCATCCTTTGCCATTTTTAGGGAAAGTCAGCGATAGGCAGGATAATAACCAAAAAATCTACGGGAAATATAAGATTTTCTCAAGAGCTATTCGATCTTAAACGTTAGTATTAAATTTAAAGAAAATAATTATAAGTTTCATTAACTAGTTTAGCCCATCATGCTTCGACACTATATGCGATTTTATATCAACCCTCTTTATTGGCTGCTCATCTTCACAGCTTTCACATTTAAATAGAGTCGCAATTTTCTCTGCAGAAGGCTGTTCAGCCACTAGTCTGAAGAAAATTGTCTTGCCTGTAGACTTATTTTCTATGCTAAGTCGGCTAGGGCTTGTATTGTGATTTTCGTATGTAGTTAGATCAGAATCCACTTGTTTTCCTTGGGAAGAATTATAAGCATTTTTTATTCGAAAGAAAAATTCTGAAGCTTGCTTTGAGGTTAGGCCAAGGTCGTCTACAATTGAAAATAGATCTTTTGCTATAAAGAAGAGGGATTCTAAATCACAGCCAAGCTCATCAAGTTTTCTGAGGCTTGATGTGCTTCTGTTTACAATATACTTGAGATCCATCTTATTTTTATCAGGGGGATCCTTAAATTAATACTCAGAATAAATTTATCTCTAAAAATTTGCATATCATATATTTGATAAAGATCAATTATATTTTAAATTTGAGTATCATCTTTAAATTTATCCTGCTGGGCTATCTTTATTGGCTAAAAAAATGCCTCACTAACTTCATGGTCCTATGGCAGGTTAAATATAAATAACTTACTCCCCTTGTGCATGGAGCGGGTTAAATTTTTTTTAAATATTTTATAAATAAATTTTTTTAAAAAAATCCATATTCGAGTAATTCTAAAGCAAAATATTAACTTAATTTGTAATATTTATGTTTTAAAATGTAAGCTGTCTAAAATTAAACAGAATTAGCTTATACTAATTGCCAGAGAATGGCGCTATTTGCGCCATTCTCTGGCAATACGGAAAATCTCTCCACACGGGCACGATTTTCCACGTGTGGAGCCATTTTTTCACACGTGGAAGTCAGGATTCTCGCGTGTGGAAAAATGGCTCCACACGTGGAAAATCGTTCCCGTGTGGAGCGGATTTTCGGTTGCCCGAGGATGGCGTAAATAGCGCCGTCCTCGGGCAATTCTATATCACTTATATATCAAAATTTTTAGATTAAACAATTTTTTTGGTTCACTGAGGGGCAAAAAATAGGGATTTTTCAAATGATTTTGTTCGCTCACTGAGGGGAGTGAGTAATTAATAGTAACATGATAGATATTCGTGAGTAACATTTTCCATTAATTGAACGTGAAACGAGTAGCAACTTTTATCAGTTAAAGAGTGAATCTTAATAACTCTGACAGAATTGCTTTTTTGAGTCTAGACTAAAACCTTCAAGGTAAATCAAAAATAAATGAAACTCGCAGAATACCTTTATTTATGACAATAACTTGATAAGATTATTAGTATTTATACAATAAAAATAAAATTAATAGAATATTTTTCTATTTAAAATATTGCAGCAGAAGCTAACAGTTTTTTTCTTCCTGCAAAACAATTTTCACTTTTTCTTCCATTTATAATCTTGAGACAGCTATGAAACCACTTGCCACACAATGAAGATCCAAATTAATGCTTTTTCTTCCTATAAAACTGACATTTGTATGCCTTTCGATCATGATAGTCTCAATTCTCCAAAAACAATGGGCAACTGTTAAGACTGGAGATGAATCCTACCATATGAATTTCCTTACTCCCCATCACAGGTTTATCATGAAAATGTCTAGCTCAGCTGTGTAAGAGATATTTTGCAATAGAAGTTTTAGCTCAGCTGGCAAGAATATTTCCTTATGCCAATCCCTATAATTGGTTAGCACCCTTGGCTGCTGGGATAGGATAGCTGGCGATATAGACTGGCACCAAAGCGTGTGGGACGAAGACTGGGTAATGTGTGCTGAGGCTTCTCATGATTAAAAACGCCAATAGGTGGATTGTCTAATGTTAGATAGAAATAGTGCAGCTCATCAGGCTCCAACGGAGAAGACTCAAGTTGATTGGGCGTAATTGCATGAAAACAGATGACCTAATTAAGTGAAATGTGAAGATAAGCTTCTTTATAGCGCTAGTGATTATTATTGAAGGCCTTATGGTCTAGTACAGTAAACTTTGACTCTTCAAGACTGATTTTCCAATAACATTTAGGGGAGGATTTAGATGCACAAATTGCAAACTTTGGACTCAAGATTGAAGCTGAAGATGCTTTAGAAATTACATGTGCGAATCAGATCCTAACTTAGGAAATTGCGCAGTATATTCAGACGGATGAAATGCTACCAAATACTTTTTGATTTTGGAGATTCTAGCATTCATTTTTGGGCTTGTGTTGCTAGAAAAGCTTATTTTGGCTTACAGAAATAAATATTTTGGCAATACAGTGATAGTTCATTTAGCAGCTGCCTCTATGGCCCTTTTCCATACAGGCGCTGTATATGTATGGTTTTCGTTGAACCACACTAGCTGAATAAGAAGCCACACCAATCGCCCTCACGTTGTTGCCAAGAATGGCCCTAAACTATATTAGATTAAGTTTGGAAGGTATTTATAGCCCTACTTCACTATTAACTCTGTTCCGTAGTGGTGCATTGCGGTATGACATAGTGCTACCATCTTGCAGCCTGATCGAAACCTTAAGTTTTTCGGTAATGATGTCACCTCGGGTCAAAAGGACTCTGCTGGTTATCACTTTTTCCAAAAGCACACCAGCTGTCTAATTTGTCCACCTCATTCCCAAAAAGTTTAACAGTTTCACCATTCAGAGAAAGTCACCAAAGCAGCTTGAGCAGATAGACCAACCTGCTCCATAATTTGACCCAACTGGGCTGGGTGCTGCTGGAAAAATGAGATGTAGTTAGCTGCCTTAAGGTTCAGGACTCAATTCAGCGGAAAAGAGGCTCATATCTCTCGCTTCGAGGCTGCTGAACATCTCTGGGCTATAATTGGATCCCAAAAACAACGTTGACATTCATAAGGACTCTATCTCGCCATGATTGGAAGCTCGCCTTTAGCCATTTTATACATATAAAAATGGCCCTAAACTTGCCCTTATAAACACTTTTTTTGCATTTTCTGCATTTATTAGTGTTTTATATTTACTCAAAAAGCATGGAAATGAGACCTATGCTTCAATGTCATTAGACACAAAAATAGGCAAAAAAACAGCAAAATATTGACTAAAACTTTCAGGCGCTCTTTTTATTCTCGGATTTCTTTCTCACGTAATAGTGCTCGGCATTGGGAGATGGGCATTGAGATATACCTTTGAAAACGACACTATCTGGCAAGGTGGTCTCCTTAACTGTTACTATTGTGAAGAAGGCATTGATAATATCCATTGGGATTGCTTAGCTTCAGTAACTTGCCATTTTGCTCCGAATTCAGGCACTTGTGATTTTTATAAAGACTTATGAAAAGCTTCAGTTTCTTATATAATTTTCATACTCATTGCTCTGATAAATTTTATACTCTTAGCTCAGTCATTTTATTCTATATTGAAACGAAGGGATTACGGAATTCCTTTTTTGAATTATCTTTATGCAGTTTTATTGTGCGGTTTTAATTTAATTGCGGCTATATCATATATATGGATAAGCCAGGCTAAGATGTTTTCTATTGAGTGCAGTGAAAGAGTTGGGTATGATGATAGACCAGCTTTATGCCCAACTGGAGGGCCATATACCATTTTAGGGTCAAATTTATTTACTTTGCCAGCTACAGTGATTTTTTTAATTGTGTATTACAGAAGGGTAGAAGTGGAATATGAAATGAAGCTGGAAGAGTCGGTGATTGATATGAATTCAGAAGATAGTGGTATAGAACTCAATATAATAACAGAGTAAATAGTTAATATTATCTTTTAACAAATATTTTTAAAATCGTAGTACCCATTTGCCTAATTTTTAAAAAATTAGCACATGCAATAATTATACAGGTAAATCTGCTCATCCTTAATTAAAACTTATTTTAATTTTGATAGATTTTTTAATGATTCACTTATTTATTTACTTATATTATCTACTCCAAAATATCTTTCAAAGCTCTTATTTCAAAAAAGAGAATATGAAGAAGGTTCTTCGAAGCAGGAATTTCTAAAGATGCATAAAAAATTTGATGAAATTCTTTAAGGGCCGACTTCTCTAAAGGCGGAGTAATTCAATTAATTCTATCCAATTCTATCTCAAATGACATTTTATGATTAATTTTTCAAATAATTCTTTCTTTCTTCGATTTCCTAATCATAATAGAATTTCCAATTTCTTTAATAAAACAAAAAATGCAGTATTGAGGAGGAGAAAACAATCATTTTAATTTTTAAAGAAAAATATGCGGCCCACCAAATGCCCATCAGAAATCTCACAACATATCGGGAACATTCGTAAATAAATAGGAATCTGCCAATCGTTTCCACAGAAAATTCAAAAGATTTCATTAATTTCGAAAAATGGATTCTGATATAATTGTTTAAATCTAATGGTATTAATAATAAAAATGAATTGCGAAGAGTGCGGTTTAAGAAAAGCCAGTGCAGTATGTGTTGAGTGCGAGCAGTCACTTTGCCCAGACTGTGACGAAGCTTTACACAAAGGTGGCAAAAGGAAAAGCCATCTTAGGCATCAGAAATGCATGCTTTGCAAAAATCTTGCATCCATTCAATGCGATACCTGCACCCTCATGCTTTGTTCATCCTGCTCCTCTCCACACATGGCCCATATTTACCAGCCAGTCAGCCAGTCAAAAGGTCTTGAGGTACTATCATCTCAATACCCACAGCCTAAGTCGAATTTTCCTGACTTTCTTGCCCCTTCTAGAATCCTGCCACCTGAAAGCAAGCCTAGATCAGTTGAAAACGTCTATGAAGTCAAAGAAATTAAAAAATTGCAAGATTCTGACATAGAAACCAAAATTTCTGCAGTGGACCAAATTTCAGAATACCTCAAAAACGAAGCAAGCAAAGGATTTTTGCTGCACGAGGTGCCTGACTTGATCCAGTACCTCTGTGCTCATTTAGCTGTCAACAGTGACTCCATTATTAAATGGCTAAGACTTGCTGAAAAAAAGAAAATAATTCATTTCACAGTGAGGGAATTCGAAGATACCTCAATTGAATTTGTAAGCTTATGACTTGAACAAGTCACCTTAGAAATTCTACTATGGACTTTAAGGTCACTAAAAAACGACGAAATGATGCCGACTGAAAAAGCGATCCAATGCAGGATGAGAGAAGTTTTTGACTTAAAGCCAACTGATTCGCAATGAAATCAGCTAATACAGAAGGCCAGGAACCATTCGAACTCGAGCTTCTCAGAATTCAGCTTATTCTCTCAGCCTTCACAAGTATTGCCAAAATTCAATATAAGGGAAATCAGTGACCCTTCGACTGGGAGTAGAACTCTTGTTATTTATCCAAACAACGAAGAGTGGATAGGGCTCGACCAGCACTCGAAGTTCGGGGACTATTTAAACATAAAAAGTACAGAAACATGGGACGAATTTTATAAATTCTTACTCCTTTTAGAGCATTATAAAGTTTTAAATTAGAATTTATTAAAATCTTAAAATAAATTATCCATATAAAGAGCGAGCAAAATATTGCTGCTCTCAATGAAGGAGTTAGAAGATTATTTTACTATTAGAAAGCCGAAAAGATCAAGGCAGGCTGACAGTCTCAGAGCAATCCCAGGTGGCCGCTATGGCTGTGCCCAGTTTATCAAGCTCTGTGGGCCGAGATCAGTCAAAAACTGTTCCCTTGGAAAAGTAAGCTATATGGTGCAGCTTGCAATAAACGAAGATCTGCTCAGGTACCAGAGAACTTTGCTGGTATGGACTTCCAATCACCAAAGAACAGTCTCTAAAGGAGAAATTCAGCGGAAAATGCAAGCGATTGAGCAAGCAGTATTATCAATACTTTCAAAAACTCCACAAGGAATTTCCCTAGCTCAGCTTCCTTTATATCTCAAACGAGCTTTGAAGTTTCAATTAAACATTGCTGAGCTAGGTTTTGCCAAACTCAAGGATCTCTTGCTTACTTTTCCCCGCGTCACAGTCGAGCTGAGAGGCACAAACCACCCTTTTGCGGTCCTAAAAGACCCAAAATCAGATGATAGCTTTGATTATCACCCAAGTCCAGACACCATTCTCGGCTATGTCTACCAGATTTTCAGAGACAATAAATTTGGGATTTCTGAGTCAAAACTTGAGCCTCTACTTTACGATAAAATTGGGAAAAGCATTGATTGGTCTATTTATCAGACCACTAGCCTGGCTGACTTTATAGGGATTTTTGCAGGGTCCCAGTTTGAAGTAATCAGGACTAAGGATACAAATATGATATTCAAAATTGAGAATCCGTCATATAACTACTTTTATTCACCCTTTAGGGATAACTACAGCTCTGTGATGATGGAAAAAATGCAGCACTCTCCTCATCTTCATCAGACTTCGTATAGTCTTGATTTTCCAGACAGCAAAGGGAAAATCGTGAATATTTCAAATATCCCTCTTGATTTTGCAAAAAATGAAGAGCTGACTGATGAAATGTATCGTTATTTTGATAACTTCTATGATGGGAGCACTGATGTATCAAGTGCTTGGAATAGTTTGAGCATGAAAAATGAAAAAATAAATTGTGAAAAGAAGTCGCACTTAAGAACACATAGTGAAGGGCTCAATGATGTGATTGAAGCTAAAAATCCACAGCATGCAAGCTGGCTTACTCTCCCTTTTAAGAGAGAATTTTTTCACTCTTAAAGGAGGCTAATTTTCCCAAAAATAATAAATGATGTTCTCCCACTTAAAGGAAGGGAGCTAGTACTTCAGAAATTAAGCCACCTCCGGGATTTGAATAACTAAATTAAGGTTAGTTAATAATAATTTGCTTATTACTTACATATAAGATTCAAAGATATCATCAGTAATTGAGTCTTTTGGAGTCTCAAATCATTCGTTTACAACAGTTATTTTCGAGTCTTGGGATAATTCTTTATCGCAGATAATGCAATTGACCTCAGTTCCTTTCAGGTCATAAGCAAGCCTTTGGAGAACGTATTCATTGCTTTTATCTTTGCAGTCTTTACATATTGGGGAATGAAGGATCCTAGCTCCCACAATTGTGTCTTGTGACACAATTGTTCTGCCTATTTCTTTAACTTTTTCTATATGACTAACATTCATCTTTTCTAAATGCTTGATATCAGCTGTAAGAATGGTGTCTCTAATGATATAACTAAATACTGACGCAAGACCTAGCTGGCAGGCTAAAAGCACCCGTAAAGCTCTGACAGCCATATGATCTTGAGTTGAATCTGGATTTGCGATGTGCTGAATATCATCTGCACCTTCTCGCAACACTAGAGTCATGCTATAACAAATTGCGCTAACTTCCCCTTGTGAGCTAGCAAAACTATTGAAAAAATCCTATTTCTTGGCAAAAATTCACCCCCAGTGAACAATGGAAAATTTTTGATATATATATGATGATAATTATTAAAATGAAATTTCTAGCTAATTCTGTTTAATTTTGATAGCTTGCGTTTAGAGCATAAATTTTACAATTAAATTAATATTTGCTTTCCAAATTTTGCAAATAATTTTAAGCTTCGAAAAAACAATTATTATAAAATTTATGAAATTTTTTTAAAAAAAAAATATAACCCTCCATTATCAAACAAAAAAATTTTGTTCCTAAGGAGGGGGATTTAAGTAAAAATTACAGGACATTGAACATGAGAATGCGGGTTTTATAGCGAGAATAAATCGAAAACCCTCCAAATATAAGTAATGAAATCGTAATGACAGCCTAAATAGGAATTACATTTTCCATTGGATTTATTTTATCCTCAATCGGAGACAAAGTATAAGAGAGATATAAGAGCACTGTGAGGTTTGCAAGGGTCGTCATTGCATTGAAAATGAAGAGCTGCTTTAAGATCCTTTCTTTGGTTTTGAACTTCATTATCAATATTTTTCCATATTGTGAAGAAATTGCTGAGATAAAGTTCTATTTCACGTCTTCTTTATCATAGAACTGATACTTCGATGTATCTATAATTACGATTAGTTGACTAATTAATAAGCACGCAAAATGTCAGTGATCTTACATTTAAACGATCGAAATTAGCTTTTTCAATACATCTTATTAATAAATAAATCATGAGGCTTGAAACTATAAATTTAATTAATTATGTTTTTATGAAATTAACCATGATCTATATTTAAACAAGAACTTTAATCTTTCATAAGTAAAGATGGCTATTTGAAGAGCAATTATTTTTACTTGTATATAAATTTATTATCCTATTCCCCCCTCCGTGAGCGAACAAAAAAATTTTGTTCGTTTGGACAGAGGATTAATTTTTTTCTTCAAAATTTTAAAAAAAAAAACCAATTTATAAAAATTGAAAAGCAAATATTAATTTAATGTGTAAAATTTATGTTTTAAAGGCAATTTGTTCAAAATTAAACAAATTAGCTAGAGATTTCATTATATTAATTATCACTTATATAGAAAAATTGTTTTCGCTCAAAAAATTCGGATTTTTAGAATGATTTTGTTGGGGAGTTAGAATTCTCAAATAATTAAGGAATGAGTTAATATATTTTATTTATGCATTAATTATATTTTTCAAGCATTTTTCTTAAATTTACATTGTGAAAGCTCCCATCTTTATCATATCTTTTTTTATACTCAAAAAAAAAATTCAAATATTTTTCATAACGGCAATAGAAAGATATCACTCATTTTGCATAAAATTTGCTTACAAAATTAAGTACTTTACCATAATGGCTTCAATCCTCTTATAGTTTCACCATTAGTTTTGCAATATCTAGTTTTTTGCTCATTTAATTCGTTATGAATTCATATTAAATATGAGTGAAGAAAAGATATTAGGCTAGCTACCATTACCTTTGAAACTCTCCCAATATTCAATGCAGCAAATTTTCCTTCCAATCTGAGCCTGAATTTTCTTTTGGTGGCACTCATTCTCATCAGATTTCAACTTATTTCTTTCAATTTCATTTATTTTTTATTCAATTCCATTATTTTTCTCCTCCTTTCCGTCTGCATCAATAATATCTCCGTCTACACCATATCATTCTTCATCATTAAGGTCCTCTTTTGTGCAGCCAAAGTCTTTAGTTTCGGAAATACTAGTATCAGCAAACTCTGGATCATCATCTTCATATATTTCATATACATCTTCAGCCTCCTCACTTTCATCTTCATCTTCGCTCTCATCTACATCCTCACATTCCAATCCACGCTCTTCCAATAGTAGTAGAAAACTAAAAGCTTGATCAACGTCACCTCCACACAGTCTCAGTGCTCTTCTTGCTCCTTCTTCGTTAAAGCCGAAATTCACCAGTGCATTGTGCTTTTTCCTGTAGCTTGCTGGTGTCTGCCATGATGGCAAAAAAATGTATATCAAAAAAAGCATTTATAAATTCATAATTATGAGTATTCTCTATAATTAAGATAATTTTATGATTATTTTAAAAATTTTCACTTTATTTGTCTATAGCCCTCATAGATTTATTGTGTTTTGCGAAATAATTCTAAAAAAATGAGTATTTATTTAAGTAGTTTCTTATCGTTAGTATAGTTTTATAGAATTTAAAGCCTGATCATCATCCTTAATTCATGTATAACTATTTATAAATCTTAAACATGCAAAAGTTTAAATAAATATTTAGTGAATTAAAGAAAATTTCATCTTTAATTCATGATATCCATTTTTTCCTCATTCAGCTAAATTTTATAGTGCTACATATATCAAGTATGATAAAGATTTTATTATTATAATATTTAATAGAATGGTTCGTTCTGAAACTATAATCATAAATACGCTTATTTAGTAATATGCTATGCTGATGTTCTTTTCTGCATAATTAATTTCTAATTGGTTTTTCAATATAATCACTGTCACTTAAATCCAAGTTAAATCATATAGACTCTAGATCAAATCAAAAATTTAATTAATAATTCATGATATCCATCTTTTTCTCCTAAATACACTAAAGATGCTAATGAGTAAATAGAAGATATCACAGCTATTCTAAACTGGCTTCATTAATTAACTTCTCATCTATCCTTTTTTTTGTATTAAGGAAAATATTTATATCAAAAGGAATTTGTATCAATAAATTTATGTAAGATTTGAATTATTATTTATTGGAAAATATAATGTTTGCTGGCTATTTAAATAACGCTTGCCTATTATTTAAGGTTCAGCCTTAGTTTAATGAATCAATTTTGTCAGATTAAAAATTGAAAATGATAAATTTTTAAAGTTTAGGAAAAAGTGTAATAGATTAGGCTAAATTCTCAGCATGAAAAATATAATTTAAAAGTTTGAATCATAGATGATCTGTTTAATTATTAATCTTATGCTTATAAAAGAAAATCTAGAGAATTTTTAGCAAATTATTATAATTTTATTTAATTGGGTTTTTATTTGAGTAAAATATTTAAAACAGTATCGATATGGTGTGTTTTATTAGTTCTAATCAATAGGAGGCTAAAATTCCTTACTCCCCCTCTGTGAGTGAACAAAACATTATTTTTCGGTTAAAAACCAACAAAAATTTTTTACGAAAAAATTATTTTTTTAATATATAAGTGATAATTGCTATAATGAAGTCTCTAGTTAATTCTGTTTAATTTAAACAGCTTAACTTTAAAACATAAATTTTACAAATTAAATTAGTTTTTACTGAAGAAAAAAAATTAACTCTTCTTTGTGAGAGAATAAGATTTTGTTTGCTTGTTCACGAAGGGGAGTTAGATTAATTCAAAAACAAATATTTTCTATTTTAACCATCATAAGTAACAGACTAGTCAAAAAAATTATTATCGTATTGTTGTTTTTTACTTATTAAAGTAATAAAGCTCGGTTATGTGTGTTTCATTGATGATTTGCATAAGCACATATATATTAAAATCAGAAAAAGCATAAAATCTTCAATAATATTAAATAAAAAATTAGATATAATTTTTCTTTTATTAGCTCATTTTAGTATTATTTTTTTGCTTTCATAAATAAAAGATATGATAACCATGCCAAATCCCATAAATAGTGTCTCTAGACAAAAATATCCTTTTTTTCTTCATTTAACTGCACTTTACATTTTTTTAGACAAAGAGCAAAAAAAAGATATTCTCTTATTATAGAGAAATTTATATCTATATTAATTTATAGTTCTGAGATATCTTTTTTGTGAAAACTATAATTGTTTATACACAAGATAAAAAAGAAAAGATAAGCTGTTTATTTTTCAACACTCTACAGGATAATTGTAACAATTCGTTACTTGATTGCGAATTATAAAATAAAATATATTTTTATTTAAATTTATTAAAATCCATAATTTCTTTATTAAAAACTGAATCTATACTCAGACAATATTTTTTTTAAAGCTAAATCACTTATTTTAACAATTTACTCAATTTTATTGTTTGATTTTCAATTTTTGATTTTAATTTTATCAAAAGGGAGAAAAAATTTAATAAAGCAATTTTCTATAGCCAGCAGTAACCCAATTAAGCAATTTCAATTATAGGTCTCGCAATTTTTTATAATATACTCTCCATATCCATTTTTTATTCATGATTCATCATTTTATTATCAATATTAAAAAAGCACAAATAGAAAGATATTGAGTTTTTTACGAACATTCAAAAATTTTCCTTTGGGCCTATTAACAGCTTATATTTGATTAGATTATTGGATAGGTATTTTAAGTCTCCGCTTCTCATTGGTGGCATTTTATGCGGCGCAATCAAATTGGGTGGCTTCCACCTCTAGTAACCCAAGCTCATCCCGAAATCCTGGCATCTCGGGAGTGGTATGCCGTATTGGTCTGAAAAACTTTGCTAGACACTAATATTTACAATTTGATCCCTTCAACCATCTAGTTACTCCGCTCTGCCCTTTACCTTTGAACTGAAGAGCATGCATTCCCTTTTTTCAGGCTATCCCTTAAAAATGCTCAGCCTCTTTTTCGCTTTTGGGCAGATCACCATAGCAGCTTGAGTATTTAATTCATCCTTCTCTATTTCGGGCGCTACCGTTCATGTACTGATTGCAAAAAGAAGTCGCGAGTAATTGCTTATTGGATTATGCTAATTTGTGCTTAAATTTCTCTGCAGGAAACCAGATGCTGCTGGGCCAACTCCAAAAACCATAACTGAACATGAATGGATTGCCATCTCAAGAGAGGATGGGTTGGACGTCATCACCATTTTATGTATATTTATTTATAGCTTAATATTAAAGCAAATAATTATGCGAAAAGGTTTTATATTTTTAGTTCTTTACTTCTATAATATTATTTTATAAAATAAGTAATTTTATCGGACTATAAAAAAACTTTACTAACAGGGCAAATTGTATTTATAAGTGATTAATGATTCAAAACCTAATGTTTTATAAAATTATAAGTAAGCCCTAATTGCTGGATAAGATTATATTATTCCCTTAACTCTATAATTAGAAAAATCGAAAACAACAGCATTGTAATTACTATTTTTATATGATATAAATAGCAGTGACTTTGCATTTTTATTATTTTGAATCAAGAATTATACAAATATCAGAAGATAAATTGAATTTATACATACAAACTCTTCATTTTGATACAAAAATTTCCAGAAATTAAATATGGCGTCTCAACTTGGGTCTGGCCTCTCGGCCAGACAGTTTCGAGTCCTATTTAATTATATCCGACAAGGTTTTGCCATACCAGAGACGGGCAGCAACGACAGGTAAGCAATTCTGGCAGTGTGCAGAGCCTGTCCCAAGTCCTATTTCAGGCATGGATTTTACCTCGTGGGGAAGGGAGCACAGTAGTTGGAAAGGGGTGGCCCAGCAATGTCCTCAGGACCAATCGGGCACTCACTAGCGTGAAGCCGAGAGTTACGCCTCGGGCTCTGTGTTTTCCCTTTTTGCCGAGAGTCGGCCAGAAAATCCAATTTTTTGGATTTTCCCAGCAGACAACTCACGTCCTCAAGCAGAATAGCTTAGGTATAAGCCTCCTTAGTCGGCAACACTGCCCCCGGAAGCGTATTGTGTGATCAAGGCAAGTCGACCCAGAGGCTTGCGGGCTCTACGTGTAAGAAGGCAGAGGGAAGCTCTGGGATGGGCAACCCCGTAAAGGGCGTTTAAACGTATAAATTTAATAGATAGATACAAAAATTTCCTTTTTGATTCCTTAAATAAAGCTGGGCCTCATTTCCAAGTTTATAAAAATAATAAAATGATAGAAGTGATAGCTTTTCTATTGCTTTAGATTAATAAAACATTGCATGCGCTGCATAAAGAAAGACTAAAATCATAGAGTCAAGAGATAAGTCCTTGGGAATGAAGCAAATTTCCAAAGCCATCACGCTTTGAGATTTTTACCCTGAAGCTTATAAGATTGACACAGTAATTAAATCACAAAACCTAAAAGCAGATGCCAAATCTCTATGAATTTTAATTTTAAATCCCTGCAATAGGTATTTATGAGAAAGGATTGCTTATTCCTTTAATTTAAGTGCAATTCAATTCCAACATTAATTAAACAAATTTTTGCATTTGATAAAAATTGCTTTTATAATAAAGATTTAATAAATCGATACTTAAGCAATCAACAATACATAATCAATTTTCCATTGAGCTAGAATCCACTTAAAATACCAGATATATTTTATGTAAAAATGCGTTAACTTTTTATTTTCACAAAAACTCTTTCCTTTAAAACCTATAATTCTCATTTTATGCTAATATTATCATTAATTATTAATTCAGAATATTAACAGTATTTTTTTGCTTTTCAAGTCATTAAATTACTTACGCGTCACTTATCCCTCTTGATTCTAATTCTCTGCATAATAAATTATGGGACTTAACACAAAGAAAATTTCGCCTCTATTAGAATTCACTGCAAAAGCAGTGGAGTTTATTTTTCAAGCCAAAGCCATAGGCTTTAAAAAAGACCCATTTGCGAAATCTCCAGCAAAATCAGAATCCAATGATCTCCAGCCAATTCGTGACCAAGTTTATAGCATTTTTAGCGAGAACTCAGACTATCAAGAGCTTATTATAGAGATTTTAGAAACCTGTGAAGACTGCAATACCCAGTTAATTGAACTGTGGAGATTTATCAGTACAGCTAAGAAAAATCACAATAAAATCAAAAAATCAGACAGCGAGTTAGAGCTTGCTACTAATCTCAGAGTCCTGATGGCAGGCAGTCTATTGCTCCCTTCGAGCTACAAAGATAAGTCAAGGCTGAGGGTAAATATCAGAAAGCCTTCAGTTAAGCCAACACTTTGAAATTCAAATCTATCACAGGATGAAATCCTGAGATTTCCTGAGCAAGGGCTTATGGTAACCGGAGAAAATAGTATATTAACAGTCTACGTGGAGTATATAGAAAGAGACATAAAGCCAGAATTAATAGTCCAGAACTTAGGAAACAGAATCAGAGCATTTTCTTTTGACATAGAAGATACCAAATATATGGCCGATTCACTTGACTGATCTCCTTCATCAGGGAAAAAAGGCAAAACTAAAATGCTGTCTTTAATTGACTCAGAAAGCTTTTATGAAGATAACGAGTCAGGAATAAAACTTATTTCAAGTGTCTATGATTCCAATAGTGAAAGTTCAGAATCAGAAAAAAATGAATTTGCGAATAACAGCTTTGAAATGAATTTTGGATCAGATGGACTGGAGGAGGATCCAGATTTGCTTGTGTCGAATTATTTGAATAAATGTGACAAGGCAGGAAAAACACCTTTGTTTATAGGCCATGACACAGCCCTGATAGAGGCTGCTGCTTTGGTCAAGAAATGGAGACAAACACATGTAAAATAACCAGAATATTTAATTTGTTTTGTACTTTAAGTAAAATTCTTATTGAAGCAAACAAGTATAGCTATTTTTAGCTGTTATAAATAGCAATAAATTGAGCTATCTGTATGCAGCTTATTTGCATTGCAAGAACTTCTCCAAGACTATGGGAAAATTTTAAAGCATTAAAATGTCGCACTTTTCTTCATTTATTTCGCAGCTAATTTCTATATGAGTATATTGACTAATACAAAATCTTCAAAAAATTCACCTATATGGTGAAATAAACTGAAGCCAACTAGAAGCTTCATTTGTTCTGTTTAAATTTACAACAAACCCTCCAAATACATTCTTATTTTTTTCAAAAGCACTCTTTCATATTTGTCAACAAATTGTTATAATAAACCTAAATGCATGAAGTCGAATGTCATCAATAATAAGCGTTAATTCATTCTTATTTATGCTAATGCATTATTTATTTTCAAAAATAGCTTAAAATACAACTATCATGTAATATTAAAATTAAATTTTATATTCCTTGATATTTATCTTGAAGCAAAGAAATGCAAGAAGCAAGCATACAGCAATATAGACTAGCTGATACACAACTACCAATCATAAAGGCATTTCAAACCCAAGCACCTCAAGAGGATCGCAATTTATTCCTTCAATACTGCAGTCAAAATTAAAATCTGTAAATTGATTCGTACATAAAGCTTGGAAACTCCACCTATAAGGGGATATATATTGCAGCCATCCAAAGGCTTCGTTCATTTTGTTAACTTTAACAAAAAATCCTGCAAACATAAGGAATTGGAAAACTATTGGAGATGCAAATACTAAAGCAACGTGAGGACTTTTGAAAAAAATTCCAAGACAAAGACCAATTGTAAGTCCCATAAGCTGAGAAATTAAACAAATAAGCCAGAAAATCAAGAATTTTCCTGCAGCCATGTTAAAATCAAGCCAAAAATACAGCACCAGCGCTGAAATTAAAACGCTTACAGCGTGACCTGGGATATCAGATATAAATGTAGCAATAATATAAGAAGCTATTCCATATAAATCCTGGCTGATTTCTTTAATAAGTACCCCTTTTTCGCATGGTATATCAATAGCCTTGCTTGCGTTTCCTGCACAAACATAGTCCATCGCTATAAGAAACATGATTCCTTCAACAGTCTGAGCTGAGCGTAAATCGCCTTTTCCGCCTACCCCATGAAAAATCATACTCAAAAATAAGCCAATAACCGCAAAAAAAGCGATTCTTATATAGTACCCCCCCCCCTCGTTTGTCGCATTTTCTAGTTTTTTGCCATTTGTCGCATTTTCTAGTTTTTTTTTATAAGAGAAAAAAAAAAATTTTCAGGACCTCATTTGTCGCATTTTCTAGTTTTTTTTTAAGCAAAAAAAAATTGGTTCAGGACCTCGCTTGCCGCATTTTCTAGTTTTTTTTTCTCTCTATAAATTCCTAAAAATTAAAATTCGTCAAGGGATCAGTTAGTGAAATTTCATCATTTCTTCCTTCAAAATCCTTGCTCCGACTCCTCAATCCCCACAGCTTGCTTCCCATTACCTGCTCCCATTGCTTAAGCCTCACCACTTGCCATTCACCATTCTTATTCCCCTATCTTCATGCCTATTTCCTTATTTGATAGCTTAATTTCTAGTCTTCCATATTAATTAATGGAGTTGCGCAAAATTGAGGACCAGCCGATAAAAATCCCGGCAATGATTCAAAGCATGGCCTATGGAGAGAGGCTCAATGCAAAGCAGATCCAAGAGCGTCTTGCTGCTTGTGGCAAGGACATGAGCCTGACGACGATCAGGCACTACACCAACAAGTTCAATCCTGAAGAGCACACTTTAGAGCTCAGGCGGAAGCTTGTGGACCATGGACTATCGCCTCCTCCTAAGAAAATGGAATGATGGAGAGCATAGTCAAGAGGATCATTGACGTAGGTTTCTTTAAAAACGAAGAACTTGCGACAATCTTGGGGACTTCTAAACGGACTATTGAGCGAATTGCTGCAGAGAATACTGAGAGTGAATCTGACGAAGCGGCTGGAAGAGAAGAGGCACTATCCAGATCTCCCCTAAAGCATTGAAGTGATGAAGACTTTGCTGAGGTCATTAAGGAATGTGAGAAGGATACAGGCTTTGTCAGCAAAGCAAGTTTGAGGGCCCAATTCAAAAGAAAGACAGTTGACATCAGCGAAGAACAGCTAGAAAAGAGCTGAAGAAGAGGGGATATGTCTATAGGAAGAAGAGGGTTGTTCTACAGCTAACTAAAGCTCATAAAGAGCAGAGAATGTCCTGGGCTAGGTCTTTGATTGACTCAGATATCGCTTCATGGATCTTCAGTGATGAGTGCTATGTGCATCTCTTTCGTAACTCTAATTTGTGCAAAGAAGGGATAAACGCAACGATTGAAGAGCCTATCAATTGAAAAACCTCAATGATGATCTGGGGAGGAATTTCTATCGTTTTTGGCAAAATGCTCTTCATAAAGAAGGAGAAGTATGCAATCAATTCCCAGGTCTATATCAGAGACATTCTCCAGGGCTATATTGAGCCTTTAGATGGAGACTACACCTTCGTTCAGGATGGGGCAACAGCCCATACTGCAAGGCAGACTATGGAATATTGCTGAGAAAACGGGATTGATGTGAAGACTCAATCGCCGAAGAGCCCAGATCTCAATCCAATTGAGATGATCTGGGCCAATTTGAAGAGGAAAGTGGAGAAAAGAAGGCCTGACAGCAAAGCCAGACTAATTGCTGCCATTCAGGAGTCATGGGACGAAATTTCTTTTGAGGAAGTGCAAAATTCCATTCTTAAGGTGAAAAATGAAAGAGCAAGGCAGGTCATTGAAGCGCAAGGAGAATGGAGTTAATAAATTTAATCTATTCTCTAAAAAGGGGAGAGTAAAGTGGGAAGGACTCGGGCCTGCTAACCCTCTGCAGGCAAATGTAAGGTAAACTCCTTTATAATTACTCAATTAAATTAATCAGAAAATATTTTTTAAAAAAAACTAAGATTTGCGACATCAAAAAAAAATTAAAAAAACTAGAAATTGCGACAAATGTATTTGCACTAGAAAATGCGACAAACGAGGTCCTGTAAATTTTTTTTTTCCCTTAAAAAAAAACTAGAAAATGCGACAAACGAGGGGGGGGGTACTATATAAGTTGCCATAGGATTTCTGATATTATTCATAAATCCTCTATGACATAATAATAAAAATTTCCTGAATCAGCTTATATGTCTAGGTTTCGACAGATTTATATACAATGATTGTGTGAAATTATCAGTATTTTTTTGGCAAACTAGATTTTCCTTATATGACTCAGTTAATTTTTTAAGGACTTCTTTTTCTTTGTCTGTTTTTTCATATCGATTCACAATATGAGTAATTTTCATATAGAAATCTGAAGGATTCGTTAGCTTTGGGCAGCTTAGCCCGATATTTTTAAAATACATCTTTGACTGAGCTGCATCGCCTTGATATATGATGTTTCCATCTGTGATTAAAATTAGCTGCTGAAGCTTATTGAATATTTTAAAACTAGGCTGATGAATAGTAAAAATGACGGTTTTTCCTTTAATTGCTTGTTGCAATAATAAATCAATAATAATCTCAGCAGTAAAGGAATCTAAAGAAGAAGTGGGCTCGTCTAGGATAAGAATTTTTGGATCAGAAAGCAGCTCAATGCCTAAGCTGACTCGTTTTTTCTCCCCTCCTGAGATCCCTGGATACATAAAATTGCCAATAATATGGTCAGCGATTCCTTCTAGTTTTAATTCCCCTATAATACTATTAACTTTCTGTATTACTTGCTTTTTTCCTCCTCCAAATTTAAGTGAAGCTGCGAAAAAAAGCGTTTCTCTGACAGTCAAGAAAGGCAGCAAGAAGTCGTCTTTCATGACATATCCTCTATAACACTCATAGTCCAGAGATTTTATATCTTTGGCATTGAGCTTTATAGATCCGTTTATCTTTGATTTCGAATGAGTTCTTAATCCAGCTAAAATATCTAGCAAAGAGGTTTTCCCTGAACCAGAACTACCCATTATGGCGAGTAACTCACCTGGGTTTGCAGTTCCAGAAACCTCTTTGAGAATTTCTTTATAGTCTTTTTCAATTTTGACATGATAAGAAATTTTCTTTCACTCTAGCTTGAGCTTTTGCGTTTCAAAAAGGGAGCTTTCTTGTGGCAAAATTTGAAATTTTTTAGGAATTAAGGTGAAAAGTGTGTCTGACTCAGTTGAAAAATCTTGATTATTTGTTGAAATCTGCTTAATTGTGGTTTAGTTTTAATATTAGCTTTTTGCTCTTTAAAATGGGCTTATGCTATATACGATGCTGGATACTAGCCTTGCGTATAGCTTTTGAGAGAGCTAAAATAGCCCTTTCTAGATTGCTATATACACCATATTTATTTTTCATAGAATTAATTGTGGTTGCTTCGTATGAGCTTTTCATATTATTTAATTTATCAAATCAATCAAGGCGATATCAAAATATCTAAAAGGTAAGGCTTATATTCACATTTACATAGGAAATACATCAAATATGAAAAAGCCTTACCAATATGACATATTTCATATATAGTTTTAATATCAGTAATAAGTTTTGACAAAGAAATAATGAAAGCTATAATTGCGATTAATTTACTTATGGAAAGTTAATTTAATTTTGATGTATTTAGGTTAATATGAAGTATGCTAGTATTTAAAATCGTTAAAATAAATAGTGAGCTTATGATTCTTCATTAGCAATTTTACTCAAAAATAGCCAGAGAAGAAGTAGAGATACGTAAAACTCCTATGCTTGTCTACTAACCATGGGACATAGGTCTATCAGCTAATCACTTTAAGAAAAAAAAATTGAATGAAATATTTGCTGAGAGATAAGCTGGAAGATGATATAAAATAAAATGAAGTTAAATCCATAGAATGAAAATTGCTTGGGATGCTTCTTTTATACAGGAAATCTACTTTGATTTATAATTTGCTTTTGCGTACATAAATGGCAAAGATAAAATTTTTATATATTATAGTTTCATACAAATAGCAAATGACTTAATGAATTTTATATCTAAAAAATAGCACTTGTGGGCTATCAGAGTATATATGCACACATGCTAAAATTAAAAAAAGATTTATTTCAAATGTTCACAAAGTGATTCATATTCACCTTAGAGATATAATTGCTAGCCTATTCTAGTTTGCAGGCTAGATTATTTACATAAACGCCCTGAAAGAATAAAATCTGCCTGCTACACAAGTTAAATGCTATTAAGGTCAGCATTACTTCAAAAGTATGAACTTAAGTAAGCGATAGATAAATATCATAAATCCTCATTTCTAATTTTTCTAAAACAAATTTCTATTTAAAATTCATAAAGATTCTGATTTTAAATTAAATAAGTTAAAGACTAGCACGTACTAACAGTCTTAACTCTGATTTATTGCCTGCATCAAGCTCATTAATGACTCTTGCAGTAAACATTGCAACTTATTTCTGTGTGGGTCAGGCGTTTCTCTATATAGCTTTCTCACCAGCGATCTTTTGCATTCATCTAATTCTGCTACATCCAGCTCAATTTTCGAGTTCAAGAACTTCAATCACTGATTCCTAAACCCATTTTGTCCATGCTGCTCCAGCGAACAAATTACACTTACTCCCCTCAGTGAGTGGACAAAAAAATTTTGTTCACTCACGGAGGGTGGGTTTTTGGGCAAAAAATAGGGATTTTTCTAATGGTTTTGTTCACTCACGGAGGGGGGGAGTTACAATCGCAATGACAAGTGCCGAAAATTGTGACAAATAATAATCCGTATAACAAATCATCGCAAAAGCGTCACTTCTATCAAGAATTTTTGAAAAATCATATTCGACGCCAGTAACATACAACAATTGTCGTGACAATTCAGCAGCTGTAGGGAATGATAAAGTCCAGCCGAACTTTTGTAAGGCAAATAGCTCAGTGGTCTGGATGTCTTCTTTTCTATACATGTTGCTTGTGTGGAGCACTGCGTGCTCCAAAGTATACATGACACTTTCATGAAACTTCAAAGCGACCATTAAGCAAACAATCCCGACTAATTGTAGGACTGCTTTTTTGGTCTTGACTTGGGATAAAAAGCGATTTATGAGGGTAATGGCAAGCTGGATTGTTTCGACGCTGGCCCCGATTTCTTCTGCGTGATTCACTATTCAATTGACGAGCTTATCGTGCATCCAGACTTCAATTTCTTGGTTTTCTCTTAAAAAGTTGCCCATTCGGGGCAGCTTTTGTTCAATTTCAAGGAGATAAGTGAGGACCTCAGAACTCCAGTCTGTAACCAGCCTTTCACGTTTAGAAATCATGAAAGTTCAAGTTATGATATTATAAATAGGGCTAAAAGGAACTGGTATTTTTAATTTTTATTATAAATACAATGGCTAGGCACAGCTGCCTTCAATAAACCTTCCTCCTCCTCCGCGATAGTCATTATTATGGGATTCAGCTTTCCATAAGGACCTTTATCCGCAATACCAATATTGGTTACTGCATATGGTAGCTCGGTGACTCATAAGTAATTAGAGATATATGGCTTTACTGCCTAGCTCATATGAAGAGGACAACTTCAGGCTGAACACGTACTGGAGCTAGGCTCAGGCGAGGTCAGCATGACCAGTGATTAGATTAGATTAGAAAGAATTATAGCGGGTCGTCGGGGATTATTTCAACCTCTATCCGTTCAACGGATAGCTTCACGTTGACGCTAAGCGCTATCCTCACACCACCTTTTTCCCTGCTGACGTCACCAAAAAATGGTGACGTCAGAGGTCTGTCGGGGAGACACCCCTACTGAGGCCGAGCCTTTCCTGGTCCTAAAATTCAGCAAAGGCTCCCTTAACTTCTGACAGAGCTCAGAGTATGGGTGGTCGCCTTTTGCTTTCTCTATGGCCTGTCTGAGCCGTATTTCAGGCTCGGGAATGCTCTCATGGAGTGGTATTAGGACTTTGCGCCGTAGGACTTCTTGTGGGTAAGGAAAAAAAGTCTAAGGTTATCCCTTAGACCAAAAACCCACCCCGGAGAACTATCACCATGTGGCTCTTCACTCCTGGCCAGGATCAACTCACGGGTTATCAGGAGTCCACGTCAGATCTCGCCATTTTAATAATTCTACATGACCAGTGAAGAATTCTTCAGTCTAAAGCATCCTGTTGAAGAAGAAATGCGTTAAAATCTAAATAACTAGTATTACCTGCAAAAAGGGGAGGCGTATTATACGAAGCAGGTGGTCTCTCCAGTTCAAGGTTCTTATTTCAGAGTGGTGACACTAGTCAGAGGTAATAGGCAGGATGAAGTAATTAGACGATCGAAGTGACCAATCTTGAAATGATAGCACTCGGCAAAATTTTGATACAGCAGAGCAATGCCATTACCGAAAACCGGGGTTTCGGCCTGAGCTTAGAGTTGCTATAGCCAGAAGCCACTCAATTCGTTTGTGCTGCCAGGCTACTTGCGCCACACAGAATGCTAAAAATGAAGGCAGGAATCTTAAGTACCAATCTAATAATCTAAATAAAATCTAAATAACCAGTAACAGTAGATATTTTTAATTTTTAAGAAAAACCAGTAAACGAGGAGAAATCCAGGTAGGTTGTGAATTTTATTATAAAAGGGGATTTCTAGAAGAATTTAAAGAAAGAAAAAAAACATTTTTCACAAAATATAAAAGAGTAGAAACAAATCATTAAAAGATTGATTGATATATAGCAATGATTATTTATTTTAAGATTTTTTAGGTATTATAATTAACCAGGATTTAAAGACTGAATATTTCTGCTGATTAATTTATTACGAAAATATTTACTTTAATCTATTAAAATCCCAAGGGCATTTATGAGCTGTGTAATTTTATCTTCGAGTCAGTCTTTATGTAAGAGTTCTTGCACTAAATTTTGAGGAAGCCCTGAAAATCCAATTTTGCATCCTAGCAATGCTCCGCCAGCAGCTGCATTAGTATCTGCGTCTCCTCCTTGAATGATAATTTCTCTGATAGCCTCTTCAAAATTATCTTGCCTTAATGTATGAAAGGCACATCCTAATTCCCTCTTATATGCACAAGATCTTTTTGTAAAAAGGCTTAATTTTATTTTTTCGAGTTAATTTAAAATCTTTTAAAGAATAAATGTATATATGACGTTGTTTTTTTAATTAAAAATATATTATTATATCATATAATAAATCTTGCTTATTTATATATCATTAGCTTTTAAATGAATACAGCTTATACATTATTTATTAATTTAAGGAGAGAGTAAGCAAATATAAGCATACCCCATATCTTTCCCATCAATTGGCAAGAGAGCTGGAAGATCAATATTCATATACCTTCTTAACAGCTCAATATTAAATCTCTCTTCAAAATTTTCCTTTTGCTCGTTATATTCTGCTATTTTTTCAGGCGTACAGTTTGAATTTACTTCACTGTCTAAAGAATTCGTATAATTTTGAAGAAAATTGGATGTGAGCTCATAAGAAGCTTCTATAACTGTATTTATATCTCTCAACCCTTGCAGCATTAATGAAATTGCCACTGTTTGAGCTATGCTTGCAGAGAGACTTCTAGGATCTGCATGAGTGCACTTTCCAATATCTTTTGTTTGTCTAATGACTTGCTCGGTGTCGTTATAATTAATGATTCCTAATATGCATGATTTCATAAGAGCTCCATTAGCTGCCAAGTTGCATTTCCCTCCAATTCATGCATCAAGTGCTGCTAAATGGGGATTATTAAGAAACTCTTTGTGGCTCATTGTTCGTCTTACAGTTTGGCCGCATCCAAAGCCGGATTTGTCACCTAGCTCACGGAAGCCTTTGTTCCTCCAATCTCTTAATTTTGCTGCGAAATCTTGAAAATTCCAACCTCTTGACTGAAGATAGGAATTAAGGATGACAATCATTTGGTCTGTATCATCACTTCAATCGCCTTCAGGAATCTTTCTTTTCTTATTCCAATTTAGCAAAGACAGAGGAGTGTTATTTCAAACATTAGCTGAATATTCTGCTTTTTTAAATTCTGTGCGAATACCAATAGCATCACCCAAAGCTTGCCCATAAATGCACCCACGAATTTTATCAAGAAGTTCTTCTTTAGATAAAGGCTGTAGCTGCAGCAAATATTTCGCTAAAATTTCTGATGAATTTTGATCCATATTAAAAACAATAACTGAGGAAAGTATTTCACTAAAATTTCTGTTAAGTTTTGATTAATGCTAGTGATCTTTATTAACGATTATTAAAAATTCTCGTATTACAGTTAAATAAAGCTTGATAAGGATATCATAATGCCAGAAATATTTCTTTTGAGGCTTAATGAAAATTCTTTATTGCAAATATTAAATTAAACCGTGACCCCTCACTGAGACTAATTCTTTCAGACTAATATTTTTTCGCCTATTTTTTTTTTGCCTATTTTTTTTTAGCCTATTTTTTTTAGCCTAATTTTTTTTGGCCTAATATTTTTGTGCCTAATATTTTTTGGCCTAATTTTTTTTGCCTAATTTTTTTTGGCCTATTTTTTTTGGCCTAATTTTTTTTGGCCTAATTTTTTTGGCCTAATTTTTTTGGCCTAATTTTTTTGGCCTAATTTTTTTTGGCCTAATTTTTTTTGGCCTAATTTTTTTTGGCCTAATTTTTTTTGGCCTAATTTTTTTTTGGCCTAATTTTTTTTGGCCTAATTTTTTTGGCCTAATTTTTTTTGGCCTAATTTTTTGGCCTAATTTTTTTGGCCTAGTTTTTTTGGCCTAATTTTTTTTTGGCCTAATTTTTTGGGATAAAATTTCTCTATCCAACTCCTCAATGCTCTATAATATAATACTTTCAAGTTATTTATGCGGATGTGAGATAGATTCTAACTTTAATACTCCTTCTTATATTAAACTTAATATTTTTTTGAGTAAATATAAGCATATCTCTGAGCTCATTTTCCTGTTTTCCTCATATTTTAAGCTTACTCTACTCCCCCCCCCCATCCTTGATCGAACGATTGACTGTAAAAATTCCTAAAATTTAGGGAAATTAACCCCCATCCTTGATCGAACGATTTTCATATCATGCAAATTTTTATATATATAAAAATATATTAGCTATCAAAAACTTGGGAAGATGTATCTAATGAAGTTGCTTTGAGAGTTTTGAGACAACAGAAAGCTGCGAAATCAACCATTCGAAGTGATTTAACCATCGGCCTCGGCTTAAAAGCTCAATAATCTATAAAATAGAGATTCTTTACTCCCCCCTTTAAATTGGAACTAAAAATTTTGTTCTAATTTTTTTTTTTAAAAAAAATATCAATATAAAATTTTTTATAAAATATATAAAAATTTAAAAAAAAAATTTCAAAAACTTATCGAATTAGATTAATAAATTTGTTTAATAAAATGCTATTTACTCTTTATCCTTTAAAACAAAGCAAGATATAACTAAATTTTCATTATTAGTTAATGCGCCACTCAAAAAAAATTAGGCCCAAAATATTAGGCAAAAAAAAATTAGGCCAAAAAAATTAGGCCAAAAAAAATTAGGCCAAAAAAAATAGGCCAAAAAAAATTAGGCCAAAAAAAATTAGGCCAAAAAAAAATTAGGCCAAAAAAATTAGTCAAAAAAAATTAGGCCAAAAAAATTAGGCCAAAAAAAATTAGGCCAAAAAAATTAGGCCAAAAAAAATTAGGCCAAAAAAATTAGGCCAAAAAAAATTAGGCAAAAAAAATTAGGCTAAAAAAAATTAGGCCCAAAAAAATTAGGCTAAAAAAAAATTAGGCCAAAAAAAATTAGGCCAAAAAAAATTAGGCCAAAAAAAAATAGGCCAAAAAAAATTAGTCCAAAAGAATTTGACCCAGAGAGGAGGAACCAATTAAACTGTTAAAAATCCTAGCCTGTTAATGAGGTGGGTAATTTTTTCTTCTAGTCAGTCTTTATGTAATAGTTGTTGGACCAAATTTTGAGGAAGTCCTGAAAACCCAACTTTGCATCCTAGCAATGCCCCTGCAGCAGCTGCATTAGTATCAGCATCTCCTCCTTGAATGATGATATCTCTTATAGTGTCTTCGTAATTATCTTGCCTTAAAGCATGAAAAGTGCACCCTAAACAAATATAAGCATATCCCATATCTTCTCCATCAATAGGTGCCAAAGTTTGAAGGTCAATATTCATATACCTTCTTAGTGTTTCACTATTAAAATGATCACCGATGTTCCCTTTATGTGTATTATACTCCTCTATTTTTTCAGGCTTACAGCTCGAATTCACTTCTCCATCCAAAGTATTTGAATAATTTTGCAAAAAATTAGATGTAATTTCATATGAGGCTTCTGTAATTGTGTTAGCATCTCTCATCCCTTGTAGCATTAATGAAATTGCAACTGTCTGGGCTATACTTGCAGCTAGACTCCTAGGGTCTGCATGAGTGCATTTCCCTATCTCTTTTGTTTGTCTAATGACTTGTTCAGTGTTATTATAATTAATAATTCCTAGGATGCATGACCTCATGAGAGCTCCATTAGCTGCTAAGTTACATTGTCCTCCAATTCATATGTCAAGAGCAGCCATATGAGGATTTGTAAGAAACTCTTTATGACTAATAACTCTGCTTACTGTATATCCGCATCCTAATCCAGACTTATCGCCGAGCTCACGAAAGCCTTTTTTCTTCCATTCTCTTAATTTTTTGGCGAAATCTTGGAGATCCCAACCTCTTGACTGAAGATAGGAATTAAGGATGACTATCATTTGGTCTGTGTCATCACTTCAGTCACCTTCTGGGAATTTTCTACGCTTCTCCCAACCTAATAAAGTTAGAGGACGGTTTCTTCAATTGTCAGATGCTTCATCTGCTGATAAAAATTCTGTCCGGATACCAATGGCATCACCTAAAGCTTGCCCATATATACATCCACGGATTTTATCCAAGAGTTCCTCTTTAGATAAAGGCTGAAGCTGAGATGAGTATTTTTGCAAAATTTCTGATAGGATTTGATCCATATGCAAATGATTAATATAATAATTAGTATTAAAAAATAAATCATTAACAGTCAAAGTATAGATAAAATTTTTTTTAACCATAGGCCTTCATTATATTAAACAATTATCATATTAATTCAAAAATGAGCACTGTTTTTACAAAAACAATATATTATTTAAATTTCCATTTATTACAGTTAATATGCATGCCTTATATATGCATATCAATTAAATATTTATGCAATGCTTGAATTAAATTTTATCATTTAAATTATCTATACTATTTTCTTCCTTCAATGTAACTATTTCTTTATTGATTTTCTTATATAGCTCATACCCGTATATAGATTTCTATATCGAGCATAATGTCCTGGCCTCTTGAGCGAGCAAAACAGACTCTCTCAAAGAAATGAGCTCAATCTTTATATCAGTCAGTGTTAAAAAGTGCCATGTCAAAAATGATGACAAGTGTGAAAAAATTTGGCAAGTAAAACACGCCGATTTTAAAAATGGTTTTTTATTATTAAATTAATTTAAAATTTAAGATATCCAATTAGACTGAGAGCACCCAATCAATCAGGTTTTTGATATAAACCTAATCAAACACAAATGTAGCATTTTATTGGAGAGAAATAATGAGATCATAAATATCTACGACTTTCATAAACTCAAAAGTGCGACTCCCCCCTTTAAACCCATCAAAAGTCTCCAAGAGTTCTTTCTTCAGTTGATAGATCTCTCAAAATCTCCAATAATTTTTGGACTTATGCTTGATATAAGGTGTCATCAAGATGGCGTCCAGTATAGAGAAACTGACATGATTATTACCTAGAGAAAATTCAAAAGTGCGACTACCCCCTTTAACCCATCAAAAGTCTCCATTAGTTATTGCTTCTGTTGAAACATCTCTAAAAATCTCCATAACTTTTAGACTTATTCTTGATTCAAGATGGCGTCGTCCAGTATGGAGAAACTGATACGAGTAATTCCTAAAGAAAAATTCAAAAGTGCGACTCCCCCCGTTAACTAATCAAAGGTCTCCAAGAGTGATTGTTTCAGTTGAGATATCTCTCAAAAACTCCAAATAATTTTTTGATTTATGCTTGATACAAGATGTCATCAAGATGGAGTCCAGTATTAAGAAACTAACATGAAATAGCTTATAGAGAAAAATTCAAAAGTGTGATTCCCCCCTTTAACACATCAAAGGTCTCCAAGAGTTCTTGCTTCAGTTAAGACATCTCTCAAAATCTCCAATAATTTTTGGATTTATGCTTAATACAAGATGTCATCAATATGGTGCCCAGTATGGAGAAACTGACTTGAAATAGTATCTAAAGAAAAATTCAAAAGTGCGACTCCCCCCGCTAACCAATCAAAATTCTCCACTAGTTATTGCTTTCGGTTGAGACATCTCTAAAAATCTCCAATAATTTTTAGACTTATTCTTGATACAAGATATCGTCCAGTATGGAGAAGCTGAGAATGGTATCTAATTTTATTAATAAATTTTATAAATATCATTTATTATTTATGTATTTATTATTATCATTATAATTATTATTAATTTATAAAGACCTTTTAAAAATTGATGCGTTTACTTGTCAAATTTTTTCTCACTTGTCACCATTTTTTGGCATGTCACTTTTTAACACTTACTGATATAGAGATTGAGATCATCTCTTTGAGAGATTCTGTTTTGATCGTTCAAGAGGCCAGGACATTTTGCTCGATATAGAAATCTATAAAGGGGTATGAGCTATACTTGTTTCTAAACTCCTTGCAATTTTTGTACAATTTATTTTTTTCAATCCAAACCCTGAAAATCCTTAATGAAGGACTGATAGCTCTCATAAATTTTTTTGTCCCTGTCTTAAAATATTCAAATGGTACTAAAATTAGCACAACGACCATCCATATTTTCTCAAAAATTAAATCCAGTCCTTCACATAAATATGAAAGCAACACTCATAAGCACTCCAAAGTGAAAATAAATGGAGTAATGCATATATTTATCAGTGTAAAACTCCTTAAAAAGCTAATAACCATGCTGATTACTGCATCATTTCTAATACCTCTTATTAAAACCCCACACAATTTTAACCCGAATATAAAAAAGGTTAAAAAAGCAATAAAAGCAGGATAAGCCACTTTTGTCACAGAATAAGCTCATTCTCTAAATGCTGAACAATTATATATAAATGCTGGCATAAACGCAAACAAGAATTTTTCAGTGTGTTCTCCAAAGATAAATCCTCGCTTTATCAGCTTTTTACCATAATGGTCTTGAAAAATGTCTTTTTGCAATTTTGCAAATGATACTACATCATCATATTAAAATATGACGTCGCTCGAATTTTCTGGTCTCCTGACAAAAAATTCATCTCTCGCATATTTTAATTATGAGGTTGTTTCCCTGGTGAAATTATCCTAGCTTTGTCAGGGAAGCCAGAGCCGGGCAGTTTTTCCTACCTGACTCCAGATCTTAGGGGATGGAATTTTACAGAATGGTACCACTTACTAGGTGGTGAAGACTGGAAACCTTTAGGTTGTCGATCGGACCCAAGTAAGTGCCTGAGCTCAAAGAAGAGTTGTCAAGTCCAAACTTCAAGACTGGAGTCCTCACTGGTGAGCAAAGTCAGAGATGGTCATACTTTTGAGGAAAATGGTGCGAAATTCTCCCCAGAGCTGTTTTTGGGGTAGCTGTGGTCGAGCAACCTGCTAGTGCAAGTTAATGTGTTATAGACAATTAAAATTAAAATACTACGTCATCAAAATGATACTGCTTAAACCCTATTTTATTGACTTCTTTGTATTTTCGCCAATACTTTGGGAATATTTTGAACATAGAATAGAGTGCTATTATATAGGCAACTGAAAAGGAAAAATAGGAAATTAATAATTCAATTGGGATTCCAAAGATTAACAGAAAAATTAGGAGCCAAAACTGAATTCATGTGGAGGTTTGGTCTGTTTTTTTGATCATAAAGGATACTTTTGAGGATTCGTCAAAGTTTATAGTAAATGAAATTGCGAGGATGTCTGATATAGCAAATATTTGGCCTTCTTTGTCAATTAGATACCCTTCAGAAAGGTATAGAGGTTCCATTAGGAGATATTTAATGAGAAATTGAGTTTAAATAATAAATTTAATATTAAATAATTATTTCAGCATTTTAAGGATATTTTAGTATAGAATGCTAATGTGGAAAAATCTACTTAACAATAGTTTTTAATCTAAGGTTTGACAATTTTGCCTTCTCCACCTTCTGAATAGGTTCCAGTTTGGCCTTTCTCTTAGACGCAAGCTAATGTTTCTGAGGAAAACTTCTTTATAAATTTTTCTCTGTTATTCTATAAAATCTGTTTTTTAGAATAATACATTACTATCAAAAAATATGAAGGCTTTTTTATCCTTGGAATCTTAAATAACCCTCTCTTTTTCAATGGATTTTTCTCCTGGCGTTGTATAAGCTTTTTTACCTGTTGCATATTCTACCTGTGTCATTTCAGTCACAACTTTAACTGTCTCTTTCACTATTTTTCCTTTTGGCTGGTCTTGGTATCCTTCCTTTGGCCTCTGACTCCCCCCCCTTTAAATTGGAACTAAAAATTTTGTTCCAATTTAAAGGGGGGTTAAGAAAATTTTTTAAAAACAAAATCATTATAAAATTTAAAAAAAAAAAAAATTCAAAAATTTATCGAATTAGATTAATAAATTTGTTTAATAAAATGCTATTTACTCTTTATCCTTTAAAACAAAGCAAGATATAACTAAAATTTTATTATTAATTAATATGCCACTAAAAAAAAAATTTTAGAAAATTTATTAATCAAAGTGCTAATTTTTGTTTAAATAAGATGCTATTTATACTCTATTCTTTTAAAATAAAGCAAGAGATAAGTAAATTTTGAATTTTTGTAAAGAATTCGTATTGAATTTATATCAAAGCTATTTAAATAAAAAATATCATTTTTATCAAAAAAATAAAATTTTTTTTTAAAAATTTTTTTAAAAACAAAAAAAATTAAATTTTTTTAAAAATTTACAATTAAGGATAATAAATTTATTTAAATAAGATGTTCTTTATACTCTATTCTTTAAACAAGAGCAGGATATAACTAAATTTTAAATTTTAGTTAAGAAGAAACATTTAAAATTATATCAAAACTTTTTACATAAAAATTATACATAATTTTTTATTATAAAATTAAATTTTGTTCCAATTTAAAGGGGGATTAATTTACCAAAAAAGTGGCAATTTTACCTATATTTTGTTCTAATTTAAAGGGGGGGGGGAGTGAGTTACATCTTCATATCTTTCTTGGCTGCTTGAGATTACGCCTTCCATTTTTTCGACGCCTTGCACGGGTTTTGGCTTTGCCTCATCATATATAGCGCTTTCCCGAGGATGGCGCGGAATGGCGCCATCCTCGGGAAAGTCAACTAAGCATCCACACGGGAACTGGGAGTTCCACGTGTGGATGCCATTTTTGACATGTGGGATCCAAACTTCCACATGTCAAAATGGCATCCACACGTGGAACTCCCAGTTCCCGTGTGGATGCCTTCCTGGCTTTCCCGAGGATGGCGCCATTCCGCGCCATCCTCGGGAAAGCGCTATACCTGTTTTCCTTCAGTTCCTACTCCACTGTGATAAGATCCTGACTGAGCGGGCGGCATATCATATACCTGTTTTCCTTCAGTCCCTACTCCACTATGATAAGATCCTTCAGTAAGAGGGAATGCCTGCTTTGATTGAGCTGGTGGCATATCATACTGCCTTGTTTCCTTCTCTGGATAATTAGTATGGATTTCCGGCTGTTTAGTATAAGTTTCTTGTTGTTTTGGATAATGGCTATAAGTTTCTTGCTCAGGATGCTTAATATAACCTTCTTGATACTCTGGATGCTGCTTATGGGCTTTCTCAGGATAAGCTTCTGACTGTTCTGGGTGCTTGGCTATGCTTTCTGGATGTTTAGAATGAGGTTCAAGCTCAGAGCGCTGCGTATGGGAAGGGACAACTTCTGGGGATTCTATTCCTATGTATTTAGGAGATGATTCTTCATGGACGTTTCGAGATTCAGTTCCAAGATGTGCAGCCGGCTTTGAGCGGGGGGGGAATTCTTCAGGATTTTCATATGCACTGCGCTTGGGAGAATGCTCATAAGGCCGCTCATGTTTTTTTGATTTTTTGACGATGGGGGCTTTTGGCTCACCTGGTCTTTCTTCTTGTCCTTCTATGTCATGCTTTTTTGATTTCTTGACTTTGGGAGCTTTTTGTTCACCTAGTCTTTCTTCTTCTCCTTCTAGGTCATGCTTTTTTGATTTTTTGACTTTGGGAGCTTTTGGTTCGCCTAGTCTTTCTTCTTCTCCTTCTAGGTCATGCTTTTTGGATTTCTTGACTATGGGAGCTTTTGGCTCGCCTATTCTTTCTTCATCTCCTTCTAGGCCATGCTTTTTGGATTTTTTTACCATAGGAGCATTTTGTTCTCCAAATCTTACTTCTTGTCTTTCTGGTCTGGATTTCCCTATACCACCTCCTATTGGAATCGCTCCAGCTTGCATTTCTTGTTCAGGCTTTTGATGCAAAATTTCTTCATGCTGTCCTTTTCCTAGTCCTTGAGGCCTGTTTATATCTTGTTGAGGAGTTTGATGCGAAGTTTCTTTATGCTGCCCTTCTTTTCCATGACTTTTTGATTTATTTAAATATCCAAGCCCTTCTCCAGTCCTTCCAGTAGACTCTTCTCCTTGGTCTATATCCATAATTAGTCAAACAGCCCCAGCTTTTTCATCTTTATAGAAGATTTCAACCCATTCATCAAAGATTTTATCACGAAAGACTTTTGATAAAGGTACATTAGCGCTTCCGATTTCTTGGTCTCCGGTGAGTGTTCGTTTATCCCATAAACTGATTAGAATATTTTCTTCTTGAGCTTCTGGGTTGAATTCAAATCTTTCGTCCCAGCGTGGGGTCATGCCTCCTTTTTCACTAACGTGAGAAATTTTTTCCTGATTCCCAATTCTGATTACGCAATAAGGGTCCATTGAAGTCAGACCTAAGTCTCGCTCGAGTTTTGCTCCAAGAGGGCGGATTCTTAGCGTTCCTTGATTATGTGATGCCATTTTTATTGTGTATTAAAGACCAACCATGTTGGAAACTAGTCTGATGGTCATTCCTTATTTGTTAATTTCGAATGATTTGATTAATTATTTTATAAAATAGTTTTGATGATAGGAAAAATTATTTAAACGGTGTAGGCTTATAGTCAAACAAATTTTATTAAAAATATTCTCTTTCTACCCTTTATTTATATATATCACAATAAATTAATTAATGAAACATGTTTTTTAAACTAAATATCAATAAAATATAATTAATAAAAGGGCTTTAAACTTAATAAACAATTTTGAATCAATTTTTAAAAAAATTTCGGCAAAATTATTTTTAATAATCCAGACCAAATCTGGCTTGAGCTATTTTCTTCTAGTTCACGATATTCTTCGCCCACTCAGAAACTCATAAATGGCAAGCAAAACAGGATTTGAAAATCAATCTTTGCCCACGTTTAGAATCGACGATCCTCCAAGAAGGCGTTACTCCTGTCCAAACGCCCCACAAAGAAGCCGAGTTAACTCTTCATTCAGTTCTTTCTCAACCTCTTCAGATCTACCTACTAAAGACGGCTGATTAAAAAAAAGGTCAAAAAATATATTCCACCGCTGACAATGGAGATATTTTGTCTTGCAGAACAAAAAGTTGTCTTATTTTCGTAAGAAAACCGACATCCAGCCTGCATATGTAATTAACTTTGACTTAGTTACTGTTGATGTGCAAGTTATAAAAGGGTGAAGTGGAAAAAAAATATATTGATGCTTTTCCGATTTTTTTTTTTCAGTTAAAAGTGACTGAAAAAATTTCTTCTGAGGATATATATATTTTTATATGCTGTTTTTGAGTAAGATGCACCATTATGTTTTTTCAACCCTCACTTTGTATTTTCTTACTTTTTTAGTTATTTTTTTTAATATTTAAACATTTTCTTGAAATTTTCAGTCACTTTTGACTGTAAAAAAGCAGAAAAATGTAGTATTTTTCACCTCACCAGTTATAAACCCAAATGATCCAAGCTCACTAATGATAGTGCCGCTGGGGTCTAAACGAATTTTAGAACTTAAAGCAAAAACTTCTCAAGAACTAGCAGACTGAGCTTTAGCCTTGCATTTTCATATAAGTGTGTCAGATGGTAGGACTAAAGATTTAGTGACACTTAACCAAAAAAAGGAATTTTGAAAATTTTGATATACAGTTTTTAATGAATTTAGGATAAAAAATAATTAAAAAATATAACAAATAATGAAGGAAAATTTGATAGAATTTCAGATTACCAGTTCAGACAATCAGCTTCTACCGGCGATATTTTGCTTTTTAGAAGCAAAAATATAGCTGCGAAAATACAAAGAAGCTTGACTCGAAGCAAATTTGACCATGTCGCTATGCTTTTGTGCTATTCTTCAGGCAAGATTGGATTACTAGAAGCTACTGGGCTGGATGGGGTTAGCATAGTGTTTTGAGACGATTTTTTAATGTATAATTGGAATTTGTTGTATACAAGAATTGTATATAGAAAACTAAATATCGAAAGATCGCAAAAGGTGCTGGACATTTTGAGTGATTTCGTTGACAAAGTTAAAGGAAAAGAATATAAAATAACAGCACAGAAATTATTCAGAAAACGAGAAAATTTAAAGCCGGGATATGAAAAAAATTTCTTTTGCTCTGAATTGATTGCGTCTGCTTATAAATCATTGGGGTTGCTTCCTGATAACGTACCTTCATCTCATTATTGGCCTGGACATTTTGCAAATGAAAATAAAATTGAACTAGTCGGAGCGTCACTTAGTCCAGAGTTGCTTATTGATATGGAATTATAATAAATTTATTGCTATTATATTTTTTAAATAATTTATGTCTTGGTAATTAAGATTTAAACATATATGATTGAAGGAAAAATTAAAACAATTCTAATTTATGTAAATTGTAAATAAAATTTGACGATTAATGCTGCTTAATTTTAAATTTATTTTTTAATAAGTTAAAGCTAATTTATTAATTTAATGATTTTGTGAAGTAGTTTTTTTGTGAATGCAAGCCTATTCTGTGAATAAATCAAAAAGCAGAGTTAAGAATTTGAGATATGGAATAAGCTTTAGACATCTTAATTGGCAAAATAGCTTATAGCTTCAAAAAACTCTTATATTCAGCCTGAGTAAAATAATACTTTCTTCAATGGTTAAACTATACAAAGAGAAGATTAGGTGTTTGCTGCAAGGAAAATAAAGGTGAGATATTCATTTCATAAATAAGTCCAGTTAACTGCTTTTAAGGAATGCAATAATCTTCCAAAATCAAAATTTCATTAATATCATTATTTAATCTTAAGTCCATAAAGCTGCTTATCTTTATCTGACTGAACTATTTCTTTAAGATTCGAGTTCATAGATATTTAAGCTATTTCTTTTAGCAACAAATAAAAATTTAGCTACTTAAATTATTTTCTGTAGGAATAATAAATTCAAAATTTCTTTGTCGTAATGCGTGATACTTATTTAATTTCTGTTTTTTTCAGATATAAGAACGTATGAAATTAGCCATAGAGATCATTGCGACTCCTCACCTAATTTCTCATAAAATATGAAAATTTAAATATTAGGCCATATTTACTATTACTGAATAAGCTTCCAAAAAACTCTGTAAAATAAGAGTTGTGACGATTTTCATTGAAACCTACCTCCTAGAAATATTTTCGCATTATAATTTTTAAACATAATATAATTCCTCTTTACTGGCCAAAAATCGAACTTTATTTCACTAATTCGATTTTACCATGATAATTCCTCTTTGCAGTATGAAGCCATCGGTTAAAGCGCAAAACTTAGTCATGGGTTAACTAAATAATTTTAGAATTAAATTATACATTTCAAACAAATTAATTCCCATACAAGAAGGAATAAGAAGCAGATAAAGAACTCCTTCCAGCAGATGATAAGCTGGATCTGCTGCTTCTTGTAAAACTTTCTATCATTCTTTGTCTATATAATGGGTTGGAATTAATATCAAGCAAAGGTGCATTTTTAGCTTTTTCTATTCACATTTTCTTTTTGATTTCTTGTCTTTCGTTATCACGAGGCGAAATTTGCATATGAACATCCATGATGTAAGGCAGAATTTTTTCTTTGCCTTTGCAACAGCATGAACCCATTTTTGATTTTATTTGTAATCCAATCAAACATGTATTAAGGGTAGCTAGTGTTTTATAGGAATCTGGCAATCTTGATACATGAATTTGATTATGTAGTATTTATGATTGCTCAACAAAATATGGTTCTTCTAATTCTTTAAATTTCTGCTAATTTTGAGGTATTTTTATTCATTTTTTATTAATAATGCTTAAAAATAGTTTTTTAGCTTAATGTAGACTTGGCACTAATATACATATCAAATTTCCATTTATTTCAATCCATTATTCAATAATTTTATTTTCCATTAATACCAATTTTTAGAACGATTTCACAGCAATTCTTAATCAATGCTTCTTTGAATTACCAATTAACGCCTTTTAATTTTCCAATTTTCTTTAATTGATAATTTAATTATTCATAATTAATATTTATCAATGCTTATTATGCAATCTAAATTTTTTTGTTAGAAATCTGATTGAAATAAAATGAATACTAATCTTAATTATCGCATTAATCTCGCTCTTAAATTTTGCATAATTAATCTTCATCATTCATTTTCGCTAAAGGTCTATTTCAAACTAAACTACTCATTATAATATAAATATTTCCTTTTTCATAATGGCCTTCTTAGAAGACGCCAATTGAAGATGAAGTGCGAGCACATAGCAGTTGCCGGTCTGAGCCAAAACTTGCAATATTATGTAGTTCTTGGTTTCTTAAAGCCCGCTTTGTGTATAACTCACTGGAATTTATATTAAGACGAGGCGCTTTTTCAGCTTTTTTCTTTCATAATTTTCTTTTATTTTCTTTTAGACTGTTCTCACTCCCCCCCTCCTTTTAATTGAAAATAAAAGTTGGTTATTTACTTTTTTGGGTAATTTAACCTATATACATTAAAATTTTTGTGTGAACCAACCCAAACTATTCAGTGGCCAAATGGAAGGAAGTTTTTTGCGTTCGGTAGGAGTATCCAGCTGATTTGGTGGAGCGTAATGCCGGATTTGGGATGGCTGTAGTTCATGTCCAGATCAAGTTTTTACCTTGGGAGATGGAGTTCGAAGTTGGAAAAGCGTCCCCCAGCAATATCAGTGAGGTTGATCCTGGTCGATTGGGCGTTTTCCAGCGCAATGGCAAGCGTCCTGGACTACGAATTTTCTTCTTGCCCTACAGGTAACCAGAAAATTTTGCTTTTAGAATTTTCTAGAAGTCAAACCCCGTATGCATATGGCATGGCGACCCATTTCCCGACAATCAGGAGCACATGCGGGCTCATATCTGGTAGGAGCAAGACTTTGAAAGTCATGAGACGAATCTCGACGAAGCAGAAAATGCAACGCTATGGAAGGGAATAAGGTCCTGATTGAGAACTTTTCTAGTATCTAAATAAGTGTAAGTGTACGGTTATTTTACTCCCTTTAAATTGGAACAATTTTTTTAAATAGAAAATTGTTATCAATAAATATTCTAAATTTTTATAGTTTTGACCTACTTTAATAGATAAAATACAAGTAGAATATCATTTAAACAGTTTTTCCACTAAATTGATTTAGTTGTTTCATTTAATTTTTCATAGAAATCAAAGCATTGTGCTCAATTTATATATCTTTGAAGTGAAAATAGTAATTTTTATAAATCAATTTTAGCTAAATTTAATGGAAAAAGTGCAAGAAGAATTCTAATTAGCCAATTTATAAATTTAATCGATTAATTTTTTATAAAATAAATTATAATTCAATGTATTGTGCTTTTTAGGATTTAAAAAAAAATATTTATCGAGAAATTTTAAAAATAATTTTTTTTAAATTATAACAGTTTTTTTTTCCCAATTACAGGGAAGAGTCAGGAGAGAGCAATCCAGTGCTATATTTCATATTCGGAACAGCCTTAACTTTATTAGCACAAATGCAGGAACCCATGATTTGATTTATAGCTCTTTACTAATAAGTAATTCGATTAAATGGATATGTTAGGCATTTTCTAGAAAAGAAAAAAAAGAAGCTGAGGCCTTTATGAAGTTGGAATCAGTAAATTTACGAGGAAAGGTTTCGAAAAACTATAGCAGCCATCACATAGAGTTCATCGTGGATATTTTTTTATTTTTAATTTTTTACTCAATATATGAATATTTATACTTGAAAGTGAAATAATTTTATGATTAAGAAGTATAAATTTGAGAAAAAACTAACTCCACAACTCTGTGAGTGAACAAAAAACTTTTCTTCGCTCACGGAGGGGGTTAATATATAAATTTTATAGAAAAAAAAATTTTTCGGAATTCAAAAAAGTCTCACTTTCAAATATTAATTTAATTTGTGTAAATTTTTGTTTTAAAACGCAATTTAGAATTAACTCGAGATTCCATGATACTAGTTTATCACTTATATATCAAAATTTTTTTCTCATAAAAATTATTTTTAAAAAAATTTTTGCTGGGTTCTTGGGCAAAAAATATGGATTTTTCTAATAATTTTGTTCGCTCACGGAGGTGGGGAGTAAGAATTAATTGTATAGATAGCATGATTTAGATTTTAATCTTATCTTTTTAAAAAGGTTACATATTTGAAATAAAATCCATTAATAAGGGTCAATATTTTACCAAATAGATATGCATCTCATAAATTAGAAATTTTTTAAAACTAATCGAGGAAAACAATAATATAAATATATGAGATAAACAGAGCTCAGATTGATTTTTCCAAAATTTTTTGAGCATTGTGACATATTTATTATAAAATTTATTATTTAATTTAAATAATAGAGGCCTAAATAAAATATTGACTATAATATTCACGTTTGAAGCAAAACAAATAAGCTTGAAAAATTATCCGAGCTTAGTTTTTCAGTTAAATTATTGAGTATACTTTCATTTTTTAGCATAAAATTATCCACTTTCCAATTTGATTTTCAAAGTCAAGCGAATAAAATTGCATTGTTCGGACATAGGATGTATTGGCGAAAAATTCTGCCATTTCAAAGAAATATTTTGCATATCTTAAGGGATTATGGAAATAATTAGCATTTGAGCTTAATCTGAAATCAGAGTAATTTAAATTATTAGAAAACGTATTTAAAAAGCATTTAAAATTTTATCTTAATTTTAATATAAAATTTGGCTTAATCTTCCAGGAGTAGATTGTCCATAATTCAAAGGAGAACAGATTTCCGTCGAACTGCTTTGAGTTTGTGGCCTCTCCTGAATCCTCTGCTTTCTTTTCAAAAGCAAAGAATTTTCACCAATTTTTAATAGAGGTGCCTTTTCGGCTTTGGAGTTCCAGAATCGAGTAACTTCTTTTATTTTCAGTTTCTCATAGTCAGAAAGGGTTTTTTCTGTATGAATTTCTATTATACATGTGTTTCTTCGAGTTGTGTTGATGCATGAGCCCATTTTATTACCACAAATTTTAGTAAACTTACATGAAATTAACTATTTGAGAATATTCGAAAGAAAAGAAATTTTAAACCGAAAAGTTTTTGTAATCAAATTATTCAATTATAAATAAATAATAATTATTAAGCTAACTAATTAGTGCAAGAGCTCGTTGCTAATCTACTTTTATTTAAATTATACAAATTGCTTAAATAAGAGCTTCGATCTTGGCCGCTGTACCTTTAAACGTTGAATCTAAGTAATATATTATAAATAGCCGTCAACTTGACTTGAACTCTGCTAAAATTTTTAAAATTGGCTACTTTCTCCAATTAAATTGGAACAAATATTGTAATTTTTGATTTTGGGTTAATTAACCCTCTTTAAATTAAAAATAAATTTCATAAGTGAAAATGATAATTTTTATGAATAGTTTTGGTATGCACTATTTCTCACCAATCACAAAAATTTATATCTTATCCTACTTTAAACGGTGAGTGAAGCAGAAACTATTTAAAAAAGAGCTATTTAAATAAGTTAATTTTTATATAATTTTTCAAATTAACCCCTTAAAATTTAAACAGATTTTTTAATTTCAAATTAAGAGGAAAGTAAATATGCTGTTTACTGAACACGATCAGGAGAATCGAATGCTCAATAAGATGAAAATTTAAGCACGAGCAGTTAATCCGAATAAAAATAATAAGCTTAATCAAAAAAGCCGATAAATTAGCTCTATTGCAGCGGTTACAAAATTGGCGATTTTGTTATTGCTGTTGTGTCTTTACTAGACTTCCATATTCAAATGAAAAATGGTCTATCTCAATTTTGACTTCAAAAAGAAATTACTCACTCCCCCCAATCCTTGATCGAACGATTCACTGTAAAAATCCTTAAAAAATGGTAAAATTGATCCTTAATCGAACGATTTTCATATAATGCAAATTTTTATATATATAAAAATATATTATTTATCAAAAGCTTGGGAAGATGTGCCTAATGAAGTTGCTGTCAGAGTCTTTTAGATAACAGGAAACTACGGAATAACCATTCGAAGTGCTTTAGTCATCAACATGGGCTTAAAAACTCAACAATCTAAAAAATAGAGATTTTTTTAAAACTTAAATTTTTAATTCAATAGGAACAAATTAAATTTATACAGTTTAAAGGGGTAAACAAAAAATAAAAATATTAAAAATTGGTATTCTTATGAAATTAATTCAAATTTTTGCTTTAGAATAATTTTTAAATACTCTTAGCTCTCTTAATTCAGTTTATTAAAAAAATAATTTTTTTTATTATATATAAAATTTTTTCCTAAAAAATTTGTTTTAACCCCCATCTTTGATCGAACGATGGCGAGCCGTTCGATCAAGGATGGGAGAGGAGTCAGGAAATATTTTATTACATAAGCCGCTTGGAAGAGCTTCATAATTTTAATTAAAATAGGAAAAAGATTCTAAATAAGTTAGCCAATTAAAAATATACTTCAAAATTATTCTGTGTATTGAGGCCAATTATAATTTTAAATTGTATATAAGCTGTGCTAATGAATATGATTAAGCATCGCCATACAAGGAAGATTAAAATAGTGATCTGCCTTATATTAAAAATTTTTGAAAATTTATTAAATAGAGTATAAAATTTTGTTTTTTCTTTTTAAGCTTGCAACTTTAAAAGTAAGTATTTTATTTATTGCAAAATGAATTAAGGATTGAAAGAAATCCATAAAAAGATAAAATTCATTTTCTGCTCAAAATAAAAAACACATAATTTCTGACTTATAATTGATTTAAATTTTGCCTGTTTTGGTCAATTCTTATCACCCACTTGAGCTTCTGTTCTTGCTTACTTCCCCCATCATGAGTGAACAAAAACTTTTAATCGCTCACAGAGGGTTTTTTTTTTTTTTAAATTTTATAAAAAATTTTTTTTTTCGAAATTTTAAAAAAATTCCACTTCTCGAAAATTGGAAGCCAAAATATTAATTTAATTTGTAAAATTTATGCTTTAAAAACGCAATTTGTTTAAATTAAACAGAGTTAGCTTGAGATTTCATGATAATAGTTTTCACTTATATATCAAATTTTTGTTCGCTCACAGAGGGTGGGTTTTTGGGCAAAATATAAGGATTTTTCTAATGGTTTTGTTCACTCACGGAGGGGGGGAATTAGTATTTTCTGTCCATCACCTATTGCATGTCGCTTGGTCTTAATCTGAAAGGTCTTTGGCTTCAGGATTCGGATTTTACGGCTGCCTTCTAGCTCGAGTATCTAAGTTAAAAGTAATTTTCTGACTAACTCTTGGCAAAGTGGAAATTTGAGGCACAGAATAATCCTGATATCGCCCAGAGCAATGCTCTAAAAGTCAAGAAAGCATCTAGATAATACTGGAGTCTCCATTTCTATCTAATTCGAAACTTAACATTTAAAATTCAACTCTGAGCGTGAATTAAGGATGGGCTTTGAACATTACCACGATGCTTAACTAGCATTTCTGTAATTTTTGGATGCATTTAAATATGCTTAATTACATAAAATATAAATAAATCTTACTTTTACAGCTATCCTATAATTCATATAGTAAATAGAGAATAGCTACCCATAAGAATGTTTTAATTTATTGAGAATAGGTAAATCAATTCATTAAATTCAAATTAGGAACAATGATATTATTTTAGGCATGATTAAATTATATCAAATAATATAATTCATCAAAATAGAACAAGACCTATTTTCTTTATAGTTAGCTATTAAAATATTGGTGCCGGAATAATAATTAATTTAACATAAATTGTCATTTTAATTAAAGGATAAAATTCTTATATGAAGAGACCAGAACTAACTTAATGATAAGGAGCATTTTTGAGTAATTATCAGAATCCTTTCAAATAAACTAAATTTTAAGTATTTATCGCGTTTTCAATACTTTTTAATGCACAAAGCTAGTTTTTTATGATATATTTTCATGCTAAAAATTCTTCCAAAATACTAACTCCCCCCTCCTTGAGTGAACAAAAGCCATTAGAAAAATCCCTATTTTTTGCCCCAAAACCCACCCTCCGTGAGTGAACAAAAATTTTTTATAATGAAATCTCGAGCTAATTCTGTTTTATTTTAAACAAATTGCATTTTAAAACATAAAATTTTATAAATTAAATTAATATTTGCTTTCCAATTTTTGCAAATTAGGATTTTTTTTCAAATTTCTAAAACAAATTTTTCTATAAAATTTATATTTAAATATTTTTATTAACTCCGTGAGTGATTAAAATTGTTTTGTTCATTCACGGAGGGGTGAGTAAGAAGAGAAATATAAGTTGATCTGATTATCTTTTAAAATCAATTATTTTCTTTAAACTAATAAGAGGGTTAAGGGTACTAATATTAATATTTTAAACATATCTAGCAGCCAAAACAGTGTTTTCAGGCAGATAGTTTTGCGTAGCTTCAGCTGCCTATCAAAATGTCTACAAAATATTCCATCTCAGCCTTATTTATAAAAAATTATGTTTCTATGCTATCATTGCTAACATTGCAAAGAATTTTTATTTAGCTGCACTATTTGTCATAACTTATACTTTTGGTGCGCATTTATAGTATCTAAGGCTTGTCATTTACAAAAATTTGAAGGTTTAACTCATCTTATTTAATATGTAAGCCAATTTTAAGTTCACAAATCCAGGCATTAAGCCTAGTTCTTAAATTTAAGCCTCTGATTACTAATCAGCATTAAATTGAATGAAAAACTTTTAATAAGCTCACAATATAGAATAATTTTGATTTCCTTCTAATTCAAAATAATTTATTTTATGAGTTTCTATGAAAAATGCATGCTTTAATTTTTATATGATTAAGTATTGGCTTTTTATCAAATTTGTATATAATTGGCATATATTCTTTTTAATTTCAAGCCAAAATAAAACAATTTTTTGGTTTAGGTTATTAAATTAGGAATTCTAAATCAGCTCAGACTTAGAGAGGGATCATTGCCCAGTGCTCATTTTGGAAATTCTATATCAAGACTGCCGCTTGATGTATAACTGATTCGCTTCAATATTAAGTTGAGGAGCATTTCTTGCTTTAGATAATCAAAAAAGCCTTCTTTGGTTTTTATTCTGGCTTCGAAAGCTTATGGTCAGTTTCTCGATTTTATTTTCTTGATTAGATAATGATTTAGCCTTGGTAATGCCGCAGCACAAGCCCATAATTTTTCTTTAAAATAGAATTATTGGTTTATCTATATTAATAAATGCGATAAAATATTAAATAAACCATGATAATTAAGCTATTTATTTTTATAAATGATAATGCAATCTTAAAATCAATTAATAAATTTTCCATATCCATAAAAACTCTGAAAAAACATTTTAAGACAATAAAAAAATTCAAAGTAGTATTATAAATTGCGTGATTTTTTGTGCTTAGGTTTATAGGGGCTACAAAATTTATATCAAATAAAAAAAATTGAAATACCGGATTATGAGTAATTAATAAAAAAGTAGCACAGCATTTAAATATTGATAAAGATAAAATTTTTATGGAAATTTTCGATTTTTAAGCAATAATAAGAGTTTAATCCTAGTTTAGAGTGCTAGCTCATTATGAGAGTTAAAAACTATAGCTCATTGCTTTTTTATATGGAAAATATAAGTATGACTATTGGAGAATAATTTTTTATTTGTTTCTTATCGATCTAAATATTTGCAAATTTTATATAGTCGTATTATTATAATAGCTTATAGGGGCATTTAGATCGATATAAGGCATGCATGGGTCTTTCATATATAAATTTATTTAAACTGCATGCTTATAAGGAATTAGAATTAAAATGAATTGAATGCTCCCTTTAATATTTAGTATATTAAATTAAGCAAACTTATAAAAATTGAAAACTTATCTTAAATTACTAAAAATCATCTTTAATAATTTAATTATAACACTCTGTTAATCCAAATTTATAAGATTACTTTTTTCCTAAAATTAAGTATAAAACTATAAAAAATGATTTTATCAGCTAGCAAAGCTTAATTGATAAATTAAGATAAACAATTTTACTCCCCATAATGCAACTTCTGTATTTAAAGCTATTTTCTATTTTCTCTGTCTAAAATTCTACTTCTGCTGCCAAATAAAGCTGGAAATAATTGATATCTCAGATATTTCTAAAAGCATAACCCATTTCTCAAAAATTTTCACCTGTGTAAGCAGGAATATAAGTCCTGCATTATTCTAATTCTCATAATTAAAAAACAATAATGTCCGATCTCTAGATCATGAGTGCATACTTTTATCTCATGGCAATATTGATCTTAAAAATTATTTTGTATATGCATAATTTGCAATACAAATTTTGAAGTATTTTCTATGGCATTTCAATGTGATGAAATTTTCTTCTAATAAAGAAAATGTAACAGCCATTTTTACTGAATTTTTAATCAGTGCTAATACCTTTTAAATATTACAAGATGAAATATACCTTGATTTAAACTGATAAGCTGCTACAAAACTTTTTATTGCTGTTGCTTTGAGCATTCAGCTTTTCTATTTTAAAAGACTCTTAAAACTCCCAATAAATCGATATCATAATAAAAGAGAAAATGGAGCAGAATAAATAGTTGTGGAACTGAGAATTATTGTTTTTCATTTTGTTCATAAGCTGGATTTAATCTATTCAGTATAATAATTCATTCTCAAATTAACTGGTTTTTAAAATAATCTACTTTAGGATTTTTTTTAATTGTCCACATATATGGTACCATTTCTCAATTAGGCATGCAAATTAATTCTAGAAGTTTTCTCTAGCATCCGAAATAGGATTTCTAATTGTAGGCTGTTATAAATTTAATCCTTAATAAAGCAAAGTTTATCCAAGTCAATCGTAAAAAAAATAATTATTTAATATCGATTTCAAACGTAAAAAAATACTTTCCTTTATTTTAAACATCAAATTTATCAAGTGGACTTTACTGGAATTTTTTACTCTTAATGAACAGTTAAGCTGCCACTTGATCCTGTTTTATCTATCTGCATACTGGTATCAACTGTTATAACATGATGATTTAAGCCTCTTTTTGTATACAATGTGCTGGACTCTATGTTCAACACAGGGGCTCTCTCTGCTTTCATCCTCCAAATGATATTCTTTTGGTTTTTTAAGTCTTTTTCAGCAAATGATATCAGTCTATGTTTATTCCGAAGTTTTTGAGACATTTTGCCATTGCAAGTACAAACGCATACACCCATTTTTAATTTATAACTAATTATTATGTAAGTATTGTAAGTAAATGAAATAAATGGGATTCCAATGCAAAAAAACAATTAAAAGCCCAAGGATGTTTTGACAATAGTAAGCAGAAATACTAATAATGATTAAATCCTATTATTATCATTCAGGCTTTATTATAGTATATTTATGATATCTTATACTGCGTTTTTGCCAACAAGTCTTATTAAAAATTACCAAAAAAATACTTACTCTCCTAAGTGTGAAAATAAAAAACCTGTTATATAAAAATCTTTAAAATAATAATTAGTATAATGAAATCTCTAGCTAATTTGTTAAATTTTAAGGGATTCAAAAAACATTATTTTAATTTTATATATAATTTTTAAAAACATAATGCAGAAGGTTTTTTACCAAAAAAATAGGCATCTTTACAATAGTTGTCGCTTATGGATATGGGAGTCAGCATTTCAAAATTCAGTCTATTTCTTGAAAGCACTATATAAAATTTAAATTAATCTCTATATATAAAGGGCTAGTTATACTAAAAACTTATATGGATCGAAATGATAAGAAAAGAAAGGATAAAAATTATTTAATATTTTTTAATTTAAACCGCTTTGAAATTCATTGATTTCATTTGCAGTGCAAGTTGAGGGCGAGATTCCACTTGTTAATGGTTCATTTGTAACATTTACAATTTCATCTTTTTCTTTAAGTTCAATCAAATTCAATATATCTATTTCAGATGCTTTTCTTCGGATTCTTTTGTTGTATAGATTACTGTTTTCTATTCTTAGCCGCGGAACATACATCAATTTTTTGATGTTAACAAGGTAATTTTGAGCAAATAATTCTCTTTGCATTTCAAGGGTCGTATTTAGCTTTTGGGACGGAATACTTTCAGAAACTGGGGTTTTGTAATTATTGTGATGATGATTGATCCCGAAGCACGATCCCATAATTTAAATTTATCTCGAGGTGTATCATCACAAAGATGAAACGATGAAAAATGGAATTATATTTTGAGAGACAAATTTTACAAAAAATTATTATCTTTTACACAGTTTTTATGGGTTTTAAGGCTCAAGTTAATTAAATCACCAAGTTTTTAGGAAATTTTATAAAAAGATTATAATGGGAATGATAAAGTTCTTGAAGCAGACTATAAGCTGCATGAAAAATTGTTTGAGAGTAAGAGAATAATGAATGAAAAGCTAAATAATTAGGCTTTCTAAGCAAATAGAACTTAATTTTATGATTAATTAATTAGGTGTTCTTTATAGAAATATATATACAATAGGAGTAGGAATAAGAAATGCTAATTATCCATTAAAAAAGCTCGAGCAGGCAATAAAAAGAATTATGATTATATAAGCTATATAAAAATTGCAAAAAGATTGAGAAATATCTAAATAAAAATCAGACTTTTTTTAAAATAGTGCCTGAATTTTTAGATTTTATAAGGAAAAAATTTTAATCATAATGGATTATGCTGGCCTCAAATAAAATTGCCCTATATAAATTCACCATTTTGACTTAATCATTTTGCAAATGGCAAAACCTATAATAATTTTCGAAAAATAATCAAATCAAGCCAAAATAGAAGCCATTTAATCAAATAATAAGTATTAGATTATAAAAAGCCGAAAATACAAACCTTATAAAAATTATAATTTTATTTCGCTGAATTTTTAAATGAGATTTATAAATTATTTTAGATTTTCTAATATCATAATAAGTTTTCGAAGTAAACTGGCCACGTAACTTTTTTTTTGGAAGACCCAGATACAAATTCAAAAAAATGGCCATGCTTGGAGCTGATTTAAGTCTAGAATCCTTAAGGATAAATGAAATACCAATTATAATAAAATAGCAAACAATAATAGATAATTTTAATTATCCAAAAAATAGTTGATTAATTATGATGAACAGTTGATCTGTTATTAAAGAAGCAATTAAATTTACATACTTTTAAACTGGACTTGCAAGCGTAGCTGACTGGTCACCTGAGGAAGAGAATCCATCCATTGTAGGAAGTGATTTTTGACTTACAAATTGGCATCTCTCTAGTCGATGAATAAATAAAGGATTTATTCTTATATTCAGCTGAGGAGCTACCTTAGCCTTATCTTTCCACAATTTCCTCCTCATTTGGGCTATATTTTCTTGATCAGCATCCTTATGTCCTTGAGGACACGTAGATGAGACTTTGAAAGTGCCACAGCAAGATCCCATTTTAGTAATTTATAAGAAATTTGCAGCATTAAAAATATCGCCACTATTAATAAAAATAGATTAATATGCCTTAAAAGTTTAACTGCTTTTTTATATAATTATAAAAGGCGAAAATAATAAATCAATATCTTTATAAGTCATATGATGTCACATTTTTGTTTTCATAAGTCCATTTTGTGTCAGCAAAACCAGTAGCCACACACAAAAAACTTTGAGATTTTCTAATTTTGATTATTGAATTGGTAAAAATATATAAAATAAATAATAAATTCGAGATTTATTTATTTTCTTCTGAATATTTATGTTTGCTCAAATTTATAATAGACTCACTCTTAATTAAGATGAGATAAAAGAGCTCATTTAATTCTTTTTTCAAAATGTAGTGTTATGATGTAGAAATCCTTTGTGAAACTATTTTAATTGCTAATTTTATTGAATTTAACCTCTTTTTTAAGTAAATTTATACTAATTTACTATGGATAGAACAATTTATAAAATTTTGGCGGTAGAGCTAAAGCTCTTTCTGACTTAAATTTTCACCTTTCGAGCTATTTATGAGAAAACTGCATATAGTAACACTAACCTAAATTATGATAGAAGACGTAAACATTTATACGTACTCCCCCTCTTAAATTGATACAAAATATCTGTAAAATTTCCATTTTTTGGGCTTCTAAATTGGAGCGCTTTTTTCCAATATGCAAATTTTTTAGGTAAAATACTAATTTTATAAAATTAATTTAGACCTATTTAATGAGAAAATGGCATTGGAATATAATTTAAACAGTTTATGCATTGAATCGAGTAAATTTTTAGATTATATCCATATAAAAATCAATAATATTAAAAATATTGTGCTCAATTTATTTTTTAATTTTAAAAGTGTAAAAAAATCAGCCCCTTAAGGGGAAGTTAACTTTTTACAAATTAATTAACTTGAAATTGATAGTGTACTGTCTATAGTAGAATTTGCATCATTTTGATACAAATTCTGCTTTTTAATCTGCGATTTAGCCACTCTTTTTTTATATAACTTGCTAGCGTTTATATTCAGCATTGGCGCACAAGCAGCTTTTGTTTCGTAAATTTTCCTTTTTTGTATTTGAATTCGTGTTTCAGCATCTATAAATAGGCCTGTCTTGAATTTATCCTTTCTTCGAATTGGAATATCAATATTTTTGAAATCTCTTCCACAGCATGAGCCCATAATAATTTTTAATAAAAATCTCCAAGTTTATAAAGAAATCATAAAATGAATATGGCAGAAACTCAAACTTAGTGGCTGATTTTTTTATGCAAAATTACAAAAAATAATTCGAATTTAGGTTAAAAATTTTTAATTTTTTTGCAATTTGATACCTTATTCGCTTTAATTTTTATATTTTAAATTTTCATATAAAATGGATTACTGAATTTGAAGATCTTTGGAGAATTGTGATAATTCTTTATATTTAAATTTGCCTCATTAGTTATAATCTTTAGACATGCTTTATCTAATGATTGAATTCAATCTATGTATCAAAATAAGAAAAATAAATATTAGTGGCTGATTTTTTATTTTTTTCATAAAGTGGTAATTCAAAAGTTAGATTAAGATTTTTGAGATCATTGATGATGCTTTATCACTGATCATGCTTTTAAAGCTAAAACTTCATATATAAATTTAAATTTTAATGGTAAATTAAATTAAGACTGATGATACACTAGACTTCGTTGAATAAACTTTATCAAACTCTATGTCTCTTGTGTTTTGTTTGCACATTAGCCTTATTGTTGCCCTAGATTTATAAAGACTGCTATCTTGGATATGCAGCTTAGGAGCATTTTGAGCTTTCTTTTTATAAATTTTTGTTTTTTGCTTAAACAAAGTTTGGTTATTAAGTAAAATTGTTATCTTTACTTGTTTGTACTCTTTCTTATGCTGTAAAGCTTGAGGATTCTTCTTATTGATAGCTATAAAATTGCAAGCGCCCATAAAAGAAAATTTTATCAATTCTAGAGTTTTATGGAAAAATGAAAAATTATGGCCTTTATGTAATATGGCTAAGGTATATCTTTTGGAACAATTAAGATTTTCATTTTTAATTTAGATCTCTACTTTTGTTAAATGGTGCTAAAGTTTAGATCTATATTCCTGGTTTTAAATAAACTTCTAAAATTGTTTTAATTTCCTAGAAATTATCGAATAAGTCCATGGAAAGGAAGAGTAAATATTATCTTAGTTTTATAATTTCTGATTGAAAGATTTATTTTTTAAAGCATTCTGTTATCAAAATGATAAACTATTATTTAAAAATATTTATTTTGTTTCATTATTAAATAAATATGGCTTTGAAGTATAAAATAATAAATTGATATTAAATTATTTGATTAGAATAGTTATGGTAAAAAAGCGTCTTTATTGCCGTTAGCTGTTTTTGGTTAACTCATGCTATAGCAACTTGATAATCTCTTACTTATATCTTCAGATTTTTTAATGAAGGCTGTTTTATTAGCTTGGATTCGTTTATTTATTGATGAGCAATTCTTTTCAAAATGATCCTTTAAATAGTGTACAATAAATGTAGTTTTATTTTAGCAGCTAGCTTATTATGATAAATTAAGAGGCTGTTAATAATTGCTCTGAATTATTAATTATTATAGCCTAATGCATAGAAGCCTTCATTATAATATTAATTATTTAAAATCATACTTGCATTGCTATAAATTACGTTCTTAAGATTTTCATCTAATTCAGAGAGTTTAATCAATATTTCTTTACGAATTTCACGTATCTCTTGTGTTGATGTGTTGGGGTATAAAACATTAATGAATCTTTTCAGCACAAAATAATCGTCTTTTTCTATAGCTTTGATTAGTAAATTTATTGGTATGTTTTCAATCAAAAAACTTATTGATTCAATATTTCGTGCATTTACACCAGCTTCGTAAAAAGAGTCAATGTATTTTTCAATAAATTTAAGAGTTTCGACTTTGGGATATCTTTTCATAATCCCTTCAAGAAATTCGACGTTTCCACCGCATAATGCTCAGCGAATTTTGCATGCAATATTAGATTCGGAGTCTCGGCGCATCATCTTTAATTTTTGAATCTGATAATTTGGATTTTTTCATTTTATTTATTATAAGCTAAATAAAAACTTGATAATAAATGGTGCTTCTTTAATACAACAAAAATATATGAAATTTATGTTTTCATTCTTTAATAAAAGTGCCAAGAATTTTTTAAATACTGCTGGAGATGGCGAAAAATAAAGCAATTTAGCATTTATCAGTTTCCTTTTATATGATATTAAAAATAACTTATGCTTATAAAAAAATTTAGGGAATTTTTTTAGCGATGATGCCTTCTTGATTGAATTTCAAATTTTTCGAGCGAATTAACTAGTGGTTTGAGTTAGTTTAACTTTGCGTGATGTATGAAAGAAGAGTCACGGACCGGGCTCGATTGAGGTGGCACATCTGCTAAAAATTAGCATAGACGCCTAGCATTTAAAATGAAAACTGAAATCTCTTTCAACCAAAATGGAAAAAGTCACTTAAGTACTAGTTTAAATAGAGAAATTGTGATCTATCGACCTCTCGATTTTAATAGTCTTAAACAGAGGCAAAGCATGACTTATCACTTTTATAAGCAAAAAACTTATATATTTATTTTGTTTCAGTATTAAATCTAATAAATATAGCTTGAAGTAGAAAATAATAAAATTTATCCTTTGGATTGCCAGTTGGTGTTGTATTCCTTGCTGTGATCGCTAGATAGGCAAGTGAAAAATTGCTATAAGCCATTAGATCCATCATTTTAATTATAATTAATATTAAAAATTAATATTTTAATATTTTTATTTATGAAGTTTTAACAGCTATAAAAGTTATAAGTATTTAAATATTAATTACGTTAGCTAATGATTACAAAGCTAGATAATAATAAAATTAGTAACTGTGTTTAGAATGAGATCCGAGTTAATAGGCTTGGCTATGTAAAATTTCATCCCAGATGAATAGCATTTAATCACATTTTCATCTGACAGATTTGCAGTAATCCCAACAATATTCGGCATCGAGCTTATTTTTCTATCTTGATACAGATTTTTTATTTTTTTCGAAACTTCCCACCCATCTAGGCTTGGCATAACGCAGTCCATTATTACTAATTTCACCGGCTTTTTTCTATCATCTTGCCACAATATTTGTTTTATTGCTTGTTTTCCGCTTAAAGCTTCAATATATGGAACATTTATTTTCCTTAAAAATGATGCAATAACTTCTCTGCTGAAATCACTATCATCAACAATAAGGACTTGAGGGTGGGAGCTTTTATTATATATTTTCTGTGGAAAAGAGTTAATAGAATCAGCTTCACACACTGAATTTTCAAAACTTTGGTCAAGAGAATTGAAAAAAGAGCACCCCTCAAATAAATGCAAGGTAAAATAGAAAGCAGAGCCTTGAAAAAGTGACGATGAAATATGAACTCCAGATCCTCCTAGCTTTTGGACGAGTATTTTTGAAATATGCAAGCCAAGCTCTCCCGACTGTGAATAATTGCAGCAATAACCTATTGATGGCGAATTCAGCTGTTTAAGCCTTTCTTTTGGTATACCAATTCCTGTATCTGAAACCATAATTTTAAGCCCATTATTTTTATTCAATAAAGCACACAGTTCAATTTGTCCTCTGTTGGTAAATCTAAATAAAAATTACTTCAAAGCATTGCTCAAAAGATTTATTATTATTTGGCAAAATCTTTGGGAATCCGTATTCACAATTTCAGGAATGCCAGGGTCTATTCTTAAAGACAGTTTTATATTTTTCTTCTGAGCCAGTATATTATATAAATTATAGCATCCCCTCAATATAGTCCGGATATTGAATTCTTGCTTGTGCAATTTAAATTCTTCTTGGATAATTTGAGAAAAATCAAGCAAATTACTAATAAAATGAGTTAAAATGTTGGTGAAAACTCTTATTTGGACCAGCTTCCCTAAAAGTTCACTTCCTAATCTATCTCCATGATCATCAAAAATCTGGTCAATTAATTTTAATATTTCGGTCATTGGATTTTTAATTTCATCTGAAATTGACCCTAATATCAGAGTTTTGTATTTATTTTGTGCTGAAGTTTGCTCAAGCTCTATAATCTGATTGGCATTGCTAGCACTCACTAAAAGCGCTTCTTGATCTTTCCACAGAATTTTTTTGGCTTTTCATTCTAAATTAATGGCCCCAATTTTTACTATTCCTAAGGACAGCTCATTATTAATTGGCAAAGACTTTAATGAATGCAGGCAATCAATTAAAAATTCAGAGTTAGAGTACTGATTTTCAAATTTTTTGCCTTCGACATACTTCAAGCCCCTTAACTTTGCTGTGACGTTTTCTAATGATGCTCCAACGTAGAGTATCATTTTATCGTTGATAAAAGTTGGAATAAATTCATCGTTGAACACAATCAATCCATCTGGGAAAGCTTGTAAAATTACTGCAAGGCTTTTTTCAGCTTGCTCTAATTTTCTTCTAAATGCGTATCGGTCAAAGCTTTTTGATCTTCTATAGGATTCTTCATAAATATGAATAAAAATTATAAGGAATGGCCCATAGATTTCATTAGGAGATGATAATAAGATTTGGCCTGATAGAAGCTTTCAGCCATGCCATATAAAGACGTGTTTTCCTATCAAAAATAAGAGAAACCATAAACTTTTGACAAAATATTTTTGAATGCATAGAACCATTGTTGACTCTATTATGATAATTGCCTTGTTTTCTTCTTTTAAAGATAAGGAAATATAATAAAGCCCAAAATTCATTATTTCTGTCGCAAAAATTACAATTACTGATGAGATTGGATTATATTTTATTACATTAGACCTGACCATAATAATAGAAAGCACAATCGTTATGGTCATCAGAATGCTTGGAATTGTCCACACAAAGTCAAAGCCTAAATAAAATCCTAAAATCAATTTGTATACAGTCGAAGTGATAGCAATGAAATAGGCTGCATTTTTAAAAGCTGTGACGGAGATCTCAAATTCTTCTTTATACCAATTATCGAACATATTTATTAGTTTATAAAAAAAAGAATTTTCATTTGTAAAATATATTTACTTTCAGAAATGCTAACAGCTCCAGGTTCTATTCCAGACGGAAAATCGGCTTAGATAATTGTCTGAGGATTTAGGCAAATCTAGGCTATTTTTAGATTCATAAATAATTTTTTTTAATAAAAGATGTATAATTCATTTACTTTGCAACAATTGATTTATGAGAAAATTCTATTTGAATTAAAGACCCGAATGCATTAGAATGATACTTAAGTTGAATAAAAAATTAAAATTTTTATTTTATTAATATGGATTAATTAAATAAAGTATTCCGAATCCTATTGGGAAGTCGTTTAATTGAAATATTATCAATTATGATACTGAATATATTTTAATAAGTCTAATATAATTAAAACTTGACAGAATTTTGAAAAAATACTTTTCTTAATAAAAATCTATGTTGCAATCAAAAATATACGATTTTGTAGGCATCATAATCTTATAATATCTATTACTGACAAGTAAATTGAAAATTTATTTTATTTTCTGATAAACGAATATGGAGTTTTTGAACCTAAAATAAAAGCAACAAGTTAAGATTAGTAGATGTTAAAAATTATTTAATTTCAATTGGAAAGCAATACCTATACCACCACATAAGCATTGTTCATGCCAATAGTTAGATCTTTACAATCTTCTTTAAGCCTATTTAGGCGTTTGCTATACAAGCTGTTTTTGCCTAAATCCAGTTTTGGTGCATGAACAGCTTTTTTAATTCTGATTAAATTCATCTGTATTAAGAATTCATTTTTTGATGTGATTTTAGTGTTGCCATTAGTTTCTTTGAAATGATCATCAAGATCTGCAATTGTTCTAAAGCGTTTTTTTTGCTTAGAGTAACACAAGCCCATTTATTTTTTTGAGTATTAACTTAACTGTTTAATGGCGTTCAAAAAATATGAAGCAAGGCAGTTGTTTTATAAGGCACAATAAAATTCAATTCGAAATCGTATTAGGTTTGACACAATAATCTTATTCACCAAGTTTTTAATTAATCAATTTGTCAAAAACTATTTAAAAGAAATATATTATTAATAGATATATAGCATATCTAAAGTTTAAACTTATGCTCAATCTATGCCTTTTAGGATTTTTGACCAAATCACATTTGACATTTTCAATCATGATATACACAAAAATGGACTGTTTCTTTTTGGTTTCAGAATTCATTTTATTTGATGAAAATGGATTTTAGCTTAATAAATTCAAATTTATCACAAGCTATTTTATAAAAAATTTCGAAATAAAACTGATAAGTATCATTTTCAAATAATTAAATAAGACTTTTCTGTATTAGAGTCAATAAAGTTAATTTACTTTACAATTAGTTTTAATTTATTTAGATTATATGAAGTGCTCAATTCTAACAGAAATAAAGTTATTGTATTGTTTTAGAACAAAATAGCACTGATATTAAGTCATCAATCAATTTCAGACTCCATAAAAATTTTGTCAATAAGATTTACAATATTGAGAATTTTTAACAAATTTTATGAATCGATAACATTTTAAATTATGCATTTGAATTAAAAGAAAATTATGATTTTAAATTTTCTTCAAAAGTCCATTTTTTAAACTTTCCTTTACGGTTTCAGCAAGTAAAAATAATAAATTTTATTTATTATGGGCGCGTGCTACGGATCTAAGCCAAAACCATCTAACAACAAAAAAATTTGCCCTTTAAAGATTCATAATGATAATGAAAACATGTATGAGAGTCTAAAAATCGAAGGCCAAAAGAAAAGATTATTTTTGAAAAAAGCTTTGGAAGCTCCACTGCTTAATATTACTGAAAATGATTTATATCAAAGAAGAGCATCACGATGACAGAACGAAATGTATCAATCCTGCAGTAATCTTGAACAATCAACCTCAACAAACTCATTGTGCTAAAACTAAAAGATAATTATAAGATTAATCAAAAAATTGTATTAAATAATGTTTTATTTTAGCAAAAGCTAAATATTTTCAGTTGCTTTTTAATTTGGAGCAAAGATGATAGGGATAGACAATAGTTGATATTATTTTTATGTTTAGTAAACTGCTAAATAAAAATGGAAATAAGTCCGATCAGAATGCATTATTTGAAGTATGGACATAATAATTGATTAAAAATTTAAAAAATATTTAAATTTATCATAAAATCGTGAAAAAATTTGGGCTGAGTTTAAATTCAAAAAAGGCAATAATTCTCGTATATTTGTCTCTTAAAAAGAAAGAGTATTGTAGCCTTATATTGACGAAAGCAAATTTCTTTTTATATCGGAGTAAAGTAGAACTGAAAAGAGCTGCTATGCTAAGCAAATAGGACATTTACTTTAACTTTGAAAAATGTTTTTAAAATATACTCTATCTAATGCTTATTTTCATAAAAGAACATCGAAAATTTTTAGATCATTTTCTTCAAGAACTTTTCTCTTTTCATCAAAAAATAATTTTCGAATTTTTGGTATAAATTTTTGCGAGCTATGTAAAAATTAAAGGTTTGAAGATTTTATTATCTGTAGCAAATTTTCTTAAAGGCTACAAAACTAAAAATTTCATAAATTTAAGATCGTCAAGAATAAAAAGTTTTTTAATTAAATTTTGATTTAATTTCACTCTTTAGAAGATGGAAGCTCTATTCCTAGCCTTCACTAAAGAAAATTTAGCTTGATCTCAAAAAAATAATATTGTTTTTAAAGCTTTATATTTGCATAAATATAAAGTAATTTCATAAGTGCCTATCAAATATAAATCATCATCAATCATGATTTATTGTATATAACCTTCTTTTCTGTCGAGAATAAATTAGCTTTATTTTTTTGGTAACTTAAATGGAGCTATTCAAACTTAAAAACAAAGTTATACAAATTAGTTATTTAGTTTAGTCTAACACTTAAGCTCCGCATAAAGAGCAAATCTTTTGGGAGACTATTCCCAGCCTAGCCAAGCGCCTACTGTATAAGAGGCTCTCATTGATAGCTAAAATCGGAGCATGAGCTGCCTTTTTGACTCTTATTAAGCTTCAAATATTTTTTTTATCATCATCTTTGAAGTATAGCACAAGTGCGTATGATGCCCATAAATGGGAGAATGCTGACAACTCCAGAGATCGAACAACTTGGGAGTTGAAAATGCTCCAGATATGAACTTTGCTATATCCCCTCCTAGATAACCATCTATATAGATTCTTGGGCTATAATTATTAGTGTCTCTTAGTTGATCGTCAAGGGCTACGACTGTTTACAACTTTTTTTAAATAAAATGGCATTCTAAGATTTTAAGATTTTTTAATATGTCAAAAAAATATTTGTTCAAAAAATTTCAATTAGGAAATTAAAAATAGGTTATTATATTAGATTTGTAATTTTGAAACTATTATTGTCATAATGCTTTATTAGTTTCATTATATTTTAAATATTCCAAGATTTTAAGTTTTAAGCGCTTTTTCCAGCACAAAGAATATATATTTTGCTTCATAAAACTTAATTTTATATTGAACAAAGCAGCATTCATTAAAGTAAAAATAATTTGCATTCATCATCAGATACCTTTGATAGTTTAGCTCTCCGCTTTTGCCAACTGGCTGGCTCTATTTTTTTCTGATTTTCTCTCTGGATTGTAATACTCTTTGCTCCAGAAGTTGCTTCCTGATCTTTTCACTAGTGAAAATAACGATGGCATCTCCTGATAGCAGCAGCCTACACCTTAGAAATTCCCCTGGCTTCATGTAATCTCCAGCGTAACTATCAGTCTAGGTACAGTTCTTTCTTCTCTCTTGAATATTTGTTTTTATTTGGAAATACTTTCACCGAATTTCCTAAATGGTTGGATTCCTGAATTTCTGGCAGTGTTTCTGTTGGAGTCGCAAACCCTTAGAACGCTCCGCTCGCGCTAAATCCCAAATGCTGAATTTCTTCTTCTTGGACAAACACAATTAAAATGGCGAGCCATCCGACCCGTCCTTCTCCCGTACCCTCTTGGAATACGGGTCTAAGAAGTAAACGGGGCCTGGATATTGTGTCCAGGGTGGTTTTTTACTTGGTCGGGACACCACGACAAGGTTTTTTGCCTCTCACAAAGACGAGAAGGCCAGAGCCGCAGAATCAGGAGTCACACTTCAGGACTAGAAGGAAGTGAGGAAGCTTGTAGTGGAGCTTGGGGACCTGAAGAAGACTCCGGAAGGCTACTTTTTCCCCCTCCCCAGAAAGGACGGCGCCGGGTCACTAGACCCTGATCAAAGGAGTACCTGGGTGAGTCTCCCTGTCAGATGGCGACGTCACCATTTTTTGGTGACGTCGACAGAAAATGGAGTGAGCAACAGAGCCGGTGCATAGGGCGCAAGCCTGAAGCTGGCAGCGCTGGGTAGAGGCTGAAATAAACCTCCGTGACCCGCTCAAACTAATTAATCTAATCTAATCTAATCTAATCTTCTTGGACAGCCTTGAGTGTAACTGTTTTCCTTTTTCGCTGGCTCATATTAATAAAAGTAAATAATTTGCATTTAATTATGGAATTATCCAGCACAAATATCTCTTATTTTATATTAGTCAAATATTTTTACAATCAAAAGCAAATTTTTTTTCCAATTAGAAGTAAAATTTTTGAACAAGGGCGTTTGGGAAGTGTTACTATCTAATATAAAGAATTTATATAAATTCTTAAAGCCATTGTCAAGCTTAGTAAAAATATCGGGGAAAGGCATCATTAATTGCTTATTTCTAATATTTTAGCCTAATTTGCAGAAATGCTGTTGCACATTATTGTTTTAGGCTTAATCAATAATAAAATGGCATTCGGTTCGAGAGAAATTAGCTTTGCTAATTTTCTCTCCTTCATGGAATTTTATTATTAGGGTTAGGTTTTCACTCGTGAACTTCTGGACAGCAATAGCGGTTTAACTTTGGGGATAACCAAAGGAACCACTCCTCAGTCCACTCAAGATCTCGGGCTTTTACCTCTCAGCACATCCCCACGGGAGGATGACCCTTAGGCGGAACACGCGCAGGAGCTGAGTCGAGCGACAAGGGCGACGGCAACGCGCCGGATGAGACGTGCAGCAAGGCCGGTGAAGCAGGAGTTGATAGAAGGCTTGGACGGGGCTGACCCGTGCCAAGATGGCTCGCCTACGTCATCAGTTTTTGCCATAGGCCCTTTTGGGCTGCGGCACTAGACACCTTAAACACCAGATAATTAAGTAAGTAAGTAAGTAAGTTTTAGGCTTAATCAGTTCGCTAAATTTAAACTCTGCTCCTTTCGAGATTCATTTAATCCTCAATCTTAATTTTTTCATATAATTAAATTTTCAAAGAATGTCAATTTTAATTTTTAGTCCTTGCATAAAAATGGGTCATAAAAATTGTACTTGCAAAAACCGGAATAATAACTTAAATTGGCCTATAAAAAAAGTAAAGATTGCAACCTAATTAGAAAGCTACTTGCTATGGGCCATGAAATTTGTTAACGGGCAAAATATTTCTAAGCAACTTATAATAATATTTTATCGAATAAGAATATCATCCTCGAAGTATCCAGCACTTTTTTAGACTTTAATGTATCAAACTGGAATTTATTAAACTATTTTATTTTGCCAGGCTTTTATCCTCGCTAATTATCGCTTTTTAAAGCATTTTCTGTCAAAAATTCAATAATTAAAGTTTTTTAATGACTTGCAAATTAATAGCGATTTTGGCTTAAGTATTTCACATATGCTTATCAATCTAATTTAATGGTAATTAAACTAAAAAAGCAGTTAAAGCAAAATACCATAGCCTTCATCTCTAATATTAAAGGGTTTGCTAATAGCAGTTATCATAGTGTAACAGTATGGCTAATGGTGATTTAATACTTACAGATAACTAAAGGAAGTAGTAGTGAGAAAACACAACAGTTTTGCCTGCTACTAACTCGCCCTCTATGGGCCGGAAAAATTTCTATTTTACGGCTTGAAATAACCCTTCATGAATAAAAATTTTTTTTAATCTTGATATTAATTGATAATTTTTATAATAAAATTTCTATCAGATTATGCTAAACTTTAATTAATTGAATTATTTTTGTTTCAATTTTTGGATCAAAATTTTTTTGTAACTGAAGGTAGGGACGCAAACTATTAATATATAAATTAAATCTTATGATAAATTAAAAAGGAAAAATATATATTTTTGTAAAATATATATAAAACAAGCTTGATAGAGCCTTCTAGAATATATAAATAATGATTTTATTCTTATAATGCTTTTTTTTATCGAGAATTGATTAGATTTATCTTTATGGTTACCTAGGTTGTGTGTTGAGAACTAAAAATTGAGAGAAGCTTACTTGAAAAATTTATAAATATTAAGTTATTTAGTTTAGTGAAAAATTTAAACAACGCATAAGGAACTTATCCCAATTATCTTTATCTTTTTTGAGACTTCTCTGAGCCTAACTAAACGCTTGCTGTATAATATGCTTTCATTTAGAGTTAAAATAGGAGCATGGGCTGCCTTATTAACTCTTATTAAATTTCATTGCATTTTGAGGTCATTTTTAGCACTATCCTTGGAGGAGCTGTGAGTGTCTTTTAATTGGTCGTCAAGGACTGCAGCTGTTTTAAAGCATTTTTTATTCTTACTCCGCACCTGTGAGAAAGCATAACCATTGAAAAAAACTATTTTTTGGTTAAAATACGCAGCAACCAAATCCTGGCAAATAAGTATAATTATTTACAATAAAATCTCTGAAAAAAATTGCTACTCTGTGTGAAGAAAATTATTTTGGTCAGCTCATAAAGGGGATTAGTAGAGCAGGAACCCATTTATAATTGAGTATGAAATATCAGTTTAATGGTGTTGAAAATTTTATTGGAAAATTTAATAGCTTGATGATTAAAAAACTAAATTTTTCGAAATATAGGTGGATAAAGATAATAAGACTTTTATATAAAAATTAAATTGGATAACACTGCCTTAAATTGTCTTGGGCATGGGATTAGTAATAGCAAGTAAAAGTATCTTGAATGGGGTTATTTTTCCACAATGGTTTTATCTTCCTAGTGAGCTTAAATTTTTAAGTTTTTAATGCTTTGCAAATTTTCAACTTAAAAAAGAATTTTTCTAGAATTTGTGAAAAAAATTTTCATATCAGAATTCGCATATTCGAAACTATTTTTACTTTAAGGCTTATTTTAGATCTATTGGTCTTTTAAATGTTCTAGGTTTAAATTTTAAGCTCATTATTTGAAAATTTTGAAAGGAGCAATATTTCTGAGATTTCTTAAAAAATTACATATGATAAGGAGTCAAATCATATATAGGAAAAATTAAAAAGAAGTGATTTTTAATTAAAATTATCATGCAAAAGATGTTTTTAATTGTATATTATTTCGTAAATACTTAAAAATTTTTCAATAAAATTTTCATAAATATTTTTTCAGATTATCGATTCAAGCCTAAAGATTCTTGCGAGAATAATATAGAAAATATTTAAAAAAATTCAATTTTTAAAGTGCTTTCATATATTTCTCATCCTTAATCTGAAACTATTTTAAGATTGCATAAATGATTTCTTTAGCTAATTTGACATTATTTAAATTCATATCCTGACCAGATTTTCTTCATTTTTATTCTAAACCTGTTTAAAAATGCAAATTTAATTATTGATATTATTCAATATATATAAAACAGCTATTAATCTATATCTTAATAAAGCATTAATTATTGTTATCGGCATTCTAATTATGTCATTCAGATCGCATAAGAGTTTAGCAAGATGAAGTAGTCGATGTTGACTGCTCAAGGTTGCTACAAGATTGATATATACATTAAATGGCGACACTGCCAACCTGCCCTCTTGGCGCAACAGTCTAGGTCTTAAGGCCATGGCCAACAGGGACGGACTTCGAGTCGAAAATCAAGTGCAGGCTCAAGAAGTGTACATCTGAGTCGGTTTTGGCTGCTTTTCTTGGTTGGAAAAGGAGTGCCCAACAAAAAGTTCTTTTAGATCCAAGGACCCATGGGTATTTCTCTACAGAAAAATTGGGCTCTCTGGCCCAGCCACTGTGCATTAGCTTTATTCCTGTAGCTACCAAAGGAAGGCACTTCAACATCCAATAGAACTCCAAGAAGTTGATTCTTGGTATCAAGCTTCTCCAATCACCCGTAGCAGGAACGCAGAAATCCATAATCTATTCAAAAAGCCGCAAGGCAAGGAGCGCAGGAAGTGGCGCCCATTATAGAGGATAGAACCTCTGGACTAGAGCTGAAAAGTAGATGAGCCCCCTATAGGGGGTCTTTGGTGACTACGCCACCAATATGGCTAACGTCTGTCTTTTTTAATAGCCTAGCCTAACCTACTACAAGACTGATACATCTCATTTTGTCATCGGGATGCTCTCCTTTGATATAAATAATTTTCGTTAATATTTAGCTGAGGAGCTTCCAATGCTTTTTTTTCGCAAATTCTTTTGTGTTGGCCTTCAGCTTTTAACTTTTCGTATATGCTTTCATATTGATCGGTGGTTTTGTGAGGGCAAATCTTCTTAGCTTTAGAAGTCTTTGACTGAGTTCCATAGCAAGCACCCATATTGAAATAAATTTTATTAATTTAACAAATAGAAACCGTTATGGAGAGGTCAAATTAAACTTATGTAAGAAATTTCGAAAATGAGACCCAGCATGGGCGTGATATCACTGGAATTTAAATTTTAATCGCTTTAATTATAAAATTCTGGCAAATATTTTAGAATTAAAATATTATTAACTCCCCTTTACTCCGTGAGAGAAAAAATGTTTTTTAAAATAAAAAAATATTTTGATATATAAGCAATTATTATAGTGAAATATCGAACTAATTTTTGTTTAATTTTTGTGAGACATAAATTTCAGATTAAATTAATATTTGTTTTAAAATTATTTCAAATAGGGATTTTTTTAATTTTTAAAAATATAAAATTGAGCTCTCGGAGGGGGAGTAAGAATAAAACCGTTTATTTTGGCTTATTTCTGCTTGGCTCCAAGAATTTTTAAGACTATAAGGGAAATAAGTCTTGTCAAAATTGCATATATAATAATTGCCATGATACACATTTCTATTGAGAAGTCAAATTCTAAATCATCCAATGGGTCGCACTTTGGTCCATTTGGGTCACAATTAAAGTTCATGTCTGTATATTGATTCACAGTAAAGGCTTGAAAAGTATAATAAAACGGTGAGAAGTATGTGATCCAGGAGAATATATAGTTCAATCGGCTCATGCTAATCATCCCTCCGTACGCATTTAGCGGAGCTACAAAAATCTGTGAAATTGCTAGCTCCTGCTCATTTTTTTTCCAAAATTTAAAAAAATCCTATTCGAAATAATTTTAAAGCAAATATTAATTAACTTCAAAAAATTTAAAAACAAGCTGTTTAAAATTAAACAAAATCAGCTCGAGATTCATTATACTTATTATCGTTTATATAAAAATTTTCATATTACAAATTATTTGTTCGGGTGGGCTTTACCAAAAAATAGGGACTTTTCCAATGTTTTGTTCGCTCACAGAGGAGGAATAAAGCAATTTCTTGAGTTTTGCACATAGCACCTACAATATATCCAAGTCCTCCTCCCATTTGATGCCCTAAGAAAAAAATCAAACAGAAAATAAAAAATTTTCCTGCATTAAGATTCAGATCAAGGGCAAAATAAAGCATAAGAGCAGTCATTGCAGCTCCTAATAAATGGAAAGGAAGCTCTGAAATTAGCTTTGCTAAAATGTATATAAATGTCCCATATATTCCTTTATTGTACTCTTTAAGGTATATTGGCCTTTCAGATGGTATTCCCATTGCTGAATAAGCATTTCCGCTCATAATAGCGTTCATTGTAATAAAATACAAAACTCCATTGATGTTTTGAATAGAATGAAAATCATTTCCAAGATCATGGAATAGTAAATCAGTCAAAACCCAAATCACGATTAAAAGCATAAGCCAGGCTATTAAAGCTCCTGGATTTCTCCTTGCATTGATAAAGCCTCTATCACAAAGGATACAAAATTTACGAAAATTGCTGATTTTTTGAGGAGATTTTATGGCAAGACTATTTGAGCTTGGGATTGGGATATTTTGGATTATGTCTTTAGTTTCGTAGACAGAAGTTAGTGTATTTAATATGTTTTTTTCTTCCTCTGTCATATTTTTACGGTCAATTATATGAAGCAAGTTCATATAATATAGCTTTCTAGCTATTTTTTATATAGAATTTCATAAAGTGAAAATATTTGAAGCCATATAAATTGGTAAGTCCAATCTATTTTAAAATAGCCAGTATGCTATAATCAGCTGGATTCGTTAATTTTGGGCACGAAAACCCAAGTTTCGAAAAATATTTTCTTGATTTCGATGATGGGCCATCATAAACTGTACACCCATTGCTGAGTAATATCAGTTTATCAATTTTATTAAAAATCGAACTGCTTGGCTGATGCAGAGTCGAAATAACGATTTTTCCATCCCTTGACAAATCTAAAAGCACATCAATTAAAACTTCAGCTGTAAAGCTGTCTAACCCTGAGGTCGGTTCATCTAATATAACAATCTGTGGGTCAGAAATCAGTTCCATTCCTATGCTGACTCTTTTTCTTTCTCCCCCAGAAATTCCTTTTACAATTACACTTCCAATTAAATTATCAGAAACTTGACCCAATTTGAGTTTCTTGATAATTTGGTCTACTTTTTCAGTTATTTTTTCAGATGGTCCAGGCATTGACAGTTTTGCTATAAAGCTTAATGATTCTTTTACTGTAAGATAAGGCAACAAAACATCCTCTTGGGTCACATATGCAATAGTGTGCTTTCTGCTTAATACATTTATGGCTGCTCCATTCAGCAAAATTTCTCCACTAATTTTTGTATTGTCCGAGGCTCTGATTCTCCCCGCAATTATATCAAGTAAAGTAGTCTTACCAGCACCTGAAGAACCCATAAGGACTGTAAGTGTTCCAGATTTGGCATAGCCAGAGACACCTTTTAATATGGTTTCTTCATTATGGTGAAGGTCAACTTGATAAAGAATATTTCTTCATGACAAGCATAAGGAAGACTCAGAGTCTGCGTAAGAAATATCTTCACTTGTAGGAATTAGCTGATTAAAATCCTGGGATAAACACTTATCTGAAGAAGGGTTTGAGGACATTTGTAAGGCAAAGGATTCGAGAGCTGGCAAATTATCCATTTATGAAACGCCAGATTTTAGGCGAAAATTGTATAAAATAATGAAATAAAATACTGAAAATTCTATGGGGAAAATAACAGCGTTTTGCAAATAATAATTTATTATTTTTCTTATTTTGAACAAAAATCGATTGCATATAGTGGTAAATTATTAACTAATTACTATTTAGCCTTCATCCCAAGCAGCTTTAATATCCAATACGCAATAATTCTAGTAATAATAACATACAAAATGATTGGAAGTATATAGGCTTGAATTTGGCTATCAAATCCTAACTGATTAAGAGGATCACATTCTGGCCCATCAGGATCGCAGTCAAATTCCATATCTTTGTATTGATTTACACTTAGTGCCCCAAATGCATAAAAATAAGGTGTTATATATCTAATTCAAGAAAATGCTGAGTTTAATCGATTCACATTGACAACTAGGCCGCCATAAGTTATTAACGGCGCAATGAACATCTGTGATAATCCAAAAGCTAACTCCTCAGTTTTACACAAAGCGCCTATAATATGTCCAAGCCCGCTTCCCATCAGATACGACAACAAAAAAACAGCAAAAAACACAAAAAAATTGCCTGCACCATTATATAACCCTACTGGAAAATAAACCATTGCAGAAGTCACTATAGCAGCCAAGACTTGTAAAGGAAACTCCGATGCCATTTTGGCTGCCACATAAGTCAAAGTCCCATAAACTCCTTGGCTATATTCTTTCACATAAATTGGGCGCTCACAAGGAATTCCCATAGAAGACGACGAATTTCCATTCATAACCGCTACAATTGTGATGAAAAATAAGATACCATTGATATTTTGAATAGAGGTAAAGCTATTCCCTAGGTCATGGAACAGAAGGTCTGTCACAATTCAAATTATGATTAATAAGCTTATTCATGCCTGTGAGGCTCCTGGGTTTCTTCTGCTATTAATAAAGCCTCTTTCACACAAAATGATGAATTTTTTGGCTGAACTCACATGCCTAACCCTACTAATTGGCTTAGACTCTAAATTTTCAAAAATTGGGAAGTCAGCTTCTTTATAAGCATCCTTAAGAGTTTGCAAAATTTGAGTTTCTTCTTCTGACATATGCAGTCTGTCAACAATATGGAGAAAATTCATATAATAGTCTGCAGGGTTGGTTAATTTTGGGCATGGAAATCCAAGTTTTGAAAAATATTTTCTTGACTTTGATGCTGGGCCGTCATAGACGATATACCCGCTGCTCAGCAGCACAAGTTTATGGATTTTATTGAAAATGGAAGAGCTAGGCTGATGTAGCGTCGAAATAACTGTCTTTCCATCTTTAGCTAAATCTATTAAAACGTCAATAAGCACTTCTGCTGTAAAACTGTCTAACCCTGAGGTCGGCTCATCTAAAATGACTATTTGTGGATCAGAAATCAGCTCCATTCCTATGCTTACCCTTTTTCTTTCCCCACCAGAGACCCCTTTAACAGTCACGCTACCTATCAAATTATCAGCAATATGGCTTAATCTTAATTTTCCCATAATTTCAGCCACCTTTTTATTTATCGTACTAATTGACCCACAAAATGTCAATCCTGCTGCAAATGTTAAAGACTCTTTTACAGTAAGATATGGGAGCAAAATATCTTCTTGTGTGATGTATGCGCATTTTTTAGTGAATTTTGATGAGTTAATGTCTATGCCATTTATCATGACTTCTCCTGTGACCTTTGAATTAGGTGAGCATTTGACTCTGCCAGCTATTATATTTAGCAGAGTAGTTTTTCCTGCACCTGAAGAGCCCATAAGGACAGTTAGTTCTCCTGGGCTGGCGTATCCTGATACCCCTTTTAAAATTATTTGACCTTTATTTTTGATTCTGACGTGGTAAAAAATATTTTTCCATGATAAATACAGCTTTGAGGATTTTGCATTATCAGATTCAGTCTGAGGAATTATTTCATATACTGATGATGCATTATCTATGCTAGCTGACTGTTCTGATAAGGTATTAGAAGAAGCTTGCGATACGGTAATTTCATCTATATTATCCATATTTTAAATTCAAATACTGTTGATCTGATCTTTTTAGTGGGATTAATTAGAAATGAAAAAATAATTATCAATAATAAAAATTATATTTTTTAAAAAATTATATTATTGAAACTTATTTTTCATATACAAATTAGATGAAAAGTAAGAAATTTAATAAACTTATTTTTAAACTCAAATAGAAATAATAGATCATTATAGCTGATTGGCAAGTCTAACAGATTGTTTCCATGAGTTTATGAAAGTTTTGTTTGAAATTGATATTTTACTATAGCTCAATGAGGCCTTTCAGTGTGCTGCTCCTCTTGGAAAGGTCTGAGCTTGCTACCCAAGAGCAGATTGGGATGAGCCATCATGGGTTTTAAAGTCTTAATCCAGTGATGAGTCCTAAGTAGCTTCCCAACAATTCTGAGGCTATTATAGGAAAAATGGGATTTCTTAGATTGATCAATGCTGGCATCCACCTAAAACTCAAGCCAAACAAGCCCATAGCCCCCGTCCTCAAAATTTTATAAATCTATCTTTAGGAATTAAAAGGACAGCTTGTATCACTTAGTCATTTAATGTATATTAAAATGAGTGAACACTTCCCAAAAATCCAACCAAACAAAAACATTTCCAAAGACGTTTCATTCCAAAGCTTTCTCCCTTCCTTCCCAAAGCTTCCAAATTCCAAGCCAAAAGTCCACAATCTTTTCAAAAAATACTCATGCAGGCGTTCAAGTGTCCAAAAAGGAAACATTTCTTGAGAAGCTGACTCAAATTTTCCCACATTTGGCTTAAAAGATGAGCAAAAATTAAGAAGTGCAAGTAGACAAACTGATAGCAAATTGAGTGTCAGAAGAGACAGCAGCACCTCAGCTGAGAGAAATGTTTTGACTGAAGAAAGTGAGAGAATAAATAGAAAATACAATAGAAGAAGCCCAAATTTGTGCAATCAGGCGACAAAAATACCTTTTATAACAAAGCAGCCAGCAATTATTGAAAATATTATGAGAAAACATAGGAAACTTTTTCAGGCGAATGATGAGGGAATAAAATCTGTAATCGGGCCTTCTATACATAGCTCACAAAGTGTGAATAATTTCAGGCTGTTTAAAAGTAGAAGGAATTTTAGCTCAAAATGTATATATAGAATTAGTAGCAGAAAAGATATTTAAATAGCTTATTGCTAAATTGTATAATGATAATACAGTTTTTAGTCACATTTATTTTTAATTAATATTAAAACTGTGATTATTTAGCTAAACATCAACAAATTGAAAGTTTTTTACTAAATTCATAAATTGAGATTATTATAAGCCGATAATAAAATTATCATATTATTTATAAATGCCTTGATCACCTACTAAGGTATTTTATTAAAGTTCTTTATAATAATTTTTATTTTATAATATTTCCTCAATATAATCCTTCAAAATTATTTAAAAGATTTGCATCGATTTGACGATAATCGTACAGCACTTTTAGCAAGTTCCTTTTCGCACAATCTTTCCTCTTTCATTATAAAAATTAATTTTCTGACAAAGAATTAATCCTCTAACATTTTACTCCTATTAATTATGAAGGAAGAAAAGAACGATGAGCCTGCTTTTCAAATAAATTCATTAGAAAAGCCACACTCATTTATCAAATTTTTATGGAAAATACTCAAAGAGTCTATTTTTGGTGGATTTTCGTGCCTTTATGTTCCAAAAAAAAAGTCGTTTTCAAACCTGAATACACAAAAAATCATGGAAATATTGATAAATATTATTGTTTTCTTACAAATTTCAAGACTTAACTGAAGAATTAACCTGAATCCAGACAACCAAATTTTGAAGCATTGAAAAATTATTGGATATGCAAGTTTTGATCAAATTTGCGCAGAGTCAGGGACTTTATATATAGCTCTTTCCCTTGAATAGCTCGATAACGGGATGAAGCCAGCCCGTTATCTGGCTATTCAAGGGAAAGAGCTATACCTGCTTTGTAGGGTTTTCAGTTACAGTTTGGGTATGTGCCTTATTTATTCTAATTTTTTCAATTATGAGCTATTATAAAAAAAACACTAACGACTACCTGACTTTTTTTCCGAGATTTTTAGTAACATTTTTATCAACTATAGGATTTGTCCCTTTTGTGTTATAATAATATATGTGGGGGACCTTTAGTTGGTTCACCGAGAGAAGGAAGGATAGCCGTCGAAATCTGCCCGAAATCGAGAGGCTATAAAGAACAAGACTCATGGTGGATGACGTGTGCTGGCGGATTTACTTGAAGCAGGACTGGATGCCTGTCTAGGTATTGTGAGAGTGGATGGTTATTTCAAAAATATGAATAATTAAGTCCCTTTTGTGCTAACTTTTATGCTTACTCTCAAATACTCAAGCAAAAATGATAATACAGTAGATGAATACCAAAACTGTGAAAATTGCAACCTAAACTGAGGCAATTATGGACAATTCGCCTCAGTTTTTGGCTTGATATGAATATTTGCAATAACACATGGAGACAAAATTTTTGGTGCAAGCTTAAGACATGCTTTTAAAGACCAAAATTTGAGGTCGAGGTCACATTCAAAATTAAGCATTGAGACGAATTTTTTTTACTTTTTGGCTGTAGTTGTTTACGCTTTGTTTAATTCTTATAGTTATTATCTACATCAAGCTTTGCTTATTATTTATCCGATTATACTTAATTACAAGTATATTAAGTATATTCCTTATTACAATTCAATAGAAAATGAAATTTCTATAACTCAAAATACAGGGATCGCGACTGTATCTGCAATATTTGTGCTTGGGAATGCTACAGAAAATGATTATATTACGGTTTGGCTATTCTGGATGGTTTTGCCTCTTATCGTATATTTTGCTTTGAATTTCTCAAGAAAACAATTTAAGCTGCGCCTTGATATAACTGATAAGGTTTTGAAGGATCAGTATGATTTTGAATATTTTATGAGGGCGAGACTGTTTGAAAATGAGGTTTCGAACCCTAATGATATCATAACTCCCCCCCCCTCCGTGAGTGAACAAAAAAATTTTGTTCACTCACGGAGGGGGGGGGAGTAAATAAATTTTCTGGGTCTTCAAAAATCGCAGGATTTGACCCTGATAAGCTGTTTGCTGTGTGGGAAACTTATTATTGCATAGATGTGCTATCAGATGAAAGATTGGGTAGAATTAAGCTAAATAAGGCATTTTACATGAGATCAACACTTGAAGGCGATTTTCAAGTCTGAAAATGTAAAAATACCTTACCCCCTCCGTGAGCGTTTAAACCATTAGAAAAACAAAAACCCACACTCTCCGTGAGCGAACAAAAATTTTTTTTTTGACATATAAGTGATAATTAGTACAATGAAATATCGAGCTAATTCTGTTTAATTTTTAAAAAAATTGCATTTTAAAGCATAAAATTTATAAATTAAATTAATATTTGCTTTCCAATTTTTGCGATTTAGGATTTTTTAATTTCGAAAAAAAAAATTTTCTATAAATTTTATATATAAATTAAAAAAAAAATTAGCCCCCTTTGTTAGCGAACAAGATTTTTTGTTCGCTCACGGACGGGGGAGTTAGAAGAGCACTCAATTGGGTTCTATGGCGACATAAGCATACTTTATTATATTTTAGAGCTAGAAAGCATTAAGGAAAAAGACGAATTTTTATGTCACAAATTGCTCGATTTTTGAGGAGAAATAACAGCTGATAAGCCAAGAATGGGAAAGCTTTATTATCTTTCAGGAGAATTATCAAAGACTTTAGACGAAGTTAAGAAAAGGTATGCAGACTTGGTGAAAAGCTTCCCAAATAATATATATTGTCATGAACTTTATGGGTCTTTATTAATGGATATACTTACTCCCCTAAAATATTTTCGCTTCCTTATTGAGGTTTTTTTAAATCTATATCAAAAAAGAACTAATTTTTAAATATTGAAAAGAAGTTTATAATCCTCTTTTATTAATATAATTAAAGAGAAAATTTATTATAATAATTATTCATATTTATTAATTTTTAATTTTTTTGCCTGAAGGTGTGCTATTCATTAATAATTTTTTTTCCCAATACTTATACTCGCTTATAGGCAGGGAGCTAGAGATAATGCTTCTGGGTTTAAACTTATAAACAAAAAAGAAAGCTTTGTTTCGTTACATAAAGAAGCCTCCAAAGCGAAGTTTTGGAAGTTTTCTGAAATTAATGGGTTTCTTATTGTATCTGCTGACCCTAAACTATTCGGAATAGTTGTCTATGCGAATTCCTGTGCAGGCCAGATATTATCCCAACCAGCAAATCATATAATAGGATCCAAACTTAGCAATTACATACCTGATCCATTTTCTAGGAATCATGATGAATATTTACGTAGATATCTTATAAACTGCAAAAGCCCAGACGTAGAATCTATTATGTCTTATTTTTTAAAAAACGAGCGAGGCTACCTAGTCGGCTGTGACTTTAAAATCAGTCTCGTTTCCTTAATAAATCACGTCTACTTTGTTGTATCATTGGATGCAAATGCAAAGCACCGAGAATTTGCGTTAGTTTCAGAAATTGGAGAAATTTACGCTCATAGTGAACTATTTCCTCAAATTATTTCCCAAAAGAAAACAAGCGTCACCAAAGAACTTATCGATAATTTGATACCTGGGGTGACTTATTCTTCAATGAAGCCTCTTGAGCCTTGAATTGTTTCTCTTCACCACAAAGAAATTCTGATAGTAAAAATCCAGCACCACATATTGTCAACTTCGTTTAATTTTTTAATATTAGTCAATGACCGTTTTGAAATTGAAATTTGAAAAAGAGGAGAGGATACATTTCAACTAGGAAATACGGAAGAGAATTTTTCAAGAGAAATAACCTCATATACTGATATGAAAAGAGTTTTGCACGTAAATATATGCTCAAAAGCGTCTAAGATGTCAGCTATTTATTCAATGTCAATGTCAGAGCTAGGTATAGCAATTGATAAAGAAAAATATGAAAATGAGGATAATCAAGAAAATAAGAGCAGCGTCAAAACCCTATCAGTGTCTCAAGCAAGCAACGCTACATATATTATTTTAAGTAATAGAGATTTAGGTATAAGCCAAAGGTTGGTCAAAGAATCAGAAGTAATGCTGAAGCTCTTCAAATGGATTTTATTTTTTTCTGTAAGGCTCATGCAGACTTTAGCTATTATCAGCATGAATATAATACTTTTGGTATATATTTATCAGCAGATAGCTCATTCTAATAACCTCAGTATTGTTAAAAATTTTGCAGGGATAATGCAAGAGGTGTCTGTAGAAGCTTACCTAGCACATGCAATAGATTTAAGTACTAATTATACAAGTATGGATCGGTCTTATTATAAAGCTCAGCTTATTGATAGCTTAGAAAAGCTACGAAAATTGCAGCCAACAATTTTAGATGACTATAGCAGATGGAGTTATTGTGATCACTCAGCTGTGGTAACAGAAAACATAATACCTGTTTATAATCAAGGTCATCCAAATTTTGTGTCTTTTTCAAATCTTTATGACTTTGTTTCTGAGGTACTTAAACATGTATTTTTTATATAGGGCAATGCAATTGTAAACGCAATGGACTCAGGAGAAGACTATATTTATGATGAATTTTTTATAATAGACAATGGAATAGGAGGAGCATCAGTTATGCTAAATTATACTTTTGAAGGCCTCATTAGCTGTGAAATCGAAAAATTAGACACCAATGAAAGCGGAACAAAAATTTGTGTTTATATGGGTCTGCTATTTTTATGTATTCTTGGCTCAATCCTTATTTTCTTCTCTTTCAAGCTCGATAAGAAATATGATGCATTATGAAGCTATATACAAAATCAGGCAAATTCTGCATATATCGAGCTTTACCAATCCTCTCTAAATAGACTGTCTACTTATCATAATTATTGTTCAGAACAAGACGAAATTGAAATTCGAAAGAAGAAGAAAAAAATAAAGCCGAATGGTTTTAAAACAAAAATTTACATAAAGTTTATAGGACTTTGTGCAATTATTGTAGTATTGACGTCAGTTTATTATTTTGTGGTTGGGTATATATTTTATCCTTTATGCAAAGAAAATCTGGTTAAGCGCTATATTTTGCTTGGGGCTTTTTTGCATAGAATTTCTGTAGTTTCTGAGATGACATACTGGACTAGTGAATTAGCCTTCCATGGTGATGATTCTTTTACTCCCCCCTTCGTGAGAAAAAAAATTTTGTTCTTACAGAGAGGGGTAAATTTTTTCTTTTTAAATTTTATATATAATTTTTTTATTTCAAAATTTAAATAATTTTTAATATGTAAAAATTAATTTAATTTGCAAAATTCATGTTTTAAAATTCAAGCTGTTTAAATTAAACAAAATTAGCTAGAGATTTCGTTATAATAATTACTTATATATCAATTTTTTTCCATGAAAGTTTTTTATAAGGATCCCCCCCCTCATTTGTCCAATTTTCTAGTCTTTTATCATTTGTCCATTTTTCTAGTTTTTTGACCTCATTTGTCCAATTTTCTAGTCAAAAATTTTGATAGAGAAAAAAAATTTTCAGGACCTCAATTGTCTCATTTTCTAATTTTTTTAAAGTAAAAAACTAGAATTTAGGGCATTCGAAAAAATCCAAAAAAGACTAGAAAATTGGACAAATCATTTTTGACTAGATTTTGAGACAAATGAGGTCCTGAAAAAAAAATTTTCTTATAAACAAAAACTAGAAAATTCGACAAATGAGGGGGGGGATCCTTATTAAAAAAATTTTTTGTTCACTCATGGGTTTTTTGGCAAAAAATAGGATTTTTCCAATGGTTTTGTTCGCTCAGAGAGGGGGAGTTAGAACAAATTCCGGCTTAGAATATCCATTTTCCGACCCTGACACTATGTTTGGCGACTCAATCTTTCGATTTAACCTTTTAAGCAAAATTATTATTGATCCATCCTATAGAAACATGTACTCAAAGACCCTAAAATGAAAATTTTTTGAAGGGAATTCAAAAGACGTTGACTCAATTTTTGCACAAGGGACTTATGCAGCTTCAAATGCGCTGGTTTTTGATGCATCGTTTATGTCTTTTTCTAATGCCGATAATTTAGACTTAAGGATGACGAAATTTATACAAAGAATGAGTTCTCTTCAAGGATCAATTCAAGAGAGAACTATAGTTGTAGACCATGATTCAAGGTTTTATGTCGAAAATCAGTTCAATTCTTTTTTCTTTATTACTATTTGGTATTGCGGGTTTTGCTTGGTTTTATTTTTGTGCTTGTATTCGCCTATGATAAATAGAGAAAAAAGAAAATTGAATAAATTGCAGGAAATATCAGCATTGATACCTCCTTCTTTAGATAATAAAAATAAAAGCAATAATAAATAACGAAAAAATAGAAAATCATAAAATTAGATCATGGGACACTTTTAGTAAGCCCTTTCATTCAGTTCACATGTGCAAGCTGCAAAAAATTGTAAGACAACCTCAATCTATAAATAGGTATAATAATAGAGATATATAGACTTAACGATTGTTTTTATTTTAAAAGAGAATGCATTATACCCTTATACCAATTGTTTAAAAACAACTTCTTTGTAATCATAATTTTGATAGATAAATATTAGGCAATTTCATATTAGAATGCTCTCATTTATTATGTTTGTAAAATTTTTATATTAAGTAAATTTAGATAAAATTTTATATGTATTTAAAATTGATTAACTTTAGATATAGTCTATTTTCTAATAAAAAATATGATGCAAGCTGCTTAAGGCAATAAATGAAAATTCATAGTTAAGAAAATTAAAAACAGTTTCTTCTCATATGAAGCTTAATAAAATTGATAGCTTATAAATAAATTTGTTCCTTAATAAAATACTGATTTAATTATGGCTGAAGAAATGAATGATGGGCTTGCTCTTCGAACTAATTCATTTGAAAACTCACATTCTTTTGCCAATTTTGCATTAAAAATAGTAAAAGAGTCTATATTTGGAGGATTTTGTTGTCTTTCTATAGCAAAAAAAAAGACTGTCTACAATCTATCCATACAAAAATTTGTGAAAATCTTGAAAAGTATAATTATTTTTTTACAAATATCTCGGCTAAATTGAAAAATTGATGCAGACCCAGAAAATCAAAAGCTAGAGCATTGGAAAATCCTTGGATATGCGAGCTTTGACCAAATTTTTGTTGATTTTGGAAATTTAAGCCTTTGTTTTATAGGATTTTCTATTATAGTATGGATATGTACACTGTTTATTGTAATTTTTTCACTTATGAGCCACTATAAGAAAAATATAAGCGAATATTTAACTTTTTTCCCAAAATTGCTGGTTATATTTTTGGCAACAATAGGATATATTCCTTTCCTATTGATTTTTTTACTAACAATAAAATATTCAGTTAAGGATCAAAATATAGTCGAGGAGTTTTGAAAATGTGAGAACTGCAATTTAAATTTATAGGAGTTTTCCTATAGGAGCATTTGGAATATTATCTTCAATTTTCAGCTTAATTTGTTTGGTTGCTATATCATATGGAGAAAAAATTTTTTGTGCCAATTTGAGACATTCTTTTAAAAATCAAAATTTAAGCACAAAATCCCATTCAACATTGAGCATCCAAACCAATTTGTTTTATTTTGCAGTAGTTATTGTTTATGTTTTCTTTAATTCTTACAGCGACTATCCCCATCAATATTTGCTTATTATCTATCCTGTCATTCTTATTTACAAGTATATTAAATATATCCCTTTTTATAATTCAATAGTAAATGAAACCGCTATTGCCAAAAATGCAGGAATTGCTTTAACAGCTGGAATTTTTCTATTTGGAAATATTGTAGGTAATGATTATATTACAATATGACTGTTTTGGATTGCTATGCCTATTAATACCTATTTTATTTTATATTTTGCAAAAAATAAAATCAGATTAAATCTAGGCAAAAGTAAAGAAACCATGAAGAATCAGTATGAGGTTGAATGATTTTTGAGGTCAAAATTATCTGCTAAAGGAGATTTTGATGCTACAGATATATTAAAAAAGTTTTCTGGTTCTTTAGAAATTGAAGGATTTTATTCTGATAAGCTATTTACTGTATGGGAAGCTTATTATTGCATTGACGTGCTATCAGATGAAAGACTGGCCAGAATCAAGCTAAATAAAGCGGTTTCTATGAGGTCAACCCTTGAAGGAGATTTTCAAGTCTGAAAATGCAAAATATTATTAGAAGAACACTCAATAGGGTTTTATGAAGATATAAGCACGCTTTACTATATTTTACAATTAGAAAATATTAAGAAAAAAGATGAAATTTTATGCAATAAATTTCTTGATTTTTGAGCAGAAATTACATCTGATAAACCGATGATGGCAAAACTTCAACATTTTTCAGGAGAAATATCAAGGAAATTAGATGAAGTAAAAAAGGGATATTCAGATTTAGTGAAAAGCTTTCCAAATAATATTTATTGCCATGAGCTTTATGGATCTTTATTAATGGATATTCTTAAAAACAACGAGATTGGATTTAAACTTTTGAGCCGAAAAAATGGTCTAATGTCAATCCAAAAAGAAGCCTCAAAATCTAAATTTTGGAAATTTTCTGAAATTAATGGCTTTCTAATTGTATCTGCTAACCCAGAATTATTTGGGACAATAATCTATGCAAATTTACCTGCAGGCCAAATTCTATCACAGCCAGTAAGCCGAATTATTGGATCAAAGCTGAGCAGCTATATTCCTGAGCCATTTTCTGAACAGCATGATAAATATTTAAAAAAATTTCTATCAAATTGTACAAACCCTGACGTCGAGCCTAAAATGTCTTATTTTCTAAAAAACGAAAGAGGCTATTTAGTAGGCTGTGACTTTAAAATAACCCTTATTTCTTTAGTCGAACATATTTATTTTTTTATTTCATTGAACCCCAATGTAAAACACAGAGAATTTGCTTTAGTTTCTGATTATGGTCAAATTTATGCATACAGTGAATTATTTCCACAAATTATTGGTAATAATAAAATAAGCCTAGCCAATCAGTTTGCAGATAAAATAATTCCTGGGGTAGAATGTTTAGCAATGAAACCTCTTGAACCGTTACTTATTTCGATTAATTCCAAAGAAATTTTGCTTGTAAAAATCACGCATATAGTTTTGAAGTCTTCGTTTACATTTTTAGTTCTTATTGATGATTATAGTGAAATTGAAGCTTGAAAAAGAGGAGAAGACACAATACAAAAAAGAGAAAACAAATATAAAAATGAAAATAATTTAACAAATGATGTGAAAAAGAATAAAAGTCTCAGTAGAAGCCCAAAGAATCATCATAGGCTATCTGCTTTTTATTCAGTAGCAGAAATAGGGTATACGATAGAAAATGAAAAAAATAAAGAACAAGAAAATATCAAAACTCCATTTACAGCAGCAGAAAGCACTTTAGCATATAATGCTGGTTTAGGTAATTAATATATAGGTATTAGTCAAATTACAGTAAAAGAATCTGAGAATATGCTGAGGTTCTTCAAGTGAATATTACTTTTCTCAATTCTCTTCTAAAATATATAGAATTTCGCAAAAATTAATTATTTTTAATTTTAAATTGTACTTTCTAATACCTATTATTTTTTAGTCTAATTAAGATCTTTTATTTCAATTAAAATTATAGGATAATTTATTTAAATTATGAGTTGGGAATTAGTAAAATCCAATTAGATTTTGGCTATTATTAGTATGAATATAATAATTTTGACATACATTAATCAGCAAATAACCCATTCAAATGACCTCACCACTGTTAAAGATATTGCAGGAATTATGCAAGAAATTTCTGTAGAAGCTTATCTGTCATATACAATAGACTTATGCCACATTCATTCTACTTTGAACTGCTCTTACTATAAAGACCAACTTAGTGCCAGCTTAGAAAGGCTGCGAGCACTGCAACTTACCATTATAGACGACTATAGCAAATGAAGCTATTGTGCCCATTCAACAATAGTGACAGAAGAAATTGTTCCAGTATACAACCCTGACCAATCAGACTATGTGACATTTTTAAATCTCTATGGTTTTGTATCAGAAATCCTTAAGCATGTATTTTTAATATAGGGATATTCGTTTCTTAATGAAGCTGATTATAGTATACATTTTTTTAATCATATAGATATTTCAATCTACATTTAAAATCAAAATAATTAGAAAATATGAGGCACTGTGCCTTATATTGATATTTATTCAAATTTTTTAGTATAAAAATCAATCTTATGATGAGTTATTTTTGATAAATAATGGACTAGGAGGCGCATCCATAATGTTAAATTCTTCGTTTCAAGGACTCTTAAACTGTGAAACTGAGAGACTAAATCAAAATGAAAACATCACTATGATTTTTGTATATGCAAGCCAAATATTTGTATGGATATTAAGCTTAATCTTTGTGATATTTTCTTTCAAATTTAATAAACTGCATGATAAGCTTTGAAATTATATACAAAAGCAAGCAAATTCTACATATTTCGAGCTGCACCAGGCATGCACAAATAGATTGTCTTCATTTCATAATTATTCATCTGACCAAGAAGAGCTTGAAATCAAAAAAAGAAAAAATCCTAAACCGTTTATATTGAAAACCAAATTATACATTAAATTCACATGTATTTGTTCGGTTATCGTAATAGTAACATCAGTATATTATTTTTCCATTGAATTTATATTTTATCCTTCATGCAGAGAAAATTTACTTAAAAGATATTTATTATTTGAGGCATTTTTATATAGAGTCCCTGTAATTTCTGAAATTATTTTTTGGACTATTAACCTAGCATATCACGGTGGAGAATCTGTGCAAAAAATAAATGGCTTAGAATACCCATTCCAGGCTTCTGGAATTATGCTAGAATCAGCCATATACAGATTTAACCTGCTAAGCAGCATTATTGTGAACCCTTCTAATTATGGTATGTATTCAGACGATATAAAATTCAAATTCTTTGAAGGAAATACAAACCCAGACCCAGTATATGCCCAAGGTACTTTTATGGCAGCAGGTGTGCTACTTATGGACGCAAATTATATTTCTTATACTAATTCTAATGATATAAGCACTCTTTTACCAAAGTTTATCCAAAGATGGATAACGTTTCAAGCAATGGTCTTATCAAGGATATCTATAATTGGGATTCAGGTCTAATAATCGTGTACTTTGATAGAGAATTCATTTAGTCATAAATTGGTCCAAAAAATATTTAATAGTGACCTAAAACCTGTTAAATTTCGACAAAATGTAAAAATTTGTGATAATGTACTTCGATGAAATGCAAATTTGGCATGGAATTCTATAATTGATAATGATTCCAAAATTTATGTACAAAATCAATTAAACACGGTATTTTTGGCGACTTTTTTATTTTCTGGGACTTGCTTTGGGCTATATTTTTTCTTGTATTTGCCTTTTATTAGGATAGAAAAACGAAAATTGAGAAAATTAAAAGAAATTTCTGCTATGATTCCTCAAGCTTTTGATATGAAATTTAAAAGAAATAATTAATTTTAAGGATTAGAATGCCCTAAATTTGTATTTCAGATATAAAATAGCTCATGGAGGAAAAATAGGGATATTTGGCTTTTCGTTTTCTGCAATTGCATTTAGAGCTAGCTGGAATTCTTCTTCTTTGCTAATTATTAAATCTTCCTTTGAGAAGCTTCCAGCTAATAAACTGTCGTATTCCATAATTTTATTGATATGAGAGCAAGCATCTTCATTTGGTAATCCAAAATTATTATTTTCAATTTCTTTTAGAGGCATTTTTTCTTCTTTTTCATTTAAAATAGTTAATCTTCTAGGATTTTCATATATACTTTATTGTGAAGAATAGTATAAATTATTAATTATCATTGGCAAGACCTAAATCAGTATAAACAGCTTAAATTATCAACGTCAAATGCTGAATTTTCTGAAAAAGATGTAGCCCCATATTGAGATTGAGGGTAATTATACCCCATTTTACAAATTGAGACGATGATTGGAATATTAAATCTATTTTTATATCTGTAATGAATAGTTAAACCCCCCGTTTTTAAGCGACTATATCTATAAAGGAATCGCAATTTACCAAGAATACTATATCAACTAAATTTAAATACTTAATTTTCCATATCAAACTGTTTATCATTGGATTATCTTCGATAGGAATCGGTTCAATTCTTTCCTTACTCGCCCCATCCTTGATCGAACGACTCGCCATCGTTCGATCAAGGATGAGGGGGTTAAAAAAACATTTTTTTGGGAAAAAAAATTATATATAAAATAAAAAATATATATATATTTGTTTTTATTTACTTTTAAATAAGAAGGTTAAAAGTATTTAATAATTATTTTTACAACAAAAGATTGAATTAATTTCATAAAATACCAATTTTTAATATTTTGATTTATTAATTACCCTTTTAAAACTGTATAAATTTTAATTTGTTCCTTATTGAATTAAAACTTTTTTTTTAAATTTTAAAGAATCTTTATTTTTTAGATTATTGAGCTTTTAAGCCTAAATTGATGGCTAAATCACTTCGGATGGTTGATTTCGCAGCTTTCTGTCGTCTCAAAGCTCTGAAAACAACTTTCATTAGGTACATTAGGTACATCTTCCCAAGCTTTTGATAACTAATATATTTTTATATATATAAAAATTTGCATGATATGAAAATCGTTCGATCAAGGATGGGGGTTAATTTCCCCAATTTTTAGGAATTTTTACAGTCAATCGTTTCGATCAAGGATGGGGAGGAGTTAGTACAAGATTCAGAATTTACAGTCGCTTTAAGTATAGTGAGAATAATTTTTGACTGATTTTGTAGAGCCATTGTTCAATGAAGAATTTTAATTTGGCTTGGATTTGGCAGTGAAAGACGAGAATTAATCAATATTTCGACTTGATAAAAGCCATCTGAAATATATTGGCCATTTAAGCTTGCATTAAATACTAGTGTGCATGGATCATCATTCATTAAGGTTTCGCCAATTAAAGGGTTGTTTACATCTTCATAAGGATAAACTCCTGGGTCACTATTTAGATGCTTTATCTCTAAAAATCTTGAAATCAAATAAGGCAGGCGGGAAACAGCCATTTATTACTTGATTTGTAAGCTGCTTGTATATTAAATATATAAGGAAAAATTGTTACAATAATAATTAAATTACCATAGTAAACTTTCTTTTTGGCATATTTTTAATTAAGAATAAGATAGAAATACAAAGGAAAATCCAATTATATAGGCTTTATTGTAAAACTGAGTATTTTAGGTTGAATTCCCCTTATCCCTGCAGTTTCTCTTCTATGTAACTGTTAATTATTTCTAAAATATTTCATCAATTAATCAATTGGTTTTGAGTAAATAACCTGGAAAAATTTCCTAACTCCTCATTGTAAAAGAAAGAGGATAAAAAAAAAACTCAATTCACAAAAAAATGAAAACTAAAAATTAATAAAATTTATTTTTTATGTGTAAGTAGTTTAAAATTCAACAGAATTAGATAGAAATTTCATTAATTATATATATTCTATAAAAAACTTATTTATGAAAAATGTTTTCTCGTTCATAGAGGGTGGGCTTTTGTCGAAATTATGGATTTTTCCAATGGTTTTGCTTCACTAATGGAGCAAGCATTAAAGCTAAAATAACCATTTCAAGCATGATTTATAATCGCTGAAAAATAAAAAACCTTAAACACAAATGCTCTTGACATATAATTGTCAGAATACAAAATCTATTAAAATTCGTGGCGCAAATAATAAAATGGGTCTTATGAGATCTGAAACAATGGGTTACTACACCCTCATCATGCAAGCAGACATGGGATGGAGGATCCTAAATCACCTTGGCAAGCTTTCAGTGCTCCAATTCGTTGATCTTAACTCCAATCAAATAATTTTCAATCGTCGCTACGCTTCATATATTCGTAGATGTGAAGAAGCAGAACGAAGAATTCGTCTCATAATGACTGAGCTTGAGCGGTTTAATATAAAAATCACCTATCCTAAAAATGCACATGAAGTTTTATACCATTTCTTATTAAATTTTCTGATAATTAAAAATATCATTATATTCGCCTATTTAAGCCAGAAAAGATAGATCAGCTTGATAATGAGCTTGAAGTTACCAATACTCCAGCACAAGCTATCTTTGAAAATTTGGAATCAGATCTTGAGAAAATCGAAAAAAGCCTCAATAATCAGATAAGAAATTATGAAGATTTCCAGTCTCACTTCAATGGACTTATAGAAAAAAGGCTTGTCCTAAAGCAAGCAAAATCTGTGTTTGGCATTGAAGGGCAATTCTCAATTTTCAAAAAAATCGGAGGCATAATTGATAAAGCTGATATTATAAGATTCAAAAAAATGATCTTGAGGACAACTAGAGGAAATACCCTGGATTTATTTTATGATATTGAAGAGCTTATAAAAGACCCAAAAACCAATAAAAATATTGAAAAATCTGTTTTTTTTATTCTTTATAAAGGAGATGACCAATCAGCGATGAGCCAAAGACTAGCTAAAGTTTGTGACACAGTAGGCTGTAAAAGGTATGATATCCCTGCTGATCAAGAACAAATTGCAGCCGATTTTATGCACAATGAAAACGAAATTAACACCAATATAGAAGTGTCTAGCAGAACTAAAGAAAATATTTTAACAATACTTGAAAGAATGGCTGCACCTAGAAATAGTGAAACTGATTGCTCTTATATAGAAGAACAGCGGCTTTTTGTGCTAAAAGAAAAAGCAATTTATCACAATTTGAATATGTTTAATTTGAAAAATAATATTTTTTGCGGAAACTGTTGGTGTCCGAAGTCACAGGAACAAAAAATTATAAATATTCTTGATGAAATGGCAAAAACTCCTGGAACTGTGCCGGGGCAACTTAGAGAAGCAGAAAATCCTCCTGAAAATGACACACCTCCGACGTATTTTAGGCTTAATGATTTTACAGCGCCTTTTCAAGAAATTGTGAATTTATATGGAGTTCCCTGCTATCAAGAAGCAAATCCGGCCTTTTTCACGTGTGTGACTTTTCCTTTCTTATTTGGGATTATGTTTGGAGACATAGGTCATGGGCTGCTATGGGTCCTTTTTGCATGCTATTTAATTTACTCAAGAAAAAGCATTGAAAAATCAGAAAGTCTTTTTAAGCCTGCTATCCCAGCGCGATATTTATTCTTATTGATGGGGTTATTTGCTACTTATTGTGGATTTATTTACAACGATTTTCTTGGAGTTCCACTTAATTTATTTGGATCTCGATGGTCAGAAAATCCAAAATATGGCCAATATACTCAAGACTCTATTTATCCGATAGGTTTAGATCCAAGCTGGTATAGAGCTGATAATGAGCTTGCGTTTTTTAATAGCTTTAAAATGAAAATTTCTGTAATTTTTGGGGTTATACAAATGATTGCAGGAAACATGTTTAGAGGCGCAAATGCAATTTATTTTAAAAATAGAACAAATTTCTTTTTTGAATTTATTCCTCAGCTAGTTTTTATGGTATGCATTTTTGGATATATGATATTGATGATTTTCATCAAATGGGTAACTGATTGGCGTTATAATTGGGATAACACGGCACCTAATATCATAACTATCCTTATGAACATGATTTTGAAATTCGGATCCTTATCAGAGTCACAACCTCTATGGGGAGACAAACAAGGCCAAGAAGATCTCCAATTTTACTTATTATCAATTGCTCTTATATGCGTTCCACTTATGCTGATTCCAAAACCATTTATTTTAAAGCACGTTCACGAGCAAGAGGAAAAAGAAAATTCCAAAAAAACAGCCCATAGTGCTGGATATGTAGAAATAGGAGAAGACGACCGACCAATAGTGAAAAAACACAGTGAGCACAAAAAGTTTGACCTTAGTGAAGAATTAATTAATCAAATGATATTCTTTTTCCAATGGATTTTACCATATTTTTTATTTAAAATAAATGCTAAAATTCATAGTAAAAAAGTATAGAGACTATTGAATACGTCTTAGGAGCTATCAGCAACACTGCTTCCTATTTAAGGCTGTGGGCTTTATCACTTGCCCATGGGCAGCTTGCCAAAGTTTTTTTTAAGATGTGCTTAATAGGCTCAATTGAATCTGGTCTTGTCCCAATAATATTCATAGGGTTTTTAGTTTTTGCGAATGTGACTGTAGGAGTTTTGATGATGATGGACGCTATGGAATGTTCGCTGCATACATTGAGGCTTCATTGGGTGGAGTTTCAGAGCAAATTCTATAAGGGAGAGGGGATTAAATTTGATCCCTTTTCATTTCAAGCCATAATAGCGAAATCTAAGAGATAATTACTTAATTTAGGATTTTAATAGAATATGATTAAAAACCATTTAAACTAAATCCTTGCGAGGTTTTTCAGTAACTGTATATCTTGTGGTAATATTCCTTAAATTTTTCATGTTATCGAAAAGCATTTCTTCGATTTCATCTCTTTCTTCTTCTTTCTGAGCTGGTTCTCTGTATTAATATTACAGTTTTACTCTTACTCCCCCCCATCCCTTGATCGAACGATTGACTGTAAAAATTCCTAAAATTGGGGAAATTAGCCCCCATCCTTGATCGAACGATTTTCATATCATGCAAATATTTATATATATAAAAAATATATTATTTATCAAAAGCTTGGGAAGATGTACATAATGAAGTTGCTTTCAGAGGCTTTGAGACGACAGAAAGCTGCGGAATCAGCCATCCGAAGTGATTTAGTGATTAACATATGCTTAAAAACTCAATAATCTAATAAAATACAGATTCTTTTAAAATTTTTTTAAAAAAATTTAATTTAATAAGGAACAAATTAAAATTTATACAGTTTAAAAGGGGTAACTAATAAATCAAAATATTAAAAATTGGCATTTTATGAAATAAATTAAATTTTTTGCTGTAAAAATAATTATTAAATATTCTTAACCCTCTTATTTAAAAAGTAAATAAAACAAATATCTATATATATTTTTTTATTTTATATATAAATTTTTTTTCCCGAAAAATTTTTTTTTAACCCCCATCCTTGATCGAACGATGGCGAGTCGTTCGATCAAGGATGGGGGGGCAGTTAGCCTTTCTATTTCGCTTTCAAGGAAATCGCTGCATTAAAATTTACTTTTTCTTACTAACTCCCCTCCTCCGTGCGAACAAAACCATTAGAAAAATTCCTATTTTTTGCCATAAAATCCACCCTCCGTGAACAAAAATTTTTTATGGAAAAAATTTTTGATATATGAGTGATAATTAGTATAATGAAACCTCTAGCTAATTCTGTTTAATTTTTAAATAAATTGTGTTTTAAAACATAAATTTTACAAATTAAATTAATATTTGCTTTCCAATTTTGAGAAGTGGGGATTTTTCTAAATTCGAAGAAAAAAAAATTTTCTATAAAATTTCTATATAAATTTTTTTAAAAAAATAAATTAACCCCCTCCGTGAGCGAACAAGATTTTTTTTGTTCACTCACGGAGGGGGAAGTAAGTAATTGAATATTTTTATTGAGTTCATTTTCATCTTTTTTTTGATTTGATTCTTCCTCTTCTATCCTTTCCCTTATCTCTTTAAGCTCATCAATTTTATCTTTTAAATGATCCCTAAATGTTTTTTACTCTTTTTTGTCTAATTCTTTCATTGCTAGCTCTTTTATTATGCCTTCTTTCTCATACTTCAGCCTTTCCAATACTTCATTGAGCTCTTCCACATTATTTTCTATTTTTTCAATATCTTGCTTTCTTGATTTATTTTTTGCTTTTGCCTTTTTTATTTTTTCATTTAATTTATTTTCGCTTTCTTCAGAGTAATTAGCATCCTGGTCTTTTTTAGAATTTTTTTCTTTGAGTTCATGATTCTCATGTGAGAGGTCTTCAAGGGTTTTTTCTGATTTTTCACACTGAGTTTTAAGCTCTGTGAGGACATGTTGAGTTTCCTCAGATAATAAAACTTCTTGTTGTGGCTCTTCTAATTGTTGTGGATCTTCAACTGCTTCATTTCCTATTGTTGATCCCATCATGGTTGATGATAATGTGGCTGCTCCTAAGCTTTCAGCTTTTACAGAAATACAAATTTTCGCGTTCTTGTCTTTGCATTTTTCGATTCTGTGGACTTGTTCAATGACTGGAGCGTCTAAGTATTCAACAAGATTTAAAACAACTTTTCCAATATCTTTGATTTTTCCATTAATCTCGCCAAGGACTTTTAGCTCGATTTTTTTATCAGGAATCGAGTGCTTTTTAGTATAAATCGTATGGGTGTTTGATAATGTTTCCTCGATATCCACCTTAGTTTTATCGTTGTCTACTATTCTACTAACTCCCCCCCCCCCTCTGTGAGCGAACAAAACCATTAGAAAAATCGCCATTTTTTGACCAAAAACCCACCCTCCGTGAGTGAACAAAAATTTTTTTAATAGAAAAAATTTTAATGGAAAAAAATTTTGATATATAAGTGATAATTAGTATAATGAAATCTAGAGCTAATTCTGTTTAATTTTAAACAAATTGCGTTTTAAAACATAAATTTTGCAAATTAAATTAATATTTGCTTCCCAATTTTTGCAAATTAGGATTTTTTTTTAAATTTCGAAAAAAATATTTTTTATAAAATTTATATATAAATTTTTTTTTAAAAAAAAAAAATTAACCCCCCTCCGTGAGCGAACAAAATTTTTTTGTTCGCTCACGGAGGGGGGGGGGGGGAGTAAGATTAAGTAAAGCTATACCTTAATTAAAAACTATTTTATATTTTTAAAAAAATTTTTTGGCTTACTCATAGAGCCTTGCATACTATTTCACTAGATGTTTTGATTGATTTTGTGTCTATATAAATCTTACGGCTTTTTCATTCAACTTTTATATGAGTTTCTTGAGGTAATTCAATTTCAATGTAGTGAAATTCAATTTCAAAATTAAATTTCACTCCTTTTGCTCCAAGTCTTTCAAAAATATCCATTATTTATTTGCAAGTCATATAATTAGGATATGCAAAATTATGTTTTTTACTCCACATACTTAAGCGAAAATTTATTTATTACTTTTAAAAAATAAAGATTATTATTTGAATTAAAATAAAATGGATAAAGCTCATCAAAAAATTTTCCAAAAAACGCAAAAAAAGATATTAATCTTAATTGAAAAGCTATATAAATAATAGCTGAGTTAGCTCTTTAAAAGTTATCAATCTATACAATCTACGGCACTCTTAGCTCTATGTTTTGGCATATTTGTAAAATGAAATCGCCATAAGATCTTGACTCTTCATCATGAATAAAAGACAAAAGTAGAAATTATATTGTGTTGGGTTGAATCCACAAAATATTCCCTTTTATTATATAATTAGACAATGGCCGACCTTGTTCTTAGACAACTGTATAAATCATTTAATGGCCCTATCCATGCTCCTATATAACTAATAATAACAGCGCAGGCACCCTAAAATTAAATTTTCGGCCTATATGCAAAAATTACAAAAATATTACTTGGAGGCTTTTGATTATTTAATAATGTCCAATCAATTAGAAAGCATCAAAAATATTTATAATTATAATTAATTGAAACAAAAATGTCAACTCTCAGCGTATTCTCATCTATTATGAGCAAATTCATGGACTCGCAAATACTGGAAGAAGGCAATTACTCAAATCTGGACAACAATAAGCATGCATGATATAGATCAAGAGATTTCACAAATGAAGAAGAATCAGAGCCTGCAAAATACCAAAAGCTTACTGATGAAAACGAGTCGCTAACTCATCTTCAAGAAAAAAATTATTATTTATAATTAAAAAATTATTTTTAAAAAAAAATAAAATTTTAATATTTGAAGAATAGAAGGGTAAGGAATATTATGAATCAAAAAGACTCCGAGCTTAAAGAATGCTATAAAAGAATAGATACATTAGAAAAGTGAATGCAAAATGAAATAGTAGAACTAAATAAAAAAATAAAAGATCTTACTCCTGATTATGCCACAGTAACAATTATTATAAAATAATAAATTTTTATATAATTTCATAATTTTTTATTATCAATATTAATAAATTAAATTTTTATATAAATTTAAATTTTTTTGATTGATTATTATATATAATGAGTAAATGAGAAAATATATTTTTGTATTATCTCAAGAGTTAGCAGTAATGAAGGGGAAGAGCTGGCTCCACTTCTAGAACAGTTTAAAGTCGGATTAATAGAGAGGGATGAAGATATCCAAGAAAGACTTTTTCTTCTTGAAGAAGAAGTTTTCTCATCAAAAAACTTAAGCTCGAATGACAAAGAAAACAAAAAGCCAATAGCAAAAACTGCTGACTCCGAGGAATGTAAAAAAACAATTTTAAATTCAACAGAAGAAGAACCATCCTCAAGCAGAAGAAAAAGACCAACTCCTGGCGAAAAGTCTAAAAGAACAAAAGCTAAGCCTAGAAGACCTGCCAGATCTCGTAGGCTAAAGCCTATTATTTCAGACGATGATTTATATTTTTTTACAATGATTATCAATTTTCTATTAAAGATGCAAATAAGAATTTTTTTAAATTAAAAATAACTGAAACTGGGATATCTGATGTATCAAGTGAAGAAGAAAGCGAAGATAGTTTTCCAGCTCCAAAGAAAACAAAGAAAAAAATGCCAGCTAATGGCGAAAAAAATAAAAAAGTTAAAGAAAAGCCAATTGAAGAACAAAAGACTGATGTTTCTAAAGGAAAAATACCTGATGAGGAACCTCCAAAGAAAAAGCCAATAAAACGGCCCAATGAGTCGGTTGAATTAATAGAAGAATGCACTGAGGAAGATTGGAATAAAGCGGCATGGAGTAGAATTCTTAAGAAATAAAGGTTAATTTAATAAATATATATAAAGCATCTTTTCCATAAAAATACAATTTATTATTAAATTTTAATTACTTCAATTTTCGCAATATTTTCGGTTTGTTTTTTAAAAATAGCTAATTCTTCAAAAATTTCGTCATTCAATGGATTTTTCAATAAAGGCTTAGAATTAATAAAAAGCCCTGAAAATCAATTATTATCTGAATCCAAAGCTTCTCCTCGGCCATGAGGAATTCCTTCTATCCATTCTCCTGTATAATAACTTCCGTCATAAAAATAAATCGACCCATTCCCATGCACAATATCATTAACAAATTTGCCTTTATAAGTCATTTTATGAAGGGTTAAAGTTCCAGCTCCATCTTTGACCCCAGCAACCCAATCTCCAAAATAGTCGCCTATATTTTCAATTTTAAGCTGGCCTTTGCCATGAAATTTGCCTTCTCTGAACTCTCCTTTATAAATATACTATATAATTTTAATGAAAAATATGGTAGCCTATATTTAAAAATATCAATAATTATCTCAAATTATATGCACTTATTTTCTGTAAAAATAAATTTCAACACTCCTCTTCCATGAAATAAATGATCAACAAATTCCCCTTCATATTTAACCCCATCATTATTGGTGAACTCTCCTTTTCCATTTAATTTTCCTCTTATATAATCTCCTTTATATATATCTCCATTGTCATTTTTTAAGCAGCCTTTTCCATTTGGCTTCCCTTTCAAAAAAAATCCTTCATAAATATCTCCATTGTATCATTTTTTAGTTGCAAATCCATGAGGTTTTGATTTTTTAAACCACCCTTCAACAAAAAATTCTTCTGTCTCTAATGCTCCTTTTCCGTCAAGATAATCATCCACAAAAATCCCTGAGTATCTATGCCCATTTTTTAGCTTAATTTCTCCATTTCCATTGAGTTTGCCTCTGACTCATGTTCCTTTCTTTATATCTCCATCTATTGTGATTAATTTTCCTTGTCCTTGTAAGCAATACGTATTGAGCTCTCCTGTATAAATCCCATCAGCCCATTTTAGAGTCCCATTTCTGGGATTTTCATGTTCTCATTCTCCAGTAAATGTAGACCCGTTTGGATAATTCATAGTCCCAAAACCATGAATTTGGTCGTTATCTCAGTCTCCTTTATAATAATACCCATTTCCTTCAAAAATTCCAAACCCATGTCTTAGCCCATTAAAAAAAATCCCTTGAAAAATTTCGCCGCTGGGGAATGTCAGAGTTCCTTGGCCTTCTCTTAAATAGCTGTTTCATTGGCCTTTATATTGTGTTCCGCAAGCATATGTGAAATTATTCCCTTGCCATAAATCTTTTATAAAATGACAGTCATTAGAAATGCATGATAGTAAAGTAATCCTTTCTAAGGTAAATTGTGTTAAAATGGAGATAAATTATTATTGCAATTTATTTATTGAAATTTTGTATTTTTGCATATACTGTTTTTGGTATAGATTTAAATGCTCCTGTTTCAACAAATATTTTCCAGTCATCGCATCTCACTAATTTTCCTCGGCAAATTAATGTATTTGGGTAACTGATGATTCTTGGCCACAATGAAAAGTGACTAAATTTTTTTTCATCAAGAACTTTTTCTTTTTGCAGGTATTTTATCGGGGCCATTTGGCCGGAAATTTTTTCTTTGTGCAAAATTAATGGTTTTGCTTAAAAATGTGTTGATTTTTGGTCCAAATGACGCTGAGAAAATGTCTGCCGAAAAAAATCATGCTACAGTGAAAAACTTTCATCTGAAATAGAAATTGATTCATAAAGTTTACTAAAAAACGCCTCCCAGTTAAGTTTCCTTATATAACCTTGTGAGGTATTTATCGATAAAATTAAAAATCTTATAAAAGATTCTTGGAAAACGTCCCATCTTACAGCTGCTTTTCCGCTGATATGGTTATTCCAAAACTCTTCAGCTTCTGAAGCTTTAGCATGATTATTAAGCAAATCCAAGGTTATTTTTTTCTTAATCCCATGCTTAGCTATATGTACCATTTCCTTAACTTCCTCCTCAAAGTGAGAGAAAAAACATTATAATATAATATTGTTTATAAAGATATATGTAACAAACTTATAATAGAATTTCGAGTTAATTTTATTCATTTTAAACAGCTTGTTTTAAATAATGATTTTTCCTTTGGAGAAAAAATTTAATTCCATTAAATCAAGGAAATTTTTTTGCTTAACTACATAGTGGGGATTAAGAAAACTATTCGTCAATTTAGGGTCTAAAGACTTTGCGCATACGTTGGTATCTTTTCTAAGAGGACTTTGTCTGTTAGATAGCATAGAATCAATAAGTTCTTCAATGCAAGGTTCTCTAGGGTCTATATAAAATATCTTGTTTTTTCTAGGGGAAGGGGAATAAATTTCGTCTTCTTTAATAGCAAATGGATTTTTGCATCGAATAGGCGAAGGCGAAATATCAAGCTTTTTCATGTATTCTTGAAGCTTAAGCTTTTGAAATAAATTAACTTTAATAAGAGACCTTGGGCGCTTTAAGTCTTCGAAGCTTTTTTGAGGTGACTGAGAAAATATTCGTCGTGGCGTAAATGTTTTATCAAATTTCTCTTTTAAAGGAGATTCCATATTATGCTTTTGTTTTACTTACTCCCTACAAAAAAAATTTGTTCACTAAGGAAGGGTAATTTTATTTAAAATATTTATTTATAAATTTGCAAAAACTGAAATCAAATATTTATTTAATTTGTGAAATTTATGTTTTAAAATACAATTTATTCAAAAATTAAACATAAGTTTCATTATGATAGAAATACTGAGTTATGATAATGCGTTTTGTTTTGAATTTTATTTATCATTTTTCACAAGCTAAATGCATATATTTTATTCTCGATGATGAATTTAAAATTAACTATAAAAATAAAACGCGAAGCCTTAGCTGCCTAGTATTTATAGCAGCGCATTCCCATTTGACGCTTTTAAATTGATTTTTGAATTATCGAAAACATTTATTTTTAATTTTTATGAGCAATAAATTTTAATACTGCCTGAATTTTTAACTCTATTCTAGCAAGATGTATATTAATTTCTCCCATTTATGAAAATTCATAGACCTATAGGCTTATTTTTCTTCTAGCATAAAGTAACCAAAAACAATATCTATTTCTCAAAATTTTGCATTTCCCTTTACTCGTCATTGTATTAAATCTTCATATTTCTGCATAAATAATTAGATAAAAGTTATCTGTAACTGCTAAACCCAGTTATGCAGCACCAACAAATATTTATTTTTAAATAAACACTTTCTTTGCCAAGCAACGCAAAAAATAATAAAATCAAAAAATTAATGTATAGTTGTCTTTTCTTTGATCATATAATGAATTCCTATTGAAAATGCAAAAATAAAGGATATGGGTATTTGTATGAGTAAGCATTCCCATCGAAAGGTGTCAGTTAAAGCGAGAAACAATGACCAAGGCCCAGATTTAGCTAAAATAAGAGCAGAATTGATTTCAAGAATTCACAGTTTGCATTCTGTGAAATCTGAATGCAAACAAGGGATCGAAATCTGTGCGATCCAGAAAGAAAAAAGCAAAGCAATTATACTGAAAGCTAAGCAAGAATATATAAACGGAAAGCTAAAAGAAATCCAAGACCTGATTAAACTAATAGATGATTCGCAAGATAAGCCTATAAAAGATATACTCTTTAGGATAGAATAATGCTGATATATTGATTTTTTAAATTTTTTGTAATTCTTTTTATAAGGGATTATGCTGATATAGAGTGATTTTAATGAATTATTTTATAATAAAGATATTGGATATTTTAATATGAAAATATATATAAAAATATGATAGCAAGCCATGCTTTAAAGCTAAATGAAACCCTTGACCCTATTTTGATTGAAAACGATATTGATGAAATTATTTCTGGAAGAGAAAGGAAACAATACGACGAAATTCTCCAGAGAAGCCAAATCTTTAACAAGGACAGCTTGGACATTCCTAGTCAAGTTGATCAGCTTTTTGAGTCTTCAGCATCTTTAAATGAGCCAAATTCTGGTGGAGTGAGAAGGAAATATAATAGAAGAACTAAAAGCTCAGGGAAACTTCTTTAAATAGTACTGGAAACTATAAAGCTTACCTCCTCTCTATTATATTTAAAAATTAATTTTCTCTTTATCATATTTTCAAAGCAGCTATTTTTTAAAACAAAAATTATTATAGTTAACTACACTGACTGGCACGGCTCGAAACTGAGCCAAAAGCACCCCGTGCCAGTCAGTGTAGTTCACTATAACAAATATGTTTAAGTAATGTTAGAAAATGAGAGAAATGAAGATATTGATTAATATAATATGAATTTAATTGGTAAAAGTGTAAGGAAAACTGAATTATATTAAATGAATGCTTTAGCAAGAGATATATATAGTGGCCATATAAGTTTAAAATAGGATGACATTTGCTAGTATTATTTGAATAGAACATGTTTGAAATTATATTGTTTTTTATTAAAATATAGATCCAACTTCTTTGATAAATCGCACTGTATCATGCATAAAAACTAGACAAATTAACTTGCCTAAAGCACAAACTTATATTATAAGTAAAGGATCTGGTAGATAACTGATATATTTGATACTAAAACACTTAAAAAAGTTAAGAACCTAAGGGCAGTAATATTACTATATTTGAAAAAGATGCCATACTTGAAAAAAAGAAGAATAGTCAAAATGTATTTTAAAAAATGACTTCAATTATAATTTGCGATTAAATATTAAATTTTAATTTTAAATAAAAATCTACCAAAAATAGTTTATTTTAATGTCATGATGAATTATTTAAATATTTTATTTAGCTATTATCATAAGCAAAAGTTATTTTCTTTAGCATTAAGAACTTCTTATATATTTTTAATTTTAAATTTTTACTAATAGCTCTTATGCTTATGGGATTGGGGGTTCTTTAATATCTGAGGTCTACTATAACTTAAATTGATGCAAGTAATATAAAAATGGCTTGATGCAAGATGTGAATGAATATGATCTAGCTAATAATAATTCATTTATAAATTTTTAAAATATACTAAAACTTCAATATATCTTAAATCCCCTGCAAAACCATTGGAAAAATCTCTATTTTTTTTGGTAAAAACCAGCAAAAAAAAATTTATGAAAAAATATTTTAATATATATATATAAGATAATTATTACAATTTAAATCTCTAACTAATTCTGTTTATTTTAAACGACTTGCATTTAAAACATAAATTTTGCAAATTAAATTATTATTTGCTTTAAATTATTTCGCAGTTTTGCAGATTGATAAAGATCAATCTTTTATATTAGAAAATAAAGGTTTACATGTTTTCGATTTTTAATTCAGAGATAGTATCTATAGAATTAAGGAATTGAACATAGATATGGATATTAATCCTTATAAAGATTCAAAACTTCAGCAAAGGTAAAAGGTAGTATAGTTCGCACTATGTGCAATTCAAATAGGGAGCAGAGTGATTGAGCAGAATAGAGGTAGCTCATCTGCTAACTCTCAAATTGGCAGATCTAATGATACTGCAGACTTATTAACTCGTGCTAAGAAATAACTTTCTATATTGTTTCATTATTCTGCTCCCTATTCAGAGCTACAATAAGGAACGATCTTGAATAATTCAAGTAAGATCATAAAATTTGCAATTTCGAAAAATATAAACTTTCACAAAGCCTATAAGAAGAAGATTTCTAACTCTCCCTCCTTAAAGCAAACTATTATAATAATCCTTGGTTTTGAAGAAAACTCTCCACAAGAGTGAAAAAACTATTTTCAATATATTTTTTTTTATAAAATAACTATTTTAATGGCTTCTCTAGCTAATCCTACTGAATTTTAAAGCAGCACTCATTTTAAGGCATAAGTCTTACAAATTAAAATAATTTTCGAAATTTTTTTTTAAGAAAATAATAACTCAACCCCTAGTTAGTCGGCTCGCTTATTGAGATAAGTAATTATAAATATCTTATCAATTATTTTAAATCATTAATCTATCTATGAATCTAAATCTACATCTGGAAATCCTAATTGTATTCCCACATGCTTTTCCTGCTCCATAACTCTTGAATCAAGCAACAAAATATCTTGCTGAATTTTAATTTTTCCTTGGTTTAATGCAAAATGGAAGCTTATTTTTTATTTAAAAATAATTTTAATCTTTTTTTTAAAAATTATATAAAATTAACTGCAAAAAGTTGATGCTTAAGTAAAGTAGAAATAAAATGGTGACTTTGATGGAAATTGGACTCCGAGGCGCACCTCCTATGGAGCTGGTAGGACCCATTGCTGATGAAGCTGAATATACAGGTCTCATTCCTGTCCTAAGTAGGCCTTCGATTGTGGGAAGCCGTGCCGAAAAGGAAATTTTATTTCTCCCCCGAAGGTTTTCCCTGTCCCTGCCAGACGGGCTAGACAGGTTTTTCCTACCACATGGTCTTCCTTCATCGGGACCATCGGGGCACTCAGACAGAAGTGGCTCTGCCCAAAGGAGCTGATCCCTTAGACAGGTGGTTTTGACCAGAAAATCAAGATGGCGTCGGCCTGGGAGTATGGTCTCATCAGAACCCGACCTGAAGTCGTCTTTCGAGCTGAGGTGTCGATATCCGCTGATTTCGCCCACGTATGGCCTTTTAAAACTAACTAACTAACTAACTAAGTAAAGTAACATCAGTTCCAATATCATTGAGTTTATTTTTAAGGTTTTTTTCAAGTTTCTCAGTTTCGTTTAAGGCTGAATTTGTAATATCGTTGCAAGATTCATTGGCTATGTGATTAATATCTCTTACTCCACCCTTTAGATCCTGAAAAAGAGTGCGGTTTAAGTTGAGTTCTTGCTTTAGGTCTTTAAGCCTTTGGTTTAGATGCAAAATGAATTCTTTTATAGTGGGCTCTCTGCTTGGTTCAGAAAACTGCATGGGTAGAGATAAAAATGTTACATTTATACACAAAATTAGGCTTGGTTCAACAGCAAATTGTAATTAAATTTAAGATTTAAGCATAGAAGGCTTTATATTTTAAGGCTTTTAAAAAGCTATAAAGCTATTTGGATAGAGATAAATAAAAACAATTTTATTTTATTATGAAATTGTTATGAAGAAACTGTTTATAGTTCTTATCTAAATTTTAAATTCATAATTTTAATCATATTTGTGTATGCACTTCTTATTAATTTGAAAAGAAAATACTTATAATTAATAATTTTTGAACTTGTCAGCAGCGTTCAAAAATAGGAAAAATTGCTTAATTTCCTATGGCTTACTCCCCCTACCTTTGTGACAGAACAAAAAAATTTTGCTCGTTAAGGGGTTAATTGTTTTTAAAAAATTTAATATAAATTTTATATTAAATTTTTTTTAAAAATCCAATTTCGAAAACAAGCTAAATTATATATATGAAAATGCAGTCTGTTTAAAATAAAAGAATTATTCGATATTTTACTATAATAATTATCATTTATATATCAAACTATTTTTTTTCACGGAGGGTGGTATTTATTCAAAAAATAAGGAATCCAATGGCTTTGATCGACAGATGGAGAGGGAGTCAGCATTTTTGAGTGCTAATGCCATTATACTCTTTTTGTCTAAAATACAATATTTGAAATGGCTCCATTTATACGTTAAGTCATTTCACTGAAAAATTTATAAAATAATAATGGGCTGCGGAGGTTCAAAAAAAGACGTCAAAGCTCCAGAGAATATTTCTCTGGAAAAAACAACAAAGAGTGCTGATAATGCCAAGACTATTCCAAGCATAAAACTCTCAATCCCCCCTTCAAATTGGAATAAAAATTCTGTCCAATTTAAGGATTAATTTTTTTAAAATTTTTCATAATAAATAATTTTTTAAAAAAAATATTAATTGAACAATTTAATAAAAATATTCACTTTTTAATTTAGAATTAATTAAAAAATAATTATTTTAAGATATCAACTATTTTAAATAGCATTCTATTTGCTTCCCTCATTTAAATTAATTAAAAATAAATATTAGAAAATCAGTATTTGCCTATAAAATTTTTAATTGAAAAAAAAAGCCTTTAAAGGACATAATTAAAATTCGCCGATATTTTGTTACAATTTAAAAGTTGGGGAGTCAGAAAATATTGAAAATCCAACAGTTGCTTCATTTTTCCATCAAGCAACTAATACAATTTGTTATGTAGTTGCCTGCCCAAAGACCAAAAAATGTGCAGTGTTTGATTCTGTGTTAGATTATGACCCAGTTTCCTTAAAAACATCAACTGTTCATGCAGATGGAGTGATTGCTTATATTATTGAAAATAATTTTGAGGTAAATTATATCATTGATACCCATGTCCATGCCGATCACTTAACAGGTTCAAAAATATTAAAAGAAAAGTATTCTATTAATCTTACTAAAATCATTTAATTGCTTCTAAAAATAACTTAATCTTGATTAGTCCTATTATAATATTAATAAATATTGATAACCAGTTTTTCTAAAACAGCATATCCTAATGCTAAAGTTTGTATATACCATTAATAAAGACTGATCATTATAGAAAAACCTTAAATTCATATAAATTATTTTGATATTCAAACATTTATAAATATATAGGTTTCAATGTAACTACAGTTCAAAAAGTCTTCCAAAGAATCTTAAACTTGCTAGACCTTAAAACTGATGGCTCACAGTTTGATAAACTTATAAAAGATAATGAAGAAATCCCATTAGGTGATCTAAAAATAAGAGGAATTTACACACCTGGGCACACTCCTGCATGTATGAGTTATGTGGTAGGGGATTCTTTGTTTACTGGCGATACCATATTTATGCCAGATTTCGGGACTGCCCGTTGTGATTTTCCTGGTGGTTCTGCTGACACTTTATATGACTCAATACAAAAACTCTTTGGGCTACCTGACAATTTTAGAGTATTTGTGGGGCATGATTATGGGACAAAGTCCAGAAAAGAAGCATGGGAAACCACAATGGTAGAAGAAAAGCTGCATAACTTGCATTTAAATAGCAATACTCCTAGAGAACAATTTGTCAAGTGGAGAAGCGACAGAGATGCAACTTTAGAGCTCCCGAAACTTATAATGCAGTCTATACAGCTAAATTTAAGGGCAGGTAATTTCCCTCCTCCAGAGGAAAATGGCACCTCGTATTTCAAGCTTCCTATTAATCCTAAATTTTAAATAAAAAAATTAATTACTCAATTGAGATTCTTGACCATCTTCTTGGAATTTTGGACATGCAAAATTTTTTCCCAATAAATTAAGGTTATAAGCTTCAGTTGTTTTGTACATCATGTCATCCCTTGGGCTAAGACTTTTTATTGTGGGGATATGATATGCGCTATATTAATGTTACCCTCTTATAGTGCTTTGCTTGTAAAATGCTCGGTCATATCTTTCTAAATCTGGAGAATGGGGAGTTCTTAATATATGCTCGTGTATTAATGGCTTTCTGGCAGGGTTTTTATTGAAATCGATAAGCGTGAAATTAAGTCTGGGCATGAGCTTTTCTTCATTTTTATTATAAGGCCCAGGAGTTTCTCCAATCTTATGCAGATCTTTTCTCGGTATCATTTTATCAAAAGCTACAGTTCTTGACCTTTTATGCTTACTCCCCCCCCTCCGTGAGTGAACAAAACCATTAGAAAAATCCCTATTTTTTGCCCCAAAAACCCACCCTTCGTGAGTGAACACAAATTTTTTTTAATAGAAAAAAATTTTGATATATATAAGTGATAATTAGTATAATGAAATCTAGAGCTAAATCTGCTTAATTTAAACAAATTGCGTTTTTTAAAACATAATTTTTTACAAATTAAATTAATATTTTCTTCCCAATTTTTTTATAGAAGTGAGATTTTTTTAATTTTCGAAAAAAAAAAATTTTATAAAAAATTTATATATAAATTTTTTTAAAACAAAAAAAATTAACCCCCCTCAGCGAGTGAACAAAATTTTTTTGTTCACTCACGGAGGGGGGGAGTTAGAATTATTTGTATCTGCTGAGGCATAAAACTCAAACCTCAGCTCATTCGGTGGATTCGACGATTTCACAAAAGGATCCCTTGGTTTTTGTATTTTAAAGTCCAAAGGCGATTTAATCTTATGGCCCGGTTTCTCAGGAATAGGACTTACACTTTCTGACTGTTTGCTGAACTTGTCTTGATAATCATTTAGGTTATATATTGTTCGACTTAATTTATTATCATAATACCCTATGCTTGTCTTCGAATATTCTGCTGGAAATGAGCAATTTAAATCATCATCTACACAAGCAGGAATAAAAATTTTTCTCTGTCTTGGGACTCCTATTTTTTCCTTTATTTTTGGAGCTTGGTTAATTCGTGGATCTATAACATTATATTTAGGTGTATATCTTCCTACCTTAGGAGACTCAGTTTTATTGCGATATGCGTGATCTCTTTGTTCTCGTGAAACTGATACAAAAGAAGCTGTGCATTTTTGGGGCTTATTTGCTTTAGCATGAGCAAGAAGTTTGCTTTATAAAGATTATTTTATAAAATATTTTTTTTATATAATTAATGATTTTTATAATGAAATATCAGGTATTCTATTCAATTCTTACACATCATTAATTTGTACATTAAATTAGATATTCTTTTTGAATATTTATAATTTACATAATTATTTTAAAATAAATTAAAACAAAAAAAGCTCACTCTTAAGGAGCTAGCTTTTTTCTTCATCCTCGAGTTCTTTTTCAATGCTTTCTAGGAGCCCTTTGATGCCAGCTGCTGGAAGAGGCTCAGGCTCCTTTATTTTTGCCTTTCTTTTCGGGGATAAATTTAAGTTTGCGAAGAAGTGGATACTGGCTTTGCCTTGGCGAGAAAAGAGGACTTCGTTTTTTAGAATTTCCATTAATATGCAGAAATCAGTTAAGTTTAATAGAGATTTATTAACAAAAAATATAATTTTGCAATAAAATAAGATAAAGATATTATCAAAATTATTCGAAAATAGCATTATGATTTTCCCAATTCATCATTTGTTTCTTGTAATTTTCTCATCATAATTAGCTTGAAATATCTTTTAAAATGGATAAATTTCGTATTAAAAATGAATAGAATTCTTTCTTGATGTATAATAACTACAAAAATGGATTTTATCTTTTGATCAGAAAACCCGATTTGCCAATAAAATGCATGCAATCTTTATATTTAATATGCTTGATGTGAGTATTTAAATATCTGACATACAAATTATATTAAATAAACAAAATTAGATTTTTATAAAAATAGTTAATTTAGAACAAAGTTTTGGGCTTGTTAGAGTAAAAAAATCAATTCAGGAAAATAGAGATAAGCTAATCAATCATTTTATGGGTATCAATCCGAAGGAGAAAATTTAGCATTCTGTCTATAGATTAACCATTTTAATTAAGCTTACTCCCCCATGAATGAGCAAAACCATTCAGAAAAATTCTATTTTTTGCCCAAAAACTCACCCTCCGTGAGCGAACAAAATTATTTTTAATAGAAAAATTGTTTATAGAAAAAATTTTGATGTATAAGTGGCAATTAGCATAATGAAATCTAGAGCTAATTGTGTTTAATTTTAAACAAATTGCGTTTTAAAACATAAAATTTTCAAATTAAAATAATATTTGCTGTCCAATTTTTGCGAATTAGCATTTTTTTAAATTTCGAAAAAAAATTTTCCCCTTCTTGAGTGAGCAAGATTTTTTTGTTCGCTCACTGAGGGGGTGAGAGTTAGTAAGTCATTTATTTTTATACCCGGAAGTGCATCAATAGGCCACTTTGCTTGCACAATCTTTCAATTTATTTAATTATTTTTTTCTCTCCAGCTTCAGAAAAATAAATCTAGGGAAAATGGGTTTATTAATATATTTTCTCTGATAATAGACTCATGATCAATCTAATTTATATCTAATTATCTCTAAAATCTTAATTGTCAGCTAATCTCTAAAATCCTTAAGTAAGCATAATTAGCCAAAAATTTTCTCATCATTAAAAGCTCTTGATTAATGGCTATATTTATAAATCACATTAATTTTAAGACTTCTACTAATTCACCCCCTCCGTGAGTGAACAAAAAATCTTATTCGCTCACGGAGGGGGATTAATATTTTTTTTTTTAAAAAAATTTATATATGAAAATTTTATAGTAAATTTCTTTTTCAAAATTTAAAAAAATTCCACTTTGCAAAATTTGGAAAGCAAATATTAATTTAATTTTAAAATTTATATTTTAAAACGCAATTTGTTTAAAATTAAATAGAATTTGCTCTCGATTTCATTATCTAATTATCATTTATATATCAAATTTTTTTTCCAAAAAAAATTTTTCTATCAAAAAAATTTTGTTAGCTCACGGAGGGAGGGAGTAAGGATTAACTTTTTCAGCTCGCAAAATTTATAGAGAAAAAATTCCCCTTCAGGGTAAATTCTTTCATTAACATTAACTTACTTAGAGTGTTTAAACGCGCTCCTCTGGCTCTGCAGGGTGATTTAGCACAGCCACAAGGGCTTAAATCAGTAGAAGCCAATTGGCGTAGTCACCAGGCATTTCCGACGTCACCCTTTTTATCGGGCCGATGGATCATCCTAAGTAAGTGACGGCCAATTGGCTGCCAGATCTTGCCTTTCTCAAAACTTGACTCCTGCGCTATGGGTCTCCCTCCTCGGTAATATCAAGAAGTAAAGCCCTGTGCCCACTAAATATCCTCGAATCAGGCCAGGAGGCTGTGCACCCTCCCCATTGCTTACCTGATGTTGCTGGATAAGGTCTCATTGGGAAAGCTGAACACTATAATAATAAAATTGGCCAAAGGAAAGTAAATTCCTCAGAGAGAATTTTCTCGACGACGCCATTTTATTATTAAAGGGTAAATTCTTTCAAAATTTAACAAAAATCGAATTGCTATCAATTTTTATGTTTTTTTAAATATGATAAATAAATCGTTTATATCCTCAGAATCACGCATTTTCTGATCTCAAAGTTTAATATTAGTAATACTCATAATTTAATAAGGAGTGCCAGAAAATGAGAATGATTAGTAATAATAATATGAATAAGTATCATGAAACCTGATGGAAAGAAGAAGTCAACGAAACTTTTCAAATTTTGAAGAAATACATTTATCTTTCTATGGCAATAATAGTAGCTGCTTGCTTGTTTTGTCTTTTACTGGTTAATTCAAGTATATCAATATTCGTAATCCAAGCGCCGTTCATAGTAATTCACAGTTGTACGTTTTTGATTCTCCCTTATTTAGAAAATAAAAATGCAATTCTCAAGGCGATTTCCTCAATTGCATATGCTGAATTATCAGGGATTTCGCTTTTTTATCAAGCTCGCCACCTATCATCTGAACACAGGATTCTTATAGAGATGCATGCAGTTCTAATTGTGAAGCATTTAGAGCTACCTTTTATTAAGTCATTTTGGCTTAGAAATTTGATATATGGAAGACATGTATTTTTGTGGTATTACATTAAATATTATTATGGAGAGCTAAGCTTCGCAGAAAATTTTTCGATGCATATGACAACTGTATATGTTTTAATTATTTTCAATCTGATATCTTATTATAGGTTGAAATCCTCATTCGAAAGGTTTTTATACAGAAAAGAGCAAGAAGCTGCTGAGAACAGACTTGGAGTCATAATGAGTGCATATCCAGGCGGAATTCTCGTAATTTCAAGTCTTGAAAAAATTGAATACTGCAACTCTACAATGCTTAATCTGCTTTCCTGTACTTATTTCGAAATTTTCCCATTGCTTGAAGGGGTTCAATACTCAAAAGATAAAAAGTTTTCCAATATAACAAATTCAAATAAACTTATTGATGATATTCAAATTTTATTTGGATCTGACTCCGCCCCTTAAATTGGAACAAATTTTTTGTTCCAATTTAAAGGGAGTTTAAAAAAAAATTTTTTATAAAAAAAAATTTCAAAAATTTATTGAATTAGATTAATAAATTTGTTTATATAAAATGCTATTTACTCTTTATGCTTTAAAAAAAAAAGCAAGTTATAACTAAATTTTCATTATTAGTTAATATGCCACTATTAATTGGTATCAAAACTATTTACACAAAAATTATTATTTTTATTGATAAAAAATAAATTTTAGAAAATTTATCGACCAAAGTGTTAATTTTGCTTAAATAAGATGTTTATTTATACTATATTCTTGAAAATAAAGCAAGAAATAAGTAAATTTACAATTTTTGTAAAGGATTAGCATTGAATTTATATCAAAATTATTTAAATAAAATAATATATATTTTATCGAAAAACATTTAATTTTTTTTTGCATTTAACTTATATCAAAACTTTTTTATTATAATATTAAATTTTGTTCCAATTTAAAGGGGGTTAATTTACCAAAAAAATGGAAACTTTACCTATATTTTGTTCCAATTTAAAGGGGGGAGTGAGACAAACCATGAAGTGATGCTTGGCATCTCAGTGATAGGAGAAAATAGTATTGAGTGGAAGGCAATAAAAGTCCTTTGAGAAGATAAATTTGCATTAATCATTTATGCCAGGAATGCAAATCAGATTATACAATTGGAACAAACTATTTCAGAAAATAAAATAAAGACTGTGTTGTTGCGATCTGTGTCCCATGAACTTAGGACTCCAATTAATGCAATTTCATTTTTAGTCCATGATTTGATTGAGGATGTGAAAATCATATTGGCAAAGTCGCATTTAAAAAAGTTAAAAATGATATCTGTTTCTTCAAAATTGCTATTATCCCTTGTAAATGATTTATTAGATTATTCAAGAATGCTAGCAGGTGTATTTGCTATCCAAAAATCAAGGGTTTCCTTAAAAGAAGTGATCAGCAGCACATGCGATTTGATAAGAATTCAGGCTATTAAAAAAGGCTTAGGATTAGGGATAAGAATTGATCCAATGCTTCCTGAGTATATTTACACAGATCCTTTTAGATTAAGCCAAATTTTGCTGAATTTACTTAGCAATGCTTTAAAATTTACAATGAAAGGACAAATAGACATTTCTTGTATTTCTACTAAAGAAAATAAACTAAAAATTTCAGTAAGAGACACTGGACTTGGGATCCGTGCAGAAAAGCTACAAAACCTATTCGAAGAATTCAATACTGAAAATATATATTAATTGCTCGAGAATGACGCTATTTGCGCCATTCTCTGGCAATACGGTAAATCGGCTCCACACGGTAACGATTTTCCACGTGTGTAGCGATTTTTTCACACGTGGAAGTCAGGATTCTCACGTGTGGAAAAATGGCTCCACATATGGAAAAATCTTACCCGTATGGAGCCGATTTTCGGTTGCCCGAGGATAGCACAAATAGCGCCATCCTCGGGCAATTTCTATACCCAATATAAATCCTCAAGGCTGTGGTCTTGGCCTCCATATTTCTAATAGATTAATTAAAGCACTTGGAAATGGAACAATAAACGTGGTATCCCAATTCGGTAAAGGTTCGATGTTTTCATTTACAATTGATATAAACGAAGAAAATAATTCCCCTGCTGATTTATCAATAATTTCTAATGAAAAAGACTCGCTATTTGATGAAGAAAACCAAAACGTCATCACAGTCAAACAATTTTTCACGTTCCACGAAGGAAAAACTCAATCCCCAAAGGTTTTAATAGCAGACGATAATGATTTTAACAGAATTATTATTGGGACTCTACTAAAGCGAAACGGGATTTTATTTGACGAAGCCTGCAATGGCAAAGAAGCAGTCGACAAAATTGCACTCAAGAGCTCCAAAGAAAAGCAATACTCAGTCGTCATAATGGACTGTAACATGCCTGAATTAAATGGGTGGGAAGCTTCCAAAAAAATATGTACACTGTATAGTGAAGGACGACTATGTGAAAAACCAACAATAATAGGACACTCTGCATATAGCTCAGCTGAGGACATTTCTTTATGCTACCAAAGCGGGATGGCAGAAGTGCTAGTAAAGCCTTGCAGCCCTGAAGAGATTTTAGGGACCATAAAAAAGTATAGAAATTTCCCATAGATGGCGCTGTTTGCACTTGATTTGCCCACCGGGAAATGTTTTGGTTTGACCAAACCATATGGTACTGGTCGAAATAAAACATTTCCCAGTGGGCAAATCAAGGGCAAATAGCGCCATCTATGGGAAATTTCTATATCTGACAAGTTAGTAATATTTTTTTTCAATTTTATTTAATTATAATAGTAATTATTTATAATTATTCAGAATGGGAAGTATGGGATTCAGATGGCTGTGAGGTAGGATGAATATTAGGGAGCGTTGTATTTAATTCTTGGTGCAGTCAGGAGTCTTGTAATGCTTCTCTAGCTGTAGGTCGAATACTTGGCAATGGCTCTGTTAATCTTAAAACAAGTGTTGATGCGTATTTTGAGACATTTTTCCAAGCTGGATGTTGAAAAGAAATTTTGCCTTCACGATTTTTTATAAGGACATCATTTATATTTTTACCGTTAAATGGCATTTTGCCACTCAATAAGATGTATAAAATGACTCCTAAACTAAATAAATCAGCTTTGGCATCATAGTAGTGTTTCCTCAGTATCTCAGGAGCGATATATCCAGGAGATCCACACCTTAGATGTAAGCCTTCAGTGACTTCTGCTGCTAAGCCGAAGTCAATAATTTTGAAATCATAATCATTTTCTTCGGAGACCATAAGAATATTTTCTAGCTTAAGATCTCTATGAACTATATCTAATGAGCTCATATAGTCTAAAACTCCAAGCATTTTTTCAGCGAAATGAGAAACCGTTCTCTCATTGAACACTTTTTTTTTGACCATTCTTGAATGTAAGTTGCCTCCTTCTACATAATCTGTGACTAAGTAGATAAGGGATGAATCTTCATATACGTAATGAAGTTTTACAATATTTGGATGGTCAAGCATTCTCATGATTTTTATTTCATCAGCCACGCTGTTAAGACTGCTGGTGGTGCTGAAGTTATTTTTATTAATAGCTTTAACTGCATAAGGCTTTGAGTCATTATTGCTTAAAGCTAAATAGACAACCCCAAAGCTGCCGCTTCCTATCTCTTTTACGATGGAAAAATCGTTCGAGAAGTCAGTCATAATGCAGGTTGGGAGCAGGACGTCTAGTCACTCATTTAATTTTTCTTCATTTTCTACATAAAAATCCCGAGAGCATCCTCGATGACCAACCGAAAACCCAAACCTTTCTTTATCACCGTTAACCTCTGTAAAAGGCTCAATTATCTTCCAATCTAATAAAGTTATTTTATTAATTGAATCAGGGATAACCTTTATAAGATAGTTTTTGATCAGAATTAGTTCACAAGACTTGATAGCTCCTTGTTTTGCTTTATAAAAAACTTTGTTTTTGAAGACTATGCTGCTATTTTTGTTTTTTTCTGGCTTTCAGAACTTATAAGAGCCCTGAAACCTACTATTTATGGACTCAAACAAGGACATTTATATTTATTACTGACAATATCTTTTATCAATTTATCAAATTATCAGTGTTTTTTTGGCAGTTTTATAAAAATAATTAAATAAAATTCATAGAAATTTTATATATAAAAAATGTAATTTTTAATAGAAAATCAACAGAAAATTAAAAAAAATTTAAAATTGGTTAAATTCATCTACAAAGAGGTGATGATTACTGTACTTGAATAGCTTGCTTTCTAATTTTAGGCTCTAGCGAGCAAAGAAAGATCCTATTTATCAAAGAAAAAATTCTAAATTTTTGGGTATAGCCTGTTTTGCTATCTAAATTAATCTTTTGTGCAATTTTTTTATATTTCTTAATAATTAAAAAATATTTAAATTTAGAACGAAATAAATAAAAGGAATAATATTTAAAAATCTTATTCTCGAAATAAAAGAACTGAGGGAAGATTTTTCAGTGTTTAGATATAGAGGTTGTATTATATTGGAATTCACATTTTTTTTTGAATTGAAAAATAAAATGCAATATCAAAAATTAAAATCAATCTATTAATTTCTATAGTTTATAAAGACAACTCAGTCAAAATCTACAAATTATAATTTCTTATTTTACTTATTTTGCTTAATATAAATTTAAATTACATCTAAAATTATTATAATTTATTTTCTTCATTTACTTATAAAATAATAAACATCTTAAATCTCCATATTATTTTCTAAAAATGCGTAAATTATTTTTTGAAGTATTATAAACTTTCCATATGTCTATTTAAAATTGTAAACATTTAAGTTTAGTAAAAGCTATAATTATCCTAGTTACTTCGCTTTAATGTCTCTTTATGGTCCAATTTCATTTTTTTAGTTAATCTTTCGGCTAATTTTTTTTTTGAGAGCTCATTATCAGAAAAATTAGATTTCTGAAGCCACGGATGATCTAATATTTCTTTTGCAAAAGGTCTTGATTTAGGGTTCGGCTCCATCAATTTCATAACAAATCGAATACCTTTTTTAGACACATGCCTTCAAATTTCTTTTTGAAAAGAAATAACACCTTCTCGATTTTTACGCAGAATTTCTACTGTATTTCTGCCGCTGAATGGCATTTTTCCGGATAATAGGATATAAAAAATAACGCCTGAGCTAAAAATATCAGCTTTGAAATCATATGGCAGCTTTCTTAGAATTTCTGGAGCTATATAGCCAGGAGAGCCGCACCTAATTAGCGAATTCTCATTTAATTCAGCTGCAACCCCAAAATCAGCTAATTTGAAATCGTAATCGTTATCCTCAGAAGTCATTAGAATGTTTTCTAACTTAATGTCACGGTGAATGATATTAAGGGAGCTTAAATAGTCAAGCACACTTAATAGTTCTCTAGCAAGCCGAGTTACTGTCTTCTCATCAAACCTTTTTTTTGGACTTATTCTTGCAAATAAATTATCATGTTCTACATAGTCAAGTATTAAACATATATGGTTTGGGCACTCATAAACATCATGGATTTTAATTATGTTCGGGTGACTGAGTTTTCTGATCACCTTAATTTCGTTTACAAGATTTTCTAGGCCCATATCATTTTTTATTAAGTCTTCCTTATTGATTGCTTTTACAGCATATTGCTTTCCTGTAGAATTGCTATTAGCAAGATATACTTTTCCAACAGTTCCACGCCCGATTTCATTCAATAAAGTAAAATCGTCAGAAAAACTTGCTAATGCATCAATTGAAGCTCAATAATCTTGCTTAGTTCTGTTGATTGCCGAACTTTCTGAAATTGACTCTTTATACAGATGTTGTATAAGCCAAAATTGTAATATACCTTTAATTTCTTCTTTAGAAGTCTGAAATTCTTCTGATTTAGTTAAAATCTTACCAACATTGACTTCATCTTTTATTTTATTTATCAAATTTGTGTTCAACAGCAGCAAAGCAGCTATCCACTCATCAAGTTTTTCTATATTTTCTACATAAAACTTCCGTAAAGCTTCATTATTACTAATTGAGAACCCAAATAGTTCTATTTGACCTATGGACTCTGTAAACGGTTTTATTATTTTTTTATCCAATAAAGCAATTTTATTGGCCGAATTCGGGGTTATCTTTATAAGATATTTTTGAGCTAATGCTAGCTCACATGATTTAAAGGTCCCTTTCTTGGATTTTAGAAAAACTGTGCCTTGAAAGATTCTTTCTATAGTGTTGCTATTATCAAACTTTCAAAAATTACTGGATCCTTGAATCTTGGCATTTATAAGTTCAATTTAAAACATTTATTATAATTATTATTGATTTTTACCATCCAATATTATAAAATTTTTTTTCAGCTAGTTAATATGCATATTTAATCTAGAACAAAAATAAAAATTCCATTTTGAGAAATCGAGAACAGAAAATGAAAAAAAATTCTTACTTCGTTTGGCAAGTCTATATATTATAGACGATTTTTATCCTTGAGTGATAGCTAGTAAATGCTCTATTTAATTATAAAAATAAAAAATATTTATTTAGATGAAATTGAAGAATTTTAGGCTTCATAAATTAAGAATTTATGTTATCTACAAAATATATGCATTAAAATTAAACTTTTCAGATACTTACTTCTATATCGAGAAATAATTTTTTAAAGATTATTATTTAAAAGTATTTTAATAAGCTAATTTAATGTGCAGAATTATTTATTCCAATTTAAAGGTTGAGTAAGTTAAAAGTTAATAGGCATTGTTGGAGATTTCATTGCAATCACTGTTATTTTATTATTACATTATTTTAACACCAATTTTTCAGCATTTATCTCTTTAATTATTTAAACTGAATAAATAATTTTTAACCAAGTTGAATCTTTTCTCTATAATCTTTCATTCATTCTGCAGTTCTCTGTGAATATAATACAATTCAGGCACCATTATTTTTAATAATATTGTCAAGAATTCCACATTTCTCTAATCAATTAAAAAATACCTCATCAGATCGAAAGGCAACTGATTTATTTTTCCTTCGCTTAATATTTAGTATGGATTTTCAAACCTCATTCTACCCCTTACTCTTGCTCTGCATACTTTCAAGCATTGACTGCTTTCTCTCAGTGTCCAGTGTGCCATTTGCATCATCTTGATTTATTATCAATTTAACTTTTTATATAAAAATAGATTTTTAATGCTTTATTGAGAGTTTATTTCCTAAAAAAGTTAAAATAGTAAAATTTTTACTTTTTTAGTAAAATCCAAATTTTTCTAGCAAAGAAATTTCACGGCTTTGCATTTTCAGCAGACAAAATAAAAATAAATAAAAAATGAAATCGGCTCCTAATTATAGTTTAGAGCATAAAAGAATGCAATATTCATCTTTAAACTTAGCCTTACATTTCTAGAACTTTATTTTATTCAATGTGTTTTATAAATACTTTAGTCATCAAAATGAGCTTGTTTTATTCTAATCATGTATGGAAAAAGTTCAATTTGTAGTTTGTCTAATTCTAAATAATCACTGACATTATTATTAATAAAAAATAATATAAGAAGATTAAGAATTCAAATCGTAAATAATATTTCAAATTCATTTTCTAAAAAATTACTCCCCCTGTAAGCAAACAAAACAATTGGAAATCCCTTTTTGCCTATAAAACCACCGTGACGAACAGAACAAACAATTTTTATGAAAAACATTGATATATAAATGATAATTAGTATAATGAAATCTCTAACTAATTCATTTTAATTTTGAGCAAATTGCTGTATAAATTTTTAAAACTTGCTTTTCAATTTTGGAAATTGGGATTTTTTTTAAAATTTCGAAAAAAAAGTTTTGTTTTAACCCCTCGTGTGCTAACAAAAATATTTGGTTTGTTCATGGAGGGGGTGGGAGTTTAATATTTAAATATTTTATAAATTAATCATTATCGAGCTATAATTTCTATCTATTTGGTTTAAAATTTAATAATTAAATATTTTCAATACAATAAAATTATGCCTTATTATTTAAGGTCCGATTTTCATTTTTTTATTCACGCTCTCCGCTAATGTTTTATTTGAGAGCTTTTTATCAAGTTTATTTAGTCCTCGCTGAAGCCACGGATCACCCAATGCTTCTTTTGCAAAGGGTCTTAATTTATGATTAGGTTCCATCAATTTCATAATAAATCGAATACCTTTTTTAGACACATGCCTTCAAATTTCATTTTGAAATGAAACAATACCGTCTCGATTTTTACGTAGAATTTCTATTGTATTTCTGCCACTAAATGGCATTTTTCCGGATAATAGTATATAAAAAATGACACCTGAGCTAAAAATATCAGCTTTGAAATCATATGACAACTTTCTTATTCCCCCCTCCGTAAGCGAACAAAACTATTGGAAAATCCCACCATTCGTGAGCGATCAAAATTTTTATGAAACCAAAATTTGATATATAAGTAACAAATTAATATAATGAAATCTCTAGCTAATTCTGGCTAATTTTAAATGAATGTGGTAAATTTTACAAATTATATAAATATTTGTTTTCCAATTTTTGTGAATTAAAATTAAAATTTTGAAAATAAAATCTACTATAAATTTTTTAAAAAGTAAGATAGCCCTTCTCCGTGAACCAACAAATTTTTTTGTTCGCTCACAGAGAGGGGAATTTAGAATCTCAGGAGCTATATAGCCAGGAGAGCCACACCTTGTTAGTGAATTCTCATTTAATTCAGCTGCAAGCCCAAAATCAGCTAATTTGAAATCGTAATCGTTATCCTCAGAAGTCATTAGAATGTTTTCTAACTTAATGTCACGGTGAATAATATTAAGGGAGCTTAAATAGTCAAGCACACTTAATAGTTTTGTAGCAAACCGGGCTACGGTATTCTCATCAAATGCTTTTTTTTCAATAATTCTTGAAAATAAATTATCATGCTCAACGTAGTCAAGTATTAAGCATATATGGTTTGAGCACTCATAAACATCATGGATTTTAATTATGTTCGGGTGATTGAGTTTTCTCATTACCTTAATTTCGTTTACGAGATTTTCTAGGCCCATCTCATTTTTTGCTAAGTCTTCCTTATTGATAGCTTTTACAGCAAATTGCTTTCCTGTAGAATTATTATTAGCAAGATACACCTTGCCAACAGTTCCGTGTCCTATTTCATTCAGTAAGGTAAAATCGTCAGAAAAATTCGTTAATGCATAAACTGAAGTTAAATATTCTTGCTTAGTATTTTTTATGGACAAAGCTTCAGGAATTGTCTCTTTATATTGGTTTTTTATAAGACAAGACAATGAAATACCATCAGATTCTTCTTTAGAATTCTGAAGTTCTTCTGAAGTCACCATAGTGTTTTGAATATTACGGTCATCTTTTATTTTTCTCATAAAATTTTTATTCAACACTTGGAAAGCAGCAAGCCATTCATAAAGTTTTTCTCTATTTTCTACATAAAACCTTTGAGAAACTTCACTATCACTTATTTTAAACCCAAATAGTTCTGTCTGATCAATAGCTTCTGTAAAAGGTTCTATGATTTTTTTATCCAATAAAGCGACTTTATTGGCCGAATTCGGAATTATCTTTATAAGATAGTTTTGAGCAAGTGCTAGCTCACATGATTTAAAGGCCGCATTCTTAGACTTTAGAAAAATCTTGCCTTGAAAAACTGTTTCTATAGTAATGTTATTAGTAAAATTTCAAAAATTGCTTGATTCCTTATTCGTGGTATTTAAGGACTGAATTGAAGACATTTATTTTTATTACTGATATTTATTTTTCTAATTTTATAAAATTCTGAGCCTTTTTAATTAGTTAATATAGATGTAGTTAATTTTAATTCTTAATTAATATTTGATCACATTTTAAAGGATAGAGAACAGAAAATTAAAAAAAAAACCTCATAGTTTGAAAAGTCCACACATTATCTATGAATTTTAATCCTTGAGTGATATTTAGTAAATGCTAAAACTCAATTATAGAAATAAAGAAATATTTTTTTAGATTTAAATCAAAAAAATTTTCGCTTTATAATTTAAGAATTCACATCATCTCTGCAAAAACTCAAAATTTGCATATACTTAGAGAAATTCTTGTAAATAATCCAAATTCTGATAAAAAATAATATTAGAAAATAAAACCAATGACTCTTAATTTTTAAATGCAACTTTTTTGGTTTTTTGTAATTATTGGCATTCCTATCCTCCAAAATCGGTTTTCATTTTATAAAAACTAATTTACTGTTTTTTTAGTTAAAAAGTAAATTGAAAGAAAATTCTTTATTAATTATTGGTAAAATTATAAAATCGCTAGAATTAATATTATTAAATTTCGTGCTCGTTTTTGTTTGTATTTTCAATTAATGCTCTTTTTTTAATTTTTAAAGCTCCCCACTTTAAAATGTAAAATTCTATTTTGAGGGCACTAAAATAATTTTTTCGCTTAGGTTTTCTTTAATTTACTAATTGCCTATCAATCTTGTTCAAAAAATTAATTAGAGCATGGCTCCTTCATTCAGTTTTATAATTATTTTATTACTCTAAAAGTATGCATAAGACTTTCACATATATATTAATCATAAGACTTGAAATCGCCTTTTTCTGGCAAACAATACATAATAGCATGGCTTTACCAGATTGAATTGTCACAAATCGAGATTTTAGCCTCCTATGAAGAAGAAAGAATAACGCATGCCCATAAATTTTACGCTATTCATGAGTTTTCTCATCTTAAACTTTCTAGCCTTGCTTTTTATATAGAATTTTTTTCTTTTTTAATCCTTAGCATCTATAATCCCCTTTTCAAATTTTTATCAGTATGAAAATCACACTATTTCTATTTTTATTCAATAATTAAACAAAAAATCTAGTTTTAAAAAGTGTTTTTAGCCAGAAAAATATCCTAATTATTTTTGAATAATATAGACAAATTTATATTACTATTTATTTACATAGTTTACTTATTCCTAAAGTTTTGATAGCTTTCTATGTATAATTATCCTCTCTTCTGCTACTTTTGTTTCACTTTTATGTAATTTTTTTACATCATCTATAACTACTCTACTTTCGTTAAAAAATGGATGTTTGAGAAGGTCTCTTGCATAGCCTCTACGACAAGGATCTTTGTTCAAAATTTTAGTCACAAATGCTAAGCAGTTCATTGAAACCTCTCTCCAAATTTGTTCTTCGAAATTTAATTTACATTCTTTATTCTTTACTAGTATATCTTGGGCTGTCTTTCCAAAAAAGGGCATTTTTCCGCTAATTAATATATATAAAACAATGCCTGTACTGAAAAGATCTGCTTTTGTTCCATATGGAAGCCCATTTATTACCTCAGGAGCAATATACCCTGGAGATCCGCATTTTTTGAAGAGATCCCCTGTTGCTTCTTCAGCTAACCCAAAGTCAGCTAACTTGAATTCATAATCGTTGTGTTCAGAAACCATTAGGATATTTTCTAATTTAATATCCCTATGTACAATGTTTAATGAGTCGAGATATTCAAGAACTCCCATTAGCCTATGACTGAGTTTTACTATTGTTTCCATAGTAAATCTTTTCTTTTTTATTATTCTTGTAAACATGCAACCTCCTCTGACAAAGTCTTCTACTAAGTATACATGAGTATTACTTTCGTAAACTCTATGCAATTTTACTATATTTGGGTGGATGCATTTTCTCATAATTTTTATTTCATTTGTCAGAGAGTTTAGTAATTCTGAATCCTTTAAAAGGCGGTCTTTTTTTATTGCCTTTACTGCATATCTTTCGAAATCTTCATTGCTCTCTGCAAGGAAAACTTGAGCGAATTTGCCTGTTCCAATCAGTTTTATGAATTCATAGTCATCTTCTATGTCTGTTTTTATGCACAGACTGGATAATTTTTCGATCCAACTGTCTAAGAATTTAACATCAGACACATAGAAATCTCGGGAGTGCTGGTTATGACCTAACCTAAAACCATAATGATTGCCCGTTTCATCATGCTCAACAAAAGGCTCGAGGATCTTTCACTCAATCGGGACCATTTTCTTAGGCGAGGAACTCAAATTTATTAAGAATTTCGGAGTTAAAGTATATTCTCCTTCTTTGAGAATTTTCTGCTTAGACATCTCATACAACTTGCCTCTGAAAATCTCACAAGAGTCAATATGGTCATATGGCATCCAAAATTTCCAAATCCCTTGAGCTTGGTGGTCAGCAATTTCAAATATTGTGTTCATTATTTATTATTAGATTGCATCACTGCCAAGAAGAGTTATTTACCTCTAAAAATGGTTGGAATATAGCTAAGACACAAAATTAATTAAATTAATTGGTTTTTTAGATAGCCTTCTTGGGTAGAGTATCTGATCTCAAAGTTGATTAATAATTTATTTTACTTTTTGTTGTAATTTAGAATTTTCGAGACTGATTTATATTTTTTTTTTTCTTAACCTAGTAAAAGCATTCCTTTAAGAAATTCTCAAAGACTGCCTTTGACTAATACCTGCTCTTAAGATTTATATTGATCGCATATTATGGTGAATTTAAAACCCAGCCACTTTACCAAAAAAAGGGAAAATTTTGATTAAAGCGAAAAACAAAAGAAGATTAAGGCTAAGCTTTTAGATTTAAATTTACTTTAATTTCTAGACATTAGAATAAAAATTAATACTTGCTGTGTGAGATAAAGACCATAATAATCATTTTGAATTAGAAGGTGCCTAAGCTGGTTTATAGTTGAAAGCATTCTAACCGTTTCCTGATTTCTATAAGATAAGAAATGCAACTACTTATAAATAGATACGTATTTTATTGAAGTTACCTATCAATCTATTTAATATAGCAATTACAAGATTTAAGAAAATATTTTTGAATGACAAATACGCTTATTTCTTTATAAGAAGTATTAAGGATTCCCTATAAATAGGCTAAATTTTAGCTTCAGGAGTTTTTAGGGTAGAAGCAACAATAGGTCGACATTTTTAACCAGTAAACATAGACATATTAAAATTCAGGGATAGCTGATAACAAAATGGGAGATAAAGCCATTTTTCTTTCTAAATTAAAATATTTAATTAGCATATCAGTTCCATATCAGTGAGTTGTCGTTGCATACAGTCATAATAAGCTCATCAGATCGAAATTTAGAAATATTTAGTTATTTATTTTAAATTAACTATAGAGTCCGCAGGCCATTCATCTCCATTGATGCTTGGTCCAAGACTTCAGACAGCATTGCAGTGTGTTTACCCTTGTGGAAAAGGGTTATATATGTAGTCCAACGGCCAATAGCACATGCCATAATGGCGTTGCCATGCCTTATAGAAAATTTGGTGATCAAGACGGAAGCTTAAAACCAGGACAATTTCTGATACCTCGTTTAGCCCTGAACCTATCTCTAAAAATGGTAATTTAGATATGGGATGGGCAGGCCAGTCCAAACTGTCCTACCCTTCAGATAAGTCAAACCTGGCCAAATGTGCATTTTCAAGTTCCTCTTCATGGGATTTCCCAATCTGTGAAGCCTTTACTGCAGGATATTATAAAACCTACTTTCAACTCCATTTTAATGAAATTTTTAAAAATATTCATAAATAATTAACTTTATTGATTGAAAAAAGAGGAATAAATGAATGCATGATTGCTTTTGATTCATAAAAATTTAACAATATTGAGCCACTATCGACTATAAAGGAAGGCTGCTCTAATATATTATTTGCTAATCTTCTTATTTTTTTTAGCTTTTAGATAATCTAATAAAGAGCTAAATAATACCCTTCTCAATAAGAATTAAGCTTATTTTATTAAATACCTGATCAGAACTTCAATTCCCAGATATTTCTTATCAAGTACGTGATTAAGTTTAATCAATTGACAACTATCTATGGTGAGTTTAATAGCTAGTTTAATAATAAAACTTGCAGGCGAACTTCATAAATTTTATATTCGCCAGGCCATGCAGCCATATTATTGATCAACTGAAGTATTAAAACATGCCTATTATTAGCTGCAGGCTTATTTTTAAAATTTAAATAAAACAAACTACCAGCAAGGCTTCCAATCTACTCTTTGATAAATATAAAAAAATTGTAACTTTTGATGATATTATAATATGGCAAAAATATAATTATTAGATGATTGCAAGATTAATGGGTATTTGCTTATTTGGGAAGCCAATGCGAAATAAGTTATATTGAGATTAAAATTGAAATTTTATAAAAGCTAAGAGTCTATTAGATGCAAGAATTATTCCTAAAAATGGTAAAGGGCTAGATTAGGGTAATTAAGATGGATTTAAGTATATTGGGGACGCAGCCACCAAAGACCTCCTGTATGAGAGATTCATCGGTTTACGGTAAACTGTCAGTAGGTCTAGTCGAAACGCTACAGCTGCCTCATAATTCAATCTTGAGTGAGCGGCTTATTAATTTCTGCAACCCAGTAACGGAAGGTAGGAGTAGCTTGATCCCAGGAATTAGCTCTTTGAAATCTATCGGATACTAAAGTGCTTTCCTTTGAAAGCTATAGTAAAAAGACTGCTTCACTATAATCTGGACAAACCCTAGGTTTCTCCCCAATGGTCCGAAGTCCACTTTTGGCCTCCATTTCCAGCCAATAAAAGCAGCCAAGCCTACCTGGATACAGATTTGTTGAGGCTGAACTTGTTTTCAAGCCTCAGTCTGCTATATTTCGTTATGGCCTTAAGGTACGGACCGTTCTGCCAATATTTAGCAAGCATTCTAAATTTAATTTAAAACATGATAAAGTTATATTTGAAATTTTTCTTATACAATAATTGCAAAATTATGTATGTTACATTTTTATAATAAAATAGAGATGGATTTATAGCGCTTTCCCGAGGATGGCGCGGAATGGCGCCATCCTCGGGAAAGTCAACTAAGCATCCACACGGGAAACTGGGAGTTCCACGTGTGGATGCCATTTTTGACATGTGGGATCCAAACTTCCACATGTCAAAATGGCATCCACACGTGGAACTCCCAGTTCCCGTGTGGATGCCTTCCTGGCTTTCCCGAGGATGGCGCCATTCTGCGCCATCCTCGGAAAAGCGCTATATATCATAATAATGCATTTATAACAATAGCTTTTAAATTGCTATTGAAGAAATACCCAAATTTTCTGGAGCTGTTAATGCCCTTACTCCTTTAATTAATTGCACTCTCGTCTAATTTCGAGCTTCCCTAACTCCCCATCGTTAATCGATTTTCGTCTATTGCAAATTTTTTATATACAAAAATAAATAGATTAGTTAATATTTATTATAATTTATAAAAAATAATAGTTTACATTAGCAAATTAAGAGTAATTTACGTATTTTCTTAATAATCTATACGGAATTAATTATCTGAATGGCTTTACCATCAACTTTGCTCAAAAGTTTAATAATCTAAAAGTTAGAATATTTATAAATTAAAAATAATTAATAAGGAACAGAAAAATATTTTTTAGGGTGGAAGAGGGCAAAATTTTAAATTAATTTTTTTATTTTAATAGTTTAAATATTTACTATCTTAACTCTCTTATTTAAAAAGTAAAAAAAACAAGAAAAATAATATATATTAATTTTTCAAAAAATTTTAACCCCTATCCTTGATCGAGCGACAGGGTACTCCAGTCAAGAATGGGGAGTAAGATTTATTTTAATTTTTTCTCTTATTATTATAATTATTTGATATTATTTAGTCAATTTAAATATTCTTGAAAATTTAGCGATTAAGTTGATTTTCCCCAAAAATTATATAAATATACATATTCTAACTCTAAAATCTTAATTACATTATTCTTCATACCAATCTTTGTAGGCTTTATTCCTCCCTTTTTTCCTCCGATTTTATTATTGGACTTGTCTTTATTTTCTCCATTTTTGAGCTTGTTTCAGACAGCCATGGGTGATCTAGCATGTCTCTTGCAGTGCTTCTACAATTTTGATCCTTTTGCACCAGTCTAACCAAGAAGCTTAAGCAGTTGTGAGGAACATAGTTTCAGATGATTTCCTGGAAATTTAATTTACAGTCTTTATTCTTGCATAATATATCCTGAGAAGTCTTCCCATTAAAAGGCATTTTCCCAGTTAGTAAAATATAGAGCACAATCCCAAAGCTAAAAACATCTACCTTAGTTCCATATGGAAGCCCTTGCAGTATTTCAGGAGCAATATAGCCTGGGGATCCACATTTTTTGTGGAGATCCCCTGATGCTTCTTCTGAAAGTCCAAAATCAGCGAGCTTAAAGTCATAATCGTTGCCCTCGGAGACCATAAGGATGTTTTCAAGCTTAATGTCTCTATGCACAATATTTATAGAGTCGAGATATTCCAGCACCTCCATAAATTTATAGCTTAATCTTAATATCGCTTCGTCATCGAATTTTTTCTTTTGAAGTATTCTATTGAACAAGTCTCCTCCTTCTGCATAGTCTATGACTAAATGCACATGGGTTTCACTCTCATAGACTCTGTGTAATTTGGCTATGTTTGGGTGATTGCATTTTCTCATATTTTTTATTTCGTTGATTAGTAAATCAACAAATTCGGAATTTTCTAGAAGGTAACTTTTTTTGATTGATTTTATGGCGAATTTTTTCATGTCTCCAACTCTTTCTGCAAGAAAAATCTTGGCTGATCTACCTTTGCCTATTGGTTTTATAAAGTCATAGTCATCTTCTATGTCTGTCATTATGCAAACTTTCGACAATTTTTCTATTCATTTCTCTAACTTCTCCTCCGTAAGCAAACAAAAAATTTTGTTCGCTCATGGAGGGGGTTATGCTTTTTATTTTGAAATTTAAAAAATCAATTTTTGAAAATTGGAAAGCAAATATTAATTTAATTTGTAAATTTTTTTTTAACATGTAGGCTGTTTAAAATAAATCGAATTAGTTCGCGATTATATTATAATAATTATCACTAATACATAAAAAAAAAATTCTATTAAAACAATGATTTGTTCACTTAAGGTGGGTGGGTTTTTACTCAAAAATAGGGATTTCACAATGGTTTTGTTGCTCACGGAGTGCGTGGAGTAAAGAATTAATGTCAAAAACATAAAAATCTTTATAATTCCCTGTATGGCCTAGTCTAAAACCATATCGAACTTCGCTTTTATTTTCTTCAATAAATGGATCAACAATTTTTCATTCAATTGGAACCATTTTTTGTCTGCCTAGCTTATTTTTCACTAGAAATTTCTCTGTTAAACTAAAAAATCTCTTTTTAAGAACTCTTGATTTAGATAGTTCATACAAATGGTTGCCAAAGATTTCATCCATATGATCCTCTTGGTATTGCCCCCAGAACTCTAAATTTCGCTGCATTTGTCTGTCTGCGTTAACAAAAACTGAATTCATTATTTTATAAGCCACAAAAATTTACTGATTAAATAAGTTGATTTATTACTAAAAATGGCTAGAAGTCATAAGCTTTTGAAAAAAGTGACCTATACGAATAAAAATTAGATTTTTGAGCTTTCATTTTAGTGACTCTATTAATTTTAATCTTCTATTGGATTTCTAGAAAAAATTGAAATAAACTAAAAGCTATGAAATTTTTGGTGTTTTAAGAGAATTTTGAAAATATCATATAAAAACTTTAAACTATCCATATAAATTTTGTTTTTTAAAGATTTTTAGCCTGCCTTGATAAGATTTGTAAGCCATTTTATTAAGACGACAAAGTTATTTTTCTGAGGTCACTTCATAAAGATGGGATATAAGGCAAACAATATTATAACTAGAAATCCTGCAAAATAAATTATTTAAATTTAAATTTCTAAATATAATAATGAAATTTGATATTTTATGTTAAAAGCCAGCTTTTTATGATAAATTCAAAATTTTTTTGTTTTCAGTTATCTTTTTAAACTTCTTTATTCTTGCAAAAATAGCTTATATACAAATTCTAATCACTATTTAAACATCCAAAAATTAAATTTCGATCAATAAAGTATAATCACAAATAAATTAATTTAAAAAATCACAATTTATTATAAATCATGATATTATTTTATCAATTTATTTAAAATTTTATTTTCTTCCTGATTTCTTCTGCACATGAGTTTATGTCTTTAGTTTCTTGTAATTTAAATTCATTTTCAGAAAATCATGGATGATTCAAGAGGTCTCTTGCATTTGCCCTAAAATTTTGGTCTCTCTGCAGAAGATTAGAGACAAAGGATAAGCAATTCTTTGTAAGGTTCTTCCAAATAGACTCTTGGAAAGCTATTTTGCAGTCTTTATTTCTTAATAAAATATCACGAGTTGTTTTCCCTCCAAATGGCATTTTCCCAGTTAATAAAATAAATAGGACAACTCCAGCGCTGAACAGGTCTACTTTGGTTCCATATGGAATGCCGGTTATTATTTCAGGTGCTATATACCCAGGAGACCCACACTTTTTGTAAAGAGATCCAATGACTTCTTCTGACAGCCCAAAATCGGCTAATTTGAAGTCGTAGTCATTGCCCTCAGAGACCATTAAAATGTTCTCAAGCTTTATATCTCTGTGAACAATATTTAAAGAGTCCAGATAACTGAGGACACTCATCAGCCTATAGCTAAGCTGAAGTATTGTTTCTTCAGTGAACCTTTTCCTCTTTATTATTCTTGTAAAAAGGTCTCCTCCTTCTGCGTAATCTAGGACGAGATAAATATGAGTCCCACTCTCATAAACTCTATGAAGCTTCAAAATATTTGGGTGGTTACATTGCCTGGTCAATTATAAATCCCAACCCCCGTTATATAATTAGATATATATATGATAGCATGTTGTTTATATTTGCAGTAAACTTCCCTACCGACCAAAACCATCTGCTATTCGACTGCAAAATAGCAAGCTGGTCATGGCTAGTAGATAAATTTACTAGTGTTCAAATATTCACAACTCATAATAATTTAGTAATTCAGAGTATAGCCTATGCCCCTATATAGATTCTTTATCGAGCAGACTGGGAAAGACCTTGAAGATAATATTGAAGGGGATGGGCTGGATCTCTATGATATCAAGGACTAAAACGCGAAATGTCAAAAAATGATTGACAAGTGACCAAGCTTGAACAGCATCCCTACCTCCTAAACTATTAAAACACAATTTATAGGAGTTTAAGATCTGTACTTGACTACATTGCCTCATAATTTTTATTTCGTTGGTTAAGTTTCTTAAAATGTCTGGATTTTCTACTAATTTGATTTTTGTGATAGCTTTAATCGCGTATTGCTTATTATTATTAGCTCTTTCTGCTAGAAAAATCTGAGCAGATTGGCCTTTTCCAATTGGTTTTATAAAATAATAATCATTTTCTATATCTGTCATTATGCACAAGTCAGACATTTTTTCAATTCAAATTTCAAGACTTTTGGTGTCGGGCACGTAAAAGTCCTTCATGTGGCCGATATGGCCTAGCCTGAAACCGTAGCGAGGAGCATTTCTGCTTTCTTCAACAAAAGGCTCCATAGATTAAATTAAGCGAAGTATTTTAAGTTCCTAGTTTTCTGCACCGCTCATCTTCATGCTAGCTAGGCAGCAGCTGTGAGGCGGCAAATTTAAGAAGTCTGAATACCGCAGGAAACTTGGTTTCTCACTCAATGCAAGCTTTGCTATATTTAAGGATTATGTTGATCACGCCCAGCCCAGTGTCAATGTTCATAAGGTTTTTTTACTGGCAGACATTTTCTGAACATTTTTGATTGAAATTTTTTTCCCTGTCAGACATTTGGTCAACAAAAATCTTTTTGTTTTTAGTCACGAAGGGGCAAAAAATAGGATCTTTCTAATGGCTTTGCTCGCGGGGCATCAAATATCTGGCTCCAAAAAATGCTAATTTTAAGCTAGGCCACCAAAACATAGAAAATTAAATTGGGATTCGCCTAGAGCTATGCCGTTTGATTGTGCACTTTTGATAATGATGGATTTCTAGAAATTTGGTAGAAATTTTGTTTTGAAAATCCATTTAAAATTTTAAAAAATTTTTGACTAAATCCTCTAGAAAATGCCGCCCTATTATACCCCAAAAATTGCATATATAAGTTTACACGCTACAGAATGATCTCTGCTCGTCGCCTTGCATTTAAATATATTTAAAAGATTCCATAACCTTTCATTCAAGAGGAACCATTTTTTGAGTATTTTGGTTTGATTTTATTAGGAATTTTGAGGTCAAGCTATAGCTGCCTTCCTCAAGAATTTTTGACTTGCCCACCCTATACAAATGGCCATTATATATTTCATTTTCCCCATTTTGGACGTTGGTAATCCAAAACTTACAAGTTCCTTGGGCAAGACTGTCGATATTTTCGAATACTGAATTCATTATATTATAAGTGATCAATACATTTACTGTACAAAAAAGCTAATTAATCAGAAAATGGCAAAAATAAAATAATTTTAGATTGAAGATTCTTATATACAATATTAAATAACTTCATCCCAATTTTTTGAATTTAAAAAACAGTTTATTTTTAAATAAAATATCAGAATAGTAGCCGATTTATGTGGCACAGTATAGTATGCATAAAGACTAAAATGGTAACTTGGAACTGAATTTTCAATTTTTATTTCAAAGTATTTATATCGAAATTAACGATGTCCCATTCCTAAAAGCTCAAGAAATGAAGCCATACACAGTTAATTTTATTATTAGAACTTAGATTTTTCTAGAATCCATTTTTTATTCGAAATTTTCTAAAATTGATTATACCTTGCTATTGGATTAGATTAGGCGTGTGTGCTTCCTGAGCATATATGTTCTGTAGCGTTAGGCTGACAAGTCGCCCTGCCTCTATAGGCACCCAATCCACCCTGGACGCTACTGGAAAAATTATGCAATTACCTCCCGCTCAAGCCAGACTACTAATTATCGGAATAGTGCTGGGCCTCTTACCTTGAGGTTAATTCAACCTTTTTTAGCACCCTGACAAAAAAGTTTTAGATATACATAGGACAGTTATAGATGGAAGCAATCATTCGGTATTATATTGGCTTTCCTATAAGGATCAATAAGATTAAGCTACGCTTATCACGAATTAGTATAAATAACTAGAGTCTCAAAATTGAATCTAATTTTAAATATTTTTATGCATCAGTATCAATTATGAGTTTTTATCTGCTAAAATCGAAATTATTTTTCAATTTCTGCTATAGTTATATTTTTGAAAATTCTTGCTTTAATATTAAATGGAATTGAAGCTGGAAATTACCAGTGTTGAGATAGCAGAGGCTGAAATATTTTTTATACAAAATATTTCTAAATCTGTTCTGGCTGGTAATAAAATTGCTTTTGTAGTTTTATTTTATAAAAATGGGTAGCTAGCTGCTTTATTGATCTAAAGGTGAATAATGCTAGGCATCTTGAGTTAAAATTGGAAAATTTGCATATTTAATTTTTGTCTCTTGATTATTAGGCTAGATTAGCATTTTTCACCCCTAAACGCTTATTGCCTTAGAGGGAGCAGAAAGTACCTTTTTCTACAGCAAGAAAAAGTTCGATTAACTAGTTTTACTTTTATAATTTTGGAGCCTATAAAATTGGAGAGCTGGGTGAAAATCCCAGTTTCTTGCTAGGCAGATGGCCTATTCGAGACCTTTGATGGCCTACCATTTTCAGGGTTTTTAACTTTGGATAATTCTGAGCCTTAATATTTCCATTTTTCATAGTGAATCGTCTGTCATATATAAAGGATTTTCGACCCTTTTCTGTGGCCTAATCCCACATCAGGCGTTCCAATGAGTGTTTAGGAAATTGGTTCTAAGTGTTTATCTGCCAGACTTTTTTATTTGTCTTTTAATCATTTTATCTTTACTCCCCCCCATCCTTGATCGAACGAATCGCCATCGTTCGATCAAGGATGGGGGTTAAAACAAAATTTTTGGGGAAAAAATTTTACATATAAAAAATAAAATATATATATATTGTTTTTTATTTATTTTTTAAATAAGAGGGTTAAGAGTATTTAATAATTATTTTTACAGCAAAAAATTGAATTAATTTCATAAAAATATCAATTTTTAATATTTTGATTTATTAGTTGCCCCTTTAAACTGTATAAATTTTAATTTGTCCCTTATTAAATTAATTTTTTTTTTTAAAAAATTTAAAAAATCTCTATTTTATTAGATTATTAAGTCTTTAAGCCTAGGTTGATGACTAAATCACTTCGAATAGTTGATTCCGAAGCTTTCTGTCGTCTTAAAGTCTCTGAAAACAGCTTCATTATGTATATCTCTTCCAAGCTTTTGACAACAAATATATTTTTTTATATATATAAAAATTGTCATGATATGAAAATCGTTTGATCAAGGATGGGGGTTAATTTCCCAAATTTTTAGGAATTTTTACAGCCAATCGTTCGATCAAGGATGGGGGGGGGACTTAGTTTATTTCTAAAGTTAAATAATTTGGAAACTCTAGAAAGATAGATTTTATATATATATGATAACTAAAAATATTTGTGTCTAATAGCATTATACAGAGCATACCTATTAAAGTAAATCCAAAAACTAATTTTTTTTTAACTGTCAAGCTAAAAAATGAATGTATTTTCTTTAGCAGTTATGCCTAACCGACAAGCTTAAAAATTAAAAGAAGTTTTAATATATTCAAATCCATGGAAAATTTATTTTTACTTTTTTATATTTATTAAAGTCAGATGCTCGAAGTGCCATTTTATATTGGTTTATTCAAAGCAATTTTAAACAAATTTAAAAATGAATTAGAATTATTTTAGATTAATCAGTATAATACAAATAAAAGATTAATATACCCAAGAGCTGGTATAGTTTATGATTTAGCTATATACATTGTCTTGAGAAATTTCAGCTAGAATGGAATCTTAAAATAATTTTGCAAGTCTATCATATTTATTTGGCACAAAAACCAATTTCTTATATTTCATTAAAACTGAAGCAGCAGGCTACTCTTAAAGTTAATAAATAATTGTTCTCATAATTGATATTTAAGCAATAATTTCATATAGAGAACTAAAATTTAATAGAAAGCATAAACATCTAAATAAAAATATAATTATCCTTCTAAATATTTTGTAATAAAAGGTAAAAAATTTATTTTGTTTATAACTCAATCTAGAGCTATTTATTACTCAAATGTTTTTAAGTCAAAAATGAATCAAGATGACACGGTAAAAGAACTTCGCAGAAGGCAACAGCAATGGATGAGGGAAAGAGACATTGAGATGGAGCGGCAGAGCTTAGGCCTTGAAGGTCTATCTCCTGGAGATCTTGTCAACCAGCTTACAGAAAAAATTACATCAAAACTCCCATCTTCTTCAAAACAGCAAAAAATTGACAAATCAGTTGCAGATGAGCTAGAAACAAACACATGCTCTATTTGCTTTGAATTAATGCTGCCAAAAGAGCATGCACCTATTATTCTCTTTCCATGTGGCCATACTCTTTGCAAGCTTTGCATTGAATCCCACTTTAAAACAGCCCGACAAAAAAACTGTCCTCTTTGCAGATGCAAAGTCGACAACCAAGCAGTCAACGTCTCCTTACAAAATCTTGTGGTGGTCTTTGCTAACTTTTTGATACAAAAAATGCTATTTTTCTATTTTTATAATGATTATTGTAAAAAAGCTGCTAAAAAAGATAAGCAAAAAAATTTGTCAAACCAAATAACTCAAGAATCCCAAATTTCCAGTCAATCAGATAATGGAGATTACACAGAGCAGCTACAAATGTACAACTTACTTCCCTTTTAAATGATACAAAATATAGTTAAAAATTTCCGTTTTTGAACACTTTTTAAATTGAAGCATTTTTTCAAGAGGAAATTATAGGTTTAAAAATATAATAATTTTTCTAAAATTAGTTTAGACCTAATTTAATGGATAAAGCGTAACTCCCCCCCCCCCTCCGTGAGCGAACAAAAAAATTTTGTTCACTCACGGAGGGGGGTTAATTTTTTTTTTTTAAAAACAATTTATATATAAATTTTATAAAAAATATTTTTTTTCGAAATTTAAAAAAATCCTAATTTGCAAAAATTTGGGAAGCAAATACTAATTTAATTTGCAAAATTTATGTTTTTAAAACGCAATTTGTTTAAAATTAAACAGAATTAGCTCTAGATTTCATTATACTAATTATCACTTATATAGCAAAATTTTTTTCTATTAAAATTTTTTCTATTAAAAATATTTTTGTTCACTCACGGAGGGTGGGTTTTTGGTCAAAAAATGGCGATTTTTCTAATGGTTTTGTTCGCTCACGGAGGGGGGGGGGGAGTAAGTAAAATATTAATTAAACAATTTCAATTAAATTTTTGTATTAATTTTTTATAAAATAAATTAAAATTCAATTAAAAATTTTTTTTAAAAAGGATTAAACCTTTTTTAAATTGGAACGGAAATTTTTTGCTCCAATTCAAGGGTGGGGAGTTAAGATGTAAAATATTATATGATGAAAAAACAGCCACCGAGCAACAAATTTTTCAGCAAAAACTGCTTATTGAGGACCGAGAAGCTGAAATCACAGTTTTGAAGTCTGAAGAAGACGACGCGCTTATGAGGATGCGAAAAGCTGAAGAAGAGCTGGAGCTGATAAGAAAACATCTCAGGAGAAGCAATGACGAAATTTCAAAAATTCAACACAAGTTAAATGAGTTGGAAACCACTGTGACTCTTATTGACGATACATTGAAATCCGTCGAAAGAGAAAGAGCTAAGGTCACAACACTAATTAATATTATACAAATTATCATTGAATCTGTAAAAAAATAAAAATAAATGATTTTTAAATCAATTTAAGTATTTATTTATAAAAAGAATTCCTAATAAATTAGTAAACTCTAAGCTAGAGTGCTTTTGCTGACATATTCTTCTATATTTGCCATCGTCAAACTGTTAGGTCGCTCTATAGGTAGCCCAAGAGCTCTTGACCACACCAGTCCTGCAGAAACTCCTATAGCTCTGGAAACCCCAAAAAGCACTGTATAAAAATCAAATTCCCTCATCCCAAAATAGACCAAAAGTGCCCCAGAGTGTGCATCCACATTTGGATACGGATTTGCAGCTTTCCCTGCTTCTTTTAATACTCTTGGGACTACTTTATAAAGGGTAGCCACTAGTTTACATAAAGGATCTTTAGGCATGACACGCTTGGCGAACTCCATCTGGCATACAAATCTAGGGTCAGTTACTCTTAAAACGGCATGTCCATATCCAGGAATGACCTGTCCACTGGCCAAAATTTCTTTAACGAATTTTTCAACTACTTCTTCAGTTGGGTTTTGGCCTGTTTTTTCTTGGAGTTTTAGCAAAAATTTCAAGCATTCTTGGTTAGCTAAGCCATGGAGAGGGCCTGCAAGACCATTAAGACCAGCTGAGTAGGCTAGATATGGGTCGCTTAAAGCAGAGCCAACCAAATGTGTGGCATGGGCACTCACATTTCCTCCTTCATGGTCACAATGGATTGTTATATCATTTTATGATAATTTTCCATTTTTTAAAAAAAAAAATAAAAATTCTTTTATTTATTGGAAATCGGCTTAAATAAAGTCTCATAAGCTCCCAAAAATGCTCGTTTTCAAATCCCATCATTTTGCTGAAATTTGCACTGAGGTCTAAACTTGGGTCGGTAGGGCCAAGTCTTCTGTCTTTATAAGTATTTCTATATATCATAGCAGCTATTCTAGGAATTCTTGCAATTAAGTCGAGTGAGTCTTCAAGGACATATTCCCAGTAGTTCTCTTTTTTAACTCCAGCATTATAAGCTCTTACAAATTTTATTTTCTTTTAATTTAATTCATTTTCTTTATTAATAAAGGAAATATACTATTTTATAGAAAATAAATTTGAGCCAATATGAGACTGCTTCAAGAATTTGCAGAAGGATTACTTTCAGTTTGCAAAGAAAGAACACCAATACTTAATTGATTCATTGGATGCATGTGCTGTGGCAGAGAATTCACTATACGAACTGTATGTTCTGGGATGGTTTCAGAACGCTCTGCAATTTCTCGTACCAGAATATCACAATCACTGTTAGAAGGGACTTCCCCTGTGATTAAGAGATAAAACATTGCCTCAGGTAATGGTTCACGCTTAGCTGATGGCAAAAGGCTCCTTTTATTTTTGTTTAAAAATTTCTCTAAAAAAAATAATTTATTAATTTTTAAAAAAAAAAAAAACATAAAGGGCGAATTTTTTTAACTCCCCCCCTCCGTGAGTGAACAAAACCATTAGAAAAATCCCTATTTTTTACCCAAAAACCCACCTTCCGTGAGTGAACAAAAATTTTTTTAATAGAAAAATTTTTTATGGAAAAAAAAAAATTTATATATAAATGATAATTAGTATAATGAAATCTAGAGCTAATTCTGTTTAATTTAAACGAATTGCTTTTTAAAACATAAATTAAATTAATATTTGCTTTCAAAATTTTGCGAATTAGGTTTTTTTTAAATTTCGAAAAAAATATTTTTTTATAAAATTTATATATAAATTTTTTTAAAAAAAAAAAATTAACCCCCGTAAGTGAACAAAAATTTTTTTGTTCACTCACTGAGGGAGTAAGTGAAAAATCATTGGCAAACGTACTTGACATTCTGGAAGGGTGAGCCCTCTGAACTTGATCCCTTTGAATGCGTCCAACTTTGATGTTTCCGTCATTAATCCTTTTATCCCTCTCATTCCTCCTATGACCTGCTCTATTGTAATTGGCCCCAGAACTTTGTTGCCGTGCTCTTTCCTGAGACGGGCAAGGCGTTCACGTGTTTCAGGAATCACATCAGCAAATCGTTGTTTAAGAGCTGAAATTGATCGTTTGAGAGTGGCTGAGATCATATTAAAATCTAGTGGATATATAAAAATTGATATAAATTAGAGCATTGCAAACCATTTGACAGGAATATGGCTTTTTCCTCAAATATTTTTAATCGAAAATTTTTCCTCAAGCGGCATTCTCATGTAAAAAACCGTTAAAAATCACACAAGAAAAAAATTTCATGGAAAGTAATATTAGGAAAATTTTCTGATCTATAGCCAAATTAGAGAGAGTGGAGAGAAAAAGTGCTTAAATGAGTTTATTTATTATTATGATCTTTTACAGTGCTTAAAGTGCAGGAAATCGGATAAAGGGAAATGTGATTTCAGATGAAATTTACATTTCTAAACGATCGAAATTTCTTGAAGTATGGCGTATGATATTTATCATATATAAGTTTTGCATATTTTTTAAGATTTTGTTAATATTATTACTTACTTAGCTATTTCAATAGATTTTAAAATATTTCTTTTCTATTCCCTAATTTTTATTATTGAATTTATGAAATAGCTAATATATATGCATTGGTGGAGTAATTTCTTAAAGTATAACTTAGCGATTTTCTAAAGTTTTCTATAATAATCATTTACGCTTTCATTTAGTTTATGGAAATTAAGATATAAACCTTTCTGGTCTAAAAGAGATTATCATCAGAAATTCTTCTAACTCTTCCCTCCATGAGCGAACAAAACCATTGGAAAATTCCTATTTTAGCCCAAAACCCCCTCTGTGAATGAACAAAAATTTTTTAAAGATAAGTGATTATTAGATGACAAAATTAAGAAAAAAAATTTTTTCTAAAAAAAATTAACCCCATTAGTGGGAGAATAAAATTTTTTAGTTCGCTCTCGGAAGGAGAATTAAAATCTCAATTATAAATAAAGGAATTCCTGATAATAATTCTTTGGTTGAATTCTCTATCATTAAGCCATTCTTAGCATTTTATCTCACTTTTTTATTTTTACTACACATGATAATTATAAGGTAAATCATTTTCTTTGAATTTTATAAAATTAATTTTAGGTTAATTAATAAAAGAGCCACATATATTTCTTTTTATTATGAGAAATCAATAAAACTAGCCTGATATCTAAACTTTAGTTAAAATAATTTTGCAGTCAGCTCTTTGTAAATTTAATGGTGAAAAATAACTCAAAAGTAAGCTCAAACTCTCCTCCAGCTAGCCCAGAAGCTGAAGAAGAGGCGAACTATGCAAAAAACCTCGAAAATGGGCCCCTCTATGAGAATCTCAAGACAATTGATTGTGCTGACCACAACAGCATGAAAATTCAGCTGGTTTGAGATTCAATTTGTTACTCTATAGACACAAAAAAAGGAAAACAAGAAATCCTAAAAGGAGTCTCAGGGTCTGCTAGCCCTGGGGAATTTGTAGCCATTATGGGTTCTTCAGGGGCTGGGAAAACTACCCTTTTGAATATAGTTGCAGGCAGGATTTCCAGCTTCCATAACTCCCATGTGACTGGAAGTGTAAAGGCTAACGGCGCTAATATAAGCAGCATAAAATTTGACCAATTTTCTACTTATATTACTCAAGAAGACATTTTGCTTCCAACCCTGACTATTCGGGAATGCTTTGAGTTTTCAGCAAGAATGAGGCTGAAGGGCACAAATGAAGAAATTTTGGAAAAGGTAGAAAAAACAATAGCTGACTTAAAGATTAAAATAAAAAAAATATGGAGAAATTTTTGAGTTGGGGAGAGACTAATAAATTGAATTAATTTGCCTTGACAAAAGATCTTTAATAATAATTTAGACTTAAAGCTTGAAAAAGCAGCAGATAATGTGATTGGGAGTGTACTTAATAAAGGAATTTCAGGAGGAGAAAGAAAAAGGACATGCATTGGGGTAGAAATCATAACTGATCCTGCTGTGATCATTTTAGACGAGCCGACATCAGGGCTTGACAGCTTTACAGCTGAAACTTTAGTAGATTTGCTTATTGAGCAAATAAATAAAGGCAAAACTGTAATCGCAACTATTCATCAGCCTAGTTCCAACGTTTTCAAAAAATTTTCAAAATTAATTTTACTATGTGAAGGATATACAGTTTATCAAGGTCCTCCAGCAGACTCCAGAAAATATTTTTCAAACCTCGGCTATAAATGTCCAAGACATGTAAACCCAGCTGATTTTTATATGAGACTGCTTCACGTTGTAAACCGCTTTGAGAAAACCCCTGAAGAAGAAGAAAAACTAAACAGTCTCGCTGACGCCTATAAAGAATCCGAAATCAAAGAAACCCCCACTTCTAAATACGATCTCACAGAGCTGAAAAACAAAGGCGACAATAGCTTGAATTTTTTCAAAAAAGTCGGCTTATTGTGGAAACGCTCGATGATAAATGCTGTTAGAAATCCTTTCTTATCCCGAGTAAGACTTGCCCAATTTATTATAGTTTCTGCTATAATTGACCTTGTTTTTCATGACCTCGGCAATGATTTCGACTCCATCCAAAATACGACAGGTGTCTTATTTTTTATGACCCTTGGTAACATAATGTTAGGGAACAATCCAAGCGCTTTGACTTTTCCAGCAGAAAGACCTACGTTTTTAAAAGAGCACAGTGAAGGCTTATACAGCACTTTTATCTATTTTATAGCCAAAAACTTGTCAGAGCTGCCAATGCAGTTTGTAGTGACGATGATTTATTCCTTAATGGTTTATTTTGCCTTAGACTTAAACTTAACTGCCAGCAGGTTTTTCACGTTTTATGCAATTTTGACTATTGCTCATATGGCAGGGGTTGGATCAGGCTATATAATCGGTGGGCTGTGTGAGACAGAAAATGTGGCCGCTCTTTTTGGACCGATTGTTCCAACTTCACTTATTGTGTTTGGAGGGTCTTTTGGGAACTTAAAAAATATGAATGTTGCTTTTAGCTGGATACAGTATATTTCACCATTTGGGTGGTGCTTTAAGTCTTTAGTAATCAATCAGTATGAGGATTTTGATTTTGACTGTGACTCAGATGAGAAATGCGATCCACTTGATACGCTTGGGTTTAATGATCCTTTGTGAAAGGATATTATTTGCTTGATAGCGCTGATGATTGGATTCAGAATTATTGCTTTTGTATGTTTGAGCATGATATCAAGAAAAAAGAAACACTAGTTTTTCATAATTATTATATAAATTTTACTATAATTATAATTGTTAATTCGTGAATACAATGGTGCTCCCCTAAAGCTAGAAGTAATAGTCCCAAGGGATTTTGAACAGTTGTGGACAGAATTCACAAGCTGACCTTAATTTTTCTTTATTGACCATAAGACTGACTCCCCCCCCCCTTTAAATTGAAACAACCCCCCTTTAAATTGAAACAAAATTTTATTATAATAGAAAATTTTATAGGTAAAAATCATTATTTTATATGTAAATACATTAATACCCTATTTAATATGCTTCAAACATAGGCATTATCATAAAATTATAATGTTATTAAATATAATTTACTCAATTTATTGTCTCTTTAAATTTATATAATTTATTTTCTATAAAATTTTATCTCTGAAAAAATTTTTATATATAAATTTTTTTATAAAAAAATTTTCTTAACCCCCCTTTAAATTGAAACAAAAATTTTTTGTTTCAATTTAAAGGGGGGGGGATTGAGGAATTTGCATTGAACTTTTTCAAATTTATATATGCAAGATTATTAATTGTTATTTGGCAACAAAATTTAATAAATTTTTTCCTTTTGTTAACTTTAATTGAAATCCATAATAATAATCACCAGATGAGAGGATCTCATAGCGGTCATAAAAAATCATCTGATATGCCAGAAAACTTGGATTTAGATAGCTCAAGCTCTCTTAAGCAAGACACTTCTTCATACTTTGTCACGAATAGCACCGAAGAAAATAATACAAAAATTCAACTAATATGAGACGACATTCATTATGAAACTACAATCGATCGCAAACCGGTAGAAATCTTAAAAGGAGTATCTGGGTATGCTAACCCAGGTGAATTCCTTGCTATTATGGGCTCATCAGGGGCTGGAAAAACCACTCTGTTAAACATTATTGCTGGGAGAATAAAGTCTTCGAACAACTCTCAAGTCAAAGGAACTGTAAAAGCTAATGGAACCAACATAAACTCTATCAATTTTAATAAAGTGATGGCTTATATTACCCAAGAAGACATTTTATTGCCAACACTATCTATTAGAGAAGCCTTTACGTTTTCAGCAAAACTTAGGTGCCAAGGCTCTGACACTCAAATTGATGAAAAAGCGGAATACATAAACAAATGACGGCAAAAACTGTCTACTCCAGGATTCTGTAGGCATTTTTAATGTATATTGATAAAATTAGCATTATTTATATTTCTTCTAGGTGTGTTGAATCAACCCACCCTCTTGAATCCTGCACTTGGCATCCTACAGAGTGCGTAAGGACCATGAGGAAAGGAGGATAATAGTACTCGGGAATGTGCATCCGGGGGTGTTTCTTGGGCACTTTTGTAAAGTGGTGTAAACTGGTAAGCAGGTGAAGGAAGCTCTACGAGTAGAGATAGTCCATATAGAAACAGCGAGTCCCTCTAAAGTATTAATAGCAGCTAAGTTTATAGATGAAAAAGTGGAAAAAATGATAAAAGACTTAAAACTTGAAAAAGTTTGTGACAATATAATTGGAAACACTTTAAAAAAAGGAATTTCTGGAGGAGAACGCAAAAGAGCTTCTATTGGAATTGAGCTGATTTCTGAGCCTTCTGTAGTAATTTTAGATGAGCCGACTTCAGGGTTGGACAGTTTTACTGCCGAAATTTTGATTGATTTATTGATCGCTCAAGCGAAATTAGGGAGAACTATAATTTCGACTATTCATCAGCCAAGTACAAATATTTTTAATAAATTTAATAGGCTCATTTTGCTTAATTACTAGTATTAAACTTTTTTTTAATGAGAAGATTTTTACAATTATTTTTAAATAAATAATTGAAATATCTATTTTTCAATACTTTTAGAAAATATTATAAATCTGCAACATTAAAATAAAAATCCATATAAATTCAATAGGGAAAGAGTTAGTGAAGGGCTTACCATTTATCAAGGAAAAACCAAAAATTCACGAAAATATTTTTCGAAATTAGGCTATGAATGCCCAGACAATATAAACCCAGCTGATTTTTATATGAGGCTGCTTCACATTGTAAATCGGTATAATATGACTCCAGAAGAGTCAGAAAAAATTTCTCATTTACTAACTGAGTATAAAAAATCAGAAAAAAAAACTGAAAACTCCAACTGTTTATCCTCTCAAATAGAATACACTAAAACTGGGAACCTCAGTGTTTTGTCAAAAATGAGTATCCTATATAAACGTTCTTTTCTAAATGCAACAAGAAATACAATTCTCACAAAGGTCAGACTGATAGGGATTATATTCAATGGAACTTTGATTGATCTTTTGTTCCATGACTTACTCCCCCCTTTGAGCGAACAAAACCATTAGAAAAATCCTATTTTTTGAACAAAAATTTTTTATGAAAAAAATCGATATATAAATGATATTAGTATAATGGAAATCTCTAGCTAATTCTGTTTAATTTTAAACAAATTGCGTTTTAAAACATATTTTTTAAAAATTAAATTAATATTTGCTTTCCAATTTTTGCGAATTGGGATTTTTTAAATTTTTTAAAAAGAAAAATTATATAAAATTTATATATGAATTTTTAAAAAAAAAAAATTAGCACCCCTCCATAAGCGAACAAAACTTTTTTGTTCGCTCACGGAGGGAGGAGTTAGGGAATGATTATACCTCAATTCAGAATATTAATGGCGTTTTTTCTGTTGTCCTGATGAATCTTCTGTTTAGCTCAGCAATGTCTTATTCATTGAGTTTTCCAGCTGAAAGGCCAATTTTTATAAAAGAGTACAGCCAAGGGCTCTATGGAAGCTTAATTTATTTTTTAGCAAAAAATATATCAGAGCTGCCTATGCAGATATTTGCCCCTATGGTTTATTCTTTATTAATTTATTTTGTGTTAGGACTGAATCTAGCTGCTGCCAAATTTTTTATATTTTATTCTTTGATTTGTTTTATAATACTTTCTGGGTCAGGAGTTGGATACCTTATAGGAGCTTGTGTTGAAGGAGAATTATTAGCGGCTGCATTTGCACCGCTGCTGCCTTGCATTTTTTTAATATTTGGAGGTGTTTTTGGGAATTTAGATAAAATAAATGCAGCTTTCCGATGAATGCAATACTTGTCACCTTTTGGCTGGGCCTATAAGTCTATAACTATAAACCAGTATACAGATTTTGACATGGATTGTGGAGATATTGAATGCGACCCTCTTGGGATGCTTGGATTTCACGACCCACTTTGGCAAGATATTGTATGTCTTATAGCGTTTGTTATAGGAATTCGAGTGATTGCCTATTTTTTGCTGGTAATATGTGCTAGAAAGTATTTAAAATAAAAATTCATATAATTTATTATCAATAATTTAGATGATTTTATTTTTAAATGGATCGCCGTTAAGTATTTGTAAGCAAAAACTAGAAAACCACTAGTATAGCATCTGCATTTCTCAAATGATGCCTAGTATTTTCCTACTATTTGGAGGAAACTTATACAGAATTAACATAGCTTTTCTCCTTTAAGCTGAATATATAAGTCTATGACTATAAATAAGTATTCAGAATTTGGCATGGATTGTGGAGATATTGAATTCGACCCTTATGGGATGCTTGGATTTCATAATCCGCTTAAAATGATATCATGTGCTTTATAGCATATGCTATAGAAATTCAAATTCGCATATATTGCGTAGGTAATATTTGCGAGAAAATGTTTTATTATTCTCAATGATAACTTTTTACGATTTTATTTTAGAAATTCATTGCTATTATTGACCATATTTAATAAAATTTGAATTTTAAGCCAATTTCGAGATATATTGTATCAGATCATTATTATTAAGTACCAAAAATTGCAATTAAGTCTTAAATCTTTATTTTATGTTTAAATCTATGTCAATTTAATGAGTGAAATTCAAACAAATCCAAGTCCCATATATAATTCTGATGCCAAAGCTATCAAGTATTTTCATCATGCAAGAGGAAACGCAGGCAAGCTTGAATTGAACGTGGATTTAATTTCTGAAGAATCTGAGCGAAAAGAAGTCGATTCCCTTCCAAGTGAACCTCAAAATGAATTTTCAACCCAAAAATCTCCAAAAGCTGAAGCAAGCTCAACAGGAATTGAAGATAAAAATTCAGAGCAAAGCTACCATAAAACTGCCTCTTTGGATTATTCGTTTTCTGAAGACCCAAGCAACTTGACGTACAGAATAAGTGATTCAGCATCAGGATTTAATAATTCTTTGGCTGAAAGATTTCCCAAGTTTACAACGGCATCTTTGACTTTAAGCGAAAGCTCAAGCATGCCTCCTTCAAATGATCTGAATTTTAGGAGTTCTCTTATTGAATACCGAGAATCAATATACTCGTCTATAATAAGGCAAAAAATATTTTTTTATTGAAAAAATAGATTTTTAGATGGAAAATAATTTGTAAAAAGGAATAGGACAAGATTCAAACCCTTTTGATATTATGGTAACTGAAGAGGAAGAGCACAGCGACGATACTAATTTTGGGAAAATTGACATCGAGACACCAGTTAAATCTCCAGAAGGAGAAAAATTGGTACTTCAACAAATAAAACAGCAATTAAATTTGAAAGATATACTTAGATTTACATTTCTAATCAAAATTCTGGTGGTTACAGATCAGAACGATCGAGCTCATCCGAGGACGTCTCAGCTACTTACAGAACTATTGTGATGTTCCCATTCTCCAGGCTCCAGAGTCCTCCTTTCCAGTTGTTGCCGGTGGATCGTGGATGACCCGTGCAATTCGAGTATGTAGGTTTAGGACTGGCCGCTACTTGTTCCATCTCAGCCTTCATTGATCCTACTCCAGCCCCTTTGTCTTGACCTCTAATCTAGTGGTCACGTGCTGCGTTATGCAAAACCACCTATAGAAGAAAATATTAAAGATATCAACTTAATTATTATAAATGACGAAGTAAGTGGAGACGATTTAGAAGACTCTGATTATATGCCACAGAATAATGATAAGAAACTGGATGACAGCTTTAAAATGATGAATAGCCGAATAATTAAATATAACACCGAAAGTAATGAGGAATCGAAAAATAATACATTGCAGCTTGAGGACCGAGGGCACAGCTGTGGATGCAATCTTTGCATTATTTTTTAATTTGATCATAATTATAACTAAAGATAAAGTATGCTGTTAATCAAATAAATAAATACTTTAATTTCCATACGAAATTGCAAGCCACTTAGATATAATAAATGTAATTTTTTGCGATTGATCCTTTTCAGATTTTGCTAGCTCTATATCTCTTTATTTGCGCATCTCAAAGTTAGCATTCTATTTATTATAAGAAATAGGGCCTAAATAATTTGTATTTATAATATTAATTATTAATTTTTCACATTTACAACTGTTCAACTATTGCAATCAGATCATTGTCTGAATAGATTTTTTTTACATCTGGCTTCTCTATTTCGAGTAAGACATTTGCATCAGAAACAGTCTGCGATTTTTTTATAAAATACACCCTCCTTGATCTTTCTTTGACCCTTCTAAAATGTTTTAAATTAAATTTAAGCCATGGATGATCCAAAGCTTCCTTTACTGTCAGCCTCTGGCTCGGATTAATTGCCGTCAGTTTAGTAACCATATCGATTGCTCCTTGCGAAATAATTTGCCAATACTTCCCTTTAAATGAAATTTTTCCTTCTCTATTATTTCTTATTTTTTCAGCCAGATTTCTCCCTGGAAATGCAGGATTTCCAGTTAATAGTCCATAAAGTACTATTCCTATGCTAAAAATATCAACTTTATTGTCATAAAAATTTTGGCAGAAAATCTCTGGGGCGGTATATCCTGGTGTCCCACATTTTTTGGACAACTCATAATCATTTTCACAGGCCAAGCCAAAATCCGCCAATTTAAAGTCTATATCATTGTCTTCTGATACCATAAGAATATTTTCAAGCTTAATATCTCTGTGTACAATTCCTAAGGAATGCAAATAGTCTACAGCGTTTAAAAGCTTGACGATAATTTCAGCTGCTTTTTTTTCTGAATATCGACGAATTTTATTAATTCTTTCTAATAAATTGCCACCACTTATGTATTCTAGTATAAGATATACACAAGTTTCGGATTCATACACTTTGTGGAGCTTGACGACGTTGGGATGATTGAGATTTCTCATCATACTAATTTCATTTACTAGACTAGTAATACTATTGTGAAGACTATTTTCTCGTGATTTTGGGCATATTTTGATTGCGTATTTCATTCTAGTTTCTCTATCTTCTGCTAAAAAAACTTGTCCGTGGGCACCTTTTCCGATTTCTTTTATATACTTTTTTGTTTATTTGATTTATTAATGATTTTTATTAAAATTCTTTTATTTTTGAAATAATTTATGATAAAAAGAATAAAATGAAAATCATTTGTAACATCAGTCATTATCCCGACCAAAGAAAGATTTCTAAGCCACTGATCAAGGAGGTCAGAAGATTCAACATAAAAATCTCTATAACGAGATCCTTGCCCTATCCGAAAGACATGATTCAACCCTGTCAGGTTTTCTTCCTCAAAGGCTTCAATTAATTTTCATTTTATGCTGGCTTGTTTAATGTTTTTGCCCTTTTGATATTTTAAAAGATTTTCTTCTGTAAGGGCAAGCGTTATTGGGACGAGCCGAGAGTTATCGATAAGTTCCCATACTAAACTTTCAAAAATTATTCTGTGGTTAATCTGGGTGCTTTTGCACCAAAACTTTTTTGAAATTCTGTCATCGCAATCAATTTCGCGAAAAATCGATTCCATATTAATTATTGGTTCTTTTTAGTTTGAAGATTTATTGGCATTAATTTCTATGCTAACTCTCCTAATATTTTATTTAATTTTCGAAAACTAATTTAAATAAAATTTTCGGAAAGCCTTATAAAATTACTATTAATATGATAGGAAATAGTAAGAGACACCGATGGTCGATCTTGCAAATATCATAAATTTATATTATATTTGAATTTATAAATATAGAGTTTTTGATTGAGTTTCATAAATAGGGTTTTAAAGGAATATGAAACGCTTTTTGAGTTCTGATAGCTGAGATAATATAATTTTAAATTTAAGGAGGGCGTTTAAGTATGCAGAATGCTCAATATAACCCTTGTCTTCAACAATTTTGTAAAACTTTTCTAATGATCAAATTTAAATAAATTTACCATAAAGAAGTGACAGAAACGAATTTATCCAACAATTTTATAAATAAAATTTGTAATCCATTTCTCCATTTTCATAAATAAAAGAAATATGAAACTTTGCTAAATTAATAATTAGACTTAAAAAATTTTTTACTAATTTTAATAAAAATGAAATTCATCAGCAGAAATATTCAAATTTTGGATCAAGGACTAAACCTAATTATCAATAAATTCATAAAATTTATAAATTTTACTTTATACCTTGCTCTAAATAGTGTAGTAATTTAATACTAATATAACTTCTTTATTATATTTTGATCCGCCAAGCAGGAAAGGAATATTTATTTATCGAAAATATTGCTTATAAGAACAGATTTTATACATTTTACCCGAGTAAATTTTAATTGCTTTAATTAGGAATAACGACTATAAATTTTAATCTTTATAATTGATGAATCTTTTGATTATTTATAACTCATGGAGCATTTTGAACTTAACTAAATTGCTTATTTTAAGAATTTTACTCAATTTTATATGCAAATTAATTATAGCATGCTTATATATTTCTGCAGGCTATTAGCATTATTTCTAGCTTATATAATCTAGGCACAAGCTTTCCTTGTTAGATTATTGAAAATTATGATAGAAAAATAACAAGATTTTTATATTTTTAAATTATAAATAAATTTAATCTAAGTTTATTCAAACAGACGCTAATTTATTAAAAGAATTTTTGTAATTTGTTTTTTTAATTGCAATGAAATTAAAAATTAGTATAAGGCTTATCTTTTGATTTCCTATTAAGTTCACTTATCTAGAACTAATAACTATTTTTGGTATAAAATGGCGACTTTGCCTATTTCTTAAAATCCTTAACTATTTAAAAGCGATTTAAAAAATTTACAGACAGCGATCTTCAATATTTCTAAGCCAGCCTAAAGATATTATTCACTCAATGCAAAGCCACCGGCCTATGCATATCAAGCTGCCAATTATCATGATTTAAGTTGAAAACAATCAAGCCAAAAAAGGCAATTTTCATACCCAAATTTAATATTGATAGCTGGAATTAAAAATATCTCAATGATAAGCATACTGATTTTTACTCTTTTTTTATTAAAATACTTTGCAATGGAAAACTTAAACCCCTATGAAACTAATGATCATAACCCAACAGTTTTAACTACTATTGAATGCAAGGCTTTGCAAATACCCAAAAAACGAGGATTCAGAAGCTTCTTAAAATTCGTTTCCAATGACATGGAAAAATCGTTCCAATACCTAATGATCAGCGAAGAGAAGCATATGTATAAAGTGTCTGAAAACTTAGGGGGAAAATTACCTGATTATTTATGGAGTTATTATGCTTTGTGCTTAATTTATATGCTGATTTATATAGTTTCGTATGTAAAGGATGATTCTTCATCAAGCAGCTTCACTTGCCAGATTTCGTTAATTTGTGGTCAAATGATAATTAATTCTTTGATTTATTGACTTGCATTTTCAACGAATATTTTCAGAATTTTGAGGATTCAAGTTTTGTCATTTTCTTATATAATGATAGGAGCAATTTTGATACTTAATAATGGGCCGGTCCAAGTGTGAATGCTTGACGAGAAATCTGAGACATATTTTTCATGCTTGCCGGGCCTTTTAGTTCTTTTAACAGTATCACAGTTTATAACACATTTCAGCTTTGCTAATTATTTCAGAGATAATGCTATTATCGCATCAATTTATATTGTGCTTCACCTTTTCTCTGACCAAAAACTTGCTGTTACATTATTTGAATTTGGGATTTTCGTCTTAAGGATTTTCTTCGAAACTCGAAAATTTTATATCAAAGAACTTACATTACGTCACAGATTTTACAATAAGCAGGCATATAGTGAAAAAGTTGTGGACTCGGCAAGATCAGAGCCACAAACCGAAATTGAAGGAATTACCGAATTTTTGTGTGAGTGTTTAACTCTCGCGAAATCTTTGAAGCATAGTCCTAATGAAATTGAAGATAAAGCTTCATTGATTGCTGAACGAATTAAAAAGGTCCTTCAAGTTTTGAAATCCAAAGCAAATATATATACTCCTAATATTGAAGTAATTACAAGAAATATGACTGAAGAAGACAAATTATTTGTAAAACAAACAATTATTGAAACTTCAGCTAAAGAAGTTTCGTCATCTAAAACAAAAATTAAAAAGAGAGACACTGATAGGATAAAGTTAATAACAAAATCTTATAATTTCCAAGAATTAGAAGGCATCTTAAAACAGCTCGGAAATAATTGAAATTTCGATATGTTTTTCTTAAAAGACTGTTCAAGTGGTAAGCCTCTAGCGACAATTGGTAAATATTGTATAGATAAATATGTCCTAGATGAGCTGCTTAGTGTGAACGAAAATATCATCGCAAACTTTTTTGATCGTCTGGAATCTCAATACAATGACAATCCTTACCACAACTCTACACATGGGGCCGATGTACTTGCCTCTGTAATTTATTTTATTAAAAAATCAGTTTTATCCGAACTTTTAGATGATATCGACCTTTTGGCCGTAATTGTAGCAACCCTTGGGCATGATGTAGGCCATCCTGGCCTCACAAATCGTTTCCTCATTAATAACCATGATACTCTTGCTATTGAATATAATGATATTTCAGTACTCGAAATGATGCACAGCTCATCAATTTTTATTATCATGAAAGCACTTGATGCTGATATTTTCCAAAATTTATCACCAGAGCACTATACAACTGTCAGAAAATTAATTATAGAAATGGTTTTAGGCACAGATATGAGCAAACATTGGGACTTCCTCACAGCTTTTAAAGCAAAAAATGTTAGCGGACATTTAAAACAATTAGAAACTGCAGACCAGAAAATTGACGTGCTAAAGCTTATAGTAAAAGGCGCTGATATTGGCCACTCTGCGAAATCTCAGGATTTGCATAAAAAGTGAAGCTTTTTAGTAATTGAAGAATTTTTCAACCAAGGGGATATCGAGAAGATGAAAAAGCTGCCGGTATCGATGTATTGTGACAGAAATAACACTGATATTCCAAAATCTCAGATAGGTTTTATTAAAAATATTGTGCTTCCGCTATATGAAGTCATGTCAAATTATTTAGCTTCTGAATTAATTGAAGAAAATTGTGTCAAGGAAATACAAAATAATTTGGTGATGTGGGAAAGTGAAACCCTCGCAATACGGTGCAAAACTATGGTGCCTGCCAATGAAACACTGCTAGTAGAAAAACTAGAAGTAGAGAGTCCTGGGGAGAGGAAAACCAGGAGATATGGCACTTCTCGTGCTTTGCTTGATCCTACGAAAATTTCGTGAGAAGATTAAACTCTTTTTCCAAAGAAATAATTACATCTAAATTTAAGTAATAATTGAATAAACAAATAATGGTCTTAACCCCTCTGTTTTCTAAATCCAAAACCTATAATCAAAATAATTATTAAATTTTTGGAAATTAAAAAAAAGGTTGTATTGAGCGTTTAGGTATTATAAAATTTATTTTTATTATGGATTTGGTTCTTTCAAGCATATTCATCAATAATATTAGGCTTTATTGGAAGGAGCATTATATATTTTGTATTAAATTAGATAACTTTTATTATAGCTTGAATGGAAAATTTCTTTTCGCATCAATAGAAAGTTAAAAGTATTTTATTAAAAAACTTAAAGATATATGTGTAAACTCTAAAGAAAAAATATAGAGAATTATAATCTGCAAAAGAAGCTAGGCTAAGACAGGCATAAATCAGCTCAGGTCTTCAAAAAAATTACTTCAGGCCTTATTGATAACTAAAGAATAATTATCTGCTATATCCAGTTTTATATGCATTTCATTCATTTAGCTTATGCAAGCTCGAGATGTCATCGCTTAGAACCATAAATCAGAATTCTATACTGACTATCTCTGCAAAAATGTAATCCGATTAGCAAATGGCCTTAATAAAAAGCTCACTTTTTAGCCATGAATCTATTAAGACAGAGCTAGAATTCTCAGCACAAAAATATGTTCTCTTTGTTCGCTTGTGTTCGAGTTTCAAGTAGAATAATCAAATAATAGAATATCAAAGCTATAGCCACAATTGACATATTTAGCATATCTATGAGATTGATACTTAACTCCAGTCTGCAGAGAAAACTTGGAATTTGCATTTTTTTGATTTCAGCAATCTAACGAGGATTATTGGAAGAAAATTAGTAGAGAAACATATAATCTGAATCTTGATTCTAATATATGAGGCAATAATGATTTTTCACTTAGGCTACATTTACTGAGAGAAAGATTAGAAATTGCAGTTTAATCAGAGAGATAGCTATAGAGATTACTAAGGCATTTTTCTTCGTTTTGGAGAAAATTAATAGCCCATGATTAATTTAATTTCTCTTAATTTTTCAATGCTATGTACTTAATTGCACGTATTTCTATTAAGAAGGTAAAAGCTGAGGAGATATAAAAATCTAAGTTTTTTTTATTTTTAAGTCTGGCATGGACCTAAATAAATAAGAAGAAAATCAGAGCTATAAGATTTTTTTATGCTTTCGTTTTAAATTTATGTCAAGGCTCATTAATAAAAACACTTTTATATAGGATGGCAAGCTAACTCTTGGTGTACAATAAAAAAAATTTCGTCTTGATCTAAATCAATTAGGATTTAATTTGTCTTCTAATACTTTCCTTATTTGAAATCACCATATTTATTTGATTTTAGCAATTCTAGAAAAGTCTAAATATTAGTTATTAGCAAAGGATTTATGTCCTCATCTTCAAATACATATTGGTCCTTTTAAGCGATCCTCGAAATTAAAAATACCAAATAAATTGAATTATATTTAAAAAAATATGCTTTGCGGAAGCTATTTTTATAATGGCTTACAATTTAATAAATAACAAAAAATAAGGCAAGGAAAAGCCCGATTTTTAAATATTAAGATCCAGCAAGCTAAAGCTATGTATGATAAAATTATCATAAATTATAAAATCCAAAATAATATTTTTAACGAATATCCCAGTAATTAGTATTTCCAGGCCATAAACTGCTATCCTTTTGTTCATTTATTATTTAGTGAATTCACCACATTTCTTAAATTGTATACATATCTAACTTATATGAATTTAAATCTCCAAATCTCTTGATTTGTAATTTATTTTTTATCTGAATATTCTAATAAAATGCAGTCCATATTTTCAGAGGCAGACACCACTCTTCACAATGGCAAAAATTTTTGAATTCCTTACAACCAAGCTTGCTTGCCTATTATTTATGAAGGATATTTAACAGAGATATAGGGGTTTTCCCTGTATGGCCCGATAAGGGCCGTGGGTTCTCAATGGAATCCCTCTGTTGGTCAAACCAACTCAGTGCGTTGTTTGACCAATTCACTGGTTGGTTCAACCAGCAAAGGGATTCCACGGATGGCCCACTGCCCTTCGGGCTATATAGTGATAACACCTATAACTGAGATCGGCCCTGTAATAAATTACTACCTATTGAATAAGCATTTTTTACTTAAGCTCAATAAAGGCTCAATTATTGTCGAAGGAATGACGATCCTGAAATGGAAAAGGGTTACACCTTTCAAAGATAACAGAGAAAACCCTAAATATGGGTTCAAGCTAGGTCATAATGACAACTATAGGATATTCTACGTAAATAGTGAAGAAGAGCTGAACATATGAATCAATAAACTAAGTTTTGTAGGAATAATTGACAACATAGAAAAAGATTATTCAATGGCCAGAGAAATCGGAAAAGGGTCATTTGCAAGAGTATTTTTAGGCATTGAAAATACCAGCTCGCAAGAATTCGCTATTAAGTGCTTTAATAAGATGGACTTGTGAAACAGAAAAAATGGCATTAAGCATTTACTGAATGAAATAGATATCATGAGGAAGCTCGACCACCCCAATATACTCAAGCTATTTAAGGTATATGAAGACTGTGATAAAGTTTATCTGGTCTTAGAGTATGCTGAAGGTGGGGATCTTAGAAAAAGACTATCAGAATGCAAAAAATATCCTGAAGAAGCAGCAATCAGATTTATTCAAAAACTACTGAGGGTTGTTGATTATATGAAATCTCTTAATCCTCTGGGAAGTTTTATATAGGCAATTTAATTTATTTTTTGATTAATTAATATAGAATAATAAAATGGCTCACCCAAATTTTATTATTATATGGTAGGTTTTTAAGTCTGTTAGAGAAGAAATGGCAAAGGTTTTTTACTTCATATCCTGGAGGCAACATATTTTACCTGTTTCTACTGTCTGATAAAAGTAGGTACCTTAGGCCGAAAAGGAGGAGAAAAGTCGAATAGAACGAGCCAACGCGTCAAGCCACAAGTGCTCCCGGATTTCTAGGCTTCAAATGGCTCCATATGACTAGACAGAGTGAGCTTTATTAAACAGGCATGCAGCCACTTAGGGTAAACAGCCAAAACCGAGAAAAAATGAACTTTATTGTCCTGTGCAACTTGAGGTGATTTAAATTAATTAATCTAAGTCTAAGATTAATTAATATACTATTATAACCTCAATTATTAAAAAAAATAATTATTAAAGAGCTAATATTGTACACAAGGATATCAAGCCAGAAAACATTCTTTTAACAAGCCCTAGCGACAATAGCAATTTCAAGCTCGCTGACTTTGGACTCGCCTGCGAATGCGATGGCTATCTTGAAGGAAAATGTGGATCATTAGGCTACGTAGCTCCTGAGATCCTCTGAGGAATGAAATACAGCTTCAATGTCGACGTCTTCAGCACTGGTGTCGTGTTTTTTGCCCTCATCGCTGGCCGAAGTCCATTTTATGGGAAAAGTGTCAACGAAATTTACCTTAAAAACTTGAACTGTAATATCCAATTCAACGAAAAGTGTTGAATAAATATTAAAATCCCAACAATTAACATGATCCAAATACTCACAAATAAAGACCCTTCTTTCAGGCCTCTTGCCAAGCATGCATTAAGAAACGCTTTATTCGATGACGCAGATAATAACTATCAAATCAATTTATCGCCTTTGTCATATTTATTGACAAAACAAAGCAATGAAAAAAGCTGGCTTGAAAACAAAGAAGACGTAAACTGTTTAATTTAAATTAAAAAGCTTTCAGATAATTTGGTTTGAGTAGGAATAATTTTTTAGAAAAAATGGATTTAATTAATATAAATTTTGCCGATTTTTATACAGTAATTCCGAGTTTTATATATATTTTTAAATTTCTAAATTTTTTTCACTGAAAAGTAAAATCAGGTATTTTATAATAACAATAAAAAAAATGTTTCGAGAATCTGATATAGGTTTTTTCCCTATATAGCCCGATAAGGGCCGTGGATTCTCTGTGGAATCCCTCTGCTGGTAACCAACCAGTGAATTGGGCAAACCAGCGCACTGAGTTGATTTGACCAGCAGAGGGATTCCACAGAGAATCCACGGCCCTTATCGGGGAATATAGGGAAAACCCCTATATCAAATCGCGTAAGGAAGAACATAAATTTTGGTCATTATGTTTTTCAACTACTAATGATGCAATATATAGTGGCAAGCTTTTTGAGTCCTCTAGCTCAGGTGCGCTTAAAGAGAGCTGGTTTCATCTGACCAGCCATTATTTAGTCAAAAATAAGTCAAATATCAACGGCTTATCAAAGAGATCCTTATTGATATGGAAACCAGTCAGGCCATTTGTAAAAAACTGTCATTTATATGGCTTTAGGATTGGCTATTATGACTGTTATAAGGAGTTTTATGCTGAATCTAAAGAAGTGTTTGCTGAGTGGCTTAAATTTTTATCCTGCATTGGGATAATGCAAAACATCGAGGAAGACTTCCATTTCCTCAAAGAAATCGGCAAAGGAAATATCGGGACTATTTTTTTGGCTGAAGAAATAAATACCCACACAAAATATACTGTTAAGTATATTAAGTCCAACAAATTTGATGAGTATATCATAAATGAAATCAATATATTGAGGACTCTTAATCACCCAAATGCAGTCAAACTGTATAAAGTCTATGAGAGTGATGCAGGAATTTACATTGTTTTAGACAATCTCAGTGAAACAAATTTATTTCAAAAAATTGTAGATGTGAAGAATTTTTCTGAAAAAGATTGCTTACTCCCCCCCCCCTCCGTGAGTGAACAAAAAAATTTTTGTTCACTCACGGAGGGGGGTTAATTTTTTTTTTTTAAAATAAATTTATATATAAATTTTATAGAAAATATTTTTTTCGAAATTTTAAAAAAATCCTAATTTGCAAAAATTGGAAAGCAAATATTAATTTAATTTATAAAATTTATGTTTTAAAAAGCAATTTGTTAAAAATTAAACAGAATTAGCTCGAGATTTCATTATAATAATTATCACTTATATATCAAAAATTTTTTCCATAAAAAATTTTTCTATTAAAAAAATTTTTGTTCACTCACGGAGGGTGGGTTTTTGGGCAAAAAATAGGGATTTTTCTAATGGTTTTGTTCACTCACGGAGGGGGGGGTGAGTTAGTTTTTGCAAAAAAAATTATGGAGTTTCTTGATTATTTCAACTCACTTAATATCATACACAGAGATATTAAGCTTGAAAATTTTGCAATGTCTTCTAATGCTGGTAACACTGATTTTAAACTTATTGATTTTTCGATGGCTACTTTTGATATAATAACAATAATTCTAGATGTGGATCGCCTGGCTATATTGCACCTGAGATATTAAAAGGAGAAAATTATGGACTGAAGGCTGATATTTTTAGCGCTGGAGTAGTTTTGTATATAGTGAGCACGGGGAGGATGCCATTTTATGGAAGAAGTCAAAAGGAAATTTTATTAAGGAATAGAGATGCTATTATTAATTTTCCTACAAATTTTTGTCTAAGAATGTCGAGAAAATGGATGAGCTTCTTATTTAAACTGCTAGACCCAAATCCTAATACAAGAATAAGCTCTGGAGAAGCTTTAAAAGAAGTAAGTGACATGCTTTATACCTATCAGTCTAGTATCTAAAAAGATAAGAAAAAATAGTATAAATAACACAGCTAAATTAACGTAAACAAGGGTATTAATTTTTTTGGGTCAAAATTTTCCAGAAAATGCATTTATTTAAATTTCAAATAAAATGGAATGTTTTGCTTGCAAAATCTAAAATTAAGAAATTTAATTTATTATCCCTAAGATATCGAGGAATAGAGGCCAAAACTTCCCACTTGGTCCGGCCAGCTCAGGTTGGTCGAACAAAGTGATAAGTGGCAAATGAGCCTCCTCCCACTTGATTCGGCCAACCCGAGTTGGTCAGACCAAGTGGTAAGTTTTGGCCTCTATCCTTCACCCATATCGGGCTATCTTAGGGATATGCCTATATATTTTCTTTTCTCTTCTATATTATTTTAAAATAATTCTTAACAATACAGCTAAAATTTCCTTAAATCTTTCTTTATTTAATTGCAAAATTCTACTAGTTCAAACAAAATATGGGACAAGTTTCATGCAGAACCTGCGACTGCCATTGAATTGACAGTAAAGCTGAGGTCGAGCTTCGAAGTAGCGTATTTTTTATATAGGACCTATATTCCTCCCACCAAGGCTACAGAGAAACAATGTCAATAATCCTCGGCGAAAATTCTACCATCGATTCCGATATATTTCAAACCAAAAAGTCACATATAATTAAAGTCCAGTCTCTCTGAAGGTCCTATAAAGCTCGGAAAGATTTCAAAAAGCACCTACGAGCCAGAAAGCCTCATTATCCTTACTTTGGAAACGACGAAGTTTATTTTGATTTAAGCAAACGGTCAGCTCCACCTTTGTACCGCGATGTAAGACCTGCAAAAGTATATCCTAATTGTGGAGTTTATATTGGAGAATGGAGAGGGGCATTCAGAGATGGCCATGGCGTCATGTCTTGGCAAGACGGATCACGGTATGAAGGAAATTGGTCTTGGGGCAGACCTGAAGGAAGAGGAAAATTCATTTTTGCTGATGGGGATAAATATGAAGGAAAATGAAATAATTATTTTTTTATTGGGGAAAAATCAAATTTAGAAGGCTTAGGAGCTGTGCTGTGGAAGGAAAAAGTAAAGGATGGGTATGGTAATTTTTATATAGAATGGCTTTGGTATAAATATGAACAAGCTAGAAATAGCCCAAGATCTGCGCCGACAAGCCCGAAAAATAAAAAGAAATTTAAAGAAATCCAGGAGAGATTTGAGTATGTAGAAAAACTGATTGAGTCTAATAAACCTCGAGCTGCTTTAGAGACACATGATAGATTTGGGAATGCAAAAGAGTATCAGCAGCTTAAGTATCCTGATGGGACTATTTATATTGGAGAATTCAATGGACTGCTAAGAGAAGGCAAAGGAAAAGTGACCTGGCCTGATGGAGATGTATATGAAGGAGAATGGAAAAATGACAAGCAGTTCGGATGGGGAAAAAACATATGAAAAGATGGGTCAAAATATATAGGATCTTATCTTGACAATCTCAAAGACGGAGCTGGGATATATGAATGAGAAGAAGGCACAAAATACACTGGAGAATGAAAAGACAATAATATGCATGGTGTAGGCAAATATATATGGCCTGATCAGAAAATTTACCTTGGAGAATGGACTTTAGGGATGATGCATGGGTTTGGGGTCTTGGAATGGCCAGATGGCAGAAAATATGAAGGTGGTTGGTTCCAAGGTAAAAAACATGGAGAAGGAGTCACAAGCTATGCCAATGGAAAAGCCAGCAAAGATGTCTGGAGGCATGGAAAAATTATCAAGCCAGATGTGAATTAGAATAATTAAATGTAAGCTAATTTTATTACAAAGGACTGATCGATTTTTACAGCCTTGGGATATATAAAAACTGTATTTCCTTTTACTTGAAAATCAATTTCCCTTTGGTTTTCTTGTTCAATTTTTCTAGGCACTTGTTTTATTCCTATAATCACGATTTTTTCCACAACATTATTCAGATCTATATGCCCTTTTTGGATTTCATATTTAAAAATCCCTTCTGAGAGCTCTATTTTTGCATAAATAAACTCACCATCTAGATATCTAAACGTCAAAGTATCATCAATATAAAGGCTTCCTGAAGCTTTTCCCTCATCATTGAGTGCTACTATAAAGCTATAAGGATCATTATACATATCTTTTGAGCATTTTCTTACTTTTTCTTGTCTAGTTATAATACTTCCTCCTCTAATATAGGCTGGAACCCAATACTCTTCTGTATCCACCAATAATTTTCCTGATTTAACCTCTATATAGCTGTGATAATCATATCATTTTCCTTCAGGAATATACACAGAGACTTTATCTTGATTTTCCTGAGTAATAGCAGCTACAAGAATCCCTGAGCCGACCATAAATTGTCTGTCCAAATCAGCAGCATTATCATCATTTGGGTACATTGCAAACATAGGAATTACCACAGGGGTACCTTTAGTGCTGTATTTGTAAAATAAAGTATATCAATATGGAAGGAGCCTATATCGTTCTCGTATAGCAATACGGATTTTACTGAGGACTGGCTCTGCAAATAGTCAGGGCTCTCTGCGTTTTGACTCATTCTGCGAGTGGCATCGGAAAAATGGGTAATACGCTGCTATTTGGAATCACCGAGAATAGAGGTCAGGGCTAGGATCAAAGCAGTAACCTCCTATATCAGAGCCTGTAAAGCTTAGCCCACTTACCGCACATTGTAAAATTAATGGTATAGAAATGTCTAAATAACCCCAGCTAGCTAGGTTATCTCCTGCCCATGTAGCGCCATACCTTTGAGATCCGCTGAAAAATGACCTGGCCAATACAAAAGGCCTTTCTTTTTTCCCATTTCTTTTATATACCCCTTCATATGATGCTTTTTGTGTATAGAGTCCATATAAATTGTGCAGCTCCCTATGCTCATATTGATTATGTAAAGAGTTTCTTGACAAGGTTTTTTCAGGCCCAGATGCAATAGCAGGCTCATTCATATCATTTCAGAACAATAAAGCCATTGTAGAGTCTTTATGATTTTCAAAGCTGTAATAGGATCCTCAAAGGTCACGGACCTCAGGTCTTGATAAATCAGGCCAGCAAGAATTCCCAGGCCAGGTGTCTCCCATTCATTCTAAACCATTTTTATCATTTACAAAAAATTTTTTTTCTGATAGCTCTCTATAAAGGTCATAGGAAAAACTTCTTTTTATGTGAGGGTCAGCAATAACAAAAAGTTTTCGACCATTTAGGGAGAGGAAATCAAGCATTTCTATAGGAGAAGGATAGTTCTGGTAGTTCCAAGTTCTGTAGGCAAAGCTGTCAACTGTGTCTATGTCAAGCCAAATTGAGTCGTGAGGTAAATCATTTTTATCGAAATTTGAAGAAATTTCGAGGACTTCGGATTGAGTGTTGTAGTCTCACCGCGATTGATGGTAGGCTAAGGTATATTCATCAAATGGCGGCTTAACCGCATCAAACTCTAAAGTGCTTCACCACGATCCAGTAGTTGTGGCATGGGCCCAAGGGTGAGGGTGAGGATGAGGGGGTTAATTTAATGGGGTCGAAAATAAGATCCCACCGAGGCCTATGCCCAGGGATTAAGTTTTTTCTTTAGCTGCTGAGGGTATGAATCCAGCGCCCGTTGGACTCCAGGTTTCTCCCTGAATCAAGCTACTCTTCAATTTCCCGATACAGCGCTGCAGAAGTTCATAGTCCACCACTCAACAATGGAGCGTGAAGGCAAGGGGAGTGTTCAAGCAAGATACTCTAGATTTTCGTAGAATCAACGTCCGGAAAAGGAGCTGAGGCAACTTGCCAGCTAAGCCATCTCAACCGTTCAAGTGCCCAACAGGGAATCTCACAAAGCAGATGAAACTCTTAAGCATCCTTGATGACTGTGTAACCCTACCAGCAAAGCAAATCTGCTAATTAAGATTGAGATGGTATGCTAAGGCAAAAAGAGGGGGCAGTTGGGCTGGACCAGTAGCCATTGTGAACTTTTTGATAATTGATAGAGGAGATTTATTAACAAACATAATAAACTCCATGACCCCTGCTTCTGACATCCAGTGCGTCTGCTTAGTTCTGTCCCAGGTCTTTATGTCAATCCAAGTCTCAGACCCGTTCATTCAAAACACTCCAGCTGAATAATTTTTTTGACTTCTGCTTACTATAAATGGAGACGCTCCATATAAGGCTGATTTTTCTCCTAAATGAAATTTATAATGGTCAAAATTAAAAAACCGGTACGGGTCAGAATTTACTGTATCTTTTAATGGTAAATCGTCAGCATGGTGAGCTAAACCATACACATGGGTGGCCTCTGCAAACTCAAAATCCATTGCTACACTACAAGGCCCACGATATTTTATATCAGTAAATCCGAAATATTTTTCCACCCAAAGGTCTTGAAAAATCTCTAAATTTCCATTTTTTTCTTTATAAATCCCAGCAGAGTCTATTGTTGGTATTGGGAAATTTTGATTTTTTTCTTGATTTTTTGGTCTAATGTCGTCTGTGAATTTTCTATATCTTTCAAAATTCATTAAAGAAGATGCATTAGCTGATACAGTCAGGGAGCCTTTAAAATATCCTTTTATTAAAATAGGAGAAAAATTTATTTCATATTTTGCTTTATTTCAAGTAAAAATAGCATTTCTTTCTGAAATTTCTATACTTATTTACCAAGAATAGCCCACTAAGCAGCATTTTTTGGTTGGCCGGGCAATAGCTGGCTTATACTAATTGCCCGAGGATGGGCAATTCCTATACCAAATCCGTTAGCATGCCATATTTTCTGGCTAACCAAATTTAAGAATGGCGAACCAAAAATGCTCCTTAGTGGGCTATTATTGGTAAACAGGAATATACAAGAAAAATCAATTTTTTCTAAAGCTTGTGGGTTTAAAATATCGCCACTAGGGATTCGAAATCGTGGGAAAATCGGGTTTATTTCGTCTAGATAAACGTGGATGCATTCATTCTTATACATTATAATTTCTCCTTGAAGAAAAGGATTGTCTTCAAATAGGCTGCGACAAGTAAATTTTATTCCTCCGTCAATTCTGAGTATTGAGGAAGAGATAATCTCATAACTCAAATCAAATCTCAAGCCTGCGGTGTTGTTATTTGCATTGTGTGAAGCTAAATACCTGTTTCTTTGGCAATGGCTTGACTCTTTTCAATTTTTAAATGGATATCGGTCATCCATTTTATTTAAATCAGAAAGCAATTAATTTCATTAATAAATAAGAAAATTGCAATTATAATAAATTATTGGATAACTTTGTGAGACTCAAAAGTGCTGTCGTATCAGATTTTTTAGAAATTTGGTACTATTTTTTTCGTAAAATTTATCGGCTTAATCAATAATTTATTAGTCAGCATTTATCAAGTTCAATATTTATATTATGTCTTAATCTGAAATGGGATAAAATAAATTAGTTATAAATTCGACGCTATAAATATGTTGAAAAAATTTATTTATAATAGCTATTAACTTAAGAATTGTTCTTTAGATATCCATGAATCCACTTTGCTCCACCTTCTTTATTTTTCAAATACTTAGCCAGCTTTTCATAACACGGATAAAATGGATTTGCCATCAAGTTTATACTTTTTTGCTAGTGCACGCTTTTTTATCAAAACATTTTGATAATATTTCATTTCCTTCAAAAGTTTGACCCCTCTTAAGAAATTGATGATTTTCTGAGCAGATGCTTCGCAAAAAAAAAATTTCGACCAAAAATCCCAATGAGATGTCACACACTATTAAAATTTTCCAATTAAATGGCATGAGCTCTTTTTGCCTTATTTTGCCTATTAATTTGCATCTAAAAATGCTTTTAGGAAAAATTAATGAAAACCCTATGCATCTGGAGGATCATTTTTATGCAGCTTCCCTAATTTAATAGAATCCAAGATTTCTTTTAAGTCTTGATATTGAGGCTTGTTTTCAAGCTCCTTCAGAAGTATTTGCTTATTTTGTTGTCTATATTCAACAACAGCTTTTTTTATCATAAAGTTATAGCAAGATAAAGTTGATCATTTTCCTAGATAAAATTGAACGTTAAGCAAATTTGGATTTATTTGATAATGAGCTTTTATTTGAGATTTAGATAATACCCGAAATTTTTTAGTATTTGAGCAATTCATGCACAGAGGCTTTTTTAATAAAGGGCAACGAAAGAAATTGTCCTCTTCCATCAGCTTGTGACAGCCAATACAGGCTTTGAGGGCCATTGCTATATATGAGTTTTTCCAATTGTCGACTTCTATTTCTGGAACTGGAAACTCATTTGTGTAATAAAAGTGTCAAAGTTCTTCATCTCAGGTAATGTGGTAGAATTCTTTACATACAAAAGAAAGTTTTGATGCGACCTCAGCTGGGCTCATAAATCTAAAGACTTCAATTCATGCCCTTTTATATTTACTATCAATTTAATATTGAGCAAAAGCATTGGAAAATGCTTAATTTTTGGGAAAATTAAGGAATGCTTATTATATTTTCATATTAAATTAATAATTTTATAATGAATCTATATTAAATTTATCTAAAAAAATTATTTTTAAGTATATTGCAACTTATAAAAATAAAAAAAAAGTTTTTATTGTATATTTTAAAATAATTTTTTTAATTAAAAATTCAGCCCTGTCGAAAATCAAGCAAAAAATTTTACTGTATCTTAAAGAGGGAATTAGACGGTTTTGATTCCACTTGTTTTAGCATATTAGGAGGAGAATGATAAGGCTTGTCAATAGGTGGATATTTAGAATTTCATTCCTCAAGCCACTCTTTAAATCTTTGTAACCCATCGCCACCTAAGTTCATTCGAATGTCCTTCTCACAAATATATTGCATCACTTTGGGTCTATAGCAGTTCAGATGGTAATATTCATTCCCACTCATATGGTAAATGAATATCCTGATGTCGTGTTTTTTAATATTCTGTTGACAGACCCTGCAACGAGTTAGGCTTGACTTGCAATATTGAGCTTCAAATTCAATTCTGAACATTTCGGATATAATTACAAAATAATGGATTATTCATTTTTCGATATGTAAATTTAGAGGATTTGATTGAATTTATTATAGAGACTCAAGCTGCGATAAGTTGCATTTATCTGTAGATTTTGGTTTTATTAAAAGCATAAGAATCTTTACCATAAGTAAATGTCCTAATAAAGATCTTAAAGTTGTTGTAATAGTCGTCGCTCAACGTTAAAGATTTTTACTTTTCATTGAAATTAGGAGATTACATAGTAAGCCAAATTGATGCTTTCACTTTTGGAAAGGCAGAAATCTCTATAAAACTCTATCAATATGAGAAATTCTTTTAATTTTCCATTCAATCTTTTCTATAATAAATATTCATGGAATCAACCAGAGTCAGGTAAACGTCTTTTTGAATGGTGACTTAAATAAAAAATGCGAAGCCACCTGTGCATAGCAATCTGATCCTTTCTGAGTTAATTTCAGATTGCAAAGAAAAATTTGACATTAATGGACATACAAAATGCAAGCTTTTTGATTCTGGAGTAGGAGAACTATCTGATGATGACCTTGATTATTTAAACCCAGATGAGCCGCTTTTTCTTTCACAAGGCGAAGAATTTTCAAAAAATTCAAGTATACTAGTATATGAGCCAATAAAACAATTCGGGGAAGGAGGTTTTGGGTCTGTATGATTATATGAGTATAATTCAAATAAAAATTTAGCAGCATTAAAATTTGTCTCATTTGATTCCCTTATATCAGCTGAAGATGTAAATAGAGTTTACGCAGAAATTGAAGTTTTAAGAGGTCTCAGGAATTAATACATGGGATTTTATTTACAATTGTTGCTATCAGTTTTGTAATCTTCACATTTAAGCATAAAGCCTATAATTATCCTCGGTTCAGCTGATGACTTTCTTTAGGCCTAATAGCTGCAACTTGAACTTCATTTTTGGCAACTATAATATAAGCCTTCAAAAAAATTCAAAGCATTGTTTGGAGATTTATATTAATTCTTGGGTATATTGTTATAGCAATGATCGGCTGGACAGTTCAAAGGAAAAAATATCCAAGTTTACTTTTAGAAAAACGGTAAAAAATACGATCATTTTGTTTAAATTTGCATTTACTTTCAGAGGGAAAAGCTCTAAGATTGCTCCGCTTAAGTCAGTAGAATAAAATATTTTACTAATTTTCGAAAATAAAACATCATGAGCCTCTATTTTATTTCCTATAATAAATGATTTACAGATGTTTAATGAAATGCACTGTAATTGGAAGTACAATTTGTTTCTTTGATTTATTGGAAAAAGGTATAATATCGATAGTAAAAAAAAGACTTCAGATAAGGGACTATTAATATCAAGAGCGATATCGTTACATTGCAAATATAAAACATTTCATGCCAAAATTATTCATGATCATGCTATAGCATATTGTAGATTCTCGATGTCTATCAACTTAATCAATAATTTGCATTCGTATTAAATGATAAAAAATCAAGTCAAATTTTCTTTAGTCAGCACTTATCAAGTTCAATATTTATATTATGTCTTAATCTGAAATGGGATAAAATAAATTAGTTACAAATTCGAAGATAATTTGATAAAAAATCACGCTATAAATATGCCGATAAATTTATTTATATAGCTATTTACTTAATTATTGTTCTTTAGATATCCATGAATCCACTTTACTCCGCCTTCTTTATTTTTCAAATACTTAACCAGCTTTTCATAGCACGGATAAAATGGATTTGCCATCAAGTTTGCATCTGGAGGAACATTTTTATGCAGTTTTCCTAATTTAATAGAATCCAAGATTTCTTTTAAGTCTTGATATTGAGGCTTGTTTTCAAGCTCCTTCAGAAGTATTTGCTTATTTTGTTGTCTATATTCAACAACAGCTTTTTTTATCATAAAATTATAGCAAGATGCACTTGATCATTTTCCTAGGTAAAATTGAACATTAAGCAAATTTGGATTTATTTGATAATGGGCTTTTGCTTGAGATTTAGTAAATACCCAAAATTTTTTTGTATTTGAGCAATTCATGCACAGAGGCTTTTTTAATAAAGGGCAACGAAAGAAATTGTCCTCTTCCATCAGCTTGTGACAGCCAATACAGGCTTTGAGGGCCATTGCTATATATGAGTTTTTCCAATTGTTGATTTCTATTTCTGGAACTGGAAACTCATTTGTGTAATAAAAGTGTCAAAGTTCTTCATCTCAGGTAATGTGGTAGAATTCTTTACATACAAAGGAAAGTTTTGAAGCAGCCTCAGCTGGGCTCATAAATCTAAAGACTTCAATTCATGCCCTTTTATATTTAGACGGTTTTGATTCCACTTGTTTTAGCATATTAGGAGGAGAATGATAAGGCTTATCAATAGGTGGATATTTAGAATTTCATTCCTCAAGCCACTCTTTAAATCTTTGTTCCGCATCACCATCTAAGTTCATTCGAATGTCCTTTTCACAGATATATTGCATCACTTTGGGTCTATAGCAGTTCAGATGGTAATATTCATTCCCACTCATATGGTAAATGAATATCCTGATGTCGTTTTTATTAATTATCTCGTTACAGACCCTGCAAAGAGTTTGATTTGACTTGCAATATTGGGCTTCAAATTTAATTCTGAACATTTTGGATATAAATTACAAAATAATAGACTATTCATTTTTGATATGTAAATTTAGAGGATTTAATTGAATTTGTTATAGACACTCAAGCTGCAATAATTTGCCCTTATCTGCAGATTTTGGCTTTATTAAAAGCATAAGAATCTTTACATAAGGAAATGGCCTATTCAAGATCTTAAAGTTTTGTAATAGCCGTAGCTCAACTTTAAAGATTTTTTCAATAATTAGTGGTTTGATTAAAATTAGGAGATAGTAAGTCAAATTATGCTTTTCACTTTTGGAAAGGCAGAAATCTCTATAAAACTCTATTAATATGAGAAATTCTTTTAATTTTCCATTAAATCTTTTCTATAATAGATATTGAAGTTAAAAGAATTTTAGTCATGGAATCAGCCAGAGTAACTTTTATTCAGGTAAACGTCTTTTTGAATGGTGACTTAAATAAAAAATGCGAAGCTACTGTGCATGGCCATATGACCCTATCTGAGTTAATTTCAGATTGCAAAGAAAAATTTGACATTAATGGACATACAAAATGCAAGCTTTTTGATTCTGGAGGAGGAGAACTATCTGATGATGACCTTGATTATTTAAATCCAGATGAGCCTCTTTTCCTTTCACAAGGCGAAGAATTTTCAAAAAATTCAAGTATACTAGTATATGAGCCAATAAAACAGCTCGGGGAAGGAGGTTTTGGGTCTGTATGGTTATATGAGCACAAGCTAAACAAAAATTTAGCAGCATTAAAATTTGTCTCACTTGATTCCCTCATATCTGCTGAAGATGTAAATAGAGTTTACGCAGAAATTGGAGTTTTAAGAGGTCTCAGACACCCAAATATAGTCCAGCTTTATGACGCTTTTCCTCTTCAAGATATCCTAAATTAGTCTATTTTTTAGAATTTTTTGTATTAAATTTTTCTATTTTCTAAAAAATAAGGATGATATTTTTTTAAAAAACTGTCTTATTTTAATAGAAAAAAATAAAATTTGCTTTGTTATGGAATTTTGCAGCGGCGGAGAAATGCAAAATTATCTTGAAGAGCATGGGAAAATCCCTGAAGACGAGCTTTATCATATCGGCTGCCAAATGGTAGAAGCAATAAAATACTGTCATGACATGAAAATTATCCACAGAGATCTGAAGCTGGAAAATGTCCTTTTTGCTAACGACTCAAAAACACAAATAAAAATCGTTGATTTTGGGATAGCAGGAATGTTCGCAGGTGCTCACAGTGAAAGAAGTGATGCTGGGTCTTTGCTTTATATTGCACCGGAAGTGCTGGCTAAAGAAGATAACAGAGCAAATCCAGCACTCGATATATGGAGCATTGGGTGTATTTTTTATTATTTATTGACTGGATTTCATCCATTTGAACATGAAACTCAAAATGAAATTATTAGGAAAATTGTAAATTGCGAGTATCAGCCTTTGCCAAATACAGTATCAAGGCCATGGCATAAGCTGATAAGAGGAATTTTAAGGCTAAATCCTAGGAGAAGATGAAATTCGTTGAGGATTATTGAGCATTTGTATAAATATAGATTTGAAAGAGATGCAAGTTTAAGCCCTGAGTCAGAAGAAGAACAGTCACCTGCACAGATTGAGAGTGGCAAGAAAACCAATAGACCAGGAAAATACTCAAAAATTGGAGCCAAGCCTGTAGAGTAAATTTTATTTACTCCCACCTTTAAATAGGAAATCCATTTTAAAGTAAATTTTTAGCTTACTCCCCCCCCCCCTCCGTGAGCGAACAAAAAAATTTTGTTCGCTCACGGAGGGGGGTTAATTTTTTTTTTTAAAAAAAAATTTATATATAAATTTTATAAAAAATATTTTTTTCGAAATTTAAAACAATCCTAATTTGCAAAAATTGGGAAGCAAATATTAATTTAATTTGCAAAATTTATGTTTTAAAACGCAATTTGTTTAAAATTAAACAGAATTAGCTCTAGATTTCATTATACTAATTATCACTTATATATCAAAATTTTTTTCCATTAAAATTTTTTCTATTAAAAAAATTTTTGTTCACTCACGGAGGGTGGGTTTTTGGTCAAAAAAATGCGATTTTTCTAATGGTTTTGTCCGCTCACGGAGGGGGGGGGGGAGTTTAAAATTTTTTAAAAAAATTAAATTATTATGGTAACCTCAAAGAAGTTAGAAAAAAAATCGAAATTCATTCTCCGAAGAAAAAGGACCCAAGAAAAATTATTAAAAAGTAATATAACTTAACAATTTTAATCATTGCAATATTTAGAATTATTAATAACAATACTGCTAAAAAATAAAGCCTTTAATTGATTTATTTCTCTATATATTTCTTAATGGCTTAATTAAAAAAAGCTATTTGCAATTTTTCTTGCATATTGCATTACCTTGTTGAAAAATGTCTTTATTCCTGACTGTTCTCTCACAAATAGTAGGATGGATCTATTTTGCAGCATGGTCTGTTAGTTTTTACCCTCAAATCCTCCTTAACTACCAGCTCAAGCACGTCTCAGGCTACTCATTGGATTTTGGAGTCTTAAATTTCAGTGGATTTTTAGCTTACTCGTTATACTCAATCTGGGGATATATAGAGCCTGGGATAATGCCAGGCCAAGTCGACTGGTCTGATATAGCATTTGCCTGTCATGCCTGGCTTATAACAACAATAACCCTTATCCAATGCAATTACTATGACTCTGTATGAAATAGGACCGCTCTATGGGTGAAGCTTTTAACCTTATTTTTCTGGGTCTCTGGTGCAATATACGGAATTTTGCAATTAACAGGAAATATGATTACAGCTAAAGACTGAAATGGCTGCCTTTATCTTGGGTACATAAAAGTCTTTATTACATTGATTAAATATTTGCCTCAAGTCTATATGAATTACTCAAGAAAAAGTACTATAGGGTGGAGCATTATGAATGTATTATTGGACTTTACAGGAGGATCTTTGAGTATTTTACAGATATTTATAGATGGAGCTAATACAGGGGATTGGAATGTGTTTGGGAATGGAGGGGCTTTTAATGTGGCGAAATTCTGTTTAGGATTTTTATCAATGTCTTTTGATGTTATTTTTATGATACAGCATTATGTGCTATATAGAGAAAATAATAACAAAGGAGTGGTTAAAGGAGTTGACCTTGACCCACTTTATAAAAACCGTCATGATTAATAATTTACTAAATAAGTAATATTTATAATTTAAGAGTGCGGTCTGATATCTTGCTAAAAGAGAGATTTTTTGAGATTATATTAGAAACTTTAAATGCCTATGAGTTAGATTGAAAGCAATAAAAAGCGCTTCCACCTGGGTTTGAACCAGGGACCTTTTGGTTAACAGCCAAATGCTCTGCCGGCTGAGCTATGAAAGCAAGCTGATATCCAAAACAAGAAAAGCCTTTTCAATAAGCCAAAAATATTTTCGTTAAAATTTTTTGAAAATAGATTTCTAAGTTATCCAGATATTATAGAATAATTTTAAACTAAAAAATAAAGATTTTATAGAAAATTCAAAATTTATAGACTTGACTAAAAACAACCACATTACTTTGCATTTCTATATCTATTATTTATTACTACCTAGAGCATCTTTTCTTTCTTGCTGACTCTACTGTTTTTTGGACTCCAATACTCCCAGAAGGTCCTAGGGCTTTTCCCAGTCTTTTATCTTTGATTTCTTTTGCGATATGATAAAACGTTTCATTAATATTTATGTTTGTTTTGGCACTGGTTTCAAAAAATTTGATGCCCAGCTCCCTTGCCAATGCTTCTCCTTGCTCTGTGCTGACTTTCTTATCAGTTTCATCACACTTGTTCCCAACCAGCACCTTGACCGTGTCTTCCTCGGCGTACATTCTGATTTGTTGCATCCAGTTGGGTATGTTTCAAAATGAATTCATATCTGTACAATCATAAGCGAGGATGATCCCCTTGGCGATTCCGTAATAAGGCTGAGTGAGGGCCCCATATCCTTCTTTTCCTGGAATGTCCCAGACTTGAAGCTTGATGGCTTTGCCTTCAACATCAATTATTTTATTAAAATCTTTGAAAATTGGTGTAATAGGACTAAGAAATTATAGTATTTTGCACTTATTATTTTTAATATTACAGCAAATTTAAATATTTCAAGGGGCGTGCTTGTGAGTTTTTTGATTTTTGCTATTTTTAGCATTCTATTCTCTTAATCCTTCAACCCTAATAATTGAATTCTACTAAAGTCAAAAATAAATTTTCTAATAGTTTTGCTTCAATCAGGCAAGTAAATATGTAATTTTATAATTTAAGAGTGCAGTCTGATATCTTGCTAAAAGAGAGATTTTGGGGATAGATTAAAAACTTCAAATGCTCATGAGCTAGACTGAAAGTAATAAAAAGCGCTTCCACCTGGGTTTGAACCAGGGACCTTTTGGTTAACAGCCAAATGCTCTGCCGGCTGAGCTATGAAAGCGAGTTGTTAGCTACTTGCATTATTTGATTTTATATAAAACAAATTTTTGGAATTTGTAATAATAGTAAAATATATCAATTAATTTAAGATTTGAGCCAAAAAAAGGAAATAAAGAGGTTATTAAAAAGCGCTTCCACCTGGGTTTGAACCAGGGACCTTTTGGTTAACAGCCAAATGCTCTGCCGGCTGAGCTATGAAAGCAAGCTGATATCCAAAACAAGAAAAGCCTTTTCAATAAACCAAAAATAATTCATTAAATTTTGTGAAAATAGACTTCTACGTTAATCCAGATATTATAGAATAATTTTAAATGAAAAATGAGGTTTTTCATAGAAAATTTTAAAATTTATAGGATTTGACTGAAATAACCCAAATTACTTTATATTTCTATATCTATTATTTATTACTTCCCACAGCATCCTTTCTTCTTGTCCGGCTTTGTTGTTTTTTGGACTCTAATACTCCCAGTAGTTCCTAGGGCTTCTCCCAGTCTTTTATCTTTGATTTCTTTTGCGATATGGTAAAACGTTTCATTAATATTTATATTTGTTTTGGCACTGGTTTCAAAAAATTTGATCCCCAGCTCCCTTGCCAATGCTTCTCCTTGTTCTGTGCTGATTTTCTTATCAGGTCTGTCACACTTGTTCCCCACCAGTACCTTGGCCACGTTTTCATTGGCGTGCATTTTGATTTGTTGCACCCAGTTACGTATATTGTTAAATGACTTCTCATCTGTACAATCATAAGCGAGGATGATCCCCATGGCGCCTTTATAATAAGTCTGAGTGATGGTCCTAAATCGTTCTTGCCCTGCAGTGTCCCAGATTTGAAGCTTGATGGTTTTGCCTTCAATATCAATTGTTTTAAGTTTAAAATCGATGCCGATTGTTGTAAGATGGGACGCTGTGAAATTATCATCTGAAAATCTGAGTAAGAAGCAAGTCTTACCCACTCCAGAATCACCAATTATGAGAAGCTTGATTAGATAATCGTATTGCGCTGTACTTCTGGCCATATATTATTAGAAAGAGCTTGATAAGAAGTCATTAGGAAAAATATGAAATTATCGGATAGAAATTAATTAATTGAATTTTTATTGAAATTAAGATGAGTTTAGGAATAATTAAAGTGATTGAATCTGGTTTTTCCTAAATAGAAAGCTAGCTAGGTTATATCTGAGAATTTTAAAGTTTAAAGTTAAAGGATTGAATTATAACAACTTATTTTTGAGCTAAATTGTATTTGGTATTGACTGATTTTCTAAAAAATGATTATTTATTATATTATAGATAAACAAATTGGAGGTTTAATTTAAAAGAAACTCTTCCGCATTTTTATCTTTGTGAATTTTTTGATTTTTGCTATTTTTGGCATTCTATTCTCAGCCCAAATAATTGAATTCTACTAAGTCAAAAATAGCTTTTCTAATAGTTTTCCTCCAATCAAAGAAGTAAATAAGTAACATTTATAATTTAAGAGCGCAGTCTTAATATTTTGCTAAAAGAGAGATTTTGGGGATTTTAAAATGCTTATGAGTTTGATTGAAAGCAGTAAAAAGCGCTTCCACCTGGGTTTGAACCAGGGACCTTTTGGTTAACAGCCAAATGCTCTGCCGGCTGAGCTATGAAAGCAAGCTGATATCCAAAACAAGAAAAACCTTTTCCGTAAGCCAAAAATATTTTCGTTAAATTTCTTGAAAAGAGTTCTACTATAATCCAGATATTATAGAATAATTTCAAATGAAAAATAAGGCTTTTATAGAAAATTTCAAAATTTATAGGATTTGACTGAAAATAACCCAAATTACTTTATATTTCTATATCTATTATTTATTACAGAATCTTTTCTTCTTAGCCAGCTCTGTCGTGTTTTGGATTCTAAAACTCTCAGTAGTTCCTAGGGCTTCTCCCAGTCTTTTATCTTTGATTTCTTTTGCGATATGGTAAAACATTTCATTAATATTTATATTTGTTTTGGCACTGGTTTCAAAAAATTTGATCCCCAGCTCCCTTGCCAATGCTTCTCCTTGTTCTGTGCTGATTTTCTTATCAGGTCTATCACACTTGTTCCCCACCAGTACCTTGGCCACGTTTTAATTGGCGTGCATTTTGATTTGTTTCATCCAGTTACGTATATTGTTAAATGACCTCTCCTCTGTACAATCATAAGCGATGATGATCCCCATGGCGCCTTTGTAACAAGTCTGAGTGATTGCCCTAAAGCGTTCAACTCCTGAAGTGTCCCAGATTTGAAGCTTGATGGTTTTGCCTTCAATATCAATTGTTTTAAGCATAAAATCGATTCCGATTGTTATAATCGGAATAGGAAATTATTAATTTTATTTAATTTTGTTTTCTCCATATCTTGCACCATATAGCACCACCTGTAGCAGTCCTAGTGTTGATCTAGCTACTCCTGAGTCATCTAACTTCTATAGTTCCATTCTATACTTGAAATCTGATAAAAGTTGGTGCACCTGCATATTCAATCCCTTCCAAGTGATCGGTACACTCTTGTTGATTTTTATTCTCTTTTTCCAACCTGTGCACGATACTCTCAAGTTCGTCAGCTTCACAGCATCCCTAAGCTTCTGTTTTCATCCACCTTATCCATCATCTGCATCCTTTCATCTTCCTGATATTCACTCATTCCTAATAATTATAGGGTTTCTCTGCATCTTATCTTCCACGATAAAAGCTTCCTAGTATTCAGCTCCCTCGTCAGAACTGTCAAGTGATCTTCATGCCGCCATAAATCCTCTTTCTGAATCTGAGCAGCCGTATCCTCATGTGGCTTACAAGTGTAATTCACCCTATGTCTAGCAGGAATGTCTCTATCAGTGCCTGCAAGAGCATGAAGCAATAGTCTAGCTAGTCTCATCCTTTCATTTTCAGCGCATATGAGGGTAGTAGCATCCCATACTTGTGTGAACATTCTCTGGCATATTCTAACATAGTTGTGACTCATATTTCAGCATTGACTGTTTTTTTGTGATCTGTAGACAGTTCAAGCCTCCTAGTAGTGACCTTACTGCTAAACTAGCCAACTTTCCACGTTCAATTGCAGCTTTATTGCCAGCGATTCTACCTCTTGATATTTTATCACCTTACCCAAGTATTTAAAGTGTGTCACTTGTTCAACTGCATTCCATCTGCTACTACTTGTAGTCTAAGCAGAAGGTGCTGCCTGCTAATTACAGATGGGTAGGTTTGTAGAGTTGCAGTAACTCCTGATCCTATTGTGTATACATCAATTTCAGTCAGCACCCATTTTGGTTTGTGCAAATAGATCATCACCATGCTACATGGACGTTGAAATTTCCTATTACTATTTCTCGCTTATCCATACTACGGCTTTAAACCATTGATTCATATAGGCCTTCATAAAATTCCTCAATTTCATTTTCGTTGCTCCTTCGACTTAAGAATATACCTTACACTCTCCTTCCACAAATGCTCGCATTAGCTCAGTTTCCATTTATTTTCTTACGAGGATGCCTACTCCTCAATTCTTTCTATTCCTAACTTGCCGTCCACTCGTATCCATCAACTCCTGGGAGGTCTTCATCTTTGGCACAATGAGTCTCACATATCCCTACTGCATCTGGTCTATTTCTTTTATGAATTTTTTATCTGCTATCCTTTCTTTCTGGCTCCATTAATCTTAATGTAGGCTATGGTTTTCAGTCTCTTTTGTGTAGTCTCCTTTATCCTTTTCACATTAGGCTGACTTCAGGTTTTCTTTTTAGTCCATCTTTCTATTCTTCCTGTGTTTTCTTTTCCGATCGCCAATTGTCAAGCTCACTGATGTGGCAGGGTTCCTAGCATCTTTTCCCTCCCCCAACTTCCTCAGTCTGCCCGACTTCTCGTCTTTCGCCCCTCCATTTAGTTCTAGGCTAAAATACTTAGCTTTTAGTTTCCTCTGTTTGCATTCTGTTCTCCTGACTTTTGCCTTCACTAATTCACTTCCTTTTTTCTCCTCCTCTTCTTTTCCCTCGCCAGCTTGTTTCTCTTAGTCTCTTCTGGCTGCAATGCTCTCATGGCCTCGATCATTGTGGCCTAGTTGCTGTCACACCCCTCAGAAGAGCGATACGGCATGATTAATTTAAACTTTTTGTAATTTCGTCGCTTAAATCAAGTGCTCTGTCGAGTGATCCAAATTCCCCGTATATAGTGTACCTTGAATCAGTGCTGAAATGGACATTATTGCTTTCCTTCCTATGTAATCACGTTATCCACCACTATCTCTACCACCTTGCATGACTTGCTTAGCTCCTCCATGATGTATCCTTGCTCAATTCCTATAGGGGCCGTCACTTGCATGTTATATCTCACATAGTTAATCTCCCCTCCTTTAAAAACTGGTCCAACTGGTATTGTGTGTTTTCTGCCTTCATGCTGCACTGCTATTTTCCTTTATCTTTTAGGTCCTTTCATGCAATATCCTCCCCAAAAGTAACTACTGCATCTCCAGATGGCAGTTTGAGACTCTTCAAAAGCGTATCTGTCCCTCGTGTTTGCCTCCAAGGCTATGATAAATGAGCTATATAAACTTTTCTTCGATTCCTCTCTCCCTTTAGCGCAAATTTGGACAAGTAGAATTTTAATGTCTTTCCTTGACATCCTGTGTCATCAATCTTTGACTATACGTTGACTGAGCTCCAAAGCCATAACAGTAACCTTTTCTGCCAAATCCTAGGACTTGGAGTTCTTCATCCTTCGCGGCTCTTAGACTAGTTTGCTTTTGCTCCAAATCTGCAAAATAAAAATATTTTCGTTAAATTATCTTGAAAATAGATTTCTACATTAATTCAGATATATAAATTTAAAAGAAAAAATAAGGTTTTTATAGAAAATTTCAAAATTTATAGGATTTGACTGAAAACAACCCAAATTACTTTATATTTATATAATCAATTATTTATTACTACACACAGTATCCTTTCTTCTTGGCCGGCTCTTCTATTTTTTGGACTCTAATAATTCTAGTAGCTCCTAAGGCTTCTCCCAGTATTTTATTTTTGATATCTTTTGCGATATGGTAAAATGTTTCATTAACACATATACTTTACAGCTCTAATTCCTCTATATATCATTACCCATTATTTCCCCCAATTTTTTCCCAAAATTTACCCTACTCCCCTATATATTTGTTCTGGCACTGGTTTCAAAAAATTTGATCCCCAGCTCCCTTGCCAATGCTTCTCCTTGCTCTGTGCTGATTTTCTCATCAGGTCTATCACACTTGTTCCCCACCAGTACCTTGGCAGGGTTTTTATTGGCGTGCATTTTGATTTGTTGCATCCAGTTGCGTATGCTGTTAAATGACTTCTCATCTGTACAATCATAAGCGAGGATGATCCCCATGGCGCCTTTATAATAAGTCTGAGTGATGGGGAAAAATCGGTCTTGGCCTCCAGTGTCACAGATTTGAAGTTTGATGGCATAGCCTTCGATATCAATTGTTTTAAGTTTAAAATCGATGCCTATTGGTGTAATAGGAAAAGGAAATTATAGTATTTTTCTATTAAAAATGACTTAAATTCACTTTTTTTAAGGGGGCCCGTTGTAAGATGGGACGCCATGAAATTATCGTCTGAAAATCTTAGTATGAGAGATGTCTTACCCACTCCACAATCACCAATTATGAGAAGCTTGAATAGATAGTCGTATCACACTGTTCTTCTGTCCATATATCATTAGAATGAGCTTGGTAAGAAGTCATTACTCCCCCCCCATCCTTGATCGAACGATTGACTGTAAAAATTCCTAAAAATTGGGGAAATTAACCCCCATCCTTGATCGAACGATTTTCATATCATGACAATTTTTATATATATAAAAATATATTAGTTATCAAAAGCTTGAGAAGATGTACATAATAAAGTTGTTTTCAGAGACTTTGAGACGACAGAAAGCTTCGGAATCAACCATCCGAAGTGATTTAGTTATCAACATAGGCTTAAAAACTCAATAATCTAATAAAATAGAGATTCTTTCAAATTTTTAAAAAAACAATTTAATTTAATAAGTAACAAATTAAAATTTATACAGTTTAAAGGGATAACTAATAAATCAAAATATTAAAAATTGGTATTTTATGAAATTAATTAAATTTTTTGCTGTAAAAATAATTATTAAATACTCTTAACCCTCTTATTTAAAGTAAATAAAAAAAAATATATATATGTATTTTTTTTATTTTATATATAAAATTTTTTTCCCCAAAAAATTTTTTTTTAACCCCCATCCTTGATCGAACGATGGCGAGTCGTTCGATCAAGGATGGGGGGAGTTAGGAAAAATGTGAAATTATCAGATAGAAATTAATTAATTGTTAATGCAGAGAAGAGAGCAGGGAGACCGGAAGATAACAACTTATTTTTGAGCTAAATTATATTTGGTATTGACTGATTTTCTAAAAGTGATGTGAATAATTTAATTTAAAAGACACTCTACTGCATTTTTATCTAGTAGCCTAGCTTATTTTATAAGCACAATTAAATACACAAATTCTAGAGAATTGATACACTTCTATTATAATCATATAGATTCAAAAATCCTATTTCGTAGCAAAAAACATATATTTCTATATAGCTGTTTTTTCGTTCTAAAATTAATAGTTAATATGACTACTCCAGGCCGAACTAAAGAACTCATTAGGATTTTCCAACAAATCAGTGAAGGTGGTCAAATGATCACCTCACGAACTATTAAAAAGTTCCTCAACAGCGACGTAAACACCGAAATGCTCCCTACAACCATCACCCAATCTGATTTTATCGAAGCTTTTGATGCTGAGCTTTCTCGTCTAAAGGACCAAGAAGACTACTTAGTCTACCAAATAAGCCAATGCAAATCCAAAACCCGCAAGCACCTTCAGAGCCAAGGGGATCGGCAAGACGATTACAGCTTTGACGGCATCATGGACGGCAGCAAATTCGAGTTTATCGTCGAAGAAGCCCGTGACCTCCCTGCAATGAACACGAATAATACAGCTGACTCTTTTTTCACTGTAAAATGTGACGAAGAATTAGTATATCAGTCACAATTGGCCCCAGATACTGCTGAGCCTATTTGGAATGATAAAGTTTCCATAGAAATTATAGCCCCAGACCATGTAATTGAATTTGAGCTGTGGGACGACGACTCAAACCCAGAGCTTATAGGGTCCTTTTTTCTCGAGCTAGGGAATTATGAAGACCAACAAGTCCATTGTAGATGGTATGATCTTGAAGGACCTGAAGGAATTTCTAGCGGAGAAGTAAAAATCACTGGGCAGTGGATTTATTCTATGGCGAAATTCCATAACAGTTGTTTGGATAAATATGATAGAAATATTACTCAATGTGAAAAAATGCTGAGTCAGGTGTCTGAGCATCAAGAAAAGCTTTATACGCTTGATGGGAAACAGTTGCTGATGGCTTGGTTTAATCCGCCATCGCTAGCTATGGTTTCGGCGAAATCGAGGCGTGGGAAACATTTTTTGAGTATCCCGTCTTCAAGACATGGGTCGCTTTTGGGGAGTCCGAGAAGTAAATCAAGAAAAAACACACGGTATTCGAGCTTCAAAGATTTATTTAATTCGCCTAGGCTCCCTGACACTGACCGCTATGTCAGTTCTTTAGATGAAGAAAAGTCATTTGAAAGGCAGCCTATCAAGTATGATTTCTTGGCTATAGGCATGTATTTGAATTCTAGAATAAAACAAGCTTACTCCCCTATCTCTGTGAGAAGGCAAAAAATTTGTGCTTGGAGGGGTTAAATTTTTAGTTAAAATATATAAAATTTATGTTTTAATTATAAAATTTAATAAAATTAGCTTAAGACTTTATTATTATATTTATTTATCAAAATATTTAATAAAAATGTTTATTTCAAGCTTAGGGGAGATAGATAATATTTAATATAAATTTAGGCGATGAATTATGGAATGCCAATAAAGCATCAAGTAAAATTTGATATAATGAAGGCAAATTAATATAAAAAAAAATTATTTTTTTTGAGAAAAAATGCATTCTTAGTTTTAAAGGAATAATAAATATAAGAAATGGATCCTAAAAGAGTACATGGACAAGAGAGAAGAAAAAGGCCGCAAAGATATCACGAAATTGATGTCGAAGCTCATATACAAGATATATGAGATGTAGTTGATCAAGGGAGCATGTCGACTGGACGCTCACAAACTACTGATCACAAGGATGGGAATTCTCAAAGCCAATCGTTTTCAGGCAGATCACGAACAAATAACGAAATTGACCCAAAAGACTTTTTGGTAGATTTTTAAAGTTTATTAATTAGATTGCTTTAGTTAATTAATATTTTTCGTGATTTTCCAGTTTAATGCCCCTTTCAAAACAATTATTTTTTACTAGCCCATCTGCAATAATTTATACCCCAACTATGCCTCCTAATATTTTAGACCATTATTGACCATCCATTTTAATTTTCAAAATATCAGCTTTTTGAAAAATAAAATAGAAAATGGCAACGGTTTTAAGACTTAGTGTATAAGGCAGATGTCCTGGACAGATCGGTATTCTGCAGGGTTCCAGCGAGCATAAATTATATAACTATATTTAACATTATTAGTTTGCATTATTGAAGCTGCATTTTCTGTTACCGAGCATACTTTTCTTTTTAATTTTCACGATTTTGAATATAGAAAAAATCAAATAAGAAATTCTCCTTTTTATATTTCACTAAAATCAGTCACATAAATTATTTTCTGATATTGACTAAACTTAACTATTATACAATTTCATAAGTTTTATTTAAATAGAAATCTATAATCGGTTTGATTTTATGAATTCATATATTATCAGATTAAAATGAAAAAAATTAAAAACTGATCTCTCCATAGAGAATATAAAAATGCATTAATTATGGAATAATTACTGAAAATCAAAGAATTATTTATTATCTAAAAGGTTCATGATTATTTAGTAATACCTGTCTGATTTGTATTTCACTAATTTTTCCCATCTGACCCTGAAATACTTAGCTCGAATCATATAAAATCCCCATAGATTCAATTAAATTGAATGGTCTTTGGGGTTTATTTCTGCCCTCTCTGCTTTTGCCCAACTTCTGCTCTTCTCTAAGCGTTGGTTTGCATTTATGCTCTTTTTTTTGTCAACATCACAAAAAATGGTGGCGTTGCCATCTCTTTGGGAGACGCACCCAGGCACTTCGTGAACAGCTCCTAGCGGTCGGTAAGATCTATCCGGGGATGGGAGATAGACATGACTCTGAATCCTCCTTTTAATCCCATTGGCTCTTGCATCCAGAAGTATTAAGTTGCCAACTAGGACTCTGGCTTCCTATGGTGGGGTTAAAAAACCCTGCCATGGTATCCTGGCTAGGGAGAAAAACCTACTCGGACACAAATTTCAGGTCCTTACCTTCAGAACCTAAAAACCACGAGTGCATTGAAGAAGAACTACCCATATAATTCACCGTTCATTCTGTCAAACTCCCATAGAATAATAAGAAATTTTCAGGTCTACATAAAAGTTACCACAATAGGCGGAGGAGGCTCATAGTGCCTGAACATAATGTCATTCCCATATATGATTTTGCATTCCCTGAGTATATCTTTATGTGACCATCCTCTATTTGCCAACTTAAACACTGTCCCATGTACTTTTCTACACATAAAGGAGTCTGCATTTTCTATTGGGTCATCTCCACCGCAATCATAGCATCTCAAGTATGCCATAAGCTTTCTATGTTCATAATATTCTTTTTCTTTCAACAAATATTGAGGGAAACTTTCTTCTCGCTTAAAATTGAAATGCTTGACGCCGTCTTTGTATCCTTCTTCTGAGGTCTCCCTTATCATGAATAAAAATTATTTTATTATTTTATTATTTAAAGGTTTATTGTCTTAGAAGTCGGCTTAAGTTTTCGTTTTAGCTTTGACGTAAAAGAATTCAACGTTTGCGAAGTATCAGCTTGCTGAATATGGTCTAAAACCTGTTCTGCAGCATTATGGGCGACTTCTTTTGCACTATATATATTTTCATCTAAATGGATATCTGCTTCTAAATACGCTAATTTTCTTTCCTGTGCATAAATTTGTTTCATATCATTTTTCCTCTGCTGAAAATGGTCGTTTATTTCTTTTTTCATCGCTTTGCACTGCTCATTTAAGCTTTCCGCTTCTCTTTGAAACCTGCTCTGCATGCTTGAGTAAGCTTTTTCTTTATGAGACAGCTGTTCTTGGTAAATAATAATCTGCCCTTTCAATAATTCTAATAATTTTGCAATACTTGGGTCACTTGTCTGTAAAATCGACTGGATTTTAGGCTGGGACTGTATATACGAGTTTAATTCTTCTTGGTGTTTCTGCTGCAGATCTTTGGCTTTCTTTTTCAAGCTTTCCAGGGTCTCTTTTAAATGGTGGTAATCATTAGATACAGGCGCTTCTTCTGCGTTTTTTCTGAGTGCTAGCATTTCCTGCTCATTTTTTGCGAAGAATTTTTGGTTCAGCTCTTTGGCTTTTTCTAGTTTTTTTTTATAAGCTAAAAGTTTGTCGACTTCTTCTTTTAAAACTTCGTTTTCACGCTTGACTTGAAAAAGTTTTTGTCTGTTGAAGGCTTCTTTTACTTGGGTTTCTTTGAGAGCTTCATTTAAATTTTCGATTTGTTCTTCTGAGTGGATTTCTGGGGTTTCTGGGCGTAAAGATGTGCGCGAGTTGAAGCCGCTACGCTGAGCTAAAGGAGTGGAGATTTGGGATCTTGATTTTGCTGAGGACTGGGAGGCTAGTTTTTTGCTCATATTGGGGTTATTAAGGATTGTAATAAAACTGTTTAAAAATTCATGATGGATTTGTTTGTATATTTAAGTTAATAATGGACAATAAGACAGGGTTAAAATCATCTTTTTCTATATCCATACAAGCGCATGTGATTTCTGGAATACTCGCAGAAACCTTAGCACTTCCATTGGCTTTAGCTTCTTTTAACACAATTTTTTTTTTTTAAATTTCATAAAATAATTAAAAATTTCCATTGGATACTATAAAAATACGACTGATGACACAAAATTATTCTGCTCCCTCACAAGTGAAATATTCAGGGATGTTTAACTGTGCAGTCACTATTGCTAAAGAAGAAGGTTAGGTTAGGTTATTTCAGAAAGGGGTTAGCCATATTGGTGATGTAGCCGCCAAAGACCTCCTATACGGAAAGGCTCATCCGCTTTTCGAATCCAGCCCAGAGTGCCTATCCCTCAATAATGGTTCACTTTTAGTACCTTCTGTATCCTTGCCTTGCAGCTTCAGTCTTGGAGTGCTTATGGATTTCTGCTGCTACAGGAGATTGGAGTAGCTTGATTCTAAAGATCTTTGGAGTCTGTCGGGTGTTGAAGTGCCTTACTTTGACAGCTACAGGAAAAGGGCTACTCCTATGTGGCATGTGCTGAAACATCCCGTTTCTCAGTAGAGGAATGCCCATGGGTTATCGGATCCAAAAGGACGTTGTTGAGCACCTCATTTCCAACTATAGGAAAGCATCCAAAACCTACACAGATGCACATCTCTCGAGCCTGCAGTTGAGTCTTGGCTTGGAATAAGTCTCAGTTCGCCTTAGCCATAAGATCTGGGCTGTTATGCCAGGCAGGTTGAACATGCCGCCATTTTAATATATGTGAAAAAAGAAAGGTATTTTGTCTTTATGAAAAGGCTACAAAGCTGCTGTTTTAAGGCAATCAATCTTTCTCTCAACTCGCTGGTACATTTATACGGAAATGAAAGAATTACAGTATTTCAATTCCAATAGCGATACATTTACATTGATGGATTTAGTGACACTTGGGGTTGTTTCTGCTCTCCCAGCAGTCTTATTATCAAATCCTTTTGATTTAATTAAAGTCAGAATGCAAGGCGATAAATCAAAATTTACTCCTGAAAGAAAAGGGACTATTAATACTTCATTTCAAAGAAGCACAAACCTAAAAGATACAGTATAGCTTATGCCTTATTATAGATTAAATTCAGAAATGAATAGCAATTCAATGATAATTCGCTTTATAAGTGGCAAAATAAATGAAAAATAGCCCTAAAGGCTAATTTAAACTAAAAAGATTTTACCTCTAGCCTTATCATAATAAGGCATATAATATACGCTATAGAGGTGTTAACGAAGCACTTGTAAAAATAAGCACCCAAGAAGGCTTAAAAAGCTTATGAATTGGCGCAGGGTTAAGCTGGTTGAAAATTGCAATAATAACACCTATAGATTTTATTGTATATACAATGATAAAAGAAGCTGTGATTAGAAATGGGCTGAGCGACGATTATACAACGCATCTTTTATGTGGAGCTATCAGTGGGTGCATGACATTTTTTGTTACTCCGATTGATTTTGTCAAGACTAGGCTGATGAATGCACTAAAAGGAGAATACAGTGGGGCTAACGATGTTTTCTTGAGAACATTGAAAAATGAAGGGTTTGAAACTTTGTTTAGAGGTGTTGTTCCAGGAGCACTCAGGATTGCATTGTCACATGCAATTACATTCTCAACTTTTGAACAAATTAGAAACTTTTTAAAAAGCAGCTATGATGAATAAATAGCTTATAATTTGATGTTTAAGGCTAAAATTTAAAATAGTAGCTGATTGTGTATCTTTGTAAATGATGAATCTCATCATTTGCTTTTAATCAGAAATGGTTTATTTATTAATTTTATTCTACCAAACTTGCATCTATAAATTTTGGTAAAAAGCTTATAATTTTAATAATCTATATTCTAATATATAGAGTATGCTGAGAATAAAAGAGATTATAGATCATCAAACCTCTCAAATATCCTTAAATTTCTATCTGCAGAAGATTCCAATGACATATATTTTCTACAACCATTAAACCCATTGACTAGATCTATTTCGAATAAATCAAAATTAATAAGTTATTTTCTTTGGTAGATATAATAAATGGTAGGAAGTTCCCAAACAAGCTTGCCTTTTCATTGGACAATGATTTCAGCAGGTATTGGAGGCAGCATTGCTGAGCTTTTTACTCTCCCCTTCGATACCGTCAAAGTCCGCCTTATGGTGCAGAAGCAGGCAGGTGGTCCTGCAAAATACTCAGGCATGCTCAATTGCGCGACAGTAATGGCAAAAGAAGAAGGAGTTTCCTCACTTTGGAAAGGACTAACTCCTGGTATTCAGCGTCAGCTTGTTTATTGCTCTCTCCGTCTCGCCATGTATACAAGTTGGAGTGACTGGGTCACTGGATCAACTAAAGACAATCATAAAGATCCTTCATTACTTCAGAAAATCTACTTAGGCTTATTATCAGGTGGTGTGGCTATCTCTATTGCAAGCCCAACTGATTTAGTAAAAATTAGACTCCAAGGCGACAGAAAAAGTGCCACCCCAAGATATAATGGCTCAATGGATGCTTATGGAAAAATATTAAGAGAAGAAGGACTTCCGGCCTTTTGGACTGGCTGGGGGCCAAATGTCATTAGAAACTCTGTCATCAATGCTGCTGAGCTAGCGAGTTATTTCCAAATAAAACAATTTGCATTGGGCGCTGGGCTTAAGGACAATACGACAACTCATTTTATCTGTGGATTTTCAGCTGGAGCTTGTGCAGTGCTTGTAGGAAACCCTGTAGATGTGGTCAAAACGAGAGTCATGAATGCAAAACAAGGGCAATATAATGGAGTTTTGGACTGCGTATTTAAGACATTGAAAAATGAAGGGTTCTTAGCGTTTTATAATGGATTCTGGCCAAATATTATGAGAATTGGAACATGGAATATGGTTATGTTTGTGGCTTTTGAAAGAGTCAAAAGGATTGTCGCTGAGAAATTTGTGAACCAAGGTAATCATTAAAATAATGAACCTATTAAGAATAAATTTAATAGTTAAGAACTGAATCGGTTAATTTGAATAAATCTTACAATTTATATTGAAATTGGATTATACTCTTCAATTTTATCTGAAATAGTAATTTTGGTTCAAAATTATTTTAGTTTATCATTTGTCTTTGTCTTCCTTTATTCATTACCCTTTATCTCTTCAGTCTCATTTTCTTTTTCTGCCATTCTTCTTTCTATTTTAATGCTCGCACATCCCAACTGCCAAAAAATAAAAAAGTCTCTTTGCTTTTAACAATATGTCAACAGGAGGATTTGCTCTTCATGGCTATAATGAAGGATCGCTTCATCAAAGACTGCAGCTATTAAAAGCATCAGATAGTTTTATTGAGTGTCTTAATCATATTAGCACTCTAAGTAACGAGCAAATCGTCATTGTAGATTATGGATCATCTGAAGGTTACAACTCAATGGTATTCCTAACTCAAACTCTTTCAAAATTTAGAGAAACTTCAAGCAGCCCTATTCTTGTTGTTCACAATGACTTGCCAGACAACAATTGGTTGAAGGCTTTTAAAACAATTTTGGAGTCTGAAGACTCATATGTAAAAATTCCAAATGTTTATTTTTCAGCAAAAGGCCGATCATTTTACGACCAAATTTTGCCAAATAACTCAGTTCATATTGGGCTTTCATCTTCAGCTCTTCACTGACTATCAGAACCTATTAGTGCTCCCGACAATTGTGTGCCTTCCTCTTCACTTAACCCTGAATTCAAAGCTTTAGCATCAAAAGTCGCTCATAACGATTTAGTCACAGTTCTCCGCCAAAGACACAAAGAATTAGTTAGCTCAGGAAGATTCGTTTTTCTATTTATGAACCAGGCTATATCAACAGCTACATGAGGCACTGTCCTTCATACTACTACAGAAAATTCGTTTATCAAAGGATATATTACTGAAGAAGAAAAGAGAAATATAACAGTCCCAATGTATGGGAGAACTAATGAAGAAGTCCAAAATGCCCTTAATGAAGTCTCTGATTTGTATAGAGTTGTTGTATTTACACAAGTAGGAGAAGACAGGATTCCTGGTGTTGATAGTCTTTCTGATGAAGAAAAAAATAAGTTTGTTAATGGGCTTAAGAGACTTGCTGCAGCTTCTTTAAGAGGAGTTATACAGAGAGCAGTTAATAGGAGTGAGGAAGAAAGGAATGCAGTTTATGAGTTGTTTATTAAAGAGTTGTCAGATGTATTTGATGCAGGGGATTGTAATTGTTGGCCACAATATCATTTGATAGTTCTGGAGAAAAAATCTTCATAGATAGTCTTAATCTAGGCTTGACAAATTTATCCGAAAAATGGTGAAATCAATTTTGGAAAACCTCATAGAAGTCGATAAGAGAAAATCTATGAAGGTCGATTTTAGTAAATAACTTACTCCCCCCTCTTGTGAGCGAACAAAGCTATTGGAAAAATCCCTAAAATTTTTTATGAAAAAAATTTCTGATATATAAGTGATAATTATTATAACGAAATCTATAATAGCAATTCTGTTTAATTTTAAGCAGCTTGCATTTTAAAACATAAATTTCGCAAATTAAATTAATTTTTACTTCTCAATTTTACAAATTAAAATTTTTTAAATTTTGAAAATCAGTAAGAAGTTGGTTTTAAAAGATAATAAAGAAATCGATTATTTTTTTAAATAGAATAGCTGAAATAGTAATTTTGTTCAAAATTATAATAAGAATTCCTCCTAATTTTTAATTTATCATTTGTCTTTCCGAATTTTTCTGATTTTCTTTATTCATTACCCATTATCTCTTCAGTCTCATTTTCTTTTTCTGCCATTCTTCTTTCTATTTTGATACTTGCTGATAATTCAACTGCCAAAAAATTAAAAAGTCTATCCACATTTAACCCGATTTTCGCTGAAGTTTCCAAAAATATCATTCCACAGTCATTTGCAAATTTTTGTCCTTCTTCAAATAAAGCCTCTCTTTCTCTTTCTAAATCAGCTTTATTCCCTACCAAAACTGACGCAAGACTGCTTAAAGCCGTTTCTCTTACTTCAGCAATCCAATTATTCAGATTTTCAAAGGTTTCTCTTCTTGTTACATCATAAACAAAGATTGCAGCCGCAGTTTTGTTATAATACGAGCGAATATAGTTTCTAAACATTTCTTGGCCAGCTGTGTCAAAGATTTGCATTCTCATCATTTCATCATTTTTATTAAAAAATCTTATAGAGAAATCAACGCCTGAAGTGTGCTTATATTCTTCTTGAAATTTTTGCTGGAAGTATCTGAGATATGGCCAGGGTGCTGTTATAATTAGGGCTGTGCTGATGACTCTGAAGCAACTCAGGGAGTTAGCAAACCAAGATTTGTGGGTAAAATTAATTCCTTGAGTGGTATTGGGAGTCATCAGCACAGCTAGAGCTATAGCAAGACTCAGGCTATATAAGCTTGACTTGCCAGTTTGAGAGTCTCCAATTATTAGGCACTTGAAAGTACGTTCAGGCATTTTTATATTGCCATTTTAAGAATTAAATAGATAACTTATTGTATTCTATTCTTTTTTTTTTTAATAAATTGTTTACAATGTGTATGGAGTCCAATCAGCGTAAATTCCAACTTTGCTCTCATAAATTGACCCATTCTTAAACTCAATCAAATACAATCTCCTTCTCAATTTTTTACAAATTGAAATTTTTTTAAATTTCAAAAAAAATTTGCTATAAATAAAAAATTCACTTGTTAGCGATATAATTTTTGTTCTCTCACGATGGGGGAGTAAGATAATTCTTTTATTGCTTATATTAAGGTCTTTATTCTGGATTCAAAGACTGAGCATTTTATAATTTTCAATGAGTTTTTCTGAGGACTAAATTTGCTTTTCCACTGGAATGATTAGCACGTGATAATATATTGAAGGACATTGCTATAGATAAATGCTTATATCTATTTTTAAAATTTAAGGTTTTTAATCAGAGTTTTATCATAAGCTATAAAATATAACTTATTAAAATTAATAATAATTAGGGTCTTGCTTCCATTTTTCTATTGTAAAATGAGTAATAAATCATCAAGATCAAAGAAAGATATTGAATATAAAGAAAAAGGGAACGTTTATTTCAGCCACAAGGATTATAAAAAAGCAATAGAAAGCTACACTAAAGCTATTAAAATAAATCCTAACTCTCCATCCTTGATTGTTCATTTTCATATATTCAAGCATCTCTAATTAGACCATATAATCGCTTCTAATGCAATTTTACTATATTTTATAATTAATACTCTTTTCTAGATTTGGAAAAAAAATTAGCTTTATTTTTTCTAGAAATTTTTTAACACTCATCTTTAGCAATGGCTATCGGTTCAATCAAGAGGGGAGTAAAGAATCAATCTATTTCTCTAATAGAGCTCGGTGTCATTACATTCTAGAAAACTATAGAAAAGTGCTAGCAGACTCTTCTAAAGCAATTGACCTTAATTCCTCCAATATCAAAGCATATATAGTCCATGCCCAAGCACAGGCTAAATTATCTCAAACTCTTAATGAACTTTTTACCTCTCTCAATTACTGCAAATCAGCTTCCCTTCTTGCCAAAAAAACAGGCCAGTTTACTATTCTTGACCAATGCAAAGAATTAAAGCACAAAATAAAAGCGATTCTCTATGCAAAGCAGCATGAAATCAGAGAGCAAACCATATATGAATTAGAAAAATATTACACCCCTTTAATTAGAAGAAGCCAAATTTTTGAAAAATTTAAAAAATTCGTAAAGCACCAGCCTTACCAACAAATTTCTGAAGGCTTAACCTGCCCGATTTCGCTTTTATTATTCAAAGACCCCATTACTACCACAAGCGGATTTTCTTATGAAAAAGAAGAGCTTTATTTGCATTTAACTAAGGTAGGAGGGTTTGATCCTATGACAAGGGAGCCAATAGAGTATAAGCACGCTATTAAAAACCATGTCCTGACAGCTGCAGTGAAATATTTTAAATCTCAAAATCCTTGGGCTTATATAGCTGATGAGCCTTTGCCGTCTGTTGAAATTAATCTTTAGTTAAATTTTTTTTGGAATAAATTGAAAATTATTAAGGAATGTGTGTAGGTCCCATAGCTCAGCTGGTTAGAGCGCTGTGCTAATAACGCAGAGGTCGTGAGTTCGATCCTCACTGGGACCACTTTTTTATTTAAATATTAAAATATTTTTAAATTAAAATTTACAATAGTTATAGATTTCGTTACCTATCTGAGCCAACATCGCTGCTAGAATCCATGTTTGAGCCTTCAATTCTGGGCCTAGGAGAAGAATGCTGTGAGCCAAACGATGACTCACTTGTTTTTCGGATTATAAGTTTTCTTATAGCTCGAAACTGCGCTTTTTTCATCTCAACTAAGGTTACTCGCTTGCTTCTGTCTGAATTTCTCCTATAGTTACTTTCATTACCATTAGGAGATACTCCAAATTTTGTTTTAAATTCGCGGAGATTTACTTGGACTTGTTTTATTTTTTCGGCAAGAAATAGTTGATTATTAGTCATTTCAACTGCAACTTTTAGTATTCTCTCGCTTGGCTCGAGGTGGTGAAAAATTTTTGGCATGCAAATGTTCATTTTTTTACTCTTATTAATAAATAATAAATTTTATCTGATTCTTAGTATTGTATGACTTATAGATTTTCTGGAAAATTAAAAAGCTAAAGAATTATCAATACAATACTTTATTTAGAAGCACCACATGGTATTAAAAAGTTTTGCATTTATATTTTAAAAAATAATAATTTTATAAAAATAAACCAAATATTTTATATTATTTAATGGGTTGGAATTTAGTAAATTCATTGATGTTTTCATTCATTGTTTTTGTGATTTCTCCTTTCATTTGATTTTTTAATAGTATAAACCGAATGATTTGAGAGTTATAAGCACTGAGCTCTTTAAGACGAGGCTCCTTGAGTTTTCTCTTTTTAATTAATATTCATCACCTCTGTAAAACAGTTGATGCAAAAGGCTCTAATCGTTTTTTGATATTTTTTTTGAAAACCATACAGTCATACATCTGAAATTCGTTGTGGTTAAATGAGATGCTGCTTTGAACAGCCCAAACTGTATAAGAAATAGAGAAAACTCCAAAAATACTTGCGGCTACACAAACGACTCTTCCTAAATGGGTTGTTGGTACATTGTCTCCATATCCTATAGCTAGCGCAGTGATCCCAACTGTATAAAAACCATTTCAAACATAATCAAACTTCGTGCTTGATATGGTTCGTTCAAAAATCCTTAGCAATATCCCTCCACTTATTATAAGTAAGCCTAATAAAAAAAATATTGAAAAATAAGTTTTCGTATTTAATAAACATTTCAAAGCAAATTTCATCATATCCTTTACGTTTTCCAAATTGCATATATGCTCCGCTCTTTCTGAGCTGTACGTTGTGCACTCATATATCATTTTGAAAATAAAATAAAGCCTAATAAAAGAAAAAGAAATCAGCACATCATCGACTGACATCAGTGAATAAGCGTTCATTTGTTTGAATGAAAATGTTCAATCACAATATGGTGGGACATTTACGCAGCAAAAAAATATTTCTATCACCATAATATCCCTTAAGTTAGGATATTCTCAAATACTGCTATTAACATGGCATTCCCTATATGCTTTTTTAAGATAAAGTTTAATTGAATAATACTGTAAAATTAAGCCTATTGAAATGATGCTTAAAAAAATAATGCAGGTCCTTAGCATGTTTTCAGAAACATCAGATTCATATTTATTTGCAATGAACATTTGATTTTCGATATAATCCAGGATAAGTATTAATATATTTAGCGCAGCTGTAAATATTGAGTTTCACCTTGATCTAGCTTGCAACTTTGATATATCTAGCTGTGGAAAAATCGTTCCAACTTTTTTAGGAATACAATTTGCGTCTCCAAATGGATCCTCGATAGGAATAAGAGATCTTGATGAGTTTTTTCGATATTGATCTTTATTTTCGTTTTTTATTGTCAAAGATCTTCTTAGTGGTATCATTTTATTATCAGAAAATTGTTTCATAGCAATTATTTTTTCAAAACTATATTTATCAAAAATATATTTATATTTATTGTAAAGGGTTCTTAATTTGGTTCAATTCTAGAAAAAATCTGAGTCAAATATTGATGAAAAATTGTTCTACCAATTATATATTTTAAATCAATCAGCTACCAGTACACTTTCAGGAATTTTATACAAAGAAAACACTCTATTTGTTTAAAAAATGACTTTTGGTATCTCTGATATCGAACTCATTATATTCAGTATTTATAATTTGACTGAAATATGCCAGATCTTTACACATAGATTGAGTTAAATTATTAAAAATATTAAATGCATAATATCCCTTTTTTAATTCAAAAGGCGCAGCCGAACCGCTGCTCTAATTTCATAACTGATATTTACTATGGGAAATAAAAAAAATAGCAAAAAATTTTAATCAGATAAATTGCTAATTAAATAAAGCTTTCTTTTGGAAAAATTTTCATGATGCAAGAGACAGGGCAAGACTGTTTTTGATAAAATCATATGAAGTTTATAAATATTTGAATAAAGCTGTAGGAAAGCTTCTACTATTAATTTTTAATGCAAATCTACGTTATCAGTAGCAAATGCAGAAAAAGTCACTATTTTAGGCTAAAATCTTTGCTATTTTAATCACTTTCGATATTCTAACAACTTAATAGAGAGATCAATTCTGATATTTATATGTTTAGCATTTATCTGGGCAATTAGCTATTTAGGCTCTTTCTTCATAATCAGCCAGCTTTAAAGCTAATTTAAAATATTTTGAACACACCAAGCAATGTGTGCACAGATTATCTTAGTTTTTTAGCTTTGGATGAAAAATTTTATATTCTCTCTGCATACCAAGTGTATTATCAGAAAAAGCAATGATTATGCTAAGTTAAAATTAATTAATCAGAAATTAATAATGGCTATAAATTAATATGGGCTGCCTAGAAAGTCGGGAAATAATCATACTGGAAGAAAAATTTGTGTCTTTAATGGAAGCATCTCTCAATTATGCTAGCCATGACTGCAAAATTATTGATTATTACCATCGAAAATATTCCTATAAAGAAGAAATTAACTATGAGCAATGGCTCGAAATAGTTCATAAATTAGGCTTAAATGTCGAAAACACCAGAGAGTGTCCGCGAGCTAAGGATCTTTATGAGTCTCTGAAAAATCCTAATGGCACCTACAATTTCAGAAAAATGGCAGAGCTTGGGATTCTTTTAAGCTCTGGAAATTCTATAGAAAAAGCTAGGCTGCTTTTCCAATTATTTGACCCATTGGATGAAAAAATATTATCAGCTGCAACAATAAACCAGCTTATAGACGAAATTTTGGAAATCTGCGTTGGCAAAACTACGATTCTAGCATTGAATGTAAATTCAAAAATTAGCCAAAATTCTGTTGTAAAATATGTGAATATTTTAAAAAAAAATGCTAAGAAATTTAAACCTCAAATTATTAATAAATTCATTGGAAGCGATGCAAAAAACAAATATGAATTTATTTCCTTAAGTAATTTTGAGTCTCGCATCAAAAAATCGAATCTAGAAAACTTTCTGACAACCCAAGGAATAAGGCAATTTATATTTGAAGAAAAAATGAAATCGCAATCGTAATTGATAGTAAACTATTTAGTTCTTTATCAATGCACTTATTATCTTTCTCTCATAATCTGTAAAATTAATTTTTTATAGTAACGCTAATTATTTATTCCATTTTTCATTTATTTTAATAAAAATTTGATAATGCTGCGCGAATTTATGAGAATTAATTAATATATAGACACATTGATAGCAAAATACAATATAAGGCCGAAATTCCCATCAAATCTAACTTCAATTATACTATAAAACTAATTTTCTAATCTTAAATACGAATTAAGAGCTGCCAAGCACAGAATCCAGAAATTCAATCGCTGGAATTGCATACCACTAAATAATTCTTACTCTTCTCGGCGTCACCATTCCATTAAACCACCCTACATGTCCTCCGGTCCTTGTTACACCCAAAATCAGCTTCGGATTTGCTTTAAACTCCTCATATGGTATACACTCAGACGTCACCACAGGGTCATCCAGAGAGCTCAGCGCAAATGTCGGAATTTCTATATTTTTCATATAATTTACACAGCTTGCATCTTGATAGTAATGGTCTGGTGTTTCATATTGGTGAATTTTACATGTAATTAGGTTGTCGAACTCATAAACGCTTTCAGCTTTTAATGCTTTTTCAAGGTCAATTGATTCCTTTCCGATCTCCTCAAGAACCTGCCAATTTGTCTGCAAATTTTGCCTCAAATTTTTTAATAAATATTTTTCTGGAAATCCTGCATATGGCCAAGCTCTTCCAAGTGCTTTTATAACTACAGGCAAGTTATAAGGGGTAGAAACTACAGAAATTCCTTTTAATAAACAGTTTTTTCCAGTTTCCCCTGCATATTTTAGCATGAGATTCCCACCCATTGATGTGCCTAGTCCTAGAAGTGGAGCATTTGGGTATTTTGAATGAATATGGGCGATCCCAAAGGCTAAATCTGAGCTTAGCCCACAATGGTTTGTTTTTGGAGACTATTTAGCTAATACAGTTAACGGGTTATCATGAATCCCTCTGCCATGGACTACAGCGACTCTATACCCTTTTTCTACAGCCACTTCTACAGCGTTTCTAATATATTGAGATTTGCTGCCTCCTGTAAGCCCAGGACTGATAATCAAAATTTTGTTATTTTGGTCCATTTCACCATGGATTGCTCAGTCAATAGAAATTGTCCCATTGTCAGGGAGCTTGATATATTCTCGCTGGTAGTCAAAATCTTTTCCATATGGAGTGTGCCCGGGTAGCTCACCTTTACTAGATCCGAATAAAGCTTGAAGAATCCCATTAGCGAGCCATGGCGTAGGAGTAAAGATTCCTTTAGATAAACTGGGAGAACTGGAGATAAGATTGAGGTTTTCAGGAGTTTCTTGGTGGCTAAAGTAGATTTTGTTATCGTAAAGAGGATAGAGAAAATAAGCTCCAGAGCCTACTAAAGCTAGCCTAATCATTAACTTTTTTCTCTTTTTTTAATAGATTAAGTTTAATAATAAAATGACGAATAAAGAATTGAGATGCAATTTTATGCAGCAGCTAGAAAACATAAAGCTTTGGTTTATTGTATCAACTTCAATTTATTTATTAATCCACAAAATTTCAATTAAAATAAAATAATCTTAAAATTAAATCCAGTAGAGTGAATAATTCTTACTAATAAAATTTTAATAAATATAATTCATGCTGATTAAAATGCGCAGGATGTTTTCATCTCTCTATCCATATCACACGATTGAAAAATCCAAAGCACAAAAACTCATCGATTTTCCTTTACAATTTTACTCAGAAAATTTTCCAAAAAAAGAGCAAGAACCAATTCCATCAATAAGCTATAATGATGAAATTGCAGAAACCTTAGAAGGCGCAACCTATGGCTGTGGAACATTTCTATCCCTTTTAGCAGAAGAGAATTTTAAAGATCTAGAAGACCTTGTTGAGTGAAACATGTTTAAAGCTCTTGAAAAATCAATTAAATCCTACAAAGATCAAGGATATACAATTACCTCAATTGGTAGCACAGAAAATTCTAAAGCAGAAATCCTTGACTTTAATATGTATGTTGGCTGTTTACTTCCTTATCGAAATCTTAACTTAGAAGTCAGCCAATACGAGATTTTTAGTGAAGAGAATAAAGAACCGCTTCCTAAAGTCCACGAATATAAGATAAAAACAGAAGAAGATTGAAGTTATAGTGATCTACCAGACTTTTTAGAGTTTGAATCTTTAAACTTAAAAGAGATAAGCAGAGGCGGCAACATTGAACTATATAAACGCCGGATAGAAAGGCTAGGCCGACTTTTAAATTTTAACCCAATTACTATGCATGTAATAGACATAGGCTATACAAGCACTTTTAAGCTACTTGTGAAAGATAAAGAAGGGAAAATAATAGAAGGTACAAATGATGAAAATAAACAAGAGTTTCACTCGTTTAGAATGGAATCGGTAATTTATGAAGAAAATTTGTTTGAAAAGCTCTTTGATCCTAGTCATTCTTTGCAAAATTTTTTAAATGAAAAGTTTCCAGGGCTTTTGAATCAATTCACTATCAGTGATGTTGATGGCTTGATGAATGGAAACCCATTTACTACTTAACTTTAATTTTCACACAAATAAATTATTTAGGGTTTCAATGACTAAATAGAAGCCTGCGCTTCTTTCTGAATATGTGGAAGGTAAAACTTATGAATAGCTGCAGCCTTACTAACAAGACACCAAATTAATAGCAGGTATTTATTTTTATTCATTATTATGGTAGAACTTATAAATATTTAGCAAGCTAAACAAATTCCTTTATTACGAAATGATCTAAGAGATATATAAATAACATTTAATGAGCTGAAATATTGATTAATTTGATTATAAAATTTGAGGATGTCTGTTTACTTCCCTACAGAAATCTTAGCCTAGAAAATAGTGAATATCAGGCTCATTACTTTTCGTATAAAGAGCTATATCCTTCATATTAAAGATACAAGCCTTAAACGGAAGATATTATCACCGATATCATTCCTGATTTTTCTGAATTTGAATCTTTAAACTTGAAAGACTTTTGAATAAATTCACTATCAGTGACGTGATGGCTTGATGAGAGGAAGCCATTCACAATTTAATTTTAATATAGGGTGTCCATCAGTAAATAGAAACCTGTGCTCTAATAAATTATAGGTTAAAATTATGAATAGCTACTAATGGCTTGATTTTTTGAAAAGATTTTGTGCGCCGATTAATAACACAAATAGTATTAAATAAGCTTATAATATTGACTAGATCAATCTTAAATAAATGAATTTTTATTCAAAAATACTTAATTAATTTACAATGAATAAAATAAGCAGAGCATTTTCGCTCCTTTATCCATATCACACAATTGCAAAATCTGAAGCTCAAAAATTAGTTTATTTTCCTTTGCAATTTTATTCTGAAAAATACAAGAAATATAACAGTAAAGAGTCTGGTGAAAAACAATATGTGCTTTAAGCCAGAAAAAATTTTGCAGCTCGGCCAAGAGTCCTCTAAATCTTATAATAATCATTTTCCCGAGATCTTAGAAGGAGCAACTTATAGCTGTGGAAAATTTCTATCCCTTTTAGCAGAAGGGAATTTTAAAGATCTAGAAGACGTTGTTGAGTTAGTAATGTTTGAAATCTTGAAACGTCAAATTAAACGCTACCAAGATCTAGGATACACAGTATCCTCAATTGGAAGCACAGAGAACGCCAAAGCAGAGATTCTTGACTTTAATACGATTTTGGCTGTTTACTTCCTTACAAAAATCTTTGCCTAGACATCCGTGAATTAGGGGTTTATAGCACTCAGAGAAATGAGCCAAATCCTACAATTCACATATGCAGATTTAGAAACAAAAATAATAACGAGCCTGATTTTTCTGAGCTTGAATCTTTAGACTTGAAAGAGATAAGTATGTCTGGGAATATAGAATTATATAAAGAACAAATAAGGAAGATATATTAATATTTGGATAAATACCCAATAAAAGTGGAAGCTATCGATATTGGATATGTGAGCAAGTTTAAGTTTCTTGTGAAAAATTTAGAAGGGAAAATAGTAGAAGGTGCAAATGATGAAAATAAGTTAGAATTTCATTCGTTTAGAATGGAAAAGTTTTCATATGATGATAATATTATCAGATTCATCTTAGAAAATTATATGTTGAAGAAAGAAGAAAAAGTTAAGAGATATTATGCCGATCCCCGATATAAAAAAATTCTTAGAAAAGATCAATGGATTATAATGCATGAAAACACATTTATCTTTTAGCTTAAAAATAATGTTTGCAAAATAAGAGAAAAATGCTGATAATTCGCAGTAATTTTTTAATCTTTTAACTTAAATTTCTTAATTGATTATAGGGTTTTTCATCAACAAATATGAGCCTAACACTTCTTTCTGTATAAACGGAAGGTAAAAACTTCTAAATGGCTGCTTAGTAGATTTACTATCTAAAAAAGTTTCTGAGCGTATTACAGTCTATATAAATTTTACCCAATTTCTAAACTCAATATCTATAGGATCTGATTCCAGATTAATATCCACGATATAGTCACAAGAATTGATATCTACATATCTGCTTGGCTCTTCTCTATTAAGATCATTCATATTTTCTGGGACAAAATCTGTGCTTTTAAACTGCACTGGAAGAATCCCTGCCGCTCTATGCTTAATATAAAATAAATCAGCTGAGCCTAAAAAAAAAGACGACGGAAACCTATACCATTCTCGGCCTACACAGACTCTTCCATCTAGTTTTTCACTCCAAATTTTTAGAGGAGCGTTATAGGACCTTACCAAATGAGCTGTCCTGCTGAAACTAATTAATAAAAACACCCCAAAAATCATGAATTTCAGGTATTTGTAAGGAATTGAGTTAATCACATAGCAGCCTAATATGATAATTCCTGAATAAATTGGGTACATAAACCGCTCTTCTTTATGAGGCTGAGACGAAAGTAATAAAAACCATGCCACAGAGCACGTACAAAGCGCAATTAAAAATCTAAAAGAAGGCACAAATTTCTTTGCTATATATGAATATATCAGTAAAAGTGGAGACAGCAAAAAACACAGAAAAATCTATATAAACCTCACAATATTAAAATTCAAAAATAAGTTCACTATATAAAAATACCAAGGATCCACCCCAAAAAGCACTGAAGACCCTACTAGGCTGCTGCCTATACTTGTATTATATTTAAATAAATTTCAGATCCCAAATACAGGTTTTCCATAAAAATAAGTATCAATAATAACCGACGGAATTGTAGTAAATAACACCGCAGCTATTCCTAATACATAAAGTTTATAATCAAGCAAAAACTTAGGATACTGTATCAGATAAGGGACCACAAAAGCTGCAGGAATTACCGCCGCAAACGGCCAGCCTACAATCATAAAGAAAGAGCAGCACAATAATGCTAAAAATAAATAAAAATAGCTGTTTGTCTTGTAAAACTTAAGAAAATACGTAAAAGCCAACATCAGTAAGTTCATTACAAAAGCTGAAGGAATAAAGGTGTGTGAAGCCATCACCATTCCTGTACTTAAAATCATAGCGAAATAAAATGTATTTGGGAGGTTGAGCTCTTTAATTAGCACGTGCTTGCAGTATGCTGAAAAAAATCCAATTAGAGTTCTGAGGGTATAAAATACAGGAAGGCCGGATAGTCCGAAAAGTTTTAAAATATAAGCAGGCCAGGCATGTAGTAATAAATATAGATAAGATCTTAATGCATAGTCAGGGCTGTATTCCCATGGCTCTTGGCCTTTTCCATATACTAAAAAGTGAACGGGATCCCAGTAGTTAAAAACTTCGTCACAGTCTGGAATTGGCACAAAAAATGCTGCATAGTTTTGGACGTGTGCTGATATCCATAACATTTTATAATGGAAAGGGAGTATTCCCAGGAGAGATATAGACAAAAGGTAATCCATTATATGGACTCTATCAAAACAAATGTAATTTCTGCTGATCTAGCATCAGAAGAAATTAATGTGTTTATGAGAAATTTTGAAGAAATCAGGGATGAAGCTATTTGATGACTAGAAAATGAATCCAGAAGCCCAGAATCTGCAAATTCTGTTGATTTTTTAGTTCATAAGCTTGAAATTGAGGCAAAATTAGCAATGAGACGTCTTCCTTTATACAAAAATAAAAACCTGATAATTGACACTGCAAGGGAAAATCAATGTGTTGTGGTCACTGCAGAAACAGGCTCAGGAAAAACCACACAAATGCCGCAGTATTTTCTTTTCAATGAGATTTCAAATAATAAGCTGGTTTTTATCACTCAGCCAAGAAAAATTGCAGCTGTAAGTGTTGCAAAAAGGGTTCAACAAGAGCTGGATGGACAAGGCGTGTGCTATATTTTGCATAAATCGGAAATAAATAAACTGAATTATTGTGGTGGCATTGTGTATTTTACTGAAAACTGCTTTTTAAGCTACTTGCTGATTGAAATTAAGTCTGAAAGATTTATGGAAATATGCCAAGTATTGATACTTGATGAAGCTCATGAGCGGTCGTTAGAGTTTGACGTTATTTTAGGCCTAATAAAGCAATATATCTTGCCCCGAAGACCTGATTTTAGGCTGATAATTACTTCAGCTACTGTAAAAGTGGACGAATTTTCTGAATTTTTAGGAAATTGTCCTGTAATTCCATGCTCAGGAAAATGCTACCCAGTTTCAATCCATTATATAAACTCTTATGACAATTATTTTAATGAAACCATCAATGTAATCGAAAGAGTTGTCAATGGAAAACTAATTCGAATGAAGCCTAACACTGCAGAAACCCTATTATACCTAAATAAAAAATAAAAGATTATTTTTATCCTATATTAATATAAGAAATAGGAATATTTTCATTAATTATAAATAGGTATAGTATTTTTAACTGGAAAAGAAGAGCTTCAAAAAGGCAAAGAAATTCTACAAAAAAACTTCATGAAACAGTGGAACAGGGTCGAAGTTTTAACACTTTATGGAAGACTTAGCTATGATGACCAACAAGATGCACTGAGAGGAGGAAACCATAACTGTATAAGGATCGTTTTGTCTACAAATGTCGCAGAAAGCAGCTTAACCGTACCAAATGTATCATGTGTAATTGACTGTGGAAGAGAAAAAGTTGGCAAATATAATCCTGCTCAAGGGTTAGTTGATATCTCAGTCAAAAATATAAGCAAAACATCTGCAATACAAAGAACTGGAAGGGCTGGAAGAGTAATGCCAGGAGAGTGCTTTAGAATCTACACAGAACAAGAATACCTTGAAATGCCTGATTTCAAAGACCCTGCAATTTTAAATTCAAATCTCGGGATTATTTTGCTGAAATTTATGAAGTATGGGATATCAAATATCTATGAATTTCCTCTAATAAACAAGCCAAGTGCGGAGGCTATAAAAAATAGCTTTCGGGATCTATATTTATTAAAGGCAATAGATTACACAAATAAACGCTTTGTTCCGAATTCTTTAGGAGAAATACTGTGTGGACTCGACATTGACCCACTTCTTGGGAAAATGATTTATCATGGAGGACTAATAATGGGCTGCTCTGAAGAAGCAACGATAATTGGCTGCATGATGAGAACCTGCAACTATTTTTTTGAAAAAAAAGAGCCAAATATGTACGATTTTATGCAAGAAATTAGGTCAAAAATCCACGACCCACAAGTACAAGCTCCAGAAAATGAAAATTTTGGGATTATAAAAAAATTTTTCAATACAAATTATCTGCTGAACACTCATTTGTCGGGATTGGGGGATTGCATGCTTATTCTTTTTGCGTCAAGACAATGGGCACTTATAAGGTGTATGGCATGTATTTATAAAACTTCAAAGCGAAATGAAAATATTTTATATGAATATGAATCTGAATATAGAGAAGTAGAAAATCATCAGGATAATTTAAAAATTGATTACGAAAAAGAGTTTTATTTTTCTTCTAGGCAAAAAATGAATGAATCCAAAAGGATTATTGATAGCTTAAAATTGGAATCAGACGAAACTAATATTTTCCCCACAAATTGCAAAGCTTGCCATTTACTGAGAACTATGTGGGCAAAAAGATTTGGACTATTCCAAAAAGGCTTGATCTCTGGATTTAAACTTAAATTCGAAGTCCGAAGAGCAGCGTTGAGGGAAATGATGAGAATTAATTCAGCCTTTGATGCAGATCAGCTAAGGGATGAAAAGGTGTTAGCTTCTCTTGCTGCAATTTCATGCCTTGATAAGTATAATAGTATATATGAAGAATTTCTATCTCAGCGGAGGCATATACATAAAAATGGTGACGACGGACCACCGACCTCTCTCGACCCTATTTCTTTAACACCAGCAAGCAACGGCCCAGTGTCGAGGATTTAGGCGAAAAGGGGTCGCTAATCCTTTATGTATAGTCGGGCTGGGGTTTCCTCGGGTTCAGCGAGCTAATCCCTGGACTTAGAGTTTTTCCTCCGGTACAACCATTGGAAAGGGCAAGGTCGGCCAATGTCTGCAGGGCAATATGACCCTCAGACCCTGAAGACGGTATTTGCCTAACGAGAAACTGGGAGTTTCAACCCAGGTGATTGGCCCTTAGACTCCAGGAGCCATGAAAGTCAAGACTGGTGCGTTAAGCTTCGTCTGCAGCGACGTGGAAGGGTGTCCGCCGGGATCCCTCAGGGATGATGAGCGTATAGGGGTGCAAATCCCCGGCACTTGCGAAAGCGAATGGCATAATATAATTTAATCTAACCTCAGTGGAGGCTAAAATATTTTTATATCTTTGGAATTTATTTTAAATTAAATTTTAGTTTTCGCTCTAGAATGTGCTGATTTGCCTCTATATGCTTATAGTCTCTGAGAGACCGAGCAGATACCGTTCTTGCCTCCGTAATGCAAGAATTGATATAGAATATTCTGGCTGCATAGTCTATGGGCTCAACCCACATGGGGCGCAGCTCTGAGCATTGCATCAGGCTCAGACTTATTATTGACCTCCCATTTTTAAAGATCTTCACCAGAGATAAAGTCCCATATTCCAGTGTTATAAGCTCTTGCACTAATAAATCTATAGCGTGATATTCTCTAAAGATGCTGAACCTTATTCTCAGCTTGGTTTCCTCATTCGGTGTTCCCTGAAGATGCTGAGAAAATTGTGCAAAGAGGTCATGTGATAATCTCTCTCCTTTTTAACTATATATTTTTATTTATAGTATTTTGATTCCAGCAGATAACACTCTCAAACATAAATTAGTCGCTTTTTTAGAAAAAGCTGGGCATATCTTAGAGAAAATAATCGATGCATTAAATAAATTTAAAATTAAGATCATTTAAGTTCTACTAAAAAAAAAAAAAATATATTTTTTATTGGTCATTGAAGGATTAAGACTAAATGCGTCTAGGCTTCCTGAACTAAGTAACAGAGTTATTCAGAAATATAAAGAAAGGTACTCATTAATCGCCAAAGTTATTTGTACTGGGCTATTTAGAAACTTACTCCATGAGTAAGGAAAAAAAATTTTTGTTCGCTCACAGAGGGGTTAATTTTTTTAAAATAAATGTTTTTGAAAAATCCAAATGTAAAAAAAAATTAATTTAATTGTAGAAAATTTATTTTAAAATTCAAGCAGAATTAGTAGAGATTTATTTTCCTAAAGATTGCTTATATTTTTTATAAAAAATTGTTTTGATCGCTCACCGAGGGTTGTTTTTGGCCAAAAATAGGGATTTTTCAATGGTTTTATGCTCTCGAAGAAAGAAGTTAGCACATTTCAGAGGTGGACCCCTAATAGATTCTGGTTACTATAAAATAGAAACTAATGAGGTTGTTCTTCCCTATCCTCTGTCTTATTTCACTGAGCATAGGCGAACTACTCCTCCTAAATACGTGGTCTTTTTTGAAATAAACCAAGCTTCAAGCTCAAGATCCTATATGAAATTTATAACTCCAATTGATTTAGACTGGGTTATAATCATAAAATAGCAGATTTTGTAAGGGTACTGATCTGATGACCGAAACCGCTTTCCTATTATGATTATGAGGCTTAGCTTTACATCAGAATTCTTGCCCAAGGGTTAGTGCTCTTTTCCGGACCTAAGGGAAGCTCATATGCTGCCAACTGCACGAAGAATTTTAAACCTTATAAACTTTTAAGTAAGCAAGATTTAGATTTGGGCTAACGAATATAATGACAGATACATCACAGACACAAAATTTTCTGAAGAAAAAGAGCAAATTTCTTCATTTATTTTTAGTAATATTGGCCCTGCTTATATTCCTTATTTATTAGGAAATACAGGGAATAAGCTTGCAGATATTGAAAAAAAGATTCATGACAGTGGGGCTAAAGGAGCTTTACTTCTATATAGCCAAGAAAATAATTCCATAAATTTTATGTGCCCTAACCAGCATTTCGACCATGGGAAAAATTTGAGTGAAATTGAGCTTGATCTTTTCTTATCTAAAAAATTAGACATTCGTAAGGTGCCTATCTGCCGATTAGTAACAGTTTTTTTACAATTTATGATTTTGAGGCTTAGTTTTACATTGGAATTTTATCCAGACTGATAAGCATGCTGAAGAGCAGACTCCCTTTGGTGAATCCTTAAGGAAGATAAAAGATTTGCGACTTTTCGACTTCAATTCTGGGCAGTGAGTCTTTAGTAGCCGCATGGTATCAAGGACGACAAAAATCGGTCATTCATGAGCCTCGAAATCGGTAAGTGTGCCCTGGTGGCTAAGACAGGTTAGCCCTTGGGCGAAACAAGTATAATCATAGTACTGGAGAAAAGCAGCCCATAGTGGACCTTAAAAGCGTTATAAATACTTTAAATTCAATCTTGGTCTCTGCAAAAAAGAAATAATCAATAAAAGCACAGTCCAAGTATCCTCAGGATATGATGGACTTGCATTTATAATAGCTCCAGGCGCAATTATTAGCGATATTTTAGAATTTGGAGATTCTTTATCTTATGAAATAAAAAACCTGAAGCCCTATTCAGGGTTTGACGAGCTCATGCAGGATTTAAAAAATACTTTTGAATTTCAGTCAATGACTTTTAACACGACTCCAGACTTTTGCAATGTAATCGTGCATTTCAGAACCAAAAAAGAAGCAGAAACAGCTGAAAGCAATTTATTAAAAATTCCTCTTCCAGGAGCTGATGGCCCTATTACTGAAATGAGAAAAATTGGGTCGACCTTAGAAAGGTTTTATGACTTTGGGCTTAAAGTTGTGCTGCCATACACCGTTAGTGATTTGCAAATTGAAAAACTGCTAGAGCTTTATAATATACACATTTTTATTAAGAATAGCCCAGGAGTTAGCCAAATTTATGTTAAATTTATCAAATAATAAGGATTGCTACTAATTTGGCTAACCAAAAGATGCTTCTAAATGAGCTATTCATCATAAATATTATAGCAACCTGAAATATTAAGGCTATAAGAAATTTAAAGCTTGTTTTCTTATGGTTTCAAAGGGCTGAAGACGCTGATTTTATGCTGAACAGCTTTAGGCATTCTTATAAAAAAATATTCAAGAACACAAATAACATCTCAATCCAGCCTCTTGATAGCGGACTCCTAATCCCCAAAGAATTTGAAAAGCTTGGAATAGACCAATTAGGTCTCTTTATCAGAGATCTCTGCTATAAGTACAATTGCAAACTAACTATAAAAGGAAAAGACCGGCTCCGTATATTTGGAGATTTCAAAAATATTCAGCAAGAAGCCATCGACAAACTTTTAAATTTACTCCACTATACCCCTCTACCAATTTCCAAAAATATCATGAAATTGATAGAAAAGCATCATTTTGCGACTGAAGATGGCGAATTAAACTGAAAAAGATGGCAAGAAAGCATGAGCGTCGTATGCAGCTATTTTTGGTATAGAGAAATATTGGTGATTTATGGGTTCCCTCAGAACAGACAGTCTGCGAAAAAATTTTTGACTGAAATTCTTCGGACCTTGAATTCGAGCATTGTAGAGGTCGAGCGGCAATTTAATCCTAATGATTGGAATTATTTGGAAAGGTTTAGGGTTAAGCATAGTAGAGATTCTGATATAGAAATAAGGATTAATAGAAGGCAGCACATTCTTATCCTCAGAGGCCAGCAATCTAAAGTTAATGACTTACTTGATAAAATTCGTGCCCCTACAATTGAGCCTAGAAATGATTTGCATAGCTGTGGAATCTGCACAGAGCCTATAAATGCTGAGGATAAATTCAGCTTATCCTTATGTGGCCATCAAATACACAAGTCCTGCTTTAAAGTCCAAGTAAAAATTGCCTCAGAAAACAAGCCTCTACCAGATTTACCATTAAAATGCATTTATTGTAGGGAGGTTATTTTGTATAGTGACTGGGTAAAGGTGTTAGATCAAGCAGAAATCAAGAACTTGTACCATGCTTCACTTGTGAAATTTATGACAAATGATAAAGGGAAAAGTTTTTCGTGGTGCGAAAACCATGTTTGTGATTTTATATATAATAAATCAAAGTTCACGAATAGATCGCCTATAAGAAATTGCCCTGAATGCCATGGGAAATTTTTGGAAAAATTTGTTTTAGTATATTATTTTTACATGAGGCATTTTTCTTGGTATAATTTTTTTCGGAAAAAGCACAGTTTTTATTGGGAAAAAATTTACATTAAAAATACCGACAAAAAGAGGACCAAAATTTTGTGTTAGGTGTAAAAAAGAAGTGGTTGGGATGACTCATGAAGTCAGATGTGAAATGCAAAGAATTGGAGAAGAAAATAAAAAATGGATAGAAGAAAATACTTCGACCTGCCCCAGCTGTGAGTTTAAAACAGAGAAAAATGGAGGGTGTAATCATATTACTTGTCCAAATTGTAATACCCATTATTGCTTTATCTGTGGTGAAGACATATCAAGAATGATACCTGTCGACCATTATAGAGACCCTAGCAAGATTGCATGTTTTGGAAAATACCTTAATGCGAATGATGAAGGAGTTTTTCCAATTCCTGCTGATTGGGAATTGATTTAATTAATTAACTGTATTATCAAAGACCATTTATTTAATATTTTTGTCTTCTATTTCCATTTTTCTCAAATTTTCTGATTTTGACCTCATTTTTGTGGCTTTTTTCTGCAGCACCGCTATTTCTTCATTTTTTTCTTCAATTCTGTCTTCATATAGAGTCAGCTGGGCTTCTAGCTCGATAATTCTTTTCCTTAATGTTTCGTTCTGGTCTAGGACCTCTTTTAAAGCGTCTTGAAGAGATTTAATGAACTCATCATGGCCTTTGCAGCTCTTACAAGGTTTAGAAATAGAGGCAAGTGAAAGCTTTTCTAACTTCCCATCTTAATTAATGAAAAAAAATATTCTTGCCAAACCAAGGAGGTCTATTTTTATTTTTTAAAAAAATATATATACAATTTAAAAAAATAAAATATCCAAAATATTTTAAATAAAGATTTAATTTAATTTATAATTTTATGTTTTAGCTAAATAACCATTATTAATTATGCATCATATTATATTTTGCTAACTCCCCCCTCCATCCTTGATCGAACGATTGACTGCAAAATTTCCTAAAAATTGGGGAAATTAACCCCCATCCTTGATCGAACAATTTTCATATCATGCAAATTTTTATATAAAAATATATTAGTTATCGAAAGCTTGGGAAGATGTACCTAATGAAGTTGCTTTAAGAAACTTTGAGACGACAGAAAAGCTACGGAATCAACCATCCGAAGTGATTTAGTCATCAACCTAGGCTTAAAAACTCAATAATCTAAAAAAATAGAGATTTTTTAAAATTTGAAAAGAAAAAAAAAATAATTCAATAAGGAAATTAAAATTTATACAGTTTAAAGGGGTAATCAATAAATCAAAATATTAAAATTGGTATTTTTATGAAATTAATTCAATTTTTTGCTGTAAAAATAATTATTAAATACTTTAACCCTCTTATTTAAAAATATATAAAAAATATATATATATATATATATATTTTTTTATTTTATATAAATTTTTTAAACCCCATCCTTGATCGAACGATGGCGAGCTGTTCGATCAAGGATGGGTGGAGTAAAAATATTTTGCTCTCTAAAATAAGGGTGATTAATTATACTAAATGGGAGAGTAAGTTACTGATGGTTTGCCTTTGGTCATTTTCAGATGCTTCGTGAGAAACTTTATTTTTTGGTTTAGACTTGGTTTTTGAGTTTTCCAGGGACTCTAGAGGAGCTCGGCTAAGCCTTACAGATCTCCTTAAGTTGTAAATAGACATTATGGGGGGACTTATAAATAATTTTCTATTAATTTTATTTCATATTTTGTGTTAAATATTTGAAAATCCTAAATTTTCAAATAAAATTTGTGCTTGACTTCCTCTGCTTTATTTTTTATTTAAAATTAAATTTTTATTTCTGACACAAATAGCTAGGACTATCTTCACCCCAACCATAATCTATAATTAAGCTAAAATTCATCGTGAATGGCAAAGAGAAATGGTTTCCAAAGACCTTTTCATTTATTTCAAATTATCTCATGGACACTCATTATTTTTCATACCGTGATTGGCGTGCTTTGCATTGCCTTGTTCTTAAAAAGAGACCTGCTTATCATATTTTTGATTTTATTTTATATTTCCCACATATGCGTGATATACTCCCTGAATTTTTTTAGATCATTATTGACCTCACTTTAATTTTTAAAATTAATTTGTATTTGTCAGGTTTTTTTTTGATAAATAAAAACGAAAATAAAAAATCTCCGTTTATAGGTTTAGGATGCCTAATTAGACTTAGATTGCATAAGGCAGAGGTCCTGAACCATAATTTTTTCTGGTCGGAATTCTGCTGGGGGTATAGCGATCTATTGTGATGCATAAATTATAATTCAAGGCTATATTGCAACAGACTCAGACCCAACCATCTTAATAAAGCCAGAAACTGTCTCCTTGGACACAAATATCAACTATTTTTGCACAATCTGCAAGGTATATGTAACAGAATCTGCTAAACACTGTGGGCAATGCAACCGATGTGTGGATAGGTTTGATCACCATTGCAAATGGCTCAATAACTGCATAGGAAAGCCAAATTATTGGAAATTCATACCTTTGATATGGACACTAGAAGTAAGCACTTTTATATTACTTTGCTTTGAAATTTATGTAGTAAATAAAGGTTTTGCTAAAGAATTAACTGATGATTATTCGACCCAAATTCTTGTCCTGACTATATTACTTATAGATATATTCATTAATGGGACAGTGTTTCTTACTCCATATTTTATTCCCTCTAATGGGTGAAGTTTTTTTAGAAATTTAAAAAATCCAAATTTGCGAATTGAAAGTGAAAATTAATCTAGCCTGTTGAATTTATTTATAAAAATGGAAATTCAACAGAATAAGCTAGAGAATTCATTATATTTATTTATCGCTTTTATTGTATCTTGTGCATTTTGGGGCAGATTAGATTAGACTTTGATGGGCATTTAAAGGCTAAACTTCCTAAAGCATCGTGCATTCCGCAGCTGTCGTTGCGGTGTGGGCCATCTCCAAGAAAAAACTCAAGGAGCTTGTGCTATTTTGGAACTGGCCACAAAGCCGCCTAGATATAAGTTGCCCTGCCTCTATTGGATACCCATTTTGGGCCTAGGTGCTGCTAGTCTAAAAGACGCAAAAAACTGCTGCTTGAGTCATGCCACTAATTAGCAGAAATAGTGCTGAGCTTCTTACCTCAAGGCTAGCTCCACTCTTGGGTAGCTCCTTGCTTCAAAAATCTACGTCTGGATATACATAGAACACCCTCCACAGGAAGGGCGGGTCGCTTAGCACCCATTTTTTATATTATTAATTATCACTTACATGCCAAAATATTTTTCATAAAAAATTTTTAATTCGCTTTTTTTGACCAAAAATAGGACTTTTCCATTTTTTCCTCTCAGGAAGGGGACTTAGCATTAGCCTATTTAATCAGCATGCATATTTATTTAGGAATTAAAGGAAAAACTACCTATGAGTTTATACAAGAATGAAGAAAAAATAAAGAAAGAAAACATATAGTCCCGCTTGAAGATATTAAAGAGGACGACCAAGAAAGCTCTCTGAAAACTCTTTATAAAATCAGCCCAGAAAAGCTGGCAGAAATAAAAAAGAGCGTGTATATAAAGCATAATACTTTTGTAGTGACGCCAGATCTTGATATGTCATATTCGCCGTGTAATGTTAATAAAACCTTTGGAGCTGGGTCTTTTTCAATTAACTCCGATATATCGCAAAAACCTGAAGTATTAAATAAGATTAATTAATTTATATATAATTTTAAATAAAGTATTGGTTTAGTTATTATTCTTTAACTCTTGCATGTGCATGTCCTTCATCACGTATTTCATGACTTTTCCAGAAGACGTCATAGGAAAAGAGCTTACTATTTTGACTGTCCTTGGAATCTTGAAGTCAGAGAGTTTGCCTTTAGGCTATTAAAGAAAGATGCTAGCTGTTTTGTGACCCAACTATTAAAGCATTCCTGGGATTCTAGCAGGCACTGAAATGCTTTTAGAAGCTGCTCCTGTGATAGCCTTCTCGTTGAGGAATATCCAAGATCCAAAGACATTACTGGATACCTCCATCCCAGCCACAAGAAAGCAGCCAAACCACAATTTTAATAATGTTTACCTTTAAGGTACTCTACAACTCCTGCATGGGTAATATCAGTCTTCCCAGGCTTCATTTTGATCCACGCACATACCTGCTCTCCTCCATAGTGATCAGGAATTCCAAATATTGAAGCCATTTCAATATCAGGGTGTTTCATTAACAAATTCTCAATTTCCGCTGGATAAATATTTTCCCCACCCCTTATAATTAAATCCTTATTTCTCCCTACAATTCTCAAGTACCCATCTTCATCTAAAGTCCCAAGATCTCCTGTATGCATCCACCCATTGCCATCAATAGTTTCTTTTGTCGCTTTTTCATCACCCCAATAATGCTTAAACACTGAATACCCTCTTATACAAATTTCTCCAACCTCTCCAATTTCTACAATTTTCCCTTTTTTATTAATAAGTTTTGCTTCAAGATTTGGGTGGATCACCCCTGCTGTGTTAACTTTTTTTTCAAAAGGAGAATTATGCAGCATTTGGAACATTGAGCCTGAAGTTTCAGTCATAGCGAACGCATTTGTGACGTTTTTTATGTGAAGCTCGTGGATAATCCTGTTCATAGTGTCTCTATCGATTCCAGAGCCAGTTGAAAATGCAGTTTTTAATGATTCCACGTTTCTTTTTTGCTTTTCTTGTTCATTAAGGTAAAGCTGAAACATTGTAGGGACTCCTAGCAGAGAAGTGATTTTTTCGGATTCTACGGTATCCATAATAAGTCCTGGCTTGAATACATAATCAGGGTATACTATAGTAGAGCCACGTGTTACACAGCAAATGTTTGCCATAGACCCAAAAACATGATATAAAGGCACGCTGACGACCACTTTGTCAGTTTCGTCCCATTCTAATAAATCTGTAATGTTATGGGTACAGTTTACGACTCCGTGATGGGACAATACAACACCTTTTGGTTTTCCTGTCGTCCCTGAAGTAAAAATTATATAGCTTGGGTCATCAAATGAGATATCATGGGTCACTTCTTTATAGTCTTTAGTTTTTTGATGGTATAGTTCATCAAAATTTAGCATCCCTTTGTGGGTTTGGTTTCCTATTAAAATCACATGCTTTAAATGAGGCAATTTTGATGACGATATTTCTCCAATTTTGGAAGAATTTATTTCTGGGACAAGATTTTCGACCATGTTGATGTAATTGGAAGTCCTGAAGCTGGGAGGCATGATAAGAGCAGAAACTTGGGCTTTATTTAGCATGTATTCTAGCTCAGAGATTTGGGATGCTGGGTTTATGTTGACGAGGATTAAATCGGATAAAGCAGTGCCGAGCTGAGTTAGGGTTCAGTCTTTGCAGGTGGGAGAGAATATGCCAACTCTACTGTGCCGAGGCAGGCCTAGGGCAAGTAAGCCTTCAGCAATTTGTTCAGAACGTTGCAAAAGCTCAGAGTAGGTCCATCTAGAGTTTTCGTGAAGACTCAGGAGGGCATCGTTGTTGGGGAATTTTCTTGTGGTTTCTCTTACTCAACCAATATTAAAATGGAGCAAAATATAGGCAAATTTCCATATTTGAGTAATAAATAACCTTTAAATTATAGGTAAAATAAGAATTTATATACAAATTGCTTTGATACTCATTAACGCTGCAAAAATCAAAACTTACCTATAATTGTTAATATTAAATGCGGAATAAAACATAATGCTATTTAACGTAGCTACCCCTAATCAATAATTTTATAAAAAGTTTTTTTAGTGAAAATTCAATTTTTTTTTAAAAAAAATTTTTTTTATGAATGTCTTTTGTTTCAATTTAAGTGTAGGAGCTAGGACATCACCGATTGTTTTACCCAAAAGCGGTTTTCCAATCCCTGAGACGTAACTGAGTCTTTTTAAGCTCATATTTTTGAACTATCAATAATATTAAGCTTTTAAAATGAGATCCGTTTTATCTGAAATAAACAGATCATAAAAAATGAGAGAAATTATACATCTCCAGATAGGCGATTGCGGAAATGCAATAGGAAAAGCGCATTGGTCTAATATTTTTTTAGATTATCCTTTTATATCTGAGGAGTTTATTTTTGCGTCAATTACTTAATACATTTTTTATTATTTTATATAAGTCAATCACCATCCTTTATATAAAAAATTTATATAACCTAATATATAAACGGCAAAAACTCGGCTAACAATTTTAGCATAATTCAAGAAAAAATCGGCGTATATCTTGAAGAAAAATCCAATCAAAATTATACTGCAAGAAACATAGCAGTTCATACAGAAAATGACTCATTAAATCCATATTTCAGCCCAGATGATTTTGTAAAAATAGAATCAGCAGGAAATAATTGAGGCAAAGGCTACTACGGGAGCGAGGTTGACGAGTATATCATAGATCTTGCAAAATCAAAAACTGAGGCTTGTGATTCCTTGCAGGGATTTGAAATTTCGCATTCTCTTGGAGGTGGCTCTGCGGTCAAGCATGAAATCCGTCCCTATCTCCCCGCACACCAACCACCCCAGCCGCCTCAATGCCAAACTACCTAGTCTTGAAAATTAGAAATATAAGAGCTATTGCAGTAAAGCCCATACTCTATATAGCTTTCTTAATCGAAAAAAATGTAATAGATATTTGAAGGACCAAGACAAACTCTCTCGAAGGGACGAGCTAATTTTGATACTAGGAAGCGACATGTCAAAAAATGGTTGAAAAGTAAACGCGCCAATTTTTAAATTGGCTTTATTATTAAATAAATTTTTAAATTGATAATAAAAGCCACATATGATGTGCATTAGAGCATTTAAATGAAATTAAAAGCTCGAACCTTATCAATCGAGTTGACTTTTTGCGGGAAGGATAGACTTATAAAAGCCAAAGTTTGTATTGAACGTTGATTGTTCTTTATAAAGTTCTCAATGGCTCATAATATAGATTATTTTTTATGGGCACTAATTAATGTAAATATAATTTGCAGTCCTTTACTTTTATAATGATTATGTCTTTAAAGTTAACTTATTTCTTCTTTGGATTAGCTCCTATAGTAAGATATTTATCAGCGCCAGAGATCTTAAATTTAAAATTAATTTAATAATAAAGCTATTTTAAAAGTTGGCGCGCTTACTTGTCGACTTTGCTCACACTTGTCAACCATTTTTTGACATGTCACACTTTTTAACGCTTCCTGGTATAGACACGTAGTTCGTCCCTTTGAGAGAGCCTGTCTTGGTCCTTAAATTATCTATTACATTTTGTTTGATAAAAAATCTATATAAGGGGTGAGCTATATTTTCGCTCCCAAGCTATTAAAACCGATTTATAGCATGCTTACACATATATTTAATACTTTATTTCATATCCATACTATATACAGAGTTTTTATTGGTTTACAAATTTAACTCATATTTTTGCATTAAATTTAAATGAGATATATCATATTTTATATGTAAAATAAGCTATATAAGCTAATTAATTTTTTTAAAATGCATTAATTTAGCGAAATCGATGCTAGATATTATATGTGCATATGATACATAATTATACTTGAATTGATTTATTTGTATATAGCCATTTTAAAGCAAAATATGACTGTATTATACTTAAAATACAATAATTAACGAAATCCAGCGTATTTCTCTATTAACTCTTTTATTTATTAATCTAAACATTTTTACTATGTAAAAATTCTGTATGTAATAGGATATGAAACATAGTATTAATATTTATGTAAACATATTAGAAATCGCTTTTTAATATCATAAAAGTGATAATACTGCAATATCTCTTATTTTTCTTATTATCAAGAGATATGTAGTTTTGTATTGAGTTGGTTGAGAGGGTGGGCTTCATACTTGGCCATCTCTGGAAGCGGACTCACCTCCAGGGTCATTGAAATGCTAAAAGACGAGTTCCCTGAAATTTTAATCTGCATGCATACAATTTTCCCATACTCTGGGATGGGGGACTGCCTTGTTGAGCCATATAATGTCACTCTCTCCTTTCCCTACCTCCACATGCCAAAAAACGTGATTTTTGCAATTCAGAATGAAAGGTTATTTAATTTCATTTTCCATCAAAAACATCGTATCCCTAGCTTTTATGCAGATTTTAACCATATAGCAGCAGCTGTTTTATCAGGGATCACCTCAAGTTTTCGATATTCAGGCACATTGAACGGAGATCTGCAAAAATTGGTATAGCGCCTTCCTATAGATGGCGCGCAATGCGCCATCACCGGGGGAGGAATGGTTCCACGTGTGGAACCCTCTTTTTCCACGAGCTAAAAAGAGGGTTCCACACGTGGAACCATTCCTCGTGGAGAACCCTCTCCCGACATGGCCCGGTGATGGCGCATCGCGCGCCATCTATAAGAAGGCGCTATATCAAATTTAACACCTATTGAAACTATGAATTTTCTGATACCTGAATATACAGAATTAAGCAGCTTATGACTGCATGACACACTTTCCAGGATTTTTCGAGATGGAGTTTCAGCCAATCTCTTGTGTAATGTCGATAAAAACCAAAAATATATAGCGGCTGCTTGCAATTTTAGAGGCTGTGAAGACTATAATAAAGAAATAAACAGCTTTTTTGATTCTGATACTAATGAAATTATCAATAATATGCCAAAAAAGAAAATAAAATACTCAGTTATTGAGGCTAATCCAAACAATTTTCCAATGCAAGCTGTTTCTATTATAAATTCCACTGGATTCAGAAAAACTTTAATGGGTTATCTAGAACAATATTATGCCCTGAAGCGAAGAAATGCATTTTTACATCATTTTTATGGAGAAGGAGTAGAAGATGACGATTTCACTCAATCTGCCAATGAAATGCGTGACCTAATAGAGACCTATGAAAACGTGTATAATTCTTTATAAAATACTTAATTATCTCCCACCAAAGAAGACGACAGTCTCGCAAGTGCCACTTCTTCATTTCCTTGCTCACTGGTCTCACTAGGACTTTTCGGCCTCACTCTTGAGTTTTTCGCTATAAAATCAGGGGTATAAATTTCTTTCAGCAGCTGATCAGTCTTTTTAGACTCATATTTATTCAATTCCTTCAAAAAAGCTTCCTTATTTTCCAGCAAAGGCGTCACCACGACTTCTAATTTTTCTTTGATTTTGTTAAATAAATCCACCAAGTCCATATTGGACGTGTCCAGTCTGTTATCAAGCTTGCTCATTATTTTTTTTCCCCATGCAAAAATATGCTCATAATTCCTTGTAGAATTTTCGTTCCTTTCCCTGCATTTAAGCAGCTCATTTTGCTCTTTGGCGAGCTTTTCTTCTAAAGCTTTGAATTCTTTATAAAAGGACCTTTCATTGGTTTCTCCTTCTATAAGCAAAAGTTCTTTAAGCTCATTTCGTGATTTTTCATTTTCTGCTTTCAGGTCATCCAGAGTTTTTTCGGCTTCTGAGATGCTTTGCATGAGCTGTTGATGGACTTCTTCACGGGTCAGGAATTTTTGGACGATGTCTTTTACGTTGGACAGACCTGTAGCTGCACGGATTTTTTGGAAGGCTTCTTCGACCTCTGCAGCACTTTGCCATTCTTTTTCAAGTTTCCATCGTAAATACATATACCAAAACCTGTTTATAAGAAGCTGCTCTTTCATCTGGATTTCTTGGCTGTCTCTATCTTCATTTGCAGCAGCTTCTGCAATTTCGGCTTGTCTTTTCAGTCTTTCTTGTCGTCTTTCTGATGCGTCTTTTCTCATTTTTACGCTTCTTTCGAGCTGCTGCACTCTTTCTTCTTTTTTTCTTTTTTCAAATTCTAAATTTGCTTTTAGCTCTTGTAAGAATTTTTTTGACTGGTGATTTAGCTCTTTGTTTTTCCTGGATTTTTCTTTTTCGCTTTCTAACTCCATCTTGGACGATTTTAAGGTATGGCTCAGATGGTTAGAGGTGACTTGGAGATTGACTTTTTCTAAATTCATTCTGTTGAGCATGTGCTCATAGCTTTTCTTGTTAAGAAGCTCTTCTTCTACTTTCATATGAGTCAGTTCTAAAGCAGTTTCGAGCTGTTCTATTCTTTGGTTGATACTCCGCTCGTCCATTTCGGTGACTTCTGTGAAGAAATATATTAAAATTATGAACTAGCCCATCTTCTTAATGCAGGTAGCTGGGTAACCCAGGGGCATTAAGGAAGGAAGATTGCGTCCGGTAATGTGCATCCGGTCAGATTTTAGTTGGCTTGGTGGAGCGCAATGTTGGGTTAGCCGTCTGCATTCTCACATTCAGGTCAATGTTTTAGCTCGGAGGAAGATGAAAGATTGGTGTTGGAAAGGTAAAGCTCAGCAGAGTCTTTGAGACCAATCAGGCATTTTATATCATGATAATAGGAGCTGCGTCCTGGTATCAAGTTCTATTTTGATCGACACCTCGGCCAGAAAATTCATTTTTTGAATTTTCTGGAAGAGCAACCATGGTGGCACATCCCACTACACTCAAGCTAGTGTGCTGGAGGAGCATAGCGATAGGCAGACGGCAGGCAGCCACTAAACAAGGTGGAGATAAATACCCAACTCGAGGCATCACAGGGAACTTTTCTATAATTCTAACTAAGAACTAAGACTTCTGCAACTGTTCCTAGCTTTTCCAGCTCTTTTTTAGATCTTTCAAGCTGGTGCCGCTTTAAAGAGTTTTCTCTTTTGGTTTGGTCATGCTTTTTGCGGATCATTGTCAGTTGCATTGAAATTTCTCGCATTTCGTCGTCTTTGTGGATGTCGATGTTGTCCCCACCGTCGCTGTACATGCTTGAGTCCTGCTGAGTGATCAGGAATTTCAGTGGAGCCTTTTTTTGAGGAGATTTTTTGGTCTCGGCCATATGATTATTATAACTATAATAAAATTTTTATCATGTTTAGGACATTTATATAAAGTATTGTGTATATACGTAAAATGGCCGGTGACGAGCAACTGTACTCCTAGTGGCAGGTGTCCTTATTTGTATCCGGACGTGGCTTTTTGGTGCAAAAAGCTTCTTAAGGAGGCTTAAACCTAGGCTCAAACTGCCTTGAGGGATCCACTCCACAGCATTAACTGTAGAATGCACATTGCTTCAGGAAGTGAGAATTTTAAATAATAACCGTAATCTAATCTTAATAAAGCATTTTAAATAAAAAGCAGGTAATTATGATACTAAAAGTGATTAAATATATTGTTTATTGATAATGCATTAATTAGGTTTACACAATTTCTAAGTCGCAAAGATTTCAGTCTTCATATGAACCATCTGGAAGGTATCTTCTGACTATAAAAGGAAGCTTTTTATTTATGAGCTCTTTATAGGCGATCTCTAATGGATCAGTTTCATTAGGATCAAGCTGAACAAAAATTGGAGCGTTTTGGCTAATCTGGGAAGCTCTTGCTCCGAGAACTCTAGTTTTTTCGTACTTTGAAAGATACGACGGGGTGTATCTAATTACTTTTGTTTCAGGAATAGCCTTTGCTAAAGTGGTATCTTCGTTTATCTCGCTTTCAGAGTCGCTTTTTTCTGAGTTTGTCTCACTTTTTTCTGAGTTAGAATTATTTTCCTCTGAGTTCTGCTCGCTTTTTTCCGAAATAGCGCATTCATCTATTTTTTCCTCGATTTGCTCACAGTCACTATCTCTACCTTACTCCCCCCTCCGTGAGCAAACAAAACCATTAGAAAAATACCCTTTGTTATTAATAAAAAATTTTTTTAATAGAAAAATTTTTTATGTGAAAAAATTTTGATATATAAGTGATAACTAGTATCACGAAATCTCAAACTAATTCTGTTTAAATATAAACAGATTGTGTTTTAAAACATAAAGTTCACAAATTAACTTAATATTTGCCTTTCAATTTTCGAGAAGTAAATTTCGAAAATATTTTTTTATTTAAAATTTATATAAAAAAAAATTAACCACCTGGTCAAGCATAGGTCGCAACCCTACACCCCCACCCCCTCCAATAAGGGAACCCCCACCCCCCTTTCACAGATGGCACCCCCCACCCCCTCCTCTCGGGTTTTATCCTATAGAAGTATTTGATAGGAAATAAGCAGAATAAATTAAACATAACCCAATTAAAAACACTATATTTTTAAATTAAGTCCACAAATTACTTTATATTTATAATTAATTAATAAATTTAAATTAACTAGCAATTAATTAGAAAATATATTAAATTTGTTTTTATATTTATAAATATAATGCCAAAGATATAGATAATGGCATTAATTATTAAATTAGCCAAGCACAATAGAATAACTTGCATTAAATTTATGGATTCATAAATTAAAGCTAATCTGATTACCATTGTACAAAGATTGCAGGACTGAATTGGTAACAGGATTCATAGTGGTAATAAAAATAGCATACATATTGTCAGTTTTACTTTTGGATCTCTAATTCGACTTTTAGCCATTGTTCCACAAAGTTCATAAATATATGCAGGATATATTGCTAATTAATACCAAAGATCATTATTAACTTTCTAACAAATTTTTTCAGATTTGGTGAGCTTACTAGTTATAGGAAATTCTCACCCCATTGCTACGCTATGTGGATATTGTATAAATCAGTAATTTTGAATATTTAAAATAATAATTTATTTATTACGTCTGCTCTAAATTGGCATTTTTCATATATTTTATGCTATATTAAGGGGGATGGGGGTGGGGGTGCCATTTTTTTAGGGGGGTTGGGGGGGTGGGGGTGTAGGGTTGCTACCTGTGCTTGACCAACCACCCACCATGAGCGAACAAGATTTTTTTGTTCGCCTACGGAGGGGGGGGTTAGTGTAAATAATTTTTTGAATTATTTTTGGTATATAATTAATGATTTTACAAAACCTATTAGTAAGTGCATTTAAAACATAAATTTGATAAATTAATCTACACTTGGCATTTTGAAGTAGGATAAAAATTTACAGCTTTTATAAAGAAACAATCTTAGTCGCTTGAGTAAGATCTTCGTCTGACATTTTTATAAGCTAATATTATTAATATCCCGCCATCATAAATGTTTAATCTTCTGATTGTTTTAACAAATTTAGTACTATCTTTAAAGCTTAATTCAATAGCAGTTATTTTTGCTGTTTTAAGCTATCCTTTTTTATCATTTTTCTTTTAGCAGCTACACTTTATTCTGTTACTGCTTATTGTATCTTTCAACTTCCTCAAAAATCTCTCTCCAAAGCCTTCAAAATCAATTTTCTTTCTTTTTTGAAGCTATCGTATCATATTTAAATACATGGAAAGTGCATCAATCCAAGAAATCGTGCAAAAAGGCTGCCGTTTAGGCGATATTCCGCTATTAAAAGAAGTTTTTAAATCTCATCCTCAATTTCTAAACCAAACAGACACTCAGCTTGGCTGAACACCTTTATACCGCACTGTTATATGTGGCCACGAGTCTGCAACTCGATTATTATTGAACCTCGGCGCAGACCCTGACGTGAAGTCCAAAATAGGTGAAACCCCGCTCCATCAGGCTGCTTATAACAGCCAATACTCTATCGCCAAACTTCTACTCGATTACAAGGCAAATCCAAACGCCCAGCAAAATGATGGCGACACTCCTCTTCACCACGCAGCTTTCAAAGGTGATTTTTCAATGGCGAAATTACTATTAAAGTACAATAGCAGTCCAAATATCCCAAATACAGTTTTTGGTAGGACTCCTTTACATTATGCAGTGGATTATGGTCATTCAAAAATAGTAAAACTATTCATAAAACATAATGCGGTCACTGATATTGAAGATATTGGTGAAAAAACGGGTAAATATGAATTTACCAATGTGAGTAAATATGAATCTTTTTACTAAAAAATGACTGTAATTTGCCTCAGGGTTTTAAGGTGTTAGGGTGTTAGGAAAATTCATGGTTTTACCGAAAAAACGCCAATGGATCTGACGACCAACACTGATATGATTTCTATCCTTCTAAAATCAAAGGAGCCTTCAGAACTGGCAAGCTCTATAGATAACTCATTTAACTCTATTTCAAGTATTGATGCAAATCCGAACTACTCTCAGCAGTTTAATAGCAAATTTTCCTTTATTTCTCAGACTTCAAATTATAATTATGAAAAAGGCTTGGATTTATATGAAGAAAAGACTGATAAATATGCAGAAAATACTGAAAAAACGCTTGATGTAGCTAGCATCCCTTATCATGGTAGAAGTGTAAGCTCTTTATTTGAGCCAGACGCAGAAAAATCATATAGTGATGTAAGGCCTTCTAATCTATTGACAGACAGAGCAAGAATAATCTCTTTTGGTGGAAATGATAAAAAATCTGCCCTCTATAGCTGGATTTCCAGTGTAAAGCTTGAAGGGATTTTTGATACTTTAATATCTGGCGGATATGACGATTTAGGCCAAATGATAGCCAGTATGAAAACTTCGCTTCCAATTACAGAAAGAATGCTTTCAGAAATAGGAATCAAAAAACCTGGGCTTAGAAGACGGCTTCTAGCCGCATTAGATGAAGAAGCCAAATCCTTCCCTAAAAAAGGAAAAACCCAAGAAAGCAACCCTTTCCAATGCTGGGCAGCCTCATCCAGTAACACAGGTCTGATTAATTTACAGAACCTCAAACAATGACTCGAGAAACTTAACCTTTCTCACCTACATAAGTCCTTTGTAGACGCAGGCTACGACGACATGGAGCATAACCTCGCCCTCATGAATTCCAGCTGGTTCATAACTGATGACATTTTACTAAACGACATAAAAATCACAAAACCAGGACATAGGCACAGGATTTTATCAAAGCTTAAAGAAGAATGCATAGGCTTTGAAACGATGAAGAAAAATAACGGAAGACCGAGCTTCAAAAAATGCGCAGAAGGCTTAATAATTGAAAAATCGTCCACTTCTTCGGCTTGTGGGATGTGCTTGCTAATGTAATTATATTTATTTTTAACTTCAGATTTAGATTAATATATCCAAATTGAAGTGGAAAAATGGGTAGTACTTTTTTCGCTATAATTGGTAAAAATATGAATAAAGTTATTGATGAAAACTTGAAGCAGCCGAATATTAAGAAGAATTAATTCAAAAACGTAATCGATTCAGCTTGAAAGGTGTTTAAATAATTTTATAATTGCATTTTTCTATTAAATTCGGTCGAAATTAATTTATAAAATAAAATTTACCTATTAGAAAAAAAAATTGTTCTAATTTAAAGTTCCAATTTACCTCAATTTTCTTCAATGAAAAGGGAAGGTAAGAAGAAAAAAAATAGGCTCAAAGATTATAAAATCCAAAAAGCTATTTGATAGGTGAAGATTTTTTAGGCTGCTTTCTTCAATAATCGCCTGTGTAGCGATATTCCCAGCATCTTCAGATTACGAGATGGGATTTTCTGAAGAAAGAACAGCAACAAACTGCATGATTGTGGAGGACAGTTCAGTTTTGTACAGACATTTAGCTATGTGGCTTAGCTTTTCAAGTATTTTACTATTAATCCCTTATAGATATTATTTCCTCAAGTGAAAGCGGCATATGCCCAAAACCTTTCACGAGCTCCCTTCCTACAAAAAGCTGACCTTGATGCAGGTCTTTGAAATGCGAAAAAAGCCTAAATTCTCCCAATATATAGGAGATGACACAATCCCTATCACAATTTTACTTCTGATTTTGCCATATCCAGGATTAGATCTGACCTTTACAGTTTCCCAACAAATTCTTTACCAAGACGTAAAAGTCTGCTACTTTGTGACTGAGCCTTTATATGCCTTAATGTTCCTGCGGTGGATTTATCTAATTTTTTCCCTATTCAACTTTGGGAAATACAACAACCAAGTAGCTCAAAGGTACAGAGAAAAGTTTGGCGTCCCAATGACCCCAGCTTTTTCGCTGAAATGTTACCTAAACCAAGACCCTCTGCTTATGCTTTTATTTTTTTTCCTGATCCCAGGAATCCTTATATTTGGATCAGTGATGAGAATTTTTGATAGGCCTCTTATGAAGCCGAGCATGGACTTTGACTATGTTGGGAACGCTTGATGAAATTCAGTGATTACCATGATGACGGTAGGATTTGGGGACACTTATCCTACCACAATCCTAGGCAGACTTGTCAGCGCTTCCAGTGCTATATATGGAGGTATGGTGCTGTCTTTTACTTTTGTGTCTATGGGATCAATCCTTCAGCTTTCCAAAAACGAAAAAAACGCATTTAATTATATTTTGGTAAGTTCTGCTGCAACCGGGGCTATTGTTTCAGCACTTTCTTATAAAAAATCAGAACAAAAAAATATAGAAGAGAGATATAACGCCTGGGAAAGGGTAAAAACACATCTGAGGTATTTTATGGATTACAAAGAAATAATAGGTGCAGATAAAGATGAAGGAGAAGAAGCCATTGACAATTTGAAAGAAAGGGTGTTAAGCTTAGAGGACAAAGTGAGTAGCCTAAAAGGGACTACTGACGCAATAATTCATAAACTTAATCGTATTTACACTAGGTAAAATTATGCCCATTTAAGACAAACTCTTAAACTACTTAGCTGCGAACTCTGTGGCAAGTTTTTTGCCGGCTTCAATAGCTTCGTTGAGGTTTCCAACCATATAGAATGCAGACTCTGCATACTCGTCTCCTTGCCCTTCTAGCAACGCCCCAAACCCAGTAATCGTCTCTTCTAAGCTTACAAACTTCCCTGGCTTCCCAGAGAACACTTCAGCGACATGGAAAGGCTGCGACAAGAATTTCTGCACCTTCCTAGCCCTCGCGACCACAAGTTTATCATCTTCTGACAGTTCATCCATACCTAAAATAGCAATAATATCTTGTAGTGACTTATAGTCCTGCAGCAATTTTTGGACTCCTCTTGCTACTTCATAATGTCTTTCTCCTACAATTGAAGGGTCCATCATTCTAGAGGTAGAATCTAATGGGTCAACAGCTGGGTATATACCTAATTCAGTCAAAGCACGAGAAAGCACAGTGGTAGCGTCCAAGTGAGCAAAAGTGGTGGCTGGGGCTGGATCTGTTAAATCATCAGCAGGGACGTAGACGGCTTGGACTGATGTAATTGAGCCATGCTGGGTGGTTGTGATACGCTCTTGTAGCACACCTAAATCAGTTGCCAAAGTAGGCTGATATCCGACAGCTGAAGGGATACGCCCAAGCAGGGCAGACACTTCAGAGCAGGCCTGTGTGAACCTAAAAATGTTGTCAATAAACAGCAGCACGTCTTGACGCTCTTCATCTCTGAAATATTCAGCCACTGTAAGCCCAGTCAGCCCTACTCTAGCTCTGGCACCAGGAGGCTCGTTCATTTGGCCGTATACAAGTGCTGCCTTGCTGCCTGCGTCTTTTAGTCTTATGACTCCTGACTCAATCATTTCCATATACAAATCATTGCCTTCACGGGTCCTTTCTCCGACTCCTGCGAAGACGGAATACCCACCATGAGCTTTGGCGACGTTGTTAATCAGCTCCATAATCAAGACAGTTTTTCCGACTCCTGCACCTCCAAAAAGTCCTACTTTGCCTCCCTTGGCGTATGGGGCTAATAAATCGACGACTTTGATGCCTGTCACCAAAAGCTCAGCGCCTGAGCCTTGTTCAGTAAAAGTTGGGGCTTCTCTGTGGATTGGCATGTACTTTTTAGCATTGATTGGGCCTCTTTCGTCAATAGGCTCTCCGATAACGTTAATAATCCTTCCTAAGGTCTCTGGACCGACTGGAACCATAATTGGGCCATTTGTGTCTAAAACTGGTTGGCCTCTGACCAAGCCATCAGTGCTATCTAAGGCGATGCAGCGGACGTTGTGATCTCCTAAATGCTGGGCAACTTCTAAGACCAGCCTGTGGTCGTGGCCTTGGACTTCTAAGGCATTTAGAATTGGTGGCAGTTCGTTGTCAAAATGTACATCTACGACAGCTCCAATTACTTGAGAAATAAAGCCAGTTCGGCCTGTTTTTTCAGCTTTTGCAGTTGAGAAGAGTCGAGCGGGCGGCCGACCCAGAAGTTGTTTGGCGAAGTACCTAATAGCCATTAATATTATAAAGCGTGCAAGAGCAGCTGAAAATGAAGCACGAGTGCTAAGGGTGAAGAGGCTTATTTAGGAATGTGGGAAATGAAATTTCTTGGATTAATTTGTATTGTGCTTATGGGAGAGGATAATTTTGAGAGACAGGCAAGGATTGTGCATAGTTATTTAAGGAAATTTGAATAGGAATCATTATGAAAGAGAAAGAAGATTGATATAAGGAAAATGAAACCATTAATGGAAGCGATATTGATCAAATGGGGATCATGCGGGTTAGGTTACAGCAAACAACTAACCCTAGAAAAAAAGGGATAGCTGCCGAATTTGGAAAAATTAAGCAGGTTAGCTGGCAAAATAATATAAATTTTTTCAGTTGCCAGTTAATATAATTGATAAAACTATGCTGATTTAGCGTGATGAATGCTAGATTGTGTATTTATGTTGAACTATTATACTATCATTGATTTTTTTGCGAAATATCCTATTTATACTTATTTCATGTTTAAAGTAAATAATGCTAATAAATTAGCCATTGCTTTTTATGTGCTCGCTTAGTTATTATACTAAAAAATTAAAAAAGAATTATGCAATATCTCTTGTATTCATTATATCAAAATAGGCAGTTAGAATCTGAGTTATTGATAGCCAAATATATTTTTATATATTAACCCGCTGAGTTTTTTATTGTTTTTTTTTTTGTTGCAGCTCCTACATTTTTTTGGGCAACTAACACTTGTATTTTAGAGGGTTAGCTGACATATTTGTTTTCTATGAAAAATTAAAGCGATTTATACTTTATATTAAAATAATTTCATATTATTTTGGCAGCCATCCCGCTTAATTTTTGCAAATTTTGACAGCTATCCTATTGTTCTAGGGTTAGTTTCCTGTTGTCAGCTAGCCAGCTCCTCAATCAAATGGGCATTTTCGTTATTATCTAACTACTAGATGTTTAAAATTGCTACTTGTGAAAAATTTAAATTAATTGTTTTACTCTCCATTTAATCAACAACCGCTATTCAATCAAGAATGAAGCTAAATATTTTGGAAAACTATTATATGCAAAATAAGATATATAATTTTATTGGAATATTATATAAAAATCTGAAATGCATGAAAATCGCTCCATGGATTGATTTATAGTTTTGGTGAGATTTTTGATAAGAATCGTTCGATCATGGAGGGAGAATTAGATGTTTTCAAATTCTATCAAATTCAATTAATATTATCAAAAATTTTGTGTGCTCTCATCTCAGTTGCATAAAAAAATGTGTTGCAATACAGTAGTTTGCTCTCTTAATTATTTCTTATATTCAACATAAATATAAATTATATTATCGATGAAATAATCCCAATTGATTAAATCATGATTTTTAAAAATTAAATCAGATTTTAAATCAATTATTCAAATAAGCAGATTATCTTGCGTAATATATTTTTATAGAAATAATAAAATTACTCACTGCCTCTATATAAGCTTCGATTTTCTCTTCCAATAGCTGCACAGATTCAATTTGCAGTTTCTTCCAGCTTTTGCAAATCAAGGCCTGTTTCTACTCCTAGCTGGCTTAGCACATATACTACATCTTCTGTGGACACATTCCCAGTTGCACCAGGCGCATATGGACATCCTCCTAAGCTTGCAATAGAGCTATCTACAATGCTAACTCCCATTTCTAGTCCAGTTAAGATATAGCCCTATCCCTACTTTGGATCGGGCTTGGATGACGTCTGGAAACGTCAAATGGGGAATTGGCTTTGCCAGCAGAATTTAGTTTGTCAACTCTATATAGGTGACGTCTCCCGACGTCAGCCAAGCCCAATCCAAAGCAGGGATCGGGCTATATTCTGTATAGCTCTTCCATACGTATTGTGGCAATGAAGGGCTAATTTTTCAAGAGGGACTTCTTGTAAGACTTCATGGAGCATCGCTATTGTCTTCTCTGGTGTCCCAATTCCAATGGTATCTCCTAACGAGATTTCATAGCATCCTATTTCATTTAATCTCTTAGCTACCTGTCTTACAGCTGCAGGATCTATATCTCCTTCAAAAGGGCATCCCATTACACAGGAGACATATCCTCGGACTTGAACATTATTATCATTGGCTTTTTCCATAATAGGCAAAAATCGTCTGATACTTTCTTCAATGCTGCAATTGATATTTTTTTGGCAAAAAGTTTCGCTTGCCCCTGTGAAAACTGCAACTTCTTTGGCCCCTGCTTGGATTGCTGCATCGTACCCTTTCATGTTTGGGGTCAGAACTGGATAACTATTGTTTATTTTGATGAATTTGGCAAGTTATTTATAATTTTTTGCTTATAAAATGTATAAAATACGACTGGATTTAATTATAATTAGATAATAATAGAATAAATTCCTTCGAATTTTTGTATCTGTTGGAATACCTGATAATTGTCAGCCATTTGTGGAACTGCTTTTGGAGAAACAAAACTTGTGACTTCAATAGATTTATAGCCACATTGGCTTAGTCTGTTGATAAACTGGACCTTTGTGTCTGTAGAAACCACACTTTTTTCATTCTGCAGACCGTCCCTCGGGCCCATTTCTTTAATTGTCACGAAGCTTGGGAATCTTCTCCCTCTATACTGTGTAATGATTTCTCTAAGAGACCTCATTTTTATTAATTTCCTAATTAATTAAAGATCAGTTTTAGCTTTTCCTGCTGTAGGTCCTTGAAGTAGGAATTCTATTAGTCCATTAGCAGATCTCTCCCCAGTGTAATCTACTGGCGTTCTCTGGCCAGCTATGAAAAACTTAAGGGTTGGGTAGCTTTGGATTTCTATATCTTTGGCTTCGTTTTTAATTGCATCCATTTTCGCTATGATTATATTTTCTTTATTTTTCAAATAAACTGCTAATTTTTCATATTCAGGAGCAAACTCTTTGCAGTGTTCACACCAAGGGGCATAAAATTCCACTAATACATTTTTCCCTGAGTTATAGACAACCTCCTCGAAGTTTTTGCCGACCAAAACTCTGACCCCATTTTCATAAGGCTCCTCAGGAATAGGCTGTGACTTATAAAATGGGACAGTTTCCCTTCTCTTGAATTTATTTATGAGTTTTCTTGTAGCTTCAAGCGAAAATGGCTCTTCTAGGAGAAACTTCAACATTCCTTCCACTGGGTGGAATATAAGAATAGCAGGCTGAGACTCAGGATAAATCCCTAAAAATTCGCTTAAAACTTCATTGTCCTTTTTCTTTAAATCTGTGGCTACAAAAGTTAGGTCACTTCTAAATTCTTTTGCGAGGGTTTGTAAAGTTTCCTCGTATTTTTCTGCATCTTCTTCAGCCCTGAAAAAGAACACGACTGAGTTTTTCCCTTTGAAAATGAATTCTAAGGCAAAATTGTTGAATGGGATAATTGCAGGCTTTTTGTAGTTTTCTACGAATTTGGTCATTTCAAAAGTATTGAACCCTCCTTTGTAATCAACCCTGCCATCGTCTGGGTTAAAAAGAGTCATTTGTTTTTCTTCCATCCCATAGTGTGTCAAGGCTTCTGGATCAGTTGAAACTAAAAAGGCAGGACCATCTATATTTTTGGCTATATGTTCATAAACTCCTAAATCAGTCGAATTTGGTAAAGCCCAAAGTATGACGCTTATTTTGTTATTATATTAAATTAATATAAATTATTAACAGATAGCCTCTTGCACTAATTTTGGTGTAATTGTTGAGGATCTACAGTACAGGAGATTCAACCGCTTTGTGACAGTGTTCACCACCAAGGATTCCAGTGTCTCCTCCTTGCTTTTAGGCTCCAATATTGAGTGAGTAGTCTTCGGATTTGTGCGGCCTTGCTTGAGGTGTTGAGTAGGGGAAGAAGGGTTGTCAACACAAAAATCCCAAAAAATGAAAATTTCTGGTTGACTCTCGGCAAAAAGGGAAATAGATAGCCCAGGGCGTAACTCCTGGTTTCACGCTGGCGAAGTGCCAGATTAATCTAGGCATTGCCTGAGATATTTCTGGGCGACCCCTTTCCAACTTCCGTATCACCCATCCTATTGAGATAAATTCATCCTTTTGAAAGCGGACTTGGAACTAGGCTCTGATACATCAAGAATTGCTTATTAGCATTGCTGTACATTTCTGAGATATCAAAACCTTGCCGGATATAATTAAATATGCCACGAAGGAGGCCACGAAGCGCTGAGATGCCATATTTAATACTATTTTGTTATTCTCAATCTCACTTTTAAGCTTTTCTAAAGTGCTGATTTTTGTCATTGCAAAGCCTATTCTCTTTTTAATCCACGACACAATAGAAGCTGCATTCCCTCCTCCTGTATACTTGGTAGGCCTTTTATTGACAAAGAAAATGAATGATGGGAATTCTGTAATTTTATATTCCTGGGCAACTCCTGGGTTTACAAGAGAGTCCATAACTGCAATTCTGAATGGAGGGTCAAGCTCTTTTAGCACTCTTGCTGCTTTTACCAGTTCTGGAGCAAGCTGAATACAAAGTTCGCATCCTGGCTCATAAAATTCTACCAATATTGTAGGCTGGATTTCCAGAGCAGCTGGAAAAGTTTTGTCGTCAAGAGACCAAACTCCATCAAGTTCAGCAATTTCTGCAAATACTCCAATTGCAAGAACTAAAAAGTGCAGCTTGGAGCCCATTTTATTCACTAGCTAATTAATAAAACACGCTTACTCCCTCCACGAGCGAACAAACCCATTTGAAAAATTCTTTTTTTGGCCAAAATCCGAACAAACAAAAATTTTTTATGTGATATATAAGTGATAATTATTATAATGAAAATCTCTCGCTAATTCTGTTGAAATATATGCTAAAAAAATAAAATTTTAGAAATTTATTAATTTTGTTTTCCAATTTTTTTTAAATTTCGTTTTAAATTTAGATATAAATATTTTAAAAAAAATTTTCTTTATAAGCAAACAAATTTTTTGTTCGCTCACGGACGGTGGGAATTAGATATGGTTAGTATTTATTTGTGATGAAGAAAAAGGTGCTGGCACTGACCCTTCACTTGACTTGATATTTTTAGGGTTGTCGTCTTTGTCTATTAGCTTATTTTTGCAGGATAAAGCAAATACAAAGTATATTGCAGAAATAGTAAAAAAAGCTATGGAAAGAATTAAGTATCATATATTGCTTGGATAAAAAATAATGGTCCCGAGGAAAAAGCAAAATATGGCTTTTCCAATGTAAAAACCTAAAAATGAAAAGAAAGAAATAAAACACTTGCAGGGCATTTCGCCAAAAAATACAAGGAAGCCGAAAATGATATAGTAGACTGTTAAAGAAAAATCCCTAGGGCCTGAAAAAGAAAGTCTTGTAAACTTGTAGACTGAGAGTGCTATAAGCCCAATTCCTGCAATTATTGTCAGTATTTTTAAAAATGTCGAGAGTCGAACATCGCTGATTTCTTGGCCGACCATATCAGAATCTTTAATATAATTTAAGCATATTCGAGGCTCAATTAATATGGCTATGCAAATACCTATAATTTTAATTTAAAATTAAATAAAAACTCAAGGTAGCCTAAATCTTTTAGCATATCTTTGTAGATTTTTAATAGATAATCGTCATATTGGCCTATTTTATGCTTACTAATAACTATTTATATAAGATATTCAGGATAATATCTATAATAAAAGATAAAAATTGAGTTTTATTTAAATTAAATCCTCCACAAAATTTAAAGTAAAATAGTAATCATTATTAAATATTGCTTTTGTGATTAATTACAACTCATAATCATAAAAAATCATGAGAAGTGCAAGCGCTGCAAACACAAGAAACAGAACTCCAGCTGCAATTTTCACAGTCTTTTCTGAAATGTACTTTTCGATCAACTTCCCTACCAAAACTCCTATCAGTCCTATACAGGCGAATCCTATAATTGCCCCAATCATTACCAATACAGGGTCACTTAGTGCTGACAGCGAAATAATCGTTGTATTTGACTTATCTCCCCACTCTGCAAAAAATACCATAACCGCTGTCTTCCAAAAGACCTTCATCCAGGACATTCGTTGTTCACTGTCTGCCAATAATGGGTCGTTTTTTTCGTCGACCATTTCACTTTCTCCATGATAAGCCTCATAAAAAGACAAAATAGCATAGACCAGGAACATCACGCAGGAGGCAATTTGGATGTAAAGAGGGTCGATAAGCTTGACGGCGGCTGCTCCGATAAAGGCTGCAATTATAGCAATCACGCTCTCTGTGAGCTGGTTGCCAAAAAATACAGCTGACCTTGAGTTTTTCATTGCGAGAATTGCAATAATAAAGAAGGTACGGTCTCCGATTTCAGCTAGAAAAACAGCTGCAAAGGAACTTGCGATTGCTTCGATAGAGCTTGGGGTTATTTCGGATGTAATTGCCATTAAATTATATGCTAATTATTTGGTATACTTCTTTTCTTGGAGTGGCGCTGCAAGTGCAGGCCACTCCATGTGGAATTCCTGTGTTGGTTTAACCAACATAGGAGTTGGTCAAACCAAAACTGTGCGTTGGTTCGACCAACCCATGAATTCCCCATGGAGTGGCCTGCGCTTGCAGCGCCACTCCAAGGAAGTTTCTATATGTTGAATTCTCCTATGCATTTTTATTATTACTGGATATAGTGCTGATTATTAGAGAATTTTGGGAAAGTCGTCACGCAAATGTGAGTTGACTGAAAATGACTGAAAATTAGGATTTTAAGAATAATTAGAGCTAAGGAGGATTTAGCTAGAGCTTAGGATGGTTTCTCCAACTTTTGGGTGAACAGATAAGAGGAATGAAGGGTTTGCTTGTAATAAAGCATAATTTTAGCTAAAAGCTTGAGATTCATCAACTGAATTCTTCAAATGATATAACCAAATTATCGCTAAAATTCATTTCCAGAATAGTCTAAAATATTTGGTATAGACTTATATTTTAATTAATAATTTCTATTTACCTAGACAATTTAATTTGAAAAATCAGTATAATGATGCAGCTAATTATTATTTCGCAGCTTCTCAATCTTAAGTTATAGTTAAAAATAATGGTCCATCCCAATATCAATTATCTAGAATAATGGCACTTTCTATTTTATATGATATATAATTAAGAAATTTATTATAAGCTACATAATAAGAGACGAAACCATTTTATGTGAACGTTTTGGTCTCAAAACGCTGGCCCTTTTATCAAAATCTACAGCAGTCCCTAAATTTCGACTCCCTTTCAGCATGACTCTTAAATCTTCATCAAATAAAGACCTCAGCAGCCTTCTTTTTTTATTTAAAATAGAAATTGTCTTTTTTTGAATATTTTTTTCACTTTTTTTAAAAATATTTGTCCCATAAATGACGCCATTCCTAAGCTTCTCTTGGCGACTTAATATATTTGAAAAAGTCCGCCTTTTTGAAGTATCTTCACAATTAATTGAGGGGAGTTTTGGAGTTACTGTACCAGAACTCGTCATATAGCATTTCTTTGTATCTTTTGATTTGTCTAGATAAGGGCTAGAAGTGTCATAGATTTTTCATTCTGTATAAGCTCTAACATGGTGGCTTGGCCTTCACGTCAGAAGCTGCTTACTCCCCCAATTCTCTGAGAGCGAACAAAACCATTGGAAAAATACCTATTTTTGGGTAAAAACGCTCCTTTGGTGAGCAAAAAAAATTTTTAATCTAAAAATTTATCATCAAAAAACAATTGATTATAAGTTATAATTAATATAATGTAATCTTGAGCTAATCCTGCTGATTTTAAACAGCTGTCATTTTAAAACATAAACTTTACAATAAGATTAATTATTATTTTCAAATTTAAGTCTTGGAATTTTGATATAAGTTTCAAAACTAAAACATAATATAAAAATTTATATAAGAAAAATTAATCGAAAAAAATTTTTTGCTCATGGATAAAGGGGAGTTATTAAAATTTTCCTTTTTAATCATCTATTTATGGAATCAATTTTTCGCATATTAAATGCTAGCCAAATCTATAGTCCGGCTGTTCTCAAAGTCATATTACGAGCTTTTGGAGGTCGAAAAGACTGCTGATAAGCAAGCTATTAAGGCAGCCTATTATAAGCATGCGAAGATTCACCATCCGGACGCACAAAATTCAGACCCAGAAATATTTAAAGAGTATGCAGAAGCATATAATACATTGATTGATGAGGATAAGCGATATCAGTATGATATAGATAATGGCTTTTTAGATGCTATGGATGTAGATAGAATGGAAGAGCTTAAAGAAAAATTCGGAACTAGATACCCTGAAAAAGCATTATGAGAAAATTTAAAAAAATGAGACACACAGCTGGTAGAAGAGCTTGACAAAGACACTTGGACTTTACCAAAGCTGTTATGGAGGCTAAGGAAATCTAAGGTTAATAAAGCTTCTGCAGCTCCTGAAAAAACTGGGTTAGACTCATTATCGAATTTCAGGTTGGCTGCATTATCAAGCTTAATTGTTGGCTTTGCAATTACATATAACAGCTCAATTTGGGTGATTGAAAACTATATTTATCCTACTAAAGTAAATAAATAACATATATTTAATGATCAATATCATAAGTATTAGTAATTGGGCTCAATACAGGGCTAGAAGAATCAGAAAACATCCTTGATGTCGTAACCATATCATATACACTTTTTCCTCTTGATTTATAGCCTCTTGGAGGTGTTGTATCTTGATTGGGATATCTCTGTGAAGGGATAGGGTCAAAATCCAATCCAATGAATTTTCTAAAAGTTGTATGCATTTTTGTAAGCCGGCTTTTAAATAATTTTTTTTTATATAAAAATGTCAACTAGCCTTCCAAAAGGTATACACTCCTTGATTATTGGCATATTTGAGAGCTCTGTAAGGTAAATTTGGAACCCTTTTTTCCTTTCTTCTAAAATCGTAGGTTTTCTGCTAGTTATTGATGAAGAATTTTGAGAAAAAACAGCCCCGAACTCTGGCAAGTTTAAATGAGGGAACTGCTGCTGCAAACTGCTGTGGAGGTTGCAGAACATTTTGTATTTTCTTGATACGTTCCAGCTTTTAGCTTTATTAGAGAAAGAAATTACATATTCTGTGTATGGCTTGCCGCCTTCGTCACGAATTGTGGTCTGTGGGACTTCAATCATTAATTTTCCATCAATAGAAGCAGGCCCATCTCTAAGGCAAGCTATCACATGAGCACTAAATACGTTAGAATTCAGATATTTCCCACATATTTTGCACTGCAATGCAGAACAGTTTTTTATCAATTTTTTGCATTTTTTCAGCCTCTCTACCTTTTCTTCAAGCTGCTGGCATCTTAGTTCTAGTTTTTCAAATGCAAAAGACAGGTATTTATTAGTCTCATAAATAATTTTTGGCTCATTGTTTTCGGTTTTTTCTGATCTATCGGTTTTCTCACTTTGGGCGTTTCTTAGTTTATTTCTAAGTTCTTTTGCTTCGCTTTCAGCTTCGTTTCTCCTTCTTTTATACTCAATTTCTTCATTTTTTATAAATTCCAGCTCTTGCCTGACTCTCTCCTTCTTATTTATTAAGCAAAAAAATCTTGCTCATAAGCCAAATATTTATTTTTTGAAAAATCGATGTAAGATCTTTAAAATTAATAGAATTAGCGGAAAATCTCATAATTATATACAAATTATTATTGTTTTATTTTTTTTTATATTAGAAAATTACTTTGCTCTCTAATCAATTAGGCTAATTCCTCAAGGGGATTTTTCTAATAGTTTGCTACCAAGAGAGTAAGCAAAGCATTGTCTCTCTGAAGATCCGCAATCTGTTTTTGGCTAGAATTTTGCAAAGAATTAAGCTTCTCAGAGGCGTCTTGGTATTTAGACTTTAAGTCTTCTATCTTTTCACTAGTATTTTCCTTTAAATACTGTATTCTTTCTTCATAGCTTTCTTCAATTCTTTTCTTTTCTCTAATTAAATCTTCCATTCTTGCAGCACTTGTGGCTTGTGAAGCTTTGAGCGTGCATAATTCTCTTTCGTATTCTTCAAGTCTTCTTTTCAGCTGGTCTTTTTCAGCTTCAAATTCAGCTTTTCTACGATTAACCTGGTCTTGTGAAAATTCAAGCTGCTGGTAAAGTCTTCGGCATTCGTTTTGGATTTCGGTTAGAGAAGATGCTAAAATATAGTCAGCTGACTCTGTATAAAGCTGAATTAGATACTCAAGCAACTTTATTTCCATTGATTTTGTGATTGAGTCTGCTCTGAATGTTTTTGAGAAACTTTCTATAGTAGTTTTTAAGACTGCGAAATTGGTGATTTCTTTGTTTTTTAGCTGGTTTTGGAGAGTTACACCCCAAGCTTCAAGTTCTTTTTGGGCTCTTTCTTGAGAGAGTCTTTCGTTTTTTTCTTTATAAACTAGAGCTCGCTCTTTAAGCTTCAACTTTAGCTGCTGTTTAAAATTTGTGACTGAGTCTCCAAGAGCTTTTTCTTTAAATTTTTTTACAAGTTTGTTTCCAATTTCAGCTTGCAGCTGATAAATTTCTTCTTCTTTTAAAGGAAGCCTCTTACGCCCCCATTTAATTACAAGAACTTATACAATTTTAGAATATTTTAGAGAAAACAAATTTAAAGTAAGGTACCTAATGAAAAAACTTTAGGAAAAAATGAAAATTTATATTATTTATTATAGAGGGTAGTTAGAAATTTCTCTCATTTCTTGTTCAAACTCTCTCATACAGTCATCTACCCCTTTTTGGCACTCAGCTTGGCAGACTGATGTCCAAGCTCCTTCAATATTTGGGACCCCACCTTTATTAATTGCTTCAGTATAAGCTATAGCCAGTTGTCCAAGCATTTCTCCAGTCAACATTTGTCCGTTTAACGTCTTAGGTTTTACTTTTGTAAAAATTTTTTTCTTTAACTCCTCAGCTTGTGACAAAAATTCAGGCCTAAAAACTTCTTCTGGGGCATTATCAAGCTTCTGCAGTACATCTTCTCTTTCCGTTGGCCTCACAAGTGAAAAGCAGTCCCTGTCTTTAAAAAAAGTGCTCAAAAGCCTCCTTATCCTATTTTTCGCTTCAATATTATCACTAACCCCTTTTTGAAGAACTAACTCTCCCCCCCCTTTAAATTGAAACAAAATATAGGTGAAATTCCTACTTTTTTGGGAAATTACCCCCTTTAAATTGAAACAAAATTTTATTATAATAGAAAATTTTATAGGTAAAAATCATTATTTTATATGTAAATACGTTAATACCCTATTTAATATGCTTCAAACATAGGCATTGTCATAAAATTATAATGTTATTAAATATAATTTACTCAATTTATTGTCTCTTTAAATTTATATAATTTATTTTCTATAAAATTTTATCTCTGAAAAAATTTTTATATATAAATTTTTTTATAAAAAAATTTTCTTAACCCCCCTTTTAAATTGAAACAAAATTTTTTGTTTCAATTTAAAGGAGGGGGGGGAGTAAGGCATTTTCTAAATATTTTCTTGCAGAAATTGGATTCCCTTCTCCATCAACTAGCCTTAGGGCGAAATCTCTTAAAACCCACAAAAATGAAGGAAAATAGTTAGCGATTTCGTCAGGATTTGTAGGACCTTGGCTAGACCTGATTTGAAGCTGTTTGCTTAAATTGACGATTAAAGACAAGTTTTGTAAAGCGTTTTCATCAATAGTGCCAACACTGTTGTACACGAAATATGAGCTGAGTAGTAAAGCAAGTAAAAAGATTCTGGTATCATGATTTGCATCTTCGTCAAAAGCTCCTAGTCCTTCGCTGTCAATTACCAGAACTTTCATTCTTTCCCCTTCGCTGTTTTCTATTTCGACTGGCTCACTTCATACCCACAGACCTTTTGTACAAGCATTAATGGTAGGGCCAACACCAAAGCCTTGACCGTCTCGATTGTCTAGAATTACACGATTCAGCAAAAATGATTTCCCAGTGCGGTATTTTCCGACGACTGCGATAACCCCTACTTTGCCTTCAAGATTTCTTAAAAATTCAAGACTTTCTGGGGTTACTCTGAACCCTTCACGCTCATAAATGATAAGCGGGATTGCTTTTGAATTCATAATTTGATTTAATATGAAAAATTAATTTTCGAAATTTTTATTTTGGGTAACTTCTATTGATAAATCTTAAAAATTAGAATTGTGAGTATCTTGATTTTATTATTAATTTAAATTTTTTTTGCTTCAATTAATATTTTCTCAAAGCTTAGTCACGAGAGCTTCTCTTTGTTCTCTTGCTTTTTTCACCTTATTTTTAAGGAATTCTAGGTCTATTTCTTTTGGGCGAAGTAGCCAATCTACTGTGAGGCCGATTGAAAAAAAAATTAATGTATATACGAAGAACCAAGCAATTGTACTTGGAGATATAGCAAATTTGAGGATAGAGTCCATTATATATTATTGCATTTCTTTCCTTCCATTTATAATATAATTTTCAGATCAGACTTATTAAAAGAATATTTTGAGTAATTATAATGAGGAATCTGCTTAGTAAGGCTATAATTTTTATTCTGATTACAACTATGACGAGGCAGAGACAATAATATTATGCTCACCCTAAGATATAAGTATAATATACAAAAGATTTTGACCTTATTAAATAATTACTATGCAAACCTAACTCGAGCCAGGACATTTTTGCATTTTCTACACGTATGCACGACCTCCTGATACTTGCTCAACGAATTCGCCTCTCTGCAACACCTAATTGCATTGAAAAAGAACCTAACTGAATCAATAAATCCCAAATTCTGCACCTGGAAATTTATAATTGAATAAGTATCTTCATTACAAGTAGGGCAATACAATAGATTAGGGAACGCCAAGGTCGATTTCCTCACACTGGCATGAATACTCCTATCAGTTTGCAGCCTTTTTGGCTTAATTTCAACTACCTCAAACTCTTCTTCAGGCTCAGGCTTATTCTTACTCCCCCCCCCCCCCTCCGTGAGCGAACAAAAAAATTTTGTTCACTCACGGAGGGGGGTTAATTTTTTTTTTTTAAAAAAAATTTATATATAAATTTTTATAAAAAAATATTTTTTTCGAAATTTAAAAAAATCCTAATTTGCAAAAATTTGGGAAGCAAATATTAATTTAATTTGCAAAATTTATGTTTTAAAAACGCAATTTTGTTTAAAATTAAACAGAATTAGCTCTAGATTTCATTATACTAATTATCACTTATATATCAAAAATTTTTTTTCCATTAAAATTTTTTTCTATTAAAAAAATTTTTGTTCGCTCACGGAGGGTGTGGTTTTTGGTCAAAAAAAATGGTGATTTTTCTAATGGTTTTGTTCGCTCACGGAGGGGGGGGGGGAGTTAGCATTTTTTCTTGCAGTCAATTTTGAGCTATTATTTGATAAATACGACGTTATCATTGCGCTGGAGTCTGAGCTTAAATTTGTATAAATTGTGGACGCCCTGACACCTTTAATTTCTTCTTTTGTAGGAATAATTAAAGAATTTTTGGCTGTCGGAGTCGAAAATTCAGCTTGGACCTTAGAAGTGGGGTAGTTTAAAATGGTTTCTTTATTGGCTTCGTCTTCTTCGTCTGTCAGACTATAATCAATTGAGCCTTCTTCGAAATCTTGGCTATCAGGAGTCATACTGTCTCTTTCCAAATTAAGCTCATTAAGAATCCCATTATAGTTTTGAGCCCCGCTTTTTACTAAGACACTTGGGGCGTGCATATGGTGTCCTGGAAAGATTTCTGAGACTTCTTTGGAATATTTTCAAGATTCATGGAGATCAGAAGAGATTTTAGAAGCCTGCAGTGACGATATATATGAGTGCCTTTTAGAAAGTGAATTAGGGAATATATCTAATGATATATCTGATTGCTCAAAATTTAAGGCTTTTGTGAGAAACGAAATAGGCTGTAAATTTGGGTCTGATGAGTCGCTTTGTCCTTCTTCGTATAAAAACGACAGGGAATGCACTTCTCCTTCTCTCATTTCAAATGACATTTATCGGCGGCTCTTTATGAATTTTTTGAGTAAAGTGAGTGCCATGCAAAAAATGATTATAAATTAAATATTAAAAATTTTTGGTTAAAAGGACAGAAAAATTAGTTATTTATAAATATTTGATGATTGTATTTACAATTTTTTCAGGCGCACATGGTTTTGTTAAATAGCACTGCATTCCGCATACAAGAGAGTATTTTGCATCTTCCTCGTCGCTATATGCAGAGTAGCCTATAATGCAGGGAAGGCTCTTAATTTTTTTTTCTTTATAAAGCCATTCTATCGTTTTTGTAGCCTCCCAGCCATTCATTTCAGGCATTTCGCAGTCCATCACAATCACTTTAAAAGGCTGGCATTTCGCGTCTTGTAGAATTACTTTATCAATCGCAATTCTCCCATTAAGAGCTTCTTCATATCCAATTCCATATTTCCTGAGAATCGATCCAAGTATTTCTAGATTAAATTCCATATCATCAACAATAAGCACGTCTTTAAATGAGTCAAAATATGATAATTCAGGTATTAAATTTTCAAAATTATCATTACCTACATCATTTTTTAAAGACTCTAAAGCTTCAGTTTCTAGTATTTCTTGAGAAATGTCTATTTTAAAATAAAACATTGACCCTTTGTCAAGAACTGATTTAACTTTGATTCCTTTGCCTCCTAATTGTTTTACTAGTAGGTTGGCAATTCCTAAGCCTAAGCCATATCCTTGCTCATGGATATCTGGAATATAGCTTGAGTTATGTCGGGAAAATAACAGCTTTATAGAGCCTTCTTCAACGCCTACACCTGTATCTTCGATATAACATTTTAATTTATACCTTATACGTATGAATAATTTTTAATATGGATCTGCATTCTGGAATTATGCTGATTTTTGCTTATTATATATGAAAAAAATATATATTTATTGCAGCACGCACAACAAATTTCTATTTTTCCTTTCACCGTGTATTTTAAAGCATTTATTAATAAATTGATAATTATCTGTTTGAATCTTAATGGATCTGTATAGATGCCTGCTGATAACAAAGGGTCAATTCTAGATATAACTGATATTCCTTTTTTTGTTGCTTGCAGTCTGATTAAGCTTACTGAATTTTCTACGATATCTTTTATTGAGCAAAACGATTTGTGGATTGAAAAGATTCCAGCTAAAATTTTCGAATAATCCAATAAATCATTTACAAGTAAAAGCATCATTTGAGCTGAAATCGAAACAATTTTTAATTTTTCTATTTCTTCAGAACATAAATGAGTTATATTTCCCAGCAAATCTTCAGTAAAATATATAATTGAGTTCAGAGGAGTCTTTAGTTCATGCGAAACTGTTCTAAGTAAAAGAGTTTTCATTTTATCATTTGCAATACTTGCTTCTAAATTCACTATTTGATTAATATCTCTTATCAGCAGAAATACAGATGGCGCATTTTCTCATTCAATTATTTTCGCTTTTCATTCCAAGTGAGTATTTCCAATTAATGTAACTCCTAGAGTTGTATCCACATGGTCATGATTTTCAAGCAAAAAGCAGATGTCTTCTATTAATTTGTTGGAATTATTAAATCTTGAAACTTTTTTACCTTTTAAATATTCAATATTATATAATGCAGAACTCAGACGTTCTCCAGATGTTTGAAGCAGCTCAAGAGTGCATTGGTTATAAAATTTAATTTCATAATGATGAGAAATAATCATAATTCCATCACTAAATGCGTCAGTTATAGCATGAAGCCTGTTTTTGGAATTTTCTAATTCTTTTTGATAGGAGTAGCGGGTATAGGAGGCATTGGAAACTTGGTGATAGCCCATATTACAAAATGCAAAAACCAATATAACGGCATTATATGAAGAAGCAATTTCTTTAGAAGTTGTGTTACCAAAAATCATGCCATGAATATGCCATAAATATAAGTGCTTGAAAACCAGCAGATTCAGTATCCATTTGTTTTTAACTATCGGGAGTTCAAAAACCACTGTCACCAAAAATGCGATCAATTCAAGAATCCCTAAGTTTGCTTGGTCAACGGTCCATGAGTTATATAATAGGAAAGCATTGCAATACTCAGTTGTAAATATCAGAATCCCTACTCTTCATGATAATGATCTACGGCCAAATCGTTTCATTGTAAATGTTATCACAGTATGAAGCAAAGTTTGAGGGAATAAAACTTGAAATAGAAACTCAGAGGGATAGAAATAAGTCTTGAAAGCATTTATTATAAAAGTAATTGCCAATACGAAGTTTGAGAATTGTAAAAACTGCTTATATACACTTTCAACCCTTTCTTCCCATCATAAAAATTGTAAGTCCTTATTCATTTTATAACAAAAATAAGGTTGGAATTATTAAATCATATTTAGTGTTAATTTGATTGTGCTGAGTTGGCAGATTTCCATCTTTAGATAATAATTTTAAAAGGAATTAATTTAATTATAAATATTCATCAGGAAGCTTATTTTGGCTGAGTTTTTAAAAAATATCAAATTTTCTTAATATATTTTAAAATAACATTTATAATAAAATATTATCCGAGGTTAATTTTCCATAGATGTCTTTAAAAATTTGATTATTAATCATAATTTGTAATTGGCTTAAATTTTGATATTTTATTTTTTTATTTTATTAATCCTCTTTTCAAGTTCTCAAGCAATATTTGCAGCTTTTCTAAATATCTTTTGTGAAGTCGATTTCTTATGAGTGCTTTATTTAAAACAAATCGTATTTCTGTTTCTATATCTATGTTGTATTTTTATAATAATGAAGTTTAATCAGGAAACTTTATGACACTAATAAAAAGCAATTTAATTCGCTTTTCTACTAATCCTGCAAAAATATCTATAATATAAAATAATTTGAAATAAGAAAACAGACTTTGCTGATTTTAATTTCATTTGAGAACTGCGTCAATATTTGAGGAATAGATCTATAAGTTCTTTGATAATAACGTAAAATTGTTGATCTAATATTTAATATAAATAATATTAGACTAAAATTTAAATCTTAGTTAACATAGACCAATTAAATATGAAAATTGCAATTCTGATACTGATTTACTTAAATATAATTTGAAGCGTAATTGGGGAGTCAGAGTTCATTATATCTCAAGTCAAAAACACAGATGGACACACCCACGGAGAATCCACACAATTAGCAAATATTGATAATACCGAAGAAAATAGCAAAAATGATAAAATACTTTATACATTTATTTTTAGCTTTGTTGGATGCGTTATTTGCTGCGGATTAATCCAAGCTATTTTGATTCTAAGCAAAAGAATGAATGGTGAATTAAGTTCTTTGAGAAGAAACTATAAGCAGCATCAAGGTCTATTAAAATTTAGGGAATTCCGATATGCATATGAGAAAGAAAAAATTAGATACGAACAGATTAATAAGGATGCCAGTACACTAAGATAGTAAGATTGTTTAAATTAATTTGAGTCTAAATAGTTTTTTATTATGTGCTTGCAAAAATTCTTTTTAGCTTAGACTAAATTTACATATAGGCTATTATTTATTAATATAATATTCGATGATAAAATCTATCATTAAATGTATTTGTTTTACTCTAATTTTAGATAAATATATCTTTAATAATATTGTTAATTTATTCTGGCCCTTTATTTTTTTCCAGGTCGCAAATAATCTTTTTGTGTTATGTTTTTAATTTAATCATATCCCAACTATTTCTATATTTTAATAATATATTGTCAACTTCCCAAGTTGGCTCTTCAACTTGTGTTGCATTCCCTAGCCCAGGGCAATCACTCTTGGGCTATAATTATAATTGTTTTATTCGGACATAGAAAATCATATTCCTCAGTTGTTGTCATATTTTGGCTTTCTACAATCTTTATCTAGTTATATATATTGACTTTAAAATTTAAATTATGATATATTGCTTACTTATTCAAGCACATCCTTAGAATTTTCAAGCTTCAGCTGAGGATTTTTTATTCCTTGAGAGTGAGATATTTGCTCTATCATCTGATCTCTTAGTTGTTTTAAGGCTTCTCTTACATCTGGCACTTGTTTTTTAGCAATTTCTTCAAGAACGGTAGCCAGCTCTTCTAATGCGCAGTCATTTGGATCATTAATCCATGTTCTTATCTGAATCCCATTCATAGGCTGCAACTGGAAATTTTCTGCAACATTATCTATAATAATGACTTTTTTTAAATCCCTTCCTAATAGCGTCAAATCCTTTACAAAATGTAAGCCAGCTGGAACTGCATGCTGCCTATACAACCTTGCATTAATATGCTTCTCTTTATCAATTTCATCCAAAATTCAATCAGCGTATTCAGATATTGATGCCGTGAAAATAATATTCTTTTTATAATGAATTTTCTTCTAATAATATGACCAATTTTATTCTGCTGTAGAAATTAAATTAAGAATAATTTCATAATAAACTGAAACCCTTCTTAAAAATTCCAAAGTATGGGGACGGACTGCAAAGTGGCCTTTATCTTCTAGTTCAAAATAATGAATTAAAGTTTCGTCTAAATCAAGAACTAAAGTGAACACTTTTGTAGGAGGATTTCGCAAGTACGGCGGAGATACTCTTTGGTTTTCAGTATTTAATGCTGGCAGATCAGATGTGTCAATTCCAAAGGCTCGCTCAATCAAAAACCTTGCTCTAAAAATCGATATTTTTTCAATATTTTGCAATATTTGCATAAATGCTAATTTCAGATTTTTCATGGTTCTGTCCTCAATTCTTCCTATATAAGATCTGCATATCTGCTTTATAAGCTTTACAGACAGCGAATTATATTTTTTTAGCTCTTTTTCTCCTTTGCCTTTCCCTGATAGCCCAGATTTTAGGGTAATAATTTCATTAAGCTTCATAGCTCACATATTTGTGGAGTCATCTGAAATTCTAGGCAAAATAAGTTTATAATTAATAAAAATAAATTAATTACCTTTTTCTATAATAAAATATGCTGATAATTCATTTAAACAAGAAATATCAAAGCTATAAATCCTTGATGAAGATCAAATAGTAGGGCCTTTAAAATTGTGCTTTGTTCATTTTGTGTAATCCCTTCATTAATAAAATAATGAGTTAAAGCTATACCCATAGCTTCAAAAATCAATGCTTGCTTTGTGAGCCTCTTTACTTTTAAGTCACGATATAGAAGGTCTATTTGGTTTAAAGTGTTGTCAGCTGTCAAGTCTCATCATTCTTCGCATGCTCTTACAGCATCTGGAGCCATCCTCAAGTTCTCTATGAGGAAATAAAGGTCTTCTTCAAGGATTATCAAGTCTTCTAAATTTATCATAAAAGTTTTAGAATTTTCTTTGTTTTCTGGGTTTTCTTTTATCAGAAATCTCCGTTTCGGGACTTCTGACTTAGGGTAGCTGGGAGGGTTGGGGACTAATTCTTTCTTTTTTATTTCGCCTTTGCTGTTTCCTCGCTTAGGGGTTTGATTTCTACTTGAGGATTTTGCTGGTGTCACCGAATTTATCTGTGCAGAGTATATCTTACGAAATGACATGTAAAATGGATTTAAATATTTTTCAACTGTCTTTTATAATAAAATAGCAAAAGAAATATTAATTTCTTTTCTTTATATTAATTGATATAAATTTAAATACTAGCTCAACATCCCAATTTCTTTTATAATGAAAACAATGGAGGCACATAAGAAGGATTCTTCAGATGAAGATGAAGAAGAGGCTGACCTTTATGAAGAAGGGCTTTATTTTCTCAACACTTTTTAATAGAAATTCTTCGTTAAAAGTTCCTCTAAAATCATTAATTTTGTAAAGTAAATTTCTTCAAAAAAATTAGGAATAGAAAAATCCTGCTATGAAGAAGGATGGATTCAATGGGTTTGTTCTCTAGAAGGACATGAATTTTTTTGTGAGGTTGATGAAGATTTTATCAGAGATAATTTCAATCTTTATGGTCTTAGAGAAAAATTCGCTCAATATGATGAAGCAATCGAAACCATTTTAAGCACTGAAATTCCAACTGAAGATGATTTAGCAAACGAAAGCTATTTAGAGCTATACCAAATGTCTGTTGATTTGTATGGACTTATTCATGCACGATTTATTGTGACTCCTCGAGGCCTTTCTATTATGAAAGAGAAATTTATTTCAGGAAGATTTGGAACTTGCCCAAGAGTCATGTGTGAGCGTCAGCATGTCCTGCCTGTTGGTCTTGCAGAAGTCCTTCATACATCAAGAGTTAAGATATTCTGCCCTAAGTGCAAAGATGTGTTTATTCCTAACACCCCCGTTTAATAGCGAACATATGTTTTGTTCGTTATTAATTGCGGCATAACTTATAAATTTTTTTAAAACATATTTATATGATTTTTCTTTATTTTTCATTTTATGAAATGCTCGATTTATATGTATAGAAAAATAATAAGTTGATAGAAGCAAAATAATCAGAGAATTATATCAAATATTCAATAAAACGTTTAAAAAAATATTAATAAGAATTAGCTGAGATAATTTATAAGATTCTTGTTATTTATGTTAATAAAAAACCACAAAATATTTTTGATTTATTATTAAAGAATTTAATTTGAAAAAGAATATGTAAACGTAAAGATTTTATTTAAAAGTGCTTGAAGATATTATAAGCCACTTTAATTCTAGTTAAAATCAATTTTTTATGCTTTTAGAGATCGAAAATAATTTTATATAGTTAAGGAACCTATTTGATCAGCCTGGGCTGGGAGAATACCTAAAACTCTCCAAATTGGCTCTCCAATTCATGGCAACGAACCAATTCGGGGAGTTGGCAAATAGGCCCAATATAAGGCATTATTCAACTCCCTTGAATTGGTTCTTCAACTTGAGTTGGAAACCAGCTATTGGGGTTACTAGCGTCCTTCCAACCCAAACCGATCAATATCCCTAGGCTTAGCCGCTATTAACGAATAATGTTTTACGAAAAAATGACGGTTTTGTTGATTATTATATGAGGAGAGCAAGAACAAATACGCTGATATTGATGGTGCTTATTTTGGGTGCTCGTTTCCTCATCTATTTATGCTCACTTATCCAGATTTAAACCCAGTGAAGCCTACTCCTGAATATATCCCCAAAATATATGGGTTTAAAATTTACAAAAGAAAAGGATCTAAATATGGCTTGAACCAAAAATCAAGGGAAAACTTAAGTATTTTTTTTATACAGACTTAAAATAGAATTACAGCTATTTTTATAGGAAAAATTACAAATAGGTTTTAATGATTGCCATCTAAATATCGTAAAGTTTAATGTAAGTTTATAACATAATGTCAACTAGAACTTCAGGGAGAGCTAAATCGGCTCAGCCAAATAAAGTATATAACCCTGAAATATATGCGCTATCTAATTTAATACAGCAGGCCTCAAATCACTTGGAACAGAATAAGTCTAAAAGCTACGCCTCAAAACTCAGGGACAGACAAGCTTCTAGAAAAAGTACTTCAAGAGATTATGACAGAGGAGGAAAAAGCCCCGAAAATTACTTAGAAACTCCTAAAAATTGAGTGCCACCTGAACCATTGCAGATGACTCCGAGTGTTGTAGAAAATGGGCATCCTGGTCATCTTCCATTGCAATGTAAACAAGACAGTGGGAGTGATAAAAGTATGCCAAAAATGATTTTTATGCCAATAGGCTTATAATAAAATCATTACGTTAAAATTTATCTGATAAAGTATATGAAAATGCAGGATAGAATAAGCACCGTAAACCCATCAGATATAAGCTATGAAAAACTTAGTGTTGATAAAGACAATCTTTTATCTATTGTAAGAGATACAGAACCGAAAGCAGAATTCAGAACCCCGAGCTATCATTATATATCGATCTCTTCAAAAAACTCAAGCCCTGAAAGAGGAGGATATATAGAAAATTCCTGGGGATAGCGCGGAATACGCTATCCCCAGGACCAACCGGGATCGGATCCCACATGGAACGAGGGTTCAATGTGTGGATCCATTTTTGACACGTGAAAGTAAATATCTCACATGTCAAAAATGGATCCACACATGGAACCCCCGTTCCATGTGTGGATCCGATCCCGGTTGGTCCTGGGGATAGCGTATTCCGCGCTATCCCCAGGAATTTAGTATATTTCATTTAAGCCAAAAGATGTACAATACTTAGTTAATTTAGAAAACACAATATTAAAAATGTCAGTTAGGGATAGGTCCTAGCTCCTGATACAAACAGTATGGACCTATAAACCGAGCTTAGTGAGAGAAGTCAATCTTCTTCAGAGTCTCGGCTTGAAGAAAAGGGTTGGTGCTGAGGCTGGCAATGACTAGAGAAGTCTTAACGGGCTTATTAACTTTAACGGTTTGATGGTTAGGCTGGTTCACCTACTGTTGTTCAGAACTGCTAATTTAGCTGAACCTCAAGTTAAGGGGACTTTATAGGCATCAAAATGCTAGAGTAATTCAATAAACTTAAAATTTAGAAAAAAAGTTAACCGAGCAGAGGATTAAATACAAAAAACTTGAACAGAAATATAAAGAGCTATTAGCGAAAAATTCAAGATCAGAAGAATTTTATGAAAATGCAATACAAAAGCTCTCATATGAGTTGAATCAGCTTAAAGGAAAAACTGAAAAAGAGAGTAGAGAATCACCTACTCAAAAAGTTGAGGAAAATCCTATTTTTAAAATTTTATCAGAAATAGAGAGTATTAAAATAAGGCTTACAAAAATTGAAAATGGTCAAAGAGGAAATAAAGGAAGTTTGTTGTAATTTTTTAATTAATTAATATAAAATTAATTTTCATTAATTGCCTCCTGCTTATCATTAGATGCACATTTTATTAATAGTATTCAGGTAAGAAGTTAATTAATCTTCCATAAATCCATGATTGGAATTCATTCACTGGAAAATCTACCTTATTTCTTTGATATATAGATTAAATATTCAACCAAGACCCTTACTCTAGAACTTATCTAAGTAATAATCGGTCCAAAAATATCAATATTTATAATGAGATAGTTAAATTAGAAATATATGAGATGGAAGTGAAGAATTATTCAAATCAGGTATTTATATTCATTATACAGAAGCAGCATCTGAATCTTCGTTTATGATGTCACAAAAAGAGAAACTTTTGAGAATTTAAATTTTTGGATAAATAAAAATCGGGAAAATGGGCTTGATAATTATTTATCAATTGTCGTAGGAAATAAAGCTGATTTAGAAAGAGATAGAACAGTTTTATTTGAAGACGGCCAAAATTTTTCAAATGATAATAAGATGATGTATTTAGAAACCTCAGCCAAAACACCATTTATATAGACAATTTATTTCATTTTATTATTGCTCTATATTAGGAGGAATCATAAACAGAGAGATGGAATTAAAAAAATGAGTATTGAGGCATCAAAGTAAATAATAAAAATGATATAGTTTATACTATTAGCCTGCTATTTTTCAAATAGCTCTTGAGGAGCAATTTTAAATCGGGAATTCCTGAAATTAAACGCGAACTTAAACAAAGTACTTGTATCTTTCCCTTTCTTCCTAAACAGCATGCTTGGATATTTTTTCTTTTGGACATATAAGCCAACCAAAGTTATTATAAGCCACCCAATAATTAGTAAACTTGTCCATAAAGGACTACTACTCTTATCAAGGCATATATTAATTGTTGTGATAATTGATGACCATGATACAGCAATCAGAGTTAGAAAATGCCACCAAGTAAACCTAGGATAGTTATATGGTTGATTTTTAAACCCGAAAGTCCCAAAAATAATAACGATCAGAGTAAATAAAGCTCCATGTGCTATATCCTGGGTTCTTTTTACAGTTTTGTTTAAGACAATAAGGGAAACTTGAAATATAGTTTTTACCATTAAATGCGAAGGGGTGTATTTGACATGAACCAAATTATCTAATTCTTGCCATAGAGGTCTACAGAGTACAGCTAATGGCTCATAAACTACAAGGCAAACTGCAGAAATTGCAACATAAATAATATGGTCGCCTTTCCAGCAAAATTGATAGCAGTCTTTAATCATAAAACTGTCAGTAAAATTTTCTCCAATTGATTCATCACATATAAAAACCTCTAAAAGCAGCGACACTATAGGTATAAACATAAGATTCCCAATAATTGGCATCAACAAATAAGCAGACTTATTTAGCAGCCTAAGCAAGCCAATTGTTGGGAATCTTTCATCAAGTCGAAGCAATACAGTTACTGACAAAACAACCCATATAAAAACTAGTCCAAAAATAAAATCAAGGAAAAACCAAAAAACACCATTTTTAGTACTGATGAGATTGCTTAAGTCGAAAGAAAGCATGCTTCCTAGATCTCCAATCAAAGAACTAATAGGAGTAAGGTCAGGTCCCATCGATAAAATTTGGAGAAATTCTATTATCACTGTAGCTCCCATTATAAAGTCTTCAATCGATATTTCCTGCTTTTTAGTCAGTTGATCCACTTTTATATTCCACCATTTTTTTCAGATATAAAATGTTATAGCTGCTGTGCATATACCGACTGCAATAGAAATGCCGAAAATTAAGTATCTACCTTTGGTAAATGTTCTGACTTTATCATCTGGGAAAGGGCAATTTCCGTTTATAACTCTTAGCAAACTAACAGTTGTACTATTGCCTGGATAAACAATTGGCTTTAGTATTTGAAGGAGCGTTGCTGCTGCTGGTTTTATATAAGCGCTATCACTTATTGTAATATTTCCTGTATTTTTATTTAAAACAGCATTTTGCAATATAATGAGATCGACATACCTATTATTCGTCCCATCCTCAATTTGCACTTTTCCTGAGCATCCTCTAAAGCTCTGCTTTCTTATCGCTGCCATTAATCGGATCGCGTTCGTATAATCTTGCCCTCTATTTATCATGAAATCAATTGCTGAAGCTCCTAATAATAAAGAATCATAATACAAACAAGGCTGAACCAAATTGTCACTTTTTTTTATATTATACCTTGATTGGAGCAAATCAGCCACATTTTCTCCAGTTTCTCCCGTATACCCTGGCTGTTCAAATGCAATTGAAGGTGTCCCAACTTCTTTTGATTCTTCAAGATAAAGTACAGAAGATGTGAACATAGAAGAAATCGTCCCAGGGATTGCATAATAAATAAAAAGGTCACCATTTCTCATGCCTAAAGAATGGAAAACTTTTATGCCATCTGGAGCTGAGTTAATAGGGACAGCATACACTATAAGTCTGGCATTACAATTTATGACTTCTTTAAAAATATGTGAATAATTTGCTTTTAGTGTTGCATAATAAGTAGACGCTGGAAAAGACCGCGACGTGGGGTCATTAAGAATTTTTATATTATATTTTTCCGCTTCAGCTATAAAAGTAGTAGCGAATTCTTTAGAAAATGAACCTTCTTGGTATATGAGAGCGCAGCTTCTTCACCCAAGTGTATAAAGGATTTTTACAGCCATAGAAGCGAAATAAACACCATTATAACTGACTCTTGCAAATAAGGGGTAGTTTGAAATTGAAGAAAATGCATCAGGACCTATCCTTGAACCTATTTGTGGGACTTTGACGTTTAATCTATTAAATGTTGCGAAAATTCCTTTGAAGACAATTGCACTGCTTGGGGGATAATAAATAAGACCAATTTTATTTATATTTTGCTTGAAACAGCTTAATTGGAATGTTGCATTCACTGCCATGCTGCCGCAATCAAAACTGTTTCCTTGAATTGCGAAATTTTTAAGAATCCCTAATTTATTTAAATTATATTAAAATTAGCACGTGCCAACCTGACATTATATATAAAGCGAAGGGGACCAATTCTGAGTCAAGGAGCAAGCTCAGTCTCAGCAGATGCTTATTTGGCTGGCTTTGTGCTCTCTACAAATTGAAATGAAGGTGCCTTGCAATATGATTAGACACTTACTTTCTCTAACAAAAAACTAGGTTTTAAAAGGCCTTTAGGGAGCAGTCTTTTCCCGCAGCCGTCGAATAAAGGCAACTCGGTATCCGATAGGATTAAAGAATCTAATCCTTGATATCAGGTAATCTAATTGACCGCCCCTGGGGGAGATGGACTATGCCGCTATAGCTAGGCATACTGAGCTCGTTGCCATAAGGCGAATGAATCTAACGGATGACTGTGCCAAATACGTAGCTTATATCTGTCTTTTAGTAAACCCCTACCCTAATTTCTCTTCATTTATTAGAGAAATAGCTAAATTGCTGCCAGCGAATTCAATTTTATTAAAAGGGTAGCTTTGAATTCCATCAGGGTTATGGATTCCGCTGTTCAAGCCTATATCTAATACTTTTTTTTCTGATGTGGGTATTAATTGCAAATTACCGATAAAAGTAATATTTTTAAAGTTTTGGTCAAATGCATCCCCAATAAATACTCGGCGTCCATGCTTTACGTTGAGTAAGCTAAATGAATTTTCACAAAAATGATTAGTGCACGAAGTTTCAGCCGCCTGCCTTAATTCATATTGATCATTAAAGTTAGTTGAAATTCCTTGTATTGCAAATAATATTTGATTTGCAACATAATCTTCTTTTGACTCAGAAAATATTTGATGTTTAGGAGCAATGATTAATGACCCTTCTAGAGTTAAGTTATAGCTACTTTCATGACTCATTAGAACCGAAGCCCTTGAACCCAATAGTTTTGCATTTTTTAAATTTTCTACTATTTTCCATGACGTGCTGGCATCTGTAAATAAATAGTATAAATTTGTCCCTAATTTGAAAACTTCTTTATTAATTATTTCTTCAATGTCAGAGCTACTTTCTATGATGAAATAGTTGAAAGAATTCTCTAAGAAATTATCAATCATACTCTTTAGAAATCAATTTTCTTTACTAACTCCCCCCGTGAGGAAACAAAAAAAAAATTTTTGTTCACTACAAATTAAATTAATATTTGCATCAAATTTTCATAGAAGTGAGATTTTTTTAAATTTCGAAAAAAAAGTTTATAAAAATTTTATATATAAATTTTTTTAGAAACAAAAAATTAACTCCCCTCCGTGATTTGTTTAAAATTATATATCAAAATTTTTTTCCATAACAAAAATTTTTCTATTAAAAAATTTTTGTCCACTCACGGAGGGTATAGAAATTGTCCGAGGATGGCGCAAAATAGCGCCATCCTCGGGCAAATTTAACTATTTTTTTTTATTGGTTTTGTATATTCACGGAGGCGAAGGAGTAAGCACTTGAATTCTTTTTACAATTGGAAAGTATAATATAATTTTTAATTATAATGATAAATTCAAATAAATTAAGTTTTGATTAAAGTGAGTAATTAAAATATTTTATATCTTAAGGCGAGTCAGATAAAAAGAAAACTCCAGATTCTCATTCGAGATTTTTAAGAATATTTACAACCGCATTTGAGTAATTGGACTTTTCGTAGCTTAATGAATATGTTCATTTATAGTAGCCCTTGCTATAGTCATCAATAATAAAGTATACAAATTTTAAATCTTCAGCCTGTTGAGATATATTATTTATAAACTTTGATTATATAAGGAATAAGAGCAATTACTTTTTCCTATAAAAAAAAAAGATTAAGTATGTGTGCCCTTAAAATATATTATTTTAGCTCAAGAATAATAAAAAGTGAGTATTACTATTCGATGTAAGATCAATTACTATTCCTTCTTCATTCCTTTTTTGAATTATCTGATCTAAAAATGTTTCTTCTATCCATATTACTTTTATTTTAATGGAAGATTCGGAAAGTAATGTTTCCTATTCTTCTTCCTTTTGTGAAGAAAACGGAGCTTTACAGGATGAATTTTTCAACTTTTACTATTAAGTGAACTTATTGATACAGGATTACTTGATAATTCTGAATCAGAATATGAATGAAATGATAGTGATACAGAAAATGTTGATACAGATGACAAAATATTGGAGCTTTTAAGTCGTTTAGATGGAAAAATACTAGATGAAATAGATCCTATTCAGGAAACCTTCAAATATAGGAAGACTGAGGTGATCATTGATGATAAGAAGACAATCGATAAGAAAATCCTGAACACCAGAAAAATAAAAATTAAATCAGATTCAAATTTTATCAGAAAAATAAAATTGATATCAGAATCAAACATTATCAGGAAAATAAAATTTAGATCAGATTCAAATTTCATCAGAAATAGAAAAATTCATATCAGACTCAGAAATCGAAAAAATCGCGGATTACGTGGGTTCAGAAAATTTTACTAAAATTTTATCCAAAGATTTTAGGAAAAGAAGAAAGTTAAAAAATTTTTAATCGGGACATGGCCCTGAAATAAAGGCCTTTAAGTAATAAAGATTTCTCTCTCTCTATCCATATTACTGAAATACTGCTATCTGAGTAAAGCTTTGAAATAAGGTTGCTCTGAAGCGTTTTTTATCTTTAAACACAATATTAGAATGGCAGTTAATGGTAGGGTCCTAGTTCTTTTCATTAGGCCAGCCCTACAATCCGAGCTTTGTGAGAGAAGTCCAGGCTTCTTGATAGTCTCGGCTTGAAGAGAAGAAGTATGCGCAGAGGCTGGCACGGACTAGATGAGTCTGAAAGGGTTTGATAACTTTAAAACGGTTCAACGGTTAGGCCGGCCCGCCTACCGTTGTTCAGAGTTGTTATCGTAGCTGGATCTCAAGTAAAAGAAGACTTAAGGCACTTTATTGCTAAAGAAATTCTATAAAAATAAATATCTTTAAGCTTTTGTCGGCACTATATATGATCAAAATATCAAGGGAGTATGATATTGTAAGTGACACTGTTAGAATAAAAAAAAACATTAAGAGTCCTGAGTGTTTAATTATTTTATTATACTCAATATCAAATAGTGATATATGCAATAGCAATCAGTTTGTTAAAGTTTAATAATTAAGTATGAACTATTGAAAAAAATCTCATGTAAATAATAGTCAAAATATCTATTCATTGTATTATTTAAGTGAGATAGAAATATTAAAAGATGTTATGAAGTAAGCCATGACTTTAAGATCTGAAATTATGAATAATTAATGTTTTAATTTGTATGTCTAAAGAAATAATTTTTCAAAATATTAAAGGAAAATTCCGTTTCATTTTATTAAAGCAGCGATTAAGATTTCTATTAAAAAAGTAAAATCTTAATTTAAAGTGAATGCTCTAAAATCTTTATAATTTTTTTTTATTATAACTTCAATGAAATATGGAAATAATAGATTGCCAATACAATTTAATTATCAATAATTACTATCATATATAAAAGATATTTAAAATTAGCGTTAAAAAACAATTTGTAACTCTAAAATTAGAAAATTAATTTAGCAGCGCATAAAATAATATGCCAAATATCAAATATATAAAATTAACATTCATGTAAAATTAATTGCTAAAAAAATTATTAACTTTACCTATTAATCTCTTATTTTTCAAATTCTTTAATGGGAATAACTTTAGTTCGAGTTTGGCTAAATGTAAACGCAAACTTAAACAAAGTGCTTGTATCTTTTATATTCTTTCTATACAGCATGCTTGGATATTTTTTCTTTTGGACATATAAGCCAACCATAGCTATTATAGCCCACCCGATAGCAAGTAAGATTACCCATAAAGGATTAGTAGTCTTGCCAAGTCCTATATTAATTGTTGTGATAAGTGATGACCATGATACAGCAACCATAGTTAGAAAATGCCACCAAGTAAACCTAGGATAGTTATATGATTGATTTTTAAATCCGAAAATCCCAAAAATAATAACAATTAGGGTAAACAAAGCTCCATGCGTTATATCTTGGGCTCGTTTTACAGTTTTGTTTAAGATAATAAGGGAAACTTGAAAAACAGTTTTTACCATTAAATGCAAAGGTGTGTATTTAACATGCACAAAATGATCTAATTCTTGTCATAGTGGCCTACAAAATACAGCTAATGGCTCATAAACTACAAGGCAAACTGCAGAGATTGCAGCATATATAATATGCTCGCCTTTCCAACAAAATTGATAGCAGTCTTTAATCATAAAGCTGTCAGTAAAATCTTCTCCAATTGATTCATCACATATAAAAACATCTAAAAGCAGCGACACTATAGGTATAAACATAAGATTCCCAATAATTGGCATCAACAAATAAGCAGACTTATTTAAAAGCCTAAACAAGCCAACTGCTGGGAATCTTTCGTCAATTCGGAGTAATACAGATACTGACAAAACAGCCCATACACAAACAAGCGCATAAATAGCATCCAAGAAAAACCAAAAAACTCCATTTTTAGTGCTGATGAAATCATTTAAGTCTAAAGAAACCATATTTCCTAGATCTCCAATCAAAGAACTAATAGGAGCAAGGTCAGGTCCCATTGCTAAAACCTGGAATAGCTCTATTATCACTGTAGCTCCAATCATAATATCTTCAATAGACATTTCCTGTTTCTCAGTCAACTTATCCACCTTTATATTCCATCATTTGTGTCAAATATAAAGCGTTGTAGCAGCCGTGCTTATTCCGACAGCAATAGAAATTCCAAAAACTAAGTATCGCCCTTTGGTAAAAGTTCTAACTTTATTATCTGGAAAAGGGCACTTTCCATTTATAACTCTGAATAAACTAACAGTTGTGGTATTGCCTGGATAAACAATTGGCTTTAGTATTTGGAGTAGTGTCGTTCCTAATGGTTTTATATAAGCACTATCACTTATTGTAACATTTCCAGTATTTTTATTTAAAACAGCGTTTTGCAATATAACGAGGTCAACAACCCTATTATTCGTCCCATCCTCAATTTGTATTTTCCCTGAGCATCCTCTGAAGGTTTGCTTTCTTATTGCTTTCATTAATCGAGTCGCGTTCGTATAATCTTGTCCTCTATTTATCATAAAATCTACTGCCAAAGCTCCTAATACTAAAGAATCATAATAAGCACAAGGCTGAATCAAGTTGTCACTTTTTTTAATATTATACCTTGATTGAAGCAAATTAGCCACCATGTCTCCAACTTCTCCTGTATACCCTGGTGGTTCAAATGCGATTGAAGGGGTAGCAATTTCTTTGGATTCTGCAAGATACTTACTCCCCCCCCGTGAGTGAGCAAAACCATTAGAAAATCGCTATGTTTTGCCCAAAAACCACCCTCCGTGAGTGAACAAAAATTTTTTTAATAGAAAAAAATTTTATGGAAAAAAATTTTGATATAAAAATGATAATTAGTATAATGAAATGTAGAGCTATAGATAATTCCTGGGGATAGCGCGGAATACGCTATCCCCAGGACCAACGGGATCGGATTCACACATGGAACGGGAGTTCCATGTGTGGATCCATTTTTTACATGTGAGATATTTACTTTCACGTGTGAAAAATGGATCCACACATGGAACCCTCGTTCCATGTGGGATCCGATCCCGGTTGGTCCTGGGGATAGCGTATTACGCGCTATCCCCAGGAATTTTCTATAATTCTGATTAATTTTAAACGAATTGCTTTTTAAAACATAATTTTATAAATTAAATAAATATTTGCTTTCCAATTTTTGCGAATTAGATTTTTTTAAATTTCGAAAACAATATTTTTTATAAAATTTATATAGAAATTGTTTTTAAAAAAAAAAATTAACCCCCCTCCGTGAGTGAACAAAATGTTTTTGTTCACTCACGGAGGGGGGGAGTTAGCAGAAGATGTGAAAACAGAAGAAATAGTGCCTGGATTCGCAAAACAAAACAAGAGATCACCATTTGTGATGCCTAAAGAATGGAAAACTTTTATACTGTCTGAAGCTGCATTAATAGAGACCACATACACTATAAGTCTGGCGTTAGAATTTATAGCTTCTTTAAAAACATGTGAATAGTTTGCTTTTAGTCCTTCATAATAAGTAGCTTGTGGAAAAGATCGTGACGCAGGATCATTAAGAATATTTATATTATATTTTTCTGCATATGCTACAAAAGCATTAGCGAATTCAACAAAATAAGCACCTTCTTGGTATATGAGAGCGCAGCTTCTTCATCCAAGTGTGTAAAGGATTTGTACAACCAGAGAGGCCAAATAAACACCGTTATAACTGACTCTGGCAAATAATGGATATTTAGAAATTGAAGAAAATGAGTCAAAGCCTATCCTAGAGGCTATTTGTGGAACCCTGACGTTTAATTTATCGAATGTTGTGAAAATTCCTTGTAGAACTGGTGTACCACTGGGAGGGATAAAAATAAGGCCAATATTACTTATATTTTGCTTGAAACAATTTAGTTGGAAGGTTGGGTTTACAAATGTGCTGCCACAATCAAAGCTATTTCCTTGAATTGCAAAATTGTCCAGAATCCCTAATTCGCCTTCATTTATTAGAGAGATTGCTAAATTGCTACCTGCGAATTCAATTGTGTTAAAAGGGTAGCTTTGAACTCCATTAGGATTATGAATTCCGCTATTTAAGCCTATTTCTAATACTTTTTTTTTTGATATAGGTATTGCTTGCGAATTACCGATAAAAGTAACATTATCAAAGCTTGAGTCAAATGCCTCACCAATAACAACTCGGTCTCCATTTTTGACATTGAGCACGCTGAATGAATTTTCACAAAAATGATTAGTGCACAAATTTTCAGCCACTTGCCTTAATTCATATTGATTATTAAAATCAGTTGAAATTTCTTGTATAGCGAATAATATTTGATTTGCGACATAATCTTCTTTTGACTTAGAAAATATTTGATTTTTAGGAGCAATAATTAATGAGCCTTCGAGTGTTAAATTATAGCTACTTTCATGACTCATTAAAACCGAAGTCCCTGAACCCAATAGTTTTGCATTTTTTAAATTTTCTACTATTTTTCATGACGTATTCGCGTCGGTGAATATATAATATAAATTTGTTCCAAGATTGAAAACCTCTTTATTAACTATTTCTTCAGTATTCGAACTGCTTTGTATTATAAGATAGCTAAAAGAATTTTTTTATATTAATATGGCGGAGGCCTCACCGACTTCTTAACACAATTTCCTCATACCTATCCTGCATGAGAATAGAAGAGTAGATTTGGCCATTGCTCCCAAGATAAAGTCCATCCATAAACGAATTAGAGACTCTGAAGACAGCAAGTGTCTAGTGCAGCACTCTGAGTTGCGCCATGGATCCCACCCTTAGAGGCCAGAAGAATTAAAACCAAGTTAGGCTGGTGGAGCCTGAAGCGAAGTAGCGGTGTCAGTTGGTATAGCTTGTAGAGGTGGAAATTCTTAGCCTACTTTAGCAAGGTACTTAATTTAATTTGAAAAGAATTTTTTAATAGGTCATCAATTATGTTCTTTAGAAATCAATTTTCTTCACTAAGCACTTGAATTATTTTAAATTGGATGTATGCAGTTTATTATTTATCAGAAATTATTTTATATTATAAAAAATTGTATATAACTCACCATTTTATTTGTGCTTTTTGAGTGAAGAAAATGTGTTTTAACTTAAGTATAATAAGTGCGATTTATTATTTTAATTATAAGATTAGATTGAAAGCAATTTATAATCCTGAAAATTAATTAAAAAGCCATATAATTGATTATAAACTCGTTTATTTATAAATAATGAAAAATTATAATTTAATCTTAAGGAGAGTCAGATAAAAAGAAAACACCAGATGCTCAATCAAAATTTTTTAGGACATTTACAATTGCTTTTGAATAGTTCACCTTTTCGAAAAATAGGGAATATGTCCATTTATGGTAGCTCTCATTATAGTCATCAATAATAAAGTGCACAAAATCTAAATCTTCAGCCTTCTGAGATATAATAATGTAAAATGCTGAATATATAAAGACTGATAATAATCAGCTATTTCCTATAAAAAATAAGATTAGGTTTGTATGTTCCCAAATAATATTATTTCCGCTTAAGAATAATAAAAAATGAGTATTTAAATTTGATGAAAGATCAATTACTAATCATTTTTCATTAATTTTTTGAATTCACTGATCTGAAAATTTTTCATCAATTCAAGTAACAGAAATACTGTTTTCTGAGGAAAGCTTGGAACTGAGGATGTTTTGAAGGGAATTTATTTGCAAGTTTTTGTCAGTGCTGTATATGATCAAGCTATCAAGTGAATATGATAATGCAATTCACACGGCCGCAAAGTAAAAAAAAAACATAATAAAAGCTTTTATTTATATTAATAGTTTTAGAATTAAGTTTTTAATTATTTATTAACTATTAAAAAACTTGGTATTTGAATAATAGTCAAAATATCAAGCCAAAAGTCATTTATTTCTGTTTTATCTAAATAATTTTGTCTGATAAGAAATATTAAAAGATATTAGCAAAAGAAACTAGAGGAGTTTTATTATCTTAAAGTCCATAAGTTATTTTAGGTTGGTAAATAAATAGCTTTCTTAAAAAATTCTTTCATTTTTATATGAAAGCAAATTCAAATTTTTAATTAATAGAGTTTCTATCGAAAAAACAGCAGAATCTGATATCAAGTGAAATGGTCTCCTATCTTTGGAAAAAGGTTTTATTATAAAATTTATCCAAAGAAAAAAGAATAACCGATATAATTTAGCAATAAATAATTATTTTCAGAAGAAAAAGTTATCTACAATATAAGACTTAAAATAGAAAATAAGTTAGGATTGTTTAATACAATATTCCATGAATATTATCCCTTTTTTGATCGCCCTGCATTTTACCTTAAAATGCAGAATAACGATCTCTCTGATCAAAATATCAGCAATGATGCTATTTTTTTGAAAACTTCATTATCGAGCTACTTCAGAAAATAGTAATACAAATAATAAGAATTTTCAAAATAATGATTTTTTTCCATTTCCAGTTTTGCATGCTACATAATAGGCTGGCTCAAAATGTATTACTCAGAAAGCTAAAGATTTTTTGATATATAATAAAATCAAGTAATTTTCAAGATTATAAAAGGGGAAGATGCATCATAATATAGTTTTTAATTAAATAATTAATTAACCTACTAGGCCTATTATTTGTTAATAGTGTCCAAAAAAAAACAATATTCGCAGGTATAATAAGTTTATTTTAATTTATCAATTGCAATAATAAACTTATTTTTATAAAGCTTACACTGGTAAAAACGAAAAATCAGGAAATGCGACAAATCCAAGGAAAAATGGCCTATGGTTTGCCCAATAAAAAGAAAAGTTAAATTAAGCGATCTAAGGTTAAGACTGAGCATTTTAAAGCATAGAACTTCTAAATTAATTAAGGATAATTCGGATATTTTTTAAAAAAATTTTCGATATAATTTATACATAAATCTTTAAAAAAACCTCCATGAGCTAAAAATTTTTGTTCGGTAAGAAGGGTAATAGTTTTTATGACTAAAACTGTCTTTTTATAGTATATTAAATTCTGTTTTTCGATTGTCTTAAAGTTTTTCTTAAATAAATATTTTATTTAATAAAAAATTTTAACTTAGTCTATTTTTCGGACAGCGTTTGAGGAGTTATTTTAGGTCGGGTTTTGCTAAAAGTAAACGCAAATTTAAATAAAGTGCTTGTATCCTTTCCTTTCTTCCGAAGCAGCATGCTTGGATATTTTTTCTTTTGGACATATAAGCCAACCATAGCTATTATAACCCACCCGATAGTCAGTAAGATTACCCATAAAGGATTAGTAGTTTTGCCAAGCCCTATATTAATTGTTGTGATAAATGATGACCATGATACAGCAACCAGAGTCAAGAAATACCACCAAGTAAACCTAGGATAGTTATATGATTGATTTTTAAACCCAAAAATCCCAAAAATAATCACTATCAGGGTAAACAAAGCTCCATGCGTTAAGTATTGCGCTCTTTTTACAGTTTTGTTTAAGACAATCAGGGAAGCTTGAAAAACAGTTTTGCCATTAGATGCCAAGGGGTGTATTTAACATGCACCAAATTATCTAATTCTTGTCATAGCGGTCTACAGAAAACAGCTAATGGCTCATAAACTGCAAGGCAAATTGCAGAAATTGTAGCATAGATTATATGTTCGCCTTTCCAGGCTCATTCCCTCAGACTATATAGTCAAAATTTTTGTGCCAGACATTATTTACACCCTTATAGCGTAGAAGAATCTTTCACACCCTTAAAGGAGTTAAAATAATTTGCATTAGAATTATACTTATCGTGAATATTTTTTTAGATAGTCATCTAATAGGATGAAAAAAGCATCCTGTTATTAAAATTTATCTTATTTAGGATATGAAAATGAGACAATGAAAATTATTTAAATTTAAAATGCTGCAATTAGACGTTGTTTTAAGAGGAATATATAAAAAAAAATATACTTGAAAAAATTAATTTGATTCACAATTTGATCTTAAAATAGTAAATATCTTAAATTTATCAAATAACTAAATATCTCGCTATAAGAGCTATTCGAGAATTACACTAAATTACTTAGGCCTTCTAGCATATTTAACCAATAATTTCTTAAGAGTTATTGATATATAAAAATTTTACTCACTCTTAAAAGTATTAAGTTTTGAAATATAGGCATTTTATCAGTGCTTTTACTAGTTATTAAAGAGAGTCTGGATAAAATTCTTATCATACAATAAATATCTCAAGCAAAAACCGTCAAAAAAAATCAAATAAATGTCTGCCAGAGGTAAATCTCCCGAAATCTACACCTTTCCAGCAAAACTGATAGCTGTCTTTAATCATAAAACTATCAGTGAAATTTTCTCCAATTGATTCATCACATATAAAAACATCTAAAAGTAGAGAAACTATTGGTATAAACATAAGATTCCCAAGAATTGGCATCAAAAAATCAGCAGACTTATTCAACAGCCTAAACAAGCCAATAGAAGGTAATCTTTCGTCAAGTCGAAATAATACAGTTACTGACAAAACAGCCCATATAAAAGCAACACCAAAAATAAAATCAAGGAAAAACCAAAAGACACCATTTTTAGTACTGATGAAATCATTTATGTCCAGAGAAAGCATATTTCCTAGGTCTCCAGTTAAAGCGCTAATAGAAGCGAGATTAGGTCCTTGATAACAACTGGAAAAACTCTATTATCACTGTAGCCCCCATCATAAAATCTTCAATAGACATTTCCGGCTTTGTAGTCAGTTGCTCCACTTTTATATTCCATCATTTTTCTCATATATAAAACGTTATATACTCTTTTGCATTTTTTGGGGGAAAAGGGAGCCATACGTGAATTTGGCGTTTGGATTAAATTTAATATATGGGCTCTAAAAATAGAGAAATAATTTAACAGTGCATAAAATAATATTCCAAATATTAAATATATTAAAATTTTGCAAAATTAATTGCTAAAAAAATAATTAACTTGAACTATTAATCTCCTATTTTTCAAATTCTTTAAGGGGAATAATTTTAGTTCGAGTTTGGCTAAATGTAAACGCAAACTTAAACAAAGTACTTGTATCTTTTATATTCTTTCTATACAGCATGCTTGGATATTTTTTCTTTTGGACATATAAGCCAACCATAGCTATTATAACCCACCCGATAGCCAGTAAGATTACCCATAAAGGACTAGTAGTTTTGCCAAGCCCTATATTAATTGTTGTGATAAATGATGACCATGATACAGCAACCATAGTTAGAAAATGCCACCAAGTAAACCTAGGATAGTTATATGATTGATTTTTAAATCCGAAAATCCCAAAAATAATCACTATCAGGGTAAACAAAGCTCCATGCGTTATATCTTGGGCTCGTTTTACAGTTTTGTTTAAGATAATAAGGGAAACTTGAAAAACAGTTTTTACCATTAAATGCAAAGGTGTGTATTTAACATGCACAAAATGATCTAATTCTTGTCATAGCGGCCTACAAAATACAGCTAATGGCTCATAAACTACAAGGCAAACTGCAGAAATTGCAGCATATATAATATGCTCGCCTTTCCAACAAAATTGATAGCAGTCTTTAATCATAAAGCTGTCAGTAAAATCTTCTCCAATTGATTCATCACATATAAAAACATCTAAAAGCAGCGACACTATAGGTATAAACATAAGATTCCCAATAATTGGCATCAACAAATAAGCAGACTTATTTAAAAGCCTAAACAAGCCAACTGCTGGGAATCTTTCGTCAATTCGGAGTAATACAGATACTGACAAAACAGCCCATACACAAACAAGCGCATAAATAGCATCCAAAAAAAACCAAAAAACTCCATTTTTAGTGCTGATGAAATCATTTAAGTCTAAAGAAACCATGTTTCCTAGATCTCCAATCAAAGAACTAATAGGAGCAAGGTCAGGTCCCATTGCTAAAACCTGGAATAGCTCTATTATCACTGTAGCTCCAATCATAATATCTTCAATAGACATTTCCTGTTTCTCAGTCAGCTGATCTACCTTTATATTCCATCATTTGTGTCAAATATAAAGCGTTGTAGCTGCCGTGCTTATTCCGATAGCAATAGAAATTCCAAAAACTAAGTATCGCCCTTTGGTAAAAGTTCTAACTTTATTATCTGGAAAAGGGCACTCTCCATTTATAACTCTAAACAAACTAACAGTTGTGGTATTGCCTGGATATACAATTGGCTTTAGTATTTGAAGCAGTGTCGTTCCTAATGGTTTTATATATCCTCATTATAACAAATAAGTATATTTTAGGCTTATATCAAATATTAAAGCATTCATTATATCAGCTATAAGCACTATCACTTATTGTGACATTTCCTGTATTTTTATTTAGAATAGCATTTTGCAATACAATGAGGTCAACAATTCTATTATTCGTCCCATCCTCAGTTTGTACTTTTCCAGCACATCCTCAGAAGGTTTGCTTTCTTATAGCTTTCATTAATCGAGTCGCATTCGTATAATCTTGCCCTCTATTTATCATGAAATCAATTGCTAAAGCTCCTAATACTAAAGCATCATAATATGCACAAGGCTGAATCAAATTGTCACTTTTTTTAATATTATACCTTGATTGAAGCAAATTAGCCACCATTTCTCCAACTTCTCCTGTATATGCTGGTGGCTCAAATGCGATTGAAGGTGTTGCAATTTCTTTGGATTCTGCAAGATACTTAGCAGAAGATGTGAAAACAGAAGAAATAGTGCCTGGGTTTGCAAAACAAAATAATAGATCACCATTTCTCATGCCTAAAGAATGAAAAACTTTTATACTGTCTGAGGCTGCATTAATAGAGACTATATAAACTATAAGTTTGGCGTTACAATTTATAGCTTCTTTAAAAACATGTGAATAGTTTGCTTTTAGTCCGTCATAATAAATAGCTTGTGGAAAGGATCGTAACGCAGGGTCATTAAGAATATTTATTTTATATTTTTCTGCCTCAGCCATAAAAGCATTAGCGAATTCGACAAAAAAAGCGCCCTCTTGGTATATGAGAGCGCAGCTTCTTCATCCAAGCGTGTAAAGGATTTTTACAGCCATAGAAGCTAAATAAACAGCATTATAACTGACTCTTACAAATAATGGGTATTTAGAAATTGAAGAAAATTCGTCAAAACCTATCCTAGCGGCTATTTGTGGAACTTTGACGTTTAATATATTGAATGTCGTGAAAATTCCTTGTAGGACTGCTGTGATGCTGTTGGGTAAATAAATAAGACCAATTTTACTTATATTTTGCTTGAAACAATTCAATTGGAATGTTGCATTCAGTATTGTGCTGCCACAATCAAAACTGTTTCCTTGAATTGCAAAATTTTTAAGAATCCCTAGTTCTCCTTCATTTATTAGAGAGATAGCTAAATTGCTACCTGCGAATTCAATTGTGTTAAAAGGGTAGCTTTGAACTCCATTAGGATTATGAATCCCGCTGTTTAAGCCTATTTCTAATACTTTTTTTTCTGATATAGGTATTAATTGCGAATTCCCTATAAAAGTAACATTATCAAAGTTTGAGTCAAATGCCTCACCAATAACAACTCGGTCTCCATTTTTGACATTAAGCACGCTGAATGAATTTTCACAAAAATGATTAGTGCACAAAGTTTTAGCCACTTGCCTTAATTCATATTGATTATTAAAATCAGTTGAAATTTCTTGTATTACGAATAATATTTGACTTGCAACATAATCTTCTTTTGACTTAGAAAATATTTGATGTTTAGGAGCAATGATTAATGACCCTTCAAGTGTTAAATTATAGTTACTTTCATAACTCATTAAAACCGAAGTCCCTTGGCCCAATAGTTTTGCATTTTTTAAATTTTCTACTATTTTTCATGCGGTATTTGCTTCGGTAAATATATAATATAAATTTGTTCCAAGATTGAAAACTTCTCTATTAATTATTTCTTCAGCATTCGAGCTGCTTTGCACTATAAGATAGCTAAAAGAATTTTTTAACTGGTCATCAATCATGCTCTTTAAAAATCAATTTTCTTCAGATAAAAAGAAAACGCCAGATGTTCAGTAAAAATTTCTAAGGACATTGACAACTGCTTTTGAATAGTTCACCTTTTCGAAAAATAGGGAATATGTCCATTTATGGTAGCTCTCATTATAGTCATCAATAATAAAGTGCACAAAATCTAAATCTTCAGCCTTCTGAGATAATAAAAAATGAGTATTTAAATTTGATGAAAGATCAATTACTAATCATTTTTCATCAATTTTTTGAATTCACTGATCTAAAAATTTTTCATCAATTCAAGTAACAGAAAGTCTGTTTTCTGAGGAAATTTTGGAGCTGAGGATGCTTTGAAGGGAATTTATTTGTAAGTTTTTGTCAGTGCTGTATATAATCAAGATATCAAGTGAGTACGATAATGCAATTCACAAGGCTGCAAAGTAAAAAAAAACCATTATAAAACCTTCTAATTATTTTAATATTTTTAGAATTAAGTTTTTAATTATTTATTAACTATAAAATAAATTAGTATTTGAATAATATTCAAAATATCAAGCCAAAAGCCATCTATTTCTATTTTATCTAAATAATTTTGTCTGATAAAAAATATTAAAAGATATTAGCAAAAGAAACTCGAGGAGTTTTATTGGCTTAAAGTCCATAAGTTGCCTTAAGTTGGCAAATATATAGTAAATAGCTTTCTTAAAAGACAAAGGGAAATTCTTTCATTTTTATATTAGAACAAAATTCAAAAAGAAAATAAGTTAGGATTGCTTGATACAATATTCCATATCCCATGAATATTATCCTTTTTTTGATCGCCCTGCATTTTGCATTAAAAAACAGACTAACGATCTCTCTGATCAAAATATTTGCAATGATACTATTTTGTTGATAACTTCATTATTGGGCTATTTCAGAAAATATAAATAAAATTAATAAAATTTTCAGAATTTCAAAATAATGATTTTTTAAATTTCCAGTTTTGCATGTTGCATAATAGGCTGGCTCAAAAGTATTAATCGCAGAAAGCTATAAAATTGGGTGAATTTACAAGAGTATAGTCTTTAACTTAATAATTAATTAACCTACTAGGCCTATTATTTGCTAATAGTGTTCAAAAATAAAACAATATTTCGATTGAAACTTGCAGGTATATAAATTTATTTTAATTTATCTATTGAAATAATAAGCTTATCTTTATATAACTTAATAATTTTTATGACTAAAATCGACTTTTCCACAGTGTATTAAAATAAATTTTTATTTAATAAAAAAATTTTAACTTAGTCTATTTTCAGACAGCTTTTGAGGAGTGATTTTAGATCGGGTTTTGCTAAAAGTAAACGCAAATTTAAATAAAGTACTTGTATCCTTTCCTTTCTTCCTAAACAGCATACTTGGATATTTTTTCTTTTGGACATATAAGCCAACCATAGCTATTATAACCCACCCGATAGCCAGTAAGCATACCCATAAAGGATTAGTAGTCTTGCCAAGCCCTATATTAATTGTTGTGATAAATGATGACCATGATACAGCAATCAGAGTTAGAAAATGTCACCAGGTAAACCTAGGATAGTTAAATGATTGATTTTTAAACCCGAAGATCCCAAAAATAATAACAATCAGGGTAAACAAAGCTCCATGCGTTATATCTTGGGCTCTTTTTACAGTTTTGTTTAAGACAATAAGGGAAACTTGAAAAACAGTTTTTACCATTAAATGCAAAGGGGTGTACTTTACATGCACCAAATTATCTAATTCTTGCCATAGCGGTCTACAGAAAACAGCTAATGGCTCATAAACTACAAGGCAAACTGCAGAAATCGCTGCATATATAATATGCTCACCTTTCCAGGCTATATGGTCAAATTTTTTGTGTCAGATATTATTCACACCCTTTATAGCGAGAAAGAATTTTTCGCGCCCTTAAAGGAGCTAAAATACTTAGCATTAGAATTATACTTTGCAGTGAATATAAGAATTTAAACTGCTTTATTTTCCAGATAATTATCTAATATGATGAAAAAAGTATACTACTTATTAAAATTTATCTTATTTAGTTAGAATGCTTAAATAGTGAAATTTGACGTTTTTTCTAAGAGGAATATATAAAAAAATTAATTTGATTCACAAATTTCATCATAAAAAATGGTAACTATCTTAAATTTATCAAATAACTTGTATCTCGCTATAAGAGCTTTTAGAGAATTAGGCTAAATTACTTCGGCCTTCTAGGATGTTTAACCAATAATTTCTTAAGAGTTATTGATTATAACAATTTTACTCGCTCTTAAAAGCATTAATTTTCGAAATATAGGCATTTAATAGTGGTTTTACTCGTTATTAAAGAGAGTCTGGATAAAATCCTTGTCATGTAATAAATGTCTCAAGGAAATAACAGTCAAAAAATCAAAAGAATGCCTGCCAGAGGTAAATATTCTCAAACCTACACCTTTCCAGCAAAACTGATAGCAATCTTTAATCATAAAGCTATCAGTGAAATTTTCTCCAATTGATTCATCACATATAAAAACATCTAAAAGTAGAGAAACTATTGGTATAAACATAAGATTGTCAAGAATTGGCATCAAAAAATCAGCAGACTTATTCAGCAGCCTAAACAAGCCAATTGTAGGTAATCTTTCGTCAAGTCGAAACAATACAGTTACTGACAAAACAGCCCATATAAAAACGACACCAAAAATAAAACCAAGGAAAACTAATGTCGAAAAAGTTCGAAAATTGAATTTTCTGACAATGTTGGCCAAGGTGGAAACCAAAAGACGCCATTTTTAGTACTGATGAAATCGTTTATGTCTAAAGAAAGCATATTTCCTAGGTCGCCAATTAAAGCGCTAATAGAAGCGAGGTTAGGTCCCATTGATATCAACTGGAAAAACTCTATTATCACTGTAGCCCCCATCATAAAATCTTCAATAGACATTTCCTGCTTTGTAATCAGTTGCTCCACTTTTATATTCCATCATTTTTCTCAGATATAAAATGTTATATACTCTTTTGCATTTTTTTGGAAAAAGGGAGCCATGCGTGAATTTGGTGTTTGGTTAAATTTATTATGTGGGCTTAACAAGTATGCAGACTTTTAGGATCATTTAATCCACACCTGGGAGTCATATTCTGCGCATAGACCTTTTTTACAAAAATGCATTAGAGTATAATTGCCGTGCTTATGCCAACAGTAATAGAAATGCCGAAAATTAAGTATCTTCCTTTGGTAAAAGTTCTTACTTTATCATCTGGGAAAGGGCAATTTCCATTTACAATTCTTAATAAACTAACAGTTGTGGTGTTATCTGGATATACGAGAGGCTTTATTATTTGAAGAAGTGTCGTTCCTAATGGTTTTATATATTCTTATAATAATAAATGAGTATATTTTAAATTAAAAAATATCCAATTATTCATATAAAATTTTAAAGCATTCTTTATATTCGCTATAAGCGCTGTCAATTATTGTAACATTTCCTGTGTTTTTATTTAAAACAGCATTTTGCAAAATAATTAGGTCAACAACCCTATTATTCATCCCGTCTTCAATTTGCACTTTTCCTGAACATCCTCTGAAGCTTTGCTTTCTTATAGCTGTCATTAATTTAGTTGCGTTAGTATAATCTTGCCCTCTATTTATCATGAAATCAATTGCCAAAGCTCCTAATAATAAAGAATCGTAATACGCACAAGGCTGAACCAGATTGTCACTTTTGGCAATATTATACCTTTTTTCAAGTAAATCAGCCACCTTAAACTTAATTTACTTATAGAAAGTTCCCTGTATGTCCGTAGGCCACTACTCACCTCCGCACAATACTCCGCTGCTTACTTTTTAGTCCCCAATTGATCTTCCAATGTGTTGCTTCTCAGGAATGAGGCTTAGATCGCTAGGCAGCGTCAACGGGGTTTACCTTCAGAAGTTTCGAAAATAAATTTTCTGGTCGGATTGTCGATTAAGATCGAACCTAAGCACAGGACGCACGCCTAAGAATTCTATCTAATTTGCTTTCCCCACTCCAGCGAACTATCTCCCTCGGGGTAAAACGCATTTAAGCATAAATTCGGCTAATCTGACAATAGCTTCACCAATCAAAACATAGTCGGATACACATTTCAAAATGCTATTTTCCCTTTCACAATATTCCTGGCTTTCCTGATGAACCTACTGATGCGAAGAGGGCAGGCTAGCTCACCACCATTGTAATTTTTAGTAAATTGACCACCATTTCTCCAGTTTCTCCTGTATACCCTGGCTGTTCAAATGCAATTGAAGGTGTCCCAGCTTCTTTTGATTCATCAAGATAAAGTGCAGAAGATGTGAACATAGAAGAAATAGTCCCTGGGTTTGCATAGTAAATAAGCAGATCGCCATTTCTCATGCCTAAGTCATGAAAAACTTTTATGCCATCTGGAGCTGCATTAATAGGGACTGCATACACTATAAGTCTGGCGTTACAATTTATGGCTTCTTGAAAAATATGTGAGTAGTTTGCTTTTAGAGTGGCGTAATAAGTAGCTGTTGGAAAAGACCGTGACGCAGGGTCATTGAGAATATTTATTTTATATTTTTCTGCCTCAGTTAGAAAAGCAGTTACGAACTCTATAGAAAACGAGCTTTGTTGGTATATGAGAGCACAGCTTCTTCATCCAAGTGTGTAAAGGATTTTTACAGACATAGAAGCGATATAAACGCCATTATAACTGACTCTTGCAAATAAGGGGTAATTGGAAATTGAAGAAAATGCATCAGAACCTATTCTTGAACCTATTTGTGGGACTTTGATGTTTAATTTATTAAATGTTGTGAAAATTCCGTTAAAGACGGCTGTGCTGCTGGGGGGAATATAAATAAGACCAATTTTAGTTATATTTTGCTTGAAACAGCTTAATTGGAATGTTGCATTAACTGTTGTGCTGCCGCAATCAAAACTATTTCCTTGAATTGCAAAATTGTCAAGAATCCCTAATTCGTCTTTATTTATTAGAGAGATAGCTAAATTGCTGCCTGCAAATTCAATTGTGTTAAAAGGGTAGCTTTGAACTCCATTAGGATTATGAATCCCGCTATTTAAGCCTATTTCTAATACTTTTTTTTCTGATGAAGGTATTGCTTGTGAATTGCCAATAAAAGTGATATTATTAAAGCTTTGGTCAAATGCATCCCCAATAAATACCCTGCTTCCATTTTTTACATTCAGTAAGCTAAATGAATTTTCACAAAAATGATTAGGGCATAAGCTCTCAGCAGCTTGCCTTAATTCATATTGATCATTAAAGTCAGTTAAAATTCCTTGTATTGAATAAAGAAAATGGTAAAGGGGACGGAATTAGACTCTTAGGTGCACCTCGTGATGGATTGCGAAAGATGCTCCTAGTAAGTGGAGTAGATCATCTAAAAGGGAAACAGCAGAGCAGGGAAGTTTTTGTCTTAAACGTTTTCCTGTCCATACCAGACGAGTTGAATAGGCTATTGAGGCATCCTTCAAACGGTGGCTCCCTTTAGTAGCTTATTCTTGGACGGTGGTTCAGGCCGGAAATCAAAAGGACCTTCCGTTTTTCCCCATTAGAACTCCGAGTTTATGAAGACTGGTTTTGGAGCCAAGATAAGGCGAAGGCTATTAGTTAACTCTATGTATGGCCAATATAATCTTAGCTTTGTATTGCGAATAATATTTGATTTGCGATATACTCTTCTTTTGATTCAGAAGATACTTGGTCTTTAGGAGCAATGATTAATGACCCTTCAAGTGTCAAATTATAGCTACTTTCATGGCTCATTAAAACTGAGCTTCCTAATCCCAATAGTTTTGCATTTTCTAAATTTTCTACTATTTTCCATGAAGTGTTGTCATCTGTAAATAAATAGTATAAATTTGTCCCTAGATTGAAAACTTCTTTGTTAATTATTTCTTCAATATCAGAGCTATTTTCTATTATGAAATATCTAAAAGAGTTCTCTAATAAATTATCAATCATGCTCTTTAGAAATCAATTTTCTTTACTAAATACTCGAATTCTTTTAAAAATAGGAATATAAATAAAATTAATTTACATTTTAGTTTTTTTAATAATTAAGCCGCACACAGTAATTAAATCCACTACTATTATCATATTTATTATAAATAAATAGTGTCTATTAGCTAATTTTTTGATCGCTAGAAAGCAAAAAAATAGTTTTTATAATATTTTTTTTCTTGAGGTAAGTCAGATAAAAAGAAAACGCCAGATGCTCAATTCAGATTTTTAAGGACATTTACAATTGCCTTTGAATAGTTGGCCTTTTCGAAAATTAATGAATATGTTCATATATGGTAGCTTTCGTTAAAGTCATCAATAATAAAGTGAACAAATTCTAAATCTTCAGCCTGCTGAGATAATAAAAAATGGGTATTCCAAATTCGATGTAAGATCAATTACTAATCATTTTTCATTATTGCTTTGAATTAGTTGATCTGAAAATTTTTCTTCAATCCATATTACTGAAATACTGCTTTCGGAAATAAGCTTTGAGCTCAAGATATTTTGAAGTTCATTTATCTTTAAGCTTTTGTCTGTGTTATATATGATCAAAATATCCAACGAATATGATATAACAATTGATCGGATCAGAGTTAAAAAAAATATCATTAAGAGCTTTGCTTGATTAATTAATTTATTATTCTCGGCATCATAAGGATATACATACACAATAGGGTTTTTTTAATAAAATTTAAGGGATTAAGTATAAATTATTGAAAAGAATTCTATGAAAATAATAATCAAAGTATTATGCAAAAGCTATTTAATAAGATGAGAAATATTAAAGAAGTAATTAAGATGCCAAAACTTATAATTAAATTTATATAAAATAGCGTGCCTTTTTAGGGGTTTTACGATTTAAAGGCCCATAAGTTATTCAAGCTTGTAAATATATAAATTTTATATAGTGAATAATTTCCAAGAAGGGAAATTCTGTTTCATTTTTATAAGGGCAGCAAAAAATTTAATAAATGCGAATAGAATTTCTATCAAAAAATAGAAGAATCTGAATTTAAAGTGAAATGGTCTTATACTTCGAAAAGAGGCTTTTATCACTACAATGAAAAAATAAAGTGGCTGAAAAAAATTTATTGCTTATAGAATTTAATAATTAGTAATCATTATCTGATTTAAATTACTTAGAATTAAGGCCACAAAAGCAGTTTATTACTTGAAAAAATAGAAATAAGCTTAGAAGTGATTGAAAGAAATTTCAAACATAATGATCAGATTTGAATAATACCTTAAAGGCAGACTAGGGGCCAGATCGAAATAATAACGATGATGCTATTTTTATGATAATTTTATATTAGCCTGACAACCAGAGCTTAATAGCATTTCCAATAAAACGATTTTTGCCATTTTAGATTTGAATATTGCATCTGGCTGGCCCAAAAGGTAGTGCCACAGAGAGTTAAATCTTTTGATAATATAATAAAAATAAATGATTTATAAAGGTCTAATATATATCCTAAATATAGTCTATTTATTTTCTAGTTAACTTCATTAATTTTATATTTTTAAGAAAATTATAATAGTAAATATGGCAAAAATATAGTTTTTTAACTGTGTAACTGAGAGAATGGTGTGCTTAATATATGCAATATTCGATTGCAACTTTTAGACATTATAAATTTATTATAAATGCTGCAATAATAAACTTATCTCTATAAAGACTATATAGACAAAATTGTTTTATTATCTAAAAATGCACTTACTGAAAGAAGAGTTAACTATGGTGAAAGAAAAAGCTACCAATTTTATTTTATATTTAAATATTCTAATTAAATAGGCCAACAATCAATGTTTGCTGCCTATTTGTTTAGAGGAATAATGATTGGAGATTCCCAAAGCGGAAAGTCAAGCTTGGCTCATAGATTTCTGAGAAACAGGTTCATTGAAGAGCAAAAACCAACTATTGGTGTTGAATTTGCGTATAAAATTATAGGCGTTGATGGCATAGCGATAAAATTGCAATTATGGGATACTGCAGGTAGAGAGGAGTTCAGAACAACAACTAGATCCTATTATAGATCCGTTGCAGCAATTATCTTTGTTTATGACGTTACAAGGAGAGAAAGCTTCGAACACCTAAACGCTAGGATTTCTGAAGCAATCCAAAATGCTCCAAGCACTGCTGTGGCAATTTTAGTTGGAAATAAAGTTGATAAAGAAGGGGAAAGAAATGTTTTATTTGAAGAAGGCCAAAAATTTGCAAGTGAACACCAAATGATTTATTTGGAAACTTCAGCTAAAACTGGATGGAATGTTGACAATATATTTCACTTCGTTTCAGCAGAAATATTGGCGAGAATCAGAAATGGACTGATAGATGTAGAAAAAGAAGGTCCTGGAATCAAACTAAATGAGCAATATTAAAAACTCACAAATGAAATAGTCGATATTGGCTGTTCAGCTAGAATTTTGATAGTAGCTAGTACTAAATAATATATTATAAAGCACATTGAGGGGACATTTCTTTGACTCAAAGATCATTAATTACTAGATTATTTATTTTTATTGATGATTGATACATTCAAAGTGATCTTAATTGGGGATCCTTGCGTTGGAAAGTCAAATTTATTTAAGAGATGCGTTGAGAACACATTCACAGAAGAATACCAAAAGACAATGGGCTGTAGTGTTAGTATGAAAACGATCAATATTAACGAAGAAGGGATAAAATTTCAATTGTGGGATACTCTTGGGGGATTTGCGATAAAACATACATTCCAATTACTAGAACCTACTTCGGACGTACGACAGCAGCATTGATAATTTACGACGTCACAAAAAGAGAGAGCTTTGAACATTTGGATTTTTAGATTTATGAAATAATGGCTCATGGTCCTCGGAGATGCTATAAAAGTCTTGGTTGGAAATAAAGTTGATAAAGAAGTGGAAAGAGAAGTTTTATTTGAAGAAGGCCAAAAATTTGCAAATGATTGCCAAATGATTTATCTGGAAACATCAGCTAAAACAGGGTTGAATGTTGAGAATTTGTTTAATTTTATTGCTGCAGAAATTTTGACCAGAATCAGAAATGGGCAATTAGACATAGAGGCTTATAGTAATCAAGGCTAAAATAATAACTAATAAAAAATTATAATATCAGAGCAATTAAAGTAAAGTTAAGGTCTTAGGTAAATCTATAATCTTAATTGACAGCAAGTACACTGGAGGGTTTATCCACTTCGTGACACTTCCTCTCGGAGACTTTAAAGATTAAAAGGACTTGCCTTGCAAGTTGCCTCTGACATCACCTTGCTACTTCTCCAGACATTGATTACATGGGCAGAAATAAAAAAAATAAATTATTAGGCATCAGTCTAAAAAATAATCTGATCAAAAGTGGTCAAATTGTGCAGTTTCAACTGAAATCCCATCTGAGGTAGCATTGAAAAAAGCAATTGCGTCATTAAAATAGTATATAAGTTATTTAACAAAATTGCTTCAAATTAGTGATATGATAACAAATCTGCCTTTATCCTGCTGATAGAATTTAAATAATTTTCGAAATTGGCAATTATTTATAAGCCATTATAAGTTTTTAACAAAAACTTCTTTAAATTTGAAGTGTGATAATAGATATGTTTTATTTCTTTAAGAATTTAAAAGATTTTAAATTTATTATAATTCCATAAATGCAGTGATTTATTAAATTAGAAAAAAATAAGCCTGAAAATATTTAGGATAATTGCTAATAGTGCCCTGCAGTCAATGGAGCTGGTAAGTAATAATACATTTTTCTAAATATATTAAGGGGATATATTCCTATATTAGGTATCAGTTTGCTAGATTAATGCTTATTGATTAAAATTTGAAGATTTTACTATATTTTTCTTTAAACTTAGTAGTGTATCAATTGCTAAAGTTTATTTAATTTCATTATAAATGCTTTTATGAGTTTATGAATGTAAAAGCAGCTTCAATCCTCTATCGATATTAATTGTCATAAATGCCATGTGGCTATATATTTAAAGCGGTCTTGATCGGGGATTGCCAAGTTGGAAAATCAAATATCCTTCTTAGATATACAAAGAATGAATTCAAAGAGATATATGATATGAACATAGGTGTTAAATTTGGAGCGAAGAGTTTCAATAATAATGGAGTAGCAATTCAATTGTGGGATACTTCAGGTCATGAGTCATCTATATCAATTGTTAGGACTTTTTGATCATTTGTTGCAGCTGAAATCTTTGTTTATGATGTCACAAATAGAGAAAGCTTTGATCATTTAGAGGGCTGAGTCTCTGATGTAACTCTTGGTGCTCCTAGAAAGGACGTAGGAGTTATAGTAGGTAATAAAATTGATAAAGTAGGAGAAAGAAAAGTTTTATTTGAAGAAGGCCAAAAATTTGCAAATGACCACCAAATGATTTATTTGGAAACTTCAGCTAAAACAGGATGGAATGTTGAGAATTTGTTTAATTTTGTTTCTGTTCAAATTTTAACAAAGTTAAGAAATGGGCTGATAAGCATAGAGAATACAAAAACTGGGATTGTATTCCGAAATAAGTTGGAGAGCAATTAAATAAATTTAGAACTTCAAACATATTAATATAAACATTAGATGCCTTATAAGAATTTAATGAAAGAAGGTATCTTTTCAAATGGATAATTTTTCCAGGATTTAAGGAGCTCAGCAAACTGGAACTACTTTTCTTCAATACTCCAAGCTTTACAATCAGACAGATATGCCTAGTTTATACGATAGAATGGCTGGCCAGTTAGAATAAAGGCTTATGGAACTAATTTGCATAGACTGTATGAGTCTTATTTAGTTCAAAGTTAGCAGATATATATTACTTTTATTGAGATATGTAAAGCTCAGATAAATTAACCAAGTATTTATATCTCAGCATTTTTTATAATTGATCCTTATAATCTTCCAACATCAGCACAGCGAATTATAAGGATCGGGGTTCTAATTTCTCCAATTCTATACGCCCACAAGCTTATAACAGAAAAGTTCTTGTACAAGCGGCTATGCATAAGATATTAATCACATGCCGCCCCCATCCTAGTATTATTAAAGGCTGGCTTCTTATGAATCCTTCTAATTTTCCCCATGAAACAACTGATCCTGTAAAAATGACAGCTCCAATAAAGACTCCAAGGTTTGTCTCAATTCTTGCTAAGTTGTCCTGATCAGTGTGAAGCAAATAGTGGCCAAATGATACAAGAGTGGCAGCGAGGCTGACAAAACTGTGAAGCGCTGCTACCATTTGTGACATGTTAATCATCTCGACTCGAAGGGCCATAGCACAGCCTAGGATACCACCTGATACAAACATAACAAAGAATATAGCAAATTGATAATCAAAATCATCAACAAAAAAGGTAGCTATAATGGCTAAGGTCATTGCGATTATTCCTAGCTCGTTAGTTACAAAGCGACAACTAGTGACGTCACCAAGCCATCTTGGAATATGTGGTCAGCCACACACCCAAACCTTCTATGAGGCTAGTCGCCAGATAAATCGCCGCACATCTCACCCGGCGCGTTGCCGTCGCTCGCTCCGACTCAGCTCCTGCGCGTGTTCCGCCTAAGGGTCATCCTCCCGTGGGGACGTGCTGAGAGGTAAAACTCCGAGTGTCTTGAATGCACTGAGGAGCCGTGGCTTTGGTTATCTCCAAAGTTAAACGGCTGTTGCTGTGCAGAAGTTCTCAAGAGAAAACCCAACCCCATAAATAAAATTCATGAGGGAGAGAAAATTGGCAGAGCCAATTTCTCTCGAACCGAATGCCATTTTATTTATTAGCTCGTTAGTTACAATTTTTTTTTTGTTGTTGAGAAACTTATGAATAGGAAAAAATTATTTTTTAATAATTTCCTCTTTTGGCTGTTTTTTGATTGCTGATTCCTCCAAGGGAAAGGATGAAGAATATTGCACAGACTATGTATGTTCCTGTTACGAAGTCATCTATTTTTATACTCTGTAAATTGAATTCGATGAAAAATAATTAGAATTGGCTTTTATAGAGAATGCAAGATTTCTTAAAAATCGGTATACAATTATGATATTGACTAGATAAGAAATTTATCCGTTTTATGCGAGATCGCCTCTATATGAGGACAAATTTTGTGATAATTGGGTAAAAAATCTATCAAATCTGATTATGATATTTCGATTATTGTGACAGATAGGCTCAAATTAAAACTGATTTGGATAATTTACATTGCTTAAAGACTCATCTCTAAAGCAGAAACAATTTTGGGAATCAAGGCTTGTGCTTTGGCTTATTTTTCATGAATTTTTAAAAATAATATTTATAATTAAACAAAAATGCTTTCAAGCTTATCATATATTTAGTTTATCACAAATGCAAAAGTTAAGCCTTAAAATTTTGAGTTAAGTATAAATTTCATAACTATGAAAATCTGATATATTATATATAAGAAAATATTAATCTGAGCATAAGAAAATAATATGATAATTAAATGCAGCCTAAATAGCAACCATTATTATTAATTAAATTAAAATCCTCTCGCAGAGAACAGCTTGCAACTCAATTCTCTGAAGTAGCTTTCAATTTTTTCGAATTTCGTATTAAAGAATAGTGCAGCTCTCTCATTAGTTTTTGTTTTTATTTGTATGCTTGCGTATCTTAAAGCTTGCTCTGCTAATTCCACAATTATTTTTCTCACCTCACTAACAGGGCACATAAATAAAATTTCCTTTAATATTTTTGCATCAGTGATTTTTTCTAAAAATCAATCTGCATTTTCTTCTTGCTCTAGCATTCTTGTAATAGCTTTTACCAGGCTCATAAACTGTCCTCCTCTATCCCTATTTCTTATCTGAATAGCCAAAAAGTTTTCAATAATAAATTTCACAGGAGGATTTTCTAATTTTGTCATCTCATTGATAAACCAGGCATATTCGTATCCAAAAACATATTTTATTTTCCAATATTTTTTATTTTTTTCTTTATATAGTCTTTCAAAAATGTCTACCCCTCCATAGCTGGTGTTTAGATTAATTTTCTCAATTTCATCTGATTCAGGGTTGCGGAGCCTGTATTTTTTGATTCTTTCGTATAAAAGTAGATACCCATTTGTGATTTTTTGCTTTATTTCCCCTGTAGTTGTATTTTTTAAAAATCCGCCAAATGCGTTCGCTGCAATTTCTGTTTCAGGAATTTCGTATACCATAGTGTCATTAAAATTTATTCACGATTTTTTTTTAAAATCATATATAAATGAGTAATAATGGCCACGTTCTGCATCTCCTGTGTGTATAATTATTCCTCTTAATTTGTAATTATAATAATTTTTTTCAAATACCCCTGACCCATTTTCTAAATTTTTTAAGCCTTCTTGTGTGTAAGGCTCCATATCTAGTTCTGAAGGAAACTCAAAATACTCATTAAGCTTACTTGGCTTCATAGTTTCAAAATTAAATTCAAAACGTCTCAGTGCCAGCATTAAATAATTTGGCAAGCACTTTATACTCACTCTTTTAAGGGCTTTTACTTTTATATGGCATTGCTCACATAAATATGCATTATCAGCCTCCAGAATTTCTCCTTCCACAAGACTTTTTAAGCCTTCTGACAGCATTCGCTTATTTTTAACCTCGATTGGGATAGTTAAAAATGGCTCAAATCGCTGGGTCTTATGAGGGCAATCTTTGCTTTCTATTTCTAAAACCTGATATCCTCCGAAATGAGACTGGACTAGATTTTCATAATTGGAGCCTTTTAATGCATTTTCTAATCTTTCCATCAGATTCCCAAAAAACTCATCAGCGTCTTTTTGCTCATACAAATTTACTGGATTCCCATCACAATCCTTATAAGCTCTGCAAAATTTCCTTGTTGAAATAAACGGCTTGTCGCTATTTTTCAAGCCTGAAAAAATCCTTTTTAGCTGGAATAGCACATTATCTTCACTCGCAACAGTTGGGATATATAATATTCCATCTCTCAGACTTGGGATTGTATAAAGTGATTGGATTAAGGAATTCATATAGCAAGTGCAGCCTAAATTTCTAATTCCTGTAAAGCCTGTAAGTGACTTTTCATTTTGTAAAGAAAATCGGTTCCAGTCAGATTTGTGGTTTGATCTCCATGAGTTATCATAATGAAACTTTTCTAGTAAATTGGTAACTTTTGAGAGAAAATCTGAATTTTTGCATAAGTCATATAAAAGCTCAAAACCAGCTTGCCTTGTCTCTTATCTTATCTTATAGAATTTATATCGCTTAACGTCCACTACGGGGTTACAACTCCAGGTTTATCACTCGCCTTTCGTCGCATCGGGGGCCCACCAGCCTGCTGGAGACAGACTCGCTTCGATCGCCAAGGGTGCTTCTAGGGCAAATGTCCACGTCTTCGACGGCTCATGGATGAGCTACTTGCTTGTACATGGGTTGCTTTTCCGAAAAACCCAAAAAATGGATTTTTCTGGTCGGCTATCGGCAAAAAGGAAAAATGCAAAGCCTGGGACGTAACGCCCAGTTTCACGCTAGGGAGTTGCCCGAATGGTCCAGAGGACTTTGCTGGGCTTCCCCTTTCCAACCTTACACCTTCCTTCCCCACGAGGAAAAATCCACCCCTGAGAACAGACTAGGGCTAGGCTCTGAAAGCTACCAGAATTGCTTACCTAGCATTGCAGTCCATCTCTGAAATGGTAAAACCTTGCCGGATATAATTAAAATATAAGTCGAGGATGTATGGCCGGGAGGGCCATACCTAGACGAAGACGCCATATTTTAATTATAGCTTGCCTTGTCTCAATATTTTTGCATTTTGGGAATGGTGACCGCGTAGACTCAGGTATTTCGAATAGACATTTTTGTAAAAAGAAATCCAGAGAGTTTTCTATGGAGAGTAAATAGCTAGTCCATCCATTGGCAAGGACTTTCAAGGAGCCATATAGGATGATATCTTGGTACCCACTATTTATTTCCCATCTCAAAGTAATCTCGTTGAAAAGCTCATTAAATAAATCTAAAAATGGGGATTTATTTGGGATTTTTTTGAATAAAAATGCGAAAAAATCAAAATATAGCTTGCTTTTATTTTCCTTTGCTTTAGGAAGCAGTTGAAGCATTAACAAAGCGAAAGAGTAATGAATATTTGTCAAGTTTGCGATATTTTCCATTAGCTTCAGCATCAAAAACCCAAAATCGCTGCTTTTTTGAGCTATAAGGGAATTATATATAAGATCATTTGTGTGAATAAAATTCAAAATTTCTGAAGAAGTCTCACTTTTATAGTAAAGCACCAAAAAATTGATAATTTCAGTTAAAGATTCAAAAAGCCCTCTTATATTATTAAGCTGATGAGGTGAAATACTCATTAATGAAAGGGTTTCCATAATAGCTTCAATAAAAGCATGATGGTTTTCTAGAGGAAATCTCAATAATTTGCCCAAAATATTGATTAAGGCTTCTTCTAATCTTATCAAAGGTTTTCCTTTTATGTTCCCCTTTATATAAAGAAAAAGCTTAATCAAGTATTCAGGCCCATTAACGCCAATAAATTTTAATTTCCAGCTCTGATCGGAGCAATATCTATTAAGGACCATTAAGCAATATAGCAATTTATAAGGATTTGCAGGGTTCAAAATTCCCATAAGTTCTGAGCTAAGTGTGTATATATCATGCACTATTTTATCATATGTGGGAAGAGTCATTAATAGAGTCCAAGCTAAATCTGACGATCTTTGGACATTGTCCAGCAACAGCTGAAAAAGACAGTCATATAGCTGATGGTGACTTGACAATCCCATTCTAGCTTCATAGTCCATCACAGACGGCTCCATAAATATCACAATCATTGAAATGGAATTTAAAGCAGAAATTTTTAAATCGTTTTCTGATGGGCCAAACAATTTGTCATTAACTTTGAGTACGATTTTTTCTATTGGCTCTGCATATATTTTCGCTATTTCTTTTCTGAGATCTTTTATAGTCCCAGAATTATTTATTTCAATTGGCTTATATTGCAAGTCGCTTTCCCTTTTCATGTACATGGTAGAATTCTGTGATAAGGGGTCACGAATTTCGACTAGTTTTAGCAATAAAGACAGTCCTCTGCACGTCAAAATATCATCATTTATGCATTTCTCTATGTAAGTTGCTAAATCAGACACAAAATCATTAAAAATTTTTTGTGCTTCCCGGCATATTGATATATGGAATTTTGTTAATAAAGCTATCAGCATAATCATAGAATCTTGGACGACTAATGCATCATCTGATTGCAGAAATATAGACGCAAGCTTGTCAAACCCGACTATATTGGCTGATTTTCTGCAGACAATTCTGTTTTCATCTACTTCAATTTTCTGAAGAGATGCATTTTGGGAAAGGAAGATCTGCTTAAAATACTCAAAATTCTGATGGTTAACGTTTTGGGAAGGAAATTTCAGGTCGTTTAGAAAGAATTCAGAAAAGGTTTCTGATTGTTGGGCGTCAGAAATGGCTGGCTTATCTTGAGAACCTTTGACGAATTTTTCTAGGTATGAGCCGATCATCATTTAAATATTATAAATTAATGAATTGAGAATTGAAGTGTGTTTTTGGGGTTTTATGATATTTCTGAGAATAAATTATTTTTGGACCAATAATTGCATCCATCTTGGATTGTGTTTTTAAGTATGGGATTTTCCCATAGATGGCACTATTTGGCCTTGATTTTCCCCCTGGGAAAATCAAGGCCAAAACAGCAGCATTCACAGGAAATTGCAATATTAATTTCTGATGGAAAGGAAATTTTGATTTAGGATTAACTTAGCCTATAGCTGATTATAGTTTCGTTAGATCAAAATCATAAAGACATTTTTAAAAATCTGCCAGAAATAACTTAAAAATGTATAAAATGTGATACTCATTAAACTAATTTATTAATCAACAGAAAAATAGAATAAGTTTTATGAGGTTTCAATAGAAACTAAAATTTACTCATAACTTTTATGCATTCCAAGCTGCCTCTAGAGTTGACGGAAATAGGAGTCCAAGGCGACACCTCCTGAATGAGCGGTGGGCTGACGCGATGAGTGGCGAAAGTAAGCTCTTCGTGAGCTAATTAGTCTATCTCAATGGGAAGCCTGCCGAAATAGGGTGTTTTATATCTCCTTCGAATATTTTCCTGTCTCTACTAGATGGATTAGACAGGTTTTGCCTACCACCTTGGCCCTTCTCACCGGGACCATCTGGGAACCTTATAGATGGTGGCTCTGCCGTAGGGAGCTAATTCCTCGACAGGTGGTTCAGATTGAAAATCCAAAAGGGCAACGTTTTTGAGCCAAGATAAGCTGCTCGTTGTTTATCCGCTTATGGCAAGCACAATCATTTAATTTATATATTTAGCTGCCTCTTTCATCTTTTTATCAATTATATTTTCGGCATCTAAATTTCATTTTTTAAGTGATGTATACAAACTTACTTACCTCAGAAAATAATTGAGCTAAATTTCTATTTAATTTTAATCTCTAAATTTACTGAACTTTCGCAGCTGCAGCTTTTTTTATCTCTTTAATCCTCTGCAGCAGCGCTTGAATATCATGGAATATTTTCTTCAAGAAAATATTAGTCTGGAGCATATATTCCCCATAGCTTTCCTTTGTCTCATACTCAACTCTTGCTCCAGCAATAACTTGGTCAATCTGGCCATCATAATTTTCAAGGACACTTCCAAAGGCAGCCAATCTTTCTTTATAGGCTGCAAATTCTTCAAGAACTGTATTCAACCTATTGTTTCCTTCAGCTAAAGCAGTATCTCGTTTTTCTTGGTCTTTTAATTGGTGAGCTCTGACTTTGGCTTCAATTGAAGGTAATACCTGAGATGCAACCTTTTTGAACTCTTGAAGAGTTTGGCGGGCATTTAAGGTAAGCTGATACTGAGGATCGTCAGGGATTACCTCATGGGTTGGCTGAGATGGGAATTCTTCAGGCATGGAATCGGGAACTCTGTGCCCGCCTATTGGAACAGGTCGTTGGTCACCGCCGTGGTAGTCTTCACTATTGGGGTCAAATTGAGATCTGAATTTAGTATTGGATTCGAGCATGTCTCCGATATATTGAGCGTCACGGTCCATTTCAGATCTTAATAGATTTATTATTACAATTCAGTTTAATTCAAAAATGGGGTGCACTAAAAAGTTTCAAAAAACCCTAACTCTTTCTTAAAAAATTTTAGATATAATGTTTTGAGTATAATATAAGTAATGATATTATAATGAATTATCCTAATTTATTGAATTTTAAATAGCTTTCATTTCAAATATAAATTTAAAAGGCCAAAATTACATATATTTTTCTTTTAATTTTACATTTTAGATTTTTTGAAATTTTGAAAAATCAATTTTAATTAAAATCTGTGTTTAGCTTCTCCATTAAATAGCTTTTCTCACTTGCTGCCAAGAAGGATTAAAAATAAAATTTGGGATAAGAAATTTTAAAGATTGCGCATAAACTTAACTAAAAACATGAATTTCTTCTTTTTCGAAATAATATGCATTATCTGCCTTTTATATTAGAATATCGATGTAAGTACTTAATCCCCCTCCCCTTTAAATTGAAACCAATTATCGGTAAAATTTGTCTTTTTTTGGTAGCAATCCTCTTTAAATTGGGACAAAATTGCTTTTCAGTGTGAAAAATTTTATCGATGAAAATACCTTTTAGCATTAGCATTAGCATTAGCATCAGCTTAGAATATAGAAAATTCCACGTAATTCCCTAAGGACTATTTTCACCCCTTAATATTCAACTCGGTTGCTCGCCACCAATTGTATCACGACCTTTAGAGCTTCTCTTCTACAGACAAGGACATGTCCTCACTACCTGTAGTCTGATGAATTGTGCCACCGTACCGTATGCCAACTGAGTTACCCTTTCAAAAAATTTGAAAAGCGAATTTTCTGGTCGGTCTGTCTACCAAAAAAGAAATCAAAACCCTGCGACGCAACGCCCATTATCGCGATGGAGAAAAGCCCGATGGACCAAGTATTGATCCTTAGTGCTGCTGAGCCACTCTTTCCAACCTTGAATAGCATTTCCTCGAGGGTAAAACCTTGACCTGGAATGAGCTGTGGTTGACCAAATTCAGATTGCGCTCCACCAAATCAAGTAAAACCTGGCCGGATATACACCCCTAGCCCCTGTTTCCCTTTCAAGAGGTCCCCGCTGCCTTGTGAGGAACCGGCTACAGGTGCTGAAAAGAAGGGCTAATTCACCATCGCCATTTTAATGTATATATCGATGAAAATACCAATTTTTATAAAATTAGTTTTGATTTAATTTAATAGCAGGTAGAATGTTATTTAAACGGTTTAAATACTGAATCGATTAATTTTTCATAAAATTAAAGTAAAATTCAAAGTATTGTTCTCAGTTTATATTTTTCAAAAAATAAAATTAAAGATGAAAATATCATTTTTGGAAAAATAGTTTGACATAATTTAACGGAAAAATTTCAATTAGAATGCTATTTAAACAATTTTCACACTGAATCGATTAATTTTTTAAATGATTTTCCATAAAACGAATAAAGATCAAAAAGTATTGACTCAATTTTAATTTTTAAAGATTATAAAAATTGTTTTTTATAGAAAATTATAATATAATTTATTTTTTTGAAAGAGGGAAGTTAGCAGAAAATAATTAATCGATTCGAAATACTTAAATCGATCAAATCTATCTCTGAAATTAAGATCAATCATATCTAATGATGCTATTTTCCCTAAAAAATATAATAATTCCATTTAATTAAATTCAAATCTGCAATATCTAGATCTAGTAATGAAATAATTTTTAATTTAGGCTATATAAACTAGGCTGGCTAAATGTAGCTTGGCATCAGCTCTGTTAAATTTAAATATTATAATAAAGGCTCAAAGACTAAAAAATGAAACATGTTGAAATAAACACTCGATTTAATTTCTATGATAAAAATCTTTCTAAAAAAACGTATCGTGAGTAACTGCAAAATGCATACTTACTATATATTGCTGATTTAAATATAAAATAATTTAATTCAGCTCGAAAATTTGCTAATTAAATACTAATAAAAAATTAGTAAGCTCATTTTTCATTGCAATCAGAATAAAAATGATAAAAGATTCTGAACTCATCACTGAGAGGGGTAAATTTATTTTTGTTTCTATTATTATAGGTAAGTATTTTGAAAACGAAAAAAAATAATTTCTCAAAATTTTTGAATTAGTTGTAATATTTCTTTTTCTAGCTAAGTTGATTTAAGACTGCTCAAAATAGCTGAATAAACCTGTATAATAAAATAAAATGGTATTAGTTTCGATAGAAATTTGCTCTGTTAATTTCTATCCTTCATTAATTATAGCGCTTTCCCGAGGATGGCGCCATTCCGCGCCATCCTCGGGAAAGCGCTATATTTTATAGTTGAGTTTTCTCCAAAGAGCTTCTTCGAAGCAACAAGAATTTAGCTTTAGGGATAGCCAGAGGAACTGCTCCACAGTACAGCAAGAGCCTTAGAATTTTACCTCTTAAAACAGGAAGATGACTCTTAGATAGAGAACGTGCTAGATCTGAGTCGGGCAAGGGAATGGCATCGAGCCAGGTGAGGAGCATTGATTAGGATGACAGGCTGTTTATTTGAAATGATCCAACCTTTGTATGAAAACGCTCGTGGCATCACCTTGTTGGCTCTGTTCCTTTAGTGAGAGTTTGGTGTCAGACTCCTTTAAACACTTTAATGGATGAATGACTAAATCTGCATCACTATCTTTTAATATAGTGCTTTGCTAAATTGCTATCATTCTTCGCATGCAAATATTGCTATCTCAAGTTAAAAAATTTAAAACTTCGACCAAAGTTTTGTAATTTAGTCATGTTTTATATAATATCTGTTTTTTTATATACGTTTATGCATAAACTCTGAATTAAAATCGAAATTTAACTAAATAAATTGTAAAATTCAATTCTGGTGATCTTTTATTCCATTTAGCTTTTGAATTTAGGTTACAGATAATTAATCATAACAACAATAAATAATTTCCTAACTGCGTGGAAACAGCCCATGCAATTTTAATATGCTAAATCTATTTAATATTTTTATCTTTAATTACAGTTTCTGAATGGCATTCTTACTGTTTTTTATTGCCTTCCTTGCATTAGGAAGTACTTTGGATTTTTTATTTGTTTTTGACAAAAAAAGCAATTTAAACATCACAAAAATTGAATTTGCCCTTCTCTCAAAGCTAGGATCAGAAAAAAAAAACTTAGTTTTATGAACAGAAATAGAATCGGCAAGCCAAATCATCCAAAATAGCAGAAGTCAATTGTCAATTTTTGACTTGACATCCACAGGCCAGTCCCATTATGCGCTCTCACTAATGGCAAGCACTTACAATCTAGCCCATTTTATTTTTGATGACATGAAGGCAAGCTATTCCCCGTGGACTTTCTCGTTGAGTCATGAGAAAAGCTTATACACTCAAGCAGTAATAAGCATCCTTGACAAATTTAACTGAACGAAGGGAGTTTTCTTTTTAAGCCAAGAGAATATTTATTTAGAAAACGCATTAAACAGCCTTTTTCCGAATAATTTGACATTTTTTGTTACACAAAGAGATTCAATGATAGCAGAACTTATAAATAAAGAAGTTTTTAGGCTAGGCTCTTATCTGTATTTTATGTTTGTAGCACCCGAAACAGCTCAAAAAATAACTAAAAGTTTGAAGCAGGCAAAATTACTTAATTATGGAAGTTCAATTCTTATGAACCATGAAAGCAGTTTCAATGTAACTATTGATGGATCATTAATAATAACAGAAAAAGGCCAGGAGAAAACGAGGTCATATGAAGAATTTATATCTACTCACATTTATGGCCTCATTAGAATACTGTCCTTTAGCACTAGTTTTGAGGAACAACAATTTGACATAAAGCAAAAAATGGACGAACTATGTCCCAGTCATTATTGTACAACTTCATTTAACCTTTTAAATGTAAGAAACGGGTCCAGAATTATAATAAACGATACATCGGCAAGCCATTTTAATAACATCACGTTTTTAGGCAATAACTCATTAATAATCCCATCGGCTCAAAAAAAAATCATTGAAATATCAATGAATTCTGGAGTGAGCAATCCAACCGGCATTCCTCCATATACTCACAATACTATTGAGTTCAAAGGAGTTTTTCTTGGGATTTCACTTATAAATGATCAGAAAGAAGGCATTCTGCCTAATTATTACCTGCAGGGGAATGAGCTTGACTGCGGAGCAAATTCATTAAACGCGACCTTCCAATTCAACTGCCTTAAGGCCAATATAAATCGTATAGGCCAATTTTTTATACCTCCAAATAGTACCCCTGTTTTACTAGGATTTATTTCAAATTTTAAGAAATTAAATGTGTCAAAGCCCATAGTCGCCGGAAGAATAGGGTCAAGCTCTGTATCTTCACCCAAGACTTATCCGTTGTTTGGAAGGGTCAGCTTTGATGCTACTTATTTGGCATCAATGGCAGCCAAAATGTTCTATACTTTAGGGTGAAAAACTTGTGCTTTGATATATCAAACTGACTCATTTACCCTTGACTGGGTCAAAAGTTTTATTGCCTCAGCTAAAGAGCATGAAGTTGATATTATTAATAATCCAGATCTCAGATCTTTCCCTGCTAACACCTTTTATGACACTTTAAAATCAAATTACTCACTCCCCCCCTCCGTGAGTGAGCAAAACCATTAGAAAAATCCCTATTTTTTGCCCAAAAACCCACCCTCCGCGAGTGAACAAAAATTTTTTTAATAGAAAAAATTTTTATGGAAAAAAAAAATTGATATATAAATGATAATTATTATAATGAAATCTAGAGCTAACTCTGTTTAATTTCAAACGAATTGCTTTTTAAAGCATAAATTTTATAAATTAAATTAATATTTGCTTTCCAATTTTTACGAATTAGATTTTTTTTAATTTCGAAAAAACATATTTTTTTATAAAATTTATATATAAATTTGTTTAAAAAAAACAAATTAACCTCCCTCCATGAGTGAACAAAATTTTTGTTCACTCACGGAGGGGGGGGAGTCAGCAGTTTTTAAAGAAGCAATTAGTTGCAATGCACGCCTCATAATATGGGCTGTTTTTTCGAACATTTCTCCAGATGGCATGAAGATGTTCTATGAACTTGGGATGAGAAATGGGGACTTATTGATTTATTATGCGATCCCTGGGACTATATCGTCAATCTATGCTCCTGAAACTAGGAATAGGGACATTTTAATAGAAATTAGTACACCTTCAATAGCATTTGAACAGCCCACATATATAGGTGATGTCGGGAATATGGTTGCTGATTTATTGGAAACAAGATATGGAATTGATAAAAATGCCCAAATAACGACTCCATGCTTGCTGTTTGATGCTTTGAATTTAGGAGGATATTCACTTGATTTTATGGTAAATAGAGGTCAAGATTACACCAATGGCACTCTATTGATGTCAACTATTAGAAAACAAAGATTTCAGGGATGTTCTGGAAATGTTCGAATTGGGGATCAAACTAATAATAGAATTGTTGAGTTCGCAGTTTTGCAGAATGGATATATAGATCCAACCACTGGAAAAATTCAGATCAGCAATAATGCATATTTTAAGCCAATAGGCACTACCATATTACAAATGTTTAAACCTGTATTGTATCCTGGCAACACAACAATATTTCCTGGCCAATATCGAGTTGTTGATGGAAAGTGTCCTTTCCCTGATGAGTTAGTTAGAACTTTTGATAAAGGCAGATATTTGGTTTCTGGTATTTGTATTGCAATTGGACTCACAACAGGAGTGATTACATTTTATATATGAAGAAAATGGTGGAACATTAAAGTCGAAGGATTAGAAAAAGAGCAAGAAATGTCTGTCCAAGATTTTATTATGGCAGCTACTATTGTGATAGAGTTTTTCCAACTTTTAGCTATGGGGCCGGACATAAGTGCAATCAGTTCTTTATTGTCGGATATAGGAATAGCACTTTCTTTGGACCTAGATAAAATTATAAGCGTCACTCAAGGCGTTTTTTGGATTTTCCTTGATATAATTTTTTTTTTAGTTGCAATATGATTTATTCTGTCCTTAATTGTCTTACTTAGGATTGATGAAAAGTTTCCCGATTTCCAGCTATTTAGAATTTTAGATTGGTTGGCTAATATCCTGATGCCAATTATAGGTAATTTAATGTTTATCCCAGTTATATCAGTACTATTAGACGTTTTTGTATGTGACGAATCAATAGGAAGTAATTTTACCGATAGCTTTATGATTAAAGATTGCTACCAATTTTGCTGAAAAGGAGATCATATTATATATGCTACAATTTCTTTATTGTGCCTTATCATTTATGAGCCTTTAGCAGTATTTTGTAGGCCACTATGGCAAGAAATAGAGCATCTAGTTCATGTGAAATATACTCCTTCCTACTTAATGGCCAAAACTGTTTTTCAGGTGATTCTTGTCCTTATGAATAAAACTGTAAAAAGAGCTCAAGATGTCGCTCATGGAGTTTTGTTTACGGTTGTGGTAGTATTTTTTATAATTTTTAGTTTTTGGCATAAAGCTTATAATTATCCAAGATTCAGCTGGTGGCTTTCTCTAAGTTTAATTGCTGTGTGCTATACTTCGCTATTAGCAACTATTAATATTGGAGTTTATAATAGCTCAAGTCCTGCTTGACTAATTATATTAGCTTTTGGATGGGCGGTAATTGGACTCACAGGTATTTTAGTGCAGAGGAAAAAATATCCAAGTATGCTATATAGAAAGAAAGTCAAGGATACAAGCACGCTATTTAGATTTGCATTTACATTCAGTCGTAAGAGCAATAAAATCACCCCAGAATTTTATTCATCGAATAAAGATAGCATATCTAAATAAATGTAATGAATGCTGTTTATATCTTAAATAAGATTGATTAGTTTTATATGTTGGCATAAACGCTAGCTTTTTATTTCTTATAGAGCAGAGTTTCTTGAGGGGAAAATTCAGTCACAAGGGGACTTTTAGTTTGATGATAAAGGGCTCAGCAGTGATGAAGATTCATTTTATGGGATAGCTATGATGGAAACAGTTTATTTTATGGTTTTTGATCTGGGATTAATTTAAAGAGCTCTTTGCATGGATGGGAAAGCAAGTGTTGAAAATTGAAAGGAGGGAGAAATGAAGCAGAAATTGATTGCTCGGAGGGGTTTCGAGAAGGTGAGAAGATGAATTTTAGAGTAGGAGCGAAGTGTTGATGATAATGAACTTATTATGAATACATGCGGAGTTAATCTATACAGTTTGGGGAATTGAAATAAATAGTGGATCTGCTTAACTAAAAAGTAAATTTTTATTTTCGGAATAGTTGGGCACTATTTGCTACCTTTAATGTAAAATTATATGTATAAATAACTAACTTCTGACTTTTAAGAGCGACGTTAAAGGGGCTTTATTTTTAATTAAAATTTTCTGGCTTTTTATCATTGAATAAATTGATATCATTATAAACTTGCTTCTGTTTTATAGATATGAGTAGTTAGTAAGAACGTAAAAGAAATAATTTCTGGCCTATCGATTTAGTCATAACATTCTTTTCCAATTTGATTTAAGATTAATTAAAACTTATTAAATTGCTATCAATTACCGGCATGCAAAAACTATTAGTCCGAGCCATAAAGGTGCTTGACTGTTTTACCTTGCATAAGAAAAAATAAAAGTGTTTATTTAAGATTTGAGTCTTCAAAATAAATGCCATAAGGGACTATCTCATATGTGCCTCCGTTTATGTACTTAAGACCGTCAAAGAAAGGAGACAAGAACTTTTCTGTTATAAACTTTTGAGCGCATAGAAGTGGAGAAATTAGAACCTGATCCTTATAATTCGCTGTAATGGTGTTGGAAGATTATTGATTCAATTTTGGATTATTTTTATGGAATTTCTTGCATTTCTTGTATATTTCATTACTAATCATTTAAGATTATAATAATCAATTATAAAATTCAGAGATATAAATACTTGGCTCAAATTTATCCGGTTTTAGTATATGAATAAAAAGCATATTATTACAATGGCAATTTATGCCTTTTTTCAAAGGGCAGTAATCTTTCTAATCCTTGGTCAATCTATTGCCTAGCAAAATTAGCAAAATCTCGCCTTGGCTAATTCATGAATTTCAGGATAATACATATCTGCTAACTTTGAACTAAATAGGACTCATACAGCCTATGCTACTTAGTTCCATAAGCCTCTATTCTAACTGACCAGCCATTCTATCGTGACTATCTGCCTGATTGTAAAGCTTGGAGTATTGAAGAAAAGTAGGGCTTATTTAATCCTGGAAGAATTATCCATTTGAAAAGAGACTCTCTTTCATTAAATTCTCATAAAACATCCCATGTTTATATTAATATAGGCATATCCTTTAAATAGCCGATATGGGCTAGGGATAGAGGCCAAAACTTCCCACTTGGCTCAGCCAATGTGGATTGGTCAAACCAAGTGGAAGGAGGCTTATTTTCACTTTCCACTTGTTTCGACCAGCCATCTTGGCCAACCAAGCGGGAAGTTTTAGCCCCTATCCCTAGCCCATATCGTGCTATTTACAGAATATGCCTATAAGTTTGAATATCTAAATTTATTTAATTGCTCTCCAATTTATTTCGGAATACAATCCCAGATTATATATAGAGTAGCTTCCGACCAGCCATGGCTTGCTTGAATCCATCCTCATGCCTGCTAGTCCAGTTCTGCAGCCTTAAGGCATGTGCTGCTCCTTCTGATGAGGGCTTATACTCGCGACCTGGAGGTAAGGCTCTGGGCCACCGTTCAGTAAGTCAATGGGTTGCCATTTCCAGCGAAAATTCTAAAAGTGGATTTTCTGGTCAGGTTATCGCCCAATGAAACTTGTAGCCCAGGAAGCAAACTCTGGTATCGCACTACCAACATGGCTGAGCGAACGCCTTCTTGCCTTGATGGGCAATCCCTTTCCAAGTTCCAATTTCCATCTTCCCTCGAGATCCTTTGCCTGGATGTGAGCCTGCAGTCTGTCAGCCCAGCATAGCTCTCCACCAGACCAAGTATTCAACAAGGGCCCCACGCTATCGTCTGGGAATAGATTTTAAGGGAGCAGGTTGGCTGCCATTTTTAAGTGAGGAATTTAATCCCAGTTTTTTGTGTCCTCTATGTTTATCAGCCCATTTCTTAACTTTGCTAAAATTTCTACAGAAACAAATTTAAACAAATTCTCAATATTCCACCCTGTTTTAGCTGAAGTTTCTAAATAAATCATTTGGTGATCATTTGCAAAGTTTTGGCCTTCTTCAAATAAAACTTTCCTTTCCCCTATTTTATCAATTTTATTTCCTACTATAACTCCTACGACCTTTCTAGGAGCAACACGAGTTACATCAGAGACTCAGCCGTCTAGTTGATCAAAGCTTTCTCTATTTGTGATATCATAAATAAAGATTGTGGCTGCAACACCTACTCAATAAGCCCTAACAAATGATATAAATGGCTCATTGCCAGAAGTATCCCACAATTGAAGTTTTATTGTTACTCCATTAATATTGAAAAGCTTCATTCCAAAGTCAACACCTATCGTCATATCATACATCTCTTTGAATTTATTCTCTGTATATCTAAGAAGGATATTTGATTTTCCAACTTCGCAATCCCCGATCAAGGCCGCTTTAAATATATAGTCACATGACATTTATGACAAATTTAAAATCGAGAAGAGGAAACAGCTTTTACATTCATAAACTCATAATCTAGCAAACTGATAGCTTTTAATATAGGAATATATTCCCTTAATGTATTTAGAAGAATGTATTAATACTAACTAGCTCATTTGACTGCAGAATACTAGTAGCAATTATTGTAAATATTTTTAGGCTTATTTTTTCGTTTTTTCTCTAATCTAATAAATCAGTGCATTTAGACCAAGTTGGAAAATAAAACTTCAGACCAGCACTAATTTTGCAATTTAGTCATATCCTGATTTTGTATAGCAAAATAATCGAAAAAATAAATTCAATCTGATGAAATTTTCCTATGTTTCAAGAGCAAAGGATTTAAAGTCAAGCCTAGGAAGACCTAATGGTTGACCTGATGGTAATTGGACTTATAGGTAAATTAGTCCAAGTGTGAAAAATTTGCTCTGTTGCAGATGGGGAGTCAAACCAGGGCAACAACCTTTCTAAATGTAGCACGTCTTTGAAATTATTTTGCCAAAATGTAGATAATAAAATGAATACTTTTTCTTTACAAAGCTCTGCTCCAATCAATTCAAATGAAGCTCAAAATGTCGCTTCCTTCGCACAGAATGGATTTCAAGGATCAATTCCAAAAAGTTCTACTCTCCCTGAAAGTAAGTTAGAGTCATTTAACTGCTTTGGCAAATTTTCTCAACCTGAAAAAATTCCTTCTCAGCCTCAAACATTTTTCAGCGTGTTTTCTTCTCAGCAAAATTCAGCACCTTCAGCACCGGAAGGATTTTCTTCTCAACAAAACTCAGCATCTAAGTTACCTTGTAAACCTATTTTTGGCACGCAAAGTTTCCAGTTTGGATCCCCTAACTCTTTTGTAAATCCCGTTCCCCCAAAAACTCAAACTAATTCTGCCTTGTTTGGGCCTCTACCCCAAACAACACCTCAACCCCAAACAACACCTCAACAAAATCTAGGAGGTTTCACAAGCCCTCAGCCTCAACATAAAGCCGATAGCAGCTTTCTAAATTTTCCTTCAGCAAGCCTTTTTTCCCTTGCATCCAATGCAAAATCTTCTTCAGGATTTGAGCGGGAATCAGCAGAGCCGCAGTCTTGCCTATTTAAATTAGTATTACTTCACTTGTAACTAACTGTTTATTTTTTACACTTTTCAATTGAGATCGTATATATAATGATTATAGGCTTAGAAAATGAGTCCTTGGCTAATGCAATAAAACTCGTCCATAAGGGCGAGTCAGGGGATCGGATTTCCGGCCCCGTCTAAATAAACCTCTCCTTCCCCTCCCTTGGGCTGATGCAAAGAGTAAAATAATTTTACTTTCTGTGCTGCTAGTGCTAAACTGGGCACATAACTAAAACTTATACTCAAGGAGAATTAAAACAGTGAGCTGATTCGATACCGTTTTATAAAGAATTAGCCATAGTCAAAGACTAAAGCAAGTGAGGAAGAAGCTAAAATTTTTGTTAATAAAGACAAAGCACCTCGAAAAAACAAATTGTCTTGCATCGTCTGCTACGAAAAATTCAATACCACAAAAATAATCCCAAAAGTCCTAGTTTGTGGGCACTCAATATGCTCTCAATGCCTAGACAAAATGTTCAGATTTAAAAACTCAATCACTTGTCCCTTATGCTCAAGCCAAGAATAGAGGAAAGTGTCACAAATTCCAATTAACTATACAGTTTTCGAAATGTGTGAGGAAAATAAAGCAACTGATTTTTGCAGAGAGCACAATAGAGAAATTGGGTTATTTTGCAAAATAGACCATCATTTGTTGTGCTTTAATTGTGTTGTTCAGCATTCTGCCCATGAAATTTTATTGCTGAATGATGGATATGTGGAAGAAGTAATTAATAAAAAAAAGGTGGAAATCAATGAAGCAGAAGGAAAATTCAAGGAAAAAATTGATTTTTGTGAAAAAAATTTAGAAACTATAAAAGGAGATAGAGCAAAGATAGAAGGGCTGATTGATTTTCATATAAAAGCATATGAAAACGCCCAAAAAGAGCTTATAGAAGTCTTTGGAAGAGCTTCAGATGCTTTGCGAGAAAGTTTTAATAATAAATACAAAAGTATATTTGAGAGAAATCAGAAATTAATTGAAAATTACTCTGATTTTACAGCTGAATTCAAGAAAAAGAAAGAAAATCTAGAGAAATTAGCAAAAGATTTCAATAGTATGACGATTTCTGATAAAATAAATTGCGAGATTTCAAGGTTGGATGAAGAAATGGTTTTCCCTGACATAGAAAACGTCGAAGATATAGTGAAAACTTTGGAGGAACCTATAAATTACAAGGGGGAAATCTTAGAGAAATTCAATGAATATTTTAAATAATTAATTGGTTTCGAATTAAATAATTATAGCTTTAAATATTTACCTGTGCAAAGATTTGATAGTTCATGGTATGAGTTTTATGCATTTCTGTCTAATGCATTCTGAAAATATCAAGATAAGTTCAGATTATACTTCTCTAAAAAGCATTTATTTTTCTCGAGAAAGATCTGATATTAAATATTTATCACGGCGAGAGATTCTTATTTTCCTCAAGGCACTGACTTGTTAGGGGTGTTAGGGGTGTTAGGGTGTTAGGGTGTTAGGGTGTTAGGGTGTTAGGGTGTTAGGGTGTTAGGGTGTTAGGGTGTTAGGGTGTTAGGGTGTTAGGGTGTTAGGGTGTTAGGGTGTTAGGGTGTTAGGGTGTTAGGGTGTTAGGGTGTTTAGGGTGTTAGGGTGTTAGGGTGTTAGGGTGTTAGGGTGTTAGGGTGTTAGGGTGTTAGGGTTGTTTAGGGTGTTAGGGTGTTAGGGGTGTTAGGGTGTTAGGGTGTTAGGGTGTTAGGGTGTTAGGGTGTTAGGGGTGTTAGGGTGTAGGTGTTAGGGTGTTAGGGTGTTAGGGTGTTAGGGTGTTAGGGTGTTAGGGTGTTATAGGGTGTTAGGGTGTTAGGGTGTTAGGGTGTTAGGGTGTTAGGGTGTTTAGGGTGTTAGGGTGTTAGTTAGGGTGTTAGGGTGTTTAGGGTGTTAGGGTGTTAGGGTGTTAGGGTGTTAGGGTGTTAGGGTGTTAGGGTGTTAGGGTGTTAGGGTGTTAGGGTGTTAGGGTGTTAGGGTGTTAGGGTGTTAGGGTGTTAGGGTGTTAGGGTGTTAGGGTGTTTAGGGTGTTAGGGTGTTAGGGTGTTAGGGTGTTTAGGGTGTTAGGGTGTTAGGGTGTTAGGGGTTAGGGTGTTAGGGTGTTAGGGTGTTAGGGTGTTAGGGTGTTAGGGTGTTAGGGTGTTTAGGGTGTTAGGGTGTTAGGGTGTTAGGTGTAGGGTGTTAGGGTGTTAGGGTGTTAGGGTGTTAGGGTGTTAGGGGTGTTAGGGTGTTAGGGTGTTAGGGTGTTAGGGTGTTAGGGTGTTAGGGTGTTAGGGTGTTAGGGTTGTTTAGGGTGTTAGGGTGTTAGGGTGTTAGGGTGTTAGGGTGTTAGGGTGTTAGGGTGTTAGGGTGTTAGGGTGTTAGGGTGTTAGGGTGTTTAGGGTGTTAGGGTGTTAGGGTGTTAGGGTGTTAGGGTGTTAGGGTGTTAGGGTGTTAGGGTGTTAGGGTGTTAGGGTGTTAGGGTGTTAGGGTGTTAGGGTGTTAGGGTGTTAGGGTGTTAGGGTGTTAGGGTGTTAGGGTGTTAGGGGTTAGGGTGTTAGGGTGTTAGGGTGTTAGGGTGTTAGGGTGTTAGGGTGTTAGGGTGTTAGGGTGTTAGGGTGTTAGGGTGTTAGGGTGTTAGGGTGTTTAGGGTGTTAGGGTGTTAGGGTGTTAGGGTGTTAGGGTGTTAGGGTGTTAGGGTGTTAGGGTGTTAGGGTGTTAGGGTGTTAGGTGTTAGGTTAGGGTGTTAGGGTGTTAGGGTGTTAGGGTGTTGGGTGTAGGGTGTTAGGGTGTTAGGGTGTTAGGGTGTTAGGGTGTTAGGGTGTTAGGGTGTTAGGGTGTTAGGGTGTTAGGGGTAGGTGTTAGGGTGTTAGGGTGTTAGGGTGTTAGGGTGTTAGGGTGTTAGGGGTGTTAGGGTGTTAGGGTGTTAGGGTGTTAGGGTGTTAGGGTGTTAGGGTGTTAGGGTGTTAGGGTGTTAGGGTGTTAGGGTGTTAGGGTGTTAGGGTGTTAGGGTGTTAGGGTGTTAGGGTGTTAGGGTGTTAGGGTGTTAGGGTGTTTAGGGTGTTAGGGTGTTAGGGTGTTAGGGTGTAGGGTGTTAGGGTGTTAGGGTGTTGGGTGTTAGGGTGTTAGGGTGTTAGGGTGTTAGGTGTGGTGTTAGGGTGTTGGGTGTTAGGGTTGGGTGTTAGGGTGTTAGGGTGTTGTTAGGGTGTTAGGGTGTTGGGTGTTAGGGTGTTGGGTGTTAGGGTGTTAGGGTGTTAGGGTGTTAGGGGTTGGGTGTTAGGGTGTTAGGGGTGTTAGGGTGTTAGGGTGTTAGGGTGTTGGTTAGGGTGTTAGGGTGTTAGGGTGTTAGGGTGTTAGGGTGTTAGGGTGTAGGGTGTTAGGGTGTTAGGGTGTTAGGGTGTTAGGGTGTTAGGGTGTTAGGGTGTTAGGGTGTTAGGGTGTTTGGGTGTTGGTTGGGTGTTAGGGTGTTAGGGTGTTAGGGTGTTAGGGTGTTGGGTGTTAGGGTGTTAGGGTGTTAGGGTGTTAGGGTGTTAGGGTGTTAGGGTGTTAGGGTGTTAGGGTGTTAGGGGTTGTTTGGGTGTTAGGGTGTTAGGGTGTTAGGGGTGTTAGGGTGTTAGGGTGTTAGGGTGTTAGGGTGTTAGGGTGTTAGGGTGTTAGGGTGTT